TTGCATCCTTACCTCAAGTGTTTGTTGCATCCTTACCTCAAGTGTTTGTTGCATCCCTACCGTTAAGTGTTTGTTGCATCCTACCTCAAGTGTTTGTTGCATCCTTACCTCAAGTGTTTGTTGCATCCTTACCTCAAGTGTTTGTTGCATCCTTACCTCAAGTGTTTGTTGCATCCTTACCTCAAGTGTTTGTTGCATCCTTACCTCAAGTGTTTGTTGCATCCTTACCTCAAGTGTTTGTTGCATCCTTACCTCAAGTGTTTGTTGCATCCTTACCTCAAGTGTTTGTTGCATCCTTACCTCAAGTGTTTGTTGCATCCTTACCTCAAGTGTTTGTTGCATCCTTACCTCAAGTGTTTGTTGCATCCTTACCTCAAGTGTTTGTTGCATCCTTACCTCAAGACTATTATAATGGAGTTTCCATACAAAAATCTTACAGTCACGTGCATTTTCGCAACGCAATTCGTTTCGGCAATATTCTACCGATACAAGCTGACCGAACGAGCAGGAATCATTGACGAAACTGACAGGGCAACTTGTCGTGCTGCTTAGCTCGAGAACGTAGACTAAGTTCTGTTTAGGTCCTTATTTACTATAGTAATGTTTCTGCGACATATAAACAAGCTCATATGTATTTAATCAATAAATATCAAGTTGATTAGTAGTAATCAGTACTATTTTGTTTTCCTTTCTTTTTCTTCTTTTCTTCTTATTGGATCTGATTCAGCTCTTTTACCAGTTAATAATAAAAAATCTCGATAAAAATCTTTTTGATCTTGATTCATTTCCTCTTGATCCAGGTATAAATCAATTTCTATATCTTCTTCAAGGTTCGATTGTTTTTTTTCTTCCTCCAATAAATTTTCCAATTCATCATACCCTTCAAATAAATCTGGATCTTGAATCATTTCTTGTGCTTTTAATTTCCATTCTTTAGGTACAATACTATTAATAACTTCTTCACAATCTTCTAAAAAAATTGGTTGTTTATAAATAAAACTTAATAATGAAGTTAATAAATTAATTTCCTTTGGTTCTTTAATATTCTTAAAATCTACTACATTACTCTCCCATGTATATGGTTCGATATGCAGTAAAAACGTACGTAATGAGAAATTGATATCTGCTATAATTAGATATTTAGATACATCAACTTTTGTATTTGATTCTAATAAATCTTGTAAATTTAATGATCCATTATTTAATACATTATAACCATTTAAAATTGTATCTATTTTATCTTTATGCATAACACATGATACTAAATTTTCTGGTAAAACACGTAAACCTGAAGAAGTTGGATTATATGGATCATCTTTATTATTATTATTACCACTTTGTTTATTATGAGTAAAATCAGTTACTTGAACAGTGAAATTTGGATATCTAGATAATTCAATAGTTAAGATTTGAACAAATGTTCTAAATTTATGTTTACCATCTGGATGTCTGCTATGATATTGTGGCCATTCTTTAACTTGAGCTAATTCACTAGTTGACATTGACTGATATTTTTCACCAGACGCGTTTCAAAATTTTAAATGCGGCTCAATTTAAAATATTTCCAAATTTGGATAACTTAATATATCAAATCTGGTTATAAAGTGTCTGGATCTGGTTATAAGACGTCTGTATCTGGTTCTGATGGGTATTAGTTGGCTATTAGCAAAATAGGAATTTGTGCAAACACATCGAATCAACGAAGATATTGAATTAAACCTTGAGCTTCACTCTTGTCCAGCTAATTAAAATTTATTCGACGATAATCTGTAGATTGTAATCTCCGTAAAGCTGAGTCAATATTATATCGTTGTGGTAATTACTTTGTTTGTTTACAATTTTGCAATAAGGTGTATAATTTTCTTGGTAAGAAAACTCTCTGGGTCAAATTAAGGTATCCCCTAAGAAAACAAATTTCTTAATATGTAAGTATAAAGCAAGCCTGTTAGGCTAAATGCTCTAAAACATTAGAATGTGCTGTACTAACAACAGTTCTTTGTCCAGAAGCATTTTACAAACTCGAATACCCAGCAATATTTGACGAATTTAAAGAAAATGAAAATTTCAACAAAATATGAAGTAGTCAAAAGAACTATAAGATCTTTTAACTGGATACTAATCAATATTTATTACGTTTTATTTGGTCTTCTATATAATAAAAATCCAGCTTTTTCACCAACTTTAGTATATAATAATTGAGCTCTATGATTTTCAAATTGAGTAGCCCAATAACAATCTTTTGCACCAAGTCTATCAGTTTCATCATAAATATATTCAATCAATTTTCTACCAACTCCATGTAATCTATTTGATGAACTAACGAATAAATCATTTAAATATAATGAATTTTCAATTGTCCAAGTATTCCTATGAGTTAAATAATTCGCAAATCCTATCATTTTACCTAAATCATCAATTGCAACAACTGAATAAACTGGTTCATCTGGATCCAAGAATCTTCTAAATGTTGTTTCAGAAATTTCTGGTGAAATTTTATCTAATGATTTATAAAATTCAATATAACCACCTTCACCGGTCCATAAATTTAACCATTCATCATAGTCTTTAGCTTCTATTGGTCTTAAAGTAACTGACATTGCGGATAAAATAATAAAAGATTTGGTCTCGTATTTATATGCTGAATCGCTTAAAAACGATAAATTTGGAAAAGTTACGCTAATGTATTACAATGCACTCCACACTAATAATGGAGGGTCTAATTACCATGTATAGATAGCAGTTCATTGATAAGATTGAGGGGAACCCATGTTAAGAACTATGACTAACAAAGTACTCTCGAAAGTTTACTCAAAAAGTTATTTTAGTTCTACAAGTTGAACAGTCTAGTTTATTATCTATATATATCGTTCATAACATAAAACAAATATATCCTTTGAATTTAATTCATTAAAACCCACTTGAATATTTTGTCTTACATTTTCATCATCAAATAAACACCAAAATTTATTATCTGGAGATTTATTAACTAGTGCAGTATAATGACCACTTTTTAAAGTACCATAATGATTTATAAAACCTCTTAAATGATATACTATTTTATGACCATTATTATTAAAACTTAAAGTTAATGGATAATCTATAAAAACATCTAAATTTAATTTTGTAATATGAATTAATAAAATATTTGGTAATTTAATAAATTGAGTACTTTTAATTGATGTTGATTGTGAAATTTCTTTTTTAACCTTTTTCTTCTTTTTGAATAATGATTTTTTTGTTTCAAAAACTCCTGTCGATTCAATAGTTGGTATATCACCATTACATTTTGGACAAGTCCATGAATCTAATACTTCATCTTTTATAAATTGACTTAATACATCCGATAAATTTGAATTTCTTTGTGCTGGTAAACTTAAAATATTAAATTGATTAAAGTTAATTGATTCATAAAAACATCGTTGACATTGTAATGTATTCTTTATATGACCTTCAAATAAATCTTTAATTGGAGAAGTACCTTGTTCTAATAATAATCCAATCCATTTTTTATATTGATCCTGTTCTTTAATATTTATATTTATTTTCCATTTTGAAATGTAATTATCAATATCTATAGTTTTTTTTGAATTCATCTCTTCATTAAGTCTATCTAATATAAACAAAAGATATTCTTGTGCATCCTGTTGTTCATGTGGTATGTTGAAATCAGACTTTAAACTACCACAAACTTTTAAAAACTTTGTTGGAGAGATTGACCTACCACCATTTCTTTCAAAAGTTTGAATTAACCCAGCAAAAGCATCTGATAATAAACCATTACCATGTTTTTGAAATATCATTTTAAATGCACGTATACCAAATAATAATTGAATTGATGAGTTTATATAACATGATGAACCAAAATTTACTAATCCACAAATTGCATATTCTTTTGAAATGTGAATTTTAGTTGATTTGATTTGTTGTTGTTGTGCTAATACGTGTAACGGTACATTGTAATGTAAATTAGAATGTTGCAAAGTATAATTTGACTGTTTTTGAAAGTTAGAAGGTGGTAGATGTGAATCAGAATTGAAAGTTGATTTATGAAACCCATTAGTAGGTATTGTATATGGAGCTGTTATTGGAGCTGTTATTGGAGCTGTTAATGGAGCTGTTAATGGAGCTGTTATTGGAATAGAATTTGATTGTTTTTCAGGTAATTTAGAAGGTAGATGAGCAATTTTTGAAGAATTTTCAACTGGATATGGAGCTCTTTCTAATGGTGTTGTTGGATATGGAGCTTTTTCTGGTACAGTACCATTGATGACTGGATATCTGCTTTCGAATTCTACCAAATCTTCTTCTTTATCCTTTTCTTTTAAATATATTATATACTCATTTAACCAATGATACAATTCTTCGATATTGAATGAAAGCTGATTGTGCTCCACTAGATATCTTCTAACATAATTCCTCAAATCTTTTGAATTTATTTGATAATGACCATTTTTAAAAATTTGATCAATATTATAAAAATCATACAAATTCAAATATATTATAAAATCTTGTTCATTAGTTTCAATAAACTTATCAAAACCTTGAAAATTCACTACAATAAATGTTGTTATAATAACAATAAATACTAAATAACCTTTTAAATAAAATTTGAAATCTTTTGTTGATTGACATTTTTCATATAATAATTCAACTTCATCTAATAAATCAAACAATGATTTTGACTTTAATTCTCTATCTAACTTTATAAATATTTCATGAATAATTGGTTTATAATTATTGTATTCCATGAACAGTTTGGTAATAAAAAATGCGCAGTAGAAATTTTGTGTCACGATTTATAAACCACCGATTTGTATATTAAAATCTGAAACTAATGGTCTATGATCACTGAAGTATTTACCATTGAATTTAGAATGTAATAAACCAAACATCTCTATGTGTACTTCTTTTGGTGCAAAGATATAGTCAATATTTTGACCAGCTAATAAAACTTCACCTTCAAAACCTGTAACTGTTGATTTGGAATGTCCATACCTATTCTTTGTAGTAGCTGTATCGACTAAAACAGTTTTAAGTAATTTATAAGGTTCTTCTTCTCGTTCAGTATTTAAATCACCAGTTAAAAATGATGGCCATTTAAATTTTGAAATTTTTTCTAGTATTAAATTTGCTGAACCTAATTTTGATTCTATACCAATATGATCCCAATGAGTATTAAATATATTTATATAATTTGACGTACCAATATGTTTTAATGTAATATATGAAACAATTCTTAAATATAATGCATCCCAACCTTGTAAATTTTTACGTTGATCTTTTTCATTTAACCAAAATGAATCTTTATAAACTGGTTCCCATTCTGATTTCTTATAAATAATAGGTACTAATTCTCCAATATCTTCTGAAATTCTACCATGACCATACCAATCAAATTCATCTCCTAGTAATTTCATAATATCAATTAATTGATTATAATAAACTTCTTGTAATGTAATTATAGTATTTTGTTTTAAATGAAATTTTATAGAGTTAACTAATGGAATCATTCTTATACGCCATTCATCTTCACCAACTACTAATTCATGATTTCCACCATTTTTAATATTATGCGAATAAATTCTAAACTTTAATGGTGAAAGTTGTACCTTGGGCAATTTTGGTAATTCTGGTTCTTCTAAATTTATTTCATCTATATGCTCAGGAATACCTTTAAACTCAGAAGTTTCAAAGTAAGCAATCTCTTTAATTTCTCCTAGAAAATGACTTGGATTTTTTGTAGCTTCTGGTAATAAACTTGTTGATGTAGATATTGATATTTCCAGATCAATTAATGACTTGTACTCATGAAATAACCTATCCTTATCAGCTGAATTTAGTATTTTTATACTTGAATTATGAACTGTTATATATATTACTATTATCAAGCAGCATATTAATATTAAAACTCTAGATTGTTGTTTCGAATAATTCATGGTTGATAGACTTATTTTTTCATGCAGGAGATGAAAAACTAAACGAGATTTGGACGCACAAAATCTATCCAAACTTAGCCGTGCATAAATGCTTTTAAAAATTTATCAAATTCTCTCCCAAATCAACAATCAAGTCAAAAAAAAAGGTTTAGGCCAAAATTGTTGGTTTAGAAACTTCTAAATAGTTTAAAGATCTCTCTATGTGCTGTAGGGAGGCATAAGTATGCTTTGAAGATTGAGCTTATCACGTGATATTCTCTTTAAACTATGTATGCTCAGCGTCTTGTCTGAGTTATTTTGGCCACTTTTCTATCTACTAATTTACTCAAGCATCTAGATGTTATAACAATTTGTTAGCTTCATTTTTAGAAGATTCTTCAACTCCATGCTTTTACGGCTCACTTTTAACCAAAATATAGAGGGAATTATGGCTGATCAAAGAATAGATATCATTTAAAGCTCAATACCAAGTGTTTACATTGTTCAATTATCATCCGCATTCAACGGTTTTGCTACTCTGTAACCAGTAAATTTAATTTATATCTCTGGATTTGAATAATGTGCAAGTTTTAATGTTAAGAAGGAAATCAGATTAAATTCACCAGTTGTGCAGCTAAAAAAATCTGGACAGGTGCTGTTTCTAATTGATGCGTTACTATTACTAACCTCTATACTGCTACAGTCTTTACTTCTCCGTAAACTTTTAATCATGAGAAATGGCAAGTCTTTTGAAAAACAAAGATATTTGATTTTTTGAGAGGTGTACCATTTGCAAGTGCAGCAGCAGCAACAGATATTCAAGTATCTGATTATACTCCCCTATTTGTTTAAAACCTATGAAGTTTACTTCTAAAGTAGGTCAAATTGCAAGGTCTAGTAAAATCATCGGTAGCGCTCAAATGACTTTGGCATAGATTTGATACAACTCGGCACGAAAAAATTACAATCAATGCGAACTCGCATGAGATTGGCATTACTGTGGCACGATCAATTGTTATGAATATTTTGAGGTTATTAGCTCAAAGGCATTTACGCAGCATTCGGTTTCTGAGTAGTATTTGAGACAAGTACTCGAATAGTAGTAATGTATAGACTATTTATTCAACCACTATAGCACCTTCATAAACTTGAATAGCTTTCGTCAAAGGTGATTCCATTGGATCTATACAATTTATCAATTCCTTATATATTTTATCCTTTAGTTTCTCATTATTCTTTACCAATTCAATCTCATTCAATTCTCTCATATCCTTTTCCTTTAAATCTTGTAAACTTTTTAAACAATTTTTCAAAGAAACATATATCTTTTTCAATTGATTCGAATTTGATCCACTTTGAAATAATTGCCAAAAATGTGATAGAAATTCAACAATTGTTATATTATACGTTATAATTTCTTGTATTATTGAATTTGGAATTATATTCTGTGAATCTTTATTAATTGATTTGAAATTTTTATAGTTTGTTTTCAATAAATAAGTAATTTCATTATTTGTATTTTCAATATCTGTTTCTTTATTTTGATAAGTTTGAGTTAAATCATAATTTGATATTAGTTGCAGATCCAAATATTGTTTTAATTCTTCTACATTTTCAATTTTTTTATTATCAACATGATCATTAACTTTAATATTCAATTTTATATAATTAAAATCTTGAACTTCCTCTAAATCATGTAAATCCAATTCTTCTTCTTGCAATGATTCAGGTTCTTCTTGTTCATTATCAGTGGTATGTACTAATGTTTCACTTAATTTATTTAAATTTCTCATTAAATCATTTACATTTTCCTTCATTGTAAAATCTGGTTTATTACCCAATTTCTGTGAATTATCTACTTCATTACCTTCTAAATCCAACACTTTATTTTCAATTTTCCTTCTTTTAGTATCAGATTCCATAAATAAATATTTATCTAAAATTGCATCACCCCTTGAAGAATCAATTTTATCACCTCTTAGCCTTCTAAATAATTTTGAATTGAAAAATCTTGACCAAAATTCACCTTCAGTTAATCTAGACGGTACCAACTCTTGAAAAGCAGTCTTTGTTATTGGATAAATGTCAAAAATTTGATTAATGACTTCTCTAGTCACTTGGACATTAACTGTATTTTCTGCAGTTGCAATTGGTTTAATAGTGGATAAAACATTATATGGACCTTTATGCTGACTTAAAGTTAAAGCATAAGTTCTTAATTGATTTAATCTTGATGACCAAAACATTTGAGGTGATAATTTAAATTGCATAACTGATTTTTGAAATGTATCTCTGAGATTTTTATTCTCCATTAATAGCTTTTGTTGTAATTCAAAATTTTTAAGTAAATTTGAATCTGATAAGGAAGTTTGACCAGGTGCTGGAGTTGGTGAATTATCTTTTGGAGTTGGAGAATCTATACGAGCTTTAAAACTTGAAAGCAAGCTCTGGAGACTTTCTTTAATTTTATTCATTGTAGGACGGTTGCTAAAATTAATCTTAAGTGACTTGTTGTCCTTATCATATATCAATTTTAGCACCATTTTCGGATGATTTTCTTTGGTAGATTGTAAATTATTGATATTCTTAAGTTGAATAGTAACCGTTTTCTCACCATCTATTGCTTTCCATTCTAATATAGCTGGATTTAAATCTTCTCTAATATAAACCATACCACTAACTTTATCTACTGAACATGCTCCTCTAATCACATCCATTTTGAAAATTGATAACCAAAAAAAAAAAATTATCACCAAATGTTTAAAAATATAACCAAACCGTTAAGAAGACTTTATACTACTAGAGTAACAAATCTTAAGTATCAACCACCTATAACAATAGATAAAGAATTACCAGATCCATCTCATAAAAAAAAAATCAATAGACGTTATTTCTTAGTTTATGGTTTAGGTATTACATTATCATGTTTAATTATTTTTAATTATGAGAAAACTCAATCACCAATTGTAACATCAACTTTATTTTATCTTAGAAGAAATAAACAAGTTGAAAATTTATTAGGTTCAGGTATTGATTTTGCTTATTCATGGCCTTGGATTTCCGGTAAATTAAATACTGTTCAAGGTTTAATTGATATTAAATTTAAAATAAAGGGTAATAAAAATGATGGATATTTAAAATTGAAAGCCAATAGAGAAAGTAAATTACATCCTTTCAATGTTGAAAACTTTCTGATTGAAATTGATGGTAAAGATTATGATTTAACTAAGGATTCAGATTTTGATTTTGATTTATGAGATGTAAATGATGTTAGACCAAATAGTAAACTTGTAAATATATGAAAATTATTAGTAGTGAATTACAGTTGAATTTAGTCAAAGTTTGTAAAAGTCATGACTATAGATTTAACGATTTGATCAAAATTTATGGTTTTCGTAAAACTGATGGGTCTCTACTTACTTTCAAATCAGCTGATAACTAAATACGTAGCATGACCAGCTATTCTAGATCCTAATGACAGAACCAGTAAACAGCTTGCTTAGTGTATTAAAATAACGATTTTCAAAATGAGGAGCTCTAAGGGGCTACATGAAAAAATGATTCTCTGCCCCTTAAAAATTTAAGTCGAAAAATTAGAGCTAATATTACACTAGAGCCCATGTTAATGCCATAAATTTAAAGCAAGCTGTTATCAAGTTTACTTTGAGTTAAAGGTCATAAGAGCTTTACTTTTAGGGTAGATAATCAATTCGAAAGGTATAAAAAACTTGAAACAATTAGTGGATTTCAGCAAAATCTTGAGTCACTTGATTGTTGAGTACGTGAGACTTTTTCTTGTATTATGTGTCACTCTAGACCTAATCAATGTTTTGACTAATTACGTCAAGATCAGTTCAAATTCTGAGCTTTGAACTAGTAATGCAAAATTGAACAGTTAAATCATAGTTGGTGGTGCTGAGTCATACAAGAAAGGAGTAGTATTGAGTAATTGCATAAAACTAAAGTATGTCTGTAATAGCGATGTTATTATCTGGTGAGTTGTAAAGAATAAATCCGCCATTTTGATTTTTAACCAGACAGCTTTCGCCCGACGTGGGACGTGGTTAAAGCGAAAAAAAAAAAAAAACATTTTCTTGCTAGCGTTGGCGCGACCTCGTACTAAATTGTGGTATATCTAGAGATCAATAAAAGGTTGATTAAAGATAAAGAGCTGCTCATTTGACTGCATGAGCGTTTAATTAGTCGTTAGATGGTCTGAAACTGAACTAAACAAGGTGCAAGCAAAATTCGACCATTTGTTGAAGTTGTTGACAGTTGGAATATTTTGCAGCCAAATTTCATAAAAAATCAGAATTTTAAACATACCCAACAATCAGTGCCATTAAAGACACAACACATATTGCAATGATAACTCTATAAGTCAATATCTTGAATTTTGAGTATCTCTCTTCGCAGTGATTAATTAGATCATTTTTAACGGCGAGTTCATTTTTAACAGTGAGTTCATTTTTAAATAATACGCTATAAGTTCAGTGCCGCTAAACCATGTGCTACTACGAATTTAGTCTTCGAAGAAAGTCTAATAATCTATTATAATCCAAATGAAATGATCGAGTTCAAACTTAACTTCCATCAATAATCGGAATTTTAGGATTTCAAATTAAATTACTCTACTTTTAATACATTATACGCATCAGAAAAAACAAGGCTATAGGTTTTAGCTTTCGATAACATTGAAATTACTCTTCAAATTTAGACAGCAACTCAGTATCAGGAAATATCTCCACTTCCGGTTAAGTTTATTCCATTCATATCAACTAATTAACAAAAAAAAGAAAAAAATCCGAAACACGAAATTCGTCAGAAAAAAGAACTAAGAATATTCAAAAGATTTTCTAACATACTAAAGGAGTCGAAAAGAACGTGTTGTTAGACAATAAGAAGCTAATAACAACTAGTAATAAACTTTGAACCCCTTTCAAAGCTTCAAAAAATCTCGAAGTTTAAACCTTAGATCTGTAATTTTTAAAATTTCTCCGGTTATTAAGACGTAAAACCTCATACATTTATACGATATAAAAGTAGTGTGAAGTCAAGAAAATCTAATGCTTCATCAATAGTCAATTTTTTAAGGGGAAGCAATCACTGGAACAATGTTGGTAATATACAGGATGATTCGAAGTAACATTTCTATAAATAGTAATATAATTGAAATTCATATTTCAGGACAACTTGACAGAAATATATTAATGTAGAGTGATTCTAATTACTCTTAAGCTGAACCTCAACGTTGGTATCAGCTCGTTGATCGAGCGAGCATTGTATCAAAAATATATACATATATTAAACTGAGAGATTAAATTTGGATTATTTTGTACCCGAAACAAAAACAAAATTTCTGAGCCCCAAATATGTTATAAAATTAACTAAAAATGGATAAATGAGTATAAATTGAAGATCTACGGATAAATTTTTAAACCCGAATTTCCCGATTTAGTTTTTTCACCTTGTAATTGCCTTAAGAATAATTGTATGAAAATGTCGAAGCAAATTGACTTTAAATTGTTTTGTTGTTTCAGTTAAAGGAGTTTCTCGCAATATTGATACTCTAGTTTCGTTTCTACGTTATTACAAGGCTGCTGCTCAAGTGTTTGAAACTATAGTCGTCAGTTCAAATAGTGATCAGTCAACTGAAATCGAACAAAATATAAACAAAAATAGAAAGAAAAAAAAAAAAAAAAAAAAATAAAAAAAAAAAATAAAAATAAAAAATTGATAAAAATTGATTTGTTCTTTTTTTGACATTTTTTCATTTTATATCCCATCTTATCAATTATCAGATTAGTTATAGAATCGCTAGTTTTATAGTTCATTTGTTTCATAGTTCATTTGTTTCATAGTTCATTTGTTTCATAGTTCATTATCAACAGTATTAGAATTATTGAGGCTATAATATTCAAAATAGAAATTAAAATAATCTAGAAAAAGAAAATATCTTAATCTTGGCTGTGAATTCAATTATACTACTACAATTTAGAAAACAAAAGTAGTCAGCTAGTTTACATCATATTTAAACTATATACACTCGCTAATAATTTATATAATGGCAAATTCAAATGGTTTAGCTGTTGGTTTAGCCGTTGGTATTCCATCATTTATTGTGATATGTTTAGTTGGTATATTTTGGTATAGAAATCAAAGAAGACAACAAAAGGAAGATTATCAAAATCAAAATTTCGATAAAGAATTAGAAGAAGAATTTAATCTGTTTCATGAGGTATTACATCAAGATGTCAAAGATAAATCAAATATCAATAATATTCATACTTCCACCAACCAAGTAGATTCAACAGGTTCAGAATCATCAACAAGTAAAACAAAACATCAAACAACTTATGATTTTTATGAAACTTTTATTCCTGTTTTTCGAAATCAACAAGAAGATATTATACACAATCAATCTAATCATAGAAATTTAACAAATCATACAAATCATACAAATCATACGAATCATACAAATACAAATCATACAAATCATACAAATGCAAATCATACAAATCATACAAATCATACAAATCATACAAGATCAAATTCTTCAGTAATTATAAACCATCATTATAACAATTCACAGGATTTGGCTAAGCAATTAAATAATCCTGTATTTTTTGAAAAACTACCTAGAAAAGCTACACAAGAACACATATATATAAAACCAAGATATCCATCGCAATCAAATACAAATAATGCTTCAAGTAGTGAATTTGTAAATAATTATTTATTAGGTGATACTCATGCTATAAATGAACATTATCAATATGAAGCAGGTTTTGTTGGTAATAAAATAACGCCGGGCGAAAATAATATAGAATCAGCTTTTGATCAAAATATAACTACAACACCACCATTAAATGAGAGTAGTAGTAAGGAATCAAAAGTTATACCGCCAGTTGTATTTCAATAGAAGTTTGTCTTTTTTAATATAGAATATTTATTTTTCTTCGCTCGTTTATCAAACATGTTTCGCCATTTTACTAGAACTTATGCTACTTATAAAAGATTTAACAATACTACTAAATCTGTAAATTATTACAATTTGCTACATTCAAGGAAGACTTTATATGTTGGTGGTGGTTTAATTGGTTTTTATATTTATAATTTACATGAAGCTCCATATACTCATCGAAGAAGATTTATATGGGTTCCATTTTGGTTAGGTGAAAAGATTGGTGATTATACTTATAAACAAATTATGTATCAATATGGTTCACAAATTCTCCCGCATTCAAATCCATTATATTCAAAAGTTTCAAATGTAATGAATAAATTATTACAAGTGTCATTAAATAGTGAAGAAACTCATCAAAAACAATTTCTAAAGAATTTAAATTGGGAAATTAATATAATTAATAATGATTCATTACCTCCAAATGCATTTATACTACCAAATGGTAAAATTTTTATATTTAGTTCAATTCTAAGAATTTGTCAAAATGATGATGGATTAGCAACTGTTTTATCTCATGAATTATCACATCAATTAGCACAACATTCAAATGAACAATTAAGTTCACAACCAATTTATATGGCATTATCTACAATTTTATATACTTTAACTGGTGTTTCATGGTTTAATGATTTATTAATTAATGGTGTTTTAACAATGCCTGCATCAAGAGAAATGGAAAGTGAAGCAGATCATATTGGTTGTGAGATTTTAGCAAGAGCATGTTTTGATCCAAAACAACTGATTTATTTTTGGCAAAGAATGAATCAAGCTGAAAAAAGATTAGGAGGTGAAGCTAATGCAAGATTAGAATGGTTTAGCTCTCATCCAGCAACTTCAAGAAGAATCGCTGATATTGAATCTTGGATGCCAAAATTAGAACAAATTAAAGCAGATTCAAATTGTCATCTGTTTTATCAATTCGATGAATTTCATAGAAATTTTTTTAAACGTACATAGAATTTAATATAGAAATATTTATTAGTTGGAAGTGTTCTTAACTTTAGAAGGTCATTTATAGGACCTTTATCGTATAATAATTAGTCTATTTACATGTATCTGATGATATTTTGAGACTGTTATACCGACCGTAATTCATAGGTTTATTTGCAATAGAACAAAGAGCGAGTGTCATAACATGAAATAAACTCTCTAAGCTAAACTACTCCTCCTAAAGCATGGTTCTATATCTATATTTTTGTAAAATAAAATTTCTTTGTCTTCCAAGCTAATGGATTAATTTCAATCCCAATCTTATACTCCTCCTGTTTCAATTTCAATAGAAATACCTGCATAACTCCTAATCTCTTACTTCTGTTCTTATCATTATAATAAGGCAATGAGAATTTTATAAATTGATGATTTTCACCATTAATTTTAATTGAACTAGTTATCCAATTCTCAATATCATTTTCAAATATATTTATATTAAATTGAGAATCAACAATTAAAGGTTTAGTTATCTCATTAGTCCCATTTTTTGAAATATAATCAATAATTCGTGAATTTACAATTGGTAAAATTTTAGATTTCAAATATTCAAATTCATTATCTATCCCATCTAAAACATTCTTCATTGAAGTTTCATCATAAGGTTCAATACTCACAATCTCATCTGATTTAGCTGTAGTACCTATTATTTTCACATTTATTTCATACTGCCAACGGTGAAATATTTTATTACCAAAATAACCCAAAATACTTAATGGTGGAATAATAGAAAGTAATACATTCGGATGAATGTTTATAAATGAAATAGCACCAATTCCTGCCCCAGTCAAGTATTTTAATTGATATGGTATTTTATTAAACCAAAGTATAGGATATGTTTTATTTGCAATAAAAGAATTTCGAATCATAGACGAGAAAAAATTATATATTAATTTATCAGTTTAAAAATATGATGAATATCAGATCTACTTACTTGATAATCAATATCTCTTTCTGTTCTTAATATATTATTCAATTTTGTAAAATAATCAATAAATATAAGCTCTAAATCTGACCATAATTTATCAATTAAATCTTTTTCAAAAATTGCATCTTCTAATTTAAAATGTTTTTCAATCTTTTTGTAAATTTCAGAAACTTTTAATTGTATATCCTTTTGTGAATACCTGGTAAGTAAAGATTTGAGGTACTTCTTATTCAAATTTTTAGATGATTGATAAGTATTTATAAATTCAATTAATTTACCAATTGTTTTATGTAATTGTTTTTCAAAATATATTGATTCAATTTTTTTAAACACTTTAGTTAAATCATCTATAAGTCTTTGTTGATTATTGGAGTAATCTGTTACTTGTTGTAATGTATAGAATATATTTTGTAATATACTTACATTTCTAATTTCTCTTTCTTTATCATCTAAATCTGAATTTTTCAATAATGGATCTTCTCTTTGAAATAAATTAATTAATGAATCACCTATCAATTTATAATTCTTATCAATCAAATTCTTTATTTTAAGTCCCCTGATATCTCTATTATCAATTGATGTTTCAGTATGATATAATAAATAATTTACATTTTTAACATTTTGTAAAACTCCACTATTTGCCACAATTATTGAATTATTAATTAAATCAACTTGTGATTGTATAAATTTATTCCATTGATTCTTATACTTTTCTGAAATTTTAGATAAAAAGTTATAATTTATAAATTCTTCATTAGTTTCAGATATAAAATGTTCCAATTGTAATAAAATTCCAGGTATTATCAATTCTGAAACATTCAATTTGAGAAAGTTGTTAATAAAATTACCAAATAATACTGTTAAATTATTCATTAGATCATTTGTTATATTTGGTTCATATTCATTTTTTTCCATATAATCTATGAATTTATGATTAGAATCATAGAAATGGAAGAACATATTTATAAAATTCAGCATAAATGTTATAATTGAAATAGTATCCTTGATAAATTCAAGTACAACTGTTCCATCCTGAATTTCATTATCAGTTTTACTCCATTGTTTTCTAATACTTTCAAAATGCTCTTTTCGACCATGTGTAGTTTTCTTTTTCCTTACTGTACGTCTTCTTAATGGTATTTCACCATCATCTTCTTCTTCCTCTTCCGGCTCTTCTTCGTCAAATTTAGGTAATGATATTCTTGGTTCTTTTAATTTTAAAATCTTCCCATTTAAATACCTTTCTAAACTTTTTTCATAAATTTGATTAAAATAATGGTTCAATTCTTGAAATTCAATAACTCCAATTTCTTTAATATATAAAGTCAATCCTTTAAATATTAATAAATCATTTAAATCGTTAAATTGAAGTCTTTCAAATTCACCTCTTATAAATTTAATAAAATGTTTTATAAATTTTGTATTTACAATTTCATAAGTTGATTGATATTGTTGTAATGCTTTTAATGAACTTAAATCATCATTTTCATCTTGAGATCTAATGGTAGCAATTGCATTATATAAACTAACCAATTTTCTTTCAAATGATGGAATTTTATTTATGTCATTAAATGATTTAAATTCAGAAATATCTTTGAGTTTATCATGATCAACTGAAACTTTATCCAATACACCTTTTAAGTCATTAAATAATAATTTCTTATTAATATATTTAACTTGTAATCCATTTGATGATTGATCAATTGATGAAATTTCAGGGAGAATAAATTTCAAACTTGATTCCATTTTTTGGAATATATATTTTATATTTTCAATTTCTTCAATTGCTGAACCAATGTCATTTGTTTTATCATTTGATAAATCAACATTAACTAATTGCTGTACAGTTTCTTGTTTAACTTTATTCATTTCTTTAGTTAAATTTTTTAATAATAAATCAGAATCAGTTTTAATTGACCAATTAATATCATCAAAAATTTCATCAATTTCAGCATCTCTTTCAAATTCATCTTTCTTAACAATATGTAATGGTACTACATCTTCAGGTTCATTAACTGTGACTGGTTCATCAAATGATTTTTCTTCATCTTTATTAAATTGAAATGAATCATCATTCAAATGTGAATCCAACATGTCTTCCAATTCTTGCATTTCATTATTCTTCTCAATTTTGTTTGATTCTTCAATAAATTGTGATGATCTAGCAGATGTAGAAATTCCTAATCCATTATTATTTGATTTCGGTAAAACTTGTTCATTATCACTTTCATCAGTAATTTCTTCAATCCCAAAATCTGGAGATTTTGCAGATGCTGCTAATTTTCGTCTTTCAGGTAAAGAATTTGTAAATTCCTCGAATCCTTTTGGTTTAGTTTCATTTACTGTATCTAATTTAGGTTCAATTTTTTCATCAATTTGTGATGTATCATTAAATACAAAACTATGTGAATCATTATCCTTTGAATATAATGTTGTATATGGGTGTGATGATCTTTCCGAAACTTGTCTTGAATCATTCATAGATGGATTTATCTTAGGTTCTGATTGTTTCCTTTCATGCGGTGAATATTTAAAATCAGATGATCTTCTTCTTTCATGATTATGTGGTGAATAACTTCCAGTATTTGAAGGTGTTTGAATTGGTTGTGGTTGTGGGCTGGAACTTGAAGATTTTAATGATGATTGTGACTGATGTAAGGTATTCAGTTTTTGAATCGAATTTGTTGATTGATTAAGTGATGATCTTTTCAGTAATGATGCTTGAGGTTGATATGCTTGTTGAGATGATATAGATGGTTGTTTTTGAACTTGTGGTCGACTTTGTGCTGCTGCTTGATATTGAGGTTGTTGAGATGATATAGATGGTTGTTTTTGAACTTGTGGTTGACTTTGTGCTGCTGCTTGATATTGAGATTGTTGTTTCTGCATTAATGGTTGATAACTAGGTTGTGAGGGTTGTTTCAGTATAGGAGGAGCTGGTTGTTGATAATTTGGTTTCTGATTGAAAACATTTTGTCTTTCTTGAAATCCGGAATCTAATTTAGTTTCTTTATCTCTTGATAATATCTTCATTGGTTTAACAGGTAATTGACCATGAGATGTAAAATCCATTTCTTTATATAAATCTTTCCCCTTATTTTTTAATTTATCCTTTATCGAAGATGATCTTGAAGTTGAGCTTGGAGATCTAGGACTTCTTGGAGAATTTGTAATTTTTGGAGTTTCAGGTAACATAAATCCATCTAATGTAAATCCTTCTAATCTTGGATATTTCCCCATATAACTCCCATATTCTTGACATAAATATCGACAAAATTTCCATATCCTTGTATCATCTTCATCACATTTCCAATAATAATTTTTATTTAATTCTAAAATCATTGAATCTTCATTAATTTTTCTAATACATTGTAATTCTGATAAATCCCAAGTTCTACCAATTTGATAAAAATTCTTATCATTCTTTTTACCCTTTTGTAATTGCATTCTACCTGAAGATTTACTACAAAGTACCAAAATTCTTTGTTTTTTAGAACCAACATTTTCCAAATGAGGTGGAGGTGGTTGATTTGGATAATTACTATATTCAATTATACCAATATGAGCAATATATGAAGTTTCATGCATTTTCTGACCATCATGTGAAATAGTTTTTGAATAACAATCTAGTATTATTTTATCAGTTACCAATTTTCTTTGATGTTCAGGATTATTTAAAATATTTGGTGAAGTTGGAGTTGCAACTTTTGCCATACTTGAACTTGTACTATTTCTTTTTGGGGTCATTGTCCCCAGTTGAATTGAGTTATTATAACCATTTGGTGGTTGAAATGTATTTATACTTGGTGGTTGATTGTTGTTATTATGTTTTTTACCTAATAATTTCTTAGGACTTTTAAACATTTGGTTGTCAAATTTCGGTTGGTGTTGATAATAATTTTTGGTGTTAATTTTCCGCACTACCATTTTGAAATATTTTTGTTATCACATCGCTTTATATTTTTATATGGGTTATGGGGTTGGCTGGTACTAGAGTTAAACAAAGGTTTGGATTTGACCCAAGAAATACTAATTGGTCGGATGATACTTCCAGATTTGGTCATCAATATTTAGCTAAAAATGGTTGGAAACCTGGTAAAGGTTTAGGTTTAGTTTCAAATTCAATGATTACTCATATAAAAGTTTCAGTAAAAGAAGATACTGTTGGTTTAGGTGCTAAATTACAAAAGAAAAATCCAGATGCAAATGATTTAGATGAATGTAGTGGTTTAGATGCTTTTCAAAGAATTTTAGGTAGATTAAATGGTAAAGAAGAAATTGTTAATAATATAATGGATATGACTCAAAAGGATAAATTAATAGGTAAATGGGGTATGCATTTTGTTAAAGGTGAAGTATTATCAAGTACATGGGATAAGGAAAATGGGAAATTAATATCGTATAATAATGATGAAAAAAAGGAAAAGAAGGACAAGAAGAAGAAAGAAACGAAGAAAAAGGAAAAGAAAGAAAAGAAAGAAAAGAAAGAGAAGAAAGAGAAGAAAGAGAAGAAGAAGAAACAATCAAATAAAATAGAGAAGAAGAAGAAAGATAAATCATTAGATAAAAAGAAGAAGGAAAAGATAAAATTAGAAACACCAAGCAAAGAGTCTACACCAACTCCATCACATCTTCTTGCTAGAGCAAAATGGATTAAACAAAAGAAAGCATCGGTTATAGATGCAAAAGCATTGAACGAAATATTTATGATTTCTAAATAATAAATACACTAATCAAACCAATTAAAATGGTCAACATTGATAATTCTTTAAATCCAAGTTTTACTTTATTTGATTCACTTGAATTGGACCCTTCTGAAGTTTCAGTTGATGTTGAAGTACCACTTGAAGAACCAGTTCTTGTTGCTGCAGCTTGCCTACTTGAACCTAAACCACAAGATGATGAACTTTGAGCATCCGCATTTAAAGAAGCTTTACCATCAAAATCACAAGCATCAACTCTTCCACCTTGATCATGGAAATATAAATTTAATACGTAACTTAATTTATCTCTATCTGAACAAAAACTATAATCACCATAATCACCAGTTGTACCATCAACTGAAATATCGGAACAATCAATTTCTGCACAAACTAAACCATATAATTCACCATAATCTTCAGCTTCTAAATCTTCATTAACAACACAATCAAATGATCTTGAATGACATTCACAATAAGCTTCATCTGGTGTTGGAGGTAAATCAACTGCAGCTCTCCAAGTTGATTCTGAAGAACCTGGACATGTTAAAGTAGTAGTTTCAACTTCTGATCTTGTTGCATAATTTGGTGAAATATTATTAATTTCTGATCTATAATTATCATAATCATCATTTGTTACAATTTCACCATTTGAATTTAATTCAACTAAACCATATTCATTAGCTTCTTCCCAATACATATAAACAATACCACCAGACCAAATGTCAGTCATATCATCAGAATATAAAGTTCCAACTTCTTGAAATAATCTTGGACGATTAATATTACAACCATATTCTGAAAAAAATATTGGAATAGTTAAATTACTAAATTCTTCAGTTCTATCAGCATAACCACTAACTCTAAAAGTTGATTCACCACACCATTCATACATATTAATACCAAAAAAATCAGCTCTATCTTCAACTGACCCACAAGCAAAATAATTTGCAATTGCAATTCTTGTATCTTCATCATCATTTGAAGAATAACCAACAGGAATTTGTCTATAATCTTGGTCTTCAATATATTTTTTAATATCTCTAACTGCAGCTTTAACAAATGGTGAAGCATCAGTATTTGATCTATTATTGGTAACTTCATTACCTGCAAAAAATCCTAAAACATTTGAATATTGTTGTAAATCATCAACAACAGCTTTATATCTATCAAATAAATCTAAATTCCATTCTGGATTATTTCTATTAATTGAAACTGTAGGTTCTGATAAATCAGCAATTATATAAATACCAGCTTCACTCATAGCTTGCATACATTCTTCATGATCAGCAGTTGGATCAATTGCATAAACTCTTAAACAATTGGTATTAGTTTCTCTAAAATATCGAATATCTCTTTGACATTCAGTAATATTAGCTAATGGATCTTTATAACCTAATGCGGAATTTACAGCTTGAGCAGTCTCTTCTTGATAAGCAATACCTCTCATTAAAAATTGAGAACCATTATTTGAATAGAAAAATTTATTACCACTAATTTCAATAGGTGGTGTTGTATCTTCAAATAAAGCAAATGAAATTGAAATTAAAGATAATAAAGGTATTAAAAACTTCATTGTAGAAATGGTAGAAAAACTTCAATCAATGAAAATGAAAATTGAAAATCAAAATCAAAATCAAAATCAAAATGAAAAAAATTTAAACTAGTATATCAAAAAAAAATGTGTTGATAAAATTGTAAATCTGATAGAATGAAACTGATCTCATTTTGAACCTTAAATAATAACCATCGATTCAAGAATGTTACTGAATTTTTGTTTGTTAAAGCTAAGAATTTTATTGAACAATTTTGTTTATGTTAACCAAGAAATTTTAAAGTTATAATAATATTATGATGTAGATTTTCTTGCCCAATTGAATAACAATATTGAATATAGGGACCAACATTGAATAGGGATCAGCTAATGGTGTACATGTTTAAAGGATGAAATACATAAACCAATTAATTATAATTTACCGTTCATTATCAATAAATTTAGATTGAGATGTTTCAGAATTAAATATATATATTTTTTTTTGCCCATCGTGCATAATTCCAATTGTCGTCTAAATATAAAATTAAAAGGGCTGTGTTTCGTAGTATGCGTTTTATTTAGTCGCCGCATGAAACGAGAAATCTCGTATGAATTCTTGTACTATTTAGTACCAAGATTTCCATTGTAAAACGCGTTAATTAAAAGTTATTTTTAGTAATATGCTGCATAATAATAAATTTTATTTCTGTGTAATATAATTTGTTATTATTATTTTTTTACTTCATTTTGCACCCAAATATAAAGGATGTTATTACATTTATATATTTTCATATTTAGTTTAATTGTTATCAATTGTGCAATTATTACTGAATTTGGTACTTATATTAATCCAAATCCAAGAAAATATTCTAAATGTGAATCTTCAGATTTAATTAAATTATCAAATTGTTGTAATGATGTATTATTAAAATTAGATGAATGTAAACCAAATGATTTAGCTTGTGAATGTTGTGCGTTACAAAGTATAAATCAAGAATGTTATAATTTATGTCCTGGGAATCCATCTACAAATTTTTTAACTGTTTTATTAAATGATTGTCATTCATTAAAAGATGTAAATGCATGTTCATTACCGTTTAAAAAAGGATATGATGAGCCCGTACCTAAAAAATCTCCTGTTGAAAAAAATAAAGTGGAAGATGAACTAACTGAAACGTATGATGCCTCATTAAAATCTAAAATTGAAAATAATCAACCAAAAGTTCAACAACAACAACAACAACAAGCAGTTATCAAGAACAAAAAAATCAAATTGATTATTGAAAATTATACAAATATTTCACTTAATGCAACTATTTCTTCAAAAAATCAAGGTAAAAATATTCAAATAACTACTCCATTATTAATCATATTTACATGTTTATTCTTCATATATATCTAATTTTCATTCATCCAATCTAATGTATATTTTATACCAGTTTCCAAATCAACTTTTGGTTTATAACCTAAATATCTTTTTGCATTTTCTATATTATGATACCTTGTAGCACATACAACTTTAACTCTAAAAGGAGTCAATCCAGCTTCTTTTCCCATCAAATTTGAAAAAAATTCTGATAAATAACCTAATCCAATAGCAACAGTTCTATTTAATTTAATATAATATTTATCAATAATTCCATCATTTTTCCATACAGTTCTAGCTAATGTCCAAAAATAGGTTGGTGAATCATTAGTTATGAAAAAAGTTTTACCTTCAATTTCTGGTTCATTTATACGTTCAGCTGCTAATACATGAGCATCTGCAACATTTCCAACATATGTCCAATCAAATAAATTATTATTATCACCTAATTGAAATTTTGATTGTCCTAATTTAGCACTTGCTCTTAAACCAGGAACTAATTGTCTATCACCTGGTCCAAATATTCCAGCTGGACGTAAACAGACAGTTTTAAAAGTGGCATCATTTGCATTCATGACTTCAGTTTCAGCAATTGCTTTTGTTTCATTATAACCATCCATGTGTACATCAGGATATGGCCAAGATTCATCTGCATTATAAACATTTTGACCATTAAATATAACACCAGCTGAAGAAGTATAAACAAATTTATTAACTTTCATTTCTTTAGCTACTTTTAATAAATTTTTCGTACCTTCAACATTTACCTTTTCATATATTTCTTGTGGTAAACCGTGCATCGGAGATGCAGAATGAACAATAACATCACATTGACTTTCTTCAATTGCAGTCTTGACACTTTCTTCACTAGTTAAATCACCTTTAAAAAATTGTATATTTGATGAATCAAATGTAAAATATTTTGATAATTTTTCAGGTAATGGACGTACGTCAAATACTGTAATTTTTAAATCTGGATGATGTTCAAGAAATTGTTGAATTAAATGTAAACCAAGAAATCCAGAACCACCAATTAATAAAACTGACTTCATTATTGAAACTTGTTGATAAGATGAAAATTTCGCGTACGATAAAATTTGAAATTATACGATAAAATTGAGACACCCCCAATCGAAATGAACTTAGATGTTGGTTTACCTTCTCTTAATCCTAGAGGGGTGCTAGAGCTTAAATTATTTTGAATTGAAGAAAACCATGGAATGAATAGATTATTTTACAACAAAACTTCTTTTCTTAAAGTGCTAGGACTTATTACGTGACAAGAGCGGCCCCTAAAATCTCGCCCTGGACCAAACATTGGAGCGAAATATGGGGCGATGTCGCATCTAAATTTGCAATTGTAATTGTTAACACATACAATTAATATTTACGAAATCAAATAAACTAAGTATATATTTAAAACTCAAAGAGTTTTTTATATTTGTTAATTTTATTATTATCTAACTCTACTTTAATTAATTCAGGTTTTGGAAATTCAAAATTAAATTTAGATTTTGGAATAGTTGTTGTACCATTATTTTCTGGTTTCAATTTCAGTATTGTTGGTAATGACTCTGATTTATCATAATTTTTAGTCTTTTCTATATCATTTGCGTTTATACATATTGATCTTTTTTTAGTAGTACCATTTAATTGTGATGCTTGTTTTACTGGTTTACTTTTCTTTCTTGATGCACCATATGGATTTATAAATAATTTTAATTTATCAGAACTACCTTCTGATTTTGATTCTATTGGAGTTTTTTCTTTTTCTTTATCTAATACATCTAATAATCCTCTTGCAGTTTCACTTTTTGGTTTATTATCTTCTGAAAATGTCATATTGTCATTTCTTTTAATTATGGAATCATCAATTGTCATTGATTGATGATTTTTACTTATTTCTGGTTTTCTTTTCAATACTGGTGGTCTAATTTTAGTTCTATAAGGAGATGGAACACCATTAAATTCAAAAACTCGTTTTAAATGAGGTAAATGTGATATTGTAGTATTATTAAAATTATCAAATGTTGATTCGTTGATTGATTTATAATTTGGTTTATAACCCGGTGTATTTATAGTTGTATTTGGATCACGTTTGATTAATTTTTGTTGTTTTGACTTTCTATTTAAATGTGAAACATCTTCATCTTCAGATTCATTTAATCTTTTCCTTGATAATTCAATCATTGATGAGTTAATATTAGGAGTTGTTAATTTTGATTTATTTATTAATGACATAACACCTTCATATTCAATATCATTTAAAGGTTTATCACCTTTTCTTTTAAAAAAATTTGATAATATTTCATTTGTAGATTGATCGGGGTCTACTGTAACCTCTTCTTTTGCTGGTGTAATATTATTATTAAATGCTCCTGGTAATTTATATTGTGGTAATGTAGTTTGAGGTGGATCAAATTTAAATGGTTTTATAAATGAAGATGGAACTATTGATGATGATGATTCTTTTTTATTATTAATTAGCCATGAGTTTTTTAATAGACCTTTTAATTTTCCTGTAAATGAATAAGGAGTATTATTATTATTATCTAATTGTTGTTTTAGTTTATCTTTATTATCCATATTGGTTATCAAGTGTTACTGTTTGCTTCAGTATAATTCTTTTATAAATTATATTTTTTTTTTTTTTTTTTTTTTTTTTTTATTTTTCGAAATTACGAGATTTCAGTTTAACCAATTGAAATGTCAACTCCAATTGAGTTATTATACCAATTTGATCAATTTTTAACTAATAAACTATCACAATACTCATTTACTAGTAATTTATTAATTACTCCAACCTCAAAATTTATAACAGAAGTACTTATAATTAGTTTCTTTTTATTATTAAGTTATGAAATTGTATATTGGTCAGGTATTTATTTAAATTTATGGGAATATCATGCAAAGGATGTTTTTACTGAGATTCCAATTCATTGTGCTCATTTATATATAAGATTAAATATAATAAACTCAAATATTATCGACAAATTGATAGATTATTATTCAATTAAACAAAAATCAAAATTTAATCCTTATTACTGGAATCAATTAAATTCATTAGGTAATGATATATTTAAATTAGATAAATTTCTAAAATATTACTTTGAATTTAGTCCAGAAGATTTTGAAATGAATAAACAACCTGAATATGGTTCAACTATTGAACATTTAAGAAATAAGACACTAAAATTATTTATTGAATCTTCGGAATTATCTAAAAAATATGAAAATGAAAATGAAAAATTAACAATTGATAATGTATTAATATTTAATAATAAAAATGAAATTGTGCCACTGAGTAAAAATGATGAATATTTAAGTAAATGTAATATTGAAACTGGTAATGTAATTGATATAGTAATGGTTATATAAATGCTACTTGTTTAATATAGACTGATATCTTGTTTCTGAAATTAGGTTTAAATCATATAACCTTTCTTCTGTTAATATGTATAACTTGATAATTTTCTCCAAGTTTGATTCAAGTGATAAATTTGTCAATTTGGTTATTTCATCATCATCTTTATCTGATATATCTTTTAATTTCTCATCTGGTTCAACTTGTGATATACCTGAATCTATATTATATCCTATCTCTTCATCATCTGATACTGAATCAGGGTCTAACAGTATTTTATCAAGGTCTAATTGTATAAATTGTGGACCCTTATAAACTTTCTCCTTCTTTACAGTGTCTGTCTCTTCAGACTCACTAGATTCCTCCTCTTCATCATCTTCCTTCTCATTATAAAGGTTTAATATAGCTTTATTTACCAATTTAAAACACTGGCTTCTCAAACTTAAATTGAATAAATTTTTCAACTCATCAGGTAAATCCTTTTGATCTTGTAAATCTTTAATTTTAGGATCAAATTTAAAACATAATAAACTCATGGTTATTTCTAACTCTTTTCGTAGTTTATACAGATTTGAAACTTTATTAATCAAGTTATTTCTAACAAATGTTAAAATTTCATCGAGAAACTCTCTTTCATCTTGATTTGGTTCATTCAATCTATGATTTCTTATCATTTCAACAATATTCAACCTTAATAATTTAAAATGTAATAAGTTATTTGAGTCTAATATGGTGGGAAAGCAATAACTTATAGCTTGTATTGCTTCTTTAATTTTACCAGATAATATCCAATCTCTTAGTATTTTTCTCGGTTTAATAGTTTTATAATCTAATTTCATTTTGTTTGTAAATAATGGAGATTCGACTAATTCATTAGCAGTATTTGAATAATATTCAACACATTTAGATTGAAAGTTGGGGTCTGTTGGATCAATACTTAACAAATCTTCTTCCTGATTAACCAGCACCAATTTCATATTAATATCATTAGTAAATTGTATAATAGCATCCTTATGACCTTGTTGTATTAAATAGTCTAATATTAAATGATTAATGTTCTTATCTTGTTGTAAATTCATATTAAACCTCGCGTTATTCCAATTTGGTTAATTTTTTTTTTTGTTATCAATTGTTGCAACCAATTTATTGCAATATGCTGCCAAAGTTAAATAATGAAGATGGTAAGCAGTTAGTATTAGATTATATGAGATTACAATATAGACCATATTCGATTAATGATATACAATTGAATTTACACAATCAATTTACAAAAAATAAATTAGTATCAGTATTAGATGAATTAGTTAATGATCGGGAACTAGTTTCTAAAACTATCGGGAAGACTACTTATTATGTTTACAAGGAGATAATACCAGAAGAAAATGATATCAATGTTGATGAAATCAAAGAAGAACACACTGCTTTATCTCAACACATATCGGATTTAAAATTATGGTTGCAAAAAATTTATTCAACTCCGACTAATACTCAATTAATTAACATGGTTGAATCATCATCCACTACTTTTGAAAATTTACTAGACCAATTGAAATCATTCGAGGATCAACCCACTAAAAATCTTGATAATTATGTCATTAAAATCACTAAAATGAAAAAAGCACGCAGGGAGTTATTAATTGATTTAGTGACAACTCTTGGTGAAATGACAGATACTAAGGATATACCTGTATGTGTTTGATAAATTTCTCATACTCAGTTACTAACTATTTAGTCTGAATGTGGAATTGACACGGTTGAATATAATCAATTTGTTAATGAAAAATTTTGAAAAATTATATTTTTTTTCACCAACGCAAAGTACAACAACAACAACAACAACAACTTCTTAGTTTGCATCCTTACTTCCTTACCTATGTTTCAATGATTTCACGAAATGTGCAAAGAGTATTTGTATTATTATCATGCACTTTTCTTGGTTTGATTTGTGGTACTTTATATTTATATTCTTCATATTCACCTCAATTAGCTAAACAATTAGGTTATACAGTTTCTGATTCTTCATATATTGCATTATTTGGAACTATTGGCTTGGCGGTGGCTGGTCCAATTTCGGGAAATATAGTAGATAAAAAAGGTTATAGTGTTTCCATATCAATTGGTGGTATTTTATTAATTTTAGGTTATTCTGGACTAAAAAAACAATTTGACTTACAATGGTCTAATCTAAATTTGTCCAGTTTTTGGTTATTTTCAATTGGGTTAGGTTCTACATTTATTAATAATGCATGTTTGAAATGTTGTGCTATTAGTTTTCCCAGTATTAGAGGAGTTGCAACAAGTTTACCATTGGCTTTATATGGTTTAAGTGCATTATTTTATTCTGTAATTGCTTCTATTTTTTATCCAAATGATACTTCAAAATATTTGGGTTTTTTAACTTATTCAATCATGGTAATTTTAATCATATGTTTTCCTTATATTTATTTAGCTGATTTAGAACATAAGAGAAAGAATAAAAATAGTAAAACAAAATACATTGCAAATGATTACCTATTTTCAAATTTTAAATTTTGGTTAATTTTTTCAATACTTGGAATATTAGCATCAATTGGACAAATGTATATATATTCAGTTGGTTATATGGTTAAAGCATTAATAGTCTCAGGAGATGCCATTTTGATTCAACAAAATCAACAATTTCAAGTTGGGTTAATCTCAATTGCAAATTGTATTGGTAGGATTATATCTGGAGTTTTGGGAGATATAATATCTCAATCATTTGATAAATCTAGAAGTTGGTTATTATTCCTACCGGCAATAGGACTCACCTTGACACAGATAATAAGTTATAACTTAACTGATGTTTTAAATCTACCGATTAATTCAGTATTGATTGGATTTTTTTATGGTTTCACATTTTGTATTATACCTATCATCGTTGGTGATTTATTCGGAATTGAGAATTTTTCATTCAATTGGGGAGTAGTTAGTCTTGCTCCAATTATTCCAAGTTTTTATTTCACTAGTTTATTTGGTAAGATATATGATTATAATTCTCAAATGTTGGAAAATACAGTTGTTTGTAGTTTGGGTAATTTATGTTATAATCAAATTTTTAAGTTGACTGGTGTTGCTAGTGGGATGTCAATATTGATTACCATATTGTTAAATTTAAAATTGAAAAAGAAAATTACGGCATTACCGTTAGCTAGTCTAGAAAAAAATAAAATATAGAATGATTGTATATAGAATAGAATATAACTATTTGCTTTTAATCATAATTGAATGCTCTAATTTGACATTTAGCCCAATGAGATTTATACCAGGTCGCCCTCCTGACAGCGCGAGAAATTATTTTGTCGCGTCAATTTGTAGCATCGAACTATACGTACCAAAAATAAGAAATCTGAAACAAATCTGCTTAAATGCCGTCCTATAATTGATAATATCGAAATTTAAATTTTCCAGTTAGCTTCCTCATTATTCAAGAAGTAGCTGTCAAACTTTTTTGTTTAAAGCTTCGGAAATCTCAGACTGAACTGGTACTAATATCTTTTAGTGAAACGTAATTTTGACCACTTGAGACGTCATTGAAAAAATGGCAAAAAGCGTTATTTTGCAAAATAACTAACACTTAGACCTCATTCAATAACTTCTAATATAGCTGATTTGGTTTACTTATCACCAAAGAACTTTTATGTACTATTTTTAAGAAGTCATAGTCGGTTTGTATTTTTTTCAAAGATTCTGAAATACCTCTTTGAAATCCAAATTTGAATGCCCTAACACAATAAAATCCAAGGTTTGTCGAAGTCAAGAACTACGAAGTTTGATATTTTTATCATACTTTAATCACAGGTTGGATTGTGAAGTTGGATTTTTTGTAAAGTCTAGTTATTCGATTTTGCCCATATTAGGAGAAATTTTCAAAATTTTTCAATTTTAGCTAAAGCCGGCTTAAACCAGCATTAATTAAATTCAACTTAAACTTGCATATTCATTTGAGGCCTTTATGTATAATCCGTTGTAGCGTTTAAAGTTATGGCCCTAGGAAGAAAATATATTGGTTCATATTTTTGGCAAAATTTTATATGGTGAAAAACTGCCAAAGTGCCAAAATGACAACTCAATTTAAATCTTCAAGTTCCAAGAATTTGGGATATATAATTTAAGGCTCTTGATTTCATAAAATCGGTTTCTAGTTTGAGATAAGACGTTGTTCATTACATATCAATAGATCAAGTTGCAACCAGTCGCCCTAAAGATAGCACGAGAAAATTTCCTCAAGAAGGAAAGGAAGATCCACCGAAATCTGAAGATCTTATTAAACATGCATTAAATTTATTGATTTCTGATACAAAGAATTGTCTTTCAATGAAACGTAAGGAAGATATGAGTAAAGAATTATTATCAGTTGACATAAATTGGACTTATTAATATACATTATCTTTTAATTGAATTAAATCTTGAAAATTTTCTTGCTGATGGTGTTTTAGCTAATGTCAGTTGTGAATTTGATTTTCTTGGTCTACTTGGATAAGCTCTTCTATCTCCTGTATCCATTAAACTTTCCAAATTTCTTTGTGATTCTGATTTTGGAGAACCATGATGATCTTTAATTTCATCTCTATCTTCATCAACTTTAATATCATCAATATTTCTACTAATTAAATATCTTAATGCATTATACCAGATATTATGGCGTTGGCGAGTAGCACAAGTTATCTTTATTGATCTATCAGTTGAATAAACAATTATACTTTTATGATATAATCCAGTTGGTAATGGATTATTATCTTCAACTGAATCTACTCTAACAATCGCTGCTGCTCTTGTCTTTACATGAGATGGATTTGATAAAATTGGATTATTTTCTGACCAATATAATGTTAATGAATATGGATGAACCCAAAAATATCTTTCATGTCTTGTTTCAGTTATAACTTTTAGTGGACCTAATTTTCTATAATATTTAAATAAATATTCACCAATAACAACTTGAGTAATTGCAGGGATCATGCCTTTATCAGTTAATGAAACATCGGTAGCCATTGAAAATACAGCATGTGATCTAATTGAATCTTGAATTGAGCGTTCTGATAAATTAGATCTAATTGATCCTGATTGTGGTAAACCAAAATTATTTTCACTTGTTGGTGTAACTTTATTTGGCGGTGTGAAACTCTTTTGTGATGGTGATGTAACATTAAATCTATGAACAGGCTCTAAAATTGGTGTTACTTCATCTTTATGTACATAACCACGTTTTTCAGCATGTTCTTTAAATGTTTCATCGTTAACTTTTTCAATTGACATTGATTTTAATTTAATTAATTGATTGAAATAACTGGTAGGTACAATTTTAACATTTGTAATATCTGGTTTCAAATTCGTTGTTGTACTAATATATTGAGATTCTGGAATCAAAAGTAATCCAAATTTCTTTCCAATTTCGGTTAATTCATTTGGATTTGAAACTTTATTTTTGAATCCTTGGATCTCTGTATCTTTGTCATCAATTTCATTTCTCAATTTCAATATTTCCTCAGTTTGATTTTGTTTAATTTCTTTTTGTTGATTAAATATTTCATTCTCCATTGTTAAATCCTTAATTTGGGATTCTTTTTCTTCAATCAACTGTTTGAGTTTATCCAACTCAATAGATTGTGTTTCTTGATCATCTTTTGAAATTACAACAAAACCTAATTTGTCAGCTGATTTACTTAATTCTTCATTTGTTAGAAATGATTCATTAGCATCACGATAATATTCAGTGCCTGAGCTTAATGATTTTAATTCATTTGCTGGAACTATAGTATACCCAATATTACCCAATTCTTTGGATAATATATCAAATTCTTCATCATTTAATAAATCAACTTGTTTATTTTGAGCTTTAAATAATTCATCACGTAACTGAACAACTTCTAATTTCAAATATTGTAAATCATTTGGTAAAATTAAATCAAAACCCTCTTCTTTAGCTAAATCTTTTAATGGTTTATTTAATTTATCTTGTGTTAAACTATAATCCTCTTGTGTCATACTGACTAAACCAGCTTTTGATAATTTCTCATCTAATGGTTCATCAGCTATAGCTTTCAATTTATTCAATTCATCTTGTGTTATACCAACTAATCCTGCTTTTGTTAATTTTTCATTTAGTGGTTCATCTGCTATAGCTTCTAATTTATGTAATTTATCAATCGATAATACTGTTAATCCCAATGCACCAGCTGTGGTAGTTATTTGTTCAATTGAAGGTTTATTAGCTTTGAGTAGTAAATCATTATATTCATCAGACTTAATTACTTTCCAATCAGTTCCCTCAACCTTATCATGAATTGTAGCACCAGCTTCTTGAACTAACTTGTTGTATTCATCAATGGTTAAAATTTTATGATCTGGATGATGTTTTATATACTCATTTGGATCATTAAATTGAATTGAAGGAATCAAAACACAATCAAATGTCTTTGCTTGGCTTGATAATTTTTCCAATGATGGTTCAAGGTCATCTTTTGATACAACTACTTTACCTTCTTGTTGAGCTTTATCTTCTAATGAAACAGATGCATCATTTTGTAATTGTTGTAATTCAGTAGCATTCAAAACAGCAAAGCCTTCTGCAGCAAGCTTATCAACATGGAATTGATGATCAATATCTTTAGCTCGGATATAACCACCTGTAATTGCTTTTTCGTGTAATGGAGTTTGATAATCTTTGACCATATTACCATGTAATTCCTTATCAACTAGTACATGATTATTATCCTTAGCTATTGATTTCAATTTGTCAAATGAAGGTGTTTGTAATGAAGTTAATTCAGGAATAGGAAGAATAGCGAATCCACGAGATTTAACAACTGCTTCAGGATCTTTCAATCTTGCATATTCATCTTTATGAAGTAAAACCATATTTGCCAATTCAGCTTTCTCTTGTAATGTTTGATTAGCTGCTTTATTCAAGGCATCGTATTCTGATTCTGGAATTAATAACGAACCTAATGCATTTGCTTTCTGTTCTAATTCGTTAAAATCAGGATTAAGTAAAGCTGAGTAATCTTCGTCTGTTAATAATACCATATTGTTTTTTGATGCTTTGTCTGCTAATGGTTCATCTACTAATTTTTCATATTCATCTAACTTATCATTTTGAATCAATACATAACCTTTATTTTTCGCTTTTTCCTCAAGATATTCAAATTCTGGATTTTTCATTCTATTGAGCATTGATTCAAATTCTTCTTTATTTGTAACAACATGATTATGTTCAGTAGCTTTTGAAATGACATGACCTAAGCTTGGATCATTTGCATTGGTAAATAATGTTTCATATTCTTCGTTTGAAATTGTAGCTAAATTCAAATCTTTAGCAATTTCTTCAATTGGTCTACTCAATTTTTCATATTCATCAATTGGAATAACTTTAAAATTCACTTCTTTTGCTTTTTCATCCAATGGTTGATCTGCTTTTGATTTTAATTGTTTATAGTCTTCTTCTGATACAACTTTTTGTAAATGTCTTTGACAACATTCTTTCAAATAATCTAATGATGGATTTTCAATTGTTTCTTTCATTGAATTAAATTCACCTTCTGCAACAACTACTTTATTTTGATCTTTTGCTTTATCTTCAATTGATTTAATTAAGTCATTATATTCCTCATTGGACAATACAATCAAATTTTGCTCAGTTGCTAAATCTTGTATAGTTTTATTAGATTTCTTAACTAATTCAATATGGTCTTGAGCTGATAAAATGATCATTTCTCTTTCTTTAGCATAATTTTCCAATGATCTATTAGCTTTAGATACTAATGTTTCATGTTCATCAGCTGGAACAGCAACAACGTTTCTTTCTTTAACATGATCTGTAAAAGTTTTGTTTGCTCTGTTAACCAAATCATTATAATCTTGTTTGTTGAGCACAACTAATTTATTCTCATCTGCTAATTCATGTATAGATTTATTGGCTTTAGTAATTAATGAATCATGATCAGCCGGTGATAAAACAATAACATTTTGCTCTTTTGCTAAATCGGATAGTGACTTCTTACTATGATTCAACAACTCTTCATATTCTTCAGTTGGAATAAGTGCCTTATTGACCTCTTTAGCTTTTTCTTCTATTGATTTACTTGCATTATCGTTCATAACTTGATAATCACTTTCTGGAATGACAACCATATTTGATTCTTTGGCATGATCAGCTAATGATTTTGATGCTTTATTGTTCAATTCATTGTATTCTTCTTTTGTCAAAACAACCATATTCGATTCTTTTGCATAGTCATCTAAAGTTTTTGAAGCTTTTTGAACTAAATCTTCATATCCTTTCTTTGGAACAACGATTAGATTTTTCTCAGATGCTAAATCCTTGATATCTTTATTTGCATAATCTTTCAATTTATCATAATCATCATTTGAAACAACTGCATGACCATGTTTTGATGCTTTTTCTTTTATATGTTCCAATGATGGTGTATCTGATTTATTTATCAAATCTTTATGCATGTCACTTGATAATACAGTTAATCCTAATGCTGAAGCAGCTGCAATTAAATGATCTTGACTTGGTGTATTAGCTTTCTTTTCTAAATCTTCATAATTCTCTTTAGTTAATAATGCAAAACCCAATTCATTTGCTCTTTCTTTCACAACTTTTTCCTTTGGATGTAATAATTGATCATGTTTGGAATCGGATAATAATACAAAGCCCAAATCTTTGGATTTAGATGATAAATAATCAACAGTTGGATGTTCTAAATCTGTTTGCAAGTTTTTTAATTCCAGTTTTTCAATAGTTGTTGATCCTAATTTTGCGGCATTTGATTCAATTAACTCAGCAGAAGGATCAATCAAACTTTCATATTCAGAATCTGGTAATACAACCAAATTGAGTTTCTTTGATTTTTCAGTTATAAATTTCTCAGTTGAAAATGAATCAAATTCTTCATTTGAAATGACTTTATAATTTAATTTGTTAGCTTGTGTAGTTAAATATTCAATTGATGGAGATTCTAATGCTTCCAATCTTTCAAATTCTTCTTTCAAAACTACAACACGTCCATTTAATTGACATTTTTCTTCCAAATATTTAACATCAGGTTGGTCAATTTTATTTTTCAATTCTGATAACTCTTTAGTTGTAATTATAACCATACTTGATCTTTCAGCATGCTCTTTCAAATAATCCAACTCAGGTTTTTCGATTGATTTGATTAAATTGTCATGTTCATCAATTTTTATCAAATTGAAACCTCTCTCTTTTGCCAAGTTATTCAACTTTGATTCATTTGGATTCAATAATACTGAATATTCATCTTTTGGTAATACAATCAAACCAGCTGATTGTGCATTTTCTTTTAATAGTTCAGGTGAGTTGATTAAGTTATCATAATCCTCATTTGAAATGACTGTGAAGCCCAATTTTGAAGCATGTTCTTTGATTAAATCAATTGATGGAGATAGTAATAGTTTAAATTTATCTTCTTCAATAACAACTAAACCTAATGATGTAGCATTCTTTTCAAGCTCATCTTTGTTTGGATTTTCAGCTAAACTTTTAAGATTTGCATATTCGACAGATGAAACAACTATTGAATCAAAACCTTTAGCTCTCAATTTTAAGTCTTCAATTGTTGGATTCGTTAATTTATCATATTCGGAGTCTGAAATTAATTGGTGATGAGTTGCTTTTGCTTTATGTGCTAAATATTCAATACTTGGATCTTCAATATTATGTTTCATAGTATCAAATTCATCAGTTGAAATAATTAAGGAATTATATACTTTAACTTTATCATTCAAATAATCTAATGATGGATCAACAATTTGTGAAAATAACTTATCATGTTTCTTCTTACTTAATACAGTTAATCCAATTGCCTCAGCTTTTGCAGTTATATGATCTTTTGAAGGTTCGTTTGCTTTACTTAATAACTCACTATGGTCTTTACTTGGTAATACAATTGACCCTTTTTGTAAAGCTTTTGATTCAATAAATTCTTTAGATGGTGATTCTTCTATGTTTTTCAATTTTTCATATTCTGCATTTGTTATTAATGAATGTTGAATTTTATCTGCATGATTTTCAAGTACGGATTTGGATGGATTGAGTAATGCTTCATGCTCTGCTGTTGGTATTGTAATCAAATTCAAATCTTTAGCTTTGGATACGATATGATCTTTATGTGGTGAGTTTGCTAATTTTTCCAAATTTGAATATTCATCATTTGGTAAGATAGTATGATTCAAACAATTTGATTTCTCTTTAAGGTAGTCTAATGATGGTTGTTCTATTTTATGTTTCATTTCTTCCAATTCTTTACTTTCTAAAATAACTGAATCGAATAAAAATGCTTTTTCTTTAAGGTCTTCTAATAATGGTTCATTGATTTGTTTCTTCATGTTATCTAATTCGTTATTAGTTATGGTAGAAAGATGCTTCTCTTTTGCTTTAGTACTTAAATATTCTAATGTTGGATGTTCAATTTGTTCATGTAATTTAGAAACTTCATCATTTGAAAGTATTACTGAATTGTATTTGCCCAGTATGTCTCTAATATATTCAAGTGTAGGTTCATCGATTTGATGTTTCAATTCTTGTAACTCGTTTTCCTTAATAATTACTGATTTAAATGATTTGACTTTTTCTGCAAGATATTCTAAGGATGGATTTTCAATCTGTTTATTTAAATCATCAAGTTTCTCAACTTCAATTACTGTAGATTTAAAAGCAGTAGCCTTGTTCTTGATATAATCAATTGATGGCTTTTCAATTTGTTCTTTCATCTCATCCAATTTATTATTATCAATTACTGTTGAATTATGAGCGATGACTTTATCTTCGATATACTCAATAGTTGGATTATCAATTTGTAATTTTAAATCAGTTAAATCTTTTGACTTAATAACTGCATGATCATATTTAGTTGCATGATCTTTCAAATGTTCGATAGTTAGGTTTTTCAATTTTTCTAATTCATTGTTATTAACTAATGTGGAGCCATGAGCTGATGATTTAGATGCAAGATATTCTACACTTGGCTTTTCAATTTGTTCTTTCAAGTCATTTAATTCCTTTATTGGTAAAATGGTAGATTCAAAATCTTTAGCATGAGTTTTGATGTAATCAAGTGATGGTTCATCGATTTGTTTTCTTAAGCTTTCTAATTCTTTATTATCTATTATTACTGAATCAAACTTCTGTACTTTTTCCTTTAATGAATCTAACTTAGGATCTACTAATTCTTTGTATTGAGTTGTGGGTATGATTTCATAATCTTTCATAGTTGATTTCTTCTTTATTTGTTCAGTTGAAGGTTCTCTCAACCCATTTAACTCATCATTAGATACAATTGAATGATTATGACTACTTGCATGTTCTGTAATTTGTTCAATTGTTGGATTTAGTAATTCCTTGTGTTCTTCTTCGGGTATAACTACCATATTATGATTCTTTGCAACCTCAATTATATGCTGTTCATCTGGATCATTGGCTAATTTCGTTAATTTCGTTAAATCATCAGTATTAATAACTTCGAATTCTTTACCTTTTGCAAATTTCTTAATTTCGTCCAATGATGGATTTTTTAAACTTTCTAATTCGTCATTTGAAATAATTGTGGATTCATAATCGTTGGATTTCTCAATTAAATACTCTTTTGTTGGTTTATCTAATTTATTTTGCAAGTTGTCAAAGTCTGTAGTTTCTATAATTTTATGATTTGGTAATTTAAATTCTAAATCTTTGACATTTGGATGATTATATTCTGATTCGGGTATAACGACATGATTATGTTCTTTTGCTTTTGAGTTTAAGAATTCAATTGATGGTATCGTCGGTATAACGATCAAATCATGATTTTTTGCTTTTTCAGTGATATGCTCTTTACTTGGGTCATTTGCAAGTTTGGTTAACTCATTAAACTCAGAATCCTTAACTATTACATGACCTAAAGATTTTGATTTATTCTTCAAATGTTCTAAATCTGGTGATTCAGCTTGTTCTTTGAGCGTCCTAAGTTCTTTATTATCTATCATTGATGAATCTATGAGTTTGACTCTTTCTTCAAGATAATCCCTACTTGGTTTTTCGTAATCATTGGTTTTAATAACTGTGTAACCTAAATCATTTGCTCTTGTCGTTATATTATCAATTGATGGATGTTTAAAGTTGTTTAATACTTCAGTGGGCACTATTACATGATCATTTGACTCTGCAATCTTGCTAAATCTTTCAAAATCAAATTCATTAAGCAATTTATTATACTCTTCGTCTTTTATAATTGTACATCCTTTTGCTTTTGATTTCAAATAATCCATACTTGGTTGTTCAAACTCGAAGTTAGTAACAATAATATGTTTATCATCTAATTTAGTTTTAATATGTTCTAAATCAGGTTCATTAGCGAGTTTAGTCAAAGTTTTGAATTGTTCATCTTCAACTAAAGTATAACCTTTAGCTATTTGTTTCATTTCTTCGATTGTTGGATTCTTCAATTTGTCATATTCTTCATTTGACAAAATACTATATTCCTTCGGCAATTTGTTTTTCAAGTATTCAAAAGTTGGTTCATTTACTTGCTTATTCAAATCATCAAATTTTTGTTTTTTAATCAAATTATAACCTTTTCTATCTGCTTTTAATCTTAAATGTTCTAAATTTGGTTCGTTTGCAGTTTGATACAAACTTGTATATTCTTCTTTAGTCATTGTAATTTGATCTAATCTATCTGCGTGTAATTTAACTTGAGCTAAACTTGGATTTTTAAGTTTTTCCAACTCCTCACTATCAACTATGGACTTATCTTTAGTTATGGATTGTTTCAAATTAAATAATTCATTAAATTCATTATGGGGTATACATGCAAGGTTGTTTTTAGATGCAAATGATTTTATTGATTCAGGTGATGGGTTTTTAAATTTATCTAGGTCTGAATTAGATACAACTGAGTAATTGTGACCACTTGCTTTCTCATTAAGAGCTTGAATTGATGGGTTAACTAATGCCTTATATGCTGATAAATCTATTACTTTCAACTCCAATTCCTCACCCTTCCTCATGATATATTCTTTAGTTGGCTTCTCAATTTGTTGTTTCAAATTATTCAACTCTAATTCAGGTATAGTTACAATTCCTTTACCCTTCAATTTTTTATTCAATACTTCTTCCTCATCTATATGAACGTTTGATTTACTTGGTGATGCTGAATCAGTTTCACTATCCGATGAATCATTAGGTTGCTCCGATTTTTCAATAAATTTTGACAAGACTTTTGATGGAGTATTCTGTAAATCTTTTGTAAAATTTTCCCAACCTTGATCCTCATCGTCATCATCAATAATCAAAATCTTTGAGTCTCTTTTTGAAGGTGAAATCATTGAATTTCTATTAGAACTGGTTTTGATTTTCTTAGTTGGACCTAATTTCATGGGTGTTCTTTGTTGTTGTTTCAAGATATTTGGTGATATTTCATTCTTACGTAATTTCAATATTGACGATCTTAATTTTGCAATTGTTCTATTTGAATGTTGTAATAATGATCTCAACGTATCAATTTCCATTTGTGGATTAGTAGGATTTGAAGATGGTAAATCATCAATAGAAGATAATTCTTTTAAAATTGAATCAAACTCAGTAATTTCATCATCTGTATAATCTTGAGTGTTACTATCACCTTCATTTGTCAAATTTGGATCAGTTACATCTTTTGATATTGTGGAATTTGTTGTATTTAGTTTTATATGTAATTGATCATTCTCATCATTTAATGACTCAATACGTTTATTCAATTGGCTAATTTCATTATTCAAATTTAATTTCAATTCTTTTAAATTCGACTTTAAAGAATCATTACTAATTGTTAAGTTATCATTCAAAGAGTTCAATTTTGTCAATTGATTTAATAGATTCTCATTATCCTTTTGAAACTTGATTTTATCATTTTGACATGTCTTTAAATCTTCACTCACGTAAATCAATTTACTTTCAATTTCCCAGTTTTTATCTTTCAATTGCTGTAATTGATCATTATGTAAACTTTGATGATTTTTCAATTGTAATGTCTCTTCTTTTGCTACTTGAAACTCATCATTAGCAGTTTTCAATTTATTCTTTAATTTAGTATTTTCAAGATTTAACCTTCTACATTCACTCAATAAATTTTCACTTAAACCAACTACAAAATTCATATCATTACCCTTTGATTCAGGACCTAAACTAGGTGTATGTGAAATTAAAGACTTTTTGGTAGTTGTTGAATTTGATGGGGGGGGTGGTAAAAATGCTGCTAAATTTTCTTGATCATGATGTTGATTATGGACATTACTAGTACGTAATTGTTTATTTGATGATTTCTTGAATAGTTTCTTCTGTATATCAGATAATTGACCTCTAATATCGTCAATTGGTTTATCAGACATTACTTTAAAGTGGTTTGATAAATCGCCTAATAATAATAATAAATTTTTTTTAGATCAAATCAAAATAAAAACAAACAACGCAATGTCATTTTTCATTTTTCATTTAGGTGTCGCGACATAGACTTAGGTATGTTATATCATAATCATTAACTTTACTAATAAAACCCTACATAATAAATTAAGAACTAAAAATATTTGTATCTATGTATCTTTGTATCTGTAAGTTGTATCTAAAATACTTCACCTTGATCAAACATTGCATCTGCAACTTTAATAAACCCTGCAATGTTTGCACCTTTTAATAATGATGGTAAACCTTGTGAATTTTTATCAGTTGAATATTTAACTGCTGTATCATAACAATTTTCAAAGCATGTGTACATGATATCTTTCAATTTTGAATCAACTTCTTCATTAGACCAAGTAACTCTTTGAGAATTTTGAGCCATTTCTAAACCTGAAACAGCAACACCACCACAATTTGCAGCTTTACCTGGAGCATACCAAACATCATTTGATCTGTTTGATTCAAAAACTTCAATTGCTTCTTTTGTTGAACCCATATTTGAACCTTCAGCAATAAATTTACAACCAGCATCAACTAAAGCTTTAGCTTCTTCACCACTAACTTCATTTTGAGTAGCACATGGTAATGCAACATCAACTTGGCCAACTTTAGTCCATGGTCTAACACCAGCAATATATTCAATCGAATCATCAAAGATTCTAGCTTCATCTTTTATTATTTGTTCTAATGATTTAAATTGTAATTTAGCTTTTGCGATTGCTTCAACTTGTTCATTGGTAATACCTTTCTTAGAAATGATTGAACCTTTTGAATCACTTAATGAAACAACAATACCACCTAATTCGTTAACTTTTAATGCTGCATATTGAGCAACATTACCTGAACCTGAAATGGTAACTTTTTTACCTTTAAAAGTTTCTTTACCTTTTGTAGCTTTTTCAATCATTTTTTCAACATAATAAACAGTACCATATCCAGTAGCTTCTGGTCTAATTAAAGAACCACCCCAATTAATACCTTTACCAGTTAAAACACCTGACCAATTATTTTGCATTTGTTTATAAGCACCAAATAAATAACCAACTTCCCTACCACCAACACCAATATCACCTGCTGGAACATCAGTATCTTGACCAATATATCTAGCTAAAGCTCTCATAAATGAAACACAAAATCTTCTAATTTCAGCATCTGATTTATCCTTTGGGTTAAAATCAGAACCACCTTTACCACCCCCCATTGATAAACCAGTTAAAGCATTTTTAAAAATTTGTTCAAAACCCAAAAATTTTAAAATTGATAAATTAACCGATGGGTGAAATCTTAAACCACCTTTATATGGACCTAAAGCGGAATTAAATTGAACTCTATAACCATTATTAACTTGAGCTTCACCTTTATCATTTTCCCAAACAACTCTAAATTGAATTATTCTTTCTGGAACTGAAACAACTGGTATAACTTTTTTGTATTTTGGTTGTTCTTCAAATAATGTTGAATCTTGAATAGCTGAAACTAATTCATCGTAAGCTTGTTGAAATTCTGGTTCGTGAGGTAAGACCATTGTAAATAATTATATGTTTAGATAGAATGAAAGAATGTAAGTAAAAACCTTGTAAAAACCTTGTAAAAACCTTGTAAAAGAGTGATATAAATACTTTTTTCAAAAATCGTATGGTTAAATTATATATATTTTATATTAAAGATGATTTAATCAATTTACTGAAATTTTTCACTTTTAGTTTATAAAGATTATATAATAATTATATAATAATTGGGATGATTCTTATGTAATATGATGCAAATGAATTTCTTCTGCCAACTGATAAGAACTTAGATTGACCAATTAGATTTTACGATAAAGATCTACTTATTTCTTAATTAAGCGAATGGGTGAGATTATGTAAGGTGTGATTTCTTTTTCCTTTAACGGATCCGGTTTTAACCCAATGTGACTCAGTTACAATATTACACTATCAATATCAAATCAGATTATTCTTCGGTTTTTTTAATGTGTTCATTTTGCCTTGCAAATCTCTTTTGGCTATGATTTTTTAGTTTGCAACCATATATTTTATAATGAAGTCATAATCATACAATTTCTTAAACTTAACAACGGTTGATGCCGATGATTTCATTTTATTGGATGTTGATAAATAATATTCCATTTTATATCTGTTAGATTATTTTTTACGTAAATTATGATTAAAAGTTGTTTATTTAAAACCATTTAATCTCGGGGTACATACATGTATCTTTAGTTATACGATACTGTATCTGTATCATGTATTTTAACTTATATCAAATTCATAACCCTGCAATATATATTTTAATTTGCTAGCATCATATACTATTGTCTTTCTGTGAGCTACATACTAATTATTCCGATCTTATCAAACAACATATGAGCTAATGGTAGCGCTGAGAGTGCTTGACAGATTTATTTTCTTAGTTGTTTTATTATTTTCAAATTTTGTTTGTAATACCCCCTAATATTAATATTGATCACGTATACACCAAATCCACTTTCCTTGACAAATGAAGTCTATTGCAACAAGGAATTACAAAGATCGAATTAATGTCACGATTTTCCCGAGCTGCAAGTTTTTGAGAAAGGTTTATTTGTACGTTTTTATTTATAATAGGGGGCTAAAATAAAAAATCACGAAATAAATTCAGTCTATTATTATTTACGAATCTGCTATTATACCAATTTAATAAATACTTTTATAGTTTCTTTAACATTTTCATAATAATAAATCCTAATCTGCTATTATACCGATTTAATAAATACTTTTATAGTTTCTTTAGCATTTCATAATAATAAATCCTCTTGAGATTGCCGTACTCCAATTCTGAGTGAAAATTTAAACAAGTTGAACAACTGACACATATGGTAGCGCCTTGACATTTTAGGAGAAAATTTTACTAAGCTTGACAACAGCTTCGGATCATCTTCATTAGCTCAAGAACCACAATACAACAATAGAGTTTCATTGAAATTAAATTCGATGAGTGAATGAGGTCAAAAAGTACGGAGCCTTCTTAATTGTAGAAAAATCAAGTCTCGTGTCCAAAATTTGCCGAGTAAGTTTTGTTGCAAACTCGCAAGCTTGAAATTGGTTCCATAGTGTAGGTGGTTATCACATTAGATTTTGATGTTAACGCGTTAAAATTTCTAGTAACCTGAGTTCGAATCTCGGTGGGACCTTCTTTTTTTTGATTAAATTTATTGCCTTTTTTTGTTTTTGAATATCAATGCAGCTGTTTTTTTAGTGAACTGTCTCTAAGTCAGGAGTATAAAGGCATTATAGACATAATCTATTGGTGTTAACCTCCAAGTTATGTCTTTATTCATTAATCGCAAGTTTTTAATTTGAATCTGATTTTTTTGACTTTGCTGCAAAAAATTGCAAGAATTTGACCATGAAAATAAAAGTGATTGATTTACGTACCAACACAGTCATTTCCATAGTCTATCAAAGCAATTCCAGCATTGTTTACAGGTCAGAGAATGTCATCATTTACTTGGATTTCCATTTGATATACATTTGACTATTATTTGTCATAGGTTTAAAAAATTCGTCAACATTGCATAATTTTAAATTTTGTAAATTTTGTTAACAACTATTTAAAATAAAGTTGATAACCTTAAGCTGAAAATCGTAAAGAATATAGTACCCAAGTTTTCAGCTCGACCAAAATACTGCTGTACCCTTCGAATCCGCGTGACTGCAAACATTCCTACATATAGAAATAAAAAAAAACAAACTTTCGGTTGCGGCCATATCTAGCAGAGAACACCGTTTCCCGTCCGATCAACAGTAGTTAAGCTGCTAAGAGCGAGACCGAGTAGTGTAGTGGGAGACCATACGCGAAACTCTCGTGCTGCAATCTTTTTTGGCAATTATTTTTTTGAACATAGTATATATCATTTAAAACTAGAGATCTAGATATACAATTTGATATAACTTTGGTTGTCAAGAAGTGTCTTTGTTGTTATTGTGTTTTAGATTTAAAGTGTTTTTTATAATAAGAAAACTGCTCGAAGCAGTAAAAAATCAGACTTTGTTAGGAGAATTAAAACAAGGCAATTTCTAAGTATCAGATTCAGATTTATCTGAATTTTCTCGTATGTTTTTTCAGATAGGTTCAGAATTTGAAACAACTAACTAGAATCTCTCAATATCAGAATATATCTCAGAGTAAGAGTGTAAATCTGAGATAGATCAAGAGTGTTCCCATCAAAAACGCTAAATTTTACCTTTCGCTGCAAATCATAACTCCTATATTCTACGTATTAGACTTTAACAACAAAAGAGTGATTCTTACACTCTCTGCTTCTTTGATATTTAACTACATAACGACAGATCCATCGACTATACGTATTATATATTATCTTGTTTCAGAAATTCAGATCTTTTCTATGCATTTGGCAGCGCAAAAGATTTAACAAAAATTTTTCATTTCATCATTTTTCAACTAACTTAATTTAACATTATGTCAGTTATTGGTATAACTTTTGGTAATACAAGTTCTTCAATTGCAGTTGCATCTGGAGACTCAAAAGTGGATGTTATTGCGAATCCAGATGGTGATAGAGCAATTCCTTCAGCATTATCATATATTAATTCAGATGAGTACCACGGAAATCAAGCATTATCAAGAATTATTAGAAATCCAGAAAGTACAGTTGTCAATTTTAGAGATTTTATTGGTAAAAAATTTAGTGAAATAAATGATAAATTTTCATATGGAGCAAAACCACAAGATGATAATGATTCAATTATATATCAAATTAATGGTGAAAAAATTTCAGTTTCAGATTTAGCTGCAAAACATTTTAAACAATTAAAATTAGCAGCTGAAGATTATATTGGTAAAGAAGTTGAAGGTGCCGTATTAACTGTTCCAACAAATTTTACTGAACATCAAAGAGAAGAAATTATAAAGATTGCTGAAAAAGCAGGTTTAAAGATCTTACAATTAATTAATGAACCATCAGCTGCATTATTAGCAAACTTAAGTGAAGATAATAAATTAGATCAAGATAAAATTTATGTTGTTGGTGATTTTGGTGGTATTAGATCAGATGGTGCAATTATTTCAGTTAGAGGTGGTGTTATGACTATTTTATCAACATTACATGAATATGGATTAGGTGGTGATTTATTAGATGATTCATTAAGTGAATTCTTTGCTAAAGAATTTGAAAAAAAATATCAAGTTAATCCAAGAAAGAATAACAGATCATTAGCTAAATTAAAAGCCGAATCAATTGTTGTTAAAAAAACTTTATCAAATGTTCAAACTTCAACTTGTTCAATTGAATCATTAGCTGAAGGTTTTGATTTCCATACAAGTATAAATAGATTAAGATATGAATTAACAGCAAGACAACCATTGAGTAAAATGACTGAATTTATTGAAAAATTAATTGAAAAAGCAGGTTTAGAACCTTTGGATATTGATGAAGTTTTATTAGTTGGTGGTTCATCTAATACACCAAAATTAGCATCAAATATTTCATATTTATTTCCAGAATCAACTAAAATTGTAAGTCCATCATTAGATTCACAAGCATTAGACCCATCAGAATTAATTGCTAGAGGTGCTGCATTACAAGCATCATTAATTCAATCATTTGATGAATCAGAAATTAAAGAAAGTTTACAACCAATTGTTGTAAATACTCAACATTTAAATAAACCAATTGGTATAAAAGATTCAGAAGGTAAATTTCAACCTATTTTAGTTGCTGAAACTGCATATCCAATCAAGAAATCAATTGAAGTTACCAATGGTGAATCATCATCAGTTGTTGTTGAATTATACGAAGGTAAAAGAACTATAAAAGAAACAGTTGTTGAAAGACAACCAGAATCAGAAGAAGAAGAAGAAGACGATGATTCAGATGAATCAGATGAAGAACCAGAAATTAAAAAAGAAGTTGTATATGAAGTTGGAACTAAATTAGCAGAATTAGGATTAAATGATTTAAAACCAAATGCTAAATTAGAAGTTGTAGTTAATATTACTCAAAATGGAGTGTTACATTTAACAGGTAGAGAATTAAAACAAGGTGGACAAGTTGTAAAAGGTGAAATAACAAGTAACTAACATTAGAATACTTATTTTGTATGTAGCCGTTCATAGACATATTCTTATAAATATAAATTTTTATTTTTCTCGTTTAAACAAAACCGAAATCTCGTAGCAAAAGAATAAAGTTACATTGATCCATGGGGAATAAAAAGAAGCAAGAAATGTCCCAAGTATATTATGGTTCTAAAAATGAATTTATATTTGGTGAAACTGGCGGTAAAGGTAAAAATTTATCAAGTTTTTTAAAAAATTTATCATTAACTGGTGGTTCAACTGATTCAATAAATTCAACTAATATTCAAGAAAATCCTTCATTTGAAGAAATTAACAAGAATATTTATGGTAGTTTGAAGTATAATAGTCCAAGCTCAAATAATGGTGGATCAATTTTAAAACCAACGACTCATAGAACAGTTTCAACTAGTTCAATTAAACATAACATTAAACATATACCCACGGCACGTAGATCACATTCAAGTCAAAGATATACAGATTTAGATGATGATTGGGATTCAAAATTAGATGAAGTTGAAGTGGATCCATTATATCCAAATTTAATTACACCCACCACCAAATCTAAACCAAAACGTAATCATGATTCATTAGATTATGAAGATTTACAAGCAAAGCAAGAAATTAATAAATTAAATCAATTAAATAACAAATATGCAAAATTTAGAAAAATACTAGCATCTGATTCGATTATAAATTTACAAGATTTAAGAAAATTATCATGGAATGGAATTCCAAATGAACTAAGAGCTTTATCATGGTTATTATTATTGGGTTATTTACCAACAAATAAATCAAGACAAAGTTCCACATTAAAAAGAAAAAGACAAGAATATATCGATGGAATATCTGGAATATATACAGAAGATATTAAATCAAAACAATTATATCATCAAATAAAAATTGATGTTAAAAGAACAAATCCAACAATAAAATTATATTCCAGAGAATCAACCCAAGAATCGTTACGAAAAATATTATATCTTTGGGCAATTCGACATCCTGCTAGTGGTTATGTGCAAGGTATAAATGATTTATGTACACCATTTTATCAAATCTTTTTAAATAATTATCTTTGGCAATTACAAAGGAAAGATCAAGAAGAAGATCTATTTATACCTGGATATTTAGATTCAAATGATGAGAAAGAACAACAATTATTATCGGATTCAAATTTAATGAATTATGATTTAGATAATTTTGATCCAAGTTTATTGAGTGATAGAGTAATTTCAATAATAGAAGCTGATACTTATTGGTGTTTATCAAGATTATTAGAAAATATAACTGATAATTATATACATCAGCAACCAGGTATAATTCGACAAGTTAATGAATTAAGGAATTTAATAAGTAAAATAGATTTAGATTTATTGAAACATTTTGATCTGGAAGGCGTTGAATTTATACAATTTTCATTTAGATGGATGAATTGTTTATTAATGAGAGAATTACCAATACAATTAATTATTAGAATGTGGGATACATATTTAAGTGAAAGTCCATTAGGTTTTAATACATTTCATACATATGTTTGTGCAGCATTTTTAATCAAATTTAGTAATGAATTACAACAAAAAGATTTTCAAGAGATATTATTATTTTTACAATCACCACCAACTTCAAACTGGAAGGAAAAAGATGTTGAATTAATGTTAAGTGAAGCATTTATATGGCAAAGTTTATATAAGAATGCTTCAGCTCATTTACGATAAGAAATTGGTAGCATATATGTTTCAGAGTCAATTATAATTTTTTTTTTTTTTTTTCAGTTTCAATATAATAGAATAGAAATATATATTCATTGCAACATCTTTTATTATCATCATCATCACTACTATAACTATAAATGCCCGCTGGTAGGACTATATTAGCTTCAACTATTGCTAAGCCTTTTCAAGAAGAAGTTTCAAAAGCTGTTAAACAATTAAAATTTGTTCCTAAATTGGTTGGTTTTTTAGCAAATGAAGACCCTGCTGGTAAAATGTATGCAAATTGGACTTCAAAGACTTGCGAAAGTCTTGGATTTACATATGAATTAATTGAAGTTAATAAAAATGAACTAGAGACAAGTTTAATAAAAGCTAATAAAGACGATTCAATAAATGGTATAATGGTTTATTTCCCAGTTTTTGGTGATAAACAAGATCAATATTTACAACAATTAATATCTCCTGAAAAAGATGTTGAGGGTTTAAATTTTTTATATTATCATAATTTATATCATAATGTTAGATTTTTAGACCCACCTGCAAATCAACAAAAATCAATTATACCTTGTACTTCATTAGCAATGGTTAAAATTTTAGAATATTTAGGAATTTATAATACAATTTTACCTTATGGAAATAGATTATACGGTAAAAAAGTATTAATAGTTAATAGATCAGAAGTTGTTGGTAGACCATTAGCTGCTTTATTAGCAAATGATGGTGCAATTGTTTATTCAGTTGATATAAATAATATTCAACAATTTACAAGAGGTGATGATTTATCTGAACAAAGACATAAAGTTTTAGAATTATCAGAAACAGAAACTTTAGAGAAATTAGCACCACAATGTGATGTTATAATAACTGGTGTACCAAGTGAATCTTATAAATTTCCAACAAATTTAGTAACTCATGGAACAACAGTTATAAATTTTTCAAGCAATAAAAATTTTAATGATGACATAAAAGAAAGAGCTGGTTTATATGTACCATCAATTGGTAAAGTTACCATTGCAATACTATTGAGAAATTTATTAAGATTAATTCATAATAAACAGATTAGACAAGGTGAGGAGGCCAATTAGGTATTAAATATACGTCGGAGTTTTTTTAACAGGTGGTACAAAAAATTGGGGCCATCGCATTCGAAGGTTCTTATATACAGGTTTGAAACTGTCACTATCAAAAGTTTTTGACTCAGTAGAAAAAATTTTTGACTTCTAAGTAAATCAACAACTATTAATAAATAAATGAATGAATCTAGAAAAAGAGTTGTTCCTATAGATCCATTAGCAATTACTGAAAGTTTGGGTTTTCAAACATTTAGAAAAGGTCATAGAAATCCATGGACAAAACAAGAAGATGAAATATTACTACAATTAATGAATAATCATTACCCCCACGGTAATTTACCAGATTTAGATTCAATTGATTGGGATTTAATAACTGAAGGTCATTTTGATAATAGAAAAGGTAAAGATTGTAAAAAAAGATGGAGTTCATCATTAGATCCAAATTTGAAAAAAGGTAAATGGAGTTCAGAAGAAGATGAAAAATTAATTGAAGCTTTTGAAAAATTTGGAGCTTCATGGTTAAAAGTTGCACTGGAAATTGAAGGTAGAACTGATGATCAATGTGCAAAAAGATATATGGAAGTTTTAGATCCAAAAACAAAAGATAGACTAAAACCTTGGACTCAAGAAGAAGATTTAAAATTGATACATCAAGTTAAATTACATGGTACTAAATGGAGAACTGTTTGTAGTGTATTTGAAAGTAGACCATCATTAACATGTAGAAACAGATGGAGAAAATTAGTTACTGAAGTTGTTAGAGGGAAAGCTGATCCAATAATTAAACAAGAAGTTGAAAGTGTAACTGGAAATAATAATGTCATTGAAAATTTAGCAAAAAAACAACAAGATTTAACATTACAACAACAAAAAACATCATCACAACAACAACATAAAAAGAAAAGGAAATCTGATAAAGATATTGAATGGTCATATTCACTAACTGGTGGTGATGAAAATTTACCCGAAGAATTAAAAGAAGGTCCATTAAATGATCCTGAATTAGTTCAGCAATTAATAACTTATGCAAAATCAAATAATGTAGACGTAACTTTACACCAACATATACATCATCATTATAAACAAGTTGGTGATAGTAATGGATCAACTCCAAGTTATATTGAACCAGAAGAACAAATGTCGAGATATCAACATTTCAATTATTTACCACCATTAACTCAAGTACCAAAATTAAATTCCTCATCATCCAAGACTACTCATCATCATCATCACCACCACCACCATCATCATCATGAAAAGAGAAAACTTGAAGATACAAGAGAATCTGATTTAATGAAGTTGTTAAATACTGAAAATAAACAAAATACAAATACACCAACATCAAATCCACTAACTCCATTAACACAAGCTGTTGAATTAGTAACACAACAAGATAACAAAAGGAGGAAAATTGAGAAACAACCACCACAACCACCACCATCACCACGACAACTACAAACTGATTTACCTAGTGAAGATGAAGAAGAGTTAGATTTTTGGGAAACAATGAGAAATTTAACTGATTTACCAAAAACTTCATCTCAAACACCTAAAAAACAATCAAAACCAGTATCACAACATCATCATTTACATTATTTTAATCGTGGGAGTGGTACACCAAAACCAAATGAAAATGATGAATTTGAAGAGAAATTATTAGCAAAAGAAGTTGAAGAAGTTGGAGTTGATCAAGAAATATTAAATAGTTATGGATTATTCTATAATGTTTATACAAAAGAAGGTTCAAGTTTTCCAGAATTACAACCACAACAACAACAATCTCAGCAACAACCAAAACATAATGTATATGATCAATGGGGCGGCGGATTTGGTATAATACCATTTAATCCATCGTAATATATGATTACTATTGAGTATCTCGTATATTCCAATTCACGTGTTTCTCTCTTTTTTATTTTTATCAAAAAAAAAAAAAAAAAAGTAAATTTATTTTTCAATCAAATAAATATTTACTTTTTAACAGCAATAAATTATATTTATGGGATAAGAGCAAATCAATTTATATAAAAGATGCCTGAGAATTCATCAAAGGACGAAGTGAAACCTTCTATAAATGTTAAAAACTTATCAATTACAACTAATGATAAAGAACAAGCATTACAAAAATCTCATAATAATAATAAATCATCAACATCATTAAACAGTTCCACTCCACCATCTATATTAAATAAGAATACTATATCAAATATAAATAAATCATTAAAAGCAAAACAAAAGATTATTCATCTTCGAGAACCACATCCTAAAAATCCAACATTTATATCAAATATAATTAATACTTCACCGCAACAAACCGCATTTCCAATTGATGATAAAATAATACCAAATAAAAAAGATAATGAAGAATTATTTTCATTACCAACTAATGAAATTCAAGATAAATTAATGTTACATTCCAATTCATCAAATATAAATAATTCGACTACTGAAGAAAAGAAACCTCAACGAAAAATTGCTAAACAAAATTCAACAAGAACTGATTTTTTTGCAGCAAAACTAGCAAGTGCAGTAGATGATGTTGAAAGTTCTGATTCTGACGAGACTTTTGTATATGAGAATAACAACAAAGAAGAGAATGCAAGTATTAATGGAAGTATACCGACAACAAGTCATAGAGCACCTTCTATATTAGATGAACAACATCCTGAAACAAAACCATTCAAATTAACTTCAAATAAAGCTCCATCTATTGCAAATTCAATGAATTCATCAAATTATTTAGAATCAGTTATAAAAAAGACAAATCAGCCCCGGGCATTATCTACTTATTCAACAAATGAAGCATTATTACCACCACCTCAACCACAATCACAACCACAACACGATAGACAATCAATAAATGAGTATAATGATGATACATTTTCATATAATGAGATTGAAGATGATATAGATGAATCAAGTGATGATGAAGAAGAAAAGAATAATACTACACTAATAGCCTCTTCTGCACAACCACAAGCTCCAAATACAACACCATCAATATCGAGTAAAAATACAACAAAGAAAAATTATAAATCATCAACTTCATCATCTAAATTAAGATCAACTACTTCCAAATTATTTGATAAAAAAGGATCACAACCTAGAAGATATTCAACAATACCTGACGATATAGATATAGAAGATTTTGACGATGAGCTAATATATTATGATAATAATGTTAGATTCCCACATAATGAATCATCAAGTTTATTAAATAATCAAAAAATTCCACATTATAGATCATTAAATTTGAGCTTTCAACCAAATATGAAACGACAAAATAAACGTTATTTATCAACTGGTCAACCTTTGGATAATAAATTTCCATTTCCATATCAAGAACCACAACAACATTCATCTCAATTTTATTACGACTTTGATGATTATGATCAAGAATCTCAAAATTATGATCCAAATTTTGATTTACCTGATATGTCAATGAATAGGAAAATATCAAGAAAGTTTCTGCCAAATTCATCATCAACTACTCATCATCAAAGATTTCATCATTTATTTCCAAGAAAGATTGAAAATAAAAAATCAAGTTGTTGTAAATCTTTCATTTATACTTTTTTTTCAATTTTATTTATTTTAACAGTTGGTTTTATATTAGGATTTGTTCTAGCTACTACAAAAGATTTAACAGGTGTTGGTATAACATCAATTGAAAATCCAATAGTTAGTAAAGATGAATTAGTATTTAATATTGTTGTTGAAGCATTTAACCCTGGTTGGTTTTCTGTTGATATAGATCAAGTTGATCTTGATTTATTTGCAAGAAGTGGATATTTAGATGACGGTGAGGATAATTTAATTACTTCCGATTCTTCAAAAGTTGAAACTTTCAAATTGGGTACAATTTTGAATTTAGAATCAACAATGAATTTTAAAGGTGGATTTTTCCTGAGAGAACCAACAATTCAAAAAGGAGAAATTAAATTATTAAATCCTGGTAAAAATATTACAATTTTTAATAATAAAACTGATTATGATGATAATTCACAAAAATGGGAAAAAATTTCATCAAATCCATTTGATTTAATAATTACTGGAGTTTTAAAATATGAATTACCGTTAATTAGAAATACAAAATCAGTAGTTGTTAGAAAAACAGGTTATATTGATCCTACTTTATATCCAAATTAAATAGAATTAAAACGGTTTAATAATATATGCACTTATGAAAAATTACCTATTTATTAATTCATATAATTTCTCAAATCCTGTTAAATATCTTGGTTTTAGTATTATACAATGTTGCTTCGGCTCAAATGATATTCCTTTTGGATTTGTATTTGATCTGAATGGATTAAGTTCAAATTCTTCATTTGTTATAATTTCAAATATTAATAATAACCTAATTGTAATTTCATAAATTTCTTTAGTTGCAAGGTTATTTCCAGAACACATTCTTGAACCAGCACCAAATGTGAAATGATTTTGAAATGAACTAGCTGGGTTTATAATTAATTTACCATCTTTTAACCATCTTTCAGGTCTGAATTCATAGGGATTATCAAATATTTCCGGATCATGATTTGCAGAATATGTATTCATTAATAAATTTGTTCCATTTGGTAGAATTAGGCCCTTGTAATTTATTGTCTTTGTAGTTAGTCTAGGTAAACTTAATGGTAGGACTGAAAAATTTCTCAAACACTCTAAAACTATTGCATATACATAATCGCATTTAACAGTTTGCAGCTGCTCCCATGCTAGTTCTAAATTATCATTTGAAGTTTCTAGAATATTACGTAATGCATTCAATTGTATATCCTCTCTACTCGATATCACACCAAATAGATAATTCAAATTTAATGGAGTATTATCCAAACCAGCACTTACCAAAGTTAAACAAACACTTTGAATTTCTTCAACTGTCAATGACTCATTGGTTAATAAATTACCAACGATACTATTCCAACCTCGTTCACTATTTAAATCTAATTCTTTCATAAATTTATTCATATAGACTTCTCTTCGTTTACCTAATGATCTAGCTCTCGATGGGAATATTCTTAATACTGGTATAGTATCTTGTAAGCATGAAATTGAAGACCTTAATTTTATAATTTGATTTTCAACATATATAATTTTATCAATTAATTCTGTATCTGTCAATTCAATACCATAACTTATCATAATACTAGTCTTTAAAATATACTGCTGAAAATACTTCATCAAATCAATTTCATCATAAGTATGCTTAAACAATTCGTGTATTGTCTGATTTATATTTTCATTAATAATTTCTCTATATTGATCAATTGATGATCGAGTCATAAATTTCCCAATTGATTTCTTTTTCCGTTTACATGTTGGACTTGAAGGGGTTGAACCAATAGTATAGCCTTGATAAGAACTAACTAACTTATGAAAAGTATAATGAATAGGTCTTGAATTATTTTGACATGAATAATTTATCCAAAGATTAAAAACATCATTATATGAATTAACTACAACGTATCTAGTATTCCCAATTCTAATTTGAAATATTGATTCATTATATAAGTTACACCAATTTAAAAACACCAAGGAAGGATTATTTATAATTTGAATTAAATGCCCGAAAATTGGTAATTCATTAGGTATTGTAAAAATTCCTTCAATTTCCATTGGAGTAGTCAATAAATCATAAACACCTAACAACAATATAATAGACAATATAACACATAACCAAGGATGATAAGTGAATAAAATGAATAGCCAGTTAAACATAGCAAAATGATGTGAAATCAAAAATAGGTGCAAAAAGTCTAAAAAAAAAAAAAAAAAATAAATATAAATTTTGCAACCATAATAATAAAATATTAGTATATTAATAATTGATGATAATGCAAAACAAGATGATATATATATACATGTATTGAGCTAAGCTTAAACCATTTCTTCTCTTTCTTTACCAAATGGTTGATTTTTATAAAATTCTTTTTGTTGTTCTTCTTTTGCATTTATATTTTCTTCTTGTATTAATTCATCAATATCATAGTCGTAATTATTTGGATTTGTATCAAGATCTAATTTCTCCTTTTTACGTTTTCTTAAACCTTCTGAATCAGTTAATTTGATTTTAATCGGCATATCTTCTTGAGTCAATTGAAATTTTTCTTTTAATGCACTAGTTTTAGAATGATGATCATTATCTGGATGTTGTTGTTGATATAATTCATCAGGTGGGATATAACCATATTGTTGTTCTTGATGTTGCTGAATTGGTATTGATTGTTTCTTATTCTTATTGCCATGATGATGAGTATCTAATTCAACTTTAGTTAAACCTGAAAAATAAGGTAATAGAATCATAATAATAACCAATATTATAGCTATGAATACAATAGTAAAGAACATGTTACTAATTTATAAACTGTGGTTGGTTTGTTTTTAGTATTGAGATGGACCTGGATGGAAAAAAATTGAATGAAATTCGCTCGATTTATTTTTTTTTTCCAACCGATTCAAAGATTGATTGATTAATCAGATCATGATTAAAAGAATGATACTTAATAATATAAGATTACGATTATTAACACCAAGACTTATACAACCAATTATATACAGACAATTACCAACATTTACAAAATTTCAAAGATTTTACTCAATAAGCACTGAAGGTGAATTAATAGATGGTAAAATAGATCAAATTACAGATTCTCAATATAATCAAATATCAGATGAATATTTAGAATTAATGAGCGATGCTTTAGAGGATTTAAATGAAAATTATGAACAAATTGAATCTGAATTAAATCATGGTGTTTTAACTATAACTGCTCCTCCAAACGGTGTTTATGTAATTAACAAACAACCACCTAATAAACAAATATGGTTAAGTTCTCCAGTTAGTGGACCTAAAAGATTTGATTTAATACAAGGTGAATGGAGAACTTTAAGAGATGGAAGTTTATTAACTAAAATAGTACAAGAAGAAATTTCGGAAGCTATTGGAAAGAAATTTGAATTTGATGAAATTGACCTGTAAATAGAGCTATATATATTTATAATACACTAACTAATGAAGCTAATTTGTTACTTGTATTGGAACTTCTTCTATTACTTCAAAGTTTTCTTTGGCTTTTTGTAGATTTCGTTGTTTTTCGTTGTTTTTCGTTGTTTTTCGTTGTTTTATGTTCATATAATTTTAAACTCTCAATTTGCAATACACGTCCATATTAAGCATATTATGCGCTACAAAGATATAGGTTAGTAACACTAGAGCTATACCTCAATATGTTAATACTATGCATATTCTGTAAGCATTTCTTAGTAACATCTTTGAAAAGAATCAAAATAGCAAAACAATATAAAAATGTTCGAGTTCCATAGCTAAAACAGGGTGCAGGTATAGGTATATTCACAAAAGGTCAATATGAGTTCTTTAAAACTCATATACATGGCAATATTCAAAAAGAGAGAAAATAAGACGGTCAAAATTCTATATTTGTTAAACTTTGCAACCAAATTTACTACAGAATTCATACGCGAGTCTGAATTATTGAGGCTTGAAAAATGACTATTAATGAAATGACGCAGTTTTAGAGATCAAGGCCACAATTTATTCTTTCATTCTTTACTATTCTAACCAACGAACAAATTTTATTCTTGTTCGATGCAATATTGTTCACTTTTGTAGATAAATGCTATTAACAGAATACCACCGAGTAATATCATACCACCAAGTAATATCATACCACCAAGTAATATCATACCTATTGCAGAGAAAGTCTGATTTCTGACATCTCTATGAGCTTGAGCTAAGGGGCTTAGTCTAGTTTCTGTGTCATTCTGCGATCAACAAAAGTCAATGTAATAAATCTGGTGAAATATTATATATTTTTAAGGGGGTGTGAAGGTCTCGTATTAATCCAAATTCAGTAATATAAGGGGCTTTTTATCGCATGGGATCATAACCAAGAAAAATTGTCTTGCATATAACAATTTACTACAGAATTATTTTAGTTGCAATTTCAGTTTATTCAACAACATTTTACTTTTTACTAGAGGCAATTTAATTTATAAGTTTTAAAAATGGGTAGACCAAATCCTCCACAATTACCAAAAGGTTGGGTCGCACAATGGGATGATGAATATCAAAGATATTTTTATGTTAATCAAAAAACTGGGAAATCGCAATGGGAAATTCCTCAAGAACACGAAAGAGAAGAGAATGTAGGTTCATCATCTGCTCAATCCTATTATAATAAACCAGTTGATAAACCACAACAGGAATTTCCAACTTCTTCAACTAAACGTGATGGTGAAAGAGGTGTTGATGGTGAACCACAAGATCGTGGAATTGGTTCATTTGTCATGAATCAAGCAATGAATCAAATGAGTGGTGGTTCCCAACATGGTCAAGGTGGTTATGGTGGTGGTAATAGTAATTCAGGTGGTTTAGGACAAGCTGCAGCTTTAGTTGGTGGATTATTATCATCAAACGCATCAGGTAATCAAAATCATAATCAAAATTCAAGTGGTGGTGGTTTAGGTAGTTTAGCTAATATTTTTTCAGGATCTAGTAATAACAACCATAATCAAAATCAATATGGAAATAATCAAAGTGGAAGTGGTGGCTTTTTCGGTGGTTCAAATAATAATAAGAACAGGTATGATAATAACCAATACGGAAATAATCAAGGATATGGAAATGATAATTATAATAATCAAAACAATCAAAGTGGTGGTGGTTTAGGTTCATTAGTCGGTAGCTTATTAGGTGGTGGAAATAATAACAATAACCATAATAGATATGATGATAATAGATACGATAACAATAACCAATTTGGAAATTCAAATTCACAATCTTCTGGTGGTGGTGGTTTATTAAATAGTTTCCTTGGTGGTAATAACAATGAACGTCCATCACAACATCATAATAGATATGATAATGATAACAAATATGGAAATGATAATTCTAGAAGAAACGATCACGATAGAAATGATTATGCTAATAATAATAAATTTGGAAGTGGTGGATTTGAAGAAGGTAATAATAGGTTTGGAGGTGAGGATAGATATGGAGAAAGTAATAGATACAATGAAGGCAATAGATTTGAAGGAGGAAATAATAAATTTAATGCAGGTGATAGATATGGACAAAATGATAATTATGGAGGTGGAAGATATGGAAACAATGATAATTACGGTGGTAATAATAATCATAATAATAACAGATGGTAATTTTTAAAAATAATTCTATGATTTTATAGCTAATATAATTTAAGATACTTGTTTAGTTAGTTTGTGGTAGAATTTGCACATTTACTCTAGTTTATAGTAGTTTAACAGTTTCATGCATATTAATATCAAATATTTTGCAGCCAAATACTAAGCCAAAAACGTGCCGTAAGCTTCGATACATGACCAATAAAGTCATACAGATACACTGCTCCATTGAAAAAATGTCTAACTAAAGAACAAGTAATTACTGAATAAATAAATATAAATTCCAAATAATAAATATGACTATTTACAAATATATACGAATTGAACTGAAATAAATGAAACTTAATGAACCCTTAGTAATAATAACTCCCGTATAAATATGAATCTAATAATGCTAATTGTTTCGTTAATAATATCTTTTAAAATTGTAATTTTTTAACTTCATTCAATAATAATGAATCTTTAACAACACCAGCATCTTCCCATTTATCATTTAATCTATTTAAAACATTTTCAAAAGCTAGTTTACCAGTTCTTGCATTTTGACTAAATCTTTCAACTGACCATTCTTCAACTTTATCACAAATTCTTGAAACTGAAGCAAATGCAGTAATTTCAGCACTTTGTTTAAATAAAGTACTTTGCAAATTTAATTCAGGATCTGGTTTATAAATAATTGTTTCTTTAACTAATAATAAATTATTCATTGTTAAATTCATACTTTTCATAACTAAAGTTTGATTTTTTAAATCAACTTCACTAATTTCTCTAACATAACTAACTGTGGCCCCTCCAACTAAAAATGATAACCATCTTGGAATTGATTGCTTACAACCTATTAATCTTTCAGTTCTTAATATACCTTGATTATTAATTGTTCTATCTAATATATCAACTGAAATAACATGAGTAGATAATTCATTTGGATATTTTTGCCAATTGGCAGCAGTAACTTGATCCCAAGGATAATTAAAACTATGTTCTGTTTGAAATAACTTCATTTTCCAGAATTTACCAACAAATAACAAAAACAATAACTGACAAATCAAATAAACCAAATAGATAACCAGAACTAATTCAACTGTGAGTGATAAGTGCCTCTTTATATAAATTTTCAAATGCTTGTTAATTTTGTGTAAAAAAATTTCTTTTTTATAAATTTTTTTATTTTTTTTTATTTTTTTTATTCCTGAATTTTCCAATCAATGTTAAGACTCACAAGAGATGATCAAAGTCGCTACCAATCGAATCCCGGTTATTAATCGGTTGCAAAAAGAATTATATTTACACAATTTATAAATTTACTATGCTGAATCACTACTACTACTCTGACCACTACTATCTGAATCTGAATCCGATTCTGAATTAGAACTACAACTAGAACTTGAACTTGAACTTGCTTTTGGATTTGAAGATGATTTTAAGCCGGAATTGGGGCCAAAATCAATAAGTACATTTGAATCCGAATCGGAATCTGAATCACTGTTATTCTTCTTTTTATTCTCTTCTTCACTTGATGAATATTCATTTAATTTTTTAAATAAATGCTTATTTGGGGACAGTTCTCTTTTGTTAGCAGATAATGATGTTGTACTTTCACTAAATCTGTTCTCAATTGTTGTTGTAGGTTGCTTTAAATCTTTAAGTGAATTCAATTTTGGTAATCTAACTTGAGGTAAATTGTTGGAAGCATTTTGTAGTTGTGGCTGTGCTATATCTGATGAACTACCTTCTGTTTGTAAAAAACTACCTACTTTATTAGCTTGTAATTGTGTTGTTTGAGAGAAACCTATCTTATTAGATTGTGGTTGCGTTGTTTGTGATGAACTTCCAATTTTATCAGCTTGTAGTTGCTCTGTTTGTACTGAACTACCTACTTTATTAGATTGTGATTGTGTTGTATGAGATGAGCCTATGTTATTAGATTGTGGTTGTGTTGTTTGTGATGATTCTCCAATTTTATCAGGTTGCGGTTGTGTTGTTTGAGATAAATCACCAATTTTATTAGGTTGTGGTTGAGCTTTTGGAGACGAGCTTCCAATTTCATTAGCTGGCGATTCGATTGTTTGAGATGAACTTCTAATTTTATTGGATTGGGGTTGCACTTTATTTTTTGATGAATCCAAAACTATTCCGTATTTTGCAACAAATTCTTCAGTTTCTCTTCTCTGTTCTTCAATTTTTTCCGCATATAAATCATTAGAACTTGGTGATATAGTATTTGAGTGAATGAAAATAGTTGAATGTTGATCGTTACTTGAACCTACTGGTGTTTTTAGTTTAGGTTCCTTTTTAATTGTCAGTTTTGAATTAGATGTAGGTGTTGATTTCATAATTGATTTCTGAGTTGTTACACCTTGTTGACTAGTTGTTGACTTATTTGATTGAGGAACACCAAGTGCAGCATATGGATTTCCTTGAGAGACGGGACGATGAATTGAGGATGAATGTGTTAATTTAATTTGTGGTTGAGCAGGTATGGCAATATTACTAAAATCTGAGGCTTTCGATTCATTAAGTTTTTGTATCTTATTTGTCACTTGCTCAATATGAGCTTGTTTGGCTTGAATTGCTTCTAACAATTCGGCTTTCCTTCTGGTTGTTTGAGTTTTTTCATATTTTTGATCTGTTGTTAAAGTTGAAAGTTTTTCAGATACAAGATTTAACTCCTTTTGAACTTCGTGTTTTTCGTCTTCTAATATTTTTAATAATTTCTCTGAATTTGAGTCCTCTACTCTGTTTAATGATTGCTCCAAACTTGAACTCAATTTTCTTTCCGCACTTTCTTTTTCATTATGTATTTCCTTAGTGTTATCATTTGATTTCTCATTTTCTTTATCTTTTTTATGACAAGTAGCAGTTGACTGTTTTTCACCAGATACGTTCTTCCTACTTTGATGGTTAGTTTTCGAAACATTCTCTGGCTTCTTTTTCCTACTTCTTTTCGCCACATCACCACCATCATACATATGTGGATTCTTTTCAATTGCATTTAAAGTTCTTAAAATTGCTGAATTTTGATTTGGTGATGGAATTTGCTTTAAAGTTTGTGCAAAATTCATATATCTTTTAAATAGTCTGACATCATCTTCATTTTCTAAACCTTGAGCTATTTTTTGCGTTAATTGATTAAGCTCTGATTTTAAATTTCCCAAATGACCCAATATAGTACTCAATTTTGGAGTTTCCTTAGCACCTTGTTTATTTACGTTTGTTCGAGCTAATTCTTTAGCTTTTGCTGTTGATATTGGAGCTGGAGTTGGAGATGAAGCTAATTTTGGTTTTATTTCCAGTTGATTGCTATTAGTTGCAGTTGCTATAATATTAGAACTAATAGGAGGTGTTTGTTCATCAGTTGAAATTGCTGTGTTTGTGGCATTGGTAAAATCCTTCGCATTAAAAACACCGAACATCGGTTTGATAGCATTAGTAATTGAAGCAGTAATAGTATCTGCTTGTTTCAATGGTCGATTTGAATTTTGAGCACTTGAAGGCACAACATTTGTACTATTAGCACTTGGATTTACATCCTTACTTGTAGGTTCAAATGGTTTTGTTCTATCAGCACTTGTGGTAACAGCACCAGTTGTTGATTTTGTTTGATCTGCCGATTTTACAGCACCTGGAGTTTTATCAACATGACAATCATCATTTATTTTCTCATTAATATTTGCAGTGACTGATCTAAGATTTCTATTTCTTTGAGTAGTTGAAGTTGAGACTTTGCTACTTGGACTCTTTGAATTTGAATGTGGATGTTCATTTTCAACAGGAGCTGGAGATTCACCAATTTTAGATCCATTCTTTTTCACTGAAGCAACCAATTTGTCTTTCTTCTTTTCCAAACTATCTTGTACACTCAATAATAATTCATCTTTATTTATAATCTCATCCTCTCCTGAAACTTCAGACACAGAATCGGAATCAGAATCAGAATCGGAATCGGAATCAGAATCTTCAGAATCAGACTCTTCGGAAGATTCACTATCATCAGAATCAGACTCCTTATAATTTGCCTTTTCTTTAGCTGCTCTTGATCTTTTATTTATCTTTAATTTATTTAAATCAATACCACCATCATCATGAGTAATCAAAATTGCATTATTAGTTTTGATATTATTTGGAGTACTCGCATCACCATTACTAGTATTATCATGTTTTGAATTGTTTGCAGATGAGTTTGGTGTATATTTGGATCTTTGATTGATTTTTTTAGTAAATGAATCATTATTAATATCATTATTATTATTATTATTATTATTATTATTATTATTATTATTATTATTAATATTATTATTATTATTAATATTATTTCTATTATTATTATTATAAATAGTATCTTCTGATTCAATAAATGATAATTTATCTTTCTTAAGAGTTTGAAGTATTTTGGATCTTTTGATTGTAGGTAAATTAGTGGATGTTTTGCTTCTTTTCTTGATATTTCTACCATTACCAATTATTGATTGATTATTAACTAAATCATCATCTATGAACAAAGTACTAGTTAAATGTGAAGTATTGAAATTATTTTCATCTCTAAAGTTTTCATGTAATTCATACAATGTTTTGAAATTAGATATTTCATCTTGTGATATTTTAAAATTTGATTTTTCAATTAATTTCCTAGTTTGATTTTGATAAATTCCATCACCATATTTTTCATTAATTTGATTATACAAGATCAACAATTTATTCTGTAGATCTGAATCTAATTTTGAAATTATACCCTCAATACCGGCTTTAAATTTATCCAAATTTATGGATTCCTTAGTTTGATCTTTAGAGTGATTAAATTCCCACAAAGTTTTTATAATCATGTAAATATCTTTTATTCCATAGTCATAATTCAAATATGTTGTAGTTGGATAGTTGTCCAGTATATAGTACTTTCCACCACGACATTTAATTATACTTGATTTTGGTTTTACTGGATCTATGTCTTTAAATCCAGTATGTTTTAAAAATTGATAATTACATAACTGACTGATATTAATCAAAAATGAATCATTTTCAAGATCATCTATCACTTTTTGAAAAATTTGACAAGCTTGAACAAGATTTTCGCTATTTTGAATTTTAGATTTTATTATATCAATTAATCCATAATCAAACGGAAATTTAATAAAATTATCTTCATTATAATACTTGTCAAATTTTGGATTTAAGTATACAATCTCAATATTTGAATATTTTTGTTTCAAAATTACATTATTATTCATGAATAATACAATATTTTTCTTTCGTAATTGTAATGTATAATTTAAACCTAATAAATAAGCATGTAAATGAAATGAATTAAGCATACCAGTGGGATAATAATCAAAATTGGAGTTTTTAAAATTGTTAGTTATAACTAATGGAAGTAACAAGTCATCAGCTAAATTATTAATTAATGCCATGGTGACAAAATCTTCTTTAAATTGCAAATTAATTTCATTTAAAAAATAAGTATTTCTTTTACCATACTGATTTGATTTATTTCTTATAATTTGCTTTTGTTCGTCCAAACTGGTTTTCTCTGGGGATTTACATTCTTTAATAGTATTAATAATCTCATCTTCATTCAAATATAATCCTAAACTTTTACTAATACATTGTATAAATAGTTGTATATCTGATTGAACACTTTCCAAAGAATTCGAATTAATTTTAATTGACTTTACCAAATATTCATAAACTGTAGCTTTTGCAATATACACTATTGACTTCTTTCTCCTTGCAGATTGTGCATCTAATATCAGCTTGATGTCATCAGTTGATAAATTTAATTTATAAAAATGATTTAATGTGTCATTTATTGAATGATCTAATGATATGGATGATTTGTAATTATGATAATTAGAAATAGCCCAGCAGAAGTTAATATCATCTAATAATGACATTAGTCTTCAATTCTGAAACACGGTTATCAAATGTTCCTAAAAAAAAAAATATTCTCTGTAATGGAAAAGGTAGTGTAGCTTTTGATGAAAATAGAGATAAAAATAGACATGAAATGGAATGTCACTAAAGTATAAAGAAGTAGCACATCAGACGTCTCAGAAAGAGTATAGAACCATAAAAGATCAATTAAATTGCCACCGCATTTCGATTATAAAGAGCTGGTGCTGAATTTAAAAAAGTGTACGCCAACTAATCGACTAAAGCCTTGTTTTCATTAAACTAATCAGATGAGATGATATACTGGATTGCACATAATCAATTCAATAAGTTACTAAACATTGCTTTACTTGGTAAGCCCTGAGTTTGACTAATTCTTACCGAATAAACGCGTCAGTTACAATACTTCAAAGTACAACTATGTGATGTTTATATTGCCATAGTAATTTTACATCTATTTGCATTTAAGAAACTTGTAAACTAAAGGGATTAACATCAAACCATAGTCAGCTGCTCGATTTTGTGATTTATTTGGCTGCAAAAATAATAAATAAAATGGTTGTAAAAAATAATCTATTTAAGCGCGTCTTAAAAATACTCCTTAATTAACGAGTAGTGTAAAGTTAATCAAACTGGGGTTCAGCGTTATTTGGTATCACTCATGCGAGCTTTAATGCCAGTTAGATTTTTTAGTCGCCAAGCGGAACCGCCAAGGAAATTTATTATATGACACAAGATTCAACGCTATTTCTGCAAAATTAAAACCCAAAAAAGAACAGAAAACTAATATTATTAAAGATTTCTAAAGGCGTATTTTATTTTTCTTCAGTCCAAATAATGCTTATACTAAGTACCAATTGGAAATAATCATCATTAAAATTGGAATTGTGTAAGTATTTCTTACAATCACACGAGTTTTAATTTCGTTTAAAATTGGAACACCTTAATTTTAAATTTTTTTTTTTTTTTTTTTATTTTTTATTTTTTATTTTTTTTTTTTTTACCATACAAAAATCAAAATTATATATAAACCGATTCACTGCCTCCAATTTTTGACAACCAACAATATTTATTGACACTTTATCATCTTTTACTAGATTATATAATTATCAATTTCTGTTCATCCATTCGTTTTATAATTGGCATATTTCAACATTTGAATTTTTTTATAGATCTATCATAATTAAAATTTAGATTTAGATTTAGATTTGTAGATCCGGTCAGATTCGATTTATTGATTTTATCAAGCATATTCATATACATATATATACATATACATATACATATACATATACATATACATATATACATATTTTGCATTATGGATAAACTATTAGCATCTCCAAAATTATCAATACCACAACTATCACGAAGAAAGAAGAAAATACTCAAAATTCCATTATTAATATTTTTCCTTTTCAATACCTTATATATAACTACTTATTATTTATTTTATCAAAGTTCATTTCTATCTACATCATCAAATTATATAATTCACGTTCCAGTAGATGATTCAAATGAATTACCGCAAATTTCAACAACAAATATAAATTATACCAATGAACTAGCATATTTATTAAAAAATTCAAATGAACCAAAATTTACAACAAGTTTACACCCCACCGAAATACAAAAAAGTGGTGAATTTGCATTATACCAAGATCCAAGAGTGACTTTTGGTACTTTATTTAACATCATTAATAATCAAACTAATACAATTCCATTTCATTGGGCTGATTGGATAGATTTATCATATTTAAATAATCAAATAAACAAGCCACAAGATAAAAAAATTAAATGTCAAGATATAATACCACAATTGATTCTTAAAAAAAAATCTGATAGAGAGAAATGTAAACGTGACCATAAGTATTTTGGTTGTATAAATGTAAGTGAATTAACTGAAGATCAATTGACTAATGAAATTGGATTGAGAAAAGAAGAATTACCAGGTTTTGTACAATTTCAACATACAATGTTTACATCAACTGATTACGTTAGAAATTTACAAGGTAAATCTTATGTATTGAGTTCAATGCCAATACCTTTCAAAGTTATATTTTTAAATGACAAGGGAAATGATTTAATTTATGATGTTTTTAAAAGTCGATTACCATTACCAAAAGATGACAAAATACTCGATCCAACTATTAAATTCAATGAACTTGTCTCTAATTATTCATATAATTATCATCCTAAACCTTATATAAAAATGGATTTTGATTTATTCAATTACTCAAGAAAAGATGTTTATATGAAAATAAGTCAATTAAAGAAAATACCATTACCTTCAGTTCAACAACACACTTATCTCAATTCTTTAACTTCCACTGTTAAAGTTAGGCCCGCTGAAAATCCTGAAACTAGATTTTTTCATGAATCAACAATGAAATTAAATCGCGATAATTCAGATAATGGTTGGCATTATGATTGGAGATTTTTCAATGGAAGATTATCAACAAATCATGAAAGAACAAGTATTATCCTTGAAAGATTATTAAGAAATTGGTTTAAATTTTCAACGAAATATGAAATTATTTCATGGATTGCTCATGGTCCTTTATTAAGTTGGTATTGGAATGGTGGAATTTTCCCATTTGATAATGATTTAGATATTCAAATGCCAATGAAACATTTAGCTAAATTGGGAGAATTTTTTAATAATACTTTAGTTGTTGAAGATTTAAACGAAGGATTTGGAAAATATTTAATTGAAGTTGGTACTTTTGTTCATAATAGAAATGTTTCAAAAAGAGGTAATCATATAGATGCAAGATTTATTGATGTAGATACTGGTATTTATATTGATATTACCGGATTATCAGTTTCTGGTTCAAGTGTACCTATTCAATATTATAGAAATATAAATGATGATGTTGATGAAGGTTCATTTTTGAAAAAAAGTGATAATTTACCAATGGTTAATGATAGAAGACAACATTTTTATAATTTACATCACTTATCACCATTAAAATTATCAATGTTAAATGGTGTTCCTTGTTATTTACCAAATTCAATTGTAAAAAGATTAAAATTTGAATATCCAAATGGATCATTAACTAAACTTGAATTTAATTCATGGTACTTTGTAAATAAATTATCATCATGGATTCATGAATCAGTTTTGAAAAATTATATTGATTTTAATTATATAACTAAATCAAATGGTAAAATAGATAAAGAATTAATTAAATCTGAAATCAATCAACTATCAGATGAACAAATTTATAAATTGTTAACTGATAACAGACAAGTATTGATTGATTATTATCTTAGTTTAGAATATAATAATTTTCATAATGAAGAGATTAGATATTTATTTACAATTGATGAAACAAAGAATAAGAATGTAAATGATTTAAGTCATGGTAAAATATTAGATACAGAGAATGTATGGGCTAATGTTGATTATATAAATTTCCTTAAGGATAATGTTAAATTACATAAACCATTAAGAGAATCATTATTTCAATTTGAAAGAATTAATAATGGATTAAAAGCTTATTATGAGAAAGCAAATAAAGAATTAAATTATATAGCCATATCATAATATATATTTGACCATACTAAGATATTTTGCAGCCTATTTTTTTTTTTTCTTAAGTATGTTTGCAGCAAAAACATTAAATATTGAGAATCATACATCTAGTTGTTCTTCACTGACTCAATCTTTAATAACGTCATCATCTTCAAAATCATCAGTATTTACTAATGATACTTATACTTCAGATAAATATCTAAATTTAGAACATTTAAAATTACAGCAAAATAAAGAAATTCAAGAATATCAAAATTTAGAAAAATTGGTTACTAATACAACATATAATAATCAGGATTTAATAAATATAAGTTTTGATTCGTTAGATTTAAAAAGTTTAAATATAGAAAATAATGAAAATGAAACAATAAAAGAAGAACCATTGAATATAATTGATGAACAAGTAAATTTTGTTGAACCTGAAAATCTAACAATTATGGGGAAAGTAAAAAGTGTTATTAAAAAGAAATCAATTAAATTATTTAGAAGAGAACAAGCTTCATTTATTGTAGATCCACCTAAATCCATCTTAAAATCAAAAGTAAACAAAAATTTTGAAGTTGAAAAATTAAATAGTGAATTACAAGATATAATTAAATTTGAAGAGTTTCTTAAAAAGTTCGAATACATGGAAATTGAAAAAATGAATAGTCTAAGAAATACTAGAAACGACGAGAATTTTTTAAATACTGCAAGAAATGAACAAATTAAGAATTATTATTGCAATCAATAAACGACTATATATACACAATTGGTAGCAATTCTCAATTTTCACTTCGTAGTTCAATGATTAACAATGATTTATTATCAATAATTATTGCATCTTCTTATGTTTTAGCTATTTATTATGAACAACCACAGAATTTAAAGAATTTGAATAGAAATAATTTACAAGTTTTAAAATATAGGTTGAAAAGGGTTAGTTTATTATGTGCCTTATTAATATTAATTATACCTAATATAATTGGTGAATCATCATATGTCGAAAACTTAAAATCAATTGGTATTATACCTAAGAACTTAAAGAGCATTGGAAATAGTTTGATATTTATTCTTATTATTTATTCGTCAAGTATATTTAAATTACTTTATACCTCAAATTATCAACTTATAGATTTTGATCAACATTGGTTAATTCATTTTAGAGATTATATTTTTGCACCAATAACTGAGGAGTTAATTTATAGAGGTATTGTTATATTTGTATCTGGAATCAAATGGTATACTCCATTTTTATTTGGTATTGCACATTTACATCATGGTTATCAAATGTATACTGAACAACAACCAATTTTCAGAATATTTTTAGTTGTGTTATTACAATTAAGTTATACTTCATTATTTGGATATTTGTCACAGAAGATTTACGTTAAATACGATTATAATTTATGGTGTTCAATTTTAACTCATTCAATTTGTAATTTATTTGGATTACCTGAACTTAAATTAGATTGTAAATGTCCTGGTGGTAATATAATATTTTATACATTATTAGTTATTGGTTTTATTGCATTTATACATGAATTGGTAGTATAGAGTTGCATATAAATAGAAATATATAGTCATTTGCAGCCAATTTGCAGCCAGTTTGCAGCCAAATTTTTATATAGTGTATAATAATTTTTCACTTAATAAAAAAAACACACGTAAAATTTTTGTTTTTATTTTTATTTTTTTTTTTTTTTTTATAAATCAAAAATTTATATTTCACCAATAACCCTATTAACTATTCCAACCTTATTCATTCATTTATATATTATACCCAAATACACTCATTCATTAAGGTTTATTAGCTATATTTAGGTCATGGCACAACCTAATTCTTTTCAAGATGCTGTTCAGGATATAGAACAAGAAAAGAAAATAGTGGCTGCTTTAAAAAGACTATCAATTGGACATTTAATGCAATATGATCCAGATTTACCTCCAGGTACTTTTAATGATGACATAGATGCTTCATTTCCACAACAATATCAACAACTGAATATTTTCCCAGAAGATTATGAAAATAATGTTACCGTACGGGTTTCTTTAAATAATAATAATACGAGTCCAACAAAATCAAATACTTCAAAATCTTCAAAATCTTCAAAATCATCAAAATCATTACCTCCGACTCCTAAAAAGGGAAATAGTAATAGAAATAGTTATACTGATTTACCACAAACTCCAATTTATAATAGATCTCCCAGTCCAATTAAACAACAACAACAACAACAACAACAGAGACAAAGTTTTTATAACAATTTTAATGATCAATCAAGTATTATAACTACTGATTCAAATGATATTTATTTTGATGCTTCTGAAGGTGATCAAATTTTAGATTCTTCAAATTCAATTTGGGTAACCGCAAATTTACATCCGCAAATTAATCCTGATAATTTTAAATCATTGATAAAAAATCAAGTCGAAGAAATATTGGAAAGGAAAAACCTACTGAGAAAATCAAGTTTATCAAGAAATTCATCATTAAAAGAAGAAATCAAAGGAGAAGACGACGAGAAAGAAGAAAAAGAGAAGGAAAAAGATGAAGAGAAATCGACTGATTCAAAATCATCCAAATCAATTTCACCAACAAAAACAGAAACTACTACTCCTACTAAAAAACGTGAATCATGGTATACTAAAAGATACTCAAATCCTTCATTACGTGAATTAACTAATGAATTAGAACAACTTTCAAAATTAGCAGGTATGGATAAATCAGATACCATTACTTTGGCGAGAACTTTATCATCTAATTCATTAGGATATACTGATGTTGAAAAATTGGCAATTGATGAATTACAAAATGATCCAACTTCTCCAAAAACTAGTCCTCCAAGAAGTAATACTTTACAAATTCAACAAATGTTACAACAACAATTACAGCAATCTATGCAATTGAATACAAGCCGAAAAATTGAAGAAGAAGAACATGAAGAAGAAGAGTTAACATCTCCAGTTTCTCAACCATCACCAAAATTATTACCACCACTTACAAATGAAAGTAATAAACCAACTGAATTTGCTTTAAGAAGAAGCAGAAGAACAGATTATAGAAAAAGAGGAGGGGATATATCTGAAACAAACTCATCAAATTCAAATACACCATCATCAATAAGTCAAAAACAACATTTGTCACCAAGTAGTACTTTTAATACCCCATCACGTAAATTTAACCGAGATTCACAACTATTATTCAATTACAAAAGAATAGATCAACATTCACAACAACAAAGACCTCAACAACCATCTCCACAATCACCTCAATTACAACAACATATACATCAACAACATAGATCTAGAAAACATAGTAATAATTCAATGAATTCAATGTCAAATCCAATGATTAATTCATTATCAAGTAATCCATATCCAACAGCTTCTACAACTCTTGATTTTAATAAATTGTCAACAAAGAAATCAAAACATAATATTAAAGATGATTGTAAATCAAGGTCAAAACAACAATACCAACAACAACAACAGTCACCACATCAACAAACTCCTCATCAACTGCACAAATCACAACGTCATAATAATCATTACAAATCTAAACATAGTAATAATCAAAAATTACCATCTGCATCAAGTACAAATATTAATGATTATATGATTCTGGAATATAATAATAATAATAATCAATTAACATCTACACCTACTCCATCACCAAGACATCATCATATATCATCAAAGCCAAGAATAATGACACCACAACAACCAAATAATAATCAAAATCATCATTACTATCCTCAACAGCAACTGCAACCACGTCATCATCATCAGTATAATTTTAATAATCATGCTCATCATCAAATACCTCCTAAGTCTCAACAATTGCATCAAAATTTAGATTTATTAAGAAATGAAATTAATGAATTTAAAGAAAGTTTAAATAAGGAAACAAAAATACAACAACAACCTAAAGAATTACCACCTCAAAATCAATCAGATATTAGTTTTGATATAAGTTATCAAGATTTAACAATTAATGATGAATTAGGAATTGAAGAAGAAGTATTAAAAGAATTGGGAAAGAATGAACATAAACATGAACAAGAAGTGGAAGATCCATATGATGGAGATTTAGAAGAATCAGATACGTTGAATAATGATATTTTAAAAGATTTTGACTTGGTAGATTCAAATTTAGATTCCGAAGAAGAAGATCAAATAGAAGAAGAACCAGAACCATTCACTCATCATTTCACATCAGTACCTACTAAAACAGAAGAACCACAACAACAACCAGAATCAATTACACATACTCCAACTAAAGCCAAAAAGGAATCAAAAGTTAAAACTAAATTATTTAATAAAGATCCAAATTTAGAAATCATTGATTCAGAAAATTATAAACAAAAATTAGGAAAAGAATGTAAACCAATAATAGATAAAAAACAAATTAAAAAGAAGAAATCATGGGGATGGCTAAGAGAACGAAGTTCGAGTATGTCATCATTAGATTCTTCATCAAGCTTACCCCCATTACCAGAAGGTCATAAAATTCCAAGTAGATCATTTTCAAATCCTGAACAAACTACAACTGATACACAAGATAATCATTCAATTAAATCAGATAAGGGTAAAGAAAATGTCATAAGTAAGTTATTTAGAAAGAAGAAGAATAATTTAAGTTCACAATCTTTACATTCTATTGAATCAAATAATTCAGAGATTATATTAGATTATGAAAGTGATAACAATAATAACAACCATACTCCAGAATTAAAAGTTAAGAAGAAATCAAGTGGATTGTTCAAAAAGAAATCAAAGGCTAAACTAGTAGAAGATAAAAAACAACCAAGTCAACAACAACCATTGAATGAAAGTGGTTTTAAGATTAATTCAGTATCACCACCATTAAATACCGAAGATGAATCTACTTTTGATATTGAAGATAAGGAAAACTATAGAAAATCACCAGAATTAAGATCAGAACCGCAGAGTAATTTAATTGAAGAATCAGTGCAGATAGAAAAAGAAGAAATAGAACAAAATGAAGACAATCAAGAATCAATAGATCAAGAACCCAAAATTCCAAAACGTAGACGTGATAGAAAGAAAAAAGAAGAACCAAAATCACCAATACAAGATGAATCAAATGATAATCTTGATAAAGAGAAATCAGATATTCAAGAAAAATTGAAAAAATCAATTAGACGAACATCAAAACCCAATCAACCTATTGAATTCACAGATTCAGCTTTTGGATTCCCATTACCACCACCTTCACAATCAACTTTAGTTATGTTAGATTATAGATTTCCAGTTCATGTAGAAAGGGCAATTTATAGATTATCACATTTAAAATTAGCTAATCCAAAAAGATCATTACGTGAACAAGTATTATTGAGTAATTTCATGTATGCTTACTTGAATCTCGTTGATCATACATTACACTTAGAACAACAAAATATAGAAGAAGAAGAAATTGAAGTTGAACAACAAGAGATCGAAACTGAGGAAAAACAAATTGAGATTGAAATTGATCAGGAAATGTTTGGAAGGAATGATTTAGATGATGATGAAGATGGTTTGACTAAAGGTTATGAAGATGATGAACAAATGGAGATACAAAAATTTAATCGAGAGATTGAAATATAGAAATTAAATTTGACACTATTTATTAGAAACTTGTTCCTTTCGTAAACGTACATTGTCATTAATCGTTATTCATAATTCGTAAATTATATTTCTGGATTGACAGTAGTGATTCACCACAGGTAAAATTTGTGAATTCAACTGGTTATACCAATCGAGTATCCCATCTTTGATAAACTCGTCAGTTCCCAAACTTTCAAAATATGATAAATTAGTCTTGATCTCTTTAATCAAAATTATAACCTTATTTAAATCATCGTTTTCCAATAATGTCAGTAAGAAATTCACAAAATAATTCACATCATCAATATGAGGACCTTGTTGATCTAATGAATTTTTAATCCAATTTTGTAATTGTCCAATCATATCAGATAATAAAACATCATTCCCTAAAAAATTTAAATTATTTACTTTTTGCTGATTATCTATCCAATCTTCATTAACTACTATATTAATCTTTCTTTCTTCTATCTTTTTTGTCAATTTTTCCTTCATTGATTTAACATCCATATTTTTAATTTTTTTCTTATATTCAATCTCCTTCAATACTGTTTCTTTAATCAGTGAAGGTAATTCATTAATTATCGAAGTGTCATAAGATTGAGAATCTTCATATTCTGGTCCATTTTCTTTTTTAAGTTTAACTGGTGATGATTTCGATTTCTTTGGTGACTTCTTTGGTGATTCTATGATCCTTACGTATTTTGGTGGTTTATTAATTTGAGTAGGTATTAATTGTTGTAAATATACTTTTTGATTTTGTTTTATTGGTTTTGCCGGGGCTGGAATTAACCCTCTTCTAATTAATTCACCTTCTAATTCTTTCTTAATATCTTCTGGTAACGATTGAAATACTTCCCAGTCTATACTATTTATATCATCATCTGAACTTTTCTGTTTCTTTCGATTTTCAATTTGAGTTTTTGAAAATACTAATTTGTTATCTACTCTAGATTGAACCTTGGAAGGTGTTACCTTCATTGGAGAAATTGCTCTTGGTAATTTGGTAGGTGACGTTTGAGGAGTTTCAAATTCCGAGGGTGGTTTCTCAGGTGATGTTGTCTTTTTGTATTGGTTGATGTCCCTTGGTGGTTCAATTTTTTTAATCTTTCCAAATGGTAATTTCATTTGTCTATTTTTAGTCACCTGTTCAGCATCTTTTAATTTTGTCATTGTTATTGAAATACCTCTTAATTCTTTTGGTGGAATATTTAACATTCTATATAATGTCTTTATTTCATTTCCAATTATCCCCCAATCATTAGTTTCAACTCCTAATCTTGAGGTCTTATTGACGAACTCACAATCACCTAAACCTAAAAATTTAGCAGTTTCATAACTTGCATTTGGAGCACGTTTAGCTAATCTTAAAGTCAATTGAGATCCACAAATCCCTGCATTAATTAATCTATTATATAATTCTTTACTCAACCTTATGAGAAAATCATCTAATTCATCAACTGAATCGAATCGAATACCAAAATTAACATCAACGGATATAGACTTTCTCCCCAACATTGCTTCTGGATTATTTAAATCAGTTTCAATACTTGAATGATCTATACCTTTTGAAAATTCAAATAATTTCATTCCGGTACGATGACCCAACATTCTAATTAATTTATGTTGTGAAAATTTTCTAATATCTGAAACTTTAGGGTTGGTATTTTCAATTTGTAATTTTTCAATAATACCTCGACCAAACCCAGGTAAATTTTTAATTGGAACATCTTGAAGAAATTGTTTGATATTTTGATGTAAATAGTAAAATCCATCTGGTTTTGCTTTTTTAAGGGCAAGTTTAGCTAATAATACATTTGATGAAACTCCTATACTAACAGTACATTTAGTCAATTTAAAAACATGAGATCGTATCATTTCAGCCAATTCTTTAATTTTTTCAACTCCATTAGTTTCTATATAGCTTGTTATATCAATTAAACATTCATCTATTGAAACTGGGAAAATTGTATCAAAATATAACTTGTCAGATATTAAATAATTATAAAATTCATTTGAAAATTTTTCATAATTTTCAAATTCATAATCGAGTATAACTAAATTTGGACATAATTGTTTCGCATTTTTTAACCACATTCCATTTCTTATCCCATATGATCTTGCAATATAATTACAACTTGCAACATCTGAAGATTTACCACCATGAGCTACTGCAATTGGATCTTTATTAATATTTAAATTTGGATATTTTAAACATGAGGCAGTTGCGAAAAAACAATCAAAATCAATATGCATGATATATTTGTTAGGTAATTCGGATTTTAACTGTTGTTGTTTATGTTGATGTTGAATTTGTGATGATGATTTATGTAAATTTTCTTTAATGATTTTACGTAAGAATTTTAATCTTAAATCTGCTTTCCACACACTTAAATGATGTAATCTTGAATTTGCAAAGAAACTAGGTAAAAAATCAGGATGTCTTGCATCTAGAATATATTTATTATTGACTTGATGAACACCTTTTCCTGAATTGGGCGGGGGTTCATTGAAAACAGGTAATGATTCCTCTAATACTTCTCCTTCTTGTTCTTGTTCACGCTTTTGAGATTTTTCAAGAAAACTTTCACCTTCATCTTCAACCTCACTTACCTCTTCTTTTTCCTCTTCTTCTTCTTCATTTGCTTTTTTAAAATCTAATCTAGTTTGATCATATGCAACTTCTGAAATTAATCTATAATCTTTCCAATCTAATAATTCTTGTTTTTCAACACAATCAACTACCCATTGAGCTTTAGCAATTTTATAATTTTTAAATTCAATTGATTTTTTAGGAGTTAATCTATCACATATAATATGAGTAGCCACAGATTTATTAACTAAAAAATTTACAAATTTACCACCATGTAAAATAATCATTCTATGTAATTGATTAATAGAAGGATTAGTATGACCATTTACAAACATAGAACAACCCTGAAATATTTGCGCTGGCTTTTTACCATCATTTAAACCTTGTTTTTCTCTTCTTTTTTGATCCCATTTTATATATTCTTCATCTTTCTTTTGTTGTTTTAAAATTTTAGCTTCAAAATAAGTTTTATAATCATCAAATGAATGCATTCTACCGACTGTTTCTTCATCTTTTGGTGACTCTTTCGAAAAATCAGATTCAGTATCTGATTCATGCTTAGTTATTGATATTAATTGTTCATCTAAACCATCATTAAAAGGGTCCGAACTAGTAGTACTTGATAATATAGTACTATCTAATTTCGGAGTTGATTCACCTTGCACTTCCTCCTGTTTTTGCCTTAGGGAGTGTATATGATTAATTAAATTTGAATCATCTAAACTTTTTAAGTATTCAGAATACAATGAGTCCTGAGTATTATTTAATAAATGTAATTCATCCTGATTCATTTACCAGCAGCCATTTGTTTCTATTTATATAATTTATAAGTTGCCATTAATGAATAAAAAAAAGACACGGGTAGTGCATATACCAATAGTATAAAAATAGAAAATATAAAATAACAACGAAAGAAATCAATTATTACACTACTAGTTATTCCTTAGATATGGTATGTATATAGGGTAGGGATGGTATAAATAGAGTAGATAGAGTACTAACACTTGTATTAGGCTGAAAAATTATCAGAACAACAAATTGCTGAATTCAAAGAAGCGTTTTCATTATTCGATAAAGATTCAGATGGTAAAATAACAACAAAAGAATTAGGTACAGTTATGAGATCATTAGGTCAAAATCCCTCAGAAAGCGAATTAACTGATATGATTAATGAAGTTGATGTTAATTCAGATGGTTCAATTGATTTTCCTGAATTTTTGACAATGATGGCTAGAAAAATGAAAGATACAGATTCTGAAGCTGAAATTGCTGAGGCTTTTAAAGTTTTTGATAGAAATGGCGATGGTAAAATAAGTGCTGCTGAATTAAGACATGTATTAACTTCAATTGGTGAAAAATTAAGTGATGCTGATGTTGATCAAATGATTAAAGAAGCCGATACCAATAATGATGGTGAAATTGATATTCAAGAGTTTACTCAGTTATTAGCTGCAAAATAGGTCACGATGCCAGTACGTAAGAAGTGGCAAGGATGCCTTATACTAGCATAGAAGTATAGTTTTAGTTTATAGTTTATAGTTTATTAGTAGTATATCTTAATATTGTATATTTTTTTTTGCAGTAATGAAAGTTTATTTATTTTTCAATGGATTTAACTATAAAACATATAATTGTTTCAACTGATATTAATAAATTAAAATACAAAAGATATAATATACAAGAGAACAATAATTGTAGACCAGCTTCTAGATATTTACAATTAATGCAAACATCAACGACTAAAAAATATAAACCACCATTTAAAAGAATATCAAAAAAAGATCAAGACAGGGCAAGTTATAACATAGATGATGAACTAACATTACAGAAAAGATTGAGTCGGTTTAGCAAACCCAATCAAGAGGACTTTTATAATATTGGTTTTAAAAGTAGAAATGAGTCATGTAAATTACAATTCGATGATTCATTTAGACAAGATTATTTTTCGTTTATATTACAACAGTTCATTTCATATTGTTCCATTAATTCATCAACAGAATTAAATAAAAATTTTAATCAATTTTTGAATAAACAAGATTTAGAAAATGCTCGCGGTATAAACTATCACTCTCAAAATTCATCATTTAAGATCACAATTGAATTTATTTTAACATCATTAAGAAAATTGAGAGAGGTTTTAATATCTATACCATTTTCAAATTTGCATAAACGTGTCTTCATGTTTTCTATAAGGACAAGTTGTGTTTTGGGACATTATCAAACTTATTTACCTTGCATAAATTACCTAATTCAAAACAAGGAAAAATTAACAATTGAAGAATTTGAAGAAATTATAATCATATTGATACTTCATTTGTCTCATGTGAATGAAGAGTATCATAGAGGATTTGAATTATTTTATAAATATATTCCAAATAGACAAGATATATATCTAATTTTAACTAGTTTGTTGAATAATAATTATTATACATGGTTGAAAATTTTCAATAATGAGGAAAATTTGTATGTATTGTCCATTATGAAGTTAGGATTAAGTAAGGTTGTATCTCGCATGATTGGATGTTTTACAAGGACTTATTTTAATTATTCAAAAATTGATTTTTTAAATTTGGTGGGGTATACTAATTCAATTGATGAGCTTATTGATAAAAACAAAGTAGATTGGAAAGTTGATGAAGATAATGAGAATATGATAGTGATTAGACAAAGAAAGAATAAAATAGTACAGTAAGGAATAATATACAATTCTTATTTTTTGTAATTTATTGATTTAAGCTGGTTTCAATTCATTGATATAGACTCTAAGGATAAACACTATTTCTTTATGTAGTTTGAGACTATTTGTGTGTGATGTAGTCGTCGCGTAGCGTATTGTCTATTTATTCTAAATTTTGCAACCAATTTGTATTGCTGCAAAAATAATTTATATGCAGTCTCACAGTATTTATTCATAGAACTTTAATTGTAAATAACTCATTCAATATTCAAGCCGAACTTCTCAAAGTTTTTTCATGAGATATCTTGGAAGATTTGAATAAACTGGTATTAGTAACATACAAAAAACACAATATTGTTAAAACACAATATTGATTATTTTATTTTCATTTAAAAAATGTCAAAAAATGTCAAACGATGCTATTCTGCGCGATAATCAAATGCATGGACCTTGTTTTGCAACTTCTAATATAGTTGATTTGTTTTATTTAATTGCAAAGATTCTTTCTATATTATTTGTAAGAAGTCATAATCGGTTCAATTTTTCTCAAAAATTTCGAACCATGATTGGAAAATTAATATTTTAGTTTTCAATGCCTTAACACAAAAATATTTCAATAGCGTACAACTACAAACTTGGATTGTTTCGTTGTGTCTCAATTTGAATGTTGATTGTGGAGTTGGATATTTTGTAAGGTGTATTTATTCGGTTTTCCCCATAGTGAAGAGAAAGATTTGAAATTTTTCAATTTTAGTTGAAATCAGCTGAGATAAGTCCAGCATATAAGTTTGAATTATGATTTGTATAATTCGTTATTTAATTGAATGTTATGGCCCTAAATTGAAAGATATGCAAAGTTACATATTATGAAAAATTTTTGTATGATGAAAAAACCCCAAAATGACAACTCAAAAAAAAAAAAGTTTTGAATTCTGTTATTTCAAATATTCGTGATATATAACTCAATAATTCTGAGCTCATCGAATTGTTTTTTGTTTCGAGAGAATGTGTTCTTCATGAATTATAAGCCATTATTTTTGTTACGAGTCGCCCTAATGTTACCGCGAGAAAACTATGCTGTCGCACCAAATTTTTCGCATTGAAAAAATTTATATTTTTCTTTGTGCAACCAATTATTGTCTTATATGCAGATTAAAGGGCTCGTATAAATATAAATCTAGATCGTAGATCTGATGATACTAATTTAAAAGTCCAAAGTCTAAATCTGACTGCAAGCCATAGAAGTGAACTCCACAAATTTTTTGTTTATTTTTCGAAATCGCATAAATTAAGTGCTTTCAAAATAAAGCTGATTCATAATAGAAAGGTTTACTAATGCCGGTCAATTAAATAGTAATAAATTCGAGTTGCTAATATCATTAGATGTATCATTCGTTAGACTTTTACTAGAATTATTTGAATTACCTGATAAATTAATTCTAGAAATTTTAAACTATATTCCACGATGCAAAATTGACTTGTTTTTGTAATTGAAGAGTAGCTCACGTTGCTTTAAAATTATTTTTTGAATATTTAACTATTAGGATTGATCCTCATTTGGGAAGATAAAGAAATGGATGATAAATTACCAATACACTACTGTGATGATCATAATAGACACACTGAAAATCAAGAAATGTTATTGGAGTTAGTTAAGAAATACAATGTATGTCCAAAATCAATAGTCTTCAAACCCTTCGAATATGTGGAATCCACTATTGCTATCTTGAAGAATGATATAACAAAAGAAGCGGAGATTGCACTTGCATTTGAACTTGATAAATTTCATGAGATTTTGAAAAATGTCAACATTGTCAGTTCTGATATAAATTATTTAAATTCAAGTCAACTAGGTCAATTATCTACTAGCATAGAAATTTTAGATATCGTAATGGGCTCGAATGTTGAACTTGGTGGGTTTAAAAATTTGTCATATTTATTGTTGAAAGATATCGAATTTGATGTTGTTGATGTCAAGATTCTACCTCCAAGCTTAGAAAATCTTTATATTGATGATTTGGTCTTTTTAAGAAGCGTCAACCTAATGAGATTTTACCTTGCAATTTAGAACATTAATGCATCTACAACCCTGTGTCGAATGTCGAAGAATTCTCAAATTTAATTGCTCAGTTTAAAATTTAGAATAATTACAGTTTGCACATCTATCTATAGTAAAATTGCATGAGTTAATCTTGTCTAGTTCGTTGTTAGTAAGTTTAGCTATTAGCTGTTGGTCATTAACTGACTACACATATTTGTTGACCTTTATAAATCTTTCAAAACTGGAAGTGTTAAATTCAATCTTTCCCACAGAGTTGTTTACAACAAACCGTTTACCAAATTTGAAAGTATTCAAATACAATTGCAACGATGAATTCAAAGATGATTATTATTATCTAGTAAACAAAAAGAAAAGTAGCTGAAGTGATTGAATTTCCTAAAACTATATAAGTTTTAAGTGTATTTTTAAAACCTAATGCTATAAAACTAAAATTACCTAAAAAATTGAGAGTTTTTAAATTATCTTGTTTATTCATAATCAACGAGTTGTTTGATATTGATATGCCTAATAGTCTTTACAAGTTGAAAATCTCAAATACAAATTCAACAAACTCAGATAATGTCAAATTTCCTAGAGAATTACAAAATTTAATAATTCATTATAATGTAGAATTGAAATCCATACAAAATATTACTTTGGATGGTTTGAAATTATTAAAAAAGGTTGAACTCTATAAAAATGGTTTTGAAAAATTTGAAACTACTAGTAAAAAGTCGTAGCCATTGATAAACCATGATTAAAAACATATAGATATCAGTAGAATATGCTAGGTAAATAAGAAAAATGCATTAGGAATTTCATGGTTCGAAATTACACTCGTATAAATTAAAATGTGACTTGCATTAAGCTTGGCTTAAAGTTTGCGACAACATTCGCTTGACAATTTTGAGCTCCGACTTGATCTATGGACAAAAATTTTCACGACTGTAATGAACAAAAACGCAGATGTTCACTGAATGAATTCAATATTCGATCCATAAAAGTACGATCCATTCATCTAAAAAAAAATTTTCAACAGCATAGATAGAATCAGTAAGCTTTATCGTGTTGAGTGCTTCAAACTGACTACTTTTTATATGAGTTATATGTTTTCATTTTCTTTTGATCAAAAGTTATTATCAAATTAATATATCATATAAACTCGCATAAAGCTGACACGAGCTCGTTATAAAAGTCTTATGATTTGCTACCACATTACGACCAATTTCTGCACCTAGCACAGTCCGGAGCGTTTCTCGCCCAAATCTCGTGCAATTAAAAAATATTCTCGCGTTAATTATAACGCGATTCGTGCTAAGCGTTTTAGTTTTTATTTCATGAAAAAAACATTTTCTCAAGATAAGTACTATGTATACAAGATTCGGAATTTTGAAATACATGCTGTATATATTTCGAATATCATATTTCAAACATCTTTTTTGAAATTGTCATTTTGGCCATTTTGGCCATTTTTCATCATACAAAAAATTTCCAGAAAATGTAAAGCCAAATTATTTTTTAATTAGGATCAAAATTTTTGATTAACAGCGAGTATACATATTATACATCAAACTAAGGTACTGCACTTCTTTATTTTTGATCGACATCAAAACTGAAGATTATCAAAAAAATCCCTCAACTATGGCGAAAATCAAAAAAATTGACCTTACGAAAAATCTGGTTCCACAATCACCGATCAGATTTGAACATGATGGATGTATCAAAAACTGTAGCTCCTAATTTTGATAAGGTTTGATTCTTTTTGTGTTAAGGTGTTCAAAATTGCAAAAGTAATTTTCCAAAGGTGGTTCGAAAATTTTGAAAAAATTTCAAAATGATTATGGCATGTTGACACAATTAGAGAAAGCATTTTTGTGGTCAAAATAAACTGTATCAAATTATTTGGAAGTTGTTAAATGAAGTCTAAGTGGTTAATTACCTCTCTATTTAGCGATTTTGACGATTATTTCAGCGACCAACAAATTCATCAGAATTACTTTTTATTACTAGCCACTGCTATCAGTTTAATCTAAATTTGCTGAAGTCATAACGTAAAAGGTTAGACAATCAACGTATAAATTTTGAGGAAGTTATTTACACTTTAAATTTTGAAATTAACTATTGTGATACTGCATATTAGTCAAATTTGTTTCAGAAATTTTTTTTTGAATTAATATCGTTCGATTTGAGTTGAAGCGGAACTATATAGCCATTCGGTTTCTAATTTAAGGCGAGAGCTGGTACCTTTTTTCGTACGAGTTTCACCATCTTATAAAATGGCACGATATTTACAAATTGAACACTATTAGTTTCATTTAATCAAAGCTTTACCTTCATTTATTAGATAGATGATACAATATCTAAATTGATTTGAATCTCTATATGTTATTGTAGGTATTGCTTAGAATAAAAGTATATTATTCTTACATTTAAATATGAAATCAAAATAAGGTTCGTATCGGATAAGATTGAGGGTAGCTGCAAATTGAGTTAAATCAACACGAATCATCGACCAAAAAAAAAAAATATTTCACTAATTAAATTAGATCTTTAATACACATTAGATAATGCAAGGAGTAAACCCATACATTTGAAATAATGAGTAATGTAGGCTATACTTATTCGAGAGTGTGTGCTAGTTATTCTATTTCCACAGTTTATTCTTCTCTTATCAATAAAAACGCGGCTTGTGTTGTTTTTACTATTTTGTTTGCTTTGAATAGTAATTATTATATACATTTTGTGTATTTATTTATGTTTCAAAATAATTTAACCTCATTAATCCGAGAAAAATTTTTCACATACAAATGCAATTTAGAGAACACAACGTTACAAAATCAAATAATAGTCAAATCTCTAAATTTTGACAGTAATGTAACATAGTCAACGTAAGAGAATGAAATGTTGCTATGCTACTTGCCATAATCGTAAATTATAACCACCACAAGACCATTAATACCCTTATTACAACATCACCACGCCTCATCGTAAATGTGTTGATGGTAAATGGTTGCAAATTAATGGATTGCAGTTACGCATTTTTACTTCGAAAATAAAATAAAAAAAAAAAAAAGAAATTTTATGAATCACAAAAAAAAAAAAAAAAAATTAAAAAAAAAAAAAATAAAAAAATAAAAAAATATATAAACTCAAGCAATCATTCATTTAATTATTAACAACTATTTATAAGGAACAGAAGGCTATATAGGCTGGTTATTCACGCGTCATTCCAATTTACACCACCGAATCCACATTTCATTTATACCCACCATAGTTTATTTAGTATGTCAATATGACAGTAATCCATAAAGATGCTAAGCCATCTATTTATCAGAATCATCAATCATCATCCAGTATCAAAACAACATCAACTTCAAAGATAATAACATGTAAATTTAAACAAAAATTAATCAAATTAAAGATCAAACTCAAATTTAACAAATTTAAAAGACATAAAAATAATAAATCAACTTATTACGATTATTATAAGAGTGACCAAATTACAATAGTTGATGAGAAAATTATCCACCCTGTAACAAGTACAAACACTATCATAAATGAGAAATCAGAATATAAACTAAAGAATGAAACATTACCAAATGGAACTGATTTTATAACAACAACTATAAATGAGAAAAATGTGACTCACGGTCATGATCAGGAAAAGAAAGAAATCGAAATTAAACCACCACCACCTTATAAACAAATAGCATCACCAATACGGCAAAAACAACAACAACAACAACAACAACAACAACAGCAACAACTACAACAACAAAATACATCTCCAGCTAAGTTTCACCCACAAGTAATCAAATTCAAATCACAATTAAATCAATATTATCAAAATCATCAAGATGAATTATATACTTCATTTACGAGTTTAAAAAAGTATAATGAGAATATGTCATTACAATATCATACATATCAGTTACTTAAAAAGTCAAAAAATCAAGTACGTAACTTTTCCCACCTTAATTTTGAATTATATTTTAATGAATTACATTTTCAATCTCATTTTAAACAATTATATGTTGTATTGTTGATTTATGTAATAATTTATATATTCACATTAATATAAACTATTTAACCAACAGTCAAACCTTTTTGAACTTCTGAAATTTCAGCCAATTTAGTAAACCATTTACTTAATAATGGCCATTGATGAATATCAATTTCTAATCTTTCTAATCTATTAGCCCAACCAAATAAAGCAAAATCAGCAACGGTATAATGTGAACCAACTAAATATAAACTTTGATTAGCTGCATTTCTACTCAAGATATCTTCATAAACTCCATAAATTCTTTTAGTATCATTTATATATCTATCAATTCCATATTGAATTTTCTCCTTTGCATATACTTTAAAATGATTAGCTTGACCTTGAATAGGTCCATTTTCAGCAACTTGAAAAATTAAATACTCTAAAGTTTTATAATACTCTGGTGTTCCGTATTTATAAGAATATTTCAAATCGGTATCATATTTATCTGCTAAATATTGTAAAATTGCACCAGTTTGAGATAATGTGATACCTGTGTTTGGATCTTCAATTGTTGGAATTCTACCATTTGGATTCAATTTAACAAACCATTCTTGTTTTGATTCATTTTTGGTGATATCAACTGAATGAACTTCATATGGTAATTGTAAAATTTCTAAGAAGATTGAAATTTTATGACCATTTGGAGTACCCCATGTGTATAATTTAATTGGCTTAACCATGATAAGAAGAAGAAAGCGTTGATATAAAAAATCAATAATCAGGGGTAATTTTCAACTATTTATAGTTTTTTTCCACCCACCCCTTAGTTACTTATAATTAGTAATCAAAGGGAGTTATATATTTAATTGGTATGCGTGTTGGATATTATAACACCATTTGTTTGGGCCTAATGCTAATACTGTGGCGTTAATTCAATCCGGTATATCATTTTATTTAAGTGGCTTTCTTCTTTTAGGAAGTAATACCGCTTAAAAATTTTGGCTGCAAAAAAATAAGAGCTTAGTTTTATATCATCATATATTCATTAATTTCATTATTCATCTAATTAGCCAAATTTAATACCAAATCTGGATTAATATTTCTATTCTTCAATTTCTCTAATAACTCTTCAACATTTCCATAAACTTCTTTAGCTTCATTTAAATCATTATTTAAACAAACATTTTCATAAAGATTATTAATCTCAGTCAACATCTCCTTTATCTTTTCTTTTGATTGATTTGTATCAAACATGACTTGTTGTTGTTGTTGGTGTTGTTGTTGTTGTAGTAATTCATTTTCAATTCTAAATTGATGACTTTGATCTAAATTATTTCCATTTTGTTCTTCTTCATTATATTTTTGACCAAAATTTATAAATTTTTCACTACCTAAACAATGATTATGATTAAATTTAAAATCAACAAGAAACCATTCACCTTCATTTTCATTTTTTTTATCTCGATGAATTTTTAAAACACATTGACAATTTATTTTCTTTGTATGTACTTTTGAATCATAATAACCTTTTGATTTATCACATTTTAAGTATAACGTGTTGTGATTGAATCGTTTAGTCCAATTATTATACCCACTAATGTTATGTAATAACTCAATAACATCTTCAAATTTTAAAACATCAATGTAATCATTTTTAACAATATCATTTGGAAAATAACGAGGGAATAAAAATTTACCTAATCTTGTATTAGCATTAACTTGATTATTATGTAATTGAATACATAAAGGAGGAATAGATAATGAATCTGAATGTTTCTTTAAACCATTTTTCTCATATGATCGAGGAGTAATTATTCTAAATTCGTTATTTGGTTCATATCCATCGTCTGATTCTAATTTCTTTTCCCATTTTTCAAAATCATCTATATTAAAATTGGAAGACAAGTATTGTAGATTAGTTATTCTATTATGAAATTCTTTATTTAAATATGGAAATTTTAAAAGTGTAATTATTTGAATATCACAATTTGATATAACTTCTTGAATTTCAGTCAATTCTAAAAACAGTTTAATTAATGGATGATATGAATCCCATACAGGGAACTTAACTAATGATGGATTTAATTTATATTGTTGTTGTAAATTAGGTATTGTTTCATTTATATAAATTTGAACTTGTTCTGGTAAATAATTGAATTTGATTTTTTTCAGTTTCTTATGTTTCAAAAATTGTTTCTTATTAAAATCAATTTCTTTCATAAATGTTTCAACCCAAATTGGTCGAACTGATGATAAATCCATAATTAATAAGTGGTTGTTTATAGTTTTAATTCAAGTTTACTAAATTGGGAGTTTCAGACAAAAAATAGAATTAATTTTGATCAACTTGCACGATGAATTAGCTCTCGTGAATTTTCGTGTAACTAACAAAGTCGGAAAATATTTACATTCGTGAGCGCAAAGATTCAAATTTGCAGCTATTGCGCAAAATAAACGCGATCTAAAAAGCGGATACAGGATCCGAGATTTTATCCGAAAATGTGAAGCACCATCAAATCGAACTTTCAAACCTGCATATAAATAATGAAACTTCAAGTTTCGACTGCATAGAATACTTGTAGCTGCAGTTAAAAGTATGAATAAACAAATCGATGGATGAAAAACAACGAACCAAAGTGTCAAAAGCTTGTGATTATTGCAAAAAGAGGAAATTCAAATGTAGTGGAGTAGCGCCTTGTGATTTATGTTTTAAGAAGAATATAACTTGTTCATTTGATATAGTTGATAAACGAACTATACGACGAAAGAATAAAAAAAGAACACCACCAACAACCACCACAACAAATGTTAAAAAACGAAGTTTGCCCAAAGAAATTCAGTATAGATTTGCAGATATTAAAACATTAAAAGATGATATCCCGCAAGAATATCAAACGATAACTAGTTTCCCATTAAATGAAACACATGAAGAACAACCAGAATCTCTTTCATCAAGTGATAAACTACCACCAAGAATGTTATATGATTCAAAAGGTAATTTAAGATATGTTGGAGAATCATCACCATTATCTTTTCTATTTGACTGTAGAAATATTTTTCATGAATATATTGGAATCAGTGAATTTACATCCCAAACAAGTACAACATTAGAAACTATCGATGAACCAGATGAAGATCATGAAGTTGTTCAAGTTGCATTACCATCAAGAAATTTATTAAGTCAAATTCTACGACTTTTTTCAATTAATGTAAATCAAGCAATTTATTTATTTGATATGAAAGAATTTAAAAAAACTATAGTTGATCCAATCTATACAAATTATTCAGAATGTAAAACAAAACAAATTGTATTAATTAACTTAGTTATATCCATCGGTATACTTTATGCTGAATCAATAAATGATCCTATGTTAATTGAATTACAACAAGGTATGAACCAAATACATTCTCATTCATATTTCGAATATGGAATGTATTTAACAAAGAAAAATTTAACAAAAAGTAAATTATGGATCACTGAAGCATGTGCATTAGCTTATGTATATTATCAATTTAAACTGCAACGAAATTCAGCATGGTTAATTTTAGGTTATGCAATTAGAAATGCTGAAGCAATCGGGATACATCGAAAATTTTTAAATGATTCATATAAAGATGTTGAATATGTTAAACATAGAAGAAGATTATTTAGAAGTTTATATTTAATGGATCGTATATCGAGTATTATACTTGGTAGACCATTGATAATTGATGAAAAAAATTGGGATGATTTTGATTCATCAGATATCTATGATAAAGATGCTAATGGGAATATTATTTATGATCCAAAATATACTACAGTGATTGAATCATGTAAATTATGTAGAATTGGTAGTAATATAATTAGATCATTTTATTTAGATGGGTCAAATTCTGCATTTAAAGCTGAACAGTTAGCTATTGAAATTAAAATTTGGTCATTAAACTTACCTAAAGAAATTCAAATTGATAAGATTGTGGATAATAGTAAAGATATAGTCAAAGGTGAAGATTATACAAATATTAAAGTTAGTCTCATCATGATTCATACCCTTCATTTATATTTTACAATTTTGTTATTTAGACCATTTTTCATTCATTTAGTTTTCAAAAAGCAGATCAATATCAAATCACCAACTTCAAATTATGAAGTTGCTATATTAAATTTTTACAAGTCAAGTATTAAATCGTCAATTTTGTTAATACAATTATTAGAATATTATTATCATACATTTATAAAAGATCAACATAATAGAGTAGAAGGGTCTGGTTTTATGTATGCTTGTTTATCTGCAACTTTAGTCATTGGATTACTGGTACTATACAACGAGTCAAATAATTTTGAATCTGAATTCAAAACTATTTCACAAATGAATTATATAAATTCAGCTAAGAATATATTTAAAAGACATTCAATTGAAAATCCAATGGCTGAAAAGTTTTTCAAAGTTGTTGAACAGATGCAATTTGCATTAATGAATAAATTTGAATTAGATGAAAACGGGAATAAATTAGATAATACACCATCAAATTCAAATATAATTCAGCATAAGTTTGTAAATAGTTCAAGTATTTTAATTGATGGGAATTCAATTGAATTTAATCAAGAATATGATAGATTTATTGAATCCTTGTCAAACTCAAGTGTCGGAAATGAATCCTTTATGGGTACGTTTAATGTAAACGATATACTATATAATGTGAGAAATAGGTAATAAGTAAATAAATAAATAAATTCATCTATAATCCTACATATTTTGTTTTAAACTAACCAGTAATCTTTTAAATAACATATCGATAACCTCAATATGATCATGCACTAATGGAGAATCCATGTTTATATCATCACCACCAAAGCTTTTATATACAGTAATCCAATTATTAAAATTAAAACTTTGACCATTGAAATAATTAAGTAATAAACGTAAATCAGTAGATTCAAAATTTCTCTCTATATTGCTAACATATTTTTCAACTTTGTTTAATTGATCCAACTGGTTTAATTCAACTAATCCGTATACGAAATCAGTCATTGAAAATGTTGATAAATTTGGTAGTTGTTGATTTGATTCAAATAATGCACCAAATTTTAGTTTATCATCATCATTAATTGTTATATTTTTTGATTCTTTAAAGTCTTGAAAACTTTTAAAATTCCATATTATTTCATCTTCTCTAGTTAATATTTTTAAATCTTTTAAATCATTTAATGAAAATTCCAATGGTACTTTATAATTTATTGATAGAAACGATTTTATTTTATAAATTGTGAATATTAATCTTAATTGCAGTTGTAAATTTATATTATTTTTAAATGTAATTTCTTCATTATAAGATTGAAATAATGAAATATCATTTTGATTAGTATGTTGATGATTCAATTTTTGATAAATTTCTTCATCCATTGGATTCATTGAGAAAAATAAATCTGTTGAACCATTATTAATTATTGATGATTTAATTAATGATATTAATGCAGTTAATTGTCTAATTACAATGACTACATTATTTGTATTATTTGAAAAAATTCCAAATAATACCAGCATGGTTAAAACTTGTAATAACCATAATGGATTCTTTTTAACATTTGCAACTTCGATAGATTCATGTTTTCTACTTTCTAAAAAAACATGGATTGATCGCCTACTTGCCTCGTATAAATTTTCAGCATCTGAATAATTTTTTGATAAAATGGCACCTATACTTCCAATTAATAATGGTAAACATGGCGAGTTAAATTTCATAACACTTCTTTCATTTAAAACAGATGGATGAATAAATGGCATATGTGGTAAAAATAATTTAATAAAATTAGCTAAATAAACTTCTAATGTCTCATTTGAAGGAATCAGTGGTTGACTTACACCTGTAATTGGATATAAATTTAAATCTTTATCAATTAAATCTTTAACATTTGATGTATATAATTTATTTGTAACATAATTATCATGAACATTTGATTTATAATCTTGTTGAAAATGAAATGGTGACATAATATCTATTGAATTTGATTGTGATACATTATCACCATAAAATGAATAACCACCACATCCAAATTTTGAATCTACATCAATTTCATAATTCAAATGATCAATATCGTTTAAAAATGATAAATCTCGTGGAAAGTTTTTAGATGATGGTCTTTGTTGCAGTTGACTTGATAATATTTCATCATCGTCTGTTTCTTGTTTGATAGGTGTTAATACTTTTAATTTATGATTGAAACTTGGATTTTCATCGGGAATTTCATAAAATGAGTAACCCTGTTGGGGTTCTAAATAATTTTGAAGTTGATTTTGTTGATTCATTGTTTGTTTATTATTGTTCATAACATCATAAAATCCATATCCATAATTATTAGTATCTTCTTTTTTAAATTCCATTGGGATTTGATCAAATTGTAAATGAGGAGGTTGAAAATTATTTTGAATTGCTGGATTATTCAATTCTTGATTTGACATTGTTACTGTTGGCATCATAAAATTTGAACTACTTGAACTATCTGTTCTCATCATATTACCAGCATACGAGAGTGAATTTTGATGATTTAAATTTGGAGGTAATAATGGTTGTTGATGAGATTGTAGTAGTTGATGTTGACTCATAGAAGGTCTTTTACTATCATTTAAACTTGATAAACCAGGTATATTATTTAACCAAGTGATTTCATTATCTAAACTTGATGGTAATAATTGAGGAGTTGAAAATTCAACATTTGATGTTTCAGGATATAATTCATTTAAATCGCTTAGGTTCTTAGCATAATTTGCACCTGATTGAGCACTAAATGAAGTTCTTTTTGGAGTGAAGATTTGTCTTTGCATTGGTTGCGGTTGAGAGACATTTTGAGTTTGATTAGAGTTTCTTCTAGTTGAGGCAGAAGTTGATGTAGATGATTGTTGTTGTTGTTGTTGTTGTTGTTGTTGTTGTTGTTGACTTTGTCTCTTTTTCGTCACTTTATTTTTACTTGATTGTTTCGGTTTATCAAATAAATTTAAATTAAATTCAACATTAGTATCTGCTTCTTGTTTAATTATTGGATCAGGTGGTTGTTGAGATGGCTCTTTTGAAGAATCATTAGATTCTTCAATTTTTGAATTCTTCTTTATTGATTTTCTTCTCAATCTTGTTATTGCATCAGTACAACCAGCATGTAATTTTTGAGCATGTCTTAATAATAAATCTCTTCTTGAAAATTTTCTTTGACAAACACCACAACTAAAAGGTTTTTCTTTTGTATGAGATCTTTCATGTCTTTTTAAATGTTCTAATCGTGCAAAAGCACGAGTACAAACTTGACAAACAAATAATCTTGGTTTACCCGAGGGAGTAGTACCATATGCAGTTAATTCAAGTGGTATTTCATTAGTTGAATTAGTTTTTTTATTATTATTTGATACTGTTGAATTTAATGAATTGAGAGATGTAGAATTTGACATTAATATTGGTTGATTATGGATTATATTTGGATTTGGATTTAAATTATTTATATGATTATCATCTGTCATATTTATTGGAATATATGGATTAGATATACTATTTGACCGATTAATATTATTATTAATATTATTATTATTATTATTACTTGAATTTGAATAAATTGGTGATATCATAAAACGGTTGAAGTGAAATAAATAAATAAGTGTTTTTTTGTTTTAAAATAAATAAGTGTAATTAATTTTTTGTTAAACTATTAAGTGAGTCTGTTAATAATACATTAAAATATAAGGAATGTAAATACTGATAATGAATAGATGTTGGTTGTAAATGATTGAAAATTGATTATTGAAACTGGTCGTGGTAAAAATAAAAAATTGGTAACAAAAGAAAAAAAAAAAAAAAAAAAAAAAAACCGAAAAAAAAAATTAAAAAATGACTGCAAAATAATTTATACTTAAATAATAATAATACAATAGTTTAATATATTATTACAAACAAAGCTCTAGATTAACTAATTATTATGCCTCAATGATGCGATGTCCAAGAATTTACTTATAGATAATTTAATTAGTATTGATAAAAGTTGAAGATTTAAAAATTATACGTGATCTATTCGATCTTGTTCAATTATTGTGCTGCAATTACAGATTCAGGTACGAACCATCTATCAAGATCAATAGAGTTAGAACTGATAGAGTCATACAACGTTGTATTACATCTTTTGATATGAGTGATACCACCTTATCATTTGAATAAATCTGCTAAAATTTTGGTATAATATTTATTATTTAAACTAATAATAACCTTAATTGAGCATAAATGATCTAGAGATAAATTGAGACCAGTCGTCTTATTACAGCGTCCAAAGCACTTCATTCGGAATGATTTTGAAACTGAAGCTTTGTGACTAACTTGTTACCGTTTTTGAAGCCGAAAATGTAGGTTTCGAGAACCAATAATATTTTCGTCTCTAGTATTTGTTGGTAATACTGTAAATCTTTTTAACTTTTTTAGTAACTAACAATTTTAGTAGCTAACAATTTTAGTGCGTGTAACTTTTAACAATTTGTGGGGTTTATTTATCAACAATAATGATTCTAAATGAACGTGTATAATTAACAGAGAGAAAAACGCTACCATATGCGTTGCGAAACAGGCATTTTTAATAGAGTGATGAGCTTTACTTTAGACATATAAAACGTGTTATTGGAACTTTAGTGATCAAATTTTATGATACTGATAAAATTATTGTAAAAAATAGAGATTCAAGCTCAAACGGACAATATTTGAGAAGAAATACGTAATCTGATTAAGCAACCTGTTGTAATTCTTGCAAACTGTATCAATACTATAATACTATGGTTGCGAAAAACTCAAAAACCGGTTTTTTATGTATGGATATAAATCGGCTTTATTGGCTTTATTTTTTTTTTGTGAATTTAAATAATTTTAAATCCGAGATCTAGAATCCGGGGTAAAAGAAAAATCGTAGTTTCATCGAATAGTGGTTCAAATTAAAGAAAAAGCTTGAACTAAGAAATTCTAATACTATTTCAATTAAAATATCACATGGAAATATTTGTAACCAACGTATTAAAACTTAAATTTAAGAAGTCTGGATCCAGAAGTAGACAAAAAGTCGGTCTAAATTGTCAAGTTGTGAAATATTTAGATCTAAGGAAGATAGATGTCATTCTTCTGCTACAAGTGATACATTCAAACTGTGGTTGCATCAATGTCAAATAGTGTCAATTTGTGACATTAAGAAGTGTCAAATTGGTAGGCATAGGTCGTGCATTTTTGTCAGCAAATTCGAACGAATCCACAGAAAAAAAAAATATTATTAATCTATTTAATCAATTCGAAAGTTGTATATCATCTCATTCAATATGGTCTTAATAGAAATTGAAAATGAAAATCAATTTTCAGAATTAACTAAAAATCAAGATTCTTCAAAATTAATAGCATTATATTTTTATACTGATTGGGCAGGACCATGTAAGCAAATGAATCAAGTTTTTAAAACAATCAGTGAACAAACTGAAAATTCAAATATTTTATTTTTATCAATAAATGCTGATAATTTAGAAGAAGTATCTGAATTATTTGAAGTTTCAAGTGTTCCATATTTTATATTAATTAAAAATAATACAATATTGAAAGAAATTTCAGGATCTGATCCAAAAGAATTAATAACTGCATTAAATAAATATAATAATAATGATACAAATACAACAAATATAGCTAAAACAATTAATAATCAACAACAACAACAACAACAACAACAACAACAACCAATACAGAATAATACAAATGAAGAAGAAGAAGAAGAGGAATCTGAAGAAGCTTTAAATCAAAGATTAGAAAAATTGACCAAGGCAGCTCCAATTATGTTATTTATGAAAGGTTCTCCAAGTTCTCCACAATGTGGATTTTCAAGACAATTAGTTGCTATATTAAGAGAACATCAAGTTAAATTTGGATTTTTTGATATTTTAAAAGATGATTCAGTAAGACAAGGTTTGAAAAAATTTTCTGATTGGCCTACATTTCCACAATTATACATTAATGGAGAATTTCAAGGTGGTTTAGATATAATTAAAGAAAATTTAGAAGAAGATGATCAATATTTTGAACATGCATTCAATTCTGAATAAATAGGTTATGGTATAATACCTTGAGTCATTAAATAATTTAATTCATCATCTGATGAAAAACCTTCGTCTGAATCCAGAATTGGATCACTTAAGTAATCTTCTATATCATTTTTCTCTTCTTTACCTTGTATTCTAGCATCTATTTCAACTTGGAATTGGTCAACTTCATAGGGTATATTTATATCTTCATCAACTGTGAGTTGATCATCAGCACCAATATAACTAAATTTACCACCAAGTCGATTATAATTCACTCTTGATCTTTTTTTCTTATTATATATCATTGGAATATAATAACCATCAATTAAATTTAAAGTTTGAAAATTTATAAAACCCAACTTTGGTTCAATTAAATATTTTTTATAATTTTGAATTTGATTCCATGTTTTATTATACATTTTTAACATTTTAAAATGTCTTGGATATTTCATTTTCATAAATTGAGGTTGATTTTTAATTTTTTCAATTTTACTTAGATTAATTCTTGTTGATATAATGCCTAGTTCTCCATTACCACCTAGTACATCATTAATACTTAGATTATCAACGATATCTGCAGCTATATTTATATCATATTTCCCATCTTGATAAATATTGTAATTTTCAAGCAAGGATAAACTTAATAAATTTGAGTTTTTTTCAGGATAATTATTCAATACTTGATCTATTGATAAGACATCTTTGTCTAATCCATTTTCTCCTGTTTTTGTAGAATATATTATCTTTCCAATTGCATGAAATAAATTTAAGGAATTTTCACGTAAGAATTGACAATTTTCAATATTATCTTTCTTATCGAATTTGATCCAATTTTCAAAATTATTAATAATTGATCTAATATCACCAACTTGAAACAATTCAAATAAAAATCGATTCATTAATTCAACATCAACTTTTCTATTCAATTGTTCACATTTTATAATTTTACTAATTGTAGTATTTAAAAATTTATTTGCAATTGAGTTAAATTTTATAGTTTTTACTGATGAAAGACTGGTGATTTCTTTAGTTAATAGTGTTTCTACACTTAAATTATTCTCAACTCCAAAACTTGTATTATTTAAATTATCCAAATTGTCATATTCAAATTCGGAGACAATTAGAATTATAGGAGGTAATTTTATATCTGAATATATCCAATTTTTTAATCCATTTCTAAAATTAATCAATGTTTCAATATGATATATGTTTGGTAATTCATCTATTAAAATAACTGAATTTTGTTTATATTTACATTCATTTAAAAAATTGTTGAAATTCTCAGATTCATTATATTCAATCAAACTTGATCCAAATATGTCATTGTTTGGTAATAATTCGTTAGTTAATAATTTCACAGTCGTGGTTTTTGAAGACCCACTGGGGCCAGATAATACTAAAAGTTTGACATTTGATTCATTTCGAATCATTTTTGATAATGCTTCTCTGACCTCGTTTAATTTCTTCTTATTTATGCAGATGTCTTTGGTACTTTCTGGTTTATATTTCTCTTTCCATGGAATGCTATTTATATTAGAATTTGGTGATTGAGCTTGTTGTGAATTTGATTGTGATTGAAAAGAATTATATTTTGGTTGATTTGGTTTATGAATTTCTTCAAAATATGAATCATCAGATATAGAATCTTCCTCTTTCTCTTCCTCTTCCTCTTTTATTTTAACCGGCTTATTTACACGTTGTTTCTTCCATTTTGGAGCCATAAAAATCTGATATTTATTAATTAAATCTGAAACAAAAATTTAAATAAGTCCGAGTGCTACCATATGAGTTTATGAAATTTTCAAATAGATAGGAAAGAGTGAAGACAAACATTACCCAAAGAATTCATTATGTATATATTTGGACTATATCACTTTTACTTTCTTTTTTGAAACTTCAATTGACCCATGTCTTCGTTTACCATTTCCCTTTTTTATTCCTTCTTCTTTTATTGCTTTTTCAACTTCATCTTCACTTTTATATTCTAATCCATGAAACTTACAATAAATTTCCTTTACACTTATACTTACTGAATCATTTATACATTCACATTTTTTAGTAATTTCCCCAAATGGGAACCAATCATCCAATGCAAAATTTACCGATTCTGCTAAATTATAACCATAATTAAAACCAGCATGATATCCATATGGATAAGTTATAATAAATTCACCTTCTCGATGTACTATTTTATTCACTGGAATTCCATTCTTTTTTAATAACTTCGGGTCAACCAAAAACGTCTTGTGACGTAAAAACTGATCACAGTTTTTATACTCTTCTTCAAATTGAGATCTCATATATTTGTGAAATTTATCCTTGTATTCTTGTGGAATGGAATACCACATTTTGGGAGCTCCATAATGGAGATAGTTAATAGAATATAAATCTTGATCTTCTAGATGCCACGAAAATGTAGCTTTCCAAAGTCCAGCATATAAATAAGCTTCATTTACACCAGGTAATTTTTGAGACATTAAATCTAATAAATTTGGTAATCTAGCAACATTCCAATCTGAAATTGTAGTATTGTCAAACAATGAGCCCTGACAATCTGCACCATAACATGGTTCACTATAAGTTAAACTTTTCCAATAATTTTTCTCAAGGTCTTGACATTTAGATTCTGTAAAACCAAAAGTATCTATATTATAACTGGAATTATTCTCCATCTTTACCTTGGGAGGATTATGGTTTTTAGATAGTTCTTTCCATTGATAAATATTATACTTTCTTTGTTTTTCAATATTTTGTTGAGTATAGATGCCTAATCCTTGATGATTTATATTTTGAATAATTGGATTCTTGATACATATTCTCAGTAGATTCTCATCTGTATAGCATTGTTGTTGTGTATTGATTTTCCAATCTTCGGGTGGTATAACTTTAACAATACCTGATTTCATACCATATTTATTTATTGATTTATTGAATTTATAAAAATCTTTAAATTGATCCATTGTTGGTTTGAATATAGGTATGCCATTTTCATATTCACTTGGTTCTATAATTAAATTTGGATCATAATTATATATCGATTGCATTGTTTAGCAGCTTGTGAACTTGAAAAACTGAACTGATAAACAAAATGTTTTATAAATCAAATTTTTTTGTATTCAGAGTTTCTGTAATATATTACATAATTTGATACTTTAAGAGGTTGATGGGGCTAGTAATTGCCTAATTAAGATGCGTGTTGTAGGGGGGTTTATATTAATGTTGCAATTCATCTCTTAGAAATGCGCCCTGCGGTTATCGTCTAGCTAATGTTTTGAATTCACTGCCAGAACAGAAACACAAACTTCCAAGTTAAATCATATTCGACGAAGATAACTTCCAGATTGTAAGCTTAGTGTAGACGTAAGGGTATGTTAATTTCTGTACTAATTACGTAGTGTTTTTTTAATTTTGGCAACTTAGGGGGTAATTTGTTTTTCCGATGAGAAAACCCAGTGATTGATCAAATCAAATTATACCCTAAGAAGTTTTACTTTTCAATATTTACGTATGGAACAAACCTGTTATGTTAAACGCTCTAAAATCTTGTTTATTAATCTAATTTATTTACTCACATACATATGACGTTTTATCATAATCATCAAAAGGTTCAACCATTGTCACTTTGAATCCACGTTGATAACATTTAGAACTGAAATTGTTAAAATCAGCAGAAGTTCCATTTGGTAAATTATAAGAATAATAATGTGACCATCTTATACAATTGTTTTCCTTATCAGTAATATCGCATACTTGTCTTGGTTTCTTATAATTAGCTGCAAACACTACCAACTCACGCAAATATTCTTTCAAATGAGCAAAAGGTTCAACCATTGTCACTTTGAATCCACGTTGATAACATTTAGAACTGAAATTGTTAAAATCAGCAGAAGCTCCATTTGGTAAATTATAAGAATAATAATGTAACCATCTTATACAATTGTTTTCCTTATCAGTAATATCGCATACTTGTCTTGGTTTCTTATAATTAGCTGCAAGCACTACCAACTCACGCAAATATTCTTTCAAATGAGCAAATGATTTAATTTCAGTTCCAAAGATGTTTAAGGTGAATCCTCTAGCATACAAATGCCAACCCTTGTATTCAGCATAATAGTAATTTCCTTCTGTTTTATTTTCATTTCCTTCTGTTTCATTTTCATATATTGTAACGTTATTTGAATTGAGGTATAATTTAGATACTGCTAATTGTGATTCAGTTTCATTTAAGCCTGCAAGGTCTAGATTTGGTTCGAATTCAATCAAGTCTTGTGTTTCTGGATCTTGACACGTGTACAGATTGTTTGTTGATATCGTACAAATAGTGGTATTTGTTTGATTATTCATGATTAACTCTCTAGCATTGTAACTACTTGCCAAAACTTTATTTATAAACACAATAGCCAAAAAAAGCTTGAAGAATTTGAACATTTGAAAAGTTGATAATTAGAAGATTACGATCTAAGTCCGTATATAAATGGCACAATCATTTTTTAGCCACGTCACGAATGACACGGAGATTTGATATTGAGTAACCAATAATGGGCTTTTTTCATTTTAAACATTAGTCTATCGTTATTCTACCTTACTATATTGCTATCTTTTATATTATTACGTGTCTTTATTGATAACACGTTCTATACATGTGATTATGGTTATTTCTAATATGCTTGCAAATTTCAGTTCTTAAAGTGAGTAATGCGGCATCAAGAATCGCTACCAACTGTGTAAATATTCAACCATGACAAATAGCAAGATTAAAACAATCAATAACTCAACTTGCCTAGTTTGAATCTAACCTCAGTAATTAGAACTGTGTTACTTTTCAGATAATGATGAATTTTTATTTTTTTAGCGTAAAAATTCGAGTATAATATGTAAATCCAGTAGAGAATGACACCAATTCAATCTAAGCCTAAGCCTACTGAAATTCTAACAAATTGGAATATCAGTTTCTCAAAAGTGGTTCGACATTTTTGAAAAAAAATCTTTACGATTATCACCTGTTTTGTGATTGAATGCTCTCAATCAGCTATATTAGAAGTTCTAAATGAGGTCCAAGTATTGAATATCTTAAAATTTAACGTTTTTTTTCATTTTTTAAATACGTCAAAAAATGATAAAAAATAAATCTTAACAAATAAAACCGGCCTCAGAGTACTCCAGATTTGATGAGGTTCTAACGAGAAAAGTTTGATGATTAAGACTTGTAAATTGAGTAAGTTACAATTTAACATTTAAATTTTGCTATAACCAGACTGCATATAAGCAAATCTGTTTAAGAAATTATTTTCTATTGTGTTATGATTCTCGCCTAACTGTAGTGACAACATAATGTCATTGTCGCGCAAACTTTTGGGCGACTCGTACTAATTGTTGGCCCTTAAATTAATTCTTGTCGCGAAAAAATATTTCTAAACGCTATTTCAACAAGTTTAGTAATTAATGACGAAAAGATAAAATAAAAAGGATAGAAAGAAGGAAAATGGTAAAAGAACTGAAAAGAAAAGAAAGAAACACAACGATCATAATACAAGAAATTTCCTTAAAAGAGAGGCCAGAAGGCAAGAAAGACTTGATCGTGAACAACAAAATTAATTAAATTATAATAAGTTACCATCAAAAAAATTAAGACAACCATTAGATAGAAAGAAAGATGGGATTTTAGAGCTTTGTTCCAAAACGCAGTTACAAAATATAATTGTAAAAAAGAATACGTTATAAAAAGACTAGATTCCCCAGTATATGATCCAATTGAAATTCTTTATGATGAATTTTATGTCAATGTCAGTACAAAGAAGAATCTTTTCTTGTACCATTAATGTGGGACTTAATAATGGTAGAATTAACGATAATATCAAGATAATTTTTAATTAATCTCATCGTTATATATAATGAAAATATATGACGTCCCACAATTGTTGAAATTTTATTATTTGTAACTGTTATGAACCATCTGCTCTTACCTCTTACTCTACGTTCACCAATGTCACCTATCCAATACAATACTTCAATTAAATGGTTGCAAAATATCGTAAATATATATAGTCGTGTGAATTTTATCAATATCAAGTATTTGCTAAAAAAAAACAACCAACCAAAATTGACTTGAAAAAAATAAATAGGTTCAAAGTTAATAGAAAGTGAAATATTTCAAATAGGTTGTAAACAAATCAGTCAATTATAGAGTTCTAACAAGAGAAAACAAACCATATATATACATAGTATGTCAGCCAAAATTTTTGTCATAAATTGAGTTTTTTTGAAGTTTGTCGAATACTAACAAATATTTTTCAATTTAGAAAATTTCATAAAATGTCAGAATCACAACAACAACAACAACAATTAGTATCTAGTTCAAGTAAAAATTTGTTAAATGATAAATGGGATGTAGTATTATCAAATGCATTAATTAAAACTGGTTTAGGTTTTGGTGGAGGTGTTTTAGCATCAATATTATTTTTTAAAAGAAGATCATTTCCAGTTTGGGTCGGCATTGGATTTGGATTAGGTAGAGGTTATTCAGAAGGAGATGCTATATTTAGATCAAATCATGGTTTAAGAACAGTTAAAGCATAAACAATACCAATCAAACCCTTAACAATTATACATTTTATTATAAATAGCATAATATATAAAACATCAAAAGTTCTAATTGATAGAGAAACCAATTAATAGATTTGTATGTATTGTATCATTTTTCGCATGGCGTCGTTTTATATTCTTCGCATTGAAAAATTGATTCTTATCTGAAACATCAGTTATATGATATGGATGATATAATAAATCAATTAATAAAAGATAATATAAACATATATGAATTCTTACAAGTAGATCCATCATCAATTACAAATGATATTAAAAAATCATATTATAAATTATCTTTAAAATATCATCCTGACAAAAAAACTGGTTCAATTGAACAATTTAATTTATTAAGAACAAGTTATGAAATATTATCAAATGAGGAATATAAAAGGAAATATGATGATTTGATTAAAATAAAATTACAAAATCAAACTAATTTTAACAATTTGAGTGAAACAACAAGGAAATTTCAAACTGATATACTTAATCAAAATAAAAAGAAAAGGTCATCACCTCAAAACTTAGAATTACTACGAGAAGATGGTTTAAATAAACGACGGAAATTGGAAAAATCAAAGAATGAAAAACAAACATTATCTATTTATGATTTATCTGTTGATTTTATAATTTTTTTTGAAAATAAAAAACAATATTTAGTTAAATTAAAAGTTAAAATAAAACCAAAGGTTGAAATTGATCACATTATAATTACTGAGATTATGAGTATATTTGGTGAGATTAAGCAAGTTAGATTTGATAGTAAAGATGATGATGATAGATATGAATATTTCATAATTGAATTCAAGAATAAATCAAGTATGGATTCTGCTTTAAATTATGATTATTCAAGTGGTAAGAAATGGGATGGTACTAATGTTAGAAAATTAGCAAGTTTATTAAGACGTTGCAATATAGTAAGCTCAAGTACCAGTTATACAAATAATTCATTTGTTAATTCAGTTTTAGAAAATTATGTCAAATCCGTATCTGACAAAATATCAACAAAATGATATTTTGCCTTTTAAAATTTCGTTTGATATATGATCACAATAAACAAAGAAAGAATACCTTCTTTGAGGATCAAATAGAACATTTATAAATAATTATATTCATTAATCATCTCTCCATGCAATATACACTTCATCAGTTCTAAATCTTTGAGTGCATACAGTATCTTTTAAATCTTTAATTATACCACCAGTTCTATATTGTAATAAACCAGCATGAGCAATCATAATTCCATTATCAATACAAAATCTTTCATCAGTTGCAAAAATTTGACCATTTTTACGATCTTGAATCATTAATTTCATCATTTCTTGTAATCTTTCATTTGAACCAACTCCACCAACTATTAAAACTTGATTTGAATTAACATGAGCTAATGCTCTTTCAGTTATTTCAACCAACATACTAAATAAAATTTCTTGTAATGAAAAGCATAAATCTTCTTTTGTTATAAATTCACCTGATTCTTCGTCTTTTAATTGTTTTTTCTGTATACCAAACATATCTTTTGCTAATTGATCTATGTAAGCTAATATACCACTCATTGACATATCCATACCTTTAACTGTATATGGTAGATTAACTAAATGTTTCCCCTTTTTAGCTAATTGTTCAATATTATAACCTGGTGCAGGATCATTTGAAATTTTTAAAGTTCTTGCAAATCTATCTAAACAATTACCAATTGCAATATCCAAAGTTTCACCAAATATACGATATCTATTTTTTGAATATGCGATAACTTGAGTATTACCTCCAGAAACATATAAAACAACTGGATTTAAAGCACCAGTAATTTCTCTACCCATTTCAATATGACCAATACAATGATTTACACCAACTAATGGAATTTGCCAAATTTGAGAAATAGTTCTTGCTGCAATAACAACACTTTGTAAAGGTGCACCCATTCCTGGACCTTGAGTAAAACAAATTACATCAATATCAAATTTATTTATATTAGCATCTTTTATAGCTTTTTTTATAATTCTAACAACCCAATTTCTATGATGTCTTGCGGTATCTCTTGGTAAAAAACCTTCACCTGGTGGTGTTATATAAGTATCTCTAACATTTGATAATACTTTAGCTTTATTAACATTTGATAACAATCCTTTTGAATGTTTAATAATACCGACCCCTAATTTATTAGCACTACCTTCTAAACCAATAGCTATATAATAATCTTTATCTTGTTTTAAATATTTATCAAGATCAACAACCATCGTATACCACCCACACGAAAAAAAAAAATATATATATATATAAACATAAACAAACCATATGTCAATGATAAACAATTTAAACAAGATAAACCAAAGTATAAGACTGATACAATCAAATGATTTCAATAAATTCGGTGTATTTACAAATTCAATTGTTAATTTACCTGATCCAATAAAATTAATTAAAGATGCAAGTGACGATGAAAATTTATTATATAAAATTATAACTATACCTAATGGTGATATTCAACCAATACGGATTGATGGTAGACAATTATATAAATTTGAAAATTTAGAGGGAAGTAATCCGATTGTAAAACCATTAGATTTAGATTATGATTCTATATCTTATCCATTAATTTTAAATCAAATATCGCATGGTGATTTGAAAAATAAATTAAGGAACTTAATTAATTTCATAAATAGGTATTCAAATTTAATACCAAATTATCCAGATATACAAAATGAATTAAACGAATTAATTAAAAAGTATAACAATGAGATTAGAGAAATTGATTCATTAACTATGGAATTAGAAAATGAACCTGATTCGAATTATGATGATGATTTAGATGATGCAATAGAATTAGAAGAAAAATTAATAAAAGATTTAGAATCAAAAATTAATCAATTAAATAATTAACTAATTAATTAATTAATTAATATATATTTATTTAAACTGAAGTTAAAATATCTGAATCACCAGCATCTAAAATTGATAAAGTACCAACTCTAAATAATTTACCACAAACAGTACCTAATTCATTGTTACCACCTTGGAAATAATAAACTGGAGTTTTTGATAACATAGCATAATATTCTAATTCTGATTTTCTTAAAACTGGAGTATTAGCAGCAATGATAACTAATTTAGCTTTACCAGTTCTTAATGATTTAACAACAGATTTATAACCCAAGGTATATTTACCTGATTTAATAGACAAAGCTAATTTTGAGTTAATGTTTTCTTGATTTTTAGCTGATTTTGGGGCCTGAACAAGTTAGTAATTTTGAACCCAATTTGATTGTTTGATTAATCTTGACATACAACAACTGACTCATGAAAATTAATTCATGATGGGTTGTGTAAATTAATCTATTAAATTATAATTATACTGACCATCTCTGTGATATGTATATAATTAATTAAACACTCCGGTCTTGATTTTAAAAAAGCAGAGGAAAGAAAAGTTTCAAAATTAAAAGTGGAAAAATCAAATTCGTAAAACTTGAGTACTGTATATAACGTGTTTCAGATGTCCAGAAGAGGGTAATAACCCTAAAAACAATGTAAGTTCACGTGCTTTAATAGTAAGCGAACATTAACCAAATCACACACTACACAAACGAAAAAGAACAAAAATTTCAATTTTTATATTGACTATTTTGTTAGTTTAATTAATCAATCAAGTACAATAAGTATGTTGAACAAAAGATAACAGATATACATCAAATTAATGAAATTATAATGTGAAAGAAAGACAAGATCGAAGTGGAAAGAGAGTTAGAAGATAGAAGAATAAACAAGGGAATGACAGATCTCAATATTCAATCAAGTTTGATGTTTAATAGTATATTCAATTACTAACTATTCTAGTTTACAATGAAGATTGAAGTTGATTCATTTTCAGGTTCTAAAATTTACCCAGGTAGAGGTACTTTATTTGTTAGAGGTGATTCAAAGATTTTTAGATTTCAATCATCAAAATCAGCTTCTTTATTTCATCAAAGAAAAAATCCAAGAAGAATTTCATGGACTGTTTTATATAGAAGACACCATAAAAAAGGTATTTCAGAAGAAACTTCAAAAAAAAGATCAAGAAAAACCGTTAAACATCAAAGAGCTATTGTTGGTGCTTCATTAGAATTAATTAAAGAAAGAAGATCACAAAAACCAAGTGAAAGAAAAGCTACAAGAGAAGCTAAATTACAAAAAGATAAAGAAGCTAAAAAAAATGCTAAAGCTCAAAGAAAAGCAGAAAAAGCTAAATCAGCAGCTCAAGGTGCTAAATCAGGTGTTTCAAAACAACAACAAAAAGGTGCTTTTCAAAAAGTTCATGCTACTTCAAGATAAATGTATAAATTGTATTTAAAGATAATTTAAATATATAATGTTATTGTAATTTATATTCACCTATTGTAAATATATTATTATAACTTAGGATGACTTTAATATCATGATTTACTTTAAATGCAAAATGAAAGGATTCAGTTGTATGACAATAGATCAATTGTACTTTATCTATCTCTTTTATAATTACTATTACACCAACATATATGTCTTTAACTAAATTATGCAAATATTCTCTATAATCTTGATTTAGTATATTATTTACAATTGTGTTTGCTAACGAATATTTTATAATGTCTTCACCAGAACCTGAACACATACAACTTATCTCATAATCTTCAAATTTTTTAAATGCAATTCCACTTCCAATTATACCAGCACAACCAATTCTACCCGGTAATTTGAAAAAATTGCCACCTGAAGAAGTGGCAATATTTGTTTCATTTAAAGTCATAGTTATAACACCAATTGTATCAGTTGTTTCTTCAGGTATAATGATTTGTTGAAATTGTTCATTATTGAATACTTGATCCTTATAAAAATCATAAATTCGTCGTGCTTGAGATGATACCAAATTGACTTGTTCCAGACGTGGTATAATTTTGATTGATTGTAACAGCTTATAATTTAATATTAGTGGTTGTGATAAATCTGAATTTTGGTAAGTTTCTTCAACTTTTGAATACGTATTTATTAGATTTTCAATTGGGTGCAAAACGTCCATTCCCACTAAAGCTCCTTGTTTTATAGTATAATTATAACAATTTATATAACTTGCATCACATTCAACTTGACCTAAAAGATTCAATGATGAGCCGTAACCTGTATTAGTTAATACTGATGATTCAATAGCTTTGGCAATTTCAATAAAGTTTTCCTTTCGTATCAGATACTTTAGTAATTTCTTGTAACTATCATTCTTATCTTTGTTATGTTTACCTGCACCAATATGAATAACCGTTATATCCATTTAATGATCTTTATTCTATTTACACTCATTCAAAACTGTACCTTAAAATTTTTTTTTTTTTCTTTGTTTTTTTTCTGTTTTTTTTTTTTTCAAAAGTGTTGCAAAATAAGATTAAAGTTAAGTTATTGTTGTAGTTTACGCTGAAAAATAACAAGTTAAACAAACTTCCCCTACAACTTTGTGCTCGCGACCTTTGGTTATTTTGAGCTCTTAGACGAGGGCACCTTATAATCTGTCAGTATAAAAGTTACAAATCGAAACTCTTTACAAGAAACGCAATATAAACGCATTGTATTGTTTTTTCGGTGTTTGAATATATATATGCGGTTGAGAGTCGTGTCTAAATTACTGTAATGTTCAAAACTAAAATAGACGACGCAAAATAGACCAAAAAAAGTGGAAGTTTGAAAACGAGAAATTATCAAAGCAATAAGTTGCTTCCTACTTGCTACTTCGTACTTCTTATCAACTCCATATAAACGCCCAAATATTGTTCTAATCTGTAAGATATTGAAAAGACAGCGATGAGCTTCGAGATACGAAAAGAAAAGTCATATATTTTTGTAACTTAAGAAAACGACTCAGAAATTAAGAATAATATGACAATAGGATGTCACACAAAGTCCTCTTTGTGGTGATTACTTTTGAGTATAGAAATTGAGAATCAGAAACGAAACGTGTGATGGGAGGTTTAAATTGAAAATTAAATTTAAAAGCATCATTGTCTGTAATAGCAATAAATTATAAAGAATTAGATTAATTTAAATGACTAAAATCAAATACCGTAAATCCCCATTTGAAATTTTGCAATTTGAAATCCCGAAAATTATTACAAAGCCTCGTGGTTTGGTTTTTGGTTTTAGTTTGCTCTAATACTTAAATTATATAATGTAGATCTTCAGATATATTAGTTAGTTTGGTTAGGTTTGAAACCACGTGGCTTTTATTTGAATTTAGTTCACTAATGAACACTCCCTAATGAAATATAGTATTAACAGCTTTAATAGTACTTAAAATGGTTTTCCAAATTTAAATCTGGAGATAGAAGCTTAAAATCATATTACGTAATTGATCTACCAATGATTACTTAAGGGGCTAAATAATTTTTTTTTTTTTTTTTTTTTTTTGCTTAATTCTATTTTTATTTATCAGTCAGTTATTAACCTCATATTTAATTTGATTAATATCACTTGAAAAACCATACATAATACATTACTTTAATAGACTAGTATAGAATTATCAAATAACATTCTTTATTGAATTATTTATTGTGTTGCATATTGTTTTATATCTTTATAGATTTATTTATGGTTTCATATCACCATGGGGTTTAAACATATAAATTATTTCGGGTATGGGATATACAATGATATTAAAACAAGGCTAAAATATTATCCATCAGATTTTAAAGATGCTATAAATTATAGAGTAATACCAAGTACTGTTTTTATATTTTTTGCTAATTTATTACCTGCAATTGCTTTTGCTCAAGATATGTTTGATAAAACAAATCATGCTTATGGTGTTAATGAAGTTTTATTATCTTCAGGTTTAGCTGGAGTTGTATTTGGTTTATTTTCTGGTCAACCATTATGTATTGTTGGTGTTACTGGTCCAATTTCAATTTTCAGTTATACTGTTTATGAATTAATGCATCCTAGAGGTACTCCATATTTCCCATTTATGTGTTGGATTTATTTATGGTCTATGATTTTTCATTTTGCCATTGCTTTGGGTAATTATGTTTCATTTCTAAGAATTATAAGTCTTTATAGTTGTGATATTTTTGGATTTTTTATAAATATGGTTTATATTCAAAAGGGGATTCAAATTTTAAGTAATCAATTTGATGAAATTAATTTAGCTTCTGGTTATTGTTCAGTTATGATTTCTTTATGTATGATTATTTGTGGTGTTGGCTCACAAATATTTGGTAATGAATTACATTATTTTAAACCATGGATTAGAAAAGTATTTGTTGATTATGGTGTTGTTGCTAGTGTTATTTTCTTCACTGGGTTTATTCATTTTGGTGGAAAATTAGTTTATACAGATATTCAAAAATTACCAATTACAAAGACATTTGAACCAACAACTTCTGGAATTGTTAGACCTCATGGTTGGTTTATTCATTTTTGGCCAGGTGAAAATATATCTGTTAGTGATGTATTTTTAGCAATTCCATTTGCAATTTTATTAACTTTTTTATTTTATTTTGATCATAATGTTTCAAGTTTAATGTGTCAATCAAAAGAATATCCATTGAAAAAACCAGCTAGTTTTCATTGGGATTTCTTTTTATTAGGTTTAACTACAGGTATTGCTGGACTATTAGGTATACCTGCACCAAATGGATTAATTCCACAAGCCCCATTACATACTGAAAGTTTAATTGTTCATGATTCAAAAGGGAAAAGATTATCTGTTGTTGAACAAAGAGTTTCAAATACTGTACAAGGTGCAATTACTTTTGTAATGATGACAAGACCATTTTTGATTTTATTGGGTTTAGTTCCACAAGCCGTTTTATCTGGTTTATTTTTCATCATGGCTATTGGTGGATTACATGGTAATATAGTTACAAATAGAATAAGATTTATATTTTTAGATTCAGATTATATTCAAAATGATGAAACATGTCCAAAAATGTGGAAAGAAATGAAAAAAATCCCAAAAAAATGGTTGTATATTTATACTTTTTTAGAAGCAATTGGAGGTGTTGCTGAATTTGTAATCACTTTAACAAAAGGAGCTGTTGGATTTCCTGGAGTTTTATTATTCTTAGCATTTTGTGCAAAATGGATATGGCCATTAATTATACCAAGACAAGAATTAGATAAATTAGATGGTGATGTGGCTGATGAATTTATATTAAAGAATATAACAGTTGCTGATGATGAGAAGAAAAAGAGGCGACAAATGGAAAAATTGATTGATGAAGAAAAGAATACTAGTGATACTGAAACAACAACAAATGAAAGAACAACTAGTGATGATAATTAATTATATTTTAGCATAATCATGAATCAGGACTTAATGATAATCAGCTGATTGAATTCAAATGTCCGTTCATTTTCGTTTTTATTTATTATGAGATTTTTGTTTTAAAGGGATAATACATATAATTGCATATATAAAACAGAGCAATATTTCTATTTTTTAAAAAATCTAAAATGTTTTCAAATAAAGTTGCATTAGTTACAGGTGGATTATAATCAAATATTGGTTTCAATACCAGTGTTAATCTTTTGAAAAATGGATGTAAGGTTATTATTGGAGATTCTCATTTGAATGAAACTGAAATTGATAGTAAATTAAACGCACTTAAATCAATTTGTAATTTATCTTCAACAAATCAACAAATGCATTTTTTAAAGTCCAAGGTTGATGATTTTGAAGATGCAATTAAATTAATTGATTTCACGATTGATGAATTCAAGACCGTGAATTATTTAATTACAAATGGACCAGAAATAAACAAACTTGATTTGGATTTTGATGAGAGTATAGTTGATTTCAAAACTTGTTTTAATGATTATTTATTATCTGTTTATAATATTAATAAATTGATAATTAATTATTGGAAAGAATTTAAATTACAAGGACAAATTATAAATTGTGCTTCTGATGTATTATATCCCTCATCCAAAGTGACAAACCATTCAATTATTAAACGTACTTTAGTTGGGTTAACTAGAAATTTAGCAATTGAAAATGCAAAGAATGATATTAAAGTGAATATGATAAGTCATGGATGGATTAAAAATTCAAAAATTTTAAATGAAGTAATGAAAAACACAAATGAAAATGAAATCTTAGCAAAGATTCCAATGAATAAACTTGGTAATGAAGACGATGTATATAAGGCTGTTGAATTCTTATTGGCAAATCCTGATTTGTACATGACTGGTCAAAATATAATTATTGATGGAGGTTTGAGCTTTAAATAGGTTCGCAACTTAAAAACCAATCAATCAATGTACATCGTGAATATATGAAAACTTGGTCTTATTATTATTAAGTATCATTTGAACCTCTATCGTCGTCAGTAATTATAGATCTATTTGGTTATTAATTAATATTTTGCAGCCAAAACTTTAATCGCGTTCTGCATATAAATTTTGAAACGAAATTTAAAATTATAAAGTTGATCTGGTTCATCTCTATCAAATGTCTGATAAAAGGGATAGAGATCAAATATTACATGCATTTGAAGATAATTATGCAAGAGATTTGGCAATACATTTATATTCCATAGTTTTATTACATCGAATAAATCCATTATTTCCAAAAAATAGTTATTATAATTGGCCATTAACTTTAGATTTAGTACCCATTCCACCTAATAATTATGAAGATGACATATATGACCAATCTGATTTTGAAGAAGATATAGATGTTGATGAAGCACGAACTGATGTTGATTATTGGAATTATATAAAAAGTGTAACTAGGACAAGACAAATTAAAATGTTAAAAGATCCAGAAACAAAAAGTGCTGAATCAAATGAAAATGACCAAGATTATGTGAGCAATATCGACTGGGATAAGCCAATAATGAATGTTATGTTTCGAGAAAAATTACCGAATTCAAAACCAGTTTTATTAAATGCAATATCGTCAGTTATACAATCAAAAATACGATCAAAAATCAAAGAGAAGCAAACAGCAGATCAAAATGACGAAGTATTGAAATACTTTTCTACTAAAATTGCAAACAAGTTTGAAGCTATGTTGAATCAATTTATTCTAAGTAAAGACCAAACTTGGATAGATGTAATTGATTGTGGTATAAAATCAGAAGTTTCACCTTATAAAAAGATAAATACCTGGTCATACAGACAATTGATTGAAAAATGTAACGCCTTATTCAATGATATTCGATATGATTATGAATTTGATGATGATAAAGTACCTCCAGATGTTAAATCAAATGATGGTACATTTAATGTTATGAAATATCTTGAATCATTAAAAGATATACAAGGAGGTTGGGGTCAATTAACATATGAACAATATTATGAAAGATATTTACCTAATTTAAATGACAAAATCAAAAGAGAGGCTCAATTAAATCTTGAAATGGATGAAAGATTAAGATTACAAAAATCTGGGCTTTTTGATAATTCTACTCCAATTGAAGATTATATATTAAAATGATAAATCCAAATTCCAATTAAACAAAACCCAAAAAACATTAATACTCTTTTATTATCTCTCTAATTTCTTTTTTCAAATGTTGATGTAATTTCAGTTCCAAATATAACATCCCAAAATTTCAGTGTAACACCAAATCCCATCTCATAATTTTTATAATGATGTTCTAAATGATAAGTTTTTAAATCCTGTAAAAATTTTGGTAATTTAGTATGATGTAAGACATAATGAGTTATATCATACATTATATAACCTAAAGTACCACCAGCAAATCCAGAACAAGCCATATAAAATGGAAAAATTGCAAAAACTAATTTATAAAATGGATATGCTAAAACTATAAATAATGTAGGTGGTAAAACTAATCTATAACCATCCATTGGTAAATAATGATGAATTCCATGTAATAAAAAATGTAAACTTAAAGCATATGGATGATCAGGTAAATAAAAATCTAAATGAAATAAAAATCTATGTAAACAATATTCAACAAATGTCCAAACAAATAAACCCATAATCCAAAGACTTAAACTTGTTAAAATTGGTTGATTTGCAAATCCAATATAAAAAATATAAAGATTTGGAGGTAACCAAACTAATGGAACAACCCACCATGGAGTTAAACTTATTGGTTCCAAGAAATTGCCAAATAATGGTGCAGAACCTTTACCATAATGTCTTGGACGATGAACTTGATCTAAATAAAAGTCTTTTGAAAAATCACTAGTTAATAATTGAATTAATAATGGTTTATTTAAATCTAAAAATTTATGCTTTTTAGCATCTTCTTGAAAATCAGTTTGTATACTTAATTTTTCCAATGTTGGTAAATCTTCATGAAATTCATACATATCAAAATCATTATTAGTTAATTTTACTTCTACTGGTGTTTTATTTTTATTATTTAATAATTCTTCTTCTTCAATTTCTGTTGCTAAATATCCAACTAAATAATTTTCATCTAAAATATCATAAGCACTTTCTGAATGTTGATGAACATCTAAATCTGCCATAATTGAAGTAATGTCTTTACCAGCATAAGGTAATATAATATCATCACCACCAGGATGTTCATTTAAAAATGGAGTAACATTATAGATTTTACGTTGATATAAAGTACACCAACAATCATTTGGTTGATTATGTTTTGAAACTTCTTTTATAGAAAGTAATGGTAAATTTTTGGATATCATTGATTGATAAATAGTTTATGGATATTCCTTGTTAGTTATACCTAATGAATCTAATATCAAATGGAAAATGGTGTGATTGTAAGGAATGAAACTTTATATGTTATAGTTTTTAATATTTTTTTTTTTTTTTTTCTTCCCAAAAAAAATCACGGAAAAACTTACAAAATTTCTTTTTATTATTTTGGCTGCAAATTTGCAATCAAAACAATTGAAAATAACGATATATGAGTTGAGACAGGTACCCTTGGTATAAGGGTAGCTTGATTAGAGTAGGATATTTGATTGAGATAAAAATTCTGAGTCCTGTAACTTTTTTTTTTGATTTTTTCGAAATTTTGCAAAATTTTTAATCATACCACTTCCTATTACATACGAGCTCGAATTATACTTAGTTCATTTACTATACATTAAAATAAATTTTAGAAACCAAACTTTCCAATGAACTTTGAATTAAATCACGAGTTGATTCACCTTCTAAACGTATATATTCTAAAATTAATAACCTAAACTAAAAACATTAACCATAAATTAAATCTATCAAGAAGCATAATCCGCCACCCCAAGTTAACCTTTGTAACAATTTTTTCAACCAATTTGTTTTAACATTTATAAATAAATTACCACAATTATAACCTTCTGATTCAATACCAACACCCCACTTTATATTTTCACGTACATTACATCCTTGCCAAAAATTCCACCATTTTGCTCTCTCACATGGTTTTAGTCTCATTAAATTTTTACATAAAGGTCCGGTTGGTCCATTAATATATTTATAACCACCAACAATTGAATATGTTTGTCTTGGATCATTATATGGTAATTGTTTATCACCCCAATGACCTTTAAAACTTAACCAATTATCATATTCAATTTCTCTACCTATATGTTTAACATTTGTATTTTCAATTGGATATACAAAATTACCATCATATGTATAACCTAAATAATTTTGATTTGGATTCCATAATGGACCTCTATCTGTAAAATCACTTAATATACCATATGGTAAATCATGTGGATGTTGACCAACACTTGGATAATTTGCATGAGTACCTCTGGCAGAAAATATAATTGGATGTCTTGAATCTAATTTATATTTTTCTAAATTATGATAATAAAAAGCACCACCACCACCATGAGCGGACATCCATACAATAACTGGTTCACCTTTATAATATCTAACTAAAGAATGTTCCCAATCACCAACATGATTTCCATATGGACCTTGACCCATTACAAATGGACCTAAATTAAAAGAATAAAAATAAAACCAAAAAGCATCAACCCATCCATTTCCCTTATCAACTATAATTAATGTAGCAGGAGCATTTTCAATTTCACCATTAATTAAATTTGGTTTATTTTTAACTCCAGTTATCCATTCTGGATCTGAATCAAAATCAGTATTTGAAGTTAAAAAAGTTTCTTCATTTTTTGGAATATTAGTTAAATTTTGAATTGAAATAGATTCAAATCCAGTTATATTTGAACCATTATTAAAAGTTGCATAAAAATTTGTAACGTATTCTTTTATACCATAGGGTAAATATTTCTCTTCACTATAAAGATAAACTAATGGTGAATAATTTATAACGTAGTCTGGTATTTCACCATCTTTAATAGATCTCTCTTCAGCAGATGGTAAATGTTTTATTGAAGGATAATCTTTATAAATTAATGGATCTTTTAAAATATTTTCAATTTTTAATTCACGTTCTTCATTATTAATAATATTGAATAAACAATTTGAAGAATTTGAAACATCAAATGATATAATACCAAATGCTAGATTTATGAATGTGAATATTAATAATAAAGATATCATAGAATAGATCTTCTAATTTATCATATAATAGTTTTGTTGTAAGTAATATGCCGTGGTAAAGAAATCTGTTGTCAGTCGTTTTTTTTTTAGTGATATTTTTATAACCGAGATTGGCGTAGATAAGGCGAATAGTACTAGTACAAAACCATACGATACAAACAGTCTATTCATATATATATATTACTACTCTAAAAGACAAACACTTCATCTCCTAATTTTGATACTGGTTTTGCTTTTGCAAATCCTAATTCAACTGCTGCTTTCTTCATTGCACTAATCATTGGTGGTGGTCCACATAATAACAAATTATTATCAATTGATGATTTTGGTAAATATTTTTCAATTAATTCAGGTGTAACAAATCCAATTGAATATTCCCAATTTTCTGGTTTTTGATTTAACACATAATGTATTTTAAATTGTTGTGGATGTTTTAAAACTAATTCATCTAATTCTTTTCTCAACAAAATATCATTTTCTGTAACATTTGCATATAATAAATGAATTTTAGTTTTATCATCTGGATTATTTAAAATATGTGTAATAATTTGATACATTGGTGCAATACCTGTACCACCAGCAATCATACCAAATGATTTAGTCATATTTGGAGTATAAGTGAAAAATCCCTTTGGACCTCTAATGTCAATTAAATCACCTTCTTTTTTTTCATTCATAAATTTTGAAATATTACCTTGATCGTAAGTTTTAATTAATAAATCAAATGAACCTAATTGATCAGAATTTGAAATTGGAGTATATGATCTAACTATTTCTTTGCCATTTATAATTGAACCAATTGAAATATGCTGACCAATTGGTAAATTTAATTTATCGCTTGGTTTTGGTAAACCAAATTTATAGATTTTTGAATTATGACTAACTTTTGTAATTTTTAAAATTGGAAATTTAATAAATTCATCTGGTTTTAAAATTGGTTTGGATTTTTTAGATTGTTGAAATAAATAATAAATAACAAATGAAGAAATAATTGAAACTATAGTAGCAAAGATGATCAATGGATTAGTTTCACCTTCTGAAGCCATTTTGAAACTATTATTTTGTTAAACTAATGGAAGGGTATTGATGAAGTTGAAAAAAATTCGTTGATTTTCACCACCCTAAAAAAATAAATTAAAATTTTAATCACATGCATCGTATGAAAATTTCCACCGGAATTGTCTGAAACAGTACTGTTTATCACGTGGATATACCCTCGAATATATACGGTTATATCTTATGGATCAATTATCTATGAACAGAGAAGAGTACAATTCTGTAGATAGTTCTAAGATTGTTATAGAAAAATAAGAGGATTAAGGAGGAAATTAAATGCTTAATCTTAGAGATAGCATCTTCAAAGTATCTTCAATTCCATGTTATTCTTTTCAAATCCCGTTAAGCGGTAATGGGCATTTATTTTTTTGCTCGTCTAATTAATTAATTATTTACATCTTCATCTATACTTTTAACAGTCCATTGTGCACTTATATCCCATCTTGAACCTTTTGAATTTATACTAACATATTTTATAAATTTTAATACACTTGGATCTCTAACCATTAATGTTAACAGATTCCATTTACATTGATTTGTAAATAATACACTATCATCATTATCTGAATTTGATGATTTATAAATTGCAGGATCATCGTCTTCAAATTCACCATCTTCATTATTTGGTAATGCCATACATAATTCATAACCACCGAATTCTCCAGATTCCCAATTTTTAGGGTTAGTTGCAGTTGGTGTTAAATTTAATGTAGCTTCAAGCAAAACGTTTTCTTCTTGATGATTTCTTGCTAAATTTTTTTCAGTAGTTGTAGCTAATATAAAATCTTTACCTGGTCTAAATCTTCTTATTAAAACTTGATCACTTGTGACAATTAAACTAGTCAATTTCTTTAACCATTTTTTGAACAGTATAGATTTTAAGAATTTTGCTAAATCTATTAATTTATTATCTACTTCTTTTTCGCTGGTTACTAAATTGAAATTTGGTAATTCTTGTGGTGCTATTTTATTTTGATAATTTATACTTTCTTCATTCAATTCAAATGATGACTTACCATCAATATACATAAATCTTTGTTTATGGGGAGGAACGGCTATTTTCCATGGAAATTTCACATCTGTTGATAATTTTGGAGTTATGTCATTAATTTCAGAACTTCTTATCAAATTTTTTAGTATTTCTGAATACTTTTGGTTGAGAAAATTACCTAACTCAACAACTGATTCATCTGAAAATACCTCATTTAATTTCTTCAAAGTTTCAAATTTCAAATATATTGGATTTAAAAATTTCAGTAAATAATCAAAGTCTTCATCTGATAATTCTTGTTCTATTATTTTTGATTCTTGTGGATTTAAATCATCTCTATATAATTTTGGGAAATCAAATTCTTGTAATTCTTTAGATTGTAATTGTTGTAATGTTGACATTGCTTCAACTTTTGATTGTTCACCAGGTATATAACCTTCTTCCCCTTGTTGTGGAATATGAAACCAACCTTGAATTGATAATCTATGTCTATCTTCTCTAACTTCTTCAACATCATGAAATGATAAACCTGGTTGAACTGTAAAAAATGCAATTTGATTAAATTGTGGAGTTAATTTACAATAATAATCAGTTTTAGGAACATTGGGAACTATAGAATCAAATAATCTTAATGATCCACCATATTGTTCTTTCCATTTATAATTTGGATCAGGTAAATATAAAATAAATGAAACTCTTCTTGATCCAATAACATCATCATGAGTTAATAAATGACAACCTTTAACATAAGTATTAATTGACATATCTGTTTTCATACCTGATAATTTACCACATCCAGTAACTTCTGAAATGAAATCTCTAAAATCTTTTGAATAAATAGCTGATCTTAATTTATATAATGATGGTAATTTACTTAAATCATTCCAATCTAAACCTGATAAATTAGCCAAATCACCAGATTGATAAACTTTGTATATATCCGTTTCTTTTTTAGTGAAAGCAATCTCATTAAGTACTTCATTTCTAACATTTTTAAGTAATTCATCATTAATTAAATGTTTGACCGTCCCCCATCTATAGGGTTGACTATTTGATATATCTTGTTTTAATTGCTGCTGAAACTTTTCATCCCAAATTTGATCATTGAAGAAATTCTTTATTTCTGATTTACTATAGTCTATATGTAGCTTCTTATTGCTTGTACCTTCTTCTTGTCTTTGTCTCTGTCTCTTTGTCATTATAATCAGATCATAAAATATTTAAGATGAGATATGCTACCAAGTAGTCGTATTGCAATGGAATAAAAGTTACGGCCAGTCATCAGCCGATTACGGCATGAAAAAAGAAACCGTTTTGGAACGACAATTTTGTGTAACATTTTTTTATATTTATTTTTTTTTTTTTTTTTTTTTTTCAATCTTGACTCATTTATTATAATTTTTCACTTGAATCATTTTCATTTCTACAAGCTTAGAACATGTCTAGATCACCTTCTTTGGCTCCTAGATCTTCTTACAATTCAGTTTTGGATCTAAAACGATCTTATTCACCTGCTAGTTCTGGTTGGATTATTCAAAAATTTGGTGGTACTTCAGTTGGTAAATTTCCTGAAAATATAGTTGATGATATTGTTAAAGAATTTAGTAAAAATAATAGAGTTGCTATAGTGTGTAGTGCTAGATCATCAAATACTAAACTGGAAGGTACTACTTCGAGATTAATTAAATCTGCTGATTTAGCTTCAAATAATGAAGATTTTGAAGCATTATTAAAAATTATTGAACAAGATCATTTACAAAATGCTGAACGAATTAAAGACTCAGATATTAAACAAAAGTTGATTAAAGATACTCAAAATGAAATATCTCATGGTAAAGAATTATTACACGCTTGTCAAATTATTGGTGAAATTAGCGCGAGGTCACTAGATTCAATCATGTCAATTGGAGAAAAATTATCATGTTTATTTATGACTGCTTTAATGAAAGATCGTGGATTAAATGCTCATTACATAAATTTACAGGATATAATACAGATAAATTATGAATTTAAGAATGGTTTTGATGATTTATTTTATCAATTTTTAAGTAAAGAAATTGGTAAACGTATACTAAATATAAATGAACCTGATGCAATTCCTGTATTAACTGGTTATTTTGGTATTGTACCTGGTGGGTTATTAAATGGTGTTGGTAGAGGTTATACTGATTTATGTGCAGCATTAGCTGCTGTTGGTATTCAAGCTGACGAATTACAAATTTGGAAAGAAGTTGATGGTATATTTACTGCAGATCCAAGAAAAGTTCCAAATGCAAGATTATTAGATTCAGTTACACCTGAAGAAGCTGCTGAGTTAACTTATTATGGATCCGAAGTTATACATCCATTCACTATGGAACAAGTTATAAAAGCAAAAATTCCAATTAGAATTAAAAATGTTGAAAATCCAAAAGGTAAAGGTACAATTATATATCCTGATAATATAGCAAGAAGAGGCGAAGAAACTCCACCACATCCACCAGCAGCTTATGAAACATTACCATTAAATTATATTGCAACTCATAAAAGAAGATCAGCAACAGCAATTACAGCAAAACAAGATATTGTAGTTATAAACATTCATTCAAATAAAAAGACATTAAGCCATGGGTTTTTAGCACATATTTTTACAACACTTGATAATTATAAATTGGTTGTTGATTTAATTTCAACTTCTGAAGTTCATGTTTCAATGGCATTATCAATACAATCAGATTCTGAACATCATTTAAAGTATGCATTAGAAGATTTTAAAAAAATGGGTTCAGTTGATGTTACAAAAAAAATGACAATTATTTCATTAGTTGGTAAACAAATGGTTAATTTTATTGGTATTGCTGGTAACATGTTTAAAATTTTAGCAGATGAAAAGATTAATATTGAAATGATTAGTCAAGGTGCTAATGAAATTAATATAAGTGCAGTTATAAATGAAAAAGATACAATTAGAGCATTAAAATCAATTCATGCAAAATTATTAGAAGGTAAAGACAATGTTGAAGAACAAAATGGAAGTGCTATAGATATAAGATTAGAATCATTAAAACTACTGTAAATATAAATTAAACTAAATATCAAAATCACCAGATTCTCTATGATTAGTTTCTTCAGGTTTATTTTCCTCAATTAATGATTCAAATTCACCAACCATACCGTTTAATAATTCATATGCTAATTTGTGATAAGCTAATTGAGCATTAATTAATTCTAAAAATTCTTGTAATGGGTTTGCATTTTGCAAAACATTTTGCATAATATTAATTGCATCTTCAACAGTATTCGCAAATTCATCTTCTGCATTTTCCATATCTACTCTTAATTGTGGTTCTTTATTTGGATTGGTATTGTTGGTTAAATTTGATCTTGATAAATCATAATCTATTCTCTTTTGTTCAACTTTCTTTTGAATATTATTTGATTGTGAAATTAATGATCTTAATGTTGTAGTTAATGGTTTGTTGAATTTTGATTTGATTAATTGATCTTGTCCTAATCTTGCATTTGCAATTTTATTTAAATTTGATGAATAAAGGTCCAAACCTTTAATTAATGGATCTTGTTGACCATTACCTGTAGTTAATATTGAAGCATCTGTGGCTCTGGATAAACCGTGATAGAATGTTCTTGGAGGTTTAAATTCTCCAGTAATTGGATTGATCAATGCAGCTTGTGCTTCAGCAGTTGTAGTAGCTTTTGATAAATTTGATACCCTGGTAGTAATATTCTTACTAATTTCATTCACTGACTCTTGTAAATTTCCAGGATAATCATAGTCTTCTTTCTCATATAATGAAGTGATTTTAAGTACATTTTTATATAATTTTTCAATATTATTACATCTATTCGCAAGATCAATATATTCAGATGGTAATTGACTAATATCATCTTTATTAACTTGACCAATTTTTTCTTGAACCATTCTTTGGGTTCTTTGAGCTAATGGAACCACTTCTTTATTAAATTCATTTGTGATTCTATCTCCAATTGATTTAAGATCTTTAGTCAAATTTGAAAAGTTGAAAGACATTCTCGACGTTGATAACAGTTAAAAAAAATGTATAGAAAAAAACTATATCACGGCAAAAACTACAGTGCAAGGCATAGTTATGCAATTGAGCTAGATGGCAAAAAAATACACGGTTGTATATCAACTAGATGACTTGTCAAGCTGCTGACTTACGATGAAATCTAAGTTGGTACTTGTCAGCTACTTCTGATTTGATACTACTCTCAAGTAAAAGTGCAGCTGGTCGAATCACAAGAAGTTCAAATTTACTTAGAGTTTGTTTCAAATCTTATATGCAGGATCTTATATGCAGTACCACTGTAGCTGAAACAAAAGCGCAATAATCTGAAACAAATAAATTGCGCTTCATGAAAACTTACATAAAACAAATATCAAATAATTATTTTGTTATGGCGTGTAGACTACTTGACTCGTTAGAGGCCAAAATATGTTGATTTATCATTTGAAAACCTATGATACTGTTTGCTAATCCTTATGGTTTCTACTTCGTTATGTTTGGCAGTCATTACCCTGCTACGGTGAACGACTTTATTTACTTGAAATATTCTAATCTTTGATAATCTTGATAAAGCTAAAGTATGGCGTCTAAATACGATTGATATTTCCACAGTTTTCAACAAACTCTTACTAATACAAAAATTTACTACAAATATAATCCATTTGACTTGAAATACTCAACAACACTTCGTTATGCCAATTGAATCTTTAATTTCCAAAAGAGCTAGTGGTCGTACATCAGGTCATTTCACACAAGGACCAAAAGATCAACCTCCAAAAGGGTTCAAACCACACTCAAATCCATTGGCATTATCATATGGTACACCAAACGATGGATTTTTTCCAATTGATTCAATTGATATTAATTTAGTCGAATATCCCTTTGAACATGTTGTCAAAATTAATTCAATTACCAAAAATTCTTTAGAGAATTTACATTTAACTGGTTCATCAAATGGAGTTCAAACAAAAACTCCACCATTAGATTCGAAAAATCTGGTTCATATTGAAAGACATACTTCTGATCCAAATATAATTGATTTATCAAATGGTTTACAATATGCTAATGTTGCTGGTCACCGACCATTACTTAATTTCACGAAAGAATTTATTAAAAAGACTCATAATCCAAATTATTCAAATTGGGATTCAATTCTTACTACTGGTGCTAGTGATGGTTTGAATAAAGCGTGTGATGCAATTTTAGATAAAGATGATGTTATATTAATTGAAGAATTTACATTTGCTCCATTTTTAAGATTTAGTAGCCATACTGGTGCAAAAGCAATTCCAATTAAATTAGATTTAAATGCTGAATCACAAGGTATCAATTATGAATATTTAAAAGATTTGTTAGAAAATTGGCCGGATGATTTACCTAAACCAAAAGCATTATATACAATTGCAACGGGTCAAAATCCAATTGGTACAACTCAAACATTGGAATTGAGAAATAAAATCTATGAATTAGCTGTAAAACATGATTTTATAATTATTGAAGATGATCCATATGGATATTTAACATTACCAAAATATAGAAAACCAGAAATTGGTTTACATTTTAAATTGAACGATTTTATTACCATTGAAGATTATTTACAAAATCATTTAACTCCATCATATTTAGAGCTTGATACTGAAGGTAGAGTAATTAGAGTTGAAACTTTTTCAAAATTATTTGCTCCTGGTTTAAGATTAGGATTTGTTATTGCTCATGAAAAGGTTATAAATGCAATTAGAAATTACCTGGAAATTGTCAATAGGGGTAGTAGTGGATTAAGTCAATTAATTGTAAATAATGTTATTCAACAACATTTTAAAGGTGTTGATGGTTGGTTACAATGGATTTTTAAAATGAGATTAACTTATTCTCATAGAAAGGATTTATTATTGAGTACAATCTTTGAATCGGAAGCTTATAACAGAGGTTTAGTTGATGTTATTGATCCAAAAGCTGGTATGTTTGCAACTTTGAAAATTAATTTTCCTAAAGATGTCAATGTAATTGAAAAAATGAAATTATTGGAATGGAAATTTATTGCAAATGGTGTATTAGCAGTTCCAAGTTTTAATATGGCTGTTGATAAGAAATTTAGTGAAAATAGATGTGATTTCTTTAGATTATGTTATGCTCCAGCTAATGATGATGAAGAATTAATTGAAGGTGGTCAAAGATTAGTTAAAAGTGTTTTGGAATTTTTCGATAATAATTTACAATTTTAATGTATATCATTATTTAATCTAAATAATCAGAACCTTGAGCTAGTTTATATTCTTCAACGACTTTTATCACTGCTTCTTCACATTCTTTAAACATATCAAATAATTCAGTTTGCTCTCCTATACTATTATAATAACTTGTCAAATATGCTTTTCTCGTTATTAATGATCTATATTGATGTAAAATTTTATTCAATACTTTTATAGTCGATGAATTATTACTAACTTGTAGAACATCTTGACTTTTCGATATATATGGTGATTGACGTCCATAGGCAATACCAATGGATTTGGTGGTCCAAGGTACAAATTTAACTTTATTTGCTATTTTTAAAATTTGATTTTTCACTTCTTTGACTTTGATATCTCTACCTACTATAAAATTCATCATACTAATATATGATATTTCCTGATTAATATTAAATAAAGAAGTTTCTGGAGCAAATGAAGGTGCTAAAAATTTCAAATCTGCAGTCGGTATAACACTTGAAAATATCTCTTCAATTGATGAATAGTTGTAGCTTGGAAACCTTAATGTATTAGACATTGTTGATGCAATATTTGAAATGATTTTATTTGAATTTTGAAAATGATCGTTGTTCTCTATTCGATTCAACTCATCATTTTGAAACATGAAAACGGCATCGGTAAAATCTATTAACTTTTTCAATGTTAGCACACTATTATATGGTTGAACAACAACGTCACTTGGTTCAGTTGCTGGAAAAATTGAAAATGAATTAACCAACTTCTTACTAAACCTATCATCCAATAGTTCTAATACTCTTGATCCAACACCTGATCCAGTACCACCAGCAACACTATGTAGTAGTTGAAAATTTGATAAATTATCACATTTATCCAATTCTCTGTCAATTAAATTTAACAAATTTTCAGAATTTTCATTACCATATTGATAACCATTTAACCAATTATTAGCAGCACCATTACCTTGTTCACTTAAATGTACATTTCTTGGATTAATCATCGATAAGTTATTTAAACATTTATTAACAACACTTGGTTCTAAATCTATTAGTATTGATCTAGGAGTATATTTATTTGATGATTCAGATAATGTGAAAAATAATTCTGGATGATCTTCTCGATAAGTTTTTGAATGTTGATATGTGCGTTGGTTATTATATTGAAATTGTAATTCATCTTCAATTTGCGGCCATGGTTTACATGAACCATCATTATTTATACCATGTTCTGAAGCCAATTGTTGCCAATACTGTAGACCAACTTGATTCCCACATTGACCAACTTGTAATGTAATAGTTTCACTATCTGATGTTAGTATATGAATGGTTCAAACTTCATTAAGTTACATACCCCGGCATTTGATAGATTAAATCGAAATTTATTTGTTTACTTTTTTTTTTTTATTTGTTTGCCTACATCGCGTTAAAATCAACACCTGCATATACAGAACGATAAACCAGTACCAAACTCGCCATAAATTTAGCGCCAGAAAAAATTCTGTAGCACCAATTCATCGCTTTGACTGACACGTAATTTATGGAAAATTTCAGAAACAAAATTTACTTATATGCAGTGTTATCATGGTTAATCTTGAATTCAGATTGTGTATAACTCCTTCAAGCTGTAATTGTGAAACCTTTTTCGTTTAGGTTTCAGAAAGCTTAAAATAAATGGATAATAGTCTTTTTTAGTAATAGGTAACTTTGATTACGTTCTTCTACATTTAAAAAATAGCAAAAAACGCTATTTTACGAAATAATCAACACTTAAATCCCAACTAGAAACTTCCAGAATAGCTGATTTAGTTTTAATCCAGAATATCTATTCTATACTATTCTCAAGAAGTCGTAATCGTTTTGAATTTGTTTCATAATTTTCGAACCACTACTGAAAAATACTTTTCTAATTTTGAATACCTATACACTAAAATATCCAAAATTCAAAAGAAGGTAGAACTATACAATTGGATAGTTTTATGTAGTTTTAATTTGATTGTGGAGTTGATTTTTTCTAAGGTTATTGAATTTTAAGCTTACTTAAGACAATATTTCGAAATTTTTCAATTTTATTATTAAAATAAGTCCTTCTATAACATTCTATCATCCGCGATACAACTTTATCCAATCCTAACTCATGATTGAAAATATATACAAGTTTTCCTTATTGTTGATTGTTTTGAGCCATGTGTAATTGTTATTATTCAACAAACTTGTTAAAATTAAATATATATCTTGTCAATTCTGTATATATTTATAATACAACTCAAAACTTTTATGATCGTTTACGAAAGACTAGGTCGCCCTACGGCTGCCGCGATTAGTTATGTTGTCGTGCCAAATCATGGAATTAAAATTAACAAAATATTTATCAATGGAAAAAGCATGACAGTCCAGTTTCCAAGCTGAACAAACTATTATAATGATTGCAGCATAGGTAAACTAGCATTAGAGCCAAATACTAGCTATATATTTCCTGTTCCTCGTAGCAAGCTCTTCTTACTCTGATGATTAACCGATTTAAGTAATAACTCAGCCGCACTAAAATAGATCTGGTATGCTTTTGCAACCACATATACGAGAAATTACACAAAAACAATTTTATAACAAAAATATATAGAAAGCGCAAAAACTTTTATTTTAAAAGCTTCGACTTGAGAGCAAAATTACGTTAAATCAAGCAAGCGAAGTAGCTATATTGGTAGTTGAAGATTGTTAGAATTAAGAACCCATTCCACATCTCTTTTCGTGTAATTGAGAAATCAAAAGCTAGAACTCAAAGTATACTGAGTAAGGACCATTTTCTCCTGATAAAATTCAAAGTCCGATATGAACTGTTCCAAAGAATGTCGTTAAATATCAGAGATTTATTATAAAATTTGATATCAATTAAATATATAAAATACGAAAATTACCTATAAATTAGTGTTCTTGTTAAACTTGTAAAAATTAAATATACCACGTCGAAGAAATGAAAAGTGAATTATTAACTTCGGTGTCTAGTAGTTTCTTCTTTTTCTTTTACAGTTTTTACCAGTTGAAGTTGAAGATGGGACTGAATCTGATGAAGTTGGAGTTGAGCCTGAAACTGATGGAGCAGTTGTACCAGTTGGAATTGGAACAGTTGGAGTAGCAGAACCAGCAGTTGTAGATTTTAATGTAGTAGTAGGTTTTGTATCTTTACAATTACCAAATGCGGCAGCTAACGCATTAACAATGACTGATTTTAATGTATCAAAGTTTAAGAAAGCTTCAATAATACTTGGAACTAAACCTGAATCAATTAAAGCTTCTAATAATGAACTTAATGAAATAGCATTCTTTTCAAATAATTGTTTAATTAAATCAGCACCCCATGTATAGAATTGATCATCAATAACCAAAGCTTCAACAACTTGATTAGCTAAACCTGAATTTTTTAATGATTCCATTAATGATGTTAATGTTGAACTATCATCTCTTGATAAGATTTGAACTGGTTCTGATTCAACCATTAATTCTCTTTTAGCATTGGTTGTTGCAGCAGTAACTTTTTGACTAACAACTTGTGAGTTTAAACCTAACAAGTTACCAATTTCTTGTGGTAAGTTAACAATAGCTTGTTCAACTAATTTGAAAATTTCAGCATAGAATTGACAATCATTGATTAAATCCTGTATAACAGATACAGCTAAACCTGAATCATTTAATGATTTTAATAATGTTGATAAGTTAATCCAACCATCTTTAATAGCTGTAACAATGACATCAGTAGCAATACGACTTAAGGTTGGATCATCAATGAAATATTTGATAACTGATGGAGCTAAATTAGTATTTTTGACTAATTCTAATATATCAGTAACAATTTCATTTTCTCTTATTTGTAATTCTTCAGATGAGATTAATTCTCTTTTTTGATTGAAATGATTTAAATGTGCTAAAGCATTGTTCATTGATTCAACTTCTCTGACTGTTAATTCAGTAATTTTTACATCTTCAAGCACTGGAGCAGCAGCAATTGATGAAATTGAAGCTAAGATTAAAGTAGCAGTGGCAATATTTAATTTCATGATGATTTGGTAATGGGTAAATGTATTGAAAAAATTATTTAAATTACTATATTTTTGGGAATTTCAATCTAATTAAATACTTAAAATTCTTATACTGAATCATATTGTAAATTGGTGGTAAATGCATTAATTTGTTAAACAAAAAAATAAAAAGTGTTGCAAAATTAATCTCTATCCAAATATAGTAATTAATGAATATGCAGGTTTCATTCAAAGTATAAAGAGCAGGTCTAACAAACACAATACTACAATGTTTAATCGATTGTACATTGTTATAAATGCATCAAGTGAATGTACAGTTAAAACTCATGATATTTACATCGCATGTTAAATTATAGTTTACCTTTGAAAGGATCTGCAACTTTAAAAAATTTGGTTGCAAATCTAAGTATCGCGTACTTGGCTTAAAATAGTATAAAAAGCTTATTTGCAACTATTAAAATAATACACGATAGGGGTTTTAGATTGGCTTTAGTGAACTAAAATTGAAACATCTCGAGATACTATTGTGGTCTTGATATAATTAGAGTACATCAGAAAACTAAAACTTGGATCTATTGTTTGTTTTCCATTAGTGCTACTCAGTGCTCCAATCTTTGTGCTCTCTTGTAGTAATCATAACTATCGAGCGACGTGAAATGAAATGATTTTGTATGTGGTATCCCATTAGTTTATTTACTGCTTTTTATGAAGAGATAAGAGCTCTTGAAGTCATACCGGCAATACTTATTATAGTTGCCGAATGAAGCCCTGCTGCTAATGGCCATCATTAAATTAGAATTTATAATGGCTTCAATAGCTAGCTCAAAAGATTACAGTAATTTGTTGTTCACTCAACTGGATGTATCAAAATTGCAACCTTCGACCCGAACAAACCAGTAAACTTTAAAAACAATATAGTTGGAGTATCTCAGGATTTGGTCAAGACCAAAACTTAGAACGGCCGAATTGTTCAATGAGTTTTGAACCTTGGTTAACTATATTTTTAAAGCTCTTTTGGTTGCAAAAACAATTTACTAACTAGATTTAGTAAAATTTTATATGCAGCTCGCATATTTTTTATATAAGCTTTAGACTACACAAAAGCACATATAGGCAAGTTCACATTATGTTTTATGGACTATAAAGAACAGACGTGCAGACTATTCAAGTTTTGCAACCAATTTTTTTGCTGCAAAATAAGTTTTAAATTGATATAACATCACGTATATTATTAAAAAATTAAACCGAAATATGAATTTTACCAAACCTAATTAATTGATATCCTTTTATAATGTTTAATAACTTCTTCTTTTTCTTCTACAGTTTGTACCTGAACCAGTTACAGTTGGAATACTTACAGTTGCTGATGGATTTCCACTTGTTGGAATGGCTCCTGAGACTGATGGAGCAGTAGTAGCAGTAATAGTCGGAATAGTTGGAGTTGGTGAGCCTGCTGTGGTTGTTCTCAAGGTAGTGGTTGGAGTGACACTTTGACAATTACCAAATGCAGCAGCTAATGCATTGACAATAACTGATCTCAATGTGTCGACAGTCAAAAAGTTTTCAATGATAGTTGGAACCAAACCTGAATCTATTATTGCTTCTAATAATGAACTAAAAGTAATTGCACCTGAGCTAAACAATTGTTCAATTAATGATGCACCCCAAGTATAAAATTGATCGTCAACAACTAAAGCTTCAACAACTTGATTAGCTAAACCTGAGTCATTTAATGATGATAATAAATCAGTCAAAGTGTAATTATCTCTTTTATTGAGAACCGGAACTACTAATTCAACTCTTGGACTTAAATCTCTTTTTTTTGTATTTGATGTGACAGCATTGATTCTATTTGAAACAGTTGCAGCATTTAAACCTAATAAACTACCAATTTCAGCTGGTAAATTACCAATGAATTCACCAACCAACTTAAAGATTTGAGCATAGAATTGACAATCATTAATTAAATCTTGAATAACAGAAACAGCTAAACCCGAATCATTCAATGCTTTCAATAATGAGTCCAAATTAATATAACCATTTTGAATAGCTCCAACAATAACATCAGATGCTTCTTGTGATAAAGTCGGATCGTCAATAATATATGTCAAAACAGCTGGACCTAAATTAGTATTTTTAACTAATTCTAAAATACCAGTGACAGCATCTGATTCTGCTCTAGTACGTAATGCTGGTAATGTGTTTCTCTTTTTGTTATAAGTATAATGATTTAAATTTGAAATAACTTTGTTAATTGATTCAGTTTCTCTAACTGTTAATTCAGTTATTTTGATATCTTCAGAAACAGGAGCAGCATAGACAAATGGTGAAAATGAAGCCAAGAACAAAGTACCGGCTGTTAAAATAGAACTTGTTTTCATAGCGATTGATTGAGATTAATTTGGTATAACAGTGTTGAAGAACAATATATAGCTGAGTAATAGAACAGGATAAAAATTGAAAGATGCATGGAATATATGTTCAATTTATACACAAAATAAGATTTTGTGCTAAAGGGATTAAGTTTGTTACCAAATAATAGAATATTCAATATAAAATTCGTTTTCCTAAAAGGGTAATTTTTCAGATCTCGTCAAATCTTGAAATATGCAGGTATGATTTTAAGGGGACACAAAAAATATAATAGAATAATAATTTTTATTATTTTCAATTGAACCCTACAAAATAGAATAACGAATCCATAGAGTTTTTGCTTGACTGCAAAATCTTGATTTCTTTGCTTGACTGCAAAAGGTTGATTTAATCAAGATTTATGAGTTGAGATTAATTCTTCTACTTTCTGATCAACTTTAAATTGAAAAAGTTTGAATCAATTTTTACTAGACCCTCACTTTGAATTTCCATTAACTAATAGGGTAATTACTAAACTAAGACTAAAAATAGGATAGTAGGGTAATTCCTTGATTCTGGAACATGGTTATGACTTAAAGAATTCTCCACAAAAAAAATGTAACCAAAATTATTCAATAATAGTGTGTCACTATTTTTAGTTGGTGCGAAATTTTAAGAACTACTCTTTTTAGTAACCAAAATTTAGATCTTACGTCAAACCCAAAATTTTAACTATTAGTTAATTAAGGTAATAAATCTGGAAATGAACGGTCACAATGGTCAGAACGGTCACAATGGTCAGAATGAATAACAAGTTTTAATAAATACAACCGATCAAATATAGATTTACATTGAAAATCTCTTCTTTTCTATAACTTTTACTATCAAGGTATATAAACAATTAAGAATTGTAAATCAAAATGGGTTTAGTTAAATTAGGTTAAGCGGAATAAACATCGGTTATAATTAACTGAATGTCATAAAATCCTTATGTCACAAACTCCTCATGTCACATAAAATAAATGGACATTGATTGAAAAAAAATTACCGTAAACTTTCAGTTCAATATAGTTAATTATATACGGAGATAATTATATCAATAAATCTGATTACACGACCCTTTAAATTCGAAAATATTCGATGATCACTATATATTGTCGGCGAATTCGGAGATAAATAAAATATTACATAAGCATATGATAAATATTACATAATTGTTATAATAAAATTTAAATTCAACTGTTATCAACGAAACTTTAATTAAAGTATTAAGTATTTGACAGCATATTCATAATTACCCGTCTATTTGATTAATTATTCATCAATACTTTGTGTAAGTTGGCTTGATCAAATCAAATTTCCATACTGCAAGTGATCAATTATAAATCAATCAATATAGTACTCCAAATAATTATAAATTTGCTATTAATTAAAATCGAATAAATTTGTGTAATATTATAAACTTGAAACATTCAATTATAATTTTCAAAATTCAACAACTAATATAATTTCAATCTAATATAAACTGTTGTAAATTATCAACACAATTTCCCCCCTACCCAAAATTACTAATCCCACGGGCATAAATGTGGATCACCATGTTTAATCTACATTGGATCTTATTTTTCGTAATAATTATTTACCTTGGGTTACTATCATTACTTAATAAGATACCTCATATATCAATTAAATATATTGGATTTTTATCATTACGTGGTATAACTATCAAATTACCAAATAAACAAATTTATATTCGAAAAATCTATTTACGATTCAATTTTTTTCAAAGTAACAGAGAATCCAAGTTAAAATTAATAAATCTTGAAATTATTGATGTTACAATAGATATAACTGGTGTTAATAAAGAATCCAAAACCAGAAATACATTAAAATTACATGAGGTGTCAATTCAAGATGAATTATTCTTCAGAATTCCAACATACTTTTTTGATTATTTCATGAAGACAGGGATTTTGAATAAAATTAATATTCATGTTTTTAGAACAATTGTAAATAATCATGAAAAGTTAAAGAACAATTCAATTTTTTTGGATTACGTAAGGTTGGAATCTCATTTATTTCCTGATAATGAAGTTAGATTAACTTTTTCATCATATAATGGTTTAATTTTCAATAATGAGACTAAAATTAACTTGTTTAGAAATATTGAATTATATATAAACTTTCAAGCTGTTACTGCCTGCGATATCAATGTTAAAAACAAGATTTCAATTTATTTCAAAAATTTCAAAACGAATTTATCATTTGGTAGATTAAATATACCGTTGGAATATTTCAAGAAACATAAGCAACAACAACAACAACAGCAACAACAACAAGTTGATGAAAATGTCGAAATAATTGATGTTGTTAAATATAGTCAATTCGTTAAAAACTTTATGGAAATTTATTCAACAACTGAGATTACTTTTGAAGATTTTACATTATCTCATGATGAAATTTCAATCAATGCATCTAATTTCAAATTTCAATTATCAAAGATTGAAAAAAATGAACATCAAAAGAATATCAAATTAGGTCTTTATATAACTTCTTTTACATTTTATCATCATGAATCAAAATGTTTCGAATTACCTTCTGGTACAATATCTTATGAAGTTTGTCCAATTGAAGTATTGAAAGTTAGTCATGCTTTATTAAATCATGATAAAAATTCTAAAGCACATATCAATTTTGATTTACACATTGTACTTAGTAATCCAATTTTTGACTTTTATTATGATCAACAAGATATTTTACTTAAGATTTTAAGGAACAAGATGATGCAAAAGAGAATGAATAAGATGAGAAAAGTAACTGGTGTTCATAAAAAGGAAGAGTTTATGACAAAGTTATTAATTGCTTCAACAATGCTAAAATCAATATCATCAAAATTAGTTGTTTCAGATACAAAAATCAATTTTCATTTACCACCAATAGGTCGTTCAAAAGATGACTTTAATAGATTTTCAAAATCAAATTTGATTGTTTCAATGACGATATCTGGTATATTGTACAGAATTTTTACAAGAGATTATCAAAAATTAATTGAACAAGATAAAATTCATAAGCATTCTCTCAATGTATTATTCAAATTGAAAAATATTAAAGGTGAAGCTGATGGTAATACAATGCATTTGTCAAAAATTAATTTATTAAATTCATACAGTTTAGTTGATAAAAAAATAACCTTAAAGATTTCAAGTAAGAATGTTAAATTCAAGTCAGTAAATGCAAACTTTTTCCATTTGGTGCGACAATTTAGAAATCGTCAAATTATATATTTTAACAAAAAATATGATGAGTTCAAGGATTTGGATTTAGATGAAGAAGAAGTAAATTATGATAAAGACCGTACTATTAAATTATTTGAAGTTTTACCAAGATTTATTTCTTCAATAAAATTTGATTTAGATACTTTATTATTTGATATAATTTGTAAAGAAGGTTTGCCAAGCCATAAAATATATGATAATGAATTGGGTAAAGAAATTGATTTGGCAGACTTTAGAAGAGGTGTTTCAGTTAAAATAAATCAAATTAATGCAAACTATAAATTGGAGAAAGAGCATATTGAATTATCAGTTAAAACACTACAAGCGTTTACATTGAGTGAATATCAATCAGAATATATTACTGATTTTGATAAAGTTACAGAATTGCAGCAAGCAGATTCTGAATTTGGTGATATTTCAAGTTTAAATTCGTTAGAAAGTAATAACATACAAGATGATGTTGATGCTGCAACTAGACGAATAAAGAATGTATTAAGTGTACATGATATTTTATTAACAAATGCTTCAAAATTAGATGATAGAGATATCAATAAGTTGACTTTGTCAATACCAGAAATTGATAGTAGGATAGACATGTTTCTACTTTGGTGTGTTTTCTATGCTAAAACAATGTTACAAAAATTTGCGCCAACTGTTGCTTCAAATTGTAGTAAAGAAGAGTTGAAAAGAATGACTGGTCCTAAAAAGAAATTGAAATTAGATGTTGTATTAGATTCGGTTGCTTGTGTTATAAGGTTACCAAGAAATGTTGACATTTTAATTGAAATTGAATCTGCTAAATTAAAGAATGCGTTAATTTTAAAATCAACATCTATTAATAATGCAAGACTATACGTTATTCACCCTGCAACTAAATTATGGGCAAGATTATTAATTATAAAAGAACCTACATTCAGTATAGATTTTTCAAAATCATTACATACAGCCTCATTTGGAATTTTAACAAGATCAATTTTGTTCAATATACCGCATTTATTTTTGTTTTATACAGTTATTGATAATTTTATTTCATTTTTCAAAGCTTTAAAACAATTGAATCAAAATTATTTATATTTTAATTGGGGTGCTGAAGAATTTGGAAGAATTTATCCAACTGAAAAGAATGCTTTCAATTTTCCTCATATCGATATTAAAACTCTGGTCTTAGGTTTATCAATTGAAAATGATCCATTCGAAAATGAATTGGCAATGATTTATGAATTAGGTTTAATTGAACAAAAGGAAAGAATGAGAAAATTAAAAGCTTTTGAAACTAAATGTGAAGAAATAATGTCAAACGTATGTGAAGATGATATTGATGATAGTGATATTGAAAGAAAGATTGAATTATCTAATAAACCAGCTCCAACAATGCATCACACCAATAGTCAAGATTCAGTCAATATGAAATCCAAATTCACCTCCAACAGTAGTTTGAAAGATAAATTATTTAGACGAAGAAAACATAATCAAACTCAAGGTAACATTGATGAAACGCTTGAAGAATCAAAACCAAAATTAACCAGGAAACAAGTACAAGAAGAAATTGATGAAGCAAAATTAAGATTATTAGAGAATTTTTCAAAATCTTGGTGTAGAAAATATAAAGTTTTTAGACAAGTTAGACATGAAACATGGAGAAGTAGAAGTGATAATGTTTGGGGTAAAGATTTAATCCCTGATGTAATGAAGGATAAATATGATATACTAGACTATAGTGAAGGTCCTCCTTTATGTGGAACTTTATTTAGAGATGTTGATTTAACATTAGATAGATTTAATGGTGGAGATCTTGATGAATTTTTATATACTTATGCAAAAAAACAACCAAAATTACATTATTCAATTTTAGTTCCATTATATCTTGAATTAAAAGCTAGAAAATTTTATATGATTTTAAGAGATTATCCATTACCATTAGCTTCATTTCCAACTAGTTCAAATTCTAAAATACCCACAATTCATATAAGATCTAATATAGTTGTTAATGAAAAATTATATTCAAGAAAAGAAGAATTGAGATATATTTATGTTCCATTTTCACCAGCTGTACCAGATAATGGAATTGCAGATAATTTTTATTCAGTTTATATTCCAAGAACATTAACTCCAGTCAAGGTTTGTTCTGATTTTGTTTGTGATTTGAATACAGATAGGGCTTGTACAATTAGTTGGTGTAAAGCTTATCAACCAGCATTGAGTACATTAAGTATGACATTTGAGAATTTTTCAAAACCTGCAATTGATGATAGTCCAATAGGTTTTTGGGATAAATTACCACTTATTATGCATGGAAGATATCAATTTAATGTAGCAAATGAGTTGTGTCTCCATATGAAGAGTGGAAGATCACCTCATCAATTAGTTGGTAAAAATTCAGGTTTTGTATTTTGTTGGAAGAATAATGTGAAATTAGTAATTGATGGTACCAGCAATCCAAAAAATTTGATTACTTTAACTAGTGATGATTTCTTATTTGCTATACCAAATTATTCAATGGAAGAAAAAAACATTTGGAGTTTATTTTATGATGATGAAGATGAAAATTCTCCTGATATTGATTTAGAAGCTAAAAAGTTTGAAAAGAAATGTATTAAATTAACTTCAAGTGATAGAGTTAAATGGGTTTTAGGTTTTATGTTTGAAAGAAATAAATATTTTTCAAAGAGACTATCAGATCAAGAATTAAGGTGTTCAGATTTCAAACCACATTATGAAGTCATGATTACAAATCCAAGTAATGAATTTCATCCTGATTCTTATGAAGGGTATAGAGCTGATTATGTTCATATGACATTATCTGTTATTTCACAAGCAAAGCTGAAAGATGGTGAAGCTTTTAATACTGCTTTTTTCACACCTTTATCATTTCATCATTTCTTTTATTGGTGGGATACTTTAGCTCATTATTCACCACCACCTATTAAATCAGGTAAATTGTTTCTGCAAAATAATGCAAAGAAATATAAAATCAAATTTGGTAATCATATGTATACAATGAAGTATCAATTTATTTTCAATCCAGTTACCATCTCACATTTATACTTGCATTCAAGTAATGAAGGTGGTGATAAGAAAAATAGAGTAGCATTTACTGGTTTGAAAGGAAAATTTGGAAAATGTGAAATTGATTTACATCAGAGAAAAGAATTTGTAACTTATGTTAATAAGAAATTAGATAGAAAAACTCAAATTAAACATTTGAAAATGAATCAAGCTGAAGTTAATATTGAACAAGCTGATGTCAGAGTATTAAATGCATTATTTAATGATACTTCCTTAAGTGGTAAATTATTAACTTATCTAACTGATGATTTATCGTCAACAAGATCATCAAACCATCCTAATTTAAGTTTTGATTCAAAAGTACATTCACCAATTGATGGTTCACAATTTTCAAATTGGTTAAATAGTGTTGAAGTTTATGATGGTGATTTTTCATGGGTTGATCCAGAAGATTTTATCGAATTAGAAATCAGAGAAACTTTATCACCATATCCAAAGATTAGAATTTTACCATTTTTCCATACCCCAAAGTTTTCTTATTTTAGAGAATTTACATTACAAAAAGATGGTCCATTTCCATTTGGTGGTGAAAAGATTCATCAATGTTTAATGGATACTGATAAACCAGCAGCTGTTCAAAGTAGAATTTTATCACATCGTTTACAAATATTAAAAGATGATATGGTTGATTGTGAAGATAAACTTAGAAGGGCTAAAAATCATGGTGATGCTAAAGCAATTAATCATTATGAAGAACAAATGACTATAATTCATGAAAAACTAGATGTTGTAAATCAAGCTTACAAACAATTTACTGAAATTGAAGAGGTTTTACACGATGACAATGGTTCATTACTGAAACAAAAATCTAATTTATCAGCTTATTCATCACATTTATCAGAAGGTGAATTACTTTCAGCTGCCAATTTTGAAACTGTTGCTGAATTTCATAATAGATTTATTATTCATAATTTAAAATTGAGATGGGATGATGATGTTAGAGAATATTTTATTAGTTATTTACAAAGAATTACTGATAGAAAAAATCATGTTTATTATATGACTAAAGTTGCAGTTGATTTAGTTGAACAAGTAATGAATGGAAGTCAAAGAGAATTTAATGAAAATATAAATTTGAAAGATCACATTTTTAATAAACAATTTAAAAAAGGTGAAGAAGTTATTGATTCATTTGATGAAGAACTTGAAGAAGTTGATAATCCTGAACATGAAGCAGAATTTAAATATTTAATTAAATTACTTCATCCACAAATTCAAATGATTTGTAAAAAAGTACCTGATGCTTGTGTTTTATTGACCAGTAAAGATTTAGAGATTAGAATTATTGATGTTAATATAAAAGATAGAGTTAATATTATGACTGATAATGAAATGACAGCAAGAGTTGAAACTAGATTTGGTATTTTATTAAGAGATGAACAATTATTTGTAGTTACTAAAGATGATGTTGAAAAAAATCAATTAACTTCAAAATTTACAACTCATGCTTATATGTCATTAAATTCTCAATGGCCACCTTGGTTTGAATGTGAAATTTGTTATGATGGTTCATGGGCTCATGAATATTTAGTTAGTGAAAGAAATACAGTTGCCATTGTTTATAAAAGTCCAAATCAAATGTTAGTTGATCAAGCAAATTCAAAAGGTGATGAATTGATTATTTTTTTGGCTAAAATGGTTTTAAATGCAACTTCACAACAATATTCAAGTATTTATTTTGTTGCAACTGAATTATTAATTAATGGACATAAAAGTGATAAATTAACAGAAAGATTAGAAAGATTAATGTCAATAGCTGATGCTTCCGATTTTAAAGGTTATGATGTTAAAGTTCAAAACTTACAACTTTCAATTAGAGAATATAAAGAGATATTATTAAATTTTGATCAGAAAGGTGCATCATTAACTGACCAAGAAAAGAGATATTTGAAAATATTAGAATTGGAAATGGAAAAATCAAAACTCGAATTATTATTCATAATGAAAGCATTAAGAATGAGAAATAAATCAACTGCAAAACAATCAACTAGATATTGGAGTATTTTATGTGATCAAGTTATTTGGCATTTCTTAGATGATGAAAGAAAACCATTTGTTGATTTTGCTTTAGCTAATGCAAAATATGGTAGAGTAGATTTAATTGATGGTACAAATGTTAATAAATTTGAAATTTCCATGATTCAAGGTTTTAATTTACAAGATAAACCAATTTATCCAGAATTATTAACTCCAATAATTGATGAAAAAATATTGCAACAAAAACGTCATTCATGTTTAGATGAGGTTCCAGTTATATCAATGTCTTGGGTTTTATTAGCTGCTGTTGGTGGTATACCAGTTATAAAAAATGCAAAATTAGAAATACAACCATTACAATTAGAATTAGATTTTGTAACAGCAAGAAAATTACAAAGTTATTTGTTTCCTAAAGATGAAGATGAAGAAAATGAATATGATGAGGATTCAGACTCTTCTGATGGTTCAGATATGGAATTAATGAGTGATGCATCAAGTATACCAGATTCAATCTCAACTACTAATACTTCACCGACCAGAAATCCATTAAAGAAATTAATTGCAAGAAGTAAAAATTCATTACATTCACATAATTCAAATCCAACATTAAATTTAAGTCCAAATAAATCAAGTGCTTCATCTTTTGAATCATCACATACTGAAAGTTCATTTAATTCAAATAAATTAACAAAATTGTTAAATAGAAAGGAAAATCAAAATAAGAATGAACAATTTGAAGATGATTTAGCAGTTATAATTTCAAGATCATTAAAATTTAAATCAATTATTGATTTAGAAATCGCAAGTTTTAAATTAGTTGTTAGTTTTTCAGCACCTAATAGTTTACATGTATTAGATGTAAACAGATTAGTAATTAATGTTCCATCACTAAGATATAAATATAAACTTTGGTCAGCTGAAGATTTTATGGATAAATTGAAAAAAGATGTTATTAAAATTATATTACAACATAGTGGTAAGATTATAGGTAATAAATTTAAAACTAAAAAGAAAGTCAAACTTGATAAACCATTGAAACAAATTTCGAATTATTCATCATATACAACCTTAGATGATTTACAAAAACATGAAAAAGATGGTGAAAATTCAACTGATTCAACTATTCATAGAACTAGTGTTCATCATTTAAGAAATAAAAATATGCCACATGTATTATCTAGAAGAGGTGAAACATCAGATAAAACATATGAAGAATATTTAAATGCAGCAGATGATAAAGTTGATAATGATATTGATGCAGCTTAATAGTGAATAATATATAATTTATGTAATTGGTAGCACTTATTTTTCTGGATTGTAAGGATCCATAAACCTATAACCGAATACTAAGAAATATCTTTCTTAAAATTATAACGATTGAACATAGACTAACAGATTTGGTACTTTATTTAATATGGCTTTTTTCGAAAATTTAAAAGACAAAGCATTGAATACTTTTCAACAAGTTCTACTAGATAAGAAAGATGGGTCGGGGTTAACTAAAGAACAATTATTTTGTCAACAATATCATATACCTGATGGTGAAACTTTAATCTATAGATCCAATGGAGTAGTTGTAGTTAAATCCGAATATAATGAGACAACTCAAGCCGATTATCAAGTACCATTATCACAAGGTAAAATATATTTAACACAACATTTTTTAATATTTGAAGATGAAAATGATAAAAAGAATTGTTCATTTAATTTATATTTATCAACTGTTAAAAAAGTAGAAAGAGTAAGTTCAGATTATGGAGAATTGGCATTGAACATAATAACTTATTCAAAATTACATATTACACTTCATTTAGATGATATTAGATCCGAATGTGAAAGATTTGCATCCAGTTTATCTACAACGTTGAAGAAATATCTTAAAAATCTTAACAAATTACAACCATTTATTCAAACATGTTATTCAGAATATTTATTATCAAAAAATAAAATTACAAATGAAAAAATTGATCATGTACCACCGGGTGGTTTGGGTTTAATTTTTAAATTTCCAGGAAATGCAAAAGAATTAAGAGATAAAACTAAATTAAAAATGTGGTTTGATTATTTTAAAGAACATGGTAGACATTTATCATTAATTAAAACTCCATTATATTATAAATTAATTAGAGTTGGTTTACCAAATAGATTAAGAGGTGAAATTTGGGAATTATGTTCTGGATCAATCTATCTAAGGATAGATCATCAGGGAGAATATATCAATTTATTAAATAATAATAAAGATAAAAAATCATTTGCAATTGAAGAAATTGAAAAAGATTTAAATAGATCATTACCTGAATATGCAGCATATCAATCAACAGAAGGTATTGAAAAATTAAGAAGAGTTTTAACTGCTTATTCTTGGAAAAATCCAGATGTTGGTTATTGTCAAGCTATGAATATTGTTGTTGCTGCATTATTGATTTATATGTCTGAAGAACAAGCATTTTGGACTTTAAATATGTTATGTGATAGAATTGTACCTGGTTATTATTCAAAAACAATGTATGGGACATTATTAGATCAAAGAGTATTTGAAAGTTTAGTACAAAATACAATGCCAATTTTATGGGATCATATAATTAAAAATGATATACAATTATCTGTTGTTTCTTTACCATGGTTTTTATCATTGTATTTATCATCAATGCCATTAGTATATGCATTTAGAATATTGGATATCTTCTTCTTACAAGGTCCAAAAACTTTATTTCAAGTTGCTTTAGCTATACTAAAATTGAATGGTGATGAATTATTAAAAACTGAAGATGATGGTACATTTATATCAATTATTAAAACTTATTTTCATACATTAGATCAATCAGCTCATCCAAGCTCGTCAAATTCAAAATATAGAAATACAACCAACTTTCAAGAACTTTTAGTTACCGCTTTTAAAGAATTTTCAAACATAGATGAAGAAATGATAAATCAACATAAGAATAAACATAGAGATTCAATATTTCAAAATATATCATCATTTGTGAAAAGAACAGAAATTAGAAATTTACCTAGACTAAATAATATATCCAATGAAACACTTAACATTTTATACGACAGGTTTTATTCTCTGGTTGAAATTTCAAATATAACTAAAGGCTCAGGATCTAGTTTGATGGATTATAAAGCATTTTTGAAATTTATGAGTGATATATGTGATTGGGTTCAATTTATAGATCCAAAAGATGAAAAAAATGATACACACTTCCTAAAAAGATTATTTAATCATTGGGATCCAGAAAAACAAAATGCTTTAACATTTAGCGATTTAACTGTTGGTTTAAATAATCTAGTTGAAACTGATTTAATGACTTCAATGTCAAATTTCTTTGAATTATATGATGATAAACACAATGGTAAATTGGATCGAGATTCAATTATACAAATATCAGAAGATTTATTATATATTACCCTGCCTTGGAAAGAAGGTTATTTATTTGATGAAATTACAAAAGTAGCAGTTGAAAATGAAGTTGCTAATGAAATATATCAAGAACAAATTAAAAATGGTAATGAAAAATTTGAATTACCTAAACATGTAGACGTAAATCGTGAAAAATTGGAACAACAACAAGTTCAAAGATATTTACAAGCAGCTAGTACTTTTATGCAAAGATCATTTGAATATGCAATACCTGAAAAGGAAGAAGTTTTAATTGAAGATTTAGCAATCGATAATAAAATATCTCATAATGCAGCATTAAATCCAAATACTCCAGTATATTTAGATCGCCCAACATTTAGAATGGTGATATTAGCCGATGAAAGTTATGAATTATTATTTAGTTCAACTTTAAGAAATGCAACTCATTTATCAAAACCATTAGATCAAAAATTTAACCCCATTGGTAATATCAAAAATATGTTTGATGGTTTATTAGCTGATGGTAAAAAAGTTGCAAATCAAGTTAGAAGAAGAATGGATTCAAGAGCTTCTCAAATGACAAATAATTCATCAAATAATCTGATAAAATCTTCAAAATCTAAAATTGAAGAAGAAGATGATGAAAAAGATGATGATTTTGGTATTATCTCAATTGATGAAAAGGATAAAGATTTAATATTAGCTACTGAAGCTCAAACTCTAGTTGATCCAATTACAAACAAGCCTGCTAATCAAAATGAATTTAAAAGATTTCATAAAGCTGAAGAAAATTCAATACATAAACATAATAAAGAGAATTTAATAGAATTTGAAACTTGAATATATATATTTATAATACAATCTCTAATTAGGTTTAATTATTCCTTGATCCAAATAGTTTTCTTAATTTACCAAATTTCTTCTTTTCTTTTGGTAGTTTTTCAACATTTGATGAATCCTGTCTTAAAGTTGTAAATTGTTGATTATTTACTGGTTGATTGTTTGGTTGTTGTATTTTAGGAAGATCTTCATCTGAGTCATTGAATCTAGATTTGAATTTATTTCCACTTGGTTGATAATCACCTTCATCATCAGAATCAGCAAATCTAGATTTGAAAAATCCACTTGATTTTGGTTTACTTTCTTGAACTGGTTGCTGTTGTAGTTGTTGAATATTTTGTGGTGGTAGAGTTGAACCGCGTAATGTTGTTTTTGTATTTTTATTTATTTCATTTTCTCTATCTGGACTTCTTAATGGTATTTCATCATTTTCATTTTGTTCTCTAGTAAATGATGATTTCTTTTTTAAAGGTGCAAAATCAGACCTTGGTCTAGCTTGAGCTTTTGCATATAATTCTTGAGCTTTAACTTTTGATGGTGATACATAATTTGGTTGTAATGCTGGATGAGGAGCTATTGGTTGTACTGTACTATGTCTTAAAGATCTATTACTCATACTTACTGGTTCTTGTTGAATTGATTGGGGTCTAAGTGACGTTTTAGGTTGTGATTGTGATTGTTGTTGTGGTTTTCTCAATGTTTGTTGTGATAATCTTTTATTAGATGGTTTATTTTGTAGTTGTGTAAACTGTGGATATGCACCACCTGGAGCACCTGATAATAAAGCAAAATCATTATTATTTAATAATTGAGGATTTGATAATTTTGAATTTAATCTTGTATTTTCAGCTGTTGTTAATGATAAATAAGCTTGATGTGCAACACTATTATTATTATTTTGTTCATTTGAAATTGGAGTTGATTTCGATGTTTTCATTGCAGATTTAATTGGTTTTTTGGCTGATTCACTTGAGTAAACTGATGATTTTGAACTTGCTCCTGATGCCGCTACTGGTGGTTGTAATGTTGACACGTAAGTTTCTTTTGATTCTTCTTCAATTGGATGATCTGTTATAGCTGGTGAAGGATCAAATAAAGGTTTAGATTCATCAACCAAATTTTCTGTAGATTCTAAATTATATTGATTGATTATCCCCAATTCAGTATCATTTGGATCTAAACTTTTATACTCTGGTTCAGCTTCAGTAGTTGATGTTTCTATATTTGATGTAGGTTCCTCATGTATTTCTAATTCTGAGTATTTCAGTTCATTAGCATCAACATCATCATCAAGAACTGATAAATGAGGTTTTGAAATCTTATCATCTTCATCATCGCTTAAAACAGGAATTGAAATTCTAACAAAATCATCTTTTGGCATATTACCATCTTCAACATTCTCCAGTTTATTTGTATGTTCATTGGGTACCTCTTCTTTATTATGTATAATGGTTGAATCAGTAACATCTGGTGAATTAACTTCAGCTTCTAGATCTTTCAATTTTTGTGCATTTTGTAATCTCTCTTGTTTTAATTTCTCATATTCTTTTCTTTTAGCTTCTATTTCTTTAGCCAATTTCTTTTCTTCTTCAATTTCTTTTTGTAATGCTTTATATTTTAATTGTTGTTCATATTTTTCATCTGATTTACCTAATGATTCCTCCAAATCAACATCTTCACTTATTTTTAAAGGAGAACTAACTGATCTTGGAGATTGTCTATGATTTTTAGCAGCAGTTGCAGCACCACCAGCAGCAATTTTCGAAACACTTTGTAATGAAGTTGATCTTGAGATTTTACCTTTATTTGATAATCCACGTAATGAATTTGATCTTGAAATTGAATTAGATCTCAATGAATTTGATCTTGCTAATTCTTTTTCATAAGTTGATTCAGGAACTTCTATAACTTTTATCCCTGTGGGACTTGGAATATATTTTTTTATCATCTTAACAGGTTTTCGTGGTTGTTGTTGTTGTATATTTTTCTGATTATTATGTGATAACTTTAAATCTTGTAAATTTGCTTTATTATTTAAGTATACTTTAGTTGATTCTTCAGTAATTTCATCTAAATAAGAATCATTAAAACTATCATCTATATCATAAACCACTGGATGATGTTGATGAGCATCAATTGAAGTCATAGGACTTGATCTAGTAGATGTAGATGAAGAATATGAACCATTTGAAAATCTTCTATTTGGTTGTTGTAATTTATTATTTTGTATATTATTTCGTGAACTTCTTTTTAATAAACTACCATTTGAAGATAATGAGTCATTTCTAGTTTGTGAAGTATTAGAAACTGATCTATTATTATTCAGTTGTTTTTTATTATTATTACCAATTGATAAAGCAGCAGCTAAAGCTCCAGAACTAGGTTGAGTTGAATATGAAATAGTATTTTGATTAACCCCTGTATAAGCCGTATCGTTGATATTTCTAGATTTTCTTCTAGTAAACATGGTCGTATAATAATATACCAATCAATTGATCAGTGTGATGTCTGTATAATACGTATAAAGTGGTGTACAACCCGTGGGCAATAGTATTGCTAAATTGGTTGCAAGAATTTACTTGTTCTAATAAAAATAAAATTGCGATTATCACCAAATTTATATATTTATACTACACTAATTTCATCCACTTATACACGACTATGTTCTATCCCACTATAACTCTTCTTCTTTGGTTTAATTGATTTATACCAAGTAAATTAGATATATAGCCACCAACTGTTTGTCCATTCTTAACTACTAGTTGTAATACTGGTCTAATACTTAATAGTATACCTGTCCATAAAAATCCCTGTAATAAGGGCATTATTATTTGATCTTTTATTATAGCATATAGTATTATGGATGGTGTTATTGGATTCAATGGTTTTAACAACTCTTTTTGTTCTTTTAAATCTATATCATCATTTATATTATCTAATTCTTTATCAGTTAATGTTGCAATTTCAATATAATTTCGTTTATTAAAAGCAGAAGGCTTTTTAGATTCTCTTTTATTACCAGCATATATATCTAATTGTTTCATAAATGATTGTTCAAATCTTAAATCTGGTATTATAAATGACATTTTGTATAGTTATTCTTATTCTATCGTGTTTTAATGATAACCAAATTGATTTGAAAAAAAAAAAAAAAAAAAAAAAATTGAAACTGAAAAATTATATAAATAATCAATAATCAATTTATATATCGATAAACATTTATATCATACATAACACGCTTCACTCCTTTGATAGATTAATAATAATATGGATTCTGGTATAGGTGGTCCTTCTGTAACTATAAGAGAAGCAGAAAAAGATAGAGTCGATTTTATATTAAAAGATGTTGATTTAGCCATGGCCAATTCAATTAGAAGAACAATGTTGGCTGAAGTACCTACTTTAGCTATAGATTTAGTTGAAATAGATATAAATACATCGGTTTTGGCTGATGAATTTTTAGCTCATAGATTAGGTTTAATTCCTTTAAATAGTGAAGGTATTGATGATTTATCTTATTCAAGAGATTGTACTTGTGATAATTATTGTCCGAAATGTTCTGTTAGATTAGATTTAACTGCTAAATGTGATACTGATTCTACAATGAATGTTTATGCATCCGATTTAGCTAAATTTTTAAATGATTCAAAATTAGGTCAGCCAATTACAAGAGATCCACAAGAAAGAGGTTCTTTAATATGTAAATTAAGAAAACATCAAGAATTAAGATTAACTTGTATTGCTAAAAAAGGGATAGCTAAAGAACATGCAAAATGGTCTCCTTGTGCTGCTATTGGCTTTGAATATGATCCTTGGAATAAATTGAAACATACTGATTATTGGTTTGAAAATGATCCAAATGAAGAATGGCCAAAACTGAAAAATTGTGATTGGGAAGAACAACCTGGTCCTGATGAAAAATTTGATTATAAAGCAAAACCAACAAATTTTTATTTTGATGTTGAAACTGTTGGTAATTTACCTCCAAATGAAGTTGTTATAAATGCAATAAGTACTTTACAAAAAAAAATAGGTGCTTTGTCTTTAGAATTAGGTAAAGATGATGTTGAAGGTAATGAATTACAAGCTGGTGGTTTTACAACTTATGGTGGTCAAACTACTTATGGTGGTCAATCTAATTATGGTGGTCAATCAACTTATGGTGCTCAAACAAATTATGGTCAAACAGCTTATGATACTAACGCTTATGGTGCTTCATGGTAATAAATATATCGTATTATATACAAATAAAACGTTTAATTAGTCTTATTCCACTCTATTAAGTCATCAAATTTGACTAATTCACCTCCAAATATATCTAATGAACTACCAAAAGTTAAATCTACTTTATTACTACTCAATTTCTTTACTTTATCTAGATCTTGAACTGATCTAGCACCTCCAGCATATACAATTTTACCTTCAAATCCAACTGGACACCATACACCTAATTTCTCAACCAATTTCTCATCTATACCATTACATAATCCTTCTACATCTGCAGCATGTATTAAAAACTCATCACAATATTGACTTACCTCTAGTAAAAACTCTTTACTTAATTCATTTGTAGTTATCGTTTGCCATTTATTCATTGCAACAAACCATTTTAATCCATTTTGATTGACTGTTCGACAACTTAAATCAACAATTAATCTAGATTTACCTACTAGGTCACTAATCTGTTTTAGTTTTCCAAAGTCAAGCGTCCATTTACCTTCTATCTCTGAAAATAACCAACTTGTAATTATAACGTGAGAAGCACCCAAATCTAGCCATTCTTTTGCATTGTCTTTCTTTATACCACCGCCAACTTGTAAATTATTAGGCCAAGTTTCAATCGCCAACTTTGCAGCCGCATCATTCTTTGGATTTGAACCCAATTTTATAACATGACAGCCTTGTAATTTATGTTCCTTATATAATTGAGCATAATAAGATGATGGTTTTGTAGATACAAAGTTTTCTTTAGTAGAATCATCATTCAGTATATCATCTTTAGTTAATGTACCACCTACAATTTGTTTAACTTGACCAGAATGAATATCTATACATCCTCTAAATTTCGTCATCAGCGGTTCCAAAATTTAAAATTGGTGTCGCGAAATTTATTTTTGTGATGATACGAAGAGATGTCAGATGAAGAAGAATATAAAAAACAATTAGAAATACAGAGACGTAACTTTGAAGCACAATTTGGATCAATAGAAGATTTAGGATTTGAAGATAAACTGAAAGGGAAAAGTTCAGAGAGTGAAAGTGAAAATAATAGTGAATCTGAATCTGAAACATCAGAATCTGATTTCGAAGGGTTTGATCCAGCATCAGAAATTAATGAACCTAAAGTCATAAAGTTAAATGATTCATACACTCCAACACCTACAATATCTAAAAGAGACAAAAAGATACTAAAATATGGTAAAATTCCAACTGTTGAAGAAATAGATAAACGTGAAAAATTAGCAGAGCTGAAGAAGCCAAAAACTAATGAAGACAATGATGAAAATTTACAAAATGATTTGAAATTACAAAAATTGTTAAAAGAGTCACACATCCTAACTAATACTTTAGAATACTCAGGCGCTGATTTAACTTTACAAACTATAGATTTTGATGATCCAACGGGTAAAGCAAGGAGAAGAACACTAGACTCTAGATTCGAAGAGTTATCATCTACAAATGGAGTGCGGCCAAAAACATTAGAGAAGATGCCAATGAATATGAGAAAAGGAATGATTAAAAAACGTAATGAGAAAATATCGAAATATGAAAAAGAAGCAAAAGATGCTGGTATTGTGATATCAAAAGTTCGTAAAGGTGAATTAAGAGATTTAAGTGCTGGTAGAGGATCTACCTCATCCAGTGATAGACTTGGCAGTGGTAAGAAAATTAAAAAGACAAATAGAGATAAAGGTTTAAAAATACATGGAATTGGTAAATCAACCCGAAATGGTTTAGTCATTTCTCAAAATGATATAACTAGAATAAATAGTAATAAAAAGTATAATCGAAGGTAATATATATATATATTAATTAAATTTTATAAATAAATTATTATGATCTTGATTACTTTCAATTGATAATCCATTCTCATTAGCTAAATGTAAAACACAAATAAAACAAAAACTAGTAGATAAATCTTTTGCTTGTTCTGGATTATACATATTTGAAACACTAGTTACAACTTTACCAAATTCAATTTCTGGTTGTTTTTGTTCATCATTATTTATTTGTTTCCATATATTGTCTTTTAATAATTTTATATCTACTCTTTTTGCAACTCTTGAAAAATTAACAAATTCAGATCTTCGTTTTCCAATTATATTATTTTGAGTTTCTGTTTCTGGTATTATTTCTTTATCATTAGCTTCTAAAACATCATTAAAATCAATATCATTACCAAAATCATTATCATAATCTTCATATTCTGCTTGATGGAAAGAACTTGCTAATCTTTCTTTCTCCTCTTCTTCTTGTCGTTTATATTGATCTGCAAAATATTTCTCATCAGTTAAAGGTAGGGCACTAGTTGTAGATTCTGTTCTTTTTGGATAATATAGTATTGGAACTTGTGGTTTTGTAATTAAATTAGTCAATCTTGAAGAATTATATTTTATATCATCTGGTAATTTATATTTAGAATCATTATGCTCCATTTCTTTAATTATCAGTGTTGATTTCTTAGGTGGTTGAAAAATATCATCTTCATCAATTTCTAAATCTTCAAAAAAATCAATTTCAATTTGTTCTGGTTTCCTTTTTCTTGTCTGAGGTTTATTTTCTTGTTGATGTTCTGGTTGTTGAATATTCTTACTTTGTTGAATATTCTTACTCTTTTTCAATGCTTTAACTTTCCAATGTTCAGGACCTTGCCAATTCGATTTTAGTCGATCATCAAAATATTCCATTAAATCACGATCCATTAATGCTACTTTATTAACTGATTGAATATTTAGTTCACTTTGTTCATGAAATAATCTTTGCATTAAACTTTGATCTAGATTATTAAATGGATCTGGTGTTTCTTCTGGACCTACGTCATCGTTCAATTGAAAATCGTTATCATTATCATTATTAAGGTCATTATTATTATCGTTGAAATCATCATCAAATCCATAATCATTATTTTCTGGTGGTGGTACAACATCATTCATTTTATTATTAAAATCACCAAGTATACTTTTTGCTTTATTTATATCTTCCAATGCAGAATGAAATTCTCCTAATGATGGACAAACTGTCAAATTATCAAACTCTAATTTATCATCAGGGAATAAAAATCTTTTTAATGAATTTATATCGTCTGTTTTATCTTCTTCTTCTTCAATTGTTTCAGTCTCCTTAATTGGATTTGAAGTAGCATCAAACACAACCCTACCTGTAGAATCGATATTTAAAGTGTTTAATAATAAACTTTTAGCACCACCTTCATCAAATTCAGCCAAAGCTTTTTTAAATAATGGATCAATTGATAATTCTTGGTCTAATTTTTTAATCTTTATTGTATCAAGTTCAACTAATGTAGAAGCAACAACTCTATTTAATTTCCTTTTCTTCTTTGATTCATCATCTTGATTTTCTTCTGTATCTTCATCATTTTCCTCGTCATCTTCTTCATTTTCATTTTCACCTTCCTTCTTTTTAGCTAATCCACTTAATAATTTCCCAGTTTCAGTAGCTGCACTTTCTACCCTACTTGAATAAATCTTAACACATCCATCTAAAGTAGCTGAAGCTTTTTGAAAATTAATTTTATCACCATCTTTAATAACATTCATATCATGAAAATAATCAATTAATCCAAAATCCCATGAATTTTTTGATGTAATTTTATTATCAGTTGCCATTTTAATCCATTCTTCAAAATTTGACATTATTACATGTATATTTTCATTAAATCTAATTGATGGTTCACCATCAAATGATAACTCAGTAGTATCATCTTGAAGTAACGCACGAGCATTATGACTTACATGTCGAGATTGTGAAATGATTCGACTCGAGACATGTCTGTTTGTTATTCCAGATATTGTTCTTGAGGTATTACTCACTGTTCTACCTTCAGTATTTACTCTTTTTTTAGGTAAGACCAGTGACGACGACATTTGATATGAAATATATACAAAATGTTGTCTTCTTGGTTTGTTTATTTTTTCTATGTTTTTGATCCGAAAAAAATTATGTAATATCCTTCGGTAAAATTATGTAATGATCTCGGCTAAATATACAAATCTATACTAAAATGCGTTTCAAAAGTCATTTGATAATTAAACATAATTTATTGGCGGGATCTGCAAAGAGGTATAATTGAAGATTTAATATTTAGTTGGAGCCTTTCTAATTTCATATCCACAGTGAAACAATCAATTCCCAAGGCATTTTCTTTTATTTTTTGATAAAACCAGCGACATAAATAAGAGTTTAAACTATCAAACTTTAATTTCGATCTAAATCTAGAAGGTTAAGCTTTTCATAGGTGCTTAGTTTAAATCAATGTCCAAGAATAACTATGAAATGAACGAGCCACTTCGTAATTGCTAACCGTAAATATATACGATAACCTTAACATTAAAGGGTATTTCTTTGTTTGTCATCTTTTGACATTTAACCAAACGGCTCGATATTTTCCATACATTCTTGAGAGTTGAAATGTAGTGTTGATGCCTTTTATTAGTTGATCTTTAATTGTTCCACAACTCCATGGTGAAAATTTTTGATAAGAAGCTACCAAAATTTCATAGATTAGAAATTTTGCAGCAATATTTCAATTGTATTGTGATAATAAAAATTAGACACTGCAATCGACTATTACGAATTTCCATTCAATGCAACTTGACTCGCTTACGAAATACCTTTTGATTACTCGAACAAGTTACGTTTAGTGAAATTTTATAAAAGTTCCCTACAGTTTTAGACCTAATTTATAATGGGTCGTCTAAATAAATCGAGGGAGAAAACTTCGTCTAAATAAGTCGAGGGAGAAGATCAATTTACAATTGCTTAGTACGAGTAATCATTGAATAGGGAAAAGTATCAATAGTTTGAAACTAAAATACTTTAATTAAAGGGCGCTAAATTTTGACAACTAAAATTCGTAAAAGTAAAACAAAGAAAAAAACAAAATTGCAAATAAACATTTAAAAGATTGAAGTCCGTATTGTAATGGAGTAAAGATGCTAATGATGATGAAATAATAGATTTGAGTAATATGTTTCAACAGAATGAAAAATTATATGTTATATTATTAGTCTCGTACTCTCAAAATTAAATTCAATATTTTCAGAGTTTACAATAAGTTGAACTTGATGTACGGCATGAAAATTGATAGCTATTTAATATTGTTGTGGGTGACAGATACCTGAAATTAACTGCATGGTTTCTATTATTATCATAACAAATTGCATCAGAAATGAAATAATATGTCAGTGGATATTATTTCCTTCTTGTATGAGCACGGCTCAATAATTAATTTCCATTGTTGGTTGATTAGAAATATATCGCTATTATATGCTAAATTTTTTCATACATGATTAACCTATTGCACCACAAGTCATGATAATCAGATCATTTATTGTTGAAAATTAATTAATCAATTTCTAAAAGCCTCAGGATGCTAACCATAACAAGTTCATATAAATAAAAGCTGAGATTCTTTCGGTATAATTTTCTTCTTCAACTTAAATCATGAATATCAACAATGAAAAACACCTTGCTGGTCAGGTGTCCAATATTCGAAGTGTATCAACCCATTTGAGTGTTCAAGATCATGAAGTAGATCTTCAAGCTATGTATTCAAATCCATTGTCTATTGGAGAAGTAGGAACAACTTTAACAGATACTCAAAAGAATATTATTTTACATAAATTGCAATTTGATCATTTAACATCATATGAGAAATTACCTCCACAAGCTCAATTTATAATTGAAAAAGTAGAACAAATGCCACTGGAAGAAGCTGTTGAAATTTTAAAAGCTGCTTATATTAAACATGAACATGATGTTAATATGGAAGGTCTGGATTTGGAACTTTGGAAAAAGCTTTTAGACAACTCATCAGAGACTGATTTTTCATTCGTTCCTTCTAAAATTCATGAAAAATTAGCTGCAAACATTGACGTTAAACAAGTTAATGACGATGACTCCACTTCGGATGAGGAATTAGGCTCAGTAAATGGGTCTGAAGTTAAAGACTGGGCTTTACAAGTTAGATTGGAAGCTGTTTTAGTTGCTTATTGGTCACCATATTTTATTGTCAGATCAGTTTGTGATCCATACGACGATCCTACAATTCCTTGTGAAACTTTAAGAGTGTACATAATTTCAATTATATGGGTTGCAATACAGTCAGTCATTAATGAATTCTTTTCTCAAAGACTTCCTAGCATAAGCTTAAGTTCTGCTGCCGTTCAAGTATTTTTGTATCCTTCAGGTGTTTTATTCGAAAAGATTTTGCCAAAATGGAAATTCAAAATTTGGAAATATGAATTTGATTTGAATCCTGGTCCTTATAATTTCAAAGAACAAATGTTAGCATCATGTTTTACATCTGTTGCAGGAGGTACAGTTTATGTTACTTATAACGTTTTAATGCAAAAAATGGATATTTATTATGGAAATAAATGGGTTGATGTTGGTTATCAAGTACTTTTAATGTTGTCAACTCAATTCATGGGATTTGGGTATGTATCAATCTTAAACATATTATTTATATCATACTAACAAAGAGTAGTTTTTCTGGTCTTTTAAGAAAATTTGCAGTATATCCAACTGATGCAGTTTGGCCATCTATATTACCAACAATTAGATTAAATAAAACATTGATGACTCCTGAACGTCCTTCAATAATTAATGGCTGGAAAATATCATCATATAACTTTTTCTTCGTCAGCTTTGCTGCTGCATTTGCATATCTTTGGTTACCAAGTTATTTATTTGCAGCATTGTCTAATTTTAATTGGATGACTTGGATTAAACCTGACAATTTGGATTTGACAGTTATAACTGGTTATAATTATGGTTTAGGATTCAATCCATTTCCTACATTTGATTGGACTGTTATCGGTCTGGGGAATTTGTATCAACCTTTTTTCACTACACTTTCAAGTTATATCGGAAGTATTATTAGTTTTTTCATAATTGTTGGTATTTACTACTCAAACTATAAGTGGACAAAATATATTCCTATAAACTCGAACAAATTATTTACTAATGAAGGACAAACATATCATGTTAGTCAAGTTGTGGATGAAAATAGTATGTTTGATGAAAAGAAGTATGAACAAATTGGTCCACCATTCTATTCTGCTGCAAATTTAGTTCAATATGGTGCTTTTTTTGCTATTTATCCTTTTCATTTTGTTTATGAAATTGCAACAAATTATAAAGCATACGGAGTTGCATTCAAGTCCTTCTATTTACAATTTAAAGATTTCAAAAGAAGTACTTATGAAGGTTCTGATGATCCACATGTAACAATGATGAAAGCTTATCCAGAGGTGCCGGAATGGATTTATTTAACGGTTTTAGTATTGTCAATTGTGTTTGCTATATTATGTGTCAAGATATATCCTGCAGAGGTATGTTCTCAATTTTGGAAAATCATAAGTAGTACTAACCTCAATTTTAGACTCCAGTTTGGAGTATCTTCTTCGTTGTTGGTTTAAATTTTGTTTTTTTGATTCCACTTGTTTCAGTTTCAGCAAGAACTATGTTCTCATTGGCTTTGAATGTTTTAGTTGAATTAATCATAGGTTATGCAATACCAGGTAATGGATTAGCATTGGCATTTATTAAAGCCCTTGGAACACAAACCGATAGTCAAGCTTTTAATTGGGTCAATTCATTGAAAATTGCACAATATTCAAAAGTTCCACCTAGAGCACTTTTCAGATGTCAAATGCTTTCAACTTTAATATCATTGTTTATTCAATTAGGTATCTTGAATTTTCAAATTAGTTCTGTGAAAGATTTTTGTCTACCAACCAATGAAGCTAAATTATACTGTGCATCTGCTACAACATTTTATACTGCTTCTGTACAATGGGGGGTTATCGGACCTAAAAAGATCTTTGACGGGTTATACCCAATATTTGCATGTATTGCTCAACTGTTAAATGATTGTTTAATACTAACTTTTTGATAGAAATACTGTTTTCTTATTGGATTTTTGCTTGCAATTCCATGCGCTGCTTTCAAAATTTACGGTCCAAAGAAATTGACAAGAAAGTTTGAACCTTCCATCATTATAGGTGGATTCTTGATCTGGGCTCCGACTAATTTGGCTTATGTCACTGGTGGTCTTTATGTTGGTTATGCATTTATGCATTATATTAGAAAAAGATTTCGAGCTTGGTGGGCTAAATATAATTACATTTTTGCAAGTGCAATTGGTGCTGGAAATGCTTTCAGTGCAATAATCATATTTTTTGCAGTTCAATATCATCCCAAAGATATTTCATGGTGGGGCAATACTGTTAGTTATGGAGGTTATGAAGGTTTTCCGGCTGCTCATTTGAATGCTACACTTCAAGCTCCAGATGGTTATTTTGGTCCAAGAAAAGGTCATTTTCCATAGATTGTTTATACTTTTGTTTAAATGCACATTGAAGCGATTAAGCGTTTTGAATATTAGCGACTATTATTTTTTGCAGCCATAAAATGAGTTATATGCAGTTTTATAACTATTAACTTGAAATATTGTTTTGCAGCTAAGTTTGTGACTATTTAAGCTCACATTCTCAAGCTTGAATGATTGAAGTCTACTTCAACCCATTTGTAGTAGACATATATTAATAACTTTTAGAGATACTGTTTTAGAATGGCAATTATTTAAAGTGGTGCTCCGTGGCCCTGTGCGTCCATAAACGATTCCAAAAATGAAATTTGTAACAAATTTACTTATATGCAGTCCTATAGTTGCCAACCATGAAATTTAAATTGTAAATAACTTCTTCAATATCGTCGCTGTAGTAGTTAAACTTTTATTGCTAAGGCTTCAGTAAATTAGATTTAGCCTGATGGCAGAAACCAATAATCATGCCCAATGATTACTTTATTTCTACATTTAAAAAATGGCAAAATGCGTTATTTTGCGGGATAATTGACATTTAGTTCTCGATTAGGAACTTCCAATACAGCTGATTTGGTTTGTTTAATCCAAAAATCCTTTCTGTTTTTTCTCAAGAAGCCAAAAGCGTTTAGAATTTTTTTCAAAAATTTCGAACCATTCTTGAAAAATTACATTTGCAGATTTGAATCCCTTAGCACAAAAAAAGTCAAGGTTTATCAGGGTGGCAGAGCTACAAATTGCGCTATTTCTATTGTACATTCATCTCGATTCTATTTGTGGAATCACTTTTTATGGAAGTTCAATTTATTTAAATTTCACCATACTTAGGAAAAAATTTTGAAATTTCTCAATTTTAGTTGAAAGTAACGGAAATCAAGCCTAGCATCTTCTATTGAAGTTGATATAGATAATTTGTAGTTTAATTGGAGGTTTTGGGCCTAAATAAAAAGATACCTTAATTTTCGCAAAATTTTTGTATGATGAAAAATCGCCAAAATGACAACTCAAAAAAATATGTTTGAACCATTTAATTTGGAATACGTAGAGTACAGGGTTTAAGACTTCTGATCTTATGAGAGTGGTTTTTATTTCCATAACACGAATCCCCTGCTAGCGCGAATGAATATTTTGTTGCGCCAGATTTATGGCATTCAAAATTATATACTTCACACCCAAATCGAAAACAATTTGCGTATATGCAGTACTGTTGTAGTCAATCTTGAGATTTAAATTGTGAATAACTACATCAGTAATCAAGCTGAAACTGTCAAAACATTTTCGTTGAGGATTCAGTAATTACAGATTAAAATGGAACTAGTATCCGACGGTAAAACTCGATTTTGATTATTTTATTCTTCATTTATTAAAAAAGGTAAAACAATGTTATTTTGAGAAATAATAAACACTTAAACATCATTTAGTTACTTCAAAACTAGTTGATTTGGTTTATTTTTTGTATAATATTCTCATGAGGTCATAATCATTTTGAATTTTTTGCCAAAATTTCGAACCATTTATGAGTTACAATACAACTTTCCAATTAAACGAAATTTAAAAGTGATAATATGAGTTTAGTTAAAATTCTGCGATTATTCAAAACATGGGTTTCGAGACAATATTATAGAATTGATTTTCTGAAATTTTACGGAATTTGATCAAATTTGGTTACGTCCAAGTAAGCTTCAAAAAAGGCACACTATCGGCAATTATCATAGTATTAATTTTTGGACCAGATTATGCTATCAATACTTGCTAAACCGAGTTTCATTACATGTCTTCCCACACCTTGTCTTCTTTTAATTTGCCACCATATACTCAAATCAATATTTTGCAGCACAACATTCTATCAAATTCCACGACCAATTTTTTTCTGTTGTAGTAAAAACCGTTAAAAATATAAAGTCATTTTTTTTAACCAACCCAAAATTTTAATTAAAATCTTGGTGATTTTTAAAAGGTTTTGGTTTATATATATCAAGATCGTCAAATGAATAATTTATCAAGGATAGTTTTACCTAATATTAAAGGTTTAACGAGAATAAATAATATAAATATAATTAGAAATTTTTCAACCAGATTGATTAATAATAGACAATTAATTTTAAAATCATATAAACCACATATCAGTTCAAATAGACATGTTTCAAGTACAATAATAAATAAATTACAATCACAAGAACAAACTGCTAATAATGATTTAAAAAATGTCCTGGCACAATTTGAATTTTATAAAAGTTTAATGGCAAATAATTATCCACATTTAATTGTTCAAAGATTTGAAACACCAGGTATTGCTTCAAATCAAGATTGTATTAAAATATATGTTGAAGCATTGAAAAAAATAGGCAAACAAGGTAAAGCAGATCAAGTTACAAATTCATTATTAAATAACAATAATAATGTGGTTTCAACTTTACCAAGTGGATTTGGTTCGAGATATGAACCAGTTCATGTTATTGTATCAGAATCTTTATTAACGATTATATCAAAATGGCTTAAATGGTTAATACCTTTTGCATTATTAACATACGTCGTTACAAACGGTTTAAATTATTTATTAGAAAATGGTACAATTTTCAAAGGATCAAGTGTTGAAGATAAATCTGTTGATGTCTCTCAATCAACAGTTAGATTTAAAGATGTACAAGGTTGTGATGAAGCTAGAGCAGAATTGGAAGAAATTGTTGATTTTTTGAAAGATCCATCAAAATTCACTGGATTAGGAGGTAAATTACCAAAAGGTGTTTTATTAACAGGTCCACCAGGTACTGGTAAAACCTTATTAGCAAGAGCAACAGCTGGTGAAGCAGGTGTACCATTTTTTTTCATGTCAGGATCAGAATTTGATGAATTATATGTTGGAGTTGGTGCAAAAAGAATTCGTGAATTATTTAATCAAGCAAGAGAAAAATCACCAGCTATTATTTTCATTGATGAATTGGATGCTATTGGAGGTAAAAGAAATCCAAAAGATCAAGCATATGCTAAGCAAACATTAAATCAGTTGTTAGTTGAATTGGATGGATTTTCTCAAAGTTCAGGAATTATAATAATTGGTGCAACAAATTTTCCAGAAAGTTTAGATAAAGCATTGACTAGACCAGGTAGATTTGATAAAGAAGTTGTAGTTGATTTACCAGATGTTAGAGGTAGAATTGATATTTTAAAACATCATATGGAAAATGTTGAAACAGCAGATAATGTTGATCCATCAATTATTGCAAGAGGTACACCAGGATTATCAGGAGCAGAATTACTGAATTTAGTTAATCAAGCAGCAGTGCATGCATCACAATTATCAGCCCCAGCAGTTGATATGTCACATTTTGAATGGGCAAAGGATAAAATTTTAATGGGAGCTGCTAAAAAAAAAATGGTTATAACTGAAGAAAGTAGATTTAACACAGCATACCATGAAGCAGGACATGCCATAATGGCTATGTTTTCAAAAGGTGCAACACCATTATATAAAGCAACAATTTTACCAAGAGGTAGAGCTTTAGGTATAACTTTTCAATTACCAGAAATGGATAAAGTTGATATGAGTAAACAAGAATGTTTTGCAAGATTAGATGTTTGTATGGGAGGTAAAATTGCTGAAGAAATGATTAATGGTAAAGAAAATGTTACTAGTGGATGTTCATCAGATTTAGCAAATGCAACAAGTGTAGCAAGAGCAATGGTTACATCATATGGTATGTCAGATAAAATTGGTCCAATTAGATTAAGTGATGATTGGGAAAGTTGGTCACAAGATTTAAGAAATTTAGCAGATTCTGAAACAAGAGATTATTTAATTAAAAGTGAAGAAAGAACAAGAAAATTATTAAATGAAAAAAAATTAGAATTAAAAAGATTAGCTGAAGGTTTATTAGAATATGAAACATTAACAAAAGATGAAATGTTTAAAATTATAAATGGAGAAAAGATAACTAAAGAAAAAATGGTCTCTAATACAGTTATTAAAAAATCTAAAACTAATGAAATTAATGATATTTTAAATAATCCCATACCAACAGCATAAAGAAATACACAAAGTAATAAAAAAAACGTAAATAGAAGTGTTTTAATTAAATGAATTGCATTTTATTGTCTAAAATTTTTGCCGCCATTTGCGTCACATTCTCCAGGGCCATTCGACCAATTTGATACGACAAAGAAAATAAGGTTGATATCGGTTATTACCGGATAATTGATTGACGTATTTTATAATTATATGTCAAATTATATTATTTTTTGAAATCGACACGTGCCTTTTTTTAAAATTTTATTTTTTAAAATTTTTTGAAACAATTAAAAGGCTAATTTTAAAGAATTCTGCAAAATTGAATGTTTAATAAAATTTTAATATATTGTACAAAATATAATTGTCGTATGAATATATATATATTAACTATGTAGATGGTTCTATACATAGAATACTTGATTTCATCTCTAATTAGTCAGATTACTTATATATTACTTTAAGTGTAAATAAATTAAACGCATATATACGTATTTTGTATACGAGTTTATTTTTTTTATACTAGTCCTATAAACATTAAGAACATTAAATAAGCGGGTAATACCCGAAAGTTATTATTGGTTTAAATTATAGAAATAATTAAGAACAATTATGATTTACTTGAATGAACAAAACGTATTAATGTGTGTGATTTTTAATTTGAAGTTAACGATTTTTTTGATTGTTTTAACGTAATAAGGAGAAAAATGATTATAAATTTGAATTGATCAACAAAGCTACAACTTAGAATAGTAAAAATCTGTAAGTATACGATCTCCATCTTGCCTTAGTGAATATTCTTAACTCTACAATGTTAACAATTTTATTCAATTTTCCTTTTAAAGTTTTTCATATAATTTTTTTTTATTTTTTTTTTTTATTTTATTTTTTTTTTTTATAAATATTAAAAACTATTTTCCGTAAATTTTGAATGAAACCAAATCAACGACAATAAAAGAGACTAATTGAATATACTTTGATTGATTAAAAAAGATTAACTATTTATCTTCATTCTAACATATAACATTGACTTATTAACATTAATTCAAATTGTATTTATTTGTATTTCAATTTCGCTTATTAAAATCACATATTTTTGTTTATTGACTTTAAAATTCCCACTCCAACTTTTTAACCCAGTTGTTTTGATCTATAAGTATTCAATTGATTAAGTGGTATAAAGTTATATTAAAAGATTCTTGAATTTACAATGGAACTGCATGTCTGGAATAATACGTTTTCTCCCGATAATCAAAATCATCATCACTTAGATCATTCACAATCTGGAAATACTCCAAATAATAATGATGTAAACTCAAATGCATCTACTCCAAATACTGATCATCATCACCATACTCAGCAACAACAACAACCACAGCATTCACATTTAAATATTACATCACATCATCTAAATTCGACAAATTTCACCGATAGTGAACAATTATTTTTACAACAAATTGAACAAAATTTATATGAACATCAACAACATCAGCATCATCATAATGATCAACATAGTGTACATCATCCGCATAATAGTTCGACTGGTAATACTCCAGATTTACAATTTCATGCTGATTCAAATGATCATCAACATCATATACTCGGTCATCACCAACATCAATCACTGCAACATAGTAATAACAACTCAACGGGGAACACTCCATCAAATAGTGCCTCATTAACCGCGCCACCTCAATCGTATGAATTTGGTTTAGAAAATATAAATTTTATAATACCAGAAGATTTAAATTTTGATGCCGATCCCAATCATGTTTCGTCTGCTTTCCCTCCAAATTTACCTTCAAATCATCAAACTCCTAGTTTATTAGCTGCTAATAAAAAGCAAGATCATTTGAGTCATGTTCATGAAGATTTTACAAATTCACCCATACTACCAGGTCAAAATGAAAAATCGTATAATAATCAACATTATTATCATCGACAAAATTCTTCCGGTAAAATATATACAAGTAGAGATGTACAACAGCAACAACAACAACATGTGAGACCAGATGCTGTATTTACACCTTTAGTATCACCAGCTGTCACACCTTTAGATAAAGCTGCTTCAAGTTCTTTTCAACAAGGTCCAGTTAACGTCAGTTTTGAACCATTAACATCACCTGCTTTAAATGCACAAAATTCAACTACATCAAATGATCGAAGAAGATCTGCAAGTTCAGTTTATGCTCCACAAGATTCAAATCAAAGTAATAATTCAAAATCATACAAAAGAAGAACTCCGCATGGTACACCAGTATTACAAGCTAACAGTAGTTCCAAAAATTATAAATCTCCAAATATCAAACCAAGAAATAATGGTTATTCATTTGAAAAATTACCAGAAAGTTCAATCAGTGATGATAAAGATCTGAAAAGTAGTACAAATAGTAATGATATGTTACCTCCAAGTGGTAAACCTTTGGAAATTAATGATCCACCATTAATGGGTTTCACAATGGGTAAATTAGCGGAAGAAGAAAATCAAAATCAAAATCAAAGTCAAAATCAAAAGAAATTAACCAAACCAAAGGTTGCTAGAAAATCATCATATTCAAAATCAAGATCAACTTCATCATCAGAAAATTCATCACCTGTGCTAAATAAAAAACCCGAAAAACCTGCAACTAAAAAGGCTTCACATAAATTAGCTGAACAAGGAAGAAGAAATAGAATGAATATGGCAGTTCATGAATTAGGAGTTTTAATACCTCAAAGTTATCATGAAGAAGTATCAATACCTTCAAAAGCAACAACTGTAGAATTAGCATCTAAATATATTAAAGCTTTACTTAAAGAAATAGATCAATTAAAAAATAGTAAATAGTTTATAATATACACGTGATGTATCATGTGACTCAAATAAAATTACACGTAGAATAAAAGCCAACGAGATTGAAAAAAAATAAATATACCACCACTAATCAATTGAAAAATTTATACCATGAATTTTGAAGAAGCTGAAGATATTAATGGTGTTAGATTTGCTTGGAATGCTTTCCCATCAACTAAAGCAGAAGCAGGTAAAATTGTCGTTCCAACTGGTGCTTTATATACTCCATTAAAACAAAGAGAAGATTTACCAATCGCAGGGTATGATCCAATTTATTGTACAAATCAACAATGTAAATCAATTTTAAATCCTTATTGTGCAGTTGATCCAAATGGTCATTGGAGATGTCCATTATGTCAACATAGAAATCCATTACCAGCTCATTATCATGGTTTAAGTCCTGAAAATTTACCATTGGAATTACAAAATCAAAGTTCAACAATTGAATATGTTACAGCAAGACCAGTTCAAAATCCTCCAATTTTTACATTTGTAATTGATTTATGTCAAGATGAAGAAAATTTAAAATCTTTAATTGAAAATATTATAGTTTCATTAAATTATTTACCACCAAATGCATTAATTGGTTTAATTACTTATGGTACAATGGTTCAAGTTCATGATTTAGGTAGTGAAAAAGTTAATAAAAGTTATATTTTTAGAGGTGACAAAGAATATAATGAAAAACAAATTAGTGACATGTTAAATAGACCTTTAAATATTCCACAACAACAACAACAACTACAACAACAACATTTAAACCCACAATTTGCAAATAGTTTAACAAGATTCTTTTTACCGTTGGAAGATATTGAATTCCAATTAACATCGATTTTAGAAAATTTACAATTAGATCCATGGTCAGTTGCAAATGGTGCAAGAGCTTTAAGATCAACTGGGTCTGCTTTAAATGTCGCTACTAATTTATTAGGTTTGACTTATCCTGGTTTCGGTGCAAGAATTATGTTATTTAGTGCTGGTCCAGGTACTTTAAATCCAGGTATGATTGTTGGAAATCAGTTAAAAGAACCAATTAGATCACATTCAGATATTGATAAAGATAATGCAAAACATTTTAAAAAAGCTACTAAATTTTATGACTCAATTGCAAATAAAGCTGTTAAAAATAGTCATACTATTGATATTTTTGCAGGTTGTTATGATCAAATTGGTATGTTGGAAATGAAAAATTTATGTAATTTAACTGGTGGTACATTATTATTATCAGATGCATTTACAACATCAATTTTCAAAAGATCATTCTTAAGATTATTTAATAAAGATGATGAAGGATATTTATTAATGGGTTTTAATGGATCATTAGAAATTAGAACAAGTAGAGAAATAAAAGTTTCAGGATTAATTGGTCATGCATCATCATTAAATGTTAAAACTTCAAATGTATCTGAAAATGAATTGGGTATTGGTGGATCTTCACATTATAGATTATGTTCAACAAGTCCAAGACATACATATGCAATTTTCTTTGATGTTGCAAATACAATTCAATTACCACCAAATGCTCAAAGTTATATTCAATTTATAACTCATTATCAACATTCATCGGGAACTTATAGAGTTAGAGTAACAACAGTTTCAAACTTTTTAACTTCAGATGAACAATCATTAACTAATTCATTTGATCAAGAAGCAGCCGCTGTTTTAATGGCTAGAGTTACATTATTTAAGTCTGAACAAGATGATGGAGCAGATGTATTAAGATGGATTGATAGAATGTTAATTCGTTTATGTCAAAAATTTGCTGATTATAGAAAAGATCAAGAAGAAAGTTTTAGATTAGGTCCGCAATTTTCATTATATCCACAATTTATTTATTATTTAAGAAGATCACAATTTTTACAAGTTTTTAATAATTCACCAGATGAAACTGCATTTTATCGTCATGTTTTATTAACTGAAGATACAACAAATTCATTAATTATGATTCAACCAACCTTGACAAGTTTTTCATTAGATGGAGAACCAGAACCAGTATTATTAGATTCAGTTTCAATAAAAGAAGATAGAGTTTTATTATTAGATACTTATTTTCATATTTTAATTTTTAGAGGTAAATTAATTGAATCTTGGATTAAAGCAGGATATGATCAATTAGATGAATATGAAAATTTAAGAGAATTATTAGAAGCTCCAAAAGAAGAAGCTGCTGAATTATTAGGTGATAGATATCCATTACCAAGATTTATATCAACAGCAGATGGTGGTTCACAAGCTAGATTTTTATACAGTAAATTAAATCCATCAACAACTTATAGTTCAAGTGATATTGGATTAAGTGGACCTGGCGGTGCCATTGTATTAACTGATGATGTCTCATTACAAGTATTTATGGGTCATTTACAAAAATTAGTAACAAGTGGAAGTTCGTAGGTCAATAAGGATGTAATAAACACTTGAATAGAATACATTAAGTGGTAGTCCATAGTTAAAATCTGGTTATTTTAAAGTAAAAGTAATATATAATTAAATCGCGTTTATACTAGTTTTTTTTATTTTTATTTTTTTCTTCGTCTATTAATGAATATTGGAAAGTTGAATGATAAAAATCCGATAAAGATAGGATATTATGATCCATTCGACGTATACCCTTTAATTCGAGATGAGTTAATTAAATATTTACCATTGACTAATCTACATATTAAATTAAACTCAAATCCAACAAAAACTATTAATAAATTGCCGGTTGATTTATTCGAGGAGGTGCCCAAAAAAGATCAATATAATAATACCCATCCAGAAAATGTGTATCTTCGATTAATGTTTATTAAAATTGATAGTTTGGATAAGTATAGAAATCAAGTACGTCCTTTAATTAGAGAATGGTTGAAAAATTTAGTATTTAAACTAAAGACGTCATGGATGATTATATTTTATCAATCACAAGAATCAAAAGAATCAAGTTCATTGATCAAAACTTCCTATTTTGATAAATTACAAAAAGATTTTGGTGTGGATGGGAAAGAATTAGATACGATACTACCTAATTCAACATCGAGTTTAACTTCAGGGCATTGTTTTAAATATAGGTCAAATGTAAATGAGTTTATAATTCAGTTGAAAATTACATTAATTAATGCATTTATCAGTCAACATGATCTATTTAATGAATGGATAAAGACTCGGAAATCAAATAGTTTTGAAAGGTTAATTGCAGTATATAAATTAGGTGAATTATTTAATGAGATGAGATTATTTCAAGAATCTAATGATATTTTTAATGAATTGGAGAGTGAAATTGACAATGTGGCTCAACTTCATCCTGATTTACTTAATTATGATATAGATATTGATCAATTTGAGATTGATAAATTCGAGCAGAAGAATTTAAAAGAAAGTTTATATCAGGAGACTATCAATTTGTTTGATTTGAAATGTTTGATATTCATTAATCAGTCACTAATACTACAAAAACTAGCTATAAATTTAACAAACTCAGTTGGTTCAAAACATATATGTAAGTTGTATCAGAAATTAATGATATTTCTCAATTTAATACAGAGGAACACAAGTTTAAAATTTGCAGAGTTTGAATATCGATTAATTGATTATTATTTAAACCTACCTATTTTATCACAGAAGTTTAATACTGAAGATTCGAAAGAGTTAATTGAATGTAAAGCAGAATTAAAATTATTTCAAAGATCAATTGTATGCAAAATTGGAAATTTGAATGGGATATATATATATCAACTACAATATGATGAAATATCACTTGAAGAAACCAAGGAACAAAAACCAGAGAACAAAAGTACTTTGTTCAAAGATAAGTCGGCATATCGTGACAGATTTGAATCAATTACCGAAGATGTAATTAAAGATTTCCTAATTTGTAATAGGTCAAAATCAATAGATGTTTTATCTATAGACCTTGCATTACTTAATTTCGATAAGGCAAATTATCAACAATGTTTAGATATATTAGATAATTCATATGATTTCTTTATTGATAATGGTTGGAAATTTCTTGGTGGGATATTATTGGAAATTTATTTAAAGTGTATCGAGGAGACAAATCCAGAAAATACTGATGAAATACTAAAAACTTGTTTGAAATTATTATCTATATTGAATTCAAATAGTAATTTTAATGCAATTCGATTAATTAAAGATAAATCACAAGTTGAAAAACTATATACTAAAATAAATCAATATTCATTAGATCAAGAGAGTGTTATTGAATGCTCATTGCTGGAATTCTTCAAGACTGATTTGGTACCGTATATATCAGCAGATGAAGAATCAAATAAAGATGAATATTATATTGAGTTGGAAGTTTTAAATTCATTTGGAATTAAATTTAATTTCTTGAATGTCAAATTGGTAGTTATTAATGATGAAGGGACAGAAATGACTTTTCTGATTAATGATGTTGAATTGGATGCCAAAGCAGTTTTCAAATTAGTCACTAATCATTTTGTTATTGGAAGTTTTGCACCTTTGAAATTGAGTATACATTTAAATGAAAAATTAAAGTTGGTGTTAGATTACGGAAAGAAAGACATTCAAATCCACAATGCTTCTTTTAATGATACAGGAATTGAAAATAATACAACAAGGGAGAAAATTTCGACTGGTCCATTATTAGCATATCAAAATTTGAAAAAATTTAGAGCAAATTTCCAAGCTTCAAATATTGTAAAATTGGGAACTTCAAATGTTGTATTAAAAATTGAAAATAAGAATAATGAAATTAGGAATGTGGTTATTAATTTAGGTTCAACTACAGCGGGATTAACTTTAGAGAACTCAGTATTAAAACTAGAGAAACTTGAAGGTAATGAAAGAAAAGACTTCAATATTCCTTATACTTATACTAGTGATGATAGGATAATTAACGTACGAGCTACTATAACTTACAAATTAAACGATGAGAATTATTCATTCATGATATCTTATGATATTGACACTAATCTATCCATATCAGTTTCTGTTCAAGATATATTTAAACAAGATTTCATATATTCAAAATTTCAAATTGGTACTTCAAACTCAAAATTCCCAATCAAGATGTTGAATTATGAATTAACTAATGAAAATTATGAGATTGAATCACCAATGAATAAATTAGATGAAATAGTATTGTTTGGAGAACAACCAGCATCAATATTTTACAAAATTAAACCAAAGGAGAACTATAAAGCTACTGCTAAAGATGTTTTGCAATTAGTTATAGATTATAGAAATTTACAAGATGAATGTGAATTATACTTATTTAATCATATTTTTGAGAAATTACAAGCCATTGAATTGACTAAATATTGGTATTTAATCAAGGATATAATTTTGTTACAAGCTAAATTTGACTTGAATAATTATGCAATTAATGATAGTTTAAAATTAGTAAATGATGATGAATTTATTTCATTATCAAACAAGATTATAAATCAATATATCCCACTAGGTAATCAGAAATCAATTACTGATATCCTACAATCTTCAGTCAAGAACACAAACGATATAAATATAACATCAGCAATTTATGATAAAAATCAATTGATTATTGATGTTGCAAAACCTGTTTTAAAATATTTACAAGTTATTGAATATAAACACGAAAAACAAATGTATATAGTGGGAGAACCAATCAATGTGGAACTCCAAGTTAAAACTATAACTAAATGGTCATTAACTGAAGAAGATCAACCCGAAGAAGAGCCACAAGTTTTAGCATCTTCATCACCTACTCGAAATGGAAATAACACTCATTCTACAAGTGAATTTCAAATCAGTTTACAAAATGATGATAATTGGTTAATATCAGGATTTAAGAGATATACATTCAAACCAGTGAATGATAATATAGTAAAATTGGATTTGATTTTAATTCCATTAAATATTGGTAAGATATTATTACCTAAAATATTAATAAAGAATTTAAATAACGATGGTTATTCTTCAATTGATATTGAATTTAAGAATGGTAATGAGACTATGTTAATAGTACCCGAGGTTAATAATATAACGTTTTCCTTTTAGAATACGCGAACACAATTAGATCTTGAATCAAATCGAAATAAAAAAATTGCGCTTTTTGTTTATATAGATTTTTTTTTTTATTTTTTTATTTTTTTTTTTTTTGTAATTAATAAATCAATCACCGGAAGGGTCATTTTTTATTTACATTTTGCTAATTATTTACAATGGTTGTTGATACTACATATTATGATATCTTACAAGTTGACTCATCTGCAACTGAAATCGAATTAAAAAAAGCATATCGTAAACAAGCTATCAAATTACATCCTGATAAAAATGGTAATGATCCAAAAGCTGCGGAAAAATTTCAAGAATTAGGTGAAGCTTATCAAATTTTACAAAATCCAGATACTAGAAAAATTTATGATGAATTAGGAGTAGAAGGAATGAAGGAAAAAAATCAAGGTGTTGAAGTTGATATTAATCTTGAAGAATGTTTCCAAATGATTTTTGGAGGTACTGGTTTTAAAGATTGGATTGGTGAATTAGGTATGTTTAATGATTTGACTAAATCTGCTGAAATTTTGGGTGATGAAGATGAATTTGATGATGTTACATTAACATCTAGTTCTGCTTGTAGTGGAAGTACAAGTCCAAATAATACAAAATCAGATTCTACAATGGATTCAATTCATACAAAAACTCAAACATTAAGTATACATGAATCAAATAAAAATAATACCGTCTCACATGGTCAATTAACATCGGAAGATATCAAGAGAAAGAAGAAACAAAAATTAACCAAAGAACAAAGAGATGAATTAATGAAAATTCAAGAAGAAAGTAGACTTGCAAAACAAAAAAGAATTGATGAATTATCTGAAATTTTGGTAAACAAGTTGGAATCATATATTTTAGCATCAAAGAATAAAGAAAGTTTACAACATTTTGTTTCTAAATTACATCAAGAACTTGATGATATGAAGATTGAAAGTTTTGGTATTCAATTATTACATTTAATTGGTAAAATATATACAAATCAATCTCATGCAACAATATCATCAACTAAAACATTTGGTGTTTCTAAAATTTATACATCAATGAAATCATCAACTGAGACGATGAAAAATGGTTATTCAATATTGAAAACTGCATTAGATGCACAAGATGCAATGGAGAAATCATTGAAAGAACAAGAAGAATTTATGTTAAAAAAGGAAATGGGTTATGAACCAACCCAAGAAGAAACTGTTAAACAAATGGAAAGGGAAAAATTTGTAATTGGGAAATTTTTAGCTACTGCTTGGTCATTAATTAAATTTGAAATAACAAATGTATTAAATAAAGTATGTCATAAAGTATTGAATGATAAATCATTACACAAGAAAGAAAGAATAGCAAGAGCCAATGCATTATTATTCATTGGTAAAGAAATGTCAAGAATTGAAAGAAGTGAAGAACAAGAAGAAGAAGCTAGGATATTTGAAGAAATGATGGCAGATGCACAAGTTAAAAAATCATCAAAGGCATCAAAGAAGAATTCAAATGATCATAATGATATGTTTGGATTATTTGGTAAGAAATAGGAAGAATAATAGACAACGAATATAGTACATAATAAAGATTTAATATAGTAGTGTACTCTTGTTCAATAATGAAACAATTTATTTTTCGATTAATCATCAATCAGTAAAAAGTACAATCAACTCTTCATTTCATTAATCATGGTTCAACAAAAACAAGTACTCAAATTATATAAAAATCTATTAGAAAAAGCTTATAAATTTGATAATTACAATTTTAGGGAATATGCTAAAAGAAGAATACATGATAGTTTTAAAGAACATAAATCATTAACTAAACCTGAAGAAATTGCACAATTTTATAATAATGGTATAAATAATTTAGCATTATTAACTAGACAATCAACAATTTCACAAATGTATACTTTTGATAAATTGGTTGTTGAACCTTTAAAACAACACAAATAAAAAATTGAAGGAATTTGATTTTACACGTGATACGAATTAAATAACATATATATATATATAAATATACGTAATATACTGAGATTTTAAGTTTCTTGTCTATCCACAGTGCTTGAATATTGTCCAACAAATCCATTCCAAATGATTTTTAGCCCTCTGTATCTATTTGAGTTCGTGGTTTCATTTTTGACGGTACAGGCACGATATCAAAACTGAAATTTAATGTCTGGAAAAACTCATTGTGACAATAAGCAGTTTAGCAATTAACGTATTGTTAGTTCACTGAGATTTAGCTAAAGTCGGCTATACTCTTTTCCTAATTTCGAATTGGTTGAACTAAGACTGAAATGTAATACATGAACAGTAACGACCATAATGACATCTTTCTAGCGAGTAAACAACTGGGTATTAACATAACTGGGTATTAACATAACAGGGTATTAACATAACTGGGTATTAACGTAACTGGGTATTAACATAACTGGGTATTAACATAACTGGGTATTAACATAACTGGGTATTAACATAACTGGGTATTAACACTGGGTATCAACATAACTGGGTATTAACACTGGGTATCATAATACATTAACATACCCAGCAAGTCGGTCAAAAACTACTACATCTACGTACATCTTTATAAACACGTGAGACGTAAAGAAGAAGTCAATACGATATAAAAATCCGATTCGCTGTTGCACAAAACTAGTCGCATAGTTTATAATTTTTTTTCAGATTCGTTCATCACTGATTAATCTGATAAAAAACAACGTAAAATCAACCACCTAAAGAACATGTGAATCTAATATAATTCAATCAATCAATAGTAAAGCATTATCTTGGCATTAAAGTTTTGAATTACGAATATGCATTACAGTGTTAGAATTCATGTAGTATATGCAAATAATCAGGGCATTTTAGACATATTCCATCCCTTTTATTATACTAAATTCAAGTCTAGAAAGAGTAACAACTTCGTCGTTATTAGTCAAAATCGCCTCAAGTTTAATTAACAGTGCATCTAATTAACTATAGTTAGCAAATGAACGCTTGAGGTATAAAATACGCCAAGAAAGAGAAAATTTTGCAACAATAAAAAAACAAAATTTGGATGCAAAATTTTATTGTATAAAATTTTTATCTTTTCCATCAATTGAACCAATTGAGTCAACACAATGTAGACTATACTGTATACTGTATAATAAGATTCTAATATGCTATTTTACTAGAAGTTGAATAATTGGATTGGACCAACCTTGATCGTAGAGATATCATTAATCGTAGAGATGTCATGTAGTGTTTCACTTTATATTTTAAAATTAAAAGTTATACTTGAATAATATTAGAACGATTTACAATCTTTTCAATAAGTTGATTTTCCAGCTTGCCAAGTAAAATCATGTCTATGCAAGGTTCTTATTGTTCAATAGCCAATCAGTATTTGTTAATTTTATCACATATTTGTTCCTTAAAAAAGAACCTTGGAATTATCATTAAAAAATCAGGTACTACTTCAATTGATGTGTTTTGAGCTTAGTAGAACATTATCAAAGCCTATCTCATAGCCTCGAAATAGATCAATGATTAGGTTCTATTTTATCAGATTCATCTTTAAATCAAATGTAGAATGGTTAAATTATATTGTCCCAGGGCTACCAATTTTGTGTAGCATTTTTTCAAAGTTTGAAAACAATTTTCATTGTTTTAATAATTTAATTCCAACTGCAATTAATTCAACATTTTACCGCTTTTATAAGATGAGTTAATCTAAAAAATCAGCCATTGACAATACTAGTATTAAATTCAGTTACAAAATGTTGTTGCTTATAAATAATTACAAGTTTCCCATCTATAAATGATTTTCAATTTTCAATTCTAAAAGTTGCAACAACTTTTTCAAGATCTTTCATTTTCGTATATTTGATATATTCAAATGATAAAGCTTGTTTCAATTTTCTTGATTTCTGTCTTGGCTTCTGCGGTTAATGCTGGTCATGATGGTCCAAAACTGTTTAGTAGTTTTGATATAAGTATGCAAGCGTGTACTAAATATATTGCAAAAAATATGGAGGTTTGTCCATCTGCTGGTAAACATAGTTATAGTTATGATTGTTACTGTCATTTAGATACTGGATTTGGAACAATTTCTGATTGTTTTGTTACTGGATACGAAAATCATACTGATATAATTGAAGAATTTACGAAACAATGTAATTTTACATTAACTGAATTTTATAATAAATATGATAAGATTCAACAAGAATTTAAAAAGAATCATACTCATTATTACCATCCAAATAAAACAGCAGGTTCTGAAGGAAAATCTGGATCTGATAAATCTGGCCATGGTGGATCAAAATCAAAAAGAGCAGAAGAAGGTCATGGTGGTAATGTTGCTGGTAAAGCCGCTGCTGGTGGTGGCCATGGAGGTACGGGTGAAGAAGAGATCAAATTATCTCCAGTTCCATTAAGATTAGATTATGGTGATAAATTCACACCATATAAAAATGCTTATAGAATGTATAATAACAATTTCAATATTTCAATGGACTATGGTGCTATTTTATTAGGTTATTGGGGTTGTGTTTTAGTCATTGCCATGGTTTTCAATTTCAAGAATAAAATGTTTCCTAAATTACAATTATGTCCTAAATTTATTCAAAAACATATTACTATCCCTGCTACTTTTAAAAAATACAAGGCTTCACAATTTTCATTCGGTTTAGGAGGTTTTTTTGATTGTTTAATACCTACAAGATTAGAAACTATTAGTCTTGTTGTATTTGTATTATTAACTGGATTTTTATCAGCTTTACATATTCATCATGTTGATAATAATCCACAATATACTACTAGAAATGCAGAATTAGGTCATATAATAGCTGATAGAACTGGTATTTTATCATGTTTTTTAATTCCTTTGATTATTTTATTTGGAGGTAGAAATAATGTTTTACAATTTGTTACAAATTGGGATTATGCAACTTTTATAATGTATCATAGATGGATTTCAAGAATTACCATATTATTAGTTATAGTTCATGCTATTACATTTTCTGTTTCTGATAAAGCAACTGGTAAATACAAGAATAGAATGCAAAAACCATTTATGATATGGGGTACAGTTGCATGTATTAGTGGTGGATTTGTATTATTCCAAGCAATGTTATTCTTTAGAAGAAAATGTTATGAAGTATTTTTGTTAATTCATATTGTATTGGTTGTTTTATTTGTAGTTGGTGGTTGGTATCATTTATACGATATGGGATATCAAAATTTCATGTGGGCTGCGATTGCAATTTGGGTATTTGATAGAGTAGTCAGAATTTTAAGAATTTGCTCATTTGGTGTTAGAAAAGCTACAATTTCAATTGTTGGTGATGAAACATTAAAAGTTATTGTAGATAAACCAAAATATTGGAAATCAATACCTGGTGGTCATGCATTTGTACATTTTATAAAACCTACTATATTTTATCAATCTCATCCATTTACATTTACTACACATTATGAAGATACAGATAAAATTGTATTTTATGCAAAAGTTAAAAATGGAGCAACGGCAAGAGTTCATAAACATTTGATTAATTGTCCTGGAAATACATCAACCATAAGAGTTTTAATTGAAGGTCCTTACGGTAATCCAAGTGGTGCTGGTCGTCAAGTTAAAAATATTGTTTATATGGCTGGTGGTAATGGTATACCTGGTATTTATTCAGAATTGGTAGACGTAGCAAGTAAGAATGTTGATAGATCAATTAAATTAGTTTGGGTAATTAGACATTGGAAGTCTTTATCTTGGTTTATGGAAGAATTAAAAGAATTGAATAAGTTTCAAAATGTTGAAAGTTCAATTTATATAACTAAACCAAATGATTATTCAGGAATAGAATGTTTAAATAACAATAATTCTGTTTCTTATTCAGATTCTGAAGAAATGGAAGAAAAGAAAATTGATGAAAAAGATTCTGCATCTGTTCATTCTACTCAAATTTCAATAATTTCAAATGTTAAAAATGAATTGAGTCATATGGAATTTATTGAAGGTAGACCAAATATAACATCAATCGTAAACGATGAAATTGTAAATACTGATGATTCTTTGGCTTTTGTTACTTGCGGTGCACCAATGATGGTTGATGAATTAAGATATAATGTTACTAATTCAATTGATAAATCAAAATATAAAATTGAATTTCATGAACAATTACAAACTTGGGCATAAGGATGCTGTGAGTATACTCAATGTTAGGATGCTCAAGTTCTTAATAGAGAATACAAACATATTTAACAACTTCTGTTTAAACTCGTAATAGAGATAATATATAGATATTCAAAATTGAAGTTCATACATTACATTTATATATTCTAATATTTTCTATTCATTTATATAATTTATCAACTCACTTAATATATTTTCCAAACTTGAATAAAATGCACAATAGTCATTAACATCAACAAAATTATTACGTAAATCATATTGAATTTTAGAATTTAAACTCATCAATTCATTCCTTACTTCATTTGATAAACTTCTATTAACGGCCAATTGAGCACCTTGACCAACGTTATTATTATAAGTAACTTGTTGTGAAGTAAATTCAGGTTGTGGTACATCCATTACACTAAATAATTCATTCATGTTAGCTGAACTAGTAATTTGATAATCAAAATATGAGTCAGGTTGATATTGGGAAATTAATTGAATAATTTGAAAGCTCTTGAGTATGTACTCCCATGATAAGTTAGTCAATGATAACATTCGTTTATATTTTTCATTTTTGAAATATTTCCTATTGATTATAAATAGTGTTTTGTTTATCAATTTGACATATATGCATAGTTCATTTATATTTATGAATTCGTATTTGAATTTCACCGTGATTATGATAAACATAAGAATGACTGAGTCAATAGGAATTATTCTTTTAATATACCAATTATATTTTCCAAATTTGATAAAGTCATTATATTTAAGGAAATCATTCAAATTATGGAGAATGGAGGGTATTAGATTGTTGTTTAATTTATCATAGCTGAAATTTTCAAATTGGTTAAATTTCAAAAGGGAGATTGAACTCTTGTTGAAATTTTCAATTATATTAGCTTCCTGCATCCTTCCGAACGTGTCTTCATATTTTGAAAGTGATAATTTTCCATCCTTCTCTTTATTGAAATTTTTTATCATTTGTATCTGAGTTGTTTCTTCATGGTTATCATTAAGTAGTATCTTTTTATGTAGTAACATTAATGCCCGATCAACAAAAGTCCAACAATGATTAGTTACAAAACTAATCAAATTCATTTCTTGAACAGTCGTAGGTAGATTCAGTCTATAATATTGATTCATTTTATTTATACTCACATGGATACTATTATAATATTCTAGAATCATGCCCTTTATTTCATTTATTTGATCATTATTTATGTTTGAATTCAATCCATTATGTAAATAATAAACCAACTCCGATAAAATTCTATCAAATCTAAATTTAATATTACATGATAAGATACTCAACTTTAATTTTTTAACATTATTAACCATTTCAGACTCATCTGGAAGTAAAACATTAAAATCATCAATTCGACAATTTGGAGGCAAGCAAAAGTTATGACTACTTAATGCATCTAATCCGAATATAATCCACCATAATAATCTTCTAAAATTTATAATTTCCCAATCTTGAATACGTAAAGTCAATAATGGATCTTTATGTAAGTGTAAAAATTTTGCATATCGAATAATTTGAGACATGATGATTGTTGACGGATTGGGTGATAATGATTCAATAAGCACATTAGCTAATAATAATGAAATCAGTTTATTTCCATGAGGATAGTTGTAAAATTTATTGATTTTGTGACTTGCTTGGAGATATTTATCGATATCTTGATTCAACAAAAGATTATCAAACTCTTCAAATTCTGAAATTGTAGCTGCATATAATATAGGAAAATATAATGTGAAAAATTGTAGATGGTTGAAATTGGGAGAGTGAAATGATTCTAAATTCCAAAATGTTTCATGTTCGATTAAAAAATCTTTCATGTTTGGTATTATTGGAAGTAATAAATGAACAGAATTAAGATATCGTTCAATTAATTCAAATGAACGTTCTTTATTTGGTGGTAGATGTTTTGATAGATCTTCTAGTATGTTATTGTTGGTGTTTTCGGTAGTTGAAGCAGCATTGAACAAATAAATATTATTGGTTGGACTATTGTAATTTCTTTCTATTGAATTGTGATTTTGTAACATGTTATTAAATATCATATCTTGATTAGCTAATGCAAATGAACTCAAACCAAACAGTATTGTATCCTCATTTTGTAGTTGTGGAGTTGATGATGTTGTTGATTGAGGGTGAGGTTGTGGTTGTGGTTGTGGTTGTGGATTTGTAAAATTACCACTAAAATAACTATTTGTTATATTATTTGTAAAATTATTCACTATTGGACTTTGCATTAATGTAGTAGTTGATGTTAAATCATTAGATTCTAAATTAAAAGGTATGGAAGCCGTGCCAGGATGTGGATGTGGTTGTTCTATTGATTTCTTTCCATTTTCATCTTCTTCTAAACTTGTAGCTACTGAACTTGTAATATTTATTGAACTATCACTTTCATCATTGCTTGATTCTAAAGTAATACCTCTCATTTTTTTCTCATCTTCAGTTAATCTACTCAGTTGTTTACCACCTCTAGATTGACGTTCATTAATAAAATATTTACACTCAATCTCTAATTTAATACAATTCTCACAAGGATTACTTCTTGAACATTTGATTTTCTTTGAATGACAATGCATACATGATAAAATTCGTCTTTGTCGTGATTTTTGGATTTTTTTCACAATATTTCCATTTTCAGTAACATTAATAGCAGCTTCACTTCTATTGGATAGTCTTCTCATCATAGAATCAGTATAATTATATTATCTTCATGAAAGTATGGGTGGTAAGTTATTGAAAGATGCGATATTTGATGTTTATTTTTTATGGTTGCAATTTTTTTATTGATAAGACATACGCTACCAATTGAGTAGATCTAATACTAAAAAAGCTTATTTATTTCGTATATTTAAAACCATGGTAATTTAGTATTCTCTTCCCATATAATATCATCATTCTTGAGTAATTTATCTTGTTTATCATTGTTTATCATAATTGCAGATCTCGAAGAATTATCAGCAATGGAGACACCGACAAACTGTGACTTAATCAAATCAATACAGGATAAAGACACTTCACTTTCCCATAATGTAATCTTTGTTGTCTCTTGTCCGAGTATTGGTCGTTTTGATATATGATTCTTAAGCAAATGTAATAATTTCAAAACTACACTATCATCATTTTCAAAACTAACACATTTTAAAATAGTTACTGAATTTGAATCATCCTTGAAATCTACCGTCCATATAATAAAACCAGTATCGTCTTCCATTTTAATCCCATACACATTTGGTTCCTCATTTTCAAGCTTGGAGATTATACTTTGATAATCCTCATTATAAAAATCAATCCTATCAGTCTTGGATTTCTCATGGTACAATTTATAACTTAAATACTTAGCTCTAAGATGAAACCAATCAATTATATGAGAATCGGGTATGATTGAAACACGAGTCTTATGATCCTTTTTAACTTTTTCAATAATTTCAGATTTGAGCTTTTCATTGTATTTAGACATTAATGGTTCAAATTGATGATATGGAATAAATTCATAACTAGCTTCGATTGGAGATAAATCTTGGTCTTTTAAAGGTATTGATAATGTATCTACTGGATAACTTTTAAATCCATGTTTAGTATAATATTCTCCAATTTCAGAATATAAAAAAGTAAAACCCTCTTGACCAATTATATCTTCTTTACATAATCTTACTAATTTATCGATCATGATTCGACTGTATCCTTTACCTCTATTCTCCGGATACGTGAAAACAGAACCAATGGTCCCACATTTGACTTCCAAAACATCAGCTTCACCATTATTATATTCAAATTTCCATCCGGGTCTGATAAGGATTTCTACTGAACATAATGGAATTTTATTCTGATCTTGAAGCATATATACCAAAAGGTTATCATTGATAAGTTTTGATTTTCCAAGGGTGTGTTCTCTTAATATATAATCATCAACTGAGAGATCTCCCTTCCAGGTTTGACCATTCTTACATCTTGTGAAATTTATATGATCTTGATCTGTTAATTGAACTAATTTGAATTCGACTGGTGTAGAATTTGATAAACTTGGTGCCATGGCTAAAAAATGACTTTGCTATATTTGTAGATTTGGTTGTATTTATAGGAAATTAAAGTAAAGTGTGGAGCTGTAATGTATCTATCTAATCTAGTTATATAAATGAATGCCGTATGAGGATATACTTTAGCGGGAGATGTCTAAATTTAGTCTATTGCATCGTGTTTTTCTGCTAACGTTAATTGCAACCGAATTTTTATATTGTTGATCATTTTTTGCAACCATTTCAAAACAAGGATGACATTTCATACTTCCCCCATAATAAAGAACTACCTTGACAAATTAAGAGATGTACTTATCTGCCACATCACCATCGCTACATTGATTTACTATTACCATTTCAAATTAATTATACAGAAAATGGTCGTACTGTTCACTTAGAGCGTTCCTTTAGTACTAATAACAATTGTCTAGCTCTTCGATACTGAACCAAGTAGATCTAACTCTCTGTATTTCGGTCAAATCTTTACCCTTCTTTGTGTTTCATCAATATCAAACTCTTCATTTACAAATCGCTACCATCTCATGTTTTTTTCACCGTTCGTTAATTTTCATACCAATTTATACAAACCAATATTACTATGGAATTGTTACCAGAAGGACAAAGAAATACCGCAACAGAAGTTAAATGGGAAGATCAACAAAAAATAAACAAATTTAGTACAATCATATCTAAAAAAGATGAGTTACTAATACATTTAGATCAATTAAATCAAGAAAAAGAATATCTGGATGATTTGAGTTTAGAAATTGAATTACTTGATGAAGATGATACTATACAATATAAATTAGGTGATTCTTTTGTGTTTATGAAAGTGTCAAAGGCTATATCTAAACTTGAAAGCGATCAAGAAAAGATGAATAATAAAATAGATGCAAGTAATGAATTAATTGTAAAATACGATGAAGAATTAAATGAATTGAAAAGTCACTTATATGCTAAATTTGGAAATAATATAAATTTAGAAAGGTAAGGTGAGTAAGGATGAGTATGGATGCAAAAGTAAGGATTTAAAAGTAAAGATGCACGTAGTAAGGATGCAACAAACAGAAAAGTAAATATTAATATATATTAATCCTCATCACTTTCTTCATATGTAGGTATATCTTCTAATTTAGGTTGTTCTTGTTTTTGTTTCTTTTTAGGTGGTTGTTGATCTTCAATTGGTGGTTGTTGATGTTGTTTAGGTGGTTGTTGTGGTTGTGTTCCACCATTAGAATGCCTCATTCTTCTTTCATATTCTCTTTTCTTCCATGCTTTATTTATTGCATCACAATTATCTCGAATTTCTTCTTCTTTAACACCATCTTTTATACTTAATAATATTCTTTCAACTACAGATATATGATTACCATTACTTTTATCATTTCTAAACCTTAATATCTCCCAATAACCTTTCTTTTCTTTTGATTGTTTACATTCTACTACTCTACCTTGTAGTGGTTCATTTAAATCTTTTAATTTTTCCCAATCTTCATCTGAAAGATTCAATTTTGCAAAATCAGTATGTACATTTGACCCCTGCCATACTCGTAATTTTATAAGATCTGGTTTTGAATCAAAATCTATATAAGTTGAACTTGGATCTCTTTCATCCAAATCAGGATCTTGAAATTTATTAAATACAAATTCAATTTGAAAATCTATAGTATTTTCATTAGCAGGTTTCCATTTAAGTAAAGTTGAATCAGTTCCAAATACGTATGGAGTTTCAGCACAAGTATAAATCAACCCATCTGAACTATGAAATAATTTATCCATTGCATCCAATACATCAGGTGCATGATAAGAAGTAAGCATTATTTTAAATCCCACTTTAAATGGATAATTTGGAGCATTTACAATTTCTTGATGTTTTAATTTAAATGAATCATAAGGTTTCATAACATTCTCAGTAATATAACCTAATCTTTTCGGTAGTGGTCTATCAGTTATACATTTACCATTAATTACCAAAGAATCAAATATGACATAACGTAAATATGGTTCAGATATATTTTTATTTTCTAACACTAATTCACCATCTAATAAGGTACCATGATGATAAGTTGGTTTATTCATATTTTCATTAATCACTAAGGGGAAATGAATATTTGGAATATAATAATAATCATTCTCACGAGTAATTAAAAATACACCTTCACCTTTAATTGGATCATTAATAAGGAATAATAAACATCTTAAACCATCTGTTTTTTCACACACAAAATAATCTTTCAACATTAATTGTTCTTGAATATGTCTTCTTTCAAATGAAATAGGTTGAGAACCAGGAAAATTCAGTTGTCTTCTACCGAGTAATTCAGCAACCATTAATCTTAATTCTTTAGCTTCAATTTCATCTAATTTATTACCTGGTATTATAGGTATATCTCTTTCATCTAACTCAATCATAATAAATGTATAATTATCACCAACTGGTATTTTTTTTTTTCCAAACGGTTTAATGAAATTATTAGTACAATATATACAAGATGCACCTAGAATATTAAATACTAATAAGGAACTAACACTATTACTAAGAGATAAACATATAACAGAAATAGATAACTTACAGACAACAAATGACATTTTCCATTGCATAGACTTGACTAATAACAATTTGGTTAAATTAAGTAATATACCCCAGTTAAAAAATTTAAAGACATTGTTATTAGGTAATAATAATATCACATATATTGATATAAGAACACTTTCGGAAACAAATATAGAATCATTATCATTATATAATAACAATTTATATAAATTTCAATTTGAAATACGAACAGTATTTAAAAATTTACGCAATTTGGTGCTTATTGATAATCCAATTACAAGAATAGAGAACTACCGGTTATTTACGATATGGATATTTCCAAATTTGAAAGTCTTGGATTTTACAAAAGTGAAAGAAAGTGAAAGAGTGAAAGCTAGGGAAATTTTCGGTGATGATAATAGTAAACTAAATGAGAAAGGTGAAGAGATTATTAAATTAGAGAATGTAGTTAGTGAGGCTAGTAAAGATGATAAACAATTGAATAATATAGTTAAAAAATTGACTGATAAAGAAAAACAAGGATTATTAAAGAAATTGGAGTCAGCTACGAGTTTAGATGAGATTGAAGAAATTGAATCTACGCTACAAAAAGGGATTGTATAGAGTAGTAACGATGCAATAATACAAATGTAGGGATGCAACTGCAATCAATGTATATAGTAAGTTAAGAAAAAGTGGAAAAGAAGAAATATTAAAGAAATTGATGAGTGTTACTAATTTAGGTATTGCAATAACCGGATTGTCTCTTACAAATATATACTTACAACTGTTGGTTGTCTCTATCTGTTGGTTGTTGTATTTTGCAATATAAATATAAATTAATTTTCTTCTTTTTTTTTAATTCATATTTTTGACGAACGGTATAAAATTTATTAATTACCAACGAATATTGGAGTTATTAGCTGCTTTTGGGTTTAGTTCTGCATTATTATAGATTGCATTTAGTTGATTTATTATGTCAATTAATAGTAGACCAAAAAGAAAAGCTACTATAAATAAAAATTATAATGATCCAGATGATAATTTTATTGATTCAGATCAAGAAGAAGAACAAGAAAAACAAGAAAATCAGGAATTATCTACTGCTAATTCATCATCAACTAGTATAAATTCAACGCCAACTGCTACAGAAGGTAGAACAACAAGAAGGTCAACAGCTGCTGCTGCTGCTGCTAAATCAAATAATAAAAAATCAAAAGAAAACACGAAAGGTACTTCTCCTGCTGCTCCTGCTGCTCCTTCTAAACCCCCATTACCTTATAATTGGCAACCGCCAATAACACCCGAAGATTATTTTTCAAATAAATTAGATTTATCAGATGCGTACATTGATTTAAATTTACAAATTTTATATTGTCCAAACCAAACAATAATAACAAACAACTCCACCAATAATAATAATAATACTAGACGGAAGAATAGTAAGTCTGTTTTTTCATTATCTAAAGGTCAATATATTTATCTTATTTGTGAACCACCTGGAGATCCGTATTATGTAGGTAGGATTTTAGGGTTTAAACATAAAAATCATCATGGTGAAACAAAAAAGCCTAAGAATAATATAGTAGATGCAAAAGATTATGAATTCCAAATTCAATGGTTTTATAGACCTCGTGATATCTCCAAAACAACATCAGATTCAAGATTATTATATTCTTCAATGCATAGTGATTCTTGTCCATTAATGAGTTATAGAGGATTGGTTACAGTTAAACATAAACAAGATATAGAAGATGAATATAATAAATTACAACCAACCACCACCACCGCCAAAAGAAACACCAATAATAAAAAATCATCATCACCATCAGTTTCACCATTGGAAATATATACATCACAACCAAATTGTTTTTATTTCAATCAGTTATTTGATCGATACATGATTAAATTTTATGATGTACTTTCCACAATCAATCTCATGCAATATTCAACAAATGATTCCAAATCAAGGAACTTTTTAATTGCTATACATAAACGATTTGAATTCATTTTTGTAGAATCAACAAGAACAAAATCATTAATTAATTCATTTCTGGCTGATTCTTGTAATTGTGAACTTTGTGGCTTATGGTGTGTCAGTCAAGATTCAGTAAATTGTATTGAATGTAATAATTATTATCATATGTATTGTTTAGACCCTCCATTATTGAAAAAACCAAGTCGTGGATTTTCTTGGAGTTGTGCTACATGTACGAAAAAACATGAGATTGAATATCATCAAAAGAAGATACTCATGTTAAGTCATGATAATAAATCTCTGAATCAAGATCAATTAAACAATGAATTAAATGCATTAAGTTCATTAGAAGAAGAGACTGGGAATTTTAATGTATCAGATGATCAATCATTACCAAAATATGAAATAATGGCTACATTATTCCTTGAAGAAGATAAAGAAAATAGTATTGAACAGAGGAGAATACTTGAAGAATGGCCAATGAGGTATTTAGGTGTGAATGCAAGATTAGAAGAAGGTGTTGATTTAACTGATAAAACACCATATCCTAGAGCTTCTACTAGATTAGGTGCTAAACATCAAGCTGTTTATATACCTGAATGTAATGGACATCCAATTGTATATTATGATGTTGAAGATAAATCTCCCAAAAAAAAAATAACAATAAAAGATAGGAAAAAAACAAGAGATAAACAAGAAACAATAAAACAATTAAAAGTACCTGAAGAATATAAAAATGTTGATCCAAAAGATTATCCGAGTTGGTTGCAACCTCGTCCAAAGGGATATACTGAAAGAGGAGTAGATGACGGAGATGGAGATACAGTTACATTATTATGGAAAACTTCTGAATTGGATAGAGAAAATCATTTTGCAAATTTAAATCAATACATCCAAAAATGTAAATCAATAGCTGAAAATCTTGGATTATCTCCAAATTCACCAAATTTTTATGATGCAATCTTATTAAATTATATGAAATTTAAAGGAGATATAGAAATGGCATATCTTGAATCATCGGCATTGACAAAAAAGAAATTACACGAACCTGTATTTACAAAAGAAGAAGTTAAGAGATTTGAAAATGCAGTTAAAGAATTTGGATCAGAGTTGTATCCCGTTTACAGTAGAGTTAAAACACAACCAAGTGCCATGATAGTTAGATTCTGGTATCTTTGGAAAAAGACAAAAAATGGCGCATTAATATGGGGAAATTATGAAGGAAGAGTCAAAAAATCAAAAGTACAAAATAAAACAAAAGAAGAAGAGAAGAAAGTGGTGGTCATTGATGATCTCGCAAATTCTAAAGATGATTCTTCATTTGAGAATGAGAAGATAATATCTCAAAAGAAGAAATTTAATTGTAAACATTGTAATACTCATTCTTCAATCCAATGGTATAGAATTACAGGTATCCAAGATTCAAAGAAATTAAAAGATGAAAAATTTGTTTCTGGTTTATGTTTTAGATGTGCTAAATTATGGAGAAGATATGCTGTTATATGGGAAGATCCAAATGAAGTTCAACGAAAATTGAGTAATAATAAATATAGTGGATGGAAGAAAAAAATTGAAAGTGAATTAGTTAATGATTCAAATAGGATATTGGCATATGCGGAAGAAAAAGGAATGAGTTTAAATTATGATAAAATCCAAGATGGAGATACTATAATTTCTAATAAGTTGCCTAAACCAGTTGAAGAAATAATGAAAAAAGAAAATAAAAGAAAATTGGAAGAAACTGTTTCAACTCCTAAGAAGAAAACAAAAGTCAAAAAGGAAGAAGAACCTAAAAAACTGAAAAACAAACCGGGTCCAAAGCCTGGAGTACCTCGAATACCAAAAAATGTAACCAAAGTAATTGATTCAACAGGTAGAAATGTAATGAAAGTTGTAGGTACAGATATGAAACCAATTGAGATAGATATGGGTATATTACCTTATGATTATGATGTAATGGAACTAGAAACTAAAGAAAAAGTAATAGCACCAATTTTAGAATCTTCAAGACCAATCAAAAATGAAAAAGTATATGAATTGATATTTAACAAAAATTATAAAACACCAAACTTACAGAAACTAAAAGCAGCTCCTTCTGGAATATCAGCTGATTTTGTCGATGAGATGGTTAAATCGTTCAGAATTAATCAATTAGCTGACGTATATTCGAAATTACAAATTAAGAATCAAAATTTATCAATTGGTTTACCATTCTCACAGAATAAAAGAAAATGTAGCATATGTAGAGAAGATGATCATAATCAAGATTCAATTAATGAGATGTTGATATGTGCTTCATGTGGAGTTAATATTCATTCATCATGTGCTAATTTGAATATAAACAAACGAAGTCAAAGAGAATGGGTTTGTGATTGTTGCATAAATGATATGAAACCAATTAATTCATGTAATTATAATTGTTGTTTATGTTTAGCAAATGAAACGAATTATGAACTATCAATCACTGGTAATGAAAAAGTTATTCCAGATTATTTGAAACCTATTACAAATGGGAAATGGTGTCATTTGAGCTGTGCTATGTTTAATAATAATATTTTATTCAGAAAGAAAGAGAATAAATTAATAATTGAAGATGTTTCTAAGATATTTATAAATAATCATGACATTAAATGTGGAATATGTGATTCATATAATGGAAGTTTAATAAATTGTGAACTTTGTGATAGGAAATTCCATATTACTTGTGCCCAAGACAGCCCAAACTACAAAATAGGATTCAGATTAATAAATGGTAAAGAAGTAGAAGTAGGTGATAAAATCGGGAAATTGAAATCAGTATTAATATGTCCTAATCATCAAAAAAATGTTTTGAACTTGAGAACAATGGGAAGAAGAACAAGCAGTCGATTAGAAAAACCATTGATTCAATTATATTTAGAAGATTTACTAAACAACATCCCAAAGTATATTACTTCAGGAGCTAATTTGAAATCATTGATATATGCAGAGAATTGTAAATTATTAAATGAAGACAAGGTATCCAAAAAAGAGAAGTTGAAAGAATGTATTAAGTGTAAATCTGATATGAGTCCAATGTGGTGGCCTTCTGTAAATGATATTGGTGTTGTTTGTCAATCTTGTCATTTCGATAAGAATAGAAATGTTAATGTTGATGATGATGATTTGATTCTGATGTCTCAGCCTATTAATGGAGAAAATTACGGGATTAAAAATTCAAATGATTCTGTTGTTAGTCGATTTAAACCTAAATTGGAATTAAAGATTACTCAACAACAATTGGAAAATTTGAATAAATCTAGTGCTATAAAGTAAGGATGAAAAATCTCAGGATGTGAAAACTAAGGATGCAAAGTAAAAGATGCAAAGAAAGCGTAAGGATGCAACGAAAGCGTAAGGATGCAAATTAATATATTGATCTATTGCTACAATGCAGCTAATAATTGAAGTATATTACGAATACATGAATAAATGAATATATAAGTGTAAAACTAAAGTATTGACTCTTCGTGTCTAATTCTTGATATTTCTATTTATTTATAATACACATGGTAGCAATATTTTTCTAGATCTTATCTTATCTTATCAAAAATATATACCACGGGTCACGTATTTACTTCTACTTGACAATGATTTACGATACAATTATATCACCAGGTTTAGGTATTGGTAATGATATAAAATTAGGTTCATCATTATATAACGTAGTCAACAACTTAGATAAATTTAAATATAAAATCAAGATTTTATATTCAAATAAAGAATATTATGATAATCCTATAATTATCCAATTGTTAGATTTAAACATTAGATTAACTTTCAAAAATCAATGCCTAGATTTAATTGAACTACTCAATCTCAGTAATAATCAATCCAGAAAGTTATTAAGATTGAATTTCAATAATCAAATTTTGAATGAAATTGAAGGATCAAATTCTGAAGTTACGTCATGTTCTAGTTCAACTATGTCTGAATCAAGTTTAACTACTTCTGGATCAACCTTCAATACACTAATATCAAACTCACCTGCTTTTCAAACTATATATAATAAAGTTTTTGGACCTACTTATCCTGGAATATTAAAGAATCAATTTTATATACTACTGTATAATGGAATTTCATTTAAGTTTGAAATTTTAAATACAGGCTTATTGGAATGCTTGAAATCAATAGATGACGGTCAAATTTTAAGTAAATTGTTGAATTGGGATAATCCAGAAGATATAATTTGTGATTCAATTGCAATATTCAAAGGCGATTCATGGAAAGACTACAAACAAAAGCCTAAACCAAAAGATTTTAATAGATTAAGTATTGATCTAGATAAAGGTATTATTAAATTGAGTGAGGAAGAGATAGTCATTGGTAGTTCAACACAACAAGAAATTTTAAATTTATTAGGTCCACCCGATGAATTATTCAACAAAACAGATTCTAAATTCCTAATTCATAATCAATTAGATACTAAATCCTCATTCCATAATTATTTCCGCTTAGGAATTGATATATTATACGATGTGAAACAAAGTTCATACTACGATCAAAATAATTTACACTCAGTAGTTAAGAAAGTAATTTTACATAACGGTGGAGTAGCTGAATGTTTAAACTTTATGAAATGGAATAAATGCAATTGGACAATTCAAGTAGATAAATCAACGAAAATCACTTCAGAAATGTATTTTAATGATCTTCCTACAAGTTTTAAAACTTTGACTCCTGTGTTATTAAATCGTTATGAATCTGAATTTATAGATCATGATTTAGATATAATTGAGTCTCCAAATATTAATAAAAGGATTCTGGATTGTAAAGTTAAAACATGGGGTCAGTCTAAATTATATGGTTTTAATCGTTGTATTTTGGAGGTTTTAAATTCTAATGGGTGTATTTCTTCGGTTACTATATATTAAGTAAGGATGAGTAAGGATGCAAGTAATAGGTAAGGATGCTGCTAATCAACACGATTTAAATAGAAAGTAGTGATATATGTTATGACTATATCTTAAGTAAATATATGAACAAATGAACGAAATTTATCTAAAATAACTATATATTAAACTAAATAATTAATATATGAATAAATGAAAGGAATAAAGTAGCTATTAAAGAAGCAGAATTCATAATACCTTCATTTGAATTTTGTACTTCTGAAAAAGTAGTAGTTGAAGATTGTTGATTAATTAAAGTTACTAATCCATCAGATTCAGATGTAACATGTACTTCAATTGGAGTTTCTTCATTCGTGATTGTATATCTTGCTTGATCAGTAATATCAGTAATTAAAGTAGTTATTTCTGATCTTGCATTAGTTGTAACAATCACTTGAATTGCTTTTGTTGTATAGTTTCCTAGTTCATCAGTAGTAACTATAATTGAATAATGATTTGATGATGACATTGATTGTTCAGATTTTGTAATTACTGCAATTGCTAAACTTGTTGATACTTCTCCATTCTCATCGGTAACTAGAATCATTGTAGGATATGAAGAGTACGTTATACTTGGTGAAATTTCTTCAACATTTGTAATTAAGTTACCTTCCAGGGATTCTATAGCTACTATAATTTCAGAACTATCTTGGGAAATAGTGAATATAGTTTCTTCAGATATTGGTTGAGTAATTGTTGTCCATTGATCATTTCCACCCTTGGTAGCTATAATTTGAGCAGCATTGGATACTAATGAGCCTTGACTTGTTTCTTCAATTAATGTAGGATAAGTTGTAGATTCGGGCATTGATGAAATTGTACTTACTTCGGTATTTAAACCATCCTCTGAACTTATAATATTAACACCAATTATTTCTTTTGAAGTTTTTGGCTCTGAAATGGTAATTGTTGATAATTCTTGATCAATCAGTCTAGTAGATGTGTATAATTCTCCATCTTTTGAACCAGTAACAACTATACCAAGACTTCTTATTGTTTGATTATTATCATCGATTGTCTCTATCAATGTATAAAACTCTGAAATACCACTCAGCGAAGTACCAAATTCATTCTCGGAGTCAGATGTAACAAGTACTTCAATCATTTCATCAGATTTCTGAACCGTAAATTCAGTTTCATGAGCTATTGAAGGTATTATGGTTGTTATATTGTCCCACTCATTAGATGAGATTAATATTTCCGTTATTTCAGTTGAATTATCAATTTCAATTATGGTTGGATATTGCGTAATTTCTGGACTTGATACATTGAATATTGATGAAAATTGAATTAAACTTGAAGACTGCGACCTCTCTGGTTCAATAGTTTCAAATATAGTAGTTAACTCTCCATTTTTATCCAGGAATATGACAGCTTCGATCAAATCAAAAGTAGTGTAAGTTTCAATTAGTGTAAAACTTGTTTCGTGATCAATTGGTAAAATAGTTGTTGACCATTCATTTTCTAAACTTGTACTTGATTCAACACTAGTCCATGTAAATTCATTGATTTGAGTTGTGAAACTTCCTTCTGAATTACTAGTTACTATAATTACTGTAAATATTTCAGAACGATCAATTAATGTGAATGTTGTCTCTTCTAAAATTTCTTGTGTTGTTGTTGACCAATTCCCATTCTCTGATGTGATTATAATATTACCTAAGCTTGAAGTAGACTCACCATCTGAATCAGTAGTCATTATAATAGTAGGAAATTCTGTTTCAATATGAGTTATTGCATTGATTTCAGTAGTTAATTCTCCATTAGATTCAGAACTTACAATTACTTCAGTAAATATATTCGAATTGCTACTATCTGGTATAGTAATGGTGGTTTCTTCTGTTATTTCTTCCGTAGTTGTTGACCATCCTTCAATATCTGACGTTATAATAACATTACCTAAGCTGGTTGAAGTTTCACCATTAAAATCAGTGGTTTCTACAATTGTAAGGTATTCAGTTTCACTATGTGTCAGCTCATTGAATTCTGTAGTTAATTCTCCATTAGTTTCACTACTGATTATAACCTCAGTATAAATTTCTGAATTTCCATCTAATGTAATTGTGGTTTCTTCTGTTATTTCCTCAGTAGTTGTTGACCATCCTTCAGTATCCGACGTGATAATAACATTACCTAAGCTGGTAGAAATTTCACCATTTGATTCTGTACTTTCAATAATTGTTGGATACTCTGTTTCAATTTGAGTGATTTCATTGATTTCAGTAGTTAATTCTCCATTAGATTCAGAACTTACAATCACCTCGGTAAATATATTCGAATTGCTACTATCTGGTATAGTAATCGTGGTTTCTTCTGTTATTTCTTCCGTAGTTGTTGACCATCCATCAGTATCCGACGCAATAATAACATTACCTAAGCTGGTAGAAATTTCACCATTTGATTCTGTACTTTCAATAATTGTTGGATACTCTGTTTCAATTTGAGTGATTTCATTAATTTCAGTAGTTAATTCTCCATTAGATTCAGAACTTACAATCACCTCGGTAAATATATTCGAATTGCTACTATCTGGTATAGTAATCGTGGTTTCTTCTGTTATTTCTTCCGTAGTTGTTGACCATCCATCAGTATCCGACGCAATAATAACATTACCTAAGCTGGTAGAAATTTCACCATTTGATTCTGTACTTTCAATAATTGTTGGATACACTGTTTCAATTTGAGTGATTTCATTAATTTCAGTAGTTAATTCTCCATTAGATTCAGAACTTACAATCACCTCGGTAAATATATTCGAATTGCTACTATCTGGTATAGTAATCGTGGTTTCTTCTGTTATTTCCTCAGTAGTTGTTGACCATCCTTCAGTATCCGACGTGATAATAACATTACCTAAGCTGGTAGAAATTTCACCATTTGATTCTGTACTTTCAATAATTGTTGGATACACTGTTTCAATTTGAGTGATTTCATTAATTTCAGTAGTTAATTCTCCATTAGATTCAGAACTTACAATTACTTCAGTAAATATATTCGAATTGGTACTATCTGGTATAGTAATTGTGGTTTCTTCCGTTATTTCTTCCGTAGTTGTTGACCATCCTTCAATATCCGACGTGATAATAACATTACCTAAGCTAGTAGAAATTTCACCATTTGATTCTGTACTTTCTATAATTGTTGGATACTCTGTTTCAATTTGAGTGATTTCATTAATTTCAGTAGTTAATTCTCCATTAGATTCAGAACTTACAATTACTTCAGTAAATATATTCGAATTGCTACTATCTGGTATAGTAATGGTGGTTTCTTCTGTTATTTCTTCCGTAGTTGTTGACCATCCTTCAATATCTGACGTTATAATAACATTACCTAAGCTGGTTGAAGTTTCACCATTAAAATCAGTGGTTTCTACAATTGTAAGGTATTCAGTTTCACTATGTGTCAACTCATTGAATTCTGTAGTTAATTCTCCATTAGTTTCACTACTGATTATAACCTCAGTATAAATTTCTGAATTTCCATCTAATGTAATTGTGGTTTCTTCTGTTATTTCCTCAGTAGTTGTTGACCATCCTTCAGTATCCGACGTGATAATAACATTACCTAAGCTGGTAGAAATTTCACCATTTGATTCTGTACTTTCAATAATTGTTGGATACTCTGTTTCAATTTGAGTGATTTCATTGATTTCAGTAGTTAATTCTCCATTAGATTCAGAACTTACAATTACTTCAGTAAATATATTCGAATTGGTACTATCTGGTATAGTAATTGTGGTTTCTTCCGTTATTTCTTCCGTAGTTGTTGACCATCCTTCAATATCCGACGTGATAATAACATTACCTAAGCTAGTAGAAATTTCACCATTTGATTCTGTACTTTCTATAATTGTTGGATACTCTGTTTCAATTTGAGTGATTTCATTGATTTCAGTAGTTAATTCTCCATTAGATTCAGAACTTACAATCACCTCGGTAAATATATTCGAATTGCTACTATCTGGTATAGTAATCGTGGTTTCTTCTGTTATTTCTTCCGTAGTTGTTGACCATCCATCAGTATCCGACGCAATAATAACATTACCTAAGCTGGTAGAAATTTCACCATTTGATTCTGTACTTTCAATAATTGTTGGATACACTGTTTCAATTTGAGTGATTTCATTAATTTCAGTAGTTAATTCTCCATTAGATTCAGAACTTACAATCACCTCGGTAAATATATTCGAATTGCTACTATCTGGTATAGTAATCGTGGTTTCTTCTGTTATTTCCTCAGTAGTTGTTGACCATCCTTCAGTATCCGACGTGATAATAACATTACCTAAGCTGGTAGAAATTTCACCATTTGATTCTGTACTTTCAATAATTGTTGGATACACTGTTTCAATTTGAGTGATTTCATTAATTTCAGTAGTTAATTCTCCATTAGATTCAGAACTTACAATTACTTCAGTAAATATATTCGAATTGGTACTATCTGGTATAGTAATTGTGGTTTCTTCCGTTATTTCTTCCGTAGTTGTTGACCATCCTTCAATATCCGACGTGATAATAACATTACCTAAGCTAGTAGAAATTTCACCATTTGATTCTGTACTTTCTATAATTGTTGGATACTCTGTTTCAATTTGAGTGATTTCATTAATTTCAGTAGTTAATTCTCCATTAGATTCAGAACTTACAATTACTTCAGTAAATATATTCGAATTGGTACTATCTGGTATAGTAATCGTGGTTTCTTCTGTTATTTCCTCAGTAGTTGTTGACCATCCTTCAATATCCGACGTGATAATAACATTACCTAAGCTAGTAGAAATTTCACCATTTGATTCTGTACTTTCTATAATTGTTGGATACACTGTTTCAATTTGAGTGATTTCATTAATTTCAGTAGTTAATTCTCCATTAGATTCAGAACTTACAATTACTTCAGTAAATATATTCGAATTGGTACTATCTGGTATAGTAATTGTGGTTTCTTCCGTTATTTCCTCAGTAGTTGTTGACCATCCTTCAGTATCCGACGTGATAATAACATTACCTAAGCTGGTAGAAATTTCACCATTTGATTCTGTACTTTCAATAATTGTTGGATACACTGTTTCAATTTGAGTGATTTCATTAATTTCAGTAGTTAATTCTCCATTAGATTCAGAACTTACAATTACTTCAGTAAATATATTCGAATTGTTACTATCTGGTATAGTAATGGTGGTTTCTTCCGTTATTTCTTCCGTAGTTGTTGACCATCCTTCAATATCCGACGTGATAATAACATTACCTAAGCTGGTTGAAGTTTCACCATTAAAATCAGTGGTTTCTACAATTGTAAGGTATTCAGTTTCACTATGTGTCAACTCATTGAATTCTGTAGTTAATTCTCCATTAGTTTCACTACTGATTATAACCTCAGTATAAATTTCTGAATTTCCATCTAATGTAATTGTGGTTTCTTCTGTTATTTCCTCAGTAGTTGTTGACCATCCTTCAGTATCCGACGTGATAATAACATTACCTAAGCTGGTAGAAATTTCACCATTTGATTCTGTACTTTCAATAATTGTTGGATACTCTGTTTCAATTTGAGTGATTTCATTGATTTCAGTAGTTAATTCTCCATTAGATTCAGAACTTACAATTACTTCAGTAAATATATTCGAATTGTTACTATCTGGTATAGTAATGGTGGTTTCTTCCGTTATTTCTTCCGTAGTTGTTGACCATCCTTCAATATCCGACGTGATAATAACATTACCTAAGCTGGTTGATACTTTCCCATTAGCATCAGTAGTTTCGATAATTGTGTTATATTCGGTATTTTCCGGTTCTATAATTGATGAGGATGTTGTTGCAATTCCTTCAACTACACTAATATCAACATAAGCAGATTGAGTAGATGTAATTCCATTAGAATCTATAGATTCATATGTAGTATAATATGATGTTGGATCTGGATATTTTGAACTTGTAAATGATACATCACCATCTGGATTTTGAAAAAATTCAATATATGCTGACTCAGTTTTAATGCTGTTGTCTTCATAAGTTGTAGTATAGGTTGTTATAAATCCATAATTTACAAATTCACTATAGGTTGCATCTAAAGATGTTCCAATTGATGAATCGACTACTTCTGAAGATAGACTAGGAGTTATGTAACTTGTTATGGTTGTCCATATTGATTCATCATTTGAAGTTATCAAAATTTCAGCTAATTTTGTTTCTTCAACACTATTTTCATCAGTTTCTGTGAATAAAGTTAAATATTTAGTTGGACTTAAAGTATTTGCATTTAAAGTTGTCTCACTTTCACCAGTTTCATAAGCTAAATTACCAGTTGATGAGTAGTATTCGTTACTTTCTGATACACTAGTTGATGTTCCAGTTTCTGATAGATAATAATCACTTGATGAAAAATATCCATTACTTTCATTTATTTGTGTAAATATACCACTTGCTTCTTCACCTTCTTCTAAACTTGAAATAATACTAGTAGCCATAACTTCACTTGTTTCTAATATAGTTTCACCTTGTACATTTGTTGTTAAATACGTTAATGTACTAATTGCAAAAATTTCATAAATACCAGTAAACCAACCTCCTCTTGGATTTGTGGTGATTAAAATTTGAGCACTTTCAGTGACTTTATCACCCCAATAATCTGTAGTAGTATAAGTTAAAACATAATTGGTAAAAGATTGAGGTAATAAGCTCGTTATAGTCGTCCAATTATCATTTTCATCTCGAGTAACGACAAATTCAGCAACTCTTGTTCTTAAACCAACACTTGGAACTTCAGTCGTGAATAAACTTGTATATGTCTGATAATAAGGCGGTGATTCATGATATGTTGAAGTATATGTCTCACCTCTTCTATTTGTTGATTTTATAACTGTTGCTGTAATTGTTTCTGTTCCAATTACAAAAGTTGTATCATATGAATAAAATCTAGGTTCTTGAGGTTCGTATTCAGTATACCAATTACCATCTTCATCTGTTGTTACAATAACTTCAATTGTAATACCTTCAGTATCTTCATCGCCAATTACTAAAGTTAAAACAGTTGGTTCTGGTTGAAAATCTTCAGTATAAGTATGCCAATTTCCGTCATCATCTGTAGTTATTACAATATCATGAAATGAAGTATACAAATCTCCATCTTCATCTGTAAAAACGTGAGCAGTTGCAAATCGAGTTGGTTGTGGTGGAAAAATTGAAGTTGTAGTATACCAAGATTCAAATTCATTAGTTGAGACAATGACTGCAGCACGTTTAGTTTCACCAGATTCAATTACATTAGTTGTATAAGTTGTAAATTGTTCTTTAAATTCACTTGTATACCATCCTTGTTCATTTGAACTAATATGAACTTCAGCTGTTATGGTTTCAAATCCACCTTGAGTATTTGTAGTCAAGTATGTGGTTCTGTAATTTGTAACTTCTGGTGTAATTGGTAATGTTTGAGTTGTCCAATTTCCAAATTCATCAGTTGTGACTTTTTTAATATATGTAGTTACTGAGATAATACCTTGCGGATTAAATGAAGTTTGAGTATAAGTATATTGAGTAAATGTTGGTGGGATAGTATATGATGAGGTATACCATTGTTCATTTGAATCAGTCGAAATGACAACTTCATATAGTGTATAAGTAAATAATCTACTATTATTTTCATCAATTAAAACTGTGTAAAGTGTCGTTGTATATCTTTCAAATGATTCCGGGATATCATGCGTACTTGTAAACCATTCTCCATCTTCATTGGTACTAATTAAAATATCAACTGCATTCGAAAAAGTTTCTGAACGTTCATTTACATCTAAAATAGTGGTTGTATACTGAGTAAATAACGGTGTTGTGGTTCTAGCTGATGATGTTGTTGGTATTGTTGTAACTTCGAGTGTCCCGGTTGATTCTGTTGTAGTTTCTGGTTGATTTGAACTTGATTCACTCGATGATGATTCTGAGCTTGAGCTTGAAAATTGAGAGTCAGACAAGATGGAGCTTGATTCTGAACTGGAGCTTGTGATTGAAGAGCTGGAGCTTGTGACTGAAGAGCTTGAGCTAATTGAACTTGAACTAGACCTAATTGATAAGCTCGTGGAGCTTGAACTTGAGCTTGTACTTGGTTCTGAACCCCAAATTGTCGATGTAAACCAATTTCCGTTTGCTGATGTTGAAACTAATAACTCGGCACTTCTCGTAGTTAAACTTCCATCAGGTAATGTTGAAATAATTGCTGTTGAAGTTCTGGTTGGATTTAATCCTGGAGGATCAGGTACTACCTTACAAGGTATACAATTTGATGGGAAATTTGAATTCGGAGGTCTTCCAGAATAAGAAACAGCGTTATTAACAGTTGGAACTAATGAACTTGTCTCCGTAGTGATACTAAATAAACTTGGATTATAACCAGTACCAATATTAAAGTTTTGATGTAATGCCAATGTATACAATGTTAAAATACCAGTTTTTGTATCATAAGTATAACTTCCATGTAATAAAGTTGGAGCTAAAGTTGTAGTTAAACCAATTTTTTTACCTTGACCAAAATTAGCAACTTTAAAAGTTTGTGGAGTTGAAAGAGCTTCAATAACAATTGAACTTTCATCTTCCATATAAATAGTTTGTAATTGTGAAAAAACTAATAAAGCATTTGGTAAAATTAACGATGATTTTTGTTTTAAAACTAAACACCCATTACCTAAAATTGCAGTTTTCTGTTCAAATTCAATATTTGTTAAACATATTGTACCAGCATTGCTGATACTTGTACCTGTGGCACCAATCTCAGTAATTGCATTTGATCTTTGATTTTGATGTAATACTAATAAACCATTATTTCTCCAACTTGCAGCCATTATTTCATAAATTGGCTGTCCTAATGAACCATCACCAGACATATAAAATTCACCATTATTTGTAAATGAATTTCCAACTAATCTATAATCTGGTGCAACTAAAGAATTTTTAGCATTTAATGAAATTATACCATTATTCAAAATATTATGAATAACACCAGTTAAAACTACTCTTAATTGGAAAGTTGCACTATTACTAGTAACATAAAATGCACCACCTTGATCAACAGTAATTCCACCAACAAAATTTAAAATGAAATTATCAACGATTGACCAATAAACATTTGGATAAACATGTACTCCATCTAAATTGACTTCAATTTGACCTCTAGAAACAACATCATTTCTTATATCGACAGAGTTAATTTGATTTAATGTAAATAGGAAAATTAAGAAAGATTTCCAAAAATACATCTTGATGATTGTAGATAGGGTCTCATTATTTCATTTTGATGATAAGTCAGCTTTAATATATTCTTGGTAAGACTTACTCAATTACGGGGTCCATATTATTAAGATTCAATATTGCAACCATGATTAACTATACTCACCATTAATTTGTTTTTGTTTTTATTTTTTAATCTTTTAATGAAAAATAGCCCATTGTGCATAATTATATTCTATGACTAAGTTTTGGATACTTTTTACTGCGAATTTCGCAGCAAAACAAATAATAGCTGCAAAACAAATAATAGCTGCAAAACAAATAATAGTTGCAATAATCATAATGCTTTCATGAATATATAAATAAACTTTGAAGACATCTGTTGTGGTTGCTAGGTTGCTGCTGGGTCTTTGGTCATCGATCTTACCAAGATTGAACAACTTTAAAGTTTATTCTTTTGATGTAACATAAACCTTACTAAATCCCTAGATCAAATTTCAGTGTTGATGGAACATAACTAAGACCAATAGATGAAACACAAAACAACGTGGTTAAACAAGTTCTTTTAGTTCAAGATGTAGGTGACTACTGTGGTTACTTCAAGTGTTTCAGTTTTCATATCCGCCTCAATTTTAGTGAAATGTTTCGGATAGTTCAATGAAACAATGAAACAAAGAAAAAAAGTCAAGGTAAGCTTGATGACTGTTGTACACTTATACTCCATTCATTTAGTTTTTTGCTAAGTTGGGAAGAGATGAACAACGAAGAACCAACCCCAATTTGATTAAACGAATCATTTTTAAAAAAATTGAACAAAGATTGAACAAAGATTGAACAAAGATACTATGTGACATACAGCTCTAACAAAACCCAAAACAACATGTAATTAAATATAGTTTTGAGTATGAGAATGTGTACTAGTGTCAGAAGAGATGAGTTAGAGTAAATCTTCTAGAATTATCACTAATTTTGAGTAATACTACTAATACTACTAAATAAACACAAATAAACACTAAAACAATCCGATCCTAAATTCTAAAAATGGATTCTAGATCACTTTTGATTGCACAAATAATGCTTTGCAAACTTTTATATTGTATAAAAGACACTTAAATTTTGCAACCTTTTATATTGTGTAAAAGACACTTAAATTAATTTAGTTCAACATTACGATTTTTGTTTCAGATTTGAGAGATCCCCAGATCTGGCCGCGGCATCAGATGGTTTAAGCCGCATGTACTGAATTTAATTTCCGAAAACACTGCTACCATGTGACATTTTGCGCTAAATTGCGCCTTGAATTATAATTTTAAAACGTTGTTCCTTATCGTTGACCAATCAAATTGGTTGATTACCAGTTTCTTATCAGAAGACAAAAGAAGAAGTTTAAAATTTTTTAGTCTGGAAATTTGAAACAAAAACACAAAACCAAAGAACATTGAACAATTGACGAATTAGAAATAGACATTAGACATTATAAACAATCGAATCAACGAATAACAAACCAACGTAAGAAAACAATCAGATCTTTTCAACTGAAGTTTTATTTAAGAAAAATCGCCTAGCTAATTGTAGATAATGAGAGGCTGCAAATTATATACAATTAATAAACTTAAACCTACCTACCTTCTTTTGTAAATGAATAATATAAAAAAACATACAATTAATTAGCTTTCTTTCTTGAGTTTAGATGGCACAAGCATTTAATATATAAACTCTACAATTCTCTGATTCTCTGATTCTTGGTTATTAAATCTTCGTTGGTTATTTTGAAGAATATTTTATAATTTTTATTCTATTTTTTTTTTTTTTTTTTTTTTTATTTTTATCGAACTTATAATTATTTAAATTTTTGACAACCAATTTAACAATCAATCAAAATCATAGTTACATTATAATATATAATAATAATGAACTTGAATCATTATCATCATCATCATTACTATAACAATAATAATAATAATAATAATAATAATAATCAATCTACTACAATGCATCAAGCTACAACTACTACAAGCTCAATTTCACAATCAAGTTTTGAATCTTCACCATCTTCTATTAAAACATATCCTAATAGTCAAAATAATTCACAACCAAAGTTCAAATTTAATTTGAATCCCAATAACGCAAAAGATACAAATAGTACCAATTCTAATCTCAAAGATTTATTAACTAATAATATTAATGATATTGATAATATTTGGAAAATGTATAATAAAGCCAAAGAATCATTACCTTATAGAACAAGAATGGAGAATTTAACATGGAGAATGATGTTTTTAAATAATAATTATAATAATATGGTTCTTAAAGATAATTTTACAAGTATAAAAACTGATGCCACGCCACAATTAAAGGAAAAGGAAAAGCAACAACAAAATCAAATTCAAAATCAAAAGCAACAACAAAAACAAAAACAACCACCACAACCATTAAATCCACAACATCAAAATCGCCACCATTCTCAAATGGATATAAAATATGAACTGGATTTAAATTTAAATTCTTATCAAGATTCTAATTCTAATTCTAATTCTCATTATCATCATCAAAATCATCATACTCATAATCATTTAGATCATCATCCAATACATATTTATCAAGATCTAGATAATAGTGGTGAAGAATTTGATTATGTAGCTCATATCAAGAAAATTAACAATTTAAATAATATTAATAACTCATCAGGTATGACTTCAATAAGTAGTAGTAGTAGTAGTACTAAAAAAAGACCAGCCAAGTTTTCACCGGGTTTAACAACAACTAATCAACATAATAATCACTTCCAACAATTTCAAAACCATCATCCACATTCTAATTTATCTCAACAATTGAATGAATTTAATAAACAACAAAATCACCATCAAAATCAATTCGATTTTAATCATTATCAATTACCTAGTTCATCATTTGAGTTTTCATTAGATCCATTAGCATTTGAAGGTCCTAATAATAATTTTAACAATCAACCAAAAATTTCTGATTTCAATTTTGAAGAATCTTTTGTGTCGAGTTATGAAAAATCAATTTTTGATCCTACCAACGATAATGAAACTCCACTCACAAATGTGAATTCATTTTCAAACTCAACTATAATACCAATAAATACTCAAATTAATCAATCTCAATCTCAATCTCAATCTCAATCTCAATCTCAATCTCATAGTAGGTATAATTCGATAGTGGCAACTCCAAATAGTTTATTAAGACAAGATAATTCATTAATTTCATTACCTGATTATGCAAAAACCAATAACAAAACTAAATTCACATTACCTTCACAATCCAACTCGTCATATTTTGAACTTCCCATATCGAACTCATTACCTAATCAATCAAATATGGAAAACACAATTAAAAAGTCAAAAAAGAAAACTAACAAAAATAATACAAATTCAAGTCCTATAGATCAAGATTCAAATAGTCGTAGTGGTGGAGTTTCATGTACAAATTGTCATACAAAGACCACTCCATTATGGAGAAGAAATCCTCAAGGTCAACCATTATGTAATGCTTGTGGATTATTTTTGAAATTACATGGAGTTGTTAGACCATTAAGTTTAAAAACTGACGTGATTAAAAAGAGGCAAAGAGGTAAAGGTAATAATAATGAGAAAAAAGAAGTGGTGGATGATGGAGATGATTTAAATCCAACAAATTTTAAAAAAGAAACAAGCAAACAACAAAGGCCAAATTTTAAAAAATCAAAATCAACATCTAAAATAACTAAAGATCAATCAGCACAACAAAGTATAAATCTAAATGAACTATCTCAATTGAATCAAAGCTTGGTACATGATAATAATCAAAATCTAATGTTGATTGAAGATGATAAAACCAGTACAGGCAATAATAATTGGGATTGGCTAAATATGTAATTAAATAAATAGAGAAATAATATAGAGTGAAAAATATAAACGTATGATGTAGCTATTCTTTAATTTCGTCCCCATTATCACTCAATTAAAATATGAAACATTTAGAATTTGACTTATATGCAGTCTCAGAGTAATAAATCTTAAAACTTAAAACATCAATAACTACTATAATTTCAAAGCTCTTACTGTCACACCTGGTTGACCGAAAACTTTGCGAGACTCAGATTAGATTTAGTTTCCTTCGTAAAAACCTGATTTTGATCATTTAATGCAACATTCAAAAATTGCAAAAAAAAAGCTAAATTGCAAGATTTTAAATACTTAAACCTCATTTTGCAACTTCTAAGATAGTTGATTCGGTCCATTACTTTTCGAAGATGTTTTGTATTATATTTTTAAGACGCCATAATCGTTTTGAATTTTTTCAAAAATTTCAAACGCAAGTTGAAAAAATACGTTGACTATTTTAGATGCCTAAACACAATAAAAACTAAGAACTATCAGAGTGGGGAACTACAAAACTGAATACTTTTAACATACTTTAATCACGAATTCAATTGTGCAAATAGCTTTTTCCTAAAGTCAATTTATTCTATTTCTCTCATGCATGAGAGAAAATTTGGAAATTTTCCAATCTTGATTGAGAGCAACTAGAACCGAGCCCAGCGTCTTTGGTTGAGGTCCAATTTGTATAAACCGTTGTTTGAATGTTATGGCTCTAAATTCAAAGATACACAGATTAACATTTTTCGAAAAAGTTTAGTATTATGAAAAACGCCAAAATGACAACGCCAAAAAAAAAACTTCAATTATTCAAGTTTGACTTATGTAGAGTGTATGATTCATGGATTCAAATCTCAAATAATTAGGACTTACCTGGTGAGATCGAGTTAGTCACGAGTTATAATCCAATTAATGTAATCCGAACCGCTCCAAAGTTAGCGCGAGAAATTATTCTGTCGCGTCAAGTTTTGCAGTGAGAGAATATGTACTTGAAAACCAAATCCTGCATATTAACTTTATAATCTGAAACAAAAATTTAAATTTTCGTCCTAAAAAGGAAATAATCTAAGTTCCTAAAGTTTATTTTAAAAAAGTATATAAAGCACGAAATCCCTAATTAATTCTCAAATCATTTTTCATCATGGAAGAATTAATCAAAGGTTTATACAAACTTCCAAAATAATTATTTGGCAAGGTCAGTTCAGATTTTGATTATGAATATAAGGTTTGCTTTTTTTACCTGATAGAAAATTAAGAAATCGGATCATTCCACATTTATTACATTTTGTTACTATTGATAGTGATAAGAATGGAAGAAAACGTCTTAATGGTATTTTTGATGCAACAATTGCTTCTGATCCTATTACTGAAAAAGAAAATGATTATCAATTACGCAATGTCATCAATTTCACATCTGTTACAAAATTAGTTCATTTAATGAATAAAGTTAAGTTTATCCAGAAGTTTTATGTACCAGAGAATTTGATAAGAATGACGAGACGTATTTATCATCATTAAATAAAATTAAAGATATTAGAATTACATGCAGATCTGTTCATTTGCAAATTTGAAATACCTTTCATTATTAGAAACAACAGTTACATTGCGTATTGCAAATATCAGAGTTAGTGATTTTCAATATTTAGCTAATGTTAGCAAATTATCATTCAAAGATTTAGTGATTCATCAAGAAATTAAAGGTGCAGATTCAACATTAACTCTCGTTATTTCAAAATGTGATTCAGGCACCATAAATTTAATCTGTTCATATTTTTAGAATTTAATTTGTTAAGATTACCAGAAGCAGAATTTGATTTTATCGTATTTTCCTTGTCACAGTTTAATTTTCCAATTACATTAACTGATTTATACCTTGTATATGGTAATTTCACATCATTTAAATTATTAACCAAACTTTCTAATTTGAAAGTACTTAGACTCAATAATACACTATTTCTAAAAGATTTATTTGAAGATGGAATTGAACATTTCCCTCAATTGTCTGATTATTTTTTGTACGGGAAGTATATCTTTAATTCTATTTGTTCAAAAACTATGAATAATTTTATGTATTTTGAATTGAGTTGATCCCAAAGCTCCCAGACGGTGTTGGTTAATGAATAAATTTCAAGACATGAGATGTGACAAGTGTGGAGAATCAAGCATTCTAGCTAAGTTTTAATCATCAAATCGTCTTTAAATTGGAAATGTACAGAAAATAGAGTTGACTTTATTTGAGTTTGGAATGTAACATTCTATTCAATAAGTTTTGAAACTTATAAGCTATAATGAAACAAGTTAATACATGACAAGACGCATGATTAGAGATAAGTTTGGCTTAATTATATACATAATCTCAAGAGAGTATTGTGTAACATTTTCCACCTGTTTCGGAGTTTTGAGATATTGCCTAATATAGACCTAACAATAGATCTAAATCTTGACATCATGAATACCTCAAGTTGAAAACCAACTCAATTCTTGCATTGAAATTAAATTCTTGAATCAACAATCATTGTCATGTCCTTATTTGGTAATTTTTTTTTTGCAACCAAAAAAATCTTTAATGACACATCAAAATTAAAAAGATCACTATTTTCAAAACATCAAGCCTTCACGATCTTCAGAAGTGGAATATAAATGGAGGTGTATCTTTCTTCAATTTTATATCCATTAATTTAAACAAATAAATAATTAACAATGGCTGCTCAACAAACTACTAAAGCTTCAGGTGCTCTAAATGATGCTTCAAAAGATAATGCTATCCGTAAAACTGGAAATGGTTGGATTGGTTCATCATGTACAATCATGTAAAGTTGGTAAACGATTGATGTTGGTATAATGGTTTTAATTGGATTGATTGATTAGATACTGGAACTTTTATATTTTACGTTTTTATATATACTGACTTTTCTTGAAACATATTTCTAGTTTAATCTCTTTATAGCCATCGTATTGTCTTTGTGTTTAGCCACTTAGATACTGTTAGTTGTATTGCCAATTTTAGTGTCATTAACAGCTACCATTTGACAAATTTCAACAAATTAAGACATACTTTTTCACATTATTAAATAACATTATGGTTGAACCATCAATTAATAGATTTCCACAAATTATAATTCAATATTGTAATGCATGTAAGTGGCAAAATAGGGCAATTTGGTACTTGCAAGAAATTTTACAAACTTTTCCTGACTTAATTAAAGATATATCATTACAACCTATAAATGAAACACCAGGGGTATTTCAAATCATATTAAGTAGATCAGACAATGATGTTAAAGTATTATATAAAAGAAAAATGAAGAATGAGGAGGTTGGAGGATATATTTATGTAGGTTTTCCTGATTCCAAATTTGTTAAACAATTAATTAAAGATGAATTTGATGTTGAAGTTGGTGATCATATTTCAAGAGGGTCTACAAACTATAAACTAACTGATCCTACTGATTCCGAATGCATAGATTGTAAAAGAGCATAATTTGATGTCAGAAATTTGGTCTTATGTAAAAGGATTCATTAGAATTTTATTAAAATAATCATCATTTTGAGTTGATCATTCAGTCTCATTGCCTTACCGTACATTTAAAAGAGCCTTAAATCACTAAAGGTTGCTTAATTGTTAACTGGACGGCTTTAGTTTGATACTGTATAAAAATTCCTTGTCTTAAGTTTAAGACTTGCCCGAATACTGATTGGAAAGCTTCAATTGGGTGTGTTATTGTTGCTAGATTTTGACATAACTTGATTTTGACATAACTTTAAATATAAATGTCAATTTGCTTTATTTGATCGAAATTAGAGCTGTAAATAGAGATGTATCAACTACAAAGTTACAAATTCTTAATAAATACTTCGTAACAAGACCATATATTTTAATATTATTCACCATCATTATTAAAACCATAATTATAAGCATCTTGAGGTATATCATTCCAACCATTTTCAGCTACAACATAAGGTAAACTAGATTGTAAACTACCAAAAAATAAAGTATTATTAGGTAATCCTAATAATTGTTGATATTGTTTGACAACAAAAGTTGGACTTACATTTTTAGTTGGAATATTTGAACTTGTAAGATGATGAATATTTTTTGGTGAATTACCATTAACTACTCTTTTATTTGAATAACCACCACCTGTTAAATTTCCATAATAAGTTTGACCTTTTTCTGCAGCTAATTGAATAGCAGCTAATACATGATTATTATGATTTGTAGATTGATTAATTTCTTTTGTAATTTGTTTCCATTTATGTTTTTCACCAGCTATTAATAATTGCTTTAAAATTTGTATATCATGATTTGAAAATTTTGAATTAATTTTAGAATTTATCATTGGTGGGTTTGATGATGCACCAGTACCTGAAATCATAGATGGTGATATTATAGTAGGATTTGGCTGTATTTGAGTTGAACCTGAGCCTTGCGTAGCTCCTGAAGATGAAGGAGATGAAGATAAATGAGATTGTTGTACTAAATGAGGTGATTGATTTAATGGAATCGGTTGTTGATAAGAATATTCTTGTGTAGAAGATGGTTGTATTTGTTGTTGACCTATTGGTGATAGACTAGTTTGAGGTTGAGGTGGTGCCATTATAAAATTAGTACTATAATGATTAAGTAACGGTATTTCTGAAAATAAACTTGAATTAGTTGATGAATTTGAAGTAGAATCAGAATTAGAATTTGAAGATAAATCAAATGAAGGCGCTAGTGATTGTGAATCTTTGGGTTTACTTTGACTATTATTCTGTATACTTGATGTAAATGGATAATTTAAAGATTGACTTGTGCTGGTTGTTGTTGTTGTTGTTGTTGTTGACGATGTTGCAATTGAATCAAACATAATATTATTTATATATATATATATATGAATAATTAATAATTAATAATTATTATTTATGAAAGTTTATACAATTTCTTTTCTTGTATAATAAATAATAATATTGAATTGTTGAAAATGTAAATATATGCAGTGTGATGTTGGAAGAATAATTTCTTGTTGGACTGACAATATCGAATGATAAAAAACTATTGAATGAATATTATTTAATGTGAATATATGTAAAAACCAAATGGTACAATATCTTGTAAATGTATGTAATAAACAATTGGTAAAAGTGGATTGAAGACCAATTATATATTTATTCAACTTTAGTTGAGATTTTTCTTTTTTTTATTTTTTTTTTTTTTTTTTTTTTTTTTTTCTATCGTAAATTTTTATATATATTTTTTTTTTTTTTTTTTATTTATTTCTGGTTGCCAAATTTAAACTTTTAACACTTTGTGCATATTAAAGTTTGCACATTTCAGCAGGGTTAGAACTTAGTATATGACTATTCTGTTCAATTGATGGTAAAGGGTGACATTTGCTTTCTTTCTATATAACTGGACATCTCCGTATAACACGTTCATCTACTTGTTATTGCCTTTTATCATTCAAACGTTCAAATTCTATTGGTTTTGCAAATCCTATTGGTTTTGAACATTGATAAATTGTAATACAAAGTACGAGAAATACTATTCTTTTGTTTATCTTTTGTAACTTAATGTTTCTTTGTGTGATTTATCACAATTTCTTTTCTTCATTTAATTTAAAAATTGTTTTCATTTGGATCATTCTACAGTGTTTCTCACCAATTTATGAATATTATCAATCATTTTACGAGACCTACATTGTATATTATTCGACTTATAATTATTTAAATTCTTATTCCCTCCCTCCCCTGTGGGTTATTAGGTCTATTTGTTCCTAGAATATTTTTATTCAAGGTAGAGATTAAATTATAACTATAATAATATCTCAAATTTTATTATAACTCTAACATTCTTCATACAAAGTTTAAATTTATAAAGAACAAAATTTCTTATGCAATTAGAACCACCATTGATTTTTATCTTATACTTCAATTTATATTTATATTTCCATTTCTGTATACCAATCAAATCTCTGTAAATGGTCATGGTCGCCTTGCAAATCTTGAGATCTAGACCGATAAAATTGCTGAACAATTAATATTCCAAACGGTGCTGTTTAGCCCCTTGTGCATTATCCATTAAATTTTTTTTCTTTTTTTTATGAATTATTGCTTCACTTTTAATTCAGTACTAAAATAATATACTGTTGAATTGTTCCATTATCCGTATCTGGATCGTAAATCTCATAAAATCATCTTATTTTATTTAATTGTTGAGTTTTGTGTTTTATAATTAGTTACTCATTCAGGTTACATTCAATTGTACTTAAACCTATTGCTTGTGCATATAGCGTTATCGGCTTCGGGATGATTAACTGATTGAGTATGTCTAAGCTTTTGTTGGAATATATACGTAATTTTTAGCCTCTTCTGTGATAATTTCATAACTTTGCAATGTTTTGTAATTTCTTTTTAATTATAATTGAAATAATTTGTACTATCCTTTTTTAATTTAAAAGATAACGACCAACTTGATTTAAGCTCTTTTATATAGACATTTTCAAAACTGCTCAATAGTCGATGATTTTTTTTGAATTTTAGTTAATATTTCTAAACATTTGAATAAATGACCTGAAAAAGAATATTCTTATCGCGATTTCCTGGCGACATATAATAATGCTAAAAAAAAAATTCTGATACGAGGCTTGGCCCTACTTCTAGAACTAAATTCTTACCGAGAATACTACTCGCATCCATATTCAATTAGACGCAACGAAATATTTTATCGCGCTAGTCCTAAGAAGACCTCGTACTAGCCCTATTGGTTTTGGTTTAAAATTCATGAACAATATACTGTCTTGAGTTAAATACAAGTTATATGAAATCAGAATCAATGGATTAAATATCCTAAATACTTAAAACTTCGGATTTCAAAGGTATTTTTTTTTGAGTTGTCATTTTTGGCTTTTTTCACCATACAAAAATTTCTCAAAAAATGTAAATATATTTATCTTTCTATTTAGGACCATAACTCTCGATCAAACAGCGAATTATATATATTACACTTCAAACAAAGATACTAGTCAAGATTCTAGTTGTTCTGAACCAAAATTGAGAAATTTAGAAAATTTCTCTTAAGTATGGGAAAAATCGAGTATATTGACTTTACGAAAAATCCAATTCCACAATCAACAATGTGATGAAAGTATAGTAAAAGTATCAAGATTTCTAGATTCCACATACAGGTAAATCCAATTGTTATCTGTGTAAGGCATTTGAAAAAGTATTTTTTTAAACATGAAATTTTTGAAAAAAAATTCAAAATGATGATAGCGTCTTCAAATCATAATACATATAGAATTTGATGTTAAATAAACCGAATCAGCCATATTTTAGTTGCTAATGAGGTGTGAATATTAATTATTTTGCAATATAGCGTTTTTTGCCATTTTTTAAAAGACGAATTACTTGATGAAAATTATATTTTATTAATGAAGTTTAGCACCAGTTTGTTCTTACACATTTGAGAATTTAATGAAAAAAGTTTGAGAGTAATAGCTTCAATATTGAAGGAGTTATTTACAATTTAAGAATCTGATATATTACTATGAGACTGCATATTAATCAAAATTGTTTCAAAATTATGCATGTCGCAAATATTTTAATATCGCAAAATCTAAATAATTTACGCCCATTTTTTACTAGTGCTCACCGAACAGAATAAAAAACCTGGTTACAAATTTTGGTACCATCTTAAAGCGCAAAGTCCCTGAATAAAATTGCAAGTTGTCAATCAAGTCGACTCATTAGCGTTTCATTTATAATCACATTTATATTCACTTTCTATGTAATCTTACTTAATCTTCTTCATATGAATCATCATCATTATCATTAAAATCATCTTCTACATCTTCTATACTTTCATCTCCGTCATCATCTTCATCACTATTAATAACAATAGCTTTAGATTTAGGTTTACTATTTCTTTTCCTCTTTGTTTCTGTTGTTTTCATATCAATATCTAAATCATTAACTTCATCCTGAATTGAACTCTTAGCTTTAGTAACTAGTTTGGGATTTGTAATCGGTTCTTCGATTTTTTTTGGTAAGATATCATCATCTTCTGAATCACTAAATATTGAAATAACTTTAGAATTTTCAGTTGTTGTTTTTGGTGAAAAGAATGATAATACATCATTTTTAGGCTTTGGTTTTGGTTCTTCTTTCTTAACAGGTGGTGAATTAGATTTAGCTTTTGTTGGTTTTGGAGTTGGTTCTTTCTTTGTTTTTGGAGTTAGTTCTTTTTCAGTTTTAATTTTTTTAGCAGTTGTTGCATTTGTAGTTGTTGCTTTTCTCTTTCTACCTGTTTTCTTTTGGTTCTTACTTCCCAAATTTTCTCTTTCTAATAGATCTCTCTCCAAAAAGTTATCATATTCAACCAAAAATTCATCTAAATCAATCATCCATAAATCTTTTGCAGATTTACCTAATAAATCATTCAATTCAGCTTCTTTCATTTGTTTCTGTTGTGATAATTTTAAATATCTTTCATGAGTTAATGACCAAATACTCATACCTAATAAATATTCATAAGAACTTTGCAATGTTTCAGGTCTATGTTCTTCTTGTGTGTCCGAATTATTATTATTCTCTGTATTTTCAACCTCATCAATTTTTAAATTAAGGGCGCTTATATCTCCAATTTCTTCTTCTTCTTCTTCTTCTTCTGTTTCAAGTACATCTTCAATTGGTTTGCCATCTTTTGAAAATTTTTTGAATTTTTTATCTTGTAATTGTTGAATTACTTCTTTTCGTTTAACATTTTTAATATGTATCTCATCGTTTATGATATATTTAATAAATCTTAATTGTTCTTCAAGCATAGTTAAATTATTCTTTAAATTGACAATAAGATAATCTTTTCTCTTTTGATAATATTCTAATCTTACAAAATAAAAATCTTTTAAAATTTCAATCACATCATTATATTTCTTAATTCTACCTTGTGGATCAAATGCAACCATATTTGATAAATTAATTGACCCAATCAATTTAAATCTTTCTAATAATCCCATTCTTATTGATTTTTCCATTTCTTGTGGTGATAATTTAATTATAAATTTGATATTTGTAGTATGATGTTCTTCCATATCTTTAATCCAAGCTGGTGTTTTTTCAGTACCAAATCCAGATAATAAGAATTCTTTGATTGTATTTGTCCATGTCTTGACTGGAATTTCTGTAATTTCTAAAGTTTGATCATCAATTTGTTCAATTCTACCAGATATTTTAAATTTTTGGTGTCCCATTGATACAATATCTCCTTCCCATCCTCTATACCATGGAATCATATCTTCTGGCTCTTCATTATTTAATAATTTTTTAATATTTGCAACTAAATCTTTTGGATTATAACTTGGTACATTAGTTGACCAACCAGTACCAATACCTTCTGCTCCATTAACTAATAACATTGGAATAACAGGTAAATAATAAACAGGTTCAACTGTTTGTTCATCATCTTGAACATAATTATAAATTGGATCATCCAAAGGATTAAAAATTTTTCTTGTAATTTCATTCAATTCTGTAAAAATATATCTTGGTGCTGCTGCATCTTTACCACCAGTGGCTCTTGAACCGAAAGCACCATTTGGTTTTAAAACATTAATATTATTTGAACCAACGAAATTTTGAGCTAATCCAACTATAGTTTGAACTAATGATTGTTCACCATGATGATAACCAGTATTTTCAGAAACATAAGCTGCTAATTGTGCAACTTTAATTTCATTTCTTAATTTACGTTTATAACAACCATAAATGACTTTTCTTTGACCTGGTTTGAAACCATCCAAAACTGATGGAATTGATCGAACATTATCTGACATTGAAAATAAAATTAATTCTTTATTTATAAAGTCACTAATTGGAATTTCATCTAAAGTTGAATCTAAATGTGATCCAGGTACATATTGTTGTAACCAATCTTTTCTTGCATCTGCCTTCTTTTTTGAGAATGCTAAATCAATTAATTCTGAATCATCACCTTGTAATTGATGGAACTTCTTTAAATGTTTATCAAGGGCAATAAAATATTCTCTTGCTTCTTTTGTTGTTGATGTACCTAAACCTTTATAATATTTATGAGTCCATCTAACTTGAGTACCTTCATTACCTCTCCAATGTTCAAATTCAGGCATATTATAAAATGGTATAACTTTATTTGTTCCTCTTTGTTTTATAGTAACTTTAACAATTGGTGTTATAAATTCTAATAAAAATCCAGGTATATCTAATAACCCAGGAAATGAAGTTTCCAAGAAATTTATAATTAAACCTTTTATATGTGAACCATCTTGATCTTGATCAGTCATAATCATAATATGACCATATCTTAAGGATTTAATATTTTCTGCATTATATGATTTTTTATGTTGTAAACCAATAATTTGTTTTAATGCATTAATTTCAGCATTTTTTGAAATTTGTTCAGTTGAAGCTTCACGAACATTCAATAATTTACCTCTTAATGGGAAACAACCATAATAATCTCTACCAACAACAGCTAAACCTGCAATTGCTAAATTCAACGCTGATAAACCTTCAGTTAAAATTAATGTACATTTTGTTCCATCTTTTGTACCTGCTTTATTTGCATCATGTAAATTAACTTGATTTTTAATTCTCAGTTTTCTTGAACCATCCACTTTTTGTAATGCTTTATCTTCATTTGCTTTTGCAATATCTCTAATTTTTTCAACAATACTTGTTTTTAAAATTCTATTGATTAAATTTTCATTAGCAACAAATTTTTCTTTACCACCAAATTGTGAAACCTTTGTTGTTAATTGTTCTTTTGTTTGAGATGTAAATGCTGGATTTTCAATAAGACAATTGATAAATATAAACATATTATCTCTAACTTCTTGTGGTTTAATCATTAATTTCTTTTTACCTTTTTCTTTCTTCAGTAAAGTATCAACTAATTTATTTATAATTTGATCTGAAACATATTTAACATGGGTACCACCAGAAGTAGTTGCAATTGAATTTACAAAACTAATTTGATTAAAAGAACCATCACTAACAGCAAATGCAATTTCCCATCTATCATTAAAAACTTCATGAATTATAGTTTGAAACTGTTTTTCTTCTGGTTCTGGTGATCTTTCTTTTATTGCTTTAACATACATTTCAACATAATTTTTAAAATTTGAAATTGTTAATCTTTTATCATTTAAGTAGATAGTACAATTTTTTACAGTACCACATAAATCATAAACTCTTCTTCTTAAAACTGATAATAAATCTTCATCTAAAGCATCCATATCAAATTTTTGTAAATCTGGTTTAAATGTAATTTTGGTATATTCTTTTTTACTTTTCAAGGCTGTAATTTTTGGTTTTGAAACTTTTTGCATATTATCATTCCAAACTTGTTTATATAATTTACCAGTATTTGCATCCGCAGTTTCAACTTCAAATTGAGTTGAAAAAATATTACATAATTTAGCACCAAACCCATTTCTACCCCCCGTAACTTTTTTTTCATCATCATCATAATTTGAAGAAGTTAATAAATTGCCAAAAATTAATTCTGGAATATACATTTTCTCCTTAGTATGTATTTCAACTGGTATACCTTTACCATCATTCATGACTTGTATAACATTATTTTCAGGATCAATTTTAACTTTAATATTTTTCATATTTGGATCTCTAATTTTATTATCAGCTGCATTAACCAAAACTTCGTCAAATATTTTGTATAAACCAGGGACTATTATAACTTCTTTATATTTCATTGATTCAGATGCATTATCAAAACACCACATTTCAGTTTTAGTTTTTTCAGTGGAACCAATGTAGGTATCTGGTCTTTTTAAAATATGTTCTAATTGAGATAATTTTTGGTAAGATTCAGACGCATTTTTTTTGGTTGTGATTTTATTTTGTTCAGTTAATGGTTTTTTAGTTGGTTTGACTGATATATCATCTGAATACTCAGAATCAGAATCAGCCATGGTGATAATAAATTGGTTGTAAATAAAAACAGTTTAATTTTTTTTTTCGTTTATTTTGTTTCAGAATTAAAAAAAAGCGCGTATCATGATGCTACCATGTGCAATCTCATTACTATTATCATAAACTACTAACAACTATATATACTATGTTTCTTACTTTGATCTCTTGATCTCATTTTGAATCTTTTCAAATTCATCATCATCTAATTCCTTTGTTGTTCTTTTTTTACCTCTTTTTTGACTATATTTTGATTCTAATGAATTTATTAAATCATCCAATCTATTTGATTGACGTTTTTTAATTAACATTGATAAATCAGATAAACCAACACTTTTATCTTTGATCTTTAATTGTTTTTCAAGTTCTTCTGCTTCTTTAGCTTCTTTTGCTAATTTTTTCAACATTTGTTTAACTTTTGTCTTTCTTGATTTTGTATATTTCTCCCATGATTTTAATATAGACTTATCTAATTTCAAATTTGGTATTTCATCTTCTAAAACTTTGTAGATTCTTTGTTCTTCAGTTTCAGTAAATTCTAAATGTGGTATTAATTCAAATAACTTCAAAAAGTCTCCTTCGTAATATGTAAAATTTGATATAATATCTTGCTTTTCTTCTCCACTATTTTGATATTTTAATTTATCTTCTTCAATCATTTCAATAGTAATTTTTTCATTCATTGAATCAAAATAATCTTTCCAGTTGAAATTTGAGTCTGCATCATATTCATCTAATGAACCTGTAGTATCATATCTTTGCCTTTTTATAGGATCATTTAATATGGAAAATGCAAATTGAATTTTAGTAAATATTTCAGAATCTTCTTGTTGATCTTGTTGTTGTTGTAGTTTATCAGGATGATATTTAAGACATAACTTTTTATATGCTTTTTTGATATATATTGGAGATGACAGTTTATCCACTTCTAATATTTCATAAGGATCTAAATCAGGAAATGGAATACCCATTCTTTATTAATATTAATTTATTTGATGATATAATTTCTTATATTTAATTTTTTTTTTTTCACACTAACAATTATAAAATCAAATTAACTACTATACAACTACTATACAACTACTATACAACTACTAACAACCACTAATAAGCAACAACTACTCAACTCTTGCATCATTACTCATTTCTTTCCTTTCAAATGCTCAATTTCTCTGTAAGCTCTTTCTAATTCTTGTTTTAATTTCTCATTTGATGCACTTAATTCACTAACTGCTTGTTCTGTTAATAATTTTTCCAAAGTCCATTTTTCAATATTATTATTTTCATTTTCTTTTAATCTTTTAATATATTCAACTGCTCTTTGTAATATTTGTGCTTTATTTGTATCTGTTGTTGGAATTAATTGCGCTAATTGTTTAATACCAATATTTATAGATTCTCTTCTTCTTCTTTCAACTTCTTTATGATTTTCTTTTCTTAATCTATACCATTCTTCTGACCCATGTGCTGGTTTATCTTTTGAATCTGATCCTGGAGATTGTTGTAAATCTTGTGTTGGTGACGCTTCACTTAGTGGAGTAGCTCCTGAAGCACCTTCGACTAATTCTTCTTTACCAAATTGTTGATGATATAATTGTTGTTGAGCTTGTTGATGTTTGTTAGCTGCTTCCGCCGCTGCTTGTGCTGCATCTGATCTAGCTCTTGTTTCTACATCTTCTTCATCTTCTACTTCTCTATTTTCATCTCTTGCAGGTGTTGATCTTTGTTCACCAATTAATTCAGAATCAATTGTATTCAATTCATTATCTTTTAATCTTTTACTAACTCCGTCTGCACTATCTTCGTATCTTCTTTTGACCATCTATGATTTTGGTTAGTATCATATCACTACCATGTTTAAGTGCGTAAATGGTTGCAAATTATCAATTTTTATAATCACAACAATTGGTTTGAAAATATGACTAATATAACAAATTATAACCCAAGTTCACAGTCTCACCATTTGATATATATACATACCTTGAATACTTATGTTTATAATATAGTCGTATCTGATATTTGATGTAATTTAATAATTATATACCCTATTAATAAACGTTAATATGGATAATGTGATTGATCACGAAGATATCACGTTTTGGAAATCACGTTTTATATTTTGTTGAAATTTTTATTTTTGTGGACCTGGCGCACGAAAGTTGAACGCCGCAGCCTAAATTGGAAATGCACGAAGTTTGGTATGTAATTGAATGTATTTAAAGATTTAACTCCTATCAGAGTAGAGTAGTGCTTTAGTATGTAGTTGTATTGCTTGTCTTGAAATTTGAAATTTTGACAGACTTGAGTGAAGATCTAATGATTTTTGTAAATTTTGCAGCGATTTCTTCAATAAAGGGTCAGTTGTCATATTTCTTTTTAAACGGCAATTACATTTGAGTAAAACATCTCTTCAAATATCGACAAATATCGTAGCTAAGATCAAGAGGTGACGTTGAATCAGCTATGAAAAGCGCAACCACATCTATCATCACACATACTTTGTATTCCGGAGCTTTACGTTTGATTTCAATCATAAGTAAATGAAATCGACTGGCTGAATTCATGTTATGAGATTTCAGTGTGAATATACGGAATAATACCAAATGAATAAACTGAATAGAATGCGAAATATTCAAGAATAAATTGAATATGCGCTTAAGATGACTTCGGAGAATTAATTCCAACCAATTAAATCGCGTAAATCAAAAAAGCAAAAACACGCAAATTATCCAGATGCAACTTAAAATAGAAATTTGTGCATAAATAATAATAAGATTTTCAATCAGTTGATACCTGAATTAATATAATCGAAATTTAACGGGTTCCAATGATTCCATATCTAAGAAATTAAAAATTATATAAATGTCTTTAATAGACTAAATATTTCCATTTCACCAACTAATTATAACAATCAATTAATTACAAAGCTCAATTAACAATGTCCGAAATTACTTTAGGTAGATATCTTTTTGAAAGATTACACCAATTAAAATGTGATACTATTTTTGGTGTACCAGGTGATTTTAATTTATCATTATTAGATAAAATTTATGAAACTGAAGGTATGAGATGGGCTGGTAATGCTAATGAATTAAATGCTGGTTATGCAGCTGATGGTTATTCAAGAGTTAAAGGTATTTCAGCTGTTGTTACAACATTTGGTGTTGGTGAATTATCATTAACAAATGCTATTGCAGGTTCATTTGCTGAACATTGTCCAGTTTTAAATATTGTTGGTTTACCTTCAGTTTCAGCTCAAGCAAAACAATTATTATTACATCATACTTTAGGTAACGGTGATTTTACTGTTTTCCATAGAATGTTTAAAAATATTAGTCAAACTTCAGCTTTTATTGCTGATATTAATTCTGCACCTGCTGAAATTGATAGATGTATAAGAGATGCTTATATTTATCAAAGACCAGTTTATTTAGGTTTACCATCAAATTTAGTTGATTTAATGGTTCCAGCAAGTTTATTAGAAACTCCATTGAATTTATCATTAAAACCAAATGATCCAGATGCTCAAGAAGAAGTTATTCAAACTGTTGAAAGATTTATTTCTGAAGCTAAAAATCCAATTATTTTAGTTGATGCTTGTGCTTCAAGACATAATTGTAAAGAAGAAGTTGCAAAATTGGTTGATTTAACTCAATTCCCAGTTTTTACTACACCAATGGGTAAATCAGGTATTAATGAATCACATCCAAGATTTGGTGGTGTTTATGTTGGATCATTATCACAACCAGCTGTTAAAGAGGCTGTTGAATCTGCTGATTTAGTTTTATCAATCGGTGCATTATTATCAGATTTTAATACTGGTTCATTTTCATATGGTTATAAAACTAAAAATGTTGTTGAATTTCATTCAGATTATACAAAAATAAGACAAGCTACATTCCCAGGTGTTCAAATGAAAGAAGCTTTACAAAAATTATTAACAACTGTTCAATCATCAATAAATCCAAGTTATCAACCTTCACCAGTTCCATCTGTTAAATTATTAGCTTCACCAGCACCTGCAAATACTCCATTAACTCAAGAATATTTATGGACAAAAGTTTCATCATGGTTTAGAGAAGGTGATATTATAATTACAGAAACTGGTACATCAGCATTTGGTATTGTTCAATCAAGATTTCCAAATAATACAATTGGTATTTCACAAGTTTTATGGGGTTCAATTGGTTATACCGTTGGTGCCACATGTGGTGCAGCAATGGCAGCACAAGAAATTAATCCAAATAAAAGAGTTATATTATTTGTTGGTGATGGTTCATTACAATTAACAGTACAAGAAATTTCAACATTATGTAAATGGGAATGTAATAATACTTACTTATATGTATTGAATAATGATGGTTATACAATTGAAAGATTAATTCATGGTGAAAAGGCAACTTATAATGATATTCAACCTTGGAATAATTTACAATTATTACCTTTATTTAATGCCAAAGATTATGAAACAAAGAGAATTTCAACAGTTGGTGAATTAAATGAATTATTTAATTCAAAGAAATTTGCAACTCCTGATAAAATTAGAATGATTGAAATTATGTTGGCTAGAATGGATGCTCCAGCTAATTTAGTAGCACAAGCTAAATTATCAGAAAAGACAAATGCAGAATCAAATTAAAAACTTATACATTACATATTTAAATAGAATTAATTATATATATAATTATACAAACGAGTGATTTTATACTTCTGGAATTTTTAAACCTTTTTGAACTTCGGGTAAATTTATAATTTTATCAAACCATTTACCTAATAAAAGCCATTGATGAATATCAATTTCTAAATTTTTCAAAGAATTAGCCCAACCAACTAATGCAAAATCAGCAATTGTATAATGATCACCAACTAAATATAATGAGTCATTTGCCGCATTTCTACTCAAGATATCTTCATAAACCCCATAAATTCTCTTTACGTCGGTGATATATCTATCAATACCATATTGGATTTTTTCTTTGGCATAGATTTTAAAATGATTAGCTTGACCTTGAATAGGACCATTTTCAGAAACTTGAAAAATTAAATACTCTAAAGTTTTATAATACTCTGGTGTTCCGAATTTATAAGAATATTTCAAATCGGTATCATATTTATCTGCTAAATATTGTAAAATTGCACCAGTTTGAGATAATGTGATACCTGTGTTTGGATCCTCAATTGTTGGAATTCTACCATTTGGATTCAATTTGACAAACCAATCTGATTTTGATTCATTCTTGAGGATGTTGACTTTGGTTGGTACATATTTCAAACCTAAAACTTCAAGAAAGATGGAGATTTTAACACCATTTGGTGTTGGAAAACTATATAATTTAATTGGTAACATTGACTAATTGAAATTTGAAATTAGTGAAATGAGGGAATATTTATATGAAACTTCGTGTTTCAGTTGTGTCTAATAATAATTGCTTGATGTGTAATTAAGTCCGACAATTGACACTAATTACTAAGATTACAAATCATGAGTTCAATTTCAAGACAAATTGGTCCCAATTTCTAGGAGGAGTATACTCATAACCATCGTATAGGTTCACCATATGTATCTGTCTTAATGTTGAAGCCAATTACAAATTTTACAGATGCCGTGTACATTACTATTTAAGTTTTCGGCTGATGTTTCGCATCAATCAATATTTACCTCGAACGCCTGTTGCTCATATAATTACTCTTACCTGGTTCTCAATGAAAACTGATTGAAATTCAAGGTATAGTGTTTTAATAGAACTTTACAATTAAGCTGCAGCTTGAAAGACAAGATAGAAAAGCTGGTTGTCAAATATACAAATAATCAGAAAAGCCACCAAAAACCCCTTAATACTCTAAAATGTTAATCATCAAAAGAATACTCTATCATTAGTCTGACCATAGTAGCTGAAACATCAAAAGCTATAAGCAGAAAGTGGAATTATTGGCCTCAATTAATTATTCTCTTAGACGCTGTTCGTGTATTTTTTATCGCATACCAATTCTGCTTATATATTGATATGATTGAAAACGTATAAATAGCGACCAGAGTATCGTATTCGTAATTCTTCTTCCTGCCTGACTTTTATTCTTTAAATCAACTATCATGCTATTCACTTATCAATTTTTGATTTTATTCTTTACAATTTTATCAACTTCTTTTGCTAAGTTATATCCTATTCAATTATACGTTGATTCAAACAATAAAACAATAGACGATCATGGTTTACAAACATATCAAGAAACGAATAACGTCTATTGGTTCTTCTTGAACAATCAACAAGCAAGAAGATTAATTTATGATGATAATACAAGACGAATTTATTGGCAAGATAATTCACAAAGAAGATTCTTTTTCAAATTAAGTAATAATGTTTTATTAACATCTCCAGGTGATGGAACAAGAATATATATTGACTATAAAACTTATAGATTATCATTCAACCAAGATAATCGTTTATACGCCGTTAAGAATGTTGGCGATCCACAAAATATTTCAAGAACAAGATATGCTATAAAATACTATGCTACTAATAATCAAGTACCAAGAGATGCAATCAAGATAAATTACCTATATGCTAAATTTATTTAAGGAGAGACTAGGTTGATGAGGGGCCTAAAAGTAAATAGTAACTAAATGCATATTATAATGGTATAATTTATATCTCATATATATTACATTTGGACATACATTCGGTTTATAATTGCATTTATTTAGTAAATCTAGCTCTTAAAGATACTGGAATTGCTCCCTTTGGAACTCTAGACTTTGTAGCATGTTTAACAATTGCAAAATTTGAAGATGAGAAATTATAAGGTTCATTTAAATTCTTAACCGCATATAAATCTCTAAATCCTTCAAATCTAACACGTTTGTATTTATCAATTACAACCTTCAATGGTTCAAATACACTCAATTGTAAAACATCATTTTGGGTATTGAAATTTAATCTAATATTTGATTCATTGGTGAAAATTGATAAATTTTTTGAATCATAACTTAATACTTGTCCATTACCTTCGACTGCATAAAGATAATTTATACCAGCACCTACTCTACGTGAATATAAATTTAATTTATCTACTGACTTATCTTTAGACTCTAAAAATAAACTAATGCTTGAAATTTGAGCAAAAATTGAATTGATTAAAAAAACGAATGAAATTAACTGGAAAAGCATGGTTGTAGAGTGAAAATAAATGAGAAATCTAAGATGTTTATATATTGGACTGTGTGGCAACTATATTCAGACTTCTTGAGACATAATATTACTTAAGAAAACTGGCTGCAAAATATGTGTTTATTAAAATTTGTTTCAAATTGAAAACGCGTCTTCTTCAAGGAAAGGATAATTATAAATTTGACATATGCATAAATTCAACAAGATTCATTCACTAGATTTAGTGTTCTGTTTCCTTGTTTGAATTGGCTCTTGACCTCTGTGGACAAAATCTGGATTTAGATTAAACTTACCTTTTTCATGAATACTCTATATTTTTTGAACAAATCAATGAAAAAAGTATGACCTGGAGCTAGCTTGCATACCTGTTTATCTACGTAGAATCAATCGAAATAATGCATTTTGACGAACATACAAACATTGGTTTAAGCAAGAGCTTAGAATAAACGAGTTTTGATCGATTTAGTCAGATACTCTGAGTTTAAAAGATAAAAACATGTTTTAGTACACTCGGAGCCAGTTATAGGTAATATAAGCGACCTATAACTTGATCAACTTAGCTTTAACTCTAACTCTAACAGCACCTTCAGGAACATCCTTCTTATTCTGGTACTTAACAATTGCATAATCATAATCAGACCAATTATAAGGCTCGCCTAAATGTTTAGCAGCATATAAATTATTAGCACCTTCAAATACCAAATTACCAAAATAATCAATGATAACTTTACTTGGTTCAAAAACACTCATTTGTAAAAAATTACCATTTAAGTTAAAATTAAATCTAATATCCTGAGTGACTTGATAAAAAATGTTTAAAGCATCAGAATCATAGGTCAATTGTTGACCTACTTCTGAATTTGTATAAAAGTAAGAAATACCAGCACCAACATGCTTTGAATATAAGTTTAAACCATCAATTGATGAATTTTTGGAACCGAGGCATAATGTAATATTATGAACAGCAGCAGCTAAACTGACTAAATAAATAAGGAAAAACATTTCTGAATAATTTGAATAAAAGAATTTCGTTCGGTTTATATACCCCAGAATTGAAAAATTGGAAATGATCAATCGTCAATACAACATCTGAAAAATTGTATTTTTAGAAACACTCGTTTTTACGGGTGGATGACTCAAGCTTAAATTTTTCTTTACTTTAATACGCTACTTTTCAACCATCTGTATCAAAAAGTTTCAAAATTGTATAGATTCAAATGATAAACTACTGTTGATGGATCTCTCCATAATAGAAACGCTACCAAATCAATGAACACGAATTTTATCAATTTACAATCAAATGACGTAGCTCAAACTTTCGTAGCATTTATCAAGCGTAAAATACGCACCAGATGCTTTAGTCGCTAGCATTGTAGACTTGAGTAAACACTTAGTTTGCATCCATTTCTTGTTATTGTGTTGATAATGCTAAATATGGTGACCCAGGCGAAAAAAAAATAAACCAAATTTAGAAAAATCAACAAATTATATAAGTTGATATTATTAAAGTAATATACTCAATAATGGATAGTGACGATTTAGGTACTTCAGTATGGGATGATGCATTGCCAAAAGATGATGAATCAAAATCGCATTCAAATTTAAATACGTTTCAATCAAGTTCAATTGGACCATTAACAAGTCAATTTTCAAATTATTCAATAAATGACGATCCATTCAGAAATCCACTAGATTATAACAAATCAGAAGAATATGATGATGAAGAAGAACAAGAAGAAGAGCAAGCTCCAGTTTCAGGCACTTACGATGCATTAAGAGAACAAGAGATTGAATTACGTAAAGAACATAAACAACAACTAATCAATAATTTAACTCATTCAGAAGATAGTCGAGATCAATTTGAAAAAGATATATCTAAAGTATCATCAGATACATTATTTCAAGACTCAAATAAAAACTCACCAATTAAAATTGACTTAAATTCTCAGTCAGTTACATCACCAACTCGAAATTCAATAAATATAAATAAATTTAAACCACCAAGATTGAGAAAATATAATTCAAAAACCAATGTCAAACATTTAAATAACTCCAATACTGATATTTTAGGTCCATTAGGTGGTGAAATTAAAAATGAAGATGAAGTGGAAGATGAAGAAGATGTAAAACTTAAATTAAATCATGCAGAGTCAATAGTTCAAGAAGCAAATGGTCCATTATATCAAATCAAAAATGTTTCAACACCAGTACATTCACCTAAAAAACTTAAAGTGGAAGAAGAGGACTCTGATCCAAATTCAAATAAATTGGAAATTTCAGTTGGTGAACCTATGAAAGTTGGAGATATTACCAATGCACATATTGTTTATAAGATAAAAACAAGGAATAAGAACAAAGAATCTAATTTTTTCCCTGATATTGATGAAGTTGAAGTAACTAGAAGATATAAAGATTTTAGATGGTTATATAAAAAACTCCAGACAAATAATCCAGCAAGAATAATTCCACCACCACCATCTAAACAGACATATATTGGTAGATTTAATGAATCATTTATCGAAAATAGAAAAATTGCATTAGAAAGAATGTTGATTAAAATATCAAAAAAGAAACATTTACAAAATGATGCTGATTTCGTTAGATTTTTAACCCAAGAGGAAATAAACACAAATATGGAAAATGAAATAATTAATGAAAAAACAGCAAGTGGATTCTTATCAATTTTTCAATCGAAGGAAGAACCAACGGGAATATTCAAAGAGAAGAAAATTTATATAACTCAATTAGAACAAAGTTTAAAAGAATTATTAAGAGCAATTGATCAAACTATAGTACAGAAAAATCTTATATCCAGTAATTTGAATGAAATCGTTACTGTTCTTTCTGAAATTAGTTTTAATGAAAAACTAATAACTGGGTTCATAACTACTCAAGAACAAATAATTGATGTATTCAATAGAGAAATTTTACAATCACAAAATTTGATCATGGTCTTAAATGAAAACATACAAATCTTGGAGTTTTTAAAAGACTTAATAGATTCAAAGAATGGAATAGATGAAGATTATTCAAAAATTATAAAGGAAGAAATTGATGAATTTGATTTGGAAAGAATTGCAGAATTTAGAAATGCAGTTGAGTTATGGTTGGAAAATACAATTGAATCACAAAAGGAAGCTATTGAAATATATGAAACATTTATTGAAAGAAATGATTTATAATATATATATATATGAATTTGAAAATTTACTCTATGAAAATATCGTGGCTAGTGAATGTGGCAAATGAATCCCACGTGAAGTCGTGCATACACACCACCACAATCAAGCATAAGGGGAAATAATAGAATCAAACCAGCACCAATTCAAAGCCTTCTTCTATTTCTGCTATCTCCAAAGCAGCAATATATCTGGTTTGTTCGGTCCAAAATAAACAAAACTTTAATATCGTTTATTGTTTGGTCTTTCATTCCTTGAATTCTTCAATTTTTTTCCAAGTACCAAATTTGAAAATAATGAGATTTTCAAAGTTACTAACAAGAACAATAGGTTGTCAAGTAATGAATCAATTTTATAATATCAGGAGAGAGGATGGATTTATAATTTTGATACAATTATGGCTTTGAAAACGGATCTATTGGCTTCAATTATATAGAAAATCTTCATATATCGTTTAGTTATTAATCTATTGCTTTATACTTGACTCATGAAATGTATGGTAATAATAAATTGAGTCACAGTATGACTGTAGCATATGCACCTCGTGCTAACTTAAATTTTCCATGGAAACAAGAAAAAAAAAAAAAAAATATTATTCAAAAAGATCTGAATCATAATTAAAAAACCCTTTATTCAACTATATAACTATCGTATAACTATCCATTATTTCATTTTGGTTTATTATTTACAACTGATTTACAACTGAATCTTTTATTTATATCATAGTTTCCCCAACTTTAATCCACGGTTGTATTTATTTATTTATTTATTTATTTATTTATTTATTTATTTATTCATTTATTTATTTATTTATTTATTCATTTATTTTATATTTTTTGACTGCATAATTTTGCAACAACTTTTCGAAAGATTCCTTAGTTCATTATTACTGCTTAATGACTAGTCAAATACAATTAAATACAATCAAATTATCTATACTATCTTTATCAAGGGAAAAATCTTGGTTATTCACGAATTCAATACTTCAATTACTATATCATTCAATTGAAGAATATAAGGATGAAGATGAAGTAAATTGTAACAATCAAAACAATTTGGATGATTCAGATAATGATTATGATGATGAATATAGCTCATCTTCAATATCCTCGTATGAAAGTGATGAAAATTTGAGAAAGTCAATTGACAATACGTCAAAGATTAAAATTGAAGATAAAACAGAAAATCAAGATCAGGATGATTTATTCTTTCATATTTCATATACTCCATGTGAAGTAACAATCATCTGCCTGAAACGTCTAATGAGTAAATTATTTTCCAATCCTATTCAATTATGTAAAGAGTTAAATTTCGACGATGTTGAATTAATTGAGCAAGATTTTCTTAGTTTGATAGTTGAATCTGATGGATCATTCGATAAGAGTTTAAGAATTTTAGAACTTACGAAACCATTATCTGAAAATAACATATCTTTATTTTATTTATCTTCACATTTTAATGATATTGTATTATTCCCCATTCAATTCAAAAATAAAGTTGTCAAAATCCTTCATGAAAAATTTGAATTCGAGACTGCCTTTGACTTTGATGATGATGATGATATATCAGCTCATGAGTTAAATGAATTGGAAATATTTGAAAAGTTGAAAAAGAATTACATATCTCCAATCATTAATGAGAGAGTTAAGTTACTTTTGACTGGGTCCAGATCAAATGAAGTCAAGAATTCAATTTTAAAAATCGCAAAAATCTTATCTACAACAAACCTAATACCGAAATATTTCACAATTACAAGAACTTCCTTCACTGAATTATCATTAATCTTGCCCAAACTGACTAAAAAACGAGCAAAATTGGGATTCGATGCTAAATATATCATTGGAAGTGTTCAAGACACAATCATACCCATCACTATCGATTTACATCAATTACCAATAGATACAACTGGTATTGTTGCAAGTTTAGCTAATAAATTAATCAAAAATGGAGATAATTTAATTGAATTAAATTATTTCTCAATGGCTAAATCTGGTATTATAATGGTTCCAATCGAGAATTTAGAATTAGTAAGTAGTATATTGAAAAATATATAAGAAGTGGTAAAGATTGTCTTTTATTTAACCCTATTTAATTTCTTTTATTTGATTTCTTTTTTGATTTTATACTTGTACTCCAACCATCTTCATCAACCATTTGAACTTTATCAGCTGATGATATAATTGCACTTGACCAACATGCATGATCACCAGAATTACCAATTTGTTTATCTACTTGTTGTCTTCTTTTTAAAAATTCAGTTGCAAATCTTCTACCATCCATTGTTGCACTTGATGAATATATAGTTTCAGCAATTAAAGAAATAGAATCTGGTTGATTAGAAGGTAAAGTGATGAAAATTTCCAATAAATCATCTTTTGAAACTGATGGATATAAATTAATCATTTGTGATCTTGCCCAAATCAAAAAATCTTCTCTAATTGATTGTGAATTAATCAGTGATGTTTGAGTGTTTGATTTATTTGCAGATACGGATCTTAATAATTGTGGAGTTGTTTTTGATTGGGTTAAAGTTGTAGTTGTTATTGTAGTTGGTTTTTTAATTGGAGTTGGTTGTTTTTTGGCTATTGTAGTCCATGATGAATCATCGTCTTTAGGAATTGAATTAGCTAATGCACTTGCAAATGATGTTTTTGGAGTATTTGATTTAAATTGTTGTTGTTGTTTTAATTTTGCTAATTCTGCTTCTTCTTTTTGAATGTCTGCTAATGTTTTTGTAATACTTAGTTTTGGGGTTGTTCCCCAATTAGCAGGTAATACAATTTTTTCAGCTTCTTTTGGTTTGGTAGTGGTTGTTGTTGCATTTGCTGCTGCCCATGCTGCTGCTTGTTGTTGTTCTTCTTTTAATTTATTTTCCAATTTTCTTTGTTGTGAAGTATGGTTATCTAGTTCTTGCATTTGTTTTAATGTGATATTATTTGAATTTGATTGTTCTTTTTGAGCCCATGGTGCTGATTGTGGAGCTGATGGTTTTGATTCTTTAACTTCTGGTTGCTTGACTTCTGGTTCTTTTGCAATTTCCTTTTTAGGTTCTGGTACGACTTGTGGTTGATGTTTTGGTGATTCTCTTTTCAAAGGTTTTTCTTCTTTCAATTGGGTTTCCAAATTGATATTATCCAAATTTATATTTAAATCTTTTTCCATTTTATCAATTTCTTCATCAACTATATTTACAACTGAATTATGAATATTCAATACTTCATCATCTTCATTTGAAACAACATTTGTATTTGTATTTGTAGTTGCAAATGGCGAATTTGTTCTTGATAAAGATACATTAGTTAACCAAGGTGATAATGGTTGATTTACTGGAGTTTGAGGTTTACTAAAATTATTTGTATCAATACCCCAGCCACTATTAGCTCTAGATAAAGCAGGTTGTTGTAAAAATGATGGATAATTAGTTGCAGCTGATGAATAAGTTGTATCTAATATACTATTGAAAGTATTATTTTGTACACTTGTTGTACCACCACTTAGTCTATTTATAGTATTTGGAAATGGAAATGAAATATCATTATTTGCTGTGGTTGTTGTTGGGAAAAATTGACTTGATGAAGGTGTTGTTACTGATAAATCAATTAATGGAATTTTAAAAGGTTGAATATAATTTTGTAAACTATCACATAAATTCTGCAATGTTCTAAATTGAGTTTCTTCTTTCCTTCTAATTTTCAAATCAAGATTTAAATAACCTCCACTTAGCCATTCTTGCATCATATCACCATTAAATGGACCTTGTTCATTTCCTGAAGGATCAATATAATACCATTCAATTTTATCACTAGTAACTAAAGGCATAGTCTCCAAATTTAAGTCATTTAAACCTGGTGGTGGACCAGAAGTAGTTAGTGGAATCGAAGACGCAGTAGTAGCAGCTACACTAGTTGGAGTATTGGTAATACCTGAAATATTTAGATTAGATAATGATTCGGGCAATTTTAAAGGTAATTGTTGCTCTGGTACATCTTCTTTAATTTCCAATTTTGGTTCCTCTACTTCTTGTTTCTTTTCAGGAAATTTAAGTTGTAATTCTAAATGATAAATTGGTTCAGGTTTTGATAATTTATAATTTTCTTTATTTGATGGATTTGAAGTATTTAAAATTTGATCTTTTAATTCATTCCAAACTTGAAATACTTCATTCATAGAATAACGTTTTCCATCTTTATTAGCAGGAATTGTATTTGATATATGATGATGATGGTGCGAATTATTATGATGATGATTATTATTATAATGATGATTATTATTACTATTAAATGAATTATTATGATTAAAAGCTAAAGAAGAAGTTTCATCAATGTTTTCATTGCTTGAATCTTGAAATTTTCTAGTTCTTTGATACATATTTGTTAGTTATTATAGTCTTTTATAAGCGTAAGGTCTCTTTTATTTAATATTTGAAAAATTAGTTTAATTGAAAAAATTTTTTGCAATTTTATAATTTTGATCTCTTCGTCAATTTGATTTTACACTAAAAATAGAACGTATAATAGTGCTAAGTATAGGCCAAATTGACCTCAGAGTGAGTACTTAACTGAAAAGATAGAGAATTTATGGTCTGCAGTTGCCATTGGCTATGTTTCAGATGGCTCGGGTGCTTGTTGGAGGCAAAAAAATTGCAAAATTTTAAAACATCAAACTTTGAGGTTGCAAAAAGCAGCCAGTGGCTAGTTCAACATCTCTACATTACCTGATTTACATCCTAATCTCGTTTATTACTTCTATCGTTAAATATTCAATCTTTTTTCCATTTCAGAATGGAAATCTTTCACATTATCACCATTTGCAAACCCACCAGTATATATATCATCCCAATCAATTGAAGTATCTTTATTTAATAAAACATCTTTATGTAATGAATTACCATTAGACAATAAACTAGGTTTATATTGATCTACTTCTTCAATAATTTTTAAATCCATTGTTCTTTTAATTGGTTCACCAGATCCAAATACACGTCTATACATTTCTAATTTATTATCATATTCATTTGCTTCCCAATTATTAATTCTTGATTCTAATGGATGTTGATTATTTATTTTAGATGAAATATTTAATGGACCTTCTTCTGATCTTAAAGTATCTTGCAATGAAGGAGTATGTGAAGAAGCATCATTAAATTTGATTGAATTGACTGAATTCTGTTTTTGATCAGATGGAACTACTCTCAAAGACTGTGGATGTTAGTATTACTCAGTATATCTTTTGATTATTACTTACCATTTTATTATGGAGTGGCAATAAATGTTGATAGTTTTTCAGTGCGAATAAATTTGTATATTTGGTAGCAGTTCGTTCTACATTCTATCTATAGGTTCATCAATCTCATCAATAACATTAATTAATCTCTCTTCTCCATTAAACTCTGACTTCAATGAGCTAGGTATGAATGACCACGTTTCTGGTTTCAAAACACCATTGAAACATAATGTACCAAATACTAATACGATAAATCCAAAAAATTGTAATAAATGAAATGATTCCCATCCCATTATAATTGCAACTATCCATACTAATAATGTTCTACATGTATCTATTGTTGATCTAGCAGTTGCTGATATTTTATGAGTTATAGATAATCCACAGTAATTAAAAGTAGCAATTGAAATCATAATCATAATTGATGAAAATAATACTTTTTCATTATTGAAAACTTGTGAAAATGCTTCATTTAAATTGAACGGTGAATATTTGAAATCTTTCTTTGATTCAACTGATCCAATAATAAAATTTAATAAAATCATGAGTATTAATAAGATTGAAGCACCATAAAAACCTTCAATGAAAACTAATTGTAATGGAATTATAGGTTGTTTTTCCAAAATATGTTCTTCAACTACAAATTGAACACCTTGTAATAATGTAGCAAATACAATAAGGAAAATACCAACAACTACCAAACCTGTATTATCCAATGATTCGGATTTCGAACTATTTTTCGAACCACTTAAACCTACAATTGCAACTCCTAAACTGACAAAAAATAATGAAATCCATTCCAATTTGGTGATTTTACGATGTAAAAATATAACCGATAATATAGCAACAAACAATACAACTGAACCTCGTGTCATTTGATAAATTGAAACTGGAGTATAAACCAATCCAATATTCAATAAAGTAGTACAGGTTAAGTCACATAACGCAGGTATTGCTAATTTAACACTTGAAAAAATTGAAACTTCTTTAATATCATCTTCTTCAGTTCTTAATGAAATGTATTCTTGTCTATTTTTATACCACTTATAAAATTGAAATACGAAAAACATACTCAATTCACCAATAAACATTTGTAATGTTTGAATACCAGGTTGTTCAAAATTTCGATGTTTTGATAAATCTGGAGAATCACAATTTAAAACACATTGATTATCTTGATATTTTGTAAATAATGAATTAGCAGCACCAGTTATTAAAGTACCTAAAACGATTGAATATAAATAAAGACTCATTATAATAATGTTGCAAATTGGTGGTGACTGATTAATAATTTTATTTTTTTTCTCCATTTTGTTAGACGGCCCAATTTGGAAATTTTAAAACGACGATTGAATAATTTGGCCCAGGTAGCGTACGATTATTTTAATTGAATTGACTTGCAATTTCCACGTCTCTATTCGACCTTGTAACTTGAGAAATTCATTAGTCAATCTGAATCATAACTTAAATTACGTTTAACTAGTCTAGTATTTAAAATGTTCTGACTCATATGCCACTTGAAATTCAATTTCGGTTCTATTTAACCGCTGCTCACTATTAAAAACTGTTACTGCAACTGGTTGAACATATAGTTCTATCTTAAAACTTTGAATTGAAGTAGATTTTTCGAGAGCAAGATCTGATATTATATTTTTCAACATTTGCAATAAGCTCGATTTCAGTACTTTGTAGAGGAGATCGGTGTGTAGAAAACTTTCCTTTTGTTTGTTTTTGTTATCATATACTCAGATGGGATGCCATTGATATATTTTTCTCCATGTTTATCGATCTTTTAGATAAAAGATAAGAAAATTATATTTTAGATCTCCCCAGCTCGTATATTTTAAAAAAAGGATCTGAGCCGCACCTAGCTCTTCGCTGAATTTAACTGGATATAACTTCAACTTCGGATTTCTCGAGACCAGTACAAGATAAAGACTTCAAATAAAATTATATCAGAACTTCAAAACATTATAAATCTAATGATATGGCTCTCGGACCTGAAATTGCTTTGATAGAAAATTTATAGCCAAATTTATTTTGATTAGAATTTTTTTACAAATAAAATGATTAATAACTCAACAACCGCGTGCAATTGCTGTTCAAAATTAACATCATTTGAACGGAAATTTTACATAGTATCTTAAGAAAGTTTTTATAAAGTAACTACTATCGTAAGTGTGTTGTAATCATCAAAGGAAATCTCTCGATACATACAAATTGTAAATATGCAAGTTTGATTGTATTTGAACCAAGTACACGATTTCTCATCTAGAAAAATTTTATTTTTATCTCATTTTGAAAAATTATATTCTTTTATCAATTGATTAATTTCAATAATTTTCCATTAACTTTAAACACATAAATAATAATATATAATGGCGTTCGGAGCTCCAAGAGGTAGAGGTGGTGTACCAAGAGGTGGTAGAGGTGGATCAAGAGGTGGTAGAGGTGGTTTTTCAGGTAGAGGAGGTAGAGGTGGTTTTTCAGGTAGAGGTGGTAGAGGTGATTCAAGAGGTGAAGGAAGAGGTGGTTCAAGAGGTGGTCCAAGAGGCGGTGCTCGTGGTGGTAGAGGAGGTGGCAGAGGAGGTGCTAAAGTTGTTATTGAACCACATAGACATGCTGGTGTTTTCATTGCTAGAGGTAAAGAAGATTTATTAGTTACAAGAAATATTGCACCAGGAGAATCAGTTTATGGTGAAAAAAGAATATCGGTTGAAGAACCTTCAAAAGAAGAAGGTCAACCAGCTACTAAAATAGAATATAGAGTTTGGAATCCATTTAGATCAAAATTAGCTGCTGGTATCATGGGTGGTATTGATGAATTAGGTATTGCACCAGGTAAAAAAGTTTTATATTTAGGTGCTGCTTCAGGTACTTCAGTTTCTCATGTTGCTGATGTTGTTGGACCAGAAGGTTTAGTTTATGCTGTTGAATTTTCTCATAGACCAGGTAGAGAATTAATTGGTATGGCTAAAAAAAGACCAAATGTTATTCCAATTATTGATGATGCAAGACATCCACAAAAATATAGAATGTTATTAGGTATGGTTGATTGTGTATTTGCTGATGTTGCACAACCAGATCAAGCTAGAATCATTGCATTAAATTCACATTTATTTTTAAAAGATGGTGGTATAGTAGTTATATCTATTAAAGCAAATTGTATTGATTCAACAGTTGATGCAGAAACCGTTTTTGCAAGAGAAGTTCAAAAATTAAGAGAAGAAAGAATTAAACCATTGGAACAATTAACCTTAGAACCTTATGAAAGAGATCATTGTATTGTTGTTGGTAGATATATGCGAAGCGGTATAAAGAAATAGATAAAATAATGTACATTATTAACGTTTTTCAATCAATTCTAGCTTCTGATAATGTCAATGGTTTAATGTTATTTGAAAATACTGATGAACCAGATTTAAATCTATTAATTTTCTTCAATTTTTCACGTACAACCATTACGGGTACTGTTGACTTTGTGACTAAATAATTTGATAATGAACCTAATAAAACCCCTTTTATTGCACTTTGACCTTTTGATCCAACAACCACTAAGGTTGGTTGTAAATTGTCTATAAATTCTAATATCAAATGTCTTGGAATTGGATGATGTATAATTTCAATAACTATATGAATTTGTAATTTTGTTAATTTTAATAAATTTAAAACTTGTTGTTTTGCTTTATTCAACATTTTCAATCTTGTTTGTTCTCTTGCATTTTCATTTTGAGTATTACCTTTTAAATGATGATTTGTATCATTATCTTCAATGACACAAATTATAAATAAAACAGATCCATCAACTAATACAGTACCTAAACTCCATTCTAAAGCAAATATAGATTCTGGCGAAAAATCCATACATACTAAAAACATTTTTGGTTTAATTTTGGGGTTAATTAATTGGAAAAATGACCCTCTTGTTATTGTTTGTATAACTCTTGAATGTGGTTTATTTGAGTCTATTTCACCTTCTTTTATAGTTTCATTTAACTCAGAAGCAAATTCACTATCTAATTTATCTTCAACTGCGGAAGTGTAAGGAACCATAAATTCTTCATTTGAACTACTTTTTTCTTCATCTCCTCTTGTAGGTGATAATGAATCATTATTATGTTGAATATTATTATTATTATTATTATACTTTTCTTGATCAATTATTTTCTTTCTATAAGCTTGATAATTATCCAATTTTTGTCTTCTTGCTAATGCATCTTGATCACTTTTATTTAAATTTAAATAATCTTGTCCAGTTAATTTTTGTTTATCATTTACCAATTTATTTAATAAATCTTGATCTAATTTTGAACCTGCTTTTTTTGCAGCTGCAAATGCTCGTTCACTTGCAGTTAATTCTTCTAATCTTTTAATAGTAGTCTGATCATTTAAATTTGAATTTTCTAAAATAGAACTAATTTCATCAATTTTTTCATCTTGACAAGCATAATTTGGTAAAATATTACCAGTATCATCATATTGAAATTTCTCATTTGTATCATCATCTGAAATATGTTCTTCTTCACTAATTTCATTTTCCCAATCATCAAAGTTTTCCGCATTATCTTTTTTTAATCTTTCCAGCGGATCATGATTTATAATTGACCATTTTGAATAATCATCATTTGATAATGAAGACAGTCTACTATGACCTTGACCACCACCAACCCCAGGTGATCTACCTCTTGACATTGATTGTTGGATAATTTGTAACTTTTCCGCTTCTAATCTAGATGATCTATTCGAAGACATATCTAATATATAAAACTATTGAATGATAGATTTGTTAATACTATTTCAATATTCTTGGTATTTCATTAAATTTGCTAACAAAAGATAAACGACTAAAAATATGGAAACATTAAATTTTGAAATCATACACTACTTTTGTGTTATATACTAATATATACAACTATTTAGTCAAGGGTCTATTTCTTCATCTTGTTCGTCTTCTTCTTCGTCTTCTTCTTCTTCTTCGTCTTTATATTCAACTAGGAAATTAGCACCTTTAAACTCTTTACAATCACCGATAAATTCAGTTGTAGGTTCTATTACTTTCTTAGGATATGGTTGTATTAATTCAAAATTAAATCCAAATGTTTCATAATATTCATCGCTAGATAAATGTTCCTCTTCATTTATATCTAAATTATCAATTAATTCATCAATGATATCTGTAACTTCATCTATACTACACTGTTGTTCTTGTAATAAATTTTCAACAAACAATTTAACTTCAATATAAAAGTAAAATTCAATAATGTTTATACTTTTATTAAATTTTTCAATTAATCGTTTACCATTAGGTAATTTAATTGCAATTCTAATCCCATCATCTGAAATATATGAATCAACATTCTTAATTGAATGTAATAAGTTAAATTGTTTCCATTTTGTTTTATATTCCATTTCTTTTTGCAATTTCTCTTGTTGTTGTTTTTCAACTTTCTTTTGTTGATCTTTAATTAATGATTCATTATATGCATCTTCTTGTTGTTGTCTTATCATTCTACTAAATTCCATTTCTTGTCTATCAAATCTAGCAGACACCAATTGCGGATTGAATTTATCAAGATATTTATTAAAATTTTTCAAAATTTTGCTGATCGTACTTGGTAATTCTTCATCTGTTATAAATGGCTTTGATAAATTCAGTTTATATACAATTGATATACTTGCCATAACTTCATGACTGGGTGAAACATTACCAATTAATAAAACGTGGGGAATTTTACGAACTTTATAAGTTTGTCCAATCTCTAAACTTTCAGGAGATCGTTCGACATTGTTTACAAATATTTGAGTCTCTTTAAAATCTCCATTTGATTTATTAAAGAATCTATTGAATGTAGAATCATGGAGTAAACTATTGATGAAATTTTGACTTTCTGTTGAATCGTTAACTAGTATAACTAATAACCAATTGTATTCTCTCTGACAAAAAGAATGAACATCATTAAAATTTGACTCATGTAGGTTGAAATTATCCTTTATCTCTTTAAATTTATCTAAAAATTTATAATTTGGATGAAATTTTTCAAAATTAAAAGTCTTTGATAATCTGTCATCATCATCCCCCGAAGAAAAGTTAAATAAAAACTTGAAAGTAGTCACCAAAATAGATAATATAGATTTGGGTATAATTAATAAGATTATCCATAATGAATTTAATGGATTACTTGGTTTCTTAGTCTCTGGTTCTAAACTTATTGATTCCGTTTTTTCAACTATATTATCCTCCTTCTTTTCTAATTCTTCCTTTTCTCTTCTTTCACGTTCATGTATTATTGAAGAATGAATTCCAACTTCTAATTGCCAACCATTAGAAATTAATGGAGCTTTAGGTAATTTAGGTATAAAACTATCCATAAATAATTGATTTTGTAAATTTACAATTTCATTTGGTGAAAAATGTCTTCCATTTCGAGAATGTAGTATTTGTTCATTTTGTGCATCATCATGTACATCAATACTTGAACTCATACCTTCTGCAATTGGCGTATTTCCTAAAGATTCAAATCCTGAATCTAAATACGTTGAAATGGCATTATTTAAATTAAAATCATTAATTGATAATAAATTAATTATATTTTCTAAATTTTCATCATCTTCAATACCTGAAACTGCTTTAAATGTATCTATTTTCTCTTGTTGTTCACTTGTTAGTTGATTCATATCTTCATTCTAGTACTATATAATTCATTTGGAAATCGATATTGTAAATTCTACACGTCATGTTTCAAAAATTGTGGGACTGCATATAATTGTAAAAAATTACTTCTCACAGTATATTGTCAAACCAATATCTTGAACTCAACAAAGGTCTGCAATTGCTGGTACTTGAATGCTAGTCAAACGTATCTAATTTATTGCAATTCATCAGCAAAAGATCCTTTGAAGAGTTTGATTAACGAAAGCAGCTCTCAAATACTTAGCTATATAAGTTCAAATAAGAACGTGAAAGTGCTTCGTCTATGTCTATGGAAGATCTATATACTACGATATCACGCGCTATTCTTACTTATTGGACATTGCATAAGCGCATGGAAAGGCTGTCAAGTTTTAAATATTTATAAAGCAAATTGCACTTATAATCACATTTACTGCCACAAAAATTGGTCTTGAAGCATAAAATAAGCTTATGTAATGTCTTAAATAGCTATAAGAAAGAATCACTACTATACCAAGACACGTAAAGCTTTGATAATTTTACACCCCATAAATTCAGAACTTTGCAGACCAGACTTTAGTAGTTAAAAAGTTATAGATCTAAACTCTTGCGTGGAGGCGTTTTTCTGAAAGTAGAATTGGCGCTAATTGAAATTTAAATTTGACTACGATAGTGACTACGATAGTGACTACGATAGTGACTACGATAGTGACTACGATAGTTACTTTGTCTTTTTAGGAGACTTTTGGCTGCAAATCATTTTAATGTAGAAATTTGAAAAATTTGTAATCTAGCTTGACTCTTTTCAAAAGTTTTTTACAAGTACCTTTACAAGAGAAACAGTCTTTCGATAGTAGTAGTTACCGTTGAATATAGAGTTGCTATGACTTTGTTTACGTTTGGTTCACAAAATTACGTATTAGGTTTGTAGCGAAGGAGATTAGTGTATTGCAACTATGTTCCAACATTGTTATAACTGTTATAACGAGATCAAAACAAGATATTCAACTTCTTTGTTTTTTAACACCTAAATAAGGTACTTGATACTTTATATTACACACTATCAACCGGGTTCTTATCAAAATCATTCTTCCTGCAAAGTAATTTGGAAATATTGACGTTACAAAAAACGAACCTCGGATTTAAATGCGACTAAAATTTTTCCATTTTTTATTGTTGCAACGTGATTGATCCGAAATGATCTCAATATTTGCCCACGCGCCGAACAGAAATATTTAAACTACGATGAGCATAGCATATATTTAAAAGCAAGCAGATATTTCAGTTACATAAATACTGACATAATAAGCTTTCAGCATTGATCATCAGTTGTCTTACTATTGTATATTAAACATGTTGTATTCTTGGAAATCCTAAGTAGTTGAGATTACGCGCGTGATTAAGATATTTCAAGTTTTACCGAAAATTATTTCATTTTAATATTTATGTTTATCAGATGCATTTTAATCAATTACGATAATGATAAAGAATCAATGCAAGAACACAAATTCAAATTTATTTGCAACTAAACTCTAAAAGAAAACGTGAGTCAAACAATGTAAATAAACTTTCAGGTTAAATGGAAGGAACAATCTTTAAAACGGCTTTTTTTTTGGTTTATTTTGACAATAAAATCGTTTTATTTCAATTTCATAGAATGAATGGTTGTGAAAAATGAAACTTTAATAATTCCAACCAATAATATTTTATTATTTATGGCTTGAATGCTACCAGTTGCAAATTTGAAATTGATTCATGCTCTTGATCTAAGTACTGTTTACATTTTTAATTGTGATTATAATAAACTTCATGTACGAGATCTGATACCTGACTTACTTTCAACCTTGTATCTTGTTTTTTGATTGCAGTATCTTTAAATCTACCATCTTACATCATGAAATATTATTATTGCAAATTTTGTTCGTTAAGAAAAAAAAAAAAAAAAATAAAATAAAATAAAATAAAATATATAAATGACGACTGTGACACATTCTTAAAAATTATCACTTGCTGTAATATAACAGTTGCACATATATATATAAGTATATACACACTGGTACAATTAGTTAGTGCATTCCATCATATATTAATTAGTTCCATTCTCCAGAGATTTTGATTTGTTTAAAAAATTGAAAAATTATTTTAATATTTTTTTTTCAATCAATCAAATAATACACCTTTCTTTTTATTCACTACAACTTCAATCAATAACCAACAACTGTTCATTAATAACTTATCAATAACTTAGATTAATTTATTTCACTTATATTATCATTTATTTATTTATTTATTTATTCAAACCTTAATAGAAGATTTTTTAATAGAGTATTATATTTACACATTATAGATTTATAAAATAGAATTATAAAATAGAATTAAATATGTCAAGATTTCTAAAGTCTGGGTTTGCTAAATCAATATTAGCCGCAGGTACTTTAGTTGGTGGTACAATTATATATTTAGATTTTATTCAACCTAAAAAACCATCTCAATTAGTTACTTCATACAAACCATTAACAAAAGAATTTAAAGCCCCTCCAACGAGATCTGAATTAATTGACAATTTAAAAAAAACTGCAAATTTCGATGTTTTAATTATTGGTGGTGGTGCTGTTGGTAGTGGTACTGCTGTTGATGCTGCAACAAGAGGTTTAAATGTTTGTTTATTAGAAAAAACTGATTTTGGTTCTGGTACTTCATCAAAATCAACTAAAATGGCTCATGGTGGTGTTAGATATTTAGAAAAGGCGATTTTTCAATTATCAAAAGCTCAATTAGATTTAGTTATTGAAGCTTTAAATGAAAGAGGTAATATGTTAAGAACTGCTCCTCATTTATGTGAAGTTTTACCAATTATGATTCCTGTTTATAATTGGTGGCAAGTTCCTTATTTCTTTGCTGGTTGTAAAATGTATGATTGGTTTGCTGGTAAACAAAATTTAAGATCTTCAACTATTTTTTCAACTGAACAAGCTAGTGCAATTGCTCCAATGATGGATACTTCAAATTTAAAAGCTGGATGTGTTTATCATGATGGTACTTTTAATGATACAAGAATGAATGTTACTTTAGCTTTAACTGCAATTGATAATGGTGCAACTGTTTTAAATTATTTTAATGTTGAACAATTATTAAAAGATAAACATGGTAAATTAATTGGTGTAAAAGCAAAAGATTTAGAAACCAATGAAGAATTTGATATTAAAGCAACTTCTGTAGTTAATGCTACTGGTCCATTTGTTGATAAAATTTTGGAAATGGATGAAGATCCTCAAGGCTTACCCCCAAAAACTGAACAAAAACCAAGAATGGTTGTTCCATCAAGTGGTGTTCATGTTGTTTTACCAGAATATTATTGTCCACAAAATATGGGTTTATTAGATCCATCAACCTCTGATGGTAGAGTTATGTTTTTTTTACCATGGCAGGGAAAAGTTTTAGCAGGTACAACTGATACACCATTGAAAAAAGTTCCAGAAAATCCAACCCCCACTGAAGAAGAAATTCAAGATATTATTAATGAAATGCAAAAATATTTAGTTTTCCCAATTGAGAGAAAAGATGTTTTATCTGCTTGGTCAGGTATTAGACCATTAGTTAGAGATCCTTCAACAGTTCCAAAAGATCAAGAATCAACTGGTTCAACTGAAGGTTTAGTTAGATCACATTTATTATATCCAACTGAATCAGGATTAGTTACAATTTCAGGTGGTAAATGGACTACATATAGAGAAATGGCTGAAGAAACTGTAAATTATTTAGTTGAACATTTTGATTACAACAAGAATTTAAAATCATGTCAAACAAATGATTTAATATTATTAGGTGGTGAAAATTATACAAAAAATTATTCAGCAAGATTAATTCATGAATATAAAATTCCATTGAAATTAGCAAAACATTTATCACATAATTATGGTTCAAGAGCTGCTGGTATTTTAGAATTATATACAAAAAATGATCGAAATAAATTACCAGTTACATTAGCAGCAACAAAAGAATTTGAACCAAGTTTAGAAGCAGTAACTGATCGTAATAATTTAAGTTATCAATCATTTGATGAACCATTTACAATTGCAGAATTAAAATATTCTTTAAAATATGAATATCCAAGAACTCCGGTAGATTTCTTAGCTAGAAGAACAAGATTAGCATTTTTAAATGCAAGAGAAGCAATGCAAGCAATTGATGGTGTTGTTGAATTAATGTCACAAGAATTAAATTGGGATAATGAAACTGAACAAAAGATGAGAAAAGATGCTCGTAATTATATTGGTAATATGGGTATATCACCAAAGAAATTCGATGTTGAAGAATTTAAAGTTCAATAAATTAAACTGTATAGAATTAATAGAATACTTTGTATATTAATCATCTTCATTAAATTCTATTTCATCTTTAGGTTCTTTTGGTTCTTGAGCTTCACTCCATTGTGTAACATCATCTATATAACTTAAAATAGTTTCTATATTATTTCCCTCTTTTGAACAATCTAATGGTAAAAATTGTACCATTCCAAAATCATCAACTAAATTTGCAATTGCATTTGTTAATTTCGAAAATTTCGGATTAAACTCATCTTCTTTCTTTGCCAACATTAATGGATCAGGATTTAAAAATTTCTTCAATTGTTTCTTACTATATTCCAGTTTTATTAAATCTACTTTTGATAATATATTTATATGTGGTAATTCTAATAAAATCATTGCTGACATGGCTGATAAAGTACCACTAAAAAATTTTGAAGAATCTATTATAAATTGACTTTCTAATAAATAACAAGCGCATAGATTAAAATTCAACAGTTGTTGTAAATGTTTAACAATAGTAGGTAATACTGGGAAATGAGTATATAATTCAATCTGACCAGGGCAATCAAATATTAAATATTCATCATTATAATCACCAATTTCTTCATCTAACCAATCTAAATTATTTAATAAAAATTCAAAACAATATAATAATCCTCCATTTGGTCCTAATTCCATTTCTTCCATTACATCTTGTAAACTAATTAAATCTTTTATATCTATTGTAAATTCATATTGTTGTGGATCAGCAGCAGGATCTAAATTAACTAAATGTGCTCTTCTTCCTATTTGCTGCATATGAGATATTATACCATTACAAAATGTAGATTTACCAGCTCCTGCTGGTCCTAAAACTAATACTCCCGTTCGTGACATTTAGATGAGATAGAATACGATAGTGAAATATTTTTTCTAAAACGGGTGCGGCTGTATAAATGTATATTATTTTCTACACCAACATGAATCAGAATCATTTTCAATTTGAATCATGATGTCCATATTCTTCAGACTGAATATTTTCTCTATGTTCTTTTTTATATATGATGAATTCTCGCCCCGGTATATTTGTATGTGTATATAACCACATATCTTATTTGAATCACAACCTGGCCAAAATCTTGGAGATGTAAATGATACAACTCCATTGACCTCTAGTATCTCATTGAGTGTGGTTTTTAACGTATCTTCTTTTTGTTTAGATAAACTTAATAATAATGTGGATGATGTTGATTTAATTAATGGAACAGCTGATAAAAATATCATAATTGATATTATTATAGATGCAATTGGATCAAAACCTTGCCATTTGAAATACTTAGTCAATATTGTAGATATAACAACACCAACTGACCCTAATGCATCGGCCAAAATGTGTAGAAATATACCTTTCATATTATCATTCATTGAATCTTCTTGTTGTGAATGTGAGTGAGAATGACTATGTGAATGTTCATGTTCGTGAGTATGAGTATGTGAATGTGAGTGTCCATGAGAATGTCCATGTGTGTGACCATGATTAAATGCAAATATACCAACTAAATTGACTAATAAACCTAAAATTGAAACTATTATCAACTCGTTTGTTTTCTGTAAACTTACAGGATTTAATAATCTACCAATTGCTTCAAATAAAATTGATCCACTAATCCCTACTAACAAAGTACCATTTGTAAAACCAGCTAAGATTTCAAAATTTTTCAAACCAAATGGATATTTTCCATTTACATTAATCTCATTTTTAGATATAACACCAGCTATTAAACCTAATGCTAATGACATACAATCTAATAACATATGCAATGAATCAGATAATAAACCTAATGATTTTGACCTAAATGAGTATAAAAATTGTATAAACATGAAACTTGCGTTTAACAATAAGAAATTGAAAATTGCGCGAGTGTCCGAATGAGATAATAATTCATTTAGTATAGATTGTTCTTTGACTTTTGGCTCTTCAAATGATGGATTTGGCGTTATGACAAACGATAAAACGATATAAATAAATGACTTATAGGTAATTTTTCCCCCTACAATATATTCCAAAATTACACCTAATGTAGATATAAAAATTGGAGTAATCTTTGACTCTCTCAATTGAAACTCCTCCATTGATATTAAAAATACAATAAATGTTGCAAGATTAACAAATAACATACTCAAACTAACATCTTTTATAATAAAAATTAATAATAAACTTGAAATGAAAAAACTAGTTAAAACAATTGATTTATTTAAAGAACCAATTAATTTTGTAATTGAAATTGAACTTAATAAATAAAAACTAAAACAAATTAAACCATAATTTAAAAATATAAAACTAATTGAATTGAAATTTGGGTATACTTGAAATATTTCAAATAAAAAACTTAATGGAGTATATAAATTCCATGATGAAGTATTTAAAAATAAATTTAAATATAGTATGGACACATTATTAGCTGACAAAAAGAATGTTGATGAATATATGATAAATAATAATGTAAATGCATAAATTGTAGATTTTAAATTGGCATCTTGTGTTTGACATTGTATAATTTTAAATTTATCTGCAATTAATAGTATAATTAATGTTATATTTGATAGAAAAAAATTTAGTAATATAAAAGAACCTAGTGAATTATTTGGTATTGATAATTTATGTGATAAGAATATGATAGGATAAGATATTAATAAAGGAATTGAACCAACTAAATTGAATATTAATGAATCATTCTTTATTTTCATAATAATATAATAATTTATTTTCGTAGGGTGGTTTTGATTTATTTTTGTTTGGTGAAAAAAAAAAATATATTAACTATTAAACATCTCTATAATAGAACAGCATGGTTTCAATATCAGAAGTTAAAGATTCACAATCACAACAATCTAGAACAGCTGCTCATACTCATATTAAAGGATTGGGTTTAAATGAACATGGTATTGCTAAACATATTGAAGGTGGTTTTGTTGGTCAAAATGATGCAAGAGAAGCTTGTGGTATAATTGTTGATTTAATTAAACTGAAAAAAATGTCTGGTAAAGCTATTTTAATAGCTGGTCCTCCTGCTACTGGTAAAACCGCTTTAGCTTTAGCTATATCTCAAGAATTAGGTCCAAAAGTTCCATTTTGTCCTATAGTTGGCTCTGAATTATATTCAACTGAGATTAAAAAAACTTCCGCTTTAATGGAAAATTTTAGAAAAGCAATTGGGTTAAGAATTAAAGAAATTAAAGAAGTTTATGAAGGTGAAGTTATAGAATTAACTCCTGAAGAAGCTGAAAATCCTCTTGGTGGTTATGGTAAAACAATTAGTCATGTAATAGTTGGTTTAAAAACTGCAAAAGGTACAAAATCTTTAAGATTAGATCCTTCAATTTATGAAAGTATTCAAAAAGAAAGAGTTTCAATTGGTGATGTCATATATATTGAATCAAATACTGGTTCTGTGAAAAGAGTTGGTAGATCTGATGCTTATGCAACAGAATTTGATTTAGAAGCTGAAGAATACGTTCCATTACCAAAAGGTGAAGTTCATAAAAAGAAAGAAATTGTTCAAGATGTTACATTACACGATTTAGATGTTGCAAATTCAAGACCTCAAGGTGGCCAAGATGTTTTATCGATGATGGGTCAATTATTAAAACCTAAAAAAACTGAAATTACTGATAAATTAAGAAATGAAGTTAATAAAGTAGTTTCAAAATATATAGATCAAGGTATTGCTGAATTAATCCCTGGTGTTTTATTTATTGATGAAGTTAATATGTTGGATATGGAAATTTTTACATATTTAAATAGAGCTTTAGAAAGTTCAATTGCTCCAATAGTTGTATTAGCTTCAAATAGAGGATTAACTACAATAAAGGGATCTGGTGATGATACAAAATATGCTCATGGTGTACCTCCAGATCTAATTGATAGATTATTAATTGTAAAAACTTTAAATTATAATTTAGAGGAAATTAAAGTAATTATACAAAAAAGAGCTACATTAGAAAACTTATCATTAGCTCCAGAAGCTTTGGAAAAATTATCAAAACATGGTTTAAATACAAGTTTAAGATATGCTTTACAATTATTAACACCAGCTGGTGTTTTAAGTTCAACAAATGGTAGAAATGAAATAACACTTGAAGATATTGAAGAATGTGAATTATTATTTTTGGATTCAAATAGATCTACAAAAGTTTTACAAGATAATAAAACATTCTTATAATGTATTATAATGAATATAAAAAGTTTTAAATGAATTCAGCTTTAAAAGTTCTCTAAAAATTTACGAGAATTTCAATTGGTAGCATCTCAACTAATAACTTTAAAAGCTGCAATAACTTCTTAACAACTGAGTTTGAAGCAAAATATGTTATATATTAATTACTCGAAATTCAATTTTGCATCTAATGATTCTATTCATACCATTCGACGTTGTCATAAAATTATTTTTAAATTGAAATAAACGTATGCCATAAATAACGTATGAGAAAAATGTTTGAGAAAAAATGTATGAGAAAAAATATATGAGATAAATTAATGTATGAGAGGAATAATGTATGGAGTAGAAATCCATATTAAAATCACCATTTCAGTAACAACGAAGGAACTAGAGAAGTAAATGTTTCATTAACGATAGGTACATACTGTGATAGCGCAGTTTGAGTTGTAGAGCTATTGAATGCAGTTATTTTCACGTTCAGAGTCTACCTTGAACTTTTTCAATCTTCGACTTTTGATCAGTCGTACTCTGTTTTTCTTAATGCTGTGATAGTAGCTTTACTCAATCGTTTCTACTCCTTTATCTTTTTGCAACTTCATATTTCTATTGTTCTCGTTGCTACCTTGTCTGGTTTTTTTTTTTCAACCAAAAATTTATTTTCTATTTTAGTTGATTAATCAAATTCATTCAATTAGGCGTTGATTAAAATGGAAACAGCCACATCTTCATCTTCATTGAGAGATTTACAAATCTCCAAATTGGAGAAGATGTTACATTTAAATAAAGACGGATCACCAGATTTAACATTAGCTTCAAAATCAGAAGAAATTATATGGAAAGTTTTAATATTAGATTCAAAATCAACCCAAATATTATCATCAATTTTAAGAGTTAATGATTTATTAAAATGCGGAATTACAGTACATTCATTAATCAATTCAAAAAGGTCAAATTTACCTGATGTTTCAGTTATATATTTTATTGAACCAACTATTGAAAATATTCAAATTATAATTGAAGATTTAAAGAATGATAAATATGATTCATTTTTCATAAACTTCACAAGTTCAATAAATAGAAGTTTATTAGAAGAATTTGCAAAATCAGTAAGTTTGATAGGCAAATCACATAAAATTAAACAAGTTTATGATCAATATTTAAATTATATAACTACTGAATCAAATTTATTTTCAATTAATCAGCCTCAAATTTATTACAAATTCAATTCAAATACTACATCAGAAAATGAAATTCATAACCTTGTTAATTTAATTTCCGATGGGTTATTATCATTAATTATTTCCATGGATGTTATTCCAATTATACGAGCTCAACAAAATGGCCCTGCTGAATTTGTAGCAAAGGAATTAGATATGAAATTAAGAGAATATTTAAATAATAAAACTCTGACATCACAATCTACATTTACCCAACGACCAGTTTTAATTTTATTAGATAGAAATTTTGATTTAAGTTCAATGTTTTCCCATTCTTGGATTTATCAATGTATGGTAAATGATGTGTTTCAATTGAGAAGAAATACAATTAAATTAATAAAAACAAATAAAGATGGTAAAGAAATAATTAAAAATTATGATGTTGATCCAAAAGATTTCTTTTGGTCTAAATATTCTCAATTACCATTTCCTGATGTTGTTGAAAATGCCGATTTTGAATTAAATTTGTATAAACAAGATGCAAAAGAAATTACAAATAGAACTGGAATTTCAAATTTAAATGATATTGATCCAAATTCAAATAGTACTGCTAATATTCAACAAGCAGTTGAAAAATTACCAGAACTAACAAATAGAAAATCAGTATTAGATATGCATATGGATATTTTATCAAATTTAATTAATGAATTACAAGCTAAAAATTTAGATAAGTATTTTGAAATTGAACAAAATACAGCAAATACAGATTCGATTAAAATTCAAAAGGAATTTTTAGAAATTTTACAATCAAATTCTGAAAAAGATTCCAGTTTGGATAAATTAAGAACATTTATAATATTAAATTTGGTAGTTGATATACCAAAAGAGTATATAAATAAGGTAACTAGTATTTTTAAAGAATCTTATCCTAGTCTAGATCTTGCTCCATTAAATTATATACTTAAATTTAAAGAAAATTCAAAATTAAATATCACAAATATTGCAATTGATGCAAATTCTCAATCAAATTCACATTTTTCAAATGAATCTTCATCCGCTTTATTATCTGGTTTATCATCAAAACTTTATGGTTTAACTGAAGGGAAAATTTCCGAAGGTCTTTCTTCAATTGCTTCAAGAATCAAAAATTTTATTCCAGAAAAGAAATTAACTGCTTTAACTCATATTGTTGAATCAATTATGAATCCTCAAGGTTCAAATAATAGATATTTAAATATAACTGATGATTATTTATATCTTGATCCAAAATCAAGAGGTCATTCAACAAAACCAAAAAGACAACAATATAATGATTCTATTGTATTTGTAGTTGGGGGCGGTAATTATTTAGAATATCAAAATTTACAAGAATGGAAACAAGAACAAATTAATAAAAATATAAGTGGTGGTGGCAATGTTATAAAATCTGTAACTTATGGTTCAACTGAAATTTTATCACCTTTGGAATTCTTAAATGAATGTGGTAGATTGGGTGAGAACTAGAATAGTTTAATGTATATTTAATTTTGATATTAAATTTTAATGTTTGCATATATCTCTCTCTCTTTGCTCGAAACACGTTAATTTGGCCATCGTTTGCTCTCATAAAAAACCCATCTAAAAAACAACTTTTGATTACATCCAAAAATATAAGTATCTTCATTTGGTTAAAATGTTAGATTAGAGTACTTTTTATATTGTATATATCCTTTTAAATTGATTCGTTTGATAGTTATTGACAAATCTTGTGGGTATAAATATAGTTGCTACCAATTGAGTTTTCAATATTGAAAAAGTAAAAAATTTAATACATTTACATTAAAATCATTTCTATTTACTTAGAATTTATTTACTTCTATATTCCACTATACCTCTCAACACTTTAATTCTTCCATAAATCTCATGTTCAATAGTATTTTCATCTTCTTTTTGATCTTTTGGTTTATTTTTATGTTCAGTACCTGGTTTTGGCCAACTACAATTCAAACGTAATCTACTACATTCAGTACATCTAGGTCTAGTTTCACAACATCTTTTTTTACGTTGTCGGCAAGTTAAACAACCCATTCTTGATCTTTTTGTAATTGGTTTTGGTGTTGCTTCAGTACTAGTACCACTATTATTACCTTCAACACTTTCTTCTTTAACATCATGACTTTTTCTTCTTGGTTTTCTACCCTTTTTCACATCTAGTGTTTTTTCTTCTTGTTGTGGTTGTAGTTGTTGTTGTAGTTGTTGTTGTTGATGTATTGGTTGTTGATAATATTGTTGTGGTATTTGATTCATTTGACTCATTTGATTTATAGGTTGATAATCCATTGGAGGAATAGGTAATGGATGATATTGTTGTTGTATTTGTTGTTGCTGTGCAGTGAAAATATCATTATTTAAATATGAAGCAGGTTGATGTTGATGTGGTGGGACTGGTGGATAATTATATATTGGTTGAGTTTGTTGTTGTGGAGTTTGTGATTGTGTTTTAGTGTCTATTTCATAGTTTGAATACGATGATCTATTATATGAATTTGGAAAATGAGGGGCTGGTGGTTGTAAAGGTATAGATGATGAATTTGATGTTGTTGATGTAGTTGTAGTTGGTTCTGGATGTAGTGATTTTGGAGTTGAATTATTATTAGTTGTAGAATTACTATTCGGTTGATAATTATTTGACATTATGTTTTAATATTATTGTTGCAAAAGTTATTTGGTAGCTTCTTGATAATTTTATTTTTTGATAAAAATAAAAAATAAAAAAATTGATCTATATGAAAATAATAAATATTATATTACAGGGTCTTGATTAAATACTTGACTATTGATGAGTTAAAACTTGGCGAAATAATTTATATGAATAGTCTAGTTGACAAAATTAAAATAGTCCGAAGTGATATAAAAAAATGTGAAAATTTGGATGCCTTGGGTGAATTATTAATAATACATAAAAAGTTGGAAAATTAAATGCAAATAGTTGATTAAATCAGTTGATTTATAGACTAATGATTGTGATGACTAGTAAGTATAAGTTGAATGTATTATCGAAAATTGAAAGACGTGCTTTTTGACTATATATTGATTTCCTTTGTTTGTTTTGAAAATGTGTTGAAATAGAAAATAAGGATTTTTTTTTTCTCTAAAATATTTGCAACAGATATTGAAAATTACGCCCTAGTGATTTATTCTAAGCTCTAATAAACTGACTGTAATTGATTAAAGGTTAATAAATCTTAAAGTATTGCTTTATATATATTTGTAGATCTTAATTTAGTTTGAATTTAATTTGTGGATCTAAATGCAATCCTGTAAATTAATGTAAGATTCTTTAAAAATATAATAAACCTTGGATCTAATTATAAATGAATTAAAACTGAGATACAACTATTAAAGATAGACGTAAATAATGAATGACAATCTAATGATATATGTGAAATGAACTGTAGTTGATTAAAAGTTACTAATTTGATATAAAAATTTGTTATTTAAATAACTAAAGATTTTGGGGTTGTAAAAAAAAACAAATATAAAATAACTTTTGTATGGAAAATGTGTAACTTAAAACGAAAAACAAGTTTTAGGGGTTGTCAAAATACTAATAATTAACAGGTAGTTAAAAGAATGAATGATAACTCCCTAAACTAACAAAGTCTAATCTTAAAAATTAATAATATTTCACTGACTTGAAAATTCTTCGATTGGAAAATAAACTTTTATTATTGTTATTCTGTTGTTGATTAATAAAAGTTTAATTTATATAAAGTCAATTTATGAAACTTTAAGAAATGATATATTTGGAGTATCAAAAAGGTTCCAATTTTTCAATATAGAAAGTGAATGAAATGAAAAGTGTGAATCTAAAGATTTTGAAGTCTAAACGAAGGAATCGTTGATGATATATATATATATAATGTGGTAATAATAGTATAAACAAGCAATATTTATTATTTAATTTTCAGCACTAAAATAATTTTTTATTTTTTTTTTTTTTATATTTTTTATTTTTTATTTTTTTTTTTTTTTTTTTATTCTATTTTGAATCTCTGTATCTGACTTAGTATTGATATAGATTTCTAAAGATTCTCCAAGTACAAAGTGACAACTTAGTTATAAAAAACAATACAATAGACATAAAAATGAATTAGCAAACTTACTTCTTCTGATTATATATGGAAATATGCTTATTATGCTGCTGCTGCCGCTGTTGCTGCTGCTGCCGCTGTTGCTGCTGCTGCCGCTGTTGCTGCTGCTGCCCTATTTCTATATATATATGTGGGCAACATTTCCAATATAAAATAATATAGTAAATTACATAAGGCACTTAATCAGTATTACATAACAGATTGGGGTGTTTTGAATGCAAAATCTATTAATAAAAATGATGTGAAATTTACTAATTAAAGATCTGCAACATTTCTTTTTTAAGCTAAATTCAAAATTTTAACAACCAATAAAGAATGAAAGCGAATATTCAATTAATTCTATTGCGTGGTCAGATACAGATAAATTGACAAATGAAGAAACGAGAATGTAGAGAAAAAATGGTATTATTGAGCTCAATATCGTTTATGGACCCTCGCCTTGAATTTGATTAACAATAAGAGAGATAAATGGAAATTTTAACCATTGTTAGTAAATCTCATAACGATTGGATTCTCATAACTACTACCTAACCTGGTTTACATTTTTTAATCCATTTTGGAATATATATTGTTGATCATTTGAGTTTGCTAAATTAGATTTCCAACTATTATTCTATTTTTTTTTATTTTTTATTTTTTTTTATTTTTTTTTATTTTTTTTTTCAGATCTCATCATAAGTTGTGAAAAAGCGCATTCTCGATTTCGATTTTGATTTCGATTTTGATTTCGATTTCGATTTAGATTTTGTCTCTTATATTTATTATTATTTAATGTATGAGCAAACAGTCATGGTCATCACACTAGTGATTCACGATGCTACTACAGTCACATCTACGTGTTTTATTAATGACTTTTAATTTGTTGTCAAATCAAATGCAAATTTTTATGATTACCGTAGTTACAGCTAATGTGATTTGATACCATGGTTTTAGTTTTAAACTGTGAAACTTTTGTAGTTTGAATGCAAAATTACAAAATGTATAAATGCTTAAAAATATATTTTCCAGAAATTTATATTTTACTTGAGGCTGGTTTATTTGATTTCATGCATTGAAATTTTGATAATTCAATTTAAACTTTGAGATTAAGCTTCTTTACTGTTTAATTAATATTTTTTATGATGAGAATATATATACTTCTTTACTTCTTTTTATCCGAATTCTGTACATATTTCCATAATATTTCATTACTTATCTACAGATGGAAATGAGATTATAGATATATAAGATTACTATTTTTCTGCAAGATGAATGATTAAGCATAAATCAGGAATAAAAAGTCTAATTTAATAATTTGAAACTTGAATATACTCGGATAATTTACAAACCATTGATAAAGTAACCATTGATAAAGTAGAAAATGTACAAGTTTTTAACGAAAGAAAAAGGGCTTGATTAATGTATGGAATATAATAATATAAGCGAACAACTTGTAATGAGATCATATAGAATTCTACTTTCGAAAATCGCGATATTGAATCAAATTTGACGATAGTGTAAAAAATTTTAGTATTCCTAGTTTGAGCCTAATTGTTGCGGATTTAGCTTTAAACTAATTCACTCTCCAACTAAGAAAAAAAAAATGAGTAAAACATAAACTGGTTCATTCTTTTGGTTTATTTGTGGATATTCATTGTATGTTTCGGAAGCTAGATCCATATGTAAACAAACAAACAAATAAGCTTTATATAGATTTAGTGTAATAATTTCAAACTATTCTTCTCATGCATACCTACTTATTAAAAAAGTTTAAGAAGTCATACATACATTCTATAATTGAAAAAAGATTGGTTTTAAAAATAGTTTCAGATTATTTAATTGGTCAAAATTATAAGACAGTTGCTGGGAAAAATAGTCATTAGTAAAGTGGCAATGCTGTTTTTAACCTACCTTATTTTGCCACTGAAAATTCGACTATTTCTGATCAATAATTCAATCTCTTTCAATATCTCTCCATTCGTAATAATTAGATAAAAGTAATTTAGCATAAAACTTTTAATTCAATTTTAAATTTTATTTTATTTTTTTGCCCTTCGCTTTTTTTACTTTGCTTCGATTTTTTTTTTTTAACTTTACGTGTCTCGCTTAACAAATAGTATATTATACACTACTCATTCTGTTTAGTTTTCAAGGTTTTTAGGCCGTTTAACTGAATGGTTGAATTAGTCCTATAACGGGATTTACAATAGAAAATAGACATAAAAAATGCAGTAAAATATTAGTGTTCCTAATTGTTCCTCTCTAATTTTATTTAAAAGCTAATGAACGCCTTAAATTTTCAATTCGAACTATGCAATTGATAATATGAGATCGTATGTTTGAATTGTACTACTAAGACTGTTGTTAATCGTTACTCAATCAGCTTGCGAATTTCTTAGCGTGTAACAGGTCTTTTTCGGTGTTTAGCCTTTTCTTTTAAGTTTAGTGTGTCTACACTAAATCTCGCAAGTCTATAGTTACCAGATATTGCGCTTTTCAAGGTTTTGTAGATTCAGCTTCTATAAATTCATGTTTTACAAGTTGAGCGTCATCAAAACAATTCTGCAAAATTTTTATTCTATTTGAAAAAGTGGGGAGGTATGATTACTTATTCAGGAAGATTCTAATTATTTTGCATGTTTCTCAAAAGCTTCATTCTCGGCAAATTAACTCGTAAAGAGATTAATAGCTAATCATATGAGTTTATGAAAATAGCTAGTAATTTATTAGGAAAGATTTGCATCATAATTAATGCTTCTCAATGGTTCCAAAGGGTTACCTGAATAGATACGGTAATTGAATAATAATGAGCAAAAGTTTAGTATAATCATAGTACTAGAGAGTCAATGAGGTACATGTTTTTTATTAATAGAGTTCAATAAAAACAAGATCTTGTAAAATCAAATTAAAATTAGGAGATGTCTACTTAGCTGGAGGTTAGTAAATCTCTATACAAAACGAATGATCAACAGAGCCTTTTGAAAGGTAACTGTGTGTCCCAAGTTGCAATAGAGAAAAGTTTTAATTTAAAAAGGTTGCAAATTTTGAAAATAAATTGGTAGCATCTTTATATCAATTTTAGATCTTGAAATATTATCTAAGATCAACACTTATTAGCTCCAGTTTATTCATTTGGTAAATCTCACTTATATGAAGTTGATTTGATTGAAATATCAGTTCGATTCCAATACAGAAAATTGATACCGAAAGTTAAATCATTTATATATTTGCATAATTTTAATGATGATGGAATAGATAGCATATTGAATTTGTTGATCGATGCTCCTATATTCATACAGGATAATATTATTAGCAATAGTATTTCGTTGACTTCCAAGAAGTCAGTGATTTATTGTACGATAGGTGTTTCCAGATCAGCTACAATCTTAATTGCTAGTTTAATAAAAAAAATTATATTGAGCTTCTTACAAGCTTACATGGCTATACGAGTACTAAGATTCAACATTATAATTCAACCTAATATAAGATTACTTTACGAATTATTCATGCTTCAAAATTATTTAGGTGTTTTGAAAATCAAGATCAAGATTCGAGAAAATGGAAATTTGAATTTATTTGTAATGAAATCCATCAATTATCATTATTGATAAATTTTGAAGAATATTGATGTATACCCACGATTGCGATTAAAATTCTTGTAGTTGCATTCGAATCTCTTGATATTGAATTGATAGCAGCATGTTGATAAACACATGAAGCTGGTTATAACTTTTGAGCAAGCTAATTTGACAAGTTTTTACTCAGACAAAATCTACTCAGTACTGGATACTTATTATAAAGAAGCCAATGTACTATAGGTTTGTTGTTGAATTTAATTTTTGATGTATGAGGTTGGACAGTATGCACCTCCTCCAATAATAATCTTGCAACTATTCCACAAAAGACTTAATGCAGACTATTACCAGTCATTCTGATCATAAGAAGATGCCTTGTTGAGCTGATAAAAATAACAACAAGTTTATTGTTTAAATGTAAGTCAATGTATATAAAAATGTAAAATATAAAAGTTCCAGTATCTAATCAATCAATCCAATTAAAACCATTATATCAACATCAATCATTTACCAACTTTACACGATAGTACATGATGAGCCAATCCAACCATTTCTAGTTTTACGGATAGCATTATCTTTTGAAGCATCATTTGGAGCACCGGAAGCTTTAGTAGTTTGTTGAGCCGCCATTGTTAATTATTTATTTGTTTAAATTAATGGACATGAAACTAAAGGAAAATCAACTCATATTTATATTCCACCTCTGAGGATCGTGAAGGCTTGATGTTTTGAAAATAATGATCTTTTTAATTTTGATGCATCATTAAACATTTTTTTGGTTGCAAAAAAAAATTACCAAATTAGGACATGACAATGATTGTTGATTCAAGAAATTTCAATGCAAGAATTGAGTTGGTTTTAAACTTGAGGTATTCATGATGTCAAGATTTAGATCTATTGTCAGGTCTATATTAGGCAATAACTCACAACCCTGAAACAGGTGGAAAGTGTTACACAATATTATCTTGAAATTATGTATTTGATCAAGTCAAACTTATCTCTAATCATGCGTCTTGTCATGTATTAACTTTATCGCTAGTTTCATTATAGCTTATAAGTTTCAAAACTTGTTGAATGGAATGTTACATTCCAAACTCAAATAAAATCAACTCTATTTTCTGTACATTTCCAATTTAAAGACGATTTGATGACTAAAACTTAGCTAGAATGCTTGATTCTCCACACTTGTCACATCTCATGTCTTGAAATTTGTTCATTAACCAACGCCGTTTGGTAGCTTTGGGATCACCACAATTCAAAATACATAAAATCATTCATAGTTTTGAACAAATAAAATTAAAGACATAGTTCCCATACAAAAAATGCTCTGATTTAATATCAATTACTGCAGACACCAATGAATTCTGTAGGTTTTTTAAAAGTAATTTTTTCGACGAAAGTTGCAATGGGACTAGATCAAGTTAAATCGATATATCACGTACTTTATAAATATGCCATCCGGCGTTTAATTAAAGAACTAGATATTAGCCAAAAATCAAACTAAAAAGAGGTTCAATCAGACTTCAAAAATATCAAACTACAAAAAGAGAAGCTCCGCAATACGATTTAGTACAAAAATTTGTTAATGTTTGGCAGTTGTATACATGGCACCTAAAAAAAAAAAAAAAACAGACAAGCTACCTTGTGGGCAGCTTTTGGATATTGGACAACTTTATCTAGATTTTAATTATATGATCAAGGTCAAGTTTGTCGTGGTAATAATCAAGTTTCTCCTGGTATGAATTGTCATGAAGACTTAGAGGGTTTAGCTAGAATGATTGGAGGAACTATTTTAATAGCTTATGAAAATGGTTGGTTAAACAAAAGAAGTGATTCCAATACTGCAACATCAAATAAGAATGATTAGTTGTTTTATTTAATGATCTCGGTTATGATGTTAACTCTATTTCAGAATCTAAAAAATTGTGATAGTGTTCATAGCATTGAAGCGGAAGAGGAAGTAGATGATATTTTACTTATACCATGTATCAAAAGGTGATGGATAATTCTATATTAGGTATAAATAGCAGAGTAATGAGGCTGGAACAATCTCAATTCAACAATTGAGAACGGAGAATCAAAGGATATCAGAAAGAGATTTTAATGATCATTATGGTAAAGGAGATCCAGAACGTGAAAACTTTTTCACATGTTGTATGATTTAAGCTATGCACAATATTGTTCCTTCATATTCCTCAGATTTCTGACATTTTTCAACAAAATTAAATTATGACATGATAGAATTGAGTTTTGGGAAGAATTATAGCAGCACAAACAGATTGAGTTTATAGGTACACTTCGGAACTAACAAAGAGCTCATTACTTTGATAGAAAACCGCATTAGTTGCAAAAACTGATTGACGCATTTGGTAGCGCATAATAAAAGTTCTAAACTAAAAAAATCTAGTTTTGGCTGCAATTGCTCGTATGGCCAAGTTGGTAAGGCACTGCACTTGTAATGCAGCGATCACAGGTTCGACTCCTGTTGCGAGCATTTTTTGCTTATAGGTTGATCTAACTTTTTTTTTTTCAAATTTATTACATTGCCATGTCTAGAAATTCTGTTAAAAGAGTTGTAAATGCAAGTATGTTGGCCAGTTATACCATATATTTTTTTGCAAATTGAATACTAATTGATTGTTAGTTCAAAAATTTTATCCAACAAGTTTAGCTGATAAAACATGGGATAATACTGGGTTACTAGTTGATTCAAGTTTTGAAGATTCATCAACAATATCAAAGACTATAAAAATTTTATTAACAATTGACTTAACTCAATCAGTTGCTGAAGAAGCAGTTAATAAAAATGTCAATTTCATTTTGGCTTACCATCCTTTCATATTCAGAGGTTTAAAATCGATAACTCCAAAAGATCCACAACAAAAATCATTAATCAAGTTAATTCAAAATCGAATTAGTGTTTATTCTCCACATACTGCTGTTGATAGTGCTTTTGGAGGTGTTAATGATTTCTTAGTTGAAGGTATAACACAAAACTATCAAATAGAATCATCAGAACCAATTGAAAAGAATGATCAAGATCCAAATTGTGGGATGGGTAGATTGGTTAAATTGAAAACACCAGCTAAATTAACTGATTTAGTGAAAAACGTGAAAAAGGGTTTAAATATAGACCATGTACAAGTTGCAGAATCAAGAAATGGAATAGATCAAGGTATCAATACAATTGCAATCTGTGCTGGATCTGGTGGTGGTGTTTTCAAAGGTATTGAAGCTGATTTATATTATACTGGTGAATTATCACATCATGAAGCATTATATTTTAAAGAAGTTGGTTCATCAGTTATATGTTGTAATCATTCAAATACAGAAAGAGCATTTTTAAAAGTTATACAAGAACAATTACAAAAAGAATTGTCAAAAGATGAAGTAATAATTAGTGAATTTGATGAAGATCCATTTGCAACTTGGTAGCTTACTAGAATAAAAAAAATATACGAACCGAAATATCACCATATATGTAATCTCTCATCATGGTTGAACAACAACCATCATCAAATATTAAACTACATACATATCAAAAGGAGGATTTTGAACTGGTACCTTCATGTAAAATTAATTCAATTATTGTTCCATGTAAAAATACTCCATATGTTTTTTTATACGGGGGATTTGATGATAATGATTCATTAGATGGTAACGTTTATTTACTAAAGACAGATACAATGAAATGGGAAATTGATAATAAAGTTCCAAATTTATACAGAGATGGTCATCTGGGAGTTTACTTAGGTAATGGTAATATTTTAATATTTGGTGGTTTATTAGAAGAAGAAATTGAAAATCCCAATGATTCATTCTTAATGATTTATAATATCTTTGATAAGAAATGGATTGGACCACCTGAATTTGCTTTAAAAAATGCACCTACTAAAAGATCAAGGCATGCTTGTTGTTTATCATCTGATGGTTTGAAAGTTTTTATAAGTGGTGGAATTTATAAATCAAATGCATATAATGATTTATATTGTTACGATTTGACAACTGGATTGTGGGAAGGTCCAATTGAATTTGTTTCAAGATTTGATCATACAATTATACATTATAATGACAAGATTTATTCTTTTAATGGGTTAGACGGTGATATGAATCATGTTAAATCAATACTGTTTTATTCATTAAAGACGAAACATATAGGTGAAATTCAAATTTCAAATTGTAGTTTAATCACACCATTATATAATGATATAAAAATTCTAGAGTCAAAATCGGATCCAAAGATTTGTATATTCATTAGTTTGCCTACGTCATCTACAAAGGGGTATTTGAAAATTGAAAGTTTTAATTTTGATACATTTGAGACTCAAAATTTGATTGATCAATTCGGAATAGATCAGTTAATACCCAATCTGTCAAATTTTATATGGAAGAGTGCTTTTGTAAACCATGATGGAAAGTTGTATTTACTTGGTTCAAGTCGGAAAAGTGCAAACTTTGGTGGATTATCATGGGATGATTATGAAGAAGATCATGAAGAATCAAAGATATTGACAAATGTAATGGAAATAAATATTCAAAATTTTGGTATCTCAAATCAAGAGAGCAATATCTCATCTGATCTTTTGAGATTATTTCAACTGCAACAATATACTGATTTTGAAATTGCTTGTGTAACTGATGAACAAAATAGATTTAATTTTGAGAATAATCAACCATATGAAACCAAATCCATATTGGTACATAAATCAATATTATTAGCCAGATGGGCACATTTTCAAAGAATGATATCAGTTGAAATGAATGAAACTATAGAGAATAAAATGTTTATACCAGAACCGGTTGAATATGTTAGATATCTACTTTACTATTTATACTCAGATCAATTAGACACCTCAGTCAACTACGACATAGTAGATTATTCAACCATCGTACTATTATCGAACATGTATGAAATTAGAAAACTAAAGGTATTAATAGTTGAAAAACTATTTACTTTATTTTATCACTTCAAAACAGATTTCATTGACGATGATGAACATGTAACTATTTTACTTATGCTATGGAAAGACTTAACAACTACTAATGAGACTATCTTACTACTGAAAATTATAGAATTTATTAAAATTAAATGGGCAACAGTTACAAGATCAAATTCTTTTGCAACTTTAACAAAATCTGAAATTGTTAAATTATGTCAAGACTCAGCAAATAAATCACAAGAAACATCAAGACGTGGATCAGTTGATACATTAGAATTAATTGATACACCAAAGAGAAATACAAATTCACCATTCTTAATAGATTCACCTACTTTATAAATATACGTTATAGATTCTTGGAGCTACCTTCTCTAAAAAAATATTATCAACATGAATAGTATCGAATATGAAGGTTTTGATCATGTTTGGAAATATTCAGTTCCATGGTTATATTACTTAGTTGCATTATATGTAAGTTTACCACTAGTTGCTTATAAAATATTTCCATATCTATTTCATAGAAAACGTACTGGTAAAAAATCAATTTTAATATTTGTCCTTGGTGATATTGGACATTCACCAAGAATGTGTTATCATGCTTTATCATTTAGTAAATTAGATTATATTGTTAATTTATGTGGATATTTAGAAACAAGGCCGTCAAATGAAATATTAGATGATGTAAATATTGATATTGTTCCAATTAAAATTGTGAAAAATTCGGGTGGGTTACCATATTTATTATTTGCAATTAGAAAAGTTTTAATACAGTTTCAACAGTTGAGTTCAATAATATGGAATAATGATAGTGATTATATAATGATTCAAAATCCACCATGTATTCCAATATTGTTTATCATTATATTATATAAAATTTTTATAAATAGACAAGTCAAAATTATAATAGATTGGCATAATTTAAACTATACGATATTGAATTTGAAATTTCAAAATTTAAAACATCCATTAGTTCAATTTGTTAAATATTATGAATCCTTTTTAGGTAAATTTGCTAATTTGAATTTAACAGTGACAAAGAAAATGAAGGAGTTTTTAGTAGATGAATTTGATTTCAAAAAGAATAAGATAGTGGTGCTATATGATAGACCAGGTAAACAATTTCAACCTGGAAAGAGAATAAAGCATGAAATATTTGAAGATATACCGAAGGATTATAAAATTTTAATATCTTCAACATCATTTACACCAGATGAAGATTTCAATATTTTATTAAATGCATTAAAACAATATGAAAAAGAAAATACTCCACCTATTTTTCTTATTGTTACAGGTAAAGGACCATTAAGACAAAAATTTATCGAAACAGTTGAATCATTAAAATTTTCCAAAAAAATTATAATTAAAAATGTATGGTTATCATCTGAAGATTATCCTAAAATACTAGCTAGTGGAGATTTAGGAGTTTCTTTACATACATCATCAAGTGGAATTGATTTACCTATGAAAATTGTTGATTTCTTTGGTTGTGGATTACCAGTGATATCATTGAAATTTTCAGCAATTGACGAATTAGTGAAAGATAAAGTTAATGGATTAGTTGTTGAACCTGTGGAGTTAGGTGATACGTTAATTAAAGTATTTACAAATGATTCTTTATTACAAGATTTAAAAAATGGGGCATTAAATGAAAGTGACAATAGATGGGATAATAATTGGACAAAGGTATTAGGACCGAAATTTATAGATTAAATATATATTCTTTCAATTCTTTAAGATATTGTATATCATTTTCATCTCTCATTCCACGTGGTGATGAATTTTCATCTGTCCAAAATCTAAAACCATCTTCTTCATAAGAATCTAACTTTGTATGTTCAGGTATTATATCCCAAGAATTTGTATCTTTGTTTAATAATTTGCCAGTTATGTATGTCCAACATTTGGCTACTTCTGTATGATTGTAACCACCACCACCTAGTAATATAATCGGTATTTTGAAAGTTTCAGCTATCTTCTGTATTATATTTGAATAGCCTTCAATTGTTAAATTCCATTCTTTGTATTTATCACTATGTAGTCCATCACAGCCAACTTGTATAACTAGATATTTAGGATTAAACTTCTTTATTAATGGTGACACAATCTTATTTATAATCCACATCATGTTATCATCATTTAATCCTTTCTTAGTAGGAATATTGTATGCCCCCTCAGATGATTCTTTGCCAGTACCAGGGTAAAAACCAACATCATATCTATGAATAGAACATGTAATTATCTTCTTACTGAATTTGAAAGCATTTTCAATCCCATCACCATGATGTAAATCTAAATCTAAATAAAAAACAGTGCCCGATGACCTTCTCAATTTATTTATACATAAAACAATATCATTAATATAACAAAACCCAGCGCATTTAGCCCTTTGACAATGATGTCTACCACCATACCAATTAATTCCAATTATATTCTCATTACCGTACTCAATTACTGTACTGGCAATTGATAAACTTGAAGAAGCAACTAATGTAATATATTCCTTCATATTCGTAAATGGATAACAATCATGCATTAGTCCAAAACGTTCATCATCTTTTAGTTTTTCATCGATATCTCTATCCTTTAATAAATGATTTATAAATTCAGAGTCATGATAATTTGTTAATTCTTTGATTGAAATTGGTGAAATTGCAACAACATTTTCTTGAGTATATAACTTATAAGCTTTATGCAATGATACAATTAATGATTGTCGACCTTCATTTGACGGTAAATTATCAGCATAAGCAGTTAAACTATTGGAAAGTGTAATGAAAACCTTACGTTCCATTCATTGATGGTAAATAAAACGCGCCCAAAAAAAATTTGCGTCGCCAGACAAAATGGCATTAAAACTGCTCGCAACAGGAGTCGAACCTGTGATCGCTGCATTACAAGTGCAGTGCCTTACCAACTTGGCCATACGAGCAATTTCTGAAGAGAAATTTTTCTCCTATTTTGTGACACCTATACTTACACGCTACCAAATGAATTATTATGTTTTATGACATGTTGTATTGAGCTATACTGTGATTTATTCTCATATATCAAGCTTTTCATGCACGGTTAATTATAATATGATTTAGAATAGTGTTGTTAGAAGCCCCTAGAATGGCATTTACAAGGTAAATTAAGCTCCACTCTACCAATATTTTCAAAATTTGATCAAATGAAGGCAAAACAAAATATTCTTCCTTTCCAAAAAAGCCAAAGGGTTGTAGTGCCTATGAATTCTATGCTTCAGAGTTGGTATAAATAGTTCTTAACTCATGAAAATATGTTGTTCATGATATGTAAGCCCATGAGGTTAGTATGAGTCGTCCTAAATCCAGGCGCGAGAAACTATTTTGTCGTAGGGAATTGATCGCATTGAAAATACACACTTTCGAGAATAATTTTAAAACAAATTCCCTTATATGCACTCTCGCAATAGTTAAACTTGAAACTTGAATCTTAAATAAGTCTCTCAATATTCAAGCTATTATTTTCCAAAATTTTTCATCGAAAGCTCAATCATCTCGAAGTAAGCTAATATTGATTTTAGACGCCATAATCGTTTTGAAAATTTTGCAAAAATTTCGAACCACTCTTGAAAAAATATTTTTGCGATTTTGAATGCTTTAACACAATAGATTTCAAGTAATACCCACAAATAAGCACTACAAATCTGGGTTATTTCACCCTGCTCAAATTTGAATAGAAAAAATGGAGTTAGATTTTTTGTGAATTCAACTTATTCAAAGTTCTCCATACTTATGAGAAAATTTCGAAAGTTCTGAATTTTGGTAGAGAACAACTGGATCAATTCAAGCATATTTGATTAAGGTATAATATATATAATCCTTTGATTATTTGAAAGTTTTGGGCCTAAATTAAAGATACAAAGATTTACATTTTTTAAAAAATAAAAACGCATAATGTAATTTATGTACGACCATAACTTTCAATTAAAGAACGATTTATATATATTATACATCCAAATAAAGTACTGGACTTAATTTTAGCTCATATTAACTAAAATTGAAAATTTTCAAAATTTTCTCTGAACTATGGGGAAAATTGAAAAAATTGACCTTACGAAAAATCTGATTCCACAATCAAAAACGGAATTTAGATATGGCAAAACTATTCAATCTTTTAGTTCTCCACTTTAATATAAGTTAGATATTTTAGTGTTAAGTAATTCAAAATTAGAAAAGTTTACAAGCTCCCATTGAAAGTTTGAGTTAAAGGTTCTAGGAATTGCATAGATTGAGCTAATTCTTTTTCGTGTAAATATTTACTTTTAAAATTATTGAAACCCTAGCAAATATCTATTAACTCAGACGGATCATAAAATTTAACAGGCTTTCAATCTCCAGGATATTGACTCAGTAGCCAACATCTGATTTCTCAAGAATTATACAGAAATTCTTGATGATCGTTCGACTAATTTTTGGTGGATACGCGCGTTTCTTATAAAAACGACACCCCAAATTGTAGTGGATATGCTTTAATTTACCATTGATATCTAAAGCTCTCTGATCCAATCTCAAGATTTTGTAAAATATCCAGTACCAGCTAATCAATCAATTAGTTCGGTTTTGTGTAACATTTCAAGATTCGAAAATGCGCGTCAAAATATTTTTTTATTTTTTTATTTTTTTAAAGAAAAATAAACAAAAGATTCATCTTTACCATTTACCATTTACCATTTAAACAATCAATTTACATGACAACAATAATATGGCATTTGGATTTGGTTTATTAGGTTCACCACAAGGTAAGAACAATAACAATAAAAATAATAATAATACAAATGGACTCTATGAATTTACTCCAATAGGTAAAAAACGATCAAATGGAGAAACTTCATTCCAAGTTTTACATAGTTATCCACCAGAATCAAATCAACAACAACAATTTACAAATCGAAGAAAGTTATTTCAACCGCTAAAAGAATCAAATATATTATATAACCAATCTCCATCTGGATTATTTGATGAGACAATAGATGATTTTGAAAATAGCTCACCAAGTAAAACTCCACAACAATTTAAAGCAACAAAAGCAACAAATACAACAAATCTAAAAGAAAGGTATGAATTCAATGGTCAAGAGAATGGATTTGCTGCTAAACAACTGGAAGAGACAATAAAAGAATTACGCGGGGAAAACTATGGATGGAAAATAAAATATAAAGAATTACTAAGGTCATTAGAAAACATGCCATTAAGTGAAAAAGAAATTAGGGTGGAGAATATATCATTGAAAGAAACATTAGCATTATTAAACCAGGAAATTCAACAATTGAGAAATGAAAATAATAAATTAAATACTGAAAGAGAAATACCAGTTGATCAAGATCCAAATGAAGTTCACCAGTTAAAACAAAAGATAAACGAGTTAAATAATACATTATTGGAAGATGATGAGCTAATTAGAGCTTTAAAACAGGAACGTGATGGGTTTGCTAATGAATTACATGAAATTCAAGATTTTATTAAACATTCAGAGGTGGAATTTGATAAAGTAGTTCAACAAGAAAAGCTAAATCGTGAAGAAATAAAGAGTTTGAGGAAAACAATAGAAAATTTAAGAGATGGACAAAGAAACGATAAAGCATCAAATCAAATAATTGACAGTTTGAATGAAGAACTAAGAAATTTAAAAGAAGGTGAAAGAGGTTCAACTAAAGAAATTAGAAATTTGGAAGAGAAGATATCTGAGCAAGCTCATTTAATACAAAATTTACAATCTACAATTGCTGAAAAATCAAAATCTGTAAATCAATTGGAATCCAAATTGGAAACTCAAAAATCACAACTACATCATAACAGTTCAGAAGAAAGAGATTATAATAGAAAAGTGCAGCGATTACAAGAAGAATTGGATCATAAACAAAGGGAAATAGATCAATTTGAAGAACTTATTGAACAATTGAAATATGAAAATCAAATGTTGAGTAATAATTTAAAAGTCGCAAAAGATAAACTATCAAAAGCTTCAGGAGATGATTTAACTACTAGACAATTACAAGATTTAAATGATGAATTGAACGAACAACTCATGATGGAAAAGAGTCAGATTCAAAGATTAAAAAATAGATTGAAAGAATCAGGTCAATCAAATGATCAAATAAATTTCTATGAAGCAGAATTCGAAAAAGTGAAAAAAGAATTAGATGCCAAATCTGAAGAATTACAAAAAGTTAAGTCAAAATTACAAGCAGTTGATAAAGATTCACATTCTTATAAAAATAAATTTGTTGGTCTTCAATCATTAATTGATGAAAAAGAATTTACAATTCAAAATATAAGTATCAAATTATCTCAATTGGAAAAGGAAAATGCAAGATTAAAAGACAAAGTTAACAAATTACAATCATCATCAGACAATTACAACTCCATTCATCAAGATAATTTAGAATTAGAACATGAATTAAGTTCATCCAAGAGAGAAATAGACAATTTAATGAACCAGATTAGAAACTTAAAATTACATCGAAGTCACAGAGACGATAGGTCAGACGACATTGAAAGACTTAAAGAAAAAGAAGCAATATTGACAGATGAAAATAGATGGTTAAGACAGAAATTAGATGAAAGTATGGTTAATTTCAATTATGAAGAATTACATCAAGATAATATTGAATTACTGGATAGATTAAGAAAACTGGAATTTGCACAAGCATTATTAGAAGAAGGTTTAAGTAAATTAGAAGCTGAAAATAATGAATTAATTGAAACTTTGAAATATCAAGAACATCAAATTGAATCAAAAGTAAATCAACAAATACTTGACTTGAAATCTAAATTACGTGCATGTGATGAATATATAGATAAACTTGAATCAGATTTAAGATTAGAAAATACAAATCATAGACAATTAAATGATTTAGAATTTCAATTAAAACAATCAAAAGAATTAATTGCAAGTCATGAAATAAAATATAAAGCATTACAAGATGAATTAAATAAAAGAATTGAAAAAAGTTCAAATACAAGTGAAGAATTTCTTAAATTTCAACTTAAATCAGTTAAAGGTGATTTAGAAAGCATTACAAATAAATTAAAATCAACTGAAGAAAGATTCAAATCTCAACTTAATGAATTGGAAGAAAATAAACAAATTACAGAAAATCAATTGATGGTAGTTAAATCCAAGAATAGAGATTTGGAAAAAGAATTAAGTTTCAGTGAACAAAGAGAAAGAAAATGGTTAAATAATTGTAAGACTATTGGTATTAAATATTCAAATTTGAAAAATCTTACAGACAAATCAGCATCACCAGAATATATTCAATTCCTAATCAAAGAATCATATTATTTTAGACAAAGATATCAAGATTGTACACTTGCCAAAAGAAATCTAATATTCATGTATAATTTTGTCCTTGATAGAATAAGGAATACAAATATTGGACTAGATAATAATAACTTGGTAATTACTGGAATTTATCCACCACCAAATTCAAAAACAAAATTAACATTTAAAGCATTAGCTAAATTTGTACTTGCATCAGTTATATTAAAAAACAGAGGTAAACAACATGGAAAAAGAAGTGAAGCATTAGACAGTGTTAGAACCGATTTAAAAGTTGCTAAAATTCAATTTAAATAGTCGTTGTATAATTATTATATATTTATTAAATTCGTTATCTCATTATTCTAGCTATTGGTGTTTGAAATTTATCTGAAGATACTTGTCTTACTCTACCTGGTCTTGGAGTTTGAAAAACTTGTGAATTCTGTGATTGGTTTGATTGTTGTTGTTGATTTGAATGTGATCTTAAATTTAAAAATGTATTACTTGCATGATTTATTAAATCAGAAGTTGAATTAATTGAAAAATCATGATTTAATTCAGGACTTTGTAATATTAAATGATCATCAATTTGATCTTGACCATCTGTTAAAAATTCACTTACATTAGTTAGGCCAGGTAATAAGGTTTCATCAATTAATTTTTTATCTCTTTCTGAATCCTTTAGAAAATGTTCAATATTCAAATCCATCCATTTTTTATTCTTTGATTTTCTATTCTTGTATGTTTTTGAACCAAATTGTAATGAATTTAAATTAATTTCATCTTCTTCATCATCATTTGCAAATAATTCACCAGTTTTTTCAATTAAGTTAGTTGTATCTATATCGTTAAATGGGATTGGTTCATTTATCCAATTTTCCATATATATTACCTTACTTGGATCATCAAATTGCACATATGAATATATACCATCTTTTGACATTAAACTTGATAAATATTTACGAGAGAAAAATTTCTTACATAATCTCATACATTCATTACACTACTAAATTAAGCTCTATCCAAGTGTTTGTTGCATCCTTACATTGTATCTGCATCCTGACAGCATTCTTAGTTTAAGCACAACATTGTTCAAATAAACTTGGTCTCTTTCTTAATACACGTTTATCATAATTTGAAGATTTGACTAATTTAAAAGCACCAGTACCAACTTGCATTGTTTGACCTAATATAATACATTCTGAAACACCTTCAATTTTATCATTCTTCATATAAAATGCAGCTTCAAATAAATGATCGGTTGTTCTTTCAAATGAAGCCAATTGTAGTACAGAATCTCTCATTTTACTCAAACCAAATCTTGTAATACCTAAAACTTCACCTTTATAAGTCATAACATCACCTAATAATTGAATATGTCTTGGATCAACACTCATACCATGATTACTCATTGTATAGTCAATTTCTCTAATAATTGAACTTCTTGCAGCCTCAATACCTAAAATTTCATTAACTTCCAAGACATGATTTGTTGTTGTTCTTGTACCAATTACACCTTCTGTATTCATAACTTCTTTTAATCCATAACCTTCAACTAATAATTCTTTTTTACCATCATCTTTAATATTAATAACAGCTCTAAAAATTTCATCTAAACCTTTTATACGAATACCTGGTAATTCTCTTTTTAAATGTTGCATTCTAAAAAATAATTGATTTTTAGTATCTGTTATTTTTAAAGTATCTGTTTTTGATTCTTTAATACTACATAAAACATTAATTCTATCTTTACCAGTAACTGTAACATCACTTTGAGCAATTTTTAATTTTGGTGCAGCTACAATAGCTTCAGCAATATTTTCAATTGTTAACTCCAATTGTAATTTATCAATGGTATCTAAATCAATTTTAACTGATAAATATGCTAAATTATCTTTATAAACATCTTCAATATAATATGCAACATCTTCTAATATAGTTTTTTCAATACGACCTTTTGCAACTCTTGCAGCAATTTCTTCATTATCATTAACTAATACAGCATTTATGATTGGTGTTGAAATTGTTTTTGATGCATTGATAATTTCTTTAATACGAGGAACACCTAATGTAACATTCATAGAAGCAACACCAGCAAAGTGGAAAGTTTTTAAAGTCATTTGTGTACCTGGTTCACCAATAGATTGAGCACCAATTGCACCAACAGCAGTACCGGGTTCTACTCTAGCTCTTGAATATTTAGATAAACATTGTTCTAAAAAAATTTTAATTGATTTGGTTGATATTTTTAATAAGAGATTAACTGCATTAACAGCTATTTCATCTTCTTCAATTAATAAATCATCTTCTTTTGGAGGTTGAAAGAATGCTCTTAAACCTTTTGCTTCTCTTAATTTTGCTAATTTAATTGCTTTTTTCTCTATAAAATCTCTAATTGATTGATAAAATTCTCTTTCAGCATCTTTTTGATCTATAAATTCTAATTTTTTACCTTCTTCACCTTCAACTTCATTACCAAGATTATCAAATCTTTTCAATTTAAATTCTAATGGACATATTCTTTTATTTGCTTCATCCATAATTTGATATGGATATAATCCTGTTTCATTTTTATCAAATGTTAAATTAAATGCATGATCCCATTGTCTATTAAAATTAACTGGTTTTGCATTACCTTCCATATCAAAAGGATCTAGCCCGTCACCACCATAAGTAAATTGAACAATACCATTTGAAGAATTTCGAACTGTATTATCATATTGTGAAGATAAATCTTCTAAAGATTTCATTAATCTTCTTGACATATAGCCAGTTTCAGCAGTTTTAACAGCAGTATCAACTAAACCTTCTCTACCAGAAATAGCATGGAATAAAAATTCAGGTGGTGTTAAACCAGAATAAAATGAATTACGTACAAAACCTTTTGACTGTGGAGTTTTTGAATTTTTTGTAAAATGTGGTAATGATCTATCTTGAAAACCATCAGGAACACGCTTACCAGAAATAATTTGTTGACCAACAACAGCCACCATCTGTGAAACATTTAAAGTAGAACCTTTTGAACCACAAGTAGCCATAATTAATGGTGCATTTAATGAATCTAATTCTCTAATACAAACGTCACCAGCTTCTTCTCTAACTTTTGATAATAAACCAGAAATTTTTACTTCTAAAGTTTGTTCTTCATTACAACCAGGTTGTGTTTCTAATTTACCTCTATAATATAAATCAATTAATTGATCACATTTTAAATAAGCTTGTTCAACAATTAATTCTTTCTTTTGTCTTAATTCAAAACCTGGTGTAACATCATTAATACCAATTGAAAAACCACGATTACCTAAATATCTTGCACATAATTTTGCCATTCTATTCATTGCTGCAGCTGCTTCTTGTGGTCCATAATCTCGAAGTATAACGTAAAATACAGAATCTTTTTTACCATCACCTAAAGTTGCTTTATCCATTAATCCACTTAAAATATTTGAACCTCGTATAACAACCCATGAATCATTTGGTGACATTTCATTTGGTAAACCTGGTGCTGGTGGTATAAATGTTTTATTTTTAGCATCTAAATTTATAATAACTTTAGATTTTTTATTTGGTTTAATTAATAATGAAAATACTTGTTTACCAGTCCAAAGCATAACTGGTTTAAAAATTGTTGGTGGAGGTATATCAAATTGAATATCAGCATCTGACATCATACATAATAATTGTGATAATGTACCTCTATCAAAAAATGAATCTTTATGAGATATTAAATATGAACCAGTTATAAAATCTTGTGTGGCTGCAATAATTGGCTCACCAGATTTTGGTGTTAATAAATTATTTTTAACACCCATTAAATTAATAGCTTCAGCTCTTGCTTCTTCAGTTTGTGGAACGTGTAAATTCATTTCATCACCATCAAAATCAGCATTATAAGGTGTACAAACACATTCATTTAATCTAAATGTTCTCCAAGGTCGAACTTTAGCATAATGTGATAAAATTGATAATCTATGTAATGAAGGTTGTCTATTAAATAAAACAACATCACCATCTTCGATATGACGTTCAACAATATCTCCAATTTGTAAAGTTTTAGCTAATTTAACACGATCACCAAATCTTAAATTTCTTTTACCTGCTTCATTTTGTTTTGCAACATAATTTGCACCAGGATGTTCATCAGGTCCATTTACAATCAATTGTTGTAATTTTCTTTTATTATATCTTGTACATTTTTCTGGATATGTTAAAACTTTTGCAACTCTATCAGGTACGGCAACTTCATCAATTTTTAAATTTGGATCGGGTGAAATAACTGTTCTACCAGAAAAATCAACTCTTTTACCCGATAAATTACCTCTAAATCTACCTTGTTTACCTTTCAATCTTTGACAAAATCCTCTAATTGGTTTTGATGATTTTGCACCTCCCGAACCTGCCGATGGCATTAAAGCAGGATTTGCAGAATCTGAATTTATATACATTGCAACTGATAATTGTAAATAATCCCATTGTTCCATTAAATTATTAATTGATATACCTTTCATTATACCTGCTTTAATCATTGAAGAAGTCCAAACAATTTCAGTTAATTTAACAGTTAAATCATCTTCATTACTTTGAGAATCCATCATAACTGACGGTCTAATACAAACTGGAGGAGCAGGTAAATATCTCCATATATACATTTCTGGTCTACCACCTTTTGCAGGATCTATACCTAATAATTCACAATCTGAAGGAGTAATTTGTTTAAATAAATTTAAAGTTTTCAAAGGATTTAAATCATCTTGGACTCTTTTAGCAAATTTTTCCAATTCTGGATTTCTTATAAATACTTGATTTAATTCTTGATCCCATAAATCTTTTTCAGGTGTATCTTTTTTACCAATCCATCTAAAAGTATCATGGACAATTTTTAAAGCAGCTGGACCTGCACCACTTGCAGCTTTTTTAACAACACCGTTAACGTGAGAACATTTTAAACATCTTCTTTGTTTTTTACATTGTTCTAGGACTTTCTTTAATATTCTCATTCTTCGAAGATTATCTATTGGTTTTCTTAAATCATTAAGGAAATCTCTTTTATCTTGTTCATCTAATAATAAACTTGCACAATTCTTACAAATACATTGTAATATAGTTATAATTGATTTAAAATAACCAACATGAAAAACAGGTAATGCTAATCGTATATGACCAAAATGACCATGACAAGATGCTAAATTTCCATGACAAGTAGAACATTCTTGTGAATTTGAAGAAATACCCATTCTTGTATCTAATGCCCCTGATTCTTTTGGAGTTCTACCTTTTTCTAAATCATATAAATCTCTGGTAACAATTTCAACTTCTGATTGAGCAACAATATCTTTAGCAGATAAAGCACTGAAATCTAAACCTTTAATACATTTAGGAGCCACATCAACCACTACTTCCTTCATTTCTCCTCGATTAAACTATGCTTCACAACAGATCAAGAAGAAGAGATTAAAAAAAAAAAATTGTCTCTGCGCTGCTACCAACTGCTACCATGCGATTGACAGAAAAAAATATCATAAATTATCACCAACTATTAAACTAGTGGCGATTATTTAAATTGGTGGTTATAATGTCAGATAATAAACAAAATGGTGGTAGTTCCTCCACTATTCAACAACAAGCTCTAGAAGAAGAAAAGAAAGTTATAAAAACTTTAGAAGAAGATGACGAATTTGAAGATTTTCCAGATGATAATAAAGATTGGTCAACAACTGCTAATAATGATAATAAATTAAATCAAGATAATTTATGGGAAGAAGATTGGGATGATGATGATAATCAAGATCAATTTTCAATCAAATTAAGAGAAGAATTAAAGAAAAATGTAAAACCAAATACTTAATCAATATATATACTAAGCATAAAAGTTTACCGATTTTGATTTTCTTGCTTGAACTTCACCAATTGCTTCAACAAAATCTTCATGTTTTATAATTGATTTACCATTTCTTAAAGCAATCATACCTGCCTCTACAGTAACTGCTTTTAATTGTGCACCATTAAATTCATCAGTTGATCTTGCTAATTCTCTCCAATTTACTGAATTATTATCACAATGTAATTTTCTTGCATGAATTTTCAAAACAGATTCTCTTGCTTCTTCTGATGGTAATGGAAATTCAATTTTTCTATCTAATCTACCAGATCTTAGTAAAGCAGGATCTAAAGTATCAACTCTATTTGTTGCAGCTAAAACTTTAACTCTATCATCACTACCAAAACCATCTAATTGATTTAATAATTCCAACATTGTTCTTTGAACTTCTCTATCACCACTTTTATCACTATCAAATCTTTTTGTACCAATTGCATCTAATTCATCAATAAATATTATAGTTGGAGCTTTTTCTTTTGCTAAACTAAAAGCATCTCTCACTAATTTTGCACCATCACCAATAAACATTTGAACTAATTGTGGAGCAGCTAATTTTAAAAAAGTAGCACCAGATTGCGCAGCACAAGCTCTTGCTAATAAGGTTTTACCAGTTCCTGGCGGACCATACATTAAAGCACCTTTTGGAGGTTTAATACCTAATTTTTGAAATTTTTCAGCTTGTTTCATTGGTAATACAACAGCTTCAATTAATTCTTCAATTTGTTTATCCAATCCACCAATATCACTATAATCTTCTGTTGGTTTTTCATCAACTTCCATTGCTTTAACTCTTGAATCATATTCAGAAGGTAAAGTATCTAATATAAGATAAGAATCTTTATTTACTCCAATTAAATCATTTGGTTTTAAATTTTCAGGATTAACTAAACCAATCATTGGTAAAAAAATAGTTTGCCTAGTTGAAGTTTTAATAACAGCTGATTTACCAGATCTTGCAGCATCAATATCAATATTCGCACCTTGTTCCATTGATTCTTTTTCAGCATTTAAATCTAATAATTCAACAACATTACCAACTAAATAAGGTAATTGTTTATTATTATTAATTTTTTCTTGATTATCTTTTATTCTTTCAAGCATCATTGTTTTTTCATGAGTTAATCTCTGACTTTCTGATCTCATAACTTTTATATCATTATCCAATAATTTAGTTCTATTTATAATATCTGAGGTAGAAGATTGTAATATTTCTTGATCTATAACATTATCTTCTTGATTGTTATTACTATTATCCTTTTCTAATTCTTCCAAAGTAACCATTCTATTATCAATTGTTGGTTGTAAATACTAATAATACTCTTGCCACTCGAATTTTTTTTTTTTATCTTTTCTCGTTTTGAAAAATTACTATGGTTGAAATATTAAATGATCATAATGAATTAACAGATGAACAATATACTAGATTAACAGAAGAAGTACTCAATGCAAGAGACCTAAGTTATTCTCCTTATTCTAAATTTAGAGTTGGTTGTGTTGTTGTTACTGAAGATGATAAATTTATAATTGGTGCTAATGTTGAAAATGCTTCTTATGGAGCTGGTATATGTGCTGAAAGAGTAGCTATTACAAAAGCAGTAGTATGTAATCCCTATTACGTTAATACTATTACATTCTTATTTCTTACTAACACCCTTACTAGACATCTGGTTACAATAAATTTAAATTAATTGCAATATCTGGCGATGATCCAACAGAATATATAACACCATGCGGTATATGTAGACAATTTATACGTGAATTTTCAAGAGATATACCTATATATATGTATAATACTAATGGTAAGCATATAAAAGTTGATTTACTGGACCTATTACCATTATCTTTTGGACCTGAAAATTTATTAAAATAAAAAAAATGCGCTACCAAAAATGCGCTACCAAGGCGAAAAATTTTTGTTTATAGAAAATCATCAACCATTTTTTACAACCAATATATATAGTAAATGTCAGCAATTGTTTGTTCAGCTCCACATTGTGGTAAAGAAACTATATCTCAATTAAAATGTCCTATATGTTTAAAAGATGGTATATCTAATGTATTTTGTAATCAAGATTGTTTTAGATCTTCTTGGTCTATACATAAATCAATTCATAAATCAGATGATGGTTCAACAGATTATAATCCATTTCCAAATTTTAATTATACTGGTGATTTAAGACCTCATTATCCTTTAAGTCCAAGAAGATCTGTTCCCAAACATATTAAATTACCAGATTATGCTAAAAACGGGAAACCTATAAGTGAAATTAAACAAGATAGATTAGGTAAAATACCAGTATTAACGGCAAAAGAAATTGAAAAAGTCAAAAAAACTTGTAAAATGGCAAGAGAAATTTTAGATATAACTGCTTCTCATATAAAACCCGGTATTACAACTGATGAAATTGATGAAATTTTACATAAAGAATGTATTAAAAGAAATGCTTATCCTTCTCCTTTAAATTATTATAATTTCCCAAAATCTTTATGTACTTCTATAAATGAAGTTATATGTCATGGTATACCTGATAAAAGAAAATTACAAGACGGTGATATTATAAATTTAGATGTTACTATATATTATTTAGGATTCCATGCTGATTTAAATGAAACTTATTATGTTGGTGATAAAGCTAAATGTAATCCTGAACTTGTTAACTTGGTGGAAACTACAAGAGAATGTTTAGATTTAGCTATAAAAGCTGTTAAACCTGGTTTAGCATTTAGAGAATTGGGTAATATAATTGAAAAACATGCAAACGAAAATAATTGTTCAGTTGTACGTACTTATTGTGGTCATGGTTGTGGTGTTTTATTTCATTGTCAACCGAATATACCTCATTATTCAAAAAATAAAGCAATTGGAATTGCAAAACCGGGTCAAGTTTTTACAATTGAACCAATGTTAAATATAGGTACTTATAAAGATTTATCTTGGCCGGATAAATGGACTGCTGTTACTCAAGATGGTAAATTTTCAGCACAATTTGAGCAAATGTTATTAGTTACAGAGGAGGGTGTTGAAATTTTGACTGCAAGAAATGAAAATTCACCTGGTGGTCCAATTCCTAGAATTAGTGAAAATGGAAATTAGATTAGCATTTAAATTAATAGACATAGATTTATTTTTCTATATAATTTCTTTATCTGATACTAGCATATCAATTAATGTAGCTTCAATTTTCTTTACTGATGATTCAAATACTTCCAATTTCTTTTTAAACGATATGCTACCTTTTGAATTTATTGAGTTATCATAAATTCCCTTATATATTGAAATACCAGGGTATAACTGCACCAAGATAATAAATTGCTCATATAGTTTCTGTAAGAATTTATAGTTCTCCCATGTTTCTTTAGCTTTAAAATTACCAGACGTGTTTGTTGATTGTGATATTGATAATCTCATGATTTCACCCGTACAATCAAATAATCCCATAAGATAATCTGAAGTATCAATAAAATCAATCTCTATTTCATCATCTACTTTCTCCAATTCTTTATCCTCTATTAAATAATCTATAAATTCAAATTTTTCCAATATTAAACATTTAATCATTATTATAAAATCATTATATGGTAATAATTTACCAGTATTTTTAAAATATGCAAATGTGAAAAATTCAATCAATTCTTCAATTGCTCCCGATATATTACCTCTCAAATGTAAATTTGTAATATACATTATACGAATCTTTTTCAATCTATCACTTAGTATTTTAAAATATTCCAATAATTCAGATTTCAATTTCTTTAAACCAATTGATCTATGACATGAAAATATACATTTTTTGGAATAACTAGTTATATCTCTAACCAATCTTATAATTTCTTCTCTATCATCTTGTTTAATCCTTAATTCATCTCTTGCAGGTATAAATATTAAATCATCACTACTCATTCGAATTTGGTGGAAAAAAAAAAAAATTATCACCAACTTTTCATGTCTTCATCAATTCAATTATTAAACCCAAAGGCAGAATCTTTTAGACGCGATCAAGCATTACAAGTAAATATCAATGCTGCTCAAGGTTTACAATCTGTATTAGCTTCAAATTTGGGTCCAAAAGGAACATTAAAATTATTAGTTGATGGTTCGGGTGGGTTAAAATTAACAAAAGATGGCAAAGTTTTATTAACAGAAATGCAAATTCAACATCCAACTGCTGTTATGATTGCAAGAGCTGCAACTGCTCAGGATGAAATTACTGGTGATGGTACCACCACAGTAATTTTATTAGTTGGAGAATTATTAAAACAAGCTGAAAGATTTATTAGTGAAGGTGTTCATCCAAGAGTTATAGTTGATGGATTTGAAATTGCAAGAGAAACAAGTTTACAATTTTTAAATAATTTTAAAATAAATGTTGAAAAATTTGATCGTGAATTTTTATTACAAATTGCAAGAAGTTCATTAAGTACAAAAATTCCAAATGAATTAAGTGATTTATTAACACCAATTGTAACTGATGCTGTATTAACAGTTAAAAATAATGAAAATGATAATTTAGATTTACATATGATTGAAATAATGACTATGCAACATGGTTCATCAAAAGATACTGAATTAATAAAAGGTTTGGTTCTTGATCATGGTGCAAGACATCCAGATATGCCCAAAAAACTTAAAAATGCATATATTTTAATATTAAATGTTTCATTAGAATATGAAAAAACTGAAGTTAACTCAGGTTTTTTTTATTCTTCAGTTGAACAACGTGAAAAATTAGTTGAATCAGAAAGAAAATTTGTTGACAATAAATTGAAAAAAATTATTGAATTAAAAAATTCAGTTTGTGATTTAAATTCGGATAAATCATTTGTTATAATAAATCAAAAGGGAATAGATCCAATGTCATTAGATGTATTGGCAAAAAATAATATATTAGCGTTAAGAAGAGCAAAAAGAAGAAATATGGAAAGATTACAATTAATTTGTGGTGGTGAAGCACAAAATTCAGTTGATGATTTAAATGTAGATATTTTAGGTTATTCTGGTTTAGTTTATGAAACTAGTATTGGTGAAGATAAATTTACTTATATTACTGAATGTAAAGATCCAAAAGCTGCTACAATTCTTATAAAAGGTTCAAATAATCATATTTTACAACAAACTAAAGATGCAATTAGAGATGGTTTAAGATCAGTTTCAAATGTTTTAAAAGATAAATCAATTTTACCTGGTGCTGGTGCTTTTTGGTTAAGTAGTAATAATTATTTATTAAATGATAAATCTATATTAAAAGGTAAAAATAAATCGGGTATAAAAGCATTTGCTGAAGCGTTATTGATTGTTCCAAAAACACTTGCTTCAAATGCTGGTTTAGATCAACTAGAAACTATAAATAATGCTCAAGATGAAGTTATTGAAAATCATATAGTTGGTATTGATTTAAAATCTGGTGAACCAATGGATCCTCAAATTGAAGGTATATGGGATTCTTATAGAGTTATAAGAAATGCAATTAGTAGTGCAACTGGTATTGCTTCAAATTTATTACTTTGTGATGAATTATTAAAAGCCGGTAGATCTTCATTAAAACAAGGTGGTGATCAAGGTGCTTCAGCTCCTGGTGGTATGCCTCAAGGAATGCCTCAAGGAATGCCTGGTGGAATGCCATGATGGGTTTAGATACTTCGCAAATATATAAATCAAAGTGATAATTGTAGATATCGTATATTTTATTTTGCAGCCAATTTATATGCAGTCTAAAGGGTCCTCGTAAAAATTACAAATCTAGATCATAGATTTAAATATTATACAGATCCCTATTTGTTTATGATTAGCAATTTTTATCAAGCACAGAGTGAAATTAATACTTTGAAGTTTAGGTTTTGTTTGAAGCTAATAGAGTGTACCTGACAAATATTTTGTTTATTTTTCAAAATCATCCATGCATGCATTAGCTTAAAATACCATCAAAAATCAAGCTCAACTAATTAGTCTGAGGTTCAGTATGCACTACCCGTTGTTTAATTGTAAGCTATGACCGTAAACAAAAATACACATCGATTCTTGAGGTAACTCAAAAAAAAAAAGTTTAAATATTATGATCTAAAGTATGTGGAATATGTAATCCATAGATTTGAATTTCATACAAATGATATTCTTTCAAGAAAATGTGTCCTTCGTGACATATATGCCACGATAGATAATACTAGTCGCCTCAAGTTTAGGGCGAGAAATAATATGATTTGGGCGCAAATTTGCATTGATTTTTTTTACTATTTTGTTATGAGAAAAAAATCGGTATGGATTCTGGTATTGTCTCGTACTGATATTTCGCATAGAATTATTCTTCTTTGAATTGAGATGAGACGAGCGTTGGCGCGCATAAAATGGACAAAAACACAATTGAGTTTATATAATGAACAAAAACATCAAAAAGTTCATTGAATGGACTCTTAATACATCATCATCACAGTTATTGTCGGGAAAAATATTTTCAACAATATCCACGGAATTCATTTGTGTTTTTCAGTATCTACAATTAAATTTGACTATTTTTTGTAGGGGAAGTATGACTTCAATTGTAATTGTTTAAAAGTTATGCTTAATTGTCTGTGTTCTAAAATGGGTTGAATTGAAAGCTACCAAGCGGAGCTTTACATTCAATTGTCAAGACTTGTAATGTGACAAAAGTGGAGATTCAAGCTTTGCAACTAACAATTTAATCATCGATTATCTCCAAATAGGAAATGCGTAAAACCTGGAGCTAATTTGATCTGAATTTGGAATGTAACATTCCGTTCAAGAGAGTTTGAAACTACTTATAAGCTATAATGGAACTAGCGACAGAGTTAATACATGATAAGACGCATGATTAGAGATAAGTTTGACTTAATTAAATACATAATTTCAAGATAATATTGTGTAACACTTTCCACCTGTTTCAGGGTTGTGAGTTATTGCCTAATATAGACCTGACAATAGATCTAAATCTTGATATCATGAATACCTCAAGTTAAAAACTAACTCAATTCTTGCATTGAAATTAAATTCCTGAATCAACAGTCCATTGTCATGCCCTAATTTGGTAATTTTGTCTTTGCAACCAAAAAAATCATCTTTAATGATGCATCAAAATTAAAACCATCATAAATTTCAAAAACATCTAGTCCTCATGACCTTCAAAATGGAATATAAATAGAGGTTGATTTTCCCTTATTTTGATATCCATCAGCTTAACAATCAAACAACTAACAATGGTTGCTCAACAAACTACTAAAACTTCAGGTGCTTCATACGATGCTTCAAAGGATAATGTTATCCGTAAAACTAGAAATGGTTGGATTGTCCATCATATACAATAATGTAAAGTTGGTAAATGATTGATGTTGATATAATGGTTTTAATTGGATTGATTGATTAGATACTGGAACTTTTATATTTTACATTTTTATATACATTGATTTACATTTAAACAATAAACTTGTAGTCATCTTTATCAGCTCAACAAGGCATCTTCTTATGATCAGAATGATTAACAAATGTCTACATTTAATTCTTATTGTGAATAGGTTTAAATTGTTTGGAGGAGTTGTATTCTGTACAACCTCACACATCAAATATCGAAAAAATTATATTCAACAACATGCTTGGAGTTCGTTATTTCCTCTATAATAAGATGCAAGAAGTGAGTAATTTTTGTATGAGCAATAAGCTGCCAAATTGGTTTGCTTGAGTTATAACCAGATTTATGGGTTTATCAACATGCTGCTACCAATTCAATGTGAAGAGATTCGAATGAAACTACAAGAATTTTAATCGTAATCGGGTATACATTAATAATTATTCTACACATTCTATCCATAATGATGTAAATTTAATTTATGGATTTCATTACAAATGAATTCAAAATTCCATTTTTTCATATTTCGATCTTGATCCAAAACACCTAAATAATTTTGAAACATGTACAAATCATAAAATAATTTTAAATTAGGTTGAATTATAAAGTTGAATCTTAGTACTCGTATAGCCATGTAAGCTTGTAATAAGCTCAATCTAAATTTTTTCATTAAACTTGCAATCAAGATTGTTGCTGATCTGGAAACACCTATCTTACAATGAATTAATGATTTTTTGGAATTTAATGAGCTGCTGTTACCTAACAATACCTTATCTTGTATAAATGTTGGAGCATCAATTAATAAATTCAATAAGCTATCTTTTCCATCGTCATTAAAATTATGCAAATAAATAAACGACTTAACTTTAGGTATTAATTTTCTGTATTGGAATGGAATTGATATTTCAGTCATATCAACTTCATATAAATGAGATTTACCAAATGAATAAATCGGAGTAATTTTAATTACATTTGGAAAAATATTGAGTTCTTCTTCAAAATCAAAAATTATTAGTTTATTTAATAAAATCCACCAAGTAGGTAATTCACCAATTGATATAATATCATTGATTTCCAAACTGTTAATTACTGTTGCTGAGGAAGCATGATCAACTGAGCCAAGATAAATATTTGAACTTATTCTTGATGGAAAATTATTATCTGAAAATTTTGGAGTGAACCAATCATATGAAGGTTTATTGGTTGGACAGTTGAGGTATTGTTGATTTATTGCATATAAATTAAGTGAAGTTATTGGTATAATTGTGGGAAATTCTTGAATTAGGAAATTAGATAAAAAGTCAATGAAATTTTCCAACACCGACAAGAACTCCAAATTGAAATTATTATAAAACAACTTAATACCTTGTTGGTTTAACAATATGATTGATTCTTCTAATGATTTCTTTGATAACAATTGAGTGACAGCAATAATTAAAATTGAAGTTGCAGAGTAACCATCATGACAATAAACAAAAACTTTATTAACCCTACTAATTCTCTCAATGAATTTCAATACATTTAATACTATCATCATTTCAGTATTTGAAAAACCATCTAACTGAAAAAAATTTGAAGATGGTAAATCTAAATGGTATTCACTTAAATTGTTATTTCCCAGTATATAATCATGCCAGATTAATTGAATTTGGTTCATTGCTGGTAAGGAGTGGTTATCAGCACAATGAATAAATAATTTGAACCCTTTTTTAGACATTGCATCATATTCGTGACTATTACCGACACCAACTCTATTATTGCAAATCCATTTCATAGTATACAATCTCCAAATCAAATTTTGTTCATAATTGAGATACTTAAGTGGATGATTTAAGTTATAAGGTTTATAATCACTACCCAAAAAACCATTATTATAAATTTTTAAATCATCTGAACCATCTTCAAAATAACAGCCATCTAAATAACACCACCAATCTGGAATCTCAATACTATAAATAAATTTATCAGGTGATATAGTTTTTAGTATTGTTGCAAATGATGAACTTGAATTGTTTGAGTAATTATAAACCATGAAATGTGATAATGAAGCAAATAATTTAATCTGATTTTTAAAATTTCGACAATCAACTGGTAAATTTGTGTACGTAACATGTTGCAACTGATTTAAACCCTGGTAAATACCATCAACTTTCAATTCTTCTATGTTTATAGAATTAATTAAATTAGGAATTTCATTAGCTTCATCAGTTTTAACAAAAATGACATTATTGATATTAAGTTTACCAATTTTTTCATTTAAATCATTACTTGAGCCATCTTCAAGATAAAATCTTCTTTGTTCATAGTTTTCTAAACCATGTAAATAAGGAAACAAGTTTCTTGAATTTGAAGCTGAATAGTTAACTCTTTTGTGATAATAAAATTGAAAAAATTCATTTAATAATTCAACTGAATCAATTATATAAATATCATTAACAACTTTTAATTTAGTATTAAATTGAGCAAACCAATTATTCTGATTATTGTCATAGCTCGATGATGAAAAGGAACGATGTTTGTAAGCTTGATAATAATTAGCAGTTTGAGATGAAGTAACTGATGCATAATGATTCAATTCACTCAATAAACTTGATTTTGTCGAGGATGCAGATGAAGATAATGAAGAAGATAAACCTTTTGAACTCGGAGCTGATGATGATATAATGTTTACCTTTGTCGTATCATTTCTAAATGATGATTTTGGCCCTGGGTGTCGTAAAAATGAATTCATATTGATAAAAAAGCAGCACTAATTAATACAAGTGAAGAATTGAAGTTTGAGATAATTAATAAGCAAGTAGTTGAATAATACAAAGTGAAATAATTGCAAACCATCTTTAAATTAAAAGGATATTTGAGGATTTTATATCAAATTTGGATCTGGAGATAAAAAAAAAAAAAAAGAATTATAGTTGTAAAATAGTCAATGCATAAGTACCTAAATTGGTTTTGTGTATATAAAAAACTTTAATTTATACCACTTATAAACTATAAACAACCACGTAAACAACCACGATTATCGACTAATAACGATTGTTAAGACTGATAACGATTGTTAAGATATAGTCTCAGTTTAGATCGTGAACTAACGTCAATTACAATAAGGGAAGGGGGTATTAACTTAGCCAGATATAGTTATAAAAGTATATGATTGAAATTGGTAGTTGCGTTTTGTATATATAATATCAATAGTTTCATAAATATCTCTAACATGTTTCAACGAGAATTCTCTTATCTTATCAATTCGTGGCATCTGGTAAAGTATAATTTAAGTAGTTAAAAAGAGTATCAAATTATCATTGTATCGTCAATTTAAACCACAAAATAACAAACAGTAGAACACAGAAAACAGAAAAAATGAGATAAACATATGACTTATTGATGAATCGCTGATATATTCAACATTTAGAAACGCATGATGTATATGCATTCATTCAAAACAGTCTTTCACATTCTCAACAGATAGTTTTCTCGAATTAACCGGTTCGATTGGTAGTAATAACAAATTTTTTACTTAATATCAAGCCTTTAGTTATCAGATTATGTGGTAGAATTCTAAAAGAAGTATAATCTATAATTAGTAATAACATTCATAACCACGTTCCATAAACTTCTTTTACTAAACTTCTTTTACTGTCTCAAAGTTTCACGTGTAAAACAATGAAATAAAAAATGACACATACGTAACGAGATAAATTATTATTGTCAGTATAAATAATAATGCTTGTTGTAATGGCAACGATTGTTTCAGATGAGGAATGTTGTTATTTGTTGACGCGTCATTAAAGTATATTTCTGGAAATATAACAAAGCCCTGATTCTACAAACGGTTCAGCTGTTGATTATATTTTAGAATCACGTTGTCAATTTATAACTTGAAAGTTAATGGACGCTATAATTGATGGGAATGCTTCTTATCAAGAATTGCCAGCATTAATTTAAGGTACAAGATTATTTTTTTTTTTTTTTTTTTGAAATGCGCCATGACTAAAATTTTAATCAAGATCTACGAGAATTAGTATAACGAAATAGTTACAAAAATTTACAATATGCTTTCCAAATTTGTAAAAATTCCAATTAACCGCTCATTCTTTTTCATTTAATTAACTGCACATGCAATATATGACTTCATTATTATTATTATCAACCAATACAATATCATTTCATCCGAGTTTAACAATAGTAAATAATGCAACAATTTCTAATACAAACATACCAATTTATTCGAATTTCCCAACAAGTTTAAAATATGATGGAATAATTGATGTATCTTCTGATTTTACAGATGATGAAGTTTTTATACCTTCTGATTCAGAAGATGAAGTAAAGCACGTTGAAAAGAAAATATTTACTTCAAGAGAATTGACATCTACAATTTATTACCATACTACAATTGAAAAAACTTCTGTTGTTTATACAACAATCACAATTACATCTACCGAAGTTGTCACTTCAACTTTAACGATAAATACTGGTCCAACAATTTCAGTTGATGTCACATTACCGTTGAATACATTGACTAATTCAAATACATGGTTTACAACGGGTGAAAAAATGAATGATGAAATTACAAGTTTAAATTATCCAATGAGAAAAGATTTAGATATAATCACAACTGGTGAATCTTCCGAATTTACAGATACTAACCAATTTTCAATTTTACCTATAAAAGGAACAACAATTATCATTCCAAATACTTTTCGCCCTAAAAGACCAACAAGAACAAGAGCAAGATTAAAAGTATATAAAACTATAAATCAATCAAGGTTAGTGCAGTTTACAACAAGGGAAAATCAAACATTACATGTCAATAATAACCCATTCAAAATTTTTGCAAATAAAACATTAAATTATCAGAATTCAACAACAGTTTCAAATTATAATAAATTCACAGGTGTAGTATTACCTGAAAAACAATTCAGATTAACTTCTTTATCTAGTTACATAACAATATCATCAGTTTGTTTAATATTTGGTGTTATATTAGTTTTATGAATGCACACTTGGTAGCTTCTAATTTATTTTTCTCTTTTGACTTGACAAACAATTTTCAAAATTATTATTGCAACATTTCATGTCTTTATTATCATCATCTAAACAATTTCAATTATTTGATTTTATACCCATTCAAGATCCAAATTATCAATCAATAGATGATTTGTACTCAAATCCAACTCTATCTGCTATAAATACAACATCTACCTATTTAATAATTGCAATAAATAATCATGATTTGAAAATCATAAACCCCAAGGATTTAACTCAATTAGGTCAATTTCAGGCATATGAAGAAGAATACAGGATAACTTATATTGAACCATTACATAACTCAAACAATTTAATAATTACGTTAGCTGAAAGACAAGGATTTCCACTGATTATAAAGTTATGGGATATAACTAAAATGTTGAATTTGGAGAAACTAGAAGCTTCGGAATATAAATTCAAATTTCAGACTCAGGTATTAGTGAATTTAAATGACAATTCATATCCTATTTCATGTATACGGTTTAATTATGATGTTAGTTGTATTGCCTTGGGATATACTCACGGAAAAGTATTATTGATAAGAGGTGACTTATTACGAGATAGAGGAGCAAAACAGAGGGTAATTTATGAAGGTAATTATGATCCAATTACAAATATACAATGTAGAAATGATGAGGAAATATTATATGTGACTACAACTTCAAAAATACTAACTGTTCCAACCACTGGAAGAAATAATGGTAAACCTTTGAGAATCTTGTCAAATAAAAGCGGAGCAAATTTGAACTGTACTGCACTTGATAATGATGATCTAGTAGTTGGTTTACCAGAATGTATCAAATTTTATAATGCCACAAACAAATTGAAAACTATAAATTTTGAAGTTCCAAAGCTGAGAATATACAAGTTAGGACAATTTTTATTGGTGGTGTCTCCTGAAGAAAATGAAAGACTATCTACAAGAATTTACATTATAGATTTGATAAATTTACATGTTTCATTTAATGTCCTTCTTCCAAATGTCGTGACGCATATATTTACAATTACTGGTGATTTTTATTTATTAGGAGGTGGAGTACTTTACAAAATTCATGAAAAACCAATTAATCAACAAATTGAATTAATTTTACAAAGAGAATTGTTTACAGTTGCTTTCAATTTGGCAAAACAAAGACATTTGAATTCAGATTCATTAATTAGAATTGAAAATTTACATGGTGAATATTTATTCGAACAAGGAAAATATGAAGAATCAATAGAGGTATTTATAAAGTGTCTTGATCTTATTAGTGACGAGGAAGAAGGGTTGGATGAATTTATAATGAACATAATTACAAAATTCAAAGATCCGATAAATATTTCAAACTTGACTAAGTTTTTGAAAGTTATATATGTTAGAAAATTAGCAAATTTGGATCATATAACTTTATTATTATGTTGTTATTGTAAATTAAAGGATCTAGACTCATTAGATGAGTTCATAGATACGTTAGATCTCAGTTTAAATTTACAAGATTTGAATTTCCAATTGATAATCAACCTATTCAAAGAATGTGGGTTTTACAATCAAGTTTTAAAATTATTATACAAGCTAAATCAACCTAGTTTGATCGTTGATATACAAATTTCAGATCTAAAAAAACCAAAATTGGCATTAAATTATATGAAATCATTGAAGATAGACGATTTGTTGATTATCCTAATTGAATTTCTGAAGAATTTACTTGATTCATGTCCTATTGAAACTACAGATTTATTAATTAAAGTATTTACAGGAATTTATAAACCACAAGATCAAAATTCTAAATCTAATGAATTAAATAATGATAAAGTTGAAGAGAAGGAGAAAAGTGTAGAATTGACAAATTATCAATCATTTCTAAGTTATTTGAAAAAATCAGCACCTGAAGACGAGGAACCAACTGAGGAACCAGTATCTACTTATTCACCTCCTAAACCAAGTTTAATATATTCAAGTTTCACAGATCATCCAAATGAATTTATTATCTTTCTTGAGGCTTGTATTGAATCATTTGATAAATTTGGAGGTAATGTAAATGATAAAAAAGAATTACTATTAACATTACTTGAACTATACCTTTCAACATCACAATTTGATAAATCAAAATCATTAATAAGCAACTACTCAAACCTTTTAGATCATGATTCATTATTATTATTAAGTCATATTTATAAATTTGATCTAGATATTGAAGTAATGGACATCAATTCATTATTTATGAAATATGAAATTGAAGAAAATATAAAGAAGTTGTTCCTGATTCTTGAATCTCATGGATCTGATAATCCTCAATTATACCTTCAAATGCTTCAATTTCTTATATCAAAGAGATCAATTTACGAATCTATAAATCCAGATGATTTGAAAATAATAATAACTCAAATAATGTCTCATAGGATCATCAATATACTTGAGCTTGTCAATCTTCTAAGTGAAAAGGAATATATTACACTAGGTTTGATCAAAGAGCAATTAATCTCATTTTTTGAGGATCAAAATTCAGAAATTTATAAAAATGAAAAATTAATAGCTCATTATGAAAAAGAATCAAGTATAAATTCTCAAAAATTAACTGATTTAACTACTGAAAATTTCAAAATTAGTCAAACTAAATGTGCAAGTTGTCAATTAAAATTAGATTACCCTTCTGTCATTTTCAAATGTTTTCATTCTTTTCATAAACGTTGTTTAGTAGGTGATGAAGCATGTCCAATATGTTATGATGTTAAAAAGCTTCAAGATCAACAAATTGATGAGAAGTTATTCATTCAAAAGCTACATAATTCAGATGATAAAATGAAATATATTAGTGGTAATATATAATTTTTTGCAGCCAAATTTAATTTGATTTTTTTTTTTTTTTTTTTTAATTCTATCACCTCGTGCTTATCTAATGTTTCCAGGATGCTGGTTAATTATAAAGGTATACATAATGTAGATTTACCAATAACAGATCTAGATGATCCAGAAGATGATATAATATTCAATGAGCTACAAGATCAGCAAAATCAACAAAATCAAGGTAGAAAATCTTCAAATTTTTTAGATTCGTTAGATTATGAAAATCCAAAACAATCCGAACCAGGTTTATTCAATAAAGTTAAATCTATATTTGGTAAAGGTGGTCATTCAAATGATTATTATGAAATGATTAACAGATCTGAAGAAAATGAAGCTGAAACTCCAAGTGAATCAAATTCAAATTCTGATTCTGAACCTACTATAAATTTACAAAATATTCGAATTCAGTTACTTGAAAACAAAGTTAAAAATAGAACCATAATTGGATTATCCACTATTTTTATAATTTCAATAATTACATTTATACTATTTTTTAAAAATCAAGAGTATGTTAAATTTGAATCAACGAGTAATGTCAGAAAAGTGTATTCAAATTCAACTCATGATTTCCATAAAACTACCATATTAGTTTCTTTAGATGGTTTCCATCCACATTATATAAATTCATTAGATACTCCAACACTCCATAATTTACTCCTAAATGAATATTCAACACCTTATTTAATTCCAAGTTTCCCGTCATCAACATTTCCTAATCATTGGACAATTATAACTGGCTTGTATCCATCTGAACATGGAATAGTAGGAAATACATTTTATGACGTACGTTTAAAGAAACAATTTATAAATACTGATCCTAGATTTGGATTAAATCCTGAGTTTTGGAAAGGTGGTGAACCTATTTGGAAAACCGCTGAAATTCAAGGTGTTATATCTGCTGTTCATCAATGGCCAGGAAGTGAAGTACCACAAATTGGACCAGCTGAATTTGATAAATTTAATTCAACAGAGTTATTAAGTTCTAAAATTGATAGAGTATTTGAATGGATAGATAGAGATATTGAAACTAGACCTGAATTAATTTTAACTTATGTTCCTACAATAGATCAAATTGGACATAAGTTTGGAATAAGTGGTCAAAATTTAACTGATGCTTTAAATTATGTTGATAATTTTATTGAGTTAATGTTTAAAGAATTAGAAGCACGTAATTTAAAAGATATAGTCAATGTTATAATTGTTTCAGATCATGGTATGGCACCAACTTCAAATGAAAGATTAATATATCTTGATGATTTGGTAAATTTAAACAAGATTGAACATGTTGATGGTTGGCCATTATTTGGATTAAGGCCAAAAAAAGAATATAAAGTTGAAGATATATACAATGAAATAACTGCCAACCTTGAGAAACTCCCATCCAGTTTATCATCAAATTATAATGTGTACAAAGTTGAAGATATTCCTAAACAATATCAATTTGGAGGAAAAGAATCAGAACATAAATTTAATTACAGATTAGCTCCAATTTGGATAATTCCAGATGTAGGTTACGTCGTCACTACACATCAACAAATGAAGGAAAAGAATGGAAATTATTCACCAAAAGGAGTTCATGGATACAATAATACTCAATTATTAATGAGGGCAATTTTTTTAGCTTCTGGTCCTTATTTTAAACAAAATATACAACTGCAAAATAAAAAAATTGAACCGTTTCAAAACACGGAGATTTATAATTTAGTATGTGATACATTGGATTTAAAACCAAGTGAAAATAATGGAACAAATACAATTTTAAATAAACCATTACCGAATGAATGGAGAGACGATTTAATATTTCCCGATTTATCATTTGAAGTTGAACATATTGTGAGAAATAACGCAACTTATGATTTATTATATAGATTGAAAGAAGATCTAGATGGTGCTAAAGAAGGTGATGATCCTTTAAGTTCAATGAGATCTGAAGAATCAAGTATTACGTCAATGAGTACTGAATCATTACCTAAACCAACTGATTTCATAACTACTAGTTCAACTACAAGTACGAAAACTCATGAAAGTTTTGGAGGGATTGTGGATGATATTATTGATGGTGTTGAAGATGGTTTGGGTGCAATTGGTGATGCTGTTGAAGATTTTATAGATAAGATTTTTGATCATGATGGAGATAATGATAAATAAACTATTTAATATACATATTTATTTATAATTATTTGGGGTAATCAAACGTTGGAATATAGTTGCTTATCTCGTTTCTCTATAATCAACCACTAATCTGATCATTTGGTATCGACCTGATGCTTCAATGGTCAGTAAAGATTAAGTAGGAAACAAATTGTTTCAATTCGATCTATGCAGCAAATTATCAGTTCATTACTCCATGTTAAGCATTACGTTTATAGATAACGATTAATCAATCATGTATTTTAACTTTTATTTACTTTCATCCTTGATTTCGCGTTTATCCCCCATTTCATTTTCATCATGATATTTTTCTAATAATGTAGATCCTTTCAAGCAACCATTGCAACTTTAAAACTAGCTTCTGTTTTTCCTTTACCAAGGCCAACACCTAAAATTTCATTGTTGATTTCACAAACAACTTTGAAATCCTTACTAATTCCATCACCTTCTTCAACGACTCTATAAATACGATTCTTTATAAATCAGGTCTACCAATTAAAGCATATAATTAATTTCAAGCGTTCCAATTTATTAATTGATTCGAAAACTCAAATTCATTAATCATTGAGCGACATAATACAAATCATAAATAAAAAAATACGACTCATAACAATGGGAAAACTTTAAAAATAGCCAAGTCTAGATTTTTGGATAATGACGCAATGAATGCAAACCTTTCTAAATAAAAACAGATTTAAATGACAGGGGTAAATTTATATTGAATAAGGGGTAAATTTATATGGAATAAGGGGTAAATCACGGTAAATCATAGTCAATTTAACTATGGAGGACAAAAAAGAAACCAAAAAAAATGGCGCACAGCACGTATTTGTCGTACCTGAGATCTTAATTTCACCAATTTGTTCCTAGATCTCAAAACTAAAACAAACTAAAAACCAACCAATAAGATAATAGTTTGTACATTGTTAGTAGATCTAGAACTATCGCATAACTAAGAACAACTCTTAACATTCAAATTTGGAACAAATAATCAGATCAAACAATAAACTAAAAATTATTAAAAAATAAAAATAAAAATAAAAATAAAAAAAAAAAAAAAAAAAAAAATAATAAAAATTTATTACCAAATTAGTTTACATATCACAAACCTTAAAATTAATTATTTTATATTTGTACTTCATATCTTCCAATCCAGAATGTGATCAAAAAGATTTTAATTCTGTATCACTTTATCAATTTCTTTTCATGAGTCCATCTACTACTGAATTATTATCTTCAAATCAATTACAATTTAAGATTAAAGATGATCCCTATTGTCCCACCTGGTTAAAACAACAAAAATTACCAATGTTACCAAATTTACAAAGTGCTGCATCTCCTCAAAGTTCGGTATTTTCAGAATTACCAACTGTTCAACAATCATCAAATCCAAAATTTAATTATCAACAATCATTAATTGAATTTTTAAACTACCTAATTTCTAAATTTAGAGAATTTGAAGCTTATATAAATGAAAAATATATTTATTGGAGTCAGAAAAATTCATTGGTTTTAATTAATTTAACTAAAATTCATCAAGGTTTTAAGAATTTGATTTTTCATATACTTAAAAATCTATCAAAAGATTTAGAATTTCAATTTGATAATTTATTAAATTTTAACATTTTTCAAATTGTATATAATTCAAATGTGATTAATATTGGGAAATTAATTAATGAATATTTATTAATTAATGAGTTTAAATTTAATATATTATCATATTATTTTAAATTGAATTTTTTAATTGGTGAAGAGAAAGAAGCTAGAGATTATTTGGTTATTCCGATGGATATTTGGTTTAAATTACCTATGCATTTAAAGAAAATTAAGGATCATATTGTTGATTTAGATAGGAGTTATTTACAAGATTTAGAAATTAATTTAATTAAATTAAATTCAATCACTAATAAATTTACAGTTATTGATGATTTAAAGAAATTTAACAAATTGGAACATTGGAGTGATTTAAGTAAGGTTAATCAATTGATAAATTACAAGTTTCCTGAAATTTGTGGTGGGTATAATATTATTGAATTTTCAGAATTTAATATGAGACCATTATCAACTGCTAATGATATCAAATTGGAAAACAAAAAAGTTAAAGTTAAACAAGTAGATTATAGAGTTAAAAGAAGGGAAAGAGAAGAGAAGGAGAAAGGAAAGGAGAAGGAGAAAGAAAAGGAGAAGGAGAAAGAAAAGGAGAAAGAGAAAGAAAAGGAGAAAGAGAAAGAAGTTCAAAATCAATCTAGTGTTACTACTTCACCTAAATCAAAACCCGTTAATAATTCCACTCCACTTCCAAGATCTAAATCTTTCAAACGATCATTTTCAAAGTTAGTCAAACGTAGTAAATCAACAAGTGATGCAAAAGAAAAGGAGAAGCAAAAAGTAGAAGAAAAGATACCAATAAGACATCAATCATTACAAGAACCATTACCAATTAACATACCACAAGAACCACCGCATATAAAAGAAATACCATCGAATACATTACTTCAAGATAATTCACAATTTCAACATCAAATTAGTTCATTACAGACATATTATAAGAAATTAATTGAATTAGGTCCAAATTTGATATTCTTCCTTAAGATACAATCAAACTATTGCAAGTCAAGAATTTACCTAGCTTCAAGTTCAGATCAAGAAATAGTAAAACAATATTATTCCAAACTTATAAATCAATTAGAATTTACTAAAAATGTTATAATTCCACATATCACTGATAAATTGATAATACCAATCAAAGAATGCCTTAAATTGATCAAGAAAGATAAAGCAGATGCTCAAAATTTGAAAAAGTTCATGGAGTTAATATCTATTGAATTTAATCAATTATATATTAAATGGTTAGATGGAATCATTGGTTCAGATAATGTTATACAATTTGAAAAATTGTATAAATTGATGGGTGGTGAACATGATCTAATTCAATATTATAATCACTTGACAAAATTGAAGAGTTTAATAATGTAGACACTATTGAATATATATAATGTGAAAAATTCGCAACCGATTTTTAATATCTTGATTTCTCGAAATATACGACGTAAGATTTTGCAGCCAATTACGTTTTATAGGGTGAAAAGTAATCTAACAGGGTGTTATCTAATTAAAAGGAAATGCGGAAAAATTGTTAATTAATCAACGTGTGATTGCTGGGCCAATAAAAATAAGGCTAAAGCAACATTAGTTATTCATCTAAGATAACTTGATCTGAATTATAATTAGAAAGCAATTAATGGACTCTTGATCTTAAAGTCTTGTGATCTTGTGATCAAACGAAATTATAGTTATGTATAATGGGTTAGTTTAAACTTTATCAATAGTAGTTGAAATTTTTTCTGGGGGGGCTTTTTCGCTTAAAATGGGTGGGGGGTTTGAAAAATTCAAATCGAGCTAGAATAGGACGGAAGAATTTATGGGAATGGGCGGATCAGTACGAGAAATAATTCAAATATTGGCATCGCAATATGGTACCATAATTTAATGTAGTGTGAGTATTAATTATAATAATTGGAATTCATCGCATCATTATTTGCTGTTAAATTGCTATAATAATTAATGCTATTGAATTCATTTGAATACGTTATCAATAAGACTACTGATGAGTTGTCAATTGGATAATAAATTGATATGAACAATTAATCTTTAATTTAATTGTCTTGTGTTATTTAACTTTATTAGTATTTACCATAATTGGAAAACACCACTTAAAAATTAATTAATTACTCCCCAAGTGAAAATAATAAAATTGGTCGAGAGAGTGGTATGAAAATAAAGCGAGATGGACAAATCTCAATGCCAAAGTCGCGTTGGTGTGGTATTAATATTAGGTCGATTGCTATCATATATAATTTTTTTTTTTTTTTTTTTTTTTTTTCTATTATTTGCTTCAGTTATCAAATTTCGAAATTTTGTTCCCTTTTTTTTGAATTCATATAAATAGTTTTTTGTTGCCACATAAAAATTTTTTTATTCTTTTCCCAATAACTTAATAGATTCTACTCAATTGACTCCATCAGTAAAGTATGTCTTCAATTCCAACTGAACAATCATCCAATTATCAATCACAATTTCAATCAAGTGCTATTCCAACCGGATCTCAAGCGCAAGGTCAACATTCAACGACCACCAGTTCCACTCCTCATTCATCATCAACTACCAATAATGGTATTTCAACTTCAACTTCAACCGCTACTGGTGAAACTCCTTTAACTAATCAAATAAAACAAAACACTGATACTAATTCATTATGTAAATTATTATCTTGGAAAGATCCAATTGCAACTGGTAAAGTATTTGGTTCAATTGTTTTTAGTTTAATCATTTTTAAAACTGTTAATTTATTTAATATTTTTTTCCATTTAGCTTATATTGGTTTATTAATTTCTGCAGCTGCTGAATATTCAGGTAAATTAATTATTGGTAAAGGATTTCTTGAAAATTATAAACCAACCACAAAATCGTATGCTGAATGTTTCAACAAGAATGTTTTACCAAATTTAGCTCAATTTAATTTAGAAGCTGAATCAATTGGTAAAAAAATTATATATTCTCATGATATTGAAACTACTTTAAAAGCAGCTGGTATTTCATATATTTTATATAAATTAACTTCATGGGTTTCAATTTTTACATTAATTTCAATTTCAGTTATTTTAATTTTTACAATTCCGTTTATTTATACTACTTATAAAAAAGAAATTGATGCAAGTTTAGCTCAATTTTCAAAATGTGTTAAATCAAAAACTTCAGAATTAACTGAAAAAGCTCATAAAGCTGCTGGTCCACATTTGGATAATTTTATTAAAAAAACTGGTCCTGTTGGTCAATTTATTCAATCAAAATTCCCAACTAGAACTGCTAGTTCAACTGTAGGTGATTCAAAAGCTACTACTTATGGAAATGCAGCTGATAGATCAACAACTGCTAATCCTTCAACTTCATCAGCTCGTTCAACTGGTGCTCAACAATTTCCAAATGCTCCAACTTCGGGTTTCCATCCAACTACAGTTGAAGATGCTGTTCACAATGCAAATGATACTGATGATTTTGCTGATACTACTCAAGGTATTTAATCAAAGTATATATAATATTTATATATGATTTATTCAAAAGAAAATTGAAAGATCTATTCAATTAATATGATTACTCTGTTTATTTTAATATAATATATAGTCAATTAAAGTTGAATCCTCGAGATGCCCTTTTGTATTTTAATGAAAAAGTGAAACATTATGATCTTTATAAGCCCCGGGTTCGCGCTACCATAAATATGCCCTTAAAAAATGGCTGCAAAAAGATTACTCCTTTAAAAGATCATAGATTAAATTTTAAAATGAATGAATAAGATTAGACTGATGATTCAACCCACATACACTTTAGATTTATAACAGTTATTAAGTATCAATATGCTAATGGTTGGCAATATTTGCTCATAAATTTAGAATTCAACATATATGTAAAAAGAAAATTGTCTGCCAGAAATTGAAAAGTTAAATAAAAAAATAACTACTTGCATTCACAATTTACATTCTTCATACAGAAAAGTATCAATAGCTACCTTAAGAATTCCAACAAAATAAAAAAGCAAATATAAAATCACAAATCAAGAAACAAAAAATCCAATAAATCATGTAAGTACCAGCATTCCTTTGTTTTAACTTGTTTTTCTTCAAAATCAAACTTTGAATCTTCGTTACGTTCGGCTTCTTTTATTTGTTTTGATAATTCAAATTTGATATCGTCAAATGTAAAAAAGAGACTTTGAATATCCATAAACCTGAAAAACTAATTAAAGCAAATAAAGTAGCAGTATTAAATAAAAAGGCTTCTTTTGAAAAGTATTAATCGTAAGAATAACCCATGAATATGTTACAGGAAAAGAATTATTAATTTGTTACCTATTTTATAGTGATTTGAATATTCGTATGCGACGAATTATTATGACACGGGAGCTAACACACAACAAATAATTAGTAGTGTAATAGATTAGAGGGAGTCGAGATATGATTATTTATTACTCTATTCAGTATCATCTGGATTTGGTAATCTTTTATAACATGCAATCCATTTTGAACCATTATTTCTTTCAACTTTTTTACCTTCTTCAGTTGAATTATACATTATTTCAACACATTTATCTTGTTGTTCCCATTCTTTACTCAATCTCTCAAATAATGGATGTGAATCTAAATGTTTAACCATCCATAAATGTAAATCTTCAACATCAGTAATTGTATAAATAACACCACCTTCTTTTAAAATATATGCGTATTCACTCAACAAAGTATTTGTTATAATTCTAGCCTTGTGTTTTCTTTGTTTGAAATGTGGATCAGGAAAACAAAAGAACATTTTGGATAGCTGTCCCCTTTTGAAAAAATTTGGAAGAAATTTCATTGAATTACCTCTAAGAACCTGAATATTTCCATATTTATAATCTTTATCTTTATTCATTTGTCTTAATGCTAGTATTCTATCTTCTACATATTGTGTCACTTGTTGTCTAATTTCCATACCTAAAATTAGCGAATTTGGAAATTCTGGACCTAATTGAATCATTAATCCACCGTATCCACAACCAATATCAGCTATTTCAACTTGGTAATTTGGATAATTTTGTGGATATAATTGTTTCCAATCCATTGAATCTGAATTTATTGGATAATTTAATGCATGATCACTAAACGGATTTGAATGAGCTCTTTGTCTATAAAATCTTTTCTTTGGTAATGAAATTTCCAAATCGGATGGTGTTTCTGTATCTGGTGTTTCTATTTTCACTTGTTTTCTTGTTTCTTCCTTAGCATCTCGATATAATCTTCTTTTATTTGAATTATTAGACATGATGATTTAGATTAGATGCCATTTTTTTTTCTGAAACATTTGCAACTAAATAGATAATAAAGAAATAGATGAAAAGTTGCAGAAATGTAGATTGTGAGTTGCCTTGAAGCTATGAATTGTTATAGAGATAGGCTTTGGTCCAGCAGAATTGATTATGCTTCATTTAAAAGCTGTGAAGTAAAATGTATTCTAATCCATGACCTGATTTAACCAATAAATTGTCTTATTAAAACCTTTATACACTATTTACATTATTCTTGTTTCTCTATATCATCTTTTCTTTGATACATTGTTAAATATAACATTTGTGATGGTGTAGATAAAGTTTGTACTAAACCAGTACCACTTAACATAGTCAATAATCCTAATAATTGACCTTGTAAATTTTCCTTTGTTGGTAAATCTTTAAATTTATTTATATCATCAATATTCATTATATTATTTTCAATTCTACCACCAATTAATATTAATTTTTCATGGGCTGATTTCAATAATTTAATTAATGAAGTTATAATTTGAGGATTGGTTTCTTTTATTGAAATAATACAAGTTGGACCATTTAACAAAGGTAATAAAGGATGATCGACATTTTGATTTTTAAAACTGATACCTTTCTCAGCTGGATCTTTTTCAAATTGAGATTTTAAATAAGTTTTATAAATTGAATTATTTATATAATTTAATTTCCCACCAATTTTTGAAATTTCATGTCTAAATTTATCCGTATCTGGTTTATTTAAATTATTATGATGTAAAAATAACAAAATTTGATTTGAATCATTAAGATGTTTATAATAATCTATAAGATAAGTTTTTCTTGAAAATAAAGGTTTTTCAGTATTTCTTGCAAGGAAATCATGATGTTCTTGAGTGGTTGGTATAAATTCATTTAAATATCTTGTAGTAGTTGAAAATGATCTAATTGGACGATGTTGCCATATTCTTGAAATCATAGTATTAAACTGGCTTGGTAGTTTCAGATTTTAAAATTTTTCAATCGCATAAAAATTAAAAAACAGCGACTGGTGAAAATTGAAACAACTACAAGAAAAATACCAATGAATGTAGTTAAAGATTGAGTTGAGATGCTGAAGATGTTCAATGGGATCTTCTTTCGTTGGTTCTGCTCATCGTACGAGATCTGTCTTGTTGTAGACTGTTGCCAGCTTATTACTTCGATCTAGTCTCAAATTATACAGCTTCAACTGTATTTCAAGTTCTCTACAACGTCTATCTACATCTCTCTTCCCACTGCTATCCATCTGTCAAACGAAGCCTTAACAATGTATATACTGGTAAATTACTTCGTGTAAAATTGATTGATAATTTTACTCCTGAATTTTTTTACATTGGACACGAATTTTTTAAATCAAACTTATTTTTACAACACTTTTTCTTCTAATGAGTTAGACAAATATTTAGATGGCATCAGTTAATAGTAATAAAACTAAGAAAGATCCCGGTAAGAATGTATCTGATAGATTTGAAAGTGGTTTTTATCAATTTTTATCAACTTCTTTAAATCATAATGCTGCAACTCAAAAAGATCCGGATGATGATTTAACTATTGATCCAACTGATAATACAAAACAATTAAAAAGACCAAGAGATAGAGATTCAAAGTCAGAAGAGAATGATAATGTTGTTGCTAATGCAAAAAGATCTAAAAATAGTATTATTGATACCAATGTTTATCTGGTTTTCAATGAACCTAAATTTGATCAAGCATTACCAAAAACAATTGGATTTCTCGATATTCAAAAAATTGAACATGCAACTAAAAACCTTCAAAAAAGTGCAAATTTAATATTAAAATCATGTCCTGATTCTTTACAAATTGATAAAATGTTAAAGGATCAATCAATTGATCAGTCAACAAGAGTTGAATTAGAACAAAATAATTTAGTTTTATTAGCTTCAAAATTACAATCAAAAAATAAATTAGGTCAATTAGAATTATTTAAACAAATTATTGAAGATCAAATTACTATAACCAAAGAAGAAGAATTAAAATTAAAAGAAATTAATGAAAAAGATGGTGAAGTTCCAATTCAATTACCAAGTATTCCAAGAAATGAAATATTTGAAAAAGGTGTTGATGAATCATTACCAAAATTACCACAAATTCACAATTCAAAATTATATGAACGTGTTTTCATTCATAAATCAACTGTTAATTCAAAAACTCATTTAAATCCTTATGATTTAATAAATTCTCACAATGAAAGATTAGAATTTTATGGTGATTCAATTTTAAATAATTTAGTTACTTTAATTATATTTAAAGAATTTCCACATGCATCTGAAGGTCAATTATCAAGATATAGAGCTGATTTAATTAATAATAAAGTTTTGACTCAATTATCTATTAGATATGGTTTTGATAGAAAATTAAAAACAAGAATTAATGAAACTGCATTAAAAAATGGTGATCAAAAGATTTATGCTGATGTTTTTGAGGCTTACATCGGTGCTTTAGGTGTTGAAAGAGGTTTAAATTTACAAGAAATTATGCAATGGTTAGATAAATTATATCGTCCATTTATTGATGAATTTAAATCTGATTTTTCAAAAGAACCTATAAATAAAAATGCGAAAACTGAATTATATGCTTTAGTTGGTAGAGCTGATCTATATCCAATTTATGAAGTTATTGAAAAAGGTGATGGTATTAATAAAGATTTTAAAGTTGTTTGTAAAATTAATGGTGAAGTTTTAGGTATTGGTATGGGTACTAGTCAAGGAGAAGCTAGTCTTAGAGCTGCAATGATTGGTTTAAGAAATTCAGGTATATTAGAAAAATATCATGTTCAAAGAAGGACTATTGAAACTCCAGCCAGATTAGAAAGAATACAAAGACAAGAAGCAAAAAGATTAGAAAAAGAGAAAAAGAAAGAAGAACAAAGAAGAATGGAAGAAGCATTAAATTTACCACCACCATCACCAATTAGAACTTCATTATTCCCATTAAAAATTGATGATAATGTTGAAATTGATGTAAAAGCTAAAAATGATATTTATGCTGAAATTGGTAAAAAGACAGGTATATCTCCACAATATTCTGCTGTTAATGATGGTGATCAAATTCATGTTTCATTACATGTTAGAGGTATTTTAGTTGCTACAACTGTTGATACAAAAAAAAAGAGGGCACAAGCAATATTAGCCACTGTTTTAAAGCAAAATAAACGAGCTTTTAGAGAAGTATGTAAAAGATTTCCAAAGGAAGATGTTTATGAAAAGAAAGATGATGAAAAGAAAGACGACGGTGGAAAGAAAGATAATGAAGATGTTTCAATGGAAGATGTTGAAATGAAAGATGCTGAAAAGAATGAAGAAAAGAAAGAAGAAGAGAAGAAGAATGACGAAAAGAAAGATGAAACTGAAAAGAATGCTAATGAATCTTGATGTTTTTTATAAAGTGATTAATATATAATGCAAGTAATTAAAGTTGAAGCTTGAATTATCTCTCAAGGTCAAAGTAGTTGCAATTTAGAGGTTATATGTTTATTTGTTTAAAGCAAAATCCAATATATTAAACTATTTAAACCCTAAACACATTAAAAAATCATTAAAAAAATCCAAATCAAATTTATTCTTCTTCTTCTTCTTCGTCATCTTCAGCGACTGAGTAGAATTGCAATTGATATTGGTTTTGTTTAACAGCAACAAATCTAATCCAATCTCTAATTTGGTTTTTTTTCAAATATCTTTTAGTTAAATATTTTAAGTATTTACCTGAAAATTTGGTGTTTGAAACAACAACAACTTTGTTACCATCAGTTTCAACAGCAATGTCATCACCTAAGTTACCAACAGTGTTGTCAACTTTAATGTGTTCAACTAAGTATTTAACGTAACCTTCTTGGTCGAAAACACCATTTTCAACTGGAGCTGAACAATCAACAACAAATTTTTTAGCAGCTTTGCCTTTTTTTGAAACCTAAAGAAAAGAAAGTTAGCCTACCGCACTTAAATGTTCTCTATCTTATCATAAAGAAATAAGAAACATTTGACAGCAAAGCTTCCCCCATAAACGGGTTGAAACACTAGTCAAAAATTAAAATGATTTGAATGGTGATTAATCCCATACCCGATGCGTAAATGGGAAAGTTACTTCAAATGAACTACTATGATTGATAGTTCTTAATTATACATACAATTGGAGCCATTTTTAATAATATAGTTAGATGATAAATTAAATTATTTGATAATTTTAAATATAAATGGATGGTGAAAATTAATTTGTTTCAGATTTTTTAATCACGTGTTAATGTTGAGTTATAGGGCTGCAAACTAATATGCTACCAATTGGAATTTCGGAATTATATTATCTCCGAATTGGATGACTCTGAGTCAACTTTCGATTACTGCAAAATGATAAACAAGTCGCAGCCAATTAAATTGGAACCATAATAAGCATGAAACGTTATTTATCAAAAGCTATACCTAGATCTTCACAAGTAACATCTTCATCATCAATTAACTTCAATATTCCTACTACTACTCAAAACGTTGATTCAATTGATCCGTTACACTTAGCTTTAAATTCACCACCTCGATCAACATGGACTAAAGATCAAATTAAACAAATTTACAACACACCACTTATGGAATTAACTTTCCAAGCACAAGTTCAACATCGTAAATATCAACCTAAAAATGAAGTTCAATTATGTACTTTATTATCCATCAAAACTGGTGGTTGTACTGAAGATTGTAAATATTGTGCACAATCATCAAGACACGATACTGGTTTAAAAGCTGAGAAATTATTAAAAATAGATGAGGTGTTTGAAAAGGCTAAAATTTCAAAAGACAACGGATCTACTAGATTTTGTATGGGTGCTGCTTGGAGAGATATGACTGGTCGTAAATCAGGTCTTAAAAAAATTAGTGAAATGGTTGCAAAAATTAATAATGAATTAGGAATGGAAACTTGTGTTACTTTAGGTATGATTAATCAAGAACAAGCAAAAACTTTAAAAAATTCTGGATTAACTGCTTATAATCATAATATCGATACTTCAAGAGAACATTATCCAAATATAATTCTGACTCGTACATTTGACGACAGATTAGAAACTATAAAAAATGTTCAAAATGCAGGTATTAAAGCTTGTACTGGCGGTATTTTAGGACTTGGTGAAACTCCAGAAGATCATGTATCATTTTTGTATAGTTTAGCTACCATGGATCAACATCCAGAATCATTGCCAATTAATAAATTAATTACAATTAAAGGTACACCAATGGAAACAACTTTAAATGATTTACCAAAGGAAAAACATTTACAATTTGATCAAATTTTAAGAACAATTGCAACTGCAAGATTAATTATGCCAAAATCAATAATTAGATTAGCTGCTGGTAGGTATACCATGAAAGAATATGAACAATTTCTTTGTTTTATGAGTGGTTGTAATGCAATTTTCACTGGTGAGAAAATGTTAACTACCATGTGCAATGGTTGGGATGAAGATATTGCAATGTTGAAAAAATGGGGATTAAAACCAATGAAATCAAACACTTCTTGATATTGTATAATGTTCATAATATATGATAGATAATAGTATGGCTAATGCTATAAGTGTAAATAGTAGGATATATTCGTCTATTGTCATTAATGTATATAAAGAAAGTCCAAGATTAATATAAAAATGCTATATACATGGATAATGGTACAAAACTTAAATATGGGTATAGCATAATACCATCGTTGGTATTAGTTTTAGCAGGTTCAGTTTTGGTTGATTCCAGATCAGCAGGTTTAACTGTTTGATTAGCTATGGGTGCAATTGATAATGTATCTTCGTCTAGATTATACACTAAATATAAATTCTTTAATATATCAGAACCAAATATTACACCACCTATTATTGCTTCATCCATTATACCTAAATAACAAGCATCTTGATATTTTGTTATGAAAGTTGAAATTGGAATCTCTATTGTTGAATTATCAACATCAAATGTAAATGTTTGATCATAAGATTTACAATCAATTCTATAAGCATCTTCATCTTCATTGTAAACTCCATTTATTACTTTCCCTATTGCATCTATCCATTCTTTTGGTAATGTTGAAAATGTCGAACCAGTATCTATTATAGCATCAGTTGTATCAAAATTTTTATCACCAATTGAAAAGTTTGTAATATTAATTGATGCTCTATCGGTCATTGGTAATGTAGTTAATTCACCATCAAATTTAGAATCATCTATATCTCCAAATAAAACACTTCCTGAATCACCATCTAAATATATTGAATATATAGTTTCATTGATAATACCTTGATCTTTGAGTTTAGTTGGAAAATTATCATAATCTGCATTTTGACCAATTCCTAATATACCAATATCAATACTTGAAACATTTGCAATACCAAATCTTAAATTTCTAACTTGTGAAACATCATCAGAACCCCAATATCCCAAAGCAACCGATCCATCAGCATATCCGATAGAAAATTCTTCGTCTGTTAATTCAAAAGTTGTTGAATTTTCATAACTAAAAGTTCCATTATCTGAACAAGAATAACTTTCATCTAAATCATCGAAAATTTCAGGAATATCTGGAGATTCTAAAGTATGTAATTGATCAATTGTGAAACATTGAATATCTGAACCCATAACCCATAAATCAGAAGATCCAGTATCGATTGAAACATTGACTTTATCTTTATTCGAACCAATTTCTAACTGTGTAACATACACATTTTTCAAAGATTTGAAATTTAGCAACGACAGTTGATCTCGTTTATGCTTCTCTTTATTTTCAATAGTCTGTACTTTAAAATCTAATTTGAAACATTCTGTAAATATAGCAAATAGTAGATAAATGAAAAAGTTCATTATAGAAAGAACATTTTAAAATGTTGAAGAACGTGGAATGTATATATTTAGATATAAAATAGGTAATGTTACTTTGATTCCAGACTTAATCGCAGGCTATAATATTGCCAAATTGGGTTTAGTAATTGATAAAAACACACCCACTAATGCATGGCTTCAAACCGAGACTAGTTGTTGTGAAATTGATTGTTCCATGATAAACCGCAACAAACGCGAATCACACAACTTCTTTAAGTTGTATTCATTACATAATAATTTTCTTCTTCTTCTGTTGCAGATTTGAAAATAAATTTTGCGCTCATCAGATTTTAAAAAGCATGAGATTGAAACAACTTTGAATGGAGGTTTCAAGTACTAGTCTGCAAGCAGCGGTCTTAGTCCTTTAATCGTTTGTGAATACAGACCTGACTATTATGTAAATCTAGTTTTCAAAGTGTAAGACCTTTTAGACCCTCGTATTAAATGAAAACTCAAAAAAATTGATTTTAACCTCCACAAGATATTTCCAAAAATATATGGTCCGTAGCAGGATCGAACTGCTGATCTTGGCGTTATTAGCACCACGCCTTAACCAACTGGGCCAACAGACCAATACAACGGATATCAATGCCCGTATGGAAGCAGCCAAGCCATGTTAACTTAACTGAAATCGGAAAATAAGACGATGACCTCAACCAAAATTTTTGAATCGCGCGATCTACTTGCTAATACTCTACATTTTGACTTAGGTGTTGCTTTTAGTCGATCTACAGACTATTGTAATATATGCCAACAATCTCCAAGTACTTCAATGTTGATTTGAAGGCTCCAGAGTCATTTCTGCGTAAGTTATGTTTATTTGATTTTGGCATTAAAAATTTGTCAATCTTTGATTAAAAGCTTATTGTAACAGCCATTGTAGTTCAAAACAAGAGATTATATGGGTAATTTAATTAACTAGAAGTAACATCTGGCTCATCTATTTGAATTTAAACGTACGGTTTTGGCTCTAAGTTTTTTTTTTTTTTAATTGATTTTCTCCCAATTTTATCAAATATAATTGCTCCAATCAAATCGATGGAATTGCAGAATCTTAAAAGACATATCTCATCAGATGTAAAGACTTTGTAGCCACCTCAAGTGTTTCAATTGTTTGTAAATGCATTGATTTTGAGAGAAGTCTATGTTCTCTAGTTAATTCTACTTGTTGCATAAAAAATTGACTTTCAATATCCGCAACAGTATGAATGTCACTTATATTAAATACGTATTTTAGGAGACAAAACACCAATGAAACAAGTTACAAAGAATAAGCTAGCTGAAATGTAATTGTTTCATCATTAAACCAATATTCTTAAATGGTTGCAAATTTCAAGTATGCAAAAAAGCCTCTCGCTCAATTTAGTAATTGATAACCTACTAATTTGATATTAAACAAGCCAATAAAAAGAAATGAGATCATAACTAAGGATTTAAACAAATCTACTACCAAAACTTGACCCCAATAAGTCCGATAATATCATCACAAACCATAATGAATCAATAACCATGCTCAAAAATAGAATATGTCGGAGTTATCAAAACTTTAATATTCAATCGAATATGTCAGATCGATTGTTGTTTGTTTTGATTAACAAACTTTAATAGATCAAACGTATGGCAATCTATATCAAATCAAAACACAGAACAAAATTCCACTTTAACTTTGTTTGTTTCGAATGTTTTGATTTTGTAAATTTGCGATTAGTAAATCTGTGGGGTAATACATCTTAACACAGTTTACATTCATCATTTACATTTCTAATTAATGAAACAGAAATTAAAAAATCATCGAAGTGAACAGCATTGCTCTTATAATAATCTGTGTCGCATATTATTTACGAGTTTTATGTCATTACTTTACAGTACCCGATTAAATAATATTTCCATTATGTGGAGACCAACTATAATATTTTATTAACCAACTATAATATTTTATTATACTTAGATTATACACGCTTATTATAAACTCATGGAGTAATCTTATAATAATAAAAAGCGATAGACAAAAGAGTTAATTACCGTTTTTAATAATAAATATGTCTTTGAATTGAATATAATATACAAAGTAAATAAATAATAAAATTTCCATCATCTTCTAAATTTTCTTAACCTACTCTCCTTAATGAATTAAATAAATAAATAAACTTGAAAACTATATACTTTTGTGAATGCAAAAAAATGAATGTTTGTAATAAAACTTTATGTCTATATGAAGTTGAAATCTTGAAATGATCTAGTATAGTAACATTTTTATATCCAGTATGAAAAACATTTCTATAAATCATCTCTAATGACCTTTGGCTAATTTATATTATTGTATAATTTATGTTTAAATGAACAAAATACAATATTGAAATTATAATAACAATTATTGATAAACTCAATTATGACATCTGTGCATAATATCATGAGTAATACCAAATTCATTGCATAATATATAACATTATCTAACAAGCTAAAAACATTTTCAACATATGAAACAGCAGATTTATCTAACCTATTGAGACTACTATTCTTTTTGAAGTTATTGATTATTGGAGAAATGACTGACATAATTATAAAACAAACTGTAGAAAACTTGTAGTTGTTGTTGATGGTAGATTTATTTAATGGAAATATGGTTGTATATTTATATTACAAAATCATAAAACCGTTTCTAAAAAAAAAAAAAAAAAAAATTAAAAAAAAACAAAAATTTGAGGTTTTGATTATGTAAGGCTTCGGACTATTTTTACTAATTGTCAACAACAATCAACTTCCATACATTGCCATTCCATAATAAGGGAATTTAAGATTTGCACTTTTTTAAAAAGCTTATTGTTTCTTGTTTTGTTGCAACTGTATATATCATATGTTTTTAGAACTAGCAGTATAGTGTGAATGTAACATATCAAAGCGATACAACCTTATGAAATACTTTTATGAGTTGAAATTTCATTTTATTAATTTCCCCATCTTTTGAAAATTTTAGTTTATTTTGTTATTACTTTTTAAGTTTGCATTTATAATATTGTTCTTTAGTAAAATTTGTGCCCTGGGTGAAAGAATAGCGAAGCAAATAATTAATATGTAATGGAAGAAATGAATGGTTATATCATAATTCTACATATGGTTATTTAACTGGGATTCTCTTAACCTTATAAGGTTAGTAATATCAAGTTCATGATTGAATTAACCTTGAAATCGTCTGCATATAGTGTTTAAATTATTGTGTCATTAGATTTCGCTTATTAAATTTTGTGTCATCATTAGATGTCATAGAGTCGTGCAAATTGTGTCTATATTAAATAGGCTCATATTACCTGATTTGATAACGGCACATTTCCTAATTAAGCATGTTAGCCTAAATTTCATTTGTAAATTCAAATACTCCACTTTTCAATCTGAACTCTTCCATGTCACGAATCTTCTTGTTGCAATTACACCCATCTCATCAGATGACTATAATAATATTCGGCGATTGAACTAGTCATTACAATTATAATTTGCAAGTAGAGTTGGGAGATTGTAATTACAATCAATTGTCAATTTATCACAGGATCGCATAGATTTCAATGGATGGTTCTGGATTCAACTGCAAAATTAAGAGGTATTTTTACTTACAACAATATAATTTCTAAATTGTAGATCTCTTTATCCCTTAGATCAATTCTACCCTTATTACAAAAGACGTATTCAATCAATCTTCATTAAAGAATTTATGCTGTGAGTACTATTCTGCTTGATATATTTTCATCGATATCATGTACTAATCCTAGCAACGAGAGAGCTGATGGATCCTATAAAATTCTCTAAAGCTTAGATTGTATTGCAAATTTTTTGATGTTAATGTTAATTGTTTGTTCTTTTTAATCGTGAACGGTTCGCAGCACAATAAAAATCTTATTAAGCTTAGTTTTTTAGTTTTTCACCCTTTGTCTAAATAAATGGCTCATCGAAACATTGTTTAATATTATAAAATAACTTTAAATTAGTTCTTTTTTGATAGATAACCGTTTTTATTAATTAATTCTAGAATTGAGAAAGGATAGGTTAGCATATAGTTTATATGTAAATAACTCATATACGACCTTATTATTTGACGAATCTTTTGAAAAGAGATAAGTACTACATATTAGGAAGGCTTATAAATTGAGATTAGTAATTTCTTGATCGTCAAAAGACATCTACAAGTGAAATTAATTCGTTTGTGAAACTTCTCAACACTTCAATACTAACTGATAGTTTGATGAGACGAAAAAGTAGCATATACTTGCAACTGGTTAATTTTGTTGCAAATTATCTTCGAATCTCTAAAAAGCCTTTCTAGTATGTAGTTGTTTGCAGATGTCATTCGACATTTCTCAAATTGGTCTCGAATAGCCGTAATTAGAACGATTCATATTGGTAAAATAGACTAGGGCGTAGACCTCACTTTATATTCAGTATTTGTAGATTATAAATTTGCTGCAAATTCAAAGTTTTTTGTTTATTTTTATTTTTTGGTTGCAAAAAAATATCAATATAGACTATATCTTGCTATGAAATAGAATTTGAAACATGAAACGTGATTTGATTAAGCTCTTGTATAATGTAAGCATCCGTGTTTTATTGTATAATGGTTTTCTTACTTTTGAAACTCAAAAGCAATGTGGTAAAATGGTTTTTAAGTCTCAATTAGAATTAAGACTCCTCCACCATTCGAATAAAGACTAGTTTAAAAGTGTACTTGAATAGTGTGAAAAGATCATTTTTGCGGCACAATACGGACAAAGGTGATGAATAATTGAGGTTAATGGCAAAATTGTAAAGACACAGAGATAACATAAGTATACATTCATAAAATCTGTTTTTTAATATTTCAAGCACATAAACAATATAACTTCACAACTTTTCCAATCAGATAACCTAAAAGGCAAGCAAATAATATTCCTCCAAGTAAAATAGGAATCAAACTCGAAATTATATTTCTGGTAACCTCTGTTCGTTTGTCATCTATATTCAAAGCAGTATTTCTTGTAACTTCAGCTCGCGTTTCGTCTAAATTCACAGTAATATTTTGAGTAGCTTCTCTTAATTTATTGTCTTCGATTTCGAATTCGGTACTGTCAAAAAATTTAGCAGCTTTAATTTGTAATGTTAATAATTCAACTTCAATTGTCAAGTTTAATAATTTCCATGCACTGAAAATTCCTCCACAAGCAAATAAGCACTGACAAATCCAAATAATAAATAGAACATTTTCTTTTGTTAAATTGAAATTGTAAAAAGTTTCCATAATCATATTGATATTAATGAAAAGTGTTGCCAATTTTGTAATTTCATTCTGTGGAAATTGAATTTTACGCGACACCCTAATTTGATATGAATACCAAAATTGGCATTAAAAAATTCATATTAAAGTAGAACAAAAACAGATATACAAAAGTTTAACATATATTTTGTAACAATAAGTACTTAATATTTAGGATTGTAACGGCTGTCTATTATTGATTGAGAACTTTACAATTTTGTAAACCAGCAACTTGATGGTGCGATTCTCATGCCCCAAAGTTAATTTTGCAAGGTCATCTTGGGCAAAAAATTTGAAGTTAGCGCGAGTGCTGGCATTAAATTTTCGCACTAAATTTTAACTTGAATATTTTAGAACCAAAAAGGTTTATTCTCGATTGTTGCACTAAAAAATGGTTACGGAGATAAATATGCGTAGTAATTTTGAAACAAATCTCTACTTATATGCAGTTTATGATTGTTAATCTTAAAACTTAATTTACAAATAACTCCCTCAATTTTGAGGTTGTAATTGTCAAAACATTTTTATTAAGACTCTAGCAAATACAGATTAAACTGATGCTAACGTCTTCAGGCAAGACTTGATCTTGATCTATTTATTACTCTTTTAAAAATTGGGAAGAAACGTTAATTTTGAAGATACCTAAACATAGACCACATTTTCCAAATTCGAAAACAGCTGATTCGGTTTGTTTAATCCCAAAAAAACTTTACAAGTATTTTTCAAGACCATGTAATGATTTTGAATTTTTTTCAAAAATTTCGAACCATTGTTGAAAAATTACATTTCTAATCTTAAGGACCTTAACACAAAAATAGTTAAGATATATTTGTGTACAAGAACTACAAAATTGAAAAGTTCATTATACTGTCATCATAAATTTAGTTGTGGAGACATGTTTTTCGTAAGGTCAATTTATTCAATTTTCCTCGTACTTAAGAGAAAATTTTTAAATCTCTCAATTTCTCATTTTCTGTCTAGGTCAATTAAAATTAGTTTTAACACCTTCTTTTGATGTATAATATATATAATTCGTTGTTTATTTAAAAGTACTGGCCGTATACAAAATGAGCTATGCGTTTTCAGTTTTAGCAAATTTTTTAAATGATGAAAAAAGCCCCAAAACGACAACTCGAAAAAGAAAATGTTTGAAATCTAAAATTTTAGATATGTACAGTATATATTTCAAGGCTCCTGATTTTATTTAACTAGTTTCTATTTCTCTAAAATGCGTTATTCATGACTTATAAGCCAATATATGTAATAAAACGTCGCCCTAAACCTAATGCAAGAAGATATTTTGTTGCACCAAATAATCACATCGAAAAATTACTTGGGTTTTATTATTGGAAGCTTGTTAGCATCGTTCCATCAAACCCTAATTTGCAATAACTAAGGTTCTTACTACTTAAAAAAATATGTTCGGATTTACACAAGACTACTTACATGTCTTGCAAGACTCTGCATACTTGTTTAGTGTGATTGACATACAATAGGCTTACAGCATATTTTGTCACCAATTCTCGCCCGAATCTGCTGCCCAGCACAATTTTCATCACGGGATAGCTTAGGGCGATGTGGTACCAACTCTTTGGCCAAGTTGAAATTTTTGATGGTTCGCTTTTCAGGTGGATTTCCCATCTAAAAAAAAACTTTAGATCAAATGCAAGGAAAAGACTTAAATATTCATGTTGCTGTACTCAATATGAGTATTTATTGTATGTGCAGCTTAAGCTCAATTTGGTTGTGTAAGAAGTTATTGCAAAAAATAAGCCAATAATTTTGTTGGTGGGTAAATAGGTAGATTATCAAAATTTAGGTAAGGCGACCAAAATTGATTGTATGTATCGAAAAAAATATTTTCAACAACATCCAGAGATAAGACTAGCTTGATTGAGTAGACAGGATTGAACTGATTAAAGTTTAGTTAGGAAGTATATGCTTAAATTTGTTGAGTAAGAAGTTATTCTACTTTGAAGATAAATTTAACTATGGGGTCGATTTAGAAAATTAACTACTGGGTAAATTTAAATTAACTATGTAGTTTGTACAAAAAAATTTACTATTTTTACCTGGAGCTGAATGTTGTTCAACAGAAGACGGAAAAATTAACTTTTGAAACATCGAGAGAAATGATGTGGTTCTTCGTTAAGACTGATTCAAACTGAAAACTTTTTATATTAACGAACTTTGCTTAACTCCATCGTGGAAATGGTTGTATTGGTTTTTCTGCAATAAATCATAGGAGGAAATGTTTCGACTTTTGATATTCTAAGAATGTGATAATTTATGACAACGTAGCAACTCTCAGGACATACCGTATGCCCAGTTGAGATAAAGTAAGTACTATTTGTATTACGTATGAAGACTGAATTGCACCACAGAACAAGTTATAGCTCAAAATGTAGTTTTAATGCCACTGGTGGCTAATGATGAAATTATAAGCATAATGGTCACAATTTGAATCATTGACACGAACAGAAACTCAACTTTGTTTTTGCTTTAACAGTTTTATGATTGTCGCCTGTTGTACTTTTAGTAATTTGATTTGAATTTACTAGCCATTTTTGTGTAATTGATCCGCTTAACTATTTATCTGTTTGTTCACCCTTTTCAACTTTTGCAAGTTTGTACTGAACAAAATTGGCCCCGTCTAAAAATTTCTTTTTGAAAACATCTGAGTGTCCAATTATTATAGTCTAATTTTTCGAGATTAATGAAATAAGTTTTGTATGAGATGTCTAAGCTCAATTTTTTTGTAGAAAAAGTTATGGGCTAATTCACAGCTAATTTCATATATACTTAATTGATTTACGCTACCTATTTGTTTACATTTGCAAAAACAGGATGCATATAGATAGAGTAGAGCTCAGATCGGAAATTAAATGTTTCAATTTTTAAATGAAGAATTACGTGTTCAAAATTATAGTTCTACTCAAAATAGTAAAATCTACTCACCACAAAACTCATACATATTTAGAGGTATCAAGTTTGGTATTAACAACTTCAATACTGTGGGAGATATTTACAAATTAAATTATTAAAGGTAAAATATGAAGAGACTGCATAAGTCACGTTTGTTTCAGATTTTTTTTTAAAAAGTACGCATTTTTCAAAGCGACTACTTCGCTCTACCACAATTTTTTCTCGCGCTAGATTTAGGGCGACTAGTACTGCAACGATTGGCTTATATCTCTTGTTCAACTTAATCTCACGAGATTTACATCAGTTTTATAAGTTTGGAAGCCATGAATTATATATATTACATATATCAATCTCCACAATTTAAACATTTTTTTTTCGAGTTGTCATTTTGGGCTTATTTCATCATACAAAAATTCTGACGAAAGAGTGAATTTCATGTATCTCGTTATTTAGCATCACAACTTTCAAGAAAACAACTGAATGTATATATTAAGCTCCAATCTAATGTATCTGACTCAATTCCAGAAGTTCTAGTATTGAAAAAATCTTAAAATTTTCTCTTAAGTATGGCAAAAATTAAATAAATTGTCCTTTAAAAAATCTAACTCCACAACCAAAACTCACAATAAACTATCATAAAACTACCCAATTTTGTAGTTCATGCTTATGATATGCTTCAGATTTTTTTGTGTTAAGATATTCTAAATTCAAAAAGTAATTTTTCATAAATGAAAATTTTCAAAAAAAAAACAAAATCAATATGACGTCTCGAAATTTTTATAGAAAGATTCTTTGGGGTGGAATAAGCCCAAATCAGCTATAATGGAAGTTGCTAAATGATGCCGAAGTGTTGATTATCTTGGAATTTAAAGTATTTTTCCATTTTTTAAAAGATGAATAAAGTCGTCAAATTTACGGAAAGCAGTATCATTTAATTCTAAATTAAATAACCAACGTAATGAGCTTGTTTTGAGAAACAAAACTCTAATATTGATGAAGTTATTCACAATTTAAGTTTTAAGATTTACTCCTACATGACTGCATATAAGCCAAGAACAATAATTTCAAATTTGTTATACGAGCCATAATTAAGTCGATGTGGTACTGGAATACAGCCGGATAATTTTTAGACAAGGCGATAGCTGGGGCCACAGCTCTTGTTAAGTTTAATTTTCAATCAATTATTAATCATTCTTAATACGAAGGATTTTATTCAAGTGATCCCATAAAACCTATATATCCTCCGTATTTGCTCTTACTTCATCCTAAAAATTTTTGAATCACATCTCTAAATTTGGTAGCTTCGATCAATTTTTCATCCAACATTCAGATTAAAACAACTACAAGGACCTTGATCAAATAAATAATTATGCATTAGTCTATGAATATTAAATTCTATTTTACTTTTTTAATTCTGATTTAACCCATCCTTCTAAACCACCTTTAACTATGATGTCTTGTAAATTAGTACCTAATTCACCAACTTTTTGACTTAAAACAACATTTCCATCACTATCTTTAACTTCAACGGTTGCTTTAGTAACATCCCATTTTAAAATCCAACCAGTTCGAATTGTTAATTCATCAGAACCTTTATGTTTTTCTCTCAATTTATTAATTAAATTTGGAATTTCCAATGTAAGCAATGCATTATTAATTGAGTTTCTACTGAAAATATTACCAAATGATCCTGCAACTACTAAATTAATACCTCTTGCTAATATACAAGTAGCTGCTTGTTCTCTACTTGAACCAGTACCAAAATTATAACCACTTATTATTATATCACCTGGTTTTGTTTTTGAATAAAATTGTGAATCATAATTTTCCATACAAACTTGAGCCATTTTTTCTTTAGGTATATCGTCTTGATAAGTATATTTACCTGGATAAATACCATCAGTATTAATATTATCAGCATCACAAAGTATCAATTCACCTTCTATAGATTGGGGGAAACCTTGTAAAACTTCAACTGAACCTGATGCAGTTTCTTTTGGTGGTTCATTAATTTTTATAGATTTAACAATTTCAGGTGATTCTTTAGTTTGTCCATTTTTAACTTCTTCTGGTGAACCAATTTTACCTAATATAGCACTTGCAGCAACAACTTCAGGAGAAGCTAAATAAGCTAAAGCATCTTTTGAACCCATTCTACCTTTGAAATTTCGATTTGTTGCTGAAATACCAACTTCACCATCTTTCAATAAACCAGTACCTAAACCAATACATGGTCCGCACCCAGCAGGTAATGGTTTTGCACCAGCATCTATTATATCTTGCCAAGCACCTGTTTGTTCAGCATCTTTTTGAACTACATTTGAAGCAGCAGCAACGTAAAACTCAACATTTGGATGAACTTTTTTACCTTTAATTATATTTGCAGCTGCTTGAATATCAGATAATCTTGAATTTGTACAACTTACTAAATAAGCTTTATTTATGGAAATATTTTGTTTAGATAAATCACTTAATGGATTGGATATTTTAACCGAATTTGGTCCTGAAATGAATGGAGATAATGATGATAAATCGATAGTTAAATGTTTTGCATAAACTGCATCTGAATCAGATTCAATTTGCTTTAAGTTACTTATTGTTTCTTTATTTATTCTTGCATGTGAATCACCAATTTTTTCAAGTCTATCTTTATAAAATTTAATCAATTTTTCATCAATAGGGAATACACCACTCAATGCCCCCCATTCAGTTGTCATATTTGCAATTGTTAATCTATAATCAATTGATAAATCATTTATGCCTTCACCTACAAATTCAATAGCATGATTTAAAACTTCATCATTATTAAAAATACCACATAATGTAACAATTATATCTTTACCAGTAACACCTTTTGGTAAATTACCAATTAATTCAACTTTTGCAACAGGTGGAATTTGCCACCATGTTTGACCAGTGGCCCATATTGAAGCTGCATCAGTTCTAACTATTGGTGTACCTAATGAACCAATACCACCATAAGTATTTGAATGAGAATCTGAAGCAACAGTTAAATTTGATGGGAATGCATAACCTTCTTCAATCATAATTTGATGACCAATACCTCTACCAGCAGGATAAAAATCAATACCTTGTTCTTTTGCAAAGTTTTCAATATTTCTATATTTAGTCAAATTCTTTTCAGTTTTATTTTGAACATCATGATCTAATGTACACACTATTTGTTTATTATCTTTAACTTTTGAAGCACCTAATCCCATAAATTTAGTTGCAACAGGCCAGGAATTATCATGAGACATACAATATGATGGTTTAATAGTTACATAATCTCCACTGTAAACTTTTTTACCAGCAGGTAAATTTACAGCATATTTTTGTACAATTTTTTCAGTCAAATTTTGTCCACGGAAATGAACTCTTGTAGATGTGAAACCTCTTCTAAATCGTAACATCTTGGAATGAATGTTTAAATAATTTACTTATTGGGTTGGTGATGATAATTTTTCACTTTTATCTAAGCGCGTCCTGTATATTACTTAAAGCGATAAAGGCTAAAAAAAATAGCCTTTGATTAATGAGTCAGAAGTTTTGTTAGCAAAATCATTGGTTGACTGAAGAATGCTACCAGTTTCATATATTGTAACTGACTGAGATCGAAATCGAACGAATGTGATGACACCTATTGCTCTAATTTCCTAAATTTAATTCTTCGAAATGTTAAGCTATTCCAATGCATGATATTATTGATTACGGAATGAATGAATACGATTAGTAGATTGCTCATTAGATAGTACTAATCACAGCTCGTATATAACTCGATTAGTCGAAATTGCAATTCTTCATTCTTGCACTTCTCTACTTTCTTGGATCAATTTTAACAAACATCTAAAGCCAAAATACCGGTTTTGTACAGTGAAAGAAACTGGTTCATTTTGTCTTTGATATCACAGTAGAGATGAAGCTTAGAATCTTGTTCGTTTCGTAATGATGACGATGATGGGGGAAACTAATTTTCAATAAAACGTAATGTAAGCACTTACATGAGCTCATTCATTTCTTGCCATAGTCATTATTGGAATATTTGAAGATTTGGTTTACTAATGGCTGCCTTCAATAAGTAATATGTAGTATCTCTAGAAACTATTTTGATAATTCGCTTTGCCTTAATCTTAATGGTTATGAGATTATTCAATTTTTATCAATTCAAAGCCCACAGCTTAATTCAAAACAGCTCAAGCTCCATTTACTTTATAGACGAATCACTACATGCTTTATTCTACTCATCAAACCTTACATTCAGCTGTTGTAGCATTTTTTAATTATTTTGCAACATAATACACATGGTAGCATCTTTATAAGATGACACAAATGGTAAATTAATCTTTGGAATGCCGTTTTATGATTTTGCATCTTAAATTTAAGATGAAGAAGTCACAAATTTTCACCTTATCAATTATTCATTTTTCAGTTTAATATTTGAAAAATTTCAGTTATGTCTAAGATAAAAAATGACGAGCATACTGATGATATACCCTTAACTTCAGATTCATCACCATACCCTTCGCAACCGTTATCAAATGTTAATAAAAAATGGCAAAATTTTAAAGATTCATTTAAACCAGCATTACTATCTCAAGAAGAAATGATTGAATATTATGATGCAGATAAAGAATTAACAGATATACAAAAAATTAACATAAGAACTTCAAAAACGCAATTGCATCGAAAGTTGAAAAATAGACATTTACAAATGATTGCAATAGCTTCTTCAATAGGTAGTGGATTGCTTATTGGTACAGGTTCAGCATTAGCTACTGGTGGTCCCGCCGGGATTATGATTGGTTGGTTCATTTCTGGAATTTCTGTTTTATGTACTATTCAAGCTATGGCTGAACTAGCAGTAACATTTCCAATAAGTGGGTCCTTTAATGTTTATGCAAGTAGATTTATTGATCCAAGTATAGGTTTTGCAGTTGCATGGAATTATTTTTTACAATATTTAGTTTTATTGCCTTTAGAATTAGTTGCTGCATCAATGACTATACAATATTGGAATACAAGTATAAATCCTGATGTTTGGGTGCTAATTTTCTACATTGTTGTGGTTCTGATCAACGGATTTGGTGTTAGATTATATGGTGAAGTAGAATTTGTATTGAGTTCTTTGAAAGTTTTGGCAATTGTTGGATTTATAATTGTTTCAATTGTTTTAGCTGCTGGAGGAGGTCCAACTGGAGTAAGACATGGAGCTGAATTTTGGTATAATCCAGGACCATTTGCAAATGGATTCAAAGGTGTTGCAAGGTAAGTTAAAGTAATAGTTTTTATGAATTTTACTAACTTTTAGTATTTTGATAACAGCTGCTTTTTCATTTGCAGGTACAGAATTGGTTGGTTTGACAGCTGCAGAAGCGGATAATGTGAGAAAATCACTTCCCAAAGCTACACGTCAAGTTTTTTGGAGAATTTTGATGTTTTATATGGTCAGTTTAACATTAATTACATTTTTAGTTCCTTATAATAATAAAAAATTATTAGGTTCATCAGATGTTTCAGCATCACCATTTGTCATAGCTATTAAAGAAGGTGGAATTAATGGATTACCTTCAGTTATGAATGCTGTTATATTAATTTCTGTCATTTCAGTTGGTTCATCATCTGTTTATGCAACTAGTCGTACATTAGTTGCTTTATCTGACCAAGGTTTAGCTCCAAAGATTTGTGGATATATAGATAGAGCAGGTAGACCTTTAGTTGCAATTATGATTACAAATGTATTTGGATTACTAAGTTTTATTGCTGCAAGTAATAAACAAGATGAAATTTTTAGTTGGTTATTATCTATATCTGGTTTATCATCAGTATTTACATGGTTATCTATATGTATTGCACATTTAAGGTTTAGAAGGGCATTAACGTTTAATGGTAGAACTACTGATGAATTATCATTTTCAAGTCAAACTGGTATAATTGGTTCTTGGTATTCTATAATCATAAATTTATTAGTTTTGATTGCTGAATTTTGGTTGGCTATATTTCCATTAGGTAAGGAACCAAATGCAAAATCATTTTTTGAAGAATATCTTGGATTTGTCATATTGATTAAATTTTATATTGGTCATAAAATTTGGAGAAAGAATTGGATACTATTTATTAGAGCAAAAGATATAAATATAGATACCGGCAGAAGAGAAACAGATTTAGAAGCATTAAAGAAGGAACTAGAAGAGGAGAGGTTTCAATTACGAAATAAACCTTGGTATTATAGATTGTATAATTTTTGGTGTTAAAAAAATATATATAATGCATTTGGTAGCATCCGAAACCAAATTTTATCTCTATAGTTTTATGTCAACTCATCATCCAAATTTTGGATCTTCTGGGTTAGGCAGTGTTTTCAAATCGTTAACAAAGTCGTTCAAACCCTCTTCACTGAAAAATGTACCTGTATCAATAAATCCAACCGTTGTAGGCGGTAGTGAAGATTTACAAATTATAATTAAACATTTACAAACAACGACGTCCCAATCAAATAGAATTGAATTATTAATTAAATTAACTGAACAGATTGAAAATTATTCCATTAGTTCAATTCAAGAAATTTGGTATACTGTTAGACCATATTGTAAGTCACAATCAAGTCAAATTAGAACGCAGGGCTTAAAACTATGTATTGCATGTATTTCAAAAGATGATAATTCTGTAGGTACAAGAGTTAGGTACTTCAATGATTTATATGATTTTAATCAGTCTAGAGGAAACCAATTGGATTCAAATTTTAACTTGATAATGAAGGGGATCAATTTGTTGACTAATAATGGTAGAGATATTCATGATTATTTGATATATGATGATAAGAAAGATTTATGTAAATTCATTGCAGATAATTTAAAGATTGTACAGATACTATCGTCAAGAGAGGATAAGAATTCGCAGAATTGTATTGATTTTTTAGTATTTATTAGAAATTGTTTGAAATTTAACTATACCGTGGTGAGTGAAGATTCTCTAACTTCGATATTGAATAGACTAGTGCAATTTAAAAGTAAAAATAAACAAGTTTTGACTTCATTATTAGAAATTTTTGATGCTGTTGCGGTATTTGGTCATGTTCCAATTGATATAACACCTAAATTAATCACATTCATTGCAGAAATTTATGGAACAAGTATTGATGCTGATATAAATTCAGCAATTATAAAGAGTATAGATGACATATGCATTGAAGAGAATTGTGAAGTTATAATATTCACCCTTTGTGATAATATTTCAAATCCAGATGTAAAGATTGAGAAATATACCAATGCATGTATTGGCTCAATCAAACTACTTAAGATTATTATAGTCAAAAATGCAATTGAGAATAAATTCAAGATGGAATTTGCTTATTTCAGAGTTGTAAAAAGTTTAAAAGCAGTGCTATCGTTCAATATTCCAATTATAAACAGTAGTTATATTGATTGTTTAGATAAATTATTAGCTAAAGATTCTTATCAGGATAATTTTGGTATGACACTTCATGATTCAATTGATAAAGTTATTCCATTTCAAATATGGTACTCAAATACAAACTCAATGTATGATGTTCTCAGCTTACTTAAAATTAATAATGAACAAGATAAGAATAGATTTCAGAGTATATGTTTATCCCTACAACAATTATATGAAAATCATGAACTACAAACGCCAAAGGATAAACTCATCAACTTCTTCATCAATTTCAATCAATATATAACTAGAGAAAATATGTTATTTGTGTTGCAATATTATGATGATGAAAAATTATGCACAATGTTGAATCCATTGTATAAAGAAGAATCAATAAAGTTGTTAAATTATTTTTATTATGATAATACTAATCCAGAAGTCAAAGTGAAATGTTTGGAAGTTATACTAAATGGTTATGAAATATCCAAAACTATATTTAATGATGTTAGTTCTGATTTGATACTAGATATTTTCAAGAAATCAGTTAAAGAATCAAATGAAGAAGTGTTGGACTTCCTTATATACAAAATGTTTTGCAATTTTTTAACTAACTGTGATTCAAAAATATTTCAAAATTTGACAAACTTTTTATTACCATTAGTCAATGAAACACAATCAACTGATGCTTTAATTGCTAGAAGTTTTGTAAGTTCGGTATCATCATCAAATTCATCAAAAGGATATCTTGAAAAAATTACAAAAGCGATTTGTACAACATTTATAAAATCAAATGCAAGGAGATCATTTGAATGTTTTGAGATTTTAATTGAAATTGCTAAACGAACTCAATCTGGTGAAATATTATTAATTATATCAAAGTGCTTAATTAGGATACGAACAACAAGTGAATTTTACATTTACATAACCCAACCATTTGATATGATTGGTTTAGCGTCGGCTTTTAAAAGAGATAATAAAATTGTTGCTGGTCAACAATGGACATATCCAGAAACTGTTGATTACTTACCAGAGACCTATTATAACAAACCAAATAAGAATTTACTATTGTTAGTCGGTGAGCCTGATTTTGACAAAAACTATATTGATATTAAAAAATGGTTTAGCTTAGTCTTGACAATTATGAAGAATTTTGTAGCTTGGGAAGTTTACTCATATGTATGGGCCCATTTCTGTGCACAATTATCAAACATGACTATATTTAATCATTGTAATGAAGAAATTATTAATTTGAAAAATATTGTATGTGATCAATTAACTTTAAAATTACCTTCCAATTTGAATTTTCAAGATTCAGAATTAACTAAAAGTGATTTACAAGTTGCTTTTGTTCGTAGTTTTTCAGCATTAATGGGATATCATGATAAATTTTCAAAATCAGATGAAGATCAAATTATAAATAGTTTAATATTTGGATTAAATTCATGGGAGAAAACATCAATACCCTGTTTGAATATTTTAACAATTTGTTGCTATGAAATTCCATTAAGTGTAAAGAAATATCTATCATTAATTTTGACAAATCTACAAACTAAGGTCACTAGTGCAAATGCGAGTACTCATACATTGGAATTTTTAATGTCATTAGTCAACTTACCCGTTTTGACTTCAAATTTTACAATGGAAGAATTTAAAAGAGTGTTTGGTATTGCATTTAAATATATTCAATTTTCAATTGATTTGGAAACTAGAAATTTAAGTCCAGTGAATACTATTCAGCAACATGGTGTTGATGCAACAGTTGAACAAACTCCATCTACTCAATCATCAGGTATATCTCCAATATTATCACAATATATTATGAAACTATCATATAATGTTATATCACATTGGTTTTTGAAAATTAATATGAATGATCGTAAAATTATAAGTTCATTTTTGATAAAGAACTTGATTTCAATTAATGAACGCTCATCTTTATTATCTGATCAAACTATTGGATTTTTAGACTTCATTACAAAATTTACATATAGTGATTTACCATTAAAGATTATAAATTCAACAATACAAAAACAAAATGAAAATACAACTATTAATAAATGGGTAATTGCTGATTCGATAGTTTCAATTGAATCTGATTTATATTCTGCTGATACTGATATATTAATTAGAAAACCAACTGGTGTAAGTAGATTAGTTGTACAATTAGATCATCAAGAACAACTGGATTCATCAATTGTAATTAGTCCAAATTACTTTTTATTACAATTATTTGATTGTAAGACGAAGCCAATACCTATAATTGAAGATCAAATAGTATCTCGAGCATTAAATGTACTTGATAGAATTCCAAGTGTTGAATTTCATAAAATTGGTATTGTCTATATTGGGAAAAATCAAACTAATGAAAACGAAGTCTTGAATAATAAAGTTGGTTCTTCAGAATATCAAAATTTCTTGAATAATATTGGAGATTTAGTCAAATTGAAAAACAACAAAGAAATATACTTAGGTGGATTAGATAATGAGCGTGATATAGATGGAGAGTATTCAAGATTTTGGAGGGATAAAACAACACAAGTGATTTTCCACGTAACTACAATGATGAATAATCCAAATTTAATAAAAGAAGATGCTGATTCACAAAGAACATTAGATTTAAAGAAACGTCATATTGGTAATAATTATGTTAATATATTTTTTGATGAATCTGGTGAACAAGATTTTAATTTCAATTTAATAAAGAGTCAATTCAATTTCTTATCAGTTGTAATTAAACCACATACAAAAACTGAAGAATTAACAATACCGTCAAATTCTCAAAAGAAGTTTTTTAAAGTTAAAACTTACAGAAGATCCGGAGTTCCTGCAATTTTAGCAACTTGTCATTTTAAAATAGTATCCCTTGATCAATTACCTAATGTGATTAGAAATTTAGTTATATTAGCAAGTGAATTTGCAAATGTTTGGCATTCAAATAATTTATCAGGTAAATTTATTTCAAATTGGGCTCAACGAGTTAAACAATTGAAAATATTAAAGAATAAAAGTTTGGAAAATTATAAAAATTTACAAAATGAAGAAGAAAATAATTACAAAGCAGATAAAGATAAGATTAATAGTGGTAACGTTATAACACAATCATTTTTTGAACAATTGAATGAAAATTCAAATTTGAATCTAAACACCAATTCATATAATGATAGGAAATTGAATGATTATAAATTTGAATTTTTGAATGATAAAAATGAAGATGCAAAATTGTTTGAATTATACAAAACAATCGAATTCAATAGTTATACTTCTTAAATAGCTTAATATATTGTGATGTTAATTCTAATACAGATACGTATAGAAAAACTCCGTCCGATCTAAAATTTCCCAAGCAAGCGAGTTACAACCTTGACATCACTCAAGTTAACCTCTAGTACTATGTTCACGTGCAAAAGCAAATAAAATATCATAATTGTAAAAGGATTCCAGTCAAAGAAAAAACGGCCGAATCAAGATTTTGCTCTACGAATAATATTTTTAATGCCAAATTTAAACGAATAATATTTTTAATGCCAAATTTAAACCATAAATCTAAAACGAGACCGGAAGAAAAAAACCGTTATTTTTGACTTCTAACACCGCCATCATGTCAAGCAAAAAGTAGTATAAAACAAACAGAGTAAAGACCAAAAAAAAACGTGTTAAATCAACAAATTATCAACGCAAAATCGTAAATGTTTGGCTTGTTATTTTTCTTTTATATATCTATTTTAACTATAAGAACATTTATTATAATAAGCAATTTGAAGTATAGCTTTTGTTTTGCGAGTGATGCCGTACCTATTAATGTAGTTTCGACGTTTCTATATGTAAAACTCCTTACTCAAATCGACGTGTGCATCGATAAATAATTAATAAATCACGTCCAAGGTTATTACTAACCCTTTGAACACCAGGCTTTGGTTTTGTATAAAACAGCCACAGTTAATACATTCAAATCTCGATTAAACGATAATGTAGATGTTTATCCTAAAAACGAGAATTAAATCCGAATTTCGATAAATTCTTACAATTCTCATAACCATTAAGAAATAAAATGTTTCAATATTCCATCAACGATTATACTTAATTATTATTTTGAGATCTCCAATCATAATTATAATTAGAAAGAGAGTGATAACTATTATCATTACTACTAATTTCTAATATATTGCACCAATTTCATATAAGAGAATTATAATATAACCGAAAATTTACATTATTAGCAAGAAGAAAATAAGAATTAAAAAAAGAAAATAAAAAATAAAAAAAAGAAAATAAAAATTAAAAAAAAAAAAAAAATTAAATCTCAGATTTTCGAAGATAAAAAAAAAAAAAAAAAAAAAAAAAAAAAAATTAATAATCGAAATTTCTATATATAAGATTAGGGTTTTCCATTCCCGTTCGTTAATTTATTAAACCCATATTCGTTCTTTTAATATGACTTTAGATAATTTATCAATTCAGAATACTTTGAATTGTATTAATAATACTTTAAAATGCGAAAATGAGGCAGTTAACAATTTACATCAACAATATTTATCAGATGAATTTTCAATTGCAAATTTAATGAATTCGATAAATATTTTATATAATACTATAACAAATGATGGTAAAATTATAATAACAGGTATTGGAAAGTCATACAAATTATCATTAAAATTAGTTGCTACTTTAAATTCATTATCTATTCAATCAGCAGCTTTACATCCATCAGAAGCGTTGCATGGAGATTTAGGTTCGATAAATCTTGATAAAGATTGTTTAATTATGGTTACTGCAAGTGGAAATACTCCAGAATTGATAAATCTATTACCACATTTAAGTGGTTCAGGTAATTTACCAATTATTTTATTAACATGCAATAAAAATTCAAAATTATCACAATCACATCAGATAAATTCATTAATTTACGCAAATTTGTTAGCTTGTCATCAAGAAGAAGTAGTTCATGGAATACCCGCGCCTACTATTAGTTATACACTAAGTTTGATCCTTGCAGATTCTGTTATTTTAGCAATGAGTGAATTATTTGAAACTGATTTAATCAAAAGAAAGAAATTATTTTCAATTAAACATCCTGGTGGTTCAATAGGTGAAAATTTAAATCAACAATTTAGTGAAAAATCATCTACTGTATCTTTATTAAGTTTAAGACAAACAAATTCCAATTCCAATTCAATACCGCAATCCATTTCATCAAATTCATCAAATATTTCAGATGATGATATTGATATTTTAATAACTCATAATAATACTGTTCCAACTACTACTAATCGAAGAATATTAAGTTATAAAGAAGTTTTAAATATTGATGAAATAACGTTATTAAAATATATTACATTATATGATTCATTTTTAATTAATGATACAAAATTAAGTATAGGGTCAAATAAAATCAAAGAATTATATAGGTTTTATCAAGGTAATAATTGGGATAAATTTAAATGGGATTTATTAAGAGCATTTTCTTAATACGAGTTTGTTTTTAATTAGTTTGTTTTTTAGGTGGGACGTTTGTACATATAATATATCATTTTTCAATTCTTTTTACATACATACTCTTTATATTATTTATATACATTATAAAACAAGCAAAATGTGTCTGAAATTGAGTGTTTAATTTAAATTGACTATATAAGAAAGGATAAAAACACAATAAAATTAACTAATTAATAAAATAAAATACAATAAAACACTTTTTAAGTCTAGATTATTATTCATCTAATGCAGTTTCTGCAACAATAATCATTTTTTCAACACTTGCTAAATGTTTACCACCAAAATTATTTTTATTTGATAATTGTTTTAAATATTGTCTTAATTTTAAAACCAATATTTTCTTTTCTTGAGATTTTGAATCAAATGCTTCTACTAATTTTTGAATAACATAATTTGCATATTGATCCTTCATCATTAAAGCTAATGGAGAATCATCATTAACAACTTCAATATTAATATTTTGATTATTTAACATTACTTCATTTAAAATTCTAATTCTTTGTTGTTTATTACCAAATTTAATACATTTTTCAATTACATTACTTGCAAATTTATGTTTTGAAAATGAAACAACATTACCTAAAACTATTTTAAGAATTTCTTCTTTTTCTTCATTTTTACCATGCTCTAAAATATGTTGCATTACATAATTACCATATTGATCTTGAATTAAATAATAAATAAATTTATTTAATTCTGATAAAATTAATTTTTGATCATCACGATTTGAAAATTCAAGTAATCTTTGTATAACTCTACATCCATATGGATGAGTTGATAAATGATAAATTTGATCTTTTAAACTAATAAGTATAAATCTAATTTTATCAAATGGTTTAATTCTTTCAATTGATTTTTGTATTACATGATTACCATTTTGATCTTTTGAACAAATTAATATATGATCTTTTAATTCTTCAATAATTTTTAATTGTCCATCTTCAATATCACTAGCTTCTAATGCTCTTTGAACAACTCTACAACCATACATTTGTAATGATAATTCATAAATATGTCCCAACATTTGTTCCAATAAAATTTGTTTTTGAATTTTTGAACCATGTTCAAAATATTTTTGTATAACATAATTACCAAATACATCAGTCATTAATTCATATGATATATCTCTAATTTCATTAAAAATCATTTCTTTTTCTTCTTCTGTTGCATCTGGTAATTTTTGTTGAATAAATCTTGAACCATGTTGATCTTTTGTAAATTCAATTGCATGTCCATAAATATCTTTAAGATAAAATTCCTTATTTTTTGGATTTGATCTAACTTCTTCTAATAATGGTGAACGATAAATATGAGAACCACCACCAGTAGGTTTATTTTTACCATTTGATTTCTTTTTTGATTCTTTTACTGGTGCAGGTTTTGAAGGTTGTGATTGTGGTTGTTGTTGTTGCACATTTTGTGGAGCATTAGGAGGTGGTGATACAGGTAATTGATGAGAAACAGGTGGCATTTGCATACCTGGAATTGGTGGTGGTGATGATAAACCTCTTAATGCTTCAGGAGGAGGAACTAATGGAGGTGATTGTTGATACATTGAATAAGGATTAAAATGATGAAACATAAATGAAGCTGGAGAAAATTGACGATTCATTAATCCTACACCAATTTGACCAGGTCCAGGAGTTTTCTTATTAGTATCTTGATCATTTTTAATATCTCTATTATCTTCTTTTTCTTTATCAACTTTAGTATCCTTTTTATCTTCTTTTTCAACTTCGTTTTTTTCGTCTTGTTCTGGAATTTGACCATAAATCATATTAAATAAACCAGGATCCATAAATTGGGGAGGTGGAGGTGGAGGTGATGGGATCATAAATGGAGGTGGAGGAGGACTAATTTGTTGAAAATTTGCTGTTGGTTGACCATTTCTATATAAATTTTGACTAAATTGAGGAGGCATTTGAGGATGAGGTATTGGTGGATGAGGTGGTAAATTATCAATAAAATAATTTTGTTGAGGTGTAAATGAAGTAGCAGTAGCTGGATTCCAAAAATTTTGTGGTATATGATTTGAATTATTTACATTATTATTTTGGGAGTTATTAAAATTTTCATTTGAATCTGAAGCTAATGATAATTTAGCAGTTGTTTGAATTGGAGAATTATTATTATTTATATTATAATTATCAATTTTTTCACTTATTGATTGATGTCTTGAAGTTCTTGTTGGAGCAGGCATATTTAAATTTTCATTTAATGATTTATTACTACCATTTGAACCACCATTATATAAACCAATTGAAGCACTAGCATTTTTATTATCATTATTAAGACTTGTTCTTCTTGAATTTCCATTTGTAACAGCTTCTCTTGTAACATCACCGATATTTGAAAATTTTTGTAAAAATGAATCTTGTTGTGGGGGTGGATGTCTATTTGCAATACCACCGCTAATACTAGCAGTACCAAAAACGACTTGATTATTATTTTGGTGGTTATTATTATTATTATTATTTCCACCAACTGGTGCAGTTATAGCAGACAAAGCACCTCTTTTAAACCCACCAAAGAAATTTTGATTTTGATCCATTATATCACTCTCATCATTAAATGATAATCTTCTTTCAAACGGATTGTTTATATTATCACTTGATAAAAATTTTGCAACATCTGGATCAATTTGATCTAAAACTGATTTATATTGTAAATTATTTTCAAAAGATGATAAATTTGTATTTGTCTGAGTAGGTGAGTTATTCCCACTTGACCAAATACCAGACATTAATGGAACTAATTATTAATCTGTATAGAGTTGTAAGTATAACCAAAAGCTATAACTGGTTGTTTTAATCTGATGTTTAAATATATATATTTTTTTTTTTTCTTTTTTTTTGGTGTTTTTCTTTTCCATCAACAAAAATGTTAAGAAATGTAGAATATAAGAAAATAGAGGAACCAACTACAATATGTATGGAAATTATAACAAACTATAGTAGTAAATAGCTTATAGTAAGAGATTTTGAGCTTTGATATAACTAGTCTTATCTGAAATTTGTTGATAATTGTATTGATTCGCGAATGGTGAAATTTAATAATGAAATGCCCGCGGCATATCAAATAAAGCCATTGATTCACTTTAAACGTAAGATAAAACGTAGAGGAAGGTGGTGGTAGGCTGTAAGAACATCGGCTTTTGCTTTTCGATTGTTTTTAACCAGTTTAATCGGCTTAATGGCGATATTTCGTGGTAAACTTCTCAACCCACGTTTTTCTCACGTTTTAAATCTATGTGGTCTAGGTTTGATTTAAATCACCAGAATGCGCTTCATTATCAGTTATGTCGCTTTGTTTACTCTTATATTATCAATTGTTTCTTGAAATTTTGCAACCTATCGAAAATATGCGAAAAATAAATTTATTAATTCTGAAACATTATCATCAATAATGTCTTCATCATCAAATGCATCTAAAAAGTTGATGAACCTACTATATAGTTCCACATCACCAAAAATAACAAACACGATACCAAGATTAACGAAATTTTTATATGAAGACACAGATAAAAACACACCTACAGATGCTCCATTTTCGTTGAAAAATTCGTATGTTTTAAAAAAATTACCCATTCAAGATGCTCTAATAACTTGTTGGCCTAAATTTGAAACAAATATACTATCCTTAAATCATCCAAATTCATTCATTACAAAAGAGGACTTTGTAAATATTTTTCCAAGGAATAGAGATTTGAAATATGATACAAACATAAAAGATATTCAATTTGAAATGGTGAAGAAAAGGGATAAGGAGTTGTTCAAATTTCAAAATGCATATTATTTGATATTTAATAATCAGGTCAATGCTGCTGTGTACCTTAGGGAAGTTGAGAATAAATTGATAAATGGAATGAAACTAAATTTTAAATTTCAAAAAATAACAAATGAGTTACTTGAGAGTATAAAATGTCCAATAAAAGAATCGGAAGATAGTTTAGTTGAAGAAATACTAGCAATGAAGAGTTCAGATAATGTTTTTGAAAATTTTACCAATTTTGAATCGATAATGAAATTGTCAAATGCGAAGGAGAGAAGTTCTTGTGTTTTAGTTTCACATTTACCATTTGGTCTTAAACGAAGCACAATAATGGAAAAATTCTTATGGAATTATGAGTTAAGTGAGGATCTTCCACCTTTTAAAGTGTTAAAATCGGATATTAAGAGTGGTGTTAATAATGCACTTATAAATTTTAGAAATTTCAAGAATGCTCAGAAGTTTATAAGGAATAATCATGGTATGAAGTGGGAAATACTACAACAATACTCAGCACAGATGGAAAGACCATCTGATAAGCCATTAATCTGTGAGCTAATTTAGGGGAAGGAAATTATGATATCTATGTATATAGATGATATTTAATAGACATGTAGGGTTTGAGATGCTTTATCAACATGTATATATTCATTATTCATAACGTAGTGATCATATCACTATTAACAAGCTTGGAAAATTGTCTCCTCATTCATTATTTAATGCTTTCCAACTTGTTCTTAGTACTTTGTTTAATGATTATCAGTATCTTTATTCATTATCTAATGATTTCCAACTTGTTCTTACTATTTCATAGTTAATTTGATCATCATTTATATCCGATTTTTCAATAATTTCATATTTTTCCCAAATTCTTTTTAATTTCCATACGATAATTATTGAATCATCATTATTCCAACCAATTACACCCAAATCTAAATGATTAAATTGTTCATTTTCATGATATTTATTATTTATATTTAATGAAACAAATGACCAAGTAGATTTAAAATATTGAGGTAAATAAGGCAATTGAAATTTATTTAAAAAATGCAGTTTATTCAAATAATTATCATTTGAATTTGAATTTGATAAATTAAAAATATGTAGTGTATTCTTATCCGATAATACTGCTAATTTAGTATCATCATTATTAAATTTAAGACTTGTTATATCTGCTTTATCAATACCTCTTCTAAATTCAAACAACAAGTTTGTTGTCTTTGTTGAATGAATTCTTATTAATGTTCCTTGAATTGATGCACTTGCAATCAAACTACCACTTTTATTTAAACAAAAATTTCGTATTTGAGATTTATGTGCTTTTATAATATTTATATGAGATTTTTTTGTATGTTGTGTTTCCATTTCTTTATTTATATTTCCAATATTTACAATTTGAATTTGTCCTTGAATTTTACCTGGAAATGCCAAAATTGTAGAATTGGAGTTACTATAATTTGAACTGTTTTCTTCTGTTGAATTTGAAGATGTTATTGAAATATCTCCCAATGCAAATTTATTATTTGCTATTGTTTCATAAGTTATAAATTTTTTAGGAGGGGCAGAAAATCCATAAACTATAATTTGATTTGATAAAATTATAACTATACGAATTCGAGATAACAAAACATTTAAAATTGGTTGATTAAATTCTAAACTCAAACTTGGTTTTCTTTTTAAATCATCCCATATAATTAATTTATTAATTGGAAATTTTGGTAAATTACCACCACCAACTAATGCTAAATAATTTGTACGGTGTAACATTGTAATTATACCAATGCCAGAACCACCAGTTATTGAATTTGATGAATTATGACTACCAGTACTATTACTTCGAACATAACCGGAATTATTATTTGTGGTGGTTGTTTGAAAATTTCGTTTTACTCTTAATTCAATTGGATTTGAATTATAAACTAAAAATCCTTGTTCATGACCAATAGCAAAACATCCTTGATCTTGATTAAAATTTATGTATAATATTTTTGAATCTTTAGGTAATGCAGATGATGATGAAGAAGCTGAAATATTAGGAGTAGTAGATGAAGTTGAAACTACCTGCATATGATTATCATTATTGTTATTATTATTATTATTATTATTATTATTATTATTATTATTATTATTACTATGTATGGATGATTTATTAGTATAAGAATTAGTTGGTGATGTTGTAGTTATTGAAGTTGAAGTAGTTGTTGACATATTTGTATCTGTCATATATATGTATATTTATAAAGTTGGAACGTGGTGGGATAATTCAAATGTGGGTTGGTAGGTTATGAAATTTAAATGACTCACAATAAATTTTGTGTGGTAATGAATGTTGATGATTTGTTTATGATGAGTGATTAGTTATAACTGTAGATGATAATATATTGGCTGGTTATATGAGTTGGTTTACTACTGTTTTTATAAAAAAGAATGATGGTTGTAAATTAAAACTTTTTATAAAACTTTATTTTTTTTTTTTTATTTTGATTTATTTATAAATAGTAAATAAAAAAATAAATATAAACAAATCAATAATAAACGTACATCAAATGTAGTATCAACTGTAAGATGATAAAATATTTATGAAATAGAAAGAAAGAGATATTGAAAGGTAATTTATCACTTTTTATATATTTTGTAGAAAACCCAATCTGATTTGATTTGATTTGATTTGATTTGATTTGATTTGATTCGATTTGATTTGATTTGATTTGATTTGATTATCTTAGAAATCTAGTGTTTTTAAATTAACAACAGAAATTGAATCAAAAATCTAAATAATAAAAAGGGTAACATTACTAGTTATCAATTGGTTACAGAATGATCATCATGTTAAACATTATTTAAAAAAGTTGTTCATTTTCCATAATAGTTTTCAATTATAATAATATTAAACATTCTACTTCGTTACATGACAATTTAAAACTTTAAATCTTTTGTATCAATTGAGCCTAGTCTTTTATTAAACTAATGTTGTACTAGCGAGCGAATTTTAATTGATATTTTTTAAGCTCATTGCTAATGGAAAATCATTGTTACTCAATTCAATTAGATTTATTTTTCATAACATTCCATTTAATTGTAATCAATATTAATTAATAAAATATATATTACCCCATTGTTTATGACTTTATGACATTATGACATTGTGACTTTGTGACTTTGTGACTTTGTGACTTTGTGACTTTGTTTACTACTCTTAAACTAATCTATAATCTATTAAAAATTTTATCGTCTAATTTTGTTACATCTGTGAAAATCTAAGAATAATAATAAAGGTTTGATTCGTTTAGAAATTAAGGTACCCAATTTCGGTAATTGTTTGTTTACTTTTCATGCATAATTACATAAATTTCAATAAGTTGATTTCGTAAAATTTATTTTTTTTTTTTTTTTTTTTGGTCTAACTGATTACCCGATTTGGAATTAATAGGATGGCAGATAAAAAAAAAACTAATATCATGATTTATTATATATTTATTAAATATTTATACTATTTTTATACTATATTTAATCACTTTCTATATCCATAACTTCATCTTCTTCATCACTTGTTAATTCACCTCTTTGTAAATTTTGGACCATTAATGTAATATCATCATCATCATCATCATTAACATTATTATTATTATTTCTATCATTATTATTATTATTATTATTATTATTATTATTATTATTATTATTATTATTATTATTTTTATTATTATTATTATTATTATTATCATTATCATTGATTTCGTTAATTTCGTTATTATTTTTTGGGATTTGAAGTTTATCACTTCTTTTCAATGGTGTTTGTAATTTATTATTCTTATTTATTGTTAATTTCTTATTTTGACTTTGTCTCAATTGTAAAATATCGATTGTATTACTAAATAAATCAAAATTTTTTTCACTATTTGCTTCTAATGCTCTTTTTAATAAATCTGTAGTAATTGGATCTAATGGTGAAATAGCAATTGCATCATGTAAAATATCTATAGCTTTAAAATAATTACCTAATTTTAAATATATTAATCCAATTGCACTTAAAATATTTGAATCATTTTTATTACTTATTTTTAAAACTTGTTGAAAACATTCTAATGCTTTATATGGTTGATTTAATTTTCTATAAATATGACCAAGATTTGAATGTATACTTATCCATGTTTTTGAATCTGAATTTAAATACTTTGCATGTTTTAATCCCAATTTAAAAAAATATTCACTTTTTTCAAAATTTGATTTATGAAAATTTATAACTCCTAATTCATTAAGTAATAATGAATCTGTATTACATATATTATATGAAGCTAATAAATATTCTTCTGATAAATTCAAATTGTTCATTTGTAAATGTTGCATACCAAGAAATAAATTTGGTAAATGAGTACCTGAAAACAATCTAGATGCAAATGCATATGCACTTATTGCTTGTTCATGTTCTCCTTCAATTGCGAATGTATGTGCAAATCCTATCCATGCTTGACCAAAATTTGAATTAATTATAGTTGCTTTATTAAAAAATTTTCTTGCTTCATTAATTTTATTAATTGAAAGATAATAAGTACCAATTGCTAAAAATGTCATTGCATCAGTTGGATGTTGTTCAACTAATTGATGTGCTATAAGAAACAACTTGTTTCTTCCATTTAATTCATATAAACAGCTAAGGTAATTGGGTATAATATTAAAATTATATTGATCTTTACTGAGAATAAATTCACATAAATTTAAACATTGATCAAAATTGCATTGTAAATAATAATAATCAGCTTTTGCAGTTAATAAGTCTATATTATCTTTCAAATCAAATTCTTCAATTAGTATTGTTTCACTTTCTTTAAACTTTTCAATATTCATATACTTGTTCAATTTAGTAAAATATAATAATTTAATCAATTCATCATTTGAATTATCCAATTCTCTAAAATTCAATGACGTTATAAACTCCCATTCTTCAATTGGTGACATTAAATTATTATTAATTAACTCATTAAAAGCTTCAAAACATTTAACATCAACTAATAAAGCTTCTTTATAACATTCTTTTGCTTTTTCGAAATTATTCAAATTTGAATATATTAAACCACGTAAGTAACACATTGAACTTTCTAATTTTATACCCCCATCATCATTTTTAACCGTTTCTTTACGAAATGGATTTTCTTCACCAATTAAATCTAATGCATCATCCCACAATTCTAGTTTTATCAATGCGTAACTTGCAATATATCGACAACTTATTGATTTTTCATATATTGCATTTGATTTTATCAATTGTTTACATCTTAAATAATTACCCTGCATGAAATAAACTTGAGCTAACCAAAAAGCGTCATTTGCATCTTTCGTTAATTGTAATATTTTATCTCCAATAAATTCTGAAGTTTTATATTGATGTTGCATAAAAGAATCATGTCTCCATAATCTCAATTTTTCAACAGGTGTTAATGGATCAGCTAATGAATCCTTTGTAGTAGATTCATTTTGATGTGAAGTTCTATCCAAGTTAAAAAATGAACTTTTTGATGAATTTGGTGTTTCAAATAATTTTGATTTATTGTTATGGTGTTGAGAAGGATGTTGTAAAGTTGGATTTGGAGGTGTTACAAACAATTCATTCTTTTTATTTATCATTGGAGATATATATAATGTTGAGTTATGTTGGGTTGGCGTTTTCTGATTCTGGACCATTCTTGGTGGTATTGGTTCGTCTGTTTACAAATTTATTTTTCGCTGCAAAAAAATATTTTTGATTCCATCTCATCAATTAATCAATGAGTAGTACTTCTGAATTAAAAAGTGCATTAAAGGGTAATGAAACTAGAACCAAAATACCTACTACTAATAAAAAGATACAATTTAGAATATTTGTTGGTTCTTATGAACATAATTTATTATGTTTATCAACTATAATTGATCCATTAGGTGAATCAGAATCAATTTTTCAACCAATTTTCCATTTTCAAGCTCATTCATTATCTATAAAATCTATAGATTTAGCTAAAAGATATTTAGTTACTGGTTCAAATGATGAACATATAAGAATTTATGATTTACAAAAAAGAAAAGAATTAGGTACTTTATTAAGTCATCAAGGTACAATTACAACTCTAAAATTTTCAAATGAATTAAATGCGTCTGGGTCAGTTGAAAAATCAGGTAAATGGTTATTATCAGGTTCTGAAGATGGTAAAATTATAATATGGAGAACTAAAGATTGGGAAGTTTTTGGTACTTTAAAAGGTCATACTTCTAAAATAAATGATATTGCAATTCATCCAAGTGGTAAAGTTGCAATTTCAGTATCACAAGATCAAACAATAAGATTATGGAATTTAATGACTGCTAAAAAAGCAGCAATTTTGAAAATAAAAGGTAAAGATCATTTAGGTCAACTGGGTGAATTTGTAAAATGGTCAAATGATGGTAAATATTTTATAGTTGGTTTATTAAATCAGTTACTTATTTATAAAACTTCAAGTGCAAAAATTGTAAAGAAGATTAAATTTAAAAAGACATTAATGTGTATGGATGTATTAAAATTTGAAAATGAAAATTGGTTATGTTCTGGATTGAATAATGGATCTATGGAATTTTTCAAATTTGATGAGCAGATATTAAAAGATATATCTGATGATGAGGACAGGATATGGAATTCAGATCCTGTTGAAATAGAACCAAATTTCAAATTAATAGGGCACACAAATAGAATTAAAGGAATTTCATTTTTCCAAAATGATGAAGAAACTCAAGGTATACCGACTTTAGTATCAATAAGTTCTGACGGTAAAGTAGTTGTATGGAATTTAAACCTAAAAGATCAAATTGCAGTCTATGATACTGGTGAAAGATTAAATTGTGTAATTACAAGTTCTGAAAATATTGAAAAAATAGATACTATGAAAAAGAGAATACTTGATGAACGACAAGACTATTCAGAATCAGAATATGAAACAGATGGTGAAGAAATTAAAAAGATAATGAACAAGAGTAAAAAGAAGAAAGGTAAAAAGAATAAGAAAAGAAAAGTAAATATAACATTAGAATAATATACATTAATTCAATCTTGCAACATTTTTATCAAATAATTCTTTAGCTCTTACCCAAACCGGAGCAGTATCTCTTTCTGGTAATTGTAACAAACTTGGCATTAAATCTTTTGAAAAAAACTCTGAAGCTTCTCTAGGTAATAAACTAGGTAAATGATCAATTGAACATACAGATAATTTTGGTCCATTTGTAGTTTTAACAAGTACTGTTGGATCATTAAATACAGTAGCAATTTCATAAACTGGAATTGGATTATGTGGATTAGTTGTATCAGCTGATACATCAACTATTGTAGTTAATTTTCTATTTTCAACATTTAAACTTTCAAAATCAATAAATGGAGGTATTGGTTTTGATAAATAAATACAATTTATAAAAATATTTGCATCAACAATTTCTTTAAATGGTCCACCTTTTGCAGTTTCTTGCATATCCCATTTTGCAATATTTTCATCAGGTATACCAACTTTTTTAAAAAAATCTATAGCTCCAGAACCACATCTACCTAAAGCACCAATAACTAAACAAGTTGGATATTTACCTTGAGTTTTTTCCAATGCTAAATCCAATTGTTTTTTAACATCTTTAATTAATTCTTGTTCATTAGGATATGGTGAAACACCAGGTAAATCTTTTTCATTTGAATTTAATTGTTTAAAAGCCCAATCTAAAACACCAATAGCAGCACCAGCAAATCCAGCATAAAAACCAAAAGCAGCAACTCTTCTACCTTGATCATTTTCTAAAAATTCTAAATCATATAAAGTACCTTTACCAGCTGGAAATCTACCCAAGACTTTTTCCCAACCTGCTTGATCTTTATAACAATGAGCAAATTGAATATGTTCATGGATTAATGGGAAAGTTTCATTTTCTGGTAATTCTTTTAAACCAAATATAATTCTATCTTTTGGAGCGTCTTTCCATGATTCTTCAGGTACTATAACTGCACCAACTTCTTCATATTCTTTTGAATTGAAAGCTGATTGAGAACTCTGTTCAACATAAATTTTAAAACCAGCATCAATCAATTGTTTTGTTGTAGTTGGTGTCAAAGCAGCCCTAGCTTCTAATGGTTTAGTTTCAGCTCTTAAATGTAATATAACAGGTTGTGATGACATAATTTTGACTAGTAATGAAAAATGTGAAAAATGTGAAAAATTATTTTCTATTTATATTTATAGTGTCAATTTGATAAGAGTCACTCACCCCAATTTTTTTTCTACTCTTTTTTATCGGTGAGTCAAAAGAATGCGGCAATCAATTTAGACATAAGTTACACGACACAAGTTACACGACACGACACGACTTACACGCCAGGCTTATTAAAAGTGGTTCAATTTAACAATAACTTTTATAACTTATGCGTTTATGATAAATATGATATTTATAACGGGAAGGTTCTTTTTGTTGTTGTTGGGGGGATGCTTTTATTACATATTTTGGAAATCTACAGAATTTATACTTTGTACGTAAGTTAATACTATTTGCTTGAACTTAAATTTCACAATTGACCAATCTTCATTCTCCATGAAACAATCACTAAAGCTTTTGAATATCTTTTTAATCTTTGCTATTTCTTTGTCATCAACTAACACTTTATTTTCAATCGACTTTTCAAATACCAAATGAGCAAAATTTCGATCATTATTCAATAAATGACCGATGATTATACTTTCAATTAATTTTGCCTTACCTTTCTCACTAACTTTGTTTATAAATTCATTAAATATTTTCATTGCCTTGTCAGTATTAAAATTACTATTCATTATAATTAAAATTTGTATTAAATTTATAGTTCTTATATCACTAGGCATTAAATATTCTGCAATTTGTAAATTTATAACTTCATCAGTTAAAATAGCTTGATATGCAAAAATATTACACATTATAATTTTAATATTTTCAATTCCATATGGAGTTTTAGATTGATATAAATGAAATTTCTTCAATGTTTCATCAATGTTATTCTCTACCATGCCTAAAACTTTCAAAATTGATATTCTTAGATCTAGATTCTCTGCTTCTAAATCTATACTTGACTCATTTATGATTTTCAAGACTTCATTATTATAATTTGGCAAATTTTGATTTAAGGAAGCATACAATTGATTTAACTCTTTATCAAAGTTTAAATTTAATAATACAACATAAGCCCAAGCTGATTGTGGTTGTAAAGGTTTGAAAAATTCCAAAAATGCAAATCTACCAATGACCGTTCCCAATCTATTTTTCAAATTTTCAAGATTGATGGAGTAATGTAAGGCCAATTTCCTAATTGATATAAAATCCTCATCAGCTATTAATTGATCAACTAATGGCTCTAATTTATACTCAAAACTTGGGTACTTTTCTTTAATTTTAACTAAATCATGTATATTCTTTTCCAATACTAGTTTATCAAATACAGTTTTTAAAAGCTCTTCACTTACTTCAATTAAATGTTTGTCAAATAAGTCATAAGTAGTCAAAACTCTACCTGGATTAATGTTTATAAAATGTGTAAGTAAGGCATTGTTGAATTTTTCATTTTGTAGTTTATAATATGATGAAAAATCAGAGACCAAATGATTATAAAACTCTGAATTGGCATTATTAGACTCATTTAATTTCTTTATTATTGAGTATTTACCATTTTCATCATTTTGACTAGCATTTTTTAAGTCTGCTAGTGTCAATTTACTCAAATCTTTTGATAGTAAGGTTGAAAAACGTCTTCTAATCATCATCGATAAATTGGTGCTACCAAATCGAAGTTTCAGTTTTTCACTGCAACAGACTACTACTATATGTGAGGCATTCATGACTAAATTAGAATCTAATTACCTAGATCGCTATCTATAAATCTATTAATCTACTTCCATTAAAGTCTCTTCCATTTTTGCCAACATTCCTACACCTTTAAAATATTCAATCCATTTATCTTCACATTTTAAATCTTTCAATTCATCATTTGTATCAAATAATTTCTTAATATAATCATCATAAGGTATAAATTTCTTTTCTTCTTCACATTTATAACTCCAACTTGCTTTATAAGCACCACCTAAAGCACAAGCATTTGGTATTTCAACTTTATAATTACCATTAATTGGACCAAAAATAGAACCCATTTTATTTATAATACTTAAATTATTGGAAGCACCACCGACGTAATAACATCTATTTGGTCTTGCTATTAATGAATCTTTTGTTTGATCTTTACCATCAGTTTTCAATTGACCAAAAGTATCAATTAATTTATTATAAGCTTCATTTATTTCGTCTGTACTTTCTTCCTTGTTAGCATCACCTGATTTTGATAACATCGGACCAGCTCTTAATCTACAACTTAATGTTTGAGATTCGACAATTGCACAAGCATCATCTTCAATTTTAAATTCATCTCCAATTTTACATTTTTCAATTTCACCATCTTTTAATATTGCTCTTATGGTTTGTGCTGGTGCATGTGGTATAATTTCACCTAATGGAAAATAAATACCTAATTTATTATCAAAAGCTTTTTGTGAATCTAATAATTCATTAAATTTATCCCATGATTTTTGATCCAATTTATATTTCTTGTTAATCTCATCTCTTGCTTTCTCTCTTGCTAATGATCCATTACAATAACAAAGCATACCCATATAATGTTCAGGCATAGTTGGATGTTTAAATAAATGATATTGTGATGAAGGTTCATAGTTTTTCGTAATTAATAATACTGTAGTTGAAGTACCTAATGAAACTAAACAATCATTTGGTTGTAAAGGTAATGACAAGATTGTTGCTAAATTATCACCAGTAAATGAATAAATCTTACAATTTTTATTAAATTTATATCTTTCAACAAAATAATTTGAAATTTCACCACTTGATTCATATGTTATTGGAGTTATATCGCCTAATTTTTGTCTAACTTCATCTATTGATTTTTCATATATTGGATCTGATTTATCAACTTTATCAATTTTAGAATTTACACCTGCTGCTAAAGCTAATAAATCTTCATTATAACTTGATTTTGAAATATTATATAAATTCATACCACAAGCATCACTTTCTTCCAAATTTGCAATTTTACCTAATAAGATACTAGTTACAAATGATGAAACAATGGAAATTCTTGAAGTTTTTTCATATTCGGATTTATGCGATCTTGTTGCAAATTTTCTAATTTGTAAACCAGTGAATCTTAAATGAGCTCTTGAACCCGTAATTTTAGCTAAATTCTCTTTTCCTACAGCATTATGAAAATCTGAAGCTTCTGAATTTGTAGAATGATCTTGCCAATTTGGACTATACTCCCATGAAAATGCATTTGTTAATTGTTTTGATAAATCTTGATTTGGTTTCAAATTATTCAATAAACTTTCCGCTTCATGTGACCAATAAATTGAACCATGTTGTTGACCAGATCCTGAAATACCAACAACTTTATCAAATGGGAAATCATCTTGTTTCATTTGAGTAAACAAGTAATCTATAGCATCTAACCACATTAAAACTGGTGATATTACTTCTCCATCTTCTTCATTTGCTTTTACACCTTTATGAATACCATATTTCAGTTTATATTGAGAATCAAATTCAACATTATATGTTTTTAATGGTTTTAAATCTTCATCAGTGACTATAATTTTCAATTGTTGAGTCGATAAATCAAATCCTAAAAATAATTTACTTGAATAGTCAACCATTATTGGTATTTGGTTTCTTTCAAGATAATATCAAGTGTTTTAAATCAGTTGATTATTTTGTTTAATTCCCCAGGTTCCATTTTAAATAATTGCTGCAAAGAAATTCGTTCCGAAAAATATGTGTGATAACCAAATTTGAAAATCCGTAACCACAAACTTATTACTAAATTATTATCAGTACTAGTTTAAAGTAGTACAGTCTAAGCTATGTGAAGCTAAACATGTATAAGCTTATCTTGCTTTAACTTTTGATGATATATTAAAAATATTGACCATTGTCAAATTTATTACTGAAGTAATTAGCTTACGTCATAAAGCAATAAAGGTTCCTCAAACCTATTTCATAATCAACAAAGTTCAGCGTTTCAATTCTGTTAGCTACAAAAATCTCTTATATGATTGTTGAGTTAAAAGTAAGTATGTAAATTGAAAAAGTAAACAGATCTATTCTTGAATCGATATTAAAGAATTATTATTCATTTAGTACGAGTCGCCCTGGAGTACCGCGTGAAATTATTTAGTCGCGCAACAATCGCATTAAAAAACACAGACTTTCTAATATAAATTTATGACAAGTTCACTTATATGCAGCACGAACAATGCAAATCTTAAAATTTAAAGTGTGAATAACTCTCTCAATACTTGAGCTATAATGTTCAAACTTACTTCATTATAAGCATCAAATCTTGGGAGTAAATTGATGTTAGTATGCACCGGATAAACATAATTTTGATAGCGTTATCCATCATTCAAAAAACGGGGAAAAACGCTATTTTGCAAGATAATGAACACTTAGACTTTAATTGACAACGTCCAAAATAGTTGATTCAGTTTATTTTACCCAGATGTTCCGTGAGTAATGTTTTCAAGACGTCAAAATCGTTTTGAAAATTTTGTAAAAAGTTCCAATCTTAGCTGAACTTTCGCAAGTTTCAATGTCTTACCGCAAAAATATTCAGGGCAAACTGAAGTGTGGAACTACACATTTGGATACTTTTATTATACTTTCTTTACGATTGTTAAATTAGAGTTGAATTTTGCTTTACTTGAGAGAAAATTTCAAGATTTTTCAATTTTCCATAAGGTCAGCTAAAATTTGGTTACAATTCTTATTACGAGTATAATATATAGATACTGTTGATTAATCGAAAGTTATGGCCGTATATAAAATGTACTCTGTGTTTTCAGTAGCAAATTTTTTGTATGGTGATAAAATGCCGAAATGACAACTCAAAAAAAAAAATTTAACAATTGAATAATGAACTGTATGGAGTACATAATTCAGGGCTTTGGAACTCTTAAATTGGTATTGTCTCGAGGAAATGTGTTGTTCAAGATATATAGGCGGTAACGTGTAGCATGAGTCGCCCTAAAGATAGCGCGAAAATTTATTTTCATCACACTAAATTGTCGGGCTGAATATTTTCGTACCTTCGAGTCGTTGCCCTGTTATTTTTTTTTTTTCCCAGATCGCGATCTCGTATATTAATTTTTAGACAGTCCTAATTTAGAGTTATACAATTCAAGAAATGTAACTGAGATCTTAATACCAGAGTTTGAGTCATCAATGTATTTTGAGCAAAGTCAACAATTCAGTTGGGTATCTCACTATATTACAAATGGAAGAAAATATAATTGCAGATTAGAAATTAATTTCGTTGGTTTTAGTATTATATGGTGTGTACATAATCCTAACTTACTAATACAAAGAGCACCTAGGCTGAAAGTTTTGGAATTAGAAGGTCCTCAATTTGTTTATTTCAAATTTAAAGTTCCTACTACAATTGAAGAGTTTAGTTTGTCAGGTTTACTAGAAACTTCGACTTTTGTCAGCAACAAAACTTGGACAATTGCATACGTTAAAGCTTCAAAACTCATATTTTCCATATTCAGGCTTTATTTACAACTTATTTCCTAAGTTAAAAGAGCTCAGATTTGAAATTAAAATGCTAGGTATCTGGAAACATTAGCATATAATACCCGAAACTAAATTGATGGTAAAATCAAATATTTAAGAATTAAGGCTGGAATTAAGTTTAACAGAGAAGTAATTTTACCAGACAGTTTGGAAGTATTGATTTATTACATGTTCAATTTGATATGAATTTTGGAACTTTAAAATCCCTACAAATCTTGAATATTGTATGGTGCATTGCAAATTCAAAATAAAAAAAAAAATTGTGGATAAAATTAGACCAGCGAGATTATGCTGTGATTTACCAAACCTCAAGTTCAAAAGACAGGAGCCAGGTGACTGAAATGCAGCTGAAGTTAATTCAACTTAAATTTGATACATATCTACATATCTAGATTATAGTATATTCATTTTATACGTATTAAATTTATCCCTTATACCTTCTTTCCAATTGTAAACCAAAAAGCAATTGCATGATCAGGTGCTTCTTCTTTCTCTATTACATGAGCCTTTACACTTTCTCATGCACTTGCCGAAGCCAATTCTTCAAATGATACCAATGTAATTTTTCTGCAATGCCACCAACTTCAACCCTGATCCTCTAGTATTTAATATTTAACCATTCAATTGATGGTTGGGATTTGAATAACCAATTTGGACAAACTATCAATAACAATATTATCAATAGAGCAGCAAATGTATAAACAATATATAATAAATTATTAGATAAAATACCAACAGCCAATGAAGTTAAGATATTAGCTATTGTAGCTTTATTAATGACCTTTTCAACTGCTTTTTGATTTGGAATAGTTATTGGAAATTCCACACATTCAACAATTTGATCCATAATGAAATCAAAGTTGGTTACTTTTTTTTCGTGTTACGTGTTGATAATCTAACAATTTTTACGAGACATGAAGCCATTACACGACAATTGAAAAATTCCATGCATAGACGATGCAGCTAAAGGAAATCGAGAACGAATAGAGTAGAAGCACTGATCTTTGTTTCTTGTTGTGGCTTCATTTATAACCACTATATTTTTGATTTTTCATTCGGCATTCGAGCTCTCCACGCTATATTTTTTTTCGAATCAAAATGATTCCAAATCTCGCCTAGAAAATCGAATTCAGAAATCTTGAATTTTTCAATATTCAACTTTTTCAACTCATGTCGAAACCACAAGTTTTATTTCTTGGTGATTTGAATGAGGATCTACCTACGTATCAGCAATTTAAATCTAAGTACGAGATCTTGAATTATAAATTAACTACAAGAGAACAATTTATAAATGATTTGGATTCCAAGTTTTCAAACATAGTTGCAATATATGCATCCTGGCTCGGTTTCATGCCCATTGGAGGAATAAGACAAGTTATTTCACATATTCCAGACTCATTGAAAGTTGTTTCATTCTGTTCAGTCGGTTATGACCATGAGGATCTGAAAATTTTAGCAGATAAAGGAATTGTCATGACTAATGTTCCTGCTGATTTTGCAGCAGAGCCAGTCTCAGATCTAGTTTTATATTTAACAATTGCTTCCTTTAGACAATTTCAAATGTACTCACATATTGCCAATGTCCCACATACCATAGATTATAGATATAAATTAGCGCAAGGTGAATTTGATAAGGAAAAAGGTGCCGTCGGTTTAGCTAGTGGTGAGAAATATCATTTTGGTCAATATATAAGTAAAAGACCAAATTTATCACCTATGGGACATAATGTTGTAATTATCGGGTTTGGTAAAATTGGTCAAAAAATAGGTAAGAAGTTAAATGATATTGGCATGAATGTAAATTATGTAAAAAGAAACAAATTGGAGAAAGAAAAGGAAGAAGAATTAGGATATCCTGTTAGATATTATAAGAAGTTGGAAGAAGTAGAAGGTGATGTTGATTTAATCGTTATTGCTGCTCCTTCAACTCCAGAAACACAACATTTAATAAATGAAAATATCATAAATGGATTTAAAAAGCCAATTAGGATTATAAATATAGGTAGAGGTTCTATAATTGATGAAAAAGCATTAATTGCAGGTTTAAAATCAGGTAAAGTTTTATTTGCAGGGTTAGATGTTTTTGAAAATGAACCACATATAAATCCAGAATTATTAAATAGACAAGATGTTATATTAACTCCACATATAGGTGCTTCAACAGTTGAAAACTTCGATTATACTGCAGTACAAGCTTTGAAAAATATTGAGTACGTAATTGAAAAAGGTAAAGCTATAAATCCAGTATACTAAAATTTAGACATTCCGTAATATCCAGTAAATAGATTTAAAAATAGACACTAGAGCAAAATAGTTTAAACCCGAGAGATCTTTAGAGATTTTAGTTCATTCTTCCTTGTAATCCTTTTATTACTAAACCTTAAACTAAAACAAATTGTTCATCCCTAATAAATAATTTTGGCGAATCTCAGTTCACCAGTTAAACCCATCATTTGTAAATTGATTATCAATATAATAATTAATATCATTATTCATTAATTTTTCTTCTAAAATGTCAGTAATCATATTATATTCATCATTTGCAGTAATTGAAAAATTATATTCTTGACCTTTTGTATTTTCTTCATATTTTGGTAATTCAAAATAATTATTTGGTTTACCACTTGAACTACTAGTACTCATTTTCTTTAATGTATATGGAGGTGAATGATGATTTACTGATTTTAACAGTGGTTTATTACTTTCCACTGTAACTGTATTAACAGATGACACTGTGGTTGATCTAGTTAACGTAGACATTAAAGAATGTGATTCATAATCGGAATATGGTGATGTAGTTCTACTCAATTCTGATGATAAAGTTGGACTTATAATTAAATCATAATCTTCTTCTTCAAAATTAATTTCAATATCTGAATCATCATCTACATTAATATCTGATGAAGAAATGTCAATATAATTTTTAGTTTTCTTTTTAACTTGTTCTTCTTTATTATCTATATTGATAAATTTTTGAAATTCGTCTAATGATGGTGATGTAGGATGAGTGATTGGTGAAGATATCAGTGATTGTGAAGATAACGATAACATTCCAATTGATGTAGGTAGATTACTATTTTCGATTTCATTAATTGATCGTTTATGAACATTAGGACATTCATTGACAATATTTGATGATGGAGAAGAAGGAGTTGTTGTAGTCATAGGTTTAGGTTGATTTAACACTACATTTTTCAAATGTTTATATTCATGAATTAATGATAATAAATTTGATTTTAATGATAAATTTTCAGAATCAACAATTGAACAATTTTTAATTAAGGAATTAATATTTTCTAAATCTTGATTTAAATCATCATTAACTTCATTCTTACATATTAATTTCTTTCTTGATTTTGGTTGATTTTCTTTATTTACTTCTTTCAGTTTTCTACCTGGTTTTGGTCTTGGTGGTAATACCCAATCTTTCGAAGTTTTAACACAAATATTTGAATCAGTAGGTTTACCCTCTAGTATTTGCTTCGATATATTATTCGACAGCAGAATAATTGGTGCATGCATACTTTTATTTTGCACAGTTGTAGCTAATTATTAATTAGTATTTTAAAATTCTTTCAATGATATTGATTCATATTGAAATTTTCATTATAACGTTGCAAAAGCATAATTGATGTTGTATTTTTTGGCTAGGGGGGTTTTTTTCATTTTTGAACAAAAACTTTTAACCAATTATTGAAAATGAAAAAAACTTTTAACCAATTATTGAAAATTTCAATGTAATCAAAAAAAAATTGAAAAATGTACCATACTATTAATTGTTGACATTATTTGAATAGTTGTTGATAAAAGTTATTATATTAACATAATATTAGTAGATACAATTGTATAAATAAATAAATATTGAATAGTTTTTATATTAATTGAATAGGAATTTGTTGATAATTTTTAATTTTTAATAAAAATTTTGATGAAATTGATTAAATATAAATATGAAATTTACTTAGGTATAAAAGTGAAAGGTTTTCTATTTCTTTAACAGAAAGCGGTTTTTTACCTTTCTACATATTATAAGAAAAATCCTTATGGAACGGACGGAATACTACGGAACGGACATTTATCTAACTAAATTCTGCATAATTTTCAGACATAAAAGCTATTTGTGGAAACTAGTGTAGACACGCAATTTCCTATTTAGGCTGAGATGATTCTAAGTCATCTCACTTACCTATTATAAAAATAATGTTTAATCTGGGGTATAACTTTTACATATCTTCTCTTTCGTTGGTTTCAGCTTAAAGTTTCAATTGATCAACTGATAAATCCCTTGGGATCTGCGAATGTACAATCATTCACACGGATGAGTTCATATATTATAATAATTCGAAATAATAGGCCGTTCGCTGTTTATTGTTTTTTTTTTTTTTTTTCTGAAGCGAGAAAATTTATTATTAGATCCTTCTTCGTCTGTTTTGGTTTTTTTAACCTCCTAAAATTGAAAAAAAAAAACGTAGATGGTACTAATTTTTTAAACCGATTAATATCACGTTTAATTATATTTGAAATTACATCCGAATAATTTGACATTGAAGGATTTTAGTTTCTTGCTGTTAGCTAGTTTTTAGTTTTAAACATGCAATTTTGTTTTGACTTGTTGACCCTTAATTTATGTTATTAAGTGGTTTAATGTCGAAGGTTTTTATTTTTTAGGATCTCAAACGTTTAATTGCGTTTATAATAAAATCAAACTGGAATAATCTGTTTAAACCTGAAAAATTTTGACAAGCGAGAAAAGAAGAAAATGGTTAAATTGTGTCGGACAATTTTTAATGGAAGCGTTATCCATGGTTAAAAAATAACACAATAATTTTATTTTTAATGCCATTTGCAGCAAGCAAATTTTTATAACATCGCATTGAGTCAAGACGGAACTGGCACAAAAGTCGAATCTGGACCTAGTTAAATTATTATACTGCCTTTAATTCACAACCGCCATTTAATCTATTGTTTCGACTTTTTTTTTTTAATTTAAACTTTGCTTTATTTAACTTTACTATACATTTAATCTTGACTACTTTTTATAATCCGGGGTTCGTTTTTCTATTTGCGTTTATACATTTGTTGAGTTTTCACTTCTTATGATGTCATTCAAGAGGAGGAAAAGATTTATCTGCGAAGTTTAGACGAAAAGAAATAAAGTCTAGTATTGACAATAATATTGAACCTAAATAAATAATATATTTCTATAAGTAATAATTATATATCCTTAAAACTAAAGGAATAAGGGTTACTTTGAGTGAAATAAGGTTATTAGATATAACTCGGTAGACTGGATTATGGAAATCAATTCAAGTTCGTGTTGTTTTTGTTGCAAAAATTTTAGTACGCGTATTGATTTGAAAATTTTTATCGATTCCGATCTAACCAGTAGCTGGTACAAAAGGACATAAGCATACAGTGTAAACTCGAAAAGATTGAGTAAACGAGTTACTAAATAGACAAATTAGCACCTCTAACTTATTTTGTCTGACTTTAATCGGCCGTAAAAGATCTGATCAATAGATTAATCAACTTCTGAGAATTCATTTCAATTTAAGTTTTTATTTATTTCTATTTATCAAAAGTAATCTTAATAAACATTTTTTGTTTTCTTTTCTGCCTCATTGAACTCTGCTGACCTCTTGTAAACATCAGTTTTTTGTATTATGTGATAGAAAACGCATACGGTGATTCCCTCGAAATACAGGTAAAGAAATCAAAGCTTAGCGTCTGACGTTTTTCTGCGAACACATTAAACTCATCTAGCTTTTTGCAAAATGATTAGGTCATGACTATCATTCTTGCAACCTTATTTCTTCAAATTTGTCATGATCGTATTTGAAAAAGATCTCTTGAAATATTCTCAACTACAAGATTACCAAAGAAGATTGCAAAAGAAGCAGACAGCATCCTTGGCTCGTTACACTGCACTCAAAGTCAACCGTTTCGACATAAAATTGTTTTGATTTTTGAGGCATATATTCAATATTTCATGGAAATTTTCAAAAAATTGAGAGATGCAGTTGCTAGTACAACCAATTTGCTACATTTTTACAAATATTAATTGTTTAACAGTTTAACATAGAGCTCGTTTATCAAATAGCGTATGTGATTGGATTCCGTTTAAATTCTTAAAATTTAGCTGCAAAAAGACACCTGGTAGCACCAATTGTTTTGGTGCAACTCCATATAAATCACGAACCAAAAAAACATAAAATGATCAACATCCTGTAATTTGGAGATCAATCAATGTCAATTGAATTTAATTTCTCTAATCCTACTCTGAATATAGTCCACCACTGGATGAATACTCATCGTCTCGACTTGACTGTCTTTAATCTTGTCTCTGGAGGTGTTTAAATTATTTCAATTTATTTGGTTATTAATTTAATTGCGAATTTGTTTATATCAATATCAACTCACTCCTGCTATCTCAATGGGCTTGTGATTCACTCGTTGCTGGTTTTTCGGGGTGAGAAAGATGGCTCAATTGAGTAAATAAAGGAATGCCATAGTCGTCAAGTCTCAACAACTTCATTTGTTGTTTGTTAATGACTACCTCTTTCTGGAGGAGAGGCAGGTGCTCGATCAATTGAATTTAAATGACTGAATCATTGCAAGATTAAGACTTTTTGAATTTAGGATGTCGAGAATAAAAATCAATTGAATTGAATGAACTTCAAATATAGACATTGATGGGTATTTTCAAACAGGGTCGTCTTCAAAAGATTTTGTTAGATGAGTGTTTGGAGAGATTCAAAGGTGTCCAATCTTATCTTGGTCTTGACTTATTGAAGTTTGAGATTAATTTTGATTGGAATTGTCTTTATTTTATATTGTGATGATCGTTGAGATATTTAGTAGTAGGTCTGGATATGGTTGCAGCTTATAGTAGTGATTTCGTATTGGATGATATTTGATCTGGATTGCAGGTAAAGAATTGGTAGTTTACGGCTACGAATAATCTCCTTATTGAAGCTTTAGAGTTATTTGGGTAATCAGAGGTAGAAATCGGATATTTCATAGTTCCAATATACATCTAAATGCTCTAATAAATTCACCTTGAAGAGATTGTTAAGTCAACTAACTTTAGATTCCTGCATATATTTATTTTTGAATACAAAGCAATTTCGATAGCTTCCAATTAATGTCTTTTCTATTGAATGTATCACAAACACCTCTAAGTCAATAGATCTAGGCTCGGTGTATTATTCGACTCATTCTATTATGAAACAAATTCTACTAAATTTTCGCGATCTCTTTTGTTCTAGCTAATTTATTGATTTTCGTTAATTTCCTCAAATTTCGAGGGGCCAAAAAATCAAATAACTTCGTAATACTTAGATCATTTAATATACTTTTTGTTAATAGCTCAATGCAGTTGTAAATGGTATTTTATAGTACTTATTCAGGTCTAATTATCGTCTAGGTTTATTACGTAATCAAGAATGTTTTCAAGTGGTAGCGACGCGTGTATCTGAAACACTTAATTTAGTTTCTTACAACCAATTTATAAATTATTATCGATTCAACTATCATCAAATCATAAAATCGATTAGTTAGTTGAAAATGTTACAGCTTCATAATATTCCACGTGAACTTCATCATCATATATTCAATCATGTTCCATGTGATCACTTGAAAGAATTTTTCCATGATACATACCTCAGAGAATTTGCAATTAGAGCATATTTAAGATTCATATGTATCGTTGGTGAAGATGGACATTATAAGATAGTAAAGAGTTCAGCTTCAGGATCATTTGTTTATGATCAATTTAAGGTCCAACAACCATTATATGATTTTAATTATTTTAGATTAAAGGACTTACTCAGATTTATTAATTCAACCAAGATAAAAAAATTAAAGATTCTGGTTTTACAAATAGAAGAATCACAATTAAAAATCAATTTAAGTAAAGTTCTTGATGTTTTGATTATATCTGATGAAATTAGGGTAACAAATCATTTTCGTAATCGTTCTTTTCACCATTCCCAAGTCAATTATCCCAAAAATTTAGGTGCAAAGCTCAATATTATTACATCTACATACTATTTAAACGCATTACCACAAGACTTGGTTTCATTAACTTTAACAACTAGTCTTCATACTATGGAAAATCTTACCAAATTTCAAAATTTGAAGGAATTGAAATATTTGTATAGCTTCAATTGGAATTTTATCCCACAAAGTTTGGAATTTTTACATTGTCAAATTACATCTACTACACAACCATGCGTGTTACCAAATTTAAAAAGATTGAGATTAGACCAGCCAAATTACAAATCATCGAAAGAATTAGATTTATCAAAATTTCATCAATTGGAAGAAATTCAAATGAATAACATGTTAGAGTTTACATTGTTACCAGATAACTTGAAAATTTTAATACTCAGTGAGTCTTCATTATCAATTTCACCATCATTAAATTTTTATCAACTAAATGTTTTATGTTTGGAAGCACCATTAACTTTAATTTCATCAATAATGATTCGGAATAAATTACCGATCAATCTTAAAGTTTTGTCATTAATTGAAAGAGAAGAATCTAAAGCTATAAAAGATATAAAAGTTGGTATTGATATAGATAGTCGAATTAAAGAAAAAAAGAAGTTTGAAGCTCCAAAAAATTTACATACTTTAGAAATCAAATTCAATGAACCATTCTATATGAAGCATTTAATTTTACCAAACTTAGCATGTTTAATATTACAGAATCTTAATTTTTCCATCATTGAGTCAAATAATAAAACTTTCAATTTATATGAGATCAAACAAGATAAAGCTTTGAAATGGCAACTTCCTGCATCAACCACAATTTTGAAGTTAAACAACATTAATTCTGTACAATTGGAAATTCCATCTAATATTAGAGTCTTACAATTGGAAAACTGTCAGTTGACTAAATTTGAGGGAGTTCTCAACAATCTAGAAGTATTAGATTTATCAAATAATCATATAGATTCAATTAATTTAAATTCGCATCCTGATTTAATTAAATTAAATTTATCAAATGCTCAATTAGACTTGGTTAAACCTACCAAGATTGCAAATTCGTGTGAAGTTTTAGATCTATATTCAATCAAACCTATAAGATTTATAAGTGTTCGTTATAGGTTTCCATATCATTTGAAACAATTAAGGATTTCAGTATTAACAGATTTAGTTCCAAATTTATTAGATGTTTTAAATGATAATATTGAAGTTCTAATTATTGATGGTTGTAAGAATGAAAAATCAATTGAAGAACTAACTTTAAATTTAACATTTTTGGTATTCTTAGAAAAATTTCAAATTAGTTTAACACCAGATATATCTTTAAAAATACGTCAATTAAATGAATTGAAGATATTAAATTTACAAAATTTAAAACTTGAAAATTGCTTAAACGATGTTATTTTAAAAGAATTCCACGCAAAGAATGTTACATTTAATACAAAATCTACATTAAATAAATCGGTTGTTAAATATAGTATTTATGAATGTAAAAAAACTGAAAATTTAAAAAGATTTGCAATAACTGAAAAGTGTTTATATCGTGAAACTAGATTAGATATATAGAAAAATACATAGAATAATTGCTTAAAATATTTTTTTTGCAACCATTTTTTGCAACCATTTTTTTGCAACCATTTTTTGCAGCCAAAAAAAAAAAAAAAAAAAAAAAAAAAAAATTATGATAAAATGCATATTTATTTAACTATATACTTTATTTAATTTTGAATAGGCATTGAAGTTGATGGTTTTAAAATTTCATCATCTAAGTTATTTGATTTCCATAATGCAGTGATAGTTTTTGGTTTAGTGTAAAATAATATACCTGATTTACCATAGAAATTCAAATCACCTAAGAAAGAACCTCTTGAACCAGTAAAACCAAACATTGGTAATGGAACAGGTATAGGAACATTAATACCCATTTGACCAACATCAGCATGTTTTTCAAAGTATTTAGCGGATGGACCTGAATTTGTGAATAATGATACACCATTACCATATTTATTCTTGTTAATTAATTCTATTGCTTCATCAATAGTATCAACATTGACAATTGATAAAACAGGAGCAAAGATTTCTTCATCATATGCTCTCATTCCTGGTTTAACATTTGCTAAAATAGTTGGACCTAAGAAATTACCTTTTTGGAATTTTGGATCAGATGGTCTATAACCTCTACCATCTAATAATAATTCAGCACCTGCTTTAACTGAGTCTTCAATAATTTCTTCTGCTCTTTCTAATGATGATGGGTTAATTAATGGACCTAAATCTGACGACTTATCAAAACCTGAACCAGTAATTAATTTTGATGCATCTTTAACAATATCTTGTATCCATTCTTTTGTTTTTCCAACAGTAACTAAAACTGAAATAGCCATACATCTTTGACCTGCAGCACCAAATGCAGCACCATTCAACGCATTAATGAATTGTTGTTTTGGAGCATCTGGTAATACAACTAAATGATTTTTAGCACCTAAATTAGCTTGAACTCTTTTACCTAATGCTGAACCTTTTTCATAAATATATTTACCTGCTTTATCACCACCAACAAAAGTTAAAGCTTTAATACGTGGATCTTCAATTATTTTATTAACAGTGTCATGTTTACCATGAACAATATTAATAACACCTGGTGGAACACCAGCTTTTGCAGCTAATTCACAAATAATCATGGCAGCACCTGGAACTCTTTCACTAGGTTTAATAACTGCAGTATTACCTGTAACTAAAACTAAAGGTAATGACCATAATGGAACCATGGCTGGGAAATTAAATGGACAAATTGAACCAACAATACCTAATGGTTCTCTAATCATTTTAGTTTCCATATCAGTTGAAACTTCTAATGTTTCACCTTTTAAGTCATTTGTAATATTACATGCAGCTTCAGCAACTTGTAAACCTCTAGTAACATCACCTTGAGCATCAACAAAAGTTTTACCTTGTTCTAAGACAATGACTGAAGCAATCCTATCCATATTTTCTCTTAATAATTGAACAAATTTGAAAGCAATACCTTGTCTTTTAATAATACTGGTATCTCTCCAAGCTGGAAATGCCTTTTCAGCAGCTGAAATAGCTTCTTCTAATTCAGCAGCAGTTGATTGTGGAACTTTTGAAACAATATTATTAGTTGCTGGATCATGAATATCAAACCATTCTTTTGAATCTGATTTTATAAATTCATTATTAACAAATGATGGTGTTAAATAAGGTTCTGAAACTGAATGATCTTTTGGATAGTTAGTTAAAGTTGATGACAATTGTAAAATTGATTTAAATCTTAAACCTAATGGTCTAGCTGTAACACTTTTTCTAACAACTTTTGATAACATATTGAAGAGTGATTGCTAAAAGAAAAAATTATAAACTTAATGACTTTGTTGAACTATATATAAAGACCCTAAAATATGGAAGTCGATTTACGTGGTACGCCCAGTTTTGTGTAACAAAATAATTTTGCATGTGGAGATCGTGTCGGAAACACGACGGATATTGACTTTTGGTGAAGCGCAAATTCATGTACGCCGATAATGTTGGATGAATCATTTCAGGCCCGCCGTGCACCCGTTCATGCTTTTATTACTAATTCGTTGTAAATTTAAAGACACGATGAGTCAAAGAGACATGGTAGAGCCTAGATTGAAATTTGTTCCGAGTGGAGTAAATGCCCATTAATCGATCTATAAGGGTCTTAGAGCGCTAGAAATTTAATTATGCATTCAAAAGTAATATCAAGATCCTTTGGTTCTGTTTCCTTTTTTTTACCAAATGCAGCACTACTTCATTTATGCAAAACTTTAGCGCAAAAAATGCATTGCGAGTATCAGTTAATCCGAAAACTGTCTATCTATTCTCTATAAACATCAAAATACAAATCTAATAAACAAGATGAAGACCAAGCTTGTGTTGGACTCGAGTCACTGCATAACTCCCCATCTTTATTAGTTAATTCTGTTAATCCAGCCCATGGACTTTTCTTTATTTCTTCTTTTAAATTATCTAATCTTGAATTAATTTTAACTAATGCAGTTTCTTCATTATCTTTATGGAAATATAATAAAGCTCTTAAAAAATAACCTGTTGGCCATAACCATTCTGGACCTTGATGATAATTTCTACCTTTTGAAGTTGCAAAATCATCATTATCAATTGAGTTATTATAATATGGACGATAATTATAATCACTTGGATCTAATGTGGCTATACCTAATGGACCTCTAATAATTTTATCAGCAATCTCAAGACATTTTATTGCTTTTTCCTTGGTAAATAATTCGGGTGCAACAACCATGGCTATTGGGAAATTTGCTCGTAATTGATATTCTTCGTATTTTTTAGTGGTGTTTGTTAAATCTTTATAAATACCCCTTCTGTTAACACAATCTTTTTGGATAATATATTTATCATCATCTTTTGGATCTAATGGAATATAATGATGTTTTTCAAAATTATCTTGAATTAATTTTTCCCATTCTTTAAATGTAATTTTACCATCTTCTTTTTCAACACTGTCATAGAAAAGACCATCTTTACTCAATTTATTAACAAATCTCAATGCACTTTTTAATAAACCTTGTAATTCAATAGGTGCTCCATTTCTTGGAGTACCTGGATAACCTTTATTTCCAGCTTTTTCACTTTCACCCATTTTATCCATCCAAGTACCACAATTCCATTCATTACCTCCATGAACAAAACCAGTGTTCCAATCAATATAAATTTCAACATTAAATCCTTCATCTTTCATTTGTGAATCTAAATTAGGACCTGCATTTGCTTCTCTATATTTAATACCTTTTGCATGACGTTGAAAAATTTCATAAATTATATCCTTAATTGAACTCATATATGTAAATGCATCTTTATAATCGATATAAGTATCATCTTTTGGAAATCTTCTACTAACTTTTTCATCCAATATATTAATACCATTTGGCACATATGTAACATATTCTTGAATAGCTTGCAAGAAAAACCAAACAGCATCTCTTGCATTATATCTAGGATTTCTACCAGCATCCAATAAATTTGGAATTAATCCATGTTTTAAAGTTTTAGCAAAACCTAAAATGTGCTCCTTTGCATCTTTAAATCTACCAGGAACTATCAATAAACCTCTAAATGAAATGAAAACATCTCTACCCCAACATCTCATATAATCGTTTGAAAAATGGGGTAAACCTGCTGCTAAACATGGAACTGATTTATCTGGTAATAAACTTGTATTATTCATGTAACCACACATTTGAATTGAAGTCAATGCTAAACTTTGAACAAAATTGGTCGATGTTTGAATTTCTTTATCAAATAATCTTAAAGCTCTAAATCTTGCAGCTTCGTAAGCAATACCAACAATTAATGCAAAATAATGTGGTCTCAAAAAGTATGGAACTTTTCTAATTTTATCAAATCTTGATCTCAACCATGATTGAAATTTTCTAATACCCTTAGATTCATATCTATCTAATCTATTGACAATATAATCCAATGCCCATTCACCATCTCTTAAATGATTACAAATTGGATGACCTAAATTGTTTGCCCAAACAACATTTTTCAAGGCAGTATTCCAGCCTTCTAAACCAGCATATACAAGTTTGCCATAATTTGGAATGTCATAAGTATCTTCTTTACCACCACTTGCATCTAACTCTTCTGGCGTAGCTTTGTATAATACAGCATTTAAATCGTACAAATCTAAATCTTTTGAAGCTTCAATTGCACCTTCTTTAACATAATCATCAATCGAAATATCAACACCTGGAATTTTTATTGAGAACACGGATATAGCTCCTGGTACAAAACTTTCATTAATTTTGATTACTGATTCACCATCATTGTATTCAACAATTGGTGGCTCCAATTCTTCAACTTTTACAGGAATACCAGTCAATGTTTTATCATTTGAAGAATCATAATCTCCAGTTTGAACTAATTTATAAGAAAATTCATGTTTAACTTCAGTACCTGATAAAACACATGGTGATAATATTTGTGGACCTTCTTGATTAAATTTAGTTCTTGCAATTAAAAACCAACCTTTACCAGTTCTAGCATTATATCTTTGAATAGTAATGTATTGACCTTCATGATGAATATACATTTCATGATCTCTTAAAATATCTTCACTTTCTCTTGATAAATCTTCTCTAATCTTATACAATTTTTGCTTTACTTTACCAATACCATTTTCAGTTATTTCATATTGTCTTTTTTCATTAACGACATTTAACAAGTATGGAAAACATTCATCATATCCAAAAACAGAACCAATAGCAGAAGAGCAAAATGCAACTAAAGCAGCATTTGGCAAAGTATCTTCAACAGTTCTTTTTTGATTTGGCATTTCGTTATCATGAGTACAATCAAAAAATATAGCATGTGGTTGTTGTCTGATTAAAACTTTTGGTATATCTAATTCGGTATAACCACCAAATTTTCTAGTTGCTTCTTCATCTGCTGGATAAGAAAAATCATCCAATGGTAACCAAGTTAATGAACCAATTGGTCTACCACCATGTTTATGAACTAATCTTGATAATTCACCTGTGTTCCAAGCTTGCATAGCTTCTCTAATTAATGAATTTATACCTAATCTTTCAACAAAAATCTTATCCATTTCTTCAGAACCCGAAAATAATTCTGCAATCACATATAAATTTGGATTAATCTTTCTTGCTTCATCTAATAATCTTTCACCAACATGTAAAGGAGTTGAATGACAATTATCAATTCTAAACCCATTGAAAACTTTTGCTGACTCTTTAGTATATTCAATCATTCTATCCCAAGTTTCAGGTGCATCTTCATATTTATCACCATATCTTAATTTAACACAATCACCCCAAACAATAACTTCTCTTCTTAAATAAGCTTTTGATTTATTACTTGCAAAATCAACAAGTGGATTACCACCCCAAATCCAACCATTATTAGCTAATGCTTGTTTCTTTCCTGATTTATCAATAAATCTTGTGAAATAAGGTTCAGTTAATGGTGATTTCTTGGTGATTGGACCTAATTTTGGTCCATTATCAGCTAATCTTAAATATTTAATTCTATCACCAACTTGTTTTTCAATGGATTTAATATCATCATCATAAGCAGCATATAAATCAACATTAATTTCATCAATAATTTTTTGTGCTTTTTCAATAATTACATTTAAATCATCTCCAAAGTTTAGCAAAATGGCTAAAAATTCTTTTATATCAATTTTATTTTCAAATCTATGACCAATAATTGGAGGTTTTGCAATTCGTTTAGCCAATTCTTTAATATCTAAGTTTGAAACTTCTTTTTTCTCCACTTTATGATTGTTAAATTCTTTCTCCAATTCATCAATGGTTTCTCTTTTATTATAAACGTAGAATTCCCATAATTTTAATTCATTGATGACATGATTTTCTATACCATTTATAATTTTACTTAAATCACTTTCACTTTTAATTTCCGTAGGTAATTTGAGCTCCTCTAATCTGTCTGAAAACTTTAATAATGCTTCATCTAGTTCAATTGCAGCTATTAAATGAGGAGCAGTATCTTGATTGTAACCCGAATTTGGGGCATCTTCTAACCATTTTGAATTATTAGCAGTGTGATTCCAAACAACATCAGTTAATGATAATAAATTGTTCTTTTTCAATACACTATGTATCTTTTCTGTTGCTTCATCATTGATTTTAAATATGGTAGGATCAATTCTCAATTGATCATAAATTGAATACGGAGAATCAGATTCACCTCTTTCTTGTAATGGAGTGAAATGGATCATATTATAACCTTTTGACAGCACCAATTTGAAAAACTTGTCCCAATTTTCAAAAGGTCCAATCCATTTAGAAACAACAGTTTCGATATTAATAGCGTTAAAAGGGATAAATTCATCATTTATAGTCAAATTTGGAGGTACATTAAAATAATATTTCTCACTTAATTTAGTTTCTCCCGATTCTTCATCTTTATAATCAATATAATAGTTGTAAACTCCTGGTTGATAAATTTTTATATCAATTACAGTATCTTTGTTAAATGAAGTAGCAATTGGATATTTATAATGTGTATTTCGATCATATTCAATATCTGGTTTGTTTGGAACATTTGTATACAAAACACCTTTATTTGAAACTTTACTAGCAGCATTTATATGAAATCTTAAAGTAAACAAAACATCACCTTTTTTGTAACCCCTGGGTAATGCAGTTGATGGTAAAATTAAAACACCATTATTGATATCATCATTGTTAACTGGTTTACCTAAGGTTGATAATCTAAACAATATTGTTCGATCTTCATTCATGATAAACAATTGGCTTCTATAAAGTTGTAATTGTTAGTTAAAGAAGCAGCAATCTAGTCGAAATTTTGTCCGCACCACTGTAGTACTAAAAATAAATCTTGTCTCGTAAATTTTGTAAAATGACACAAAATTATTTTCACCCCGTTTCATTTTTGCAACAACAACTTATGATTTTTATTACCGATTAATTAGAAGGAGTCTTCGTATTGCAAGGCGTAAAGAAAGTTTGAATAAAAGCATTTGCTCTACTTCAATGCGATAGGGAGTCTCTCTTTGACTCTTGTTTATTACTACGAAAGTTTGTTTAATTTTCAAAAAAAAAGACCGTCAAAGTGGTGTTAGATTTTCAAACAACTAAATTTACTCCTTTAATTGTCAAGACATTTTTACATTTACGTTCACAGAAAACTTAGAGTGTCTCTTCTCGAAACAGAAAGCGGTTGTTGTTCGATCCTGTATATTTTTCAGCTGTATTCAACTCGATAATTTAACAAACCATTTTTATTCTGATAGAGGCGTAATAGAGTGATCATTCATATAAGAGTTTCATGAGTTCTAGCCGATGAAACAACTTGTTCTATTTAAAGTGAAGCCGGACAAAGTCTTAACGTTTTAATGAAAAGTTTAACATTATAGTATGTAGTTTGAGGTCGTTACAAGACGAGTGCGAGGTCGTTTCAATGCTAGCGCAAATTAATCATCAAGATGAGGATCTCTCGTGCTCGTAGGTTAAAGTTTAAACTTAAAATCGATTTTTGATATTCAATGTCGAAAACTCCCTATACTTATGTGAAATAACACTATTCTACGCATTTTTCGTCAATGAACCATCTCATAAAATGTCGGTGTTGGCTACATTGACACACTTATATTACATTAATCCATTGATTACAATATGGCGTATCGAAAATGAATTCCAGCGCATCTGGTAGCACCACAATCGCCCCAATTAGGAATGATAATTAATTCCAAATTCGTACCAATTCATACCAAATTTGGTCGTTTGCCATTTATTGTTGGCTTACATAATAGGTGAGTAAAAAAATACCATTTTTCTAATTTTAATCATTCACGACTTTCAACTTTAAAACAAATTTACTTATCAATCACAACAACCAAAAACTAGTTTTAATTATTCAATCAATTATATAACAATCATTAATTATGGGTATATGCTGTTCTTGTGGTCGATCAAATGATGCAAGTAATACTCAATTATTACTAGCTGAAAATGAACGTGAGGCAATTTCAGCTTTATTACAATATTTAGAAAATAGGTCAGATGTTGATTTTTTCAGTAATGGTCCATTAAGAGCATTAAGTACATTAGTTTATTCAGAAAACATTGATTTGCAAAGAAGTGCAGCTTTAGCGTTTGCCGAAATTACTGAAAAAGATGTCCGAGAAGTTAATAGAGATGTATTAGAACCGATTTTAATATTATTGCAATCAACAGATTCTGAAGTTCAAAGAGCTGCATGTGGTGCATTAGGTAATTTAGCTGTTAATACTGAAAATAAAATATTAATTGTTGAAATGGGTGGTTTGGATTCTTTAATTAGACAAATGATGTCAACAAACATTGAAGTTCAATGTAACGCAGTTGGTTGTATAACAAATTTAGCTACTCAAGATGATAATAAATCAAAAATTGCTAAAAGTGGTGCATTAATACCATTAACAAAATTGGCAAAATCAAAAGATATTAGAGTACAAAGAAATGCCACTGGTGCTTTATTAAATATGACACATTCTGGCGAAAATCGACAAGAATTAGTTAATGCTGGTGCTGTGCCTGTTTTAGTTTCATTATTATCAAATGATGATGCTGATGTTCAATATTATTGCACAACTGCATTATCAAATATAGCTGTTGATGAAATTAATAGAAAAAAATTGGCAAGTACCGAACCAAAATTGGTTGGTCAATTAGTTAATCTTATGGATTCACCTTCACCAAGAGTACAATGTCAAGCTACATTAGCATTAAGAAATTTAGCATCCGATTCAGGTTACCAAGTTGAAATTGTTAGAGCTGGTGGTTTGCCTCATTTAGTAAGTTTATTAACTTGTAACCATCAACCATTAGTATTGGCTGCTGTTGCATGTATTAGAAATATATCAATACATCCATTAAATGAAGCTTTAATTATTGAAGCTGGTTTTTTAAAACCTTTAGTTGGTTTATTAGATTATACTGATTCAGAAGAAATTCAATGTCATGCAGTTTCAACATTAAGAAATCTTGCTGCAAGTTCTGAAAAGAATAGAACTGCTTTATTAGCAGCTGGTGCTGTTGATAAATGTAAAGAATTGGTTTTAAAAGTTCCATTATCTGTCCAATCTGAAATTTCGGCATGTTTTGCTATATTAGCTTTAGCTGATGATTTAAAACCAAAATTATATGAAAGTCATATCATAGATGTTTTAATACCTTTAACATTTAGTGAAAATGGTGAAGTTTGTGGTAATTCAGCTGCTGCTTTAGCTAATTTATGTTCAAGAGTTTCAAGTGAACATAAACAATATATTTTAAATAATTGGTCACAACCTAAAGAAGGTATATATGGATTTTTAATTAGATTTTTAGAAAGTGGAAGTGCTACATTTGAACATATATCATTGTGGACAATTTTACAACTTCTTGAATCAAATAATGAACAAATTAATTTATTAATTAAAGAAAATTCCTCAATTTTATCAGGTATAAAAAATCTAAGTGCAAGTCAACAACAAATTCAACAATCACAAATAAACAATCATCAAGATGATCAATATGAAGATCCAAAAGTTGAATTATTTAATTTAACTCAACAAATATTACAAATATTAGGATAGAATAAGATTCTATATATTAATGAATATCTAATTTAGTTCTAATTGTAGATTTGCAGATTCTTCCTTTTTAGTTCTTTCCTTTTCAGCTTCTGGTTTCTTATCAGAGACAGTTAATTCACTTAATTTTTTGAGTACTTCAGCATCTTCTTTTTCAACTTTTTCATTTTCAGTAATCAATTGTTGTAATTCTTCATCAACATCAGCATCTTGCGTATTATATAATGCTTCATTAATCTCTTCTGTTTTAGCAACTTCTTCATCAATGTCCATTTTCAACTTATCTACTTCATTTAAATCAATTTTCTTATTTAATTTTTTCAATATTGACGAACTTGTAACCATTTGATTGAAAATTTCATGATTTAAAGTAGACTCATTGATTTTATCAATTATTGTATCAAGCTCAGCATGTATATTGATATTCTTCTCCAATTGTAATGAAAGCATCTTCTTTTCGTTTAGTAATTGTTTCAATTTGAGTTTTTGTTGATCTTTTGGTAATTTCAAAACTTGTTTTAAATCTATTTGTAATAATTTTGACTCTAGCAACTCATTTCTCTTGCTTAATTTATCTATCGTTAGTTTCATATTGATTAATTTTATATCATCTTCTGTAATTGGATCATTTCCTATTTTTATATATTCTTGGTTTACTTGTACTAGTTGTTTATCTCGACTCCAATACTTTAATAATATAATTAAGTCAATCTTGGTGAGTCTAATATACTTATTAATAAACTCTAGTAGTAGATCTTCATTAAATAATTTAGATATGCATGAATTATCAACATGTTTTAATATAATATCAAACACGTAATCCCCATGTTTTGTCAACTCATCAACTGATATAAGCCTATCATCTACCAATTTACCATCTTTAACTGCAGAATATCTAAATAAACTCCTTCTACTCCAATTGATCCATGATTTAATAGATATATAAGTTTTCAACCCACTTTGAAAAAAAGCAACATCTTGTTTCATATAAATTGAGTACGGTATTAACACTTCTTTATCTATTAACTCTTGTATTATATTGCCTAGATTCTTTGGTTCTCCATACTTATCCAATGCAAGATAATTCAGTAAATTAGGTTGATAAGATGATATTGATATTTGAGATTGCGGTAGATAAGTTTCAGATTGAATCAATTTGATTAATAAAGTTTGCCACGCAGTTAAATTTGCTTCATAACCTTCAATATTTAATTCTTTTAATTTATCAAATTTAGAATATAAAGAAGTTAATCTTGATTCCTTAAATTGTGGTATTGATCTTATAAAATCTTGTACCATCATCGCGATAAAGATAAAAATGGGAATGCGCATCTCGTCTATTAATTAATCTTTAAACTATTTAAATTTAATTCAATTTGATCTCTTAATCTATCAACAACTTCTAATATTGCATTGGATGCTGGTGAGTCAGGATAATGATCAAAAAAACATTCACCCGAATCACAACATTTTCCTATCCTTGGATCTAACGGAACTGAACCTAAAAATGGTATATTTAATTCTTTACATAATGCTTCACCACCACCTGTTGTTGGTTTAAATATTTGACTCTCATGTTTACAATTTGGACATACAAATCCTGACATATTTTCAACAACTCCCAAAATTTTTATACCTGCTTTTTTACAAAAATCAATTTCTTTTCGTACATCCAATAATGCAACTTCTTGTGGTGTTGTTACAATTAAAGCTCCGTCTATTCCAACTTCTTTCATATATGAAGTAACTGATAAATGTTCATCAGAAGTACCTGGTGGTGTATCTACTATTAAATAATCTAATACATCTCCCCAATGTACATCTTTTAAAAATTGTTTAATTAATCCATTCTTTTTACCACCTCTCCATATTATAGCTAAATCTTGATCAGGTAACATGAATGATATACTCATTAATCCTAAATTATCACTTACATAAACTGGTGTCCAACCTGAATTTGATTGATGTATTGATTCTCCATCAGCTCCTAACATTTTTGGTAACGAAGGGCCACAAATATCTAAATCCATAGCACCAATTTCTAAATCTTCATCTGCAGCTAATGCCCACGATAACATAGATGTAAATGTTGATTTTCCAACACCCCCTTTGCCACTTAGCACTAATATTTTATGTTTTATTAATGATAATCGCTTATTAATTTCAGGTAGATCTGGATCAGGACCTTTTGGTATTTGACTTGAGCAGATTTCTTGATTTGCACAACCTTTACAAGCATCATCCTTACCGGCTACATTAGATTCTGGACCAGGACAATGTTCTGGTTCTGGTTCTATTAGTTTATTTTCAATTTGACTTGGTGACATATTAATTTATAATGATTAATAAAGAGATCAAAATTTCTTTTTTTTATTTTGTGCTACCAAATAACATATATTTATAAATTTGATAATCTATTATCGAAGAACTCTATACTATCAATATTCAACTTCAAATTGGTTACTCTTTGCTTATCTGATGTACTTATTGATTTATTCTCTATTATTAAATTACCAACTTTTTTAGATATTATATTTAATGCAATTTTTTCTTCTAATGTGGTATCATATTTAATTAATGGTATATTGTTTAATAAAAATTGTAACCCTTCAACATCATTTGATTCTAGATTGAGAAAAGTTTTGTAAATACCAGCACCAATATTCCAATCTGAAATAATTAATCCTTTTTGTGGGAACCTATCAAATATATCATTTAATTTTTCTTCAGATTGTGATGAGTTTGAAATGACCACTGATGGACCTAAATTAGATACAATAGTCGTGTGAGCTTCTTCATATAAATTAACCTTCAATAATGCTTCAACTTCTCCCCAATAATCTCCGTTATTTCTTTTATGTATAGCTAATGCTTCATATATTGTTGTTCTTGGTAGTTTTAAAACTTCAACCAAATGATTTTCTTTTGATATTATATTCTGAATTTTAGATCTTATTAAATCTATTATCAATTGTTTAGACTCATCAGCATTTTCAATTTGTGAATAGACTATTATACCTTCTTTCCAGTAATTTTTGTAACTCAAATAATCTCCAAAAGATTTTGAAATTGAATCATTAGGTCTATTTAAAATTGTGCATGCAAACCATTTCAATTTGTCATTTAATGAAGTACTCTCTATTTGAAGTTCACCAGTGTACACTTTCAAAACATCAGTTATTGCAGATTTTGGTATTATACACTTAAATTCATTAAGCAAACTCTTTATATCTTGATTATCGCCATAAAATAATTTCACAGCAAATGCAATATTCCAAGGTAAGTTTTGTATAACATCATCTAATTCTCGTGCTAATAATTGATATATCTTTACAATTGATTTTGGAATTAATGAAAGTGTATCATGATCTTTCCAACTTATTAATTGATTTTTAGCAATTGATTTTACTACTTCATCATTTGAATCTGACAAAGTGACAATAACAGATAAATGATTATTATTAGCTGACATTGATGTCTCAATAGCCTTGATTAAGTCACCAGCACATAAATAAATAAAAGTTTTCTCTAAAGGATCATCTTTAAACTCATCAAGTAATTTTTGAATAGATACTGAATTGTAATTTTTCAACCACTTACCAAACGATTCAAATTCATCGAATAATGAAGAAGCCAAGGATATTATTTGATTTTCTTCCAAATCTTCACTGATAATATGTTTAAAACTAAACTCATATGATGGATTCTTTTGTAATTTTGGAAATCCATTTTCTCTGGATATCATTTGTGACTTCACTAATAATTCATGAAATACAATAGGTATATTATTAGTATAAATATTGTCTTCTTCAATTTTTGATGATTTTGATTTTGTTGGTGTTGACATATTAATACTATTTTTATTAAAATCTGAAAATAACAAATCATCAACTTTTTCAATTGTCATACGTTGATCTAATGGTCTATCTAATGGAGCCAACGCTGAATTTAATTGATTTGCCAATTCTAATTGCAATAACCAATCATCAGCAGTAGGTAAATTAGGTTTTGATTGGATTATATCAAATACTTGATCATTTGAAATTTCTGGTTCATATGCTTTTTCATCTACTATATCATCTAAATTAGTTCCTGGTGGTAAATAATTTGCCAATTGTTTCATATAATTAACTACACCAGTTACATCTTCATCTTCATCTAATTCCATTTCTGGTGTTGATCTCTCTGAATCAATAGTTATATTACTAACTTGTTCACTTAAAACATTTGTTGATTGATCATTTTTATATTTCGTCAATTCATTTATAATTTCTTCAGATACTAGTTTTCTCTTTATATTCATTGGATTTTCACTAGCTGGCAATGAATATTCCCAACCTCCAGGTACAATTTTTGTTTGCTCATTTAATTTTTGTTTCTTTAATTCTTGTTGAAATTTTTCATTTTCGTATAATTTAGAATATTCCATTGATGCTTCTTCTTCTTCATCATCCTGTTTTCTTTTCATTGCTAGTAAATCTTCATCTTCATCAACTAAACCCCATACACTAAAATGTTTAACTTTGAAAACCCAAATATGAGTTATTGGATCATATGTAATAAATTCCATACCAACTTGTTTCTTTAAAAATTTAATATGATCATCAATCGATAGATTTTGTTTTGGTTTTACATTTTCTAACGTGATTGTAGCAGGTACATTCAAATCATTTCCAATGGGAGGTTTATTTGGACAGTCTTTATATGTGATAACCATCTTATTACCAATTTGAATAATTTTACCAAATAATTCTTTTTCCAATGCTCCATTACTTTCAGCTACTATTTTAGTTAAATCAACTGGATAATTATATGCAATTTGTCCACATCCAACTCTGCCAACTATAAAATTTTCTAAATTAGACAATTGTTCGTTTGACATATTTAATAATTCAGGTACTGAAGGTGATGACCAATATCCATCGTGTAAATCAGTTTCATTAACTGTAGTTTCAGGTTGTGTTTCCTTATTTGATTCAACTTTGATTGTTGTTTTAGTTTCAATATCTTCTTGAACGCCATCTTTTTTAAATCTAGCAAATGCTTTATCCGAGATCATTTCTTCATCAATTTCTTCATCTTCACTAATATAATTTTCTTGTAATATTTTGTCTGAAGTTACCGTATTATTTAACACAACCTTTCTCCTTTTTGCATTGAAAATTTTATTTACGTCAATTAAATGATACTTAACAAGTTTAGACTTGATAGTTAACCTTTTCATACTTCCTATTCTTCTTGCATCGATTGATTTATATGATGGTCTTGAAATTGCCTTAGGTGTAACTGTTGATGAAGCAATAGCTAAAATATTTTTAGCTGAAGGTGAGGTTGATGATATAAGTTTTTGTTTATCTCTTGAATTTAGTATTTCGGATGAAGTAAATAAGCCTTTTAATGATTGTAATGATGGATTTGTAGCTGTATTTCTTAAGAATTTAAAAGTCTGACCCAATTTTCCCAATAATGATGATGACTTTGGTTTTTGAGGATTTGTTGTAGGTTTTGTGTTATCTGAAAATATGGTTGTGGTTATTGATTCTGGCATATTTGCAGTAGATGCTTGTAAATTGGAAAGAACTTGAGAATAACTATATGGATTGGAGTTATTTACAGTTAAATCAGTTGATGGTGCTTGTGAATTTAGAAAGCTTGGTTGTGTGTTTGTTGTATTACCAAATAAATTGGAGCCAGTATTTGAGCCAAATGTTGATGTATTTGTTTGGGGCTGGTTAGCTGACCCAAATAATCCTCCAGTATTATTGTTTCCAAATAAATTGCTTGATGTTGGATTTGTGTTGGTGTTTCCAAATAATCCACCACCAGTGTTGTTTGTATTTGTGTTTGATGAGCCAAATAAACCACCAGTATTTGAACTAGTACCTGAATTACTAAATAAGCCTCCAGAGTTTGTATTGGCCCTGCCAAATAAACCTCCACTATTTGACGTAGTATTTGTATTGGAGTTACCAAATAATCCACCAGTATTTGAATTAGTATTTGAATTAGTATTCGTATTAGAGTTACCAAATAATCCCCCAGACGTATTGCTTTGTGAATTACCAAATAAATTTGAACTTGTATTATTGCCTGTTGTTGATGATGCATTTTGAGTATTACCAAATAAACCTCCAGCATTTGTATTCAGTTTTCCGAATAAACCACCAGTATTAGTATTTTGTGAATTTCCAAATAAACCACCAGAATTTGTATTTGAATTACCAAATAAACCACTAGTCGTACTTGATGTTGGGCCATTCATTGAATTTCGCCTTGCGCCAAATCCACCAAAAGATGATGCAGTTCCATTATTAGTTGTATTATTATTTGATCCAAATGAGAATGACATGGCTATGTAATATTGTCTATCTCAATTGATCTGAGATCTATTTATAATACAGGGTTGTTCGATCGTTTGTTTATTAAAGCAAAATTTCAAAAAAAAAAAGTTGGTATTTACACTAAATTATTATACCATCGTAAAAATATTAAGAGGTTATCCTTAAGGGGTAATATATATGCAATGTTCATTTTTATTTATTGATTTGTAATTTCTAATTTTAATATTGATTCAGCACTATACCAAAACTTATCAAACCTTCTAAGATTACCTTTTTGACTATATACTTTATTTGGTATACCTATATCAATTAAATAATGTATAATATCATTACCATCTTTATGTGATAGATTACCATTTTTATATGCTAATATAATACCACTTAAAGGTATTCCCATTGAAATACACCACTTACAGTTTAACTTCAACGATAACTCCAGTAATGTACCTGACCCACCATCAATACCAGATGGAATATCTAATGATAAAATTTTTGATTTTTGTTGTGATGAATTACACCATTGAATTAATTGAGTTAATGATTTTAAATCATCATCTTGATAAAATATATCTTCTAAATGATCATCATAACCTTGTAATGCATCAATTATTAATTCAACAGGTGTATCTAATTCATTATTAATTATATTTAACAAATTATTGAAATCTGATCTGATAGTTTTACCTCCACTTAATTCAAAATATCTCAATTGATCTTTTATATCTTCATCATCTGATGATATAACAAATGCTAATACTCTTATACCATGATTTGATAAATGCCTACCAGTTGCTAATGCTCGATTTCCACACCTACCACTACCAACTAATAATAAAACCAATGGTGGTAAATTGTGATTTTTTCGATTACTTAATCTAGAAGCTCCTCCTAGTATATTTTGCATAATTAGCTGTGATAAAATACTAGCACAAACTTCGGCCGACATAGACGGTGAAACACCAAAAGAATCGTTAGCTAATCTTTCAATTTCTAATAATTGCACTGGACTTGCTAATGGAATAGTATAAAGATTTGATGGATTTATTAATTTTAAGTTTTGATTCTGAAGCGGTTGATCTATTCCTGTTGGTTGTCGACTTAAAGTTGGAGTTGAAGATTTATTAATTAAACTTGAAATAATAGATGTCCCAATATTGTCCCAATTATCGTTTTTATCCTCGAGAACCATTTCATTATGATCATATTTTTCTTTTTCGGGTTTTGCTCTTACATTCTGAACTTTATTATGACTAACTAATCTTTCACTAGGTTGGGTATGATCCTTCTTTTGAAAATCTGCAAATACCGATTTTTTATCAAACATTGCTAAATTAGCTTGGAAATCAAAATCTGATAAACTCCTTATATCTTGAGTATCATTTTCACTACCCAAATCAGGATGATCTGATAAATTGGAAGCTATAGTTTGGGATTTTTGAGATTTAGATTTTGATGCTTGAAGTTTTGGTGATTTTGACTTGTTTACAAATAAAATTGCATCATCATCAATTTGTTTATTCTTGGATTTCTTTTTATGATGATTATTTTGATCTTTAATTAAATTTGGTGGTAACTGTAAAACTTTTAAATCTGATATTAAATTATTATTATATTGCAACGATGGTATTATTTGATTTGGTTGATAGGATTGACTTACATTTGACAATAAAATTTGTTGACCATCTACATTTGTAATTGTACCAGTTGACGTACTACCATCTTTAAAACTTAATTGAACCTTGCAATTTAGAAATTCTGTCATTGAATGTTTATCCCAGGGCAAATTGAAATTTTTTTTTGTTCTATGTTGAATTTGTTAATCTAGTAATAGGTGCGACTTACACTTAATGCTACCAAATAGGTCAAGGTTGCAAACTGAACAATCAATTAAAGATTAAATTCACAATTTTGGAGAGAGTTATATTGTTTAATTTTTATATATTCACTCACTGAATAAAATATTCAATAATTTGATCAACAAATAGAAAGATTAGAAACCTAAAGCTTTAAAGATTTCACTAAGGATATCTTGAATGGTTGATGGGTTCCAGCCTAAGTCTCTAGCAATTGAGCTGATAATTGAAAGAACATCTGACCATGAGAAACCAAATGTTTTGAAAATGTTTTCAATAACATCAATAATGTTAGATGGTGACCAGTTTAATTTTTTAGCTAATGATGAAATAATTGATGGTAAATATTTAATAATATCAGAAGCAGATAATTTCAAGATTTGGAAAATTTTAGAAATGACTTGACCAAAAACATCAAAAATATTTGAATCATCTCTTGTAGATAAATCTTGCTTGGTAGCATCAACAATTTGTTTTGTGTTAGCATCATCTAAGTGTAACCAATTTAAGATATCTTCAACAACTGATTCGACATCAGCAATAACTTCTTCAGTTTCGTTAATAAAACCAAAAATTGTTGAGACAATAATTGGAATATCTGATTCAATGTCACCAATAATTGATTTACTAACGATAACACCATTAAGATCAGTAACGTTTTCTGATCTGGTAGCTAATTCTTGGACATCACCAACTGGGACAACAGCAGCTTGAGCAAACAAAAAGAAGAAAGCAGCAGTAACAACTTGTAAAAATTGCATTGTAGATAATTGATTAAACTTGATTAAACTTGATTTGAATTGATTGAATTCTGATGAGACATAATTGATGGAACAATTGACCAGTATTTATACTTTTCAAGAGCATTCTCTTTTATTTCAGAGATATATCACTACTGTTGGAACGTGGATACATTGATTTCAAAGGGATTAGATTGAAATTTAGGGATTCATACTTTTAATCCTTAATTTGGAAATTTTGGGCTTAAAAGTAACTAAACATTAATTTTTGTATACATTTAAGTTTTATTGGTTTAGGACCCTTGAACCCAAAATTCCCTTTATTGCGTATTATAAGTAAATGTAAATAATGGAGTCGCAAAATAAAACAGTTATTGTGTGGCGCTAAATAGTTTGACATATTTTTCACAAAAAGTACTAATTTACCAGTAGCAAGACTTTAGTACATATTTTCCATGGTCTACGAAGCTTTTACAACTTGCAAGTTTTGTAGATTGGATCTCTATCTAGAAATTAAACTTTATGAGAGCTTCCTTTTGATATTTGCACCAAATGTAGCCATGGAAGCTTATGAGAACTGGAAGCTTATGAGCACCTAATAATTGGATGTTTGAAGCTCTGATAGTCCTTGAATCGAGTTATTGTACGTGTACGTGTCTAGACAAATGCTATTGTCTATGAATATGTAAATACTAAGAACAATAAACTAATTGTGAACAATAAATTGAGAAGTTTATTGGGAGTTGCCAACGTTTTGACGATCATCTATAATTAATACGAATTATATATTTGTAATTAATCTATGGCTTGGAATTCATATTTCATTAGACTAGGAACAACCAATGGTTAATCCAGTTGAAGAAAGTTTGGAGAATATACTATTTCTGAAAACTAACCAGATAAACCAATTTCATAACTCTGAGAACATCACAGCTAGCTTAAGGTATACAAACCTGTTGTACTGCACTTCAAATTAGCTTTTGTTCTACACAACGAATGAGATTGAATGATTTTTAGTAAATATTCTAAACAACAATGCCTTTCATTAATTGCTATGCAACCTTTTATTTTGAGTCTATTATATTATTCAGTGTTCGTAATACAACCACAAATTATTATTGGATGAATGCCACAAAGTGGTAAAAACCTTGGAATTTGAATTAACTCACAATTTTGTGTGGATTTCATGTCAATTATATAAACTCCCAGAATTTGAGCTCGTGCTTCATCAGAAAGTTGTAAACTGCTGCTCATTATGTTTATACAATGTCAAACATCGGCAAAAGTCAATGCACTAGCAGGTAACTGATTGAAGGGATGTCAACTTCGACCATTTTTAGCCTAGGGGATACGAGGATTTGCAAATTTAATCTTAGTTATTTGCAACGTGCAAGAGTAGCGATTCTGGACAATACTTTAACGAAAACTTTAATTTAGTTGAAAAAAACGTTAATTACACAAATTACTACTTTAAAGCATAGTTCAAAGTTTTCTATTAGTAACTGCTAAAGTTAATAATTCAATAATTAAAAAGGGCTCACATTCTTGTCACAAATTAAAACAACCAAAACCTTTAAAGCAAGCAAAACATGTATCCAGAAACTTTGTGGCTAGCTTAACTTAAATTGGACTTATGTAAATAAGGAATTGGTTGGTAGCAAAATATTAAGTACTGAGTACAGGTACAGCATAATTCTGAAACAAATTAGACTTATATGCAGTCTTACTCTATCAACCTTAAAATTTAAAATGTGAATAACTTTCTTAATGTTCAAGCTTTAGTTCTCAATCTTATTGTTTAAAAGCTCAACCTATTTGAATAAGATAAATGGAAGCATCTCCTGTAAAAGATAATTCTGGGAATTTAATTTACCTTCAAAAAATTGGCTGAAAAAGTTAAATTACAATATGATCATCATTTAGACTCGTCGAATTACTACCGATTTGGCTTACTTGACTCCAAATAGTTGCTACAAATACTAGATCAAGAATTGCTAATCAGAATTCGGTTTTGATTTGGAAATAATGAAAAGTTTTACATAATTGTATGATTTGACAAAGAGAGTATTGCTGATAAAATGGAACAGTTGCTGATTTATACAAAAATAGAGCAATAATTAAGTTGATGTAAATATATACAAAAGTAAGTATATACAAAAGTAAACTTAACGTAAAATACCATTTTAGTTTTTTTAATATTGATTGATTAAATTTAAAAGGCTTTTTCATGGAGAGCTCTGTTTGGATACTCTTAACTACACATCGTGCTACCAAATGTATTGCTTTTTAAAATTATATATTTTTCTTTTAAACTTAGATAGTAAGTATAATCTGAGATATAGGTCTTAGTATCGTTTTTTTACTGTTACAAAATTTGTGGTACGTTTGCGTATTTCATATAAACCATATATATAGTACGAGTCGCCCTCAATTTAACGCGAGAAATTATTTTGTAGTACGGGGATTGTCACGTTGAAAAATACATACTTTCTGAAAAGAAAATCTGAAACAATACTTATATGCAGGCTTCAATACTCAATTATTATAATAAATTAATTTGTAAATAGCTCGCTCGATATATTGAAGCTATTAATCTCAGACTTAACTCACCAAAGTATTTTGGCATTTTGTGATGAATGAAAGATATTATTTTGAATAGACTCACAGTTTTGAATACGCAATCCGTCATTTGAAAATTGAAAAAAATCCATTAAACCATGGTTCTGAGCTCATCCATAGAATAACTGAAATTTATTAACCAGACAGCATCGGTAATTAGAGGTCTAAGGTGTTATCAAACTTTATTCTAAGGTGTTATCAAACTTTATTCTAAGTTCTTAAATTAATTTGAGTTACAGTTGTGCTCAAAAGAAGATTTGAAGCAATCTCGCCTCAAAATCCACACTAGAATTTGTTTGCGGTTATAGTATAAGGCGACAAATATCATGCTACATCGTGTTATATCTCCCTGCAAGCTTAAACTCGTTATTCTTTATCGATTAATTCATATTTACTGTGAGATTAAAGAATGTATTTTATAATAAATCCGATCTAATTATAGTGTCACGATATATTAAATGATAATTTCTTTACTAATCTTATAGCCGATGTTGGCGAAGGGTTTAAATATTTTCAGACAAGATCATTCGAGTCTTGACTGATATCCCTAGAATTCCAACTGTTCACACTTCACCCTTTAGTAGCAACATCTATATAGTTTAACATAATACATACTATGGTCATTTACAGTACTTTCTCTTGTTAATCATAATTGATAAAAATTCACACTTTGATTTTAATTTTTTTTTTTTTTTTTTTTTTTTATTTTGTTTCTTGGGAATTTTTCATAGAATTATATAAATTGAATCAATAGATTAACCAACATTGAGCTCAATTGTATACCATTCATTATTATTATACCACACAATAAATATTCATTTGCTATATATTATAGATTTACATTTGCATTATGCCATCTTCAAAAAGTGAGAAATATTCATTAATTACAAAAAATACCGGATCAAAATCAATTACACCATCCGATATTTTCTTATTTATACCGAATCTTATTGGATATCTTAGAATAATAACAGCTATAATATCATTTTTATGTATGTATTTCAATTTACAAACTTTAACATTAATATTTTATGGAATATCTGGATTTCTTGATGCTTTTGATGGTTATGCGGCAAGGAAATATGATCAAGGTACAAAATTTGGTGCTGTTTTAGATATGGTAACTGATAGATGTGCAACAAGTTCATTAATTGTTTATTTAAGTTTATTATATCCTAAATTAATTGTTATATGGCAATTATTAATTAGTTTAGATTTAAGTTCTCATTATATGCATATGTATGCTATGTTATCAGATGGTAATAAAAGTCATAAAAATGTTGATCAATCTCAATCTTATATTTTAAATTTATATTATACAAATAGAAATATTTTATTTTTAGTTTGTGGTTTTAATGAATTATTTTATGTTGCTTTATATTTACATTATTATAATTGGTTTTGGTTAGGTACTTTTATGATTTTTTTAAGTTTACCAATTTGGTTATTTAAACAAATTGCAAATATAATTCAATTACAAAATGCATCTTTAATTTTAGCAAGATCTGATGCTGAAGAACATTCAAAAAAGAAGTCAGTTTAAAAATCAGATTCAATTTCAAAATTAATTTGTTCTTTTAAATTTGATAATAAATTGATTGTTTCATCATTATTATCATTAATTGTTAACTTGTATTTATAGCATTTTCTTAAAAATATTAAATCATTATTTTTAATACAATTATTTATTGAAATTGATAAATATTGTAGTTTCTCTTGTGATTCGATTGATTTGGAATATTCAAAATAAGCAATTGAAATGAATTCTAAATTATCAACTGATAAAATCTTGGGTATTAACGTTTGACAAATCTTTTGCACTTCCTCTTTATAATCTAACTCATTTAAGATGTTTAGATATATTAGCATTCCTTCAATGTAAAGTGGTAAAAATCCAACCTTGTCACATAATTGTATGTTTTGCAATAATAAGCTTAAACATCTATAATGTTTCCCACATTTATTAAGTATCTTGCATTTTAATAAATCTAATTTAATATGAAGATAATTATTAGTTGATTCAATTTGTGATATTAATTTCATAGCATATGAATAATTCTCAAGACATATTTCGATTTCAATCTGTAATAAAATTAATTCATTTCTTAACTCAATTATTTTATTGTCATTATCTAAAAGTATATCAATTAATTCCTTAGCTACTCTAAATTTACCTTTCTTTAAATTTATTCGTATCAATATGATTGAACTTCTGGTTTGAACTGAATTATATAAAGAATGATCCATATATTGTTCTTTAATAACTTGAAACTCTTGATATATTTCTTCATCATTACCACCTTGTAGAAATCGAGAATATAAAAATCTAACCTTTAAACTTATTTTATCAATTAATCTATCAGTAAAATCCATGGATAATTCATTATAAATTTCACTTAAATACGATTCTCCTGTCTTATTATATACACTTGACGTCAATTCACAAGATTTTACAAATGTAGGTTTTGAATCACCAATTGATATAAACAAAGAATTTATTGAATTGGTTATAAAATTTTCCATTAATTCATTATTTGAAATCATTTGTAATGTTTTAAAATAATATGCCATTGAATACAATACCAGTGAAATATCCTTCAGTTTTATAATTAAAAAATCTAATAAATTTGAATCATTACTATTATAAAAATTTTGTAATTTCCAAAGATTTGGTTTATTTTTAATAAAATCAAATAACCAACTTAGAATATATGTCAATGTTGAATTATCTTTATTTTCTCTTGCTATTGATATTGCTTCTTCAATTGTATCCAATGCTTTATTATCTTCATTAAAATATTGATGCAATGAAGCCTTTGAAATTAATGCAAAATGATAAAAATATTTTGAATTTGAACTGACCATATAATCAAAATATTGATGTAAATAATTAAAACTTTCATTATAATTTGATTGTGATAAACTTTCGAGATATTTTAAATAATAATATGAAGGTAAGTTGTTAAATGAAATATTTTGTATTTTATTTATATTCGGATTCACTTCTGAGTTTAACATTAGCATCATTGCATTTTTAATAATCTCTGGTGTTGGAGTTCCAAAACTTTCCATAATTTCAATTTGTTTATCTAATAATACTGAAATATCAGTCTTGGGTAGTGACATTAATTCAGTATCGTATGATAAATTAAGATCATCAATTTTAGAATTTAATTTCTTAAACAATTGTAAATCTGGATCTTCTTCCTTTTCAATAATGATTCCTCCATAATTAATGTATAATTCTCTAGATGATTCTCTAAATTGTTTAAATGATTTAAATAATAAATTACTTTCATCAAATTTAAGACATGCAAAACATGTGCAAATTTTTAATATAAATGAACCAAATAATGATCTAGATGATAATAATTTAATTTTTGAAGGTTTAATTGTGGAATCAGTGGGCACTATAACATATTTAACTAATTCTCGAGTAAACTTATCTAAATCTTCAATTGAGTTAAATGACCATATAAATTGTAGTAATTGTTTTTCAATTTGATCATCATAATTTATGAATTTACATAAGTCTAGTAAAGTAGGATTTATAATTAAATTACCGTTCTCATTTTGTAGTATAGATTTATTCTCGATTAATTTCACCAACGCGACTAAAGTTCTTGATTTCAACTTATTTAATATATAAAAATGAATTAATATCAATAATGATATTTTATAAGCTGATAAATCTTCTGTTAATAATAATTTGATATCATTATTTATCATTGATCTGAAACCGTATATATATTTTTGATAGATAAAAATAACAGAGAAAAAAAACGTATATATAAAATGCAGGAATCGTCTATCTATTTTATTTATTGGTCTTCATCATCATCATCATCTGAATCTACATTAATTTCTGGCATTTCAAAGTCTGAACCAGAATCATCATCCAGTTCTTCTTTAGTAGCAACACTAGTTTTAACAATTGTTGTAGAATTTGGATATATTTGTTTTGTTTCTTCAACAACTTCAAGTTGTTTCGGCAGTTCAACAGTTTCTAATTGTTCAATTTGAATAGTCTTGGAAAATATTTGAGCTGAATTATCTTCTTCTTCTTCTTCTTCTTCATCATCTTCAACTTCTATGGCAGTAGGTTCTTCTAGTGGTTTTATTTCAGTTTCCAATTTTCTTTTCTTCATTGGATTTTCATTCATAGTTTGTATTTTCATTTTTTCTTCTTCTTTATCTTCACTCTGTTGAACATTATCAGTTGATAAATTTATAAGTTTAGGTAACGGTGGAAATCTAGGATTATTAAAAACACTTAATAAATTATCATCTTTCAAAATGGTAGAAATAATAGGTAATATACTATTTTTTTCATAACCAGGATATAAAACAGCATTAAGTAACAATTGTTTCAATTCATTAGGTACATTATGTTCTAAATTGTAGTATTGTGAGTGAATTGCTTCAGTAATTAAATATCTCATAATTTTATAATGTTGAGTTGGTGGTAATTCAAATTTTAAAATTATTTGATTAATGAATGATCTAACTATTGATAAGGTTGTCTTTGGAATAGATTGTTTAAATAAATGTTGATGTGATAAAATGTCAGATAATGTAACTGAACTTGTATTCTTTTTCTTTTTTGCTTTTTGGGATGATTGTTGAGGTTTGGCATCTTCTTCCTTCTTTATTCTTGGTTCAACTAATAATAAAGCAACATCAACAAATTTTAAAATTATCGAATTGTCAGAGTAAATTCCAATAAGATGAAGATATTGCATGATGGTTTGTAGTAAACCAACATATAATGACTCAAAGGATAGAATTTCATTAACATCCAATTTATTACTCTTCATTGGAATCAATATCTCTAAAAATGATAAGATTGAATTGAAATGAGGTAATAAATGACCTTGATATAATAATAACTTATCTAATAAATTGAGCACACTTTTATAATTTTCAATCAATGTTAATTTAATTATTGATTTGATCTCATCATCTCTGATATCAGATTTAAATGATAAAAATTTCAAATTAATAGTACAGATTATTTCACAAAGAGTTACTATCAAACCAATTGGAACACTAACTGTATATGATGTTTCCATTGTAACTTGACTACTCAATAAAGTTAATAATATATTTAAATTGTTTGATAACTGAAAAATTGAATCCGGCTCATTGAAATCAATAGATAAATCTTGTAGTATTTTAGTGTCTGCTTTTGGCATCTTCTTAATCAAGTTTATCAAATCTTGATCATCTCTAAAATTTAAAAACTCCTGATAAACTTCCACAATTTCAATAATTTCACCAATTACATTTTTCAAATTTGAATTCCATTTATTTTCAGGTTCATTTTTCTCAATTACTGGTAATAAAGCTAATATATTAAATATTTCAACTTTCAAAGCATCTGAATAATTTACAAAATTTGGTTCATTAATTATACTAATTAATTTATTTTGAAATTTATTACCGAAGGGTCTAAATGTAGTTGAATGATGTTTAATTAACTTCTTTAAAGATTTGATAACTAAACTCGGTTCATATTGTATAAACTGTAAATAATGATTAATTATTGATGCTAATTTAGGTGTTAGAATATTTCTAGTCAATGTTGGTTTACCTCTAATTTGATCCATTATAAAATTTACAACTTGTATACAATTAGTCAATATTTTCACATTTATGGTTCGATTATAATTCTCTAATACGGAAATTAAATTAGTTAAAAACAATGTTCCATAACTTGCTAAGATATTGAAATCTTTCACTATAACCTTGACAATATTGATCCCACACCATTTAATATACGCATTTGGAGATTTAATTAGATTATTCACACGAGAAACTAAGTGCTGTAAATTTGATTTTGATATATTTGATAATATATCTCTATCATTATTTAATGTAGTTAAAATTGGTATTATACTTTTTGGTTCGTTCTTAATTTCTTCAAGTATTAAGTTTATTGACATAGTTTCTTAATGGATAAATTTATTTTTCGAGATGAGAAAAAATGGCTGCAAAAAAATATAAGCTTGAATACTTTAATATATTAAAATACATTGTCTAATAAACCTTTAAAGGTAAATGGTTCATATAAAACACCACCACCTTCAAAATATTTACTCATTGATTCAACCCAATGAAGTCTTAATGAATGTAACATTGCAGAGGTACCTTCCATTACAACTAATATACAAATTGATAATGTAAACCACATTGCAAATAAAAATACAACCATAATTGAACCTACAAAACCTGTTGGACCAAATGCATTACCAATAGTCATTGACCATAAAACAGTTGATAATTGAGCATGTGCTAATGATAATGCCCATAATCTTAAATATGAAGCAGTATGCGAAACACAATTTAAACAAAATTCAATTGTATGAATAACTTGATGAATCATAATATCTCCAAAATTATGTTCTTCATGATCTCCTTCTTCTTCTTCTTCTTCATTAGTATTAGCTGGTACTTCATCAATTAAATCTGCATCACCATTTAATTGTGAATATGCATGATGTTTAGCTTCTCTATCAATTTGTCTTTTTAAATATAATGGTTTAACTAATAATAACCATGGAACACAAATCAAAGCAACAATAACTAAAAACACTTGTATAGATGATTGGCCATCATATAATGGTTCAGCAATATTACCAGGACTTAAAAACATATTAATCAACATATTTAATAAACCAGGTGGTTGTCTACCAGTAGCAAACCAATTAACTGTCCATTTATAAACAATACATAATGATAAATAACCAAAGATGCCTTGCATAAATAATAGACCTGGAATAAAATTACCAATTATATCAATAGGACTTTTGAAGTATATATAATTAAATAATGAAAAGAATAATGAATAAGTCATATGACTATACCCCATTAAAATTGATAATTTCATTTTATAAGAATTTGAAAATAATAAAGCATTTTCAGTTCCATGCCAAGCTGGATCTAATCCAAAAATATATGTACCAATTTGTTCTGCATATATGGTTTCACCAATTTTAAAATTTTCTGGCCATTTCCAACCACTTGTAAAAACTGTCATTGATCTTGAAAAAATATCATTATATAAAAACCCAGTATACATTGAAAAAACACCCATTAAAAGTAAAACATATCTACCAGTGAATGCCATGTCAAAAATTTCATCTTTTTTCATGTTATTTAATTTCTTTTCATTTAAAACTAATGCTAATGCAGCTAATGTTACAATAAAACCATGTCCCATATCACCAAACATAATTGCAAACATAAATGGAAATGTGACAATAGTAGGTAAACCAGGATTAATTTCTTTATATTTTGGAACCCCATAAGCATCACAAATACTTTGAAATGCAACAGTGAATTTATTTGTTCTAGTATAAGTTGGTGGTGTTCTATTAGTATCTAATACATTAATGATTGTTGGTATTGATTGAGATTGGTCATAACCTTTTATAGTAGTTGTTAAATCATTTATTGAATCTGTTGGTGTCCAACCTTCCCCAATTAAAGTTTTCCTTGATCCATCATAATCACATTTATTCATTGTCTTATAAACAGCTTTTTCTCTAGTTATTATTTCCCACCATTTTGCTAGATCTTTTGAAATGGCAATTAATTCAGAACTTAATGCATTTTCAGATTCACTTAAGACAGTTGATAAATCAGAAAGTTTCATATTGACATCACTTAATTGTTCTTTTCTACTTTCAAATGAAACATCAACATCATATAAATCTGCATCTAATGAATCACAAATCTTTCTTATTCTTTCATGAATTAATATACCGTGGGAAAATATAATAAATGAATTTTTAGCAACAAACTCTTGTTTCTTTTCATCCCAAACTTCATCTACTACATCTTCACTATGATAATATAAATTACCTCTTAATGTTCTCCATAAAATTTGTTGTAAAACAAAAACCTTATCACGATTTATTACACCTGAAATGAAAGATGATGCTGATCTTAGATCCCTTGAACCATCTGATTCCAAAATTGAATCTTCTCCAATTAATGCTTTTTGATCAAATTGAAAAAAATTATCCACGGCTTGTATTGTATATTTAAATTGTTTTAAATTTCTTTGAGTTTCATATAAGGATTCAACTGAATCACGTAACTGAACAACTCTATTTTCTAATAATTGTGAATTTTCAATTAATTCATCTATTACTTTCTGTTGCGGTATAGATTCAATTTCAAAAGGATATTGTTTAATTTCAATATCTTTCAAATTTAATTCTTTTTTAAATAAAATAAATTGTCTTTCAACATTATCTAATTTCCTTATTTCTTTAACGAATGATCTTTGAAATTCATTCACTTTTGAATTTAAATCTCTAAATTGTATAATGTCTAATTGACCAATTTTATAGATGATGTCTCTTGAAACTTCAGTTGGAACATAAATTTGAACCAAAGACATGTCCGCAGAACGGAATACAGCCTCTTCCTTTTCAGACATTATAAATATTGATGATTTCTAGTTTGAAAGAAGACTGACTGCACTAATTTTGTGGTACCTAACTCTTTAACTTAACTGAACTAGTAATAAGTAGTTAATCTTTTTTATTTGCTAGAGATTTCAACGATTTGAACGGAGATACACGACTGATACAATTGGCTCATTTGGTAGCATCTCTGGTCAAGTTTTAGTTGATTGTGTGTCGCAAAATAACTTATCATGACATGTTTCAGAATTAAAATTGGATTAATTTTGAATACCTTGACGCAAAAGTACCTAAGTTCTATTAGAGTGCGGATATACAACCTTGAATAATTTTATCATACTTAAATTACTATCTTGATTGTGGAGTTAGATTTTTCGTAAGGTTCATTTATTCAATTTTCACCATAGTTAAGAAAAAAATTTCGAATTTTTCAATTTTAGTTCAAATGAGCTGGAATTAAGTCTAGGACTTTGATTAGAGGCCTAATATATATAATTCGTTATTCAATTGAAAATTATGGATGTAAATAAGATATACTCTGCGTTTTCAGTTTTAGCAAATTATTTGTATGGTGAAAAAAGTGACAACTCAAAAAAAAAATGTTTGAATCTAAAGTATTGAAGTATGTTAGATATATAAATAATGGCTCTGATTTCATATATTTGGTACTTATCTCGAGAGATAATGTTGCTCATGACATACAAGCCAATCTATTAAATACCAATCGCCCTAAAAATAGCGCGATAAAAAATTATATGGGTACTAAATTTGGGCGACAGTTACAAACTCAAAAGTATAACTCAGAAATCAAGTATAACACAATCAATATGGAATTAATTTAGACAAAATTGTGTTTAAATCAAGACTATATGTACTTTTTCTATATACAGGTTAGTTTTGAGTCAGTTTGCTTATTTACTTTGTACATTAAAACGAATGTCCGTTAAGCAGTATTAGAAAAGTTTCGTGATAGCTTATCCTCAGGTTCATCATCTTTATCAAAAATTCTTTGACGATGTGAATTCATCTATTTATTATTAATGTTCTATTAATAAACCCATATATTGACATCATTTTTTGAAAATTTCTTTCATTGATTCTCATCCAATCAAAGTATGGGAAAATTAAGCTCTCTAACAATTACCCCTTAAAATATATTTCAAAAATTACATATCAAACGCTATAAGTATATCAAATTAAACTACAAAAAGTCTATACAGATCAAAAGTCACTGGCGCATGTTAAATACGACTATTAGACGATACGAACTAAAACCAGTGTGATGCAATACTTGTTTCAACAAATAAAAAGAAAGAAACTATTTTAACACAAAGAACAGACAAACGTTGCATTAGCGAAGATCATTTAATCTCATTGACAGATTTTTATACCCCTTCTAACGCAACCTTTTATTAGCGGTTAATTCAAGAAAAATAATATCTATGATGTAAATGTTTTGAGACCAGTGGCTCATAATAGTCTAGTTTTTAATGAAATCAGTATTGCGTTTTCGCTTTGTAAGCATTAGCGAATTTAGACTCCTTTCCATATGCAGTAATACAGTTCATATACAGCTGTACAAGAGATTAGGTAATTAATATATCACAAAATCTAATAATCGGTTTCGACCTTCCAGAAGTTCACATGATGACAAACATAAAATCTCTTATTTCTTTCAAATATAAACTTTTTCAAATCTCCTCGAACCAACCAAATACTAATGTCTCATACAATAATGAACTTTTTATCAAACGCTAAATCAAGAATAAATTCGTCGTCAGTACCAAAATTAGCACCAACTGGAAAAATAATACAAGGCGATCTAAAAACCGTAATACCATATGTTCAAAATGATATATCTATAACCAAAGCACAATTAAAACAATATGAAAATAACGACATGTATAGTAAATTAATAAATCTTATACAGAAGAACCAAAAGCAGAATAAACAACACTTGGATGATAAATATATAAATCAGAAAGATTCTCCAAAATACCAATGGGCATTATTTGAATTATACAAACTGGAATTAGACGAATATAGTGATTTATTAGACATGTTTAAGAACAATTACACTCATTTATTATGTGATAATAATCTACTTAATTACAAATTATCAAAATCTGCAAAATCAACATCTATTACATCATCAACAAGTATGTTAAAATCGAGAGACAGTTCAGTTTTCTCAAGAGATTCCTCGACATCTTTGAAATCTTTCAATGTAGACATAGACGATGATGCTCCCGATCATTTATTAGATCCAATATCATTTGAATTATTCGTAGAACCAGTAATTACACCAAGTGGTATAACATATGAAAAGAAACATTTAGTAAGTCATTTGAGAAATAAAGGCCAATTTGATCCAATAAGTAAACAATCACTAAATCAGAAACAATTATATCCTAACTTAACTATTAAAGATTCAGTTGAAGCTTATAAAGATCAAAAGATTAAAGAAATCAATGCAGAAAACTATATAGATATTTGTTAATAAATATTTTGCATCCAAATATCCTGTATATAACCTCATCAATTTTTTAATTTTTTTATTTTGCAGTAATATATTATTTGAAAAAGCCATTCACGGAGAAGTAAAAGATAAGTCAAATATATTGATTTTAAATGAGAAACTTAGTTGTTCTAAATAGAGGTTTTATCTCACCGGAATCAAGAACTTATCCAGATTTACATGTTATTGATTCTACATTTGATATAGTTTCTGATTCCATTACATTTATATTATCATCCGAAGAATCTGAATTAATTGAAGTACAACAATTTAACAAAACAGGAAATGTATCAATACTAGCTAGTTTTCCAATTAAATCAAAATTATTAAATACCATACATTTTGTAGACTCTTTTCAACTAGTTTTTGTTTTTGAAAATGGGGATATTGTCACGGCCACTTATGATCCTCAATCACCTTTAGAATATGATGCAACAATTATTGAAATAGTAGGTACCATTGATATTGGAATTAAAGCTGCAACTTGGTCAATTGATGAAGAAACCTTGAGTATAATTACAAATGAAAATACATTGGTACTATTATCGAGAGTATTTGAACCATTTTGCGAGAAGGTATTAGATCCAAGTGACATTAAAATAACGGATTCCAAGCATGTATCAGTTGGTTGGGGTAAGAAAGAAACTCAATTTAAAGGAAAAGGTTTCAAGGCATTAGAAAGAGAAAGAGAAGCATTAAAACATGGTGGTTTAAATGATAAGGTTGAAGAGTTGAGAGATCCAACAGTTAATGAAATTGAAAGAGGTACTATATCCAATTTTGATAATCATAGTGTTAACATCAGTTGGAGAGGTGATTCTGAATTTTTTGCAATTTCAACAATTGAACCCGTTTTAGTTGAAGATACTGGTGATATGTATGACAGAAGAGTTATAAGAGTTTTTAATAGAGAAGGTGAATTAGATTCTGTAAATGAAGCTGTAGATGGTTTAGAACATACGTTAAGTTGGAAGCCACAAGGTGCTTTAATTGCATCTACTCAAAGACATACTGAAATCGAAAATGGTGAAGAATTTGAAGCATTAGATTTAGTATTTTATGAAAGAAATGGATTAAGACATGGCGAATTTAACACTAGATTAAACCCAGAAAAGGAAGTTATTCAATCTGTAACTTGGTCTTGTGATAGTGAAATTTTATTACTTCAATTAGTAAATAGAGTTCAGTTATGGACTAGAAAGAATTATCATTGGTATTTAAAACAAGAAATTTATGCTGATGATATACGATTCACTAAATTCCATCCTGAAAAACCATTAAATTTAATGATTGGTACAAATTCAAATATTCAAGTTATTGATTTATCTTATAATGTAGTTACTGGTCCTACTCAATCTGGTGATGATGTTGGTATGACTTTGGTCACTGATGGTTCAACTGCTAAAATAACCCCTTTATCAACAGCTAATGTCCCACCTCCAATGAGTTTTCGTGAAGTTGATATAAAAGGAAACATAACTGACTTGGCCGTAAGTAAATCAAATACGAAATATGCTATGATTTCAAGTGAGAATGATATTTACTTTAGTGCAATTTCAATTGATGATATGAAAAAAGGTGAGTCTCCAGAAATTTTAAGTCTGATACCAAGTAGTAAATATCTTAATGATAGTAGTGAATTTGCTAAACAAATTGCATTTATAAATGATTCATTTTTAGTTGTTCTTGTTGATTCACCAGTATATTCAAGAGCTGTTGTATTTGAAGTTGATGATATCAAAAATCCAAAATTGAATGATTCAGTAGATTTAGTTCCAAAAGCAATTTTACTTAAATCAAGAGCAGATTTTAGATGTGTATTTGTTGAACTTGTAGATAATAAAATTGTACAAATTGATGCAACACAAGACTTGAAGGAAATTGTTAGATTCCCACAATTATGTACAGATGTTGAGGTTTCTTATAAGGAAGATACTGATGAATATGAAGCTTTTGGTATTTCAAAAAATGGAAAATTATATTGTAATGAGGATCAAGTCGTAAGTGGTGTAACTTCATTGAAAATTACTGAAAGTCATTTATTATTCACAACAGTTCAATCAAAATTATGCTTTATTCATTTAAATTCTTCTCATGAAGATTACAAAGTTTTTCAAAATTTATCAAATAAAGATATAGTTGATGAAAGAATTAGGCAAGTTGAAAGAGGTTCAATCTTAATTAATACAATGCCAACTAAATACTCAGTTGTTTTGGAAGCTCCAAGAGGTAATTTAGAAACTATATGTCCAAGAATAATGGTTTTATCTGCGATTAGAAAACATATCAAGGCTAAAGAATATAAAGATGCTTTTATTGTTTGTCGTGCTCATAGAATTGATTTGGATATCTTACATGATTATGATCCAGAATTATTTTTCAATAATATTGAATTGTTTGTTAATCAAGTTGGTAAAATAGAGTACCTTGATTTATTTGTATCATGTTTACATGAAGAAGATGTAACATTAACTAAATATAAAGAAACATTATTAGATGCTGGTGTCAATGAATCAGAACTTAAAAAAGAAGGTGATACTTTACAACCAGCATTTAGTAAAAGAATAAGACATAAAAAGGTAGAGACATTTAAGAATTTTTCAGATTCAAAAGTTAATAGAATTTGTGAAGCTCTACTTGCTGTATTATTAAAACCACAATATTTTGACAAATATATTCAAACTATTTTAACTGCTTATGCTTGTGAAAAACCACCAAATTTGACAGCATCATTATATTTAATAAGTGAATTTAAAGATCAAGAACAAAAAGAAAGTGCAATTACACATTTATGTTTCTTACAAGATGTATTAGAATTATATAATACATGTTTGGGTTTGTATGATGTCAAATTGACTTTGTTGATTGCTCAACAATCACAAATGGATCCAAAAGAATACTTACCATTTCTACAAAACTTGCATGTTCAACCAGATTTAAAACGTAAATTTTTAATTGATAATCATTTGAAGAAACATGAAAATGCATTACAATGGTTACATGAACAAGGTCAAGATTCACATGAGACATTTGATGATTATGTCGTTACACATGATTTATTTAAAGCTGCTTTGAAAATTTATGATTATTCTGGTGATAAAAAGAGAACTAATGATATTTTAAAATTATATGCGGAACATTTACATGAATTAAAGAATTTCAGTGAAGCTGCAATTACTTTTGAATATTTGGAAGATTATCCAAATGCGTTGGAAAACTATGTAACTGCAAAGAAATGGAAACAAGCATTATCAATAGTTGAAAAATCATCAACTTTAAAAGAAAAATTAACTGATGTTGCAGAAAGATTAGTTTCATCATTAACTGACGATCATAAATATAGTGATGCTGCAGAAATAGAATATAATTTCCTTGGTAATGTTGAAGAAGCCATTAAATTATATTGTAAACAATATTGGTATGATCAAGCCATTTTGTCAGCTGAAAAATCAGGTAAGTCTGAATTAATAGAATCGATAATTGATGTACAATTAGGTGAAGGTTTTGGTACAATTGCTGAATTATTAGCTGATTGTAAAGGACAAATGAATTCACAATTAAGAAGAATACGAGAATTAAGAACTAAAAAACAAGAAGATCCATTTGCATTTTATGGAACTTCTGATGATTTAGATACACCAGATAATGTTTCTGTTGCAGCATCTGAAACATCAACCACACCATCATTTTTCACTAGATATACTGGTAAAACTGCAGGCACTGCAAAAACAGGAGCATCAAGAAGAACATCAAAAAATAGAAAAAGAGAAGAAAGAAAAAAAGCAAAAGGAAGAAAAGGTACTATATATGAAGAAGAATATTTAATTAGATCAGTTTGTAGGTTAGTAGAAAGATTAGATCAAACTGAATCTGATGCAGTAAAACTAATAGAAGGTTTATTAAGAAGAAAAATGAAACAACAAGCTTATCAAATTCAAAAAAACTGGTGTGAACTAATTGATTTTATAAAAGAGAATGTTGATGAGATTCACAATATAAGTGAAAAAGATCGTGAAAGAATAGATGATAATGGTGATGTTTATTTAATGGATGAAATACCAAAACCAAAAATTAATGATTTCCCAAGATTTAGCATACTTGATTATTAATGTATAACGTTTTAATTATGTTCTAATTTTAATTCATACTCGTAATAAACTTCTCTTAGACCCAAAATAGCATTCTTAATAGCGTCAGTTACTGCTTCTTTTTTAGCTTTTTCGTAACATTGATACTTAAATGGTAAGTTTAAAGCTTCACCAACACCACTTCCATCTTTAAAAGTACCGTCTTTTAAAAATAATTCAACTGTAACTTGACAAATTGCAGAAAATCTAGATTCATCATCGGATGGTACATCATTTATATTATAATTTGATATTTTAGTTGACCAACCATTAAAACCAAAAACTTCATTAGCTAAACCATACAATTCATTTCTTGAAAAGTTATGCATATTATATTTAGCACCAAAATATGATTTCGAATCTTTTATTGATTGTAATTGTTCTAATTTAATTTGTAATTGTGCAATCTTTTTCAACCCCCATTCACTCAAAGCGGGTGGTTCATCACTGAAATCATTGAATTCTTCAAATTCATATATATCTGGGAAATATTGAGCTGTAGACTCTATATTCTCTGAACCCATTCCATTTTGATTTGTAAAGACGCGAAATCAAATTTATGTCAATTGTTTTTTTTCCATTCGTAAATTTCAATAAATCAAGATTTGATACGTAACAGTTTATTGGTAACTCCAATTGCTACAGATGGAGTATATTAAAGATATATTGGGTCAACAATCCCAAGTTCAATTGGTTGAAGAAGCAATTTCAACGCTATGTAATAGATTACAACATGCTACTATGTCTTCGGATAGAAGATCAGCCGTACTTGGTTTAAAAAGTTTTAGTAGACAATATAGAGAATCAGTTGTTGAACATGGTTTAAAAGCATTAATTGGTACTTTTAAAAAAGATATAGACAATTCAATTATTATAAAATCAATATTAGAAACTTTTCTTATATTATTTATACGAGGTGAAACAGATGAAGATTTAACGAGAGGTTGGATTTCACAACAATCTAGATTACAAAATGGAAAATATCCATCACCTTTATTGATGGAGAAGGAGGTGTCAATTGATCAATTATCGTTATGGATTGCGGATGCACTAATACAAGATCAAGAATTTTTACAATTATTAATTGAAGAAATACTATCTCAGCATGATTATCATTTGAAATTGTATGCTATTCAATTACTAGAATCATTAGTATCAAGTAGAGGAATTAGAGTTAAAGAATCGTTATTAAATATACCAACGTCAATCTCAACAATTTGCAATTGTCTAAATGATACTCATGAACCAGTACGAAATGAAGCTATTTTATTGTTAATGGCTGTTGTTAATGATAATTTTAATTTACAAAAATTAGTTGCATTCGAAAATACATTTGAAAGATTATTTGATATAATTGAAGAAGAAGGTGGTATACGAGGTTCAATTTTAGTTCAAGATTGTTTAACTTTAATAACGAATTTACTACAATTTAATGCATCAAATCAAAAGTTTTTTTTAGAAACTCAATGTGTACCTAAATTGGCTCAGTTATTAGGTGAACCAGTTGATGAAACTGGAGATCCAGATGTTTTAGATGAAAATGGGTTTCCATCATTACCACCACCAATAATTTGGACGGAACAAAGAAGACAAAATATGATTATTGCATTAGAAATTTGTAGATTATTAGTTTCTGAAGATTCAGAATTAGTTGAACAAAATCAAGATAAACTATTCCATTCGGGAATACATTATATAGTATTGAAATTGGTATTTTCTCCAATTACAGATAATCAAATTCGATCAGTTGCATTATTAGCTGCTGGTGATTGTATAAGTGGGAATCCCAAAATTCAATACGAATTTTCAAAAATTGATGTTCCTTATATGGATCCTTCACTACCTTCACAAATTCAATTATATGATAAACCAATTTCAGTTCCATTAGCATTATTAAATTGGTGTTTATATATAAATTCAGTACATGCATTCGAAATTAGAGTAGGTGCTGCATTTTGTTTAAATGCTTATTTTAAAGATAATAGTGAATCAAAACAAGCTTTTTTAAATGATCAAATCAAAGCATATGAAACGCCAAATTATTTTGAACAAATGATGTCAAATAAAGATCATGTTGAAAATGATCATGATCTTGAAATTAATGGTAATAGTATACCAACACCTTATGGAAATATATTTGTAGCTTTAATGGATTATGATGCTGATTTGAAATTAAATCCTTATAAAGTTTGGTTTGCTGCTTTAGTTTTAACATTTTTTTTTATTGATGAACCTGAAAATAAAGAGATTGCAAGAAAGGTAAAAACTGGTGATGAGGATGCTGGCGAAGAAGTTATGAATTCAATTCAAGCCATATCTGAATTATTAATAACAACACTAGATAGTATAGATCAAAGAGTTGCAATTGGTTATATTATGCTTTTAACTATTTGGATGTATGAAGATTTCAATGCAGTTAATGATTTTTTAAGTGATCAATCTTATGTTAGATCAATATTGGCATTTCTTTCAAATAATTTATCTGAGCAAAATGTATTAGTTCATGGAATTGCTACTATTTTATTAGGTGTTGTTTATGAATTTTCATCAAAAGATTCTCCATTGCCAAGAAGTGAATTACATTCGTTATTGATCAAAAGTTTAGGTAAAGATAATTATTCATTAAAGATTAAACAATTTGAGTCAAATCCAGCATTTAAAAATTTTGAAAAGGCCTCTGCTTTTAATTCTTTGAAGGAAGATAAAAGTGGTTTACCTGATGTTTATTTTGATATTGAGTATGTGATTTTAATTAAAGATAATTTTTTAAGAATCAAAAGAGCTTTATTTCATGATCCATTGGGAGAACCAAGAGGTAAAATATCATATGAAACTATAGAAGAATTAGATATGAAAATATCAGACCTCAAAAAGGAATTGACAATTGAAAGGGAAAAATATTCTCAAAATGATGAAGCTTTAAATAATAAAATAAAAGAATTAGATCACCTTAAGAATGAATTACAATCAAAATTTGAAATCAGTGAAAAGGAATTGGAGAAACTTAGGTCAGATCACGAGTTAATCAAGTCCCAATTTGATCAGACTACTAAAACCTTAACAACAGTTAAGTCAGGTAAAGAGGAGTTTCAAACGTCATCTCAGAAATATTTCAGAGAGCTCCAAGATGTCAAAAGGAAATCAAGCATTCATGAAGATACAATCAAACATCTAGAAGATAAATTAACATCAGTTGAATCATCCAAGAAGAAACTTGAAGATGGTATAAATAATATGACTCGTGATTTATTTCAGATGAAAAAGCAAAAGAATGATGCAGAATCTAAAATTAAACAATTGGAAAAAGATTTAAAAAATCATAAAGATGAATTAAGTAAAACAAACTCAAATTATGACACTCAAATTAAAAAAGTCCAAGGCGAAAGAAATGATGTACAAAATAAACTTGATCAAATGAATGCTCAATTATTAGCTTTAATTAAGGATAAAAATTCAACAACTAAAGAATTACAAGAGAAACTAAATGATGAACAAGAGAATAATAATCATTTAATGGAAAAATTAAGAGCTGCCTCTGTTGCTTTTCAAGAATTGAAACTGTCAAATAGTAAATTTGAAGAGGAGAATAAAAAGGCGAAAGAAGAATTAGAAAAAGTGCAAACCGAGTTTAATAAGATTAGAGAATCATTCGAAATTGCAGAAACTGAGAAGAATAATGTACAAGAGAAATTAGCAAAGGCTGAGAAGAAATCAAATGAAAAAATTGAACAATTAAATCATGAATTAAATTCTGTGAAAGCTTCCACTGAAAATGATTTAACTACAAAATCAAAAATAATAGAGAAATTAAAAAGTGATATTGATATCGAAAAAAATAAGCTCAAGGAATTGGAGGAACAAAATCAAAATCAACTAAATGAGTATAAATTAAAGATTCAAGATTTGGAAACAAAAATAAAAGAAGCTGAAAATTCTCATAAGGATTTAAAAGATCAACATGCAAATGTATCAGAAGAATTGACCATGTTGAAAAAAGATCATGAAGATATTAAAGGTTTATTAAGTACAAAAACTAAGGAACATGGGAATATTCTTAAAGATCTAAAAGAGAAAGAGTCATTATTGGCTTCATTAAAACAAGATTATGAAAATGAGAAATCAAAGAAAGATAAGGAACACTCTGAGGTATTGGCTGGTGTTAATAATGACTTAGAAAAATCAAAAGTTTCTTTAATTGAATGTCAAAATAAATTAAATCATGCTAATAAACAAATTGAAGCTCATGCTGCTAAAATTTCAGACTTGGAAGATTTAATATCAATCTCAGAAAATAAATCAAAAAGTATTGTGGAAGAGATTGAAGAATTAAAAGCAAGTAAATCGAAAATTGAAAATGATTTGAAAAGTAAAGTGTCTACTATTGAGGAAAAATCCAAAGAAATTACAAATAAGGATACCGAAATCAAGAGATTAGAAGATAGTTTAACTAAATTGAAAACTGATAAGGATAATGAATTGAATATGGTACAAGATGAAGTTGAAAATTTAAGAAAGCAAAAAGATGAAGAAGTAAATAAGCTAAATAGCTTATTAGAAGAAACCAAAAAGCAAACAAATGATTTAAATGATGAACATAATTTGAAGATCAAGGAACTTAATGCTACAATAAAAGATAAAGAAAAAGAATTTAAACTGTTAAATGAAAACTATGATATAAAGGTAAAAGATGATTCTACTAAAAAAAAAGAGATTTGTGAATTAAAATCCAAAATTGAACAATGTAATAAAGAAATTCAGGATCTCAAATCAAACTTAAAGCAGGCTTCAGATGAAGCTGAAAAACATAAAGAATCGCTATCATTAATTGAAAATGATCAAAAAAGTGTTAAGCAAGAATTAGCTGAAACACTTTTGAGTCTTAAACAAGCTAAAGATGATGCTGAAAGTAAAGAAATTGAAATTGGATCACATAAAGATAAATCTGAAGCATTAAGTAAAGAATTCAAAGATTTACAAGAAAAAATTAAGGAGAAAGAAGCATCCAGGAAAGAACTTGAAACTGCTAAAAATGAATTATCTCACAGTTTAAAAAAGGTAACAGCTGAATTAACTAATTTGAAGGAAAAATCTACTAAAGAAATTTCTTCATTAAAAGAAGAAGTAACAAGTAAGACTAGTGAAATATCGAATTTAAAAGATGAACTTAAAGATAAAATACTGGAACTTGAGAAAGAACGAGCAATGTTGAGTGAAAATTCAGAAACTATAATTAAAGAATATAGTGATAAGATTAAATCATTAGAATCTAGAATTGAATCAATTAAAGAAAAACATACAGCTGAATTATCTAAACAAACAGAGGAAAAGTTAACTTTGAAATCAAGTATCGAAGAGTTGAATCAAAGTCATAGGACAATCAGGAACGAATTAGATGAGAAGAATAAACAATGTGAAACTTTACAAGCTGAAGTAGACACATATAAAAAAGAGTTGGAGTCAATCAAGGAATCAAACGAAGGTGAAGAAGCAAAATTGACTAAGCAGATTGAAGAATTACAATCCGAGCTCAAATTGAAAAATAAGGAATTGGAGAAAGCTTCAAAAGCTTCAAAAGCTAATGAATCTGAAATTTCAACTTTAATACAACAACACACTGATAAACAAAAAGAATACCAAGATACAATTGAGACATTGAAAACTGAAATAAGTGATTTAACAAAAGTTGAAGATGAGTTGAGTACAAAATTGGAAACTGCAGCTACTGATTGTTCATCAATTACATCAAAATTAGTAGAATTGGAAAAACAAATTACCAAACATGAAAATACAAATAAGGAACTTAGTGATTCATTAACTACCAAATCAAAAGAATTAGAAGATTCAACTGAGGCTCATAATAAATTGAAATACGAGCATCAAAAATTGATTGACTCAAGTGAACAAAAGAAAGTGCAATTTGAAAAAGATCTTGAAGCATTGAAGAAACAATTATCTGATATAAATAAAGAAAAAGAAACATTACTGCAGGAAATAAAATCAAAATCTGATAAAATTAGAACTTTGGAATCTGAAATTGAAGGTTTATCAGAAGAGAATGAAAATTTAAGTAAGGAAAATGGCGAGATATTGTTGAAACTCAAAGCAGAATTAGAGAAAGTGAAGAAGGAAAATGAAACAAATAAAAAATTAGCAAGTGAAAAATCAGATGAGCTTGGTAAAGTCAAAAAATCAGAATTAGAATTAAAAGCTAAGGTTGATAACTATTCCAAATTAGAAGGTTCACTAAAAGAAGCAGAAACTAAGGTTGAAAAGCTTACAAATGAAAAACAGAGACTTGAAGATAAACTAACTAAAACTCAAGAAGCTTTGAAGAATGGAGATCAAGTTAGTGTCCAACTAAAAGAGGCTAATGAAAAACTATCCAAAGCTGAGGAAGAAGTTAATAAAGTGAAAGAACAATTAGAAGTAGCTAAGAAAGAACAGAAAGACCATCAAGATATAGTACAATCTAAAGTCACTAAATTAAAGGAGTTAGAGACTTCACTTAAAGAGCTAGAGACCAGAAATGAAAAGTCAAAGAAAGAATTAGCTGAATTTAAAACCACTACGAAATCTAAAGATGAACAATATGAATTAGAAGTCAAGCAGCTAAAAGAGAAACTTAGTAAATATGTTCTCAAATCAGATTATGATGATTTAATGTTATTAATGTCAGATTTAGATGATAAAAACAAGAAATATAAACAACAATTAAAGAAATTAGGAGAAGAAGTATCGAGTGATGAAGAATCAGACGAAGAAGATGGTGAAGAAGATGACGAATAATGATATAAATGTACATAGACCATTCAAATAAAAGTTTGATATATACCCTTATTCTCTTAACGTTTTATATTTCTCGTATAAGCAAAATGGATCTAGTTTTAACGGTTTCGAAATTCTTTTTTTTATACGAAAATTATATTTGATCAAATTTCATTGAAGAAGAAGTCACTATCTTCTTCTCGATTAAATCTATGATTTTATTAATTGACTCCTATGATTCATTTACTAATAATTTGGCTAATTTATTAGAAGATAGCACAACCCAAAAAGTTCTAACTATTCATAATGATTCTTTTTCACCAGATGAATATGAATTTTTCTATGGTAACTATTTAAAATTATTTCAATTTATAGTCATTGGTCCTGGTCCTGGACATCCTTCATTATCTAAAGATGTAGGTATAATAAGTTGGTTAATTCAAAAATTCAAATTGGAAAAAGATAAAAGTAAAATTGTGCCTATTTTAGGAATATGCCTTGGGTTTCAAAGTTTATGTTTTGAATTTGATAATCAAGTTGAGAAATTGATTGATGTTAAACATGGTCAAATTTATGATGTTTATCCTGTTGAAGAAAGTGAATTGTTTCCTGCTGTTAAACCGTTTGGAAGTGTAAGATATCATTCATTATATGTTCCTAATACAAATGATAAAATTAGACCATTGGCTTTTTGTTATGAACCAAATGATAAAACAGCTAATGCGAAAGAGATATTGATGGCTATAGAAGTTAATGGTTTTCCATTTTATGGAGTACAGTATCATCCAGAGTCAATCTGTTCGAGTAAGGGTTCGGAATTGGTTAAAAATTTTACAGCAGTTGCTAATAATTACAATAAAGAACATCGTCAATTTATATTTGATAAAGCCGAAAATACATCTAATTTATTAAATAATCATGCTGTTCATGAGGATTATTTATTTAAAGATGGAAAGTTTAAATCCAATGAGTTAAAGAATGTTTATTTCCAAAAGGTTGAGCTTGATGAGAAAATTGATTCAATAGATGTTTGTGAGTATTTTTACCAGAAAAACAACAATATACCAAATTTTTTTTTATTAAATTCGGCTTCATTCCCTGGTGAATGGTCAATTATTGGTTTTCCAAATGATGAATGTGAAATAATAACACACTCAGTGGATGAATATTCAAAAGTATACTTGTCAAAATTTGGCTCTGATATAGAGGAAGCTTTAGAAGTTGATAATATTTGGAAATTTGTGGCTAATAAAATACAATCTAAATATATATCGAGAAAAGAAATTGAATCAAGAGTGAATAGCTCAGTCAGTTTACCTTTTTATGGTGGTTACATGGGAATAATATCATACGAAGAAGGTCAACATGTAATAGTAAACAAGCTTATGTCAATTTGTAAAGATAAAACACCAGATTTGAAATTAATTTATATTGGTCGATTTATTGCATTTAATCATAAAAGTAAATCGTGGTTTATAGTTTCAATTAATGATACAGATGAAATTTGGGGTGACAAAATGGCTGGAGAATTATCAAAAGTGACTAAAATTGATATAGAAAGCATACCACTAACAATCAAAGAATTAGCCAATAATAACGATATAAATTTTGAATTACCAGATAGAGAAATTTACAACCAACAGTTCAAGCAATGTCAAGATTTGTTACACTCTGGAGATTCATATGAATTATGTTTAACAACACAACTGAAAATACAGCTACCTTCAAATATAAATTCATGGGATATTTATAAAATATTAACATTACGTAAAAATCCATCACCTTACTCATGCTTCATGGAATTCAATGACTGTTGTCTAATATCATCATCACCAGAAAGGTTCTTATCATGGAAAGATTCTGATGATCAACAATCTAAATTAGTTGAGTTTAGACCAATTAAAGGTACGGTTAAAAATAATGAAGATACAACATTAGAGAAGGCAACTAAAATATTGAAGACACCAAAAGAAATTGGAGAAAATTTAATGATTGTTGATTTAATTAGACATGATGTTTATCAATTTACCAATGATGTAAATGTGAGTCAATTAATGACTGTTGAAGAATATAAGACTGTTTATCAATTAGTCAGTGTAATACAAGGGAAATTACAAAAAAATAATGGATATTCAGGTATAGATTTATTACATTGTTCATTACCTCCAGGTTCAATGACTGGAGCACCAAAGAAAAGATCAGTTGAAATATTACAAGAAATTGAAGAACAACAAGTTACAAGTATAAAAGGAGGTAGAAGAGGTTTATATAGTGGAGTAGTTGGATATTGGTCAATTACAGATGATTCAGATTGGTCAGTTATAATACGATCAGTATTTCATTACAAACAAGATTTAGAAAATAATGAAAATAAAAATTTATATAGAATAGGAGCAGGTGGAGCAATTACAGTATTAAGTGAAGAAGAAGGAGAATGGGAAGAGATGAATTTGAAATTAACCACAGCATTACAAGCATTTAAATAGATTAATAGAATTACCTTGCATATGTATATATATATATATTTGTATATATTTGATGATATAAATATTTTGCAGCAATTGATTATATGCAGTATCAGTATAGAAACGATTTGTTTTTTCGTCGAAAAAAAAAAAAGAATCAATACAAAAGAATTATTATAAGAAGTAGAAGTCATTATTATTCTATATCAATTAGTTTAATTTTAAATTATAATGTCATTTTTTGGATTTGATCCAACAGGTCCACCTAATTCACGTGGTAAAAATGGTGGTGAAGACAATGAAGTTTATGATTTTGAAAATACTTATGATGGGTTGGGGGAAATAGAAGAAGATGATGCATTTAATGATGAAACTTTTAATACAAATGTTAATGAGATTAAAAAGGATTATGATTTTGGTCAAGGTTCAAATACTAAACAACAATATCAACAAGCTTCAATTCCAGCTCCAACTTCAATAAGTTATGCTCAAGCAGCTGTTTCAGGTCCAGTTAATGATGATGAATTTATGCAAGATTTATGGGGTTCCTCAAATACTCCAAGTCTTCAACAAGAAGATAGTAAACAAGAAAGAAAAATATTATCATTAGAAGAAATTGAAGCTCAATTAACTGCAATTGACCAAGGTCAACAACAACAACAACAATTTCCACCTCAACTTTATGGTATTCCAGGAATGATCCCACCTCCACCTCAATTTGGTGGTTATATGATGCCAGGATTTATGCCACCTCAATATGGATTCCCAGCTGGAATGATACCTCAACAAATTCCAATTCAACAACAACAACAACAAAATAATCAACCACCTCAACAAGAGCAACCTTTACCTCAAGAACAAGTTCAACCACAACCTGAAATTAAACAAGAGGCTGAAGAATCAGTTTTAGTTGAGGTCAATCCAGCATCAATTGTGAGTCCGAAACAAACTGCTCCAAAACCAGTTACTCATAAAGTTGATTTATCAAATTTCCCAGTTTTAGGTTCTAAAGAAGCAGTTCAACAACAACAATTACATCAACATCAGTTACAATTACAAGCTCAATTAAATGAACAACAACAACAACAACAACAACAACAACATAGTCATCACCACCATCATCATCGTCAACCACTGGTTGAATTAACACCTGAGCAACAAGAAAAAGCTGCTAGAAGACAAGAAAAAGTTTCAAGAATTATGAAATATTCAGGTATTATGAATCCAAAAGATAAAGATTTTGTTACAAGATTTCAATTATCACAAATTGTTACTGATGATCCATATAATGAAGATTTTTATGCTCAAGTTTTTAAAGTTATTCATCCAAAAGTTAATGGGGTACCACCTTCATCAAATCAAAGTGGTAGTGTTGCATCTGGAGGAGAATCACAACAAAATAATTCAATTGCTCAAGCTTATTTAGATCATAGTGGTCATAGATTAGGTGGTAGATATAAAAGAGCAGATGTTGCTTTACAAAGAATGCAACAACAAGTTCAAAAAGCAGTTACAGTTGCAAAAGAAAGACCAAAATTAACACAATTTGCAAAAGAAGGAGCATTGGGTAAAATTAGTTTTAGTAGTGGTAAAAAACCAAGACAACAATTGGAAATTATTAGCAAAGCAGCTGAAAGACAAAAAGAACAAAATGAAACTAAGAAAAAAGAAGGTACTAAACGTTATAGTAAAAAAGATATCTTAAGTATATTGGAAAATATTATATCTGAATTGATGAATGTTGAAAGTGAATCAAGAACTTCAACTGAAGTTGATACTACTAAATTATGGGAATCATTAAAAGTTTTAAAACAACCTTCAAGTTCAGGTGATGAAGAAAGTGAAGTTAATCCTTTTATTCAATGTTTAAATTATAATAAAATGTTGAAAATATTATCAAGATTATTTAAATTTTTAACCAGAGAACAAATTTTAACAATTACAACATTAATAATGTCAAATTTGGAAAACTTATCAGTTATTAAATACGGTTCTTATACTACTTATTCAGATAATAAAATTCCAGAAAAGATTAATAAATTAGTTGAAGCATATTCATTAACTTTTACTAAAATTTTAATGAATTCAGTTTTAGATTTTAAATTTAATGAAATACTGGGATTATTATATATTTTAAATGGACATAATAATAGTGCTTTTATTTCAACTACAAAAATTGGTTTATCAATTTTAACTACATTATTATCAAGAGCTGAATTGATCATTGGTGAAGGACAAATATCAGCTACTGATTTATCTGAATGGTCATCATGTTATGATGAATTATTTACATCATTAGAATCAAGAATTGCTGCTATTTTCCCACCAAATTTTGATAAAATTGATGATGGATCCTCAAAAGAAAATTATATTTGGCAATTTTTAGCTACTTTATCATTAGGTGGTAAATTAAGTCATCAAAGAATTATAGTTGATGAAGTTCGTGATGAAATTTTTTCAGTTATGAATAGAGTTAAATCAATTGATAATTCCGATTTACAAAATTTATACAAGAAACAAAATTTATTAAATAATTTAAATATGTATTTAGTTGTTATGGGATTAGTTGCAGATGAAAATGAAATTAAAGAATTGCAACAATGAGAATAATAAACGTTAATTTTAATTATTAAATTTACTCGTATATTCATTATTCATTTTATATAGTTTCTTTGAACGATTGAAGATGAAGATGATGAAATTTTTCTTGATTCATCTATATTACCTGGTGTAGACATTATTGATGATTCATCAGATGAAATAAGACTATCAACATCATTTTTAACCAATATTTCAAATTTAAAAGGTGGTAATAATTTTTGATTTTTAGCATTTGGATGGTCCTTTGATAATTTAGTAATTATACCTTGTTGATATGATAATAATTTATTAAGATGATTTATTTCTCTTTGTTGTCTCTTTAATAAGTAACTGTTTTTCTCATTCATTAGCATCATTTCCAATTTCTGTATATCAAATTCGTCATTTTCGGATTCAGATTTCTTTTCTTCAACCTCAGACTTTTCTCTTTCCTCTTCTCCTTCATAATCAGATAAGATATTTTCTACTAATCTTATGGTTTTTGCATTATTATATTTTTGGAATATTTGAATTTGAGCTTCTGTTAAACTTATTGAACTTTCCCTAGGACTTTCTTGTCTTGACGTTGAAGTACTTAAAATTCCATTCATAAATGATTCAGTATCATTAATAAATTCGAAATCTCCAGATTTAATTAAAGTAGATCGTATATTTCGTCTTCTTGGTGATTCTTTTAAAATATCATTATCTTCATCATGACAATTTTCAAATTCTGAAATTGGAGTCGAGAATTTAGGTATTGGTGGAGGTGGAATCGATGGTGCTTTAATCAGTCGTTGCAGTTCATAATATAGTTCATGTGGATATTGAAAATTATTATGTATATGTGGTAATGGAGTTATTAATTCTTGATTTATTTGTAATTCTGGAGTTGTCGGTATGTTAGTTTGAATTTGTTTATTAGATTGTAAAACAGGTGACGATATTAAATTATTTGGAGAATTTATTTTTAATTTGGGACTGGAAATACTTGAATTGGAAGTTTTAGTAGTTAATTTATGAAATAAATCTTTTGCACTTTTTGATTTTTTGACAGTTTGATTAAATGGTGACTGTAAAGGTAGTTGTTGTTGGATAGTTGTTGATTCTTTCTTTTTGAAGAACATGATGATAAGTAACCGTACGGTGGTGATTAATGATAAAAAATGTTAATTAATGACTAAATTTATTGACCAGCAAATTTATTGACCAGCAAATTTATTGACCAGCAGATATATGATACTAAATAGTAATTAATTAACACAATATGTCAACAATCAAAGCTTCAACGGATTTTGTGGGATAAAGAAGAAAAGTGATAAGTATTGAACTATTGATAAAAATGTAACTTTTATAAATTAAAAAAAAAAAAAAAAAAAATAAAAAAAAAAAAAATAAATCTAGATCTAAAATGAAATGTACTAATTAGGAAACAAAAATAGGTTGTTCAAACCAATTATCGCAATTAGTATTATAGTAATTAATTACTCATGGTTAATTATAATTATTTTATTTAATTAAGTCATCAAGTTTTAAATTAAAATCTTATAAATGCAATAGACAATTGTTCAAAAAATAGAGTTTAATCATACAAAATTCCAAAATTATAATTACTCAAACGGTTTGTTTATAATTCAAAGCTCAACAAATATATTGCATTCGTTTGCTCTGGGAAAATTCAGAGGACAGCATTTATATATATTGATGTGGCTGATAAGGCTCTTTGGTGATTATTTATACCAATCAATTAATTAATTGGTTAGAAGAAATATAATATTAATTATTGTTCATTCAACTTTACAAATTGAGTTTGTTTATTTATCGTCTCAATTGGGAAATTATGCTGCAAAATTTAGTGTCCAAAAAAAAAAAATATGCATTAAGTATAATTCAAAATGATTCATATGTTGGATACGAAATTATTGCATTGCATTGGTTTCAATTGTTTCCTTATTATTTCCTGAATACCCGGAACCCTTGACTTCCTGAGCAAAATATAAATAGTAAACTGTTCCTTTCGTAAGTTTAACGAAATTCATAACCAATACTTTCTCTTATCTTAAACTAAGAATACAATTGAAACTTATCAGAAACTAGTTTATTATAAGTGTACTCTCTTTTCAGTAGTTTAGTTTGTGTTGATAGAATCTTTTGTTCTCCCCACCACGTTTTAATCTATTATTTTCTTGATTGATCATGAGTTTTTCTTACTATTGTTTTAAATTTATTGTTTTGAATTTTTGATAAACTCACTAAAAAATCTACTATTGATATTACAAACAATCAATATTAATGATTTCAGCTGTTTTGGAGCTCAATCTATTTCATGTTTGAGCTACTTCATGTTAGAACAATGATTTTGATTGAGATTTTAATTGAGCTCCAAGAAATTTAAGTAGATCTAATATGTAAGTCATTCCAATTGGACCACTGTTATTAAAAACAAAACTGAAATTGCAACCGATGACTCTAGATTCATTGTTATTAAATGTAGCACAGCACGTGACCGGGTTTCCGATGCATACACTAACAACTCAGTATAAACTACTACTATAACAACTAATCTAGACTAATCTAAATGTGAAAGATAAACACCACGAGTCGAGTATTTCATCACTAACAATAAAGAGGTCGTAAGATAAACACCACGAGTCGAATATTTCATCCCTAACGATAAAGAGCTCGTAATTACAACAGATCAAGAATCTAAATTTTGAATTATGAAGCTTTTGCAGAGATCCACAATCGCATTGCTGATCACGAGGTTTAAGTGGTCTTGAATCATTCAAAATTGAAAATGTAATTTTTTGGAGGTGTTTCGAAATTGCTGCATAATTTTCAAACAGATTATGGTACCTTGAGTACATTATAGGTAATATTTCTAGAATAAAACAAACAAGCTACTTTGGAAGTTGCGAGATGGTAAGTATTAGTTATCTCGCAATTTATCGTTTTTTGCCATTCTTTAAAATGTACCATAAGGTGATCAAAATCATGTTTATTTAAAAGAAATCATCATGGGTTTATTCCAAATTCATTAGATTTTACAATGAATAAAGTTTGAGAACAAAATCCTGTATACTACTTGAGGTATTTAAAATTTGAATTTTACGATAAAATACTGTAAGCCTGCATATAAGCCAAAATGTTTCACATTATTCTTTAAAGTATGCAATTTTTGATGCGAAGAATTGGAGCAAAAAAAAAAATTGTCGCGCTACAATTTTAGGCGAGCTCGTACTAAATCTATGGGCTTAAAGGACGTGATCACGTGATATAAACTATACAATCAACCAAATGATATTTGGCATGAATAAGCCATCATAAATGGATCAAGTTCAGTTTTAGAGCCTAGTTAGTATCTCTACTATATAACTTATAAGAACCAATCAATCGTTATACATTTTACAGTATGGTAAAGCCTTTTAAATGCATAGAAAATTCTATAGTGAATAAAACTATAGTGGTTATACCAAAAAATAATTTAGACTTTCATTATTAGACAACCAAATATTAAATGAAACGATAATACAACACTAATACTATTTGGGTTCATCAGCTAGTAATCAATTAAAAGGAGAGTATATAGTATTTGGTTAATTAATCAAGACACATATTTTAAACTTATATGAAAAATTTTATATCAGATTAATTTATATTCAGTTTTATATTTTTATCGAAAGGTGTTACAAATTGCAACCAAATAGCACAAAATCTACAAAAATTATGATTAATGAAATAGAGGATAATCTTAACAATCAGACTACAGATTCACTGTATAATACACATACAAGCACACCTACAACCACAGCATCAAAGGTACCTATTTTACAATCACAATCAACTCCTACAAATAATGCCACTCCATCTTTAAGTTCACAATCATCACCACCAATACTACAAAATTTCAATCAAGATAATAATAAATTTATAAAAAATTTATTTGACAATAATGTTTTAACTCATGGTTATGTACATGGTCATATTCATAAACATAAAGATCATACACATATCCACGGGCATATTCATAATCATGATCATGATCATCATTTCAAAAATCAGCAACAACTGGGACAAGAACAAGAACAAGAACAAGTACAAGAACAAGATCTCATACCTACAGATATATCATGTCCCGACTTTGAAAATTTAGCATTATGTAAAGATGTATTTTGTAATGATTTAGATGATTGTTTCTTTTTAAATTGTGATGATTCAAGAATATTAAATTGTAATAATTTAGATGAAATTTGTTGTAATGATAAATATTGTCAAGAAGCAGAAAATGAGAATTTGAATAAAATATGTGATGGTGTTAAAACTAGTGCAGATGATTCAATAATTTGTAATAATCCAAATTGTGACCAGCCAAATGATTGTTATAAAGAAGTGGTCAATTCACATCTAGATAAAAATAATCTATGTGAATTACAATTATCAAAGAAACCCATATTTGAAAATTTGATAAATAATGTACATCAAAATGTACATCAAAATCTACAATATCAAAATGAAGAACCAATACAGGAACCACCGACAAAGAAAATTAGATACGAAAATAATGTACTTAGATCAGATTTTGATCTACATTTCCCTCATCATTGTCATCCTGATGATGTTAAAGATTCAAATAATCATCATCATTTCCATCAATCATGTTTTCATACAACTATACCTGAAAAATCAAATTCAACAATAAATTTTGAGAATATAAATGAAGAAATGATGAATGATTTTGATTTCGTCATACATTTCAATCAAATGCTAAATAATAATCAAAATAACACAAATGTGGAAGTTATAGATGAAAATAAGCAAAATGAATTGCCTTATTCATGTCAATGGGAGAAATGTTTTAAAAAAGTGAATGATGAAACTTTATTGAATCACGTATTAAATAATCATATAGAAAATGAGATTACTAAAAATGTATCAACTTATCAATGTGAATGGAACGATTGTAATTTTATGAATAATGATTTAAATTTACTTATCAACCATCTAAATACTCATAAATCACAATCTACACAACAATTACCACAACAACCAAATATATTAACTCCATTATCTACAACTACGATAAAATCAACACCTGCATCACCTATAAATTATCAAAATAATGATCTAAATATAACTTCGATGAAAATTTTGCCCAAAAAGAGAAGACCCGAAACTGAAGATTTAGAATTCAAATGTAAATGGCAAATTGGAGTTGATTCACAAAATAATCCAATTCCATGTAATGTAAAACATGCAAATGCAGGAGATTTACAGAATCATTTAATCAATGATCATATAGGATCTGGAAAATCAATATATAATTGTCGTTGGATTGGATGTGAACGTCATAATGGGAAATTTTTCACCCAACGTCAAAAATTGTTTCGTCATATTCATATTCATACAAATTATAAACCTTGTAAGTGTGAAATTTGTGGTTCTTGTTTTGCTGTTGATTCAATGTTACTACAACATTTACGAACTCATAGTGGCGAAAAACCATTTAAATGTCAAGAATGTGGGAAATCATTTGCTACTTCTTCTTCATTATCAATTCATAAACGAGTACATACTGGTGAAAAACCAAGTATTTGTAAATATCCAGGTTGTGGTAAAAGATTTAGTGAATCATCAAATTTGTTAAAACATGAAAAAATACATGAAAAGAATTTTAGGTGTCAAATATGTAATGAAATATTTGAAAAGAAGAAGGAACTAACAAAACATATGAAGAGTCATAAAACTAACAGCTCAAATAATAATGGTTCAAATTTAAATTATAATCTATTATCGATTTAGTATATATGTATGGTGTAATTGGTAGCGATTTGAAAAATTAAAATTTTTATCTTCAACTTCTAACTTCTAACTTCAAAATTAATATCTGATGAGACCTTCAATAATATCGAATACAAGTTTGAAAATTATAAATAAAGGCACCCTTTATGAGTTTTCTAGTCTTTCCAAAATTTCAGTTTCACAACTACCAAATTATAACAACTTTGGAAATGGAAATTATTTAATCCAAAAATCAAATTTTAACCACTGGCCAATTTATAAAAAAATATCAAATTCAAATAAGGTAATTACTGAAATTAAAAAAATAAGAGGTGATATAACTCAGTTCAAAAATGATTTATTAAAAATAGAACCTAGTTTAGAAATTGAAAGTGTTAATTTAAATGCTGGTATCGTAAATATAAAAGGTGATCAAGTTACAAAAATTAAAACGATATTTTCAAAATATATATAAGAAAAGAGATAGACTTAATGTACATAGTATTAATGGGTATTTTATTAATTTATTATATCTCCATTTTCTGAATTTGGAGTACTTCCTACCTCTGAACCACCAAATGCCAATTGTCGAATTGAAACCATCCATGGATCATTTAATAATTCAACTGCACTTGGTCTTCTAGTTGGATCATGTTCTAAACACCTTGATAAAAATTTTCTACCTTGTTCACTTAATTGATCGGGATTTGGTAATTGTGGTTTATGACCAGCTGCAATATGATACATTATTGCCCATTCATTATCTAAATTAGCCCATGGTCTTCTACCAGTAGCCATTTCTAATACACAACAACCTAATGACCAAATATCAACAACTCCATTTCTATCAGTTGATGCACCTGTTATAACTTCAGGTGACATATACATTGGAGTACCAGTCATTGAATTTAAACTTCCATTATCTTGAAGTTGTGCAGCTGAACCTGCTGGTTTTATTGAAGCTCGAGTTCGTCCAGTATTTGCAATAACTTTAGCAGCTCCAAAATCAACAAATTTAATAACTCCATTATGATCTAATAAAATATTTTCAGGTTTAATATCACGATGTACAACACCAGATTGATGTAAATATGCTAAACCTTCCAACATTTGTAAAGTATAAACTTGTACAACCATTTCATCTTCGATTCTACCATGAGTTAACAATCCACTTAATGAACCGCCTTCACAATATTCCATAAATATATAAACTTTATCACGATGAACTTCAACACCAAAATATTGTACAACATTGGGATGATTTAACATTTCCAAAACTGTCATTTCTTCTTTAATTAATGGAACTATACTTTTAATAGATTGTGAATCATGAAATCGAATCTCCTTTACAGCCATAATACCACCAGTATCTAAATTAATAGCAGCAAATACTTGTCCAAAAGTACCACCACCAATATATTTCCCCTTTTGCCATCTAATTGAAACAGAACTAAAGCTTGATGCTAATAATGTAACAAATTGATATTCTGAATCACTTGTATCTATAACTTTACCAATTGATTGTAAATCATGACTTAATTCTTTTCTATAAGCTTCAATTTCTTCTATTTGTAACATAACTTCTTCTTGATAAATTTCGTAAAGGTATGCATCATCTTTTGTTGTATTTTCCATATTATTTCTTTGACTTGTCCATTTTAATAATCTATTTCTTTCAGCTTCACTTGATCTTGCTCCCATAATATCAAAATGTGAAATTAATAATGACATACATCTTGAAACTTTGATTTTTAATGTATCAAATTGAGATTCAGATAAAACTAAAACATTAAAACCTCTAGTCATATCCATTGCAAATTCTAATGCTAAAACACACCATCTAAAAGTTTTACGATCAGTGGGTATACAATCATCACAGATAAAACTAACCCAATCTATAGATAATTGTATTAATTTCATAATTATTGTAGATTTTCTATTTGAATCTAAGTTCTTTATTGAATTTTTACCATAATCTCGTGCATAAATGAAAAAATTATTGACCAATGCTTGATTTTCACCTTTTGGATCAATTGAATAAATTTTCTCACGTAAAATCTTAACAGAATCCAATACAGCTAAACACATTCTGAAAAAAACTCTATTGGTCTTTGTCAATTCTTGATGTACTTTAGCTAATGAACATCGTTGTTCAATAGGTTTCATCAGTCTACCATTCATAAATACATCACCAACAACATCTAAAAATTTATCCCTCACTGTATGTAATTCATAATATGGTAATTTTGAAATAACTAATAATTGACCATTTTTTAAATCCGTAATTGGAACTGAATCAATATTAACATTAACAACTTCACCTTCCCATACAATTGGTTTCATTGGACATAATGCAAGAATATAAGCATAATCTAAAGCAGGATCATCAATTTCTTCATCAATTTGACTTTCTGTATTTGATTGAATCAAATTTAATAAATCTGAAAATTCTTGAGTTTTAACTTTTGAATCAAGACCAATGTAAGACCCATTTATAATTTTAAGTATCTCATGTTCTTTACCCATTAATTCATTACTTGCAAAAAAATAAGTCCCTTGAGTTTCAACAGTGCCTGTATATACCAAGAAATGATTTGTTGATTTCAAAACATCTAATAAGTTCTTTGTTAAATTGACAGATTGTATTAATGGTAATTCAAAAACTAATGAATTTGTAAATTCTCTTGAAATTTCACCTGTAAATCTCGCTAATTTACGACGTAATTGACCAAAAATATCTGAAGTTGAACTATACCATCTTGCTAAATCTTGTTTACCTCCAGTATAATGAGATAATCTAATTTGATGGCTAAAATATTGTAATAATCGATGAATTAATCTTGATGTTAATAATGTAATTTCTTCAGCTACTAAAACAGAACCACCTTCAATATAATTACCTAATGAACTTAAAAAACTCCAAGCTTCTTCTAATTCTTCTGGTTCTTTAAAGGTTCTAAATGTGGTTGGATATTTTGAACTATCTAATAATTTCTTATTCAATAAAACCAAGAAATACCTCACACATCGAAGTATAACAGTATCAAAATTTGAAATTTCGGAATCGAACAAATCACTTAATAACCAATTTCTAGAAACATCTGGTTTTCTATATTCTGAAATACCCAGTTTAACTTCTAATGCAATTGTAATATATGATTTAAAATCTTCCAACATTTGGTCAATCATCATTAATGTTGGATTTTGTAATTTTACCGCATAACTTAACCTAACTATAATAATTTCTTTAATTAATTTCATAGGTATAACACAAATTTGAATTAAATCATGTAAATAATCAGGTAATTTCATTGTTTCAAAAACGTGACCTAGTCTAATATATGTATCTTTTGATTTTATCATCCATGGAGATATTGGTCTGAAAATTCTCTTTTTAAAGATAGTTTGTACATCTTTATCCTTCATTAATCTTTCAGCTAATGATTTGTTATCTTCATCAAATATCTTTTTAACTATTTTACTATTTGATGTGACTGAATTTTTTGAAGGCATTTCAACTGGTGATTTAGTTATATCTAATTCATCATTCCCAATCCATAATCTTAATGAAGTAGTTTCTCTATTTATAGCATCAGTAATTGATAACCATGAAGTTAATGCATCTACTCTATTTTGAAATTCTTCACTTCTACATGCTGGTTTATCATTTCTCATAACGTCTAAAGTTTTCCATAAACTACAAGCATCATCATATCTATCTAAAATATCTTTAACTTGATTTCTAATTGGATTATTTGTAGGATCATCATAACTAACCTCAAAATTCATAATATCATCAATTAATTGATCAACTAAAGTTCTTCTATAAAGTACAATTTTTCTTTGTTCATCTTCTGTTCTATTTAGAATTTTGGCTCTAATACCAAACCATAAACTTTCTTTATAAGTAGCATGTAAAAAGTTTTCTTGTGAATTATCTGGATTATTGATATTTATAATTTTACGTTTTTCTGATTTAACAACATCACCAGTTAAAACTGAAGTTAACATTGATTGCCATTCTAATCTTTCAATCACTGTTGGATCTTCATTATCATCAGTACTTAGATTTGTAATTTTTTTAAGGTTTACATTTGAATTTTTCATCAATTGTAATGCCATTGTATAATCAATTTGATATTTATTATCATCAATTGCAGCTAAAAAATTCGCATTTGATTCTTCATCACCACTTTCATTTTCATCTTCTATATCTGTTTCATCACCATTATCTTCTTTTGCACTTGATTCATCTTCTTCATTTATATTTTTAACAGGTTCATTAGCACCAGTGATACCTTTTGTATAATAATCATCAACAAATTGATTTCGTAGTTTCTTGAGGTATGCTTTTTCTTGAGCTAAATATTGTGAGTTTTGTGAGGTATGATGGTTGGATGAAGATCTAGATCTTGGTTTTATAGCTGAACTACTTTGTGATCTATTAATACCTGGTGGTGTACTATTTGCATTTGCTTCTCTACTATTCATAACTTGATTTCCAGCAGTACTTCCCGGTTGATTTGTTGACTTTTTAGATAATGATGAATTACTACCAACACTATTAGCACTTGAATTTCTTTTGATGCCCGGGGCTGAACTTGGATTATTTGATGAATTAGTTCTTAATAAAGATGGTTTTCTACTTGAAGCTGTGGAATTTGAAGAAGAACTAGTATACGATAATCTATGAATACTATTTGAACTATTAGAGCTTGTATAAGGTATTCTTTGAGGATTGCTATTTTGAAAGGGAGAATTCTTGTGTTGTTGAGGTGAGGGTGGTAATTGTTGTTGTTGTTCTTGTTGTTGTTGTTGTTGCTGTTGTTGTTGCTTCTGTAAATGATTATGTTGATCATTTAATATAGCATCAATGCTATCATGATTCAAATTAGGATCTGTCATAATCAATCAATAAATAATACTTTATAATAAAAATAAACCAGTTATTTCAAAATAATCTAATAATACATGAGTTGTAACAAATGAATAATAGTTAGAAAGGAGTGTAATACTATGTTATAGCTAATGATTGAAGTATATAGTAATTGGTTGTAATAATGTGTTGTCTAATTTAATAAAGAAAGGAAAAACAGGAACCAAGCAAATTAAAAATATAATATTTTACGACATTGATTTCTAATGTCGCATATTTATATTTATGACACTGAAAAATTATTAATCATCCCAAGGTTATTATGATTGAAATACAAGCTAATGATAGGTTAGGTAAAAAGATTAAAGTCAAATGTTTACCAACTGATACTATAGGTGATTTAAAGAAAACTATAGCTTTACAAATTGGTACTTCGAATGAAAAATTAATATTAAAAAAAGGTTATCAAATTTATAAAGATCATATATCATTAGATGATTATGAAGTTCATGATGGTTTCAACTTTGAATTATATTATGGTTGAAATAATTTATTAATACTACAAAATCTATTTAAACGAAATCTAAAATTAGCTATTATTAATACTCATGTCATTATCATTAAATCATTAAAAATAATATTACAAGAAATATTCAACATGTTGTTGTCTTCTTGGTCGTTCTTGAAAATATGATGCAAAAAAATCATTTTCATCATTATAATTGTCTTTATTATTAATATTGTTATTTGATAAATTGGTTGAATCAAAATCATCAGGATCTGAATTAATACCATTTACACTTTTACCTTTAATCGTATCTTCATCATTTTCTTGTGATGCTTCAAATACATTAAAAAATTGTCCTGGTAAAACACCTTGGTCATTTTGTAATTTATTATTGGTAGTTTCATAATTTGAATGTATAATTTCCAATACACTTGCTTTATTTCCACACCTATAACAATAATTTGGTGCTGACCACACTGTTAAACATTTACCTTTCCAATATGTTGTAAAACCTTCATTACATAATTGATGAGCTCTAATCATTTGAACTAAATTATTATCATTACAAAATTTATTAATAACATCACTTCCAAAAAGATAACCAGCACCTCTCGGACTTAATTTAAAATCTAAAATTTCAACATCAGGATCAGACCATACTAAATCTGCCATTATACCATCATGCGGAATTTCTTTAAATCTATCCATTGCTCTAATTTGATCCAATTGTTGACAACTTGGTGATAATCCACCATGACATGCAAATATTTTACCATCAATAGTAGCTCCTAATGGTAAATAATCAAATAAATCAGTTATATAATTCCAAACATCAGCAGATCCATGATATTTATTTAAAACTTCAGTATAAAATCCATAATTTGTTGTAATTGTTCTTGATTCATGATTACCTCGTATTAAATTAATTCTTTCGGGGTATCTAAGCTTCAAAACAAGTAATAAACTTATAGTTTCAATTGAATAATAACCGCGATCAACATAATCTCCTAAAAATAAATAATTTGTATCAGGTGGAGATCCACCAATTTGAAATATTTCTAATAAATCATGATATTGACCATGAATATCACCAACTACAGAAATTGGAGATTGTAACGACATAATATTGGGTATTGATAAAAACTGAGTTTTTAAAGTATGACATAAATGTTGTATAGTATCAGGAGGTAGTATTCTTGGAGGTTTATGATTTAATAATTGTTCGAGACAATAATCTAAATCTTTAATAGGTATTGAAAAAGGTACCGTCATGTTTTAACCAACTATAATCATGTATGAGTAGCTTCTATCCACTTTGACTTTGACTAGCTTGTAAACCTTTTAAGCTATGATTATCCTGTTTTGTATGTTTTGAACCGTTGGTCTCCAAATTTGAAGATAAGACAAAACAATTCCAAATTTTGCGAAGCATTCATCGCACAAAATTGGAATTAATATTAGACGAGTCAGAGACTACACAATATATATATTACAGTGTTCGTTAGTTATTGTTACTTATATTCTTTAATAGATTGTTCCAATATCTCTAAACCTTCATTTATAGCATCATTTCCTATATTTAAAGCAGGAACCAATCTAATTGTATTCATACCTGCAGTTATAATTAATAAACCATATTGTCTACAATTTTCAACAATTTTATTAATATCAACTTCTGATTTAAATTGTATACCTAATAATAACCCTTTACCTTTTATTTTCAATATTTTGTCATTATTTTCATTTGCAATTTCAGTTAATTTATTTATAAATTTTGTTGATTTTTCATTTACTTCATTTAAAAATTCAGTGTCTGATATAGTATCTATAACATATGATCCAATTCTTGATCCTAATGGATTACCCCCATATGTTGTTCCATGATCACCTACTTGTAATTGACTTTCAATTTTATCAGTAATCATAGTTGCACCAATTGGAAATCCATTACCTAATGCTTTTGCCATGGTGACTATATCTGGATGACCTTCTTTTGGTAAATAGGAATGAGCCCATAATTTCCCAGTTCTACCTAATCCACATTGTATCTCATCATAAATTAAAATAACGTTATTTTCATCACATAATTTACGCAATTCAATTAAAAAATTGGAATCAATGGTATTTACTCCTCCTTCACCTTGTATTGGTTCAATTATAACACCACAAGTTTTATCTTTTGATATTAATGATTTGACACTTTCAATATCATTAGGTTTAGCAATGTGAACTCCTGGTATTAATGGTGAAAATGGTTTTTGATATTTTTCATTTGGTGTTAAACTTAAAGCACCTAATGATCTACCATGAAATGAATTTTCAAATGTTATAAACTCAATTTTATTTGGATTTTGTTGTTTTGCATATTTTCTAGCAAATTTCATTGCTGCTTCATTTGCTTCAGTTCCTGAATTACATAAAAATACTCTACTAGCATTATGTAAACCTCCTGACTCCTTAGTTTTATTTATAATTTTACTTACTAATTCACCAGCAGGTAAATTATAATATAAATTAGAACAATGAATTAATTTCTTGGATTGGTCTGAGATTATTGATGAAATATCTTCATTACTATGACCAAGACAAGTAACAGCAATACCAGCAGTAAAATCAATATATTTTCGATTTTCTAAATCATAAATATATGACCCTTTACCATGAGTTAATACTAAATTTGGTCTAGCATAAGTTGTAACGGTATATGGTTTTGAAACTTGATTTATATATTGACCAGTTGCTGTAGTTTCATTAGCATCAACTATTTTTTTCATTGGTTTTGAGGCAGAGCCTGCAGTACTAGCACAAAATCTTATAATTGACGGTTTTAAACCATTCTTGATGGTTCTTCTTAACATTGAATTCGGGTGAGTCAAAAGTGAAAAAAAAAAAAAATCAGATTCTATATTTCAATTTAAGCGCGCTGTACCTAATACGGAAATCGTATAATGTATTACTTAAAATCTATCAATATCTATAGTTGTTTCAATAATTGATTTATCACTATCTAATTGATCAATTTCTTTTTTGATAATTCTATTAACTTCAAATCTAACTCTTATTTCTTCTTCTGAATCACTACCTTTCATAATTATCTTCATTCCAATAACATATACTTTATAATTAAATTTTGTAATGTAAAATTGTTCAATTTGATAAGTCTTTTTAAACCATTCTTGGTTGGTAATCAAATCTATTATCCTCAGTTTTAATAAATAATATTGGTAGTTTGAATATGGAAATGAACATAATAAAATCCCACCTAATGCTCTAACTAAATTCCAACCATTAAAACATAACATTGTAGCGACTATGATTGTGGCAATTTCATTCAAATCAATAGCTAGATCTGATGTCAAACTTTGTGGAATTAATGGACTGAATATTAGATAAACAGTGTATGATAAAGTAATAAAGTGTGTTGGATTATTTTGCCATAATTTAATGAGTTTAATAATTGGACTCGTTTCTTGATTCTTTAAATCCTTATCTATCAAACCATAATTCAGGGTTTTATTTGTTTGGGTATTTATTATCTCATTTATTCTATCATATGCAAGTATGAATTTTGATGATATTAATGAAACAATCATAGTGATCAATAATATAGATTCATATATAACCCAATTTGATTCTTGGTTTGGTTTTACATGTACATGATGTGAAGAGGCATGTTCGTGTTCTTCATTTGCAACCCATAATATTATAAATTCTTCAATAAAATGACTAAATAAATCAAAACCAACCATTATTAAAGAAGCACTTAACGCAAATCCAACCAATACTTCAATCCTACCTAATCCAAAAGGATAAGCTAAACTTGAACTATTCCAAACTTCAAAATTAGTCATTATATCAACAATTACAATTAGTATGGAACCCAATGAATCATAAAATACTAAATGTGCCAATGTTGATAAACTACTTAATCCAAATTTAAATCCAATTACAAATATTAATACAGATATACTTAGATGAAGAAATGACCAACTTAATCTTAATCTTTGATTTTGATTTATTGATAATAATATTTCATTAAATTTCGGGATTGGATACAGATTAGTAATTAAATTTAAATTTTGATTTTTAAATAAATCATCAATTGCAATTGGTGGTTCTTGAAACATATTCATTGAAACTGATGAATGTTTATATTTATGTCCTTTTCTATGAGTATGTTTAACTTGTAAATTATTATTTTGACCAACTTCTTGAGGTCGAAAATTAAATGGACTTTCCTTTTTCGGTGACATACTTCTTTTAACTGGTGATTTTGATCTATAATGTTTATTTATCCTACTTGGTGATGTTGATCTCGTTGGAGATGGTGGTCGAGGTGAAATTGGTGGTAACTGCGTAGGAGTATAATTTAACTTTGACCCGAAATTGAGTGAATCTCGAGATCTTGCAGTATTATTAAATGCGATTCCATCTTCACTTATTAGGTTATTTGAATCCATTAAGAATGCAGATAAAGGTCTTTGTCTTCTATTATTATTGGGTGGGGGTATAACTGGAGAATTATTTAATGAAGAATTTGAATATCGCCTTGGTGATGAAAATGTATTATTATAATCAAATTGAGGTGATGAATCATTTAGTGAATCAGATGAAAAATTAGCACTGACTAAGAAACCTAAATCTGCCTTATTACCAACATTATTTGAAACGGCCTCGTCATCTTCACCTTCTTCTTCTTCTTCTTCTACTTCTTCTTCTTCTTGTATTGCATGTTCTTCAAAATTTGACATACCCAATGGGTATGTATCAGATACACCATTTTCCATTATTTCAGGGATTAACTTAGGACCATAAATGGTAGTCTTATCATTCATAATCTACCTCGTTATACTTTAACGGTTATGATAAGAAAATAATTTTGTAATATTTACATATTCTATGCGACGCGAAATTGTACGACCCAATTCGGCTAAAACAAAATTTAATATACGAGTTCGGCTAAACTATACAAAGAATGGCCGTAGAGAATTAATAGTTTCCTGCTTTATAAAAGCAAAGTCATATATTCATAAATGTCATCATTGTGGATTTTCTTTAGTTACATAGGCATCGAATAATTGTAAATTTAAACACCCATCATTTAAAGATTGACTTGAATCTTCTAAAATTTGAAAACTTGTAATTTTAAAATATTTTTTAGTTATTGATTTAAAGGATTTATCATCTTCATTACTTCTTGAATCAGTTACTATATTACTAACAAATGAGTCATTAATGGCATTATTAATTTTCATATTTTTTAAAATTAATCCAGATTCATTGAATATGGAAACATCACCACCATATTTTAATTCATCTTCATCTAACATAATTGAACATTTAATCATATCGGATCTATAATTTTTAAATGGATTCTCTTCAACTGGTTTAGGTAAGTCAAATAATACTTGTAATGAAGATCTGCTAATTGTATCATTTTTCAAATTATCATCAGTTGATTCTGGTGATGTACCTTCTAATTTATTGTCTGGTTCATGCGTTAAATTTGTAGTAAGTGTAGCTTTCATAAGTAATAATAAATCATATAGTAAAATCTTTAACTTTTCATGTTGATTGAAAAAATCAGTATTTAATAAATCAACCAATTGTTTAACAAAATTAGCTACTGTTTGATCTCCATTGCCATTGTAAATTACATCACAAATTGTCTCTTTATGAATGATCAAAATTCTTATAAATATTGTAATTGTAGTTGAAATGTCTGTGGCATCCGATAAATTTGGAGTATTTAATAACTGTAATAAACTGTTCGTAAACGTCGATAGATTATCTAGTATACCCGAATCATTAATTAGATTAACAGACGATGATAATACTTTGTGGAAATAATCGTTCAAAGGTGGTAAAATATTAACATTTTTGATTTTTAACGAAACTGAACACTCATGGAACTTGACACTGTTGAAAAATACATTCTCAAGTACTTTCAAACCTGTTACTTTATATTCCCAAGATAATAAATTGAATAATTCTCCAAAATACGAATTATGAGATGAGAAGTTAAAACTTATATGATGTAATAAATTATTGACAAATGACTCTAATTCATCGACGGATCTAATGACAACATTCAATAATACTTGACAAATTGAAAAATTAAACTCATTAATGCTACTAAAATGAGTTTTGAAGTCATCAATAGTGGATATTTGTTCATCGTTGAGTAAAAATAATTTACTTAAAATGAATATTGAAGTTTCTTTGTTGAGTTTTGAAAATAGTTGATCGTAAAGCTGACAATTGCTAGTTGATATTGTCTTTTGTAACCATTGAAACACCTTTGATTGATAATTTTGTAATAGATTGTCATTTAAAATACCATGCACAAGAATTGACATGACTTCATTAAAATTCTTTTCATGAAATAACAGGATCGTTATCTTCAATAACACATTTTGACTTGGAGTTAGATTATCATCACCATCATTCAATAAAATGGCATAATTTAAATTTTTAAAATCTAATTTAATCAAATCTTCAACTTGAAAAATATCATATACGATCAACTTTTCAATGAATACCTTCTTCTGTTGAAAATCAGCATCTGAATTCAATGTAGTACCTAAAAACTCATGTAATATTTCAGTTGAAGCTATTGGATTATCCAAATTTATTGAAGCAATTGTACTTTTCAAAATTTTAATTTTGACAGTTTCTTCGGCTTCTGTTCTCTCAAGTGTACCATCAAACAAGCCCAGAAGTTGTTGATGTAAATCTAAATCAGTATTTAATTGTACATCTTCTTCCTTCTCATCTTGAGTTAATGGACTAGGTGTAATCTTTTTCAAGTTTTCCAAATCATTTCTAAAATCATCTGATGAATATCTATATTCTGATGATTTATTATTATGTTCTTGTGTATAAGTCGTAGTATTTATCTGCATTGGTGTTTCCATCGTATTCTTACTCAATAAATTCTCTAACACTTTTTTGGACGTTTTTGATTCAACTGGTTTATGTGCTGTTGAATTCTTTTCTATTACTGAATCTATAAAATTCCAAACTTGATTAAAATTGAAATAATCGTATTCTCTAGTTGATAAATCTTTATAATTTTGAATCAACAATTTGAATATTTCAAACCCAGTTGATGCTTCTTGATTTGGTGAGTTTGAAGGTATAGATTTTATCAATTTGAAATGACTCAAAACTAATCTAGATATTAAATATAATGAGTCCAAATAATAAATCACTAATTTACTTTCATTTTTTAAAATTGTTTGAATTATAGATTTGAAAAACACGGTTAAATTATCACATATAGCGTAAAAATTATACAAATTGGCAATTTGAACATGTGAAAGATGTAATAATTTAGATGATTTTCTAACCTTGTCTCTAAATTCATTGGTTAACCAATTTATCAAATAAAATCGAAGTCCAACATTTAATGATAAAGTGTAATTAACAAAGGATTCACTTAAAGGGGAGTCAAATTTACTTGTAAAAATTTTATCTAGGATCTCAGTTTGTACATGAGTTTGACATGATGTAATCATTTCCTTTAAGTCAAATTTTGAAGATGACCATTTTTTCAATATACTGTCACATTGTCTATTATTCATAATTGGTAAATTCTTCAATACATCTAGATGTAACTTGACTGTGTTTGGTAAATTTTCCAAATCTTGTACTTCACCAGGAGCGGTATAAAAAACACCCGAAGCAATTAATCTTCTTAAATATGATCCAATTGATATAATATTTAAATGGTATAATTCATTCATTAATACATATAATTTATGTTGGTCTAATTTTATCTCTTCATGAGTCTCTACTATGTGATAAATAATGTCTAATATCTCATTTTCAAATTCTTGTTTTAAACTTTTGGAATTTATTTTAAGTTGAATATTCTTTTTCAAAAAGTTGCAAATAATAAGTATACTTTCATTTGATTGTTCCAGTGTTCTCCAAGGTGTAATACACCAAAACAACGTAATTTTCAAATCTAATTTCCAGTTAGTTTTTGTACGTTTTAGATTTGTAGGTTTTATCAATGAGGTAAATTCTTCAGTTAATTTAAGATTGTCTAAATTTTCTAGTATTTTTAAAACATCTTCTGATTTTCTCTTCATGAATATTGGTTCCTCAGTTGATGATTGTCTAGTATTTAAAATCAAACTTTCATTTCTATACTTTATAATCTCTAATTGCTTCAGTATTATCTCTTGTTCTTTCTCTGACTTGTTTAATGAGTCTTCAAGTAATATCTCAACTAATGAATTACCAACAATCAACCAGGAACTTGAGATGATAAATGCATTGGTGTTGAATTTGAATAAATATATAATCAAGATACTAATTGATTTTAAAATGTTGTATTTTAGATTCTCAGGTAAGGATAGTTTATTATCTGAAACTTTATTAATAAAGAAATAGTTTAGTAATAACAACTCTCCCAATTCTTTTAGTAAATAATCGTATTTGATCATTTCATTCCAAAACACTTTTATTAACGTAATTGCAACTAAACGTTGTCCAAAATTTAAATCTATTTCATCTTCCCATGCTTGTTTCTCATTTTCTGAATTGACCAACTCACTAACATTTTTAGAACTCAAAGGTAAACCCTCTCTCAAAAATTTTAATAATAAAGTAAGGAAATATGATTTATCCACCAATGATTCAACATATAAGGACAGTAGATACGTTATTAAATAACTTAACTTCTTCATATACTGGTCTTTCTTATCATTTGTCGTGATTGTAGTCAGTTCTTTTGAAAATTTATAAACATAATCAACCACCTGCTGCGTCCATTCTTGTAACCAATGGATTTCAAATTTTTCAATTGATTCAGTGCTAGTAAATTTCGATTGATGTTTCTTTCTTGATGATAATAATTCTCCATATAATACACTTTTCGTAAACCACAAGGCACGATTTATAGGAACAAATTTAACACATACAAATTCAATCAATATTTTATTTCGTATACCATGCGGTATCTTTTCTGCAATTTTCTTTAATGGCACATTTGAATTACTTAAATCTTTTAACCATAATTCTTTCTTTGATGCTGTTAATGTAACTCTCGCAGGTACTCTAAAATGATTTGAATCAAATTTAATTTTATTTATAATTTCATTTCTTGTCTTATATGCATTTGTCAAATGTTGAGATAATTCTTTTAATACATTATTACAATTATCAGTTGAAACAAATGCAGTAGCACCTATTAAATTTCTTGCAGAATAATATTCATTAGCTACTTGTGGAACTTCAAAATAACCTTTATTTAAATATGAAGATGAATTATTTTGAGATGAATCTTCTGATTCTTTATTTATTTTAGTATGATCTTTCCATGGCATAAAATCAGGATATGTTAATTCTTGATTTGATATTTCATCATTTAATGGATATATAGGTAGATCAGGTTTTATCATTGAATATTTCATAGATAGTATTTCATCTTTATTTGAGTTTGTATATGAAGATCTATTCTGTGAGGATAATAATGTGTTTCTACTTCGTGGTTTGGACATTTATAAATCATTAACTTGACTTGATCTGGTAACAGATTTAAAATATTATACCGTACGCACTAAAAATAATATGGTGAAAATTAACGTTTATTATACACTATATATACAATATCTCTACCACTCTTCATCATCATCTTCTTCATCTGATATATCATTTCTTCTATTCTTTAATGCATCAGCTAATGATCCAGCTAATGAATGATCATTTGATTTCTTTTCTTTTAATGCTGATGCTAAATTAGATCCTAAATTAGTATTTGTTGAACTAGATGGGGTAATCGTTGATGCCTGAGTTTGATTAGTTGATATAGTTGATACTGGCGTTGGAGTAGCTGAGGAACCATTATTTGTAACTTCCTCTAAATAATTCATTGGTACCCATCCCCCACCAGCAACTAATCCCCATGGACCATTTACTTCATCAATTGTATATGTTTGACCAACTAATAATGCAGAACTACCAGCAACTGAACCATCATAATCATAAAGAGCTTTATATGTTGGTTTTTTAGGTTTTTGTAATGATGGAGGCGGTGGAGGAGGTGCAACTTTCTTTTTAGCTGGTGCTGGTGGTGCAGTTTTCTTTTTAACAACATTGTTTTGATGAGCAGATTGTTGAACTGGTTGATGATGAACTGGTTGTTGATGAACTGGTTGTTGATGAGTTTGTACGCGGGTTTGTTGATGTGGTTGATGAGTCATAGCTGCTTTGGCTGCTGCTGCCGCTGTTGAATTTGAATCTTGAGCATGTTGAGGAGCTGGTGGTGGTACTTTTCTCTTTGATGGTTGTCTTTGTACTGGTTCATAAGTTTGTTGTTGAAAAGCAGGATTTGAAACCGGTTTAGGAGCATTATAAGTTTTTCTAACAGGTGGACCACTTCTAAAATTTGTATAATCAACTTTAGCAGACTTACCTCTTGGACGTTTTGGATTTTGCGAATTTCCAGGTAAACCAGGTCTAACATTAACAGTTCCAGATTTATAAAAATCTCCGTTTAAAGGAACTTCCGGACCATTACTAGTTTGAAATTTAACTGTATGGAATTTACCTGGTTTCTTTTGATATTGTACAGTTCGATCAATTTTAATTGAAATACTACTATTTAATTTTTTCAATTGTGCAACTAATTCAGTTTTAAAATCTAAATTGATGAAAATATCAGGTGTTGTTGGAGTTGGTGATGTTAATGAAACTGCAACCCAATTATCTTGTAAATTAGATAAACCTAAATAGTTAATGGAAGATACTGGAATTGAAAATTCTTTAGTCATTTGTAATCTTTTCTCAACTAATGCTTCACCAATGATGTATAAATATGATTTAGTCAATACAAATACCCTAGGTAACCTTTTTGATGATCTACCAAATTTAGATAATAAAATTTCACCCTTTGCTGAGAAAATAGCTTGATCTTTTAATCCAACTTGATTCATTACAAATCTACCATACCCAGAATTATAATTACATCCAAGATAATCACCCATAAATGCTCTTGAACCCAACATTGACATTTTACGACGTTCTTTTCTACCTTGTAATAAACCATTACCATAATCTCTAAATTGTTCAAATTGGTTACCATGCTTTTTAATTTTCCATGCATTTTGAATTGTTCTTGCAGCATCTTCTTTACGTTTAACATATCTTCTCCAAGCTCTTTGAATTCTAGCAGCCATATTATGCCAATATTTATCTCTCATATCTTCAAGAGCAAATAAAGTTTCTGGAGTTTTAATAAATACTTTTGTTGTACCTAATTGAAATTCACTTGTTGGAATATGACATGATTTTAAAATTTCTTTAACTGCAGTTAAATCATCACCTTGCCATATATAATCACCTGCATAACCAGTAGCTGGAGATAATAAATAAAATCTTTGAACAAATCTTTGAAAAGTTGATCTATAAGCAAATCCTGCTCTTCTAATTCTAACATTTTCTTTTAAACCTAAATATTTAATTTGATGTAAAACTTGTTGATTATCATAATCTTTTGGTTTTTTAGTTTGATTTGGTTTTATAGTACGTATATATGATGGAGTACTTTGCGATAATGTATCAACTAATAAATTTGCCGATTTTTTTATTTTATCAGATGCTGTTTCTGGTCTTTTTCTTGAGTCTAATAAACTTGCTAATAAATCAGATGGGAATAAAACCAGATTAAGGAAGGAGTTTTTGGAGGTAGTTAATAATTCTAATAAATCACGCAACATTGCATCTTTATTTTTATCAGTCATTCCTGCAACATCATAAGTAACATCACCAGCATAATGTTTAATAATGAATTTTCCCCTACGATCTTCAAAATGACGATTACTAGCACCAACCATACTTAATCTTTGAGCGAAAACTTGATCAGCAGCATCAGAATCGGCATGTGCAGTTTTAATTGAATCGTTCAAAGCTGCAAATAAACCTGGTTGTGGTCTTGTAGCTTCAATTAAATCACAAACAACTTTATTATTGAAATATTCAATTGGTGTCCATTTAATTCGTTCTTGAACATATTCATCTTGTTCAGCTTTTAAAGTTAATTGGATGAATATTTGTTGTAATTTTTCATTAACATAGTTAATACAAACTTGTTCAAATGAATTTTGTTCAAATATCTCGAAACCATAGATATCTAAGATACCGATAGATTTTGATGATTGTTCAGAATTGCCTTTAAGTGAAATATTTACTCTTTCAACAATCCATTCGAATAAGTTATTATAAATACCCTTTGCTAATGCATCTCTTACCGCTGTAGCTTGGACAATATTCAAAGGAGTATGATAAGTTGATCCCCTCTTCATACCATGTGAAGTCTCAATTGTTCTTTCAAGGATAGCCTTTTTCAATATTTCAGCATTTACATCTAATAAATAAGCAACAAAATTTGTAACACTATCATCTCTAATTGCTGCATTTCCACTCTCATCCTCAATAAAACTTATATTACCAATCCATAAAATTGAAGCCAACATTTTAAAAATATTATCTTGTTCCTCTTGGGTTAATCCAATAATTTTCATTGCATTTAAAGTGTCATTAAAATCTTTTTTATCATCTACACCATCTACATTTATACATTTTGCAGCTGATGTATATATATAAGTTTCTGGACCTTGTATACCAAAAGATTGTTGATATTGAGGAGGACAATGTTTTGTGAATTGATAAAATATATGAAAATTCCTTTCATTTGTAATTTGTGAAACAACTCTTTGTTTCTCTAATAGGTAGTTGGTTATATGAGCTGCTACAGGTTGATAATTTCCTTCACTAAATTTAATTTCAAGATATTTACCATGTCTACTTGAATTATTATTTCTTAAAGTTTTGGCACATCCAAATGATTCTAATAATGGATTAGTTGCTAATACCATATCTTTAATTTTTGAAATTTCAGTATTAGTTGAATCTACTGAGACATTTGCAATATATTGCATAATTTGTTTTGCAGCTTCTGTTTTACCAGCACCTGATTCACCAGATATAATTACACATTGATTTTCTCCATATGATTTTAAATGATAATACATTGATTCAGCAATAGCAAAAACATGAGGTGGAACTTCTAATCTATTTCTACCTTGATATTTATGTAAATTTTCTAATGTATAGATTCCAAGATCTCGAAATGGATTAACTGAAATTAAAACATGTCCAATATAAGTATAGATAGTATCATTCATAAATCTTTTATATAAATTTTCATTAATAGCTTCATCTGTGATTTTTGATAATAATGTTAAATCAGAAACACCAACTTCTTTCTTTTTAGTTACATCAAATTCAGCTTTCTTGATACCTCCACCATTTTGTTTTGCTGGTGCTTGTTGTTTTTTGGTACGACCAGCTCGTTTAACAATAGCCATGATGAAAATTAATGATGTCTATTAATATCTATTCACTCTATTAGAATTAATGATCTGGCTGAGTCGGTGCAAAGTTATCAAACCGAAAAAGATAAAAAAATTGCTACCAAATTACATCAAGGAAAAATAATTTATATACATTGTTTGATGATGAAGGAAATGTTCAAGGTCAAGATGAAGATAAAATACAATGGTAACTCTATCTATTCTTATTAAAATCCTTACTATATCCTTACTTAATGTGACCATAATCTAATCATTTTATCTTTACCACCAGAAGCAACTCTTTTACCATCTAAACTCCAATCAACAGCAAATACTTCATCTGAATGACCTGGTAAATCAACAATTAATTTTTTAGATCTTATATCCCATACTTTTAATGTTGTATCTTTTGAACAACTAACCAAAAGTCTATTATCAGCAGACCATGAAGTTTGATAAACCGGTGCAACATGACCTCTTAAAGTAGTTATAAATGTCCCTTTTAAACCATCCCATATTTTAATTGAATTATCAAATGAACTTGAAACTATATATCTACCATCTGGTGAAAAATTAACATGATTGACTAATTTTTGATGTCCTGTCATTCTACATATTGGTTTTGATGACTTTAAAGGTTCCCATAAATACATTGTAAAATCATCACTAGCACTAACTAATCTTTCATTGATTACACCATTAATTTTTGCAACTTTTTCATATTCTTGTAATGCTTTGGCACGCAATTCTTTTGATGATATTGAGTCTAATTTACCACCTTTATGATCAAATCCACCTTTTCTAATTACATAATCTGTTGACAAACTTAAATGATTTACCCAATGCCCATGAGATTTCAATGTTTGTATACATTTACCATTTGCTGACATATCCCATGATTTGATAGTTCTATCATGTGATGCTGAATATATTATATTTGATCCAGACCATTTGACACAACTTACTGAATTTGTATGACCAGACATTGTAAATAAACAAAGCCTACTTATTGGATCCCAAACTTTTACAGTGCCATCTTTTGAACTAGATGCTAATTTAGGCAGTTCATCTAAATGTATTGGTTGCCAAGTTAATGAAGTGACCCATTTTGAATGTCCAGTTAATGGTTTACCTAATGGTGCACCAGTTTTCGCATCCCATATCCTTATTGTATTATCCATCGAACCAGTAGCTATTAATTTACCGTCAGGCGAATATGAAACACATAATACCCAATTTGTATGACCTTGTAATGTTTTAAATGGAGTTTGAGTATTACAATCCCAAATTCTTGCAGTTGAATCACCAGCACCAGAACACATCCTACTTGAATCATTAGGAGAAAATGAACAACATAAAATTGTAGAACCATGACCTGCTATAGCTGTATTTGATCTTGTTATTGGTTTGACTTTAAAAATAGCCCTTGGAGTATAAACCAAAGTTAAAAAATCTTCAGTAGTTTTATGTCCAGGTTTCAATATAGAATGATATAAATCATCTTTAACATCAGTTAATTTATCATCAATTAGTACACTAAAACTATAAGGTACAGGATCATCTTCATTTTGTAAATTATTTAATAATTCTTCCAATTGTTTTTCAGTTATACTTCCAGGTACTCTTATTGAACCACCTATTGATTCACCAGTATCTGAAGCTTGAAATTTAATTAATACGTTTGGTAAATCTTCAGGTATTAAATTAACATCTCGTACTTGTAGTGCCTCTTTTTTTTGTTTCTTTGATGGTGGTGGTATTACAGTAGCCATGATGAGCTTCAAAAAAAAAAAATTATTCAGTTTCAGAATTTGATATAATATCATCATCTAAAACACTTAAATTTATAACACTTGTATCATATATATTTGGAGAGGATGGTAGATTAGTTGACTCTCTTTGAATTTTAGTTAAATCAATTATTGTATTATAATTGAAATCATAATATATTGGATTATAAATTGTATTATTATTTTCAACTTGACATGCATAGATTAATTTTAGATCTGAATCTTGTAGTTTATGGGAAACCTGTTTTTGTAGGAATACTGGTGATTTATGTAACCAATCTTGATAGAATAGGAATTTAGTAGTCAACATTTTATGAGCTTGAAATGGAGTTAATACAACTCTACCTTTTTGATTATATGGATTAATTGGTTGATCAGGTTTTGGTTTTAATCTGTAGGGTCGATATTTTGTAGTTAAATAACCATGAAGAAAGACCATTAGATTTGAATTTATACACCTTTTATTAATTAAGTGGATTATATTATTTACATGATTTTCATATTTTACTATTGGACTCATTTTAAGCAAGTCTGAGTTTTTGGGTAGTTGTGGAATTGGAACCTTATCCTCTTTATCTTTATTTTCAATAACTGTCAAGTTCTGTTCAATATGATGTTTTAATATTAATTCTTCATAAGTTGCAGACATTTCAAGTTTATACAATTCTAACATTAGATGAAATTCATGAATTATAACTATTGAATCTTGTGGTATATCATTATTAATAAAAAAGTAATATATTTTGGCAAATGTATTTAATCTATAATGTATAATTCTTTCAGTAAAATCCTCATTGAAACCAGGATGTGCTAATAATTGACCAGCTGGATATTTATTAACAATATCTATAATTATAACTTTATGATTTGGATTATTTTGTAAATGTGATGTAATCAATTGGTTTAATATAAGATAAACCGCGTTATTAGTTGGTGTAGTTTGAAAATCATAAATTTTATTTTTTAAAGGAACATTAAGCAATAATTGATCTAATATTGGTAAAGTAGTAGTTAAATTCTTGAAAACTTGTTGACGATTAACAATATCATCTAATAATACCATGAAAGATTGAATCAAAATTGGTTGTAAAAATTAATGGTTGATAAAATTTACGCGATCTTGAAAAAAAAAAATAGCCTCAGGTGGTAGCGTTTTGGCAACGGCTAGACCATTGGAACTGTCAATTATTCAATCTTAAGCCTAGCTACAACGCTAGAATAAGCTCTGAATGTTCTGATAGACTCTGGTATTGTATTCAATTACTAAATTAGACTCTAATCGCTATATTTCTTTATTTACTCAAATTTTAGTAAATCCATCTAATTTACAGCTCTAGAAGTCGCTCAAAAGACATTGGACAACACTCTGTAGTCAATCTAAACATGGATCAGGTTTTAATTAATCAATCAATGTATTATTTGTACTTTCGTCAACCATTCTACAATTATACGATGAAATGGCAAAATATATATATACTTTTTTTCGCTTCGCTTATCAGTTGATAAACTTTTTTCATCTTATCAACTATTACATATCACAATACCGTTAACTTATAACCAACCACCACGATAAATCCATGTTTGCATTACTCATATATAAGAATGAACAAATTATTATCTAATTGTTTATTTATAATATCTAATTTATTATTCACTATAACTATACTAATAAATTTTTATATTTCATATCCAAATTTTTCAAGATTGAGAATACTTATAGCATTATTTTCAATATTATCATTAAATACGTTATATTATAGAAATAAATTGAATATTAAGCATAGTATAGTCTTTATTCTAACTAATATTTTATTCATCATTTATTTGTTTTTTGATTATGAAGAAATTAAACCAATTTCGGTGCTCCAATATACTAATTTCACATTTGAAATATTGAGTGTTGTGATCTTAGATACTATTATAATCTACCAGAGTAGATCACGAGTCTTTTTGTACCACGAAAGAGTCAATATCAACCATCAACCTGATTGGTATGTCAAAAACCAACCATTAGTATACTATGGTAATGCAATTGAGACCGAGGAGGAGGAGCAGGAGGAGGAGGAAGAAGATGAAGACGAGGAGGAAGAGAGTATAAATGAAGCTGAGACTATCTTTTCTGATGATTATAATTTATCACAATCTAGAGGTCGCTCATTGATTAAAAATGAAAATAGCATGTTGTTGAATGATTCCAATGTTCATAATTATTATTTAACCACACCTCCTCCAAATCATTATATTAGTTCAAATCAACAAACTCCAATGCCTAAAAGTATAAACACATTTGAATCACCAAGTACTAGTTTAATTCCATGCGTAATTGGTAAAATATCAAGTGTCAATAAAAAATTAGTAGAAGGGACAAAAATTCCATTTCTGCCAATTGATTTCCTAACTGATGATTTCTACAATGATCAAAAGAGTAAAGAATAGTGTGTTTATTGACATCTTTACGGTATTTATAGTGTATATATTCATTGGCATCCTGAACTTTTTGCATCCATCCTTACTTGGTTATTCTCCATGCACTTTGAGGTAATGTTTGCAAATATACAATTTTCTTCTTTATCCACATCAATATAAGTATTCCCAAAAGTATACAAATCATATTAGTATAATAATAACCATCTCTTACTATTGTAATTTTCCCACCACTTAAATCACATTGTTTTTTATTATCTTCATTTTGAATCAATATGTACCCCTTGTCTAAAAAACATTTCTGTATTGTTATTTTATCAATTAAATAATATATAAATATTCTAGGCCATGTTCCACCATAATTTGATATTGTATTTAATGTAGTCATATAAGTACCTCCTATTTTTGGATCAGCAATCTTGGTATGGAATGCACAAAGACTTACAAATTGAATAGTTGACATAAATGAACTAAATAAATGTTGTAGAATAATCATTAAGAAATAAAAACTTGAAACTTGGCCATTGGATGGAAAATAATAGACTAGTAGTTGTCCTAAGAATGCAGCTAGTAATCTTCCTATATATCCAAATAACCATGGTTTTAATGGTGATTTACCTGTTGACCAACTTCCAGCATAATATCCAAATATCATCTCAAATGGGAAATTAATCAACACTGTTATAGATAAATCTTCTTTTGATAATCCTTTTTCAATCAATTTTAAATTTGTACTTGCTTCATTTACTTGGAATCCAAGCTTAGCTAATAGTAAAATTACAATAAATGTTTGTAGATTTGGTAATTTTAAAATTTCATACATCGATGAATAAACATTTTTCAATTCTGAAAATTTATCAAGTGCATTATAAATTCCATCTTTTTCTTTTAAATTTCTATTCTTATTTATATTTACAAGGTATGGTGGATCTTCAGGAATGAAATAGAGTAAACCAGTAACTACTAGATATACCCACCCCCAAAATTGTAAATACCCACCTAAAGAAAACAACCCTTTATCTATTGGCACTTTTCTGATAAATTTATTGGCAAAATCGGATGAATTTAATGCTAAAAATATAGTAAAACTTGAAAAATAACCAGTGTTTATTCCAATTGTTTGTGCTGTTGATGCATATGATAAACTTTCCGGTGATAATATAGTTAATGCCCATCCATCAACTGCAATATCTTGAGTAGCACAACAAAGAATTAGTATAAAAAATATTGCAGTAATTAATCCAAGATTACCTTTTGGATTTTCAATAAGATAATCAATTTTAAATCCTAAATAAATTAACATTATACCTGATATAATTTGAATAGGGATAATCCAACTTTTTCTTCGTCCTATTTCTTTCAGATATATTGCATCAACAAATGGACTCCATAATAATTTTAATGAATATGGATAAGAAGCTAATGAAAATATACCAACTTGAGAATAAGTCAATTTCGACTTGAGTATAAATGGAATTGATCCAAATGTGAGACCAACAGGTACTCCCTGTAGACAATAAAGTATAATTAATATAATGAATGCTTTTCTATCTTGAGGTAATAATTTCGTCTGTCTTTTAGTTGACTTTGATTTTAAATCTTGATTTGCAATCGGTAATAATCCATCATTTTCTTCATCAAATGCAACATGTCGATAATTCAATTTATTTTCTACTGATAAATCATTGGGATATTCATCAGGCATGACATATATAAAATAAACGAATGAATATATAAAAGGTGTCTAAAATTGATTTGGTAAATTTATTTTTTTTTTCAGTTGATTTGAATAGTATTGTGATAATATTGATAGTTAAACTACTAATGGCCAAGACAAATTATGATAAACTTGTCAAAGTGTTACAAATCTTGGTTATATGGTATGTATTGATTAAATCTTGTTAGTTTGGTAACTATTTTATGGGTAGAGGCGCATTATCAAAATGGTAAACAAAGATGTTAAAATACTGTTTATTGACTATCAGTGGCTATTACATGCTTTAATTTAGTTAGAGGTGTAGTCAATGCTTTGCATGTTGCTAATTGTTAAGATATATGGGTTCTCAATTGGAAAGTATACGAATTTGGGGCTTTTTTTTGTTGTTAAATTGTTTATTGTGAACTTATAAACATACAAAGACCCAATCTAAGCTTACCATCATCATCTGATAACCCCATACTACTATCATTAGCCATAAATTTGAGCTCTTTTACCCAAAATATAAGCACCAATGTAAAATTTCATTAATAAAACACAGTTGAAAAATTTCATTAATAAAATCACTGTTGAAATCAATTAAATTTACTTTCAATATAAGTGCCAATCACAAACATATCATAAATAAACACCAATGCTCCTTTCATCAATGATGGTTGATAAAATAAATACAAATTTGGAAGTACAATGAAAATAAAAAACATAAAAATTAATACCATCCAATGAAACAAGAAAAACATGATGAACACCTTTGAAATTGCACTCAGCTTCTAATTTAGCACCTATTTATACATTCTCGATTGTAAATTTAGGGGTTGCTTTCAATTTAACACATAATTTGTAATTTATATATATATACCAATTCCGCTTTCAATTATCAAAATCGCGGAATTTAAATGACATGACTCTAAAACGAACCTAGCATAATTTAAATGACATGACTCTAAAACGAACCTAGCATAATTCAAACGACTAATCACGTCAAGACAATTGTTATTCTATTCGAAATGACTGGTGAAATGTTATTTGTAAGTAAATTTTTTCAAATGGTTGCAAAAAATTACGAGATATTTTTTATTTTGCAGCCATTTTTTGCCAAAAATCAGGAAATTTTCAAAAAATTCATCTTGGCCTCAATTTTGACCGCAAGAACTGCTGAAAAAAGTTTTATAAGTAAGTTTGAGCTAATAAGCTTACGTTTAAGAGTCTAAGAGGTTGAATGGTCCATTCTAGCTTCGGTTATTTCAAGTTTTTGATAATTTTGAAAATTGGTCGTATACCTTACGAAAAGAAATTACGAGCTATAAACTGCAAACATCATCAATTTCCATTTCAAAAAAATGACACTCAGTTTTCGGTGTCGCGACATCTGGATGAAACTCACCTTTGATTACTGGAGCTTTTGAACTTCTTGAATTTTGGACGATTGGTAATATTTTTAAAATTCTACCTTCAATACCTGCTTTTTGCCAAGTTTCTCTAATTGCAGCTTCTTCCATAGTTTCATCTAGTTCATTGCCACCTTTTGATTTTTATGTTTTGATGAAGATATCATTATGACCTTATCTTTTGATGAAGATATCATTATACCTTATCTTTTGACGAAGATACCATTATAACATTATCTTTTGATTCATTTAAATCAAATACATCCACACACTATTCTATTTTGCAGCCATTATTCAGAGAAGTATGTTTTTGAGCTCGTTTTTAACCGCAAAAACTGGCTAGATGGTCTAAAATTTATCAGAATAGCTAAATTAGTTAAAATAAAGAGTTTGACATGTTAATCACAGAGCTAGCTTCATTTAAGTTGATTTTTGATTTTTTAAAATCTATTGCAATCGAAATTAATCGTATATGTTTATATGTTTATATATTTCAAATTCGCGTTATAAATTCCAAAAATTTCGCGTCATTTTTTTCAATTGTTAATATTCCGTGCTACGATTTTTAAGGCGTGAAAATTTATTCACAATCTAAACGTCGCGCCATTTGAGTGATTTTAATAACAATACTACAAGTTGATAACCTACAAGTGTTCAAACATGATTAGTATGAGATTATATAGATAGTAGTCATACTAGGTTAGTCATACTAGGTTAGTCATACTGGCTTAGTCTTACTAGGTTAGTCATACTAGGTCAGTCTTACTAGGTATTAGTTGATCATCATTATATAATCGTTAGCAGTTTGTTTACATAATCCCTCAATATAGCAATTATAGCGTCAAACAAACTAACCAGAGTAATGAGAAACAGTCGTGTAGAACACAAGGATAGTCGTGTAAATAATATATTTTTTCTCCTCTCATAGTAACTATTAGTTTTATTGTATATATTACTACTCACTAACATCCATCATATAAAATTTTGTTGTATTTTTTTTTATTATCAATACCAATACTTAATTAAATTAAGTATGTATACACATTATTATTAGTACTATAGTACTAGTGAGAAAAATTTTATAAAGTAAATTGAAATCAATCATCGACCAAACATCAAAACAAATATAAAAACTGATAACCAATTGATCAAAAGTTTAAACGCCCATCAAAAGTCAACAAATTTCAACCAGTATCAATTATCATCAATTTCATTAAGGGCTGCAAAAAAATAAACAAACGAGAAATGATAGAGAAAAAAAAAACATAAACAATACAACAATATCAATTAATTGAACTACAAGTGCAACAACATCAAAATTAAAGATTGATTTCAATTTCATGTTGATGATTAAATTACTAACTCCTAACGTTTTAGTTTAAACAATGGCTGCTCCTGCTGAAAGAAAAAAAGCTTCTAGAAAAAAGAAGGATCCAGAAGCTCCAAAAAGGAGTCTTTCTGCGTACATGTTCTTCGCCAACGAAAACAGAGATATTGTTAGGGCTGAAAATCCTGGCATCTCATTTGGTCAAGTTGGAAAAGTTTTAGGTGATAAATGGAAAGCGTTAAGTGACGATGATAAAGCTCCTTACCAATCAAAAGCTGATGCTGATAAGAAAAGATATGAAAAAGAAAAAGCTGAATATGCTAAAAAATCTTCAGCTTAATTTTTATATAGTGTGTAGTTTTTTTATTTCATTTTATTTTGTTTTAATTTATATTGTTTATCTTGTTTTGTTTAAGATTGTTCTTTATTACGTGTTCTTTTTTTTTTAAATATTTCTTCTTCTTACGCCTTTTCTTGCTCTTTTGCTGCTTTGTTTACATTGTTATTATCTTCGGTAGTTCGTAAAGTTATAAAATTACCCCTTAAAAGCTACCATGTGCTACTACTAATGTATTGTAAAAGTGATTTGAATTTTCATTATTGCAGAGACCCTAAAGTCAAACCATGGATATAATTGATAAAGTATGTTTTTAAGTCGAATAGAACTTTTGAAGCAATTTAAACAAAGTTTTTTACATCAAATAACTTGATTTTCATTCAGCACTACCATCGTCAAAACTACAATTATCAAACTTTAATTCAATGAAGAAACTCTAAATATCCGAGATATATAAACAAACTCACAAACTCACCTGATAATAATAATTAAATAATAGTTGAATACACTGCTGGCATTTGGTGTGGTTTTTTTTTTTGAGAGCTTGCTCTTAAGGGGTAATAGCTAAACGCTAACAACTGTCTTGGATACATTTCTCAAAATATGTGAGTGTTTTTTGAAAGTTTTTGCAAAATCTAGCAGTAATCATTTTTAGTTACAAGATACGACTAGGTCTGTGAGCAGTTTTACAGAGCGTAAATAATTTCGACCTCTGTTTTATCGCGTTTCATTATAGCTCAGTCAAAGCCAATCTAGTATAAATATAGCACGGGGATCGCCCCAAGACTAGCGCGAACAGCATTTCTAGTCGCTTTGTTCCTATCGCATTGAACCAAACATACTTTTTTTTAATATACCTGAAACAAATTCGGCTTATATGAAGGCTTATAGCAGTTTGTTATAAATTTAAAAAGCAAATAAATCCCTCGAAATTCAAGCTGTAATTGTCAAACTTCTTTTATTGAGACTTTACCTAGCTTAGATAAAGTTCATGTTGGTACCTATTAAAAAAGCGAAATTTTGATTCCTTTATTATACATTTAAAAAATGGCAAAAAACGTTATTTTGCGATATAATTAAAACTTAGACCTCAATCAGCAACTTCTGATTTAGCTGATATTAATCATTTTACTTCAATGATCCTAACTGTGGTGCTTTTAAAACGCCATGTTCGATTGGAAAATTTTGCAAAAATTTCAATTCAATTCTGAAAAATCACTTTTCCAAGTTTGACTACTTTAACACAAAAATACCTAAGGTTTGGATGCATTCCAGAACTAAAAAATTGAAAAGTTTCATCGTGTTTAAATCTGAATGTTGAAAATGGAGCTAAATTTTTTGTAAGGGTCAAGTTTTCCCTATACTTAAAATTTTGAAATTTCTCAGTTTTAGTTCTGATTATCTAAAACTATGATATACAGTTCAGTTCGAGGTCTAGAATACGTAACTCGTACCATAAATTATAGTACTTTAGTCTCATTATTATCTATCTCTTTATATGTTATACTTACATCATCATATATACTATAACATAAAACATAGTTATCAATAATATGATGTAATATTTCATTTGGTAGTGAATTTTTTCGCAATCAAAATCAACAATTTTTCAAACTATAGATTGAATTATGAGTTTACCATTACCTTATTATACCGATGATAAACATTCTTTCGCTTATCCTACTGTTCATGAACGTTGGCCAAAGATAATAAAAGGTGCAATTGACGATGTTGAATCAGAAATAAACAAGTATTCAAGTTTAAAATCTACCGGTGATGAAATTTTAGCTAATTTACGTTCCATACTAGATGATTTTAAAAATGATGCTACTGTTAGAGAGTTCACTGATTCTGAAATTAAATTAAATCCACATTTGAGTCATTTTAATAAAAGCTTACAAGATTATAATTTAATTAAACCGGTTAGTTGGCAACATGGACCCTGGATATTTCTTGAATGTTATTTATATCAATACATAAACAATTATTTCATTTCAAAACCAGAATGGAAACAATTTGATATATTCCATAATTTAAAAACTAAAACATTTAAACAATCAGAGTTAGGTGTTTTGGAATTGTGTAAACGATATGAAACTTTATCTCAACAAATTGAAAAAGCAAACGAAGAAGACTTGCACTTGTTGTTTAAAGAATTTATTGATATTTCACTATGGGGTAATGCTACCGATTTAAGTTTATTAGCTGGTAATGTAACATTAGAAGATATTAAATCAGTTCAAGGTGCCCAAGTAAGAAAGAAAAATGAAGAGAAAATAATTGTAAATGATTTAGACAAAGCATGGAATGAATTAAAATTAGGTGATGGTGTAGATAGATATGATATTGTCCTTGATAATTCTGGATTTGAATTATTTGCAGACTTAATATTAAGTTTATTTTTATTAGATTCAAAATTAACTAAAGAGATTCATTTACATTGTAAAGAAATTCCATGGTTTGTATCAGATACAATGCCAAAGGATTTCAATGATTTACTTAAACAATTAAAAGATGAGTCATTTTTCAATGAAATTTATCAAAAAGATAGAGAAGCAATTCAAGTAGTTGCTTCAAAGATAGAAAGTTACCATAAAAGTGGTCAAATTATAATCCAATCCGATCCATTTTGGACATTAGACTATAATTACTGGTTTATTCCAAATTTTAAAGATTTATACAAAAATTTACAAAATTCAAATTTAATTATATTTAAAGGAGATTTAAACTATAGAAAATTAACAGGAGATTTACAATGGAATAAAACAACAAGTTTCAAAACTGCAATACAAGATTTAGCAACCACAAATTTACCAATCCTTTCATTAAGAACATGTAAAGCAGATGTAGTAGTTGGATTACCCCAAGGTCTAAATGAAAAATTAATTAAAGAATACGAATCAATGGGTGAAAATGGTGAATTTTGGAGTAGTTCTGGAAAATGGGCCGTAATTAGTTATAATAAACATTAAATTTCTCCCGCTTTTCTTGAATTACAAGCTACTATTTTAAATTTATCAACATTTATTTCTAAATCATTTGCATTTGAGTCACTTGATAAATCATTTAACTTTATTAATACGTTTTTAATTATAAATGTCCATACATCATCACAAAACCTATAAGTATCTAAATCACCTTTAAATGTTAATTTTGACTTAGCTAAATTTGATTCATTTTTCAAGTTTTCAGATATAATTCTATCAAAATTGTGTAATATTCTATTTGCTAGTTGGGGTTGTATTTTTTCATCAGATATTAATGTATCTAATGCATCAGTTAATGTGACTCCAATAGTTGATCTTCTATATAATTCGTAATAAGCTGGTGCAGACATTGTAAGGATGTAATGTAAGGAAGTTATAATATAAAGTATGAAATAATCAATTGATAAGAAAAGTGGTTTTTTTTTTGCGACTAGGTGAAAAATTGACATGGATGATTTAACAATTAATGAAAAATATAAACAACTAATAATCAAATATAAACAATTGGTAAACAATGGGAGTATACAAGATTCAATTGAATTCCAAAATGAAATACTTACTTTGAGCGAAGAATTTAAGAAAATTGAAAGTATAATTGATCAATTATCATTATTTTCAATAAATGAAGAATTGAATGAAATTTCAACAGCATATATCCCATTTTTAAATGTTTGGTATTACATAGGGAGTATAAATGGTTATATCCAAATTAAAAATAATCGAATTTCGATAGATAACAAGCCTGAGTTTCTTAAAATTTCACAATTTTACATTATTCAATTCCTTGAAAATATGAAAAACTATAAATTATTGAATGCCTCACAAATTGAAAGATTAAACATGATAAAGAACAATGAACCGATTAATTTGAGTCCAGTTGTACGCCGATCTGAAAAGATTGAAAATTTTAGATTGGAAAAAGACCTATCTGAAAAACTTCAAATATTGGGTTCAAATGACTTTAAATCCTTTGATGATGAAATTATAAGAAATGTGTATACTGATCAATTAAGACTACATATTCTTCAGTCATTCAACCTAATACAAAACATAAATATGGAAATAAAAGTGATTTCAAATAAACCGGTTCAAAAAACAGATATACGGGAGAGAGAAAGAACTTCTGATCCAACTGGGTTCACTACTAGATTAGAATCTAGACCTGGTTTAAATAGTGGTAAGATTTCAGACTTTTTATCTAAACAAGGTAAGATTCTTAAACCATTTACAATTACAAATAAACAAGATTTGCAAAAAAAAGTATTTGGAACTGGTCAAATGTTACCATCTATGACTGTTGAAGAGTATCTCGATTATGAATTAGCTAATGGGAAAATGATGAAGGAAGAACAACCACAAGCTGAAAAGTTTAGTGAAGATGAAGACTCGGACGATGAATTGGAAAAACGGAGATGGGATGATTGGAAAGATGAGAATCCCAAAGGATCAGGAAACATGGGTGCAAATATAGGTTAATTGTACACTTTCTATAAATTTTATACTCGGTAGTCAACTCATTCAAATTAACAATTGATCTCTCGTTATTAGTTTCTTCTAATATCCATTTCTCATTATCTTCAAGCCACAGGGTGCAAATGTTGGTCAATTATACATTTTCTATAAATTTTAAATACTCGATGGTCAACTCATTTAAATTAACAACTTCTCTAACACCTTCAACTTCTTTCAATATCCACTTCTCATCATCTTGAAGACATTTCATCAAATTCAAAATAGTCAAATACAACTCAATCAATTTAACTTTAATATTTGAATCTTTATTATCTGTAATAAATTGGTATAATGTCTCAATTGCACTTCTTTTATCACTATGATTTAATCTAAATGAATATAAATATTTATGAATAGTCAATGAGTTAGAAACATCAGCTGCTTTTGAAATAATCCCATCAATTAAATAATAATGTTTCTTGAACAATTTATCCTCATTCATTATAAATTTAAAATCATCTTTAATTAACCTTAATATCAACTTCTCAATCAAATTACCAAATTGAGGATTATCTTCGAGATAAGTCAATGAGTCAACTGCAGCTTCAAAATTTGAAACTCTGAGTGAGTTATGGAAGATTTGTAATTGAAACTTCTCAATGTGTGATGTATTTTCAGATGCTTCAATTGCCAATTTTAACAATTTTGTACTTGTTTCTATTTGACTCTTTTCTTCTGTTGAGTTATGTGTAAAAATGGTGAGTGTCAATGTAGATAATTGATAATAATAATCCGCTTTACCAAATTTATTTATACGAGTGACGAATTTACCTATACCTGGAGTACTCAACCTCCTCAAAATTTTAATCTCCAAATCTTTAAATGATTCATAATTTTCAAATATGGAATAAGCTTCATTATATCCATTATTTATTAAATATATCAATCCTTTTAATACTCTTTCTATATCTGAATTTCCCAATTTATCAAGATAATATATCTTTAACTCCTTTGATTTATTTTCATTTATTAATTCCATGATTACATGAATTAAATAATCAGAATTTGAAAATACATTACTTAAATATTCAAAAGCATCATTTATTTTTAAATTTGAAAGTAGTTGGTTAAAATTTTGATTTCCCATGCTCCAAAACATTGAATTTTCAACATTACTAATACCTGAATGAGCTGGATTTGTTTCAATTATAATTTCGAGACTTTGATAATGCTTCAAGTTGGAGATCACTTGGTTAAATAATTCATTTATTTGATCATTTGACTCACAGATTGAAAATAAAATAGCCAAATCAATTAATAGATATTTATGTACTTCAATTAATGATTGAAATGATGTTATAACTAAATTCTTTCCAAAATGACCTAATGGATTAATCTGTCCCGCTTCTAGCATTTCATAATCATTATTATTTATTATTGATTTAATTGTGTCTAATACATTTGGAATTTTGCTTAATTCATCTAAGATCAGTTGCTGTTCTGTATTTGACATTTTAATATATGATTTATATAAATTATCAATATCTTCACCTTTCAATAATGATTGATATATTTTATGATAAGTCTTGAATGAAATTGAGCCCTTAATTTTCTCAAATACATTTATTATTTCCCCATTGAATGATTCATAAAATTGCAGTTCCTTAAATACTCCAATTCCATTAGATTGTACAGATAAATATAAATTATCAAATAAAGTCAATGAGAAAACCTCATTACTTAATTTTTTATATTCTTCACATAATTGATAAAATTTAAACCATAATGATTTTGTAACTAGGATTTCAATTGCAAATAATCTTGAGTCATTATTTTGTCCCTTAGTTTTAACATGTTGACTTAATATACTTAATGAAGTATCAACAATTAATGAATTATATAACCCCGAATTAAAAATTTTATTAAAATAATAACTTTCTTCATGAAATGCAGAAATTTCTTCATTTTGAGTAGGCAATTTTGAAAATATAACATTGTTGTTGTTGTTGTTGTTGTTGTTGTTGTTGTATATACCTAGTATTGAAGATGTATTTGATTTCCATAATATATAATATGAATTTTGTATCTGATAATCTTGAATAAACCATTTTGAACCTGGTGATTCTGGAATAAATGAGTCAGCTTTCTCAAAATTGGAATTGAAACTCTTGAATATAAATTTGGAATCTTCATTTATGAATAATGTTAATATATCACCATTTAATTGCAAATATTTCTTAGGTATGCTAGTTAACCAAATATCATCTTTACTTAATGCAACAGTTTTAACTAGCTGGTGATTATCCAAATTCCATATTTTCAATTGTTTTGAAACTGTCAATGTTATTAAAATGTGATCTCTAACCACCAAGTCAATTACCGAATTTGCGGAAATTCCATTGAGTACAATATCCTTTTTGAAAAAGCCAAGGAATGGTATTAATGAAGTAGGTTCATGGAAATTAAACACTTTCAAATCATCAAAAACATTATCTCTCCTAAAATGTAATAAACCACCATCTTTCAATGAAACAATTATATTATTCTCATTTATATTTTTCAAATAGTACAAACTTGATCTTAATTCAAAAGAATATGGAATTGAAATATGTCCCCATTTATCAAATCTATCTAATGATAACCAAGGATTTACAAAATTGTCTAAGTTAACGAGTATAGTAATGAATAAAAAACTCTCATCTATTAAATTTAAAATTATCCTATCATTAGTTAAACTCACATCTATCGAGTTTGTAGATATCAATTTATTTGGTAAATTGATTCTAATTGCATATTTACCACCTGATTCAAAATCAACTGGTTTAAATATTATAGTTTTTAAATCTTGTAAAATTGTAAATGAAATGCCGTTCGTTTGTAATTTTAAAATATCACCATAAACAACTAATTTTGAATTAAATATATCATTTGGTGATGAATCCAGTTGTAGTTCTTCCTTATATTTCAATGGTAAATGTACATCATAGTATGGTAATTCATAATTAGTTATACAGTATAAATTCATTTGATGTTTGTTCAATTTTTTTTTCGTTTGGTAAATCTTCAATTATCACCAACCCATACTTAATATGTCATCAGTAGTATATTATAGATTTCTACATCAGAAGAATAAGAATGTTATACATTTCGATGGTACTTCAATCAATGTATTTGATCTAAAAAGAGAAATTATACAACAGAATCAATTAGGTTCTGGTTTAGACTTTAATTTAAAGTTATTTCATTCTGATCAACAAGATAAAGAATATGAATTAGATCAAGATATAATACCCAGATCCTCATATGTATTAGTTAAAAGATTACCTGTAAATCATAAATCTGGTAAATTTAATAATGCTGCTAGATATGTAACTGGTAAACCAAGAATAAATAAACGTGCAATTGCTACTAGTAACACAACAACAAATATCCCAAATCAACAAGTTTTAGATGATTCAGCTACTGAAGAAGATAAAATTAAAATGATGTTTGAAAATCAATCAAATGCATGGGCTCAAACGCAAGATGAATTATCTCATCATAAAATTGTATATAAACCACAAAATACAACAGCTCCTACAGATGCTCCACCACCAGGTTATATATGTTATAGATGTGGTAAAAAAGATCATTGGATTAAAAATTGTCCTACTAATAATGATCCAAATTTTGAAGGTAAAAAAGTTTTAAGAACCACAGGTATTCCAAAATCTTATCTTAAAACTATATCTAAAGAAGAATTAGAAAAGAAGGCAAATGAATTATCTACAAATGATAGTGGTGATGTTGTAGATAATGATGGGAATGCAATTTTGATTACAGATGAAGGTGATTATGCAATAGCAGTAGCAGATACGAAAACATGGCAAAATTATCAAGAAAGAATTAAAAATGCACAAATGAAATCTCAAAATGAATACCAAAATAAATTATTAGCCAAAATTAAACAAGATAATAAATTAGAATATATTGATCCATTAAATGAAAATAAGGTATTAAATCCACCAATTTATAAAACTGCATGTTGTCAAAATATAACAGATTTAAAGAAATTAAAGAATATAAATTATAATAAATCAGATTTGGAATCACAATTGATTGAAAATGATTTTCATTGTCCAAACTGTGGTAAAGAAGATAATTATATTGATTCATTAATTGAAAATAAAGAATTGAGTGAAGAATTAACAAAATATATTGAAACTAAAGAAACTGAATTGGGTATAAAAGATCCTAGTAAACGACCAATTGATGAAGAATTACCGGATGCTAAAAGACAAAAATTACCACAATTTGATCCTGCTATGTTTCCAATGGGTATTCCTCCTCCTCCAGGTATGTTTATAGGAATGCCTCAATTTCCATTTAAATAGGTTTTGAATACACAACAACTTTATGTGTAATAACTCAATATTTGATTGTAGAATTCGTACTTTTTTATGTTGATATGTAGACTTTTGGCCATTTAATAAGTCAAGATTAGTCACTGATCAACTGAGCTACAAATAACGTAGTTATTCTCTCTAAATTAACAATTTGAATGAAATTTGATCGATTTTGGTTTTATGACATTAAAGATCTGAAACATGAAAATTCTGAAACAACTTATCTGCAGTCTTATAGTAGTTAATTTCGAAATTTGATCTTGAATATTTTCGTCAATATTCAAACGGTAATTGTCAATCTTTTTTCGTCGAAGCTTCAATTCAATTAGTCCCGAGTAAGCTGAATATCCATTATCTTTTACTGAAACAAATTTTTGATTGCTTTATTCTTTTTTGAAAATGGGCCAAAATCGCTAAATTGTGAATTATTTATCACTTGGACCTCATTTTACAACTTCTAAGGTAACTGCAACGGTTTATTTGATACTAAAATTACTTTGTATATTGTTTTGCAGACGTTATAATCAATTTAAAAGTTTTGCAAAATTTTCGTTTCACTTTCCAAAAATTTCGTTTTCAATTTTGTACACGCTGACACAAAGAATCCAATATTTATGAGCTTAAAGGAACTACAAATTTTGATAATTCTATCATACTTTCATGTCCATTTTGGTTGTGAAATTAAATTTCTCGTTAGGTCAATTAATTTGATTTTCTCCATAGTTAAGAGAAAATTTTGAAATTTTTTAATTCTGGTTGAAAACAACTCCATTTAAGTCTGGGATCTTTGATTAAGTTGCTATGCATATAATTCGTTGTTTTATTGACAGTTATGGCCCCAAATCAAGAGATACACCGAATTACATTTTTTGGAAAAATTCTGTATGACGAAAAACGCCCAAAGATTAAAGTGTAAAAATAATAGTTCGATATTTGGATTTTAAAGTATGTACAATATATAATTAATGGCTCCTGAGCCCACATATATAGAGTTTATTTTGAGAAATTGCGTTGTTCATGACATATAAGCCTATATACATAGTACGAGGTCGTCTTAGAGCTAGCGCGAAAAATCTCTAGTGGCACCTATATATCGCACGGAAAAATGGCACCCTAATTATTTTTGTGAGCATCATTAATAGAATTTTTATCCACAATATTTTACTAGTAACTGATTCAACATATTAATTGGTGGCGGTCAAGACTAATTACGTAACTTGCGAGCAGCTTGAAAGTGTTTGAATGATTAACATACAGGTATTTTATATTTCAACGTAATTTTTAGCAATTCAATAAACAAAATAGTCAAAAATATCGGAGTTTATCAAAAAATTAAATGGAGCCAATGTCTAACTACTTCATTTAGATTCAACTAAAGTTTCACCTTTGAATGATACCAATGTTTTGATTAAAAATTGGTTGTGTAGTGTTTATTGAAATTTGTCAAAATTACTGGATTTTTAATATTTTTAATGCGCGATCTTGGTATACTTTTGATTTGTGTCAGATCTCGTCAGGTCTAGATCTCACTATTCCAATTTTTTTTGCGCTTGGTTTATACGAATGTTACTACAGTATTTTCGAGTATAACCCAATAAAAGTCTTTAAAAATAGTTTTTAGTACTAGTCTCAGCGTTTTACAATACAATAGATATTTAAAATGAATATTTATCAGTCCATTAAAATGGATAATCTAAAAATTGAAGACTAGTGAAGACAAGGAAACCTACTCATTCAGCACTAAGTATTCTTCGAAAAACGAAAACTAATCTACTTAAAAAGTGTTCAGCGAAGGCTTTGATCTTGAACACTTTAAAACTATGACTAAATCCAAAACTTGAGTTGTGCACCATTCCCACAGAGCTGAAGATTATTCAATATATGATGAAACCTATGCTTGAACATATTCTAGATAAGAATGTATCCTAGTAAAAGATCAAAAGAGTAAATTGTTTTTATCTATTTGAAAAACGCTCATCTATCTTTATCTGTCTTATTTTCATCTATATGAAAAATGACTTTTATTATTGCATTTGTAGTATTGAGAATACCAATAATTTCAATTGAGTACGCTATCGAAGAAGTGTTTGTCTATTCCGCAGCAACACCAAATAAATTCAATTCATACAACGAAAAATTAGTTTCAACAACGTATATAGACTTCATTACATTTACCAAATAGGGACGTAAAAGATGAGTATTATTTGTATGAGATGAACCTTATGATTTCAATTGCTGAAAAGTTTTTGTTAATTTCAAACAATTCGTGAATGGCTGCAAAAAAGAGCAAAAATTCGATATATTCATACTATTTGACAGTATAGACAAGTCCCATTGCTCCAAACCACATCAGAGCCATTGCTTTGTCCTGTTTGATCTCACTTAGTTGTAGTTAGAGTAATGCTTATTTCAAAGTTTTACTAACATGAAATGACAAACTTACCCGATATTGAATATACACGACTTTGTATATAAAAATTTTTCAATAATTATTTTTTGTAACAAACATCATCACTTCTTCTTCATCAATTTTAATAATAAATTTAATTGTATGTCATTAATATAAAAGATAATTGATAATAATATTTTAATAGGATGATCCAAATAATCAATTCAAACTAGAGTTTGTGACTTTATAGAATGATCACAACGTTATTTATGCATGGCTTACTGATTTAAAATATTTGATTGATGTTGATTCAATTTACTAACAATCAAAGGTATGTTTTAATCAATTATATATGTATTTTTCATGATGATTTAACAAAAACAAAAGCTGGAATTACTGGCTGAATCTCAATGATTGATAAAGTTTTTGCTCCATACGCACCTGATCAAAAATATATCAAATCTGATAAATTTAAATACTAACTTCAATAGTGTATGTTTCCGATACATTTTTAAAGGATGAATTATTGCACTGGGCACTGAATAACTTATGAGTGACAACGCATTAATGATGGGCCTCAGAAACCCATCGTAACTGATCGTGGAAAACTTTTACAAGAGTTTTTACTAACTAGGCTCAGAATTTTACATGTATGTATTATTTAGATATGATGATTACCTAGATGACGAGTCAGAACTTCAGGATTCCTGTTGATGACAAATTTTATTTAATTACCATTCATGCATTTCTGATCTAGAAATACTAACTCATCAAAGTTAATTAACATTTTAAATGGGTTTTAAGAAGCCTTTAATTGTCATTGATAATATAAAGGATGAAATAAATAAAAGACAATAGACAAGCATATGTCTGAATTTTTCTTGAAGAGAATCTTTTTGAAGTCTGATATATACAAAATGATTGATTAAAGGTTATTACAAAACCATTTTGTGAAAGTGTTAATTAAAATTGTTTATGATGAATATACCACATTTTTCACGACGGTCTTCTGTCTGTTTAAAGACTGTTAATCTTTAAACATTGATGATAATTTGGCCTTGACCGGCCGTGGTTCCTGAAATAGCATTTTAATTACACATTAAGAAGGTATGTAATGTGAATAAGTAAATTGATGATAACCTTTTTTCATCTTTCCATTGAAAATTCATGAAAATTTTAAATTTTAACAATCTGATTTGCACGTCAGACTGATTACTTATATTATATAGAATGTGATACTAATAATATATAGCTCATACTTAACAATAAATTTCTAACTTTACTCGCCATATCTCTTGAGCCACTTATTTTGTTTTTTTGACCGGTAAATTTACGAACTCGATTTCGATTTTGGCACGGCATCAATGACTAATGAATCACCACCATCTTATGATTCTATAAAGAACAATAAAGCTTATAAACCTTCTGATGAACAGCAAAGACAAATTGACTTATTATCTCAACATACTCCAGTGACAGAATTATCAGCGGTTTCATCGAATGCAGAAACTAAATATTTTGATTTATTACCAAGTTTTCAAATGTTTCAAAGTATACTAAGAAGAGATGATAGACAATTTTCAGAAGATCTAAGATCAAGACCACCAGGATATGAAGAGAACAATCGTTCTACTAATATTTCAAGAATTGGTTCTATTGATGCAAATTTAAATGAAGTTAGTTCAAGATTGAATGAAATTAATTTACAACAAGAATATGAGTTGCAAAATTATATAGCTGATGATGTTGGTTTATCTCCGGTAATGTCTCAATCACAAGGTGAACCAAATGTAAATCAAGAATCCTATGGATTATCACCTTTGGATATTATTGATAGTTTGGCAAAGTCGATTAATTCACCAATTGATATTCAAATATATGTTACTAAAGATATTCCTCATCTAAATATGAATAATCAATTAGAAACTAGACTTAAAGAGAATACTAATGGTGATTTTGTAAATGGGTATATTATTATCACTAATAAATCGAACAAACCAATTGATTTTGGGTTATTCACGGTTTCATTAGAAGGTGCTATTAAACAAAAAAAGTACAATAAGGTATTGCTTAAAAAGTATTTAAAGATGTATGATTTGGCAGCTTCTTATGGATATACTTTGGTTCCAAATTCAGCCGGTATAGAATATGAACCATTTGCAACTGATTTAAGTGATGATTGTCAAATTGGTTTACCAGATGATAGAACATTATTACCTAATAAAAAGTATAAGAAATTTTTTACTTTTAAATTTCCAAATAGATTATTAGATAACAGTTGTACTAGTAATTTATTATCACATTTAATTCCACCTCCAAGTATGGGTGTTGACAGGTCTTGCTTTCAAAATCGCGGTGAAGCAATTGAATTGAATAAAGCACTAAGTTATGGATTCTTAAATATTAGAGGTACTCCATTGTTAACTCGAGATTACAGTTTTGATGATACATCAATTTCATATACTATAGAAGCTAAATTTATAGACAAGAAAAATTCAAAAGAACTGGTTAGTCATGATGATATAAATAAAGATGATTATATAATATCAAGATCAATGCAGTATTTTTTAAAATTTGTACCAAAAGAGATCCAGCATTCAAATTTGAAAATTTATCAAGAGTTGAAAAATAGTATTACTTGGGATTTAATATGTAAACAAAATGATAAAATTGAAAAGGAGATAAATGAAAGACTAAACCAGATTGAATTATCAATCGATGAGTTAAAGAATAAGAATCTACTAATACATTCCCAACCTGAAAATAAGAAAGTTAATAAAATAGACAACGAGCCAGGACTAAAATCAGATACATGTGAAATATTTGGAAAGAAAAAGCTATTTTCATCACATTCTAAGATTGGTGAACTGTTTATGTCAATACAGATACCTAATAAAACTATTCCATATTCATCACCAAGATTATTAATGAAATATAATGAAGATTTCAGTTTATATTATAAAGATCCAGTAGATTTAAACATTGAATTGAATTTCATTACATCCGAAAGTAATACTAAACCACCATTAATCTCGTCAATAGACATAAATTTGATTTGTTGGTCTTATATTGCTGAGTATCCAGTACCATTCGAGATAGGATATGATTTATTCTACAACAACTACCTAGATAACAGAGAGGATACAGTCAGGTCAAATTTACAAATAATCAAAGATCAAGTATCTACTTATATTGACTTTGTAAATGATAGTAATCTTGAACTATCAAAAGGTTCATTAATGTACTTAAATTCAATGAAAAGTCTTGGAATCAAAAAAGACAACATACGAGAATATTTCAAAAGTACTAGATTAGATCCACATTGGAAAGTACAACTAGATAAGAAATTTCATTGGAAATCAAATATAAATTCACCATTAACCATAATAAATAAGAACAATATCAATTTATTACCTTCATTTCAAAGTTGTTTAGCTGGAAGATTATACTGCTTAGAAGTTAATGTTAAATTTAAAGGTATGGAAGGTAATGATAACACTGTAAAATTAGATATACCAATAACTGTTGGTTAATAGACATCATGCATATAAGATGACTCATTCTCAATTTAGTAATTTTTGAGCGCGCTTAATTTTCATAATCAATATTTCTGCCTTCATCAATAAAAATTTTCTTTCAACCAAAGGCATGTTAAAAAGTGTTAGATATTTAGCTACTCAAGCTAGTTTTAATAAAGTTTCAAATTTAAATAGAGCTACATTAACTATAAAGGATGGACCAGTTTTCAGTGGATATTCATTTGGTGCAAATAGAAATATTTCAGGCGAGGCTGTTTTCACAACTTCATTAGTTGGGTATCCAGAATCAATGACAGACCCATCATATAAAGGACAAATATTATGTTTCACACAACCATTAATTGGTAATTACGGTGTTCCATCATCGACAGCCAAAGATGAATTTAATTTATTAAAATATTTGGAAAGTCCAAAAATACAATGTATAGGTATAGTAGTTGCTGATGTTGCATTACAATATAGTCATTGGACAGCAGTTGAAAGTTTACAACAATGGTGTAAAAGATCAGGAGTTGCAGCTATAACAGGTGTTGACACAAGACAATTAGTTTCATATTTAAGAGATAAAGGTTCATCATTGGGGAAAATTACAATTGGAGAGGAATATGATGCTGATGAAGATGCGGCATTTGAAGATCCAGGTTCAGTTAATTTAGTTTCAAAAGTTACTACAAAACAACCATTTCACATTGCTTGTCCACCAGAATTTTCAAAAGGTATACATATTGCAGTTATAGATTGTGGTGCAAAAGAAAATATACTTAGATGTTTAGTTGAAAGAGGTGCTTCATTAACTGTATTTCCATATGATTATCCGATTGATAAAATTGCAAATAAATTTGATGGTATTTTTATATCTAATGGACCAGGAGATCCAACTCATTGTCAATCAACAGTTGAAAACTTAAAGAAAATTATAGAACAGTATAAAGATTTACCAATTTTTGGTATTTGTTTAGGTCATCAATTATTAGCATTAGCATCAGGAGCAAAAACTATAAAATTAAAATATGGGAATAGAGCTCATAATATCCCTGCATTAGATTTGGTAACTGGTAAATGTCATATAACATCACAAAATCATGGTTATGCAGTTGATGCAAATACATTAAATTCAAGTTGGAAACCATATTTTACAAATTTAAATGATTTAAGTAATGAAGGTATGATACATACAGAACAACCAATATTTTCAACCCAATTTCATCCAGAAGCAAAAGGTGGTCCATTAGATACTTCATTTTTATTTGATAAATTTTTTAATAATATTGAAATTTATAAAAAGAATAATGGATTAAATTTACCATTAGTTGATAATAGTTTATTAGTTGATATATTGCCAAAACAAAGAGTTGAATAGACAAAGAGTTGAATAGATATAAATAGAAATATACAGATCATCGTATAAATCGTTTATAGGTTTCGTGAATCGTATGATAAAAGAATGTTACACAAAATTAAATATTTTAATCGCATCATTTTGCAACTTCTAAACGATGAAGTATAAAATAAACAAAGAATCTTTATTTAAACATTAAGATGAATTTTAATCAAACTGGTTCAACATTAAATTATTTGATTCCAAATAATCCCCAAGAGTTTACTCCAATATTTAAAGAATTATCAAATTTAAATATACTTGAAAGATTATGGGCAAGTTGGTATTTATATTTTAATAATGATATATTATCCACTGGTTTATTATTCTTTTTAACTCACGAATTAACATATTTTGGTAGATGCTTACCTTGGTTTATAATAGACAACGTAGCATGGTTTAGAAAATATAAAATTCAAGACACAAAATTACCATCAAACAAAGAACAATGGGAATGTTTCAAAAAAGTTTTAAAATCACACTTTCTCATTGAAAGTTTACCAATTTGGTTATTTCATCCATTATGTCAACAATTAAACATAATATTTGATGTTCCATTTCCAAGTTGGAAAATTCAATGTTTTCAGATTGCGATTTTCTTCTTTTTAGAAGATTTATGGCATTATACATTTCATAGATTATTCCATTGGAATTGGTTTTATAAATATATTCATAAAGTACATCATAAATATGCTGCTCCATTTGGTTTGACTGCTGAATACGCTCATCCAGTTGAAGTTATGGCTTTGGGTGTTGGTACTGTAGGATTTCCAATTTTATATGCTTATTTATCAACAATTTATGATATTCCACCACTTCATTTATTTACTATAAATACCTGGATTATATTAAGATTATTTCAAGCAATTGATTCACATTCTGGGTATGATTTCCCATGGTCATTACATAATTTTTTACCAATTTGGGCTGGTGCAAAACATCATGATGAACATCATCATTATTTCATTGGTAATTATGCTAGTTCATTTATAATGTGGGATAAGTTTTTCAAAACAGAATGTGGAGATTTAGCTAGAAGAAGAAGGGAGAAATTAGATTGAATAGATAGTTTAATATATATAAGTGATATACTTAAATCAAATTAGACGACATAACAAATAATAACATAGACGACAAAAAATAAAAAAGCGCGATCTAGAATCTAGGGCTATAACCCAAACCGGCACGTGCTAGATGTTTAATAATTTTAATGCGCATCTATTCCTAATACTAACAAAATTAGTACTAAAGAAAAAAGTTTCATTAATTTTCATTTTGATTATTACCAATAACTAAGTCAAACAGTATGTTCCAAGATATCAAATTAAACGTTCAAACGGATAGAAAATGTAAATGAGAGTGTTAAATACTAACAGTCGTTTTTAGTGTCAAGATTAAATGAATATCAAGTCATTGGTCGTCGTTTACCAACTGATTCAGTTCCAGAACCAAAATTATTTAGAATGAGAATTTTTGCTCCAAACACAGTTGTTGCCAAATCAAGATACTGGTATTTCTTACAAAAATTACATAAAGTTAAAAAAACAAGTGGTGAAATTGTTGCTTTAAATGTTATTTCAGAAACAAAACCAACTAAAGTTAAAACTTTTGGTATTTGGATTAGATACGAATCAAGATCAGGTATCCACAACATGTACAAAGAATACAGAGATGTTACCAGAGTCGGTGCTGTTGAAACCATGTATCAAGATTTAGCTGCTAGACATAGAGCTAGATTTAGAAACATTCATATTTTAAAAGTTGTTGAATTAGAAAAATCTGATGATGTCAAAAGACAATATGTCAAACAATTCTTAGCTAAAGATTTAAAATTCCCATTACCACACAGAGTTCAAAAATCAAAAAAATTATTCCAAGCTCATGCTCCAACTACTTTTTACTAAGGTTTATATAATTGTAATATAGAAAAGATTTAATGATTTTATATATGTAGTAAATGGGGTTGAAATAATAAAAATATACGTAATTTTGTAAAGATTTATTGATTCGTAGCTTATAATTTTTCAACTCCATATTTTGTGATTTTTTCTCACGGTTGAATTTTCGCAAACTTAAAAATGTCATACGGTCAACAAGCTGGTGAAAGATTAGCTGATAAAGTAGTGTTATTAACAGGTGCTTCTGCTGGGATTGGCTATGCTACTGCCAAAGAGCTTGCTCAAGTTACTTCTAAAGTTAAATTGATTTTAACTGCTAGAAGAAAAGAAAAGTTAGATCAACTAGCAAAAGTATTAACTTCTGAACATTCAGGTATTAGAATTCATGTTGCTGAATTAGATGTTTCAAATTTAGACTCATTTGAGCCATTTTTAAAGGGTTTACCAGAAGAATTTGCTGATATTGACGTCCTTATTAATAATGCTGGTTTAGCATTGGGACGTGAATCAGTGGGTGAAATTGATAGAAAGGATATGATTACAATGTTTCAAACTAATGTATTTGGTACAATTGAATTGACTCAACAAGTTTTACCTATTATGAAAAAGAAAAATTCTGGTACAATTTTAAATTTAGGGTATGTTTTGAATTGAACAACGAAAACTTTTGATACAGCAAATACTAACCATCAAAGCTCGATTGCTGGTAAAGATTATTATGCCCAAGGAAGCATATATTGCCAGACCAAACTGAGCATTCATGTCTTCTCAGATGTTTTGAGAAAGGAATTGATCTCTACAAGTAAGTAAAAATAAAAATTATTTTAAAGTTTCATACTAACTTTGTTTGCAGGAATTAGAGTCATGGAAGTGCAACCTGGTAATGTTCGTACGGAATTCTCCAACGTAAGATACAGAGGAGATGCTCAAAAGGCTGATGATGTTTATAAAGGTACTGAACCATTAACAGCAGATGATGTTGCAGAACTTATTGTATTCAATCTTACTAGAAGAGAGAATACAGTCATTGCTGAAAGTTTGATCTTTGCTAATAACCAAGCAAGTAGTCATCATATTTATAGAAAAGAATAGATATTTTTATGTATAGTTTATAAATTTCACACTGTCAAATATTTTGCAGCCAAATTTTTTTTTACCCGCGCTAAACCAACTCCACATTTTTTTTTCTTCGACGAATTTCAAAAAACGGTATAAAATCTTATTCTTTTCAAGAATATAATTATGTTTGGTAAGAAAGCTGCTGAAAGATTAGCTAATCGTAGTATCCTTATAACTGGTGGGTCATCAGGAATTGGTAAAGCCGTCGCAGAAACTTTCGCTTCTGCTTCGAATGGTCAAATTAAATTAATACTTGGTGCTAGAAGACAAGATAGATTAACTCAATTATCAGATGAATTAAAAGCTAAATATCCAAATATTAAGATTCATCATGATTTCTTAGATGTTACTGTTAAATCATCAATTGCAAAATTTATCTCAAATATTCCACAAGATTTCGAACCAGATTGTCTCCTTAATAACGCAGGTAAGGCGTTGGGAAGAAGTGAAGTCGGTAGTATCACTGATGAAGATATTTCAGGCATGATTGAAACAAATATAACTGGGCTAGTTAATATGACACAAGCAATTTTGCCAATTTTCAAGAAAAATAATAAAGGTGATATTGTCAACATTGGGAGTGTGGCAGGACGTATGCCTTATGCTCAAGGAAGTGTCTACTGTGGATCAAAATCATTTGTACTGTATGTCAGATATCATCGTTGTGTTTAAAATTGTTTACTAACTTTGATTAGGTCATTTACTGGAGCATTACGTAGAGAATTAATAAGTACTCAAATTAGAGTTATTGAAGTCGATCCAGGTGCTGTCAATACTGAATTTTCAACAGTTAGATTCCATGGGGATAAAAATCAAGCTGATGCAACTTATGAAGGACAAACTCCACTTGTTGCTGAAGATATAGCAGAAATCATAGTTTTTGCTTGTACCAGAAAAGAAAACACAGTTATAGCAGATACATTAGTATTTCCTAATGGCCAAGCTAGTCCTATCCATCATTACAGAAAACCAAAAGAATGATCAGTCTTTTTCAAAAAATTTTAGCTCAACCGAATTTTTTGCTGCCTAGCTTAAGTGGTTGAGACTTTGATTGATTTCTAGAGATTTACATAGATGTGTGTGCAATGTAGATGTCTGTATTTGAGCGATAGACTTGTCAAAGCTTTCGATAATTTTGTACCTCCTTTAAAACTCCATTATTAATTGAACTAACTTTACTCTACTTTTCCTTTAAGAGGCTTGGAGTAAAGTTTCGTTCTTACTAATCTGACAAGCCCTTTGCACATTTTTGAATGCTTAATTTGGTATATACTGAGAGTCAAGTAAAAATCGAAAATTTTACAAATTTGCAGTTATGAACCTGAGACCTATATCAATCAAAAACTCTTGATTAAGAGAAAAATGATGATTAAAAAACTTGTCAGAATTTTCATTGTGAATAGTTAGAGATCAATCAATAATTCTGTGTTTGAATAATTTGTATATTCTACTAAAGCTCAAAATAGAGCACATACGCTTGCCATTAGTGATAATTTTAAATATTCAACCTACATTGAACCAACTATCAAACTTAATCAATCTCTTCTTAGTTTTACATTGAATAATACTGAATAATAGTTTGGTAGTTTATAGTATATATTACATAATCAAAAAATAATTTGTTTCAGATTTATATTTTGAGAAAACAAATTGATTAATAAATCTAAATGGATGGTGTTGAGTTTTTCAAAAAACCAGATTTCCCTAGAAATATCGATTTGTTTGATGTTTCTTATGTTGTTACAGGACCCTACACAATATAGATGGTTCTGTTAATAATTTATTCGATGAGTAGTGAAATGATGTGTAATATAAGAAGTAAAAATTCAACAAATAAATATATATTAAAATGATAAACCTTCTAATGTTTTCGATAGTTTTGCAGCACCATCAATAGCTGAATTACTATCCAAGCTAACTTTTGCTCTATTCAATTCCAAACCTTGTAGTAGAACACAAGCTTTACAAATTTTATTTGATGATAAATAACCACATTTTTCACATTTATTTGTTTTTGGTTTTGTATCTAATTTCACCAGTCCATCTTGATTTATCTCTTGTTCTATTCTCTTTTTATTTTTATATGCTACTGTTTGTTTCTTCTTTTTTGGAGCTAAACTTAAATGTTCCCCACTATATATAATATCCATTATACATGAAGGTCTTATACTTTCTAACCCTTTTAATAATTCTCTTGCTGTACCTCTAAATGCTTCTGGTGCATAAGTACATTCAGTTGAAAAATAATCCAATTTCTTATAATGTGCATATAAAACAATTTCCTTTTGATAAGTGTACTTAAATGGTTTTGATCTTTTAACTGGTGAATTATCAGAATCGGTTAATATTCTAGTTGAACTTTCCAAACGATTAATATCACCTCTTAGTATATTCATTAGTACTGTTTCTGCAACATCATCTGCATTATGACCTGTTACAACATGATTTATACCTAATTTTTCAGCACCTCTATCTAGTGCTTGTCTACGTAATACACCACAATAAGTACATGAGGATCTAATACCAGCACATGAAACAATTTCATCCATTGACCAATTATATAAATCTTTATATGATACAATTTCTAATGGCATATTATATTGTTTTTGATTTCGTTTAACAGTTGCTAATGAATCATCTCGATAACCTACTATACCTTCATCAATACTTAATAAAACTAAATGTAAACCATAATTATACCTTTCATTGAGTGTTTTCAAGACAGATGCTAATACAGTTGAATCTTTACCACCACTAGCACCTATAGCTATTTTATCACCGGGTGAAAATAAATTATTTGATACTATAGTATTGTGAATTTCTGTTTCAAATACATTATAAAAACATTCTTTACATAACTTCATTAAATTCTTTGGTCTTTTCATTACTGCTTTTCTAGCATGACATAACTCACATAATGCTGAAACTTTGAGTTTCTTTTGTATAATTTCTGGCATGGCTATTGATAAGAATAAATTTTTCAAAACTTTCTTTTTGATCTGGTAGCGCAGAGATGTCCAATACAAATTTAAGTATATGCATTCAAAATTAAAAATCATTAACTACATTAGCATATCTATAAGAGATTTCTTTCTCCTTTTCATCAGCTTGTTCCTTTGATTGTTCTTGTTGTTGTGGTTGTTGATTTTGTTGTTGATTTTGTTTTTTACCATAACCATTTGAACCAGTTTTTTCATTCTTTTCACTTAATAATTGTATAAAACCATTCAATTTAATTGCAGATTCTTGTAATTTTGATCTTGTTATTTCTTTATCAAATACAATAAAATCATTTGATATTGAACCTGATATATTACCCAATTCAATTATTTCATTTACAATTTTTATAACATCATCTTTTGTCAATTCAAAAATTGTTGATAATTTATCAATTGATAATTTTGTATAAATTGTTTTATAAATATAAATATAAGTTTTTAAACCTTGAACTTGTAATTGATTTTTCAACATCAGTAATAATTCTTCATGATTTGAGAATAAATTCCATAATTTAATTGAGCTTATTAAATTATATGATTTTTTCCAATCACCTTTTTGTAATGCAATTGCTGAATGAATTAAATAATCTCTTGTACTTTCTGGTGGACCTTGGAAAAATTGTTTTTGGTAGTATTGTAATTTAGTTCTTAATGAAGTATCTTTCTTCTTTGATAAATCTTTATTATTTAATGCTATTAATGGAACTTCATGTAATAAAGTTGCTGTTGTATATACACATTCCAATAAATCAATATTTATTTGTTGATGAAATGGAATGAATTTAGATTTGTCAGATGGTGTACCAAATTTCTGTGGAATACTTTGTGCAAGTAATTCCTTAATTCTTTGACTATTAATAAGTTCAGTCAACATTGTAATAGATTCAGCAATGTTACCTAAACGGAATGAACATAATGCTAATTGAACTAAAGCTCTATTATAATTTACTGCTTGATCACTTGCTAATTTTGATTTAATAAATAAATCTTTTGAAGCTGAAAAATTGTTGTTCAATGATAAGTAATAACTATGGAATAAAATAGCATTATCTCTATAATTTTCATCATCTGCTAATTTATCAACTAACTCCTTGATCAATTTCTCTGCAACAACATCATTTCCTATTTCTTTTTCCATAATTTTAATAAGTTTATCACTTTTATAATATAAATGTTTCAATTTATTATAAGTTAATCTATTAATTTGATGATGACTTTCTTCAATTGATTCAATATATTTTAAACCTCTAATAATCATTGAATAAACTTTAATTTCATCTTTCAATCTATCAATATATTCATTTGAATGAGCATCAATATTATTTAATGATTTTGTAAATTCATCATCAATTCTATCTATATATGAAGTTATACTACCATAAATTGTTTTAACTCCATTTTCATCAGCTTCTGGTTCAACATCAATTTCATCCAAAATTTGACCTTTTTCACTTAAAACATAAGTTTGGTCTTTTTCCAAAATATCCAATAATTTAATTAAATCATTTAAATTTTTTTGCCATTGATCTAATGGCATAAATGCTTGATTTGAAGAAGCATCAAATCTTATAGATAATAACATTTGATAAATTAATATTGATTCAAATGTAGTTATTTCAGAATTAAATAATTCTTCAAGCATTTGTATTTGTAAATGTTTATCAACATTCTTTTTACCTCTATTATCTTTAACTTCTTTTAGAGTTTTAAATATCAAACTATATTCTTTACCTTGATTATTATCAGTTGATTCTAATGATTTTACACTAGTTAAAGGTTCATCAGAATCAAAATTTTCTGGATTTTCAATATATGAATCATAATATGACTGAAATTCTTTCAATTGTTTTTTAACTCTTTGTTTTAAAATAACAAATGATTTTGCTTCATCCGATGATAAATCTGCAGTTTGTACTTTTGATTCATTTAAATGACCTAATAAACTAATAAAAGATTTTGGAACTAAATTATTGTATTTACTTGTTAATTTTATTAATTTATCAAATTCAATTAAAATTTTATTCCAATTTGATTCAGTTTTAATTAAACTTATTGATGATTTCATTTCTTCTGAAACTTTATCTCTTGAAGATTTAACAATTTTTGATCTACCCTCATCATCTGATTCTGAATCTGAATCTCCAGCTGAACCTTTAAGGAATGATTTTTTTAAAAAATATGTCGGACCAGTTGGTACTTCATCATCATCACTTGAACTTTCATCTTCGTTATTAAAAAAATCACTATCAACTTTATCTTCATCTTCATCTTCCCCTTCTTCTAATTGTTCTTCATCTGACGATGATAACAATTCTTCTTCGGAAGTTGATAATAAATCTTCTTCTTCAGATGAAGTTTCTGATGCATATCCTGATGCAAAAAATCTTGACATGACAACTAAACTCTATTAATGTTATAAGTTGTTGATTTTAATTTTGAACCATCTGAAAAATTTTAAGAATTTTTTTTCTACTTTCGAATCAAAATTGGTACAAAGCACACGACTTTTCATTCTGCAGCCATTTTAATATAACGCGACATCGGTTTGAGACTAGTGCCATTTACTGATTTGAATAACTTTGGGCCAAAAATAATGAGCTTGTAAGTTGAAAATGCCTAATTTTGCAATTCAAGCAAGTATTTATAGACAAAAATCAGTTATTGTCTGAAGGCGATTGTTATAGTCGATTCGAACAACCAAAAAGTTCATCGCACAAGATTTGGCCCAAGGGTGGCCCAAAGGCGGCCTAACAACTTAACATCATCGTGGCATTAAATTCGCACTAGACGAGTTCTGCATGGAATAAATTTAAGCGAGAAATTATGTAAATTCTAGAAACGCTTTATCGCAAAATTATAATATTAAATCAAATCATTTTATATAAATACCACCAAAATTAGTGGTTTGACTTATTTATCAGATTAGAAACTATTAAATCTGGATAACCTGAAGCTGGATTTTAATTGCTAGTTATTTTTTTAAGTCTTCACAAGTTTAAATGTCATTATCAATATGAGTTTAGTTGCTACTGATACTTCATTAGATGTGGATCATAAAGCTATACAATTATTTGAAAAAGCTATTGAAAAAGAATCACAAGGTTTAATGTCTGAAGCTATACAATTTTATAGACAAGCTTTTAAATTAAATGAACAAGTTGATTCATTATATAGATCAATACATTTACCCAAGGCAATAAATCAATATAAATCAGAAAGAGGTAAAAACGCAATGCATAATGTTGATGATTCAAAAGTTGCTGAAATAAATGTAGATAAATTAATTCAATCATTTGAACATATAGATGCGAATCCACCAAATCCTGAAGATGAATTAAGTATAAAAATTTCCAATTTAGAGTTGAATGCAAAACTTATATCTCCACTAGTTCACTTACCTAATGATATATGGATATATATACTAGAGATATTAGTTCATATCAGTCCCGAATCTTGGTTTAGAATGTCTATAACTTGTAAGAAATTTGCCTACCTAGGTTTTAATAATTCAATTTGGAGAGAGATTTGTAATTTAGTATACCCTAGACAGATATATGAAGAGAATAAATATAGGAAACTAAATGATTCTGATGATGATTTACCAATACCTAAAAATCAATTAAAAATTATTCCACAATATAAATCATGGAAATTAATGTTGAATCAACGACCATTTATAAAATTTCTTGGTTGCTATATTAGTGTTATTAATTATTATAGTGAAGGTGGTAAATCTGAATTTAGTAGTTCTTGGTCAAATCCAGTTAGGACCATAACTTATTATAGATATATGAGATTTTACCCCGATGGAACAGTATTAAAAGTCTTGTCGGTGTTACCACCAGATCAAATAGTTCCATATTTACATAAATCAAATAAATCAGTACCTAATATAATTGAAGATAAACCTGTATTTACTCATGATGTGAAAGAAAGTCATAAAATATATAAAGGAAAATGGTCAGTTAGTGCAGATGGAGAAGTTAGTATTATAATTGAAAATGGTTCAGTTCCTTATTATACTTTTCATTATAATTTTCAAATAAAGTCATTAGGTGGGATAAAGCATGGTAAATTAAGTTGGATTAAATATTATGCAATTAGAAAACAAATTAATGAACAAGATGATGATGATAGAATTGGTGAAATTTCTGAATTTTCAATTAGAAATGAAAAACCATTTAAATTCCTGAGAGTAAGAAGTTATATATTGGAATAACATAATAATTAACCTAGTAGATTATCGAGAAAATCTAAATCTGTGTTCTTTGATTCTACTTTTTTTGTTGCTCTTTCTTTTTCATTGATGTTTAATGATCCAATGTCTGGTGTTTCATCTTTTGATAATCCTAAGTACTCATCTAAGTCAAAATCATTCTTATCATCTTTAATCTTTTCATAATCGAAAACTTGACCTTTTAGATTATCTATTTCTAGCACCTTACCCTTCTTTTGTGATTTATCAGTGAATTTACTCTTTAGATCCTTGTAGAACGACTCTTGTTTAATCTTCTTGTTTCTTTCCTCTTGTTGTTTGATTTCATCTTCCGTCAATGTCCGTATGTTTGTCGTGTCTTTCACTGGTTCACCTATTACAAACTCATCTAGTTGGTCAGTATCCAAATGAACAAGTTTCTTTTGTTTTGAGTTATAAATATCATTATAATCATTATCTTTTTTAGTTGAATACGAATCTAAACCATATTCTTCAAGTAAATTATCTGAAAATTTATTACTCAACATTTTCCTATTCTTTTTTGGTTTTAAATCTAGACTTTCCACGAACTCCTCTAAGTTAAACTTCTCTTTTGGTTTTGCCTCGGGCTCAGTACCTAAATATATTCCTTCAATTTCTTCTTTTTCAGGTTCCGACCCGTCTTCTTCTTCCTTCTCGAGATCTTTTAGTATCTGCTCCTTTATCTTTATCTTCTGTTCTTTTGTCAATTCTTCTGATTCTTTTAAAGTTGGATAAAAATGATTAATTAAAGCTTCATCAACATCTGAATCCCATTCATCATCTGAATCTTCCAATTTAATTTTGTTTTTGTTTGGATCTGTCTTTTTCTTTGATGACCATTTTGGTTTCACGCCATCATCCTTTCTAGTTTCCTTCTTTATACCATGTTTCTTCATATATTTTAACTTTGCAATCTTATCATATTTTGAATTTTTCAAAACCATTTTGGTAAAATAAACTTTTTTTTTTTCTTGAAAAATTATTATCACCAAATTGTATTCACCATGGGAGATCAACCACCAAAATCAATTGAAGAATTGATGAAACTACTTGCAATGGGTCAAGAATTAACACCATCTCAACAAAAAGAAATGAAAGATTATAGATTTTGGAAAACTCAACCTGTACCGCATTTAGATGAAAAAATAACTAAAGAGGGTCCAATTGATAAACTCAAGACACCAAATGATATTCCAAATGAACCATTACCTTTAATTAAAGATTTTGAATGGGTTACTTTAGATATTGGAAATGATTCAGAATTAGATGAATTATATAAATTATTATATGATAATTATGTTGAAGATACTGATGCTACGTTTAGATTTAAATATAGTCATGAATTTTTTAAATGGGCTTTGAAACCACCTGGTTGGAAAAAAGAATGGCATTGTGGTGTTAGAGTTAAAGAAACTGGTAAATTGGTTGCTTTCATTGCTGCTACTCCAGTCACAATTAAATTAAACAAATCTGGTACAACTTTAACTTCAGTTGAAATTAATTTTCTTTGTATTCATAAAAAATTAAGAAATAAAAGATTAGCTCCTGTTTTAATTAAAGAAATCACAAGAAGAGTTAATAAAAATGATATATGGCAAGCTTTATATACGGGAGGATCAATTTTACCTACTCCTTTAGCTACTTGTAGATATCAACATCGTCCAATAAATTGGTCAAAATTACATGATGTTGGCTTTAGTCATTTACCTCCAAATCAAACAAAATCATCAATGGTTGCAAATTATGCATTATCAAATCAAACAAAATTGAAACCAAGATTAATGGAAGAACACGATGTTGAACAAGTTTTACAGTTATTACATAAATATCAAGAAAAATTTGATATTGTACAACTTTTTAAACCTGAAGAATTTAAACATTGGATGTTAGGAAATGGGAATAGTAATGTTATAAAAGCATATGTTGTTGAAAATGAAAAAGGAGACATCACAGACTTCTTTTCTTATTATTTGTTACCATTCACTGTATTAGAAAATACTCATCATGATGAATTGGGAATCGCTTATTTATTTTATTATGCTACTGATTCAAAAGAGATTAAATCAAGATTAACTGATTTAATTAATGATGCATTAATTACTGCAAAACAATTTAGTGTTGATGTTTTTAATTGTTTAACAAGTCAAGATAATTCGTTCTTTCTTAAAAATTGTAAATTTGGAAGTGGTGATGGTTATTTAAATTATTATTTATTTAATTATAAATTGTTCCCTATTAACGGTGGTATTGATGAAGATAAACAAGTTAAAGAAGATGAAACAAGTGGTGTTGGTGTTGTTCTTTTGTAATTCATCTTCTAATTTTAATATATAGAAATTCATCACATAATTAATTTTTTTTCGCATCCATCATCTCATCTTGAACTAATGATTTCTTCAAGTACTTGGGTTCCAAGAGGTTTTGCTTCTGAATTCCCAGAAAAATATGAATTAAATGATGAAGAAATGGAAAGAATAAATGCAATGGCTAATTTAGAATTAAATGATGCAAAAGAAGATTTAAAAGTAGCAGAAGAACAAGAAGAAGCGCAAGGTAAAAGTTCAACTTCAAAATTAAAAGATCAACTTGAAATAGATGATGATTTAAAAGAGTATAATCTTGAGTCTTATGATGATGAAGTAGAGGAAAATGGTGAAAAAATAACAATGTTTCCAGGTTTGTCAAATACTGGAGCAAAATTTCATAATGATGAAGAAGAAGAAGATGCTTATTTAACCTTACCTACTGAGACTGATGATCAAGAAGAAAAGCAAGAAAATCAAATATATCCAACTGACAATTTGATATTGGCTACAAGAACAGAAGATGATATTTCTTGGTTAGATATATATATTTATGATGATGGTGCAGGTTCTCCAAATGGTGAAGAAGAAGAAGAGGATAAATTAGATCAAGATGTTGCAAATGGTTTAGTTAGAGATCCTACATTATATGTACATCATGATATAATGTTACCTGCATTTCCATTATGTGTTGAATGGGTGAATTATAAACCAGCGTCAGAAACAGATGATAATATAGGTAATTTTGCAGCTGTTGGTACTTTCGATCCACAAATTGAGTTATGGAACTTGGATTATGTCGATAAAGCATTTCCTGATTTAATATTGGGAGAACCTAATAAAAATTCATTTACTGCTACAAAATCAAAGAAATCTAAAAAATCAAAAGGTCATATAACTACACATCATACAGATGCTATATTATCATTATCACATAATAAAATACATAGATCTGTTCTTGCATCCACTTCAGCTGATAAAACTATAAAATTATGGGATTTAAATTCCACTACTGTTGTTAAATCATTTAATCAAATTCATCATAATAAAACAGTGTCATCATCACAATGGCACCCACAAGAATCTTCAATTTTATTAACTGGAGGTTATGATTTTAATGCTGCTATTTCAGATGTAAGAAGTGATAATTCAACAAAATATTATAATGTTGGTAATGAAGAAGTTGAAAATGTAAAATGGAAAAATCAATCAGAAATATTTTATGTTGGTACTGATCAAGGTAATTTATATTGCTTTGATATAAAATCTGAAAAACCAATATGGACATTAAAAGCACATGATTCAGGAATATCATCATTAGATGTAAATAATTTTATTGGTGATTTGTTAGTAACTTCAGCAATGAATGATAAAGTTGTAAAATTATGGAAATGTAATGATTCAAAAGGTCCTTCAATGATTTTAAGTAGAGATTTTGGATTAGGTAATGTTTTAACTTCTTCATTTGCTAATGATATTGAAGTTGGTGGTAATTTAATTGTTGGTGGTATAACTGGAGGATTAAAAATGTGGGATACGTTTTCGAATTCATCAATAAGACATAGTTTCAAATCTGATTTGAATAATTTGCAACTAAAAGCTAGAGAAGAAGCAAAATCACAAGGTAGAGCTTCTAGAATAGCAAGAAAATATCAAAATGATCAACAAGAAATAACAATGACTGTAGAAGCAGGTGGTGAAGATAGTGATGAAGATGAAGAAATAGAGCAAATGGAAGAAGAAGAAGATTATGATGAATAGACATATGCATTAATTTCTCATAATTTACTTTCGAAAATCTTGATTAATTCTTCTTCTGATGTACCACTACTAATTGAAGGTTCAACAACACCATCAATTGAAACAGTAGGAGTAGCATGAACACCAACACCTCTTAAGTATTTAGTAAAATATTTTATATCGGCACTAGCTCCATTTCCAGCATTATCAGGCTCACCACCAACTTTAATCTGCAACTCATTCAAAATTTTATCCTTTTCAAATTTCAATTCGGTATGTTTAGATACTACATCATATATTTGTTCATATATTTCATTTCTTGTAAGTTTAATATTTGAATTGTCATAAAACTCTTCCTTATTTTCATATAACACTTTAGAGAAATCCCAAAATGGAGTTACTAAATCATCACCTTCTTTCAATTCTCTTAATAATTTAGCATAAACTAACGAAAATTCATTTAATAAAACTGAATTTGGATGCCATGGTTGAACTACATTAACATAAACAAATTGAAATTTATCAGGATGTTTTGATTGTAATTCAGGTAATATTTTACCATAAAATTTTAAAAATAATTTAGCACTAAATGGACAATTATAATCAACATATAAATTTACAATATGTGGTGGAATTTTAGCATTTGATAATGTCTTGCAAGATAAATAATAATGGGTGAAGGAATATTTGGGGGAAATCATCGTTGTAAGGATACCAATACAATAGTAAGGATGTAATAAACACTTGAAGTATCAATTGGTGATTAAAAGAAGTTGTAGAATTGCTAAGGGGAAATTGAAGCCTATTTATAGAAAAATGTGGCTATAGTTTTGTGTAACATTTACATTTGGTAGCATATATATTTAAAATTAACATTATCATACATTGAACTTCTTTTATTTCTTTCTAGCTTGACGAGCTTTCTTTCTGGCCTTTGATGCATTTGCTTTAGATCTCTTGGGTTTTCCAATAATTTCGGAGTTTGATTTTGGATTGTTTATTTCTGGATTTTTTAAAATTGGTGGTTGTATATTCTCAACGGCTTTTGTTTCATGATTATTTATATTACTTGTTTTTATTTGAGTTGATGATGCAAGTGATATTGAAACATCTCCATCGGATACTTGATTTGAAACTCCGTCTTTTTGATCCACTTCATTATTTTCTTCTTCTATTTGATCTGAATGTTGTTTATTTTTAATTCCATCTTTTTTTGTTTTCATATCTTTATAAAAATCTTCATCACTATTTTCTATGTCTTCATCCATTTCTTCTTCTGCTGTTTTATAACTTTCTGATACTGATTTTGTTGCTGGTTGTGGTCGTTGTTGCTGGATTACACTAATTTCAATTTCTTCATCTGATTTTGGCAGTTGTTGTTGTTGATCTTGTTCTTGTTGTATTTCACTGGTGTCTATTTCTTCTGAACTTGATCTATCTAATAATCTAACTGTAAATCGACCATATTCAAGATGACCCCGAGCTAATTTTTTTCTCCTCATAGCTGCTTCTTTTAATATTTGTTTATGTTGTGCTTTTTCAATTGATTCATTATTTTCTTGTTTGTCTACTGGCTTAGTTGTCGTTAATAGTGGTGGTTTTGAAGGTGCATTTTCAATTTCTTCTGCTTTACTATTTTCTTGTTTATCTACAAGGTCAATATTTTTTAGTTTCAATTGTTTTGGAGGTGATTCATTATCTTCATGTTTATCGTCTGGCTCAGGTTTTGTTTGTGATGGTTCTGAAGGCGATTCATTATTTTCTTGTTTATCCACTGATTCAATTTTTGTAACTTGAGGTAATGGTTTTGAAGGTGAGCTCCCAAATACTAAATCTTCAACAAAACTTCTTTCAACTGTAGTCTTAGCAATAGCTCTAAGACTATCATCAGTATAATTTTTAATTTTAAAACTATCTTCATCTTCAGCTCCTTTCATCTGTGAATCTTGAGCAATAGTTTGTATATTTTTAGCCTCATTTTCTCTTATTTGAGAATCTTGAATAACATTTTGTATATCGATTCCCTCATTTTCTCTCATTTGTGAATCTTGAGTAACCTCAAGCATATCATCCTCTTCATTTCCACTACTTTGTGAATCTTGAGTAACATCTTGCATATCTTTGTCTTCATCTTCATAGTATCCTCGTAAACGTTTACTTTCCATTCCCCAACCATACTCTTGCTGTTGTATTTCGGAATCTTCTCTCTTTCGAGCTTTTTCAATATATTGTTGGTCTCTGACTCGTATGTGCTTTTCAATACGTGCTTTTATTCGTGGATCGTGAGAATCATATTGCATTTCTTCATCTTCATCTTTACCTTTTGAATGTTGACTTTCAATACCAAAATCATATTGTATTTCTAAATCATCTTTTTCAACTCTTTGTTTTTCTTGTTGTCGTTTCTGTAATAATTTCTCAACTATATTTCTAGACTCTCCAGGTTGTTTAATTAATGGCGATGATTGTGGAGATGAATGATATTGAAATCTAGATACTGCTCCTTCTTCAACTATATTATCACTACTTTGATCAACTTTAGGTGGTTCTTCAATTATATCACTACCTTGATCAATTTTAGGTGGTTCTTCAATGATAACACTACCTCGATTAATTTGAGAAGGTTCTTTATGATTCCCATTTGGCGCAACAACTGGAGTATTTTGCACTTGTAGTTTCTTTTCATATTCTTCTTTTTCCAATTGTATTCGTTTTTCATTTTCCATTTGTAATCGTCTACGTTCTTCTTCTTCCTCTTTCAAATTCTTAATAAGTTCCTTTTCCTTCATGTCCTTTTCTTCTTTCTCTTTCTCCATTTCTAGTTTCTTTTTACGTTTTTCTTTATCTCTTGCAATCCTAGCCTTAATTAATTCTGATATTTTGAGAGCTGAACCTTGAGTTGAAGTAGCTAATATTGGAGGTGATGTTGAATTAGTTATTTTAGGAGGTGATGCTTGAGTTGAAGTAGCTAATATTGTATGAGGTGAAGCTTGTGTTGAAGTAGTTAATATTTCATTTAATTCTTGTTTTGTTGTATATTGAGTAATCGGAGGTGGACGATTAATAACATTAATAACCTTTACACCATAATCGTTTCTAAAAGCCGGTACTGTATATTCATTCACAAACCTATGATATTGGACATGTTCATCCTTAGGAGGTAGATTTATTTGAATACCATGAAGAACCCTAGGATTCTTCGTTGCATATTCTCTCCATTGCTCTTCAGTCATAGCTTCTATTGTTTTTCTTTTCTTTATTTGAGTTGGATCTTCATGTATTCCAGTTAATTCCTCAAACATTTTTAATGTTTCTTCTCGAGATGGTGGTTTTGGTGATTTTCGTTTTCGAGATTTTCGTGGTTTCTTTTTTGGTGTTATTGAGGGAACCGGTGATATACTTCGTCTATGTTGTGGTGTTTGAGCTGGTGATGATATTAATTCGACTATTGGTCTAACTCCTTGTAATAGTGAAGTTGAGGAGCCTGATTTTTCATTTACTGGTTTTGATTTTTGAGGAGATGGTAATTTTTCGTTTACATGTTGTAGATTTTGAAATAATGATGTTGATGATTTTGAATTTGCTATTGTTGATTTCTCTTTTTGAAATGACGGTGAATTTTCACTAACAGGTTGTAATTTTTGAGGTGCTGGTGATGCAATTGGTGAACCCTGATTTGGAAATTGAAGTGGTGATTTAATATCAATCTTATTTCGTACTTTAGGTGATGATGTTTTAGTCAATTTCAGTGGACCTGGGGTTGGTGAAGTATCCAAATTGAAAAAAAAGTCATCCTCAATTGATTCTCGCCTCTTCTTAGTTATCAAATTCTTTGTTGATTTTTTACCCTTTTTCTTTAATTTCCTTTCATCAATGGGTGTCAGTTTCTTCGGGGATTTAGTTAATGTTTTTCTATTAGTTGATGATGATGAAAAATTAGATATTTTTTTTTCAATCCTGTTTCTTGTTTCTATATTTGGTGAAGAAGATAAAAATACAGATTCATTACGTTTCTTTGGTGATGAAACAAATAAATTTTTAAGTGTATTAAACATACATGAATTGAATTGGCCGTAAATTATTCAATGTTTTGATATAATACTATTTTTTTTATTTCAATTTTGTGTAAGAAAAAAATATTCAAAGTGTTGTATACTGAAATGTAAGAATGCAAAGAATGAAGGGAAAAGGTAAGGATGCTATGAAACTAAAGATGAAGTAGTAAGGTATGCAAATAATCATGGTAAGGATTTCATTGCAACTAAAGATTAAGAAGAAGCTAATATATAATTATCGAGTATATATGTATATTTCTATACTAATCAACTATAATCATTAATTTACATTTCTCAAATAATACACCATGAAATTTCTCATCATCATCAACTTCAAATTCTTTTAATTTATCTTGATAATAAATTGGTTGAAAATTATCAATATCTATTTTATTCTCTTTTGTAAAATCTTCAAAATCATTTTTGAGAAATAAATGTATTGAATTGGGGGTTTTTAAATCTTGAAAATTATGTTGTTTCATATCATCTAATTCTAACCTTTTAAACAATTTTGTTTTAAGGTCTTGTAACCTAAGATTTATAGGTAGTAATAATACAAAAATATCATCATCATAATAAAATTTAACTTTAAATTTTTGAATTGTTGAAGGATCAGACAAGGATACAGTGGAAGCTTCTCTTGATCTTGTTGTATTTGTTTCATTTAATATTGGATCTGAAGTTCTATTTAAATTTGAATATTGTGATAATCTATCTTGATGAGAATTTGATTTTTGACTTATAGGTTTACTTATTCTTCTTTGATATAATTCTGATTCTCTATCTAATCCATTATCTAAAACTTCAAATAACTTCAATACTTCTTCTGATTTAGATATATGTTGTGGTAATGCAATTAAATTTGTTAGATAATGATCTAATTTTTCTCTTCTTAACTTTGATATTGAATCATTCACATTAATTAATGGACCAGGTATTGAAGGTAAGATTCTTTTTGAATTTTCAATTTTACCAGCCTCAAAGGGAAATAATTCTAATAATTTAACTTGTAAATCATAAAAATCTTGATAATATCGGTACAAGTACCTAATTTTTCCATTTGATAATTTTGCAGTTACTAAATATTGATATCTACCATGATCTAATTGATACAGATCCACATTTGCTTCTATTATATTTGTTGAAGTTAATGAACTTCTATTTGAATCTATTGAATTATTATTATTATTTACTTGACCATCAAAATATTGTGATTGTGCTGATACTGGTGGTGTTTTATTTTGTGATATACTACCTAAAGGTATTGTTGATGCTTGATATTTAGCAGTTTGATCTTTCCATTGTTCAACTGTTGGAATTTTTAAATTATTTATTAGTTTATAAACTTGATCACGATTTGTTGTATCTATATTTATATTTGCACTAGGGTTCATTGAATCAATAATTTTAACATAACTTACAGGAACTAAACCAGGACCACCTAATCTATTAATTGGTTTTGCAATAAACCATTCATAATCATGATGAGCACAAATTATTAAATTTTCTCCAGGTAAAATATCTAATTCATCATCTCTTTCAGCATTAAATTCATAGAATGTTACAGCATATAAAGTTTGGTTTGAATTTCTTTTTGGGACTGCTTGTTGCAGGCTATTCTGACTTGATGATGTAGTTGGTCTAGATCTATTAAAAACTTCAAAATAACTTAAAGGTACCATACCTTTTACATTTGACATTGGATTAGTAGCTTGTATCCAACCATTTTCTTCAGCTTGTTTTATTTCTGGATCATTTTCATTATCAATACAAACATGAAAAAAATCTCCTTTTTGAAATTTTAATTCCCCAGGTCCTTGTGGATTATAATCATATAAAGCTTTTATAACTTTTTTTGGAGATTGTAGAATTTCACTTACTGATTCTGGTGTAGTTATAGATGATGATGATACTCTAGATATAGTTTTTTTTGGTGAAGTCGATGAACTTGACAGTCTTTTATTTTTCCTAAATGATTTAATCATATCCATTCATGTAATATACTATTTAAAAAATTAAAATTTTTTATTGGATATTTGTGATTCTAACAGTAATTGTCTTTAATTGTCTAATTTTTTGACGGTTTTTTGACGGTTTTTTGACACTCTAATTGATGATAATCGTAATATAATAAATGTTGTCTTTAATCAATAAATTGTATTATATTTTGTTACAGATTTTTTTTCGTAATTTTTTTTTTCTACAGCCTTTTTTTTTTTTGATAAAATCTCTCAATAGATTCAGATTTGAATATTAAACTACCAACAAGGAATTGACTATGTAGTAGTATAGTATAGTAGAATGGATTTTAATCTGTTATAACGGTTATGAGTAGAATAAACTAAGATATAGTTAAAGACGGTATATATAATTTGGTGATAATTTGTATAGTTAAAATTTCAATTAGTCGTGTATAAGTTGCCAAATATTTCCTATTTGAGTTTAATTATTAGAAAAATAAAAGGAGGTATTTTTATAGATATTGTGACCTTTTGAACAATAAGCTGCCAAAGAGAATGTTAAGAACTGAAGTGAAATTCCAAGTTCTAATGCTTACGGTAAATTAACTCAATTGTAACTTCAGATCTCTACCAGTTCTACGTAATATCCATCAAGTCATTCTACTTGTAATTAGAATATACATATTGAAATGACAGGATATGCGATCGACGATCAATCTAGTTTAAGATAATCTACATAAGAAAAAATGAAATGAACCACTTGGGATGTTAATATGCAATGTACCTTTATTAGTATATACGTTGAATAACCGAATCGTAGATTTGCTCGTCGATTTACTAAAACAAGCTTTTTATTATTATATATCGTTTTATTATATATCGTTTCTATGCAGTTGAATAATAATACGGTTTTTAATACGCCAATTTTTTTACGTGTCTTATTGTATTGATGTAACAGAATTGCGCTACCAGTTTCATATTTCATTTTCACGCCTTTCCATGTTTTTTTCCGTTGTAGGGTAGGTAACGAGTTTAGAGCCGAAAACTTATACTCAAGGCGAGAAATGGTATTATGTTATATGTTCGCCTCATCAGTACTTATTCGCGCGTGTAGTATATTAAACTTGATAGAGAAATTTCCTCGCCTTAACTTTAAGGCGACCTCGTACTACCTGTTTTGAGTTATATATCATAAACAACACATTCTCTCGAGATATATACCAGTTATATGAAATCAAGAGCATTGTATTATGTACTCTACAAAACTTAAATGTTAAATTTCAAACATGAATTAAAGAGCATTGTATTATGTACTCTACAAAACTTAAAATTTTAAATTTCAAACATATTTTTTCAAGTTGTCATTTTGGGCTTTTTTCATCATACAAAAATTTTGCAAAAAATGAAATTGCAAAGTAAATTTTACATACGCCCATAACTTTCAATTAAACATCGGTTTATACATAGTATACGTCAATTACAAGTGCATAATTTAAAACCAGTTGCTCCCAACCAGAATTGAAAAATTTCAAAAATCAAATTTTTCCGTTAAGTATGAGGAAAATCGAATAAATTGACCTTTCAAAAAATCTAATTCCACAATCAATATCGTGATGAATTTATGTTAAAAATATCCAAATCTGTAGTTCGGAATCCTAGTACACAATAGATTTTTTTGTGTTTGGGTATTCAAAACGATTTTGGTGTCCTTATACCGTTACAATTAGAGTTTTTGGAACCAAAATAAACCAAATCAACTATTTTAGAAGTCTCTAAAGGAGCTCTAAGTGTTAGTTATCACGCAAAATAGCGTTTTGTTACATTTTTTGAAGATAGATTAATTGATCAAAAGTATGTTTTTTTTGGAAGCTTTTTATACCAATACTTTTAATTAGCTACAAATTGTAGTGAGTTAGGTTTGAGCGTAAGAGCTTGAATATTGAGGGTGTTATTCAGGATTTAAAATTTAAAACTTACAATAATGAGACTGCATATAACTCAATACGCGTCTCAGAATTATATGCACTTAAGTATGTAAATTTGAAACTTTAATATCACATTATTTATTACATTATTACGTTATATATACATTACAGCTATGCTCTGTTTCTATTTGTTTTAAAGGTTTATGTTTTGTGAAGTATCTAGTAAATCATGAGGTAGATCTTGTATTGATTGTTGTTCTATTTGATGTTGTTGTTGATGAATCGATTGATTAGGATCTGAATGTACTTGCTGTTGATGTATCTGTAGTTGTATAGGCTGTTGTTGTGTCATTGTTTGTTGTATTGGTATTTGACCAGATGAACTTTTTAAAATATATTCTAAATTACCTTGATTTGATCTATTTACAGTAACTTGTTCAAAAATCTCCTCATTAATATATTGATTATAATCATTATTATTAGAAATATACTGTTGTGTTTCTTGTTGTCTTTGAGCTATTGGTTGTGGTGGATAGAATGTACCTTCATCAAACTCATCAAATAAATCTTCAGAACTTTCATCATTATCATATTTCATTGGTTTCCTTCTTGATTTTTTCTTTGGTTGTTTCATTATTGCTTGTTCTTGTTCAAATTGTCTATATTTAGCCAAATAAATTTTTAAAGTCTCTGAATAATTTTCAAAACCTAATGTATACATTGACCATAAAATATCTTCACCATTCAATGTCTTTCGTTTTTCTAATTTACATTTATCACTAGCTTGAGATGTAATAAATGATATAAATTCACTTACACATTCTTGTATACATTCTTTTGATTCTTTTGATAATTTTGCATGGTTTGGTAAAGCCAGTTTCATAACTCTACCGACATTAGCAATTGGTAAATATCGATCTTGTTCTTTAATTTCATAATCACAATTCTGCCAATCTTTATCAATTGGATTCTCATCAGACATAATGAAAAAATTTCCTTCTAATTCTCTCTTTGTCAGTTGTTTATATTAGTTTTTGGCTTTTCCTAGTTTCGGAGATTGAAAAAAGAAACAAAGAAAAAAAAAAAAAAAAAAAGAAATTAAAAAAATCTTTATCTAAAAAATCTAAACCGCTTTACATACAAATGATTTATAAAGCCTTACCGGAAAAACAAGTAACATAAAAAATTAAATACTTTAATAATACATATAATTACAAACTGGCAATCATCTTCTTGATATAATCTTGATAAATTGCACAATCTTTAGACTCGTCTTTCCAATATTCATAAACTAAAATGGAATGTTCAAATCCAACAATTAAACTCTGTTTATCAATAACCATACTCATCATCTTCTCAACTTCAGCACTTACATTACTTAATTTCAACATACTTTCAATCTTCTTGTATAGTAAATATTGATATATGTTTCCAATAAATAAGTTTCTTAAATAATACCAAGATCCAGGATGTCTATACGCTGCCAATTTAGGAATATTCAATTTAGGTAAACTTATAACATTTTGAATGAAAATCTTAATTACTTTCTTCTTCACTTCTGCTAGATCTTTAATTTTGAAATTGTTTGTTGATTTATCATTTTCATTCTCATATTCAATCAAATTTGAAAAATCTTCATTTGGAAATTGTTTTTGATAAAATAAAGGAGCATTAATTAAATTATAATAGTCCATATCAAATTCAAAATTATCTGAACTGGAAGATAAATTAATTGAATTAAATGAATTTGGAGTACCTAAATGTGAAGTATTGGAATTCGTAGCTGTGGAATTTGTAGATTCAAATATGGAATTTATAGCTTCCAAGATATCTTCAATTTTGATTTTATCTTCTAAGAATAAATATACTATTGGTCTAAATAGTAATAACTTTGAAGAGAGCACTCTTGTTTTAATAAACATTATACTTTGTGATTGGGTCTTAATTAATAAATCATCATCAATCAAAAAATCATCAAGGAACATAGAAAACTCTTCTTTTATGTTATTCTTCTTGTCAAATTTCTCTTTAATTCGTCTATATATCAAATCAACATCTGTTTCCTCTAGTACAAAATTTCTAATTTCAGGTGATAATGAATTTATAATCCCGTTATATTGATTCAAATATTTGATAAAATTATGCCATATTATTTCAGAACTAAACGATTCTTGATCCCATAATTTTTTCAATTGTGAATCTAACGAAAACATCTCATCAAACATCTTATTATCAATTTTTCTAATTGCTATCTCAGTAAGAAAGTAATACCAAGTATATTCGTCATCATATCTACTTGCCAAATTAAGTACAGATTCACTGTAATTTCTTTTTGTAGATTCTGGAATTTTGGGAAATGAGATTGGTGGTTCAATTTGAGTTATTCCTGATACACATCCAAACGGACTCAATTCAGTTAATAATTCACATTCTAATTTCAAACACGTCCAAAATAAACGATCAAGAACTTCTATTCTTGGTGATTTCTTTCGAAGGTAGTACATTATATTTTGTGATGCGATTACAATTTCACGAAATGCTAATAATGGTGAACAATGTTGTAAATATAATTGACTGGTTAAAATATGATACTGTGTGGATACTATACTGTTTGAAACTAAAGTCTTGGGAAAAAATTTACATAAGATCTCAATATATTCGTAAAGTAAAAAAGATATTGCTTTTCGACTTTGTGGTAGACCTAGTTCACTTAATTTGTCCAGTTTTAGACATCCTATGGAGATTGCATTTGATTCTTCAATTGATGATTTAAAACCTGTTAGATTTTCAAGTTGAATGGGAGTAGAAGATATTCCCACTGCACAAACTATTAAAATTAAAGGAATGGAATGTATTAAATTTGAAAATTTGTAAATAATTGACTCGTTGATTTCTATGTTTTCTTTATTGTAGATAGATTCTACTATTGATGGTAGGATACTATCGTCTTTATATAATTCAAGTAATTTTATAAATGTTAAATCAGTAATCTTGGAAGTTAAAATTTGATATAATTCAAGCATGTCAAAAAACTCAAATGTATCAAATATAGGAATCTTGGAGTAGGAGTTTAAAAAAAATGAGTTAATAAAAGTTGAAAAATTGGCACTGAGTAATTTCTCTAGCTCTTGGAACAATTTCAACTTTTTCAAAAAAGAATAATCTGGGTCTATTCTTAAATTATCAACCTCGTAACAATTTAGCAAATTCTGAGTCTTATCTTCTATATCGCCTTCCGATTGTTTAAATTCAACCATGAATGATTTCCACTTCATTATTGACGTAATTGACAGATCCCAAATACAATAAGCGAAATCAAAATTAGAAGACTCACTTGATTTACCACCTTTTATATCCTTTAGATCTTTCAAAATAATATCCAATTTTCCTAGTATGTTCAAACTTGCTGGATCATAACTTGAATAAGCTGCTTTCTCATCTGTTCGATAATGACAATTAATATTTCCATTACGTATACATGATCCACATCTAGGTCGTTCGTTATCGCATTTAATCTTTTTCAAACGACAAGTATCACACGCTGTTAATGCTCTTTTTCTTGGATATGTAGCTGTTGCTCTATTATTCAGTCGTTTTTTCGAATTTGTATTATTTTCAGGTGAAATTTGTTGTTGTGGTGGTAATTGTTGAGGTTGCATTTGTGGTGGAGCTTGTGAATATGGATATAATATTGGTTGTGATGGTGGTAATGAAGGTAATGGTTGGCCTTGCGGTTGTTGCACATGATTAAATTGTTGTGGTTGGTGTTGTTGAAATACTGGATTTGGATTTGGACTAAAATAGTTTTGAGGATTTGACTCTGCATACTGTTGATAAATACTCGGATTATTAAAAATATGAGGCGGTACAGGTTGATAAGGTATTGGTATTTGATTTTGATTTTGATTTTGATTATTTTGGCCCTGGTGATTATTTTGTTGTTGTTGCCGTTTCATGTTTATTTGATTTATAGCTTTTTCATTTTGAGGTTGAGGATTCATGTTATATTTAAACAACCCATTTATTAATTAAATATTCTTAATTTTTATTATATCTATGAATTATTGGATATTTCTTATGTTTTATTTTATATCGTGAATATTATAAAATTATCAAATTATTTTTTTGATGTTTCTAACTATAAAACAAACAACGAAACATCAACAGTATAATTACAAAACAAGAATAATTCTATCTTAGGATTACTAATAATAAATGGTTAAAATCGCCTGTTTATTATTATCAAGATATTATAAGAGATGCAAAGAAAAATCTAATTTCTTGTATTCCATGCACATTTGTGCATGAGCAGGGATTCGCTTATGAAAATTGACTCTAAATTCTTGATTAAGATCTTTAATGAACATAAGAGGTTTTTTAAACGCCTATATCTAATGTTCATCTCAAATCTAAGATGGTTGCAACTTTTCAGATTTGGATCTGGACGCGGCTATTTCCGATTAGGGACTTTTTTCTTTATTTTTTTTTTTTTTTTTTTTATTATTTATATTTTGCATCAATTGGTTTTATATTCAGTCAATCTATTTACAATTCATAATTAATCTAGCCTGGTGGTAATTGTGATGCATCCACAATATCAGCAGCATCAACTGCAGGTTCATCAACTTCATATTGTCTATCCAATGGTGTTCTTGGTAATGCCATCATACCTGATCTTGCCAATTCTAAAATACCAAATGGTTGTATCAAAGTAATAAATGAAGTAACTCTGCTGGGTTTTGCACTTAATTCAACAACAACATTTCTATCACTTATATCCACAACTTTACCACCAAATTGTTTTGTTATTGTAGTAATATGATCTAAATGTATATGTTTTTGTCTTAAAGCTTCACTTGGAGCTAAATTACTTGGATGAAAAGCTGAATCACATGCAGATAAATCAGGTATTGAAGAACCATCATCAATATGTAACTGATGTGTTGCAATTAATTCTTGAAAATATTCTGGTCCTAATAATGAAACTCTTGCTAATAATAATTCTCTTTTTATAATTTCAGCATTTGTATAATCTAAAACAGCATAAACAGGTACTAAATCTTCAATTTGTCTTCTTGCTTGTTCAACAACACCATCTTGACCTTTTAAAACAATTGTCATTCTTGATAAATCTTTAACTTCGGTATTACAAACAATTAATGAATCAATATTAAACCCACGAGCAGCCAAAGTACCAGAAACTGATGATAAAACACCAGGTTCATTTTGAACTAAACAATTTAAAACATGTTGTTTTGGTGGCAATTTTGAAGCAACAGGAGTTTCATATAAAATTGAAGAAACAGCAGTATCAGCTGACCAATTTGGAGTATCTAAAGTTGGTAATGGAGGTCTTTTTTGATTTCTATGTAATGTTTTATAAGCTAATGCAGAAGTTGAACTAGAACTTCTGTTTCTAATAGCTTGTTTTATTATGCTTTTGGATGATGCTCTTAACATAATGTAAAGCGTAAATTGAAATTTTTCAATGTAAAGCTAAAAATTTTTGGTTTAAATGGAGAAAATGTTTTGATAGTGAGTCAAAAAATTAAAAAATATTCAAGCGTGAACGGAGAACCAAACATCAATAGTTAAACTATACTATTAGTATTATATAAGAGAAATTGATATTCTGCAGCCATTTCACACAATATAAGAGATGAGAAGTCATTGATGTTTATAATGAACAGAGATGAGCTTCAATTATAAAATCACAATACCTGTTTCTAATTTCAAATTCTAAAACAAAATCGAAAACGTGCTACTATCGAAATTTTTCAAATTAGAATACCATACAGATAGAAAATCATGATACAGATAACTATCACATTTTAAACATCAAATAAAATTGTATATTAATTAATTTTTAATTGAGCTGAAAAAGATATAAAAAAGATATAAAAAAGATATAAAAAAAAGTAAGTCAATTAATTTAATCAGTTTATAATAATAAACCTAAAGCAACTAATAATGAACCCATTGAAGCTGGAGCAGCAAAATCAGCAGCACCACCTGTTTTAGTAATTGAAGCAGTGTGTGATTTTGATTTAGTTGATGAGCTTGATGAAGAATGTTTAGATTTTGATGAAGTTGAACTTTTACTTGAAGTAGTAGTTTTTGATACTGAAATAGTAGTACTTGATGGTAAATCAGTAGTTAATGAAGTTTTTTTATCTTTCTTTTTATCTTCAACATCAACATCTGAATCTGATTCTGAATCTGATTCTTGTTCATCTTTTAAATTAATTAAAGCTGGATATTGATAATGACCATCTTGAATAATAACTTCATCTTCATTAACTAATCTTATTTGTTCTAAAGTAATAGCTGAAGCGAGTGTAACTAAAGTTAATAATTCAAATTTCATTGTTGTTGCAATTAATATATATATATATAATAGAATAAAAAAATTAATTACTCTATGGAAATATTGGAACGTATTTATACTTGTGAAATTAAATTAGAGTGTGGTTACAAAATTGCTACCATTTCTTTATTAAATTAAGGGATTTTTTATTCTATTTTTTTTTTTTTTTTTTTTTTTTGCAATGAGTGCGAAAGGCGTGTATTTCATACAAATACTTATATAATATTATGTTGAATGTTTATATAATATATGTTGAATGTTTAAGTAAGCATATGTAATCATATGCAGTAGTTTAAAAAAGTTTAATCTATTTATTAGACAAAAGAAGTGGTAGTGTTCTATTTTGCAGCTATTTTCTACTACATTGTAATATTGTCAAATATAATATCGTCAAATAAAAATGGTTGTACAGAGTTATTAAAAGTGGACAGAGAATTTTCTTTTATTGAGGACTTGATATATTAAACAGCTTCCATATCAAATTAATACTATGGAATTTTCTCACTTTTTGTTTATTTTAGTTTTGTGTTTAATTAATTTATTATTTTTAACTCGTTTAAAATTTTAATTATAACGCAAATTATTTGAATATTTTTCCAATTTTATAACTAAATAAGAAGACATTGTTGAAATAGGTTAGTAGTCACATTACTTCAAAATGCCTCTTGATATAGTAAATATAATAACCATTGTAGTTTAAATAATCAAACTTTAATCATAACCTACCTTCTTAAAATATATTATTTACATATGTTTTATTTACATATTTTTTATTTACATATTTTTTATTTGGTCTTCATTTTACTAAGAATTTTCATTCTATGCATTTCTCGGATTCTATCACATACTCTCTATTTTTACGAAATGATATAAGATATGCATAAAATCTAGGTCATATTAAATCAATTTGATTAGCTAGATATTCTTATAACAAAAGAGTTCAAACCTCTAATATGAAATTGTCTACCACTTATTTAGACTTCAAATAAGCTTTTAATTAAAGTTTTACGGTTAGGATTTTACAATTGAATGAAAATTTTTTTTGTTGTTTTAGCCTCTATTTCATCTTTAAATTAGTTTTGACGATCTTAAAAACTTTAAAAAAAATTAGTTGTCGTGTGACCATTTTTTCAAATTGGATTTCTAATGTGACACTGTCAATTCTTGTAAATTAGCCTACCAATTTGAACCATGTATTTTATATCTGTGGATTGATTTGATGATCACTTGTCTTTAGAATTTTATTTGGCTCAATTAGCTAGTTTTAAATGATGATTTGACACTCGTTTTAATCTTTTTCGAAATAGTTTTACGCTAATTAGGCTCTAGAACTGATCTTGGTCGACAAGAAATTAGTCGAAGAATTTTTCAACTATAGTCAAATTAGATGGAACATCGTAATATTTAAAGGTCACGATCATGGAATTTTTTAGTCTTTGAATAAAAGTAAACAGTCTAAGAATTAACTACCCGTTCAAATTAAACATAAACTTTTTCTTTATAAAATCTAACTTATGTTGAACCTCACAATCCAGTAGCATTTGAAAACTCGAAGATGGTCGCAAATCTTCATCAAGGGCGCCCTAATTCTGACGCGAAAATTTACGTATATTAATATTTCTAAAACTATATTTTATATGCAGTCTCACATTTAAATCTCAAAATTTAAATCCTGAATAACTCACTCAATGTTCGAGCTGTAATTGTCAAACTATTTTCATCGAAACTTCAGCCAATTTGAAACCAACTGAAGTTAATACTCGAAAATTTACTTGTATTAATATTTCTAAAACTATATTTTATATGCAGTCTCACATTTAAATCTCAAAATTTAAATCCTGAATAACTCACTCAATGTTCGAGCTGTAATTGTCAAACCATTTTCTTTGAAACTTCAGCCAATTTGAAACCAACTGAAGTTAATACTTATTAACAAAACAAAAATTTGATCTCTTTATTCGGTGTTGAAAAAATCGCCAAAAAGCTATATTGCGAGATAGCAAGCACTCAGGCATCGTCTAGGAACTTCTAAGATAGCTGATTTGGTTTATTTGTACTTAAAGGTTATTGTGTACTATTTTCAAGGTGCCATAATCTTTTTATGGCCGTAGATCAAACATATACAGTAATCTCATTTTTTGGAAAATTTTTGTATGGTGAAAAAATGCCAAAAATACTACTTGAAAAAAAAATGTTTGAAATTTGCAGTTTGAATTATGAAAAGTATCCAATTCATAGCTCCTGATCTCATGAAATTGGTTCTTATTTTGTAAAATTTGGCTGTTTGGCACACATATGCCAATACAGTTAATAAGCTTCCGCGAGATATAATCTTGTCGCACGAAATAATTTTTGCATTACAATTATCAATACAATTCTGTCAGGATCGTATAGTCTAGCCTTAATTTACAAAGTTTTAGAATTCATTGATTCAATATACAACCATGATTCTCAGGACTGATTATATGACATTCAAGTAGTTTATTATGATTCACTTCAAAGACTTGCGCTCAATCTTGTTACTTAGAACTCACAATTTTTAGGATATTGCAAATTAATTGAAAGGAGCAACTCTAAAAGTATCAAATTCGAAATGAGCCGAAGTTTCGCTTTCGAATGGTACCATGAGCAGTATGTTATAAATCAAAATTGACTGCGTGGTGCTAGATTCAAATTTGCCAAAAAATAATGGCATTTTAATTTTATTTTGTTGCGCGTCTTCGGTATAATTTTTGTTTTGTGTCAGATCTCGTATCTACAAATTTGCAACCGATCTCAGATCTGAGATCTGAATCGCACAGTTGTAAGAAGTCTTTGTTGATACAAATGTAATTGATACTACAAGCATATTATAGAGTTTTTGTTTTTAAGTTTAGTCTATAGAGAATAATTATCAAGGCTAAACCATAAGTATTTTTAATTTTTATTCAAATTATATAATATATTTCACCTTTAAAATTTGCACTGCATGCAATCATTTCATAAACTGCTTTGCATAGGTATAAGTATCCATTGGATTTAGATATTTATGACCGCCATTGTGTGCACCACTAACTAATACCAAATCTGAACTGTTAATAGAAAAGCAGTTTAAAATATAATCTCGCATTCCTAAAAGTAAATCCATCCAAGCAGCTGCCATTGAGTTTGTATCTTATGACTAATCAATTATTGAAGTCGACTATACACCTATTTATACCCTGTCAAGCAACAATAATGAATGACTACTTATATCGGAATTCAAATTCTCCAATGGCTGCAAAACTCAAAATACGACGCTACCAAATAATTCCGTGATAAAATTTCGCTTTTAATACCGATCACATTCAAGTTGAGAAAAATGCATCTAGAATCAATACCCATAGCATCATCAAGCCGTTAAAGTTTATTTTTATTTATTTGCGAAATTTCAAAGCCTGTTATTTAACTCATTAGTTAAATCAGTCAAAATATAACTATAATTCAATTTATAATTTGTATCAAAAGCTCTACTTCTACCACCTAAATTGTTTACCAATCTTAAACTTTTATGAGAAATATGTTAGAAGTAGGATATGTTGGACTTGACATTAGGTAATTAAATAAAGACTAGAGTTACATTTTGCAAAGCATAGAAGAGTATTGTGTATTTAATGATAAGTAAATCTATCTCTAAACTAAGGCACTTAAGACTATTAAGCCAGCCGATAGCCAAAATGGTATATTGTAGTTAACACCACCAGTATTTGATGTTGTATTTAAGTTATATGTATTGTACTCACTTTGTAGTGCTGATTCTTGTTGATATGCTAAAGCACCAGGTAGTTGACCATTATAAGTATGTTCACCAATCATTTGAACTTTATTTTCAACTGATACAGAAACAACAGTCAAAGCTCTTAGCAAAACCAATTGCAGCAATATAAATATTAAGTTTAGGATTTGCATTATTGTTACTTGAGTTAAAACTGAGCTATTGGGGGGCTGACTTTGCTCTTCATTTATAGTTTTTCAAAGATAGAGACATGAATCGTTTGTTATTGTAAACCCTTGATGAATCATATGTTTTCATGACAATTTACGGAATTCAAAATCTCCTTTTAATGAGCGGAATGGTTGTAAATCAATCAGTAAATCCACAATTGATTAATCATTCATTAATCTATTTGTTTTCGAGTATAATTCCGTCTCGCAATTTATAATGACTCATTCGTGAACTCCATGTAAACAAACAAACAAGTCAATCAAAAAAAAATTCGACACGGCTTTAACACTCGTAAGTGCATCTATTTTTAGAATAAACCTAGATCTCGAAATTTGAGGTACATATACAGAATAATTAATTAGACAATACCTGTTATATATTTACTTAAAAGAAATAACTAAATAATGAAGCAACAAATAACAAAAACCAATTAAATTGTATTCGGTCAGTAGCATCACCAGCTTTCAGAAAATTTGTATATGCTGAATTTGAATGTAAGTCTGGATCATAAGTTGATCTCGGTACAGGACCATCAATTGTCTTAGTAGCTTCTCTGAGTTCTAAAGTAGTAATAACAGCACCAATTGTGAAAACTAATAATACCTGAACAGTAATAAATTGTAATAATCTTATCTTTAATTAATGAATTGATATAGAACTTTTCAACTCCTTTTATATTCAATTTTGCCATCAAAATGTTTTAGTTTTGAGTAAATATTTACTCATATTTTGTCTACGCAATATTGTGTTGATATTGTGTTTGATTGCGATGCAAAATGTTGAAAACATTTTCTAGGGTCCAGATTCTCGAGAGGAAATATATTCCCCATTAGGAAAATGTCGGAGTTAATAATTCCATCAATATTGAACTTAATATTGCAAAAGCACTACTGGTCACTAAAAGAGAAACCAAAATTGATCTGGAAGCTACTTGGTTGATTCTGGAATGAAGTGTGATGACAATTGGACGGAATTGGCCAATACCTACGAAAATGGAAATTTTAGCGAACTATAAAATTCTATGAATGCTATTAAATCTCCTAATAGAAATAAGCAATCGCATTCAGCTAAATATGTTATTTTCTTATGTTAATACTGATATGCCATTTATTTAAGACGTAAATGGTTTTTGAGCCAAGTTGGGTGAAAACTAATTTCAAAGAAGCCACTAAGACGAGTCAAACGTAAAAGATGAGCAATACCAAGCATAATGGAATTCATCTGCAACACCTAAATTACTCAATGAGAGATAGTATACGCTTGAACCCCATTTCATTTGAGATTTCCAGAGGTTTTCAAGATTTTTGCAAAATTCTTTAGAATATCGAACAATCCATAAAAAAAAAAAAGGTAACCTACTTTGCTAATCCATTAAATGATATCATTACTAGCACTTAGACGTGTATTTTGTGGGGTTATTTGATTTAGTCAATGCTACAAACAAAGAAGGAATTTCTTGATCATACATGTAAACAACGATCTCAAGAAATAATTAACTTTCAACTACAATTGACAAATAACAAAGACCCCTAAAGCTAAATTATAACTTTTCCAATATCTAGCCAAGAATTGAAATCGGTTATGGTTATCCTCTTCCTATATCCCTTCAGGGATTTATCTCAAAGTAAGCAAGCAAATTTTTGGCTGCAAATTTTTTGAAATATAATCTCAATATAGTGTTCAACGTCTCAATGCATGGAGTATGTATCGCAGAATATATCATGTATCGACGAATTTGAAACCAAGCCAATTAGAAATCTGTACGATATCTGGGTCAATGCATGGCGGTCAAAGATAGGTTTTTATTGTTGAAAAATTTAAAGCTTAAATAATCTCCAATCAGATATCATAATGCGGCTCATTTTAGACCAACCCACAACTTAAAACCTTAAAACCACTGGACTATAAATATAAGACCAAAGACCAGTAACTTCCAATAACATAAAGAAGTCAAACAATGAGTCAAGATTGGAAACAATTAGCTATTAAAGCTAGAAAAATTTATGATGATTCACTTCAAGAAACATTAAAATTATTTCCATTTGATAAAGCTTTACAAGATAAATATAATAATTTACCTTCTGCTATTGGTAAGGATACTTCTGATTATGGTGCTCCAGCTAAACATCCATACAAAGTGTATTTATCAACATTACCAAAATCGGTTTTAGATGTTACTGAAAAAGACCCTGCTGAATTATTACAAGACTTGAAAAGTAGAAAAATTACTTGTCTTGAAGTATTGAAATGTTATTTTCATGCAGCTATAGTTGCTTCAAAATTGACAAATTGTGTTCAAGAATTTTTACCAAAAGAAGCTCATGAATTCGCTAAACAATTAGATGAAAATTATGATACATTAAAAGATACTCCATTATTCGGTTTACCTTTTTCAATCAAAGAAATGATTCCATTCAAGAATCGTTCAGTTACTCATGGTTCGTTATGTTATCTTGACAGAATTGTTGATTATAATGCTGATATAGTAAATATTTTATTAAAAAATGGTGCATATCCATTTGTAAGAACAACTAACCCTCAATCGTTGATGATGCTTGAATGTGTTTCATTTATGCATGGTAGAACAGTCAACACATTTAATTCAGATTTAACTAGTGGTGGATCTTCAGGTGGAGAAGGTGTTTTAAATGGTCTTTATGCTAGTACTTTTGGTTTAGGTAGTGATATTGGTGGAAGTATAAGATCTCCTGCTGCTTTCAATGGTATTTATGGGTTAAGAAGTACCTTAGGTAGATTACCAACTGCAGATTATTATTCTTGTCAAATGGGTTCAGAATCAATTTTATCAGTAACAGGTCCTTTATCAAGATCCTTGAAAATGATTGAGTTGGTTATGAAAACTATTATTGATTCAAAACCATGGTTGATTGATCCTACATTAGCATCTATTGAATGGAGACCAAATACTCAAAAGAAATACAAGATTGGTATTTTGAAATCTGATAATATTGTAAATCCATTACCACCAATTCAAAGAGGTTTGAAAATCGTTGAAGAAAAGTTGGGTAGATTACCTAATATTGAATTGATTGAGTTTGAACCATATCATCATGAACGAACCATGCCAATTTTAGGTAAATTATATTTTGAAGATGGTGCAAGAGATTTTAGAAGTACTTTAACTAACGGTGAGCCATTATTAGAGCAAACTACTTGGGCAATTGATGGGGCTTTAGATTTAGATATTCAAGAACAATGGAAATGGAATTTAGAAAAACAGAAATATAGAAAAGAATATTTAAAACATTGGGTTGGTTACGAAAATTTAGATGCTGTAATTGCACCAGTAGGTCCAAATGTTGCACCAAAACATAATACAGCTAGATACTGGGGGTACACATGTCAATGGAATTTATTAGATTATCCAGTTATTGTTGTTCCTGTTACAATCGTAGATGAAAAATTGGATCAAAGAGATGCAAATTATAAACCATTGAATGAAATTGATGAATATATTTATAATGCTTACGATGATCCAAAATCATTTAGTGATGCTCCTGTTAATTTAAGCGTTGTTGGTTTGAGAAATACAGATGAGAAACTAATTGAAATTGCAAAAATTTTACAAAAAGAGATTGGCAATATTTTTGAATAGGTTATTTATTAGTGTAATATAAGTCTTCTAAGTTTTGAGCTCTTAAGACAATAATTTTAGAGTTTCCTTCGAGTTACAATGTTTACACGGAGTTGTAGTATTAAATTTTTGGCGCAAATTGAAAAGTTTCACTGCCGCGGCTTAAAAATACTATGATATGGAGCCAGAGTATATCGAATTAAGTTCAAATCCACAACATGGAAAACCTACTTCAAATAATTGGAATATATCAGACTCACAATTACAATTGATACTACTAAGGCTAGGTAATATCAGTGATGATGTGTATGAACGTGGAAATATACCTACAATTTCCAAAGAAGCTGAATTTATGATCAACAAAATTAATGAATTACCAATATCTGAAGCTATTGAAATAATTCGAAATGCATTAGTAGAACATAAAGGTGATGTTAACTTCTTAAGTGAAGATTATCATTTATTAGAGAGATTAATTAGTCAAATTCTGGAATCAGAAGAACCAAAGCAAGAAGTTAGTGAAACAAAATCATTTAAAAATAAAACATATTTGAATATAGTAGATTGGAACTTACAAATTAGATTAGAAGCAGCTTTAATACATTATCATTCTCCATATCCAGAAGTCAGAGCTATTACAGATCCATTTGACGATCCCACTATACCCGTTGAAACATTTCGATGTTATTTTATTGGATTCTTTTGGACATTTGTTGGATCAATTATTAACAGTTTCTTTGTGCATAGAATGCCGAGTATCTCATTATCATCACACACAATACAAATTTTATTACTTCCTAGTGGTAAATTGTGGGAAAGAATATTTCCAAATAATTATACAATTGTTGGGATTAATTTAAATCCTGGTCCTTGGAATTATAAAGAGATGATGTTAGCATCTATAATTTACTCGTGTTCAGCATCATTGCCATATTCCATTTACAATATATTTGTTATGAAATTAGATAAATTTTATGGGTTAAAATGGGTTTCATTATCTTTTCAGTTATTACTTTGTATATCTACACAATTTCTTGGGTTTGGATTTGCATTAATTATGAAGAAAGTTTGTGTTTATCCTAGTAAAGCCATTTGGCCAACTATATTACCTACCGTTGCATTGAATAGAGCATTAATGAATCAAGATGAAAATAATGTGGTACATGGATGGAAAATTTCAAGATATTCATTTTTCATGATTGTTACATGTTTAAGTTTTGTTTATAATTGGATACCATCATTTCTCTTCACTGCATTATCGATATTTAATTGGCCAACTTGGTTTAATTCAAAAAATATTCATTTGACGAATGTAACAGGTTCAATGGTGGGTTTAGGCTTAAATCCAATTCCTTCATTTGATTGGAATGTAATAGGTTCAAGTAGTTGTTTGACAATTCCATTTTATACATATGCAAATAGATATATTGGGTCATTTATTGGATTTATAGTAATTTTGCTTGTTTACTATGCAAACAACAATTGGACAGCATATTTACCTATTAATTCAAATAGGTTATTCAATAATAAGGCTGGATTATATGAGATTAGTCAAATTGTTAATGATAAAAATTTATTTGATGAATCAAAATATAAAAAATATGGACCACCTTATTTTACTGCTGCTAGTTTAGTTGTATATGGAGCAAATTTTTGTCTTTATCCATTTGCTATCTTATATCATTTTATAACTGAATGGGAATCAATGAAATCAGCATTTGTGAATGTTTTCAATTCATTAGTTGATGTGTTTAAATTATCAGATAAAAATCCTTATGGTAGATATATGGATGATCCACATTGTAAAATGATGTCAAAATATGAAGATGTACCTGATTTATGGTTTGTTTTAATTTTATTAATTAGTACATTATTTGCATTTGCTGTTGTTTTATTGTATCCTGTTGAAACTCCAATTTATGGTATATTATTTGTCATTTTCATCAATTTTGTATTCTTGATTCCAATTACTTCAATAGCTAGTGTTTCTGGTTTTTCATTTGGTTTAAATGTTTTAGTTGAATTAATTGTTGGTTATACAATTCCAAATTCAGGTTTAGCTTTGATTACTTTAAAAGCATATGGATATAATATAGATTCACAAGCATCAAATTATATTACAGATCAAAAGCTTGGACACATGGCAAAAATACCACCAAAGGCTCTTTTCAAAGGACAAATAATTTCGACACTCATCAATATTTTTATTTCACTAGCTGTTGCAAATTGGCAATTAAATAATATTCCCGACTTATGTGATCCACATCAAAAAGATAAATTAGAATGCCCTGGTGCAAATACTTATTTTTATTCACTGGTTCAATATGGTGAAATTGGAGTTAATAAAGTATTTACAGGTTTATATCCAATGTTGAAATGGTGTTTTTTGTTAGGAGTTTTACTAGTATTCCCATGTGTATGGTTTAAATATAATGGACCAAAGAAACTAACTAAATATTTTGAACCAACAATTATAATGGGTGGGTTTTTAGATTTTGCTCCTTATAATTTAGCATATTATACTGGAGGGTTATATTTAAGTTATATTTTCATGTATGAAATTAAAAGGAATTACTTATTATGGTGGGAGAAGTTTAATTATATATTAACAAGTGCATTATCAGCTGGTGTTGCATTTAGTGCTTTAATTATCTTTTTCACTGTTCAGTATAATTCAATCAAATTAGAATGGTGGGGAAATCTAATTCATAAACAAGGAATTGAAGGTGGTCAGCTATCACCAATATGGAAAGATATAAGTACAGCACCAGATGGATATATAGGACTAAGAGAAGGCCATTATCCTTAATATAGATTGCTATCAACAAATCCTCTCTACGATACTCTATATCCTCGGTGGAATCCAGCTCTTCATGATCAAGCATGTGATAGAATACATAGAATTGGTCAAACTAAAGAAGTTGATATTTATGAATTATATATAATTGATTCAATTGAACACAGAATGTATGAAATTTTGGGAGAAAAGAGAGATCTATCGAATGAAATAATTGAAAATAAACAACGTGCTAGTGAGACGGCTGGTTATTCAGTAAATATGATTTCTAAAATTATAGGTATAGATATGAACCATTTTAAAATGGACGAATAAACATTTTATTTTAAACTGAGATTAAATGTGGTCTTTATTTGCTAACTTACAAGCTTTAGGTAAGAATATATAAAAAATCCTCGAAAAATCTGATTTTTGTCAAGAAGTTTGAAATCAGGCAATTCTTAAGTATCAAATTCAGATTCAGCGAGCGACTCCGCTTCAAATGGTACCAAGAATGATACACTATGAGCAAAACTTGATGTGTAATGTTCAATTGAAATTTGCCAACAAGTAAGGGCTTTTTCAATTTTATTTGATGCGCATTTCCGGTATACTCTTTTTTTTTTGTGTCGAATCTGAGATCTATAAATTTGCAACCGATCCCAGAATTCAGATCTCTGTTGTAGAATTATTTTGATTTAATACGCTGAATAAAGTAGTAGTCACAAGAATATCATATAATGCAAAATGAAAACCAATTTTTGTTACACGAAAAACAACCTTCAAGACTGACAACTTTTCTTTTTGCAACTTTTATTTGAAACGTAAATTACCAGCCACGAACGTAGGCAACTATAACATGACCAATTTCAGAGCCCAGGATTCTTTGATTTAGGGTTATTCATTACTTTAGACGGTTCTATATGGAAGACACGCATTATTAAATGTTATTTGTAGAACAATTCACATTAATTTGAAATTTTGGTATTTTTGATGCAAGTACCGAAGGAAAGAATCTGTCGGTTTGAGATTTATTGCGATTGAATACTCTTAGTGCTCTGTTTATTATGCTGTCAATTGCTTTTTTTAGAACTATCGTATTTATGAAGCCATTCAAGTTTGAAGATGACATTTACAAAAAATATGCATTACACAACGGCATAATCAAACTCAACATTTTCGAGTAGTCTAGTTGAACTGAACTTAGCTCATATTATACAATTATGAAGCTCTTTTGTTTAGCTCTATCGTCAAAGCAACTATATATTTCACTCAAAGCAACTCTATAGTTTACTCTTTAATAGCAGACATATCTAAAACTTCTATAGAACCTTCACCTTTTGCAATCTTATTATCAGTACCATTTTCAATTAAACCAACTAAAACTCTATAATTTATTGGATCAATTATACCAATAATCTCATATTGTTTACCATTATTTTCAGTTTCTTCAATATGATCTATATTATCTTTAATATCCAGCTCAAAAGCTTTAAGGTAAGCTTTTTTACTCAATATTATTTTAATTTTCATTTGTGCCCTAGCAATTGGTATAATTTGTTTTTCAACTAATACTTTAATAGCATCTAAAGCTTGAATTTTAGTTTGTTTAGTAGGATTTAAATGAAATTTAATTTCATTTAATGCTTTATCTATCATTGAAGGCGGATATCTTTTCTTACTTCTTGGATTTATACATTTAGTTGAAATAATATTTAAGAATTCATTTTGTTTTTGTTGTAAATTTGCATTTCGTTCTTTTTCATTTAACTGAATTTCTCCTTTACTTAAAATTTCCAATATGATTTTATTTTGATCAGTCGTTCCAAAATTTGATTGTAAATCTTCTTTATTTGCAACTTGACCTTTTGAAACATTTATAAAAACTTGTGGTATTTGTAATACTTCATCTATATCTTTTTCAATTTTTGATCTCCAATCTTGTATTTTATTTTGATAACAAGCGATCTCAAATCTTTTCTTACCTTTCTTCATCCTAACTAGGGAAACATTGGTTAGTTTAATTTGTGAATTTGGTTGATTTATTACAGCCATGACTAATTATTAAATACTAGATGAGCAGTACTATTTTTCGTTTCAGAAATAAAATATTATGCACCAAAATTACAAAGCCAGGGCCAAATTATAAAGAGTAAGAAAGTCAGTTTATTAGAGTGATAAATTGAAGTAATCGAGGATACGTTAAATCCTCAATTTTATCAAAAGTTATTATGCCATTTGTTTATATATTTTTGAATTTGAATATGTATGTTTTTAAATTAATGTAGATTGTCTATTCGTCATCATCTTCGTCTTCGTCACCACCATTTAAGTTTTTCTTAACGGTTGACCATAATTTTGCTCTGTTATGATTTTCCCACCAGCTATTTATAGCACTATCAAAAAAACCTTGAAATGCAAAAGCACCACCAAAGATAGTAGCAACGTAAATTGAATTTCTTTCTAATAATCTACCAACAAATGACTAAAGTAAGTTGTTAGTACCAGGTTATCAAGATTTAATTGAGATTTGAAATTGATAAATTGTGGCCAAATATAAATACTAATATGCTATTGACTTCGCTTAAAATCCCACAACTTGTTTCCATATATTATGAATTTCTCAATCAATGACTCCCAATTTAGTTAATGTAATTGTACATACTAAAACCATCTTGTATTATATTCTTATTTTAATAGTGACTATCAATTGTCTTGTTTAATTTTTTCTATAATAATTTTTCAATGTTTGTTGATTGGTTCATGCTTATATACAGGTTTTCAATCCATTCGCTACCAATTGTATATACAATATATATTTATATATTTATTCTATTTTAACATCATTTAATTTATTAGTTGTTTCATCAACAGTTTCAGCTTTTTCAGATATTTCTGCTTCTTTTTTAGCATCTGCTATTATTTCTGGTTGTGGTGATGCATCTTTATTACCAGCATATTTTGTACCTATTTTTTTAACCTTTTTAACCTTCTTTTCTTTTGGTTTTTCAGGTGGATAACCTTGTTCTTGAGCGACTTGGAATTCTTTTGATGATTCATATTCTTTTCTAATTGGTTCTAATAATTCATTAATTTTATCAGCAACACCAATTTTTAAATCTGGTGGTGATAATTTTTCATCCTTAAAATCATTTTTCAAATCTTCAATTGATTTATATAAAATTGGACCACCAAATTTTTCAGGTCTATTAATATTTAGTTCAAATGAATTTTCGATTCCTGTTTTCAATTCCTGAATTGGTTGTATAACATTTTCAATAAATGAAATTAAACCATTATCAGTTATATTACCAGGAGCACAAAATGCAGAATTAATCTTTTTTTTAACAACTTTTGGATCTTCTAAAACATCAATTTTTGAGTTTGGATCACTTGCACTCATTTTACCACCTTGACCTAAGCCAGGTACCATTCTATTCATTAAATGAGCTCTTTTTTTATAACCAATTGATGGTAAATTTTCTTCAGCTAAAACAAAAATTTTTCTTTGATCAACACCACCAAATTGAGCATCAACATCTAAATGTTCTTCATCTATAGCTTGCATTAAAGGGTAAATTAAACCAGATAATAAAGGATTTGCAACTTGTTTAACAACATCAGCACCAGCTCTTTTTGCATCATTTTGAGAAACAACGTTTGATAATTTAAATAAATCCATTATATAATCTCCATTTTGTTGATAAGAAGAACCAACAACAAATTTTAATTTTTCAATTGGAACATTTATTGATTTTAAAATTGATTTAACAACAAATTCATAATATTTAGCTCTATATTGAACAACTTCTAAAGGAGCTTTCATATTATCCAAAAAAGCATGTAAATCAGCTAATAAAACTTTAACTTCACAACCAGCTTTCAAAAAGTGTGCTAATTTAATCATTGGTACAAAATAACCACAATGTGGTTTACCAGTTGGAGCAGTACCCCAATAAATTTTCAAAGGCCTATTTTCATTTTCTAAAACGTTTTTAATAATTTGTCCATTAAGAACTTCTTGTAAATCCTTAGTTATCAATTTATATTGTTCTTCTGTAGTTAATGCTGTCATAATTTAAACTTGATTCAATGGTGATTCATAAAGTGAAAAAAAAAAAAATTTTAGTAAAAAATAAAAAAGCCGTGTCGTAAAAATTTGAGACACGACACTGGACAATTTATAAGATCTTTTTTTACTTAGGATCATTTTATTACTATCATATATATTTCGTCTTCTTTTACAGCCAACTTATTACAACAAGGATTGATTAGAATGGATTCGGATTCATTGAAAAGGTTTCTAGTGCACTTACCCGCAAGACTGGAATATAAAGAAAATTACTTATTAAAACATAGTATTAACAAGGTACTATATTATTGTATAACAAATGAAGGAGATTCATTAAATAAATTATTTCCAAGTATATCAGAAGATGAATTAAATGATTTTAAAACTAATGGTTATAATTTTGACTTAAAAAGAGGTACTAATATCATAAGACCTTTTTATTTAAACAAAAATTCAAATAAAAATTATAGCCATCCTCCAGATAAAGCATGTGCAAGAGCTTTTAAAATGGGTGAACCAGTTTATAATTGTGAAGATTGTGGATTTGATGAAACTTGTGTAATATGTTCTTATTGTTTCAATGAACAAGATCATATAAATCATAATGTATCAACTTATACATCGCACGGTAACAATGGTGGAATTTGTGATTGTGGTGATCCTGAAGCTTTTATCAATAAGTTAAACTGTAAATGTCAAATGAAAAAGACTGTTGAAACAGATGATGACTTTTCAGATATACTAAATTCTTTATATAAAACAATGAAAGTCGTAATTGATTATATTTTGGATGTTACAAATTTTTCATTATTAACATTACCATTTATTCATGCTCATGTAAATAAAGATTTAATTGCATTAAATTCTAAATCAATCTCAAATTATAGTGCATTACCAAGTGGACATTATGGTGGTGCAATTGATCTAAATTCAGATGATGAATGGTATTTACTATTATGGAATGATGAATTTCATAATTTACAACAAGCTGTAAACTCAATAAGAGCTGGCTCTGGAGTTGATGAAGGTAAAGCAAATGAAATTGCAAATAGAATTGATAAAGATGGATTTTGTATTTTAAAAAAAGCTGATAAATTTGAAAAATTATTGGAATTTAAAAGATTAGTTGAGCAAGATGGTTTAGTAGCAACTATTATATCAGCTAGAGATTATATGAAAGAAGCAATTGTACGAAATTTGATAAGTTGGTTGAATGATATATTAAATTTTAATCAAAATTCTCAAATTAGAAATGCTGCACAATCATATTTTGCGGAATTAATGTTGGAGCCTGATTTTCAACTAAGTAAAGTATTCCCAGCTGAGTTTATATCAGGTATTGCAAGTAATGAAAAGAAGACATATTTTGAAAATGGTGTACCGTATGAGGGACAAATTGTTAATCTTAATTATCACAGTTTACAGGAACCAGTTGATAAATTGAATTTATTAAGACCGGTAACTACATTATTTGAATCAGTAAAATATGATAAATTAGCCAATTCAAGATTACAATATTTTTTACTTTTCCAAATACGATTAAGTAAAAAGATTAGAAAACAATTGAAACTATTTTTTGTATCACCATTTGTCACTGATTTGAATACTAAAAATATTTTTGCCAAACAATTTATTGAAATATACCCAAACTTATTAACTATAAAGGCATTAACTGATCGAGAAGAAGATTTGAATTTATTGAGAGATATTACTTCTCAATTATTCACATGTCCATTAACTATTAAAAATGTTTTGAGTAATGATCAAATTGGTTATATTATTGCACCAATCATAGATATCATCGAAAATTTTTCGTCTGTTTGGGTAAATGATTTTAAGATATATGTGGAAGAATCTCATAATCATGAACAAATAGCCATTAGAAAAGCTATTAGTATAGGTATACACAACTTGGTTAACTTCATGTCATTAAATTTCACTGGTGGTAAAGTTGCAAATTTTTTCAAACCTCAAAATTTTACATTTTTAGTTTTGTTATTAAAATGTTTTCAAGGATTTTGGCCAGTTGTTAGAAAACTTGGTGATCACGTTGAAAGAGAAATATTGGATTTTAAAATACATCTTAGTATATCAATACCATTATTAAGTTCAATTAGGGCATTATCAACACTGCAGAGTAATAATGCAGGTGTTGATAAAGCTATTAATCTTCTATTAAAGTTATTATTGAATAGAAAATGGCCAAAATTGGAAGATGGAGTTTTAGATTTCAAAGTTAGTGCAGAGCCAATAGGTTTTATTAATCCATTGAGTTCATTATTATCATTTTTATTACAAAATAGAGGAATTGAGAATTATACTGATTTCCTTGAAGCTTATAAAGCAGAATTTATTAATATTTCAGATATATCATTAAGATCAATTGTATTAGGATCACAAGCTAAAACTGGATTATGGGTTCGTAATGGTTTATCAATTTCACATCAAGCTACATTATATTTTGGTTCAACAATGGCTGAATATACTTTTTTTAGAGATTTTCATATAAATCAAATTGGTATTTTATTTGAAGATTCAACTACAGCATTTAAAAATATGTTAACTAGATGGGAAATACAATCATGGTATGCTAATGAGGTAAAACATGAAGATACAATTTATGAAGAAAAGTTTCCATCTATTATTGAAAGATTTGTAACGTTTATTTATAATATGGTTAGTGATAGAAGTTTCTTCATACATCATTCAACGGAAGAAAGAGCAATTAGAAAAGCAAAATTATCAATGGCTTATGTTTTAGCTGATAAAGCTAGAAGTTATACAATATTGAAACAAAAATTAGATGTTGATAGTATTGAAATATCCAATTTTGATGATATTTTATATGAAATTGCAGATTATCAACCACCATCAGCATTGGTAGATACTGGACTATACAGATTAAAAGATTCGTGGTACGATCAATTGGATGCTATTAATTTATTCCTTGATCCAAATAAATTTCAAACTGTATCAGAAGCATTAATTAAAAATAAAGCAAAAACAAAGAAAATTAAAGAAGATAATGTTGTTTTAATTCCTCATATTTCTTTATGTGATAATGAATTTGTTAATAAGAATATTGGAAATTTTGTTAAAACCAAACATTTCATCAAATTAATTTATAAATTGTTACAAGTTGCTATTGATACTTCAGATGAAACATTTTTACCACATTTATTGCATTTAATCCATTTAATTATACTTGATGATGAATTGATACATGGTGAAAAATATTTAAATGAAAATTTTGTTAGTATACCCGTTAGTGATTTATTACTTACCATCGTTGAATCTAAAATGTCGAAATTTGTAATTCAAAAAGCTGATTATTTAGTTGATCAATTTGTTAAAAAAGATGAAAGAATAATAGAATGTTTGATTGATTGCTTTGGTGAAGAATATGTTGCAACTTATAAAAAACGTAAAGTTAATTTATTTGAAACTGAAACAGAAAGAAAAAGAAGACAAGCAGAAGAAAGAAAGAATAAAATATTGAAGAAATTTTCAAAACAAAGAGAAAAATTTATTACTCAAAATAAAGATTTACATGATGAAGTAGCAGATAAGAAAGATGAGGTTAAAAGTACAAAATTTAGAACTTGTGTATTATGTGGTGAGGAAGAAAATCATGATAAACCATTTGGTATAATGGTAAGTACTACTAAACCACCAATATTTTGGAAAGTACCAGATACGCCTAATGATGTAACTAGAGTAGCATTTAAAAATTGGGATAAAGATTCAATTATTAATTCTGGAAATACTTATGGTATTGGATATGATACTGAAAAATCACAATATGAAATTAGTAAAAATATATTTGAATATAATGTATTGTCTACTTGTGGTCATACAATTCATTATGATTGTTTTATAAGAGGTGCTGAAGGGTTAAGACATTATCCATGTCCATTATGTCATAATTTACATGATTTATTTATCCCATCATTTATCTGTGCTAGTGAAAATAAATTAGATGAACAATTTACCTATGATGAACCAAAAAATATTAAATATAATCAAATTGTTCAATCAAATAATATAAAGGATAAAATGAATCATTTAAATCAAAATTTACTAAGTGATGAATATTTTTCAGATCGTGAAGTTTATTTAGATTTTATGCAAGTTTTATATACTCCATTTCATGTTTTAAAAACAAAAGAATATTTAAAAGTTGCTGATGGTCATGAAAAAGCATTTAATAGTTTCATGAATTGGACAGTTGCATTAGCTAATACTATAAGAATGAATGAGATTGCAACTAGAGTAAATGGGCGAGAGGCATATGTAAATTTTCTTGATCAAATACCAGGTGCTGCAAAAACATTAATTATATCAATGATACAAGCAAGATCATTAATGCCAGAATATAAATCAACATCATTAATAAATGATGATCCATTGGATTTAAAAGATGAAGTTAAAAAATATTGGGACTCTGATGATTTATTAGATTCTATATTTAGTGAAGTTGTTAATTTATTCTTTTTAACTGATGAATCGTTAGCTACATTGACAAGATTAGGTATGATTAAATTAATATGTGTTAGTATTTGTTCATTAATTGAAAGATTTGAAGAAGTTGATGTATCTTATTTTGGATATATTGATATAAAAGTTGATGTTTCTAAAGATAAAAAAGATTTAATTGAACAAATAATACATAGATATGGTTATTCACTTCCATATTATGATGATTTATTGGCTAAGACTTATATTTGTGTTGAAAAATTACTCATGATTTATCTTAGACAAATTGTTATATTTCAAGATTGTCTAACATGTCAATCATTAGGAGATAATACATATGAAAGTTCGAAAGAGATACAAACCCTAAAATTGGATCTTGAATCGGGAAACCTAGTCAATGCTTTAACTAAAGCATTAAAAATACCAAGTTATGAAAAAGTATTATATCATATAATTGAAAGGACTCCAAATGTTTTAGAAACTAATATTTTTGAAATTGTTCAATATTCCAAAATTGCAAAATATCAATCAAATGGTATATTAGCATTAGATTACCCAGGTATTATACATTTAGTTAATTTACCATCAGATTATCATTCATGTATATTATGTTGTCCACAAGCTTCAAGAGATCATTCAATTTGTTTATTATGTAGTAAATGGGTTCAAAATAAACATTTTTTAGATCATATGTCAAAATGTTCATCCAACATGGCTATTTTATTTAATCCAAAGGCAAATTTATTAAAAACAATTGTATATATTGGTTCTAATCCAATTACAATTGATATTCCAGCTCCTTATTTAACCAAACACGGTGAAGTTAAAACTCAAAGGTATAAAGGTAAAGCAACATTGAATGAATTTAGATATCATTATTTAAATAAATTATGGTTAAATCAAGGATTATACGGATTTGTTACAAGAAATTTATTTGGTTCAAATCCTGCTTTTGGTGGTGTTGGAATTGGAGGATTAAATATAAATTTAGATAGAACTAATGATATTTTTGATATTGATGAAGATGATGAAGATTTTATGTGGGAAGATATGGATGATGATGATGTGTTATTTATGCCAAATTAAGGATTCAAGTAAGGATGCAAATAACCAATATATATAATTAATTTCTATAAGGTTTCCCAACCACCAGGATCCAAAACACTTTCTAAATTTCTTACTATATAATTTGGTATATTATGTTGTAACCAAACACTTTTCATAAATTCATCATATCTTGGTTTCATTAAATGTAAAGCTCCAGCTTTTTTTGAATCATCAGGTAATTCACCATGATCATCTAAAAAAGGAACACTATAAAATGATCCACCGTTTTTATGTAATAATAATAATGTACGATCTTTAGGTAATAAAAAAATACCTATATCATTTGAACATTCTTTAAGGTAATGTGTAGTACATTGACCAAATTGACTACCAATTGATTGTTTTTGAACATCAACTACACAACCACAAAATAAACAAATTGCAGGATCTTCAATTGTCATATGTGGATTATTATATCTATCTGAATAATAATATTTCGTGAAGAAGAAATCTAATCTATCTGGTAATTCAACAAGTTTAATTAATCCAGGGTACTCTAATTCCTTTTTGATTACTAAATTATTTGAAGATTTTGAAATTTTGATATAATTTGCAAAATTGTTAAATAGTTCAGATTCAAACGAATTACCAGTATTAAATAATGTTAAATATTCTGATACCGGTTTTAAATTGAAAAAAGAAGTTAATCTATCTGCTTCAATTTCTGTTTGTGGTGAAAAATAAACGTTATCGATATTAGCACAATGAGCAAATGAATAAATTGCAGCTCGTCTTAAAAATGGAGTAATTGATTTTATCAACATTGAATATATAACTTTACAAAATTCATCATTAACTTCTGAATTACTACCCAAAAATTTATCAAATGAACATCTAATAGATTCTATAGTTTTTGAATTTATATTTGAAATTGCAGGTATGTCCAACACTGTAATTTTCCAATGATAATTTTCTAAAATATTTTGACTCACTTTTTTAAGAATGATATGTAAACTTTGAATTAAATGACCAATAAATGTAATTTCCAAAATTGATTTAAAAGAAAATCCAACTGAAGGTAATGGTACAATATTAACTAATATTTCAAAAAAATCACCTTCTAAAATTGTTTGATTTATTGAATTTTTAGATAAGGATAATAAGTTTGCAAGTATTTTAGCATGTGCATCAGTTCTTGGATTTGTAGTTTTTAACCAATTTTTAACCTTCATTAAAACAATAGCATGTCTAAACTCATTCAAGACTCGTAAATTTATCAAAGCATTATTTGACAATTGCATGAATATTAATTTACCATCAGATGAAACACCTCTCAATGACATTTCTATAGATTTAATAGTATTGACCAAAATAGACACTGAATCAAGTTTATAAATTTGTGGAAATGTCAATAAAGATAGTAATTGAAATTTATTGTTTAATAAAGTTCTAAATTGTTGATTATCATTAGTATCATTCAAAGTGACTAATTCTTTTGCTGATGGAGTTAGAATCGACATGTTCTCAATATCTTGATCAGCCAACGTAGTAAAATTTTCAACCCAGTTTTTATCTTTAATATTATTATAATTCAATTTTTCAAATGGTTGTTGATTATCTGCTTTTAAAAAGTTTATCAAATTTCTGTTATTATTTGACCAAAGTACCGGTATAAACATATTACTCAATGCTTTACATAATGGACATAAAAATTCTTTATGATCAACATTTTCTGGAGTATTTCTTGTTATTTGATTCAGTCTATTCCTACTATTATTCAAATAATTAACATAACAATTATAATGCATTCCATGACCACAACTCAGTGATACTAATTTACTTTCAATTGAATTATCTGAATTAAATCCAGGACCAATCACATTTGAAGTCTTAATCTCATCCATATAAGTTTTCCAATTATTTGATTTTGCCTCATTATGTAAATTTATTATATTTTCATCATTTACATCTAAATCAACATTATCTGAAAATGCTTTCGTAAACCAATATTCATTATCAAATGGAACATTTCTAAATTCGGAAGATTTTGAAATATATATAATTATTCCAAATGGTCCAGCATCTTCAGCAGCATTTTGACATAACATACAATGAGGTTCAGGAAATTTCCAACCATGTAATTCTGAATTAAATTCATCCATATTAATATCATCATCAGTATCAAATTTATTTTGTTGTAAAAATGATGATTGTTGTTTTTTTAATTTTGCTAATAACCTAGTTTGTCTTTGTTTTGCTATTCTTTTCTTTTTATCTAATTCATCTTCAAAATGACCATGACTAGACTCGATAATTTTCAGTTCATCAAATTGATCACCTAATAAACTTGAAAAGGATTTTAATTTATAATTTGATTTGAATACTTTAAATATACTTCGTATTTTTGTATGATAACATTTGTAATCATCATTGATTAAATACTCATATAATAATTCTGCAACTGATGTGAGATCTTCGTCATTAATAAAGTTAAACAAAAACGTACCAAATTTTTTATCAATCAATTGTTCTAAACTACATATATGGATTAAATGAAATGCAGTTTCTAATAAATTTTCAACTTCACCAATATCTTTCTTTTTTGAATAAATTAAAATTTTCAGTAGGAAATTTGTAAAATGAATAGAAGTTGAAAAGTTTCCAATATATTTATAATTTCCCAATTCTTCGACATTAATTGGTCGTGGTTCAATTATAATTTCATTAATTGTTTTACCTGTGTTCTTGGATACTCGTTCTTTAACAAATTTTAACGCTTCATCTTTGATATTTGCAGTATAATTAAAATAATAAGGATTAACTTCATCAAGATACTTATCTTTTAAACTGTAATTACCGAAATCTGTACTATTTTTAGGAGGTTTATAATTTGTCATTTCTCTTAGGATGTTTGAAAATCTCATGTCATTTACAATATGATCAGGTATTAGTGAGCACAACTTTGTATAACCCATTGGACTAAAACATAAATTATGAATAATCTCCTTTTCAATTTTTAATCTTGCAGATACATCATTTTTCAACCCTTTTAAATAAATATCTTCAGTTAAAATATGAATAAAAAAATTTAGACATTCTTCAAGCATATAAATCAATGTTTTATCATCATATACAGATTCTTCTTCTTTCTCATGCCAATTGCCAAGTAATCCCCATCTATGTAATATTTGATATGTGACTAAATTTGGATTTGCAATATTTGTAAATAATTGAATTAAATATAAATCTCTCATATACCCAGTTTCCCTAAGTAATGTATTTTTATACAATTGTAATTGTGATTTAACACTAAATCCATTTCTAACCCAAAACCCAGCTTTGATTTGTGACATTAATACAATTGTTTTTATCGGATAATCAAAAATTATACTCTCAATAGGTTTTTCATAATTATCAAGTACATATTTTAAATCATCACAATCTGCTGATTCAATTAGCCAACTTAGAAATGAATGTAATGGATGCAAAAAACTAACCTTGTCTTCATAAACTTTACAATCAATAAATGTTTCACCAGTAATTGGTTCTTTAATATATGATCTATTAGTATTTATATCAATATCATCATCAGTTAAACCGGGATACGTCATATTTTCAAGATTTAATAAAATCATCAAAACCCATTTTAATGCCTCATGTAAAATACAGGCTTTTTCTGAAGAATCTCCAAATGATGGCTTTGCTATTGCTTCTGCTATATATTTTCCATAAGTATAAATAACTGAAATTGCGTTGAAAAAAGCAGTATAATCTGGACTTTCATATTCAACATGATTTGTCTTTTCTCTAATCATAACTGGTCTTCCTTGAAATAAAGCTAAAATATCACAAGCCATTGGAATTAAACCTCTACTATAAATTTCTTTTAAATCTTTGCCTCTACTTATAATATAACTTATATCAAAGAATATTTGACCCCATCTTCTATTTTTCAAATTCTTTGTTGATATTTGATGTGTTAATTTCAAATTTTCAGGTGTTTCAATTTCATCAATAGTTAAAAAACCATAAATTGCTGAAAATATTCTTGTTATATCTCCATGTTTTACTATTGCTGTTGCATTTGCAGGACATGTAAATAATTGAGTCGATAAATTTGACATTATATTTGATTCTGGTTCTCTATCCATATTTAAAAACATATCTGTAATTTGTGGATAAACGTCAACATATTGAGAGTTTATAATTGTTTTATATCTTAAGTTTGTAGTTAATGAAGTTGAATAAATATCATGTAATACATTTCTTGACGCTTTCCAAATTCTAATATCTAGGTATATCAAATATTGTAATCTTGAACCATGATGACTTTTATTTAGTTCATAATCATCTAAATTCAAATTATAATCACATTCTTTACATGTTTCTTCATCTAAATCCCATAAACTAACATTATAGCTCCAATAAGGTAATTGACTTTTTTCCCTAGACGGTATTTTTGGTATTTTTAAATTTGAATCTAGGGTCCCACATTTATATTGATAATTATCATCATTTGAACTAGTTGCAACTAATAACCCATTTTGCCATCTTTCACAAAATGCTCTAGTGAATAAATTTTCAGCTTCTGTATTAGTTTTGAAAATTTCAGAATCAGTTAAATTACCAAGCCAGGTGATAATTTCTTCACACATATCTTCTCTAAACACATCTCTATGACTTCTAATACATGATGATAAACCAGTGGCACTCAACACTTTCTGTCTTTCTAATAAATAATTTATATTTTTTGAGCTTATTACTTTTGCCTTGCCAAATTTTTGTACTTTATCAGTTATCATAGTTGCAAATTCAATTACTTTTCTACTTGATAAATGAATTCTTTGCACTGCATCTCTATAATGTCTAATTTGATCATTATAAATTAATAAAAAATATTTACCATTATTTGAATCAACAAAATTATTACATTGATATTTTATTGAATCAAAAGTACTATTAATTGTATTTAATTCAATTTTAGTAGTTGTTAAATCTTGAGGATCTTCAAATTGTAAATCACATTGAATTATAACATCAATTAAAAAATCTAAAATTATACCAATAGTAGATAAAATTGACACTTTCAAATCTTCCGGTAGTTTTTTATCATCTATTGCGGTGTCATCAATTAATGAATATGGACAATAAAAAGTATTAACCCATGCTTCGGGATCACCACAATCACAAACACCACCATTTTCTTTTTGACAAATCGCAATATGTAAATTATGACCTTTATGATATTCAGGTTGATAACAATGAGAGCATAAAGCACAAGTATCATCAAAAGCACAAGTTAAACAACGATAAATAGGTTCACCTTTTCTAAAAATTCTTGAACATGCCATATTTGGATGGAATGCATGATGAGAATGAGTATCATGTTTTGGGTCTCTTTTCAATAATAAAGTTTTATAATAATTTGTAAATTTCCAATCAAAATCTTTATCAATTTTATCAATCATAAAATCAATATTCGGATCTCCAGTGAACGCATTTGGAAATAACCAATTTAAATATTTACCATTATTTGAAATTGAGCAGAATAATTGTTTTCTAATTTCTTTTCTAGTCAGCTTATTAAACTCAAATTGAGAATATGTTGGTAATTGTAAAAGAAATCTCTTTAATGTTGTATCATTTGATTCCATTTATCTATTTTGCCACACCGTATATTTTTATTTTTTGTCTGAAAAATTAATTGATAAACCAATATATATTGGTACGAAAGTTATGGCCATAGATAACGAATTTTATTATACACCAAGTATTGTTGCCAATAAACATAAATTACAACATGTTCAAGATGTAGCTAGTTTGGTTTTGGGTGTTGCTTCTGGTATTATGTCGTTAGAATCAATTAATGGATTTGTATTTTATTTTATTGGTATAACATTAACTAATTTATTATTTTATATAATATGTACTGAACAACAACCTTATAAGTTTTTTAAAAATCCATTGCATGAAATATTTATAAAAGATTTATTTAATAATATATCCGGTTATATAATGATGTGGTGTTTAATTTATGCTTTAGTAAAAACAAATTCGTAAAATTGGTAGAGTGAGAGTGTAGTTTATATTCTAGATAATATATACTATCTATTCATTTAATGATACATAATTTGCAGGAAATAAACCGATTTCTCCTTGTGGATTTTTACCTGACCACCAATCATCATCTACAAATTCAATATCTATAATTAATTCACCTTCTTTAAACCCAATTTCATTATCTTCATCTTTATCATAATCATATTCGGCAGTTGCTGTTTTTGTTTTTTGTTTAGGTTCTTCTCTCGATGCTAATGATGGAGCTGCAGCTGCTGTTTCCTTTTGTTCTGGTTTGTCATCTTCATTTAATTTAACATATGCAGCTGGGAATAATCCAACTTCACCTTTTGTATTTTTACCTGTCCACCATTCATCATCTGTAAATTCTATATCTGTAATTAAATCACCTTCACTAAATCCAATTTCATTATCTTCATCTTTTTCATAATCATATTCAGCAGTAGCAGTAATTGATTTTGAGGATGGTTTTGATAATGATGGCATTGGACCTTCTTCTTCTTCTTCTTCTTCTTTTTCTTCCTGTTTTGAAGCTGGTGGTAAGTTTCTATTTGGTAATTTAGGAATTGGTGCTTCATCTTCATCTTCATCTTCATCATCTGCTGTTTGTACAGGTGCTGGAGGTAAATTTCTAGTTGGTAATTTTGGTATTGGAGCTTCTTCTTCATCTCCTTCATCATCATCATCTTCTTCTGGTTGCGGTTGTTTTGGTGGTGCAGGAATACTTCTAGCTGGTAATCTAGCTGGTGCTTCTTCTTCTTCTTCTTCTTCATCATCATCGTTTTCTTGTTGTTTTGGAGGTGGTGGAATATTTCTTACTGGTAATTTAGCTGGTTTTTCCTCCTCTTCATCTTCAATGTTTGCTTGTTGTTCAAATTTTTTAGCCAATTCAGAAGCATGAGTTTCAGTAGAATCTTCTTTAACTGGTGCATTATCATCATTATCATCATTATCATTATTTTCAACAGTTTTATATTTACCTCTTTTTTCAGCCCAAATTTGTGCTGGAGTTTTGCCATTTTCAGCACCAAAATTTCTTGATAATCCTCCCAATACTTTATCTTTATTTTGGTCTTTTGATTGACCAAAATTTGGTTTTGCTCCAAACACAGGTTTACCATTTCCCGCATTAGCTTTATATTTATCACCTACTGAATGACCCACTTTTGGTTTTGGTAATGATGTTAATCTACCATCTGATGGTGGAGTATAAGCTTTCATTCTTTCACTTAAAGATTTTGGTTCTTTTTCATCTTGATCTTCCTTTTTATCATTATTTAATTTATTTGGTTTTGGAGTTGAACTAATTGTATCCGATTTACCTTTTCTTAATTCTTCAATATTAACTTTTGTTGGTTTATAAGCCAGTGGAACATTTTCCAATGGTCTTTCATCAAAATCTCTTTCTTCAACATCTTTTTCATCACCCCAACCATCTTTATCGATCTTTTTAGTTGTTGGTTTTGCTGGTATTGGTTTACCAGTTGATTTAGGTACAAATGAAGGTTTTGAAGAAACTTGTGGTTTTGATTTTGAAACTGTTGGTTGTATAACAGGTGTTGCTTTAGTTGAGGAACTAGCACTACTTGGAGTTGTTGAATATCTTGCACCAGCAGCAGCACAAACTCTATTTAAAAATTCATCAACATCTAAATCATCTTGATCTCTTGCAGTAATTTGAACATGATAACCATTTAAAACTTTTGAAACTTCAGCAAAATTATTCGCAAATGATAATCTTGATTTTGATGGTGAATTATCAGGACACCAACCTAATAAAATATTTTTGGAAACATCTGAACCTGGGACGGTAACTCTTGCTAAACCAAATTGAATTTGACCGTCTGTAAAATTTTCAATAAATTCTTCCAAAGAACCAGAACCAGAATCTAATAAATCTAATGTTTGATTTTTATCAACTGAATAAACTACATATGAAGTATTTGGATCACCTCTAACTACCTTATCATAAGATTCTACAATCTTTTTTGAATTGGATGATAAATCTATTTTTTCCATAATTCACGTAACTTATCAATTGAGTAGTTCTTTAGTGTTTAATTGATTATTTGCTGTTCGTTGAAATTGAAAAGTTGAACGCAATTTATTTTTAGAATTTTAACACGACTATTTCAAAAATATATATTGCAACAATTTCAACAGAAAAAACTCCTTTATTGCCGAAATCAAATCTTACAACGATTGCATTGGTAGATGGAGATTGATTAGAGTAACAGTGAGAGTCAATTGAGTATAGGAATATATATGCCCAGGGCTTAAGTTAACATAAGTTAAAAATAGCTCATATCGTAAATTATGCGAACTCTGATCAATTTCTTACCTTAACTTTAACTTTAACAGTTTCAAATTCGTAATTACTTCTTGATTAAAAAATCTTAAAAACGTTGTAATTACAAGTCAAACAATCTAAGCTTAAAACTATAATTCTATGCTAGTTTATGACGTAAAAACCCCAATCCGAATCTCCATTGGAGCTTCCATTAATAGTTTAGTACTTAACAGGAACATCAATAGAAAATAGCTTAATATTCGTGTTTGGTAGCGGTTTCAATTTCGGGCCATTTTTTCGCTCAAAATTACGGCGTTTTTTTTGTTACATTGTATGATCATACGTTTGAATACATTCTAATACAATACTTAACTCACTTTTATATACAATAACTTGACTTCGTTTGATTCTCGTTGTTGAGCTCTGGTTGAATGTCTCCACAAATTATTGATCCCACTATAATGGCTAAGTCCACTTGCTAATTCTGATACTAAAATGAATCTAAAATTCAGTGGATAACTTTAGCATTGACTGATCTTGATCTTCATCTTGTGACAATATAGTTAGTTGAGTAATTTGAAAGCTATTATATTTGTGGTTATGCTTGTTGGATTTTACACTGTTTATATTATGTATTTTTATTTTGCAGCAATTTTTTTAAAGATCTTTTTCTCCACAAGTAAGAAAAACTTGGCTGCAAAAAATGCCTTACGAAGTCTAAAAACTATACAAACATTAACTTATCACTTCTTATCACACCAATTAAACACTTTATACTTATCAGAAAACAAAGTAATTTTATTGTTTAGTTATTGCATCCTTACGTTATATCCTTACGTTATGATTCAAAAATTCACTTGTGTACCTAAATCAAATTACGACATAACAATAATTTCAAATGGGACGATATCTCAAATTCAATCAAAATTACTTGAAATTCAATTTGATATTGAAATTAATCAATGTTCAAACATAACTTATTTAAATTCGATCTCAAATCTCATTGGTTTTTTAAAAAGTAAGAATGATGGTGTGAATGGTCTGAATGGTCTGAATGGTGTGAATGGTCTGAATGGTCTGAATGGTGTGAATGGTATCTATTATGGTAAATTCATATTTATGTTTTTTAACAATATGGAATATATTCAAAAATTTTTAATTGAATGTATTGATTATTATCATAAAGAGAAATTGGGAAAGTTAGATAATGTTTATTTTTATTTTGATTCCAGTGTAATTGATACTGAAGATTTTCCATTTGTTACTATTGTTAACATAATTAATGATATTATTAAAAAGGTTAATTTTCTAGTTAATAATATTAAAAATGTATTTATTGATGATTTACAATTTGATGGTGAGAGAAGAATATGTATTCAGTACTTAATTAGAAATTATCCAAATATTGAAAAAGTAAATTTATCAAGTCATTCAAATTTATTAATGAATGATATGATATTTACTTAATGATTTATGAATAAAAGTTTAATGTATAATGAGATTGTTTTAGTGTAATTCGTGTAATTTGAATGATATCATCTTACTTTACGATCATAATTTGATAAAGTTTAATATATTATGAGATTGTTTTAATGTAATTTGAATGAAATAAGCTTAGTTTACGATCAAGATCAGAGAATGTTTAATGTATAATGTAATTCAAATCCTCCTGTATTAACGTAAACTATTTATAGAACTAAACACCTTATAACCTATGATTCTCTTCATGTTCATCATCTTCCACTTGATCATGTTCCTCATTATCAGTCTCATTCTCATTGCCTTGTTCTTCTTCTTCATCTATTTGTTCTCCTTCTCCTTCTCCTTCTCCTTCTCCTTCATATGATGGTGGTTGAGGTGGTAAACTATTCAAAGTTATCCTTTCTTCATCTTCATTTGTTATAATTGACCCATTTGACCAAAAATTTGGTGGGAAATCATTTTCTCTATCACTTAAATCATCTTCATCAATTTCACTTCTTTCTAATAAAATATCAGTATTAAATTTTTTATATTCTGGTGGAGATGGTCCATTACCTTCAATGGGAGCAAATCCCCAGTTTTTAACATTACCTTCAATGAAAACAAATCCACGTTGACCTAAATTAACATGAATTGAACAAATATTATTAGCTCCAATAGTTGGAAATAATTGACCAGGTTTAAAATTTTTAAAATGTCCTCCAATCTTAGATTCACTTATTTTTTTACCATTTCTAGTAAAGAAAACAGTACCTGATCTACATCTATAACCTACTCCAATAACGTCACCTTCTACAAATGATGGAAATGGGGGTGTATAATCTTTATTTAATTCATTAAATGGTTGATTTTTCCTTCTATAACCATCTGAATCGTATGAAATACTGTATTGATGTCTGCCGGGGAGTCTAAACCATGGATATGGTTTAATACCGAGTCCAATAGAAATTAAAGTCTCTTCTGGGTTAGGTAATGAATAAATTTTAGCTTCAAAACAATAAACTTCATTTTTTAATGGGATTGGTAAATTGGTCTGAGTTGAACATTCAAAATTTTTGAAAAAGTTTAATTCTGTTTTATTCACTATTATTAAATCATTATTTGTTAACATTGGATGTTTTTGAAATTCAAATGCTGATATACCTTTTTCTTGAATTGATAAATTTTGTGATAATGTTAAATCTCCCGTTAAAAATGGATGAGCTTTTAAAAATTCTTTTGATTGGAAATATAATTCTTGTTCATCACTATTCAATTGTAAATAAGCTTGATTTTCTTCATCTCTATCTATTTCATCTTCAGATAATTTTGTTGACCTTTTAATGAAATAAAATATTAACCCACAGATTAATATAAGCAACAGTAAAGTTAAACAAATGATAAATGATATGAATATAAATGAGGCACTGGAACTATTAAAGTTGTTATTATTAGGATGACCATGTATTGGTCGTTGTTGATTTTCTTGTTGTTTGTTATGATTATGCGGTATTAATTCTGGCTTATACAGTATCATTATAGTACTTGATAAACATGAATTAATGAATAGTATGAATATAGTTAACATGATCATTATAATAATATATAAGAATCTTTAACCTATTGTTATAACTAGATTGATAAGCGCCAAACCCTAGTTCGATGTTTTTTGTCACACACTAATTTCTTTCTTTTTATTTCTATTGCATTTGTACACGACTCGTTATTTTTAGTTCCGATTGATTATATGGATTTGGTCTGCTTATCATATATTACACTTCTTTTACTTCTATGTCGACCCTCCGCCAAATACTAAATACTGCATTTAAATGGCAAGCAAACTAGCAAATAAGAGTTATAAGTTTGAATTATGTCGACATACACAATTAAATTGCTTTTACTATCAACTGAACATGGTAGCGATACCCATAAATTTAGGGGGTTATCTGCGATAAAGTACAATATCGATATTAAAAGATACTCAAATGGGAGCAAATGGGACCTTAAAGAGTAGAAACATTGACAATATACGTTCTGATGCTGTTCTGTTGTACTAATCAGCTCTCAGATTTGTAAAATACGGTTAGGGGTAATTTCGATTTGGTGTGAAAGCTCTCTGATTGGCCAGATCGTTCAGAAATTGGCGGGTTAAATTTTTTTTCAAAAAATTGGAGTTATGCGAAACGGTTCGAACTGCCGTAGCGGATATGCTAGTAAGAATTAGAAACTCCATAATCAATAAAACCGGGTCCAGTTCTGGTCTTAGTAGCAGTCGAAAAGCTAAAATATAACGATGTAAATACATAAAAAAGTTTGAAGATGTTCCAATGAATCTGAAATAGCTTTCTAACCTATTAACTATAATTGGTAGCACTTCTTTGTGCCATCGGGTTGGGCGTGAATTTACGTTTTCCGCGGCCCGAATTTCGTGTAGTATCGCCAGCTAATAGTTGATTTGTTTTAATCATTGAATATATATATCACATTACTAGCTTGCATTTTGGAATCTTATTTTGGAATCTTAACATGTTTTAAATATTTGGTAATTAGTTTTGAAGGACTAACTAATTCTGCCCAAACATGAAGCTTTAGTGGACTCATGACATTAATTTACGATATTTAATAATAAAGATTTGCAACCTTAAAAAAAGCTTTAATTGTCATTTACAATTGTCAATGGATTTGAGTCGTTAGAGTGATGATCGAAGTAATTGCCCTGTGTCTAATACATTAATTTTTATAAATTGGCTGCAAAATGATCAAATTTCAAGTATATTACCAAATTAAGAACGCGAACCAGCATTATTATTAAATTGATAAAATAATACTGAACATCAACCCACAACCCACTCGCATAACCCTTCCAAAGCATACGATCAACTATACTTTGAGACGATCGATTGGATCTGTGGTTATCTTACTGTTATATCGATTTGACCAATTTCTAAATCTTCAAATCGTGTTGTGCCTTAAATAGCGTGGAAAAACAAATAAAATTAGGCGAGAAATTTGATCAACAAAATTTAAAAATAGAAAAAATACGCCAAAAAAAAAAAAAAAAATTAGACTAGTTACTGCCACTATTTTTATTTTAAAAGGGTTGTCAATTGAAAAACAATCTTGGACCACAAAATCATTATGTATGATATTTAATTTAACTATTTATAGAATTTTAATAATAAATAATTTAAACGATGTAAATATAAATTAAATTCAATTTTTCATTTTCAAAATATTTTATAATTATCAAAATTTTGCAGCCATTTATTATACTATGAAATTTCAATTCCTTATACCATTAATATCTATAACATCATCCATAATAGCTGATTCATCTTGTAATCCCTTAACACAATCAAATTGTCCTTCAGATCCAGCATTATCTTCATCTTTTAAAGAAACTTTTACATCAGATTTAGGTCAATATTTTACAAAATATAGAGATCATGGAGATTTCACATTTAGTTCAGATGATGGTTTATCATTAACTATAAATGAAAGATTTGATAATCCTTCAATTAAATCTAATTTTTATATTATGTTTGGTCATGTTGAAGTTGTATTAAAAGCTGCTTCTGGTCAAGGTATAGTTTCAAGTTTTTATTTACAAAGTGATGATTTAGATGAGATTGATATTGAATTATTCGGGGGAGACCCATACCAGTGGCAATCCAATTATTTTTATAAAGGTCAAACTGGTTCTTATGATAGAGGTGGTTACCATGATATTGAAAATCCATTGGAAAATTATCATACGTATACTATTGAATGGACTAAAGATTCAGTTGTTTGGTCAGTTGATGGTCAAAAAATTAGAGAATTAACAGAATCAAATTCACAAGGTTTACCTCAATCTCCAATGCAAATTTATGCTGGTATATGGGCAGGAGGTGATCCTTCAAACGAACCAGGTACAATTTCATGGGCAGGAGGTAATACAGATTATTCAAAAGCTCCATTTACTATGCATATTAAATCAATTTTGGTTGCCGATTATTCAAGTGGAAAATCATACAGCTATGGAAATCAGTCAGGTAGTTGGGAATCAATTGAAGCTGATGGTGGTTCAATCAATGGAAGATATCAACAAGCACAACAAGATATTGAAGATTTAAACAATGGCCAATCAGTTGATTCAAATTTTCAACCATCAAGCTCAGATTCAGAATCAAGTTCATCTAGTGCATCTTCATCTACTTCCTCAAGCTCAACCTCATCAAGTTTTTCAACATCAACCCCATCAAGTATTTCTACAACATCGTCATCAAGCTCATCATCTACAACAAGCTCATCATCTTCATCAAATTCATCAAATTCAGTTGCTTCTACAACATCTTCGTCTAGCTCATCATCTACAACAAGCTCATCATCTTCATCAAATTCATCAAACTCTGTTGCGTCTACAACATCTTCAACAAATGCAGCAAATTCATCAAATCAAAATTTAGTATATATCAACTCTAATGATCAAAGTTCAAGTTCCGCAAACCAATCAACAACATTAACTACTTCATCATCATCACAACAAGAACAAACTACATCATCAACAATTGAAAATTCAAGCGTATTTATTTCAACTGAAGGTTCATCCTCTACTACACTAGAAGTTAACTCAAATAATGGAGGTTCTTCAATTAAAGTTGGTTCATTTTTAGGGTTTCTTGGTTTCGTTTTATACTTGATTTAAATATATAAGTTATTAGAGGTTCGTATTCAATTATTAGAATCCATGTCATTACACAAAGACAATCAAGCACTACACTATACTCAATAACAACAACTCCAGGCAGCCCAATCTAACGTAACATTGTCTTCGATACCCAAACCTCAAGTTCTTTCATAATTTCACCTCGTGATTCTAAAGTGGTTGGATGACTCATTGTACACAAAAACGCAAAGAGGCTATTATAGCACTTCTAAGTCTATGGAAAGCAGAAGCTGACCTTACCGTAACTTGTTCTGTATCTGTATTAAAAGACACCACTTCTACTTCTAGCCGTAATAGATTTATTAAAGAAAACCAAACTTCTTATCTTTCCGGATTACAGTTCATCTGGTAAACTAATTCAATAAGTCATATTGTATTTAAGTAGTTTAAACTTATTGAAATTGAAGAATACAGAGGAAAGCTTTCAAGATTTTAATGTGATTCCACCAGATTTGATCACCAGTTATATCTTTCGTTCATTAACCAGAAGTAGGACCTTTGTAAACATTGTAACGCTTTCTATATACACTTATGGCTCGTTTCATGTCCATCCAAAGTCTTTCAATCGAGAATTGAAGATTTAATTGATTAATTTAACAGAGCAAAAAATGCCTGAATTTCAAGCCTATAACATGGATTAACCAGACTAGCAACCGTGGCGGGTAACCCATATATACGCTATACCTCTAAGTGCATTGAAAAGAAACTTAAGAAGTTGAAATGGACATCTTAACTCCTTTTACCAAACAGTGTAAAATTGCTAAAATTGCTAAAATACCGGTTTAGACTCTATAAGTCCCCAGTTATCTATATCGTTATCAATCTATGCTTTGGTGTCTGTTTAGGAAGGCTCGATGCTTGTGATTATATTGAAGCACCAAAAACTGATCTGGTTTCAATTAGAAGAGATTTGATCGTGCGAATACCATTTCTGAAACAAGTTTATTTTTAGAATTAACATTCCTTACGCAATACTATTACTCGATTCATAATAGCTTTACACAACCACGTAATCTGCTACATAATAAGATGCCAAACTCAAACCTGCTAGAATAAATAGTAATGCTCTTTCTCATTATAAAAAAAAAAATTTCCCCAAATTTAAGAACTCAATATCAAATCATCTATACTTCAGCTAATTAATTGGTTGTGGCTATTCCAAAATTTGTTATCGTATCAAAAGGTAAATCAACATGTAAATCTTTAACTTCAACTCCAAGAGAAAATAAAAACGACTCAATTCATCCAGAAACAAGGAAAGAATATCAAACCAAGAATTAATGCAAGAAGAATTAAATAATTTCAAGCTTGAAAAACATAATTTTGAATTACAAGTGCACGTCAAAAAGAACTTAAAGTTATATTTAACAAAATTGAACAGAGATTAGATTAGACGAAAATGAAAATAGAGATCAATTATGATCTGAAGTTATTAAAGAATTAGTGAATGATAATACGATCGTTCAAGAGAGGAAAAGGAAGAGAGGGATACAAAAAGAAAAGAAAAGAAGAAAAATAAGAAGATATGAATTGCTTACTGCTAAAATTAAAGAAGTTTATAAGAAATTGAATATTGAGGTTATCGACGAGGATGAATCTGAATCTGAATCTGAATCTGAAGAGGAGGAACCAGTTATTCCAAGACAAGAAGATTTTGAAGATTTAAAAGAAACAATTTATGAATGGAGTGGTAAATCTCAGGAATTCAAAACACGTAATATTTTAGATAAATATCTTAAACCAAAGAAAGACTAAGCAAATATATCAATATAATGGCTGCTGTGGCTGTTGTTGGTCAAAGTAATTGTTTATACTCAAAATATACATCAATTATATAAATACTTATTTACATACATTATCTTCGCTTGATGTTTCAATATATTGATTCATCGTTTATCTACCCTTTAAATCAATTTTGATAGAGTGTTCCTGCATATAAACAAGTTTCTATGATGGAATTTTTAATTGAAAAAAAAAAAAAAAATTTCAGAAAAAGCCAAAGGTTACCAAATCAAATCAATATGTCATCTATAGTATTACCAAGTGGTAAAGTTGATGGTTTCAAAGCAGACCATAAATATTCAACACCAACACGTCGTCCAATTGAACCAGTTGGTCGTTATTTTTTAGCTCATGCTTCAAGAACTTTAAGAGGTCATACTTGGTCAGAATTTGAAAAATTAGAAGCTGAAAAAAATGTTAAACAAATTGAAAAAAATGAAGATGATGATTTAGGAGACGAAGAACAAAGTGAAGAATTATTAGAACATGATCCAAGGGAATGGAAAACTGCTAATTTATATGCTGTTTTAGGTTTATCGCATTTAAGATGGAAAGCAAATGAAGATCAAATTAGAAGAGCTCATAGAAAACAAGTTTTAAAACATCATCCAGATAAAAAATCGGCAAGTGGTGGATTAGAACATGATTCATTTTTTAAAATTATTCAAAAAGCTTTTGAAATTATGTTAGATCCAATTAAAAGAAAACAATATGATTCAATTGATACAATAAATGATCCAAAACCCCCAACAAAATCAAAAGATTATGATTTCTTTGAAGTATGGACTCCAATTTTTGAATCAGAAAGTAGATTTTCAAATAAACAACCAGTACCAAAATTAGGTGATATAAATTCAACAAAAGATGAAGTTGATCAATTTTATACATTTTGGAGCAAATTTGATTCCTGGAAAACTTTTGAATTTAAAGATGAAGATGTTCCAGATGATACAGCAAATAGAGATCATAAACGTTATATTGAGCGTAAAAATATTTCAAATAGAAAAAAATTAAAACAAGAAGATAATAAAAGAGTTATTGATTTAGTTGAAAGAGCTCATAATGAAGATCCAAGAATTAAATTATTTAAGGAACAAGCTAAAAAGGAAAAGGCTGCAAAAAAATGGGATAGAGAAGCTGGTTCAAGAAAAGCTGCTGAGGAAATTGCTGCCAAAAAGGCTGCAGAAGAAGAAGCTGCTAAAAAAGCTGCAGAAGAAGCAGCAGCTCTGAAGGCTAATTCTAAAAAAGCAAAAGAAGCTGCGAAAGCTGCTAAAAAGAAGAATAAAAGAAATATTAGAAATGCAGTTAAAGATAATGGATATTTTGGTGATGAATCAAAAGCTACTACAATTGATGCTGATGTTGATTTGTTAATTGAAAAATTTGATGATATTAGATTAGGTGAAGTTGCAAATAAAGTTAAAGATCAAGATGCTTCAAGTGTTAAACAAATTTTACAAGATGTTGCAAAAGAATTAGCTAGTGCTGGTTCAATAGATGTATCACATTTAAAATATTTTAATTAAATACACAATATACATTTTTATTCATCATCGGGTATATCTATTTTATTATGTTTTAAAGGAAGTGCTTTCATATGGTAATGTTGCTTTCTCTTTTCTTCAAATAATTTATGTCTTTCTTCAGCATTTAGAGGTTTTTTCGTCACTTCTTCTACTTCTTCTTCTTCTTTTTCTTTTTCTTCTTCTTCATTCTTATATACTTGTCCACCATCAAGACTATCATCTCTTTTAATTTTATCATATTCACTTTCACCTAAATCAAATGCGGGTATTTCATTACCTTTTGTTGTATCTTCATCATCATCATCTCTATAATATTCACCTTCAGGGTTGAAACCACCTTCATATGGAGTTTTTGGTTCATCAATTTTCATCGTTGCTGATTTTTCTTGTTCATTTTTATAGATATTTATTTCATCCCATTTTAAATGTTCAGGTACATTTTCACTGTTACCTCCATGTTTTTTCTTTTCTTCAGCGATTTTAGCTCTTATTTTATCACCTTTTGGTGAATAATTTGAAGATAATTTAGCATTTAATTTTGTATTTTCAATAACTTGTCTTCTATCTAAATGATCAGCAACAGAATGTGAAGATGAAGTATTTGAAGATTCTTCACTAATTGATTTATTTCTAAGAATACCTTTTGGATAATCAGACATATTATGATAACTTGGAATATAGATTGGTTATCCTTTTTCTGTGATCATAAAATATGTTGATAATATGGAGATATTAAGTAATCAAAATCACATGATTAAAGTCACATGATTAAAGTCACATGATTAAAATCACATGACCGAATTCTATTCAAATCTTTTTTAAGTACTTCGACAAAAATTTCTTAGTAAGGTGGTTGCAATTTAATATTACATCAGAGGATTAACAGTTGATAGTTATTAGGTGGATAGACCGAAACGAGAAGAGATCAATCAGTTCCACTTTGTATCAGTTTCACTTTGTATCAGTTTTAATATAATTTGATTTTTAGTCATAAATTAATTAATAATACATCAAACAACAAATCACATTATCATGGGTCAAGCTTTTAGTTTTACAAATATTTTTGGTAAATTATGGGGAGTAAATAAAGAAATAAGGATATTAATATTAGGATTAGATGGAGCTGGTAAGACAACTATATTATATCGATTACAAATGGGAGAAGTTGTAACAACAAAACCAACAATTGGTTTCAATGTAGAAACGTTAAAATATAAAAATATTACTTTAAATATATGGGATTTAGGTGGTCAAACTTCCATAAGACCGTATTGGAGATGTTATTATAATAATACTTCAGCAGTTATATTTGTTGTTGATTCAACAGATAAAGATAGAATAGATGTTGCATGTAAAGAATTACATACAATGTTAAAAGAAGAAGAATTACAAGATTCTGCGTTATTAGTATTTGCAAATAAACAAGATCAACCAGGAGCAATGACTGCTGCTAAAGTAAGTCAAGCTTTAAGTCTAACTGATTTAAAAGATAGAAGTTGGAGTATAGTTGCAAGTAGTGCTATAAAAGGTGAAGGATTAACTGAAGGTTTAGATTGGTTAATGGATGTAATTAAAGATGAACAATTATAATGATAACTAATAGAAATGCATAATGTATATATTAATTTTCCCTTTCTCGTACTCTTTCTAATATTGTTTTAATCATTTCATTACCTATTTGATTAGCATCTTGAAACATTGGATGGAAGAAATTTTGAGTATTTTCAAATTCTCTTTTGTATAATTCAAAATTACCAAAGTTAATTATATTAGACCACATTTGTGCTGCAATTGTGAAATGTAAATCATCTTGTCTAAACTCAGTGTTATTTATAGACACATCGATACATTCTTCTAGTAATCCAGGAGTAACAAATATATACTCTGTAACACCTAAAAATATTCTAAATAATGGAGTTGAGCAAATTATATGATCGTATGGGACTATACCTAAATTATACCAACTGTCAGCAATAGCTAATAATGATAAATGTGAATTTGGTTGTTTTCCACCTGGCGGATACTTACTTAATGAAAATTTTTGTAATATACTATCATCTAATAATAACTCATCATTATAATTATGCTTTTTATGATCTTTAAATATGAACTCCTTCACTTTGAATAATCTATCTTTTAACTCCACTTTTTTGTTTTGTATCATTAATGTAAATAATTCAGTTGTTGACTTTGAATATTGTAATATTTGATCATGTGCAGATGGATTCGTAATTGCTAAACCAGCATAAACATGCCATTTATTTGAAAAAATTCTTAATGAAATATTAATTTTTGCATTTTCTATCCCACCAACCCATTTTGGAGTTTTCCAAGGATATTGATTCATTGATTTCCATGCAACACCCATCGATAAAAATGCAGCATGAGTTACTGCTTGTGTATCTGCTGTTATTCTATCATGTTCTTTAGCTGATAAATTTACTTGTTTTGAATTTAAACAACTGACTAATGATTTAATAAAATTAAAAGATTCTTCACTTGCTCTATGTTTAATTAAAACTAATGGTTGACCAGTTGTATTTACTTTTGGACCATGCAATGAATGTAATGATATGATTTCAACATCAGATGGTAAATATTTTTCAAATGCTTTAATTTCGGGTTCTTTACATGATGTTTGACCACCCACGATAGAACCCACTTTAGTTGATGATCCATAAATACGTACAATTTTATCTATATTTTCAGCTTCAACTGAGTATATTATATAATCCGCCATTCTAGAAACCAAATGACCGTTCCTTAACAATGTAAAAGCTTCATCGTCGTATAGTTCTTTGAAAGTTTCATAATTTTCTTCTCTATCACAACCAATCACCGTCCAGCCAGCATCACTGAATCTTCGAGCATATAATAAACCCATATCACCTAAACCAATTACACCAATGACTTTCTCATCTTGTAATATCTTCAATTGTTCATCTTTATTCATTATCAAACAATTCTGAAACAAATTAATTTTTTTTTCACTTCGGATCAAGAATATCAAAATATGTCAAAAGCATTTACTGCTCCAGGTAAAGCATTATTAGCCGGTGGTTATTTAGTTTTAGATCCAATATATGATGCTTATGTTACTGCATTATCATCAAGAATGCATGCTATAATAACTGAAAAAGAATCAATCATTCAAAATTCATTAATTTCAATTTCGTCACCACAATTCAAGAATGGAAATTGGCAATATAAAATAGAGGATAATAAACCAATTGAGGTCAATAATTTGAAAAATCCATTTATAGAGTCAATTTTATTTATAATCTTATCCTACTTCCAACCAACCACCAATTTTAATCTCGAAATAAAAATATTTTCGGACCCAGGGTATCATTCTCAAGAAAATACCACCTCCAAAACATCAAGTAATGGAAAATTAACATTTTTATACCATGATAGATCCATAACAGAAGTTGAAAAGACGGGATTGGGATCATCTGCTGGATTAGTCTCCGTAATCACAGCTGCATTAGTTTCATATTTCAAAGTTGAAATTATCTCGTATTTAGATTTCATCCATAATATAGCACAAATAGCACATTGTCTTGCACAAAAGAAGATTGGCAGTGGATTTGATATAGCTACTGCAATCTATGGATCAATTATCTACCAAAGATTTGAACCAAAAATACTCGATAACCTATTTGAAACATTAGAAAATAAACCACAGGAGTTTAATGAAAAGTTGAGAAATTGTGTCAATTCAAATTGGAACTTTAAACATGTTTCGCGTGCTTTACCTTCCAATCTAACTTTATTAATGGGTGATATTAAAAATGGTAGCGAGACTCCTAAATTAGTATCTAAGATATTACAATGGAGAAAAGACAAACCAAAAGAAGCGGAGACAGTATATGAACAGTTGAATGCAGCTAATATGACCTTTATGGATCTGTTGAAATCGGGGGATAATAAGCATATATCGAATTCGATTTATGCAATTAGAAAAAATCTACAAATATTGACGAAACTTTCTGGTGTCCCTGTTGAACCAGCAATTCAAACTGAATTATTAGATAAGATTGCATTAATTGATGGTTGTTTAGGTGGTGTTGTTCCTGGTGCTGGTGGATTTGATGCCATTGCGGTATTAGTAGAGAGTGATAAAGTAGAATATTTTAAAAAGACTACAGAAGCAGATGTAAATAATTACAATAATGTTTATTGGGTGAATTTACATGAAGAATCAAATGGACTTATTGAAGAAAATCTTGAAAATTATGTAGGTTTATAATGGAAATCAAATAAATCAAATAAATCAAATTTAACCATGTCTAGTCTAATGTAATCTAATGTTTTAGCAAATAATGTTTAATCCTGTTCTGGTTTATCATTGTAATATTTAAACAAGGTATAATAACACACGTATAAATCAAAATCATGTACATTTACACTCGAATCATTTTTATCAATTAATAAATAACCACCAATAATTGAAAAATAAATAACGAATGATATAACATTGATCATAATTTTAATACTCAATTTAAATAATTTATATGGTAACTTTATAACAATAAGCATCATCACAATATTAATGTTTTTAAATGGCGGTTGTTAAAAGATATATTGGTTGTAAATTTGATGTAAATTTTCTCGCTACCAACTTATATTTAAATGATGTTCCAAGGTACAGCCAAATTCAATTAATAACAGCGTGTTCAAATTCGATCTGTACAGGACTTTGGGAATGGATATTGGCTACGTAGCTCGTATTATTTCTGAAGTTTTAAAGTCTGGTCGAAAGACGCGTCGTTATACAATTAATTTAGCGCATTTACTTAATTTCAATTATTTTGCAGCCAAAGTTATTTCAGTAATACCCTAGTTCTTGAAAAACTTTTCTATTATATTTCTTTCTCAGAAGTGAATCAGAAGTAAGATTATGCTTCAATCTTTAATCGTCATCTGTATAAATATGCAGGGACGCCTTCAAAATGCTAAAAATAACCTGAAACAAATTTTAATTTTTAACATTCCGTAAGCAAATTCAACAACAAACTCCTTTCATGACTAGATCATTACATTCAAATGATTTAAATACAACAACAACATCAACAGAAACCAATGGATTAGTATTATCAACACGTACAACTCCAAACATTCATTTGACATACAATAATCATAATTTATCAGATTTTAGAATTGAAGAATTTATAAATAAACAATCTACAACAGATATTCATTCAAGTCATATTAGAGATGAGAAAAAATATAAACAACATAGTAAGTTATTTTTACTTATTTCAATTATATCAGCTACTTTAATTATCTTATTTGAGGCTTATATGTTTGCAGTTTTGAATATTCATAAACATGATATCTATGATGCAAAATACATTGAAATTTCAATTTATCTTGCCCTTTTCATATTTGCTGGGGTTTATCAAATTATCGTCAGTTTAATTGCAATTTATTCTACTAATTTATTATTATTGGTTTTTTTAATGTTATTTTATGGGAGTATGATGATTTATACTGGAGTTCAATATTATGAAATGAGTTCCAAAATCACAATGATATTAAAAGGAGACTGGAGCAAGATAAGTTATGGTTTGAATATTGCTACTATTGGAGTAATTGGCTTGACTTTGGTTCTACAATCTTTTGTTGTATATTTTGGTTTGAAAAGGTATGTTTCCTGGTTTACATTTAAGAAAATTGGTGCTGATTTTAAATTGAAACGGATTTATAAAGTGTTTCAAATTCATAGGTCAGTGTTGTTACTTGATTTCTTCTTCTTTGTGGGGTTTACTGTCCAGTTTTTGATCATTATGGTAAATAAAAAAGATTCACAAGAGTTCATATTGACTATTATTGTATTACCTTTGACTATTATAACCTTATTAATTAGTGATATTTCAACAACTAGAGAATGGTATTACGGGACAATCTTAGTTGTTTGTATATTTACTTGTGGAATAATCTTTGTTTTGTTCAAATTAATTAGAATGTATACTAAAAATACATCAGCTTATGGATTAGCATTGACTACTGGTGGTTATTTCCTTGGTAAGAATTCATTATTGATATTTGGTATAATTACACTGATTTTATTAGTAACTACAATCATCTTAGAAATTTGGGTAACGTTCAATTATAACAAGGGGTTGTTAAATTTCGTCAATTCAAATTATAAATATATACCAGGATACAAGTCGAAACAACAAGAAGAAATAAACATAGATGATGAATGTAAAGATAGTATTGATTAGTGTATATTCAAATATATATTATTTGTTTATGCTGCATAATTTTAAAATCAACATTTTGCAACCAAAAAAAAAATTTAAGAATATTCTGTTATAACCAGTTCATTAATCATGACTTTATTTTGCTATAATTCTGCTAGTCAAAAACATCAAAAAACGATTCAACAAATCACATTAGGTCGATATTTAATTGAAAGATTATTTCAATTGAAAATAGGTACTATATTCGGAGTATCTCGAGATTTCAATTTAAGTTTAATTGATAAAATATATGAAGTTGAATCAATTCATGGTAAAGATTCAATTAAATGGGCGGGGAATGTAAATGAATTAAATGCTGCATTTGCAGCTGATGGATATTCAAGATGTTCAAAATCACACCTTGGTGTTTTAATTTCAAGTTTTGGTAGTGGTGAATTAACTTGCTTAAATAGTATTGCTGGATCATTTGCTGAACATGTTGGGTTGATACATATTGTTGGAATGCCTTCAGATGTTTCCCAATCTAAAGATTTAATATTGAGTCATACGTTGGATAAAGGAGATTTTACAATTTATCATAAAATATTTTCAAATGTTTCAGAAACAAATACTATTTTACATGATATTTTAGAAGCACCAGGTGAAATTGATAGATGTTTAAAAATTGCATATTTAAAACAAAAACCAGTATATATTGGAATCCCACAAAATTTAATTGATGTATTAATTCCAATTACTCAATTAGAAACTCCAATTGATTTAAGTACACCTTCGAATGCATCTGATGTACAACATGAAATAGTTTCTTCAATTTGTAAATTATCCAAAACTGCTAAAAATCCAATTATAATTGTCGATGCAGGTGTTTCAAGACATGATTGTAAATCTCAAGTGTCAAAATTGATTGAAACTACTCAATTTCCAACATTTGTTACACCAATGGGTAAATCAGCCATTGATGAAGGTGGAGTAGGTGGTGAAATTTTCAATAATGAAGAGAATCCATTAATTTTTCAAAATGTACAAACTCAATTATTAGAAGGTAAATCAGTTCCATCCAAATTTGGTGGCGTTTATATTGGATCATTATCAAGACCAGAAATTAAGAAATTTGTACAGAAAGCTGATTTAGTTATATCAGTAGGTACATTATCATCAAATTTTAATACTGCATTAATATCATTTGACTATCCAACTAATAATGTTATTGAAATTCATTCTGATCATATTAAAATTAAACAAGCATTATATCAAGATATACATATGAAAGAATTATTAACTAAATTAAATTCTAAAATTGAACCATGTGTTAGTTCATCGATTATTCCACAATTAAGACTATATAATACTCCAGCTCCTGTTGAAACCAAATTAACACAATCTTGGTTTTGGACTCGTGTTTCCAGTTGGTTTAGACCTGGTGATATAATAATCAGTGAATCTGGTTCAACATCATCTTTTGGTATATTAGAAACAAGGTTTCCATCTTCGGTAATTGCAATTAATCAAACATTATGGAGTTCAATTGGTTATTCAATAGGTGCTTGTCTTGGTGCTTCAATGGTTATAAAAGAACAAGAATTTCATTTAAGAAATTTATTATTAGCTACAAAACCATTAAAAGATCAAATTCCACAATCTAAAAGAGCTACATTATTTATTGGTGATGGTTCATTACAATTTTCAATTAATGAAATTTCAACAATTGTCAAAAATGGAGGTACTCCATATATTTTCATTTTAAATAATAGTGGATATACTACAGAAAGATTAGTACATGATTTAAATGCAAAATATAATGATATACAAAACTGGGATTATACAAGTATTGGACAATTATTTAATTCAAAGAATTATGAAAATTTTAAAATTGAAACTCAAGGAGATGCAAATAAAATATTTTATGATAAATCATTTGGGAAACCTGATAAATTAAAGATAATTGAGGTTAAATTGGATAAATTTGATGCACCAGAATCATTAATTAAATAACTTGCTAAATATATAAATATCGAACCACCATCAAAACTCTCAAAACTGTCAAAACTGTCAAAACTGTCAAAACTGTCAAAACTGTCAAAACTATCAAAACTGTCAAAGCTGTCAAGGCTGTCAAAACTCTCTATACTCTCAAAACTCTCAAAACTCTCCTGTACCGGTTGATCTCCGTATAGATTTGAATCGTAGAAAAAGAAATTAGCCGTCTGTATGTTTGACAGATTAAGTAAGATTCCCGCTAACACCGAAATGCCGCATTTTTAACTCCGGGCGAACGAATATAAATAATCCACGATTTCGCTTCCAAAGTTTTTTCTTTTCCCACCCCTTAAATTTCAAACTATGGCTTCAAATCCACCAGGTGCTTGTTGTGTTCAAGGTACTTATCATGAAGGTGATGCAATTGGTAAACATCAAGATTTATTTGGTTTAGAAACTTATCTTGTTGGTGAAGAACAAAATGATAAAATTATAGTTATTTTAACAGATATTTATGGACATCATTTTAAGAATGTTTTATTAATTGCTGATGAAATCTCTAAAAAAGGTTATAAAGTTTTAGTTCCAGATATTTTAAATGGTGATCCGGTTAAATCGTTCGATGAATTGCAAGATTGGTTAGTTCATCATGGTCCAGAAACTACATCACCAATTGTAGACAGTTTCTTACAAAAAGTTAAAACTGAATTAAAACCTAAATTTTTAGGTGGTATTGGTTATTGTTTTGGTGCAAAATATGCTGTTCAAAATTTATCAACTCAAGGTTATTTAGATGCTGCTGCTATTGCTCATCCATCATTTATTACAATTGATGAAGTTAAAAAAATTACAAAACCAATTATTATTTCAGCTGCTGAAATTGATCCAATTTTTACAACTGAATTAAGACATAAAACTGAAGCTGAATTAGCAAAATTAAAAAATGTACGATATCAAATTGATTTATTTCATGGTGTCGCACACGGTTATGCTGTTAGAGGTGACATAAAAGAACCATTAGTAAGATATTCAAAAGAAAAGACTTTAATTGATCAATTATATTTCTTTGATTCAGTTTCTAATTTATCTAAATTATAGAGAAGACAATAATATACATTTAACTTATTTTTTCAAAACAATCTTTATTCACGTTACTTTGAACTTTTTTGGAAAGACGTTTTAGTTCCTAAATAAGATGTGAGCCTCCTGACTAAGGCAAAGATTATTCATTTGTTGAAAAATGGGGTGACAATCTTTAGTGTTGTTGCATATGGCGTTGATTGAAAATTTTATCAATTGTCAGTAAATCATTTTTTTTCAGCTAATGTACAAAATGAGTTTGAAATTTATTTCTTCTTGTATAAGTATAGTAGCATTTGCAATCAGTGCTTATAATTACGTATATAATGTAAATAAATCTGCCTGTCACTCAAGTTATGGCAATTACAGAGGTGTTTATTATAAACTTGAAGCGAAAGGTTCCAATTGTGAATCGGAAGGATCAAAAGAAGCATTGGTTTATTTGATTGACTTTGAATTAGAAACTGTTGCTAAAGATAAGAAGTTGAAAATTTGTGAAGCTCAATGTATATACCTGGAACAAAGTGATGATTATGAGGTTTACGGTGCTATTGGTTTAGATAAAGATAAAGTGTGGGATATTCAATGTGACTCAACCAGTCATTTTGGTCGTGGTAGTGAATTGATTTAAGGCTATTATCTAAGGAGAATAAAGCAGCTCAAAAGTTTCATTGGTTGATTTATTAAGATCAGTGCATTGTTTTCAATTTAGGTCAAGCAATTGATGAAGAATTCATCATTATTATAGTCAATAAGAATTTGAGTTAAGAGTAATTTGAGTGCCCATTTGAAATGTGAAGAGCCAGTTCCCTATTTGAAATATTTGTAAATCTACTAATGAAATTCCACGGTTAATATTTTATTCTTTATCAGCATCAACAAATGCGTTGGAGCTCAAGCATCGCATATATTAGCATTGACTTACTCGTGTTAGAGGTCGGCCTCTTTGTACAATCTAGAATAAAAGAAGATACCTGTGAATCAAGAAACTTGAAAGGAGTATGGTATAAAATTGTTGCTCAAGGTATGTTTTGTAGCTCAACTAGGCAAAGAGAGTCCGTTTATAATGTAATCAATTCAGCATTGAATACAGCTAATAAACTTTCAAATGGTCTTAAATCAGAACTTAAAATATGTGAAGCACAATGTGTTTATGTGTATAAAAATGAATATTATGAAGTTTATGGTGCAATTGGACTAGATAAAGATGTGGTAATGAGTATTGATTCTTATGCGAATGATTCGTATGGTCCTTGTCTCGAAGAAACGGGTGCTGATCGGTGTAGAAACTTTAGATCTAATTCAATTCATTGCAATAATATTGTAAAAATTATGTGAACATATTAACAGTATATAAATTTGCCCTATTCGTACTCAAATTTGAAATTTTGCAGCCATTTTGCAGCCATTTTGCAACCATTTGTATGTTTTTTCTAACCACACGTCAAAATCTGATAAAATTGCGCGCGCGGAATTCTCGTAGTTTGCGATTATTCAATCAAGTTGAACCAAATCCTTAATTATGACAATTGAGAAATCATTACCATTACACTCGAAAGAACAACCTTCAAAAAGGAAAAATGGTTTGTTGGCTAGTACTTTTATATGTTTTTTTGTATTAGGGTTGTTTATTCATAGTCCAAAGAGCACATCAAATTCTTCAATTGTTCAAAATACTTCATCATATTTCAAAACTTTCTTTGAAGAACCAGAAAATCCAGATGGTCTTTGTCCAATTATTAAAAAAATTAATCCGCATGATTACTTAGATGATTTGAAAACAATTGATTATATTTTAAAAGACAAGTCATTTTTCAATAAATGTAAAGATAATTTATTAGGTGCTATTCAAATTCCAACTGAAGTTTATGATGATATGATCAATCCAAATTTAAAACATTCAAAAGAAGAATTATATGATGTTGAGCCAAGATGGAAAAGTTTTGAAGCATTTCATAAATATTTACAAAAGACGTATCCATTAGTGCAAAAGCATTTGAAATTGGAAACTGTTAATAAATTTGGCCTTGTATATTCTTGGGAGGGTTCAGATAAAGATAAGAAACCAATCATATTAGCTGCTCATCAAGATGTTGTACCTGTTGCTAGAGAAACTCTCGATCAGTGGACTTATCCTCCTTTCAAAGGTGGATTTGATGGTAAATATTTATATGGTAGAGGTGCATCTGATTGTAAAAATTTATTAATTGGATTATTAAATACTGTTGAGTTATTGTTAAAAGAAGAGAAATTTAATCCTGAAAGAACAATTATATTAGCATTTGGTTATGATGAAGAATCAGCAGGTTCTGGTGCTTTTGAAATCAATAAACATTTAGTATCTAAATATGGTCCTGATTCAATTTTGCAAATCATAGATGAAGGAAATGAAGGATTTGTAGATATAGAAGGATCTAAATTTATACTTCCAGCTACTGGTGAAAAAGGTTATTTAGATTCAATCATTGAATTTTATACTCCAGGTGGTCATTCTTCAGTACCTCCAAAACATACATCCATAGGTATAATTGCAAAATTAATTGAAAAAATTGAATCCAAAGAATTTTCACCAATATTATCAAATATAAATCCAGTATTGAATCAATTATATTGTATAGCTGAACACTCCCCAAATTTGGATCCAAAAGTTAGGAAAAATATCTTAAAATCTCAAGTTAATTCGAATGCAAATAAAAAAATTGTTGAATATTTAAGTAAAAATAAAGAAACAAAATATTTAATTCAAACTTCACAAGCTATTGATATAATACAAGGTGGTATTAAATCTAATGCTTTACCAGAACATGTTTCAATATTGGTAAATTCAAGAATAGCAGTTGAAGAAACAATTGAAGATGTGATTGAAAAATATAAATCTCATATCTTGGAAATTACAGATGAATTTGATTTAGGACTAATTATAAGTGGTCAAGAGGTTATCAAACCTACCAAAAATGGGTATTTTAATTATTCATTAGTTGAACCATTAGAACCAGCTCCTGTATCTCCTATAAATGGTGAGAGTTGGAATTTATTTGGTGGATCATTAAGATATTTATATGAAGATTTAATATTTCCAGATAAAAATGATTCATTTATTATTGCTCCTTTTATGTCTACTGGTAATACAGATACTAAATCATATTGGGAATTAACTAGAAATATTTATAGATATGTACCTGGTTTACCAGATAAACATAGCGGGATACATTCAGTTGATGAAAAATTAATATTTAAAGGCCATTTACATATGATTGCATTTTATTATTATTATTTACAATTGATAGATGGTGTAGATGATAAAAGATTCGAAGATTTATAGAGTAACTACGATGCAAAATATAATACATATAAGTGTGGATTTGATTGAGTTTCTTTACAAGCATTTGTTTATCGATGATAAAAGTAACTTCTAGTTATTACCATGTCAACTCTTCAATTAAAATCTATTTGCTTCACTCTGGAGATACAGTTAATTTCAGATACACGATATGCTTGGTTAGCTGACAAAATAAAACGACTTTGCGTTAGGACTGATCGCGGAAAAGTTTCCGTCGCCCTAAATTTTAATACTAACAAGTCAATCGATGAGCAAAATTTAACTCAAGTTGATTTACCTGTAGGAAATCCATTTGTATTTTCAGTTGATTTAACAACTGGAGAAGCAAGATATTTGGAAGATCTGATGCTACTGGTATTGAAAAAAGAACCGACTGGGAAGTTTGTATGCAAAGAATTAGTGATGCTTGCAGCAACCCAATCGCTACCTTTAGTATTAGTGTTTCGGCATTTGCTCTTTCTTTGGCATCAACCATCCATTCATGGAGTGATTCATTTCAGCAGGAATTTGGTATAAAATTGCAGCGACAGCGAAAGGTACAAATTGTGACACTACAGCTGAACTTCCAACAATTCAAGGAGGTATTGAAAAAGCATTGAAAGCAATTATGGCTAGTGATGAACTTAGATTATGTGAAGTTGAATGCATTCACATGGATCATGGTGGTACTTATGAAATTTATGGTGCTATTGGTTCCAACAAAGATTCTGTTCGAAACATCAATTGTAGTCCAGATACTCGTTATGGTCAAAGTATTCTGGATGGTAATAATGACGCTCACAAAAGAAGACTATATTAAATGACTGCTAATTCTCAAAGATTAACAAATTTTATAGCTTTTCGTGTTATAAATAAACATTTAACTTTTCTGTACTATAATATTTCTTCCGTGTTAGCATATTCGCTGTAAATTTCCTGAGCGTTGTTCGATCTTTTATCAACCGTTATATTTTACTCCAATAGTATGATAAACAACAGTACAATAAAAATCATCCCTCGTACAAATATCATTGCGATCGCTGATGTTCAGCTTAAGTTACTTATAATGTTTTTTTGTTCATTATCTATTTGGTTCCATTTTGGCTGCAAAATAATTTTTTGTTTCAAAATCATCGCGAGGTCAAAATCAAATCTTCAACGCTTCAGTTTATAAAAATGCCTACAGAATTAGAAGAATTAGTTGGATTTTTACATTCTCCTCAACCTGCAGTTGTTCAAATAGCATTAGATAATTTAGTTGGCTTTTCAACCGGTGAACAACAAAAATTATTCACTATAAATGATTATGAACCAATTAAAGATTTAAAAAATCTATCTAAAAAGAAAGAATCAAAAGTATTAGTACAACAATCAATTACAATCCTAGCTAATTTATGTGAAGATTTAATGATTAGAAATTTAATTATTGAAGATTTAGAATATTTTAAATACTTAACTAAAGAAATTATAAATTTGAACAATTCAAATGCTGATTTAATGTGTATATTATTATTAAATCTAGCTAAAAATGATTTAATTAATAAAGTATTGGAATTTGAAGTTGAATTAGATGATAAACAAAAAGATGTGTTTAAATCAAATAAAGTTATAAATTGTCTTATGGATTGTTTTGTAAAGGGATTCGATAGGAATCTTAATAAATTTGCTAATTTTGATTATTTATCATATTTCTTTGCTGATTTATCTAGATTTAAACAAGGTAGGGAATATTTTGTAAACTTGCAAGAATATGATAATGTTGTTCCATTGAGTAAAATTCTTGTGTTTACTGAAAAATATGATGATAAAGTAAGAAGAGAAGGTGTTGCTTCAACTATAAAGAATTCTTTATTTGATATACCTCATCAATATGAATTATTAAAAGATGAAAAAATAAATTTATTAACTTATGTTTTACTTCCACTTGCTGGTCCTGAAGAAATTGATGAAGATGAAATGTTTGAATTACCTGAAGAATTACAATTATTACCAAGTGATAAAAAAAGAGAACCATTAAATGGGATCATCTGTATACACCTTGAAAGTTTGTTGTTATTATGTACTACTAAAGATGGTAGACAATATTTAAGAGACAAATCAGTATATTCAATTATTAAACAATTACATTCAGTAAATGAAGATCCAAAAGTTGTTGATTTATGTGATAGATTAGTTCAAATGTTGAAAAGAGATGAAGCTCCCGATCAAGAAGATATTGATCAAATTGCAAATGATGAAGAAGATGATCAAATTGTAGAAATATTATAAAATAAATAATTATACATTATTCCCTTAATACTAATTTACCGTCAACTAATCTTAAATTTTGTTTTACAATATTTATAATTCTTTGTTTATTATCTTTATGAGCATTAACTCTTGATTTTAATCCAACTAATAATTCTTTTGTTGTTAATGGATGATCTCTAACTATATCTATAACATCTTTAATAGTTACTAATAATCCATCAGGACCAGAATCATGTAAATCTATATTTGAAGGTATTGGAGTACCTCCATTACTTGGTGGTGTTGTAGCTCTCATAGTAGGTGTTGAAATTGGTGCAGGTGATTCTGATTTTATTTTGATTGTTTTTTGTTTCTTTCTTGGTGATTCTAAATTTGGTTTCCTACCAATGAAATCCAACTTGGGGAAGTCATTTAAAAATGAAGTTGGTGCTTTAACTTTAATAAAACCTTCACCAAGATTAACTGCAGTAAATTGTCTTACTTTTTTCGTAACTTTTTCAAATTCTTCATTTTCTTGTTTGATATGTATTTCCTTATCTGAATCTTCATCATTACTTTCCAAATCTGATTTTGATAAATAGGGGGCCAATTCTTTTTCTTCATCATCTGAATCATATAAATTACCTTCAGTTTTATTTAAAACTTTACGTAATTTTTTACCTTCTTTATCAACTTTTCTTGATTTTTCAACTTCAAATAAATCATCCAATTCATCGTCTTCTTCCGCATTTGAATCAGCATCAAAATGAGCTGCCCTCAACATTTCTTTTTTAATTTTCTTTTCAGAAAATTTGTTTTCTTCTTCATCGCCATCCATAATTGGAGCTTCTTCATCATCAGCAAATTCTTCATCAAAGTCTAAATCGTCATGATCTGAATCTCGATCATTAGAACCACCAGTTACAGTTCTCAATTTTTTTGGAGCTTTAATATTTTTCAGATTTACCAGGGGTGAATTTGCTTTAAAACGTTGATCTGGAGTACCTTCATTAAGTGATTTATCTTCCATATGTTTCATTAACCATCTTGGTACACTTGCATTTTTTTCCATTTTTTGTTCTGCTTCTTCTAAAGTTAATGTAGCATATTTATTTCTTGGAGTAAATCTATAAACTTTTTCAGCAGGTATCATTTTAAAACCATCTTTATCAAATACAAATAAAACTTGTTGTTGTTCAGTTGATGCAGCTTCAAAATTACCAACATATACATTTTTACCATCATAATCTTCAATAACCCACGGATAATGCTCTTCATATCTTAATTTTCTTTTTGATTCATCCATTAGATTAATTTGTCTTGTTTTACGTTTGAAAATATTTTTTCTAAATTTTCTAGCACCACCGTCGGGGGCAACTTGTGACATATCTGGTTTATTATAATCTATTCTATTACCATCTTCATCTACTTGATCACCGTCATAATTTTGATATGATTTCGGTTCCTCCTTGACTATTCCCTTTTTCTCTTCTTCTTCTCTTTCTTTTTTCCTTTGATCTAATTCTTGTCTAGTTAAATGAAATTGCATATTTCTTGGATCTTTACGATGCAATCTAACTGGTTTTGTAAAATCTTTAACAATATCAACATTATTTCTTGTTACAAATTTCATAATATGAAATCTAATATCATTTATATCTTCAGGTGAGCATGATTTCAATGGAATTGTTTGCCAATCACTACTACTCATAACAAAATCTATAATACAAGAATACTATCTTAATGAAAAGATGGTAGTTGATTCAAATATCATTTTTTGTTTCGCATTCGGTTGTTCTATAAATTGGCGGTACACGACTTTTGATTTTTATCCAATTTATATTTTGCAACAATCAGTTGATAAACTAGACAAAGGATTATAATAGGGGAGAGACATTGATAACAGTTGGTTAGAAACTATTTAAATTAGCTTATATAACAGTTGAGAAATACCATAACCATTCCCAACCATTTTAATTAATTTTCAAAATCTATGAACACGTGTGCCGCTCCCATTATATAAACAAGTTCAATTCCTTTAACTGAACAGACTAACATTCTTTAAAGATCATTAGTCACTTGAAAATTATTAGTTGTTAAAAGAATATTAGTCCTTTGAAAATCAATTGGCAGTTAAAATATCTTTATTTCCTTTAGCTTGAAATTTTGGTGCTCCGATGGTTTCTTTATCAAATATTTTAAATCATGGTCTTTTATTAATCAGTCCATCTATATTTGTAGATGTTGCGACTCCCCAGCAAGCTTCAATTGAACAATATAACATTATAAATTTTTTAGGTGGAAGTGCCCCTTATAAACAAAGACTGGGATATGGAATTTCAACAGATTTACCAGCAAATTGCTCCTATGAACAGATTCAAATGATCTCAAGGCATTCCGAGCGGATGCCGAGTACTGGAGATGGTCAATTCTTCAATCAAGTACTTTCTAATTTTAATTCTTACAAAGAAAGTCATGTATTCAAAGGAGATCTTTCATTTTTGAACAATTATGAATATTTCGTCACGAATCCAGAATATTATGAGAAAGAAACAAATTTGAGCAATTCAGACTCACCATATACTGGAACTACAAACTCACAAAGACATGGATCATTCTTCAGACAAAAATATGGATCATTATACAATCCAAATGAAAAACTTCCAGTATTTACATCTAATTCAGGTCGTTGTTATCAAAGCTCAAACTATTTTGCAAGAGGTTTTCTTGGAGATTTATATTCAGATGATACTGTTGAGTATGTTATCATAGATGAAGATTCAAAAATGGGTGCAAATTCATTAACTCCACGATATGCATGTAAAAATATAAACCTGGGTGCTCAATCTAACAAATCTGATCAATTTGATAAGAGTTATTTAGATGATATTTTAAATAGATGGTTAGTAGATAATCCAGGATTGAATATCACTACTAGTCAAATCTCAGGTTTATTCTTATGGTGTGCTTTTGAAATTAACGTACGTGGATACTCACCATTCTGTAATTTATTCACATTAGATGAGTTTATTAGAAGTGGGTATCAAAATGATGTTGGAAATTATTATAGTATTGGAGAAGGAAACAATATGTCGAAAGTAGTAGGTAGTCCAATGGTGGAAGCTTCTTTAAAGTTACTCCAAGAAGACAATGATAACAAGATATGGCTTATGTTCACCCACGATACAGACATGGAGTTATATCTTACGTCTTACAAATTAATTGTCCCAGAAAATGATTTAAGTGTTGATCAAATCTCGTTCCCAAACCCTTACAATGGCGCCGAAATGTTTCCTCAAAGTGGTAGAACATATTTAGAAAAATTTAAGAACGATAACAATGAAAGTTTTGTCAGATTTATTATGAATGATTCTGTTTTTCCTTATCCTAATTGTCAAAATGGACCTGGTTTCTCATGTCCATTAGATAAGTTTATTGAAATAGTTAATCAAAGATTAGAAGGTGTTGATTATTCAAGTCAATGTGATGCTTCTGGTCCTCCTGAATTGACTTTCTTTTGGGATTATAATACTACTAGTTATGATGCACCTTTGATAAACCAATAGAGTAAGGGTGCAATAGATACAAATGTAAAGATTCTGCAAGGATGTTGTTAATTATTAAAGGTACAATAGATTTTTGCAATAGTCTAGTAATAAATAGATTTAATTAATTTAATAAATTTTAGACGCGCTTGAATCGTTTCAAATTTCCTTAATCGGCCCTAAATCGGCCTAAGAAAAAAAGAATCTGAAACTCGAAAATTGACAAGATCAACAGTATTAAATTAGGAGTAATTCATATATTATGTCTATAGTAGTAGAAGATAAAGAAGATCAGTTATGGAATAACATAGAACAACATAAACCAAATCAACCACCAAAATATCTTGGTTTCGTAGCTGGTATGGCTAGTGGAATTATGAAAAATTTAGTGGGACATCCATTCGATACTGTAAAAGTACGATTACAAACAGCACCGCAAGGACAATTTTCAGGACCAGTAGATTGTGTACTCAAAACTTTTAAACATGAAGGTATATTTGGATTTTTCAAGGGGATGACACCACCTTTAATTGGTTGGGTATTGATGGATTCGGTAATGCTTGGAAGTTTACATGTATATCGTCGATATGTGAAAGATTTACTATATCCTAATGAGTCAAAACTTCCATTATTAGGTCACGTTATAGCTGGGTTTGGATCCGGTATGACTGTGAGTTTTGTAGCTGCTCCCATTGAACAATTTAAAGCAAGATTACAAGTTCAATATGATTCAAAAACAAAATTATATAACGGACCAATTGATGTAGCTACAAAATTGTATAAGAGCTCAGGTATACGAGGTATTTATAGTGGTTTATTTGCAACTATAATATTCAGAACTAATTTTATATTTTGGTGGGGGTCATATGAATTATTTACCCAATATTTTGAAAACAAGACTAATTTATCCAAACCTGCTATTAATTTTTGGAGTGGTGGATTATCTGCTACTGTGTTTTGGATATTTGCTTATCCTGCAGATGTTGTGAAACAAACAATAATGACTGATTCGCCAATGAGATCACAACGTAAATTTCCACATTGGATAGATGCAGTTAAGTATATATACAATGAAAAAGGATTGAGAGGATTTACTAAAGGTTTTGGTCCAAGTATACTTCGATCATTTCCAGCCAATGCTGCTGCTTTGGCTGCTTTTGAGGCTGTTATGAGATATTTACACTAGTAAGGATGCAAGTACGGATGCAAAAGAGCATCATAGATCGTCTTATATCAATATTTATTATAGAATTTATACAATTTTAATATCTTCTTCATTAGGGATCTTTTTATTTTTCTCCCATGGTTTCAATCTTTCTTTTTGATTTGAAGTAGATGCCGAATCAGTCAATACAGTGTCAGGTATTTGTTTAATACCGGGAATTTCTTTACCACTTAGTATCAGCTCAACTAAATTTTGATAATTTGAAGAATAAGGAGGGTCAGAGCTTGTCTCTTCCTCTTTAATCTCTACAATTTTTGCATTTTTGTCATATTTTTCTTCATTGTGTAATTTCCAATCATTATAATCTTCTATATTTATTATATTTCCCGTTTTTTCACAGAAAAAGAACAGTTTAGCCTGATTTATGAGTTGTTGTTTATCATTTGCTGGTATTTCAATAATTGATGGATCTGATTCTTTTAAATTTTGCAAATAATTTTGTAATACTTCTTCGAGACCAGTTTGAAATTCTGTAAACGAATCCCAATCATAATTTAGGTATTGTATGTATGTTTCTTCTTGTGGATTGGCCATTACAAGGATGCTTTGATTTACTGCTGTTAGGTATCAAATTGTGGAGTGGTGAAACGAAATGATTTTTTTTTTTCAAGGTCTGAAACCAAAATCGAAACCAAATGGAATGAAGTTGAAATTATTGATTCTAGCTTCGGTATTACTCCGAATTGGGTTCTTCTTGTTTGGAATCTATCAAGATAAATACATGGTTGTAAAATATACAGATATAGATTATCTTGTATTTTCAGATGCTTCAAAATTCATATACCAGGATAAATCACCATATTTGAGAGAAACTTATAGGTATACTCCCTTACTTGCAATGATACTAATACCGAACAATTGGGGCGAACTATGGTATAATTTTGGGAAACTCATTTTCATGGTAAGTGATATAATTACAGGAATTATTATTTTGAGATTATTACAAAGGAATAAGAAATTGAGTGATAATAAGGTGCTTGTGTTGTCTTCAATTTGGCTATTGAACCCTATGGTAATTACAATTAGTACAAGAGGTAGTTCTGAGAGTTTATTGACTGTCATGATAATGTTGGCATTATACTACTTGAAAAATCATTCAGTGATATCTGCATTTTGGCTTGGTTTAGCTATTCATTTCAAAATATATCCAATTATATATTTACCTAGCATACTTTTAACAATTAGAGACAGGCCATTGATAAACTTGCCAGTTTTAAAACTAGTCAATTTGAGAAATTTGTTATATTTGATAGTTACTGTTAGCACATTAGCTGGTATTAATTATATCATGTATTTACAATATGGTTTTGAATTCTTGGATCATTCTTACTTATATCACTTAGTTAGATTAGATCATCGTCATAATTTTTCAATTTACAATATGGCATTATATTATAAATCAGCATTAACAAGTATCGATACTTTTGATATTGAGAAAATTGTATTCATTCCACAATTGGCCTTATCTGCAATTATCGTACCTTTAGTTTTAGCTAGAGTTGATTTATTATCAAGTTTGTTTATTCAAACATTTATATTTGTTACATTTAATAAAGTCATGACCTCACAATATTTCATTTGGTTTTTAATATTCCTCCCACATTACTTATCAAAATCAAGACTAACAACTACAAATAAGAGAATTGGTATATTATTATTAGTTTTATGGATTGGTTCACAATCATCATGGTTATATTTTGCATATCAGATAGAGTTCCGTGGTTTTAACACTTTTGATGATGGGTTATTCTACTCATCTATCGCCTTCTTCATTGTTAATTGTATATGTATATCACAATTTATACTGAATATATAATCATTTTGCAGCCATTTTATAAGTACTGTATATAATTAATTTTTTTATTTTCAATCTCATCAATAAGTTTAAATGTCAAGATTAGAATTATATTCACCAGAAGGTTTAAGAATAGATGGACGTCGATGGAATGAATTACGTAATTTTAATTGTAAAATAAATACTCATCCAAATTTATCTGACGGTTCACTGTATATTGAACAAGGAAATACAAAAATAATATGTACGGTTCAAGGTCCCATGGAACCAATATCAAAATCACAACTGAATCCAGAAAAAGCAAGGATAGAAATAAACCTTACAATTACAAATTTTGCCACATTTGAAAGAAAGAAACGTAATAAAAATGAGAAAAGAATAATTGAATTAAGAAACCTACTTGAAAAAACTTTTGATCAATCAATAATGACTCATTTATATCCCAAAACTTCAATAATTATAAATGTTCAAGTATTGAGTCAAGATGGTGGAATGTTATCTGCTGTTACTAATGCGATTACATTAGCTATTATTGATGCTGGTATTTCTATGTATGATTATGTTTCTGCTATATCTTGTGGATTATATGATAATACACCAATTCTTGATTTGAATAATTTGGAAGAAAATGAAATGCCATGTTTGACATTGGGTGTAATTGGTAAATCTGAAAAATTGGCATTATTATTATTTGAAGACAAATTACCTTTGGATTATTTGGAAAATTTATTAAGTATTGGTATTGCTGGTAGTCATAGAATTAAAGATTTAATGGATTCAGAAATTAGAAAACATGGTAATTTAAGAGCATCAAAATTGAAATAGAGTACATCATTGCATAGAGATTAATTTTACAGAGCATAAAAGTTGAAGCATCAAATTATGTTACATAATTAGATGAGTCCAACAGCATACAGTTCATTTTAATAAAGTACAAATGGTTAAGTCAGATTATGAGTTAGTCAGGCTCCAGTTTTGACGTATTTTTACGAGTCAAAGTTCATAATATTTAATAAATAGGCTTAACTTTTCAAATTGCGCAAATCAATTAAGCCGTTAATTCGATTTTACTGTACTTCTCCAAGCTGTTAGTTTTAAATAGCGTATATCAGATCATCCAATTAAAGTAGTTTTTGTGGGGGGGAATTCAATAACCGTAATTGATTCCTTAGCTATCCAAATTCGGTAAATTTTTGATAAAATAACGCCAGGTGCCGAGCACATGGTAGCATTTTTATTTGATGCGCTGTCAATTTTTAATATAAATTTGACTGCAAAATTTCAACAAAACAGCATTGATCTCGTAATATAAGAGCGATGTAGGTTTCAGAAGAGTTTCTAATTATTGTTTGAGATGTTTAGAGTTTATCTTGAGTTTTTTGACCTAAAAGAACATCTATAACGCGTGATAATGAGTGAATAATACAGATCAGGGTTTGATCTAGCAATTTTTTTCTCAAATAAACTTTACAAGCATTCAATAACAAATGGAAAGCATTGAGTATACGTTTCAACCTTTTGCTCTATGTTAAGAATTTCAAACTGACAATTTTGTGTCAAATTTACTAATCTTATTGTGTGTGATTTTTTCATATATGTTAATTTTTTTCTCATTCATATAAAACTGTTCAATTTTACAACCACTTTTTTTCAAATTTCCATAAATTTGAATCAAGAATCAAGAATCATACCTTCAAACCACATTATAATTTCGATTAATAACAATTATCAAGGTTATTAGCATCTAGAATCATATAATATTTCATTGGATCCATTTTAATTCAATTTCATTATGTCTTACCGTGGTCCAAATCAATTTAATAATCAATTTAATCAACCAAATCATCAATTTAATCAACCACCACAACCTCATCCACATATTGGTCCTATCTCCTCAAACAAATCCTTTTTTGAACAATTTGAAAATTTTAGTAAAAAAATTGAAGATTTAATTGATCAATATTTTCAACCTTTAAAGCCATACGTACCAGCAATTGGACGTGCTTTTTTAGTTGCTACATTTTATGAAGATACAATTAGAATTTTTTCACAATGGAATGAACAAGTTTATTATTTACATAGTTATCGTAAATTTTGGAGATGGTTTGTTGTATTATTTTTAATTAATAATATGTTAATAATGTCAATTTGTTCAACTTTGGTAATTTTTAGAAAGAAGAATAATTTTGCTACAATTGCGTTGATTATTGTTGTTCTTGCACAAGGAATCGCATATGGTTTATTATTTGATGGTCAATTTATATTAAGAAATTTATCAGTTGTTGGTGGTTTAGTTCTTGCATTTTCTGATACTATAATTAGAGATAAACGATCATTAAATATGCCGGGTTTACCAATGTTGAACAATCAAGATAATAAGAAATATTTCTTACTTGCTGGTAGATTATTATTAGTCTTGTTGTTCCTTGGATTTGTTTTCTCATCTGAATGGTCATTAGGTAGAGTTTTGATTATTCTTGTTGGTTTATTAAGTTGTGGTTCTATTATAATTGGTTATAAGACTAAATTTGCTGCTGCTGTTATGTTAGTATTATTATTTATTTATAACTTATTTACTAATCAATTTTGGACTTATCAAGCACAAGATGCAAGAAGAGATTTTCTTAGATATGAATTTTTTCAAGTTTTATCAATTGTTGGTGGTTTATTATTGGTTGTTAATGCTGGTGCTGGTGAATTCTCAATCGATGAAAAGAAGAAGATCTATTAGAACTTATAAAACTCTTGAATATATAAAACTTCATTGAAATATTGAATCACTAAGCGAGAAAAAAACTAAAACATCGCCCTAGCTTTGATACGATAGAATATTTTTGTAGCTTTAAATCATCGCATTAAAATCAGTGACTATTGGAGCTAAATTTGGTATAAAGTCGCCTTAACTCTACCGCGAGTTATTGTTCTACTCGCTCCAAATTTTTGCACGAAAGATGTATAACTTCGCTCGGACGTCGCCGTAACTTCAATGCGAGAAATTATTATTGTCGCTCCAAAATATCGCATTCAAAAATACTGAGGATTTTTTGCAGTCAATTTTTTCGTACAAAATATAACCAATGAAACAATGTCAAATAATAATAATATAGATAAACCAACTTGTCCAATTAATATAAAACAATCATGGTGGTCAAAACTACTCTGGAAACATCCAGCACAATCACAACCAACTCCTATATCAGCTTGTCCCGTGGATCATTCATTATTTTCAACCCCATCACAACCAGTTTGCCCCGTCGATGATGAAACAAAATCACAATGGGTTAAAAACATACAAATACAAATCCCAGATGCAATAGAACAAGAATCACTTTCATGTGACTCATCAGTTGATCATCAACCAACCTCAAATGTCAATTTACCAGTGGATAGAGATATCAGTTCAATTCCAAGAACATCTTCAAATTCAAATTGGATATACCCTAGTCAAAAACAATTTTATGAAGCTATGAAGAGAAAAAATTGGGATCCAAATCAGAATGATATGAAAGTTGTTGTTCCTATTCATAATCTCGTTAATGAAAGGGCATGGAAACATATTATGTTTTGGGAGAAACCAAATTTGAGAAATTGTCCTAATATAACTTTGACTAGTTTCAAAGGTGATCTGAAGAAGATGACTCCGAGAGCATGGATAAAGACAAATGTATTTGGGTATGACCCTCCTTTTGATAGACATGATTGGAAAATAGACAGGTGTGGTGTTGAAGTTGATTATGTCATTGATTTTTATAATTTAAAGGGATCTAATGATGTTTGGTTGGATGTTAGACCTAAATTAAATAGTTATGAAGGTGTAAAATTGCGGATATTGAATGCTATTGGAATATAGATTAATGTACATGTATAAAGAGATTATGATTATGGTTATCAATTTTGCATCCTTGCAATTTGACTATTCTATTTTGTTCCTTACTCCTACTTAGACCTAATTTTAATGGATATAAGGGTTTTGAATTACCAAGGTCAATACTATTGATCACATAGATATGCAAGCAGATTAGAATTTTCCAACAATGATCTTTTAACTCTATTTTCTAGTATTACACCAGAAGTAAAGAGCATTAGAGTTTCAAACCTTATAAGAATATAGATATATATATTATATACAAGGTCGTAGCGATATTCTAAATTTGCATCCTTACAGTTTGCCCATCGTAATTTTTCCATCCTGACGGTTTTAGCATCCTGACTTACCTTCTACCCATAAATTGACCACTTTGACCCAATTTTTGCATATTTTCACCAACTTGAACATTAGTTTCAAAATATTTAGCAACACATCTATCTAAACATAAACTTTCGGCTTTAGTAATATCACTTTCATTATATGATTTATTTATACACTTTGAATGACACTGTGAAACCAAAGAATTAAACATTCCTGTAACCATATCTAATTCAGCTTCAGCTGCAGATAATTTTTGAGCTGATGAAATTGAAGGTTGTGAAGTACCACCTAAACCAAACATAATGAAATCTAATTAACTATTACTATATTGCTTTATTTTTTAATGAAAAATTTTAGAGAAAAATATTCACGATGTCGTGAATTCCTTGTCGTGAATTTCTTGCCAAGTCGCGTAAATTAAACTATAAGATACTAATTGGATTATTATAGATTATCATAGACCAGGGAAGGTTATTTGAATTAGACCACCCCATAATAATTCAGTAATTGGTAATTCTTTTTTTAACTTTTCAAAATTTTCCCGTTTTTCAGGCGCTAGTTGAACCATACCTTGACCCACAGTTATAGTTTTACCAGTTAGTACACAATGACCACCAATATGACTTTGTCTAGCATTAGTATATATTGGATTTCTAGTTACTTTTTCAACATATGATTTAGTTAAAGCATGATTAGTATCAAAAAAATACTTCATAAATTTCCAAGTCTGAGTCTGAATATCTAATGCTGCAACTCTCATTAAATTAGGATTGTTAGTACTTATAGGCAATCTACCAAATGTTGAAACATTAAATTTATCAGTCTTGTATGGCTCTTTTTCATAGAATCGAATTAAATCAGCTCGAACCCCTCCGACAAAGAATAAACAACTTCGTCTTCCATTATTATAATATAATGCAGTATGATGACATCCTCTTAACTCTGCTTCTTTTAAAATTGGATTTTCAATTTCATTTTCTTTAGTATATAAACTTCCATCTTCTTCTCCATCATGTGTAATATTAAAATAATCATAAGCATAAGTTGTCATTTTTTCCCATTTACATTTGATGAAACTGAACCTATAAAAATCTCCATAAAAGTTTTGGTTGTTATCACATCCACCTTGAATTATAAATTCTCGTCTATCAAAATAAGCTTTTATCCTAGAACTTTCAACTGTATCGTCAGAAGTAACACTTGTAGATTTCTGTATTTGAAATGAATTATTCTTTGTGTATCCATTAACTGGATCTGGTGACATTGATCGTTTAAGTCCACCTACTTGAAAACTAGGTTCTAACATTTCAGGTTCACCTGCGTCTACAGCACATGCTTCTTCCATTAAATTATTATCAACCAAACAATAAGCAGAATATCCACGAGATTCAGGCCAACAATCATCACCAATTAAAATATCACAAGACTCAGAATTTGTACCAATTTTAGAAACTAATGCCTCATTTACAAACATGATATTTGCCAAATATGTAGGTTCTTCTTTCGTAGGTAAATCAATTTTCAAAAAGTCATTAGTTGCAATGAATCTACCATCCTTATCTAGTATGAATCCACCAAATATAAATACTGAAATGTTTGAAATTGAAGACGTATCTTTGAATAATACATCTTCTGATTTTTCCTCATCTGAATTGGCACTTGAAGCAGTATCGAAAACTTGAGATGCTCTATTATTTTCCTTATTTTTATTTTGTCGAACAACTTCAATTATTTCTCTCCTATCGTATGGTTTTGGACTATTCTGTGAATTTAAATCTAATGAATCGGTATCTGACGAGACTTCAGACTCACTTGATTTTATTGTATTTTCAGTCTGGACATATAATTTAGGATGTGTCTGAGTAGTAGTTGATTGTGATTGACTAGGAGTAATTGTTGGTGTTGGTGTTATATTATTTGTAGTTTGTTGTTTATTAGGTACTGGTGAAGTTGCTCTTGAACTATTTCCCAGATTTGTAGTTAATGAATTTGATCTCTTTTCCCTTACTTTTTCACTATATGAATGTTTTAATGGATTTGGAGACTTAATATTTGAATCATGTTTATGTCTATGAAATATCCTAGTTGATTTAGATAATACATTACTCATTTTAGATGATGAACTTGATGTAGAAGCAGCTGATGAAACATTTGAATCTGTTGTATTTATACTATTTGTCGTCGTGGTACTTCTTAATTTAGTTATAGCTGATGCTGTATTTGATTTATGTGGTTCTGGTATATTAACTGATGTTTTTGAAGTTTCTGGAATAGATACAGATTGAGATTTAGTTCTACTTATTGATGTTGATTGATGTAAATCATTCGGTGATTGTTTCTCAGTTGTACTTCTTGAAGATGAATGGTGTAATGAGTTGCTTTGTGATTGTTTCTCAGTAGTACTTCTTGAACTCGTATTTGAATTAGATTGTTTTTCATTAGATTTAAGTGATGATGAATTAGATGAGTTTGGCGGTTGTTGTTTTTCTGAATTTGCAGGAGATGTAGCTCTATGATTCATTGGTTCTTTAATAATTGTTTTTCTAAAATCATGTAATTCATAAATATTTGAACATATACTTGCCCCAAGTCTACCTAATGCAACTGAATCGTTATTCTTTTCCAATAATATCTTTGTGAATTTTAAAGTCACCACATCTATAATAAATCCATTCTCATTCAATACAATTTTCTTTTTCAATACCCATCGATCAATTTCAGGTACGTATCTAATTGCAATATCTTCAATTTTAAACCCACCATATAAGAAAAAATGCCTAGGTGTAATTTGTGTTGAAATCATAGATGAAAATTGTCCAGGAAAATCTTTCATTTGTGAAGTATCTAAATAAGTAACTGTACCTCTACTAGTATTATATGCGACAAAATGAGTATTAGGTTGCATGAAAGGACTCAATAATATTTTTCTTTCAATGAATGGAGGTAAATCATATTGAAATTCAACTGATATTTTACTTATATCTATATCATTAGGTAAACCCAAATGTCTAAAATTTGAAAATCGAGTCACACAAATTCCACCAAATATATAAATTAAATCATTCAAGGCAAATTGATTTTGAAAACAAATTTTAGGTATGTCTGACATTTGTCGAAGTAAATTCTTATTCATTTTAAAACTCTGGGGGATATTCACGCATAGTCTTGGTACATTTAAATAACCAGAAAATGCCCCTCCCGAATGATCTTTATTCAATGCATGTTTAACATCTGCATCTAATTCATCATCATCTTTATTATACGTCCTGTCTATATTTGAAGACAAGGTAGACAAATCGGAATCTTTTCGATTTGAAATTGAATGTTCTACTTTATCTAATGACATTTTGGGAACAAACATATATTGTAAATTTGAATCCATTCCTCGATATTTTGACTTTGCTGTTGAATCATGACATAGATTATACTTTAAAATTGAATATGGGATATTAAAACCATGAATCCAATGTTCTTTATGTTCACTGATGAATTTTTTTTCGTCATCGATTATTTGTTCTCTTGATACAAATGGTGGGCTGTTATTATTATTAGTCATTGATGAATTTGTAGGTGATATGAAATCTGGTGTTGATGTATTATACATTGCATTATTGATTATATTATTATTTATATTATGACTCAAAAATTGTTCTTCATTACTTGAACTTGATTTTGAATGTTGTAATTCAGTAGGTGAGAAATCATAATGATATAATCTTGTATCAATCAGTATATCATTATTCATATTGAATAAATTGATATGGCTGTCAAAATTGATAAAAATAAATTATTTATTTTGTCAAGATCACCGAAAATTGAAAATTGACAAACAACACAAATTATACTTACTGACAAAATGTAGACTTATGTAGGTAGACGTAGGTTGATGTATAGAACGACGTGAGAAATGTAATAGAAATAAGCAGTATAAAGAAGAGTATTCGATATTCTTTGATACCAAGAATCTTCCTGCGATAATCATCGATTAGTAAAACCTTCACCAACTAGTGCAAAAATTCTACAATGAGAAAGTTCCAGGGTAGACTACCTTTTCTTCTGTCAATGAGGCTGCTCAAGTATCTCTCAAAGTATACAGTTGAACGTTTTATCCTCATTTGCTAAGCTCATCTTAAGTTGATAAAATGTCCGAATAACGACATAGAAACCGAAAGGTTGGGTGGGTACTTGACGATACAATTTAATTATAATTAATTAACGCTTCAGCTATTATTTGACTCTTGATTATTTGAAATGAAGCACCGTTTAACGGTTAAACTTGGACTAATTTAAATCAAAAAAGTTTAAATAAATGTATATTGTATTATAATCTATAAAAATAAATAAATTGAATATGCTTGATAATCTTGGATGCTTATTCAATTACATCTCTGTAATCATCTTGCTTGAATATCTAGCTAGTTTCTTCAAGTGATTATGTTTGATCTTTAATTACATTCTTACAATAATAATTTTCTCAAAATTTGTTTGTTGCATCCTGAGTGTATAATATCTTACTTGCACCCTATCCTTACTTATATATTCGGACTCAACATATCTGATTTCACCAAAGTATGAATGTCTTGAATTGAAGCATTGATAAATTGTCTAACTTCCAAAGCTAACCAAATCTTAATCATTGATAAATCTGATTCATTTTTCATTATCTCTCTACCTTCTTTAGATACTCCCAATTTTCTTAAAACAGGTAAAGAACTGGAAAAGTTAGTATCGTCATTTATTAAAATTCGGATTTCCAATTAAGAATTCTATTAAATTTCAACAAAATGTTCTCATATCATTTTCTTGTATTAAATTCCAACTAAAAATTTTAAATCCATTTCTTCTGTTGGAAATCCAAATATTAACGCATATACAAACCTTGCAAATAAATCTAAATTAGGATCCAATTGTCTTCCAATACCTTCTAGTAATAAAATAGCAACAATAACAGTAACGAAATCCCCCTCCATTCTAACATGATGAGTTCGAACCATACCTAAAACTTGATCTAATAAATCACCAATTGAAACATTTCCAAGAGTGAATGTCCTATCCTTCATCCTATCAACTAATTTTTCAACTTTCAAAGCGAATATTTCTTTATTTACTACAGTTTCGGGTGTCCTTGAACGTTCAGCCATTAATTCACCAGCCTTAAATCCATCAAATTCAGATAAGGCCTTAAATAAATCAATGAAATTGACACGATCAGTGTGATTTAATTCTGTAATTAGACCAACATCAAGAAAACAAACTTCGGCATGGTATCCTTGTTCATATAAATCAGCTAATTTGGTACACCATTCATTAGGAGTCTTTAATTTTAATAATTCATCAGTTACTTTATTTATATCTTTTTCATTTGATGATTTCACAATTTTGTATTCTTTCTCATGTTTGAATAGTTCATTTTTATAAAATCTTACCATCATGTTACCTGGATGTAAATCTGCATGGACAAAGTTATCCAAGATCAACATTTTAAGAAATGCATCGAGACCTTTATCTGAAACTTCTTTTGATAGGTTCTTTCCAAAATTCTCCGTTAATGATAATAGTTTATCTAATGGTATTGCATGTATGTATTCCTCAACTAAAACATCCCTAGTTGTGAAATTTAAATATGGTTTTGGGAAATGTATATCTAATCTACTTTTAAAATTTTCTCTAAATTTAGCTAAATTTAATGCTTCAATCCGAAGATCTAATTGTAATCTCATTAATATGCTAAATTGTTCAACTTCATCCGGTAAACTTAACCATTCCATAGTAGGTAAAACATTTATAAAATTGGCGAAAAATGACATAATTTTTAAATCTCGATTAATTTTAACTTCGACGTTTGGATGTAGGACCTTTATAGCTACATTTTGATTAGAATTTAAATGTTCTGTCACAACTAACTTTTCAAAAAATTGTTGAGGGCTGTTTTGTCCATGTAGTGACTTTAATCTTTCACTTATTTTTTTTTCTTCTTCTCTTGCTTTGTTTACAGCCTTGTCTGATAATTTACCAAGATAAACTTGAGCAATTGCACCTACTCCCAATGGTTTTTCATTAAATTCATCAAATATTTCATTAAATGGTAAATAACCAAAACTTTTACTTATGATCTCCTTTGTAGCTTCTATTGAATGTGCTTTTGCATTTGAATGTAATTGACTTAATTCATCACACATTGCCTGTGGGAAAATATCGGTTCTTGATGCTGCCCATTGACCTAATTTAATAAATGAAGCACCTGCAATTTCTGCGCTCCATCGAAGATAAACATACCATAAAGAAGCACCAGATCTGATAATTGTACCATCTTGCATTTTCTTCTTCCTTCCAAACCAACAAATCGGAGAACTTAACAACACGGGTACAAATATGAATGACAATTCTAAAAAACGGGTAAATGTAAACATGGGATCAATGACATAATCATCTATAAAGAATTTTATTTGAAAAAACCATCGAAGTACTAAATTGGAGTGCGTTGATTTTGATTTTCGATAGTTTTTATATTGCTTTGTTTCTTCTTCTTGCGAAGCTAAATATAATCCCATTTCATAAGTATCTGAATCTGGTTTTGGTAATAATTCATGAACTGTTGTATCTAATGCATGTACATCATTATCAATATGTTTAAATAATAAATATGAAATTGAAATACCTGAAGAAATACCTATAATTTTGGTACTGTTTTGTTTTATTGGTTGTCGTATAGCATAGTTAATTGATCTGGATATATTGGTGATAGGCAATCGTTTTGTATGTTTTAGTATATTAAACATTAATTGAATTGAATCCAATGGTATTATATTGAATTGCTAAATTGTGTTGATAATATGAAACAGAAAAAAATAAGTTGGTTGCAAAATTTATACGCAAAATGAAATTATGAAACAATTGATTGAATAAATAGAGAAGCATAGATCAACACATTTTGAGTCAGTTTAATGGGAGATATAGTATATATAAGGATGCAACAATATCATTTTCTGTTCTTATACGCTCTAAGAAGAAAAAACCATAAGCTCAATCAGTTTATATTCTGTGAATAGCTGCAAAAAAACCATCTTGTTCCATTTTGAATAAGATAAAGGTAAGGTTGAAACAATATCACTCGTAGTTTAAATATATATATTGTAAATAAATAAATCTATACCCTCTAATAGTCTATAATTTTTCCATTTCCTCTTTTTCTTCTTTTAAATAATTTCTTAAAATTGAAACCCAAAGACCAATAGTAGCAGCACCCTTTGGATTAGTCTTTGGACCTCTTCTACTAACAATCCCATCATGAGAATTCCAAACATCAAGAAACACAGGGATCTTGACCCATTCAATTTTATTCAAATTTGAGATAATGTATAATCGACCAATATCCAAAGGTAATTTATAATCCTCAGTAAATAATTTGAAGCTTTTATAATCTTGTAATACTTGAATATCTTTAATTATCTCATCATTTGATTGGATATTCATATCGATTAATTTCTTATCTGTAGGAGTAGATAAAATGGATAATTTCTCTTCAATCAATGCATCTTCTGATTTATTATTATCTTCTTCAACAGTTCCTGGTTTCCTACTCTTATTCATAAATCTTTCCTCTGCATACAAGACATTATCCATTGCATTTTCTGTTATATGAGAAGTATCACCTTTAAAACTTTCATGTCTTTCTAAATCTAATCTTCTTTCTCTTTGTTTTTCACTCATTTTATAATCTTCTGGATCAATTGGCTCATTATCATAAATAAAATTCTTTACTCTATTCCAATGAGATTCAATTTCGGGAATTGAATGAATTTTAATTTTAATAAAACTGTAAATTGAAACCATGGTGGAAGTTGTAAACACAAATGGGATCCATAAGGGAACTAAAAATGTAGATAATAAGATTATGAATAATATTTTGGCCCATCTATTCTTTCTTACAAATGGAGTTTCTTCTTGTTTATTTCCTTTAAATTGATCTTTATCTACTATTGATAATTTTTCAGTTCTTGTTAAATCTACAAATTTAGGTCTTACTAATTTATTTGCAATTCTAGCCTCTGGTAAATTCTTAATATATTTGATTTTAATCTCATCTAGCTCCTCAAATGGTGAATATTCAGTAATGAAAGATGTGAAAAATGCAACAGTACGATCATTTTTAATATTAGCCAAAAGAATATGTCTTTTAAACAAAAGCAACCCTTTATAAAATATTGACTCCGGATTAGCCATGTTTAACAAGATTTTACCATTATCAGATATGAATAATTGACCACCCGTTTTACCAAACATATAAGGACCTAGAAAATTAGCCATACTATCGAAAATATTATCATTGTAAAAATGAACTCCAACATGAGGAGTAGCAAAAGTTGTAAAAAACACAGGTTCAACCGATTTAAAAAAGTCTAACTCATATAATAACCCTATGACATATCTTGATAATAATCCACCAAGTGAGTACCCAATAAAACTAATTCTAGTCACATTTAGATTGTTTTTCTGTTTTAATGATTCTATTTCATAGAATATTTCAGTTATGATTTTCTTACTGTTTAATTCTAATCCGTCATAAGTTTTCCAAAATCTAAAACAAGCAGGACGTAAAGTTGAAATTTTTGTATTTGTTACTGAATTATCTATTGATTCTTTTAAAAATCGCTCTATTGTTTGCATATGGTTTGGAGATCCCCATAATCCATGAATTAATACAAATAAATGAGTTGAATCAGCCATGATGGGTTGGTGATTTATTGAATGTGATAATTATTTTTCAATTGACAAGATAATAAAAATAAAAAAACTTGGACGGAGCGACGGTTATTACTAAATTAGGAAGTCAAAACTTGAATTCTATTTGTTTAATCTACGTATTGCTAAATTGGGAAGTCGATGAAAGCTAAGTGTTCGCATAATCATTTATTACCCAATTAGGCAGTCTACATTCTATATAGAAATTTTATTTTTGTCTGAAAAATTTTATGGTAATAGATAGCCATGGCATTTTGGAATAGTAAACCAGTTGAACAAACACCAGCTGCTGATCCAGTTAACATTAAATCACAACAGATTAAACAAGATATACAACAACAAATAAGTCAAGAATTAGCAACAGCAAATGCAACAGAATTAGTAAGAACTATAACAGAAAATTGTTTTGATAAATGTATAATACAACCAAATGACATTTTATCAGCCAGTGAAGATCAGTGTATCAATCAATGTAAAGAGAAATATATGAGATCATGGAATGTAATATCAAAAGCATATATAGATAGAATACAAAGACAAGTATAAATATATACACAATTGGTAGTGCTCAACTCTTATTTTTCTTTCTAGTGGCAATAAATTTCAATGAATCAAGTTCAAACAACAGTAGCATCAGAATATTCATCTGAAATAAATAAAATTCCAATTGAACACCGTTTTAATCCTTATTCAGATAATGGTGGTACTGTTTTAGGTATTGCAGGTAAAGATTTTGCTGTTTTAGCTGGTGATACTCGACAATCAGAAGGTTATTCAATTCAATCAAGATATGAAAAAAAAATTCATAATGTTGGTGATAATATTTTAATGACTGCAAATGGATTTGCGGCTGATGGTGTTGAGTTAATTGATCAATTTAAACAACAATTGAAATGGTATAAATTTGATAATCAAAATCAGAAACTTAAAATTGGGTCTGCTGCTAGATACATTCAACATTTATTATATAACAAGAGATTTTTTCCATTTTATGTACATACTTTAATTGCTGGTTTAGATGATGATGGAAAAGGTGCTATATATTCTTACGATCCTGTTGGTAGTTATGAACGTGAACAATGTAGAGCTGGTGGTGCTGCTGCTTCTTTAATTATGCCATTTTTAGATAATCAAGTTAATTTTAAAAATCAAATGATACCTGGAACAAACGAAAATAAAACAATTGAATTTTTAGAATTAGATGAAGTTATTAAATTAGTTAGAGATGCTTTTACTTCTGCTGGTGAAAGACATATTTATGTTGGTGATGGATTGGAGATATTGATTGTTACTAAAGAGGGTGTTAGAACCGAATATTATCCATTGAAGAGAGATTAGGTAAGGACACAAGAAATGTACGGATGCAACAAACACAGGTAAGGATGCTAGAAACCATGTAAGGATGTAGCAAGATTTATCATTATCAATAGAATTAGTCTTATATATTAATATTATTATACTGGTAATTCAAATTTCTTTCCTTTTAAAACTTTTTGATAATAAATATAAAAAAAATCAGAATAAATTGCCGTTTGTAAAACTCCGCTTAATACAGAAACATAATCAAAATGACCTTCAACAAAATATCTATATATCCAATTTGGAATATATAGAGCTCTATAAATACCCAACGCAAAAATATAATGAACGGTAATATTTTCAGCCTCTCCTGATTTCTGTAACATAAATAATTGTGGTAAAATGGCAACTGATTCTAACCAAAGTGAAAACGACCAAATTATTTCAGAAGGAGTCAATTTATGATTGAATATTAAAGCTGCAATTCCTGCCCCACCAAGTAAATATCTAAGTGGAAATGAATCAGAATATTGTTGAATGTTTTTGTTATATTTATAACTCATTATATAGACTGTGTATACTGATGATGCAATGAATATAATCTTGAGTAAAGTGTTATATAAGGAATAAAAATGGGTGAATAAATTCAAATAACGAGTTAAGAAAACTGTTGTATATAATATTTGAGTCTTTAATGACAAGCCTTCAATTGATTTATTTGTCTCAATTGAATAAATTAATATGAAAATTGATACTAAATGACTTAAGTCACCAAATAATGAAAATATATTCATGATTGATATTGGTTGTTATCTAGATTAATTTTCAACACGTTAAACTTTAATTTTTCACTGGGCGCATTATAAATTATTATATACACTACCATGGTTATGCTACCAGTTGTCTATTTATAATTAAATATGCTGTTACCATTTTAGATCATCATCAATATTACTGGTACTTTGTTTCATATTAATTTCTGGTTTTATTTGAATTAAAACCTTCTGTTGTCTTTTAAGCTACTCGTAATATTTTAAGCATCAGTTTGATCACAGAATTGTGAAATACCATCTATATTATCATCATTAAAATCATTAACAGTTTGTTTCTTGTTCATTTCTGGTCTCGACTAGATTTTTTATATACTTCTTTTTTTGAAACTTCAGTGAACAAATTACGCACTTCAAGTTTTTCTTATTTATAACTCAATATGCTCCAATATGTCATCTAAATCATCATCATTAACATCATTACTACCTTGTTTCTTATTCATACCAGGTCTCATTTGAATTTGAAACTCATCCTCTTCAATAGCTTCAGTCAACCACTCACCGTTCTCTATACCATCAACAAAATTCCGTACATGATCTTCAGTTAATTCTTTATTTGTTAAGTAATTTTGAGAATTAGTATTAAAAGATTGGAATACATCACCCCTAAAATAAATCATACTTGGAAAATTAGAAACCTTGTATTTTTGAAGTATCTCAGTATCTTTCAATTCATCAATGTCAATTACATAAATATCAATATGATCCCTCTCTTGTGCTATTTTCTGAATGAAATGAGCAGGATACTTGAAACCTCTCCACTCGTAAAAATAACTCATTGTTAATACCACCAACGAATCTCTATCCTTTCTAGTACTGTCTAAATTCTTGTACTCTCTCAAGTTAGATTTGAAATTGTCAAAATTGGGCTGTATCTCAGCGTGGGTTTTGAAAAAGTCCACGAAATCTTCTATATTTCTATTCTTTTCATAGTCTACAATTTCTTTATTTTCATAATTGACCAATCTAAGACTAGGATATGATCTAACATTAAACAACTGACTTAATCTTTTATTCTCCAAAGCATTTGTTTTTAGTATTTGAAAATGAGGGGTGCTCTTGTATAGTACATTTAAATTTTCAAATGTTGGATTAAATTCCTGGCAATATTTACATCCATCTGAATAAAAATAAATGAATGAATATTTTGAAGATTCAAGAATTTCTTGTATTGATGAATCGTTAATTTCGGGGCAAATACCGTAAACCACCACAAAGAACAATAAAAAAATAAGCTTGTTCATTATTTCCAAATTCGTAATTATAATTTCTTAATTGGACATGTATTGTATCAATAATCGTATAATTTAACCTTGCGTTGCGTTTAACTTTGATTCCATATTATTTTTTTTTTATCGTTTGATCTTCGATTAAAGCCGCAATTCCTTTTTCGGTGATGGGTCCAGCTGGTTTTTATTTTTTTTGCAACCAGCCATGTTTCAAAATAAAAACATGTTGATTCTATGCATGCAATTATGACAGGCTTCTATTATCATTTCTAGAATGCTGGATATTCAATAATTGGATTATTTACCAGCATTTGAAATCATGATGGCTATGATATAAAAGGTGATTTGATTCTAATTCATGAAATCAAAAATCTAATTGAATAATGAAATTTGTATTCCCAATATTATTAGCTACTGTGCTCGGAGAGTTAACTATAAGGTCAACTTCAATCTCATCTATCAATACATGTACAAGCTCAGCACCAGTTTTACCATCTGCAAATTTAGGATATTATGGAAATAATTCAATTGAAGCTATTCCAAGTACAAGTTCAAAATCCAAGAGTATTAAATATGAATATGAGACTGATTATAATACAGATATAATTCAAGCTTCAAAGACAATATGTGATAATCAAAACAATTGTTATGTAACTACTGATTTAGAAAGTTTAACTACGTTTACAACTACTGTTAATGGTATATTGACAGTTATCACAACTCATGTTCCTGTTGAAACTCCTGAACCATTATCACAAACTCAAGCTCCTGTACCAGTTACTCATGCTCCTAATACTGAAGAAGATGTGTCAACTACTACTTTGTTAATTACTTCTTGTTTTGATAATAATTGTGTTTCATTAACTCAAGTTACTGGTTATAAAGTTTATACTAGTGATGAAACTATATATACTACTTATTGTCCCTTAAGTACAGTAACAGAGATACCAAAATCAATAGAAGATTTAAATTCAGTGCAAGGTCAAGAAAGTATTCACGTTGAAAAACCAGCTACTGAATCACAACCTCAAGAAGCTTCAAAAGTTACTCAAGCTCCAATTTCAAGTGTTGGTACTGTTACATTATATGGTACTACTGTTTTAACAATCACATCATGTTCAAATGAAAAATGTACACAAATTGCAAAACCTACAGGTGTTCAAATTATAAGTAATGAAAAAACAGTATATACAACTTATTGTCCATTAAGTGAGGAAACTACAAAATCATCAACTACTTCAGTTCCAGCGCCAGCTCCAAAACCAGTTGAATCTGAAATGGTATCCTCACCAGTAACAATTAATGTAATTACAGATAATATCGTTACTGAAACACCATCAATTCAAGAACAAGTTTCTAAATCAACTATTGATTCGCAAAGTACTAATGTTTCTGCAGTTTCTGCTCCTTCTATAAGTACTACATATGAAGGTATAGCTGCGGTTACAAGTGTAAGTGGTATATTGATTTCTTTAATTTTCTTCATGATATAGTAAATTTATAGTTTTCGGTTTATATGTTCTAATAGATTAATGTTATATTAATGATGTTTAACTGTTTTGACTCTCTAATGATAACTAAATTGCTTTCGATCATTCGTTTTAAACAAAGTGATCGTTGATAAAATGTTAAAATATGACTCAAAAACTTTGTAACGAACCAATCCAGGCAATGGTACTACAAAGTAGATTTCTATTGTTTTATTTAAGTAATGATGACAGTTTTAGGTTATTGTTAAGTCCGTAAAGTCTAAATGAAAGCTTCATTTAGGTGATTTATAAAGTCCATTTTTGAGCCTTTAAAGAGCAATAACTCACAAAATATTGAGTTTGAAACATAACATGTCTAACAAACTTTCATTACTTCACTTTGGAGATCACAATGATATAGCTCTCTTGTGTAGACGGTATTGATTTTTTTTTTTTCGATGGTATTGGTTGAAGTTATTGACGTATTTAAAATTCGGTTCGAACGAAGAGAAGTTGGGTCGAAAAGTATAAAAATAAACTATAAAGATAGTACACAAAAAAATTACGAATATGCAATCTGTTGACCTACGTTAATACTGGGGTTTAATTGCAATTTCAGCATGGTTGAATCGATATACTATGCAGATAATGACTTTTGATTCTATGTTTATTTTGTGACTTTTTGGAAATAAGGAATTTCTAGCCTTAGATTGAAAATATTGACCTCAAAAGCACACAGTTCCCTCTTCTCTGAGTTAAAAACTGATAATCTTATTTGAACATAGTTGTAAAGATAGTTTACCTGTAGCTTAGATTTCAGCTTATGGTGAGGTTTCTCAATTCTTAAAATCCTAAGTAGAGCTGACAAACCATAACTAAATTTATTTCAAACGTATATATTACATCCTTAAACTAGGCTTATTATTCTAAGGCATCCTTACACACTCTTCAAATCAATACCGTAAACTTTCAAATCACCAACATTAACCACCCTATCAAATCGAAAATAAACATCTTGTCCATCAATACCAAAATTAATAAATTCAATAGGTAATTTAATATGATTAATTCCACCTTTTAAACCCACGGAACTTATAATTTTAAATTTACATGCGATTCGTCCTTCAAAACTGTCATAGGGTATTGAATCAAATCCAATTTTCTTACTTGGTTTAAAACCAATTTTCACCTCCACATTATCCAGACAGGTGAGTAATATATCAGTTGGGATAATTGGTTTATTTAATCTTATACCTACTTCTTCTCCTTCTTTCCATTCAATTTCATCATTTAGTATAATATGATTAGCATTATATTCATCATTAGTTTCATACCACCACCCATAAAGCAACTTGTTTAATAATGGTGTGTTGTTATGTTTTGTTGTTAGGAAGCCTAGTATACGGGCACCTTGTTGATACGGTGCATAATTTATGAAATTTGATCTCTCTGAAATGAATTTGAGTCGAGAGTTTTCATAATACTCACTCGATTCTTCTTTTGGTGGTTGCAATATTGGTTCCGGAATTGGTTTAAGCTGTTTTTCCTTTGTGAGTTCAGTTTTTAGTTGGTTTAATTTTTTATCAATTTCTGAATTTTGATAATTGTGTATGAATTTAGATAAGAATTGATGAAAATCAGGCAGGATTTGAATTTGGCCATTCTTATTACTAATTGCTGACTCTGTTGATAGTTTCTGGTTAAATTTGTTCATTTCATGTTGTAGATTTTGGATCATTTGTTGATTGTTGGCTAGTTGTTGATTTAATTGACTTATTTGAGAATCATAATCTCTCGTTATTATATCAGGTATCTTGATACTTATTGGATATTGACTTAGATAATATAATATAGCAATTAGAATAGTCAAAACAAATGAAATAAAACCTAAATATACCGGCCTTGCGAATTTCGATTTTTCTTCTTTTACATTTCCTACTTCTCGTAAGTCAAAATCAGATTTCCTCCTTCGTTGTCTCAATGTCTCGTAATCTTCATCATATTCTGGAGTTTCTATTTTCTCCACTGTTCTTTTTGGACTAATTATATCAGGTTCATCATCTTCCGAAAATTCTTCCTCATCTAAATAAGTAATCTCACTTTCATCGTCGACTTCACTTGCAATATAATCATCATCTTCTTCTTCTTCTTCTTCTTCTTCTTCATCTTCATCATAATTTGAATTAATTATATACTCTAAATAACTTCTATTTAAATATTCTGCATTTATATCAATATTTCCATTTTGCTTTAATGCTTCTTTTATATTTTGATCAATTGATTTGTGTTTGTAAGGAGATGATCGTAGCGACTTTCTTGGTGAACTATTCCTAATTGAATCTGTATCATCTATGAATCTAGGTATATTTGGAAAATCAGACATCAAATTATAGAATTGATTACTCGTATAAACAATTTGTTTGTTTATATAAATTTTTCCTCGTGATTCGAAACAAAATAAAATATATTAAGCGATCACTATAATATAGCTATAAATTGATAGTAGAGAATGACTAATGACTTGCAACTCGAATCTTAGATTATAATCTTTTCAATAATGTTTCAGCACTCGAAATTTCAGTAAAATTTAATTCATTTTCAGACTCAAGGTATTTAATCTCTCCATTTTCAATAATACCAGCATATCTTTGACTTCTAACACCTAAACCACCTTTAGATAAATCAGCAATATAATCTGATCCTAAAGCCTTTGCGATACCTAAATCAACATCATGAGCAAAAATTATGTAATTAGCTGGATCTTTTACACCTAAAGCTTTACCCCAAGCTGACATAGCAAATGGATCACTAGCTGATAAAACAATTATTTTATCAACTCCTTCAGATTTAAATTGGTCAATATGTTTTATATAATCTGGGATGTGTTCTTCAGTACATGTTGGACTAAAAGCAAATGGAACTGAAGCAATTACAATTGTTGAATCTTTAAATAAAGATTTTAAATTTAAATCGACAGGAGCTCCACAAGAAACAATTGATTCATGTTCTTCACTAAATGGAATATATTTAGGAGATGGACTAGTTGGAAAATCTTCTGAAGACATATTTAGTTATTTGTTGCTAATAAGAAAAAGGGATCGTGGGAAATTACGCGGGTATTTATACGATTTGAAATCGCAAACGTTTTTTTTTTTTTTGGAGTTCGGACTTTAAATTTACACGCCGAAGTTTTTAATTTATACTATTACATCACTATATTGCTTTGAGAGTTAGCTGAGTAATGGCCGTGGCCGTAGGAATTGGACCAATTATGATAGAATACGGCGGTTTAATTGGTTTGATCTCGGGCTAACTTGGCTTAAATCTTACTCGTTGAATCCCTTATTTTTGCTCTCTTGATGACCTCTGGCAAAGCTTAAATTTTCTAACCACTTGATTACACACACAATCTTAAATAACTATTTTTCTAATGATATAACTATTGCTCAATCAATTTGATATCTTAACTTTTATTTGGGATAATTTTGTTGTAATTGTAAAGGTACCGGTAACTATATTAGAAAGTTTTGAAATCTATTTCTTTATCTTGTTTTACAATTGCCATTACAATATTTAAGCTTGAAAAACCACTTATTACTCCATTTTGTTTATTATCGCTGTGTAGTTCGCTGTGTAGTAATATCATCAATACCTCTTTGAACCAATAGTTAGAGTTAATCATAGCTAATTAAGATAGTAGACGACAATTACGATTATGTAGATGTATATTTCTTCCAAAAATATGTTATTAATTAATTTAACAACAAATCTTCGATTTAGAAGATTTTCGGGGAATAGATCTATGTGCTTTGGATTTACGAGATCTATTTTTCAAACGATGCGATGGGTTTAAGAGATCGAGATCTATAATTAACAATGTTCAAGTTTAACAACGCAACCTACATATATAACAAACGCCAAAACATCTTAGATCATATTTTCATTCATTTCTCACAATCAAAATCTATTAATCACTAATACATTTTTTTATTGACACTCAACTGAATAATTGTTCTAGTTTAATCAGAGAAAATTAAATATTTCATTTAACATAAATTTGAAATTGCACTCTATAATCAGTACAGTATCTTAAATAATAATATCTCATCTTATATATTTAATTAATGAGATTAAACTACCTATAAAACCACCAATATAACCACCAACTAATAACGTAATTGGCCATTGTTGCCAAGGTCTATCCCAATCCAAAGGAATAGGAATAACACCTAACCAACACCCACCAAGACTTAATAAAACCATAGATAAAATTGAATTTGTAAAAATTGAAGAATAAATATTATCTAATTTAAACAACTTTGTAAATTGATTTAAATCTAAAGTGTATAATATAATTAAAGGACTGAATATCAATTGTGAAAGATGTAATGATAAGTAAAATGTCTTGACTGAATATTTATAAATTGGAGCACCAAATAAAACAAGAATAACATGTAATGGAATTGCCAATACCAAACTAATAAATATTGATGAAATTAATAATAATGAAAGATTAACATTTGTCGAATTCTTCTTTGGTAAATGTTTAAATATTATATAATTATAAATGAATTGAATTGGAATAGATGTGATATATGATTTCAACATTATTGATTCTACATCTTTCGTTATTCCAAATTTAAACATTCCATAGATTATAATAAGATTATGAAATGGTATAACTGAAATTGGATTTTTGATGGATGGTACTACATTATCAACAATACTTAATTCTTTTTCCTTCTTTGATGATTCTTTATCTATGAAACTAACTGATTTCTTAGTATTCCCTGATCTTTTTTGAATACTAGTCATTGTTTGATTATTTATCAACACGAAAAATAAAATCTGAATTGGAAAAAAATTTATACGAAGAACGAACGACTGGATCAATTTAAACCAAATGGATGTATATAATGAATTTATAAATCCTTCAAGAATAAACAACTGTGTTGGTTGTAATTTCACAACAACAAAATCAAAACAATTAATAGTTGCAAAATCATCAATTTTAGAAATATTTGAAATTATTCAAACGACAACCAAAACTTCCAAATTAAAATTAATTGATCAATTTAAATTACAAGGTACTATTACAGATTTAAAAGCTATTAAAACTATTGATTCTGATTTAGATTATGTCATTGTTTCTACAAAATTTGCTAAATTTTCAATTATTAAATGGGATAATTTTTCACATACAATTCAAACTGTATCTTTACATTATTTTGAAAATTGTATACAAAATTCAACATATGAGAAATTAGGTATAAGTGAATTAATAGTAGAGCCAACATATTCCTCAGTTGCTTGTTTAAGGTATAAGAATTTATTATGTTTTTTACCATTTGTTGTTGATATTGAAAGTGATTCAGATATCGATGAAGATGATATAGATGATGATAATTATGAACCAAAAATAAAAGAAAGAAATGAATCTTTTTTTAATGAAAGTTTTATTATCGATGCAACTAGTCTCGACTCCTCAATCGGTAATGTAATCGATATGCAATTTTTACATAATTATAGAGAACCTACAATTGGTATACTTAGTTTAAAAAATCATGCATGGGCAGGCAATTTAATTAAAAATAGAGATAATGTAGAATATCATGTATTAACATTGGACTTACAATCAAAAACTACATTATCAGTTTATAAACATGAAAATTTACCTTATGAAGTAGATAGAATAATACCATTACCAAAGCCATTGAATGGTGGTTTATTAATTGGATGTAATGAGATATTACATGTTGATAATGGCGGGATAATTAAACGTATTGCATTAAATCAATTTACTCAATTAACTACTGGGTCATTTAAAAGTTATCAAGATGAGACTCAATTAAATTTGAAATTAGAGAATAGTACAGTTGTTCCTATTCCAGATGATAATCGTGTGCTTTTCATATTAAAAACTGGTGAATTTTATATTCTTAATTTTGAAATGGATGGGAAATCAATAAAGAAAATATTCATAGAACAAGTTGATTTTAAAATGTATCAAAATATACAATTTACGTATCCTGGTGAGTATGCAATATTAGATAAAAATTTAATATTTATTGCTAATAAAAATGGAAATAGTCCATTAATACAAATTAAATATCGAGATAGTCTTAAAATAATTAAAAAAGAAGATGATGATGAAATTTTAGATGAAGAAGATGAAGAATTATATAAAAGTGAAGAGGAAGAAGAACAACAACATAAAATACTATCTAAATCACATATAGAATTCATTTTTCAAGATTCTTTAATTAATAATAGTCCAATTTCATCTTTTACATTAGGTTTTTCAAGTCAAACCAAGTTCAAATCAAATCTTCCAAATCCATCATATAAACAAATGTCAATAATCGCAAATGCAGGATCGAACAAACAAGGGAAATTAAATATAATAACACCAACAATTCAACCTATTATATCTTCATCATTGACATTTTCACAAGTTAATAGAATGTGGAATTTAAATCAAAAATATTTAATAACTTCAGATGATGTAAATTTAAAATCTGAGATATTCCAAATTGAGAAAAGTTATTCACGTATGAAATCAAAAGATTTTATAAATAATGAATTGACAATCAATATGCATGAATTAAATAATGGAAAATTTATATTACAAATTACTCCAAAACAGATGCAATTATATGATAATAAATTTAAAAAAAGATTAAGTTTAACTTCAGAAATTAAAGATGATGAAATTTTGAGTTCAATTCTTAAAGATGAATTTTTAATGATTTTTTTAGCAAGTGGTGATGTTATGATATTTGCAATAAATACATATAATGAAACATATTTAAAGATCGAAATTCCAAAATTATTAGATGATACAATTATAACTACTGGATATATAACTAACTCCAACTTATTATCTGTAGTGACTAAAGATGTTTCAGTATTAATGAAGAAGAGAAAACATACAGGTAATCCAGTTCAACAACCACTGAATGTATCTAAATCCAAGACTTTTGTTTTAGTCACTGGTGATAATCGAATAGTAGCATTTAATAGATTTCATCAAGAGAAATGTTTTCAACTAAATGGGATTGATAAATTTATGGATACTATTAATCTTGGATTTTTTGATCCTAATCAAGGTGAGATAAATCCTCTTATTAAACAAGTTTTATTAACTGAAATTGGTGATAAGTGGAACAAGGATGAATATTTAACTATTTTAACTATTGGTGGTGAAATATTCATGTATAAGTTATATTTCGATAATGAAAATTGGTCATTTAAAAAGATAAATGATTTGAAAATTACCGGAGCTCCAGATAATGGATTCAGTCATGGAACTTCAATTGAAAGAAGACTAGTATATTTCCCTAACCTAAATGGTTATACATGTATTTTCGTAACTGGTGTTATTCCATATTTGATACTCAAGTCCCTCCATTCCATACCTAAAATATTTCAATTTTCAACCATTCCAGCAGTTTCAATATCTGAATTTTCAGATTCAAAATCAGTCAAAAATGGATTGATATTCTTGGATGATGAACAAAATGCAAGAATTTGTGAATTACCATTAGATTATAATTATGAATTTAACCTTCCCATAAAAACAGTTGAGATTGGAGAAAGTATAAAACAGGTAGTTTATCATGAATCATCAGACACGGTAATCATATCCACATACACTGAGATACCTTATAATTGTGTAGATGAAGAGAATAAACCAATAGTAGGAACATATAAAGATAAACCGCCAGCAAATTCATATAAAGGTTCGCTTAAATTAATATCTCCATATAATTGGACAGTCATTGACTCGATTGAATTGAAAGATAATGAAGTTGGAATGAGCTTAAAATCAATGATACTTAAGATAGGTGCATTCAAGCGTGAGTATATTGTTCTAGGAACAGGTAAATATCGTATTGAAGATTTAGCAACTAATGGTTCTTTTAAAATATTTGAAATTTTAGATTTGATTCCTGAGCCAGGTAAACCTGAAACAAATCATAAATTTAAACAAACATTTAATGAAGATACAAGAGGTGCAGCAACGAGTGTATGTGAAATTAGTAGTAGATTTATGATCACACAAGGTCAAAAGATTATAATTAGGGAACTTGAAGATGATGGTGTGGTTCCAGTTGCATTTCTTGATATTCCTACATTCGTAACAGATTCGAAATCGTTTGGAAATTTACTCCTTTTGAATGATTCACTTAAGGGGCCTTGGTTGATTGGATTTGATGCTGATCCATATAGAGCTCTCAAGTTTGCTACAACAGGATTTCAATTCAATGTTGAAGTTGGAGAATTTTCAAATTTTAAAGATGAGTTGTATTTAACTGTGGGTGATAATAATTCCATTTTATATACGTTGAATTTCGTTCCAGAAGAAAGTAGATTAAAGATTAGAAATTCATTTAGATTGAATTCTCAAATTACGGTCCTTGAGAAAGTGGAATTTGAAGATTCATTTTATAATATTGGTGCTTGTTTAGATGGTTCTTTTTTTAAATTTTTTAAAATTCATGAACGAGCTTATAAACATATGTATTATTTACAACAACAAATCACAAGTAAGAATTATTCATATTGTGGTTTAAATCAAAAGAGTTATAGGTTTGATAATATTGATACTAAATCAACAATTGAAAATCAGAATCCAATTTTAGATTTTGAAATTATTAAAAGTTTTACTAAATTGAATGATTTGAAAAAGAAGGCTATTGCTGCTAAAGTGGGGAAATTGGCTGATTTATATGAGGATATATTGATGATTGAATTGATTTAATATATATAACAGTATTCATATTGTGGTTTAAATCAAAAGAGTTATAGGTTTGATAATATTGATACTAAATCAACAATTGAAAATCAGAATCCAATTTTAGATTTTGAAATTATTAAAAGTTTTACTAAATTGAATGATTTGAAAAAGAAGGCTATTGCTGCTAAAGTGGGGAAATTGGCTGATTTATATGAGGATATATTGATGATTGAATTGATTTAATATATATAACAGTAAATGTAGTATAAATCTGATTCTCTTTGCATTTTTATAACTTTTTAAGAGGCATAATGTTTTACAAGCTCTGATTGGATGACCTTTGACTTACGCTACCAAGTGTGTTAATATTCAGAATCATAAAGTTTTCAATTAAGATTAGATAGCGAGTACTGTCTGAGATATATGACTTAAGTATGCTGCAGAATATGTGGTACATTTGTATATATCGTTTATTATAAGAGTATTCTTTAGATTGAAAGATACACAGACTTTTACTTTTATTTTTCGAAAAATTTTTGTATGGTGAATAGCGGCCAAAATGACAACTCTAAAAAAAAATCTTAAATCTTAAAGTCCAAGTAACTAGAATATATAATTGAAAAATCCTGATTTCATATAAATGGTTCCCATCTTGAGAGAAGATGTTGTTCAGGGCATAAAAGCCAATATGTTTAGTACGGATCGCCCTAAAAATAACGCCAAGAGCAAACATTGTAGCACCAAATCGTCGCACTGAAAAATACTTAGAATAATTTTGGTACAATTTTGCTTATATGCAGTCCTATAATAGTCAGTAATCGATTTTGAATTACGAACAACACCATCAATAAACACGTTTTCTCTTTCAAACTAGCTTTTTTATAATTTTCTAACTGTTTGGAGTAAATTTATGGCAGTATGCTTTGGATAAATTTAGTATTGATGATTTTATTCTACATTTAAAAAATCACAAAAAACGCTATTTTGTGAATTAACTAACACTTGGACCTCATTTAGCAACTTCCAATATAGCTGAAATAGTTCATTTTACTTTAAAGCTTTTAACTATAGTATTTTTAAGACTTCAAATTTGGTTTGAATTTTTTACAAAAATTTCGAAAGGTCTCTGAAAAATTATCTTTTCAATTTTGAATACCTAGAAACAAACATGTCCAAGATTTTATTAATATGCTGAACTACATAGTTGGATAATTTTGTAAGACTTTAGTTTAAACATTCTTTGTGAAATTGAATTTTCCGTATTGTCAATTTATTCAATTTTGTCCGTACTTAAGAGAAATTTTCGAAACTTTTCAATTCTTGTATAGAGCAACTAGAAGTAAGTTCAGCACTATTTATTGATTTACAGCATATATGATTGGCCATTTGGCCGTTTGATCGAAAGTTATGGTCCTAAACAAAAAGATATATATAGATTTACATTTTTGAAAACTGTTTGTAAGTTCGAAAAAAATTGTTCAGTTTTGACAATTTTGAATGTATAGCATATATAACCCAAAGCTCCTGAATTTAAGAAATCGGACTTATCTCGAAACATTTTCTTGTTTATTACATATGCACCAATGAGCTGAGTACGAGTCGCCCTAAAGCTAGCGCGAGAAATTATTTTCTTATCGCGTTGAACAAAATAAAGGACGAGAACAGAATAGTCAATGTCCGTGTTTATACCAGAGCAAGGGCAGATTTCGCATGAAACTTTTTTTTTCCTCGACCCCATGGCTAAAAAGTATACGTCCTTCGTCCGGATTTAGCATTTCAATTTCATAAGTATAATCATAGCTGGCAAAGTTTTCAATTTATAGAATCTCATAAAACGGGCATTCCATATGCATGATTTTTAACCAATCCGTTGTTTAATTAAGCTTTAAAATAGCTATTTAGACCAATCTTGAAATTTAAGATAACCGATTAGGATTATCAACTTGCAATTGTTGTCAAAATCATGCCGTTCCAAAGACTAGTTTAAAATTACAAATTTTCAGTGTAAGCCATGGAGCCGTGTATTTTTAGTCAAAATTTTAGTCGTTCCAAATACAGGCCTTGAGTTAGCAAATTTTCAGTCTAGGCCATGGAGCCGTGTAGATATATGCTATCTAAATACATCACTTTAAAGCTCTTTATTGTAAAGTATAAATAGAATCTATTTTTGGTGAAAACATAAAAAAGCATTAATTATCTATTGTTTTTCAAAATTAATTTCCTCATTATTAACGTTCATAACTTTATCATTGCTTGTGCTTTAACTATTGCTTCCGTTACTGCAACTATTATTAACAATCCACATTCTGGAGTTTGTTCTGGTTTAGTTGGTAACCCATTAGAAGAATGTCAATCTAGTGGACTCAAGAAATAGACTAGTACAAATAAGGTCAGAATTGAAAGTTTGAAGCTGCTCTAGAAGTTTAAAACTTTATTTTTTATTTATATTAGGTTAGAATATATAATTTAATATTCTTTTAATCAACTAAAACTCTTTCTTTCTCCTTAAATGATTATTATCAAACTCTTTCTTTCTCCTTAAATGATTATTATCAAAGGACCTTTCATTACTGTTTCAAATCACTTATGTTAATAAGAAAGAAGAAGTGGTTGTGTTCTACATAGTATATGTAAGATAGTGTGACATTTAAAATCTTGGCATTAGACCCTTCGGTAAAAAAGAAAATTTCTTAAGGAGATCTGAGAACTAAGAAATTTTGCAAACGATCTGACACTTGAAACAAGAAAATTCAATAGTAATAGAATTAAAATATTAACTCGAAATTAATTTATTAATAACTAAACAGAACCTAAATAAATAACCTAAAATTATATGTAATATGTAAAATGTGAAATAAGAATGCAAAAAAATAATACCATTAAGAAATAGAATTTATATATTTCAAATCACTTAGTAGCATTAAGTAGATTCTCCATATACAAAAACAATAACTAATAAAATAAAAGTCTTTATATGAAATTCGAAAATAATTGTAAAAAAATCAAATTTTTAAAATTAACCAATTTATAATAAAGCACCTAAAGCTAATAAACCAGCAGCGACTGGAGCAACAACTTTGGCACCTGAACCTTCAGCTGCAGTGACTGATGGGGCTGAGGTAGCTGGGGCTGATGATGATTGAGCTTCAACGGTTTGTGGAGTTGATGAAGCAGCTGGTTTTGATTCTTCAGCTTCTGATGAAGGAGCTGGAGCTGGAGCTGAAGGAGCTGGAGCTGATGAAGCTTGGGATTCTTCTGAAATTGGACAGTAGGTAGTGTAAGTGGTTTCTAATTCAGTAACAGTAGTTAAACCAGTGGTAACAGCGGTTTCATGACATTTGTTTTCTTCACATGAAGTGATAGTAACAACAGTGGTTTGAATGTCAGTAACGGTACCGTTAGTGTAAACAGCTAATGATGAACCAGCGACAGTAGATAATAAAGCAACTTGTGAGAATTTCATTGTAATAAGCGAGTGAAGAATTGATTGATATAATAAAGAAGAAAAGAATTTACCAGAAACTGGCGATAATTGAATCTTTATATAGTAAAAAAAAATAGAATAAAAATAAAATAAGAACGAAAATTTTTTTATTTCCAACTAAAATAAAATCAAAACAAACAAACAAATAGCAATTCATACTAATAATGCGTAATGAGTAATTGAAGTTATGGTTGTGAACTATTACTATAATGGGATCCAACATAATTACAATGCAGTATCACATGACACAAACAGTAGCAAAATTCCTTCTATATCATTCTGTTATAAGAAAATCGAATGATGAATTGTTGAACAGAATAAATTCGACCTAACACCTCCTAACTACAATCTCTTGTTCTAAAATATAATGATGCTGTAGTTGTGAAGGTAATAAATTGCCTCATTATTTTATTCAATTACTCCTAAAAAGAAAGTTCAAGTTTACTCCTTAAAATCTTTCCACATTTGTTTAATGTTAACCTTAAAATAGTAATTCAAAGGTTGAACAATCAACACTCATAACTTATTAGAATTTCTCTTTTATTGTAACAATTACTACTGAAGAGGAGAGATTGTTTAGATTAATGCAAATTAGACAAAATCTATTGTATGCAATTGTTTATAATTTAATCATACAAATATTTCTAAAAATAACTCTCTATTGTTAATTTCCTGTAGTTATCACACTACTCATAATACGTAGTTTGAATAGTTTCATACTATACCTGTGTCAAAGGTTAATTTTGCAACAATTGTCCAAATTTTTAAGACTCGAACGTTTTGAAAACAAGACAATTGGAATTGTTTATTCAATTTTGCAACCAGCTTAATTTGTAACTTATTCTCTGCTTGTTAGTGGCTTGTTTTGTTCTTTTTGACATATTCTTTAGAGATCAAGAAAAGAAAAAAATAAGAAAATAATATTATGAACTTTGATTTAATCTGAAGATCTCTCAATGAAATCATAAAAGCTTGATTTAAGGAACATAGGAATGAATGTCAATAATGTCAATAATGTCAATAATGTCAACACTTTTCTTGATTGCAACTTGAATCAACTGATTTCTGTTTCCTGTTTATTTATTTTGATTCGTAATTTGTTGTTATAGTAAACAAACTTGAAACAATTTCCAATTATTCCAGTCGGTGCCGCTCAATTAGAACTAATGAAACAATTTTGAACATTAGTCAATATCTACAGTAATTACTAAATTTATTTGTTTACTCTGTTGTTTGTTTTGAAATTTCGACGTGGATAGTACAAAATTGAATAGCATAGTCGTGTAATTTACAATGTACATCGTCTAATTTTTTTAGTCAGAATTTTAATTTTTCCAATATTTGATTAAATTCCGCTTTATTTTAATAAAATATAGAAGTATTTTTTTAGGTTTTTGTAACTAAAGCCACGATCTTGAAATGTTGCAAAAGCAAAAGATAGCAAATTAAAATGGCTGCAAATTTTAATAAATGAGCGAATAAGTTATCAATTATCGGTGTTGTTCTCTCAAACGAAACATCATTGAAAGAATATTGTGTAGAAGTGTCTAATAGTATTTTAGTAGATTCTGATAACTCGGTTTTAATGAATTTTCTGTGATTATTTCTCTTTTGTTGCATTTTGGTAATTTTTTGAAGATTATGGATATTATGTAATGAATAAGATCTTTAAATTGCTTCCCTAAACAAGCATAAATTTTATCAATAATTAGTCAAAATTACTTAGAGAGTCAAAATAACTTAGAGAGTCAATTAAAGTCAATCAACAACGAATATGAGTTAAATGATCAATACAACTGCATTCTCTAGTCTATATTATAATTCGACTGCACCAGGACACAAGTAGTTTAAATCTCAGGCCTAATTTTTAGCTGCTAATTAAATTACAATTCAGCACAATATTATGCATATAACTAGATCTATCAGCTAGTCTTTATGATATAAGGGTATTCAGAGATATGATATTGCTGCTAATCAAACGAAACTAAATTCAATAAACAAGAAAAAAAAACTTTTATTCTACAAATTCTAGTATACACTAACTTCCTCCATCTTATTTCAAATATAATTTAAAAGTTGCAATTTCAAATGCCTTCAATTCAATATCAACTTTACCATCTTTACCAATTTTCAATTCCTCAATATCTCTTTCCAAACCACAAGTTTTAAAAACAGATTTAACACCAAGTCCTTTATCCAAAACAATTGTACCATTACTTTTACCTCCCAAAGCTTCATACACACGAAGAACTAAACTCTTTTCACCTTTCTTAATTAATGATTTATAATTACTTATTCCATCATCATATTCACCTCTTTTAACATGACTTAATACCAAACTACCTTCAGTTTCCAATTTAATCAAATTAAACAATTCACTGTCATAACTTTTTTTTGGAACCAATTTATAATTGAAATTCCATCCCAATTTAACTGTATCCATACTTAATGGACCATTATGTGGATATATTGCATATTCGAAATGATGAGTACCCATATCTGCTTTATTATCAGGAGCTTTAGGCGATCTTAATAATGATAATCTCATTAAATTTCCATGAATTGCAGCTCCATATTTTGAATTATTCAAAATTGAAACACCATAATTATATTCACTTAAATCCATAAATTTATGATGACAAACCTCAAATCTTGCAATATCCCAAGTAGTATTAAAATGAGTTGGACGTGAAGTTAAACCAAATTGAGTTTCATAATTTGCATTAAGAGTAGTGTTCAAAGTGATTGGAAATTGAACTTTAAGGAATTTATAAGTTTCATGCCATTCAACAGTTGATGCAAATTTGACAAAAGAATTTGAATGTTCTTGATTTGAACCAGCTAATGAAATTGTAGTTTTAATATGCGAGTCGGCTGATATTTTATGAGTTACGATAAGTGAAGATTCAAGTTCGTCATTGGTCAAAATTTCAACATTTGATCCAGTTAATAATTTAAATTTTTCAAGGGAATATAATTCAGTATCCCAAGCTGGGAAATTCAATGGTTGATCATCAAATAATATAAATTGATTACCTCCAATATATTGATTATCTTGATATGTTTGATTTGTCTTGGTGGTGTCTATTATTTCACGTTGATTGACTTCATCATATAAACTTGTTAAAATACCAGTATTTGAAATTTTAACAGTTAATAATTTATTTGAAAGAATGAAGAACGAATCGTTTCTGGTGATACTTGCTGGATATTTTAATTTCTTATTGAATTGAGATTTACCAGAAACATGATCAACTGAAACTTTTAAAACCCTATCATTGGATAATATTCCTACTTTGTCTTTCTTTAATTGAGCAAATAATTCTTCATCTTGTTCTTTTTCAACATGAATTATTTCATTATATCTATCCCATGGTAATGTATTTACAACTGATGGAGAATTTGATTTTTCTTTACCTATTCTCAAAGCTTTAAAAGTGAGAAGGTCAACTTCTTTCAACAATTTAGTCAACATTGGATAGACCTCATCATAGTAAACCATGCCTATACAACTACCAGGTAATACATCATGAAATTGACATAAACATAAATTTTCCCATAATATTCGTAATTCTTTACTTGGATATTGATAATCTTTAGGATATTTTATACTTGTTAAACTTGCAATTAATTCTAAATCATGTAATTTAATCTCACCTAATCTCATAAATTTTTTAATATTTGCTTGAGTAGTATATGTACCTCTATGAAATTCAAGATAGATTTCACCTGTCCAAGTAGGTAATTCTGAGCCTTGATTACTGTTTTCTAAAATATGATCATAAAAATCATCTATAGTTACACCTAATTCAACGGTTGGTATTAATCCATTTGTATTTGCTAATCCTCTACATCTTCTTAATTTTTCAATCATTTCTGGAGTTGGACCACCGCCACCATCACCAAAACCATAAAGTAACAAAGAAGTTGGTACATTTCTCATATTTTTATTTTGTGTACTCGATCTAACTACATCTCCAAAATGTGCCAATGCAGTATATGTATTTGCAGGAGGCATATGAACAAGCACTTGAGATCCATCAATTCCCTTCCAATTAAATGTAGATAATGGAAATGTATTTATATTATTCCATGATAACTTTTGCGTTAAAAATTTTTCAATTCCTACAATTTGACAAATTTGGGGAATTTGTGAACTATATCCAAATGTATCAGGTAACCAAAAAACACCACTTTGAAAACCAAATTCTTCTAATAACCAATTTTGACCTAATAAGAATTGTCTAATTAATGATTCACCATTTGGTAAATTAGTATCATTTTCAACCCATGATCCACCAATAGGTATAAATTGATTCAATTTAAATTTTTCATGAATTTGATCCAATATTTCTGGATGTAATTCTTTTAACCATTTAAATTGTTGCATTTGAGAAGCTACAAATACATATTCAGGGTATTCATCACAAATTTTCAATTGTGTTGTCCATGATCTAACTATTTTACGTTTTGTTTCTGCAAATGGCCATTCCCAAGCAGTATCAATATGACAATTACCAACTCCAAATACATCAATACGTGGAAATGGATTTTTATTGAAAACTTCATCTGAATTAATATCAGAACCCAAAATTTGTTGTGCCAATTTTCTACAATCCTTGATTGAATTTACATTTTCTGGATCAAATACATTCATTATTCTATTTGCAACATCAGCAGCTTGATATTTTTGCCATGCACCATTTGGAAATTCTCTTGCAGCATCACCTATAATCCAAAAATCATAAAATAATCTCCTAGCTTCGAGGTTTGGTACTACTAAATGAGCTTTATTTAATCTGAAATATCTATTTGGATCAGGTTCACCTTCTGCTCCATTTCCAAACATACCATTACATGCAACTTCAATAAAAAAGACCTGTGGTTTAGTTATTCTATATTGTTCAGGTAAACTGAAAATATTTCTATCACCACCTGTAAATGCTTGTAATGGTAATCCATCACTATTATAAATTAAACCTTCACTTGACGAATCCCATTCAATTTCTAAACCTTCATATTTTAAATAATCTTGAGGTATTATTAATTCAAATTTAACCCACCATGATTTCCATGAAGGTCCAAACATAAAACCTAAACCAATATCTTGCCATTCAACTTCTTTAAAATTTATATCTTTAAATAATGGACGTAATGTTTTACCATCTTTATCATCTGGTACTTTCCATGCTTTTAAATTTGATAATTGCGTTCGTTTAATATCATAAAATTTAGTTAAATTTAAATTATGATATTGACCACCAGTATCAGTAAATTGTCTTAATCTATCTACATATAAATGATCAATTGGTTTAAAATTAGGTTGATGATTAAAACTTGAATAACTCATGATTCAACCTAATAACAATAAACTTGGTTGTCAAACTGAATATAATATTTTATGGGGGTTGGAAATAAAAAGTAAAAAATAAAAAATCAAAAATCAAAGGGGGTTTGGCGATAAAAAAATACTTATATGCAGGAAAATTCTATGTCCGATAAAGATAAAGAGAGAATGAATAAACCACCACCGCATATCAATATAATAGTATCATAGTAGTGGTTATATATTTAGTAGTATTCTATTACATCAATTATTACATCAATTACTGAGTATGTACTTCTTTATCTTCTTCTACATTTGCAATTTTATCACTATGTTTACCTAATGATTCAGCAGAAATAATATCTGGTAAATGAACAGAAAAACCTTTAATTAATGAAAATTCATTAGTAATTTTACCACCTAATTCTTTAACTTTATCTTTAATTGAATTAACTTCACCATCAGTAGCATCTTCTTTTAAAGTAACGATATAACCTTTACCTTCAGCCATAATATTTGTTTTATCTGTTTTATTTGTTTTATTAGTTTTGAATGAAATTGAGTATTTAGTATAATTTAATATAATGAATGAAATTAAAGAGACTGAAATTAATAATATAATAAATTTCTTTAAATTAGAATTATTCATAAAAGAAAATGAAAGTTGAAAGGAAATTGAACCTGATTTATATTTTAGTATTGTGATGTGTTGTTATCAATCAATTAAGTAGTTAAACTGTGGAATTGATTATTGTTGTAGTATTGCTCTACTAAATTTTGTATCATTCAATTTAATTGCCCCAATTCCGTATTCCATATATATTATGTAATAAACGTGTGGTTATTACTTAATTTTCCATACATATTACGTAATAAACGTGTGGTCATTACTTAATTTCTTAATTTCTTAATTTCTTAATCGGTAGTGGGTAGTTGGTTGTTGGTAGTTGGTAGCTGTTGCAATAAATTTAATATGATGATCATAGATTATATTTATAAAGTATAAATATGTTAATTATATATGATAAATTTTATACTCCAATGGATAAATATTTAAATAAAGCTAAAAGAAAAGGTTTTTGGTTATATACTGGTATTATTTTAGTATCACTTGGTTATATAATGTATGAAATTTCAAATTTACCTGAATTACCACCAGATCCAAAAGATAAAAAGAACGAAACCATAAAAGAAGAAAAAGAAGAAAAAGAAGGAAAAGAAAAGAAACAAGATCATGTTATAGAATCAATCCCTCGTCGTAAATCTACTCATGCTGAAATTGAACAAGAAGAGGAGGTTGATTTAGGTCCTTCAAATCCCATCATTCCAATTGATCAAACTCATGAAGATGATCATATAATTTATAAATGGTCAAAAAAAAAATTATTTCAATTTTTATTTGATAATAAAATTTATCCTGATGTTAGTGAAAATTTAATAGTTATTAGAAAACAAGTTGTAGAAATTTATGAGATTAAAAAACAAAATAATGAATTGGATAAGAAATATTTATCTTAAATACTAGTTATTTAATGTTTAATGATGAGTTTATAATATTAGCTTGATTAATTAATGTATAATGAGGGTGATTAATGAATGTATAATGAGAGTGATTAATGAATGGCATATGTCTCCATAATGAGGGGTGATTGTAGTTTTATTCTATAGGGTATCTTTGTTGATTCGCGCGCTTATTGATGAATTGTAAAATGATTTTGCAACTAATAACCAAAAATATCGGTTCTTCGAGTTGGTATCATAGAAAAGTCTCTCTACATTTGAACAGAAATAGAACCTTTCACGGACTAGAGAGACTATAAAGATGTAGATGTAGATGTAGATTGAGATTCGATTTTGATTGTAGATAAACGAAAAAAAAGCCAAATCAAGAACTGGACCCACATAAATTTACGAGCTAGACAAATCATGAACTAATGAAGTAGTGTGTTATTTACAATCAAAACCACCCTTGTAGTTATATTTAGTGGTTATTATATCCAGTGGTTATTATATCAAGTACTTATTATATCTAGTGGTTATTATACCTGGTGGTTATTACATCTAGCGGTTATAATAGTTATATAACCATTAAAGTAGAAATTGTTGCAAGAAAAATAACTTATGTGGTAAAAAAATGTGCAACATATAAATTTGCAGCCAAATTCTCAAAATTCGATTTTTGTAGTTTCAATTTCATTCTTTAAACGAAATCACTTAAGTTTAAAGTCTATACTATACTTATAGTTAATTAATCTTATATCATAGCAAATATAAGAATATTTTAGTGTAAATGATGTCATTAAATGACGAATACATGATCTCACAGTTAAAAAAAACGTTGATTACCATGGAAAAAGATCAATCTAAATTATTGAGATAGATCAAGAGAATAGAGTTGGGGAGAGTTTGTTTAAATACTAACCTTACTAACCTCGACACAAGAGTCGAACGAATCAATCAACTTTTACCAAACAAGTATTAAAGAGTGAAAGTATCATGACAATTGAACAGCAAATCAATAATCGCTATTAACCAATTATAATTACATAGTTAGTGTGATTTTATAATAATTTGTCATCCCTTAAAAATCCAGAATTTAATAGTGTGTCAAAAGTACACTACCTTTTTTTGACCCAACCCACACATTTTTCATTTTTTATATAAAATTTATAATTTCCAATAAATTCTCTGAGAAATCTATACACATCTATCAATTTATTCTAATTATTTAATCATGGTTAAAGCTGGTATGTAACACAATTCAATATAAATCAATTGAGTTACAATTGTTATAATTGACTTATTTCGAATGGTTGCAAAATAATATCACAACAATGGCTGACAACAATAAAATAATAATATTAATTTGCTCATATTACTCCATTTGACAAGTTACAATTTGCTCAACATTTTACGACCAAAATATAATGAATTCTTACTAACGGTTATTTTTATCAGTTGCTGTTTTAAGAGGAGATTCAAAAGTTTCTGGTGTTGTTAAATTTGAACAATCTTCAGAAAATGAACCAACTACTATTTCATATGAAATTGAAGGTAATACTCCAAATGCTTTAAGAGGTTTCCATATTCATCAATTTGGTGATAATACAAATGGTTGTACTTCTGCTGGTCCTCATTATAATCCATTTTCAAAAACTCATGGTGCTCCAGAAGATGATGAACGTCATGTTGGTGATTTAGGTAATGTTTCAACTGATTCAAAAGGTATTGCAAAAGGTTCAAAACAAGATTTATTAATTAAATTAATTGGTCCAAATTCAATTTTAGGTAGAACTGTTGTTATTCATGAAGGTACTGATGATTATGGTAAAGGTGGTTTTGAAGATTCAAAAACTACTGGTCATGCTGGTGGTAGACCTGCTTGTGGTGTTATTGGTTTAACTCAATAAATTAATAAGTGGTCAATAACTACTATATAGCTAAGTACATATTGACTATGTTATAAAGTTTAGCTACTTTTTAGCTACTCTCCGTCTAGCTTACACTGTAATTGGTAGATCCTAGATTCTAAATACGTGAATCAATATTGAGCTGCTTATAGCATTTGGTTCGAATTCTACAGGTTCGATTTCGAATATGTCAAATGGAATAACGCAATTTTTTTCGGCTGGATTTCGGCTCCGAAAAATTGAAATTTGCGTGGGGGATTAAATGAAATTTCAGGGCCAAAAGAAAAAATAAAAGCCGGTGGATAAGACCGATAAAAAATCGTTTTAAACGATCAATATAAATTTAACCTCAAATGTTTGTACTAGGAATTAGAGGTTAGTTCTCCTTTGTTACTTGAAAATCAGATAGATCATATGTTCCAGAACCATTTGGTTAGAAACTTTTGTACTATTCGTTAATCTACAACCATTTAAGTTAATTTTTCAAGTTACCATGTGCCGACCAATTAAAGGGCTAAAACCAGTTTTCTAACCCTCGTGTTTGATCCAATCTAATCATTTTAGGATCTAATTTGTCTCAATTAGTTAAATTAATAAACTTCATGCCATTCTGTTCAATTTCTAGATCTCGTAAAAATGAAAAATTTTGATATACCACGTTCTTATCAATTAATTAAGCGGCACCAAATGAAGCTATAAAAACAGAACAATGTGATAACTTTTTAAACCAACAAATAGTTTCAAATGTTAGCAGCATTAGCTTTAATTTCCACGGTTTTAGCTTCACCATACCCAAATCCATATTTTGGTAAATTTTTCCATGGTCAACGTACTTCACAAGATTCATCAAGCGAAGGAAATGTATATCCAATTACTGATTGTTCAGCTTTTATTTCATCAACTCCTGATCCTTGGTCATGTCATAATACTACAGAAATAACTGATTCTTGTTGTTTTGAAAATTTTGGTATTTTGATGCAAACTCAATTTTGGGATTATAATACAACTTATTTATCAATTGCTGTGAATGGTACAACTTCAGAGGTTGCAAAAACAGAAAGTCAAGCACTTTTGAATAATATCGATAATGATTTAGCAAGAACTTTTACTATTCATGGTTTATGGAATGATTTATGTGATGGTAGTTACAAACAATATTGTACTCCTGAATTAGAAGTTAGTGATGAGCAAGACAATTTGACTCATTTGATAGGTACTCAATTCAATGAACCTGATTTATTAAAAATCATGCAAAAATATTGGATAAATACTGAGAAATCAAATGTTGCTGATCAAGCTAGTATAGCACTTTGGGAACACGAGTATAATAAACATGGAACTTGTATGAATACATTGAATGCTGATTGCTTTACTGGTAATTATACTCATGGTGAATCAGCAGTAAATTTTTACAAAAAAACAGTTGAAATTTGGTCACAATTGGATACTTTTGAATTTCTCGCTGCCGAAGGTATTGTCCCTACATTATCTAGAACATACAAATTAAGTGATGTTGAAAACGCATTAAGTAGGGCTCACGGTGGTAAAGTTTATGTTGGATGTTTAAATGGTGCTATTGATGAAATTTGGTATTATCATAATTTACAAGGTAATGTTTTAACTGGTACCTATAAACCAATCGATAGCTTGACTAATTCTACTTGTAAGAATGAAGTTTGGTATATTCCTAAGTAAGGATGCAAGTAAGGATGCATTAGAGATACCCCTTTTAAGATTACTTTAGATTTTTATTACGTTGTTTTACATTATTTATTTTTCGATTAATAGTTAGTTTTAGAAAATATAAAAGCTTATTATTGTGATAAGTATCGACACACTCGTTTATGTTCTTCACTTAGATGTATGAAAGCTGGTTTTATTTAAATGTTTATATTAATGGTTGTTTTATTTTCTCGTTTTAAAATGGTTGCAAAATTTTTTGCAGCCAAGTTTCTCGGTCTAGATTTTTAGTCTACACGTTAAAAGTTTAATTTTAATGAAATTTCTTAACCAAACAAGCTTTGACATGAAATTTATTTCCAACAACTTACCACGTTTAATAAGTTTATAAATAGAGAACAAAAAGAAGTGAAACTTCAAAATCATCAAACAAATCATTAATTATGCTTTTCACATTTCCTTTATTAGTCTCCAGTGCTTTTGCAACTATCTTGCATTCAAAAAGTCCATCAATTGATTATTCATATTCTGTCAAAGATTGTTCTGCATTTTTAGAAGAATATGAAAATACATTCTCATGTCATAATACGACTACATTCCCTTCAGATTCTTGTTGTTTTGAACATGATGGTTTAGTTATGTTAACTCAATTTTGGAAAATCAATAATGAAAATTTAGAAATTGCTAAAGATGGTTCATCATTACAAAAGTTGTATGTTGAAGCAACTTCAAAATTAAATTTATTTAGAGATGATATTTATAAAACATTTACAATACATGGATTATGGCCCGATAAATGTGATGGAACATGGAATGAATTCTGTCAACCTGAATTAGATGTTGATCCAGATACTCTTTCATCTGTAATTGGTGATGATTTTGATGAACCTGAATTATTAGAAGTTATGCAAAAATATTGGATTAATACATTAGTTGGAGAAGATGAATTTAAAAGTGCTGCTATTGCATTATGGGCTCATGAATATAACAAACATGGAACTTGTATGAATACTTTGAATCCACCTTGTTTTACTTCAAATTATACTTTTGGAGAAGCTGCAATTGGTTATTTTAAAAAAACGGTTGAATTATGGTATGATTTAAATACTTATCAATTCTTACAAAAGAGAGGTATCACACCAACTGTTTTGAGACAATATAGATTAGCAGATGTTGAAAGAGCTTTGAGAGATGTTCATGGTGCTGATGTTTATGTTGGTTGTTATAATGATGCAATTGATGAAATTTGGTATTATCACCATATAGAAGGTAGTATTTTAGAAGGAGAATACAGACCCACTGATTCATTAAGTACTACTTCTCAATGTGGTGAATATGTATGGTATATTCCGCAATAAAGATATATATATACGTAATTGAAAACTTGTGAATTTTAATCAAGACGAGTTCCAGATTTTCTCTCGATCGGATAATAGAATTTCCATTGTTCCTCCATTGTTAAATTTAGACTTTTTTAATAATGTGAAAGTTTAGATTTTGCTTAGATTTAGCTGAAAAGACGACGTGATTGTATATTACTCGAATATATTTTAATACACGTTGATCTTGCACAAAATCAATTGGTAACAATATTATATGGGGTTGAAATTGAACCCTCCCTTTCCTTTGAGTCTGCAAAAGACTACAACCAACAACGATGAAGAGTGAAGGCACAAATGAGCATGATCTACCGAGATGTACAGTATAATAGCTCATCGTGTATAGCCTTATATATTATTTCTTATCATCACAGTAATGTTGATTGTAAATCAAAGGCTTGGCCATACGCTATTTTTTTTTTTTTTTCTTAGTTGAAAATATTTGATATACATTTAATATTAGACTTCATGAATCAATGAATCAAGATAAAGAAGATCAAAAAAATGGAAATAATAACAATGAGAGTGATAATAATAACTTGAAAGTACCTAATACTAATACTCAACAAGGTAGAAGAAAAAGAGGTTTATCATTAAGATCACAATTATTTAATAAAGCATTTAATCAAACATCTACCGTACAACAAATTCAACACCAAGAGTCAAATTCTACACCTATAAATAGTTCGACATTGCCATTACAAAATATAGAATTACAACAAATTACAAAACAAAACAATGGAGTAACTGCTCCAAATATTAAAATCGAAGAACCAGAAGAGCCAGGGCCCGAATTTAATCAACCATCTTCATCATCTAAATCTGATCCATATAATATTACAAATATAAATTTATCTAAATCAACTACTCATTTAACGTTAGAAACATCAAGATCAAACTCAAGTCAAATTTCTTTTTTACAAAAACGACAAAATTCAATATTAAAAAGATATGGGACAAATAATAAATTTTTGCAGACATTAATTGATTTTAAGAATAAATTACTCGGAATTAAGAACTTGACATGTACTGAACAAGGTAGAATCATACCATTATCAATGAATAAAAAATCTGTAAATTCATATTTTCAAGATGAATATTATCAATCTGGAAATTACATAGATGAAAGAACAAATCAACCATATATTAACAATCTAATAACTTCGTCAAAGTATACTTTTTACTCATTTCTACCCAAACAATTAAAAGCACAATTTTCCAAAATTGCAAATTGTTATTTTATGATTGTTGCCATAATGCAAATGATTCCTGGTTGGTCTACAACTGGTCATTATACTACAATTATTCCATTATGTATATTCATGTCTATATCTATGGCCAGAGAAGGTTTTGATGATTGGAAAAGACATGGTCATGATAAAGAAGAAAATAATAAAATAACAACAATAATTAAAGAAGATGAAAATTTAAATAATTTTGATACTCATTCAATAACGACTATAATGACTGAAACGATACCTGTAAGTATAACAAATCATTTAAGTACTTCATCTATTTCATTAGATGAAATTCCAAATTCAAATTATACAGATAAAGAAACAATGAGAAATTATAACCTAAAAGAATATCCAACAAAATGGAAAAATGTAAAAGTTGGGGATATTATAAAAATTAATGAAAATGAATGGTTTCCTGCTGATGTTATATTAATAGCTACAAGTGAAGAGAAAAATGAATCATTTGTTGAAACAATGGCATTAGATGGTGAAACTAATTTGAAACCAAAATTTCCACATCCAGAATTAGCAAAAGCAACATCATCAGTACCAGCTTTAAAAAATTTAAAATGTTTACTCACTACCGAAGATCCAAATAAAGACTTATATAATTTTGAAGGTTCATTTAATTTAAATGATGAAAATTTCCCACTAGGTGTAGATAATGTTGTATATCGTGGTAGTATATTGAGAAATACGAAATCTATATTAGGTGTGGTTATATTCACTGGTGAAGAATCAAAAATTAGAATGAACAATATTAAAAATCCAAGAACTAAAGCACCAAAACTTCAAAAAAATATCAATTATATTGTTTTATTTATGGTATTTGTTGTTATTATGTTATCTGCATTTTCTACAATGGCTCAAAGGTTACAGTATAATGATAATAAAGATAAAGCATGGTATTTATTTGAACAAGACGCTGGAGTAGCTGCAACTTTAATGGGATTCATTATCATGTACAATACATTAATTCCATTGTCATTATATGTCACAATGGAGATTATCAAGGTTATGCAGTTATGTTTTTTACAATATGATATTGATATGTTTCATGTAGATACAAATACACCAGCAGATGCAAAAACAGCAACTATATTAGAAGAATTGGGTCAAGTTTCATATATTTTTAGTGATAAAACAGGTACGTTAACTGATAATAAAATGATTTTCCGTAAATTTTCAGTATGTGGTGTTTCTTGGTTACATGATTTAGATTTAATGTTGAAAGAGAAACAAGAACCAAATTCTCAAGTCACACAACCATTAACCATGAAATCCATAAATGTAAAACAACAAAATGACTATAATCCAAGAACAAGTACAACTTCAATAGCAAGAGATAGTATAGATATAAATGCTCCAAGAAATAGTGGATGGACATCATCAGCACAACCTCAAAAAATTCAAGACTCCCTTAATTCATTACAATTATTAAGACATGTACAATCTCATCCACAAACTTTATTTGCTAAAAAGGCAAAATTCTTTTTATTATCAATCGCATTATGTAATACTTGTTTACCTAGAAAAGAATCAAAAAATGATGGTTCTACATTTTCATTGATTTCCCAGGAGGAATCAGATGAATCTATAAATTATCAAGCTGCATCTCCCGATGAATTGGCCTTAGTCCAAGCTGCTAGAGATTTAGGATTTGTTGTATTTGACAGACAAAGTAATAAATTAATAATTAAAACATACCCAAATGGATTTGATAATGAAGCTAAATTAGAAGAATATGAAGTTTTGGAAGTTATTGAATTTTCATCAATTCGTAAAAGAATGTCAATAGTCGTTAAATTCCCAGATGGTAGAATTTGTTTGATTTGTAAAGGGGCAGATAATATCATACTTGAAAAATTGAAAAACAGTAAACTTGCAAAAGAAAAGGCAAAAGAAATATCATTACAATCATCAGAAAGAAGGACACAAGAAGCAGATGTGATATTACTGTCTAGATTCTCACAGGAGTTAGAATCGAGAAAAAGTGGACTTACCCTTAAGAATATTAATCATACTATTGATTCAGCAATTATGGGTACTGAAGAAGAAGAAATTGCAGACATAGCTTCAAAAGCAAGGAAATCCTTACATCTCCAACAATCAAAAAGATATAGTTTGATAGAAGAAGATAATTCTGGTCAATTTATATCTGATAAATTATTACTCAACGATGAATTTGTAATTGAAAAAACATTGGAACATATTGAAGAATTTTCAACTGAAGGATTAAGAACATTATTATATTCATTTAAATGGTTAGATAAATCTGAATATGAAAGTTGGAGTTCTGAATATTCATCTGCTAAAATTGCATTGACTGATAGATCAAAATTGATTGAGGAAATCGGTGGACAAATTGAAAACAATTTGGAACTTATGGGTGCTACTGCTATTGAAGATAAATTGCAAGATGGAGTTTCTGAATCTATTGATAAATTAAGAAGAGCTGGTATTAAATTATGGATGTTAACAGGAGACAAACGAGAAACTGCAATTAATATTGGTTATTCGTGTAGATTAATTAAAGATTATTCTACAGTTATTGTCTTATCCAATGATGAAGGTAAAGATAATTTAATGGATCGTATTGTATCAACAGGACAAGAAATTAAAACTGGTAGAATTGCACATAGTGTATTGGTCATTGATGGTGGTACTTTAACTGATGTTGAAAATGATTCTACTTTATTAACTGTTTTTCTTGAATTATGTGTTGATGTAGATTCAACAATTTGTTGTAGAGCATCTCCTTCCCAAAAGGCAAATATGGTAAGTGCAGTTAGAAATCTTCGGAAATCTGCAGTCACATTAGCTATTGGTGATGGAGCTAATGATATTGCCATGATTCAAAGTGCTGATATTGGAGTTGGAATTACTGGGAAAGAAGGATTACAAGCTGCAAGATCAGCAGATTATGCAATTGCTCAATTTAGATTCTTATTAAAATTGTTACTAGTCAATGGAAGGTACAATTACATAAGAACTTCAAAATTTGTCCTATGTACATTTTACAAAGAATTGTTATTTTATTTAACTCAATGTATTTATCAAAAGAATACCTTGTTTTCAGGGTCTTCAATGTATGAAAGTTGGTCATTATCAATGTTTAATACTTTATTCACATCATTACCTGTTATTTGTATCGGCATGTTTGATAAAGATTTAAAACCAGCTACTTTATTAGCAGTTCCTGAATTATATTCAAAAGGTAGATTATATCAAGCTTTTAATTTAAAAGTGTTTATATCATGGATGGTTTTGGCTACTTTACAAAGTGTATTTGTTGCATTTATGGCATTTTACGTATGGGGATTCAATTCACTCAAGGATAATACTACATTCGCATTAGGATCAATGGTATTTACAATATTGGTTATAATTATAAATGCTAAATGTAATTTTATCGAAATGCAAAATAGACAATGGCTTGCATTTGCTTCATTTATTATATCGGTTGGTGGTTGGGGAATTTGGAATGTTTTAATTATGATGTTATATAGATCAAAACAATCACCTATTTATTTTGTATCTTATGGATTATTAACTTGGGGTCAAGATCAAAGTTGGTGGGGTACAATGTTTGCATTAACTGTCATTCCATTATTATTTGATATATTAATCAAAATTTTCAAATTCATGTTTAGACCAAATGATGATGAGATATTTAAAGTTTATGAAAAAGATTTAGAATTAAGAAGGTATTTTGAAAATGCAGCATATGCTGAATTATATCAATCTTGGACATTTACTAAAGATGAATCAACTACAAAAACATTAATTAAGAAGATATTCAATCAAATATTATCTAAATTAGGATGTTCGAAAATACAACTTGATGAACTTTCGGAAAATGAATTGAATTTACAATCTACAATCAGTAGGAAAAGAGCAGGTACTAATCCCTTACAACATGAATTACCACCAAGTGGAGAAGGTGTCAATATTTATTCAACTGATTTTAATCCAAAACCTCAATATACTGAAGATAATAAATATGAAGTATTACCAAGTGGAAAACACGTTAGAATTAAAAAATCATCAAAATGGAGAACACCATTCCAAAAAGAAACAGATGAAGATGTAGATGCAATTATAAATGAAAGATTAGAGAACCTAAAGAAAGAACAAGAGGGATAAATAAATATACAAAATTATTTATTACTTGTTATTGTACTCTATTTTTATTAATTAAATTTAATTCCAATTCTAATTCTCTTATTGTTTTCTTTAAATATCTCATTTTTGAATGTCTTTCTAGCCAATCTTCAAATTTGAATCTAATTTGTCGTAATTCAATTGTTTTAGGTTCATAAAAAAATTCATTTAGTGAATATGGATTAAGTAGTAATTTAAACAATTCATTCCATAAATCTTGTTGCCAATATCGTTTAAACGAGTTCTTTAATTTAATTACACCACCTTGATTTATTATCTTTATATAATCTCCAAACAATAAAGTATGTATGATACTTGCTAATCCATAATAATCAGCTTCATAACTCCAGGAATAACCATTATTCATCTGTGGACAGTCTTGTTCATCTACCTTCGATAAATTTGATTTAAATCTACTATTTTTAGGAAATATAGTCAAATCAATTGCCCTTCCAAAATCAATTAGTTTAATGCTTTTTCTATCCCATCCGTATCCTCCTGATTTATCAAATTGTTCACTCCATTTTGAATCTTCAATTGAATCAAATCTTACCATTACATTATCTGCTTTCAAATCACCATGTAAGATACCTATATTATGTAATATTTCGACAGCTTTTAATAATTCAATAGTGAAATAAATAATTAATATTTCATCAACATTTGATCCTCTTGATTTATAATGATTTACAACATCTAATAAAGTACTTTGTGAACAATAATCAAGAATTAAAAAACTTTCATCTTCGAAATAATATAATGATTCAGCTTGGATGAAATAATTATTATCATTGAAATTGTCTATCAATCGACGATGTATTTGATGTAGAATATAAAATTCCCATCTTGCTGATGGTGTTTCAATTTTCAATGCTTTCAAAATTCCATTTGATCCTGTTTCTATTAAATATACATATCCATAACCACCTTGTCCTAATTCATGAATTAAACAATACATATCATCACCACAATAATCTATAATTGCAGATTGGGATCCTTTCATTATTGATTTATTTTTGCGGGTGATTTCTTTAAATTTGGCTATTCGATTTACTTTTATACTTGAACGATCATAATATCCAGGATAAGCAGTCAATGGAACTGATAATTTATTGAGTATATCTTTCTTGAGTGATTCACTGAAGGGATCTATTATTTGTTGATCATCTGGTTGTGTTATGAATGGAGAACTAGGTTCATGAATTTGTTGTTCATGATCTTCTTCTTCTTCTTCCTCTTGTTCAGTAGGTGGTGTAGGTGGTATTCTTTCCTCTTGTTGTTGATTTTGCTTTACTTCAACTGTCTCAGTCACGAATCCATCATAATTTGTAGGTTCATCTTGTTTTATTTGTTCCTCTTCTTCAAAATTATAATCATGAGCTATTCCATTAAACATATTCATAACTTCATGATTTGCAAGTTTTGAAAACATAGTTATTGTAGGTTCATTTTGAGTTTTAATTTTTGAAGTAGTATCACCATTTAATGGTATTGTGAATGTTTTTTCATCTTCAACTAATGTAGGTTCAGAAATTGCTGGGATTTGATTTCTTCTCGACATTGCTAATAATTCAGCAGGACAATTTTCTTCTTCTCCATGATATATTAAATCCATGTTTATCATTACTTTTTCTGTTCTTTTCCCCACTGATTCAATTAATGTATATGCTTTATCATTTTCATCAAAACAGACAGTTCGTTTAGTTTCAGGTTGATCTCGAAATATTTCAATTTTCTCATTACTTGCTTTATCTGTTTTTTGTTTTAGTATTTCACCTGCCCATTTTTTAGCATTCATTATATTTTCTTTCACTCTTGATTTAGTAGAACCCAATTGTAAATCTATATCATTACCAAAAATTGAATATAATATACTTTGATCTTGTGGTTCTTCATCTTTATAAATATTTAATTTTGATTTTTTAGACATTGGTTGATCTTCTTCATTTGGATTTGATCCTCTTTTTAAACTTAATGCATTCCGTATTGATTTTGATGGTGAAAAATTTAATGTTTGTATGCGTTGTTTGAAATTGGAATATGATCGTTGTAGTCTATTCAAGGGGAATGCTTGTGATTGTATACCTAATTCATAAATTTGTTCTGCATCTGAAATCTTACCATTCAATTCAAGATAATTTGCAAATTCTTCATAATATAATGCTAATTGATTCCCTATTTCTTTTCTTGCTAGATAAACAAATATATCCCGCGGACAATCTGAATAATTTGTATATTCCAACCATATTTTCAAATATCTTGGATCATTTTTATAATGATAAATATCTCTGAAACTTGAAGTACACCTCTCTAATAAATTAATTAATCCACTTTCTGTATTTGCACCTTGTGAATAATTATCATGAATCCAATTTAAATAATTTATATATGATTGTAATGGGTCATCAGATTCTTCTGATTCATTTATAAGTTTTTCAAATTGATCTCTTTCATATGTTAATTTTGCCTTGTGTTGATCATAATTTGTTGTTGATTTATCATTGAATACTTTGGTTAATTTCAGTGCTGATCTACCACCTATTAATGGATTTATATTCTCTTTCTGTTGTTCTAGTAGATCAACATCAGCTATCATAACAACTTTGATGTTTACTATTTAAGAAAAATGTAAACAATGTCAACTTTTATTTTTTTATTTTTTCGCGTCAGTTTCATATTTTTAATTTTGCGACATTGAAATTTTTACAACTTTTTGACAGCCACGTATGATTCAAATAATATGGTTTATATTACTATGTATACAACTAATAATAGCAAAACCATTTGACGAAAAATTACATTTAAGACCATTGCCTAGGAATAAATTATTACTGAGTTTTGAATTTATTATCGAATCATTACCTTTTAATTTACAATATTATAATGAATCAATATCAACTAATAGCCAACAAATCAATCATTATACTTATTTCCCAAATACTCTTGGTCCAATTATAGAAAATACAAATACTCGACAATTACAATTACGTTTCACTCAAGGTTGGTGGGATAGTAAATCATGGGGTAAATTACCATTCAATGGGAAATTTAGTGGTGGTACTGGTGTTGAAGTTGTTGCTATAATTGAGGCTCCAAATGTAGAAATAGCACAAAATAATTGGTCTAAATTGACTAAAATATTATCTGGATTCTTTTGTGCTTCTTTCAATTTCATAGATGATGATATAACTACATATCCAAGATATTTAACAAAGGAAAATCATACAAATTATTTACCAGAAAAGGGAAACAAGTTATATTTATTAAGAGCTGCTTTACCTAGTGAACCAGTATGTACTGAAAACTTGACTCCATTTTTAAAATTATTACCTACGAAAGGTAAAGCTGGTATTTCTTCATTATTGGATGGTCATAAAGTTTTTGATTCTTTATGGCATGGTATGTCAATTGATATAACTACTGAGTGCAATAATGACACTTGTCAGTTGAAATTGCATCAAACAATTAATCAAATTGTAGATATAATGAGATCAATAAGGAAAAAAGAAGAAGGGGGTATTCCAAAACCTACCAAAGGTGAAAAATTAAGATGTGATACAAATAAAACTTTTAATGTATGGCAATGCTTCCCATTAGGTGATCCAACTGAAATTGAATGGAGTTTGGAGACTATATATGGTAGAAAGATTAAAGGATCACCATTCGAAGATGATCTGGAGATTTCAAAAGTTTCCATTGATTATGAACCAAGTAGTTGGAATGTACAAATGTTTAGAGAAACAGATACTTCAACTATATCAAACACAATATCAAATGAGCACTATCACGTTGATGAATATTTAACAGAACAAGTTGATTATAATTTTAAATTCTCTACTGATAATTCATTAAATACATTACCTATTGATACTCCACCATTATATGCATCAAGATCATTGACTGGTTATTCATTAGATCAAGGTGGATTAAGGGTAACATTTACAAATCCATTAAATACCCCAGTTGAATTTATATATTTTGAAAGTGTTCCATGGTTTATGAGATTATATTTTCATACATTGAAATTAGAAACGAAGAATGAAACAGGTAAATTTATTATTGAAAATCACTCAGATTATATAAAAGATAGATATTATAGACCAGCAGTAGATAGATCAAGACCATCCCATATGGAATTATATATTGAAATACCTCCAAATTCATCATTATCAATGAGTTATGAATTTGATAAATCTTTATTATTATATAGAGAATATCCACCTGATGCAAATCATGGATTTGATGTTGAACCTGCAATAATAACAATACTTGACTCAAATAAAAGTAGATGTTATGAATTTAGAACAACAAGTTTATTGTTAACATTACCAACACCTGATTTTTCAATGCCTTATAATGTTATAATTTTAACATGCACTGTTTTATCATTAGCTTTTGGAACTTTATTCAACTTATTAACTAAGAAAACAGTAACTGATGAGGAATATGAAATTGAAGCTCAAAATACAAAATTCGCAAAATTGAAAAATAAGATTAAATTAATTATGCAGAATATAAAATCACGTAAATAGTAAATATATAATCAGAATGGATCCTCATATGGATCTTCTTCATCATAATCATCATCTTTTTCAAATTCATAAACAATTGCACCACCAGACGAACCCAAAGATTCTTGAGCTTGCATGAATGGTAATTCAACTTGTTCCTTTGCGAGTTTTTGTTTATTCGAAGTTGTTAAATTGAAAGTAGTCAAATCTTTTAATAAACTCTCATCTTCTTCATTAGTTTCAGGTTGTGCTTCTTTAATAATTTCATATTCATGTAATTTTGTATCTATTTTAAATTTATAAATTATTGATCTTCCTGACTTCCTTCTATTTGTTAAAGTGCATTTGAAAATTGGACTATTGAGTTTTAAATTAACAGGTATGTTTAATTTTGCAATTTCATTTTCCAATTCTTCTTCATTTATATCTATTGGTAATATTGGTTCCAATTCAAATATTGAAGATGCAATATATGTTAATAAGGATAATGCTGATGGATAATTAGGTATGGAAGACTTTGGAATAGGTACATTTATATGATAAGTGGCAATTATAGTAGTTGTTGGACTGGCTAAAGTTGAAATAAAATTGGTAACTTCGATATTTTCAAAATAATTTAACGAGTCTATAATAATTAATGATTTTGAAGTAGTTATTACACTTTTTACCTTTTTTATTATCTCATCTGGTTTTATGAATGTACAATCTATGAATTCTTTAGCATAATTTGGCTTTTTAGCAGTTTCAAATGATAAATATATTATATCTATTGAATTGTTTAATTTATATACATATTCTTCTATTAAATAGTATGAAGACTGTAATAATGAATCTATTATTAAATGAAATGGTGAACTTTCTTTCAATGATAATAATCTAGTTAATAATACTACTGAATTTTGATTTGACATCTTGCTTTGTATTTGGTATAAAATTGGTAGCTTTTTTCACCATCGCAAAAAATCTGAAACACTAACAAATCATGGAATAAGATTACTATTGTTCTTTCTTTGCATTAGTTAATTGAATTAATGTTTCATGACATCTTATTAATACATGGAGATGATCTGTGATGTTCTCAGGATATTCTTCCATCATTTTTTTAATCTCCTGTACTATCCCATTCATATGAGTCTCCATTTGTTGATCTCACTAGCATGATCACTAAGTTTTATCTTTTTACATACTGGTCCTTCTAGTCTTACATATCCTGGTGGTTTGATCAACTTTTGTAATTCGTTCTCTTCAATCAACCGGCGCTCTCTATATTGACGAAAACATATCAAATGCTTACATAAAAAATCTTTTAAATATCCATGAGTTCTAAAATCTAGGTAAAAACAACTCCATTTTTGATTATATCTACCATGCATTGTAATGATATAATATTTAGTTTCGTGAGGTAATAAAGGAGCATCATTTGCTGATTCACCGCCCATACTTTCACAATATCACCATCTCTATATTCAAACATCAAACGAATCTCACCGGGTTTATGAGCCTCTCATGCCTTTGCTTCTCTTGCATTTATTAATTTTCTAGTTGGTTTTTTTTTGCAAATATAGTAGACATCTTCCAGATTCGCAGCTATTCGATTGGTAGTTTAGAGTTTCCTGGTATAATTTTTCGCGACAGTAGGAAATGAAACACGTCTATTTTTATCGTCTATTTACCTTGGTGTTTAATCTTGATAATGTATTATAACTGTTTCTCAATACGTATAAATGATCTTTTATATGCTCTGGCGTATTTTGTAACATTTTTTCGACTCTTGAATATGTCCTCTCAAACAATTATTCAATTGTTTGATTTCATTGGCATTGTCATCCAATTCAACCTTCTTACGTCGTGGTTCTTCTGTAGTTTCTCCTTCCTTCAGCCTAACATAACCTTCGGGTTTAACCAACTTCTGTAATTTTTCTTCTGATATCATACAATCTTGAGAATAAAAAAAATGCCAACAAATGTTTATATTGAAAAAATGGGTGCTGGCCATTAGTTTTATAATCTTCACATGAACAGCTCCAATCTTTCCTAGTATGCTTTGTAATTGTAAAATATTCAGTTTTAAGAGGTAATAAAGGATCATCATTTGCGGATTGTTCACTGATACTCTCACATAAAATTTCACCATTCTGATATGGAATAAGTCCTCAATCATTCCTAACCTATTCTAACCTCTTACTTTTGCTTCTCTAGAGCTTCAATAAATTTCCTACTTGGTGGTTTGGCACTTTTACTTGACATTTTGCAGCAGCTTATAGTGTTGATAATTTTTTCGAGTCCTGTATAGAAGTTATTTTCTGAAACGCATCTTTATACAACCAATATGTCTAAGAAATCATTAGTTGGTAATTATTCAATACCTGATGCATTAAATAAAGAATTACGAAGAGAATTTGAGAATGATGTAGGTATAGCATCATCAGAAATTGAAAATGAAATCAAAAATAGAAATGATTATAAGAAAAAACGATTCTATCGAAATATAGATTTAGACTTCGAAAAGGAAAAATCATATAAAGATGTAATGAAAGAAAGAGATCTAGAGAGAGAGGAATTTAATGTAAGGAAATTACTTAAGGAGAAAGAATCAACTGGTGAATTACCTCGAAAAAAAATAAAAAGATGGGATATCACACCTGAAGAATATGAAAAAAGACAGGAGTTGCAAATTAGTAAACCTCCAACTGATGAATTAGTTCAAACTATAATAGATTCAAAAATACCTGTTATTTACGGTATTCCATTAACTGATGAAATATTAGATAAAATACTACCTCCCAATTTCAAAAAATTAGACCCCCCTCCAAATTTTCAAACTGATTTGGTCAAACCAGATATTAACACAGATGAAATATCTCAGGATTATTATATGCTACCTTCAAATGAACAAGGCTTGCTTACAGATGCTAATCAAATTGTACCTACCGAAGTTCCTGGTGTGAAAGGATTAGATTTTTTTAAAGCTGAAGATATGAAACATTTTGGTAAATTGTTAAAAGTTGATGATGAAACATTAGATTCAGATGAGAAGAAAGAAGTCGAATCAATGAGATTAATTTTGAAAATTAAGAATGGTTCACAATTAACAAGAAAGAAATCAATGAGACAATTGACTGATAATGCTGCTAAATTTGGTCCTAAATTATTATTAAATCAGATATTACCTATATTATTAGAACCTACATTAAATGAATCAGAACGTCACATACTTGTTAAAATCATAGGCAGGATTTTATTTCAATTAGATGATCAAATAAGACCATATACCTCAAAAATCTTATCAGTAATATCACCTTTTCTTATTGATGAAGATGCCACAACTAGATTAGAAACAAGGGAAATTATACAGAGATTAACTAAAGCTGTTGGGTTAGCTAATATTATATCAACGTTACGTCCTGATTTAGATCATGCTGATGAGTATGTAAGAAATTTAACATCAAGAATATTTGCCACTGTAGCGAATACAATTGGACTCAAACTGTTTCTACCATTTTTGAAAGCTGTAATTAAATCAAAAAAGAATTGGACGGCACGACATACTGGTATAAAAATCATACAACAATTGTGCATTTTATTAGGTAAAGGTAACGGATCACAAATATTACCATTTTTATCAACAATTACAGAGATTCTCAGACCTACTATCAATGATGAATCATTACAAGTTAGGTTAATTTCCGTGTTGACTATTTCACAATTGGCAGAAAATGTTGCACCTTATGGTATGGATTCATTTGAAAAGTTATTAGAACCATTATGGTTCGGAATTAAAAAACATCGTGGGAAATCATTAGCTGGGTTTTCAAAATGCATAGGGGCAATTATTCCATTAATGACATTTGATGAAAATTATGAAGAATATTCAAATTATTATTCAACTGAATTAATTTACATAATAACTAAGGAATTTAATTCACCAGATGAAGATATGAGAAAAACTATACTTAGGATAATTATATCTTTACCATTGAGTAGAAAATTAATACCTGATTATAGTAATAAAATTATTCAACCATTTTTTAAATCATTTTGGAATAGAAGAACAGCTTCCGATAATGCTCAATTTATAAGATTAGTAGTTGATGCTACTAATCATCTAGCTATCAAATTTGATTTTTTGGACTTATTGGAGCATGTAATTTATTATTCAAAAGATGATAATGAACAATTAAGAAAATTATCAATTGAAACTATTAATAAAATGTTAATTAACAATCCTCAAGAATTAATAGGTATGGATTCTCAATTGGATAGAACATTAGTTGATGGTGTTTTGTTTGCATTTCAACAACAAACAATACAGAATAAAATATATTTACAATGTTTTGGAACCTTGGCTAAATCAATGGGGATAAGATTAAAACCACATTTAAATTCTATAATGAGTACAGTTTTATTTCGAATGAAGAATAAAATAAGTGAAACAAGACAAGATGCTGCTGATTTAATAAGTATACTAGCTCCAGTTATAAAAATATGTTATGATGATGATGAATTATTATTAAAATTGATTTTAGTGCTTTATGAATCATTAGGTGAAGTGTATCCTGAAGTTTTAGGATCAATTATAAATGCATTATATTCGTGTATTAATTCAGTTGATAAGTCTACTTTATATGCCATGAACAACCCATCAATTAATCAAATCTTACCTACATTAACTCCAATTTTGAAAAACAGACAGGAAAAAGTACAAGAATCATGTATAAAATTAATTGGTCTAATTGCACAAAAGAATCCAGAGACTATAAACGCTAAAGAATGGATGAGGATAAGTTTTGATTTACTTGAGATGTTAAAATCAACAAAGAGGAGAATTAGAATTGCAGCTAATGCCACATTTGGATATATTTCAAACACAATTGGACCACAAGATATTATAGTCATGTTATTAAATAATTTGAAAGTTCAAGAACGTCAATTGAGAGTCTGTACTGCAGTTGCAATTGGAATTGTAGCTGAAACTTGTTCACCATTCACTGTTTTACCAGCCATTATGAATGAATATAGAATTCCAGAAAAGAATGTCCAAAATGGTGTATTAAAAGCTTTGAGTTTTTTATTTGAATATATTGATGGGAACATGACCAAGGATTATTTATTTGCAATTACTCCATTGATTGAAGATGCATTGACTGATAGAGATTTAGTACATCGACAAATAGCATCAACTATTGTTTTCCACATGGCTTTGAATTGTTATGGAAAAACAAATACTGATTATAATGATGTTTTCATTCATTTTTTGAATCTTATTCTTCCAAATATACTTGAAACTTCACCACATGTCATATCTAGAATACTTGAAAGTATTGATTCATTAAGAGTAGTACTTGGTGCTGGTATTTTTACAAACTATGTATGGGCTGGTTTATTCCATCCTGCAAGAAAAGTAAGAACTCCATATTGGAAAGTTTTCAATAGTGCTTATGTTCAAAATTGTGATGCTTTAGTGCCTTATTATCCCAGATTTGAAAAATTACCAGATGAGAAAGAGAATGAGTACTATATAGACGAAATGGATTTATATTTATAATGGAAACAACAAGTTAATGCCATTTATATCTATTAAATTCTACGATGCATTTTATAATGATAATTTTTGCCAACTTCATCTACATCAATAACTTCACCATCTCTAACTTCTTCTGCTTCCTCAACATCATCACTTGATTCTTGTTCTTCTTGTTCTTCTTCACTTTCACTTTCAACAACTATAACTTCTTCTTCTTTTAAATTATCTTCAATTACATATAATCTTGTAACATACTTAGTCACTTTTTGAGCTTGTAATTCTAATAAATCATCAATATCACCTAAATCAATTTCAGAGTCAGAATTTGAATTTGAATCATAATCATTACTTGAATTAGCAGTACCTGGATAACAATCAATTTTAAATTCATTATATTTATCAAAATTAAATGGAATAGTATTTAACCAATTATTTATCTTTTCTTTATATGTCATATTGGGTGATTTTCTTGGATTTAAAAAATCATAGACATCTACACCAATTGAAGAATTAAATAAATCTTGAAAATGTTGAGCTTGTTGTTGATCTCTTGGAATTTGATTTTGATTTTTTGAATTTGAACCCGATGGTAATGGATATGTGAAATTTGGTGATTGATTACATGGTTTGTAAATACCTGTTGCTGTTTGAGTTTGAGTTGTTGGTGTTGTTGTTGTTACATAATTTGAATCATTAAAACCACCACTTTTATTAAAATTATGTAAATGATGATGGCGCTTTAATTTTTCATTCATTATAAAGTTATCAAAAGCAGCTTGTAAAACTTTCAAATTATGCACTTTGGAAACTAAACAAAGAAGAGAACTAATATAAAATATATAAATGAAACCAATAAACCCGTTGAATAAAAAGTGTTGTAAAATTGAAATTATTTTTCAAATATATTAACCGCTGTATAAATATAAACAAAATAAAATATATAGAGAGATAATTTTGCAACCGCCATAATAAAATTGAAAACTGAATGTTAGCACCAGGCAATAAGTTTAGGCTCTCGTCTTCATTCGTAATTATATTTGATCAGTGTCACTTTGCTGGTAGATATTGATTTATGGCCACACGAGTCGAATTTGCTCAAATTTAGCTCCAATTTAGCGTTTTTGGTGTCATTTAAATCTCCAATAATTATAGTCTACACTTTACTTATGTTGATGCAATCTCACTCTATAGTTGTTGAGCTACAACCTAATTCATCTTGGCCTTTTCGTACTAGATAATTTTTTGACAACGCGTATCAAAATTTGAAACAAAAAAAAATTAATGAAAATTTACAACCAAATATTTGAATTTAATTATTATGCCAAAGAAGAGAATTCCAATAGATGAATTAGATTTTGAAGAAAGACAAGAGGAATTTGTAGAAAACAGACCATCACCTAGTAGAAAGAAGAGAAAAGTTAAAGGTCAAAGAGATTCAGATGATGACTATGAAGAAAATGGGGAAACTGCGACACCAAATAATAATCAAGATTCAAATGGTCCCGATCTAAATGCTAGTCTCGATGATGAAATACAACATTACGTAAATAGATTTATTAGAGTTTGTTTAACTAAAGAACTAAAAGGTCAATTTATTAGAAAAGAACAAATTAGAGAATCAATATCATGTTCAAATAAAAAAATATCAACTGATAAAATTATAACTCAAACTAATAAGAAATTGGATGAAATATATGGATTACAAATAATAGAAACTCCAAATGTTGAAAAGAAAGAAAAGACAAAGAAAAAAACATCTATAAATTCCACCAGTTCAGCGAAAAAACCATATGGTTTAGTTTCAACTTTGAAACCAAAATGCAAAGAAGTCTTAGGAGAATTATGGAATAAAAATACAGGTAAATTAAAGAAAGAAATCAATTCAACTCAATTTTTCCTTCCCAAGTATGAAAAATCAAATCTTCCGATTTCAAATATTGAATTAGTTAAAAGTGGGATGATGATATTGATTGTTTGTCTAATCATACTTAATGAAAATCATTTATACGAAATAAATTTAATTAAATATTTGAAAAAGTTTGGTATTTCTGATAGTGTTAATATTAAAAATTCAAATATAAGTATGAATTTACAAGAGTTTCTTAAAGATTTAGAGGCCAGGAATTATCTTAATAAAGAAGTAATGAAGGGAGCTACTGAAGCAGATAATCTAATTGATTATTCATTAGGTAGAAGAAGTTTAATTGAATTTAGTCCGGAAGATTGTTTTCAATTTATTAAATTAATATATGGTGATGATTTTAGTACTACAATTGCAGAAAGATCATTAGTTACAATACAAAGATGTTATAATGTGTTGTTAGAAATGGATAATACAAATTTAAATACTAATGAAAATTCACTAACAAGTACACCAACACCACAACCAATGTAAATATGAAAACTAACAGAAAATCATCTAGAAATACACTAACATCATTATAGCAAGTTCAATTACTACCCCATTTTTAGTTCATAGATAAGTTTGTATTAGTAAGTTTGTATTAGTAAATTTGTATTAGTATGAATATAAGTTTAAGATAGAAACACACCACCATTGTAGATCATTTTATCATATGATAAATAATATTTCAAATTTTGAGCACTGTCATAAAATTTGGCGTTAACCAAAACGGACACAGAAACGATCGAAACGAAAATTATTCTCCGGCCCCCCCTCCCCCCACAATTTGACAAAAATACAACACCGATTCATGGAATTGTTCCCTATTGAGTAGAACAACAAATTTATTATAACAGAAGAACAATGTAAGAAACCGAACTGAAGATAAGCTTTTCAAATATACGACTAATATTATAACTTGATTATTATTATATATGTTTGTTTCTGTGATGGAGTTTAGATGACAGTAGTGGAGCAAATTTTGAGCAGATGAACAACTTTTTGCATCAGATAGTCATCTATTTGATCATACATTATCACCGATATAGTTTCGTTGTTTCCAAATAAGATAAACGTCAATTTCGATTAGGCTGCAAAATATGAGAAAGAAAGTCCAGTAAATTAGACTGTTGAGATTAAACGACGTTCTTTTTCTTAGTAAACAATAGTGCTTATATTAGACAGCTCATCAAGTAATATACTATTGATCTACTATTCAATTGTTATTTATAATACTATTTGATACAAATCGTTTAAAGTTGACTGTGAAATTTTCAATTTGTATGATGGTCTTTTTTTTTTTTTTTTCTTCTGTTGATAATTTTTCATACGACGAAATTGAGAATTTCCATTTTCTGTTTTATATTGCACCAGGCTTCTTTTTCCAACAAATTTATATTAACAACAACTGTCCACTTTTTTATATTTGATCTTGACAACTGATTGATAGTTTATACAATTTATAAGGTTTTAGTTTATAATTGACAATTGAGTTTCATAGATAATTTGTTAATTTATACTTATTTAGTATGGCGTTAGATAAATTAGATTTATATGTTATTTTAACATTAGTTGTTGCAGTTGCAGCTTATTTTGCAAAGAATCAATTCTTATCAAAACCTGATAATACAGGATTTTTAAATGAATCTGGTTTAGGTGGTGGTAGTTCAAGAAATATTTTGGAGACACTTAAGAAAAATGATAAAAATACATTATTAGTTTATGGTTCTCAAACTGGTACTGCTGAAGATTATTGTAATAAATTATCAAAAGAATTGAGTGCTAGATTTGGTTTAAAAACTATGGCTGCTGATTTTGCTGATTATGATTGGGATAATTTTGGTGATATTTCTGAAGATATTTTAACTATTTTTATTTTAGCTACTTATGGTGAAGGTGAACCAACTGATAATGCCTTAGAATTTTTTGAATGGTTAGATAATGAAGCTGATACTTTAAGTACTTTAAAATTTACTGTTTTTGGTTTAGGTAATTCAACTTATGAATTTTTTAATGCTGTTGGTAGAAAAGTTGATCAAAAATTAGAAGAAAAAGGTGCTGAAAGATTTGCTGAATATGGTGAAGGTGATGATGGTAAAGGTAGTTTAGATGAAGATTATTTAGCTTGGAAAGATAATTTATTTGATTCATTAAGAAATAATTTAAATTTTGAAGAAAAAGAATTAGTTTATGAACCAAGTGTTAAAGTTATTGAAAGAGATGATTTATCAATTGATGACGTTAAAGTTTCATTAGGTGAACCAAATAAAAAATATTTAACAAATACTCATGATTTTACAAAAGGTCCATTTGATCATTCACATCCATATTTAGCAAAAATTTCAAAAACAAAAGAGTTATTTAAATCTAAGGAAAGAAATTGTGTTCATGTTGAATTTGATATTAGTGATTCAAATTTAAAATATACTACTGGTGATCATTTGGCAATTTGGCCATCAAATTCAAATGAAAATATTGATACTTTCTTGAAGTGTTTTAATTTAACTGATAAAAGAGATGTTATATTTGATTTAAAAGCTTTAGATTCAACTTATCAAATCCCATTCCCAACTCCAATTACTTATGAAGCTTGTATTAGACATCATTTAGAAATTTCAGGTCCAATTTCAAGACAATTATTTTTATCAATTGCTGGTTTTGCACCAAATGAAACAACAAAGGAAAAATTGATTAAAGTTGGTAATGATAAACAATCATTTGCTGAATTAGTCACCAAGAAAAAATATAATATCGCCGATGCTTTATTATATGTAAGTGAAGGTAAAGTATGGGATTCAGTTCCATTTGAATTTTTAATTGAAAATATTCAACATTTAACACCACGTTATTATTCAATTTCATCATCATCATTAAGTGAAAAACAAACTATAAATGTTACAGCAGTTGTTGAAATTGAAAAAGAACAAGATGGTAGAATTGTTTCAGGTGTTGTAACAAATTTATTAAAATATATTGATGTAAATAAAAATCAAATTGAACAAACTTCATCAGTTTCAGTTTCATATGATTTAAAAGGTCCAAGAAATAAATTTTTAAATTATAGATTACCTGTTCATGTTAGAAGATCAACTTTCAAATTACCATCAAGTTCGACAACACCAATTATATTAGTTGGTCCAGGTACTGGTGTTGCACCATTAAGAGGTTTCATTAGAGAAAGAGTTCAACAAGTTAAAAATGGTGTAAATGTTGGTAAATCAATATTATTTTATGGTTGTAGAAAAGAAGATGAAGATTATTTATATAAAGATGAATGGTCAGAATATTCAAAAGTTCTTGGTGAAAATTTTGAAATTCATTGTGCATTTTCAAGACAAGATCCAAATAAAAAAACCTATGTTCAACATAAATTATTAGAACAAAGTAAAAAAATTAATGATTTATTATTACAAGGTGCAATTATATATGTTTGTGGAGATGCTTCACAAATGGCGAGAGATGTTCAACAAAGTTTTGCTAAAATTATATCTCAAGAAAGAGACATACCATTGGAAAAAGCTCGTGAATTAACAAGATCATTAAAAGTACAAAATAGATATCAAGAAGATGTTTGGTAGAAACATTTTAATAAACGATAAATAATTTTTTCAATTCTATAATTTTCTAAATGTTTGACTCTATTACACCGTTCATTTCCAGTTTTATTCTTATACAATGTCTCCAATTTGGATTATTTGAATTGTAAATATCTTTTAGATCATTTTCAATTTTTAACCAATGTTTATATTTCATTTTTGATTTTAAATCTAAATCATAAATATTACAAGTTATTAAAAATTTACCAAATCTATCAATTTCAATTAAATTATTTATATTATTGTGAGAATTATGACAGTTATTAAATTTATCATATTTTTCAAATTTAATAAATAATCCAACATCTCTTAAAGTCATAACTAATGATAAATTAGTCAGTACATCATTTGAATTTGTTAGATTTTTGATTAAATCATTTTTATTATTGATTTTTTGATATTGTTTAAGTTTTAAAAACACATTATTTTCATTATTGAGATAAATTTGAAATAATTTGAATAATGGTATCTTATTCACATTTTCAATTTTATCTAGTGTTTGTTTAGGTATGGAAGAAAATAAATCTTTTAAACCTTCATCTATAGTCTCAGTATATAATAAATCCAAAGGACAAAAATGTCGTTTAAATTGTTTAAATTGATTTAATGAACAAGTTCGACAATAGTTTGATGAAATATTATCATATAACCATTTTGGTTTAATTTCGAAAATTACCGAAGATATAGATCCTGAATCATCTTCATCATGATATAATTGACAATTCTTCAGTAAATTTATTTGTTTATAATTTCCATTTAAAATATTTGGTAATAATAATCCATATCGTTCTTTAACCATTAATTTATGACCTTTGGAATCTAATCTATTTACAAAATCAGAAGTTAATACAACTAATTGAATATCTATAATATGTTTAGGAAATAGATGTTTGCACTTCAATTCAATAAAATCGTACAATTCACATGTTGAAATATATTCTTCATCTAATTTAGATAATCTTAGTCGTAATAATTTATGTCTTAGGTAATCATTCGATCCAATATATTTAAATAAAATATTTGCTGAACCTTTTGCAAAATATGACCATTCATTAGGTGATGTTATTTTTGAGATTTCCATAGTAAATTAATGATCTAAGATAGTTTATAAAATATGATTCATGAAATCTGAAAGTTTGAAAATTTGAAAATTTGAAAATTTGAGTTGAATTAAAAAATCGTACAAAATAAATAAATAGATAAATAAATAAATAAATAAAAATAAATAAATAAATAAATAAGCCAGTAGTGTATAAAAATTAAATAACAAATGCAAAGATGATGAAATGAATAAATATAAATATGAAATTTGATAACAAGTTAATTGAAAGTAGGTTGTTGAATCAGATTTGAAAGTGATTTATTTTGAAATATTTGAATTTGGGAGTGGAAAGAATGGGAAAGGGTTAGATCTGATAAAAAAATTTGATAGTAGTGCTGATAACGGTGACAGTAATTGATTAAAAATATCTGATTAATTATGATCTATAATACTACTAAGCTTGAGTTTAATTAAACCTGAATTCCAAGTAATTTGGTCGTAAGTTGGTGAAAGTATAAAGTGTTGTAAAGAAATTTGGCAACTTTAAAAAGAGAATTTTTGATTCGAAACAAAAAAAAAGAAAAAAAGAAAAAAAGAAAAAAAAAAAAAATAGAAGGAAATTTTTAACTATTATTTTGTAAGAGTTAATTCAACAAACAAAGTGAAAATAAATACACGCTTAGGGCTTACGACGGCTTACGATAACGTATTAGTTCGCTAGATTAAATATATAACTGTCGAGTCCAAATATTGAAGTGTCCTAAAAATAGCGTAGTAGAAATCAAAACAATTAATAAATGTGATTGGAAAATTTTTGGACATTCGTTCTATTGTTTGATAAAATGGTAAGATTATAAACGATTTTATGTATCGTAATAGTATTTTGTGTAGGTTGTATGTAATTCAATTCACCCGTAATTGATTCGGAAACAAATTTGAACGCTTCAAGTTGCCTAAACTTCTTTTGAAGTGTACTCGCTTCAAGTTGCTTCTTTTATTTTTTTAAGTTTGCTCAGTTTAGTTTTCAATTGCGTCTCTATATACAATACGACCTATAAAATTATTCATAAATTACTAACGAAGCATCTAGACCTATAATTATTTATAAATTACTAACGAAGCATCTAGACCTAAAATAGAGTACAAAATAAATAATTTTGATCAATAGGCCCCAAATCTGTAAATTGAGAAATAATAGGTTAAGGTTAGGTTAGGTTAGGATACAGGGAAGGAAATAATTTTAAAAACGACACAATTATATATTACTAAGAAGCTACTCGAATTATAGTTAAATAACTAGAGTCTAGTCCAATCTCGAGGATCTTTTAACCATTTTGAGTCAATTAAAAATATATCATTTTAAATGGCTTACAATTATTTTTAAATTTGACCAGTCGTGTAAAAATATAGTGTTTTGAATCTATAAAAATTAGATCCTCAAAGCTGTTTATGGTGAACACATTTAAGTTAAGCTAAATACTGTAATTCAGCTAAATACTGTAATTCAGCTAGAGAGGTATTGAATGAACTCAATTTGAAAAAGTTGAGCGATTTTAGGTCTAAAGTAAAGCGGTAGAATAATTTTGTTGAATTTTGTTGTTTTTATTTTTATTCTATTTTTGTTTCTAATTTTAGATCCCTTAACTTTAAACCTTAAACTTTAAAACTTTATATTTCTTGATGCTTACGACTACCTACATATAGAAAGAATCAACAGAGTTAACCCAAAATTAGTTTTAAATGTAACTGGTTTTAATTTAATTGTAAAATATTATAATATCGTAAGAGTTGCAAAAAATGTTTAGCTTTTTGTTTAAAATTTGGTTGCAGTTCACTATCTACTATAATACGACGACTTGAATTTGTTAAAATTGAAAATGGCCAGAAGTCAAAAAAAGTTCTACCCCTCTAATTTGAAAGAATTTCACAAATTCGTAAAAAATTTTAAGAGAGTCCAGATCGATCCATGAATCTTATTTTCAGTTTCAATTTGATCTAGAAGCTTAAAATAGATCTACTCACGTGACTTTAAAATGCAAGACAAGTTAACTTGAACTTAGACTTGGAAATTTTCGTCAATTTAAGCGATTGTACATGTTTCAACTAGGTTCAGTTGGGCATAAACTTGAAACATAATTTAGCCGTCGAAAAAAATATTTTTGAGAACATCTATATTTGAAACTAGGCTCATTATGTGAATTGAATTAAAGTGAGTACTATTTATATAGGCAACTTTGCTTCAAATTGATTATGTCTCACATTATAAGCGTAAATCTCTGTATAATTTATTATTATCCAACGCTACCATGTAAGCTGGTCTTACGATTCACTTAATGAGAGTATATCAATTTTAAACGATACTCTTTTAATTAAGGCGAAAAAAATGGAAATCTGAGAAAAAAGCCTTCCAAAAATGGAAAGATTTGAGATCTGAAACAAAATCTAAAATAAAATAATTAATTTGATAATCAACGTATATAGATGTTTATTGACTTAAGTTAACTATAGTAATCAAGAAAGCAAATGCAGTACCAGATATGGTTGACTTAAAATTAGATAACGCTTCATTAATTGATGTTGTAAGTGATTCTTGTAATTGTGAATTTGATGAAGATTCATTACTTTCAACAGATAATTCCGTTGTTGAAGAAGTTTCAATTTCTTCAACGAATAAACTATCAGTTTCATTAATTGAAGTAAGTGATTCTTGTAATTGTGAATTTGATGAAGACTCATTACTTTCAACAGATAATTTTGTAGTTGATGAAGTTTCAATTTCTTCAACGAATAAACTATCAGTTTCATTAATTGAAGTAAGTGATTCTTGTAATTGTGAATTTGATGAAGACTCATTACTTTCAACAGATAATTTTGTAGTTGATGAAGTTTCAATTTCTTCAACGAATAAACTATCAGTTTCGTCTGAGATTGTTTCAGAGTCTTCATTTAAATGAGTAGGTAAAGAATGGTAGACAATTTTTGTTTCAACACATTTCCTATTATCCTCCATACCCGAAATTTTTTTAAAATTGCAACATTGCTTGATAATTCATCATTACAATCTATAGTATATATGATTGGTTCTATGCTTTCATATGTTGTAGTATCTGCTAAATTCTTGGTTAATGGGCTTAAGATAGTTGAATTTTTCGGGTGATAATGTTGTGTCTCTGTTGAGTTTTCAGTATCTTCTGAATCAATAGCTTCCGTTGAGAGTGTTTTCTCTGTTTCAATAGGTTCTGCTGGTTGTGATTCTTCTGTTTTAGAAGATAGATTTTCTTCAGTTTCAATTGGTTCAATATCTACAGTTCCAGTAGGTTCATTATTTTCTGTTTCAATTGGTCCAGAATCTTCTGTTTCCGTTGGTTCAATATCATTTGTTTCGCTAGGTTCACTATCTTCGGTTTCACCTGGTTCAATATTATCAGTTGTCTCTTCGTCACCAGGAATGAATACTTGAATTGTTTTTGTAGCACCTTCTATACTTCCAAATGGTAAAGTTCATCTTGAAGTATAATCTTCATCCCATGTAGTAGTCACAGCTACAATCAATTCTTTCGAAATGAGGTTGAACATCCCAAGTTGCAACAACTCTATCATCATCAATTACTTGGTCAAAATCTCCACAATCTATATTGATGTATATACCATGTCTGCATTAAAGCTCCTTCAATTGTATTATAGGCTATAACATCAAGGTCTATAACCAGCTGATACATCTCTAAATTGAATTAAAAGCTTATTATGTAAACATTCAAAATGAAAAAGCTCCATCTCTTCTCCAGTTCTTGGAAACATGCAATCGTTAAATTGATTTGAAATTCATGCATGCATTGAATCAGAATCTAAAAATCACCAAAAATAATAACAGTTAATTCACCAGCAATATAACCCATTCTATAATACGGAACTGTTAATGTAATTACTTGCTTATTTGATGCTGGTGAATATCTGTTAAATACATGGGCATTATCGGTTTCCAAAATACTAGGAACAGAAAATTGATCGTATATTTGAGTTCTCTAGCACCATCATTTCAAGTCTGGAAAGTTAACCCTCTAGTGATACAGTTTGCATTTTCTAAATCAGCTGGATACGCTGACCCACCAACTCCAAAAGTTAAGGGGATATTATTCTTCCAAACAATAATAGCTATACCTTTTATTTGTTCAGTAATAATACATTTTAGTTTAGATGCTGATGTAACTATATCACCATTTTCAATATAACATTCAGCCAAAGTCATTAAACCATAGCTTAAATTTATCAAATTGTTATCAGTATTAATTTTGAAAACACAAGGCATGTTTAATTCAAATGTGTCACCTTTCAATATCAACTTCCCTCATCTCCCAATTAACTTGTGCTACCCAAGACTCCAGTGTAGGTGATTGATCGATATAATTATGTGTGGATTCGATGCTATGAAAGATACCTTACATTTGTTCTGCATTACACAAAGACAACGAAAACTATTAAGTTGCAGATGAATAACATAGCGGAGCTGGTAAAATCAACTGAAAATTTCTATAATAAACCCTTTGAATGTAATATAAACCCAGAATCCAATTATAATATCTTCATATTTATGAATTTCCTTATTAGTATTTAAGAATTCTTGATTAGGAGCACCGCGTAAAATTTAGATCCTGGAATCTCGTATTTATTCAGGTATGCATAACGTCACAAAATTTGTATGAAAAAAGGCAATTTTAGTCATATTATCTACCTCAAATGTAACTCAATTCAGCACGTCTTATGTTTTATAAAAGTGTGTGAGCTAACCAGTGGTCAGAACAGTTACAAAACTATCAACCTGTAAGATTAGCTACTAATGGACATCAAATCATTTTGTAAATACTACAATCAATTTAAGCCTGTTATGTTTACCTTCTATTGAGTATTAAAATTGTCTATGATTCTTCTATTTATAATTTATACCATCCCAACGATGAAATGATTCAGTATTGATACCAAAATTATCTAATATTCTACCACATGTTTGTTCCACTATATCATCTATTGTTTTTGGTTTTGTATAAAACGCAGGTACTGGTGGGAATATCACAACACCCATTTTCGATAAATATAACATATTATCTAAATGTATATCGGATAATGGGGTTTCTCTAGCTACTAATAACAATTTTCTTCTTTCTTTTAAAGTTACGTCTGCTGCTCTAACTAGTAAATCTTCTGTATAGCCTGTTCTTATGGCACTTAATGATTTCATTGAACAAGGAGCAATTATCATACCATCATGTATGAATGAACCACTAGATATAGGAGCAGTGACATCTTTATATGAATATAATTTGGATGGTAATGAATGTACATAATCCATTGTATAATTAGTTTCATATTTCAAAGTAGCTATACCCCATTTCGAAATAACTAAATGAGTTTCAACACCTATTGATTTTAAGATTTCTAACAATCTTACTCCGATCTGAATACCTGTTGCTCCTGTTATACCGACGACTATCCTTTTGGTAGTAATAACATTGTTATACATTGAATTATTGACATTTTGATAATTTATGGAATAAGATCTAATTGCTGAGATCCTTCTAAAATTGTTATTTAACCTGCTTTTTAAAAACATTTTGACTGGTAAACAAATTTCTAATATGAATCTGACTAGAAAGATTCCCTCATCTTCTTTTAAATCTTTGTCTAAACTTCGACGGTGCTAAATTTTCAGATCTGGAACTATCACAAAGTTGAATCGCGCGAAGATTGCGAAACTTTATTTCCTGTCGAAAATTTATTAGACCATGGCGGAAATAAACTTCCTGTCATTTATACCATTGCTAAATCATAAAATAACCAATGATTTTAAACCGAATATGGCTTTAACAATATCCGATATGAAATATAAATAAAACAGTTTTTCAAATGACAGTTTATGCTTTAATAAGGTTGTCAAATGTCATTCAATACTGCTTTAGATTTTAGAAGTTTTATCAAAACACTTAAAGATGAAGGAGATTTACAGGAGATCAATGCTGAAATTGATCCAGATTTAGAACTAGGTGCTATTATGAGAAAAGTATATGAAGATAAATTACCTGCTCCATTATTCAACAAATTAAAACAGGATCCAAAAAATGTTGATCCTGATAATTTATTTCGTGTTTTAGGTTGTCCAGGTGGTTTAAGATCATTCGGTAATGATCATGCTAGAATTTCATTACATTTAGGATTAGATTCACAAGCTCCGATTAATGAGATTATAAATTATTTAATTTCCGTTAGAAATCCAATTGATTTCATACCTCCAAAATTAGTTTCGAATGATGAATCACCACATAAGAAAAATCACTTGAATAAAGATCAAATAGATTTAACTAAATTACCGATTCCTCATTTACATCCTGGTGATGGTGGTAAATATTTACAAACTTATGGAATGTGGGTTGTTCAAACTCCTGATAAATCATGGACTAATTGGTCAATTGCAAGAGGTATGGTTCATGATTCTCATTCAATTGTTGGTTTAGTTATGAATCCACAACATATAAGTCAAGTCACAGAAGCATGGATGAAAATTGGCAAAGGTGATAAAATTCCATTTGCTTTATGTTTTGGAGTACCTCCAGCAGCTATTTTAGTTTCTTCAATGCCTATACCTGATGGTATGACTGAAGCTGAATATATTGGAGCATTATGTAAACAAGCATTACCTGTTGTGAAATGTGAAACTAATGATTTGGAAGTACCAGCAAATTGTGAAATTGTAATTGAAGGTTATTTAGATAGAAATCATTTAGTTTCAGAAGGTCCATTTGGTGAAATGCATGGTTATTGTTTCCCACATGATTCAATAAAACAACCAACTTATAAAGTTGAACATATGACATATAGAGATAATGCAATTTTACCAGTTTCAAATCCAGGTTTATGTGTAGATGAAACACATACATTAATTGGAGGTTTGGGTTCTGCTGAAACTAAATATTTGTTGTTACAACATCCAATATTGAAGAATATAGTTCTTGATGTATTTACACCTTACGAAGCACAAGCATTATGGTTGACAATTAAAATTAATACAAAAGAATTGGTTAAATTAAATACAAATGCTAAAGATTTAATGAAATTAATTGGTAATTTCTTATGGAAATCAAAGGAATGTTATAAAGTATGTCTGATAATTCATGAAATTATTCTAGTTGGTGACGATATTGATATTTTCAATTTTAGAAAATTTATTTGGGCTTATACAACAAGACATACACCTGGAAATGATCAATTATTTTATGATGATGTTAAATCCTTCCCATTAGCTCCATTCATTTCACAAGGACCATTAATAAAAACTAAAACTGGTGGTAAAGTAGTTACAAATTGTATATTTCCAAAACAATTTACTGATCCAAATTATGAATTTACTACTTGTGATTTTGGAGGGTACCCAAAAGATATAAAGGATAAGGTATTGAAAGATTGGTCTAATATATATATCTAGATTATATATTTGTCAAATACATCAAAATCAAAAAAATTGAATAAATTTTCATCTTCATTTATCGAATTTATTAATGACTCCCAATCTGGATTGACATTGACTATTGGCGTTGATTCGATCTCTTCAGATTCAAGTTTATCATTTTCAAATGCTTGATTGACTTGTGATAATATATTCTCTTTAATATCTATTGTTTTTGAAAATTTGAGCAAACTCTCGTAGTATACTTGATAAATACTTAAATATTTCATTCCAGTTTTCAAGCTAAGTATTGTCAATGTTAATTGATTTAATAGTTTAGTTACATTTTCTTGATCTTTCACTGTTATTGCACTTAGTATAAATATCGAAATTTGATATAAATAATATCCGAAATTGAAATTGTACCATCCTTCATTCAATTTATAAATCATTTTCACAATTGTATAACATTGATCAACAATACTTAAGCTCTTATTATAAATTGATCCGGCAATTTCGTTGATTTTCAAATATGGACGTAAGATAATTAATAAACCAACATGAAAGTTCAAGTGTAATAATAAAATATTGCAATTTTCGCAATTATTGGGTTGATCTAATGATAAATATTGATTCATAAATTGTTGAAACTCCAGCAAACTTGCCATAGAAGTGATTAAAACCTTTTTATAAAGTAACTTGTTTTGTAAATTAAATTGAAATGAATAAAGTTGATCAATAAATCTATCTAAAGTATAAGCCAACTTTGTATTAAACTGAAATATCAATTCATTAGTGTTGTTAGTCTCACTTGTATAATAATTAGTCAATAATCTTCTGAAATTGATTGATGATGATCTGCCTAATAACATTGATGTATTTTTATCAACTAAAAAACAATTCCAAAATATTTTAGACCTCAATTTTGACATTTCAATGTTATTTAAAAGGAAAGTTGAAACATTCCATCCCATATTTTGAATTTGTGTACATAAAAGTGTTGAATATGTCCAAGCTTGACTTTCATTATAAATACTTGAGTTTAGAATTGTCATTATTAAAATTGTAAATGTCACATTTGCATGGTTTAAAATACTACCCTCGTTTGAACTTGTTGATCGTCGAAGAAATTTAAAAATTGAACCTTCAACTAAATATGAAAATGGATTTGTATTCATATTTTCTTTATAGTCGTGTTTAGATACTTCAAAACCATAAGCTAGCATTGCAAAAACTAAAAGGGAGGTACAATCAGTTATTTCAACTTTCAAAGTTTTGATACGTTTTAAAATCTCTGTAAAATCAATTTCTTCAAATGAGTGATTATACGGCACAAGTTTCTCTTTAAATGACATCACTAAGCTTTTCAAATACTCAGTATCTTTCAACAACACTTCTTTCGATAACTTCCATTCTGCACTTTGTATTTCTTCAAATATTTCATTCTTTGCATCAATTTGTCTAGCCGTGGGACCCAAAAATTTTGTATTTCCATTAAATTTAACTTCCCAAACCATTGAAGCTAGTTCATTTATAGCCTTATTAGAATATACATTCTCATTTTTTTTATCATTCTGATCTTGTGATAGATTTATGCCTAATTTTTGTTGATCTTTTTCAAATTTTGAATCATTATTGGCTAAGATTTCGGTACATGAAATCTTTAAACTTTCATCCAATGTTTTTGATCTTAAATTCTTTATAAAATTCAATAAATTATTAAACTTATGTTCTAAGAAATCAACATAATTAGAATCAATTCTTCTTCTTCTTTTATCTTTGCTTTTATCATAAATACAAGGTTTATTATTTGACGAACAATATAAACAGGGACTATTACCATCACATTTTCTTTTCCTCCTTCTACAATTATCACAAGCTATGGAAACATAGTTTAATGACCTTTTAATAGCCATTTGTTGTTTTTTGCAGCCAATTTTTTCATAGTAATAAAATTTATTTTTCTTAAGTTGGATTTTTTATGTTGATTTTTTTTTTTTTCACCAAAACAAATTTTCAAGACTATAAAAAGAGTTATCCATGCCAATTAAATCATTAGAATCTTATTTATTCGAAAGAAAATTGGCTAATACTTCTTCAATTGAAATATTAGAAAATACTACAATTGGTATTGATGTTGATCATTATTTAAATAGAATTTATACTTTTAAAAAAGAACAATATTTATCTGCTATTGGTGGTTTACCAAGTTCATTAAAAGATTATTTAATTAACGATTTGGCTGTTTTCAAAGAATCTAATATTAAACCAATATTTGTACTCAATGGATTAAATATTAATTTACAAAATGTTTCATATAAAACTAATGAGTTATCTACAAATGAACAACATATTGAAAATACTTGGAATAAAATTATTGATTCTCAAAAGAATTCTTTTGGTTCTCCACATCACCAATTTATTGAAAGTTTTAGATTATTCAATGATTCATTAAGTGTGAAAAATTTATATAATGATGTTATTAGTTTATTCATTTCACTTGGTGTTGAGTATTTTATTACTCCTTATGATTCTTCATTTCAATTAAGTTATTTGTATCAAAATGATATAATTGATACAATTTATGGTTCAACAGATTTATTATTGACAAAAATTGATAAATTTATATTAGGCATGGAATTTCAATCAAAAGAATTTAGATTTATAAATAAATTTAAAGTTTTAAAAGAGTTAAATTTAAATGAAAGGCAATTTTTAGATTTAAGTATTATTGTTGGATGTAATTTACAACCGAATACATTTCCAATTTTCCCACCATTACCAAAACCAAATAATTTACAACCGTATCCGCAAATATCATATTTCAAAATTGGGTTGGATATAATATATCAATATAATCAATTTAATAATAATAATCAGAACTCGGATCTTGTTGGATATATCATGAGTTTGAATGATTCTAAATTATTAGACTTATATTATAAAGGACTTTGTGCTTTTAAGTTCATACCTATCTTAAATAAAGAAGGGGTGGTTGAATTATATAACAATGAAATGGCGAAATTAGGATTCAAAGAGAATATAGACTTTATAGAAAGTAGTGAAGATGGAGAAGGTGAATCTGAGAAAGTTGTCAAAGTTCCTAGTGATTTACATGAAATCATAAATCAAAGATTACCACCTGAAATTTATTTTTATCAATCAATTGGATTGTTGCCAATTGATTTATTGGAAAGTATTACTAAAGGTCAACTAGATGTTAGACCACCATTAGAATTAGGTTCAAATAATTCAAAATTTAAAACTCTAATCACCTCAAAATATTATTTGAATTTATTAGACTATCAATATAATTTAATTACTCAATTTTTAGCAAGATATTATCAAGTTAAAAAGATCAAAGTTAAATTCTGGTTTAAAGATGATTTCATTGAATTGAATAATAGAATTATGCCATCAATACTGAAAAGGATCAATAATTTATTCATTAGTACTAAAACACCAGAATTTGCATTAACTTCATTTTTTAATAACATACCAGAAACATTCAACTCATTAGAGGAATTAAAATCTAACAATGATGTCGTGTCAACTGCATTTTTAAGAACATTATATTTATATGACATTATTGATGAAAAATCTAAATTTTCAAAATCGTCAATAGGGAAAATCTTGACCAAATTCAGCAAAGAAAACCCACGAATTCCAACAAAACAATTTGAACACCTCATTTTAATTTTATTCTTATTACAATCAAAACAATTTTCATTATTTGATTCAACTCCAGAATTTACAAATGTATCATCAATTTATAAACAAGGAGGAGGAGAAATTTCACCAAAAGAATCAAATTATATCAAATTGATATCAAGAATATTTTCACTATTTAAATTTAATATCTCACCTATAAATTATCAAGGTCCAATATCGAGAAATTTATTAAATTTTAGATCAAATTTAGAATTCATAAATAAAAATTTAATAAATACACTTGAATGTGTACTTGTTGATCTAATAGTATTACAAGAACAAAATCAAATGAAAACAACTTATAAATCAAAAGATGAATGGTATCAATTAATACTTAATTTACCATTTTATCAAAGTTTAAATAATACATTAATGGGAGTAATTGGTGAAATTTATTTTGAAGTTGCTTGTAAATATAAAAAACAAGGTAAGGAAGAAAAGAAAGAAATTGTAGACTTGACTAATGAATATTTATTACATCAAATTTTCCAAATTCATCAAACAACTTATAATATAGACGTGTTTGGTAAAAATTCAGTTAAAGAAGAGATATTAAAATCTGATTTTAAAAATTGTTTAAATTGGTGGGATTATTTTATTAAATTTGCTAAAGTTGTACATGAAGAAGATAAAGGATTAATAAACGATGAAATTATGAATGATATAAATGCTACAAATGATTTTTTAAAACAATTGACATAAACATTCAAATATATACAATTGATTTAAATAGTGTAGTGTAGTGAAGTTTGTTCTTTCAAATTTGATGCTTGCACGACCAATAATTTGATGCAAATTTCTGATTAGTTTTGGAAACATTTGTCTTAAAGAATTGCTTCTAAAGATTTGTAGAAGTTTCTTGGGCTGGTCTTAAGTCCATATAGTATTTTGTAATATAGAGTGCACTCACGGATTTGAATGGAACTTGAGTTTTCTGGTTCAAATACTTCATTCAAATACTTCAGATGGCATTTCTATTTGAAAGCTAGAGTATAATTTTGAGCTTACTTCAGAAAAAAATACTACTCTACCAATATTGTAGGATCATTTTAGAGGTTCAAAACTTTAATCTGAATCCCAAATAACAAAAGTTGTTTCATCAATTTCATCTGGTATTTGTATTCCAGATATGACTTAATTTTTAGGTGTAAAGATTTGTATAGATAGATGTGTATAGTTGAAATGGGCTCTATATAATAGGGCTCATTATAGTTGTACTGATATATCAAATCAAACAACTGAATCTGCCTTATCATGGCTATTGATTAAATTCGAAGTATGAAAAGTGTATTAGTATTTAAACAAGTTTATGAATTGTTTAAAATACGCTCAAGTACGCGGATGTATGGTCAATCGAATTTCTTGAGTTTGTTTATAGATCACTGCCTTCCTTGATGATTATTAAGAGATTTGATAAAGACGATTGAAGTTGCCATGGGCAAAATTTGTTTATACAAAAATTTGTTTATACATTATTTGAAACAGCGATACCGGTCAATAATGACACGTATATTAAATTTCATATACTTTTAACCATCTCTTTATTCTGTCTACACGATTAAATAAGCTATACTATACTATACTATACTATACTATACTATACTATACTATATGAGTCAAAAATATGTGGTAAACGTGATCTGCCAAACAAATTCTTAATCAGGTTAAAAGTGAGGGGATTTTTTTTGTATTATAAAAAAAAATACACAACAAAAAATTTTGCAACTATTTTATTCTATACGATAAAGAAATACTATAAATACACATATAAATTCCATTTATCTTTTATCAATTTATCAATTTATAATTTATCAATTAATAATGTTTAGAAATTTAATCAAATCATCAAAATTAATAGTTAATACAACTAAGACACAACCAATAATTAATAAATCTGCAGCAACAACTGCTTTATCAGCTAAATATAATACAATTGCACCAATGAATAATAATAATCATGAAGAAGAAATACGAAATGATTCACATACTCAATTCAATCAAAAATATATGAATTATTTACATCCTGATTTAGTTCATCCAAATTGTGCTGAGTTTGCTGATTTATTTTAAATGGTTTGATTTTTATACTGGTTATAAGTTTGGTTGTAGCTTAAATGGTTTTAATTTAATAGGGTTAATAAGGATAATAATTGGGTAATAATTTAGTTTTAATAGTATAGAATAATCTGAATAAATTGATTATAATTGAATTTTTGATGAAACAACTTTCTTCTTACTCTTTCAATTAATTTGACATTGTGGCTAACTGATTATATCCGTTATCTATAAAAGAGCTACCACGTTTCAATATCTATACGAACGAAGATTTTTAAATGGTTGCAAATTAAAAAATTCATCGTTGGAAATAATAGAAAATCCACGACTCATCGTTTAAAAATAGAAACCTTAAAATTGGAGTCAAATTCAGTAGCAAATTCGTTAGGGTTATGAGAAAACTCAGCCAGAAAAATGAGGAGAAATGGAACAAAGATAAGATAAAGGAGGAGATTTTTCAAAAAATTGGAGTGTTGAAAATTGAACGATTTGTTGTATTTCTCAAAGTCTAGAACTATCCCTTCTAATAATTATCATGAGTATCATTGAGTTGATAAATTTAAGGAGGTTGCACTAAGTAATGTTGGCGTTGTATTTCAATTTAAAGTTAAAATAATTGAAATTGGCTTTCTCAATGAGACGCGTCGTATAATCAAATTGCTGCAAAAATGGCTGCAAAAAATAATTTAAACGAAGGTCTAACGGAAGTTTGATGCTACCATGTGAACCGAGTTAACCAGAATTTTTTTCTTTCATTACTCTCAATAATTCAAAGATTAAACTAGTATTTGCAATTACTATTACCTAGAATCGTTTTCTTAGATGTCTTGTTACTACTTGAAATTGCAAGTAACAGCATCACTATATCATTTAGCATCATATCGTAAATAAGTAACAGCATCACTATATCATTTAGCATCATATCGTAAATTATTCCATATGCTACCATGTATTAAAAAAAGAATTTGATCAATAACATCAAAAGCTGTGATTTAAATTTTGTAAAACTTTGGTTAAATAATTCGTAGAGTAGTAACAACATGATAGAATTACTCAATAAGCTGTGTCTTTGTTTGTGCTTTCAAAGTTGTAGAATACAACTCTGCACTATTCTGTTTTGACCACATTTCCACCACTATAGTGAGGAAATTCATAGGAGTAGATTTATAACCATTAAATTCGGACTGAGTTAAAGTTTCTAGTTTGAAAGGTACCAAGAAGGGTATGTGTTGAATAAAAAATGAGGGTGCAGTACTACGTTGAATATGCCAAAAACTAATGGCTTTTTTAATTTTTTTAGTGCGTGATCTCGGTATATTTTTTGTTTTGAGTCAGATCTCTCAGATCAATCGATTTGCAATCCATCTCAAAACTGAAACGCGCAATTGTTTTATTTTGCACTTATATTGTATACATTTTACTGACTTCTAGCGTACAACAGTTACAACCAACTCTTAGCACAAATAGATTCTGTAGGTATCGTAAGTCATAAATCTTTCTTTTTTTCTTTCCAATATTTGATTTCAATAAGTTTTGCAAATATTTACGAAAAATAACGAACTTGTTTAATGAATATACATTACTAATCCTTGAATAAATAAATATACACTACTAATCCATGAATAAATGAATCAAATTTTTTATGACTTTTGCGAGTAAGTGAAGCACGACCAAACGCTTCTTTTTGAATTTATAAATTAAATTTTACGAAATTTCTAAATTCAAATAACTTTCTGCACAATGAGTTTGAGCACATACTTCCTAACTAAAATATGACCAACTCAGCCGTCTCTACTCAATGAAATAAGTCTCATCTTTGTATGTTGTTGAAAATATATTTTTCGTTAAAGAGTGCAAAGCAAATGCTTTATATGACTTTTTCATTGTCGGTACAGAAGTTCAAATCTGTGCAAAGTATATGAAGTCAACGTCGTCGCATAGTAAATTTTTCAAAGGTTGTCGCTAACAGATTAATACATGTATTCGCAATAACAATTTAAGTTTAAGGTTTGAGCAAATATGACCATAATAAAAATTATTCAGTGCTTCTCAATGAGCTCAATGTGATAAGTGACTTCTTTGTATGTTATCAAAAATTTTTTTTTAGATACATAGTTAATTTAAGTAAGGGTTCTGTGCTGAAATTTACCCCATAGTTAATTTTACCCATTAATTGATTGCACACTTATTTTTCACTATAACTTTTAAAGCAATCAAATTGGAGACAAGTTGCACATACAAAAAGTACTTATTTCTTCTCGATCTACGTGATTATTGTAATGATTTCTTTGGATGTTGTCAAAAGTTATTTTTTCGACGAATTCGCTTGCCAGGCGAACCGTTCAAACATGTATTGATCATACGCGCTGCACAGCACTGCGCATTATAAAGTTTCGCTAAACTTCCTTAAGCAAGGAATTGTACAAGCAACTCTTAAGTCGCAATCAAACAAGTATTTGGACACTAACTGACAAACATAAAGCCTCTGTTTGAATCCCAATTAAACAAAAATGTACTCAACCTTGAAAAATAAAAGAATACCTTTATGCACAGCGGGTGTGACATTTTTCAGATTGGCTTCATCATCAATCTCATCCAGTAGAACACAAAGAAATTGTTACATAGCTAATAAACAATATAAGTATGCCGAGAAGGAGAATTTGGCTTCACTGAAGAATGTTCCTTATGCCTCAAGAGAAGAATCATTGCATTTGAAAAACATTAAAGGCTACCAGTTGCTCTCGACCATTTACAGACAGTTTTTTTTTTTTGAAATGAACCAGTAGTATAGACTAGGTACGGTCAAACGGTTAACTCATATCTTTCAATCTTATAAAGTACAATAAGCTCGAATCGTTTAATTTCTTGTCATTAAACTGTTTTATCTTTTTCTTCAAATGTGGAGTACTATCAAATCTCCAAGTTAATAGTGCAAGCGGTAAATAAACCCAAATCTGCGTTGGTATCTCCAAAGTTTGTAAAATTTGTAGCATACTTTGTTTGATAAAAAAGTACTTCGCACGGTGAAATGCGAAAAAATAAGATTTATCGCCCAATTATAATTCGAGATTTCTTTTTTTTATTGATAAGAACAGAACTAAATTGCTGCAAATTCAGGTAATCAACTGAAAGGGGACTAGAATCAATTTTCGACCCAAGTTGGACTACGAAGGCTTTGACACTACTTGTATTAACGATTTGAACTTACTCTAGAAGTATTGTAATAACTTTTGAGGCTCTATCCTTTCTCTTGAAAATACAATATACGGCATTATCCATTATGCTTATCTTGGCCTGAGTCAACAAATAATTAAGCGCACAGAATAAAATTATCTAATCAATGTTTCAAAAAATTTGCAATCAATGCGTTACGTTTAATGATTTAAGTTAATGATTTTCAGTTGCCTTTATTTAAGCTTCACTTAGTATATGCAAGTTGATAAGAAGATATTTTTTTCTTATTTAATATTTTGTTTTAGTCGGTTTGATCCATTATTAAAAGATAACGGTTAGTATATATACAACTATCAATATCCATTTAGACAACTGTTCAACTCATCATGTATAATTTCCAACCTACTATAAAAAGAGTCATACGAAAATGGACTACAAAAGATGGTTTACTAGGAGATTATGATTATGGTTATTTATTCATGCCAGATATACCATTTATATCAAAAGAACCTAAAACACAACCATTCTTTGGATTAAATTCTGATATGCCAATATTATTGGGTGCAATACTAGGGTTTCAACATGCTTTATCAATGTTAGCAGGAGGTATGTATAAAATTTTAAAAACTGAGTGATGAAAATTAGACTAACCGTATCTAGTCATAACTCCACCAATAGTCATATCGACAGCTAGTGGTATGGCACCTGAAGTACAAGCGTATCTTGTTTCAACATCTTTAATTGTCAGCGGGATTTTATCATGTGTTCAAATTTCAAGATTTCATATTTGGAAAACACCATATTATATAGGAACAGGTTTATTATCAGTTGTAGGGACTAGTTTTGCAACAATTACTATAGTTACAAGTGCATTTCCAATGATGTATGCTGATGGAACATGTCCCATTGCTGAAGATGGTACTCATTTACCATGCCCAAATGGATATGGGAGAATACTAGCAAGTGGAACAGTTTGTGGATTATTGGAAATACTATTATCATTTATGCCTCCAAAAGTATTACAAAAGGTATGTAACGGAATAAATTTAATTATAACTAGATATTAACATTTTTAGATTTTCCCTCCTTTAGTCACCGGTCCAGTTGTTATGCTTATTGGTACTCATTTAGTTGAAACAGGTTTTCAAGATTGGATAGGTGGTTCTTCATGTGTTGGAGAAATTTGTCATACTGGGAAATTTAATTTACCTTGGGGCTCAGCAAATTATATTGGTTTAGGATTTTTAGTTTATGTTACAATTATATTTGCAGAAAGATTTGGTGCACCAATTATGAAAAGTTGTGCAGTTATTGTTGGTTTATTAGTTGGTTGTATAGTTGCAGCTGCTTGTGGATATTTTTCAAGTGAAAACGTAGCATCTGCAAAAGCAGTTAGTTTTATATGGGTTGAAACATTTGAATTAAAATTATATGGACCAATTATATTACCATTTCTAGCAGTTTATATAGTTTTAATGATGGAATGTATTGGTGATGTTACAGCAACATCAGATGTTTCAAGATTAGAAGTTGAAGGAGAAGTTTATGAATCAAGAATTCAAGGTGGTGTTTTAGCTGATGGTATAGCAGGAGTCATTGCTGGTTTAATGACAGTTACACCAATGAGTGTTTTTGCTCAAAATAATGGTGTTATTTCAATTACAAAATGTGCAAATAGAAAAGTTGGATATTGGTGTGCATTTTTTATGATTGTTATGGGTATATTTTCAAAATTTGCTGGTGCTATAATATCAATTCCAAAACCAGTATTAGGTGGTATGACTTCATTTTTATATTGTTCAGTTGTTGTTTCAGGTATAAAGATTATTTCAACCACGGAATTTACAAGAAGAGATAGATTTGTATTGACAGCTTCAATTTTGCCTGGTTTAGGATCAATTTTAGTTTCTAATTGGTTTAGTAATGTATTTACTTATGATGGTGATAATAAATCATTACAAGGTTTTTTCAATGCAATTGTTTTATTTATGGAAACTGGGTTTGCAGTAACTGGATTTATTGGTGTTATATTAAATCTAGTATTACCACAAGTATCTGATGAAGTTGAAGAGATTAATGAATTAGTATTGGAAACTGTTGGATCTGCTGACGAAGCTGCAAGAGAAGAATTTGCAAGAAAACAAGGTATAACATTAGAACAATTAAAAAGTAATGTGACTACAAATCAAGGTGTCATGAGTTTACGATCATCAGATGCAATACCTGAATTTTATGAAGCTAAATCTAAACATTAATGAAAGTTTATAAATAGTGTAATTATAATTGGACTTAATTTTGTACTATAAAAACCTCGGTAACAAAATTTCTTAATCAATACAAAACCCCAGACTAAAAAAAAAAAAAAAAAAAATTATTTAAACGATATATTTTTTAATAAACATATTATTTCAAGATGAGTGTAACTGCAATAGCTACTTTACCACCCATAAATAAACAACCAATCAGTCATGGATCATTACCAATTAATTTGATATTCAAATTGATCAGTTTATTAAAGAAATCAATTTTTAGTAGAAAATTTTATCAAGAAATTAATGATAAAGTATTATCAAAAAGTTCAACAGTTGATTATAATTTATATTTTATATGTTATTTTAGTTTGTTAGTATCATCAGTTTTAAATAATAAAAGTCATATTTTATTCTTTTTAAGAAAACAGATTTTTAAATTAAAACAATTGTATTATGAAGGAGCAAAACAATTTGGATTCAATCAAGAATCAAATGAAAAATTGTCACAATTAAAACCTCCAGTTTATCAAGAATTAAAACCATCTCAATTAGCTTATAATTTAAAAAAAATTAATTCATATTTAGCAGATGTTAGAATTTTTAATAGATTAACCGATTCAATTAAATATATGCCTTGGGTAATTGATGAATTTTATTCATGGAGAAATCCAAGTTCAAAAATATCAAGTTTTAATAGATTTATAAATTTTATTCAAGCTTTAAATGTTTTGGTTCTTGAATTATTTGAAAATGCCGGTTGGTTAACTGATCATGATTTTGTAAGTACTGGAGATAATCCATGGTGGTCATTTGAAACTTATATTTGGTGTTGTAGAATTTGGGCTGCTTATGTTGGAATTGAAGTTATTGAATTAATTAGAAGAACTCCATATTCAAAAATGGATAAAAATTGGAAAATTGCATTATTTAAAAATTTAGTTCAAATTCCATTAACTATACATTGGTCTTTAAGAGACGGTTGTTTATCTCCATTTTGGGTTGGTGTTTGTGGTTCTTGTGCATCTTGGTGGAATTTTAAAGATATGTGGTCATCAATAGACTTAAATTAGACATTATATATTATAGAATACAACATTTTTTATTTATTATTCAAAAGATGAAACTTTATCAGCTCTTGCTGCTTTCTTTTCCAATTCATCCCAATCTTCACCACTTTCATCACCACTTTCTTCTTCACTTCCACTATAATCATCTTCTTCACTATATTCATCTTCACTTACTTCTGATTCATCTTCTGGATCTTCATCACTTGCTTCAAATTCACTTTCTTGTTCTTCTTCACTTTCTTCATCACTTTCACCAGCACCTGTTAAAAATGACCAACCACCATCAATGAAAAATTGATATGGATCAGCAATAACTGTCTTCATAATTTGTTGCCAATTTAAATTCATTTGACCTTCACTTATAGGTATATCAACATCAGTTAACCATGATTTAACATCTTCTAATAATTCCATTGGTATTGTATTTACATGAACAACAGGTTTATTAAAATCTTTAAAAACAAATACTAAATCAAAATTTTTTAAGCCAAATTGAACTCTTTCTAAATGAGCAATTTCAATTTCTTCCAAAGTAACTACTAAATATGGAGGATCAATTAATTGAACTAAACAATCTCTTGTAGGTATACATAAAACTGAAGATCTAAATGGAACTCCTGTAAAACCCAATTCTCTAAATGGTACATCTAAATCAATCATACCATTTGATGAGTCACTTATTAATTCAGCAAATTGTTTAAATTCTTTATCCAACATTGCTTTTCTTCTTCTTTCCTCTTGTTCTTGTTGTAATTCATCTTCGTCACCATACCTATATTTTCTTTTTCTACCACCAGTTTCATCAAATGCCATATCACTAGCTTCACGATAAAATTGAATATCAAAAGTTTTTCTTTTACCAATCATTATTGGATTTTTTAAATGACAATGAATTAAGACAATTAATTCATCTTTACATGGTTGAAAAAATAAGTGTTTAATATTTGAAAATAAAACATCAATTTTTGAATCTGATCTAAATGTAGATTGATATCTTAAACCATTTTCATGAATTTGTAAAACACCACCAAGTTTTTTAGTTTCTGGAGTTGGTCTAACAAATACATTTTCCAATTTTTTCATTCTTGAACCTTTAAATTCAACTAAATTAGCTTGACTAACAACATCAGCCATTTGTTTCTTTTCTTGTTCTCTTTTAACTGAATCTTTTTTCAATTCTTGTATAGCCTTGTATACATCAACCATTCTTTGACGATCTCTTGATCTAATAGTAATTGATCTAATAAATGTGTTATTAGGATCATCTTCATATGGTAATTCAGCTTTTTTTGTAACATTACCACCAGTACCTGGTGAATTAAAATTTAATCTTAAATATGTAAAATCACCTTCTTCATTTTGAGATCCATTTTTAAATGAATTTATATGAAATGGAACTGGTCTACCACTGATTGGTAATATTATAGTTTGATTTTTATAATCTATATGAATTTTTAAATCAGCTACTGAATTTGGTATTTGAGATTCTCTCACATATGATTCATATTTTTTAAATTTTGGTTTAAAATCATTTGCATCAGTTGCATCAGCTTTTGAAAATCTTGCTAAACCTTCCTGTAATCTTTTTTCGTGCAATGCAGCTTGAGTTTCTTGTCTAATTTTTTCAGCATTTGAATCATCAGCATTTGTATTTTCATGTCTTAATTTTGATTTTAAAATTTTAGAATTACCATTTTCCTGAGGTTCAACACTTTTCTTTCTATCAGGTTTTTCATCTTGTTCATCATTGAAATAAAATGAAATGTCTGATTTTTGTTTTGGATAATTTGTTAATATAATTGGTTCATTATCGGTAATTTTTAAAGTATCAATTAATGATAATGCATAATTTTTTTTACCATCTTTCAAATTACTAAAACCAACATTTAATGATATAGTTTGTCCAGCAGTTAATTTTCTATCAGTTTTATTATTCAATATAAAAGTAGAATCTCTAAATTCTAAACCTATTGACCAGCCACAGTTTTTAATAAAGTTTGTTTCCAACTCTGATTTTTCCTTTTTAATGTATTCAAGTACATCATTATAAACTTTTGATGCTTCAATACCATCTTTTAATAATGATATAACATGTTGTTGCACTTTCAACAAGAAATCATAATTAGATTCCATTTCTTTTGATGGATCAATTAAAAAAGTTCTAGCAACATTTGAACAATAACTTTTATACCTTAAACCAATTGATGATAATATTACTCCTTCACCAATTAACCTTTTTTCACTTGACATTGCACTTGGTTTTAAATCATATTCACCACCGCTTTGAATAATTGGAGAATAACAAGATTCTAAATATTCAGGATCGAAATCTTTTATAGATTGCAATAAATTTTTACCATATTTTGATTTTAAATACCAATTATTATTTTCAATTTTATCTTCTAATTGATCACTTAATTGTGAATTTGTAATCTTTTTATTTTCATCAACAATTGTCATCATATCATTTGCAAATATATCCATTAATGTAACAGAAGAATTTGATGCAATTTTAATATTATTAAATTCTTCTGAATCTTTAACTAATAATGATTTTGATATAGTTAAAGCTAAATCTTTTTGTTCAATTTTAGCATTTTTTTTTATATCATTCCATTCATCAACTAATTTACCATCATAATTATCTTTTAATACAGCACCATATTTACCATCATTAATTGATTCAATTTGTTTTATTAAATTTTCAAATATTTCTTTATTCTTTTCTTGATCTTTAACTCTTGTCCATAATTCAACTGAATCAGACTGTAAATTTTTTAAATATTTAGCTTTACCTTCAGAGGTTATAATAATACATTTATCTGAAGATATATAAATAGCAGTATGAACAAATTCATAACCTAATAACCAATTTTGAAAAACAGTTGATTTTTTATAAGTATTGTCATCATTTCTTGCACCTACGATAATTAAACTTTGTTTTAAATCATCATTTATTAAATTTTTTTGAAAATAAGATAATCTTTTATTAAATAAAGATGTATCAATTTTAACATCAGACATGATTATTGACTAATAATGTATCTGGTTCAATATGATTTGCCCTTGGTTATAAATTGGTTGTAATATATATATATATATATATATTTTTTTTTTCAATAGTAATGAATATAAATTGCGTTGTTGATATTGGTAACACGTACACGTCTTTTTTGACTGATTATGTAATACACGCGTGTTATTTTATTCTTTTATTTTTATTTTTATTTATATTTATATTTTTCAATCTTTTTACCACGCCAATTAGATTCAATGTTTAGACAAGTTAAAAGAAGAACAGCTGGTAGAAGAAACTTTGAAGAGTCAAATAATAAAAAATTAGATTATGATTTACCTAAATTATACTCATGTCGTTTATCATTTTATGATTTACCACCAACAAGAGAAATTACATTAGAAGAATTTGAAAAATGGGCTATTGACAGATTAAAAATATTAATTGAAATTGAGTCATGTAATGCTAGATCAAAAAGTTTAAAAGAAATTGAATCATCCATAAGAGGTTTATTACTTAAATATTTACCACTAAGCGAAAATCAAAATATTGAAGAAAGAATGAAAGATCATTATAGTCATTATATTTTGAGATTAGTATTTTGTAGAACAGAAGAATTAAGAAAGAAGTTTATTAAAAATGAAACTATATTATTCAAAGTTAGATATAATTCATTACAACCTCGAGAACAACAAGAATTTATTGAATTAAATAAATATAAATTATCATCATGGGAATATGTTACACCACAAGAAAAGTCAGAATTATTTGATAAATTATTTGCATCAAGTTATTTAATGTTAAAAAGTCATTTTTTATCAGGAGGCGAGAATTTAACTTATGATGAAGTGAAACAACATGTATTAATTAAAGAAAATTTCATAAAATTACCATTTGAAAAGATTACAAATTTAGTAGGTACTAGATCTATATATCTACATAATGGTTATGGATATTTACCTACAAGTTTACAATTAAATTTATTATCAATTGAATTTCAAGAAAACTTAAGTTTACAATTGATGAAAACTTTTCAAACCATACCTAGATTAGAAGAAGATGATAGGTTATTACCATTATTAAATAATTTAAGTAAAAGTTTTTCTAGTTTTAAATATGATACAGAAATGGATCCAGCCTTAATAAGTGATATAAATGCAACATCAATAACATCAAATTCAATTTCAAAACATTTTCCATTATGCGCGAAACATTTACAAAATAATTTAATTGCAAATTCACATTTAAAATATGGAGGTAGACAACAATTGGGATTATTTTTAAAAGGTATTGGATTAAATGTTGATGAAGCTATAAAATATTGGTCACATCAATTTACAAAAGGTGGCTCAATGACGGTGGATACTTTTAATAAAGAATATAAATATAATATTCGACATCAATATGGTCTAGAAGGTGCACGAATAAATTATAAACCATGGGATTGTTCAACTATTTTATCCAAACCACGACCAAATAAAAATGAATATCATGGATGTCCATATAGAGATTTTTCAATTGATAAATTGGTGTCAAGTTTAAATTCAATGGGTATAAATGATCAACAAGAATTAAATTCTATAGTTGATGATGTTGGAAGACATGATTATACTATAGCATGTACTAGAGTATTTGAATTAACTCATAAGTCTCAAATAAAAAATAGTCAAGATTCGCATATAAATCATCCAAATTTATATTTTGATAGATCAAGATTATTAGAAAGAGGTCAAAATAAAGAAGCCTAAATTAATATACGAATTATATTTATTTAAGCCATATGAAACACAAAAAAAAAAAAAGTAAATAAATAAGGGTATACGTTTGATTCAAACTTGTCAATTACTATTGTTCTCTTCGATTGTACACAAAATTAAAAACTTAAACAATACTAATTTGGTAATTTGTTTGATGAAACAGAATATTTAAAAATTTTTTAAATATTTTCTAGATCTAATTCCGTTATTTGATTTTGTAAAACATTTTATGATGAAACAATAAAATATCTTGATTTTGTAACTTTTTGTGATTTCAAATTAAACTTTTTATAATTTTTATAACGTGTTTTGTTTTATTTATTTTGATATGAAAAAAAACAGAAAGAAAAAACCCCTGGATTTAAAAGATGGTCTATTTAAGGAAAGAACAAGCGAGAAAAAAAAAAAGGTACCGGTTAAATTAATAGAGTCTTTAATAGAGTATTTAATTATCTTACAACCATCATTAAGAGTCATAATCAACCTATATAATTTTATTGGTTGTTGATTAATGTATAGTTAATATTTATTAGTTTATTTTTAGATTCTTTAATTTTTTTTTTTTATTTTTTATTTTTTTATTTTTTTATTTTTTTTTATTTCTTTTTTTTTTTTATTTTATTTTATTTTATTTTTTTTTTTTTTTTTTTATTTATTATCAGCTTTTTTCAACATATTTTGAAACATAAGGATTTAGTTTTATATTTATATATTTACACATTGTATTGCAACAAATAATCTACAAATTACTTAAATCTTATTATAATATAGTAGTCATTCCTTATATTTTACTTTTATTCCAACTATATTCATAATATTATTTTTCAAAATTTTAGATATTAATTTTCAATAGTCATGAGTATACCACAACCTTCGCAACAACCACCTAATTATTCACAACAACCACCTAATTATTCACAACAACCTCCAATACCATCTCAACCGCAACCGCAACCTCAACCTCAACCTCAACCTCAACCTCAACCTCAACCTCAACCTCAACCTCAACCTCAACCTCAACCTCAACCTCAACCTCAACCTCAAATTCAAAATCAACAACGTCAAGTTTCTTTTAATGTTTCAGATCATTATCAAATTTTGGAAATTGTTGGTGAAGGTGCTTATGGTATAGTTTGTTCTGCAATTCATAAACCAAGTCAACAAAAAGTTGCTATTAAAAAAATAGAACCATTTGAAAGATCTATGCTTTGTTTAAGAACTTTAAGAGAATTAAAATTATTAAAACATTTTAACCATGAAAATATTATAAGTATATTAGCAATTCAAAGACCAAATAATTTTGAAACTTTTAATGAAATTTATCTTATACAAGAATTAATGGAAACTGATTTACATAGAGTTATACGTACTCAAAAATTAACTGATGACCATATACAATATTTTACATATCAAACTTTAAGAGCTTTAAAAACTTTACATTCAGCAAACGTTTTACATAGAGATTTAAAACCATCAAATTTATTACTTAATTCAAATTGTGATTTAAAAATTTGTGATTTTGGTTTAGCTAGATCAATTGCTTCAAGTGAAGATAATTTTGGTTTTATGACTGAATATGTTGCAACAAGATGGTATAGAGCTCCTGAAATTATGTTAACTTTTCAAGAATATACTACTGCTATAGATGTTTGGTCCGTAGGTTGTATATTAGCTGAAATGTTGAGTGGTAAACCTTTATTTCCTGGTAGAGATTATCACAATCAATTATGGTTAATTATGGAAATTTTAGGTACTCCAAATGTTGAAGATTTTTATAATATAAAATCAAAAAGAGCAAGAGAATATATTAGATCATTACCATTTTGTAAAAAAATTTCATTTAAAGATTTATTTAAAGATAATTCAATAAATCCGTTAGCTTTAGATTTATTAGAAAAATTATTAATTTTTAATCCATCAAAAAGAATTAAAGTTGAAGACGCTTTAAAACATCCTTATTTAAAATTATATCATGATCCAATGGATGAACCAAATAGTGAAAAAATTCCTGATAATTTTTTTGACTTTGATAAAAGAAAAGATGAATTAAGTATATTGGATTTAAAGAAAATGTTATTCGACGAAATTATGAAGCCATTATAAATATATAAAGAACAATAAAGTTTTGAACTTGTCTTGTAGACTTTTCTATAATAACTTTTAAAAGGTATTCATTTAGCCTTAGTTGTAAGATTAAACAAAAATAAATCCCAAAAATATGTAATAATATAATCAGGAATTTCACTTATAAAAAAAGTTCGTTCGTCTAGTTTCACTACGAGTATGTAACGAGCCGCAGTTGAAAATCTCATATTTTTAAATTGTAAAAATTAGTTCAAATCGAACACTTGATCATACAGAGATTTTTTGGAGTGCTATTTGATGTTTATGAATATTGACGAATGTCAAAAACATAAACTGAAATGCTTCCGTTTAATTGATGGTGATCAGTTTCTCCAGTAAATGAGAAATGACCAGATGGTGATGAATAAATTGATCAAAAAAGCGTTAGACCAAAACTTTCACAAGTAAAGCCCCGATATCGAGGAAGCTATCTACAATTTAAGTTTCAAGCCTAGCTGTCATGAAACTGCATATAAGTAAAATTTGTTTCAGATTTATATTTGTAAATTCGCCTAAATTTGGAGCCAAGGAAAATATCTACTCGCGCTAGCTTTAAGGCGACGCGTACTAAACTCATTTGGTTATATGTAAGAAAAAATGCATACTCTCGAGATAAGTTTCAATTATATGATTTCAGAAGTCATAAATCAATTATCTTACAAAAGTGTCAATTCCAAATTCGAATATTTTCTTTTTTGAGTTGTTATTCTGGGATTTTTTCATCATACAAAACTTTTGCAAAAATTGATCCATTCCAAATATTATAATAAAATACAATTTAAAGAACTATAAAACTATGAAAACCTAAAACTGAAACTGTAAAAACATCAACATTCAACAATAACAAAAATCATAAATCTAATTCAATTTAATTTAACTTAATTCAATTTAATTTAATTTATTTCTTTCTACCAAAGAAACCTCTTTTTTTCTTAGTTTTCTTTTTATCTCCATCAGCTTGTAAACTCGAAGCAGAATAATTGCCAGCTTGATAAACTGGTTGATCATCAAAATTTATAACAGGTCTTCCAGTAGAACCTAAATTATTATATTCTTGTTCTCTAGTTTGACCATTTAAACTATGAAAAGGAAAATCTTCATGAAAACCCCAACCAAGTCTAGAAGATTCTAATTGATCTCTATAACTTACATCACCTGTTATAGCATATTCAAAACCTCTAATTGTATCTAAAGGTCTTTCATTTCTATTTCTTGTTGGATTTGACATATCACCTTGTCTTATAGGTTGACCAAAAATATCTTTTAAATCAGCAGAATCATGACTTAAATAAGATGGACGTCTATTATCACGTTGAGCAGCTTGTTCAAAAGGTTGTGATTCATTAACAGCAGTTAAAATTGGATCATGAACATTTGCAGTATGCATTTTATAATGTTCTTCGTCTTTTGCAGTTATTTTAAAATCCATTTGATCTGTTTTATTTGAAGATTTTGATCTAAAAATTGCCATGATGAAATATACAACTTTGAGTGAATTTTTTTTTGGGGGGGAGAATAACTTTGTGTATTAAATCGGTTGTAATAAAAGGTAAATAAAAACAATTAGCAGCCAATGGAAAGATATATATGAATTATATTACTCTAAATAAATGTAAATAGCTATTAGTAAACTCTTTATGAATAAAATTTCAAACTGGTTGTTAATATTCAAATTTGTTGATAGTTTAAATCTGTTGATATAAATTTAAAATTTTCGAAGGGGGAAATTTTTATAGAATTTGATTCTGATTTTTTTTAAACTACCAAAGAATAAAAAAAATCTACCAAAGGTATTTAAACCGACTTACATTATTATACCGTATAAGCCTTAATTCTATTCTTAGACAAGTAACTAGTATTAGTCTATTGAATTGTATACAAGTTTATGGTTAATCTATGGGTTTGAAAGGGTATAAAAGGGAAACAGGCTATGGTTTTATGTTCAATTTTGGCTTGTAAATTTTATTTAATCTCATTAAAAATTTTCTTAACTATGATAAACTAAAAAGTCTCGTATAACGGTTTATATTATTAAGAAAAATTTTATGTCTTGTCTTTTCCAATAAGTGATTGCATTGCAACATCAACCACTGTTTGATCGATTTTTGATTGTCTAATGTCTGATACTTGTATTCTTCTATTATGAGCTCAGTTTAGATTAAAAGGTGTACCTTAATATTTAAGACAGCAATCGAATTTAGAATGAAACAATAAAGATATTGAAATCATAGCCTATTTATCAACTCACCGCCACATTTTAGTTCAAATTTATAGCGTTAGACAATATCTATACAGTTTATTGAGTTAGGAACCAAGTTATTTCAGATTATTTTGCGTTTGAGTTTTTTTATAAAACTCGCTGTTATCAATTACGTTTACATTTACATTTACGTTTACATTCCAAACTAAACTTTGTGGGATTTGAATCGGTGTCGGCATAATTTTTATATTTTTCATTCGAGAAATCAAAAAAGTGTCGGGCGAAAAAAAAAAATAATTTGGTGCGCGAATTAAAAATATTAAGACGTGTATAATAATAATACGTGTTTAAACCAAACGATCAAAACTATTGATACAAGATTCTTTCATTAATTACAATCTTATCTGTGTACAAATTCGTTTCAAGACAACTTGTCAGGCTAAATTATATCCGTAAGTGTTAAAAGCTCTGACTATTTCAAAATTCTGAGCATTAATGAGATATTTAACGGTTTTCTCAACAAGTTTAATTTTTCAGCCGCCTAATTACAAAGCCAATCTCTCTCCTTTGCAAGAATTATAGAATCGACATCAATTCTATTTAAAAGTGATGAAGTTAATAGTAGTATATATTCTGCGCAACGTTATCGATCGATTCTTGTCTTATTTATCGATTCTTGTCTTAATTTTTCAGCCACCTAATTGCAAAGCCAATCTCTCTCCCTTCCAAGAATTATAGAATCGACGTCAATTCTATTTAAAAGTGATGAAGTTAATAGTAGTATATATATTCTGCGCAACGTTATCGATCGATTCTTGTCTTATTTATCGATTCTTGTCTTATTTGTCGATTCTTGTCTTAATTTTTCAGCCGCCTAATTACAAAGCCAATCTCTCTCGCTTCCAAGAATTATAGAATCGACGTCAATTCTATTTAAAAGTGATGAAGTTAATAGTAGTATATATTCTGCGAAACGTTATCGATTCTTGTCTTATTTATCGAGAATAGTCTTCTGGTTATCTACCTATTTGCGCAATTCTATTGCAAACTTAGTGCTAAAGGATGGAAAAAGGAAAAAGGAAAAAGAAAAAAGGGAAAAGGAAACAGTATTTCAGTCTCGGAGGTCAACTAACTATGAATTAGCTTGTATCGATCAAAATTTAATTTATTCACATTATCAACAAAATTTACGAAATCATTTTTCATTTTTCATTTTCATTTTTTTACCCTGCGATAATTAACAGAGAAATAACTTCAATATGGTTGAATCAGTAACACTACAAGATCAACCACCAATGGAGAATCCAATACAATTCATATCAATAATTTCAAGGAATGAAAAACCAATATATATACAACAATTTAATACAGATACAAAGAATGTTAATAAATTTTTGAAATATAATTTTCTAAGTCATATGGCATTAGATTTATTTACTTCACCTACTTCATTAAGTTTAAAAGAACAACAAGGGAATAATGATATAATATTATTATTTATACAAGATCAAATTATGGTGTATGGATATGAGACAAATAATGGGTTAAAGATACTAATTGGATTAAATCAAAATTATACAATTGATTTGAAAAAGTTGAAGGTGTTGTTTTTAAATATACATAAACTGTATTTAAAGATATTATTTAACCCATTTAACCAAATGAGTCAAGAGGATGAGATTGAAAATAAATCATTTGATGAAAATTTAAAAAAATTGGTAAGTGAATTTATATGAAATTAAAATTTAAGGTTGTATCAGGATGTTGAACGGAATGCTCATGAGAACTTAGAAATAGCTATTAATAAGCGTATATGAGGTGCTTATCAATAGACAGCGTTTTTGGATTTTGTGGTTTAAAATTCGGCACTCTATCAAATCAGTTAATGAACTAAAATTAATACGAATGTTCCATTGGAGTTAAGTTAATAGAGACTACTAAATACAAATTATAATCAACCTTTTGGCATTTCCCTAAATTAGCTAAATATTCTGGTGCTACTAAATATTAACCTAATTCAATTGTTTAAATTAAAGTTCATGCAATTTCGTGTTATTGCAGCTTGTGATGTCAGCTTTAAAAGCACAGCAGCATTATTAAAGCCTGATTGAAATCAATTTCCAAATAAACAGCTAACCACATATCATTTTGGACTTTAGGTTATACAACAAACTATAATATTATCACTTTGAATTTCTTGGTTTCAAAAACAGCATTCACAGCTACATTCACTAATACCACCATCTCAAAACCTATTTCAATATAACATTAGCACCTCTTAATCCTAAATATTCTTGATCAATACCAGGTTGTAAATTTTTAATAACTTCTTGATAAATTTCAACATTATGAAATCTTAATTGATTTGATGGAGCTTTATAACTGCCTTTCAATCCAGTAATATCACAATAATGTTTTCTAGGTAATAACGAAGGTGGACTAGTAACAGATACATAAGTCAGACTATCAAATTTTAAATTCGGTAATGATTGTAAATACTTAATTTCATCACTAATTAACTGTCTACTTGGTTTATATCTCCTATTTGGTATAACTTTCCTATTTGGATTTTGCTTGAATGAATGTGGTTTCGTAGTTACTTCAGATAAAGCATGAAGATCAACTGGTGTTGAATTAACTGTTGATGAATTTGAATTCGACATGGTGGTGGTAAGTTATATTTTTTTTTTTATTTCGAATACAAATTTTTGTCGCGGTGGAATTGATGCCGTAACTAGGTACTATTATTTGAGTACTTTACGATCAGTAAATTTAAACGACAACTTTGAATAATAAGGCCAATAAAAGGAAGAAGAAGTTTACTGGCTTCAAATATCCTAATTTTTGACTAAATTAGTAATTTTTATGGAAAATGAAGATTGCTTATGAATTTTCAATTCATCCATACGCTAAAAAGTAGATAGAGAAGTGAATATTCTACAAATGATAAGTTAGTTTCCTTATAGCACTTGTATATTACCCTGAGTAGAGTATTAATCATCAACAGCGGATATTTTTAAGCTCCAAAATAATCACACTCATCAAAATCTTGATGATTTACTAATTTCCCTTTCACTCATCAAAGTGAAAGAGAAGTAAATATATGTAAATATTTCTTGAAACTCGGGATTTAAGATATCAAATCGATAATATTGAAGGTTGCTCAAATAATAAATACATTGTCAACAATTTCAATCCACAACTTATTGATAGTCATTTAGGAGCAACAAACTAACTTTGTACTACGCCCATTAAGACCACCAAGCTGTTTGCGCTGAATCAATCTTCAATGAGGAGGTGTCAAGACTGTATTAGAATGAGCACTCATCCAAATTGAAGTCGATATATATTTGGGTGATTCCCATTTTTATTTTTAAATCGGTCAATCAACAGATTTTTAGAATTGAAAGGGTCCAGACAAGACCAACAGTCAAAAAGTGATAATTTATATTATTGTACTCAACAATAAAAAAACTCACCCTTTTCATTCTTCAAGTTCTGAAAGATTATCAAAACTTAACGTAATTTTTCTGTTTGCTTTTATCATAATCTGGTTTTCAGTAATAATCTACTTTCCATCCCAAGTGATCTGGGCTGCCACACATATCACACAATTGCTGGATCAAGAATAAATTAAACCATTCAATTTAAAATTCCCTACCATAGGATTGCCAACCCTACTTTTGTTTAGACCTGTGTGCCAACATTTGATTGGTAAATTTGATGCAACTTATACGGCTCACTTTTGTGCAGCAAGCTTCAATACTTAAGCTACATCTCATTCTTAAATTAAGTAGAGTAATTTGATTAACTGTTTAGTCATTATTCTGAGAGATATTATATAGATCAGTCTGATCTTGTTATCATAAGATGTAGTATAGTTTTCATATTTTTTTTTCATAATAAATAAATAATGTCTATATTATACAATTTTGTCTATAGTTTTCTATTCATCTTTTACATTTTCAATCCATTCAGTTGTACTCATTTGTGATAATCTACTTAATGCTCTTGCAAATGCAAATTTTTCTTCATCATCAGCAAACATCGCTGCTTTTTTAGCAATTTTCTTATCAAAACCATGTTTTAAAACCAATTCATCATCTTCAAAAGTATTTTCAACACCAGTTTTATCTTGATGTTTATATAATTTATAATTATCTTTTTTCAAATCTTCTGGTTCAACAAATAAATCTTGAAAATTTGTAACTGCTGTAACTGCTAGTCTATCATGTGAATCATAAACAGCATCTAAAAATGTAATAAATCTTCTAACTTGATCTCGAACATCTAATGACAAATAAGGTATATCAGTAATTATAAAACTTTGAAAATGACTTGCAAGAGTTAAATAATCACCAGCAGCCATTGGGACACCACATAATTCATGAAATGTAAATTGAGCCACTTTATTAGGTGAACATTTTGGAACTTTTAATTTTCTACCCCAAACTTCTAAAGTAAAATTTTGTAAAATTTCTTGATTTTTATTTGTTTGATTGAAGTAATCATACCATTGTTCAACATGTTTTTTGCAATTTGCTTGATTAATTTTACTATTCCATTTAACTCCAGGTTTAGGATGATAATATACTGACGATATAGGTTTAGGAACTTTTCTATAATCAGTAGGTGAGTTTAAATAAATAACTCTTGTTTGTTTTTTAATTAATTTGATACATGGAATAAATGAAACTCTTTGAATACCATTCAAATATAAATCATCAGGTGCTCTATTTGAAGTTGCAAATAATATAACTCCATAGTTTGGACTTAATAGTAACGTCATTAATCTTCTTAATAACATCGCATCAGCAACATCAGTAACTTGAAATTCATCAAAACATAAAACAGTGGAACTTTGAGCAATTTCACTAGCTAGAATTGGAATAACATCAACATCTCCACCATATTGTATTTTTAAAGTATGTGATCTTTTATGTAAATTTTGCATAAATTGATGAAAATGAAGTCGAGATTTTGCTAAATTAGGTGGAACAGTTTTATAAAATAAATCCATTAACATTGTTTTACCACATCCAACATCACCATAAAGATAGACCCCTTTAACCTCATTATCAACAGTTAATAATTCTTCTTCATTTACTTTTGATTGTTCTCCATTATTACCAAAAAATGAATTGAAAATTTTACTTATTCCAATTTTAGGCTTTAATGAGTCTATAGTTGGTGTTTCTATTTCCGGTGGAGTATAATGTGATAGTTTTTCATGTAATGTACTTAGGGAACTTATGATCTTTCTTTGATATTTATCATCTTTTAATTTACCTTGTTCAACTCGTAGATTATATAATTTTAATGGAGTTAAAAGATTGTTGTTAAATTTTGTAGTTGTAGCATGTAAAAGTCTCTTAAATATATAGTATTTCTTCATGAATACTCTATGTCTATAATCTATACTAGTTGTTTCAAATTGGTAATACCATTGAATGATTGGTAAATATTCTGTTTCAAATTTCTTCTGGGGAAAAAAAAGAAACAAAATTGATTGACAGATTGAATAGAAGGGCTACCAGTTGTGTATATTCTCTTCCCCCCCGTGATTTCTTCAAGATTAAGCTTTTAAAAGTAATAAGAATTAATGATAGATGTTTGTTGAGTATAAATACAAAATTTTTGGGACGCTAGTGTTTTCTAAAGCAAAGTTAAATGCAATATTTTGAAATTTAAATTATTTTGCAGCCATTTTTCTTACTCCCCGGGCATTTTTGGATTACAAAAATAAGCTATCAAATAGTCAAATCTATACGAAGTTCAATCATGAGAAGTTTCATAATGACTAATATAATAAACTAAAGGTTGCAAATAGTAATTAACCTTAACAAGGAACATTACCTCATTGAAAATATCGAGAAATCACAATTTGTTTAACTTATATCGTATAAATATTACAATAATCTTCATCAAATTCAATCAATACAGTTCTAAGCCTCTTTTACAGTATAATTTCGTATTTTGAGGTACCAATATTTATACTCTCGAAATGTCTAAATTCTGACGAAAATTTGACCTACATGCAATCTTACATTAGTGAATCATATAATTTAATCTCCTAACAACTCCCTTACTATTCAAGCTGTAGTGATCAAACTTTGTTCGTTAAAACTGCAGCCAAATTGAATTAAACGGTTGTTAGTATTGTCCAATAAAACATAGTTTTGATTTCTTTAGACTCATTGAAAATATGGGAAAAAACGATAAATTGCAAGATACACAATACTTAAAACTCATTTAACGATCTAATATATCAGATTAGGCTTCTTAGATCCCAATTATGTTTTGTATAGTATTTTTAAGGCACCAAAATCGATTTTCAGAAATTTTGTAAAAATTTTAGAACACTTGCCAAAAATTTACTTTCCCAATTTTGCATAATTAAACACAAATATTTCTAAGCTATATTAGCAAACAGAACTACAATTTTGAGTTGATTTATCATATTTTAATCACGACTTTGTTTGTGGAATTATGTTCAGCATTTTATTTTGATATATAACATATATAAGCCGTTATTTTATTGGAAGTTGTGGCCCCAATTAAGATATACCTTGCATTTCTAGTTCTGCCAAATTTTTTGTACAGTGAAAAAGCCCAAAAATCCAAGTCGAAAAAAAAAAATGATCCCACTATAATAGTTTAAATATGCGAATTATATAATTCAAGGCTCCTGATTTCAAATAAATGGTATTTATCTCCAGAGTTAAGTTGTTAATGATATATATCCAAATATGTGCAGAACGTGGCTGCCCTAAGTCTAGCGCGAGGAATTATTTTGTCGCGATGTTTATAAGTTGGGAGCAAGTTGGCAACAAAGAAAAGACAGTGGCGCCAGCTCTGATTCAAAATTTTCCATCTCATTTCGGTTCGATGTTGGTTGAAAATAAATTGAATTGCTCGACTTAAAACAAATTCAATTTTTAAAACTTGCTAATTAGTAAAATTACTATTACAGATATGTAACTAACGTTCTACATCTTCTTTTTTGAATAACCCTGCATTATTCATAATGCATTATTCATAATGATTTAACTGCTCAATCAGGTTTAGAAAAATCGGTAACTTGAACCTCTTTTAAATTTTCAATTTCTTATTTTCACAAGATTTGTCCCATACGAATATTACTCACTTCTTCCGTTTCTATTCGATTATCAATCCAAGATGTTTGTATGTAATATTTTTTTTTATCTTTCGTTGATCTGAATAGATTCAACCCTTTCCTTAACCTTTTTTATTTTAGTATTCTAAAATACATTTCAATCTCGATTAACGCACTTAATTCAAAAATTCGTCAAAAATGTCCCATATCAAAGTTGCTCACTTTTGGATATTACTTCGTCTTCGATTTATATGAAAGTCTTATAGAGATGAGGGCAATTTTTTAAAAAGTAGACAACTTGCTATGATTTCTCCACAACGCGAAATAGACCTTAATTATTTCAAATTAGAAAAAAAAATAAGATACAACCTATCAGATTCTCATTTTAACGACACTTGAGTTTTAAACAGATTCCAACACAACACCTTAATTCATCCAAAAAATGAGTCAAAAAATTTTCTTGAATAAATTTAGGGTTTGGGTAACAACTAATTCGGTACTCGAAAAAAAGTAGTGTATTAAATATGGTTGCAATATAAACTGGAGAATACTGTATACAAAATATGAGCACGGTAAGTGTGGAATAGATGATTCTAAATTTAGAAGTAGATATCAATCAATTTATTGTAGATAAGCAGATGGTTTTACCTCGAGATTAAATATCGAAATTAACAAATGAACATATAGCAATAGTTTCATCTGAAATGAAACGAGAGCCAAGAATTGTAATTTTGATATATAATTAAATCAATCATATGTAAGTAATTAAACTAAAAACTTAAAACTTAAAACATTATAATTGTTTAATAGATGGCATACCTGAAATAGCAATACTCGAGGAATTCAAACATTATAAGACATAATTTCATAAGCAATTAATAAATACTTAACAAGTTTGAAACAATTTATCAATGTGTGAATTACTATAAATCGCTAATACAATACACAATATCCAATATACAATATACAATGTACAATGTACAATGTAACAACTTATATACAACTTATATACAACTTATATACAACTTATATGCAGGAGCAATCTCCTTAATTGTTTATTTTTAGACACTTCTCGAAAGACAAAATAGAAATTTCAGAGGAATAAACCACAGTGCAACAAACGTCATAATAAATAAACAATAAACGAACGATCTAAATCTAATGAATAAAATTTTGTGCTTGCAATAACAAACCTTAAACTTTAAAAGCATACTCTATTTATTATACTGGGGGGTCATTTTCTTTCTCTTACTTATCATGGAATATTTCATTGTATGCCGATATTTGACTGCATAAAGAAATACTACATGGAAGTTCTCGCGGTAGTTATTTATAGAAACATATACTTAATTATTTAAGGGACGATGCTCAGTAATTAACAATCATTAACTATGCAATCCTGTGTATAATTCAAATAGGCGGATAAATTACATAATGATTACATAATGAAATTGCAATTTATTAGTGTACCATTACATAATACCAGCAATAAATATATATATAGTGAAATGCAAGTCATGTTAAAATTTTATATTTATACAACAGAAGAATCAAATGTTCAAAACCAAATAAACAAAATTTTATTCCTTTCAGTTTTATTTATTTATTATTGATTATTGATTATTGATTATTGATTATTCATTATTCATTGTTCATTATTCATTAGCCATTTAATATTTTTATTCTTTTTCTTATCTTCAATTTATATTTTCAACCAACTTCCCATCAGCCAAAATTATCAACAAAATTATCAACAAATTATCAACAAAATTTATCAGCAAAATTTATCAACAAAATTTATAGAATTAGTGTGCCATTCCATTCGCTTAATATAGAAACACAGCAAATTTCATCTTTCAATTCTTCCAATTTCAATTCTTCCAATTTCAATTCATTCGTTGTATTTTAATAATTAGTTTTTTTTTTTTTTATCATGAGTTACATATATCAAAATAATAGATCAACTTCATCATTAAATGATAATTTATATGATATTTCAATAAATCAACAACGTATAATGGTGAATAATCAACAAAATAGTAAACCAAAATCGAATTGTCCAACTCCGAAAAGAATAGCTTCAATGACTTCATTACCTACATTAAACGAAATACCGAACTCTACGGTACATTCAACTTCAAAAAGGCCGGGTGATTATTATATACAAAAGATTAACAGCTCAAAATCAAATTTACCACCACAACTAGTTATTCCGATGTCGCCACAATATACATTTAATAAACCTAGATTATCTGGTGATTCAACATTATCGTTTCAATCGAGTATAATATCAGATGATCATTCCCTGATTTTATCAAGTCAATTTGATGCTCCAATGACGACTTCAAGTGCAGCTACTTCAGCTACTTCAGCTACTTCAACTACTTCGACTACTTCAACAACTCAAGATTCAAGTTCTAGATTAAATTCGTTAACTACAAATTCACCCTTTACTGATTCAAATTCAACTTTGAAAAATATACCACAATCAAAACCACCAGTAACACCAAATAATTTGAGATCTGCGTCAACTACAAATGTGCATCAACAAGTATCACCATCATTTAAATCTAGATCAAAATCAGCAACTGCAATACCGACAATTACAAGATCTAAATCAAAATTTATGAGTTTAAAAGAAGCAAAAGAACGTCAGATATTAAGAAAGAAGAAATATGAAGAAAATGATGTTGATGAAGAAATTCTAAGTCAAGATTTAGATAATTTGATATTCAATGTACCTGTAATTAAAAATTATAATGAATTATATTCAAAATCATCAAGTTCACAAATAAATATTCCCAAAACTAGATCAAATTCAACAACTTCAACAGGTTCTGGTTCAAGTTCACCTGGTAATACTTCATTATCTCGTGTTGATCTAGTTGGTAGTGATTTTGATAAATATCATAATCAAATAAAGCCATGTCCATTACCTGGTAAATTATCAATGGTTGAAGAAGCTGAATTTAATGAAGATTCAGAAATAACTAAAAACATATCACAATTTTATCAATCTAGATCATTATCAACTGCAAAATTGGCTAAAGTTAATAGATCAAATAATATGTTATATAAATTACCAAATTATATAAAATCACAATCTTCATTAGATGATTTACATTTAATTAGTGTTGAGAAATTAAATATTATTGAACAAAGTAATAGACCAATAAATTTACCACCAAAGTCAATAAATGAAAAGAATAAACATAAAAAGGAAGCTGAAATATTATTTACAAATTATAATAGTACTAAAAGAAATTCAACAAATGAAAGAGTAAATAAACAATCACAAATTGATGAATTTAATCAACAATGGAGAGATTTATATTCACAATTATCAACATTAGATTCCAAAATTTTTAATAAACAATTCAATTATCAAAAGAATATGATTAGGAAATTAGCTTGGGATTCAAGTGTTCCAAAGAAATTATTATTCAATTTTATGATAATGATGTTATCAAAAACTGGTAATTCCAAAGATTCAATAAATACAATCAAGAATTCATATGAATTATTCACTATTAAATATGAACATTTATCATCACAAGTTAAAAATAATAAAGAAATTGAATTTGATAAAATTATATCACATATTTCATCCAAACCAATTTTTCAAAATTGTTCAAGGTCATTCATTGTAAATTTTAAATATTTACTTTATATAAAATCAATTTCAGAATTTGGTTTAAATAAGCTAGATGAGATTTTAATTCCAATACTACTTTCAATATTTCCACAACAATCATTATCGGATACATATACACTATTAGAATTAATAAATTCAGAAATATTCAATAGGGAGTTTATAAGTGCTTTGAATCGTTCATTTGCAAAATTATCAGATTCTGAATTTAAAGATTTTAATGTTAATTGGTTATTCAATTTAATTTGTCAATTTAATGATTGTTTACCATTAAGTTTATCAGCACCATCTACACCAATAATGAGTCAACATGGATTTGACATTGAAAATGAAGTTGAGAAAGAAGTTGGGTGTTCATTAATGATAGTTGAAAAATTGTTGACTTTGTTAATTATTTATTCAAATAGTATAAAGACAAAAGATAAAAATAATATCAAAATATTGAATAATTTTGTTAATGTGATTTTCAAATATTATCATCTTAATTGGAATGATTTTAAACAATGTGTGAATGATAATATTTCAATTAGATTAAATTATTCAAGTGATGATAGAGTTAATCTTGATTCATTTGTTGATAAATGGAAAGATATATATAAGAAGAATTAATTGATATTAATACTAATGATGAATGAATAAACTACTTATCAACTCTGGAGCTTCAGTGAATCCTCTACATATAATTTCTGAACTTTAAAAACATCAATTTTTGAAATACCAAGAATGTTGTTTTATTTTGCACGAGAATACTAAATTGATTGATGTAACGTCAAAAATTGAGCAACAGGCACTAGATTAGATCAACCATCTACACTCTAATTACTCCTAGAAACAAGTAAGAAATATTGAACATTGAGCTTTATATTAAGTAGTTTGAATCCTCAGTTCAATTAAATTAGTTGCAAAAAAACTTACGCTACCAAGCTCATATGGTTGCCTGATGTAATATCAAACAAATGAAATAATCAATTTAAGTTTAGGTTTACATTGAATAAGTAAGCCAATAAGGGGACGATCAGCATTCCTGGTACTGATTGTAAGTTTACCTTTGTTTGGTAATAATACTTTCGTTTATTAATTATTTACATATCCAAATCAATTTCATCAGGATTTTCATTTTTATCAAAAGTTGTAGTCGTACTCTTAACAAATCCAATAGCCTTATTAGCATCTCCAATAACTCTTCTTTTATTTTCATCCATTTGTAATTTTCTTTTATATCTAATAATTTCCTTAAATGTAAATTCACTACCATTTTCAATTTCAAATGATTCCCAACTTGACCAAATTTCATTATCTTCAATCAATTCAGTTATGAATTTATATAATTCACGTACTCTATTATATTGTTTATTTGTAGTTTCAAAATTTATGAATTGTTTAACAATGTATGAAATTTGAATAATTGATAATTGATCATCATTTATTGCTTGTGTTGCAATTTTTCTAAACTGATCAACATCTTGGAGTTTGTAAAGTTTGGATAATAACAACTTGTAAATATCAAATTTAGATACGTTTATTAATTGTTTATGTTTTGGTGATGTTGATGTCGATGAAAATGAATTTAGTGAATTGATTAATATCTTCAATGCTTTCATTTTGTTTCCTTTTGCTTCTTCAAAATCGACATATTGCAATAATATTGGCTTCATTGAATATAGTGGTATTTCATTAATTGCTTTTTCAAATAAATCTCTTACTCTCTCTATTGAATTATCCTGTTTGAGAAATTTGGGTATGTAAACATTCCAAATTTCAAACTTAATCTCTGGATCATTAAATATCTTTAATCCTCTTTCAAGTATACTAAATGATTTATTTACACCACTGTTCTTTCCGAGAAATTCACTATATTGTATAAGAATCTTGGGGGTGATTATTTTCAATCTGATCAATTGATTATATGCCCCACTAACTTTTTCAACATATATCGAATCAGGAGATTCAATAAATGACTCTAGCAAGTCAATATAGAATAACCATAACTTAATTGACTTTATAATTCTCTTTTGTACTGTTATTGTAGAATCGTTATAATTTATAACTTCATCAAATTCTTTAAACAATAAATTCTCTAATAATTTCACAGATTCATCTTCTTCAAATTCATCTGAACTAAGTAATAGCTCACACCAATGAATATATAAATCAGCCAATTCATCACAATTTATAAATTGAGAAGTTACAGATTTTGAATATATGATATTAGCAGTTTTGAAATCATTATTTTTGGAATAAATTTCAGCATATTTAATCCATATTTGTGACAATTTCTCATGCATGATAGGTGAGGTTACTTTTAATGGATTAATATTTTTGATAGCTGTTGCAATTGCTTCAATTAATGACTTTAGATCATTTTCAAATATTTTAAATCTGTTAAACCAATAGTCTAGATTATTCACGTTAATTCTTAAAAACATGTCATTGATGAATTTTTCTCTGTTGTTTAATAAACTTTCATAATTTTCAATTTGCGATTCATCATTTTCATCGATATTCTCTTCTTCAAATAACATAAAATTATCATACAATTTGATAAAATCAGATAGATTATTAACTTGAGTCAATGATTTTTCATAATAAGATCGTATCTTTGCTGTATTACCTTTTATTTCATAAAATTCAATCAATTTCAAATACAATTTACCTATTTGATCAGGATACTCAGTCATTAGTTTGTTAATCAATTTCTCCACTTTCGCTTCATCCTTAGTCTCTCCCTCAATTAATAAATCAATATAATTGTAATATATCTGTATTATAGATTTGGGTAAAGTATTATACTCTTGTTTAGATTCAAATATCCTTTGATATAACTCATCTGGAAAATCACCAAAATCTATCAATTTATCAATAAAGTCAAGTATATTCATGTGTCCTTCAAGCTGACCACTCAAAATTTTTGGATTTATAAATTTCAAATATCTATGATATATTTTAATTGCAGTTTTACCACCTACTTCATCTGCAAACTTTAAAAACAAGGGCCAAATTTCTTTATGATCATCAATTGGTAAATTCTTCAAAGCTTTGTTAAACAACTTCCGTATCTCTGTAATTTTATGAATTTTCGTATTAACCAAATAATTCAAATACATTAACCAAATTGATTTCACTTCCAGGTGGTGTTTTATACATTTTTCAAATATTGGTTCAGCATCATATACATTTGATTCAAGTAACAACTCCAAGTATAATTTATAAAATTCAGTCGAAGATTTTGATTTTGAACCAAGCGCATCAATAGCTCTATTTAATATAAAAATTTTGTTTTCCAAAGAACTATTAATTTTAAAATTATAATAACTTAACCATGTTTCACCATTCTTTAAATCTTTACTCAATGATTCTTCGTATGATATATCTTCTTCATTAATAAATTCATCTAAATTCATTATTATATCATTCCTTCGTAAATTTCAATTTTAATTTTTCACGCACGGAAAAATAGAACCAATTGATAAATTGTCGAAATAGTTGATAAGAATAGTAATAGGGTATAAACAATTGAACAATGTCTGGTGCTGGTAATCGTGAACAAGTTTTCCCTACTCGTATGACTCTTGGAGTTATGAAAGGTAAATTAAAAGGTGCACAACAAGGGCATTCATTATTAAAAAGAAAATCTGAAGCATTAACCAAGAGATTTAGAGATATAACTCAAAGAATTGATGAAGCTAAAAGAAAAATGGGTAGAGTTATGCAAACTGCTGCTTTTTCATTGGCTGAAGTTTCATATGCTACTGGTGATAATATATCTTATCAAGTTTCTGAATCTGTAAATGAAGCAAGATTTCAAGTTAAAGCAAAACAAGAAAATGTTTCAGGTGTTTATTTACCAACTTTTGAAAGTCATATAAATGAAGAAATTAATGATTTTAAATTGACTGGTTTAGGTAGAGGTGGTCAACAAGTACAAAAAGCAAAACAAGTTTATACAAAAGCTGTTGAAACTTTAGTTGAATTAGCAAGTTTACAAACTGCGTTCATTATATTAGATGAAGTTATAAAAGTTACAAATAGAAGAGTTAATGCAATTGAGCATGTAATTATACCTAGAACGGAAAATACTATAAGTTATATTAATTCAGAATTGGATGAATTAGATAGAGAAGAATTTTATAGATTGAAAAAAGTTCAAGAAAAGAAACAAGAAGCTGCTGCATTAGCGGAAGAAGAAGATAAAGTGAATTTAGCAAAAGCTGAAGGTAAAACTGATGATATTGGTGTTCAACAAGATATTGAATCAATTGATGTTAGAGCAAGTACAAAAGACGATTTATTACAAGAAAATGAGGATGATGTTATATTCTAATATATATTAAATTCTATTCTATGGTAATGTGTAACCTCCATCTACTAATAAATTAGCACCAGTAGTATAAGTTGAAGCATTTGATGCTAAATATAAATAAGCTCCGACTAATTCTTCAGGTAAAGCTTCTCTTCCTAGTGGGGTCATTTGCCACCATTTAGCTTTTATATCTTTTGGTACAAAATCTGAAATTTCAGTTGCAATATAACCTGGAGAAACTGAATTAACTCTTGCAAAATGACCCCATTCAACAGCTAATGATTTAGCTAAATGAATACAACCAGCTTTTGCGGCATTATAAGCAGCTTGTAATTGTGGAATATTAACAATAACACCAGACATTGATGCAGTTATAATAAATGAACCAGAACCTTGTTCTCTAAATATTTTACCTAATGTATGAGCACAATAATAAACACCATTTAAATCACAATCAATAACTTTTTCCCATGATTCATATCCAACAACTTCAATTTCTGGACCTTCAGTCCATGCAACACCAGCATTTGCAACAAAAATATCAATTTTACCAAAATCTTTTTGTTGTTGTAAAATTGTAGATTCAACTGATTCTGACGATGAAATATTACATTTATAAGCTTTTGATTTAATACCATAAGTTTTTTGTAAATATTCAGCTTTTTCGTCTGCTGGGTGGGAATTATACCATATACAAACATCAGCACCTGCTTGAGCATAAGCTTCGGCAACAGCCCAACCAATACCACCTGAACTTCCAGTAACACTAGCAACTTTACCTTTTAATGAAAACATATCCATTACATTTTTTGGTAATGTTGGAGGTTTAACAGGTAATGGACCTAATTCTTTATTACAATATGATTCTATAACTTCTTCACCCATGGCTAAAAATAAATTAAATTAATTATAATTCAGAAAATTAAATGACATGATTTGTTTTATTTATACTTTTGACATTCTATAGCAATTAAGCAATTTTTCAAATTCATCGACGATATTATTATAATTTTAATTGTGTTACATTTAAAGTTTTGTGTTACGACGGACTTTTCAAAATTGCGAGAAATATAAATAGAGATTTGACGCCCCGAGATTTATACCTGATTTGGTCATTTATGAGATCTATAAGCTAGTATGAGAGATCTATACTGAGATAATTGTTTAAGAATCTATTAGGCTTAATTGAATAACCAAAAGAAAGAGTGTGTCAAAATTTTGCAGTAATTTTTCGTTTATCATTATTTTTCTTCGAGAACGTCAAATGTGACGTCATATTTTCTATATTCAAATCTAATAAACTCTATTCATTTATGGTACAGTATAACCACCATCAACAGCTAAATCACAACCAGTAGTATACGTTGAAGCATCGGATGCTAAATACAAATAAGCACCAACTAATTCTTTTGGATTTGCTTCTCTTCCAAGTGGTATTAATTGCAACCATTTATTTTTAACTTCAGGTTCAGCAAATGCTGATAAATGAGTAGCAATATAACCTGGTGAAACTGAATTAACTCTTGCAAATGCAGCCCATTCGACAGCTAATGACTTTGATAAATGTTTAACACCTGCTTTTGCTGCATTATAAGCAGCTTGCATTTGAGGAATATTAACAATTGAAGCAGACATAGAAGATGTTATAACTAATGAACCATGACCTTGTTCTCTAAAAATTTTACCAATTGCATGAGCACAATAATAAACTGCATTTAAATCTAAATCAACAACTTTTCTCCATTTTTCAAAATCATCATTTACATTAATTTCTGGACCCCAAGTCCATGCAATACCAGCATTTGCAACAAATATATCAATTTTACCAAAATCTTTTTCTTGTTGAAATATAACTGCTTCTACAAGTTTTGGATCATTAATATTACATTTATATGCTTTTGATTTAATACCATAAGTTTTTTCTAAATATTCGGCTTTATCATCTGCTGGATGTGAATTGTACCATATACAAACATCAGCACCTGCTTGAGCATAACCTTCAGCTACTGCCCAACCTATACCTCCTGAACTTCCAGTAACACTAGCAACTTTACCTTTTAAACTAAATGCGTCTAAGATATTATTTGGAATTTTTGGTTCTTTAGTTGGTAATGGACCAACTTCAGCATTACAATATGATATAACTTCTTCACCCATGATTAAATATAGTCAAACGTATAATATAACTAATGTTCTATATAAGATTGAAAAATTATGGGTGGTGGGAAAATCAATTGATATTTATATTAAGCCCTAAGAATTACAATATACATAAAGCAATAAAACGAATGACGTTTTAGAAAATATCATAACCATAAATAAATTTGAACGACAATCTTGGCCAAATTTGGTACCAACCTAATAAAATATGGGGTATTAAATTTATAGACTTATAGTTATCGGCACGCGTAAAAGAATTTTTAATTCCGAATTATCCCACGATATATTAAACTACTAATAGAACAATAGTATTATCAAATCTATACTTCTTACATTTCATGTAAGGAATTGTATTTATTAATCTTTTACTAATTGTCATTATCTTCTTTTTACTAAATACTATATAATTAATTATTAATTCGTTGATTAATTAGTTGAGGAAAGTCAAGTATCATGTAAGCACACTCATATCACATCAATTCACTCCAGATTGGTTGAGGATTTCAAGGATTCATGACTGGAAAACGTGTGGTTGAAGATTGAAGATGCCAACTACAGAATAAGTTTCAACTTTAAACTGATTAATTACTAGACTGCCTATAAGTTAAATTTTTTTCTTCAATTTTAGGTGCTACGAGTTGGTGCGAAAATATAATTTCTCGTGCTAACTTTGAGGCGACCTAGTTCTAAAGTTTTTAGCTTATATATGGAGAACTAAACTACACCTTGTCTCGAATTAAAAACGAATTTATTGAGCTCTGGAGACTTGATTTATACATTCTACATTCTTCAACTTATGAATTTCCAAATTTTTTTTTTTCAACTTGAAATTTTGGCCATTTTCACCATACACAACAAAGAAGTAAAAACAATATAAGTTCTTATTTAGGGTTATAACTCTCAACTAAACATCGAATTACATATTTCATACCTCATTTAAAAACGCCGAGCATAATTTTAGCTGCTTTCGATTAAAATTGAGAAATTTCAAAATTTTCTTTAAGTAAGGCAGAAATAGAATAAATTGAACTCTTAAAAAATCTCACTGCACGACCACAGCTCAAACTAGAATTTGATAAAATAAACCATATTTGTAGTTCCTATTTAAAATATATCTTGGAATTTACATTGTTAAGGTATTCAATTTTTCAACCATGAAACGATATTTTTGCAAAAATTTCCAAATGGTTTTGAAGTCTACCTCAGACTGTCACAGTTATAGTTTTTGGGGTTGACAAATCCAATCAGGTATTTTAAAAGTAGCGAAACGGGTTCTATGTATTACCCCACAATTTAGCGTTTTTTTCCCGATTTGTTAAACAGATAATAACGAGATCAAAATATCTTTTACTAAAAGACGTTATCAACAGTGTATTCCGAACTTGATGAAGTTTTCAATGAAATAAAATCGAGAACTTGAGCTTCTAAGACTGCATATACACTGAATTCTGATTTCAGAATTTTTTGTTCGAAATAAACTTTCGGCCAACGTGAAGCTAGAACACGGCCGGAAGATTTTAGGCGAGAGGCGAGAGATGGTACTGACTACGCATAGATTACGTCGAAATTTACCTTTTTTCTCTTCTTTTCTGTTCTTTTTTTTTCTTGTATTAAATAAATAAACTGTATTTTATAAACTATAAACAAAGTCTTCTAATAGACCCTCTTAGCAGGAGGTACAGGTTTACAATCATCATTATCCAAAGTGTGGTTAACGGTTGCCCTGTAATCTAATTTGACTGGTGCTCCAAATTCTTCTTGATAAGATAAAGTATGTTTTCTCCAATGAACATCATCTCTGTCTGGATAATCATCTCTTGCATGAGCACCTCTTGATTCTTTTCTAGCAGCTGCTGATGCGGCAGTTTGAGTAGCACAAGTTAACAAGTTTTGTAATTCTAAAGTTTCAACTAAATCTGAATTCCAAATCATTGATCTATCAGTGGTTTTAACATCAGCAAATGCTTTATCAATTTCATTAATATGTACAACACATTTATCTAAAGTTTCTTGAGTTCTGAAAACAGCACAACCTTTTTGCATAGTTTTTTGCATATCTAATCTAATATCAGCAGTTGATCTTGAACCATTAGCATTTCTTAATTTATCTAAATTAGCAATTGAATCATAACCAATATCTTTTGGATGAGTAGCAATTGGTTCACCTGGTTTTAAATTATCTCTAATAGTATGTGAAACAGCTCTACCAAAAACAACTAAATCTAATAATGAATTAGCACCTAATCTATTTGCACCATGAACTGAAGCACATGCAGATTCACCACAAGCTAATAAACCTGGAACAACTTCATCTTTACCATCTGGACCTTTTTTCAAAACTTCACCTTGCCAATTGGTTGGAATACCACCCATATTATAATGAACAGTTGGTAAAATTGGAATTGGTTCTTTTGTAACATCAACACCTGCAAAAATATGAGCAGTTTCTGAAATACCTGGTAATCTTTCTTTCAAAACAGCTGCTGGAATGTGTGATAATTGTAAATACATATGATCTTTTTCTGGACCAACACCTCTACCTTCATTAATTTCCATAGTAATAGCTCTTGAAACAACATCTCTTGAAGCTAAATCTTTAGCTGATGGTGCATATCTTTCCATAAATCTTTCACCTTCTGAGTTGACCAAGAAACCACCTTCACCTCTAGCACCTTCAGTAATTAAACAACCTGAACCATAAATACCTGATGGATGGAATTGAACAAATTCTAAATCTTCCAATGGCAAACCAGCTCTTGAAACCATAGCATAACCATCACCAGTACAAGTATGAGCAGAAGTACATGAAAAGTAAGCTCTTCCATAACCACCAGTAGCAATAACAGTTCTATTTGCGAAAAATCTATGTAAAGTACCATCTTCTTCATTATAAGCAGTAATACCAATACATTTACCATCTTGCATTAATAAATCCATAGCAAAAAATTCAATGAAAAAATGACAATCATGTCTTAATGATTGACCGTATAATGAATGTAATAAAGCATGACCAGTTCTATCAGCAACAGCACAAGTTCTATAAGCTTGACCACCTTTACCATATTCTTTTGATTGACCACCAAAAGCTCTTTGATAAATTCTACCTTCATCATTTCTTGAAAATGGAACACCATAATTTTCTAATTCATAAATCGAAGCTGGAGCTTCTTTTGTCATATAATGAATAGCATCTTGATCACCTAACCAATCTGAACCTTTAACTGTATCATAAAAATGCCAATGCCAATCATCTGGATGCATGTTACCTAAAGCAGCATTTATACCACCTTGAGCAGCAACTGTATGAGATCTTGTTGGAAATAATTTTGAAACACAAGCTGTTTTAAAACCTTCTGATGCTAAACCGAATGCAGCTCTCAAACCAGCACCACCAGCACCAACAACTAAACAATCATATTCATGATCAACAACATGATATTTTTGGCTCATATATTTAGCTGCATCAAAATCTTTACCTTTAACATTTGAACCAACAACTTGTTGTCTAATTGTTGATGAGGCAAAAAATCTTTTGCTTATACTTCTTATTGATTGACGTGTAGAAGTATACATTGTAATGTGAATTTTATACCAATTTTTAACTTAAAGCTTGATTGTTTGACTTATTTGGATAAATAATGAAAATAGATACTTTGGTTATAAACTAATGCAAAAAAAAATTTCAAAAATTTCTAACGATTTAAATGATTCTCTAACTCTTCTTCACCTTTTAAATAATAGGCTACTTGTTTTTTAAAATGGTTTGTTTCAGATTTTCAACGATTATGAAAAAAAGAATCAAATTAAAATCAATTGGTTGGTTAGAGTTTTCTTTTTTTCACCGTGGAAAAAATTAGCGTTTTTTTATTTTGAATTCTGGAGTAAAAATATAGCATAGAATTATAAGAAAGGCACAAGAATATACAATTATACAAAGCTTATATTGGTATGACTGTATAGACTACTTCTTAAAATTTTGTTATCTTTAATTTTAGAGTTGTAGGAGGTCTCTATCGGTGCAAAATTTCTATATTAATCAAGTGTATTACAAATGCTTTGATCTGATTGGTCAAGACCGTTTTCTAATGCGATTTTTTTGGAATTGTACCAGAGCCGCATTCTCATTCGAATTGGGAGCCCGTAAAAAATATTCAGTCCATTTTTTGCACCCAATACAATAACCTCATAATACAATAGAAAAACAAATGCTAACACTGTACGATAATCGAGATAGGCTTACGAGTTGCGAATGTAAATGTTCTCCGTTTGTACTTTTCGCATGACCTGTTCTATTGTCTTTGAAATAATTCTCAGAGTTGAACTTAAACTACTTAGAGTTATATGACTTCTTTTGCAGCCAAACATATCTCGACACTACAAAGTACATGTAGGGTAAGATGACAGTTAACAGCCAAATTATTATATTTTTAAACAGCTGCAAAAGTAAAACGCATTTTGACAGTATACCCTTATATAATCTGTATATTTTTTATCCAACGTATAAAAACCGAAATGTACCGACGTATAAACCAAAGCCGAAATAAACAATAACATATGAATTAACCTAAGTTTCTAATTCTTTTGCAATAATTTCCAAAGGTATACCATCATTTATGTCGTCACCGATCAAAATTGCAAATTTATCCTTTGAAAAACCATTCGGATCCAGTATATCTTTCTTTGCAAATACTTTGTCCGAACCATTGAAGGAAGTAACTCCTGTTTCGAAATCAATATCTAATTTTAATGGAGTAGATGGAGCCAATTGTAAAATTTCACCATCATCTAAAGTCAAATAATATCTTGCTTTATTATCATAATATATATTTTTCTTTACATCATCATAAAAGTAAATTGAGTTTGGACCTGTTGAATTATCTATGAATAAATAATAACTTGGATATGTTTCAGGTAGATAAATTAAATTCTGGCCATCAATTTCTTCATTTTGAGATTCAACAAATAATTGAATAGTATGTAAAGCAGCAAATACATATATAGGGAATAACAAAAATGTAATTAACTTCATGGTTGATTAATCAATTATATAACAATCTGGATCAAGTTTATTTATATATATATTCAAATTTTTCATTTTCGACTTTACAACTAATTGGTCATCATTTGATCTAAAGTTATACACACTCTGCATATACATATTATTACATAATTATTTCTATATTTAGAAAGTTAATAAAGAAAAAAAGAAGAAAAGATCTTTAAGGGGGGTCTATGTTACATTTCTATTAATAACTAAATTTGTAAAATAGAATAATAACAGATCTTCCGTTCAAATTTTTGATTTTTTGGAAACCCTAAAGATTAGACCGTAAAATTTCAATCTTTCATGAGCATACTTTACTCAAAAGTACTCTCTCGAATTATATACAATGAAACAATGTCTAAATCTAGTAAATACATGTCTAGCGAAGTACCCTTTATTGTTCTTTATTTTGGTATTTTATAGAAGAGCAAAATAACTTCTTATTTAGGCAGTTTAATTAGATTTAATACATCATAAAGCCTAAATTGTAAAATTCGTAAACACAAAAAAAATTCATGCAAGGTTCTACAATTTGAAATTAGATCAAAGATCAAACTCAAAAATAATTTCGCCATGAAGAACCTGACTATGATGAAATTAGCTTCCCTAATTGCAACTTCTTACTTTGACAAAATATTAGCATCCTAACAAAAAAGCTATGAATATCACAGTGTTCGAGTTGCAGTTTAAAAAGACAAAAATTTATGCAATACTATCTGAAAGTTGGCTACATAAACTAGTTAGTTCCTGTAATCTCATTATGTACTCCTAAGAGCTGACATATTTTAACTAGGATATTTTTGCAACTGAAACAATCAAAGAATGATTCAGTCATTGTCAAACTCCAAACTTAATCAGCATGACACACTGTCGACTAGATGTAAAATTTAAAGGTTTTCTTCTTTGTTTGTGCTTTCATAATTACGAAAAGACTCTTTGCAATCAGTACTTAATCTTTACCATCGCGCAAACTTTCCTAAGAAAACTGAAGAATTTTGACTATCAACATCAGATTGAGCTAAAAATTCTCATTCCGATGATACCAAATACAGCATGTTTTAGACTGAAACTCACATCATAGTGTTAAACTGAAATTGTCAAAACCCAATGGTATTTCTATTTTTTTTCTGCGCGTTCTCGGTATGATTTTGATTTTGTGTGAGATCTATAGATTTGCAACCAATACCAGATCTGAGACGCGCAATTTTAGTTTTATTTTGCGTTTACTAACAAATGTGGATTCTACCAATATTGAGCGTATCACAAATTAGCTATAGTCTTGAACATGATGAAGCATAGCAAAGTGTGTATTTTCTTGTTTTAGATTTTACTAACATGTCATATTCTGAAGAATTTTGCAAAAATTGGTTAAGAATTTACTAAACATAAGAATAATTAACTAATCTACGTAATTAAAGAGATTTAATTCAGACATCAGGAAACATCCGTATATCAGAAACCTATATATTTATTTTTGAAAACTACTATTTTCATGAGATATACTATTTTTCAACAAGGCAATTTCACGTTCATAATTCTTTATTTTTCTTAAATAATCATTCTTTTCCAGTTCATAATAATGTTTAACTTCACCTAATTTCTTTGCATGTTTTTCAGCATATTCTTTATGTAAATATTTAGCAAGATTAGTAACTTCTAAATCTTGTTGTTTCAGTAATGCACTTTTCTCTTTTGTAATTTTATCATTATTAGACTTTAATACTTCAATCACATTCAACATCTCATCCATTTTAGATCTATAATTTGAAATATCCTCTTCTTTAGCTTTCAATCTAGATTCCAATGATTCAACTTCTGATTTCACATGTTCATATTCTTCCAAAGATATAGATTCATATATTTTCTGTTGAAATTTTTCCAATTCTGCTTGTTTATCAGCTAAATCAGATTCTAATTTTTGATATTCTTGTAACGGAATTGAATTTGATTTTATATCATCTAATTCTTGATTAATTGTATCTACTTCTGATGTTAATGTATTATATTCATCACGGAGGGAGTTATAGGAGCTTATTGAAACAGTGGAAGTTTTTAAATCTTCAAGCTTGAATTGTAATTCATCTTTTTCTTCCATTAATTTCTTTTTATCATTTTTAAATTCTTCTGTTTCTTTTATAATTTCATCTATTTTCAAAGTTAATTCAATTTTTTCATTCCTTAATGAGGTCGTTTTATCATTGAGTAAATGATTATCATCATTGACTAACTGTATATCACTGTTCAACACTTGTATGTATTCTTCCAAGTCTACAATTTTCTTTTTCAACTTGCTATTTGAATTTGAAAGCTCTCGATCTTTTGCTCTTAACTGATCTCTAAGTGCAGACTCAGTAGTTTTGTAATCGTGAAGTTGATGCTGTAATGTTGTAATTACGTTGTCTAATCTCTCTTGTAAGTCATTTTTGAAATCATATAAATAATTAAGTGAGTGATCAGTTCTCAAACTCGGTGATTGTAAGTTTGAATGTATGGTTGAAGTATGTTCTCTTTGATCAAAATGTGGTGACGATGTAATTAATTCAGCTTTGCTACGTGATGGAGTAGGTTGTTGAATTTGATCTTGTAATTCCACATCGTCCTCTGATTCAATTTGTATAGGATTCGATTTATTAACCTTCTTATACTCTTCATTATAATCAAAATTATCGTCAGAATTAGACATGTTGTCTTCCACATACTCTTCAACCTCTTTTTGACCCTGAGCCAGGGCATTTGTTTCTTCGAAATCTAATTTCATCGGTTTCCTTGGTTCTTCGCATTCATAATCATCTTCTATTTCAATTTTAGTTCTTTTTTTAATTGGTGAACTCATAGTTTCCATACTTATTGGACTACTCTGATCTAATTGTAAATTTGGAGTTTTATTAATACGATCATCAAATGCCAATTTATATTGTTTATCAATTTTTAATTTTGATTTCCTTATACTTTCTAAATTTACTATATTTGATCTTCTTGGAGAAGTACGTGAAACTAAACCATCATCTTTATTATTTATTAAAGGAGTGGTTGTCATTAATGATCTTCTTCTTTTTTCACCTCTTGCTTCATGTTTAGCAGTTAAACCATGTGGATGTACACCTAATTTAGTAGGGGTTCTTTTCTCATTCATTCTATTAGTTATATTATTAATTGGTATGTATTTAATAGGTGAAAATGATTCATCTAACGAGGACATTAAACTTGGTATGGAATGATAAAAATTGTTTGTTGTTTTTCGTTTCCAATTTTTGATGCTACCAATTCAAAGAACGCGTAAAAAGTAAATAACGAATTGCTGCAAAATAGTAATAAAAAACACAGGTATATATTCAAAATAAGAATTAAAGAAAAAAAAAGAGATATAAAAAACCGATAACACAAGTTGTTAAGTCCAAGAATAAATACATGAATTATAGTAATCATGAATAAATAAAAGTTTCAAATAAATGTACCTGAGGAAAATCATAGATCAAACGATAAATTGGTTTCATTCATCCAGTACTGGCGATCAGACTGTAAATTGAATAACTTACCATGAATTAATAGTTGAGTTTGAGTATGAAGTTTGATAATATGATGGGGCAATTGATGAAGCTAATTTTGTTGAAGTAATAGTGATCAATTGAGTTGAAGTATAATCAACATATGAAGTTAATGTAGTAGTTTGATTATTTAATGTAAATTCAGCTTGAATTGGGAAGTTTGTAGTAATGTATGAAGTCAAAGTTTGGAAAATTGTAGAATCTTGTTCAACAGCATTTGCAGTAGCTTGAGAATCTGGAGTAGCAGTAACAGTAACGGTAACAGTTGAAGGTGTACAATAAGCAGCAGTAGATTCTGAAGATTGAGTTGGTAATAATGCTTCAGCTTCTTTATTTGAATTTGAAATCGAAGCACCAGTAGTTTCAACAGATTCAGAAGTTTGGGATTCTGCAGCAATGGTTTGTTTAGTTTCAGAAGTTTCAGTTGAAAATACTGGTTGACCTTTTGCATCAGTAACAGTGATAATACTTGTAATTGTTGAAGTTGTAGTTTCAGAACCCCAATCTTCATCATCTTCTTCAGCTGATGATGAAGATTTGGGAGTAGTATAAGTTGAAGTTAAAGTATTAACTGCTGAAGTTAAAGTTTGACTACTTGAAGTAATAGTAACATATTGAATAATAGTTGAAGTTAATGTTTCTGAATCATCTTCCCATGAACTTGTTGATGAAACACCAGCAATTTCTGCATTATAACCATCAGTTGAAGATAATGGAGTACTGGGTAATTGACTTGATGACAAAGGTAAAGTAGTATTTTCATATCTTTTAAAATTGAATGGAGTTGCAATAACTGAAGTTGCTAATAAAAATAAAGTTGAATAACGCATTTTAATTCGAAACTTGAAAGAATGTAAAAGTTAAATCTAATAATAAAGGAGTGGACGCGATAGGTTATAACAAGTTGATATTATAAAATCCGCTAGGTGATAAATAACTTTGAATACTTTTCTTTCAATAAGTTGTTGATAAATTTCAAAAAAATTTTTGAATGGAAGAACTTTCAATGTAGTTTTATAAAAATAATAATTTTAATTGATGACAAGGCAAATTGAGAATAAACTAAAACTTAAAACAATAGAAACAGTAGAAACAACATTGCAATAATTGAGAATTTTACGTTCCTGAGTTTTAAATATAATAACACAAATTCGAGAATCACAATTATAATAATACCGTGACTTTGTAATTATAATAACCAGATAATTCTGTAAGCAGGGTGGAAATATAATAGAATGTAACCTCTTAATTCTAAAGGGGTGTTTTTACAAACGGTATTGTTTTGAAAAAAAAAAAAAAAAATGTTTCGAACATCAAAACAAACAAAAAATAATTCTACGCGTCTCGTCTAAAATAACACAAACCATTCAATTATAAGCTCAAAAATATAAAATAGAAGTTCATCAATACCAATAAATGTTCTTATATAATATTGCCAGATCTCTTTGATACGAAATTTATTTTATTGACCAGAAATTGAGGTGGAGAAATCTGAATGGCTCTTGAATCGCAGTTAAACAGAATATTAAGTTTTATCGTCTAATTTTCAACATTATATAAAGCCACTCAATCACGTAAACAAATAGAATTATAGATAATAGTCACAAATATTTTATAACCACACAAAATTCACACAATTGTATTGATAATTCGTCTAAAAATCTTATTTTTTGACGATGAATCCAATAAATGCAAATCTAAACAACAATTCAAAAATTTCGAGGTTCAAAATTCTCAATACCAATCTTTATCATCTTTGCTCTGATTTGTTGATTAAAAATCAAACGAGCTTAAATTCAATTGTAGTTACTTCTAAGAAATTTACAGTATGTGAGTATCACTTCACTTTACGGAAAAGGGGTACATACTTGCATTTAATATGGTTTCAATTGAAAACTAATTAATTACTCATTGTCGTGGCAACTCCTCGTCACAATAAAATCTATTGTGCATGATATCATTTACTTTCTTTGTTCTCATAACTTATTTTGAAGTCGGTCACATAAACGGCTTCAAAATTTAATATTGTCTTTGGGAAGATTATGGTCTAGAATATGAAGTTCTTTATCCACATTCTTGTTTGAGACAAAGTTGAACACAATCTTGATGCTTCTAGATCAATCTCGTTCTCGTACTTCTTTCTTTACCCCTAATTAATTACGTTTGGAAGAAATTAATGATATCACCAATTTCAAATATACACCTAAAGCTTTCTTGTACTCATTCTAGACTCAAACCCTAAATCTAAAGGGAATAACTAAACCCGTCTTGGGTGGAAACTAAGCGTATAGCTAAAATTAGAAAAATTTTAATACCCCGTTGAATTATATAATCGCTAGTAAACAAAACTTTGAATCCTGAGTACTATAGATACAAACACACTCCATCGTAAGCTCTGCTTTAATTAGTTCATAAAGTATCAAGAATATAGATGCAGATTACAAGAAGACGACATGATTGGAACGAAAGTCCGTGATGTGTTTTGCTCCAAATCAACAGGCTAGCTCGAGAACTAATAAACATGATTCCATCAAGGCTGTTGAAGAAAAGTTACTAAACTAAGGCCACAGTCTACCATTATTAATCTAAGGTCCATTTGTAATTTACTACTATCAAAGGTACATCAACATGTTAATTAAATTCAATTGTTATCGTTTTTTTAAATTTTATTCACTTGGTAGCATATTTATACTGCAAATTATATTCGATAAGGAACGGAATTAAATTCCAAACATAGAAAACGCACGGAATTATAAAACTGAAAAATTTCAACACAATCTTATCAGAGTCAACCCCAATCCACAGTTGAATTTTTATTCAAAACTAATTCAATCGCTTTTTCTTTAGTTATTTTTATATTCAACAATGATTGGTTTGCCATTGGATAATCAACCAAAGAATAAAAAGTACACTATTTATGGTGTTATTACTTTAATTGTTTTATTAGTTATATTATTTTCAACCAATTTATTCAATTATTTGAAAATTTGGACAACTTCAATTCCTAAACAATCTTCAATTTGTCCATTATATGATAGAATTGCACCTGAATCTTATTATAAAGACAATTCTACTGTTTTAGATATCTTATATGATTCAAAATATAGAAAACAATCAATTGGTAAATTATCAGGAGCTATTCAAATAGATACTCAAATTTTTGATAATCAGCCAGATGTTGAAGATTCACCAGAAACATGGGAAAAATTTGCTAAATTCCATAAATATTTAGAAAAAACATTCCCCAGTGTTTATGAGAATCTTGAAGTTACAAAAGTTAATACTTATGGCTTAGTTTTCTTCTGGAAAGGTTCAAATAAGAAATTAAAACCAGTTATGTTAACCGCTCATCAAGATACTGTACCTGTTCAAAAGGAAACTTTAGAAGATTGGACTTATCCACCATTTGAAGGTCATTATGATGATGATTCCAAATTTATTTATGGTAGAGGTGCAGCAGATTGTAAAAATGTTTTAATTGCAATTTTAGAAACTTTGGAATTATTAATTAAACAAGGTTATAAACCTAAAAGATCCATTTTAGCAGCATTTGGATTTGATGAAGAAGCAAGTGGTGTAGTTTCAGCTTCAAAAATTTCAAAATATTTACAAGATCGATTTGGTCATAATTCAATTTATTCAATTGTTGATGAAGGTCCAGGATTAACTATTGATAATGATTTAACTGGTACTATTATTGCAACTCCAGGTACTGGTGAAAAAGGATATGTTGATATTTTAACAGAATTGAAAACTCCTGGTGGTCATTCATCAATCCCACCAGATCATACATCAATTGGTATAATTGGTGAATTATCATATGTCATTGAAAAGGATCAATATGAACCAATTTTAACTAAATCAAATCCAATTTTAAATTATTATCAATGCTTAGCACTACATGACCCAAAGGATAAAATTTCATCATATTTAAAGAAAGTTATATTAAGATCTGGTTTTGATAAATTCGCAAATTCAAAACTAATAAAGATAATAAGTTCAAATAGATTATCGAAATATTTAATTCAAACTTCACAAGCTATAGATATTATAAATGGAGGTGAAAAGGCAAATGCATTACCTGAGAGTACTAAATTATTAACAAATCATAGAATTGCAATTGAATCAAATGTTGAAAGTGTTAAAGACCATTTTATTTCTAGAGTAATAGAAATTGCTAAAAGACATCAATTGAAAGTTATAGGATATGATAAAAAAGAAATTTATAAACCAGGAAAAGGTGAAAAAGTTCTTGGTGAATTCCATGTTTCAGTTTCTTCAAATCCATTACAATCAGCACCTGTTTCACCAGCAAATGATAAAGTTTGGGAATATTTATCAGGGGTAACTAGACATGTTTTTGAAGAATTGGTTTATACAAATTTAACTTATCCAATTATTTCATCTCCTGCTATTATGACTGGTAATACAGATACAAGATATTATTGGAATTTAACTAAAAATATTTATAGATATTCACCATTCTTTTTAACTAGTTTTATTGGCGATACTGGTATTCATTCAGTTGATGAAAGATTACCAGTTGATGGTCATTTACAATTGCATGCATGGTTTTATCAATATTTACAAGCTATTGATAATGAAAAAGCAGATAATAAATAGATCAAACTATATGAGAAATTACTAAATATGAGAAATTACTAAATATGAGAAATTACTAAATATGAGAAATTACTAAATATGAGAAATTAATAAACAAAACTCTAGTACAACTCATGTAGTTCAGAGTCAATCTCCGCTTCTACTTCTTCTCCAACCTATCTCGAGGTTGTTCTACTTGATATTAAACAAAGACTATGCAATGTTTATTAAAATGAACTATATTACAATAAAACAACGAAACCTAAAACCCTGAAAATAACTGTACTCCTTTAACTTAATTCTAATCTATAGTTTTCTTTTCCAATGGATTATATCTTAAAAATTTTTCAATTAAATCAACATGAGTTAAAACCATTCTTCTACAACAATATCTTTTTAATTTTAACTTATCTAAAGCATCACCTTCAGTCATAGATTCATCTTGTAAGTATTCTAAATAAGTTTCCCATTTATCACCAACCACTTTACCACAAGAAAAGCATCTAATAGGTATAATCATCTTTCTTTAGTGTTGATGATTGTATAGTATTAAATATTTTTTTACCGTGCGAAATAATTTTTCAATTTTATTCTTTTGCATCTCATCACTTTTTACAACCAAATTATACGATTATAGTATGGCTTCACATTGGTCATTATCTATGGTAACTGGTGGTATACCTTTGGAATTACCTTATTCATGCATAACTTCATCTATATTCTCACAAGATGGTAAATATTTAATATGTACTTTAACTTATCAATTAAGAATATATTTCATTTCAACTAGACAATGTATTAAAACTATAGATATAGATTTGACAAATTTGTCAGATATAAAATTAGATCCAATGAATGAAAATCAAATCATACTATTTAAAAATAATGGTGAATTTTTAATGATAAATTTTAAAGATAAATTAATAGATCCAATAGTGAGTCAAAAATCTTTAAATATAGAATTACCTTTATTATCAGTAGTATCTGCCAAACATATGAGTTTTATAGTAATATCTGGGAAATTTAATAAGAAAAAAAACCACGCACATACAAGATATATCCAAATATTTGATAGAGATTCAGAGACGTTAACAACCATACATGAAATTCATAACGTCATAAATTATTCCCAATCTTCAAATAATCAAAAATTAGCATTTGTAACATCAACTAATGAAGTTCATTTAATAGACATATCAAAAGAAGAAGAAATAAGTAAAGAAGTCTTAACATTCCCATATAAATCACCAATAATATCCATTGTAATCTCAAATAATTCAATAATTGCCCTTGGTTGTCAATCAGGTACTATTCAGATATTATATGGTGGTTTAGAAACTGAAAAACCACAAAGATTATTGAAATGGCATATTGATCAAGTTAAATCATTAAGTTTTTCACCTGATAATTTATATTTATTATCAGGAGGTTTAGAAAAAGTATTGGTATTTTGGCAATTGGAAACTGGAAAGAAATCTTTTCTTCCGAGATTAAATGGGATAATTGATAAAATATCAATTGATGATTCTAAAAACGAGTATATTTCATTATTATTAAGAGTTGATCAAGTGATTGATAACTTTGAAATACTAGTTATTTCTCAAGTCGATTTAGTTTCAAGATTAAGTGTTAGTTCAATAAGACCAAAATTTTCAAATAATATAACTACAACCATAAATAAAACTAAAAAGAAATATTTTAAATTAATAGATACTTTTGATAAACAATTAATGAGATATGATTATTCATGTGAGTTTGAAATTCATCCTAAATCTAAGAACCTTTATTTCCCCAACCAGTCAACAATTCAAAGTTTTGATTTAATTAAAAATGAACAAAATTTTATTCAACATGCTGCTCCAATTTTAAGTACAGGTAAAGTTAGAAGTGAAACTAAATTAATTGATCCAAATGTTACTATTTTAAGTTTTTCAAATGATGGTGATTGGATGTGTACATTTGATGAAATATTAACAAGTGAAGTTGATAATTTATTAAGTAAAAATGATAAACAATATGCATTAAAATTTTGGAAATTTAACAATAATACGTGGGAATTAACTACAAAGATAATTGATCCTCATGGTGCTGGATTACCTATAAAAAGTATAATAGCAGCACCAAATTCATATTTCAATGGTGTTGCATTTTTAACTTGTGATTCCAAAACTGGTTTAAGAATATGGAGACCATCAACACCAAAAGAACAATATAAGACAACAACAGGGAATAAAAATCAACAAGTTGCTTGGTCATTAAGGAAAAATAAACAATCTGGTGGATTAGCAAGTGATGCTATAAGTTTGGCATGGTCAGATGATTCAAGTTTAATTTTCATATCTCATGAATATAATATTTCGATTTTAAATAGTAAAACAATGACAGAAGTTGAGGGATTTAAAATCCCAACATTTTCAGAATCAAAAATTAGATCAATTAATTTATTAGGTCATGATTTGATAATATTGAGTAAAACTAGAATTTCATCTTTTAACTTATTAACTGGACAATTGAATGATTTGGTTGCTAAAGTAAATACAACATCAGGAGGTAAGAATATAATTGCAATTGATCCAATTAAAAAATTGATATGTCTTGGAGTAAATTATTATAATACAGATAATGAAGAATTTAAAATAAATTCAAAATTTTTCATATTCAAACCAAATAGTTTAAAACCTGTTAAAATTATAAATCATAATACTGGAATATCATCAATTAGATATTTTAATTCATCATTTATATTTATAGATTTAAATTGCAGAGTGGGTACAATAACATCAAATGATTTAGAATTACAAGAAAATATAGAATTTAATTTATCAAATGAAATTTCATCAATGTTAATATCAGCACAAGCAACTGTTGATATAATGAATAATAGACAAGTTAAAACAAATACAAATCAAAAAAATGGATCAATTGAAGATAATGATGACAATGCAATACTGAAAATCGTTGATTTACATACATTTCAACCAATTTTTCAAAATTTGGATGGTGTCCAAATTGATACATTATTTGATCGTATAGTTGAAGCATTAAAATAAATATATTGTATATATACACTAATTACCAATTAAATAATGATTTTTTTTCATGACGATCTTCTTGTTGATTATTTGTACTTCTTCGAATTGCTAAAACACTTTCAATTTTACTTAACGCATTTTCTAATAAATCTTTACGTTCCTGTAATTCAATATGTTTTTTAATTTTTGGATCCTCTTTGGCAAATTTTTCAATATCTTCTTTTGATAAATTATTGAAAAATTTTAAGTCAAGTTCCCTTGGGAAATTATAATAAAAATCAGATAATAATTCAACATTAAGAAATAGGATTGATGTTGATGTTATTTTAGAAGCAACTGCATCAAGGAAAATTTCAGGACATTGATATTTGGATTCTTTTTTCTTACATTTTTTTGAATTTTTAATAAATGAATATCTCATTTTTAATAATGATAATCTATCTTTTAAAAATATAGCATCTTTACCTCTTTGTATCAATGTTGGACTAAATCCTAATGTTTCATTAGTTGTTAAATCTATATTATTGTTATTTTGTTTTAATTTTTCAAGATATGTTACAACTTGTTGTAATTTTCTACCACCAACTTGTTTTTTCAATTCATGATAAACTTCATCACATTGTCTCATTTCTTCTTTTAATAAATTAACTGCATTTTCTTTTGATGTTGCCCATTCTCTATCTTCTAATTCAATTTCATATTTATATGGTTTTATACAATTTTCAACTTGATCGGCAGTTGAATAATATTTTGTACTTAATACATTTTTAGCAGCTTCCTTAACTGCACTTTTAGCCATTGGGTGATTTCTTAATTGAGTATTATCAACTAAATTTTCAACTTCATTAATTAAACAATTTGTAATTAAATTTGTTGATAATCTTCCAACACCTAATTTAGTTAATGAATTTGATGTTAAATCTAATTTCTTATGCCAATATAAATCATCATCATGAATAGATTGTGATAATTCTTTCAATTGTGGTTCATAATTTGTTTTATTTAAATCAAAAGGTTTATTCCAATATCTTTCAGCTAATAAATCTAAAACTTTTTGATCTAATGCATTTTTAAGAATTGATTTTAATTCTGATCTTGAAAAATTATGACTTAAATCTTTAGTACCTAATTTTAACATATCTATGTTATTAGCAAGATACATTTCTGGAGTTAATGAACGATCATTGAATTCAACTTTGAATTGATAACTTGTTTCTTCCAACTCTTGTTGAATGGCTAGATGAGTCGGTCTTAATGATGCAGCCATAGTCTTTTCCAACACCTTCATTAGTTTCTTTTTCAAATTTTTAGTTCCTGTTGTTGTGCCAAAAAATTCTTCTTTATGTTCTTTTAAATATGAATGTTCAAAATTTTGTTGCGCAACAAATGCTTGATAACCAGTTAAAGTATTCCTTGAAAATAATCCACCAGAACTTGCTTTCTGTTGTGGTGCTTTTGTTATAACTCCTACATAACCTAATCTTAATGGATATTTTTTATTTGTCAATATTTTTCTTGCGACTTCAGGTTCAACTAAATCTAATTTTGTAATAACACCAATTGTTCTTTCACCTCTTGGATCAGCTAATCTTGAAGCTCTTAAAGCTGCAGAATTTGCTAAATCAACATCAGCTGCAGATATAGCTAATATAACATTTGGAGGTTTTAAATATTTAAAACATAATTCTCGAATTTTCTTTTTCAATTCAGTGGGTTGATCAGCAGCTTCAACTTGAATATAACCAGGTAAATCAACTAATGATAAATCAGGAACTTTTGGTGATCTTATAGTAACTTGAATTGGATCATTTGATATACAATCAGTTTCAGGAACTGTCATATTTAAATCATATAATGTTTTTTGTAATTGAGTAAAATCTGTAAGATTATACAATTTCAATGCTGGCAATTCAGCTACATTTGATGCTGATTCTGGTGTATTAACTAATGTTAATTCAATTGGTCTCCTTGTAACCATATTTGAACCTTTCGGCAAAAATTCTTGACCAACTATAGCTTCTAAAACTGATGATTTACCACTTGATTGTGATCCAATAACAACAATAGATGGTAATCTAATACCATCATGATCTATAGAAGATAATAAATTTTTTATTTCAATCATTTGTCTGGTTAAATTAAGCATATGATCATCAGTTTCATCTATATTTTCATCGTCATCGTCATCATCTATTAGAGTTTCTTCTTCATCTTCATCATCATCAATTGGCGTATTTTCATCCTCTTCGTCTGATGTTAAACCAACGGCAGCAGCAGTTGCACCCACAGCAGTAGCAGTATCTTGACCACCTCCTCCATCACCTCCAGAACTAGAACCTGAATTCGATCCATCAGACCAATTTTTAAAAAAATCACCTGTTTTATCAAAAATACCATCTGTAAAATCTTTGAAAGCAGATAATCTTTCTTGAGTATAACTGCTAGCTTGTTCTACTTTATAAGCAACATAAGTACCACCAGCAGCCATTGTTCCACCAATATAAGCAGGTACTTTGGTTGCCCTAGCTAATATTTTAATAAATCCTATATTTCTAGATGGTATTATAATTGGTTGATGTTCTTTAAGTGGTAATTTATTTGATGATTTAATCATGTGCAAGTGACGAACACTTCTTGTAGTTAATAGTAGTAGTCGCCTACTATTCTGTATAAACATTGTATGGTTGTTGTTATCTTAATAGTTTATCCTTCTCATTATATTTTCTGGAGTGCGATTTTTATTACATAGAGGCAAACGGATATTAATATCCGTCGCACGTGATATTATAGTAAATAACATATAGAGTTATATCGACGGAAGCTTGCTTGACATTGCTGTTATAGTTCTCAGTCTGTCAACAGTTTCAATAGTCTGTTGATGTGTTTTTAATGTGTCTGATTTTTATTGGATGATTCAGAGTCAATTTGAAACAAAAAAATATAAAAGCGTTGCAATTCCATCATAAAATTAATCAATGTCAGAATTAACTAATACAGATTTGAATAATACTTTACCATTAATTGCAAAAGGTAAAGTTAGAGATATTTATCAAATTGATCCATCAACTTTATTATTTGTTGCTACTGATAGAATTTCTGCTTATGATGTTATAATGTCAAACGGTATACCTGAAAAAGGTAAATTATTAACTAAATTATCTGAGTTTTGGTTTAATTTCTTACCTATTGAAAATCATTTAATTAAAACTGATAATATTTTTGAATCTTACCCAAATTTAAAACCTTTTGAATCTCAATTAAAAGACCGTTCTTTATTAGTACGTAAATTGAAATTAATACCATTAGAAGTTATAGTTAGAGGTTATATTACTGGTTCAGCATGGAAAGAATATAAAAAAAGTAAAACTGTACATGGTATAAAAGTTGAAGAAGATTTACAAGAATCTCAAGAATTTTCAAAACCTATCTTTACCCCATCTACAAAAGCTGAACAAGGTGAACATGATGAAAATATAAGTCCTGAGCAAGCAGCTACAATTGTTGGTCAAGATTTATGTGATAAATTGGAAAAAATTTCAATTGATTTATACTCAAAAGCTAAAGAATATGCTAAAACAAAGGGAATTATAATTGCTGATACAAAGTTTGAATTTGGTTTAGATGAAAATGATAATATTGTTTTAGTTGATGAAGTTTTAACACCTGATTCTTCAAGATTTTGGAGTTTGGAAAATTATAAAATTGGTCAATCACAAGATTCTTATGATAAACAATTTTTAAGAGATTGGTTAACTAAAAATAATTTAAATGGTAAAGATGGTGTTGCAATGGATCAAGAAATTGTTGACAAAACGAAAGAAAAATACATTGAAGCTTATGAACAAATTACTGGTGAAAAATGGTAATCATCTATACTTTCTTGTATATTCAGGGGTATGTCTTTGTCTTTCTAATTCATCGGTTACTCTAAATTTAGGTACATTTGTAATTTTATTTTCAATACGTGTTTTTAATATTCCATCAAATTTTTCCAATTCTTTTGGTCCTTTCAATTTATAAGTTGTATTTGTATTTTTGATCTTTTCAACTTCTTGTTCAACTACTAATTTAAATTCTCGTTGATAAGTTAATCTTAATTCTTTTGCTTCTAATTCTAATTGTCTTTTTCTTAATTCAAATTCTTCTTCTATTTTAATCTCCATTTCTTTTAATTTACGCTCTTGTGCTGATAAATAATTCTCTTTCTTTTTCAATTCATCATTTTTATTTAATAATTGTATTTTAAATTCGTTTAAATGCACATTTAATTCTTTTAACTCCATTTCTTTTCTTAAAAATCGTATGCTTAATGTATTTATTAAATCAAAACATGTTGGTCTATCATTTGGATTAACAGTTATACAATCTTTTATAATATTTCTTAATTGCTGTGAATATTCTTGATCAATTTCAGGTACCTGACCTCTTTTAATTTTTGCTTGTAATTGTAAATGAGTTTTAGCTTGAAATGGTGGTTGTAAACAACATAATTCATATAAAACACAACCCAATGACCAAATATCACACACTGGATCATATGGTTGATCCATTAAAACTTCTGGTGACATATAATAAGGAGTTCCAACATATGTTTTTGCAAATTCATTAGTTGATGTTAACATTTTGGCTAAACCAAAATCACCCAATTTTATAGTATTTGTTTTGGATATGAATATATTATCTGGTTTAATATCTCGATGTATTATAACTGAGTCTTGATTTATAATTGGTGAATTCGCATGTTGTTGCTCATTTTTAAATAAATTAACTTTTTTACAATCTATTCCATAATGACATCGATATAATGCTAATAAGATTTGTATCATAACTGACCATATAAATTCTTCAGGTACTTTTTCATTATTTTTTTTGAAATTATTGATTATATGTGATAAATCACCACCTTGACAATATTCCATATATATATGAATTGATTTCAAATCTGGTAAATGATCATGTTTATAATATTTAACTATATTTGGATGATTTAATTCTCTTAATATTCTTAATTCTGATATTAATTGATTTCGTTCGTGGGAATTCATTGAATTATATTCAATTTCTTTACGTACTAATATGGTGCCATCTATTTTATTTTTAACTTTTCGTACTGTTCCAAATGAACCTTTGCCAATTACTTCAAGTGGTTCATATTCATTCATTATCTTGAATCAATAAAGTTAATTATGAAATCGTAAATTTGATTGTTTTATTATTTTTTTTTAATTGTTTACAAATTCCAAATCGGGAAATGCTTATATATCTGAAATCTTCAGATCTGAGCTACCAAATGCATGTTGCAAAATCTCAAATCATAAGCAGCATAGAGCCAAAAAAGGCGTGTGGCAATAAATATGGTTGTATATTGGTTTTGCTATTCTATATACATAAAATATGTTTTTGAGTAAAGTATTTTATCATTTTTTGCCAAAATATGGAAATTTAAACGTTAAGTGATGAAGAAATACCTGATCAATGCTTTTGGAAAAAATTATGGAAAAAGAAAATGGGAAAGAGATGAATTTCCATTTTCGAGATATTGAGTATTCTATAAATAAGTTTGTCAACATTTTACGACACTTTGCAATCAACTAGATATTTTGCTTGGCAATCTGCAACACAAGACGTCATACGATATAAATCGAAAATCAGAAGGTATACGATGAATGTTCAAGTAAAATAGAATGAGAAGCTTTTATAATACAATACAAAGAAATCTAATTTACTATCATAAGACTAGTTACTCGATTTGAACAAATCTTAGCTAACTCCAACTATTGTTAAAAGGTAAGTTAAACAATAGTCTTGATTGTCATTATGAGCCCTGTGCAATCTAAATTTCCGCTACCAATTCCTTGATTTTTATTGGCGTACCGACGAAGAATTATAGTTTTATTTCTTCGAAAGAATTAAGTTTGAAGCTGCTATTCTTTCATTGGTCGATATCTATGACAATTTCTCCAACAAACTATTATTATTTAAACAAGTATTATTATTTAAACAGGTATTATTATTATGTAAACAAGTGATACTTAACAATTCCTTTATATAAAATGGGATTCCAAATTTAAAAAATATTCGGAAATCGCGAAATATGGAACTCTGAAAAAGAAATTCATGTGCATTTAAGTAGACTTGCATTTGTGACATTTGACCAATTTTGAGATCTCAAATTATTATAAGAGATTTAAAAATTTGCAAGCCAACTCAAAACAATCTTAGTTGATATAATCTTGAAGTGTTGCTCATCTTGTTGCACGAGTAGTAAATATCTTGAACCGAAGTTTTTTCGTCGATTTTTTAAGTTCAATATCTCTGGCGATTGAAATTGATACATTTCTCCACTAAATTCTTAAAAGATTAAATCTTGAGCCATTAAGCTCACAATGTTGGGTCAACAAGAAATATTCAAATTAGTAATCAAAAATTTTCAATTATCGTCAGACTAGATTAATAGAGCTTAAGTATTATTGATATTCAATCATTGCTCATATATTCTAGTATATAATGGCGACTAGTTGTTCCGTTCCTGGTAAAGAATAGTGAATAATACAATGTGTTTGTCCTTGTGTTAGGTTTGAAACGATTGTAAAATAGAACGATATACATATTTTTCTATTATTTCTATTATTGTTTTTCTATTATTGAAATGGCAATTCATATTTCATATCATCATCACCATACAAAATTCTAACTTCTATTTGTGTATTTGTAACTCATTTAAATGTCGTTTATTTTTTCTTGATTTCAATAAAATTTTGACTTTATTAATCTCTTTATTATTTCATCATTCCCCCATCATCACAACAAATTAAATTTCAATCTTTCAATATTATTTCATTCATATTTATCATTTCTAATTAAATTCAACCGCTTGTAATCAAAATTAATATCTGTTAAAAGATCTACAATACAAATTAATCAATTTTAAGTGTCACGCGACCCCTTACCTTTTTCTATAATTCAATTTTGCAACCTAGTTTTAAAATATAGCATATATCACCATAATGATTCAACAGTCTTCACGTATAATACAGTATTTCAAGAAACTTGGATCTAGATTATTTCATTTCCGTAAAAAAAATCTACAGCTTATACTTATATCCTCTTTAATATTCATAGTTACAACTTCATTAATATCATATCAATCAGAAACCATTCAATCTAATTTAAAAATTATAAAGGGAAATTATTTTGATTCCTTATTTTTACGAATTTATGACGAATCGAATAATGATTTATCCGATCTACAATTGGAAGATCCTGATTTGTACCTAGATTCAAAATTAAAACGACTCCTAAAACAAAAGAAACAATATATAAATCAAGAAGACGATGATTATTGGGTACTAGATACTGAAATTAAAGATACCAAAATTCAAATTCCAACCTATTATCAAAATTCACAAAGTAAACCAATTACTCAACCATTTGATCCAAGATTTACCTTGGGTATTTATTATCATTATTTAAATCAACAACTCAAGATTAATTCAAATGTAGTCGTTCCATTTAACTGGTATGATTGGGTCGATTTATCCGATTTGAATAAACATATATTAGCTCCAATTTCTCAAAAAGCAAATTGCAGTATATTGGACGCAAGATGGGATAATCATGTATATGTAAAAGAAAAGGAAAAGAATAGAAAGTTAGAAGAGGAATGGAAGAAGCAACACGAAGAACACAAAGAAAATCAGAAAAGACAGGATAGAATTGAAGTTGAAAATCCAAATCAATTCTGCCTAAATGAGTTACCTGAATCATATAAAGAACATTCTAAATATCCAGGTTTTAATGTATTTGAAAATCCAGGTAAGACAACTCTTGAAAAAGCAATATTGGCAGGTAAATCATATTTATATTCATTTGCTCCACCACCTGAATCAATAGTATTTTTAACAAGAGAAGGAAGTTATGAAGTTGGAATTGATTCAAATAAACCATTGTTATCTAATAATTTACCAGAAATCTACTATCAAAACTCAGGTTCAAAATTAGACGTATTAAAAGAATTTACAAGATTAACCAAAGCTCATAAACCAAATACTCACAGAGTCCTAAATGATTATTTATTAAATATACCTGAAGAAAGTTTCAAATTTAAACCAGATGAAATAATAAATCAACTTGAATCAAAAACACTTTCCAAAAATGAATTATCGTATTTAAATAGTCTTAAATATTCAAAATTTAAAGTTGAAAATGGCGGTCCACCTAAATATTTTAGAGAATCAAGATTATTAGATTCAGTACTTGGTGATCATTATGATTGGAGATTTTTCAATGGATTAAATGTTGGTACAAAAGAACACAGTTTAACATTACATAGATTAATTCGTACTTGGTTATCATTTACTAGAAAGAATGGTATTATGACATGGATAGCTCATGGTTCTTTATTATCTTGGTATTGGAATGGGATTGCATTTCCATGGGATAATGATATTGATGTTCAAGTTCCAATTATGGATTTACATAAATTATCATTAAATTATAATCAAACGCTAATTGTAGAAGATCCAGAAGATGGGTTTGGTAGATATTTTCTTGATTGTGGTACTTTTATAACATTAAGAGAAAAGGGAAATGGTAATAATAATATTGATGCAAGATTTATTGATATTGATACCGGGCTATATATTGATATAACGGCATTAAGTGAAAGTGATACACCTACACCTGAAGAATATGCAAGAACTTTATCCGAAGATTTAAAGAAATTAGATGGTTGGTATTGGAAAAAGAATGCATTTTTGAAAATTTATAATTGTAGAGATAACCATTTTAGTTCACATTCAGATTTATCACCATTGATTAAAACCTTGGTAGAAGGTGAAGTTGGTTATATTCCACAAAAGTATACAAACGTGTTAACTAAAGAGTATAAGAATGGATTGACAAATAAAGGTCATTCAGGTTATATATTCTTACCAAAAGTTAGGTTATGGTTAAAGGAAGAAGATTTATATTATTTCCTCAAAGATAGATCAAAATGGGTCGACTATTATACACCAAATAAAGATGGAATAATGAAATCAATATCATATAAATTATCAAATGAAGAAATTCAAAAAATTCAAAATCCAGAAGGCAATCCATATAAGAAAATTACAGATATGAAATTAAAAGATTCTGAAAAAGAACAAGCAATGAATTTGGGATACGATGATTTAATTGAATTATTTAAAAATGATGATTTATTAATTATGAAATTATCAACTACATCATTTACTAAATTCCATGAAGATGAAATCATTAAATTATTACATGATAAATCAACTTATAAAATGATGAAAGAACATAAAGATTTTACTCCATTAAATTATGAACCTTATTTATATAAATTAAGAAAACATGGGGATAGTTATGAATCAAAAGTTGACAGATTTTTACAGTTGGAATTAGCATATAATGAAGAACAAGAACAAAATTAGCATTTATTTTAGCATTATTTTATTTCTTTATATAATTATTAATATATTTAATTTTATCTAAATTTGATGAGCAGCAACAAATAAAGATTTTCATTCAGTACCGTTGTGGATTGTACAACCAATTATTGAACACTTCGGAACCTTTTCACTAACTTCAGATTTCCATGATAAATCTCTAAATCGAACTTTTCTAATCTCTAACGAATCAAGATTGTTTGGAAAAGTAATAGATCCTAATAAGATTAATTGTAATTCAATATCAAGTTCTATAGATTTCAAGTTTTCAGGAAAAATGATGTCATCAATGAAGAGTAGGTACTTGAAAACCTCTCGGGACGTAATCAGGACCATGGCTTATCATAGGATCATATCGAAAATCAGATGTCAACATGCAGCGAAATAAATTCTATTTTGAATAATTTTGACCATTAAATAGGTCCAGTCAAAAAAACAATCCCCTAACACCAACTCTTGTAACTCCTGACAGCCTTTCAAAGATAAAAATCATCTAAATAAATATCCCACAATGATACAGATGTTAATGTTTGTGGAAGATGTAAAGTTTTGTTATGTAATTGAATATCATTGTAACTCATGCTTAGGTATTCTAAATTTTCAATATGGTGGAATACATAGTTCAAATCATTTTCAATAACCATAGTTACGTCCAAATGATTTACTTTTAATCTAAAGTTAGCGACTTTCTCATTTCCAAAATTATTGAATACTCCCACGGACAAAAGTTTGATTGAACTTTTGAGTTTATCCAATTGAGAAATCTTGAATTCACAAACTCTCAGTGATTCAAAATTAAATTGATTCAAAATATAAAATTGCAAACAATCATACTAACCAGTTGAATGAAATGAGTTGATGTGTTCCTATTTAACATCATCAAGATCAAAATAGAATTTGGTATGCCACTGAGTCATAGGATATACAGATTTATATCGTAAAAGGTAGATTTTCTTTGGAATTTGATTAAACCGCCCAACCATCTTGCATAAACTTTTCAATGTATTGAAAACTAAAGCATTACTTCATCAAAAGTGTAGAACCAATAACCAACTCTATTTCCATATCCAGTGTCATTATAAATGGCAACATTTGAAAACAATTTTGGAATGGAAAATGGTTTAGGTACTTTATCATAAAGTAAAACTCTACATGATTTTTTATTTAATTTACCAACAATAACTTCAATTAATTCACTTGGTAATTCAGGTAATTTGAAAATTAATTCGATAAATTTATTTATTGTAGAATTGATTAATTTGATTGATATTTTGAAAAGGCGAAAATTAGACGACAAAACAAAAAAAAAAAAAATAGTCAGATCTAATTTCAGGGTCCAGATCTCAACGCGCAATTTTGAATAACCACCTATTTGTTCTTCTTTCATACCTCATAATGAAACCAAAGGGTTCGTGATCTATATTTTGTTTCATTTGAGCTCTATTTATAGTAAAAAAGTAGTAAGTCTATAAAACCTTTATGAGACAATAATAAAACAGTAAAAGCGGAGAGTCGTGCAAAGGTGATCAATTGAAATAAGACAACGGTAAATTAGGTTACTCACGATATTACGCGCAATTTATATATTGTAACCATTATATTTTTTATTTAATTTATATTCTCTTTAATAAATTTCAAACACTTTAAAACAATATCATCATTGCCCATATTTTCTTCAATCCAAGTGACATTCATCTCGCAAGCTTTCAACTGCTTGGCACTCGTGTTGAAGTCAATATCTATACATTTTGAATTATAAGCATCAATATCTTCACTAGTAATTCTATATACGTTAGTAAAATATTTAAACAAATCTACCACCAAATAAGCTGAAAAGGACAAATCTTTAATTTCAGGTTGGTTTTTTTTTAATTCAAGTTCTTCAACAAAATCATTAATTTCTGATCGAATTAATTGTTGGAAAAAAACCAACATTATATATATATCTTCTAGTGATCTAAAATTAATAAAATAGATTCTCTTAATAATGAATAAATTAAACATGAAGTCATTTGAAATATCAATTGATTTTAAAATTGCTTGTAAAAATTTTAATCTTGATGATTTATTTGAATTAATTACTTGATATACCACATTTAAAAAATCTAATTTTTCCAATTTATATTGAAACGCTAATTGAATTCCTTCTTGGTAATTCAGTTCAATTAATGCCTTTTGATTCATAAACAAAGATTTATGAATTTTATGAGCAGTTGATTGAATGATATTAACTGAAGAAGCTTGCAATGCTAAAATAGTTGGTACAACTAATTTGGGATTTGCATACCCGTATTCAATAGCCAATTCAATAAATTGGAAAGGCAAATATGAATACTCACCCTTATCAACAAGACATAATTTTAAAATTACATCAAGATAACGTTGTACTAAATTAGCACCAACACCATCGGTTGTATTTGATGAATTAAAACCACCAGCTTCAGTTCTATTTACTATTTCATCATCTTTCTCTTTAATAAACTCTATAAAAGATTGAATTAAGGATTTTACAACTGTAGCATCACCAACTTTAAATTGTTTATCAAAAATTTGTAAAACTGGAGCGGCCATTAGCATTCTAGTATTGTTTGAACAAGCAGTTATCAAAGATGCTGAAGCAATTGCAATTATTTTCTTATTATATTGATCATCTTTTAATAGAAAAGTCAAGATATGTCTAACGACAAGGGAGATTATTGATTCATTTGGTTTCATTGATAAAAACCCTTGATTTAAAAATTCTTGATGATATTTTTGTAAATCACAATATTTTGAAAAACATGATAATAATTTTAATAAAACCATCATTCTATCATTATTATTAGTTTCAATTGCTTTTCTAATTAATTTCATAGTTAAAATCACAGCATTAATCAATTTTAATTGAACATTGAAAATATTACATAATTGCCATAATGCAGGTATCGCTTGATGTAATTGTTTAATTGATAATTTAGTCAGCTTTTGTAATAAAAAATCTAAAACAGTTATAAATTCAGGTCGTAATGGTGGTAAATCTTTAGTACAATGATTTAAAATAGTTAATGCATAAACATACGATTTTGAAGATATGTTGGTCTCATCTAATATAAATTGTTTTAATGCAATTAATTCCTCTTGTCCAAATAATGATGATTTAAATTCAGAAATAATTGAAAGTAATAATAATGAACCTTCATTAAAATCCTGCAATAAATCAATTAATGATTCAAGTGCTGTTTGACAATTTTCAACATTTAATACATGAAATTGAAGAAATAATTTTAAATATGCTAAATTTTTTGAACTTGACATTGCAATTGATATTAAATCAGGTGATGGTTCAAGTATCCAAATATCTATCATTACTTGAATTGCTTCATTTTTAATTGAATCTTCTTCATCATCTAATCTTCTTAATAATTTACTTCCAATAGTAATTCTACCTTGTTCATTCAATAATGGATATATTTCTTTTGATAATTTTATTGATTTTTTTCTAACCAGTATACCATCATCACTTAATGCATTACTTATTGGATAAAAAAAATTATTAGCTTCATTTGGATGGGTTACAATATATTTCCCAATAAATTCATAAACTGCATCTCTAACAGAAGTAGCATCATCTAAAATACGATTTGATAATATTTCTTGAATTGGTCTGGAAGTAAGTATATCTGGTTTTTTATCAGATAAAGATGCTAATATTTTAACAGCTTTAGTTTTAACTTTTACTTTTGAGCTTTTTAAATATTTATCAATATTTGAAATAAATGATTGAGTGAATGAATCTAGCCTGTTTAAGATTATATTTAAATATTTTGGATTTGATTTTTCATATTTCAATTCATCTTTCATGTCAAATCGAATATAATTATTAATTAAAAATTGTAAAGCATTACTCAGTTGAAAATGAACACATTCAGCAATAATCTCCCTCTCATCATCTTTAGATAAATTTTCCTTATCATAATTAAAAGATAATACTCTTTCTGCTATTGATCCTAATGTATCAAGGTAGTAAATTTCTTGATTTAATTTTTCATTAATGTTAGATAATGAATTTGTTAAAATCTGAGTAAATGAATATAATATAGTTTCGGAACATGACCATTCTGGATATGGTAATAGTAAAAATAAGTCATCAATGAAATGATCTAATATAGTTTTTGGATGGGCATTATCTATTTTCTCAATTATAGTTTTAGTTACTGTATCAGCCAATTTAATAGCTTCTGATTTATTCTTACTATTTTCAATTAATTTAACAAGCAACAAAGTAAACAATTGAATACTGAACCCTCTATCAATTTTAAATTTCCTAAATATACTTCTCTTCGTTGATAATTTATTAAAATTCATTATAGTTTCAATTATAAGAAAATCTCGTTGTTCAGTATTAGTAGATCTTGCAATTTCAATCAAAAAATAAGCACTTGAAATTTTTATAGCATCAATTGGGACCAATTCAATTATCGTCTTTTCTTCATTTAATTTTTCATCAAATATAAATTGAATTAATACCATTTCCATCTTATTTAATATTGCATCATCTAATGGTAACTTTAAATGTAATTTTGCCAATTGTTTAAATATTAATCCAATTTCAGATAATTTAGTGGTTAACAATTTCACGTCATTATCTATTTCAAAATTTGGTATTCCAGCCATATTTAAAATTAAATTAATTGTAAATTCAATAAATTTACCAATTATATTAACATATTCACCAACTAATATTTGTTTATTATCGGGGAAATTATTCATAATTGTCAATATTGACCTAACTCCATATATACCTCCCAAAATTTCATTTGAATATGTTTTTAAATCATTTATAGTATTTATATTCGCATCTTTTTCAAGAAAATCACAAATTGATTTAAAACATCGTCGTTCAACAGATACTAAATGATCGACATTAGTTTCCTTATTTGCAACTTTATTTACAACATCTAAAACTTTTTCTGATTCCTCATAAGTTAATGATTTTTCAGTTTCATATTCTGCCAATTCAGTTAAAAATTGCAGGGCAAAATTTTTCAAATCACCTTCGGAATATTTAACTAATTTACGTTGAGTACTTCCATTCTCATCTTCGTTGGCTCTTTTAATCCCATTTGTCTCTTGTTTTTGTTCATTATATATTTGTAATTGATTATTAAATTTTTTAATATATTTTTCATTATGAGATTGTGAGTCAAAATTATCATATTTCTTCCTAACTGATAATCGAGAAGTATTTGCAAGGGTATCATCATTAGGTATAATTTCACCATTAATATTCAATTGTTCTAATTGTTTTAATTCAAAAGTTGATAATTTAATATCTACTAAAATTTCTTGATCTGTTTTCTTATATTTCTGATATTTAAGTTGAGTCATCAAACCATCTATATATTCATCTTCTTTGAATAATTCTTCTCCAATTTCTGATTCCATTGATTCAGAATTAATAGGTTCTTGCAGTTTCTGTTTTTTAAATTTTGATTCATCTGCAATTACTCCAATTTGTGGATTGTTAAGTAATGGAATTAATGCTTGTTTTGGTATGAGATGTAATAATGGATTCACAGCTAGTAAATCAGTGAGAGTTTCTGGTTGTTGTCGTATTGACATGGTTCTTAAGTACTGACGGAGGTACAATTTAATTTTTTATTTTTTGTTTCAGATTTGAAAATTTAAAACGCGACACGTGAATAAAAAATGACATATTAGAAATAATGACATATTAGAAATGAGACATTGAATTAAGACTTTACAAGTGGAATACAATATTATTAACATTTTCTGTTTAAACTATCATCGTTGTTGGTAGAGTATGTTAATTTGTTGATAATAGTGGATTGGAGATCTAAAAGTATGTCATACAAGTATAATACATACATATATTTAACTGCATCTTCACTGACTATTACTATTTTCATCAACAACATTATTATTATAAGTCAAATTTGGACTCCCAGATATTGGGCTACCAGATTGATTACTCAATTGTCTAGACAATGGATTAGGTGAAGATGGATTACTCTGCATCATTTGGATATTTCCCTCATTCATTAACATTTGCTGTTGTGGTTGTCTATTTTGTAAATTTGGTGAACTAGTAGAAGAACTATTCCTTTGTTGAATTTGTTGCATTTGTTGTGGTGATAATCTAGACTGATTTTGATTTTGATTTTGATTTTGAGCTTGGCTGTTTTGTCTTTGTAACATTCTTTGTTGTTGTTGTTGTTGTTGTTGCATACCTGCTAAATATTGAGCAGCTAATTTCGTGACTTGTTCTCTTGTAAATGTTGGATTCTGTTGTTGAATCGTATGTATGATTGCTGAAACTTGAGCTTGCGGGAAATTAAACCTTGGACGTGCTTGAGCTTGTTGCTGATTATTTGTAGATTGTTTTTGTTGGTTTTGTTGGTTAAAAGTTTGATTCATTTGTTTTGTTGGTTGTGGTTGCATATTTATATTTGGCGATGTTGCAGTTGTGTTATTTCTCATTTGTGGATTGACCTGTTGCTGAGCTTGCTGTTGTTGCTGTTGTGCTTGTTGTGCTTGTTGTACTTGTTGTGCTTGTAATAATCTTCTTTGTTTTTGAATTTGAATTAATTGTTGAATTTGTTCATTAGTTAAAGGAGTGCCGTTTGGTGTAGTTGGTCGTTTAATTGGAATTTGATTATTACTTGGAGTAGTAGTTTGTTTATTTGGAATTTGAGCATTTTGTATTTGATTATTAGCTGGTTGTGGAGTTTGACTATTTGACATTCTTTGAAAATTTTGATTTCCTACTGCTGGCGCAATATTAGAATTTGGTACTGGTTGAGATGTAATTGGTTGAGATCCCTGACGTACAATACCAGCTTTAGGAAGAACAGATACGTGATTTTGATTTTGATTTGGTGGTGAATGATTTTGCTGTTGTTGTAATACAGCATTTCTATGTTGATTTTGTTGTTGTGCTACCGCTGCCATCATTCTATTTCTTGTTGCTTGATCATTTAAATGAGCTTCTCTTATTGATTTATCTCTATCAAGTTTTAGTTTTGATAATTCAGCAGGTGTAGCTATTCTTTCTACATTTCTTTTAGATTCAGGTACAGGAGAACCTTGCTGACTATTAGTTTGTTGATTTTGATTTTGTTGGTAATCCGTAGTTGATTTTCTATGATTTAATTTAGCAGCTTGAATTTCTCTCTTTTTCATTGTTTTTCTAATTGCATCAAATAATGAAGCCCATCTTAATTTTCGATGACCTCGTTGAATTGACTCAGTACCAACACCCAATGGAGAGATTCTCCTTTTTGTAGTTGATTGTGCTCTATGAGCTTGTTCTAACCATTGTTGAGCATGATATGAATAAACTCCCTTCATGTCATGAAATTGAAATTTTTCATTTAATTGAATATATCGTTCAAAACATTGCCACGGAGTTCTTCTTTCAATATTTGATTCATATTTTTTAAGACTAACTGCAGAAGAATTTGGTGACAAATGTTCAGCTATTAAATCCCAATTAAAACAATATTCAGCAACATAATGAATTAATCTTTTATCATCTTGTGGTAACCAAATAGTAGGCGATCTATAATCTATATTCTTAATTAATGGAGGTTTTGGAGGTTTTAAATAATTAAATCTACGTTGTAATCCAAATAAACCTTTTTGATATTCTGGGGGGCCACTCGACTTATTAATTTCATTCTCAAAATCTTTTAAAACTATTTTATACCAATTATCATCTTGCTCAAATGGATAAATTAATCTTGAGACTGGTGTTATTGGACTTGATCTTGGTTTCAATGGTAGACCCAGAATTTTTTCATCATCATCAAATGCAGTAAATGTAGGTATATTTTTAATTATTGATTGATCAATTTTTTTAATATAATCAAGATCAATAAATGATTTGAAAGGAGATGGTTTTTTGGTTGTTTCTGGTTTTGGTGTTTGTTCGGGTGTAGGTTCTTGTGGTGGTTCTTGATTATTTTCAGTTAATAATTCTGTATTTATAGTTGGTGGATCATGATTATTATTATCTATTATTATTTCATCTGGTTTATCTTCAGGTAAGAATTGTATTTCTTTTCTTTTTATACATGTTGCATCTTTACCTAATTTCCAATATTCTTCCACTGCTTCTGCCATTAAAACACAACAATACTTCTTATATTTTGTACCTTCTCTGAAATCTTCACTCATCCATTTTGCTTCTTTTAATAAATTATCCCAATGAAATAATCTTCTTCTATTTCTCTTTTGCAGTTTAATCGGATCATTAAATTTAATAGGTTGACGTAAGGACCATTTACCTTGTCTTTTTAATTCTTCAATTCTTGAATATAATACAGCAATTTTACCTTCTAACAATGCAGATTCAAAATTTTCAGTCATTAAAACTTTATGACTACCAGGTAATAATTTAATCAAAGGCAATGTTTGAGTTAAATAATATAATTCTGCTAATGAAGTTACATTTTGTGGTTTTGTTGGATAATGTTCAGGTACCGATAAAATTTCTAAATCTTTCAAATTTTTATTTAGGAATATTTCCAATTCTTCTTCTGTTACTTGAGATTGAGTTTTTAATGAAGTAACTTGAGATTGTTTTTTGAAATCTATTGTTGCTGGTGGAGTAGGTAATTGACTAATCTGTGAAGATGGTATTGATGGCTCAGATGGTAAGGATGCTGAAGTTGGAGTAGTAATAGGCTCCACTGGTGGTTCTGGTTGTGTAGGTGCCGTTGGTTGTTCTAATTTTTGTAATTTTGTTTTATTTGATTGTAAATCAACTTCAGATCTTCTTTTTAATTCATCTTGAGGTATAATTGGTTTGAACATTGATTCATTTAATGATTTAATAATAATTTCTTTAAATAATTGATCTGTTGTAATATCATTAATACCATCTAATAATGATGTTAAATCTTTTGAATGGAATTTATTTAAATCAACTAAAAACGGATCAGCTATAACATGCAGTAGTTCTATTAACCTTCCTTTCCAAGTATCATCATCATTACTCATATTGATGCCTCAACAAACAATGGACTGGTTGTTTAAATTCTGTTGATGTTTTTTTTTTTCTGTTTCAAAATTATCAACAGTTTTTATTGACAACTACGAAACAATAGTATAACAAACATTTAGTATGAACTTGGATTCAATCAATGGTCAAGACTTAACTGGAGCTTTTAAAATTACAAATTTATCCGTATCTGGTTTATTAGTATGTAATCGCTAAAAACACTTGATTTATCAGTATTAACCATATCAAAATTAGGTATTAGGTGGTCTTTCACAATTATTTCATGGATTGTAAGTAATCAACAGAGTGAACTAGTGTTAAATAATACTAACTCTCGTCATAGTCACTCAGTATGTATCTTGAAAGTCATGTATTGGGGTCAATTCTAACAATTTCTAGTTTTTAACAGGTTTATTTATTATAATATTTGGTGGTGTCATAGGTGCACTAGGTAAGTAAATAGAATCGACATAGTCCAGTTAATTACTAACCTTCTTAGAATTTAGAGTACCTGCTGAAGCTTACGCTTATGCTTCATTTTTATTTTCATTCATAGGTAGAGGAATTTGTAAGTATCAGAAAAATAACACTCGGTTAGATAGATTATTAACATCCTTTTTTAGTTTATATATTTCTTGGTGTAAGTTTAAGCGGTGGTTCAATTTTTAGAATTTTAGCTGCTATTGTTATTATATTGATTGGTGTGGTTTATATTGCACTTGAAACAATACCAAGTATATCACCACCAGATAATATGAATCCAGATGGTGCAATGATTGGATTAGAAGAAGAAGTATAATTTAGCTCTGTATAGTATCAATAAAAGTATATTTATCATTTTTACTATACCTGCTCTAGTACTCTTATTTGATAGATCTTTGCATGCATCCTTACACTTTAAACTGTATAATGCGGGACCAAGGTCCTGGCATCCTTACACTTTGAACTGTATAATGCGGGACCAAGGTTCTGGCATCCTTACGGCGACTTACAATGTGTCAGCATCCTTAAATTGACATGTTCCACACGGCTGTATACATTTTCATTTTTTTGCTCTTCAACAAATTCATTTGCCATATCAAATTTATCACCAAATGAATGTCAAATGATTCCTTCACAATTCCAAAATATTCATATACTGCAAACTTATTAACTTATTTGAATATAGAACAGTTATCATATACAACCAGAAGCTTAATTATTGAAGATGTTCCATCTATATGGTATGATGAAAAATCAATATTAATAACAAGTTATTTAAAACAAAAGGTCAAGGATAAATTTAAAGATTCAAACAATATAATCAAGAGTTTTATAGTCTCAGATGATGAAAAGGATCATTTATTTGTAAATAAACGAAATGAAATAATGGTTAATTTATACTCAGCTCATTCAAATGAAAAACGCACGGTTCCAACAATAGCAATAGATGAAACAACAATAAATAATGATGAACAAACATTAATAAGTTCTGATAATTCCAATGCTGGTCATTTACAAGTTGAGGAACCACAACCAAGTATATTAAATCAAAATCAACAAGAATTACTAAAAGAAAGAACACATTTCACTAATCTGCTAAGAAAATTTGCTCGTAAATCAAAAGGGAAGGCAAAGAATAAAAGTTCAAGATTAATTTCATCAATCTTAAAAGCTTATGAAGTTGGTGAGATATTACAATGTCACAAAGTGTTACTTATAGTTAAAAAAAATGAAGAAGAAGAGAATAGAATATATGATAGATGGAAAGAAACATATATTGTCCTTCGAAAAAAAACAACGGAATCAATAGAGATACAATTTTATGAATCTGAAAAGGACATAAATGACAAATCACCAAAATTAAAATTCAATCTTAAAAATAACAATTTAGGGATTTATAACAATTTAGATAAATCTATCTTTCTTAAGCAGGATCAATTTAAGTACATTTTTAAATTTAGGAATTCTAAACAGGGTATGAATTGGTTATTATTCATTCAGCAGAATTTGAATTACATTTTAGATCACCATTTTGAAATATACCTCCCAGACAAGCACAAGTATATTGAAATAAACATACCAACCGCCATAATTCAAAATTGTTTCTCAGGGTCAAAATCAATGGGTATCAAAATTAGGGATTATGATTATGAGATAGAGTATGATTTATTAATTCAGTATTTAAAAGATGTGATTTATGACAAATTTGGGATATACCATGATTATTACTTTTGTTTTAAGGATTATGATCGTTTAGAATTCATAGAGAACAACTCCCAGCAATTCCTAGTTTCAAAATTGTTGAATTCAGAACGTATTAAATTAGAATATAGGAAATTGGATTTCTGTTCACTATTTAATAAACCATTACCAATTGAGGGATTCCTATCTAGATTAACAAATACATTGGGTACTGAAAATCATGGCCTCAACAAGTTTTATAAGATCTGTTACTGTTTTACAAATGAGAATTTAATGTTTTATACTAAATATTATAAGATCCTATCACCTCCAAAGAATAAAAAAATATATGAAATGGATAGAGATGGACATATAGACTGGTTGAGTTCTAATTTTGAAGAAATGGATCAAGTAGCAACGAATGAATCAATAAGAAAAACTCAATTGATTTTAAAAGCTGATGGAGTAATTGATCTCACCAAGATTGAAAATATAGAACCAGTACCACAAGAACAATTAACACAAGCTCAAAAGGTTCTATTTTCAACATTGTGGTATTCTAAAATAGTAGAGGACGAATCAATCATTGACAATTGTTTTCAAATCAAAATGGAAAATAAATCAATTATAAAATTACAAGCTCCAAATAAATGCACACGAGATCTATGGATGGATAAATTATCGAAATTAGTCAAATATTGGAAGGAGAAACAGCAACAGGATTTATACGATCAATTGGAGATAAGGTATCATAATATTCAAAATATGAAATGTTCAAGATACATAGATTCAAATCCCACAGAAACAAACACACTTGAGCTAGATTACATATCATCAGTAAACTACAGGCAACTCCCCAGTTTATCAGAAGTATTACACAGTGGCTTTTTGTATCTTAAGAATAAAAAACATTCAAATTTCAATTCCTATTTTTGCATATTAACACCTGGATTCTTAATCATTTATCACACCTACAAGAGATCAAAAAGTACTGGTACTTGGAAAAGATCTAATTTCTTTGAACACTATGTGACTATTCCATTGCATGAGTGTTATATTTATACGGGTGAGTTGCTGAGGCTAGATATGTTAGATTTGAAGAATGACGTAGATGGAACTCCAAGATTGTTATCTGATGGATGGAGATCACTTGAAGAGAATAATGAATTAGTGTTTACTTTATGGTTCGGCAAGAAGAGAAATATAAGTCATTTTAAAGCACCGCCTGATTCTGAAAGAGAAGCTAATCCAGGATTAGGTAGTATTGTTCGTAAGATGGGTATTACTGGTAAATCATTGATATTTTTATGTAATAGACGACAAGATAGGGATGCATGGGTTAGAAAAATATTAAATGAAATTGATAAATATAATTAAAAATTGTAGAGGATAATGAAATTGATTAATATGATCAAGGGAAGATGTAAATAATGGAGAATCGTGAATTTGGAAATTAATAGATAAACCGAAAAGAGTTGAAGCTGTTTTTGTGAATTACAAAATTTAAGAGAAGTTTAATTGAATCGGTAAAAGTGATTAAAATCGTATATTAAAGGAATTGAAAAGTATTAGTTAATAGTTTGTTTTTATCAGCATGAATTGGGAATTAATTGTATTATCTTATTACATAACTTGTATTTAGTATAATATATCATTAGTATTATGATAATTAGTTCCTTCCATTGCAAGCTCTCTTTTATCAGCACTTGACAGTTTGAATTAAGCTTGTTAAGGTATTACGGTGATATTAAGCTATCGTATCTTTTAAAATCACCTTCATTGAGATCTGTCACGGCATCCTTACCATTGTAATTTGCATCCTTACGTTAACTGCATCCCCATAGCATTATTAATCTCGATCATCAAATCGTGCCAAGAAGAATCAATATCTTTCTTTTGCCTTTTTAAAATCAGTTGAATTAAATCATAATCAGAATCAACATCACTATCAAAAGTAGATGAAGAAATAGTTCTAACTTCTTCATTCTCATTAACATCAATAGTGGAAGTAACATAAGGTAAATCTTTCTCCGTGAAAGCAATAACCCATTTCTCAATAATTTTAGAATCTTCAGAATGTAATTTAATCACACTGTCAGCAAATTTTAATTCTAAAATATTCTCCTTGCTTGATATTGAAACATTTTTAATTGATTTTCGAATTGTTTCGGTGCCTATATTCCATATCACTATAAAATTATCAAATAGGTAAACATAATTGTAATTATAATTGACGTTGAGAGAATCTGCTACTCTCAATGACCCAAGTGTCAATAATGAACTATAATTTATATTTGAATTTTCGAGGAGATATTTAATTAGTTTGTTTCGTATCATTTCTATTTCTTCTGTATCGAGTTCTTCTGTTATTGACATTGTTGAATCTGGTGAATTCAGACGAGTAGATATCATCGTATCTCTCCTTATCATCGTATCTCTCCTTATAAATGTCTCATCTATAGTTGACCTCAAAATATTACGTAATGGCGATCTCTCTTTGATAACCTCGTTCTCTTTCAGTGCTTCAGGTATTAAAGCAACATTTTCTATTCCAATCATCAATTTCTTATTTAATGATGAACAATTCTTACCAAAACACAACTTGTTTAACACTATCACGTTATCTAAAATTTGCAACACATTGTCTGATTTAATATAAGTTTTAAAACATTGTTCATGAATTGAATCATCACAATGCAATTTAAGTATTTTCTCATTTATAAGCACAAGTGAAAGTGACTCATTACAAACAAAACATATCTCGCTTTGATCTTTAATTTCGAGATTTGGACTTGGTGTAGTTTGAACAATACTTGACGATTCAAATACAATTTCTGATTCGATAGGTTTATCTCTAATTAGATTTGCAAATGATACTGATTTTTCATCTCTAACCATATTAGCAAACGTATTGTCTTGTCTCTTTAATGGTGTTGATGCAGCTGATTTGGATTTGAATAATGGCAGTAAATCAAAATTTGAATCATTTGTTGAATTAGATTGTGGGATAGGATAAGATATATCTGATATAATTCTTTTTGGAGGCGTAAAAGTTGAAGGTATGTTTAAGATTGGTGTAGTTGGACTTCCCCTTGTTTTTAAATAATCTTTCCATTTCTTTTTATCTAGATTTAATTCCAACATATTAATGACTTTAGTAAAAGGGTCCAATTATTTTTGTTGATTTAAAAAAAAAATAAAAAAAATAGAAAAAAAAAAATATTTTTATACGAAAGCAGCATAATTTACTAGATCTAGATATATTACACAAAATCAAGATCTAAATTAATTACTAAAAATAGAATACGAAGAAAAACAAGAAAGAATGACAATAATCGTATATACAAAGAATTAAATAATATTTGGAGCACAGAGAATGTATGGCAGATCGGATGAGTATCAGCTAGTGTGTGTATGCAATTGTTCGCAAATTCGGATCAAGTCATTTTTAATATTTCAAATCCAAAAATTTTGTTTTCCCCGGGTGTTTAAAAGATTAGCATAGTTTACAATTTGTCTTTGAGACCTACTTACACCGAAATGTTTATTTGTATCTTAAGTAGCAACTATTTCTAAACATTCTTGGATCGATGTTTATTAATCTTGTTCCTCAAACAATACTAACCTCAAGCTCTCTTGCGAATAACTGCTTTGATGTTTGTTGTAATTTGTGATTGTCAAAGAGGTTCAATTTGAGGGTGCTGGATGCTTTGCTTTCAAAAATATATATGCATAAAAAGATTCTTAAGATAAGTACTGAAAACATTAAGGTTGAAGCTTAACCATGAAAAGATCTAAGTGAATATTGTTTCAGATAATATGTAATTTTCAAGACGATAATTCGACCTAAAAAAAAAAAACTCGCGTTAATTTTCGAGCCGTACTAGAGATTTTGACTCGTCAACATTAAAAGCACATTCTGTCATACTGTAACAAAGTTTATTAAGTTCTGCAGCCTTCAATTATCTATTCATCATATCTCATGTTTCAAACTTTAAGAATTTTTTTTCAACTTGTAATTTTGCCATTTTTTCACCATACAAATTTTTTTCGAAAAATGTAAATCTAAGTTTCATTTTATGTCGGTCCATAATATTCAAATAAACAATGAATTGTATATATTTTACCTCAAATTAGAGCAAAGGTACAGTTCATTTAAACTAAAATTGAGAAGTTCTACATTTTCTCTTAAGTATGGCAAAAATCGTATAAATTGAACATTCGAGAAATCTCACTCAACGATCTCAGTTCAAACTAAAATATGAAAAAATAAAGCAGATTTGTACTTCAAGTTTATGATATCTCTTGGAATTTATTGTGTTAAGGCATTCAAAATTAAAAAACTAATTTTTCAAATATGAATCGAATTTTTGCAAACTTAACGTCTTGAAAACATTACGGCTAAGAATCTTAAAGTAAAATAAACAATATCAGCTATATTAGAAGTTGTTAAACAATATCTGAGGGTTTATTAATTTGCAAAATAATTAAGTCCTCAAAACTTTATTAATCTGATACAAATTATTAATCAGATGCAAATTAACATCAGTTTACTCTAAATAATCCGGCAAATATAATGAAGTTAGTCCGAGCAAGTGAATTTGAATATTGAAGCAGTTATTCACGATTCAAATTTCGAGATTAACTATGACTGGACTGCATATAAGCAAATTTGTTTCAGAATTTTTCAATTGAAGTACATAGTTGTGAACCTGCGTTAGAACCAAACTACTGCCGTTGACTTTTTAGTTTAAGGCGAAAGTTGATACCATTCTTCACGCGAATTTCATGAACCATGCACGCGACACAGTATATCACTTTACAAATACATAAATTTTTTAACATCAACTAGAGAGAAAGCACTATCTGCAAACAAATTCTTGATATCCCATATTAGTCTTACAGAATATACGGTAGGTTTTTGTATATCTGTTATTGTTATACTAAAATATGAAAATATGAATTGATGCCTGATCAGTGCAAGCGAGAAAATAATTTTTCACGCTACGCTTGAGACGATATCGCATTACATTTCTATCGTTATACTAATTCTGATACTTTAGTGCGAAGTATTGCTTCAACGATAAATATTTTCGCGTTAGCTTGAGGCCACCTGGTGCTAAATTCATTGTAATAGTTAATTTTTCAATATAGAGTTTCAGAAGTTCATTCTCATTTTCGTTTTCATACCTTCGTAATCTTCGTATATTATTATATTTCATCTCATTCTCATCACTAATTAATCTATTAAATTGCATCATCACTAATTGCAGTCCATTAAATAACTATTTGTATCGTTACTAGTATTTTGCATCCTTACATTAATCTAACAAAATTGGATCATCACTAGTTCCATTCCCAACTTGATCATCAAAAGGATTCCAATAATGATTTATATTTTTATACCCCAATTGTAAATTTCTTTCAATTAAATTATCCAATTTCATTCTATTGTCTTCATCATCAGATCCATCAGAAATAGTCAATATTTCATCAGGTTTAACACTCATACTTCTTTCTTTATCATTTAAAATTCTATATTTTTCTTTATTTATGATCTCAATTTTAGTTACATCATCTGCAGTGTTCTTGACAAAGAAATTAAATGGATCGGAAATTTTTAATGAATTTAATGGAAATGAACATTCACATATTGGACATTTATAAAATGGAATACTCTGATTTGGTATAATGAAATTCGATCTATAATTTGAACTAGTTTGATTAGTTACCATTTTTATAAAATTGGATCCATTTTGTTGATGTTTTCGTCGTTGATTGATTTGATTTAAATAATTTTGATGTAATTTTAATTCATCTTTTCTTTTTTGGATTTGTTGTTTTTGTAAATTTATATCTAATTTATTTATAAGTTCTTGTTGTTGTAATTTTTTAACTGCCTGAGATTTTAAGTTTTTAGCCGTGAGCTCTTTAATTGAAATTGTTATATTGTTGAACGTACAAAAATTTTCATAATCAAAACATTCAAAATGTGTACAGATAATTGATTTAACTGGTAATTTTATTTTAGTTTGAGATAATGGATCTAATAATGATATTGTTGCTGATGTTGTAATTAGTTCATTTTCATCAAGACTTAGTCCTTGTAATTCTTCATCTAGGAACGGAACTATATTTTTAGGGACTAATTTATAATTACTATTGGTTGTTGTTGTAGTTGACGATGATGATTCTGGTTTTAAAGCTTCTGTTAATTCTTTATCCATTTGAATTAAATCATCTTCTGTTATCTCTATACCGGAATTGCCTTCAATTGGTGGTGTTGTTTTAGGTGTTATTTTTTTAAGTAAATATGGATGCAAGAATAATTTAACTTGATATTTTTTATATCTTGATCTTGGTTTATTTTTAATTAGTTGTATTAATGAAGTACTTGCCATTAAACCCTCTTTAGTTGGAATCCACTCTAATTCAGAGTCATTAGTTGGTTGTTCTTGTTGTTGTTGTTGTTTCTTTCTTGTTTGTGAATTATTTATTAGTTGTTGAGTTATAAGTTGTTGTTTCTTAGGTGGCATTACAATATTAATGATATGTCATCTAATAATCTATAAGTATTGATAATATATTATGTGGTTGTAAGTAATAAATGATAAAGCTAATTTTTTTTTTATCCAGGTCTTGATAAAAAAATCTCTACGTAATAATAAATCAATTGGCAACAACAGAATAACAACAGAATAACAACCAGTAAGGCTCAATGTCTGATGATATAAATGAGATAGAAGAACAGCAGAATCAAATATTATATGAATTGACTATTATTAATTCAACTATACAATCTATTAATAACAACGTAATAAAATTAATTACTATGACTAAAGATTCAAAAAATATTGGTATAATACATGAAAATATAAGAATATTAGGTCAGTTGGTTGATAGATTAAAAGAGGAATGATATAAGGGTGGTTATTAATACTTAGATCAAAAGAGGAAGTGGAAGATTATTGTAATTTCAATGAAAATAGTGAAAAATTTTGGAATAACCTAGAGTTTGAGCTCCAAAAATCGCAAGCCGGTCTCAGTGGAGTCTTAGGATGTTAATCTCAATGTCATAGTATGTGCCATATGAAAGTATATTGTATAATCGATTAATTTCTATTATCAACTATTTTCACCATACGCGTAAATACATAAATAAATATATAAATAAATATATAAACAAATAATTTTTCACTCTGTATATAATGAAAGATTCAGATATAAAATTATTAGAACAATATCAAACATCAAAATTAAATAAAGATATAGAATCAGAAGATGAAGATGATATTTTCAAACAATTAGAAGACGAAAATGACACTGAACTTTCAAAATTTAGAGAATCAAGAATGCAACAACTATCAAAAGAATTCAAAAGAATAAACCAACATGAGTCAAATCAAATAACAGAACTATATAACGAAAAAGAATTAATGCAATTAATCATAGATAAATCATTAGTACTTATACATTTTTATCAAATTAATTTCGATCAATGCAAATCATTAAATTCAGTTCTTGAATTAATGAAACAGAATCATCCAACTACTGAAATATATATTATCCAAGTTGAAAATTGTCCATTTCTTATAAATAAACTAAATTTGAAAGTATTACCAGCACTTTTCATATATAAAAATGGACTTGAATTGGATAAATTAATTGGATTTACAAAATTAGGTAATGAATTGACTTATAATAACCTAGAAACCTATCTATTAAACTATGGTATCTTAAATAGGAAAAGTATTAATAGGACCAAACTAAATTACCACTCAAATGCAAAAGCAAATGATAGTGAAGGTTCCGATCTAGACATTTAACTAGTTTCTACATAGTATTGAATTTATAAATCTTTTCCAAATTGACAAATTTTTTTTCCTGCCATATATTATTTCATTTAATTCTTCATCGTTGAATGAATTTGCTGGGATTAATGGTTGTCTACAACTCGTAGAATTAAAATCTAAATCAAAAGGTTGTATATTTGTGTTTCTTATTGGACTTTTTGAAATTTCTCTTCTATGTTTTAATACATTATCTCCTAATTCATAAGACTCTTGATTATGAGATTCCATAAATGATTATACTAAACGAGTGACTAATTAATGATGCAAATGTTATATTGATGGAAACGATAATTATGGATATTATAGTTTGTTTAAATTTATTTAATAAATTGCGCATAAATTGACTTTTGAATCTGATATTTCCGAGAAAGACCAATAACTAGAAATTAGAGACATTGACCAACTTCTGGTGACAATTGGGCTGTTGAAACTGTGGAAATGTTAGAGATTTCATCCGGTTCGATTGATGAACTGTTCATGGAAATAAATATTGAAGAAGAAAATCCTTACCATCCCTACCAACTTATTAACATCATACAACCGTTGTTTATTAAGAATAATACTCAACGTTTTTAAGATTATAAATAGATCTCTAGTATAAATTAGCCGATATTTTTGAGTTATAGCCCTAACCGGTTGTTGATTACACGTGTTTTGGAAAAAATTTTGAAAATTGCGCTTTTTGTATTTATCACGTGACTGTTTTGGAATTTTTTTTTTTTTATCTACAATTTTTCAAACGCATTATTAATTTTTCTTCCTTTAATCATTGGTAAGAAAGAAGCATATTTTGCAGACAAGCCTATCTTCATAGTCCCAGAATGCAAATTTTCGTTAAAACTTTAACTGGTAAAACCATTACCCTTGAAGTTGAATCTTCAGATACTATTGATAATGTTAAATCAAAAATTCAAGATAAAGAAGGTATTCCACCTGATCAACAAAGATTAATCTTTGCAGGTAAACAATTAGAAGATGGTAGAACATTATCTGATTATAACATTCAAAAGGAATCAACTTTGCACTTAGTTTTAAGATTAAGAGGGGGTGGTAAAAAAAGAAAGAAGAAGGTTTACACTACTCCTAAAAAAATTAAACATAAACATAGAAAACATAAATTGGCAGTTTTAACTTATTATAAAGTTGATAATGAAGGTAAAGTTGAAAGATTGAGAAGAGAATGTCCTGCTCCAACTTGTGGTGCTGGTATTTTTATGGCTAATATGAAAGATAGACAATATTGTGGTAAATGTCATTTGACTTTAAAAGCAAACTAAATCTGGATGCAAAGCACAACCTATACCGTCAAGATGTCTTAATTTTGTATAGTTTTTAATCAACAATATCACTTTCAATATTTAATCTCTATTCGTATATACACTTGGTAGTTCTCGCATATTTTTATTTTCGCCATACGCATACAAAATTTAATTCGGTTATTATTTGGTTACTATTGAATCAATTAGTAACTATTGAATCAATTAGTATTCTTACCCTTCATTCAAGCATCCTTACGTTCTATTATTGATTATCCGCATCCTTACAACAACAATTAACAACAATTATTTATTAGCATCCTGACGTTGACGCATCCTGACATGAATTTCTCAATCTACGACCTCGACCAAAACATAAAAAACCTTCTAAACATAGATAATTTCCTAGATGGACTCTCAGTAAATGATTTCATTGAAGAAATATCAAAAGAACATTATTTAAAGGGTCTTGAAGTAAAGAACGATAAACAATATCTCGATCCAAAACCATATATTCGAACATTTGAAAGCACAATACGTTATCTTAAACAATTAGAAGTCGAAGCAAATGAGTCTAAAATAAATAATGAGTCCAAAATGGAAAGTTTTGAATTACAACACTCACATAATGTAATTGAACTAAATTCGGAAATTGAATCACTGATGAAAGAATTGGATAATTTAGATAAGTCAATTAGTTCAATTTCGTCGAAGATTAATCCATTAGGTACACAATTGAATAAAATCAGTAATAGTAGAGATAGGAGCCAGGAGACGATTTTTTTAATTAGGGCATATCATGGATTTTTCACCAAGGAGACATATGCTCCATTAGAGAATTTAAGAGTGAGTAAAAAATTAGAGGATAAAATTAAATGTGCAAAGACAGTTAAAAATCTTCGTAATTTGGCTATTCAAGTATCAAATGAATCACAATCCTCAACTTTAAAATGTATAAAAAGTATAGAAACATATGGAGACAAAATGGAAAGTGAATTACTTGAAAAGTTTGAAATTGCATCTAATAATGATGAGGATTTAGATTTTGAAATCATGAATGAAATAGCTAAGATATTAATGGAGTATAATGAGGGAATAAATGTAATTCAAACATTTGTAAACAACAACGACATAATAATACAAGAGCAAGATGAATCAGACGAACTTTCCGAGTCAGATTTTATTAAATTCAGTGATCCAAATTTTTCAGATTTTAAATTACCTGAGTCATTATTATCCACTTTTGATAATCTTAAATTTGAAATTAAAAGTAGGGTAAGAATTAGTTCAAAAGTATTTGATGATCCAAAACCAATTATTAAAATATTCATAACGAGAATATACGCACAAATTATAAGAAACAAGCTCACCAACTTATTAAACAACAGTTTGTCTAATTCATTAGCACATGTTAGAATATTACATTTATTGCATAATCTCGTATTCAATTTCACTTCACAAATAAAAGAATTTCTCATAGTGGAGGAATTCGAAAAGGAGACATCAGAATTGTCTACATTATTGGATCAATGTTTTTCAGATTTATTTATTGAATATATTGGAGATAACATTTATTTTAATAGGGAGAAGAAAAATCTTGAAAATTTAATCTATGATATTGTTCATAAATTTAATACTATGAATGAATCAATAATTACAAATAAGTCATTAGCTTTAAGGTTGGAAAATTTAGACAATATCGAGTTTCGTGAAAAACCCATGGTTGATAGATTTGGATTCAGTCTTGAAAAAAAACGAACGACTCAATTTAAAACATATGTCAAAAACAAATTAAATGAAAATAGGACCAGTCAAAGATTATCAAATGACAATTTAAATGAATATACCACCATTAACACGTTAAAAGTTGAAACGGTGCTAAAATCAGTGATTGAATCAATTACGAGAGTTTTAGAATTGAGCCCCAAGTCTGCTGAGTATTCATTGGAAATTTTAGAGATTTTAATTATTGATTTTGGTAAGTTGTATATTGGTGGTGGATTAGAGATCATTTATGATGAGTGTAAGAAAGCAAGTACTAATCTACACTATCTCAAGTCATTCAATGTTGTATCTGAAATACTCCTTCTTATGTCATCATGTATTAAGAAGATTATATTACCATGTGCAACAAACAATCCAAATACAAAAAATAGAATGATAAACTTATTAAACAACTTCATCTCGCAGTGTGAATTGTCATTGAATATTATCCTGGATGAATTTTATGAGACGGTCATCAAGAATTTGACTGGATATTTGAATAAGCAGAAGAAGAAAGATTTCAATTGTGATGCAATTGAAGATGACACTGAGGCTTGTGAGCTCATATCTGATTATTTAAACAATTTGCATTCTCAATTAAAAAATTCATTGAATGGGAAAAATTTAGATAAATTATTAATTAAAATTGGTTTGGAGTTCCGTGGGTTATTGTTAGAACATTTTAAAAAATTTACTGTTAATTCTATTGGTGGGATTGTTCTCACCAAAGATGTGATTAGGTACCAGAGTATTATTGATGAGTGGAAGTTGCCTGTTTTGACTGATAGTTTTGCAATTTTGAAAGAGATTGGGAATTTATTTACTGTTAATTCTAATCTTGTTAATTCGTTAATTACTGAGGGACAATTGGCTCAGATGAAACCTTATTTGGTTAGACAATATATTTCAAAGAGGGCTGATTTTGAACCAAGTTATGTTGATAAAATATTTAAGAGATGAAGTGATTCGATTCAATAAAAACTAATTCCAACCCATCTAATGCTATTATATATTCCAAAGATGATTAATTATACATAATTCATTCTAATAACTTAGAAACCTACTTGGTATGGAAATCTATTTTGAAAAGAGCGATTATAATCTGGTCATGTTGACGATCGATGAGCTTCAAAGAGACAACTAAACTATAAACGTACTTTGGGAAGTAGACCATAATCAAGATAAGTAGATATATATATATATTATATATATAAGTAATGCAAAATAACCAAAGGAATTAAAATACTCCAAACTAATACCAACCTTTTCAAATAAATCAATGATCCCAAATAAAATAAAACATAAGCATAAAAATTAACTAGTGGCTTAGGTAAATAGCACATCTCCGTCTCAAATGTATTTTCATCAGTTCCATCATTAAACAAACTCAACATTTGAATAGCAGGATACTTAATCCCAGAAGTCATAGCACATGATTTAACAGCAATTTCTCTAGCTGATCCATCAGTATATTTTTGAATAATATCACAATAATCATGATCATCACCAGCTAGTATCAAACTTGGTTTAAATTTATTCAACATTCTCTGCGCATGATGATATTCAATGACAGTTTGATATTGATCACCACGTTGTAAGGGGAATAGTCCACTTTTTTCTCTTTTTGGACCACATAATTGCTTATCTGGATGTCTATAAAGTGGAACATGACTTAATAAAATCCTTGGCCTTGAATAGTTATCAAATTTGTCTAAATAGTCATTTGCTGCTTTATTTACAGTTGTATTTTCATGACTTAGTGAAATTGAATCAAATAAGATAATTGTATGATTTCCTAATACAAAGTCAAGATTTGCTTGCCCGAAATACTTAGCAAATCTGTCTACTACCTCTATTGAAATATTTTGGAATCCAATGTCGTGATTTCCTGGAATTGAACGAATTTCGACTTTATCATAAGCTGGGAAAATCTTGTTAAATCTTTGATACTCCTCTAACCAGTATTCATCATCCCAATACCTTCCACCATCGAACAAATCACCAAGGAAAATATTAGCATCTGATTGTAGTATACTATTCACAATTCTATAATTATTATAATGATATTGATCGGATATTCTAGTTGTGAAATATTTTATAATTTTGAATCGCTTTGGATATGTATACTTATCTATAATTTGAGGATCAGCAAACAATGTAATTCTATATGGTTTCTCCCGTGTTTCCCAATTTGACCAGTGGCATTTACTGATTGTATACTTGGGGTATATGAATTCAAATAAAAGTATTAATGAAACCCAAACAAGTGTCAATCTTAACAATATTCTAACATACCATCTTCTATTACTCAATGGTTTAACTATATCTTCAACTTCTTCCTTAATTGGTGTTGTCTTGTTAATCTTTCTTTGTTTTATCATTTATCAATATTTTTATTTTTCGTGTTTCAGAATTTTTCAAAACATGGTTTCACCACGAAAGTTAAGATCAAAAGATACAACTAATAACAATAGTACATTACTATATGACTTCGATAATATAAATGAATACATAAGCAACGATAAACCAATTGGTATAACTAAAAAAGCATCAGATAATCATTATTCATGGTTTGGTATCATGAACAAACCACTCCCAACTAAACAAATAGACATCATTGAGATAGATCAAATTCTTCCACGACGAGTTCAAATCGACCCCCTTCCTTCCTCAAAATATGAAATATTTCATCGTAAAATGAGAAAAGATGAGAAACAAATGATAAATGAAGAAAAAGATCGTAATTTCTATGAATTGGATATATTGACATCTGAACTTCAGACTTTAAATCAATATAATTGGGAAAAACGACTTTGTCAAATAACGAAAGTTAATGATCCAAGAGATACGTCTGAATTAGAATTGAAGAAGCAACTAACTATAAATGAAATTGAAAAAATATTGAGGAAGCTGGAGAATTGGAGAAAGAGGAATGATTTATTCAATAATAAGTTTAAAAATTATGTCCGTAAGGAAACTGATGAATCTGATGAAGATTATGATTTACCATTAGAAGAAGTGAAATTGAAGAGAAAGAATGAAAGAAGATTGAAATATGGACCTAAAGTTAAATTAAATCTTGGTAATGATTTATGTTTAATTATTGATCCATTTGGTATTCCTAAAATCGTTAAAGGTCATGCTGCTATAACTAAGTCAAAAACTCAATCTCCAAGGAAGATAGTTAGGGAAATGCCTAAACTGAAACCTAAAGAAGTTATTAAGAAAGAAGTTCATGTTCCAATTGAATCTTTCAAACAAAAATCAATCAAATTGGAAAATGTTACAAAGGATATGAAAATTGATTTTAAAAATTCTGGAGATGAAGTTTTATTTGGAACCTTGTCTAATAATCTACCTACTTTCGCAAATGGTTTTCAATTACCATTGAATGTTAGAAGAGCTAAAAAGTGAGTAAGGATGCTATACTGTAAATATATATTAATAAATACCTACTCTATGTCAATATATCTCTATGTCAATATATTAATTTTTCCATTATATTGTGAAACTATCTATTTATATTTCATGATAACAAGTGAGGTTTCATGCATCCTTACCTGCATCCACTTATATCTCAATTTCATCACAAGCTTTTCTAAAATCAACCAAAGCTTGATAAGCTTTGCCAGAACTAATTGCAATCTTAGCTAATTCAACGCCATGTTTCCAATCAATAGCAATATTAGAAATAACAGCCAAAGCAGCAGAATTCATTAATATATAATCAACCAAAGGATGATTATCACTATCTCTAATTTTATATTCTTCATTATCTTGTTTTAAAATATGTAATAAAATTTCAGCATTTTCATCAGGTGTACCAGATTTGACTTCTTCAAGTCTATGTTGTTGTAATCCAAAATCATTAGGACATATTCTATCTCTTATTATATTTCCATCTTCATCAATTATCCAAATCTTAGTATAACCAGTTGGTGAAATTTCATCTAATATAACTTCTCCAAATACAACCATTGTTTTTTTATGTATGTTACTCTTTTTAGCTAGGATAGAAGCAGCTTCAGCATATGATTCTCCCAATTTTTCGGAATAAACACCCAATACCCTCAGCTTTATAGGTATTGGATTTATTAATGGTCCTAATATATTAAAAATTGTAGGTATTCCAATTTGAGATCTTACTTCAGATACAACACCCATCCCAGGATGAAAACTAGGTGCAAATAAGAAACAAAAATTCAGTTTTTTCACAATTTGTGGTGTTGTTACATTATTTACTTTGAATAAATTAATCTTAAGACTTTTTAAAAGGTCTCCACTTCCTGAAGTTGAAGTAGATGCTTTTCCACCATGTTTACATATTGGTAATCCCATCCCAGCAGCAACAATAGCACTTGAGGTAGAAACATTGAATGTATTTTGTCCATCGCCTCCCGTGCCCACAATATCTATATATCCTTGACTGTCAACTAATTCACTCGGTATAATTTTAGCAAATTCAAGTACTGTAGTAACTGCATTTGCAATATAATCAGGTTCTTGATCTAAATTTCTCATTCTTAATAAACTCAAAAACACACTAGTTTGAATCTTTGATGGAATATCCATGAAAATTAATTTTAAAACTGTTGATAAATCTTGTGGTGTTAAATTTGGAGGTTCAATAAGTAATGATTTAATATATGGAGTCAATACATTCTTTTCTAATTTTAAATTTTTATCCATATTGTATATATTTGTTTAAACGAGTGTGATAATGAGTTGGGTCCAAATTAAACGATCAAATATTTTTTTTCACTGAGTCATTTGGTTACAAAAAATTTATTCAATTATAATTACACGATGCTTGATTTATACATTAATTGGAACAACTATTTCCTTATCTGAATCTATATATGAATCACAAATTAAATATATACGTAGATCTCTATCTCCTTCATTGGTCAATGTAACTTCTAAATCATATGATTGGGTAGTTTTCATGATATTAATTTTTTTAATTGCGTATAATTGATTTATTAATTTATCTCCAATTACAATCCACCAATTCTCCTCTTTGGGGAATGGTAATGGACTTACAACATCAAGAGACTCTAGTTCTTCATCTCTGTCAATTGTAACTGTGATAATCTTAGGCTCATCTACCACAATTTTTCCCTCCATTTTATAATTTACTTCAATATTTGGATAACTATTTATGAAATTGGCAATTTCATTTAGTTTCTCATCATCTTGTTTTTGTAAAATATCATTTCTTTCATCATCTTCTAATGACATTAAATCATAAACTGTCTCCACGTTATATTGTTTACATTTTTCCAATTCAAAGGCACCGATATTTGGTATTTGTTTTAATATATTTTCTGAACTCCATAATGATTGAACAATCATTTGTGAAAAATCCATAACTATAAGTGAGTTAAGATATCCTTGGGATGATAATAAATCAACGAGTCCGTTAATTATAGGTAGCACTTTTTCCAATATGAATTTTAAATCACTTTGTAAGTCTGGTGTTAATAAATGTGATAATCTACTGATGTGGATTTGTAAAAGTATGAACGTTTTATAATATGGAGTGTTTGAATCAGTGGTTAATTTAATTGGGACTTTATTCTGTAGATTCTCTAAATTTGTAACTTCGCCTTCTCGAATAATTAATGATTCAAATTCAGTAGATTTGGATATTATTTGTATGATATCTTTCAATTTTGATTTATTACTTAATTGTGATAAATTATTCATGGTCTCAAACATTAAATTATAATGAGATGAAATAACACATTTATTTAGAACCTCAAAGTTTTCTTCTTTATCTTCGATAAATTCCTGTCTGACTAATTCTTCAATTACGTTTTCAATCTTGTCAGATAAGTATTCAGATGATCCCATGCTTGAAACATCTTTTAATTGATAATATGATGGATTTTTAAATAATCGTTTGTAGTAAAATGAATAAGTTAATAAATCAATACAATTTTGTCTTGTTTTGATTATACCATTCGATAAATTACTAATCAACAATTCAAAAAGATAAGATAATAAATCACTCTCAATCACAACACCCGAATTAATAAAAGTATTGTAATATTCAATCATGTTTGCATTTGATAAATATATATGAACAACTCCAGAATCAGCACAAGAACCAGTCATTTCAGCAATTTCAACAATTGAATAATCGATATTACGATGTTCATATTCATCAAGATAGCTAGTCCCATAAATTATAACCTTATGTGCTTGTGGTATATAGTTACAAGTATCTTTTGTTGCAATTAATGATTTGATTAAACCCAGGTCGAATAATTTTTCAACTATCAATTGATCAATCTTATTCATACATGAATAATAGATACCTATTCCTTTTTCTAATAACATTTTAACTTTACGATCCTGGATTCTTGTTGTATATTTTTCAATTTCTTGTAAATCAACAGATTCATAATCTAATTTTGAAACAAGTTCAAGTACTTTATTGAATGTAGGTACGAAGACTATTGATTTTTGGTCTATTTCTTTTTCAATATGTTTATTCTCACCAATTGATAACTTAATCTCCTTTATGTTGTTTGATCTCTCCAGTAATGGAAAGTTATAGATTTCCAGTTTAGGTATACTTAACCAATCACAAACATCTCTTACATTATCTAAAGGTAATGAACAAGCAACAACTCTTAATTCATAATCTTCCCATTGTGATTTAAACATTTTAAGTCTAGTTAGGAATATTTCATAATTTATATCAGTATTAATTGTATGTAAATCATCAAGAAATAACAAATCAAATAATTTGAAGTTCTTTTTTGATTTCCATCTTTTAGTTAATAAATTAAATTGTTCTGGAGTAGATAATATGATTGAACTTTCATTAATTATTGAAATGTCAGTTTTTAAATTCCCTGTGAGTGTATATACATCATCGAATAACTTGTTCCACTTCTTAAATAACTTGCTTACAATTTCTTGAGATGAATTTAAGTAGACTACCTTTCCTCTATTTTGTCTGAGTTGATTTAAGATCGATAATTCTAACACTGTTATTTTTCCGTCACCTCTAGCTGATCCAATAAACACATTCTCATTTGAATTATAAACTGGTTCAAAGACTGCTGATTGTAGTCTATTAAAATCTTCAATTTGCAATTGTTCAAAATCGTTAGGTTTGATTTTTTCATTTTCATCATATGATAAATAAAGATTTGAAATCTTAGGTAAATTTATATTTAACAAGATTGGTAATTTCCAAGTACAATTGACCCATTTATTATTTATAAAAGATAATAAATAATTTGGCATTAATGGTTTCTTTATATCCACAATTATATCAATCACATGAATCTGATTGACATTCTTCTTTTTAATTACCAATAAATCATCATATAATAATTCACTCCCATTACAATCTTCCAAAAAAATTTCAAAAACTTCTTGATTTCCTGACTCATTAGCCCAATTCCATTCAGGTAAAATTTCGATTTCCAATTTGGCCATTGTTTCATTGATTGGTTTTAATTTATAATTTGAAGATAATTTAGGAAAAGAATGCACATAACTTTCTAATATTTTAGCCATTGATGCTTTTAAATTAAGGGCCTCTGATAATTCTTCAGCATTTAGATGAAAATATTTCATCCATGGTAAATATGACATTTCGGTAGATTTTATAATTTGTTGAGGAACATTATTAAATTGCCTTAATGGTGAATTATTCAACCATATTCTATTTTCCACCATTTTACAAAAATTTAATAACAATTTAGATAATGATGACCATTTCTTAAGTTTTGAAATCTCATAAATTGCTCGTAATAATCTACCTGCTGATTGTTTAATATATATCATGTCTGCAATCAATGCAAACCCATCAAGATTCAATTTGGAAATATAAGTTTGTAATAAAATGTTAATTTTTGCACTTGGATCACTTGGTAATTCTTTAACTGGAATTGGTGCTTTTTCCATCAACTTGTTTATTTCAATCTTTTCTTCTTGTCTTAATGGAATATATTTAAATTCAACAGATTTGGAAAATATAGTCAATACATCAGTTTCGGAATGCCATGGTTTCAATGATTTTCCGTATATATTTACAGTTTCATAATTTATATAAAAAAATGATGCAATTTTACCCAATTCAGTTGATCTTACAAATTTCCCATCAAATATAATTAATTTATGTTCTCTCAATATCAACAATGACGTATATATCAAATCCATTCTTTTTTGAAACAATGTAGGATCAAGTTTAAAATCATAATCTGGCTCTACTCCATATTTATTTGGTGATTGTAACATTCTAATGAAAAAATAAGTATATCCTAACCATTCAATCCCATCTTCAATTGATTTAATTGAACCAGCTACTATTTCAGCATTAATTGAATCAACTAATTTCGTAATCAATTTAGATTCAATAGGTAATTGTTGATTCAACAAGGCCAAGTAATATTGAATTTCATCTTGTGAAGTAATAATTATACCTTCACCATTTTTATCATATCTTGGTCTTCCAGCTCTACCCAACATTTGTAAAATATCTTGTGGTGATAATTGAACCCAAGTTCCTAATTCTGGTGAATAAGTTTCTGTACCTTTAATTATAACTGTATGAGCAGGTAAGTTAACACCCCAAGCTAATGTTGCAGTTGAAACTAATACTCTTAAATGACCTTGAGCAAATAAATCTTCAACTGTGGATCTGTCTGTTTTATTCAATCCAGCATGATGGATACCAAAACCAAATGGGATAATTTCTTTTAATTTTCCAGACATTGATTCAGATTCTTGATTTAATATCTCTTTGGTACCTACATTCTCCAATAGATTTATATCCGATTCCGCTAGTTTATCAATTAGGTATTTTGCAGTAGTTGCAGTTTCGTTTCTTGAATGGACAAATACAATTAATTGATGGTTTCTTTCTAAGCTAGCATACATTCTATCACAACATGCTTCATTCATGGCTGTTATCTTCTTTATTGCTTTTTTCTCTTTTATTCCAACAAATTCTTGTTGTAAAGGACAAGGACGATAACTTCCATCAAAATAAAATAAGGAATCTTCATTGACTCTGATAAATTTAGCAACGTCATTATAATTTGGAAGTGTAGCAGATAAACCAACAATTCTTACCACTGAATCTTGACGTAAGCTTCTAGATACTATACTTTCCAATACGGGTCCTCTCTCATCATGTAATAAATGTATTTCATCAATAATTAGAAGTTTAACCAAATTGACATAATCTGGTGACTTTCTCGTTATAATATCCCATTTTTCTGGGGTAGTCACTATTATTTGAGTCTCATGAATTTGTTTTTTTGATAATGTCAGATCTCCAGTTAATTCATTGACTGTAATACCAAAAACCAGTAATCTTCTTTGAAATTCTCTCATTTGTTCTTGTACTAATGCTTTTAACGGTGCAATATATACAATTTTGAAATTTTTATTAATTTTATCATTGATCCTATGATTTGAAATTGTTTTGAGGATAGTTAACACAGCAACATTGGTTTTACCAGCACCTGTAGGAGCACAAATTAATAAATTATCATTAGTTTCAAATGCTTTTGGATATATTTTAGATTGTATTCTATTAAATGATTGTGTTTCATTAGATGGAAATGCTTCTTGTGCCCAATTTGGTAATTCTGAAATTGCAACTAATTCTTCATCTGATTTTGGTGGTGACGGTGGTGGTATTGTAATTATATCGTATGATTTTTTATTTTCTTGAAATGTTCCAGGGGGTAGTTTAACTTTAGTGGTATCTACACTAGTAGTGAATATTATCTTTTGTAAATCAATTCTTTGTGGTATTCTTGATGTCTTTTGTTTTTTAGTTGGTTGATCTCCTATTAGTTCTTGAATTAGTGAAGTTAGATTTACTTGTTCCATTTCTTTAACTACTTCTTCTTTTGGTAATTCCTCAAGTTTTTTAGTAAATACAATCTTCCATCTATTTTCAGTACATTTTGCAAGTAGTTCTTCATTCAATTTGATTTCATTTAGACTTTCAAAATCTGCATCTGATGATAATAAAGATATAATTTCTTCTTGTTGTGAATTTGGTATGTTTGATTGAAACCATGCCCAATTTATCTCTTTTTCTTCTTGTACTTCCTCTGGTTCTTCTTCTCCAATGTCTTCAATTTCTTCTTCTTCTGATTCATTAAATTCGACAGCAACATAATTTGCTTTTTCATTATCTTCTTCTTTATTTTGACCTCTCGATATTGTCTTTGCCAAATTTATCAAATCATTAAATTCTATATCATTGATTTTAACATTTAATAAATCCTCGATTACTTTTCTCTTATCCTGTATTGTAATATCAGCACTTGATAGATTCTCGATAAATAATTCTGATGCTGAATGTATTACTTCATGAGATGCGTCTGGTATAAATGTATAAATTTTATTCAAAAATTCTTCAAATGTTTGATCAACTTCTTCGATTTTTTCAACTTTATCTTTCTTGATTGTTTCTGATTTATAATTACTTCCCATATCCTTAACAGATATCTTTCCAACAATTGAACTTATTTCATCTTCTCTTGGTCTTTTTTGACGTAACGACATGAATATTTTGTTTCAGAAAAAATATACGAACGAATAAATTTATATAGAATGATGATAATTTGTACAGAATTCGACCCACTTTGTTATAACATATTGTACAGAATAGATTATATATTATTTACTTAATAAACTTTATTTAAAAATGCTTTATTTTTAAAATCCCATGTATCATCAGAAATTCTACCTCTTAAAACAGGAATTTCACTACCTGGAACATAAACATCTTCAAATAAAATATCCATTTTAGCTTCTGGTGGAGCATCAGCTTCAGCAGCCGCAACTTGTTCATCAACATATTTTCTTGCAGCTTTATCATAAGATTTAATTTCATCTTCAGTTGCAATATTTTTTTCTAATAAAACAGCTTTTAATCCTGCAATTGGATCATTTCTTGATCTCATATGTTGAACTTCTTCTCTTGTTCTATATGTTGTACCTGGATCAGACATTGAATGACCACCATATCTGTAAGTTTCATATTCGATAACTAGTGGTCCATTACCTTGAGCAGCCCAATCTTTTGCAAATTTTGAACCTTGGTAAGTAGCTAAGACATCCATACCATTAATTTTTAAACCTGGAATAAATTGACCTCTTTTATAATATTCAGTCATTGCTGAAGATCTTGCAGCTGAAGTACCCATACCATATTTATTATTTTCACAACAAAATATAACTGGTAAATTCCATAATTTAGCCATGTTAAAAGCTTCAAAAACTTGACCTTGATTAGATGCACCATCACCATATAAATCAAATGTAACATTTTTATCACCTCTATATTTATGAGAAAATGCTAAACCAGCACCCATTGGAACTTGAGCACCAACAATACCATTACCACCATAAAAACCAGGAGCAAACATATGCATTGAACCACCTTTACCAAATGAAACACCAGATCTTCTACCCATTAATTCAGCAAGAATGGCTTTTACAGAAGCACCTCTCATAAATGCAAAACCATGACATCTGTATGAAGTTATCACAGTATCTTTTTTATCAATAGCATTTTCAATACCAACAGCAACAGCCTCTTGACCAATAGATAAATGACAAAAACCTCTAATTTTTTTAGCTTTATATAAGGCATCAGCAGCCATTTCCATTCTTCTGATAATAATCATATCTTTATATATTTTTAATAATGATTCTTTTTCAGTTTCAAATGATAAATCAGGAACTTCTAAATGATAACCTTCAAATGAACCTTCTGGTAATGTAACAGTAACTAAATCTGAAGTTTCTGACTTTTCAGCATGAGCATCAGCAGCCATGGCAACAGGTTTTGAAGCCATTGATCTTAAATTTAATTTTTTAATCAATTGACGAGTCGGACGTGTAGAACGAAACATGATAGGTGATGTATGAATGAGATGTATTGTTATGTGATTAAAGGGGAATAGTTTATTATGAATAAGTTGTTGAATGAATATATATAAAATGTCTCAATTCAATGGTTATAAAAAAATTGAAGATTGTACTGTAAGATTATGTAATCATCCATACATTTTTAACTATGGTTGACAGTACTCCGTTTTTTTTTCATTTCGTTGATTAAACTCCGAGACTGAACAGTTGGTAGCGTTTTGTTATTTGTTTATGGCTGCAAAATATTTAATAAAGTATTTATATTTTGATATATTTTCTTAATCTATATCCTCACTTTAATTCTCATCAGCAGCTTCATCTTCTGTAACTTGATATTCTTGTATTATGTCATAGATAATTTCTGGCCTTGAGTGGAAACCAACATCCTTCAGTACTAATATTTCAAGATTTGAGGGAAACTCGACTACTCCATGGAACGTTAGCATATCATTTCCAATTAATTTAGTGGCTTTCAAGCTTTCATGAAAGTGAACATGATTGGAACAATTGAAAACATGACTTCTTGTATGATTTTTTTTCAATGCTGAAATGTTTCAAATTAGGAAAATTATCTCCATTTCAAACCACGACCAATCAAACTTTGTATCAACTAAGCATAAATCCTCTAGATCTTTGCATAATTGCAATGAGGTATAATTTTCATTCCAGAAATTCATTAAGAAGAATGTACCTAATGTTGATGGAAAATTTATAGCTGAATTTGCTTGCTCTAGATTGCCACAAACATCCACTATACTTAAAATTTGTAAATTTATGCATTTTTTTAGTGAATTATTCAAATGTGGTCTGCAGTCAAAGGTCGTTAAAGCCTCCCAATTATTGAAACTAATATCTTTAAATTGATCAAAATCTCTCGTTTGACAAAACCAATCAACCGAAATATATTCGACCGATTTGTTAATTTTTTCATATAAAAATTCAGTCAACTTAATAATTCTGAAACACTCAATATCAAAATCTTCTAACCGGACATCTTTACAAAGAAGCTGTTTACCCCTTGCCAAACATTTCTGAACTTCATAAGTTAAATCAACGCATAACTTAGTTGGTGAAGTGATCAACTGATCACAACTATTGGAAGAAGCATCAACTAAGGGAATTATATCATTTTCGTAACTTTCATCGATATTATTATCTGTAAATGATTTCCAGGATCATCAGTCAATTTGATAATTAATACCGTTCGTGGAACTACTTGAAATTGACTTAACAATTTGTAGAAATCTCCATAATTTCTGAACGTTAATGCATCTGTGGAATCAAAGGTTTTATTAGTAATTAAGTATAACTCGTGCATATCTTCTGGCTGTTCATAATCATTATCGATATCTGCAATGACTACTTTTGACAATAATTGTTGTGCTACCACCGGGTTTAAAACTCTATCGTATAAAAATGTAGTAGCAGTTGATCTAATTTGGTAATATTAAATCAATTGACTCAGGTGGTAATTTACGTAACTGTTGTAATAAGTTAATAAAATTCATTTTGATACTATTGAATGTCGTCGAAATTTTTTCAAAAATTTTTAATTAATTTTAATCATCATATTCAATTCTGAAACAAATTATTTTTTAATTATGTAATATAAATTACACAAAACAAATCACAGTAATTTTTCTCTCGTTAAAACAATGTGATGAAACGAAGAAAAATTATTCTCGCGCTAGCTGTGGGCGAGCTCGTACTACATATTTTGGCTTATATGTCATGAAAAACGTAATTTCTCACAATAAATATCAAATAAACAAAATTATGAGCATTGAGTTGTATATCCTATATAGTCTTATATAGTGCAGCTAGGTGAATTCAAACTTATTTTTTTTTGAGTTGTCACTTTGGGCTTTTTTCACTATACAAAAATTTTTTGTTGTTTTTCAATTCATTGTATCTATATTATTAGCTCCATAAATTTCCATTAAACAATGAATTATATATATTGAAGGTGTTGAGCATAGTTCTGAGAGATATAATCTGAAAATGGGAAATTCCATAATATTCTCTTAACTATGGCAAAATTTGAATAAATTGACTTTACTAATACTTTAATTCAACAATTGAAATTCAAACTAGAACATGATAAATTAATCTGAGTTTGTAGTTCCTGTAAGCTAATAAATCTCAAGTTTTTATGTGTTTAGTTATTAAAAATTGGTAAAGTAAATTTCCAAAAGTGGTTCGAAAATTTTGGGAAATTTTCAAAATGAATATGACGTTTTAAATGCTCTCTAGATAGAACATTTGGGTAAGTTGAGGTGAATCAGATATTCTGGAAGTTTCAAATCGAGGTTTCAGTGTTCAGTATTCTGCAAAATAAGGTTTTTTTGTATTTTTTGAGTGAAGAATAACATGATTAGATTAAAATCTTTACAGATGTTGCTAGCACTATTACACTCTAACATGATTAGATTAAAATCTTTACAGGTGTTGCTAGCACTATTACACTCTAACATGATTAGATTAAAATCTTTACAGATATTGCTAGCACTATTACACTCTAAACTGGCTGATTTTTGCCAAGGAAGTTTGACGATTCGAATTTTAAGACTGCATATAAATCAAATTTAGCTTCGAATTACATGCTCAAATCCTCGAAGTGGCGCGAGGTTTAGACGAGACGAGATTTTTCAGCCCTATATTTTGGAATTAAATCTTGGCGCTGAGGCGCGAATTTTTTTCTGGCTTACCACAAAAGAGCTAGGTATATTACTCAGAAACTAAATTCATTCTTAACCGTGTCTATGTACTTTAACTACCATACTAACTCATGGAACTAATATTACCTACCTACGTTTCTCTAAATTACTTTCATGGAATAAACAAATGAAAAGTTTAGTAAACCATTATAGGATGGATTGATAATTCCACGACCGTGTTATTTGCATCAGTATACAATGGAACCTCCAAAAATACACTTTAACTTAAATTTATGATTTTCAACTATAAGTCAGAAGAATGAAAGATTCGATATTGAAAAGTTTATCAACTTTGACTCGTAAAAATTTTAGTCGGTAGATTAAATTTACAACAACAAAGCTCGCTCATAAGGAGCATCTCATAAGGAGCATCTCAAAACATATCGGTATTACAAATATCATACAAGCAGCAAGTGGTAATATGAAAGGTGGGTAATAAGGAAATTGTTGAGCGTATACGCGGTTAATGTTAGGCAATTCACAGTAGATAAGAGTTCCAAAAAATTTGAATTAGGAAATCTACCCTTGTTTAAATCTTAATCTAAATGTGCCATGAATAGATCATAAGGGGTAGGGTCTTGAATAAACCTGGAGAAATTCTGCAAATTTGCTATTCTCAATAAACTTAATTCAAAAGTACACAACGGGAAACCTACCCACTCTAGTTTAAACCCTTTAGATGCTCTAACTCAATATAAATTTGATATATAACGCTAATAATGAAATATCTCTTGGACATTTTTAAAAATATTTCTGTTTACGAGGCTAGAATCAACTTGTTATTTCCCAAATTGGAAGTCATACCGATGCACCAAGAAAAATTTAGCAAAATCATCCCCACTGTAGATCAAAAATAACAATCGAAATTTAATCGGTTATTATTCCATTTTAAATCTTTCTGTTAAATTTTAGAAAACATTTAAAATTTTTTATTTACTAAAGAAGGCGGATTATATTTGTTCCAATCAAACATAAGTTTTTTACATAATAGAAATAGAGTCATTCTTGGTTACGATACTAAATAATAATAATTAATTGGATCACACACTTCGAATAGGAATCTATTTTGAGCGAACCTATTTTAAGTTTGTGTTCATTGTGGGGTACGTTTTTTATCTTTCGATTGAAGCATGGAAGGTGAGCATAGAATATGCTAATGCTGTCATCAATAAGTTGCCAGGTAATAGAGCACAACCACTTGAAATCTATTCGTGCAATCTCCGAAGATTTCGGAAATCTCAAATTATACGAATAAGAAAAATAAAATAAAGAAAAAAAAAAAAATAAAATAAAATAAAATAAAATAAAATAAAATAAAATAAAATTCGGTGTTGAAGTGCTTCACAACCGAGTACTAATTTTTCCAATTAGATTTTAGATTTTAGTCTTAATTTGTACTCTCCTCTCAGATTAACCATAACCAAATAATAAACCAGTATAACAAAACATTTAAATATAAATAATGAATTAAATCTCTTCAACTTTCCCAAAATTCATTTAAACATCAATTTAATTCAATGTCAGATATCGACGATAAAATAGTTCTCAAACATAATGAAAGTTTAGCTTCATCTAATTTAAGTGATCATGATGAAATTAATGAAAAATCAGAAAAATCAGAAAAATCAATTAAAGAATTTTTATTTTTAGATAAACCATTTTATAGATATGGTTTTATTAATCTTTTAAACTTTTATATATTTTTAATCACTATAAGTTCAACATGTAATGGTTATGATGGTAGTATGTTGAACGGTTTACAAATTGTTGAAACATGGGAAAAGAATATCTTGAGAAATAATCTTGGTGCTTTATCTAATGGTACCACATTTGGTGGTTTTTTTGCAATGTTGTTTGCGTCTTACATTTCAGATAAATTCGGTAGAAAAATAGCTTTAGCTGTTGGTGCTATATTAATTATTATTGGTGCTGTGTTGCAAGGAGCTTCTTATAATTATGGTTTCTTTTTAGCTGCTAGATTTGTTATTGGTATGGGTAGTGGTATTGCAGTTGCAAGTTCACCTTCATTAATTTCAGAAATTGCTTATCCAACCCACAGAGATATTTGTACTGCTTTATATAATAGTTGTTGGTATTTAGGTGCTTTAATAGCTGCTTGGGTTACTTACGGTACTCATTTCATGACAACGGATTATGCATGGAAGATTCCAAGTTATTTACAAGGTATTTTGCCATTATTTCAACTTGCTTTATTATACTGGGTTCCTGAATCACCAAGGTTTTTAATCAGAAAGGGTAAAATCGATAAAGCTAAAGCTATATTGAGGAAATGGCATACTGGTAATGACTATTCTGATAGAGCAACAGCTTTAGTTGAATTTGAAGCTGGTGAAATTCAAGCTGCTTTAGCATTGGAAGATTCACAAGCACATAGTTCATACATGGATTTCCTTAGATTACCATCTTACAGAAAAAGATTATTCTTGGTTGTCTTTACAGCATTTTTCATGGTACGTAAAATAATTTAAAAATTTTTGAAAATTTTGTTATCACCAAAACACCAAGTGATATCCACAGAGCTCAACAGCTGTACTAACCTTCCCCAGCAATTATCAGGAAATGGGCTCGTGTCTTATTATTTGAACAAGGTGCTTGATACGATTGGTATCACTGATGCTAATTCACAATTGAAAATTAATGGTTATTTGATGTTGTACAATTTGGTTATCTCATGGTTTACAAATTCAATGGTTCATTTCTTTAAAAGAAGAACTTTATTCTTAGCTTCCTTATCAGGAATGTTGGTGTGTTATATTATTTGGACAATCTTATCAGCTAGATTTGCAATTGGTGGGTACCAAGATCAAAGTTTGGCAAAAGGAGTCTTAGCATTCATATTTTTGTTTTACTTCTGCTACAGTATGTATTAATTACCTCAGATGTGATTGTGTTTGTCTTCAAGAGATTTTCAAAATGGCTGTAAAATGAAAATTTTGCAACAACTTGCTCAAAACACTCAAGAAACATGTTTCAACTATCAAAGCTGTACTAACATCCTCGTAGATGCTGGCTGTAACGGGGCTCCGTTCCTTTACGTGACCGAAATACTTCCTTACAGTCATAGAGCTAAGGGTTTAAATTTATTTTCAGGTCTCAATAATTTATTTATTATTTACAATGGTTTTGTTAACCCAGTTGCAATGGATGCCATTGAATGGAAATATTACATTGTATACTGTTGTATTTTAGCTTGTGAAGTGGTTATTGTTTACTTCTTTTATGTTGAAACTGCAACCTATTCAACATTGGAAGAAATTTCAGCTGCGTTTGGTGATGACCCAGATCATATTGTTGCTAACTCACCAGAAAAAGTAGTATTTGAACATAAAGAAACAGTTTGATCAATCAATAACTGGACTTCTTTAAAAAAATAAAATTTAAAAAAATAACATTTTAATTCATTTTTTATTCAAATATTTAACTAGTTTAAATATTTTTACTAAAGTTAGATACTTATTTGCTAATCTTACATTAAATATATGTTTAGTTTATTTTGGTTTATTTTGTTTTATTTAAATTGTGTGTTATTCAGCATTTTATACTTTTTTTATATTGCACGGCTGTAGCAATAAAAATGCACAAAACATCACGCTTTCAAATCCAATATTGATAAATTTTTAATTTCTTTGAAAACAAGAAAACGCAGCTATGCTGGAGACGTTATATCACTCTTAAAAATACTGGTGAAAAATTCACGCTTTTTGCGGTAAAAGAAAGCTGTCATGTTTTATCATGAACAAAAAAATTTACTATGAAATAAACATTTTTTGTACGAAATTTACTAAATTTCAACAAAAAGCAAAATGCTCCTTACAGAAAATCATTAAATTCTGATGGAATCATTTCCTATATGTAATAATCTACGTACCAAATACGATGATATTGCTAGACTTTGCAAAGCCGCTTGATAAGTTTGAATATTTAGCAAATTTATGTTGTCAATTGTTAGCAGTTTTTAGTATTGAGGTAAAAGTCTAATGCTACCAAATATATTAAATTGGCTAAACCATTAGCTCAAGCTAGCGTAGATTTCATCAAAATCTCAATATCCTTGATGTCTTTCTCTAGGTACTAAATAAGTAACATTCTAGAGTTCTGTTGTATCAACTCATAAATTGACAATTTATGATTGCACTACACGCTACCATATGCTGCGGTGAGGAACCTTTTTATAATTTTTATAGTTTAGTTTTTGTAGTCCTTTGATTGATCAGGATTTGTTAATAAAATTAGAAGTAGCGACTCCAAAATTACCAGATTGAATTGGGAGTGAATTTTCTCCTTCGAATGTCACCAAAAACAATATAATTTAAATAAAAATTGAGGTTATACTGCTAAATTGAAATTTGGTGAAATTGATGGCTTTTTCGGTTTTTATTTTTTCATCTTCTCGGTATTTTTATTGTTTTGTGTCAGATCTTAGCAGATCTATAGATTTGCAACCGATCCTAGATCTAGATCGAGCTATTCTGATTTGCTTTTATTTCGTTCGGTTAAATTGTCAAGTATAGGTGAGAAATTGAGCTAGGTACATAGATTGCGACAAATAAAAGTTCGGTCATATGAAAGTTGAAAAGTTTGAGACAAGCTCTGATCTTTAACAAGAAATTTCGATATATTAAATCATCCAAGTATTTGACCATTTCAAATATGCAAAATTTTTAGAAGGACCTTCCATTCCAAAAGCCAATGGTTTAAAATGCCAAAAACTGACAAATAAAACTATGTACAAAATTAAAAAACAGACCATTGATAATTTTTTAGGCAAGTAATTTAATTTATCAAATAAAAATCCAGTTACAAATATAGCAAAAAAAATAGCAGGAGCATAATGATGTAAATATTTAACTCTACCCATAATTATAAATGGGAAATAATGAAGAAACCAACCAAACAAGGGAAGCAAACCGCGACTTAATAATTTATTCCATTGTAATGAATTCATTTCATAACTTTGTCGTTGATATCTAAGTCCAATAATCACCAAATATATTAAAAAGATCCCTAAAGAAGCAGTCGAAGCCCATGTTATAACTGGATTTCCAAGTAAAAAGTATTTAACATCAGTTGCTCCCCATCCACACATTCTCAATCCAGAATTCATAATTGGCCATTCCCACCATTCTGAACTCAATTTATCAAATTTATCCCCATCTGGCATTAAAGCATTATTTGAAGCCATCATTCCATAATTTAATAATAAAAATTCTTTCCAAAATTTAGGTTTTGGTGGGATATAATCAATTGGTAATTCCAAATATTCATTCAGATGCTTTTCAATATTCCACCATGTGTTTTTATCCTTGTTGAACAATGAATATTTACAAACCACTTCTCCTTGTTGATATCCCCAAGAAGGTAATGATTTCCCAGTAGTAGCTAAATAACAACCTAATTGTTTATGTTTCAATCTGAAACTAGTTGAAATTGGATGTACTTCATTTATTGACTCATTTTGAAAATTTGGACTTGGTGATTTATCTTGATGTTGAATTTCAATTATCCATTCATCTGATAATTCATTATTTTCAGTCTCTCCAAAACACGAAACTTCTAATGCATCAGTTATTGGAGCTTTTAATGAATTAGCTCTAAGATAACAATTTGAATTTTTATGAATTAATCTAATTGTATCTTTATTTAAGATAAATTGTTTATAATTTGTATCACTACCTTCTAAAGTTGCATAAATTTCTTTCAATCCATGTTCGATATCAAACTCAATCAAAAATTCATTATTTGCGTCTTTGTATCCATATGTTGTTACTTGTTGTTGTTGAGAACCTTCTGGATAAGTATGAGGATGTGAATGCAACAAGTTGGGAGATAAGCCTTGAGATCTAATAGTAACTAAAGAACCAAAAGCAACTGATCTAGGACCAGATTGTAAATCATTACCAATTAAAGATGCTTGTAGTAATGTTGAGATTGAACCATCTCCTGGACCGGTATGATTCAAAACTGAAAAATGAATTTTAAAACAAGTCATGTAGATCACTAATGGTATGAAAATTAAGGTAATTATTCTGACTAACCAATGTAAGATATATGTTTTATATGATATAACTTTACTTGTCTGATAAAATTTATAAAGTAAATCAACTATGATATATCCCCCGATTAATAATGTAACAAATAATCCAACCCATTTGACTGAACAAACACAACCAATAGACACACCAGTCAATATGCACCATTTTATTCCTTCTTTAGTTAACAATCTATCTTTAAAATTCAAGGATTGTAAATTGATCAAACAGTAATAAGCAAAAACAGTGAAAAATAGTAAAAATGAATCCAACAATATAAATTTACTCAATGTTAAACTCAATTGTTCAAACACAACCAATAAACTAATCAACCAACAAGTTAATTGATTATATCCAAGCACAAGGGAAGTCTTGTATACTAATGGAGTAACTAAAATCCCAAAAAAACAATTGAAAACCCTCATAAACACATAATTTATACCCTTGTATTTATTTCCACTTTCAAATTCAAAATTCCCATCGTAACCACATAAATAACCAGATAATCCAACTAACAATTTACCTAATGGTGGATGAACATCAAAATAAAATTCTCTTTTCAAATAATGTGAACCAAATTTTCCAAAATGTGCCTCATCCCAAATTACTCCATCTGCAACTTCAATTTTGTATAGTCTAATAAAAGCAGATAGAAATGTTAATAGCAATGGATTAAGATACTTTATAAATATAGTTGACAAATTAAGTTGTTTTCTCTTTTGATCGATTTTTAAATTTGATGTTTTTTCAATTATTTCATCTATTTCTACCTCATCTCGACTACCAAATTTTATTCTGTGATGTAGCTGTTGTTTTTGATCTATTGAAGAAACACCTGTTGAATATGACATTGGATATCTTAATCATTGATTTCTTTTTGAAGCCCTGATTTTAAAAATGGTTCCGTGAAAAATTTAGGTAGCGCCAAATGTTTAAATTTAACCAGTGATGAAAATTGATAATAGGACAAGAAATTAGCCACTACTAAGTATAGAAGATCTAGAGCTGCTTTCGGATTGTCAGAGCTTCATCTTGGTAAAATTTTGCTATTTTGGTTGCAAATTATTGTAGTGTGAGATCAACCGAGGCTGTATCCAAAATTTGAGGAACCAAGGTAATTGGGAGCAGAGTTTTCGAGGGAGATTTATAGTACTAATCAGTGAGTCGTACCGGATGCTTTAAATTCAGTTTAGTTAGTTGATTTGGTTATGCTTTATTATACTTGTCGTTGTTGCCGTGTTGATTACCAAGAAATAAATGATGTAAGAAGTGTTAAAATTAATTTACAAATATCATTGATAAAAATTTGAAGATCAAGCAAATATACTATATGTTGAAGAAACCAATATTAATAGGGTTGATACTTTTAACTACTATCATAACTCTAATAGAAGTATTATATCTATCTTTTAATGATATTTATTATGAGTTAATATCACCTAATTTTCATTTAGATCCAAAAGTTTCAGAAATATGGTGGAATAAAATATTTAATGAAATCATACATAATAATACTAAAAGTTATGTAGATAAAAAGAAATTGGATGTAGCGTTAATGAGTCAAACGGTGCTCAAAAAACTACCAAAATGGATACCCAAAACATTATATAAGGAAAATTCAAAAGGTTTTGTAATTTATGGAGATTCATGGTTAACATATTTAAATATTTTACAACTTCGAAAAATGGGATCTAAATTACCTATTGAATATATGCTGGTAAATCATAATGAAGAGTTTTGTCAGGAAATTTCAAAATATAATGCAAGATGTGGGAAAATAGAATTAAGTAAGGAAATCTATGCTACTTGGCAACTTAATGATGATATTTATAAAAGTTTAGCTATTTCACAATCAACATTTCATCATTTAATATATCTCAGTGCTAACTCGTTCTTACTAAAGAGTCCAGATAAGATATTTAAATCACCATTGTATTTGAAAAACCATTTTATAACCTGGTCATCTTTTGAAAACAAAGATTCTATAAATTCAACATATTATAATTTACTTGGTTCACTACCTTCATTAAAATCGTTAGTCAATTTTTCTAAATATCCATTAAATACCAAAGTTGATTCAAGTAAGGATTTGAAATATTATTTGATCATGGATGAAAAATTTGGTATGAATTTGAACTCAGATCATATGATTATAAACAAGGAGAAGAATGGAAAGAATTTATATACTTCGTTATACTTAAATTTATTAAAATTGGCTATAAATTCAAATAATTTATTGGCTATAAATTCAAATAATTTATATGGTATAAGTAATTTAATAACTAATAAGAAACTATATCAAGTTAAAGCTGTACCGAAACTTAAAGATGGAGTTGGACAATTATTTAAAGATCCAATTATTGATTACGAATTATATACTGAGAATAGTAAGATTGAAGGTGAATTAAGAGATATTAATAAATTGATACACACTATGAATACTAATGAAAATCCAAATTTTATATTCAATTTGAAAAGTAACTTGAATCCAATTGACTTAAAGAATGATTTTACTAAGTTTAATGTCCAATTTGATGTTAATAACCAACGGACTGATCTTTTAAAGTTTCACTTGAATACAATGAAAGATGTATTCTGCTCTAAAAATAACTTGTCTCCATTATTTCCAATATTTATAAATAAAGATCACCATAAAATAAAAGATGCCTGTCAATTTATTGAAAATAAAATACCCGAAATGTAATAGTAAATCTCAATTTTAGTTTAGTCAATTGGTAGTTCCAATGGTTGCAAAAACACGTTCAAATAAAATAGAAATTTCAGGTCGTATCTCGCTTAAATTTTTCTTGGCTATTTTTTTTTTTTTTTTTTTTTTTTTTTTGTTTTTCTGTTTCTATTTATAAAACAAAAACGACATCAATGAGATACGACTATGGATTCACAAATACGCTAGTTAATGTGAGATCTACACGGATTTAATTAACACAATGGATACTACAATTAAATACCATTTCTAATCTCTATTTTCTACGGCTTTGACCTCGACCTTTAAATATTTAAAAAAAAACACGCGTGACGCAGATTATTCTATTATAATTACCTGGAAGCCACCGGTCCTGTTAATTTTATTTTAATTCAAATTATTTATTTACATTCCATCATCATCAACATCAGGGTTTAAGCATTCATTATGCTTAATAGGAAGATATTTCAGAGTAAAAACCTATTACTCATCGCATTAATTTCATTAATCACATTATCTTTATTAATTATAACAACTCATCCACAAGCAAATGAAACAACAAAACAAATAATAAATAAATTGACACCCGGGACAACAGCAACTAAACCAACAATTAATAATACTACTGATAGTAATTCAGAGTCACAAGTTGATGATGATGATGATTTACATACAGTTTTACCTGAAGATACTTCAAAATTTCAAAATCATTTAGATTTTTGGGACTTCATTTTTAAAATTTTCAAGAAATATGAATTATCAAAAGATATACAGCCATTAATTGATTACAATGATTTTACTCAAGCAACATTAGAAGATAATGAAAGTCGAAAGGCATTATTACAAAAAGCGGATTTACATAACGTAGACAAGGTCAAACAACTTCATAAACTGGTAATTGACGCATTACCAAATAAATTATCAGAAAGCGTTTATAAAAAAGGTTCCACAGGTATAGTTACCATCGGTGGTGGTTTTTATTCGTGGATGGCGTTTTTACAAATTTTACAATTAAGAAAAATTGGTAGTACATTACCTGTAGAATTAATTATACCAAGTTTTGGAAGTTATGAAGATGAATTTGAATTATGTCAAGAAATTTTACCTAAATATAATGCTAAATGTGTTATTGTACCTGAACAATTTGGTTCAAGGGTGATGAAAAATTGGTCATTTGGAAGTTATCAATATAAAGCATTAGCTTTAGTTTTATCAAGTTTTCAACATACTTTATTATTAGATTCTGATAACTCACCAGTTGTAAATCCAGATTCGTTTTTCGATCAACCAGTATATAAAGATAACGGATTAGTTTTGTGGCCTGATTATTGGGTTAGATCAATGAGTCCAAAATGGTATGATATGATTGATAAACCATATTCAACAGAAGTTAAAGATAAAGATTCAAGATTTCCATTAACTATACCGGAAAAATTAACACCTGAACAAGAACAACATACTAGATTCAATGATTTAAAAGGTGTTTTATCTGATCGTGCAACTGAATCTGGTCAAGTATTATTTAATAAAGATACACATGGTAAAGTTGCGTTAATGGTTTTATATTATAATTTGTTTGGACCTGAATTATATTATAAATTATTTTCATTAGGTGCATTAGGTGAAGGTGATAAAGATACATTTGCAGCTGCTGCTTTAGATGTTGGAAAACCATATTATCAAGTTCATTCACATATAAAAACACTTGGTTGGAAATCACAAGATGGGGAGTATCATGGTATGGTAATGGGTCAAAAAAATCCACAAATTGATTATGAATTATTTGATAAAGTACAAAAGGATTTAGTTTCCAAAAATCAAAATTGGTCAGATGAAGAAAAGAAATTATTTGATGATGATTCAAATGTACCTGTTTTTACATTACATTGTAATATTAAAAAAATTCATCCACCAGATTTTATGAAAGATAAACTGATTATAAATGATGAAGGAACAAGTATGAATGTTAGATTTTATAATAGTTTTAAATTTATGGATAAAGAAGGTCAAGAATTAGATTTTGAATTAGAAAGATGGAAACTTGTAAATAAAGTTGCTTGTGAAGATAAAATTAAGTTCAGTATTTTTAAAGATCAAGACATGGATAAAGTTTGTAGTTTTATAAAGAATTCAATTGATTTTTATTCGAAAAATTAATAATATAATGTACAATTAGACATAGACAAATATAACTTAATTGTTAAAGTAAATCTTGTCTTATAGAATTGTATTTAGTCTCATTGGAGCACGTTTCATGGTTTGTATAAACAAGAATTTTAGAATTTTGGCCTCACCAAAACGCCAAGAGATATAAACAGAACTCAACAGCTGTACTAACCTTTTGCGGCAATTGTCAGGAGATTGTAGGTGTTATACTTTCGAAAAAAGGAGCTTGATACAACTGGTATCACTGATGCTAATTCAAATTTGAAAATTAATGGTTATTTGATGCTGTATAATTTGGTTATCTCATGGTTTACAAATACAATGGTTCATTTCTTTAGGAGAAGAACATTATTTTTAGCTTCCTTATCTGGAATGTTGGTGTGTTATGTTATTTGGACAATCTTATCAGTTAGATTTGTACTTAGCGGATACCAAGATCAAAGTATGGCATAAGGTGTCTTAGCATTCATATTTTTGTTTTACTTCTGCTACAATATGTATTAATTACCTCAAATGTGATTGTGTTTGTCTTCAGAAGAGTTTCAAAATGGCTGCAAAATGAAAATTTTGCAACAACTTGCTCAAAACACTCAGAAAACATGAATCAACTATTGATGCTGGCTGTAATGGAGCTTCATTTCTTATCAAGAAGGATGCTCTCAAAACTTTAGATATGCTTAAGGTAAGGATGCTATATAGATTCTGGATATGCATCAAAGTATAATTAAGGGGAAAAAAAGTACGCAGAAATCGAAGCCACTGATATACCAAATTGTTGGAAACAATGCTAAACAATCTTAAACACGCGATTTCTCCAGTCAGTAGTAAAATCAGTTCAGTCAAACCAAACCCAACTTTGAGAAGGAAGTGAAAGATCTTAATTTGCTATTTCTTTTTATATTGTTTTCTTTAATTTTGGATTGGTGCTTGACATATAAATTAGTTGTCCTAATGTCCATTAAAATGGCACGAGAAAAAATTAGATTGGGGCGGCATATTCGTCGCAGAATTACAATTCTCATGGCCCTAGTGTAAAACCAATCATAGGGCGAGATATCGTATCAATTATTATATGACGTTATTATATATTAAAATCATCTATATCTAAGTTTTTAAATCCCATAATTCAGTCAATACTTCACTCCTTTCATCAGTTGCTTTTAATCTTCTTCTTAAAGCTTCGTTAAAACAAATTTCTTGAGCTAACGGGAAAAATGTTTGAACCCAACCTTTTTTATAACTTTCAACTTCTTGTACAATTTCTTTAATTTCTAATTCTTGATATTTAATTTGGATTTCATATTGTTTATAAAAATCATCTCCTATTAAGCCTAATTGATATAATTTATTAAATGAACTTTCAAATTCTTTTAATTTCATTGATCTTCTAATTGATTCCACAGCTTTTCTTAATAATGCAGCTTTTAATACTTTTTCATGTACTTTATTTTCCTTTTTGATGCTTGGATCATCATTTTTAGCTTTCAATTCATTATAAATTTCTGAATTATAATTTGTTTTAAAAATTGGTTGCATATGTGATAAATTTTCAACTCTTTTTCTTCTATATATAATTGAAAATAAGATAAATAAAGATAATGTAACACCAACATATATTAATGGAGTTATAATTGATATTGGGATATTCTCTTGTGTTGTTTCTGGTTGTTCATCCATAGTTTATTACTTGTTAGTTTAAAATTTTTCAAAGTATGCACGTCAATAATTATCAACATAAAATTGATGAGCACTACCATGTCAGTATAATGTCTGATTTTAATGAAATTAATCAAAAGATAGCTAATTTACAAGAAATTGTTAGTAAACAATCTAAATTGATTGCTACTACTGGTCAGAAATTAATTGAAGTACAAGTTCAAGATGTGAAGACAAGAATGGCTAATTTTGATAAAAATCAACAACAACATCAACAACAACAACAACCAAGTGAGGACTTTATAAATAGTGAAGATGTTGTACAATTGGTTACCGAATTACAAACTCAATTGGATGGGTTAGAAGACAGGTCAATGAGAAGAACTTATAATGCTGCTATTACTTCAGATGATGAAAAATTGGCACCCATGACAAATAAAGATGGTGATTTTCCTGACTTTAAATTACCTACAACATTTAAAGAATTTAAAGAGTTGAAGAAATTAGACATTATTAATCTTGGTTTATTTTATGAAATTTTATTACCTAATGAAGAAGAAATTAATCAAACAGAATCAAGACAAGATATAGATAAAATAAATTCACAAAAAAGTGAAAAATTAGAAGATTTTAGTAAAGGGTTTACTGAATCTCAAGTTGATGAAATATTTGATGAATTGGCAAGATTTTTTGGTTTAAGAAATAGAAGAGGTATTGATGGGTATTAAATTTAGAAGTATAGAAGAGGGATATTAATCTGTTTTATATTTAAATTTCAGTTTCCATTTAGTTATATTTGGTTTAACTTTATTATATAGAATAGTTGAATTGAATTCATAAAATAAATTAGAGCTCCTTATCTTATAATTACACCCTTGTTTAGTTTCATTATTATGTGATTTTTCCAACCATACAAGTGATGCTTGTAAACCTGAAAATGCTTCAGCCATATGATTATAACTTAGATCTTCTGCAAACTCAATTTGAACACCTTCATCACAATAATAACGATATAATTTCCAAGCTTCTTTAAATGGAGATAATTCATTGATCTTTGAATGAAACATGAATATATGGATTTGAGGTACTGGTTTACCAAATAAATTGTTATCTTGAATTATTGTTGATATTACTGGATCTTCTAAATATTTCTTCCCGTAATAATTGAAAAAATCAGCTTTGAAATAATGTAAAGCAGTAGGTATTAAACAAAATCTCTTTAATTCATTTCCATACTTAGTTAATGCTTCTTTAAATTGTGGATATTCATTACCTAAACCATTTAAAATATTGACTATTAATCCAGCATATGGTCCATTATTTACATTTTCAATTATTCTTTTAATATCACTTATAATTCCACCAACAGCAGCACTTACTAAATTTAATTCAGGAGCATATGTAGGCTGTAAAATTGAAGCCCATAATGAAGCATACCCACCACCAGCATAACCTAGTAATGAAACTCGAGGAGATTCAACATTTAAAAAATTTATACCGGCTCTTAATGAATTTAATACCGCATGTGCAGCTTGTCTACCTACGGGAAATGCAGACTGATTTCCTTCGTAATCAGGAACAATTACGTCCCAACCAGCTTCAAGTAGTTTTGAAATGAAGATTAAATCAAATTGACATTGTAAATTATTTATTGATGGGTAAATAAATCCATCGGAACAAGCACAAGTGGTATCAGCAGCTTGCTCAAAATTTTGATAGGATAATATTCTATTCTTTTTATTTTTTGGAGACTTGAATATTGTTGAAACTATGTAATTCGGTTGATTAAATGAATTTTCAGATTTTACTAATAATTGATAAGTTGGAGAGTCAATATTAACCGCGTAACATTTAACATTTATCTGCCGAGTTTTGATTATTTGACCATTTGTATAGTTTGTATAATTGTAGGATGGTGTATAGAACTTATCTACATAATATGCTTTGCATGATATAATTATAAACCACCATATCAACATTTAATGTGACAAAAAAATGGCTGCCAAATATTAGACGATGATTTTTTATACGCATAACAAAATTCAAAACAAGTATATATTAACTAAATAACGAAAACTTTTGAGGCTACAGCTTTAAATAAGGTTCAACTAACAATGAACAACACCATCAGCATGGGTATGACATGAATTTGAATGAGCCTCTGTTGTAGATTCGACTTCACTAGCTGTTGAAGTTGTTAAAGTAGTAGCAACTTCTGTATCTATTGAGGTTTCACTAGTTGAGGTAGTACTAGCAGATGATGGCTCTTCTGTTGAATGATCTTCTTGATCTTCATGATCGTGATCGATTTCGTGGTCGTGGTCGTGGTCGTGGTCGTGGTCGTGATTTCATGTTCTTCATCATCATGAACGTGTTCTTCTTCTAATTCATGAACCCCATTGATGTATTATAATTTAGAGAAAAAGTAATATTATTGAGTAATAATTTATTATATATTGGACTATATCTTCTATAACGGGATACTTAGGTATCCGAATATAGGATCACGTATAGTCTCTGAGGATCCTACTAATAAATATTTATATTTATTTTGGTTTCCTGCTGATTGTTCAAAATAATATATTATACCTAAATACAATATATTTAATATAAGTATTAATGTATATAGGAATATTATTGTAAGAAGTTTCCAGCGTATAGTAATCTTTATATAGAGAGAGGGCTAACAGTTGTCTTAACCCTCCAATAGTGAAGAGGAATAGGAAACCTAATGCAAATAACATAGGTACTTCTAAACGTAATTCCCCACCATATAGTGTAGCTCATATCTAACCTTAATCATCTCAGATTATATTATTTTAAATAATTAGTAGCTGGTTAAATTACGTCAATTTTAATTTAATATAATTAATTTATAAAGATATTAAAATTGTAGATAGAATTATCTAACCATTACTGGCACCTGGATTAAACCTTAAATAACCATATAATTAAACTTAGGTTATCAATGAGCATCTAATCTCTACACTTTTACAATATGGATTTCTCACATATGATTTAGCTCGGCGATTGTCCTATTACAATTGTTGTTCTCATAATAGGATTTCCCCCGAATTTGCCCATTTCTATTTACTATTTGAATATAAATCCTATTATATTATATTATATTTTATTACTTATAATATAAATAAGTAAATAGTTAGTCGACCAGCTTGTAGGAGATCTTGCTAAAGGATCTCATGTTTAGTCAACTAAAGATTTTAATACCTGTAGGAACAGCAATAACCATAGTGGCTGAAGTAAAGTATGTACGACTGTCAATATCTAAACCAACAACATACATGTGATGACTTCATACTAAGAATTCCTAATAATCCAATACTTCCAATGGCATAGATCATACCCACATGACCAAATACTTCTTTTTTAGAATAAGTAGAGATAACATGAGAAATGATACCAAAACCAGGAATAATAAGGATATATCATTTATCTTTATATATATAATATATATATAATACCTTATTATATATATTGCAGAATATAATAGAATAAATTATATTATATTAATTATATTATATTATATTCTGCAAAAACTTTATTATATTTTTGATGGGACTATACCTCATTTTATTCTTTATAATAAGTCATTTTATCTTTTATTGATTTAATCTCTTTTATACCGTTTTCAGTTAAATGTTGTTTATCTTGTATTAATAAATAAGCTTTTCTAAATTATAAATAATTTATATATTTATAAGATATTAATTGATAGTTATCTAAATATAATATAATCTTTTTAGTTCTTGCAAAAGAAGTAGTTTCTAAATAATAAGTATAATTACCATTTTTATGATTACAAGAACCAATATAACAACCTTTTGAATTATTTATATCATTAATATCTTTAGTATTACATACAAATAATTTTATATAATCTAAAATTTCTCTATCTTTTTGAGGTATTTGTAATTTTAATCTAACTTCATATTTACTAGGATTTCCTTTACGTTCAATAAATTTGATTTGTAATGAACCATTAGAATCTATAAACCCTGTTAATCAGTAATTATCAAAATCATATATATCACCCATAATAAATTGATCATATTTAGCATAAAATTTAGTTTCTACTAATTTATTATTAACGAATAAGTTATTTATAATTTGATAATATTTACTATAAGTTTTTAGTTTACCATTAATTAATACTAAAACACGTAATAAACCATCAGAATGAGATATAACATATTTTAATGCTTTTTTATTAGGTATAGGACTAACAGTACTAAAACCTATTTGTGATTTTAATCAATACGCGGTTATAGTTGCATTTTTAGTACTTGCCAATTCTAACCATTCATCATATGTATCAGTATAATGTTCAATACCTTCACCAATTGAAGTATGAAATACTCTAAGTAATAAATCCCTCGACCACTCAGCATTATTCTTTGATCCAGAAACAGTATATCCATTAGAACATAATTGAGGTAGAAAACAAAATTTTCTATTTTGAAATGAAAATTATTCACAAATATTAGTCTCATCTGAATGTTCATCATCACTCTCTCCAATAACCAGCGCCAACCTTTATTTTTACATTTGTCATCTAGATCATCATCTGATTAAATAAATTGATTTATCTCCAGCTATTGTATTTTCATATAATCCTAAAATTTCACTTTCTGAATTATTACCAGATATATAACTGATAAAATGGAGAGTCATTACCAAAAAAATCTTAAGGTATGATCTTTTGCATGATTTACCAAAATGCGACAGATAATTGATTTACATTTACATGATTCAAGAAATTGGAAATTTTGAACCTCCATTTTCTTCCCAATTATAATTACGACTTGTTACATCATTTTTGAATAAACGAGCGGCAATAGTTCAAGCTAATAAAAATAATAAATTTTTCAATGGATATTCATGAATTGACCTTAAAAAACACAATTTCTTACAATCTACTTATACAATTGAATAACCATTATCATTGAGCGTCATAACCACCATTAAACCAACATTAAACCAACGTTAAACCTCTTACGATCATTAGTGCTTACTCCAATATTGTTTTAGCCCTTCGATCTAAATTATTTGCAACCAAAAAACTTAATTAATTTTAGATTTAAACCAAGAAATTTTTTGACCAAGAAAAATCATCGTAATGAAACTTCTACCGTAAGAAGACGTATTATTATAATAGAGGTATAGTATCCAAAGGTTAAACAATAACTACTAAAGTCGTTAAAATTAATTAGACCTTGGCATATCTATTATTGATGAGTTCTATGATTTGTATTAAACAAGACTGAATTGTGAAAAATTGTGAAAATTGTTGATTTTGGAAAATAGGTTATGTTATTTATTAACTGGTTGTTGATTGGTGCTGCTAGTGCTAATTTGAGTGGTAGAGATGATCATGATGGAGATTTAGTTGTTACAGATTGTCATTTTCATGGTGAACAACAATATTGTATTGATTGGGATGGAGTAGAAGGTGAAATACAACCTGTACCTTCAGATGCGCCTGATTCTTATGGTGGTTGTCATTCTCATGGTAATGACACTTATTGTTTGTATAATAATGAAGAAATACAATTTATCAGAGAAGTTGAAACACATGAAGATCATGAAGGAGAAGAAGAGCACGTGCACGAGGACGATCATGACCATGAAGAAGAAGGTCATGAACATGCAGAGGAAGGTGAAGTCACTGATTGTCATTTTCATGATGAACAACAATATTGTATTGATTGGAATGGTGAAGAAGGTGAAATTATACCAGTTTTAGCTAATGCTCCAAATTCATACTCAGGTTGTCATTCACATGGTAATGAAACATTCTGTACTTTTAATGGTGAAGAAGTTCAGTTTTTAAGAAGTGGTGATGCAACCGAAGTTACAACAAACGATGAAGGTTTAGATTGTCATTTTCATGCTGGTGTTGAACATTGTACTGGCGCTGGTGTTGAAAATAATGAAAGAGTATGTGAGAGAGTAGATAGAGATTATGATATTCCATTAAGAATTGGGTTTTTGTTTGTTATTTTAGTGACTTCGTCAATTGGTACTTTTGGTCCAATGATTATTAAATCATTACTTAAATTATCTCCACATAATTTCATAATTATAATTTTAAAACAATTTGGTACTGGTGTTATTATCTCAACTGCATTTGTTCATTTAATTACTCATGCTAATTTAATGTGGTCAAATTCATGTCTTACAATTCACTATGAAGCAACAAGTCAAGCTATAACAATGGCAGGTATATTTTTAGCATTTATACTAGAATATATTGCTCATAGATTAGTTGATATGAGAAAACCAAAACAAGAAGCAGCAAGGTCTAAATTGGATGAAGTTGAAGGTGAGACTTCAGATGTTTCATCGGATTTTTCAAAACATGCAAATTCAACAAATGATAAAGTTTCAGTTATGTTATTAGAAGCTGGTATTGTATTTCATTCAATATTGATTGGGATTACGTTGGCAGTTACTGGTGATACATATTTCATTACTTTATTTATTGTTATTGTATTTCATCAATTTTTTGAAGGTTTAGCATTAGGTTCAAGAATTATAGAATTAGATCAATGTAAATTATTAACTAAATTAATTATGGCTTTAGTATTTGCATTAATTACTCCTATTGGTATGGCTATTGGTATTGGTACCTTGAATAAATTTAATGGTAATGATCCATCAACTTTAATTGCTTTAGGTACTTTGGATTCATTATCAGCTGGTGTTTTATTATGGACTGGTTTAGTAGAAATGTTAAGTCTGGATTGGTTACATGGAAGTTTAAGAACTGCAAATTGGATAAAGACTTCAATTGCAATGATTGCATTAATAGCTGGTTTGATATTGATGAGTGTATTAGGTAAATGGGCTTAAGAACTTTAAAGGTTACCATAGGTTCAATACGCAATAGTGATACAAATATATAATAGTTAATATCGTGAATAGATTATTCAACTACGCCATGTTTGAAATGTGCTAAGTGGTGATGCTCTTAAAATTTTTATTGTCAAACTAAGCTGAAACCAACATGCATATTGACTCGGTGTCATTAATAATACACAAGTATTATCAGCTTATCATATCAATCTCTAGTAAATTCAATTCTTGTTCAATTGGTAGCAATTTTTCAATATTTCTGAGACCCGATTTGCTATTAATGTTGAAAACATTGAAAAAATACATACCGAATTTCTTAAGAAGAAAGGAGCAGATTCCAACAAGTGAAATAGTGAAACCTATCACGTATCAACCTCCAATTTTTCAAACACTTGATGATTCTTCAAAAATTTTCACAATTGATTTTCCTAACCATTCGAAATTCAACATATTAAGTGAAAATTTCTATAAGTCATTAATAGGCATAAATGGAGAAATATCAAGTATAAGTGTAACAAATGAGAGGAGGTATTCAAATCATCAACAAATTACATGCAAGAAGGCAACTAATTTAATGTTGGATGGTAAAAATTGTAAATTATTATTGAAAGGTTCATGGTTAATATTGAATGATTCTTATTTATTAGGTTGGACTGGTGAAAATACAAATATTAAACCAGCAAGCATATTTCAAAATTGTCAAAGTGTGAAGATTGAAGGTGGTGAAATATTGATAGATGGTAAGGATGAAGTTATCGATTATGATATATTAAAAGATGAAGAAATTTTCATAAATCCAAAATCACTAATAGCTACAACTATCGATAGCATACAATTCCTTCCATTATTTGGCAGAGAACTAGAATCTACAGCTTCTACTTTTGAATCACCCGAGGAAGAATCAAAATATCATTCAAGTGAGATATCTCGAATTTTGAAAAATCTTCCTAAATCAATACTCAGTCTCCACTTACTTCGAAGAGACAAAGATTATTTGAAAAACCACATTGAAGAGCTAAACAAACTATCTATCAAGAGATTAGACAGTCATTCATCAACGCTCCTTTCCAGAATGGAAAGATATACCAGGTCTACCATCAATTCCATTCTCACTCAAGGTTTATTCAAAACTAAACCTACATCTATTAAAATTAGAGGTCCAGGTAAAATATTAATGAAAACTTCAATTTAGACTTTATTTATTCTTCTTCAAATAAATTATTTAATGGACCATTTTCAGTATATGGATCATTCATTACATCAAATGATTTCTTTTTTCTTTGTTGTACATTTTCCAATTCTTTATTACGTTTATTCATTTCATCATTATCATTAGTTCCATCATCTTTTGAAATTTTAATTAATTCTAATAATGAACTTCTTTGATGTCTTAAAGATTTTGAACTAACTAATAAACTTTCAAAATTTGTAATATGTTGAGTTGTAATATTGGGTAAACATTGAATTAGGATCCTTGCTGGATAATCATTTTTAGATCTTAATGAACAATATAACGTAGTTAATGCAATAGCAGCTTCTGAATGAGTTTCAACAAAGTAATCATCTAATAAAACTTGCAATAACGATTTTATCAAATGATCACATAAATATTTATCAACTTCATCATCTTTCAATACTATATCTTGTAAAATATTTCTAATTACAAGGATAGTATTAAATGAACATTTTGTATCTTTAAAACATATTATATCACAACAAATTTGTAAAAATGGAGCCAAAACTTCTTTATTTTCAATCACTAATTTCCTACATGCAGATTGAGTATCTGATATTGTTTTTGAATTATATTGTCCAATTATATCCATTAATAATCTAACTACAGTTGCAGTTAATTGTCGTAACATATGTTCTTCCATCATTTCTTCTGATAACGTTTCATCATCTTCATTTCCTTGTAATTGTAATCCAGTAGAATAAACTTTTTCCCATTTTGATACAATTAATTTATCTATATCATTTAAACATGTAGGTAATAATTCACTCATAAAAACTTCAACATATTTAACAGGGCAAAATTTAACAACAATTCTTAAACATGAATTAATCATATGTTTCCAAGAATGTAATGTAACTCCAACAGTATCACCAGCTACTGCTTTCCAAATCATCAGTGCAACATTGGGTATTTCATATAATGTATCTTCTAATTGAGCTACGGAACCAACTGTTAAAAATGCATATTCTCTAGTATATCTAATCAAATGTCCAACAGAATCAGCAAAATCTCGTAATGTCAATGCAGCTTTAACATTTTCTTCAATAAATGTTTCTTTTGATTGAATTGAAACACCTTGTTGCCAAAATCTTTCAGTACAACTATATTGAACAAATGCTTGTACTTCAGCAGGTAAATCTTTCCAGTTTTCTGGATTATGATATGCTTGAATTTGTGTTAATAATTGTAAAATATGAGGTATTATAGGTTGAACTCTTGGTTTCCATAATTTTAATAAATTTAAATATTCTGGTGAATCGTGATTTAATTTTTCTATACTATACTGAATATAAATTCTTGTAGCTCTGATTGGAAAAATTGATGACCAATGATCTTTTAATTTAGTTTTCAATTGTTTACCTTCATCATCCATTTTAGCTTCTAATAAATTCGTAGTTGCAGTTATACCTCTTTTTTGAAAATATGATGCAATTTCAACAATACCAATTCTTTCCATAAACCAATGTAAATCCATTAAACCTTTTTCTGTTTGTGGTGCCGACCATGCAGATAGATCGGGGTCAACAATTTTAGCAAATAATTCATTTTTGTCTGTTATTGATGATCTTGAAGCTATAACTAGTAAAAAAGATTTGAAAGCAACATTTTCATGATCACTAACCTTCTTGGAGGATAGTATATTAGCAACCACATTTTCTAAATCATCAAAAATCTTTTTCAATGCTTCTGGCATTATATAAGCTAATCTATTTAATTCAGTACCACAACTTGCTCTTAAATCTCGGATTAATTCCAGTTCTTCATCATTTATATTTGGAGAATATGGAAAAGTTGCAGTTGTTAGTATATTTTCTAAAACTTGAAACATTAAAGTTGAACTAACATCTTTTAATAATGGTGCAAATTGGACCAAAGTTTGAACTTGTTTTCTGATCAATAATGGAGATGCTAATTTCATAGCTAATAATCGTTCGCCCAATGACTCAACTAGTCTGTTTAACCTGTCATTTATAGAATTAAAATCTTCTCCATTATACCATATTCTCCATCTTGATATCCCACGTATACTATTCTCAATTATATTAAATTGTGAACTTCCATAGTTAAAAGCATCTGATTTTTCATTTAAATGATATTCATTAATACATTGAGTACCTAAATTTGAACTGAAGAAATTTTGCAATCTATTTTCTAACCACATTAAACCGTCTTCCGGTTTTTTACAAACTGTTATCCTAACAATGTCTTCGTTAAACTTTTTATAATTTTGTAAAAAAGAATTTGCATCTGGTGTTGAATCAAAATCAATATCAAGATACTTTTTGGAATCATTTTCTTCATTAAATGTAAAATTTATTGTTCTATTAGCTGCAATTTCCAATAATTGAGGCATTAAATTTATTATTGGTTCTTTTGCGCTTAATTCATCAAATCGTAAAATTGTGACCCACATCTGTAGTGATAAACCAGATATAATTAAACTTGAATGTTGTGTAGTATCTAAAACTAATTGTAAATATTTATTTACATCAGCTTGATCCCATGATATTTTGTTCTTTGAGCTTAAATTTAGATATTCACTGAGGGAAACTATCATCTCAACAGTTTTTTTCAACAATGAATATATTAACTCATCGATATCATTTGGATCTATCTGTAAAGATTGATAAAATTCTTGTAATTTTGAAATACCTTCAGTTGTAAAGACTGAACCTATAAAAAATTCAAAATCTTCATGTTGGGTATAATTTCTCGTAAATAAGATATGTAAACAATCAACTGCTAAAGTTTTCAATTTAACATTGGGTATTGATAATATATTAATTAAAGTTTGCATTATATTTTGTTCTCTTAAAACTTGCGGATGGATCCAATGTAAGCATGTCTTAAAAGCTGATAATATTTTAGGTATAAATATTTGACTTGTTGGATCTTCATATTTATTGTTTAACACCTCAACTAAAATTTGTGACCATGCGATAAACCAACCATTTTCCAGTGATTTACAAATCGTTATTTTTGGATTATTTTCATAAAGTGTTTCTAATATAGTATTTGGTGTTATAATTAATATAGATAATTGATTTAATATAACACTTCTTTTTGAAGCAATTGCATCATCTAATAAATAAATATCTTCAAATAAAGTTCGAATTATAATCAATGATAACTCTCTACATGTTATATTTGAATCCCATAATTTCCATAAATCAGAATCCATTGATACCCAGCCATCAATCGCTTCTTGTTCAGTAATTGAATTATTTCTTGATCCATTTTCTTCTTCTTTAGCATCTCTAGATTTTATTAAATGACTACCCCAAATTCTTTTTGCAATTGATACCCATAATAATGCAATTTTTTCTTTTATATAATGAGGATCATTTTGCTTTATTTTATTTGATAAATCTATAATCCAATTTCGAATAGCTGAAGTTTTTGTTGAATTAAAAGTATGAAAATTATACCTTATTGAAGATTGTAATAATGATAAACCAAAATGACGAACAATATGATTTTCACCATTATTTTCAGGTAAAGCTAATTGATAACCCCAAAATGGAGATTCTTGATTTGATTTTATAATTTCAAGAAAATCTTGAGCTTCTCTTCTTTTTTGATTAGTTGATTTTGGATCATATACAATACTTAGTGCTGATATAATTTGTTGAACTCCTTCACTATCCATAATAGTCTATATATATATATATGTATATGGAATCAATTGATAAAGTAACACCCTTGGGCTATTAATTAAGTAATGTTTTTGTTTTTTGTTGTAAAATAAAAATTAATTTGCGTGATTTTCATACAGGAGCTACCAAGTGTATATTAATTATTGGTCTATATATATATAAACTACAAGTAGAACTTCTTTTTATCTCTTTCCATATCTGGTTTATGTTCCCATACTATATCACCTCTAATTCCCTTTTGAAATCTTCTCAATTTCAAAGTAAATTGTGGACCCAATTCTTGTAATCCAACTTTTTCTTCATTTCTAAATATGTATCTATGTCTTCTAAAAAATATATAATCTCTTTGATTATGTAGTGTTACAACTTGTCTACCTTGTAATTCTGGTTTATGCGGAAATATACTTTGAAATAATCTACCAATAGTTTTACCTAATCTTGAATTAAAATTATTTAATACTAATTCAGGTAAGAAATCTTGAGCTTTACCATGTCCTGCAATTTTTTTACCTTCAGTTACTGAAGATATTGAAAAGTAGAAAGTTGGACCCTCTGGTAAATTTATAAATGTCAATCCTGTAACTTTCTTTTTATCTTCATTTATTATTATTATTGTTGAATATTCACGATTATTACAAAACTGTACCATATCTGGTATTTGATAACCTTGTTTTCTCTTTACAAATGTAACATTTGGTAAGAAATCCATTAATATATCAGCAAATTCATAAGCAGCATTTCTAGCATTAAAATTGGTAGTTAATAATATTTTCGGATCTTTACCTAAATTTGTAAAATATTTATCAAATTCATCTTTACCTTCAACTTCTGTACCTATAGTTTCATCATATATTCTTTTTGAATCTATTGTGTCGGGTATATTTTCAACTATTCTTTTATCTTTTAATTCTGGATTTGCTCTTTCTTCTTTTGCTCTTTCTTTACGCAACGTATGTCTTTCTTTATTTTTATCATGCTTGATCTGTGAAAATACTTTTTGTCTTCTTATTTTATTCTTTATATTTTTTAATGCTTCACTTTGAGTTCCCATGGTGATAATTTATATGAGATGAGACTAATTTATTTTTTATGAAACAATTACTTAATTTGGAATTTGGTTTCAAAATTTAGTTAGTGCGGCGCTACCATATAGGGGTTGCAAAATGTTAACAAAGGAATGTTTTAAAACAGTTTGATGCCTTTTGAATCTCATGTACAGTATTATATTCAGTCAAAGAGCTGTGTTTAATTTCAAGTGTCAAAAAGCTACTTATCTCAAGGCAAAATTAAATTCAAATTCCTCAAGCATTAATTACACATTCAATGCCACTAAAATAGCATTGAAATGACTTCGAGACTCGGTACATCCTTGGTTAAGTTATGTTGATTAATTGCAGTACCGCCTATTGGGTTCAATGATCTCAAATATAATCAACTGAATTGTTGCAAATTTACGCAATTGTAAGAGTGCCAAATTTGAGCGCAACGAGATACTTCAATGAGCTTTTAGCCAAAAGCTTATCTCTGTTGAATTCCATTGCGATTATCCTCGCTTCACCGTGTTATACTCATGTAAATATAATAAGTCGGAGCATGAAATCAAATACCAAGTAAATCAAAATTCGCATTTTCGCGCAAGTACAAATTTAAAACAATCAATCAATCAATCAAATGATAACTAATGAAATCATAAAAACATGGTCACAACATATCAAATCACAGAAGTTTAAAATAAAAGACACATTCTCAATTGGTTCATATAATAACTTAACAAACCTATTAAACAAGATCCTCAAAATCAGACAGAATAAAACTCCAAAAATTTCCTCGTGGTATCTTGGTTATCATTTCTTATATGCTACTCAAAAGAATATAAAATTGGGAAGTGACGGGTATGACAACTACCAGGCTCCGATAAATATATCAAATGGTGAACAATTGTATCTTAGAAGATTATGGGGAAAAGGCGTGTTACGATTTGCGCATACTCCAGATTTAAATACTCCAATTGAATGTGTTGAGCATGTGGAGAGTGTAAGAAAAGTTGATGATTCGGTCTTAGTTGAAATTCAAAGATTGTTTAATGATGAGAAACAAAAAGGACAAGAATTGATACAAGAATCGAGAACATTAGTGTATACCAATGAACTATATGAAAGTAAAAAAGATGAGGAGAGTGGGAACAACGATGGAGAGTTTCATTTCACACATAATGATTTACTAAAGTATTCGATGCTTACTTATAATTTACACAAGATTCATATAAATTCAAAATACTGTCAATGTGTTGAAAATTTACCAAATGTTATAGTACAGGGTCCATTACAGGTGCTGGTTTTGATATACTATTTCAGTTTGAAACATCCGGAAATTACAAACTATCATAAATTTAAATATAGGACATACAGACCATTATTCGTGAATGAGACATTTGATATTAGAATTATTGAGAGACAGCAAGGTGTAGAGTACGAGTTAGCATTGGTTAATGGTGAAAAGGTATTCATGTCTGGAGTCTTAAATACGGTCTAAAATGAGAGACTAAGGTACTCCAAGTTAATCATCATCATAATATAATTCATGATTTTGGTGGATAAAGAATCGAAGATTTTATCAAAACCAATCGAATAAGGAATAATGAATTTGAGTTAGTTTATACATTAAACATTATACACCTAATGTTGCTTTGATTTTACCAATACAATAATCTGCATATTCTTTTTTATAACCTTCATGATTTAATTCAACAATTCCAGCCAATTCACTTATAATTTCATTATTACCACCTACTAAAACCATACCAAATGGAATTTGACTAAGATCAGGTAAATGTTCAACTAATTTATTTTCAACTATCAAATTGGATATATTATTGGCAACTAATCTACCATGATACATGGCCCATCCAGCAGATTTAATAATTGGTTGTTCTACCAAATCACCAAGTGCAAAAACATTATCAATCACTTTCCCATCATGACTTAATTGGAGATACTCATTTATGAATATATTATTATTTGGAGATATGAATTTTTGCAACTCATTGCTGATATATGAAGTATTATTAGACTTATGATTACAAAATATGTTCAAATTGGAAGATATTGTCTCATTATCAGTTGTTATTAAATCACCTTTTGTGTTGTCACTTTTTATTCTTTTATTTATAATGTTAATATTTACATCCGTCAATGATTTTTTAGTCATGGTTTTAAATTCATCAGATAATGGCTCAGGTGGGAATAATTTATGTGGGTGGATTAAATTTACAGTCTTATTTGGATATTGTGTTTTTATATCACCTGCAATTTCAATACCTACTGCCCCTCCACCAATTACAGATATAATATCAACATCTTCAATTGATTCCTTAACTTCAGTCATCTCCTTTATGAAATCATCATAATTGTTTGAAGTGAGAGTAGTTGGAAAATTCCTATCACGACCAGAACAAATGACACAATAATCAAAATTGATATTTTTCACTTTGTCACCATTATTCAATTTATAAGTTGCTGATTTGGAATTCAAATTTGTTATTTTTCCCTGAATGTAATTCAAATCAAGATATTCATTTGATTCAATGTACTCTATGTCAAGATTTTCATCGGTTAATATATTTGTAAATTTCAAATTATTTAAATTTTTGAATGGTATGAATTGTGTTTTTGCAAATGGTATATCTATTATACATTTCGGTATTCCTAAAATATTCAATAATCCATTTCTTGGCTCCACTAAAGTTATGGAAATCTTGGTTTGGGCATCAAGATCAGTTAATTTGGTAATTAAATGTTGTTTTAATGATATAAAAGTAGCTAATCCAGAAAAAGCACCTCCAATAATTAAAATATTTGTATTTATGGGTTGAATTTCATTACTTATTAGTTTTGGTAGTTTTGTTGAAGTTGTTAATTTGAAATTTGCCATGATGGTTTTGTTGATTTTCTTTCTTTTCTTTTCTTTTCTTTTTTTTATCTGATTGATCTCAGATGTTTTTTTCTATTCTATTTTAGTATGGAATCTCAAATTTGTCCGAAAATGGAAATTGGACTATTAGATTTGTCCGCAATTGGAAATGAGCACCGCAGATCGGCATTACACAAAATTGAGAAATAGAAGAGATGGAAAAGATAAATTAAAAAATAAATTAATTACTTATACATTTAATATACACAAAAGGGTTTGATTATGCTGTGGTTGATTGAATTTGCATCCTTACTGTATCCGTACTGTATCCGTACTGTATCTTTAAGATGTTTCAGTAAATTTAAACAAGAATGTAGCAAATGTACTCAACAAAATAAATACACAAATCATATTTGGACCAAATTTATCACCATATTTGGCAGCAATTTTACCTCTAATCATCAATACTCTCCATAAATATTTATAAATTGAATAAAATATAGTAAATAAAGCAGTTATAAAAAATCCAATTGATGCAGTTAATGCTGAATTTGAACCATAATTTAATAAAGTTATAGCAGTAAATCCTAATAACATTCCAATAGTTAACCAACTTAAAAATGTTCTTTCATTTGCAAAATAAACTTTTGGTTCAATTCTGATTGGTATACATATAGTTTTACCTTTTGGTAATTTATCTTTAAAAGATTCATTTAAATCCCAATTTGTACCTGGTTTAACAGTAAATGTTCTATCATCATTAAAATAATATAAAAATTTACCATATGAATGATAAAGAAAATTTTTCAATGGAGAATTAGTATGTCTTGATGAATAAGTATTTGGTAATAATAAAGGAACTTGTTCATCTAAATCTTCTTCCAATGGATTAATATCATTTGAAAAATGAACACCGGTATAACTAGACCCAGTCAATTCTTCTTCATCTAAATCGTTACCAGAAGTACTTGATTCCAATCTTCTTTGATTATGTTGATGTCTTTGAATACCATACTCTTCTAGAATTTTTGGTTTCCTAATATCTACATCCATTTGAGTATACCAAAATGGTAATAAATTAACATAATCAGTTAATAAAGTAGCACCACCATGAATAAATTTTGAAAATTTTGGAACAGCTTCAACTAAATGTGATGAAACTAAATCTTTAACCCACATTGGAGGTTCTTGACCTAATTGAGTTTGTAATTTAACTTCTAAAACAGCATAAGGAAATCTACAAACATCTTCTTCATTCAATTGTGGAAACGGATAATCAACACCAATATCCATTCTTCTCCAATTACCATGAGTTCTATCATAACCATCAAAATTATCTTCTCTAACCATTGTTAATTCAGTATCTAAAGAAATTCTAACTCTTGCATCTCCAGGTAATTGAAAAGCAGTTCTATTATAAAAAGATCTCATAACTGGACGATATTTTTCTTTTAATATTCTATATTGACATTCTTTTGCTAATCTTTCAAGATTATCAATTTCTTGAGGTGATTTTTTACCATCTTTTCTCATTTTTTCAAAAACTTGAGGAGCAGTTAACTCACCTGATAAGAACAGATTAACTTTCTTCTCTTTTAATGCAAATCTTGCTTTCACTGATTTTTCACCAGTCCAATCTTCTCTATGAGTTTTTCTTTCGACAAAAATTTGATCAGATTTCATACCACCATACCATCTTAATCTAATGGCTTCAGCACCTTCATCTTTTCTTAATCTACCATAATATAAATCCATATCTTTATTATCAAAATAAATACTTGTGATTGCAGAATCTTCAGGTTCAAATTCTTTATCAGCATTAAAAACTAAAACAGGTAAATGTTTCAATATAATTAATTTTAATTCAGTTATATTATCTGGGTGTACCCAATATTTAGTAGTTTGTCTAACAAAATTTTGTTGAGAACCACCAGCAGAAGAATCTCCTTCAATAGGTTTACCTCTAGTTCTAACTAAATCATATAATTTACTTAATTTCACAATTAAATTATCATAATTATCTTTATAAAAAGCTTTTGAATTTAATCTTGCTTGAAATACAGGTTTTAAATGAAATTTTGTAGTTTTATCATGTTTTTTAATAATTTTTTGAAAACCAGTATAATTTAATCTTGAAAATTTAGCTAAATCGTGTACATCAGCTATAATATCACTTAATTCTTCTTCTAAATCTTCAAAATCTTGTTCTTGAGGAGGTTGTTGAACATTTGGATCATTATTTTGAAATCTTTGTAAAGTATCAACAACTTCATAAACATATTGTTCTGATTGTTTAATTCTTCTGTTAACTTCGGTATTTTTAACTTTTGTAAAGGACCAAACTTTATCTAATTCAGTTTCTAACTGATTTAAAAATTCTTCTTCTAATTGATTATTCCATATATAATCATGATCTTTTAAACCTTTTTTCAATTGATGTTTTAAATCATCATAAGATATATAATAAAATGAATAATTTTTAATTAAAGCTTTACGTAAATGTTCACCAAACTTCATGAATACTATGCAATATTAGCGTAAGGTAATGATGTCAAAAAATGTAAATGAAAATGAAAATGTAATGTAAATGTAAATGTAAACGCAAAATTAAAACAATTGAAGCTGCAACTGAAACTGAAACTGAAACTGAAACCGAAACTGAAACTGTTAAGTAATTAAGCAAATAAGTAATTCACCAAATAAATTATTAAATAAATAAATAATAAATATTGTTGATGAATTGAAAAATGTAACTCAATATATTTAAAGTCTATTGTTAGATTTTTACTAGACCAATTATTTTTTAATTCGTTAAACTAAACTTCTATTTATATAATAAACAAAAAATCTTCTGCTTCTATATAATAAATTTGTTAGTAGTTAAGCAAATGTCGCATTGCACGTTTTATGTCGTATTTCGACTTTGTCTTGATTGAATTAACCGTATATAATATATTGATAGGAAGTAGTAGTTGTTAGTAGTATATATGATCAGTTGAAGAAAAGCTTCAGCATCTCACTCAGTTTATAAATATTAAGTCATCTAAGGAGAATAAATCTATAATATAGAAATAAGCTTTGTACTTTTAAATGCATTGGAACCATAAATGCATTGTAACCAAGAATGCATTGGAACCATAAATAAGCTGCTTATCTATTAAACTATACTCTTTATATTCATTATACTCGGCATAGATTGATCAGTGTAAAAAAAGTCGTGTAATATACATTAATATATTTTAAATCTACGCTTATGTAATTAATTATTAATTTAAATTAATAATTGATTACTTAATAATTTAGTTTTGTACAACAATTGAAAATAACAAAACCGAAGATCAAATTAACATATAAACATATACATATACATATATATTATTGACTCGTAAAACATATATATAAACCCACCATAAACTAAAGACAATCTATAATAAAAAAATAAATAAATAAATATATATATCCATATATACATATTATTCTGCTAATTTATTCTCAATTTGATCTTTTAAAGCTTCATTCATTTCAATAAATGATTGTCGTGTCTTATTATACAATCCAAATAAATAAAAAAAATAACTTAATAATCCACCAAATATTTCCACTTGACTAAATAATGTTTTATCATCATCTACTATTTCAAATTTAAAAGTATGTAAACCATAAAAAATCCATGAATTGATCAAGCATCCAATCCATTGTATTTCTGATTCATTATTTTCTAGTACTCTGGGATAAAATGTACTTATATTGTCTGTTCCTTTTAATCTTAAGTCAATTTGTAATTCGTCATCTATGTTTAACTCTTTTGATTCTTTGTTTGTCCATTTATTAATTGAAATAATGAATGGATTCCAGTGTTGATGATTATGATAGTTTAAAAAAAATTGACGGACAACTTCTGGTTTGGTATTAATTAGGATTGCTGCCTCGACTAATGGCATAATGCAGTATAGATTCTGCTAGTATATTTGTTGTTGTTGTTGTTGTTATTTTATTTTTGATAAGGATTTAAAATTGTGGTTTATATAAAAAAAAAAAAATAGATCATTTTAAAAACTTTAAATTTATTATGACAGTCAAATAATTTTATTAATGAGCTAGCTAGCTAGCTAGCTAGCTAAATTGATCAGAGCTAATAGTTACAATACCATTGACCAGGTTTATACTTCTTAAAGCATAGAGTTGTACCTTATTTTAAGACACAAATCATCCCTTGATCTACAATTTTATTGATTATTATTCACGATTTCTTAAATTATGAAAATGTCAAATTAATTGTTGTTTCACTTTGACCTTTGATCAAACCAAAGCTTTACATAAGATAATTACTGACATTTTTACTTCTAATTGCTCATTTCATCTCTGGTAATGAACAAATCTGTGGATCTATTTTTGGCTATACCATTCGAAAGAGAGTTAATAACAAAAATTTAAGTACTCGACCAGCCATGAGCTTTATATGACTTCAAAAACCCAATTATAGTATCAATTGACTCCCACTCAGTCTAATGTACCCCGAAATTCTCGCTTTACGTTTTTAAACTCAGCTTAATCAAAACTTCTAGCTTCGAAACGGGTAGTTTCGCAATTAAATTTGTTAAATCCGAGATTCTTACCAATTAAGCAAATACCCCGTTGCCGCTTTTATGCATCTCGCTTATCTTAAAGAAAGCAAATTTACAGTGCCGTACCAAATACAATTCCGTTCTCCATATTTAAAAACAAATCAAAATCACAATGAGCCTATTATAACTAATGAGATTTTTACTATTTTCATTGATACTTTCAATTGTATCAGCATTAAATTTACCTAATCAAGTACCATTCCATCTCGATTTTCAATCACCAATCAAAGAATTACATTCACTTAAGGATCAATTATCAATTGAAACTATACTCGATTTGGAATCAAAATGGCGTCAATTGGAGCTCAAACATGGTAAAGATCAATTACTTAACAAATATAACAATTTCAAGCATATTCATTTTTCAAAAGATGTTAAACCATCTTCTTATTCAATCAATTCTGAAGAATCTCATCCTGAAGTACTTGGATTTGATACAGTCAAACAAATATCAGGATATTTTGAAGTTGAACAACTCAATAAACAATATTTTTTTTGGTTTTTTGAATCTAGAAATGATCCAAAGAATGATCCTTTAATTATTTGGTTGAATGGTGGTCCGGGATGTAGTTCAATGTGTGGATTATCAATGGAATTAGGTCCTGGATTAATTAATAGTTCTTTAGAAATTGAAAATAACCCATTTAGTTGGAATAATAATGCTTCAATCTTATTTCTTGATCAACCTGCAGATGTTGGATTTTCAAAAGGTGGTAAAATTCCATTCACCACTGAAGAAGCTTCAGTTGCATTTGTCAATTTTGTCAAGACTTTCCTTGAAACATACCCTGAGTATTCTAATTTGGATCTTCATATTGCTGGTGAATCATATGCTGGTCATTATATACCTAAATTTGCTCATTCTGTTAAACAAGCACATATAGATTTGAAATCAGTATTAATTGGAAATGGAATAACTGATCCATTAAATCAATGGGAGAAATATGCTGATATGGGATGTGGAGAAGGTGGAATAGGTCAAATATATACCAATGAAGAGTGTTACGATTATCCAAAACAATATGAATCATACAAACCAATTGGTGAATTATGTTACAAGTATAGAAACCCAATCATTTGCTTTATTACAAGCTCATACATGCCTAATTTTCCACAAAACACTCAAAATTTGAATCCATATGATTCTAGAATTGAATGTAAGAATGGTACAAGTTTATGTTACGAAGAAATTGATTGGTTAAATTCTTATTTCAATTTACCTTACGTTCAAGAATCATTGAATGTTGAGAAAGAGTTTATTATGTGTAATTCTAATGTTGGTTTAAATTTCATCACTGATTTAAGTTTACCATATCATGAATATGTTAAAGAACTATTAGATGATGATGTTCCTGTATTGATTTATGCTGGTGATAAGGACCTTGTTTGTGATTGGTTAGGTAATTTTAATTGGGTTAGTAAGTTGAATTACACTAATCATGTCGAATTTGAAAAGCTGGAGTTTAAAGATTGGACTACGTTGGATGGTAAACATGCAGGTCAAGTTAAGAATCATGAAGGGTTTACATTCTTGAGAGTCTTTGATTCCGGTCATATGGTGCCAAAAGATTCAAATAAGAATGCTTTGGATATGGTTAATAGATGGGTTAAAGGTGATTATGCCTTTTCAAAATCAAAATCAAAAAATTAAACAGTTTGATGTTCTCTAATTAGACAATGTACATTTTGATAAAGTTAATGATGCTCTGATTATGACAATCGATAGTTCCATGTTAGTTGTAGCTTTTTAAAGTGAGTTAATTATTGATTAGACAATATATAATCTATAGATTTATAATTTAGTATCTGAATTTAAATTTAGCACTGACTTGAGGTTTTCAAAGACACGTTTAGCTGCTCCATAAGACAATTCATAACCCATACCACCAGCACCATAACAATTCAAAACAATATTTTTATTTTTCAAGTCAATTGAAGTATTTAATCCACCAATTCTAGCAGGTCTAAATCCAAGATTAACTCTTTTAATATCAAAATACTTCTCTCCATTCCCTTTAGTCTTCATTAAATCAGGAAAATATTTAGATCCCAATTTAAGTAATTTTTCTGTATCTTCATCTCGAATATTATCATATGTATCTTCAATTTGTTTTGTACCACCTAATATTATACCATCATTAGGAAATCTTGGAATATTGAATATCCATGATCCATATAGTAGTTGATAAGTGATTGTCTTTCTCCAATATTGACTATTTTCAGGTGGAGAAATTAATAAAGTTTGACCACGAATTGAATAGGAGTCTTTATCATACCCGCCATTAAATTGTAGACCCATTCCTGAACAGTTGATAATTATATGGTAACCAGAAACAATCTCATTGATTTGGTTTAGTGATTCTAATTTCTTATTTATGAATTTTACACCGTCATTTTTCAATTTTTCATATAAGTAAGGTAGGTATACACTTGGATTAACTACCCAAGTATCATATTCGAATTTACCTTTGGAGAGTTGTTTGAAGTTCTCAATTTCTTCACTATAACCGTAAAGTACATTACTATAATGATTGTCTGGATTTTCCAATAATTCAATACCTTTAATTAATTTCACACAATCTAGATTCAAAGATTTGAAATATTTATATGTTTCTCTTGTCATTTTCATTTCTCTAATATCTTGTTTATTCCTGCTTGGAAATGGTCGAAAATGAGCACCTGCCCAACTTGAAGCATATTTAAAATTTAATAATGATGATGGATCATTTGGACCTAATTCAGAAATTATTGTTATATTGACATTTGGCAAGTTCTCAATTATATATAAGGCATTAGTTAGTCCTAGTATACCTGCACCTACTATCACTATATTGTTCATGAAAATTTCGTTAATCCAATCGTGGAGAATTCGCCAAATTTGTTAGGTTTGCAAATAAATTGTAGAACGCCAAAGAAAAAAGCGCGGAGCTACCTAAAAAAGTACTTTCGAAAACGACTAGAGGTATGGTTGGGTTAAATGTGTTTTTGAGCTAAAAGCGAGTATTATTTAATAGAGATATTTGCTTTGGATCCGTTTGTGACGAAAGTTATTCAGGCTTTTATACGTTTTTAAATTGGAACGCTGTAAAATTTGCGCGTGTTTGACTTTAGTTGGTGCTGTTTATTTTTTGGAACTCTTTGGACCTAAATCAGATTTGACTAGTTTTGGAAACATAAAGAAATAAGACACAGATACACGTGTTATTGTGATTAAAGTGAGTATTATTAGTTAGGAGTATTTGAGATCAATTTGATTGTATAAATAATTATTCAACTTTTTATGATCTTTGAAACATACTATAAATTTCGTGCCATCTGGTTTCAGCTTTGATTCCAGAATTAAAGGCAAAAAAATCTTGCCTCGTCCAATTTTCATGCCACCCCGCGTCAGACTAGAATATTTGTTCTGAGATAATTTCGACTTACATGCAGTCCCATATAGTGAATCTTAAGATTTCAAATTGTAAATAACTCGTTCAATACCCAAGATTTCTTTCTCAAACCAAACTGATTATGTTTTAGTTAGATTTAGAACTGAATTCTAAATGTATCTTTTGAGGAAACGTAATTTTGATGCCATTAATTTCGTTTTTGAAAACGCAAAAAGCGCTAAATTGTAAATTAATCAATACTAAGACATCATTTAGCAACTTTTAACATGCCTGGTTTGGTTAAATTTTTGATAGTGGTTTCAATACGCCGTATTCATTTTGAATTTTATTCAAAAATTTCAAATCACTTCTGAAAAATTACTTTCTGATTTTAGGATACCTTAACGCGAAAATATCAGAGTTTTATTTCTGTGATAGAACTACAAAATTGAATAGTATTATTATGTTCTAATATGAACACTCATTTGGTGTAGATTTTTTTGTATCGTCAATTTACTCTATATTCCCCATACTTAAGAGAAAATTTGAAAATTTTTCAATTTTACACAAAACAACTGGAATTAGTGTGATACATTAATTGACGGCCTGCTATTTATATACCACTGTTTAATCTAGACTTGTGGTGTTGAAAAAAAAAGGAACTCGAGGTGCCTTATTTTAACAAGAATTTTGTATGATGAAAAAAGCCAAAATGACATCTCAAGAAAAAAAAGTTTGAATTAATCCAGCTGCACTATGTAGGATATATAACTCGATGATCTTGATTTCGTTTAATTGATAATTTTCTGGAGAAAATGCTTTGTTCGTGAAATATAAGCTAATATATGTAAAACGAGGTCACCCCCAAGTTAGGCTAGAAAGTTTTGTAAGTCGCACCAAATTATCGCATTAATTTATGTAGGAAAAAAAAAAGTCACAATGGTTTTGTGTAATTTATATTACATAATATTTGTTTCAAAATTGAATTTGATGACTAAAATTAATCAAAATTTGAAAATATATTCAACAACATTGAAGTGTATTACGATGAACTTCATTAGTTTAATACCCCAATTACAAGACTTACCACCTGAATTAATTGATTTAATACTATCAAAGTTGCATAGAAAAACAGCTACTACATTCTTATTCGATTGAATTTTACGTCCAATTGCCATAAAGTCTATATTTTCAAAAGTTATAATCCTATACCCAAACACTGTTGATCGCATGCAAAAAAATCAGTTAAATTCAAAGTTAGTTTTTTCACAAAGGAAGTTGATTTTACTGATGCATTGATGATCTTCGAATATACGGATTTTTCAAATTTTTGAATCAGTTTAGGGTGGTTCCTAAAATGATGTTAATTACTATGTAAGAAGATTTTTTTTCATAATGTTGTGGATGAAAAAACTGTTGCAAACGATGAAAGTATTTCACCAAATTCTTTTAATGATGAAAAATATGAAATTTTGATCCATAGTTATCTCGAATTATTTGAGTTGCCAACAAAAATTATTTGTTGATATAATGATTCTTCATGATCCATGGGATCAAAATCTTAGATGAAATAATGCTGAACTTCAGGATTTTAATGTTGAATATTTAAACCTTGTTCAATAAACTCAAAATTTTTATGAAAATTTGAAATTTGTCAAAAATATTCATTTCCAGTGGGTCAGACGTGATAAATTTAGAAATGCAGGTATTAATAATTGAGAAAGCTTAAGTACTTTGTTTGCACTGAATAGGCTAAACAACTTACTAAAAAAATCACCTAATTTGAAATTCTTTGTTATATTTAATGAATATAGAAAAAGAGAATCAGCTATCACAGAAGTTTTCATCTAACATTAATCAAAATGAAATTATTCTCAGTAATAATTCAGGATTTTGCACCATTGGGACGTTGTGTTAATTTGACAGACTTGGTTTTAATCCACACAAAATTTGACTGGAATTTTTTTAGCAGATACGAACATCCAAATTCGAAAAATTTTTTCAACCTTTGGGGATGCAGAATATGGGAATGACACTTTAAACAATGACTTTTATTTTTCAAAAAACTTGACTACTATTGAAATTGACGGGAGATATAGGTTAAAATTTAAGGGAAGATTTGATTATCCATCAAAACTTGAAACATTGCACTTGAGAAACTTAAAACTACATGCTATGTCAAGTATCCCTGAAAATGTTGATTGGATATTTGAAAAAGTCATGATCAAAGGTGAATCATAATCTAGATTGATTGGATATACACTAAACAGTGATTAGTTTCTCTTTGAATTTTCCTGTGGAAATTCGAATGATACTGATGCCTTCAACTTGTGTCCAATTTCTTGCAATCTGCAAAAATTCTGAAGAAATAGGTGGGATCTATAGGTTAAAATAGCGCTTTGAATTGGCAGGAACCAAACCGTTTCCACCATGAATCTAAAAATAATGTTTTAGCAACTGTCAGCCATACAAGACATATATTAAGAGTCATGGAGTTGAAGTGAGTATTTTTTGTATGAGACACTAGTTTTCAAAGACGTTATATACAAATCTATTTGGTATTTATTGAAATTAACAGTTTTGGTTGTAAAAAATTAATCGGAGCAATAAATTTAAAAGCATGTAAGTTCTTGTCTCGAAACATGCTTTTTAATTAATAATTCAGCTCACTCTTCGAAGGAATAATTCAAGTTGAAGCCTTGTATAGAGATTACATTGATGTGGATCATGACTCAAAATTTGGAGGAAAATATTCAAAATTCAGCATACATGTCTCATACAAAAGTTGACGATCAAGACTTAATAAATTCAGCACATATAGTTTCAACATTGTACGTGATTGAAAATATTTTTTTAGATTGTTTACATTTGAAATTCTTGATTTCGTCCGGAGCTAAACTCATTTTCTCGATTCGTTCGTTCGCCATTAAATTCATGGTAGAAATTGTAAACATTGATTGAATATTTCAAACCATAGATTTTACAACGAATATAAGATATCTAATCAACTCACACTGTACCACACGTCATTCTCGGCTATTTATGAATTTTTAGTTTTGAGATAAGCTTTAAAGTCAAATTCAAAAATTCATCAAAAAACTTCTACCACGACTTTATTTGGTCAGAAATTAGTAAAATAAAGCAATCAGATACTTTTAAAGCTCAATCTATGACCTAGAATTCTTCTAACTTTATTTAAATTGAATGAATTGCAAATTTTCTACTTTAAGGCGTAAGTTGGTAGCATTTATTTCGACTTACGGCTAAATCAAGCGAACAGATGAACAAAAATTTATTCCATTTCTTATCAACTTTAAGTAACATTTTAAAATGATGAAATATAAAGATTTAGTACCAATTGGTACTACTCTCATTATTGCTTCAACATGTTTTGGACTTGGTGCAATTTATGGAAATCTTCCATATGATATTCATACCTTATGGCTTCATTCAGATGAACAAAGTTTTGTTAATTCATTAAATCATTATAAACAATGGGGTGAATCACCAATGTATACTCATTATATACTTCATTTCATTGGTTTATTAGGATTAATTGGACATTTTATAAAATTATATAAACCAGAAGAAGATGCAAAATATTTTGAATATGGTTCATTAGGTTTATTTATGATTGGTGTTATTATTTATTTAACTAATTTAAGAACTGGTATTAATTCATGTATTTCTGGTGAATGGGGTGAAGTTGATTCTGCAACTGGTATTAATGTTATTGCAGCTTCTCAAGTTATGATTATATTTGTTTTATTTGGTGTTTTATTATTACAAGGTGGTTTATATTATGCTCAATGGTATGATGAAAAATTGAAATCTGAATTTTATGCAAAAGAGGCTGAAGAAGCTGCTAATGCTGCTAAACAACAAGAAGTCGATGAAGTAAAAGCAAAAGGAAATAAAGAAAAAATTATTGATGATGATATTGAAATTATAAGTGAAACAGCCAAACCGAAAAAGAAGACCACAAAAAAGAGAAAGAGCTAGAGTACACTAGCGTGAATATATAAACGATTTATTTGCTCGATTATCATTGAGTTTACAAAATCTACAAAATCTACAAAATGTCGTGAGCTCAATTTTTTACAGAATATAATCTAAAAATAATTGCAATTTAAAGGCCAAGGCTCAGCAGGTTTCGTAATTACTCATCTACTCTCATCAAAGTCAAGTAATTAGTCTCATTATTGTATTTGTTTCAGATGTATTGTTGATATTATTCAATACACGAACATTCATTTTTTTTTTAACCAATTATATATTCAACAAAAAATATTATACCAGGTTAATTGAAAGATGTCAGATAAAGTTTGGGGAGATAAACCAATATACTTTAAACAACCACTTAGATGGGTTAAATATCATGCAAATGTAAATCCTGCATTATTTGTATCTGTTGCTTTAGGATTAAGTGGTCCTTTGATTTTAATGTTAACTCCATTAAGAAGAAAATATTTATATCCTGACCATGAACCTATTCCTTTAGTTTATCCATTACCTACTACTCCAAGAGATAAGAATCTAAAAGGATTTGATGATGAATGAAAAGAATAAGGATACTAAAATCAAAGGGAAACAAGATGAGAGAAATTTAATAGAATTTTAAAAGTTGAGATTAGATAGTTTACAAGAGACTTGATGTTTTGTATGATAATTGCATGAAATATATACATAATTTATTGATATTACAAGTAATTTTTTTCAATCAAAAACAAGTGCAAACTGAAAGTCATTGAAATTCTGGTAACTTCGAAACAGGTTTAGCTTGAGAGCATTCTTGTCTTGTTGATTAAATAAGAAATAATATCGTACTAGTAATTGATTTTTTGTAATGTGGCACTTAGAGTTTAAATGCAAATTGGTTGCAAATTGATTTTCAATTTGAATTATTGAAAAATTTGCTCACAATTTTGCTTCAACACTTGCTATTGTTTCATTATCAGTTTGAATACCTTCTTCTACAAATCACCCTACTAGTATAAAGCTCGCTGATCGCTATTACCCCCTTTATATCTTCTATTTCGTGTTTCTTTATATTTCTAGTATTAATAGTCGTGCGTAAAAATAAAATATACTATCAAAAAATTTTTCAAAATTTTACAACCAAATCAATTTAAAAAAACATATATATTATTAAATGAGATCAATACTATTTAAACCATTTAGGTTTAATCCGATACGAACATCAATCAGATCAATATCAACTACGAAACCTACTTATTCAATATTTGGAAAATTAACACAAACAGATTCATCAGAAAATGACCTCGACCTTATAAAAAATCAAAAACAATCATCAACAACAGAAACAGATTCAGAACCATCTATTGATTCAATAACACCACAAAATGATGAAAAATTAATTGAATATCATAAACAACAATCACTTAAAAAACAAATTAAAAAAGAAGATTATTTGAATCCAATAAAATTAGAAATGTTTAACAAGGTTGTAAAACAATATGGATTCTTTAAAAATGACCAAATTGTTGACCATGATGGTAAATTATTTAAATTTCATCTAAATCCTGAAGAAATTGAATTATGTGAACCTTCAATATATTTAACGTCATTTAGAATTAAGAGTTCAACGAAAAAGGCCACAGTTGTAAATAGATTTGTAAGAGGTTTCAATTTAAAAACTGCAATTAATCAATTACATTTTAATCCGAAGAAAATGTCTATTGAATTGGAAAAATTATTGAAAAAGGGATTAGAAGAAGGTGAAAAAATGGGAGTAAATACTGATGAATTATATATATCTAATTTATGGTGTGGTAGTGATGGATATACAAGAAAAAGATTACAAGCTAAAGGTAGAGGTAGAGCTGGTTTAGTTCAACATAAATATGTTCATTTAAAGTGTATTTTAAAAACAAATCAAACTAAATTAAGACAACAATATGAAAGAGAATTAAAATTAAAAGTTGCAAAACCAAAAAGAGGTGTATTGAATGATGAACCTTTGAATTTTAAAGTTAGACCATGGTATAAATGGTAAATACTATTGTAAATAGACAATTTAATAGATAATTTTATCTTTTAACTAAACAAAAAAAAAAATAGCTTTCATAATATAATACTATGATTTATGTAACTTCACTCTTTATTCAGCCAATAATACTATAATTTATGTAACTTCACTCTTTATTCAGCCAATAATACTGTCACTCGTTTATTCAGCCAATAATGCTATAATTTATGTAACTTCACTCGTTTATTTAACCAATAATACTATGATTTATGTAACTTCACTCGTTTATTCAGCTAATAATACTATGATTTATTTAACTTCACTCGTTTATTCAGCCAATAATACTAAGATTTATGTAACTTCACCCGTTTATTCAGCCAATAATACTGTCACTCGTTTATTCAGCCAATAACCTATGCTTGAATGTGTGGTACTGTATATTGTCAATGCAGAGATAAGTAATTGTTTAGGTTGCAAAATTTATATTGGCGGTGGTACTACTATTTTTAGACCGCGGCTTCAGCTTTTTTTTTTTCTATTTTGGCTGCAAATCATGTCATGCTCAAGTTTTGTCAACCAAAAACCGCACACAATTCGGGAAATACTGTAAGTTGCCAGTTTGACGAATTGTATAAGTTTATAAATGCCGCATAGTGAAACATAATACAAGCTAGAAAAATCTTTAAAACATCTGCAGATACTTTTTTTTTTTTAGTGATTTTATTGACTGACCGACTGACTGACTGACTGACTGACTGACTGACTAACCGACTGACTAACCGACTGACTAATGAATGACATTTTCTTAATGTGACTAAGAGCATTCAAAGTACTTTGCCTATTAAAAGAAACTAGGAAACGAGTAAATCGAAAAAAAAAAATGTTATTAGTAATTATCAGTTAAAACCATGAAGCCTTTTACTTTACATGATGCATCATGATTTTAACAAGGAAATTTCGAACTGACAATCAAGAAGTTTAAGTAGCTTGTTTTTTTTTGCATTTAGATCTAAATATTTCTTTCCAAATAATGTCAGTTAGTTATCTATCCAAGTTTAATCAAAAATCGATCAGATACAACCACTAAACGCATTAATTCTTTTTTCTTCTTTCTTCTTTCTTCTTTCTTCTTTCTTCTTTCTTCTTTATACTATATTATATTATATTATACTATATTATATTATATTATCTTATATTATATTTCATAACTTATTATATTTGCTTTTTGTTTCCTTAAATTAAGAAAAAGATACATGCAATAGATAAAGTAAACTATTGTAAACTATTGCTTAAATCGTAATCAAAATTAGAAACTATTGCTTAAATCGTAATCAAAATTGGTTTCTATCTAATTTTAGTCATTAATTATCCTAATATGATTTCATTCCGAAGAGAGGTTTAATTTGAAAACAGAAAAAGTTTAAATTAAACTACCTACTTTATATGAAGTCATTCAATTTAATTGCCCTTTCAATTTTGAATTATTATTCATCATTGACCCCCATCAAGCTTTCAACACTGTATATATAAACTATAGTCTTGATCAGCTCATCAGCTCAACAGCTCAACAAAAAATCGTTTCACCTCATTCCGAATTCCGTGGTGCAAGTGCACATATTAGGATTCGAATTACAAAATAAATTTCCTCCACAATTAACATTGATACGAATAACCATTATACACGACTCTATGTAATACTTATTGAACTCACTCACAACAGCGTTAAATTGGCTTAAATAAGACAGCAGCAACAGACAGACAAATATAGACTTTATATGTATAAATACATATACACAAATAATATAATATACAAAGTCACATTGAGATTTAACTTTCCTTTCGGTAACAGTGATAAATAATTAATTGTTTCATTTAGTGTTTAGTGTTTAACTAGTATTGTAATCATTTAACACTTTATACTTTTAGTTATATAACTATAAAATAGTAATACTAATACTAGTAATACTAATACTAATAGTAATAGAAATCCCAATGTTACCCATTGATAATAAAAGTAAAGTTCTAGATTATATTGGTTAATATCCACAATTCACTATATAATAATAATAATAATAATTCTGTGTTATAATATATATTTCTGTTTTTCTTAGACTTTATCATTTTATATATAAAGTAGTATTTTATATCATTTTCGTTATATTTCACTATATTCATTATATTCATTATATTCATTATATTTATTTAGTCGTTCATATATTATAATTTTTATTTTAATTTTTATCCTTTTTATATATTTTACTTCTTTTCTTACAACCATTGATATATAACAGGAGATTTATTGATTTCTCACAACATAAATATAGTTATAGTTTATATTGTGGATTTATATTATTTATAAATCAATTACAAATTATATTTACCAGTTTTTTCAAGTTTTTTCAAGTTTTTTCGAGTTTTAATTTCCATTTCCATTTGGTGAAAGATTTTTACTCCTTTTTTAAAGAAGATTTTTTACAACCATTTTATTTATTACCTAGGATATTTAAACTTAAACAAGATAATTTATATTTTATAACAGCTAACAAAATTAATTTACAAAATCAATCACAAAATCAATCACAAAATTAATCACAAAATTAATCACAAAATTAATCACATAATTAATCACCAAATAAAAGTCACCAAATAAAAGTCACCAAATAAAATTCACAAAATATAGTATCAAATATTATTATCCATCATGGGTTTAAAATGTACTAATTATTTTGAAAATTATAAATATTCAAGTCCAAATATTCAAATTATAACTTGTAAAGGATGTTCTTCTCATTTATGTCTTTCAGATTTAATTGTATCAGATAATTTTAATGGTGGTTCAGGTCCTGCTTATCTTGTTGATAATTTAATTAATATTGAATTTAATTTTTTACTGGAAGAAACTCAAATGAAGACTGGTTTATATAAAATTAATAAAATTAAATGTCATCAATGTAAGAAAAATTTAGGATGGTATTATAAAAAGGCTTATAGTTATACTGAACAATATAAAGAAGGGAAATTTGTAATTGAAAAATCATTTATAAATTTTATAAATTGTCAAAATTTATTGGAATTGGCTTTACAAAATAAATATAAAAGAAGAAAAAGTTCTAATGCCAGTAATGAAAGTACAATTGAAAATTTGAACCAATTTGGTAATAGTATAAAAGAAAATAGTTATGGACATGGTCATGGTGGTGGATCATTATTAATTATTAAAGATCCATTATCTAATTCATTTGATGAAGCTAATTTAATTAATAAAATTAGAAGTTCAACAACTAATAATAATATTGGAAATGGAGGAGGATCTAGCTCAAGGAATAATAATAATAATAATAATAATAATAATAATAATAGTAATGCTCATGCTCATGCTCATGCTCATGCGCAAGTATTTGAAGATGATGATGAAGTATTTGTTGATGCATAACAAGACAAGAGAACTCTTTGCAAACTTATAAATTTTACTTCATTCACACTTGGTCAAAGGTCTGTTTAGTTTTAGTTCTGGTTCAACTATTGGGGTTTTATATCTTTTTTAATTTCAATTATATCCTTATATTATTAGTCTTTGTTGGCTTTTTTGTATTGTTATTATTTAAGTTTTGGTTTTATTTATGGTTTGGTTTTATTTAATTTGATTTTATTTAATTTAGTTTAGTTTAGTTTGTTTAGCTTTATATATTTATATATAATAGTTTTAAATATATCGTTATTCATTGGATGTTTGTTTTTGGTATGAATTATCCCTTGTCTCATTATTTGTTATTGCTTTGTTAGGTATGGTTACTTAATTTTAGAACATTTTTAGATCAACGGTTTGTTCTCTCGATAAGATAAGATAAGAAAGAGTTGAAAAGATTGAATTATAGAGAACTTAGGCATCGAAACAAAAGCAACAAGCAATTAACTATGCCAAAACTGGTCTCTGATGTGTTACAAATTATTCAAAATTATATGTCTTCTGGTTCTATATACGTCTCTCATATACGTCTCTCATATTCTTAGATATTTTGTTAAAAATTTGACTTATATGCAGTCGTATAGTAGTTAATCATAAATCTTAAGTTATCAATAACTAGCTCACTATATGAAATTCTTTTCTCAAACTTTCTTCACGAAAGACTCAATTGGTTCAGATTAGATTGATTGTTTGATAAAACATGATTTTGATCATGTAATTCGTCATTGAAAATTTGCCAAAAAACGCTAATATATGGAATAATCAATACCTAAACCTCATCTTGCAACTTCTAAGATAGCTGATTCTGTTAATTCAATCTCAAGGCTTTTTTCTATAATGCTTTCAAGACTTTAAAATTGGTTTGAAGATTTTGCAAAAATTTCGAACCATATCTGAAAAATTACCTTTTTGAATTCCTTCCCACTAGCATATTCAAAGTTTATTGGCGCACGGGAACTACAAAATTGCGTAGTTATATCCTACTTTTATCATGACTTCGATTGTGGAATTAAATTTTTCGAAAGTTCAATTTATTCAATCTTTCCCATAGTTAAAAGAAAATTTGAAATTTTTCAATTTTAACTTAAATCAATCAAAATAGAATCCGATACTTACTTTTAATGTGTAATAGTCATAATACCTTATGTAATTTTGACTTATGATGCTAATTGAAATATAATTTGCAATACCACTTTTTTGAGATTTTTTTGTAAGGTGAAAGAAGCCCAAAATGACAATTCGAAAAAAAAAATGTTTGACTATTACGATTCAAAATGAGACAGTTATAGAACTCGAATCTTCTGATTTCATTAAATTGGTCCTTATTTCGAAATAAAGTGTTTTTCATTAGATATAAGCCAATATATTTAGTACGAGTCGCCCTAGATTTAAAGCGAGAAAATTGTTAATAGGGCGAGAAACTTCAAATTCGTCATTTGATACTTAAAAGGTCCAACAATTGAAAATTCATCACTTACATATAAAAAGGTGGTTCCGTTTATTTCGATGATTCAAATGAAACTGAAAGAGAAAGTTCATATGGTATTAAATTAGGTGAAAATATTTGTATTGGAGCTACTGAAATTAATAAACAAAAATCATCAAAAAAATGGTAAGATTATAGTCAAAGAATATGAATTAACTGATGCTATTGATTCAAGAGATATTGATAGTGTTATTATTTATGCAAATGGTAAAGTTGAAATTAGTTATTCTAAAAAAATTGATGGTTTAGATTCTAATTGGATCAATTTTGGCATTGGTGGTGCTCAAGTTGGTTTGAAAAATCGTTATATTGAGATTGTTTAGGTAGAACCGTAAAATGTTTGATTATGCATTTGATTGTAGTCAATTTATGCAAAATGCACATATTAGAGTTGTATATTCTTCTAAAATTTTGTATATTTATTCTTTACTTTCTTGATAATTTCGTATAAACTAAAACATAAGCTGATGGATCATTCAATGCATGTTTTTCATCTATTCTATTAATATATTCATCATCATAAGTAGACCAAGATTTACCATCTGGTTGTAAACAATGTACAACATAATGACCAGAACTAATTGATCTACCTTCATGAACAATTACTGATTTTAGTTTATAATTTGTAGTTTGTTTCTTATCCATAAATAAACTTAAATCTAAATATTTTGGATATGTTATATTTGTTTTAACTTTTGATGATGAATTACCATTAAATTTGAATCTTTTTAAATGAATAATTAAAGTTTCAGGAGCAATTGCAATTGATGAAGATTTAGTAGCATTTGTTAATTGTTTACATGATTCACAATGATATCCGCTTTTTGAATCATTTTTATTCTTTTTAATAATTTCATCCGAAAAGAAACTGAAAATTGAGTTTATCAAATTTTTCTTTTTATTTAAACCTAATGAAAGATCATAAAATTCTTGCTTTGTATCTGATACATTCCCACAATCTAAACATTGTATTTTTTGATGAATTAAACCACCGAAAATATCATATAAAATTGATTCATTTAGTTTTGTTCCCTTTGGTGTTGAATCTTCTTGTAAACGTGAAATTAATGACATTAAATATTCATGAGAATCTTCTTGTTGCCAAGCACTCATCATACAATTTATCTCATCTAATCTTTGAATAAGTTTTTTAGGTACTATATATTTCTTTTTAGTATCAAACATTTTGGTAGATAATTCAGCTAATGCAATTGATATGGATTTTGATGATATATGAGGATCTTTACCAGATAATATGTTTTCCAAATAGTATTTCATAGATGGTATATGAACTAACAGTTGAATAGCAGCATTCATATAACAAGTTACACCTGTATTTAATAAACCTACTGGTGAATTTGTATCATTTACCCAATTCTTAATAATACGTGATGGTTTTCCATTTTCCTCTTCTGGTGATGTTGGTGGTGTGCTTTCTTCAAATTCTTGTTCATCAAGTACATCAGGTACATCAGGTTCATTTTCTTTCTCTTCTTCCATTGCTTTTTGTTGATCAAGTTTTAAATCATTTCTTAATTTCTCAAAATCTTCGTCTTCATCTTCATCTTCATCTTCATCTTCATCTTCTTGCTCATCATCATCGTGTAGTTCTTCTGAATCTTCCGATAATGATGTTTCCCTATTAAAATCGTAATCCTCATCTTCTTCTTCATTTTCTTGATCTTCTTTATTATTATCACTAAACCCATTAAACGGAGAATTTTCTATGATTTCTCCACTTGAGCTACTATCTTCTTCCTCTTGATTTATATCAACACCCAAGTCATCTTCTTCTATTGGAACTGATTTGAATTTTTTTGAGTACCCAGTATTTTCTTCATTTATGTCAACACCTAAATCATCCTCTTCCGTGGCCGTACCTTTAAATCTCTTTCTGTAACCATCTTCTTCTACATCACTTGATTCTTCATTATCTTCTTCCACCTTTAACCTTAAGGTTTCTTGTTTCCTTCTCCTTTTTCTTTCTTTTGAACCCATATATTTATTACCAGTGTAATTTTTAATAGCTTCATCTAATGATTTTGGACGATATTTAACTTCAACAGCATCTTGTTTTATTTTCATACTATCTTGATTCTCTGATATATTTTGATTATCACTATTATTCTTGCTTAATACGATATATGACTCGGGCGTATTCGACAAATTTGTTAAATTATTTTCTGTTGTTTTACCTAATTTGAATTGTAATGGATTTGATAAATACTTTTCTAGTATGGGATTTAGTTTATTAGATGATGATGTAGTTGTGTTTTGGTACATATGTTTGATAGTGATATGGTTTATATTTGCTTGTAAAATTTCACTGCAAATTAAATCGCGACGTGATGAGAATTTTTGTTACACTAAAACGCTTATACATAATTATATTATGGTTGCAAAATATACCAAACATTAAGAGAAGAAGTGGTAGTAAATTCATATCATTAATCTATATATTCGTACCATCATGTGAATAATCTTTCTTGTACATCAATTGTAATTAAATCGCATAATTCTTTTGATCCAATTAATCTTGATAATTCAATTAAATGGCTATTCTTTTCTTTAAATTCATTAATTGTATTTAAATTAATTGATGATGAATATCTACCAACATTTGGATTACCATGATTACGGAATGCTCCTGTCATTGATCTATAATCATTATTTGTATCCAATAATCCTGAATTTTCATGTAAATATTTCCTCATTCTTTTCATTAACCTTTTTGTATTAGTTGATTGTTGTATATTTCTTGATTTTTGTTTTGTTTTCAATTTTAAACGTGTGGAACCTTCTTCAATTTCCATTAAATCATCTTTGTTAATTTCTTCTTCATCATATTCTTCATCTTCTTCTTCATCATCATCATCACCTCCTTCCTTTGACATTTCTTCAAGATCTGAATCAATTTCATCAACAATTTCATTTTCATCTAAATTTTCATCAAGAATGATTTTTTTATTTTTTGTGTTACTTTTGATTAATTTAGTCTTCAATTTATCTTCAAACTTATCATTTACTGTTTTATTTAAAATCTTTTCAAGTACTGAATTACCAATTAAATTTAAATTATTAATCATTTCAATTAATTTATTAATATTTAAATCCTTACTATTTAAAAATTCAAAATTTTTATTCAATTCCATTGATGTAACTTCCTTTTTAATAGCTTTCATGTTAAATTTATCATCTTCTTCTTCATCAATTAATAAATTTGATAACCAAGATATACTATCTTTATTTTTCAAAATTTCAATAATTTTTAAATCATTACTACTTGAAAAAATTTCAATATCTAACGAATAATATTTATCAGCTTGACTACCAAAATCTTTTCTTTTATTTTTAGATAATATATTAATATTTGTATTTGGTGTATTTGTCTTTGTTGGTTTATATCCTTTTGGATATGTTCTAAAAGCTCCAATTTCAACTATTCCTTGTTTTAATGTCTTAATTGGATCAACAACAATTGCCAAATATGGATCTTGAAAGTTTTGATTTAACTCCTGAGTACTTACATCAATTCCACTTAACCAACATCCATAACCTGGATGAGAATGATACCACCCGACGATATTTTCATCATGTGAAGATCCCAATCCTTGCTGTGCCTGTAAAAATGAAACCATATATTCATAAGCTTCATTTTGAGCATTAACTCTAGTTTCTGTACCTTCAACAGGCAATCTATACACATCAGTTATAATAATTGAATTTGTAATAATTTTCCCCATTAACATACCCATGATTTCAATTGAACCACCATTTTGAGCATGAATTGTCATTTTCATAAGAGCCAATGATGATATATAACATTTTGTAAAATAATTAGCACCTTCTTTCCAGGGTTTTTTATCTTTTAAAATTGGATCAATTGGTGGTAATTTATAAAATTGATCAAAATCAATTAATTGTTGTTTTGATTGAGATTCTTTATGTAATTTCTGCTGTTCAGTTAAATCATATAGATTAATAGTTTTAGTTCTAATTGATTCTTTGGGAGGTGGTTGTTCATATGCTTCAATTAAATTATGATAGCATGGCATTATATTAATAAATTCAAATTAATTGTCGCGTTTATTCAGTTTACGATAAGACACAATATTTATGACATTGGATTTAAGACACGACATATTTTTTTACATTTTTATAATTTTATATAAAACAAACAGAGAGATGGAATTAATACAATTTTATACTTATTCTATGATTTCTTTTCTTGTGATGTAATATCATTTTCACTTGGATAATACATGAATGATGGTGGAATATTATACATTGGAGAATCATTTTTAACTGATGTAGATGAATCATTATTATTTTCCATTGGTAAGAAAGTTGGATAAACATTATAAAATGATGGTCCTGTAGTAATTGCTTGTTGTTTTAATTCATTTTCTTTATTTTCAACTGGTATATAATAATAAATTGGATATCCTTGACCATTTGGAATAAAATTAGTTGTAGTTGAATTGAATTTTGGTTCTTGATCAGTTACATTTAATTGAGTCGGTGACCATGAATATTTCTTACCTTGATCATTTCTTTTAATTGATTTATTAAAATTATTACCATTAAATTTTGACTTTTCTTTTTGCTTTTTATTTAAATTAATAGGTGGTGGTGCTAATGGAACATTAAAACTTTTTGAATGATGATGATAAACTTGAGTTTCTTTATATTGAACATGCATGGTTTTATTACAAAACATTGAATGATTTTCTCTTTCAACAGCACTTGCAGCACTTGATTCATCTTTATATTTAATAAATGCAAATGTATTATTAATCTTTTTGACTAAATTAATTTCGAGAATTTCACCGTGTCTTTCAAATCGAGTTCTTAAATCATTTTCATCAACTTCTGAACTTAATTGACCAATAAAGATTGAAAATTTATCAAATTTTGGTTTGGTTGATTTTTCAAAATTATTGATAATTCTAAATTTTGCTTTATCAATATTTTGTGACCATTCAATTTTTAAATCTGAATTATCTTGTAAACTTGCAAATGCTCTAATTGCATCATCTCTATAAACAAATTTACAAAACCATGATTTATAAGATTTATGATAATCTTTAAAAACTCCACCTTTTGGAGTACTTGGAATCAATTCTTCAATTTCACCAAACTTTTCCAATTGTAATTTAACTTCATTTTTATTAATTATAGTTTTAAATGTAACAAATAAAGTTCTATTAACTTTTGCTGCTTCACATCTAATATTTCTACCATCTAAGACTGAATTATGACCATATTTAATTGCTAATTTGGATTCTTCATCATTAGTATATTGAACAAATGCATATGGTCTATTACTTGTATCTCTTAAAACTTTAACTGTTGTTAACTGACCCCATTTACCAAAATGATGAGTAACCGATAAACATAATTCATCATCAGTTAAATCCGCTTTTAAACTTGCAACAAACACACATGCCGATGGTTTACCTTTAATAAAAGCAGTTGAATTTGAATTTAAACTTTTACCGCTGTCTGAATTTAATGATAATTTTGCAGTTTGTTCAATAACGACATCTTCAGTATTTGCCGACGAGCTTGAACCTGCTTTATTAACCCATGGAGATGTTGAATATAAGGAATTCATGTTAATTGATGTATCTTTTGGTGAAACAGTTTTTTCTAATTGATGAAATGAATTAACGGTTGAATCACGTAATTTTGATTCGTAAAAATCTTCTAAATCACTCATATGTATAATTGCAACTTAATAAATAATAGAATTTAATTAATTGATGATTGATAAATTAATAAATGTAGTTGAAAAAGAATGATTTTTTTTGAAATTATAGATTTTTATTATGTTTAAATTTGTATAACATTTGGTTGCAAAGTTTATATATTGGTATCTGCACGACCCTGATTTGAAACATGAAATGGTTGCAAAATATTATACATTGTAGAATAGGAAGATCTTCACCAGATACATCCATGATACTTAATATAACAGAAAGAATAGTTATTATACTAAAATATGGAATATCTATTAATTAAAAAACTAATTATGAGAAAATGTAATAAATAAACAAGAATGGACAAAACTTACCATGATGAATTAATTATAAGTCAACTTCAGCTCCTACATCTACGCCAACATAAACTAAGCCTAATACATCAGCTAAGACACTGGTATCTATTTCAATATGTCTTTTTTTCGACGATATCTCTCTTCAAATCAACGATGCCTGTAACATTTGCTGCAACACCAATTAATTTCAAGACTTCTGCAGAAACATCAGCATTTAACTCAATGTGTTTCTTTTTTTTTAAGTCTACTTCAGCTCCAACATCAGCACCTACGTCAACTAAACATTATGACTTACCAAAAGTATATTGACATCAGTTTTTTCTGAATGGGCTGCAAGCAAAAAAAGTTTAACAACTCCAGCTCGAGCGTCGAAGGAGTTGTTTACAGATTAATTGTCAAACTGAACTGCTGTAAGACTGCATGTAAGCAAATTTGATAATAATTTTTGTAGTACTTAACTCCCAAACTCAAAGCCCCGGTCGCGAAAAATAAAAAATGCTGGCACAAAATTCCAACCAATTTTGGAACGAAATGGCTCTAACTTTGTTGTTGAATAACTTGGTGAATAACTAATGTTTCAGAGGTTTGTTTATATGGATGCTCTCACTTTTATCTAGAAATTTTTTTGATACAAGATCGAGGTTAATGGTATCATTATTTCTAAAGCTTGGTATATCTTACGTATCGGAGATTATATTCGAGACGATTAAGCCCAACGAATGAACTGTTCCTCGGGTGCAAAATTGGCGCGATCTGTCGTGTGATTTAGCGCGAGACCAAAAAAAGTAATGATCGCTTCGTTTAGTTGTTTTATTTCGTCGTACGACTTTAAGTATGGTCTAACGCAAAGAATATTCTATTGGTATGTGTTCTGCACGAGGGATTGTTTAGCTTCTACGGCCAAATGTTTTTGGAATTTTTACAACAGTCGAGATATTTGTGACCGGTTGAATGTAATACACATAATTAGAAGCTTTTGACCCGTATTCTATGGTATGAGAAAAAAACAATGAATTGTACTTTTATAGATAAACTTAATTAAGAACTCACAAAATATATTATAATTATACACTATTAATTAACCTATTATAAACCGAAATAAATTGTCAGAATCAATCAGAACAACTTAGTAAATTAATAAAACAAATACATGGACCGAAAAATTATGGAAGCGAAATTGAAATGATATCATAAAACAAAAAATCTAAAATAATAAACCAACAGCTGCAATAATACCTGCACCAATTGAAAATCTAACTTTTGAACCTGAACCTTCGGCAACTGAAACGGTTGGAGCTTCTGATTGTTGTGGAATACCAGATGAAGATTGTTGTTGTTCAGGTGAAGGGGCATTTGAAACTGTGCCTGAGATTATAGCAGTTTCAGTTGATAATGTAGTTAATTGAGCTGGTGAAGATTCAGCAAAAACAGTGGTTGGGGTATTTGACCATTTATTTTCACTTTGAGTATTTAACCAGGTATTTTCACCACCTTGTGAAGTAGTTGATTCGACACCTTCTGAGTTTGATTCATTGTCTGATGATTGTACTTTAGCTGGAAAACTGGTTGCTGCACTTTGGGTAGTATTACTTGATTCAACACCTTGAGTAGTTTCTGCAGCTTTTGATGATTCAACACCTTGAGTAGTTTCAATAGTTTTTGATGATTCAATTTCATTGGTATCTGATTGTGTTGGTAAAGCAAGTGATGATGATTCTTCTGGAATAGGACAATAAGTAGTATAAGTAGTTTTTAAATCAGTAACTGTAGTTAAACCAGTGGTGACAGCAGTTTCATGACATTTATCTTCGTGACATGTGGTAATAGTAACAACAGTGGTTTGAATATTAGTAACAGTTGATGATGGTACGGTAACAATACCTTCACTCCATGTGAAATCGCTTGTTGAGGAAGCGACATTTGAGTTATTTGATTCAGCTTCACTTGAAGACTCATAAGTTTCGGTTGATGAAGTTAAACCACTTTCATTTGTGGATGAATTAACTGAACTTTCTGAGACAGAGGAACCATTCGATGTGGTAGATGATTCAGCTGATGAGCCATTTGAGGAAATTGATGAAAAATCTGAGCTTTCTGAGGTTGAGAATGATTGGTTACTTGATTCTGGTACACTTGAAGTTGCTGAGCTGCTAGTTATTGGAGCAGATGATGAACCGTCTGAAGTAATTGGAACTGATGAGCTTTGATCTGAGCTTGGAACTGATGAACTTTGATCTGAGTTTGGGGCACTTGAAGTTGTTGAGCTGCTATCTATTGGAGCAGATGATGAACCGTCTGAAGTAATTGGAACCGATGAGCTTTGATCTGAACTTGGAAATGATGAACTTTGATCTGAGCTTGGAAATGATGAACTTTGATCTGAGCTTGGGGCACTTGAAGTTGTTGAACTGCTATCTATTGGAGCAGATGATGAACCGTCTGAAGTAATTGGAACCGATGAGCTTTGATCTGAGCTTGGGGCACTTGAAGTTGTTGAGCTGCTATCTATTGGAGCAGATGATGAACCGTCTGAAGTAATTGGAACTGATGAGCTTTGATCTGAGCTTGGAACTGATGAACTTTGATCTGAGTTTGGGGCACTTGAAGTTGTTGAGGTATCTGAACTACTTGAGTTTGGTGTACAATCATCAAAACAAATTTGTTTGAATAAAATATCTTTCTTAATTGATAATAATAAATCAATGAAAAAATTCAAGGTTCTTTTATCAATAATTTCTGAAAATCCATTAACATCGTATTCTGATTCTTCTCTTTTTGTTAATTGTGAGTTGAAAAATGACAATGGATCAAAAATTGAAAGACCAGCTTCAACTGCAGCAAATTTATAAATTAATTTATCAGTACCTAAAACATTTGAGATAATATCTAAACCTAAACCTGATTTGAAATCATGAATAATTTGGAAAACTGAAGGAAGACAAACTTTACCATCTTTATATTCTGGTTTAATTAAAAATTTAGCAGACCAATAAAATGGATTAGCAACACCAGATTCATCACCATATAAAACAACATCTGAAACACCAGTACCAGTTAAAGTTAATTTCTTAACTTTATCACTAAAGAATGAATGTAATTGATCTTCTTTATTAACTTTGAAATTACCAACAACTGAATAAGTACCATCAGCATTTTTTTCAGCATCGGAAATAACGAAAGCAGCGTCTAAATTAGCATTAAAACTTCTTTTAGCATTACTATGTGATGATAAATCAGCATAAAATTGTTTAGCACTACATTTTGGCGGTTGTGGTAATGGTTTAAAACAAGTGAAGATTGAATCTAAAAACCAAAAAGCTTGAGTTGAATAAATAAATAGAGCGACTGTAAAAAGTTGGGAAGATGCAAGCTTCATGATTGATAATTAAACTAAGCGAATGAAGTTTGTTGATTTTTTAAAAAAACAATAGGAAACAAGGGTTACTTATAACATTTCTATCAATAATTGAAAAATTGCCACAGGTGACGAAAGAATTTTCTTTGATAGTTATTCTAATCAAAATCGTGTTGCAAAAATTTTAGTTTACGCTGCAATTGGTATAAAATTGTATAAAGGAATAAACACTCAACATTCTTAAATCCATTATTTACATTTCATATGTAAAAATAGAATTTCACATAAAATTCATAAATCTGATCAAAATTGTTTTCGTTTTTCACCATTCGTAGTTATTTGATTTGACAAAAAAAATAAAATAAAACACCTTGCAGGACAGGTTTAGAATCGTCTAATTTTAGCATAAATTTTTAATTAACCACTATACATATTAGACGACTAAAATATATTATAATATCGATAAACAAATAACACCCTTTATTCCATGCATTGTTACTAATTTCATCTTGAAACATGTAGAACAAACGGATATGATTCCTAATTTTGAGGGTTTACAGTTGAAATTGATTTTTAGTAACCCAAAAAAATTTATCATATTTAGATCGTTTTTTCGAATTTATTTCATATAAGCAGTAAACAAATACCATCTAGCTTTCTATTAAAATTAAAGATTATGAATCAATACTAATTAAACAATATTATTAAAGATTTACTTTCATAACGCCTCGTATTTAAATATAATAGTTGATTTTGATGGTCTCAGCATCAGGTAATATGCAGTACTGGTCCCTTCAATAAATTTGATATTGCAATACAACCAATTGTAATAAATTAAAAGAGCTTTAAAATTATAATAATTATCATTGATCAGCACATTCCTCTTCAAGCAGTTATAATCATTAAAAATTGATTGCCTTGGTATGTTAAGGAATTATTTTTTAACTATTCGTTACAATAAACCAATACTGAACATAACACCCCCCACAATAAAATTTTCACATAGACGATGTACTAACAATCATCGGCATTCCCGAATTGTAAATCGTTAAAATCGATTTAAACATTATCTATTGTTTGAAAATAAGCACTCTCATTATTTCATTATTTTTTTATGTTTATATTAACCACGAATTTATCTACAATTTCAAAACACCAATTCTTTTTGCAATTAGCCAAAAACATTTTTAATTTTGATTTAAAGGACCCTTGTAAACATTACTAACACGTAAATCTAAAGTAAGAACAAAACGCTCATAACCAAAAAAAGCCATGATTAGTCTATGGCGCATTAACTCCTATGGTACATAATTATGTACGCTCTCTCTTTTTTTCCGCATGTTTTAAACGACTATAAATTTAGTTTTGTGGCAAGTTTTTTGTTTACTAATTTGGTAAAAATAAAGCCACTTAAGAAACTATGCATTTAGCCGAGTAATAATGCAAAAGCGCGTAAAAAGATTTACAGTAAGAAACGAGTCAATCAATAAAACAGTAATTTTAGACAACACGGATTATCGATGACTTTGTTAATTTCAAAGCAACTATAACTGGTATTATATGTTGCGCCTAGCCACAAAAAGAGGGTAAAGGTATACTTAAGATTCGAACAATAAGAGAGCCTAAAAAGTATTTGAATCTAGACAATATAATGATGTACAAGCCTTCGAATTATTCTATAGACTGGCCTACAAAAATCAAAAAACGGTAATTATTAAAAATTAGGTTTGTTTACTATAATCGCATTTTGTTTATGTAAACGTTTCTTTTGAGAAGTAAACAAGGAGCTCTGGTGCATGAAGTTGAAATAGTTAAAGTAGATATATATTAATTAGGAAATACTTTTTTCAAATGGTTAGTTGCGGATCACTAAAAAATAATATAACTGATAAAATAAGAATTCGTTTCAAAAAATTAAGCTAACTTAATCATCCTCTGATTCTTTTTGATTTTTCTTGTTTTCCAAATCTTCTTCCACTTCTTCTTCCGCTACTTCTTCCGCTTCTTCTTCCGCTACTTCTTCCGCTTCTACTTCTTCTTCTTCTTCTTCTTCTTCTTCTTCTTCTTCTTCTTCTTCAAATTCCGATGATGATTCATCTTCATCAGATTCTGACTCCTCGTCTTCTTCTTCACTTTCACTATCTTCACTACCAAAAAATTCATCTAAGCTTTGTAATTTATATGATGGTTTAGGTTTATTTATTTCATCGTTTAAGTATTGTTTTGATGAAAATGATTGTTCAATAACTGGACTTGGTGATTTAGTTCCTTCCGTTGAAAATGAAAATGATGCATTAGCTAATCTATTAATTTCAATTGGTGCTTCTTTTCGAATTTCTGATGATGGTAAAGTTGATTCATCTGCCCAATCTGGTACACTGAAATATTGTTTGATTGATTTAAGTATATCATTATCACCTTTATTTGAATTAACAAATGGAACTGGTTTCGGTACTTGTAAAAACAAGGAAGCTAATTGTGCACGATCAATACCTGAATTTAATAATACATTAAACATTCTAGCTCTATCTCTTGTATCATATGAAACATCATATTTAGCCAACTGTAAAGTATGTTTGAACAATTTATATTCTATATTGTTTTCAAGTTCTTCTTCAACATCTTTAACCTCATTCTTTAATTCAATTAATACATATGCAAATATTTTACATGCAAGTACTAATGTTTGATATCTGACATTCTCCTCTTCCTTTGCAAAATTCTTTAACAATCTTCTTAAAACATCTGGTCCTAATGAATTATCAGCTAAAACTGTATACTCTCCAATTATCCAAATTATACTTGCTCTTGCTTCATTTTCTAATTCAATTTGATCATCTTCAAGTATAGAAGCAAGTTTATATATAGTTTTCAAAACATCTGTTTTCTCTAAACTACTTTTTTGTTGAATCAAATATCGTATAACAGTTAATAATTCATTTAATAAATCACTGGTTTTAGATTTTCTAATCTTCATCAAACACCATTTCAATATTTTTTGACTCCATTCATTTGATATTTGTGAGCATTCACCAATTGTTTTAATTGCCTTTCTTGATAAAATCTTATTATTTGATAAGCTATAATATTTAAGTTCCTCAAATATGTACTTAAAATTCTCTGAATTTGCTAATGTAGATAATATTTCAAGTTTTGCATTGATTATTTCATCTGATTCATTCGGTATTATGTAAAAACTTCTAAAATGTGGTATGAATAGTTCCTTATTCTTTTTTTCTTGACTAATGAGTAGAATTGTTTGTAATGCAATTAAGGCTAACCAACTGTCCTCTGCTAACGCATATCTTGTTAATATAACGTCAAGATTATATTCTTTAATTAAAAATGGGGCTAAAACCACGATTGATTTGATCATGGACAATACCACATTTTCTGAGATTGAATTTTTCAAATCCTTTATAGACATTAAATACAACTCCAAATCTGGATCCATGGTATTTTTATCCAATGGTTTTTTAAAAAATTTACGACAGTAATCTGTAAAAATTTCAATAATTAGGCCCTGTGACCACTCATCTAAATCTAGAATTGATGAAGAATATCTTCTAAAATTTTTATGCATCAACTCCCATCTTTTATTTTCGGGTATTGAAAATCTTATTCTGAAATATGCTTTAATTGCAGCTGACACAACAATTACTTCACTATCTGATAGCAATTTGCTCAACATTTCAATCAATTGTTTCTTTGATTTACCAGAATTATCGTAAACTTTCCCAATTGAAATTGCTGTGGCTGCTCTTACCAAAGGTGATGGATCTGTTGAAGTTCTTTTTAAGCTAAGTGTTAAAATAGGTATAATTGAATCAATTCGTATTCCAGCTAATGATCTTATTGCATTTGCTCTATTTACAGGATGTTTATCACCAAGTGTTTTCTGAATTGAATTGATTGATAATAAAGCTGTATCTGGTTCAACATCAGCGTATTTGGTTAAATAAATTATGACCAATTCCTTTATTTTATTACTTGAACTCGTTATATTTTTAACGACATCTGCAAAATATGGCAATGCATCTTCACCTTTCGATACTAATGATATAACTAGTTTCATTCCTTGTAATATTTCGCGATCATTTCTTGAATTTAATAGTTTCGATATTTCTTCTGGTTTTTGTGCATTTGGAGTATCTGTTAGTCTGGCAGATGCAGATACAGCAGCTTCAATTGTCAACTCTTTAGCTGACTCTATCATAGATCCTAATCTAGATAGTGAATCATTCATTTTTATAATTTCGACCGTTCGTTTGGTTGACCTTTTGCATAAACTTAAATTTTGCGTGAGAACTTCAAAAGAAAAAAAAAAAAAAATATTCAATAAATACAACGTTACATTTTTCTTCGTTTATTCAATTTATTTGCAGCCGTTTTCATTCTTTTACCAAGATTTAATTCTTTTCTAGTTTGAATGTATTCTTGTGGGAAAAATTCACCAATTGTTGATTGTGTACCTTCTGCTTTCTTTTTATTCATATCTCTTATTAATGGAATCATAACTTCATCTACTCTAGCTTGAGACCATTGAACATTATACATTAAGAATGATCTAATTTGATCTAAATTTGGAACTCCCCATTTGAATTTCGTTTTATCGTGATCTACCGTTGGCAAAATATAAGCATCAAATACAACTTTTTCGGGAAAATTATCAGGTAAATAAAGTTTACCATTTTTGATACGTGTTAATAAATTCTTTTGTAATGAGGTTACATCTTTCTTATCAATAGCTTTTGAAGATTTTGTATTTTCATCAAACCATCCTTTAAAACTTTTTAATGATCCAAATTCCGCTAATATTTCCATTGCTAAAACAGGTCCTATACCTTTTATACCTTCTGTATAATCACTGCCTAACAATAATGCTAATTCAATCATATTTTCTTGTGAAAGCCCAATTTTATGTCGTATATCATCTTTCAAATAACATTCAACATATTGTTTTTGGTTAAACATATTTTTATAAATTTTATCACCACCAAATAAAAAGCAATCACTATCATCTGTGACAATACCATCAACTAATCCTAGTTTTAATAACTCTGCACACTGAGCTTCTGCTTCCATTGGTGCTGTCATATACGGAATACCAAATCTTTTAAGTAACTCTTGAACATCATAGATCATGGATTCAGTTACTTCATCTGAATCTCTTTTAGCTTTTTGTAATTGTTCTTGCAATAGCTGTTCATCAGTTATTCTAGTTTCAAATGATGATATTGGTAAATTGTGAGATGTTTTGATTTGAGATTTTAATTCTTCGTGATCTATTTCTTCTGATTGTAATTGTTTAATTAAATTATCTTCCTCTTCCTCTTCAAAATCATAATCAATAACCGCAGCTTTTCTTTGTGGCTGCTCATCAGGTGTTTTTTCTTTTTCAACTCGTTTAACTGGGATAGTTGGTGAAATTTCTTCAATCTCGTCATCATCATTAGCTTCTGGAGTTTTTTGACCTTCTTGTAAATATTCTCTAGCTTCGTACCATGGGATTAAACCAGCTTCTTGGTCTTCCTGATCTTGTCTTTTCTTATGATTGTATTCATTATAAGCAATGAATTTTTCATTGTGTGGATTTAATGTTCGACCAACTTCATTTTGGAACCACTCTGGTAATTTTCTTTTACCTTTTGGTGATTCTGTTATAGTGACATTTCTAATTAGTGCATCATTTTCTTCATCACTTTCCATTCGTTCAAATACAGTTTCAGTTTTCTTTTGAGGTTTGTTTTCAGAAACATCTAAACTTGATTCTTTCTTTTCTTCAAAAGGTTCTTTATCTAATTCCAATGTTGCATTATCGAGATTTGATGACTCTTTTTCCTTTTCTTGGTCATTATCAATACTAATTTGACCAGTTTGATGAAAATCTGGGTTAAATAAAAATGCACTTCCCAAATTATTCATTTCACGATTCGATTTTTTTCTTGTCTCGTTAGGTTTGCCTGGTAATTCATTTCTCAAATTGTGCATTGAAAGATTATTGGAGTTCATATCATCTTTTAATGATTTTTTCAACTTTTTCCGATACGATTTAGTTCCATTAGTTTCACTGATTTTAACTTTATCAATAGTTTTATTCTTTATAGGTTTTTTAAATTCAATATTATCACCATGTGAAACATCATCTATAATGTCAGCTTTATCATTATTTGTAAATAAAATAGATGAACCAAAATCTAAATCTTTATCATCATCATTTAATTCGTTGTCAAGATTGTTTTCTTTCTCTATCATCTTAAAGTATTCATCTTTCGATTCTTGAACAGCTTTTTTCAATTCAACTTCATCAAATTCCTCCAGATCTTTTGGTTCTTTTACAGTTGGTTTCTCTTTAAATCGTTCGTAAATAGATTCAATCATTGCTCTATGCATATTTTTTTCTTCTTCAGTTTCTTCTGGTCCTTCTAATGGAACATCCTCAAAATCTTCATCACTATCTTCCTCTGCTGTTTCATCTTTTATAGTAATTGGTACCTTTGATTCTTTTGCATATTCGTCAATTTCACGGACATCATCATCATCTAAATGTATTGAATTCTCATTTGTACCATCATTTTCTAATGCTAATGTCCAACCATCATCATTTTTAACAAGTGCATACTTTTTATCTTTATCCCCAGCAATTCTTCTTACAACATTTGTATCTTCACCCATTCCAGTTACATTCATCAATTTTTGAGTGAAAAAATTCCTTCTTTGAACTTGTTGAATTTGAAACCTCGAAAAATCCATACTATTTGGAAATAAATCTTCCAATTGATCTTTTCTATACCCCATTCTTAATCTTGATTTTAATCTTAAATGATTCAAAATCATATATTGAGTTGCAACTGGTATTCTATCAAATTCCTTTGACTTTGGATCCACTTCATTTATATTTATTCCATCAACTGTATCAAAATCATCATAAGATTCCTCGTATTCTTCATCAGGCATAATTCTTTCATCATTTTTAGACACTTTAAATTCATGTAAATCTGGTAAATGATATTCGTCTTTTCTTCTAAATTTGATTAATTTGGACTCGGGTGACTTCGTATTCGAATCTTCTTCTATTGCCTTATTAATAGGCAAGTCCTCGAAATATATTAAATCATCATCTTCATTAAAATCTTTACTATTTGATATCTTTTTATTCGTCTGTTTAGGTCTTGTATGTTTATTTTCAGCTTCCCTTTGTAATTGAATTGCTAATAACTTTTGAGCTGTTTCTCTAGTTGATTCGGATTTCTTTTGCCTTCGGTTCTTTCTTTCATTAATTGTTTCTCTTTTTAATATCGGTACACCACCATCAAAAACAAATATAGGAAGTATCCCAAAGTATAATAATTTACAAATTCTTCTAAAAAACCCAACAATATGAGATTGTGGTAATGCATTACCTTCTTTATCACGAACGGCTTTTAAAAATTGATAAATCCAAATAGAAGCATCAACAGCTAATTTCTTTCTTGATAAAGCTTCTAATCTAACAGGTCTTGCTGATGGTCCTACTATATCCCATAATGATTGAACACCCATAATAAATTATTATCAATGAAAAACATCGATTCGAGATTTGTAATGAACTTGCTTAAAATTAATAGATTTTTCGTTTTTGTGAGATTATATTGCTTGAAATATTTGCAATTATACACTACGCATATTGAATCATAATTTTACGAATAACAGCCAGATAACTAATATAATATATATATATACTAGATGAACTTATAAATGGGAAGATATATATATAGCTACTGCTTAGTATTATACGGTCCGAAGTAAACTTTTTTCTCGATTTGACTTGACCAATTTTTCTTATGACTGCGAAAAATCTTAAAAAGTGGAGGGAAAGATTATAAATAGTTCAAGAATTAACCAGTTTTATATCAAGAATTAACTAGTTTTATATCAAGATTATAGTTAAGATTATAGGTTGATTCAGTTAGTATTATTGTAGCACTAAAAAACAAGTAAAATCGACAATAATAAGGTTATTTATTTAAATTTTCGCTAATTAACCAATTCAAAACCAATTCAGAACCAATTCAAGATGTCGCAAGAATTTATGAAATTTCCATCAAGAAGATCCAATGTTTACTCACATAGAGGAATTGTTTCAAGTACTCAATCTTTGGCGAATTCAGCAGGCCTTGAAATTCTTCAAAAAGGTGGTAATGCCGTGGATGCGGCTATTGCAATTAATGCAGCTTTATGGGTTACTGAACCTGCTAGTACTGGTATAGGTGGTGATTGTTTTATGTTATATTATAAATTGCAAGATAAGAATGATCCAAAAAGTGGGAAAGTTATTGGTTTAAATGGGTGTGGTAGCGCTGCTAAGAATATTACAATTCAAGATGTTTGGGATGAACATAATGATGGTCTTCCAATGCCTCGTATTCCATATCAATCTGTTTTTAGTGTTACTGTCCCAGGATCACTTTTAGGTTCTTTTAATTGCTTTGAAAAATGGGGATCTGGTAAAGTTTCATTTGAAGAAATTTTGCAACCAGCTATTAGATTAGCAGAAGAAGGGTTTCCAGTTAGTGAATTAGCTGCTAGGTCATGGAGAAATTCTGCTGAGAAATTGAAGAATCAAAACCCTCATGTTAAAAATAATGTTTTATTAATTGATGGTGTAAGAGGTCCAAATGAAGGTGAATATGTTAGAAATAAACCAATAGCTGAATGTTTGAAATTGATTGCAAAAGAAGGAGTAAAGGCATTTTATGAAGGTCCTATTGCTGATAAAATAATTGAAACAACAAGTAAAAGAAATCATAAATTATCTAAAGAAGATTTGAAAAATCATAAATCTCTTGAAGTTGAACCTATTAAATTAAATTTTCAAGATTATAATGTTTGGGAAATACCACCAAATGGACATGGATTAGTTGCTTTAATAGCTTTGGGTATTATCCAAGAACTTCACAATAGTCACAAAATTGATTTATATAAACTTGAACAAAATTCAGCAGAGTATTTACATATTTTAATTGAAGCTTGTAAACTTGGTTTCCATGATTCGGATGAATATGTCACAGATCCAGCATTCAAAGAAATTCCAATTGAAGCATTATTAGCTCCTGAATATCTAAGATCTAGAGCTGAGTTAATTAATTTTGACAAGATTATTGATGGTGAAACAATGACTCATGGTATACCTAATCCAAAATATAAATCAGATACTGTTTATTTCACAGTTGGTGATTCAAATGGTGAGGTTTGTTCATTTATTAATTCAGTTTATGAAGGATTTGGTAGTGGTATATTAGTTGAAGAGTATGGTTTTTGTTTACATAATAGAGGAGCTAATTTTAATTTAACTCCAGGTAATTCAAATTGTTTAGAAGGTGGGAAAAGACCATATCATACAATTATACCAGGAATGATAACAAATAAAGATGGTTCATTATTTGCATCTTTTGGTAATATGGGTGGATTTGCGCAACCAGTTGCTCATGTTCAACATGTATTAAATTTGATTATATTTAACTATACCCCTCAACAACTGCTTGATTCACCTAGATTTGTATTAAATTCTTTTAATGAAGCAATAGATAGAGGAAGAGGTGCTGATGGTCCAGTAAGAACACCAATTACAATTGTTCAATTAGAAGATGGTATCAAAGCTGAAGATGTTGAAAAATTGAAAAAAATCGGTCATCATGTTGAAATTTTAACTGATTATAATAGACAATTAGTTGGAAGGGGACAAATTATTAAGAATTCATCAAATAATGGACAATTAATTTATTCAGCTGGCAGTGATATGAGAGGTGATGGTTCTGCTGTGCCATTTGTGTAATCAAATAGCTCGTCATTCAATATATGTACTCAGCCGCGCTTATCTATAAAAAATCTGAGATCGGCTTTAAAATAATTCCAAGTTTCTCGAAACCAAAATACGAAGGGTCTGTATATAATAGCTTGGCTTCGTCCTTTCTTTCGTCCAAAATCAAAATAATATGTCAAAACAAGATAAACCACCAATTTATACAAATAGGAATGGCCCAGATTCAGAGTTGCCACATTATAGTAGTTATAGAAATGATCAACAAATGTATTTTGAAGGATCATCACCTAAATCATGGGAAATTGTTATTTTAAATCGATATTTTGTTGACGGTTTTAGAATATTTGTATCATTAGATGCAGCTGAGAAATTTGAAGTATTCAAAAAGAACAAAGCACCAGAGGTTATTGAATTACAAACTGCTGGGATAGGAGTTCCTATATTCAAAGCTATAACACCATTAATACCCCTTACTACCAAATTTTTAACCTTTAGAAGATATGTGCCAACAAATTTACATCCATTTGATATTGAAAAGGATTATTATAACTTTTGTACAGTCAAAAAGAAACTACATGTAGGATATGATTCATTCTTATTTGATTTTGTTCCAGATCCAAATCAACCCAAGTTGAATTTTCAAATCATTATGTTTGCTCATTCAACTTTACCTATAAATGATTATATATATAATGGTGAAAAACACAGATGGATTGATGAATCTATAATGAGAGGATTTAGAGAAAGATTTTTCGTTAAATATGGTTTCAAACATACTATACTTGGTAAAGATCAGACTAGTTTATGTGATAGTTGGGATGGTCAATCAGAGAAACTTGATAAATCCATGACAAATCCATATTTGAAGAATTATTTGAAAACAAAATTTTCATTAACTTCAAGGTTTATCAAGCCTGAATATTATGGAGTGCAAATTACAGGTATATTAGGAGAAATGGAAGCATTTTTCTTAGATACTGGTTATGCAGAACTAAAATTGGATGATATATATAATACGAGTCCTTATGTTGATTATGAAAGTATAAACTCGTTGAATATAGATGCATTAGTTCACATTTGTATTGCTACTTGCTTGAAAAGACGTAAAGATATCATTGAAGATTCTAGAAAAAGAAGTAATGGTGGTGGTGGTTAATAAATTTTAGTTTTTATATTCTAATCTACCATAATTTAATCAAATCATCCCAATCTTGATCCTTTCTTCTATTCCAATAACTTTTTTCACCTTGAATAAATTCCCAATCACCTTCATCAACTGGTCCATTACCTTTAAATTTGAAAAATTTAGGCTCATGTTCTTTACCTGCATCTTCCAATTCTTTTCTTCTAACTCTTTGATCTTGTTCTAATTTATTTTTCAATTCTTCTGCTTTTTCAACATCACCTTGTTCATAACATTGCAAATCTGGTCTTAATCTTGAATCGGTTGGTGCTAATTGACCTTGTTCCATTGCTGTTATTTTATTCAAAGTACCTGTAAATGTTGTAAAACCATATTTCTTTTGATAATTAGGCAATAATTCACCAGCTTGCCAAATTGTCTTTTCAGTACTTTTAGTCTTTAATGTAAATGACTCCGTCCAATTACCATTTATAGTATAAGATAATTCTTTTTTACTCTTGTCTAAAGCTTTAACACTAACTCCTTCAGATCTTCCACTCCACATACCACCTTTTGCAAATTCAACTAGTGCTCTATAACCAGTTGATGATTTAATTGTAACAGTACCAGAAGGTTCAGCATAAGTTTCACCAGCAATGATGTTTTTAATTAAAGTTGTTGGTTGAGTCCATGTAAATACTTCTCCAGTTAATTTATCTGTTAAATAAATATTACCTTTTGTTGTAACTTCAAATTGTTTACCCCAAAATTTTTGTGAAGGAGCTAATGTATAAGCTAAAGTCCAACTTTCAGTATCAATATGATAAGCAAATACTGGTGGTCTATGACTAACTTTTTCTGAAATTAATCTAAAACCTAAATCTTCACGTACTAATTCATAAGTTTCACCTAATAAAGGATTAAATGGTTTTCTCTTATTTCTTTCTTTTGCACGTTGTGATGATAAAGAACTTAAAGCAAATGCTGCAATACGTAAGATTTTTTCACCACTATCATCTTTAACTTCAGCTTCTAATGCATTGGTGACAATATCTGGATATTCCAACATTTCGGCGAATTTTTGTAACACTGTAGTTGGTTCATTGTATGTAACTGGCATCGCAATTGTTGATAAATCTTTACCAACATTTTTACGTACAAAACTTAATACTGATGGTGGTGTATGGTTGCAAATCGGTACATCTGCATCTCTTGAAACAGGATCATGAGGTAATGGATATAAATTGTCATCTTCACTAACTGTTGGTTGAGGCAAATCTTGAGCTTGTGGTTCTTGTTGTTGTTGTTCAGGTGTACTTGTTGCAACGGGAACAGCTTCCAAAGTACCTTGTTTTTGTTGATAATCATCTTCTTCATCTTCTTCTTCATCTGAACTTTCCTCAACTTCATTAATTTCTTCATATTGTTGTGGTGTTTTACCTTCGTCAAGATAAACAACTCCACTATCTTCATAAAAGTGATCTTGAGCATCTTGAAAATCTGACGAAAATACTGATTGTGTATCTTGAGTAGATGATAACTGTTCTCCTTTAGCTTTTGCTAATAAAGTCATAAAATCAGCATGAATATCTTCAACCAATTCTGATTGAGGATTTTCAGTTTTTAATTGATCAATTTTGAAAGCTAAAACTTGTAATTCTGTTGCTGTAGGACCATTTGAAATTGTTGATGATGATAAAGGTTTTTCTTGCTTTTGAGGTAATTGTTGAACTTCTTCTTTTTTAATTGCATTAAATGCATTTACCCAAGCATTAAAATCAGCTTGATTAACAGCCTTTAAATGCCAAACTTCCATACCTGAATCAATAATCAATTCTCTATTTGATGGATTAGCTGAAACTATTGATTCTTTAATTGGCATCTGACCTCTTAATTTTCTATCATCAACTTTAAAATAAGACAATAAACCTCTTTGAATATTTAATACAAAGTATCTTTTGGTAAAACCTTGTAACTTCTTTCTTCTTTTTTTCAACATAACACTTTGTAATGTATCACCACTAGTTGAACTTTTTTGTTCTAAATCAAAAACATGTTGATCATGATATGTATGTTGTTGTTCTGGTGTAACTATTTCTGATTTAAATTGAACGGATTTTGCAATTGTTTTGGAGAAAGAGTTATCAAATACAAAAGCAAACATACCACCTTTTGAGACTTCAAATTTACCACGAACTAATTCATTAGCAACTAATTTATTATAATTTTTTATCAAAGTTAAATCACTTTTTTCATTGATTGAAGATAAAGTTGAAGATCTACTTTTTGATTTATAAACATCATTTGGTTTTGTAAATTGGTTGACTGATGCAGTTGATCCTGATCTTGCTCTGTTGTTTAATGGCGGTGGTGGAGTAATTGGATCAAGAGCAGTTGAAGATGAACCATTTGCTTCTGTAGTTTGGCTTAAATCGTCTTTCTTTCGATAAAATGCAAAATTAATCGATTTCTTTAATGGTTTTACTTGCCAATCAATAATTGAATTATCAGGAGCATTAATCCATTTGATAAGAAAATCTTTAGAATGGATTTCTAAAGTTTCTAAATTATCCATTCTCGATACTTAATGATAATTGAAAACTTCAGCTACTATATATATTATAGTGACAGGAGTCTGAAAATTGAGGGGGAATTCACAATTTTAAATATTCTTCGACGTAGACGATGTTATCTTCAATTGAATAAATTCGAATCTTCTTAAGATTTAAACGTTTGGTGAATATAATGCAACTAGTAATCTAAATCTAAATCTAAGCAAATGTTTAATTTTGATATTATAAATTCTAACTCTAAATGGAACTTTCTATAATTCTACCAATAATCTGTTAAGACTGAAAGATTTCACAACATACAATTAAATTATTATATTGTTAAATGTTGATAAATTTCATAAGTAAATTTATTATGGAGATTTAGTTAGTTTTATTATGTCATTTATTATGTAATATGATGTCTCAATTTGGTAATTTTTTTCAAAACTATTAACTGCTAAATTTCAAATTTATACAAGGAGCATAAGATCGTTGCAAGTATAGGAGTAGCTTGCTAAGAGCAGCTTCTACCTAATACGCTTTTGCGGCTTATACTTTTATCATTGGTGTCTTTTCTTTGGTGTCTTTTCTTTTGTGTCGTTGATTTTGACGACCATGCGCTCGATGTTGTTGAATATATTTCATGTGAGATAATTACGAATGATTAAAAAGTTGTTGGTCCTAAAATTAGACCTTCTTGCTTATGCTTCTTTCCATTTAAACTCTCCATTAAAACTGTATTCCACGGGTATTAAGAAAATTAAGATTTTCTAAAATCTATTTACGAAACAAAGATTTTTAATTTGGCTGCGAAATTTAAATATTCTGTTTTATACTTAATTGTTATATAATACAAATTATTGTATAAAGTAACTATAACTTCAAGTTCAACCTTTCTTCGCTACTACTTCTTGATATATCATAAATCTCATTAAGTATATCTTCAGTTGAATGTAATACACTATTAGTAGTTGCTGCTGACGTCATTGGTCTATTTCTTGAAAATAATAAAAATTGTAATTGTTTTCTTAGACTATTAATCATCATTCTTTGAACATTCATATCTTCTTTCATCATATAATTATCATTCATTAATCCATTTATAACATTATGTTGATCATTAATACTATTCTTTTTCATAAACGGTATCAATTTCTCATTTATTTCGTATTTTAATCTGTCAATTTCAAAATTCAAATATATTAATTTATCTTGATCTTCGATATTTTGAAACTTACTAATCTCCTCTATTGAATCATTATAACCTAGATTTGTAATTTTACCTTGAATAATACTTCCTAATAATTTCTGTATTTGTCTTTGAAGAAATTCATTCTCCAGTTCTAATTTTGTTATTTTATCATCTAATTTCTTATGAAATGGTAAAAATTCATATAATTTACAGTTATTATTCTGTATGTGAATTTCTAATGATGTTTCATTTGAACCAACCCATTTACAACCTATTTCGTGAGCCGGGCATTTCAATTTACCTAATTTTATGCAATTATCTTGATGCTTTGTTAGTTTTTTCTGGGGTATCATATCATTTCCACATAATTCACACGTCTTATAATTGAACAAACATTCTTCTTCTAGATGCTTGTCGTACGTTATTTTTGTCAATTTTTGTTTACAATATTTACAATCAAATTTTTTATGGATACATTCATTGACCTCACAATCTTTAAAAAATCTTCTCTCTACTATCAAATCACAAACTTCTTCCACGTCTTCTTCCACGTCTTCTTCCACGTCTTCTTCCACGTCTTCTTCCTCTTCCTCAATCAGTTTTTTATACTTTCTTATACCATTACATTTTACACCTGTATATGGACATAATTCTAATATATGATGTTCTAATTCCCATCTACTTCCATTCCAATCACATCCTCTCTCATTATTTAAGCAATATACTTTTAAGTCATCTATTAAATTTGTTATTATCAATGGTGTTGGAAATAAATCGTTAATATTTTTGGAATCTAGAGGTGTTCTATCTAATGGACAATGTCCACTATCTATACTTGAAGTACTACTATTCTTAGCCATTTTGAAACATTCAAACATACATTCTTTACAAAAAGTATGGCCACATATTGTAGTTAATGGATTTATAAATGGTTGTTGGCAAATTGGACAATTTAAATGATCAATTGTTGATTTATATTTAACACATCTTAAATCTGGTACATCTGAATTATTTGTAAGATTAAATGATGTTGGATAATTAGTTATAGTAGTGTTTACATCATATTCATCTTCTAACGACATGGTATTCGAATGCCTTTAACTTTTCAAATGTGGAGCAAAATAAAGATTTTCGTTTCGTTACATTAAAAAATACGCGACATAGTTATGGTTGCAAAATTGAAATTTTATATAAGAAATGGAACCAAGTCAATGAGACCAGCTTGAAAGAACATTATCACCTTTGAGTATTAAGTCAGAGCATATAAAGCATATAAATAACTACAGAGTGAGCAAAGATGAGCTGAATCATATTTTTTCTTTTTTTCTTTACGTATATATTGGGTAAAGCTATACAAACAAATTTCTATAGAAAACCTACATAACCCGAATGCCTCTAAGTTAATGTTTCTTATCATAAGAAAGTTGTTTTGTAAGTTATAGTCTGAAAAGTGACTGATATTATTAACTTTTGAATTATTTTGCAAGAATTTTGCTGAGAAATTGATTTCAAGAATATTTAGTCAAACACTCATCAAAACACTATTTCACTTACTGTAACAAAACAGGATCACTTTCAATAAGACAATGAAGCTTGTTTAAAGCGATCTATCCAATGTAAATTAATAAGTGAATAAAAATAGGTATTTGCTCGTGATCTAAAAATCATAATGGCTAGGCCCATAAAACCTCGAAAGTTGCGCAAGGAAGATTGGTGTAGTGGTTAACATATCTGCCTTCCAAGCAGGTGTCACGGGTTCGATTCCCGTATCTTTCATTTCATTTTTTTTTTGTAGGATCTAAAACCGTCTGGCGATTTATTTTTTAAGCAGCATAATTTTTTAACTTCTTCAATGCATGTTTAATAAGTTTATTCGCAAATATAGTAGTTTAATTACAATGAAAAGATCAATTGGTGAAACTATAACATTAAATGAATCAGAAACTAAAATACGAAATTTATTAGTTAATTATTGTGATTATTATAATCAAAATGTCAATAATAAAGTATCACCATTGGAATTAAGAATAACTGGTGGTTGGGTTCGTGATAAATTATTAGGGAATGAAAGTCATGATATCGATATTGCTATTAATCATTTAACTGGTGAAGAATTTGCTAATGGTTTACAAGAATATTTAAAAGAATATCAACCTGATTTCATTACCAATCATGTACATACAATTAAAATGAATCCTGAAAAATCAAAACATTTAGAAACTTGTACTACAAAGTTATATAATATGGACATTGATTTTGTTAATTTAAGATCTGAAATATATACTTATGACTCAAGAGTTCCAACAATTAAATTTGGTACACCTGAAGAAGATGCAAAAAGAAGAGATGCCACATTAAATGCATTATTTTATAATTTAAATGAGAATAAAATTGAAGATTATACTGGTGTAGGATTAAAAGATTTACAACAGGGAATTTTAAGAACTCCATTACCTCCAATTAAAACTTTTTTGGATGATCCCTTAAGAATTATAAGATTAATACGATTTGCAAGTAAATTTAATTTTATAATTGAAAATGAAACATTAAATGCAATGAAAGAACCACATAATCAAGAAGCATTACTGACAAAAATATCAAAAGAAAGAATAGAAAATGAATTAAGAAAAATTTTAACTAGTAAAAATCCAGGTTATGGTTTACAATTGATAAATTATGCAAATTTAGTTCATTCAATTTTTTATGTACCTGATTTAGAGAAAGATTTTACAAAAGAATCTTTAGAAAGTTGTTGTGCTAGAATACCAAGGCATTTGTTGATCTCAAGTTTGATTTATCCAAATTTCAAAAATGTAATTTTACAATCTAGTAAAAAAATGAAACATTGGTTGAGTAAATTATTGAACAATGAAGATTGGATGAATGTTTTCTGGTTATCCATCATATCACATCCTTATTCTGTTGTAAAACCAGTAGAATCAAATACAAATAATCTAAATGTTTTCAATAATTTTATGAGATTAGGATTGATGTCAAAAAAAGCAGATATAACAAAAGTAACAGCTATAAATTTATCAGATAGACAAGCAATTGATGATTTTATCCAAAATGGAAACATCAAAAGATCTGAATTGGGTTTATATTTAAGAAAATTTTCCGATTTTTCACCGTTAAATTTATTAATTCAATCATTATTAGATTGTATCCATCAAGTTAACATAGATCATCATACCCAAACATTACCATATCCTGAACAAACGCAAGAACTATTTAATGATAAAATGGTTAATGATAAAATAAAAGAGATAATCAATAACTACGAATTATTATTTGATCAAATTGATGAATATGAATTAAATGATGTACATTTAATTAAACCAACATTAAATGGTACACAATTAGTGAAGAAATTAAATAAGAAACCTGGTCCATGGATGAAGACAATTATAGATGAAGTATTAATTTGGCAATTAGATAATCCAAATAAATCATCAGATGAATGTTTTGAATATATTAAAACGATTATAGAATAAAGTTAATACATGCACATATATCTTTCGTAGTCCACAAAATCGTGTTACAAAATCGTGCTACAACGGGCCTGAAAAAAAAAAAAAAAAGTTTTTCAAATTTCCTTATAATTGAGTCATATTGAAACTATGTCAATTAATAAGGTACCCATATTGGGTAAAGAAACCATTCATGTTGGTTATAATATTCAAGATCATATAGTGAATGAAGTTATAACAAATTTACATAGTTCAACCTATGTAATTATCACAGATACAAATATGTCAAAAACACAACCATTTAAACAATTGTTGCAAGATTTTGAAAATCAATTGAAAAATATAAAACCAGATTCAAGATTATTAACTTATTATGTATCACCAGGTGAAAATAATAAAAATAGAGAAACTAAAGCTGCAATTGAAGATTATTTATTACAAAAAGGTTGTACAAGAGATACAGTTATTTTAGCCGTGGGAGGTGGTGTAATTGGTGATATGATTGGATTTGTTGCTGCTACATTTATGAGAGGTGTTAGAGTTGTACAAGTACCAACGAGTTTGTTAGCAATGGTTGATTCTTCAGTTGGTGGTAAAACTGCAATTGATACTCCATTAGGTAAAAATTTCATTGGTGCTTTTCATCAACCTGAATATGTATTTTGTGATGTTTCATTTTTAGAAACTTTACCAACTAGACAATTTATAAATGGTATGGCAGAAGTTGTTAAAACTGCAGCTATATGGAATGAAGATGAATTTACAAGATTGGAAAACTTTAGTAAAAAATTTTTGGAAGTTGTTTCCAACGAAAATTTAGATTTAACAAGTATAAAAGAAGAGTTGGTTAAAACTGTATTAGAAAGTGTTAGAGTTAAAGCACAAGTTGTTTCATCAGATGAAAAAGAATCTGGATTAAGAAATTTATTAAATTTTGGTCATACTATAGGCCATGCAATTGAAGCTGTATTAACACCAGAAGCATTACATGGTGAATGTGTTTCTATTGGTATGATTAAAGAAGCTGAATTATCAAGATATTTAGGTATACTACCACCAGTTGCAGTTGCAAGATTATCTAAATGTTTAGTAGCTTATGGTTTACCAACTTCAGTAGATGATAAAGAATTTTTAAAGAAAATTGGTATAAAGAGACATGATTTAAATATTGATATATTATTACAAAAAATGGCAATTGATAAGAAAAATGATGGTTCAAAAATAAGATCAGTTTTATTAGAATCTATAGGTAAATGTTATCAATTAAAAGCACATCAAATTTCAAAACAAGATTTATCATTTGTTTTAACTGATGAAGTTTTAGTATATCCTTTTAAAAATATACCAAAAGAAAATACAATAATACCACCAGGTTCAAAATCAATATCAAATAGAGCTTTGGTATTAGCTGCATTGGGTGAAGGAACTGTAAGAATAAAGAATTTATTACATTCAGATGATACAAAACATATGTTGGATGCGGTTGCTTTATTACAAGGTGCTGAAATTTCATTAGAAGATAATGGTGAAACAATTGTTGTCAAAGGAAATGGTGGAAATTTGAAAGCATGTAATGAAGAATTATATTTAGGTAATGCGGGTACTGCATCAAGATTTTTAACAACAGTTGCATCATTAGTACAAGTTGGTTCTACAAAAGATGTTATTTTAACTGGTAATTCAAGAATGCAAGAAAGACCAATTGGTCCATTAGTCGATGCTTTAAAATCAAATGGCTCCAATATTCAATATTTGAATAAATCAGGCTCATTACCATTAAAAATTGAAGCTGGTAATGGATTAAAAGGTGGGAAAATAGAATTAGCAGCTACCATTTCATCTCAATATGTATCATCAATTTTGATGTGTGCTCCATACGCAAAAGAACCAGTTACATTATCATTAGTTGGAGGTAAACCAATTTCACAATTATATATCGACATGACAATATCAATGATGAAATCGTTTGGTATTAAAGTTACAAAATCTAAAACTCAAGAACATACATATCATATACCAAAAGGTATTTATAAGAATCCAAAAGAATATATAATTGAATCAGATGCTTCATCAGCTACTTATCCATTGGCTTTGGCTGCTATGACAGGTACTTCATGTACAATTCCAAATATTGGTTCAAGTTCATTACAAGGTGATGCTAGATTTGCAGTTGATGTTTTAAAGCCAATGGGTTGTAAAGTTGAACAAAGTGAATTTTCAACTACTGTTACTGGTCCACTGTTGGGAAATTTAAAACCATTACCACATGTCGATATGGAACCTATGACTGATGCATTTTTAACTGCTTCTATAGTTGCAGCTGTTGCTAAAGATGGTAAAACTTCAATAACAGGTATTGCGAACCAAAGAGTTAAAGAATGTAATAGAATTGAAGCTATGATCACTGAATTGAAAAAATTTGGTGTTGAAGCGAATGAATTACCTGACGGTATTGAAATAAATGGTATAGATTATGAAAATTTAAAAACACCAGAAGTTTCAAAAAGAGGTATTTGTTCATATGATGATCATAGAGTTGCAATGTCATTCAGTTTATTGGCTGGATTATGTAAAGAACCAGTATTAATATTAGAAAGATCAACAACTGGTAAAACATGGCCTGGATGGTGGGATATTTTACATTCTAAATTTGATGTTGAATTAGATGGATATGAACCAAAAGGAGAAGCTAAAGAAATTGCTAAAGTTAGTGATAAAAGTATAATTGTAATTGGTATGAGAGCAGCAGGTAAAACTACATTATCTAAATGGATGGCCAACTTTTTAAACTACAAGTTTTTAGATCTTGATGAGTATTTAGAAAAGAAATTAAAGTATGATATTAGACAATTAATTAAAGATAAGGGTTGGGAATCTTTTAGAGAGCAAGAGACTGAAGTTGCAAAAGAAGTTATGGAGAAATTTTCAAAAGGATATGTATTGTCAACTGGTGGTGGTATTGTTGAGACTGAAGAATCAAGAATATTATTAAAAAATTATATCAAACAAGGTGGTATTGTTTTACATTTACATCGTGATTTAGAAGAAACAGTTACATTCCTTAGTGCAGATACAACTAGACCAGCATATTCAAATGAAATTAAAGATGTTTGGTTGAAAAGAGAAAAATGGTATAATGATTGTAGTAATTATCATTTTTATTCGACACATTGTTCAACTGATGAAGAATTTATTCATTTAAAAAATTCATTTTTTAGATATTTAAGAATTATAACTGGTGTAAGTAAACCACAAATTCCAAAATCTCGTTCAACTTTTATAACATTAACTTATCCAGATATAAAAGAAGCAGTTGAAATATTAAATGAAATTACAATTGGTGCAGATGCAATTGAAATTAGAGTTGATTTATTAAAAAATTATAATCCAACTTTTGTTGCTGATCAATTGGCATTATTAAGAAAATTAAATGAATCTCCAATTGTTTATACTATTAGAACCAAATCTCAAGGTGGTAATTTCCCAGATGAAAATTTGGATGAAATTAAAACATTGTTGTCATTGGGTATTAAATTAGGTGTTGATTTTCTTGATTTACAATTAAGTTATCCAAGGGAATTGATCGATTTCATATTGAAAAATAAAGTTAATACTAGAATTATCAGCTCCCATCATGATTTTACTGGTGATTTGAAATGGGATAATGTTGAATGGCAAAATAAATATAATTTAGGAGTTTCATTAAATGCTGATATCATAAAATTGGTTGGTAAAGCTAATGAATTTAATGATAATTTATTATTAGAAGAATTTAGAAAGAAGAATCAATTAAAACCATTGATTGGTATAAACATGGGACCTTTTGGAAAATTATCTCGAGTTTTAAATAAAACTTTTACACCAATTACTCACGATTTAATTACAAATAAACCTCCAGGTACTGGACAATTAACTATAAAAGAAATTAATCAAGCATATTATGAAATTGGTGGTTATATAGATTTAAAATTTTATGTTATAGGATCACCAATTGAACATTCAAGATCACCAAATTTACATAATGCAGGATATAAAGCATTAAATTTACCATTTAAATTTGATAGATTCGAGAGTACAGATGTTAATGAAGTTTATAATTCAATTATAAATAAACCAGATTTTGGTGGATTGGCAATTACAATGCCATTAAAATTAGATATAATGAAATATTGTAATGAATTATCAGAATCTGCAAAGATCATTGGTGCTGTAAATACATTAATACCAGATATATCAAAGCAAGCTTATTACCTTGGTGATAATACAGATTGGGTAGGTATTACCAATTCATTTAAAAAATCTGGAATTTCTTTACCAGTTAACAATGTAAATGGTTTAGTTGTTGGAGGAGGTGGAACTTCAAGAGCTGCTATTTATGCATTACATAAAATGGGTTGTGATAAGATTTATTTAATAAATCGTACAATTTCAAAATTATCAGAAATTCAAGAATCATTTCCAAAAGAGTTTAACTTAAAAATATTGGATTCAAATGATAAAATAGATGCAATTGAAAATATATCATTGATTGTATCTTGTATACCAGCAGACAAACCAATCGATGAAGAATTATTAAGTAAATTAAAAGTATTATTAAACAAAAAAAATGATTATAAATTCAAATCAACATTATTAGAAGCTAGTTATAAACCAAGAATAACGCCAATTATGAAACTATCAAATGAAGAATTTCAATGGGAAGTTATACCAGGTGTTGAAATGTTGGTAAATCAAGGAGAAGAACAATTTAAAATACATACTGGTTTCAATCCACCTTATGAAATTATTCATAATGCTGTTGTAAATGAATAGATGTTTTATTGTATATGAATAGATCTTTTATTGTATATGATAAATCGCTTAGTGTGTAGAATTGCAAAATTATATGGAAAAACTTTTGACGTAAAAGATCGGATCTACATAAGAAATCGTGCATAGAAAAACCAAAATATATAAATAAATTTTTCTACTGAAGCCGCCCATCGAGGAATGAAGTGTGAAGAGATGTTATTCAAAGTATCCTACAAAAAAGACCTGTTAAATCTGTTTAATCCGTCCTAAGTTGAAAGAACACGTGTAAATATATATCTACTTGTTTCAAAAGGGTGTGGTAATATAATAAAACGCCCTTCGTTACAACTCCGAAAGCGAAGAAAAAAAAAATAAAAAAAAAAAAAAAAAAAAAAAAAAAGAAATATAATATTCCCCTCATAAACAAATTAAAATAAGCCAGTAATAAATTAAAATTAGTTCATGAGTATAAATAGGATTCAAATGCCATATCAATTTTTATTATCACCAAATATTTGATTTATTTAACGATTTGGGTTTAGATTTTGATTTTTTTGTTATTTTTGTTATTTTTGTTATAGTTTTAGAATTATCATTTATCATCAACATATAACCAACCGTCATCACACATCTTATAACTAATCACCGTTGCTAGATATTTTATTAGTTCAACCTAAAATCAACGATAAAATCAACGATAAAACCAACATATATTCGAATAAGCAGGTCATTATTTGCGCGATGTTATCATATAAATATTTGAAACAACCACTACTATGCGAAATCAAAACACTAAATCACACATCATTAATGCGAAGAAGTTATTCAGGGTCATCGTTATTTAAAGGTGCGAGAAATTTCTTTTTAAATTTCAAGAATGATAATTTTAAAGATGAAAATACACAACCAGTTGATGAAATAATACCTTATGTTCAGTATCCATTAATAACCAAAGAACAGTTGAGGAAAATTTCTTGTGACAAGTTTAAATTTGAAGTTGGTTATGCGTCATTTGGCTATCATTCAGATTCAATAGTTCCGTCGATAAATTCATTAAGTGATTTAACTGATCCAACTTCATTAAATACATTATTACCAAAAAGAAGACCGCACGGGTCACCAAGTGATACTTTAAGTATTAAAGCTGGAGATGATACTATGTTAGTTTCGCCAACAGTTTTAGGTTTAGCTGATGGTGTTTCAGGTTGGGAAAGTGAGGGTCAATTATCAAATTCTGGTATTTGGTCTAGATCTATTGTTGAAACCTTTTCAAGATTAATGACTGAATATAAAATAAGTCATGCACCACATCATTTAAAAAGAAGAGATATTCAGGAGATTTTAGATGATTCTTTTTTACACACTTCACATTTGATGGATTTACAAAAATTGAGTGGTAGTTCAACTTTAATTTTGGGTATGTTAAGTGGTGATTTATTAATAATGTGTAGTATCGGTGATTCAAGAATATTTATTATTAGAGATGGGAAGATTATTAAATCAAATGAAGAACAAATGATTAGTGAATTATGTCCTCAACAAATTGGTACTCATACTTTAAATCATTTACCATCTGATATTGCATGGATAGAAAGTTTTAAATTAAAAGAAAATGATTATATTATAATGTGTTCTGATGGTATAACTGATAATTTGTATGATTGGGAAATTTTAGATTATTTAGATGAATTCATAAACCAAAAGAAGAATAATGTTAAAACAATTGCAAATAAATTATTAATTAAAGCAAAAGAAGTTGCATTTGATGATTATGCTTATACTCCTTATAATGAAAAAGTCAATTCATTAAAAGATATTGCACATCAACAAAGTCAAGGTGGTAAAGTAGATGATATGTCTATTGTTGCTGCAAAAGTCGTTTTTAATAAAGATATCAATAAGAATATAAAATAATTAGGAAATACAGTTCGGAATTTTATAGATTGGGTTTTTAAAAAGTTTTAGGTTTGGGTTTAATAAGTTTTATAGCTAATAATAATTAATAATAACAATAATAATAATAATACATGAATTAAATTAATTGAGTCTATTTACATTACATATTTGATGAAACTTCTGAGAAATATTGTCTTAAAATTAAAGAAAGCATTTCTGGCAATTCATTAATATTCTTAACAACAACATAAAAATCAAATGGGAAACTGTCTAAATATTTATCAACTTTCAAATTCATTTGATTTGTAACTGGATCTGTAACATAACTAACTTGTTGCATATCCATAATTGATTCTTTTGAATTTATACCATCAATAACAACAAAAACCATCATAATCTTCTCTTCTCTAGCTTTTCTAACCATTCGAAGAATTGTTTCATGGTCTTCGCAAACACCATCTGATAAAATAATTTGTAATTGCCATAAATCTGTATTACTTGTGGATCTTGCATCTTCAAAGATTTGCAATGAATCATTACACAATTGTTTCATATTAGTTCTTGTTTGTTGGAAATCAAACCATTGGAAAACTTTTGCACCAGTTTCTTGATTAGAATTAAATGGTTTATCAAATGAATGAACAACTTTAACATCTTCACCAAATCTAACAATTGATAATCCTCCACTTTCCAATTGACTTAAAGCTTTTGAAACTAATGCAATACTATGGAATGCCAATTCTGTTGATTTGCTTTCACTCATTGATTTTGAATCATCAACAGCAATCATAATTTGATATTGTCTTTTTGAAGGTTTTGTTCTTTTTAACCAAATTTTATCCTTTTTGAAATCAGATGCAATATATGGGATAATTCTTTTCATATTCAAACGTTTACCTGTTTTATAATCACCTCTTAATTTAGTAGCCAATGTTGGTTCTAAGATTAATCTCAATTGTTCACATAAACCTGAAGCCAATTCTTGAGTAGCTAATTCACTATTTCTCCATAATTCACGAGCTTTATCTAATGAAACTGGTGGTAAATCGGCGAACTCATCAACATCCAAGTTTTCATTATTGTCAATTTCAATGTGTTCAATACCATCATCTTCTTCAATTTCTTCATTAAATTCAAATTCTGTATCTTTAAATTCACTTTTTCTTTCTCCAATAAAAGCTGACTTAGATTCACCCTCGAAATCAACATCCGGATTTTCTTCATTTGTTTCTATTTCATCCATATTTTCATCTTTGACTTCATCCTTTGTTGGTTCTTCTTTTATCTCAATATCATTCAGTTGATCTTCATCATCAATAGCTTTGTCTTCATCTATAGATCGCACTTGGTCTTTATTATCTGCAGCACCCAAAGCTTGTGTATCATAATCAGCATTTTCTCCATCAACATGTTGGAATTCTTCTGGCTTTTGATTAGCCGATTCTTCAGTTTTTTCTTCTTTTTCTTCTTTTTTAGCTTCAACGATTTCTTGTTTACGTCTATGAAATTCTTTCAAGGAATCACCCAATTGCTTTAAAGATTCATTTGCCTTTTCTCTCGATTCATCTTGTTGTTGTGCTGAATCCTCTTGATCTTCTTGTTGTTGTTGCTCCAATGATGCATTACCAGCAGCTCCCAAATCATCATTTTCCTCCATAACTTGATTATCTGCACCTTCACCTTTTTCTCCAGTTTCTTGTTTCGTAGCAGCATCCATATCTATATCATTTGGATCAATATCATTTGAACCTTCTACACCTTCAGCATTAAGTTCTTCCTCATCTTGATCATTTCCACCTTCTTCTTTTTCATTAGTCTTATCTTCTTTAACAGTTTCATCTTCTGAATCTATAACTTCTTCATTGGTTTCATTTTCTTCAGCATTCACCTCTTGATCTTTAGTTTCTTCTTCTTCTTCCATTTCTTGATCTTCTTGTTCATTATCTTGATCTAATTCTAATTGTTCTTCATTAGTTTCCTCATTATTTTCCTCATTATCAGACTCAATCTTTTCATTTTGATCATCATTCATTAAGTCGTCTAATTTGTCATCATCGTTATGGTCTTCTTCATCTTTTAGATCTTCTTCTTCTTCATCTCCATCTAAATTCATATCTTCTGGTAAATCTAATGTTTCAGTTTCTGGTACATGTTCATCCAATTGTTCATTTTCTTGATTTTTAACCTCATCTTCTTGTTCCCCAACATCCAACTCCTCATCATTATCATCACCTTCTTCTTGTTGTTCTTCTTCACCTTGTTGTTCATTATTATTATCTTGCTCTTGTTTCTTTTCATTTTCATTTTCATTTGCTTCTATATTTTCGTCTTTATTTGAGGAATCTGGTAATTTATCAGCATCTTTTTCCTTTGTATCTTCTTTAGCTTCCTCATCCCACATCTTTTCATCAATTGCATTTGGATCTAAATCATCTATATCATCAATTTCTTCATCCAAATCTTCTTGCTCATCTTGATTATCTTCATTTTCATCATTTTCTTGATCAGAAGCATCTTCCAAATTACCAGCCATATCACTTTCTATATCTACTGCATCATCATTCTCATTTTCTTCACCTTCATCTTTCTCCTTTTGATCTTGATTTGCTTGCTGAGCATCTTCTGTTAAATCTTCATCATCTTGAACATCATTTGAATTATTATTTATACCTTCACCATCACCTAAACCAGTACCTTCTTGTAAATTATTATCATTCTTTTGTTCTTGGGGGTGTTCTGGTGAACAAAAACCTTTAGTAGCTAATGTATATAATGAATTTGATAATATAAATGCAGCTTTGGAAAGATTGGAATAATTTGAATATGCTTTTTCAAATATACTTGAACAAAGTTTGAAATAATGATTAAGTAATGGATAAGTAAATGAAGCCAATGCAGATACTAAATTTGAAGATTCTTCGTTATGATTTAATCTTAAACTTGCTTCAATACAATTCTTCAATTTTGAAATGATTGATTTAATGTGTAGGTTTTTCATGTATTGAGCAACTCTAGTTTGTGATGAAATTAACCAAAAATCATCATCTCTTGATATTTCTTCAGTTTGACAAGCCAACGTTTTCTGAACAGCAACAATAATGGCAGTAGATAAATCTCTATATTCTTTTTCAATTGAGGTAATAGTACTATTTGCTTCAGGATTTGATAAGTTATATTTGGTTTCAACAACATTATTAAACCAATTCAATATAACATCTCCAATAAAGGAAATTTTTGAGTTTTCTATTTGCCATTTTCTCAATCTAGTAATCAAATTCTCTTCAAATGTTAAAAACTTTTGAACCGAAACTTCCACTTGATTTGTGAGTAAACTTACATCTAATTCACTTTTCAAATTTGATAATTCTTGTTTCAAATTATAAAATAAATCTGGTTTAAAATTAAATGAAAATGTATTGACTGATACTATAGTTTCAATAGCGTAGTCCAATAATTTAGGTAACCAGAATACAATCTTCTCGATAGATTCCAATTGAATTTCGATTGAATCCTTGACAGAAACTGGAAGCAAAATCTCTTGTTTATTTTTCAACTTGGCAATATTGAAAAATTTTGAATATAAACCATCAATCTCCTTAAAATTTACAGCCAAATCTTTTAATGGAACTCTATTTACAATTAATGAATGAATTAAATTTTCAGCAGCTGCAAGACCTTTTTCAACATCAACTTGTGGAACATCTTCAGCAGTTGTTGTTACTGAAGATCTTAAACGTGGTAAAAGATCTAAGATTCTGAAAAAATATGAATCACATCCATTAGCTAAACTGTCGTCAAATGAAATTGAATTTGCAAGAATTAAATTAACTGAGCCTTGAGTTGAAAGAATATCAGAACGCGACCTTAATTTCAAACCAGCACGTCTTAAATCTTTTAATGTATCACTTAAAAGTTTTCTCTTTTGAGTTTTCAAATTTGCAACAATTTTCTTATTATCTTCTTTTAAAACACTTGGAGTTTCCTTTTTCAATCTCTCCATTTCCGAAACTAATTCATCAGCAAATTCTAATAATTGTGGCAATTCTTCACTTGAAATTTGATCAATATAAACTTTCATATTCTTATCAACCATTGCTATATTTTGTAATCTTGATGGTCTTTCAATCCAAGATGGTATTGACTTTACAATTGATATTTCTTCAGGATCTGCTATTAATTCTTTTGTAAGAGGTATTTCAACTTGACCAAGTACAGGTTTGATATCAACTGATAATCCTTGTTCAATAATTGATTGCACTGGTGTATGTAGTAAAGCACGATATTTCTTGATAACTTTATATAAATTATTATGAGATCTTTTTGCACTTTGTTTCAAAGAATCTATATTGACATCTTTCCAGCTAGCTAGTAAAATCACTTCATTAACATCTTTTTCCAATTGTTTTTTGACAATTTCAATATTGTTAAACACAGTTGATTCAAATTGACTGTAAAATTCAATGAAATTTGAAAGTGCATCCACTATTGCATGGTTTTCATCAATTGATTTAGAATGATTCTTGAAAGCTTTTAATAAATTCAATCTAACATTAAATTCACCATAACTAACTTTACTCATAAACACATTCAATGCTGATAAAATTTTAACTTTTGAATCTTCTTCTTTCTCTTCATCACTCAACATTGGAATGATAATCACTTCTAATAAATGGAACCACCATTTTCCAATATTTTTCTCGACTGCTTTTTCTTCAAACGAAAATAATGCTTTCCATGTAGATAATTCTAATTTTCTCCATGATACAATTAAATTAGTTAAAATATCAAATTGATCCTTTAGTGAAACTTGACTTGAAGCATATTTTTGCCATTCAGCGATAAAAGTATAAATTTGTTCTAATTTTTGTAAATATCTACCTAATGGTAATCCAATTGGATATGATAAAAACTCATTGGTTGCAAAAACAATATTTCTTAATGTTGCATGTTCCGGCCACTGATCTAATAATTTTCTCGATGATGCTATTAAATTAGTCATTATACCATTTGCCTTTTTAACTTCAATGATATTACTTTCTTGGTAGAAATTAAAATCATGAGATGTTTTAGTAAATTTACTTTGAGTTCTTGATAATGAATCAAGCAATGATGCAAAAGCTGATGGATCATTTTGATCAAGTTTTAAATCAAAATTATTCAATGCACCAACTAGTTCACAGCCTTCTTGTACAAGTTCACTGATACTGATATCTTCTTTATTCAAATATTCCTTAATATATGCACTTGCAATATTTTCATATACTGTTTCAAAGTCTTTATTATTCTTTTTAACACCTTCAGAAAGATCTAAAACATCTTCAAAATCTGGGAATAAGTTTTTGAAGTCTTGTTCTGCATCTTCTTCTTGATCATTGTACTTATACATGCTACCTTGTTGAATATTATCCTTTTCTTCTTTGATCCTACGAAGTGACCATCTATAATATAATGACTGAATAGATTGAGTTATCAACTCAAATTGTAAATCATCTTTAGAAGCGTAAGCTAATCTCATGAAGTAGGACATTAACAATTCAGAATTTGCATTATCAACACTAATACTTTTAGCGAATTTCTTAGCGGCTGGGAAAACTTTTTTAACTGATTCAATTGAAGTAAAATCTGCAACTTTCATAGACCAGTCTGCTGAATAGTTGAAAAAACCTTTATGATTGTCAATATTAATTAAATCAAAACCTAATTTTAGTCCGTAAATGTACCCACGTAAAATATCATTTAAATCTGAAAATACAAAATAATTTTGTTGCATTCGTAATAAAAATTGGGAAGTATTATTTTGAAACATTTGAATCATATTATCAGTCAATTCTGAATAATTTAAGACAGATTTTAATAATTTTTCCACATGATCAACATCAATTGAAGAATCCATAATTGAATTCCATTCTTCAAATAGATTATTTATTGCTGATGTATTTGTATCACGATAAACCTTTGGATTGCTTGGTGCGGTCAAATCAGATGGTCTCCTCAAGGTCGACTCCAAATAAATTTCATTATCACCATTAGCTACTTCTCTTGTAACTCTCCACGAATCAACTAATTTCTCTGCTGAATCTTTTTGATCTTCATAAACTTTATATAAGACATATTCTTTAATTGCTGGATCATATGGAGTATTTGGAACAAATAATTGAATCATACCACAAGAGAACAAAATCCAAGCTTTACCAAGAATTTGAACTTCATTATCTACCTTTTCAAGTAAATAATATGCAGCGATTATATACTTAGTTAATATTGTAGCAACATTGGAATCTAATTGTGCAACTGCATTATTTAAAACATCTTTATCGAATGAAATTTCTTTAATACCTTGAGATTCCAAAACAGATAATATCCAATTTTTCAATAAATTAGCGAATGTTTCTTTCTGATCCTTTAATATATAGTTCGAGTGGTTTACCAAACTTCTCGAAAGTTGATATAAATCAGCATTTGTTTGATCAAGTAATTTACCTGAAGTTAGATTATAATTTATTGATTTATCCAATACTGATAGTATTAACTCATTCGTAAATAATGTAGAAACACTAGATTTTGTATTACCTTCATCCATGTACCATAAAGAATCCAATACTGATGGATAAATTTTATTATTATCACCTTTAAATAATGACATCATTGAATCATTTGCAAATATATACAATTCAAGCAATTGATCTTCATCACCATTATTTGCTTTTATATAATTGGAAATCATGGCAAAGTCAGTTTTAAATTTGTTAAAACGTTTAGTAATAAATGAATCTGAAACAGAAGTTAAATTTGTAACTCCATCTTCGATCTTTTCAAAAACCAAATTCAATTCTTCAGGATCGTAATCATTCAGAACAATTGATTTGTATAACTGTTCAATTGAAATTGCAAAAGTAGTTACTGTGTCAACAGATTCATGGTATTGGTTTTTCGAGACAACATCAATTTCATGAATTATGCTTATCAATTTTTGTTGATTGTTCCAAGATTCAATACTTTGTGGATAAACTCCTCTATAATTTTCCCAAATCTCATTAATTAACAAACCTGTATTAAGTTGAAGTTGGCCACCAAAAGTATCTACAGCTGATTTTAAATCACTCAAATTAGTTTTTACCATACTTAAATTCTCATATTTTTGACTCCAATATACAATAAGATCTTGATAAATTCTTAATTTTGATTCATTATGTTCATGAGCTGTTTCTATGAAACTTATACAGACTTGTATTAATTCATAAATTGGTTCATATATCGTATTTGAAAGAAGATCATTTAAGCTAGACAAAAAAGTTGAACAAACATAATCATAAACTAGTTTAATAAAGCTGTAAACATGCAATCTAGGAGGTGATTTAATATTTCTTCCCAAAACAAAAGCTGCAGATGATTCAATAAAAGTCAAGTCATGAATTTTCTTATTCATTGCATCGAATTCAATTTTCACTAAAGTCTTGTTCAAATTAACAATTCCATGGATAACTTCATAAAAAGCTGTAGCTTCAAATGATTTTGAGGTTGGATAAGATTCAACAAATGATGCTGTTACATACATGTTGATCAGAGGATGACTTGATTGATGTTTTCCAAATTGAACTTCTTTACCAATAATTTGATTAGCAGAATGATTTGAATTGTTGTACATAGTTTGTACTTTTTCAAAAAGATTGGATTCCATAAATACTTTCAAGTTCTCAATAATTTCTGATCTTGATAATTCATGAACAAATTCAGTACTGCTGTCAACAAAACCTTTCCATTGTTCAATAATATCAAAAAGTTTCATTGGAATTAAACTACATAAAGAACTGAGACTTGAATCATTCTTAAATGACAAGACATCTTCAATTAAACTAAATGGTCTCATATTTGTATCAACATTATAGGCAAATGAACTTGTTGGAACATATCTTTGGTGAACTTTTAATTCTTCAATTTTCTCTGGTAAATCATCAGATAAAACTTCTTTATTTTGAGCAATATTCAAAACTTTTGAATCAAAGAACGAAGCTCTTTTATTTAATGGTTCCATGTAAACTTCAATTCCTCTATTTCTCATAGCTCTTGACAATTCACCATACTTAGGATCCATTGTTAAAAATAACCTAAAATTTGGATGTGGTTTTAATTCTCTTGGTTGACCATCTCGTAAACTGCACTCATTGATTATCAAAGTACCATTGGTTTCGAGTAATGAATTCAACCTATCTAAAACAGATGGTGAGCATAAATTTGCATTATCAAGAATTAACCAGTTTCCTTTTTCGACAGCTTTAACTAGTAAACCATCAAACCATTCAAATTTAACAGTTTTTGTTTCATTTAACTTTTTCAATAAAATTTCAGACAGATTGAGCAAATAATCTGGTAATAGATGATATTGTGAAAACTCAATCAATTTATCATGAAATTGACTATAATTATTTAAATCAATACTGTCATCACTTATGTTTTTCAAAATATCTAGTGCCATGATTAATGCATCATCATTTGCTTCTTCATGTACAAGATTAATCACTATCGTTTCGTTAATTGTTTTAAACACCTTATCTAATATTGAGTTCATTTCCCTTGATAAATCAACTTGTTCATAACCACCTAATATATCCATGGAGTCCACATCACTATTCATTGAAAATTCATCTAATTTAGCTCCCACAGATGTTGCTAAGAAACGAATCAAGTCAGTTTTACCCGAATTAGTTGGCCCACTCAAAATCAATGGAATATTATGTACAATACATCTAAATGCAGTTTCAATCAATTCAAAATTACATTGTAATGGTAATAAATTTTGACCACTAACATATTGTAATATATCATTACGTTTTACCAATGCACCACCTGATTGAATAAATGATTCTGAAATCGTGAAATAATTATCACGTTTTGCAATTGGACCAAAGACTTTTTCAAATAATTTTAATGCTTTACCTCTATCATCAGCATTTCTAAATCTTTGACAAACAATCATTTTAACAAAATCAGATAATTGTAATTCTTGTGAAATTTCACCTGAAGAATATAAACCTAACCATCTTAAAGTATCACGTAAATTAAATTCCCATGGTCCACCAGATGAACCCCACAATTTTTTGATAATGACTTCCTCTTCTAGTAATGACATGAATTTGATTAATTTAGAACATTCTTCTGCGATCACAGTAGGATATAAGTGTCGTGAAATCAAATTTAAATCTTGAGACTTCAATATATCAACATAAACAACAGTGAAACGATTTATGAATGATTTTGGTAAACCTTTCCTACCACCACCTTGATATTGAGGATTTTGAGCAGCAAAAACAGTAAATTTTGGATGACGTTTGAACGATTTATCTAACTCTGGAATGTATGCTTCACCTCTATGATCTAAACAAGCATTTAAACCTTCTAGAACTGATTGAGATGCTAAATTCATTTCATCTAATAAAACCCATTCCCCCCTTTGCATTGCTCTTAAAAATGGAGCATCACGCCAAACAAATTCACCAGCTTTTCCACTTTCAGCAGGTGCATCTGAACCAAATAAATCGACTAAATCAGTCTGTTCTGATAAATTTATACGAATTAAATTGTTGCCTGTGGCTTTAGCTAAAGCAGTTACTAAACTTGTTTTTCCAACACCAGGACTACCTTCTAATAAGATCGGTTTTTGAACTTGCATTGCTCTAATGACTCTCATTGCATTAGCTGCTGTTGTAGGAGCTTCTAAATTGAATGATTTGTTATGAGTAAAGTTTTCATTGATTGGAATTGAGAACAAACCAATATGTAAAAATTTTGAATCATCAATAATTGCATTATCACCATTAACAAATTCAAATAAATCAGCATTTGCAAATTCCGACAATTTTTCAGTACATTCTGATTTGATCTTTTTCAATTTTAGTTCATTTTCAGATAGATAAGCAGTATTATTTGTACCTAAAGCATCAATAAAAACCATCGAAGCACCATGATATAAAGCAGCTTTTGGATCAACATCTTTAGTACAAGAATTGATGAATTCAACCCAAGCTAAAATATCACGCAATGAAATAATACCATTATTTGTATGTCCACCTCCGAAATGCTTAGCATACCATTCAGAAAATTTGACAATGGCGGATGTTAATTCTTTATAATAAAGTTTTGATTCAACAATTTGATAAACATCATTAAAATCCTCCATTGATGGAACCCAAATTTCTGTAAATCTATTTCTTAAAGCTGGAGATAATTCCTTTTTACCATAGTCACCACCAGGGTTCATAGTTGCTAAGAATTCAAAACCGTCTTTTGCTATTAAAAATGCATCATCAGTACCTTTCTCAGCTAATAATATACTTCTTTCTGGTTCCAAAACAGAGTTTAACCTTTCTAAAACAGAATCATCAGCTAATGAAATCTCATCAAGCAAAAAGTAATCTCCTTCTTTCATTGCTCTAATTAAAGGACCATCAATCCACTCAAACAATACGGAAACATTTTTCTTATCTTCGTTAATCTTGTCAACTAACTCATTATATTCTTCTGGTATCTCGTGAATGCTTTTGTATTCATTAAGTAAATTATCCAACGTAAATTCTGTTTGCAATGATATATTTAGTCCCTGAAACAATTGAATTAAATTATTAAATAAACTACTTTGAGTTTCAAATTTATTTCTAACTGGTCTTTGAGCACCTAATAAATCACCAGTTTCAGTATTTTGATGAGCATTAACAGTAACCAAATTCTTTTCCAAATATTTGGCAATAATTTGACATACAGTTGTTTTACCACAACCTGTTTCACCAACTAATAATAATGGTTCTTTATATTTAATAGATGTGTATACTAACACCGCTAATCTTCTCATTGCTTTTGTCCAAACAATCGAGTCATCACTTTCTAGTATAGGTTCAATTTCAAATTCCAATTGTCTATAATATTCATCCATATCGAGTTTGACTTTCATAACTTTTTCAATTGTTTTTCTAACAACTTCTTTTTCATCTTCTTTTCTAACTCTTTCAGCTAATAACATATATCCATTGGCTGCTAATTCTTCATATCCGACTGCATCTCTTAAAGCCCATCTAAATAAATCTCTTAAAGTTGCAAATGAATTTTTTTGTTCAAATAATCTTGTAGATTGACGTTGAACTGATAATTGTCTATAAACTTCAACAATATTTTTACCATAAGAAGGAGCAATTTTACATCTTTCTCTCAAAATGATTTCTAATTCATCTTGTGGAATATCATCAAAATTTAATTCTAAAAATCTATTTCTAAATGCTCTTGATAACATTTTTCTACCACCATATAAACCAGGAGGATTTTGAGTAGCAAACAACATAAAATCGGGATGTGGAGTTATGATTTCTTGAGTTTCAGGTACGAATAATTCTCTATTATCATCTAATAAACGATTTAATGCTTCTAAAACATCACTAGGTGCCAAATTTAATTCATCAAGAACAATCCAGTAACCTTTTCTTAAAGCTTCAACTAATATACCTTCTTTAAAAACTAATTTACCCAGTGAATCTGATACATAAGTACCTAAATATTCTTGTAAATCAGTATGTTCATGATTATTGATACGGACAAAATTATGACCAGTTATACTAGCTAAATAATTAATCATGGAAGTTTTACCAGCAGATGTCGGACCTTGAATTAAAACTGGAAACCTTCTACCAGCTGTTGCTCTAACCAAATTAAGCATATTTTTTTCAACAAATGGTGTAATAATATAATGTGGTTGTGGTACAATTTCATTTGGTCCATGCTTCATCCAATAATGTCTAAATTGAACATAATCTCCGCTAGTTGGAGCAGGTGGAATTTGACTCATTACTGAATTTGAATTTTTCATCTTACCAACTGTATATTTGAAAATTTCAGGTTTCAATAATTCTTCAGATTTAGCATCTAACAAAGTAAGAAATGACATTGAGAAACCTTCATATAATGACCTTCTTAGACCATAAATTGGTACAATATCACAAACATAAACTAAAGTTCTAGTTAAGGTACGAATACTGAAATGTGGTTTTTGATTAGCACCATCAACAATTTTATTTGAATCTGATAATGATTTAGCTTTTAAATATAGTTCAGCAATATCATTACCCACCCATTCATCACCAATAGTATATCTTCCAATATATTTGTCTATAATTGATAATAAATCTTGTATATCTCTATCAGGTGAATGTACATATATTTCAGTAAACCTTGATCTTATACTTAATGGTAAATCTCTTTTACCAACATCTGTTGAAGGATTCATACATCCAAATATTCTAAAATCTGGATGAGCTTTAATTGAGTCAGTGTCTCCTCTTTCTGTTAACAAAATTGATCTTTGATCTAATGAATCAGCTAATAAATCAGCTATACTTTCTAAAGTATCAGAAGTAGCTAAATTCAATTCATCTAATAATAACCATTCACCATTCCTAACAGCTTTAACTAATGAACCCTCAACAAAATTGAAAACAAATGATTGATCTAAAGTAGATGATTGCATTTCAAAAGACTTAATTTGATTTTCAAATTCTAACCACTTTTGTAATAATACGGATTTTTCAAATGATTTCAACTTTCTCTTCTTTTTACTTGGTGCACCATCTTCTTCTGGTTCAGATTCTGGTTCGGATAAAATATCTTTAGCCATCTTGAATGCTTCTTTCCATAATTTGGTCACATTTTTCCATTGACGTTTATTAAAACATTTGGTTAATATTTTGGAAAATTTTTCATTCTTCTTTTCTGAAAACGTAGCTATAAATAAGTTTTCAAAGTATTCTTGTATTGGAATAGCTATTGATTTTGAATTTACTGGTTTATAACCACCCAATAAATCACCAGATTCGGTTTGTTGAGAAACATTAATGACAGTAAGTTTTTTATTCATCAATTTTGCAACTTGTTGGACAACTGTAGTTTTACCAGTACCTGTTTCACCAACTAATAAAACTGGCTCAACCATTTCTAAAGCAACTCCAATTTGTTCCATCAATTTAAGTGAGTGATTAGTTCTTGCAAATGAAGATTGACTTGATTTCTTTATACTTGTTGATGATTTTTTCAATAATGCCCTACCAACTTTCAATTTTTCATCATCATTTAGAAATAAAGGGGCATGTTTATTCAAAAATAATTGAATTCTTGATGTTGGAATTTCTAAACTCTCTCCAACTGAATTTATGAGTGGTATTAATGCTTGGGTTTCAGTAATGGAACTTCCAAAACAATCTACAGCTTCAGCAAATATATTCTCATAAGTGGTAGTCTCTAATAATTGATTTGGTTGAGTTATACCCTCATTTATGAACATTCTATTACATCTAGCACAAAGTTTCATCAAATCTCTGAATGAAATAACTCTAGGATGTGATCCTTTATTTAACGATATAAATGATGTGGATGAATATATTTTGACAACTTCAGTAAAACATTTAATAAACAGAGATATAAATTTTGATAATAAAGGAAATTTAGTGTATAAAATACTTTTAAGTTCTGATTCGTTTGGTAATTCTACTTTTATCAATTCCCATTGTCTTAAACCAATCATATCAGGTAAAGAACTTTTTCTTGCTTCGTTAGAAATTCTAATTGTTGAGAATAATTGAAATCCATTCTTGGCTCTTATAACTTCACCTCTTGATGGTATACTTAATTCTCTTTTTTCAAGTAAAGTTAACAAGATTGATAAAACTTCAGTTGGTGCTTTATCTATATCCTCAATTAAAACCCATTTACCTTCTTGTACTGCAGATGTTAATACACCGGTTTTCCATTCAAAAGTACCTGGTTTTTCACCTGATGCATATGTACCTAATAATAATTTAGCATCTGTTTGTTCACCTAAATGTATTTTAACTATTGAACCAGTATATGACATGGAATGAGCTAATTGATTAATTAAAAAAGTTTTTCCTGCACCAGCTTTACCATATAATAGTACTGGTTTGTTGAATTGTATATTTTGAGCTAGGCTTCTCAATGCAGCTACTGCTGATTTGGTAGGAACAAAAGTTGAAACTTCTTGAGCTGATGACTTTGCCTGTATAATATTTGGAACTAAAACTCCGCATACAGATGCAATTAATGGTGATAAATTTGATGATTTAATGATAATGTTGTTTTTCGTGGGTATGTTTGTATTATGCTGTGGTAAACTTAAAAAATTGGAAGCTCTTTTTGCTTCAAGTAATGCAATAAAATAATAATTGATATCTTTGTCACCTTCGTAAGTGGAGATTATATTATGTTTATCTTCAAGATGTATATCAATCATTTTATTTTTTGACAATTCTGATGCTTGTAAATAAATGGATATAATTTGAATTGATAAAAACTTTGATACTTGACTTGAACCACTCCTTATAATCTCATATAATGCCTTTGGTATTATGTATTTTTTAAATCGACTGACATCAAACTTGATTAATCTATAATATGCTAATAAGATGGATTCCAATTCATGGGTTGTACAACTTCCTAACTGCTTTAAAAACTGGAAATTATTTAAAAAATGTTCAAATAAACTTACATATTCTATTGATATATTGATCAACCTAGATAATGCCAGTAATATTATAGATCCTTTAATTTGATAATTCTTATATTTTTTTGAATTTTTGATCTCTGTTTCAAAATCTTCTGGATATTGAATCCAACGTGCTATTATTTCTAAGAATAATGATTTATAACAATAATAATGTAATAATGTTTGATCTAATGCTTGTAAGGATAAATTATTTAAATTCTCATTAATGCCTAAGGCTTTATTGAATTTAAAAATTGATTTGACCTTCTTTTGACTGTAACTAGACTTATAAGTTGAAAACGAACGTTCAACATTGTCTAAGTTAATAATAACTTCATCATTCATGTTATTTATTAACAATTTTGATGTGTTTGATCTAATCTAAAACTTTGTAGTGTAAATTATGATGAGATGAGATTTCGAATTTTATGCGAATGTCTCAATTCTGAAACATGACATTGAAAATTTACGATAAATGACATATATTTATTTACTACCTCCTAATATAATGATCCAGTTATTTAAATTAACACAATATATGATACCAATATACAGTATATAAGCATGTTCATTGAAATCATTGATGAACGAATAGCACCTGATGTATCATTAGTTTCGTATGAACCATTAGTTCTATTATTATAGGGTCCATGATATGCTGTTGTACCATAACCTGCAGCAGCAGCAGCAATAGTAGGTGCATAATAATTTCCATAACCACAATAACGATTATAACTTAAATAACCACAATGATATTTATTATTACTAAATTTAGTTGTTTGAGGATTTGGATTATATTGAGACCAACCTCCTTTACTACCTGAAGAGCTAGATGACGAGCCTGCTCCATTGGACCCAGAATTCGAAGATGAGGAAGATGAACTACCACCATTACTACCTGAATTTGATGTAGAGCCCAGATTTTCTGAGCCCAGATTTTCTGAGCCCGAGTTATTTGAGCCCGAGTTATTTGAGCCTGAGTTACTTGAGCCCAGATTTTCTGAGCCCAGATTTTCTGAGCCCGAGTTATTTGAGCCTGAGTTACTTGAACCCAGATTTTCTGAGCCCGAGTTATTTGAACCGGAGTTACTTGAACCTGAACTACTGGAGCCTGAACCACCATTAGAACCAGAAGAACCAGAAGAACCAGAAGAACCAGAAGAACCAGAAGAACCAGAAGAACCAGAAGAACCACTTGAATGCCCTGAGCTTCCTGAAGAATGCCCTGAGCTTCCTGAAGAATGCCCACCACTTTTTCGTTTTGTTATTAATGATTTTTCGTTTTCATCAATATCAACAGGTTGTGATAATATTTGAAATATTAATGTAAATAGTATGAAAAAATTTGTAAACTGCATGATGATTTAGTCTAATAATTTAAGATTAATGAATAGGTTATTTTGATTTGCTTATATAGTCAAGTGTTGAATACTATAATGTTTATATTTCGTATTTTAGAACCGGCTTCAATTGCATAGTAGTGGGCTTGTAAAATTTTTCAATATAAAAAATCATGATAATTGTTAAAATTAACCCATTAAGCATAGAAGACAACAAACAAAGGCGTACCAATGTCAACTTTCGATAATTAGACACATGGGCAATAGATTAGTTGTTCCATACAAAATTTAGAAATCTTAAATAATCTCTTGACAAAAGTTTTTAATCTTTAGAAATATATTTTTTGAATCTGGACCAGATCTGGCCAAGAATTGTGATAATAACGGGTCCCTAGATTTTGTTTTTTCTTAGATACGAGATGGTCTGCGTTCTGAAGGTTTCTTATGTATTTTACGCTATTAACGAGTAAGACTCTAAGCACTGATGATCAAAGTTAAAAAGTTAATTAGTTCTCAAATTGCATTGATAATTTCCTTTTCTGTCAATTAACAGGCTATAAAGTTTTAGATTAATACGAATGATGATGCGCAAGCGAAATTTAAAATTTAGAGGCTTACAAGAGCATAGAATGATTGTTTTAAGCCATTTAAAACAGTGATATGGAATTAACTGATAACAAGTTATCCAACCCATGATCATGATCACGGAATGAAATATCATTTTGTTCAAATTCTACTTTATTACCGTAGTTTTCTGAATTGCTAGTAATTGGGTTGGCCTCACTAGATTCATTCTAGATGAGTCATTTCCTTGAGATGGGTAGACATTGATTCATTAAGTTACCAGCATGAGCAAGGAGCTGAATTGTCTAAATCAACATATTTTTCACAAACTATTGATAAAACTGTGGACCTGTTGATAACGAAAGCGTAGGGCGAAAAAAAAAAAAAAAAAATATTAAATCTAAAACAATGAATTACTAAGACCAAATAATTGAATTCTTTCCATTTAATCAGTAAACGTATTCATAATACTCATAAATGACAGAAAACAAAACAGAAACCATCATATACAACAACGAAAGTATATTGTTTGGTGAAAGAAATGGTGAATACTTCATTGAATCAAGTTCGGAGATAAAAGATGCGATCAAGATTACAGATTTACCAAATCATTTACTTCAAAAGGTTATCATATTAGACTCAATAAACTCTGGTGCTGGTAGACAAGAAGATAAAAATTTATATACTCATGTTATTCAACCATTGTTCGAACTATTGAATGTACAATATGATTATTTTGCAACTACTTCACCCGATTCCATAAACCAATTTGCATCAAATTTGAGAGAATCAAAAGTAACTATAATTTTCATTAGTGGAGATACTTCCATAAATGAGTTTATTAATGGATTACTAAGTGATATACAAGGTTCAATTGATATTTTTACAATACCAGGTGGTACTGGAAATAGTTTAGCTCTTTCATTGGGAATTACCAATCAAATTGAATCTATAAAACATTTATTAATTAGTGACAAAATTGATCCATTATATTTGTACAACGTCAAATTTCCTCAAGGATCACATTATCTAGTACAAAATGAGAAAAAGGGACTAATTAATTCAAATCTAAAATTTGTTGTTGTTCTATCCTGGGGTTTTCATGCATCATTAGTTGCTGATAGTGATACTCCAGAATTAAGAAAATTTGGATTAAAAAGGTTTCAAATAGCAGCAAAGAATAATTTAAGTAGAGAGCAAGAATATAATGGTGTTTTGAAGGTTAATGATGAAACTATCAAAGGACCTTTTGCCTATTGGTTATTAACTTCATCATCTAGATTTGAACCAACTTTTGAAATATCTCCAAAAGGTGATATATTACAAGATAATTTATACTTTGTGGGTTTTAATACTAAAAAAAATGATGATAAATATATTCTTGATATTATGCATCAAATTTATAATGAAGGTGATCATATAAATAACAAGGGTGTTATATATAAAAAAATTACAAATGAGGATCAATTAGACTTGGTAATATCTGAATCAGAGGTATTTGAACATAGAAGATTTTGCCTTGATGGTAGTATTATACTAATTCCAGAGACCAGTGACCATATTAAAATATCAGTTGGAGATAATAAACAACACAATTGGGAGTTGTCTATAATACATTAATAATACATATTTATATACACTATTATCATTATTTTCTAGGTGGAAGATAACCTGACCTTGCACCATTTTGTTGATTATTATATCTATTGTTATTATATTGGGCGTTGTTAAAAGTTTGACTACGTGGATTTCTATAAGATTGATTTCGTGGTTGAACTGGTGGCATACCTCCATTTTGTAAATTTATCATATATGATCTATAACCACCACGTCTCATTGAATAACATTTAAATAATTCTTTACCTGCTGGACCTGTATTTATATATTCTCTATTTTCATCTGCAGTTGTAAATCTACTCATATGACTAGGTTTAGATAATTGATAAATCAAATTGTTTTTATCTGCAGTAGTTAATGCAGGTATTGCAGATATATGACCATTTAGAATCATTGATTTACCAGTTTTCTTTTCCGGAAAATTATAATAAGTTTGAAAATATTCATTATTCTTAACATTTGGCATATTACCTTCTTTTAATGGATATCTTAGTATACTTTCTGGTTGAAATTTTTCATATTTTAAAACTGTACCAGCTAAACCACTTTTAGCATATTTAAATGAAACTTCTTTTTCATTATCTTTATATAATTTTTCATGGAACTTGTTATAATTTTTATTTCGTGGCGATATAAATAATTCAGCTTGTTTGTTTATATTTCTATTTAATTCATCTTCAGTTAATAATTTATATTTTGCCTGAACTGAGTCTAATAATCTTTTTTCATCAATAAAAGGTAATAATGGTATACCTTGCCAAGCCATTTTTTTCCCATTCATATCGATTTTGAATTCTTCTGGATAAAAATCTATAATATCACTATCTTCACTAATCATTAAATCATGAAAAACTTTTGGTAATGTATGACGAGAATCCGCTGGTAAGACAGACATCAATTGTTCATAAGGTTTAAAAGGTTCACCTAAATCAAATTTAATTCCATCGGGGACCAAATCTTTTAAATTTGTAAAATCAGATGCAAATGGTGCATAATGGTAAGGAAAATACCACTTCCATGATGGACAACCTTGATAATAATATAATGATACCCATGCAATACCTTCAAGATAATGAAGTACAACGTCTTTTCTTGTTTTTTCAATTTCGTCTTCTGATTTGCAATGGAATTTAATTTCATAATATCTATTTTGGTATCCAGGTTCATATAATTTAATATCATCAGTCTCTTCTTCAACTTCTTCAAATTTTCTCTTTTTCGGTGATTCTTTTGTTACGTCTTCAGTTGATTCACTTTCTGGTACTTCACTTTCTGAAGTTTCACTCTCTGAAGTTGGTGAATCATTATTTATTTGATCTTGAACTTTATTTATAGGATTTTTCTTTGAATCTATCAATTTTTTCAAAGCTGCAGCAGCATCAGCATTTGCTAGATTTGCCTTTGTTATAATTGCAGTGTTTTCTACAATTTCATTATTTGTTAATTTCGCATATCCCTCAACCATCTTACCTTTTGTATCCATTAATGGCATATTTATATCGGGAGCTAGTGGTGCTTTTTCTTTACCTTTTGACACTTGTGATAAATAAACACTTTTCAAAGCTTTATCTTGTTCTTCAGCTATTTTCCTTTGTTTATTTCTCTCTTCTCTTCTTTGTTCTGCAACATGTCTATTTTTAAAAATTTGATCTTCTTTAACAGCTAATGCTGCCATCAATTTTTCAACTGAATCTAAATTTAATTTCCCATCACATGTAACATAATCTTTGAAAGTCGGTAAACAATTCTTCCAACAATTAACTAAAATATCAATACCGTTATCTCTAACATCTAAACTTGGTAAATGTGGTAAGAAATCATTACCAGCAAAAAAACAAATGAAAACCCAATCATCTATAGATCTTTCTAAATCAAATGAAAATGGTATTTGAGGATTAAACAATTCAACAGCTAAATATTCACGTAATATATTCACATGTAACCATAAAAAAGGTTTCTTTTTATCTCTTTCTTGTATTAATTCATCAGCTTCTTGTGTCATTGCTACTTGATCTCTTATAGTCATTCTTTTTGATTGTTGAGCAAATACATCCTCTCTTAAAACTCTAAAATGTGGTTCATGTGTAGCTAAACCTAAAAAGATTAAATCTGCATCTAAACCATATATACAATGTTTAGTATTTGGATCATATTGTGGATCTGATCTTTGAGAACGTATAAAACTCATCAATTTATGTTCACCTTCACCTGGAACTGTTGCATCACTAATAATGACTTGCAAACTAGCCCAACCTGGATCATTACTAAGTTTATAAGCAATCCAATATCTTAAGGCTTCAGCTAATCTATCCATAAATGGTGTACCTGGAGTAATTGCATTTGAATCCCATTGTTTTTTACCCTTTATGGCATCATTTATAATTTCACCTCTTAATTCTTTCTCTCGAATTTCCGCATCAATTGCATCTTGTTTTATCTTTGCATCTTGAGCTGATCTAAATCTTCTTGCTCTTTGTTGATTCATTTTAGCTCTGGGTGCAACACCATCAACTGCAATCATTAAAACTTTTCTTGGTCTTGCCATCATTAAAACTCTATCAGTATATGTAAAGATATCTAAAAACATTTCATCTTCTGTCTCTGGAGCTCTTTTATGTTCTGGATGGGAACATGGATGAACTATACCATTCATATCTAAATACAAATTATCAATTTCTCCATTTGGATTTGCATCATCATATTTAGGACCACCTATCTCATATTGATCTTCCTCTATCACTGGCGATATAATTTTGGGGTATTTCCTCGATAACCATCTAAATAATGCTGGAACACCCATATCGAACTAACTGGTGTTGATATAAAGCGAAAATTGCAACAAAAATATTTTTCGCGAAAGAGATAACGATGAGCATAATAAAGAAAACGTATATATAACTAAACATCTAATTTACTCAGCTTGTCTTCTTCCATTGAGTTATCTGAACTAAACAAGTTTTCATTCATAGCTGTAGATTCTTTATTCTCATATTGGATATTATTATAATCAGTATTACCTCTTGAATTTGTAAGTTTAATTCTATGAACTTGCGAATGGTCAGGAACTAATTCATTACATCTTCTTAAATTGTACCATTGTAATGTGAATACTTCTTCAATACTTTCAAGACTTCTTCCTTTTAACTCTGGTAAGAAAAATGCCCATATTAATCCTATGAACATTACACCTAGATTTGTTAGTAAATTCTAAAATGAACTACACTGGTATACATGCCCACAAAGAAATAAAAAGCTCCATATGGTTTCATTGCAATCATCATTTTTGGTAATGCTTTTGAGTTACCATATTGATTAGCAAAGTGGATTACCATAACTGTCGATTGCGCAAATGACCTAATATTTAATGGAAATATTTCAGCTCCTATCAAATATTGAATTATATTAAAACCCATTGTCCAACCTGCTCCAGATAAGAAAATTGCAGCTAAAGCAGCTTTTGAAGCTTGATGTTCTGATGGACTTAATTTAGCATCACTATTTGCCGCTTGAGGAACAATTGTTAAAAATATTGCAAAATATAATATACTCAACATTTGCAAAGAAACACCAGAATATAAAGCCTTCTTACGTCCAAATAGATCAATGATGAAGAATGATGATATGTAAGCTGCAACAAATTTAACTACTCCTAGCACGGCAGACATTTTTAATTGATTTGAATCTCCTTTAATACCAGCTAACGAAAATAACTCTGAAGCATATATAGTCACGGCATTAGCACCACTCCATTGAGCAATTAGTTGAGCACATATAGCAATGACAAAGAATCTATATGTTATTGATTTCTTTCGGAAAACCTCTTGTATACATCCAATCATACTACTACCTTCTTTTGCTTCTTTCTCAGTCATTATTTGTTCATTTATATCTGATATTTCAGCAACAATATATGGATGATCTTTAGGTAGTTGCCTTAATTTGGATAAGTTTTCAAGTGCTGATTCTGATTTGCCTTTACTTAATAACCATCTAGGTGATTCAATAGTTAAAAAAATCGAGCCAATAAAGATTAAACCACCCAAAATTATCTTTGGAGTTAATGTATACCTCCATTGATTATCATTAATTGATTGACCTTTATAAGCTGGAACATGTAAAGAACATCCATAATTTGCAAAATAACCTCTACTTCAAGTTAGTACTATTGAGAAGAATATCATTAGTTTACTTACATCATTACACCTAGATAAACATTTCCTGCAAAGATTGAACCGAATATACCACGATGTACACTTACTGCACATTCAGCAATGTAAATGGGACCAATACTTGTTGTTTGACCAATTGCTAAACCTTCAATTATTCTACCAGCATATAATTGACCAACACTTGTAGCTGTTATTTGTATAATTGCTCCAATTATCCATAATATACAAACAATTTGTAGTGCTCTAACTCTACCAAAAAAATCAACAGTTTTAACTGCTAATAATGCCCCGCCAATTGATCCTAATTGAACCATGGAAGTTATATTTGATTGTAAATTTGCAATTGAATTTTGTGACTTACCAGAATCATTTAATCCAAATCTGTCCTTAAATGAAGGAAGAACTATATTACCAGATATATTTCCCTCATCGTAGCCTCTCGCAGCACCTAATATACCAAAAATAAATATTGAAAGATATAGTTTTCTATTGAAAATTTCTTTAGGATAACTAGAAGTATCAATATGCCATTTGAAATTACTCTTCATATTGAAAAATTGTTAGTTATCCAATACTCTTCAAATTGTATTTTATTTATAATATTTGAAACATTGCATAAAAAACATAATCGCTAAGGTTGCAAATTGATTTAAAAAACGATTATAACAACATTAAATTTGATGGCTTAAAATTTAAAATAAGCGTTACATTGAAGTCTAATTTCGGTTCGATATATTGCAACAATTTACTATTGTGTATTGATGGGTGTTTCTATTTTTATAATTGATAAGCAAAGGTAAATCCAAGAAATTTCATGTAATCATGTTTTGACACATTCTAATTGTTTATATTTAGTTGATTTTCATGGAAACTACGCTTAGCATAAGTAACCTAAAAGCCTTGAAACTTAAGCATTCTCTTACTTGCTTGAATTATTAGCAATTATTAGCTTTGCGTTAATTCACTCGGAACGATATACACGGTCATGAATTTTTTGCACCAATATACGAATGGTTTTGTTGCAGTATGGTTAATTCCGAAGTTCACGAATATATTATAAATCCGGCTAAACATAAATCATCCCCACCTAACGCATAATTACTTAAAAATAATGCAGCAAATGTAAAAAGGAAAAAATAATTTTGCAATCATTTAAAACTTTAATAATGTCACAATTGTACATAAACTATAAATATAAACTCTAATTAGACAAAATCCATTCATCATTGCTGCATTAAAAACATCTCATCAATAAACTTAAAATAAACCTAAACTTTCTTTTCGACATCTTCCTTTTTATCAGATTCTGTTGAATCTCTGCGCATCAAGTCTTCAATAAATTCATCAGTTGGTTTTGATGTATCTAAATTATATTGAACATGATCAAATCCTGTATTACCTCTTGAATTTGTAAATCTAACTTTATGAATTTGTGAATGATCCGGTACTAAAGAATTACATCTTCTTAAATTATACCATGGTAATGTAAAAACTTCTTCAATACTTTCTAAACTTCTACCTTTTAATTCTGGTAAAAAGAATCCCCAAATTAAACCTAAACAACAAACACCGGCAAAAAAATAAAATGCACCATAACTATTCATTGAAAGCATCATTTTTGGTAAAGCTTTTGAATTACCATATTGATTTCCAAAATGTAAAATCATGACTAAAGATTGTGCAAATGATCTGATATTTAATGGGAAAATTTCTGAACCAAGTAAATATTGAATACTATTAAAACCCATTGTCCAACCAGTACCTGATAAGAATATAGCGGCTAATGCACCCTTTGCAGCTCTCTTTTGAGATGATGTTAAAACAGCATCTGTTTCTTTAGCTTGAGGAACAATTGTTAAAAATATTGCATAATATAAAATACAAATCATTTGTAATGATAAACCAGAATATAAAGCTCTTTTACGACCAAAAACATCAATTATAAAGAAAGCACACAAATAAGCTGAAACAAATTTAACAACACCTAACACTGCAGACATTTTCAAAGTATCAGTACCTCTTATTCCAGCTAAAGAAAACAATTCTGACGCATATATAGTAACTGCATTAGCACCACTCCATTGACCTAAAACTTGAGCTAAACCTGTAATTGCAAAAAGACGATAAGCAATAGATTTTTTGGTGAAGATTTCTCTGAAATTTGAAATAATGTTGGAATGCATTGTTGCTTCCTTTTCAGCCATTACTTGTTCATTAATATCACTAATTTCTGCAATTATGTATGGATGATCTTTTGGTAAGTGTCTTAGTTTAGATAATTTTTCAATAGCCTGATCGGGTCTATTCTTTTTAAGTAACCATCTTGGAGATTCAATACAAAATACAAAAGACATTATAAATATTAAACCAGCTAATACAATTTTAGGTGTTAATGTATATCTCCATTGTGATTGATTAATATGACCATCAATTTGAGCAGGGACATGTAAAACACAACCATAATTTGTCAAATATGCCTATTTTCAAGTTAGTAATCGAATAAAACTCCCTAAAACATGCAAACAAAGCTGAACAACGTACCAACATGATTCCAAAGTAAACCGCACCCGCGAACATCGAATTACACAATCCTCTTATTACTGATGGAGAAACTTCTGCAAGATAGCTTTTAAGGTTAGTAAAATTGTTGATAATTTTAAGATAATCACGCGATAATCACGTTCACCACTTAAAAATACCCCGTACGGGTTTTTTTTTAAATAGCATGAAGTAGATTTAAACGTACACTGGACCAATTGAAACAGTTTGACCTATTGCTAAACCTTCTATCAATCTACCGGCATACAATTGACCAACTGTTGATGAAGTAATTTGTATAATAGTACCAATAATCCAAAGAACACATACAACTTGCATAGCTCTAACTCTTCCAAAGAAATCAACTGATTTCATTGCAATTATAGCACCTCCAATTGAACCTAATTGAACCATTGAAGTTATATTTGATTTCAAATTTGCCAAAGCATTTTCAGATTTTGTAGTATCTGCTAAACCAGTCATTTGTTTAAAAGCAGGCAATACAATATTTCCAGAAATATTACCTTCATCATAACCTCTAGCAGCACCTAATATACCAAAGACAAAAACTGATAAATATAAAGTATAATTGAAAATTTCAGGAGGATGTTCACTTAAATCTAAATGCCATTGGAATTTTTTAGGTTTGTTTAATTCTTGATTATGTTTATCATATTTTGCACCTACTGATTCAATACTTTGTTCATCAAACTTTTTTTCGTTTATTTCTGTCATGATAATAAGTATTGGATGGAATGAAAATGTAAGATCCTTGAAATCTGCAAATACAAAATTCATGAGTTCATTTCATCATCTTTTATAAGTGTATACTTCCCGGAGTTTTTTCATTGTCTTTTGTTGGTTTACAAAACGTGAGAAAAAGCTTTCTTATCAATTTAGACTATATACATTACATTAAATGAAGGGTGGGGAACATATGTGAATAAGCAACATTTCTATTTTGTTTGTAGCTGAATGAATTTTTTTTTTTTATTTTTATTTTTTTTTTTTTTTTTTTTTTTTTGCAGCCATTTTTTGCAACTATTTATTTTTTTTGCAGCCGAGATCGTTACACATAACCAAATTATAATATGCACGGCTTCGTAAATTCAAATTTCTATATGAAAACCATAGAATTTTAAAGTTACACGCCTAATTACAGAGAATTACAAGGGATTTGCATCATGATAGAAAAGTGGAGAAGAAGTAAATGCCATATCATATCCCTAAAATATTTGGCTGTAACCAAACCAACTTCTTATCAAACTATTTTTAACGTGATAATTATATTTTTATTTACAGTAGTAAAATTTTATTAATTTAATAATATACTTCAACATGTCAAATTAATTTTCTTGAATATATAATATCTATAGAATTTTTCTTGATATTTAAGGAACTCTTGTTGAAGAGATTAAAGTTTTCAAAAGATTTTGGTTAGAATAACATTATTACCCCAGAATATCTTGATATTAGATTAAAAATATTCTGGCTAATGCTTGAACAATAAGTAACTCTCGATTACAATGAGATTATTTTAATTTGTTGAAATTTGTTGAACTATTTTTATAAATTTAAGTTTTTAATTAACAATATAAAATAAAAATAAAAAAATATAATTTATCCGATAGTATGCAGGAGAAGCTTGTTATAATTGTTCCATAAATTCTTTGATATGATTTTCTAATGGTTGTCAATCATGAACGTCTAACTTGCTAGTCCTTGACTTCAGCAACCTTCAAAGTCCTATTCAATGGTTGGTGGACCTCGGCATTCTATCAATTTCAAACTAGAAGTGAAAATTTTTCATGTTTAGAATATTTTCTAAAATTGTAAATCATTGTCTCTAAACTTTAATTTTTGTCATTCAACCCCACCATGACACGGTTTTTTTTTTATGTTTGGTAGCTTAAATTGCATAGTCAGCCAACTTATTATTACATAACTTTCAACACCTTAACGTGGTTGAAACATATCGCCCGGGAACTCAAGTTTAAAGTAGAGAATTGGAATGAATAATAGACTAAATCACCCCACTTAATTAATTACAAAAAGTCAAATTTTATAACATTAAATTGAAATTATACATTAATAGAAATTTTTATACTTTATATTATTAAAATGAAAATCATCATTTATCATCTTTTGGTTTTTTAATTTGTGGACGTTGTTGTTGAGAATCATTTAATCTTTTCTTTGATCCCAGTGGTGAAGTTGATGATTTATCATCTGCTCTTGCTATACTTGGTCTATGAACAGTTAAAGTAGATTCATTACTTGGATGACTGGTTGGTTTATGAACTTTTAGAGTTGATTCAGTACTTGGATGTCCAATAACAGGTTTAGCAGTTGTATTTGTATTTGTAGATGCTGTATTTGCACTAGATGGAGTTGATGTACCTTCTGGTTTATTATTTGATTTACCTTCATAATTTTCAAGTTTTCTAGTCAACATTTTAATTTTAAGCTGATATTTCATTTCAGTTGCATTTTTAACTTTATCTTTCTCATCTTCAATCTTTTTTTGCATTTCTTGTTGTGTTTTTTGTAATGAAGTTTGTAAATCATTGTATTTCTTTTGTAATTCTTCATTAGCTGGTTGTTGTTGTTGAGTTTGTTCAAATGATTTAGTTAAATTTTCCTTTTCAATTGCAAATTGTTTTTTAAGATCAGTTTCCAATGAGGATAATTTTTGAATTAATTGATTTTTTTCATTTACATAATTTTTAGATTCTTCTTTTAATGAAGTTAATTGTTTATTTAAATCTTGAATTAATTCATTAGGTTTATTAGATTCTTGTAATTGTTTTTCCAATTGTCTAATTCTTTCTTCTTTAGGTTGTATTTCATTAGATGATGTATTTGATGTTTTTAATTCATTAATTTGTTGTTCCAATTCTTTAATTTTATTATTCTTATCTTCTACTTCCTTTGATAAATCAAATGATTGAGTTAATTCATTTATTTTCAATTCTAATCCTTTTATAGTTTCATCTCTTGCTTGGATTGTAGTTCTATATTCAGCAATTCTTGCATTTGCTTTATCTTTTAATCTATCCATTTGATCTTGCATTTTGGCAATTGCATCATTAAGTCTTTTAACTTCATCTTGTGATTTCTTTTCTTCATCTTGTAATTTAGTAATAATTGCTTGATTGACAGGTGTTTCAGTTTGTGTTGTTGGTTGTGTTGATTTCCAACGTTCATTTTCTTCAGTTAATAATCTAACTTTTTGAGTCTCCATATCTAAATTAGATCCTAATTCATTAACTTGTTTACTTAAAATTTCAAATTGATTAGTTATTGTACTTAATCTTGTTGTTAAATTAACAATTTCTTCTGATTTCTTTTTACTTTCATAGCGTAATGTTGTATTACTTTCTTTAATTATATTCAATTGTTCAAGATCTTGACTTAATTGTTGTTGTTGTTTTAAACTTTCATCAAGATTAAATAAATTTGAATTTTGTAATTGAGATTTTATAGTTACTAATTCATTTTGAATTTGTTCATATCTAATTTTAAATGATTGATTTTCTTCCAATGCAACAGTTAATTTAGCATCACTACTTTCTTTCTCACGACGAAGATAATTTATAACTTGTTTAAAATCAGTTTCATCATTAATTGAAGTTGAATTTTTAGATAATTCAATTTGATTTAATAATATATCATTTTGTTCTTTTAATTCAATTAATTTTTGATTTGATTGTTGTAAATCTTGTTGAATTTGTAATTTTTCAGTTTCTAGAGCTTCATCCTTTTCAGATAATTTGATTTTAATCAATTCAAGTTGATTTTGTAATTGTTGAAATTCATCATTTTTAATATCTAATTCATTTTTTAAATTGCTAATTTGTTCAGAAAATTGATTGTTTTTAACCATTTCTTCTTGAAATTTAATTTGAGTTTCATTAAATAATTTATATTGATTTTGTAAATCAGTTTGAACCAATTGTAATTTATTTTGATAATCTTTATCTAAATTATCATATTGATCAGCTTTGTATTGCAATTCACTAATTTTAGTTCTTAATTGATTTAAGTCTTGTTCACTTTCAGATTTCAATAAATCTAAAGATTCTAATGATTTATTATACAATTCATTCACTCTTGTAATTTCTTGATCTAATGATTCTTTTTCTTTTAATAATAATTTATAATCTGTATCTGCTTTAGTTTTATAAGCTTCAAAAGTATTCGTTGAATTAATTAATGCATTTTCAGCAGCTTTAGCTAAATTCAAATACTCTTCTCTTTGTAATTCTACATTTCTTAAATCTTCTTTAATTTGATTGATTTCAAAGTTATCACTAGTGATATTTTCATTTAAAATTGATGGTTGTCGATTTGATTTAAGTTTAAATTTCAATTCTTCAATTTCTTTTTCCTTTTCTAATAATTTATTCTTGCTAGTTAATAATTGATAACTTATTTCATTAATTTGTTCCAATTTTGTATTTTGTGCTTTTAATGATAATTCAGTTTGATTAGTTAATATCTGTATCCGTTCATCTTTTTCCATTAATTTTTGTTGTAATGATTGGAAATTTTCAATTGATGATGAATATTTATTTGTCAATTCTTTTGATGATTCTTCTCTATCTTTAACCATTGATTGTAAATTTAAAACAAATTCATTTAATTTAATTTTATCATTTCTTAATGTTTCAATTTCAACATTTAAAGATTTTGTAATTACATCTTTATAATCCTTTTCACGTTGTAAATTATTAATTGATACATTATTTTGAGAAATTGTTGATTCTAATTCATGTAATTTTTGAGATTTCAAAATTAATTGATTTTCTAATTTATTTGATTGTTGTTTCCAAAATTCAGTCTCATTTCTAATTGATTTTATTTCTTGATGCGAATTTTCAAGTGATTGTTGACAATTTGTTAATCTTGATTCTGCCAATTCTGAAGTTTTTTGAAGTACTGAAACTTTCAAAGCTAATTCATTCTTGACATTTGTGATTTCTCTTAATTTTTCATTTAATTCACTTATTCTAGTTGTTGATTGTGATTTTAAATCTTCAATGATTTTCTCAGAAGTAGTAATTTTATTTCTTAAATCATCATTAGTTTTAGTTAAATAGTCAATTTCTGAACTTGAACTACCACCATTAATTGAACGAAGTGCATCTCTTTCTTTTGTAATTGCATCTAATTTAATATTTGAACTTTCTAATTCACCTTGTAATGTTAATATAGCTTCTTTTGCAGCTTCAACAGCTTCATTTTCAAAATTATTAGTTTCATCTTCTTTTGATTCTAACGTATTTGATAGTTGTCTAATTGCAATTAATAATTCTTCATTTTTTTCTCTTAATTCTATAATTGATTTAAATTCTACTAATCTTTCAGATATTAATTTATCAGTATCTGATTCTAAATCTTCAAATGAATTAGTTTTATCTATAATTTTATCAATTGCTGATTTTTCATTAATAGTTAATGGAGCTTCATCACTTTCTCTTAAATTTGAATAAATTAAATAATAACATAACTGACGTCCTAAATCTTTTAATAATTTTTTGAGACTAGTTGTTTCATTTTCACTATCAATTAATCTTGTTCTTAATCTATTTGCATCTTTTTCAACTTCTGCTTTTTCAGTACGTATAGTTTCAACTTTTCCAATAACTTCTTTTAATGAAGATTCATAAAATTGAATATGTTCACGATAATTAGTCATTGCAGGTTCTCTAGTATTTAATTCTTGAATTAATGACGTTAATTTTTCTTCAACTCGTTGTTTTTGTAATTTTGCAAATGATAATTGTTCACGTAAATGATTAACTTCTGAATATATACTTGATAATGAAATACCGTTTTTGGCAATAGTAGCCGAAGATTCAGTTAATTTTGGTAAATCAGTTTCTTTAAGTAATCGTTGATCTAATGCTTCTTCAGTACGTCTTAATTTTTCTTGTAATTCTATAATTTTTTCAGTTTGTTCGGAAACTTTAGATTCCAATTCTCCAATTGTATTAGAAAGACTTGTTTTAATTTCATCAGAATATGATTCTAATTGTTCAATTCTTGATTGACGTTGTTCTGATTGTAGTTTTGATAATTCAATTAATTCATCTTTTGATGAAATTTCTTTAAGGAATCTATTCTTTTCTAATTCATAATCAACATCTTTTTTGGAATTTTTAGTCAATTCAGCATCCAATTTAGTTTTTAAATCAGTTATTGCTTTTTCATGTTGTTTGTTCAATTTTTCAAATGTATCATTTTTAGCTGTTAAATTTTGAATTTTTGAACTTGTTGACATAAATTCAGATTCATGTTTATTCATTAATTCAGTAAATCTTGCTTGTGCATTTTTTAATTCTTGATCATACCAATTTTTTTGATCCTTTAAATAACCAACTTCATTTTCTAATTTTGTTGAATTTAATTGTAATTGAAATTTTTCATTTCTTTCATTATTTAAGTCTAATGCTAATTGATTGAATTTTGTACTTTGTTCTATATTTGTAGAAGTTAATTGTGATATTTGATGTTGTAATTCCAACTCTCGTTGATCTTCACTAGATTTTAATTTGGAAAGCTGTTGATCTTTTTCCGAATCTGATTCTTTTAATCTTGAAAGTTGTTCATTTAGACTAATATTATTATTTTGAAGTTCTTGTATTTTACGTTCTTGATCTTTACATGTTTTAGCCAAGTCTTCATTAGTTTCTTGTAATTTAGTTAGTAAATTATCCGAATTTGTATATTTTGATTTCAAATCTTCAATAATTTTATTATTAGATTGTGCAATCTGTTCTATTTTTAATTTACAAAAATTATTTTCACTTATTAACTCTTGTTCATAATTTGATTTCTCTAATAATTGTTGAATTATAGATTTATCCAAATTTCGTATTTTTGATTCATCAATTGATAAATATCCAGATATCACCTTGATATTATCATCTTCAATATGATTATTATGATTATTATGATTATTATGATTATTTTCTAGTATCCTATGTTGTATTGGTGAACTTGCAACAACTGAAGAATTTACAATTTGCATTTCATCATTTGAATCTACTTTATCTTTGGCAACACTAAATGATTTTGGAGTTACAATTGGTTCAATATCTTTTAAAGCTGGTAAATCTTTTGAAGGAGTTGTAAAATTATGTGGTTTATCAGGTGGTTGTAAGAACGATGTATGTATTTCTTCATGAATTGAATCATCTATACCTTGCGCTGGTTGATTTTCATTACGGTTATTATTATTATTATTTTTATCATGATTTATTTCATGTGATTGTTGTTTATCATTTTCATTTGTTTGAGATTGATTATTATCATTCAGTTCATTATGTTCTTTTTCAATTGATTGATTCTCCTTATCATTCTCATTCATGATGCAGTAACCTTTTGGTGAGATTTGATTTTTTGGTTTGCGAATAAATTTAATACGAAGAAAATAAAAATCTGTGAAACCAAAGATTTAATACGAAGAAACGAACTAATACGACAAGCTGATGATACAATTTGTAACAAAATTGAGCTAGCTACTATAGATTCTCAATTCTACTGAGCATGTAACAACTGACATAAAAATTGTGAAACCAAAGTGTAATAATTAAGTTTCGTTTGAACAGAATCTCTTTAAGCAGCACAAGAATAAAGTAAAACAATACAACTAAGAGTTACTTTAATTAGGTTTGATGTATTTATATAGAGCTGGACCATCTCATTCAATTGCTAAGCGGAATCGTGTTTAGTGAGCTCACAATTGAGTATTTGAGCTACCTAATTTGCTGATATTTGATCAAAATTAAGCAAAGCAAAACTCAAAATCAAAGTCAAGAGTTGAAAATCTCCGAATGCGAAACTAAAGATTTAAATCGACTACAATATACAGGTTAATGCAGGTGTCAACCTTGTTTTTTAATGTGTCATATGAGTTGAGGGTGACAAAATCCAAGTGTAAAATATCTACTCTCAGCCTAAATCTTTAATAGTATAAGTACTCTGCAACCTTGTTTTTTAATGTGTCATTTAAATAGGCACATCAGTTGACGGTGACAAAATCCAAATGAGTTGACGGGGACAAAATCCAAGAGTAAAGTATCTACTCTCATCTTTAATAGTATAATTAATAGGGCTAAAATATCTACTCTTTGTAATTTTGATAACTCTTAACAACTCCACACTAGACTTATCAGTGTTCTCTTATATATATATCTAATCAGTTTGTAGTTACACTACATACAATTTTGCAGCCTAAATCTTTAATAGTATAATTATTCGGGCTATGAGTTGAGGGTGACAAAATCCAAGTGTAAAGTATCAAGTCTTTGTACTTTTGATAACTCTTAACAATTGAATCTCTTAACAACTTCACACTAGTCTTATCACTGTTCTCTCATATATCTAATCAGTTTGTAGTTACACTACATATAATTTTGCAACACAAATCTTTAATAGTGCACGTAATATTAGGGCTACTGCCCTAATAATTATACTATGTATTACACAAAGCGGCTCAATTTTTGTTTTTTTTCTGTTTCGCACTATCAAAATTTCCAAAGCGAGAGAAAATTTGATTGAAATTTCCTTTTGTTAAAATTATTAACGAAGTTATAAAACTAAACAAAAAACAAAGATGATTGAACCATCATTAAAAGCTTTAGCTTCAAAATATAATTGTGAAAAATCAATCTGCCGTAAATGTTATGCTAGATTACCACCAAGAGCAACCAACTGTCGTAAAAGAAAATGTGGTCATACTAATCAATTAAGACCAAAAAAGAAGTTAAAATAGATTATTCAACTTATGTCAACAACATTTGCAATTTGTATCATTATATCATTATATCATTTATTATTGGAAGAAGATGAAGAAGATGAAGAAGAAGAATAGAATCAAAAAAAACTTATGGAGAGTTTATTACCAAAAGAAGGTATTAATTAATTTTTTTTTTTCGGTTAAAATTTTTCAACATGAGTCGAGTAGTATTAAAATAAAATTATAAAGATGAAAAATAATAAGAAGAGTTAAATGATGGTTGATGGATGAATTATAGATGTCTTATGAGAGAATAACTTATTTTGTATATTTAATAAAGGTTATGTTTAGAAAAATAATTTGATAATTTGATAATTTGATAATTTGCCATCAGACATCTGAACTGAATGGAGTTAATTAGTTGTAAAGTGAAAAAAAGCGAGTGGCAAGCAAGAAATTTGAAATCTCTCAAAAATGATAATACAACAAACAAGCAAACGAATTTGATTATCAATGTTGTATTTAAAAATATGATATCTATATAGTAATCCTTAATAAGGAAATATCATATCATATCATATCTAGATCTTTCTACGATGTGGATCTGGTTCGAACATTTAGCTACTCTCGAAATATCTTGAGCAAAACAGTGTGATATACAACTTATAAATAACAGTGATATACAACTTACAAATAACAGTTATAAATAACAGTTATAACTGTTAATAAGAGTTACAAATAACAGTTATAACTCTTATTGATAAGTCATAACTCCTATTACTATCTATTACTCTCCTATATACTCAATATTGTCTTATTGTCTCATATATGTATGTAACAGTATAATACAACCAACTAAGTAACTAATTAATAAAAATTTAACATCACAGCACACACTAAATTTAAATTTTATTTTTATACCAACAAACAAAAAAACGACAGACAAAACGATTTGATTTTGATACTACCACCAATTTATTACTATTAGTATTACTCCACACTGGGATAGGTGTCATCAGCATATTATATATATAAGTTAATCCACATCAACAACAACAATTGATTTTTACTAATTCGGTTTCATTCTTTCAATATTATATTATATTATATTATATTATATTATAATCTATTATACTAACATTTAATTGATTAATGAATAATACTTTTGATCTGAGGATATATTATCAACCAATTGATCCGTATCAAACAAGTTTATCTTTATCACAAAATAATAATAATAATAATAATATTAATAATAGACAAAATCAAAATTTGTCTTCTAATTCACCAATGATTCATAATAATAATAATAATAATAATAATAATAGTAATAATAGTAATAACAACAAACGTATTTCTTCAAATCCATTACAAGAATATTCATTTGATAGTAGTAATCTGGTTATTGATTTACCAGCAACTCCTCAGGTATCATCGCCGAGATTCAATAACACAAATATAAGATCATCTTCATTTAATCGGAAAAATTTAATTCAACAAATGAAAACACCCACTCCGTCATCTTATGAAATACCTTCAAGTCCCAGTGTAAATCAGCAAAATCATTCAGATCTGTCAGATTCGAATCCAGTTTTAGAAGAAGAGGCAAAGATACAACCATCAATACAGCAACAACAATCACAGCAGCAGCAACAACAACAACCACAGCAGCAGCAGCAACAACAACATCAACAACAACAATCTCAGCAACAACAACAATCTCAGCAACAACAACAACAACAACAACAACAACCATTACAACAAAGAGCCATGTCTGATGAAGAGCAACAATTAGCTACAAAGTTGAAAGAAACTTATAAAAATATTGTCAATTATGAAGAAATTGTCCAAAAGAATTGCATTGAAATAACCATTAAAATAAATCAAATAACAACAGCTACAAATTCAAATTTAATATATGGATCACAAATGGTTAATCAAAATTCAACATCAAATAGAACGTCAGAATTACTGAATGATTTATGGACTGCTTATCATCATAATATTACATTATTAGATAATTATTACGATTTTTTAGTTACATCACTAAAACCTGCATCAAATCAAACTCATTTTAAAACAGGTAAAAATATTGTTGAATTATATAAAATACCAAGAAGAATGTGGGTTTATGGTATAGTTGGATTTCTTGAAGTTTTAAAAAATATAATGGGTTTATATCAAGATCATGAAATATGTCTGTGTTTTATTTCATATTGTTTTAATATAATTTCAAGTTTAACTGATCCTGTTTTGGAAATGGAAGGTTGGTGGAGTGAAAAATTGGGTGATTTATCAAGAATGGCAATAGCATTATATGCATCAAAATTTATAGATTGGAAAATAAGTGCTGAATATTGGTATTCTGTTGCAATGAAAACATTATATGGACATGGAAAAATTTATTATCATATGTGTACAGTTCAACAAGATAATCTTGATGCTTTAGTAAATATTGGGAAATCAGTTATATGTCGAGATCCTTTTGTACCAACTCAACAATATTTAAGATTAGTTGTTGAAAATATTTGTACTCAAAGAAATATTTTGTCATTTTTAGAATTACCAATAATTGATTTTATTAAAATTCATAAAGTTTTACTTAGTATATATAATGGTCGTAATAATGATAGTTCATCAATTGAAAGTGTTCATGATACTCAATTACAATATGGTATTGAATTAGTTACTAGATATGCATTTACATTTGGGTCAGATACAAATGGTTATAATTTCTTCACTCGTGAATTACATACACCAGGAATTACTAATGATCCATATCAACAAGTTCAAGTTCAACAACAACAACAACAACAACCAAGTGCAACAAATACATTAGAGAAAATGAATTTTTGGTTTAATAAAGGATCTTTATTTGCAATTGCTAATATAAATCATCTTATAGGATTTGGTGATGCTAAAAATCCATTTGCAAAATTATTTCAATTACCAGAAGCGTTAAAAGAAAGAAAAGATAAAAAAGATCGTAAAAGGAAATCGAAAAGCTCTACTGATGATGGTATTGAAGGTCAAACTGTATTGGCACAAGATTTATCAGTTGATGATTGGTTTTATTGTTTACAATTTGTAAATAAATCAGTTGTTGATTTATCAATAAGAATATTAAATCATTATTTAATTGGTCCAAAACAAGCATCAACGGGTCATGTTATAGTATGGCTTTATTATTTAATTAGTGTTGGGGAAGGTATAAAGAAATTTCAAGCTTCAGAATCAATGATTTATTGGTTTTTCAAAAAATTATTCCCATGGGAATCACTATTAAATTATTTAAATACATTATTAGCATTTGTTAAAAATAATCCAAAATTATGCATATTATATACTCATTATTTACAATTAAATTATATTCAATATTTTAATGAAAATGAATTTTTACCTGAAGTTTGGAAATGTTGGGGTACATTATGGTTTGATTTTATATGTGAAAAAGGTGATTATAAAGATTTAGATGAAGCAGGTGTTAAAAATTCAAATTTATTTGATTTACCAATATGTGGAACATACCCTGTAATGAATATATCAGGAGATAATTATAATCAAAAATCAAGAAATCAAATGGAAAATGATAATGATGAAAGAATTATACGTATTATATTATTAGCAAGAACAATTGCTGATAATTATAAATTTGGTTTAGTACGTACAAGTGATGAATTTAAATTTGATGAAAATATTTATAAATCATCTATTTCAAATCAACAACAACATGCTCAAGAATTTTTAACAGATAATAGATTTCAACAAAATAATTTTATTCAACAAATTTCACCTGAAAATTTAACAACAGAAACAAATAATAATTTAACATCATTACAAAAGGATGAATTATGGTTTGGTGGCTTTGATAGTCATTTATATGACGATGAAAATATAGAATTAGGCGAAGATATTATAGAAGATGAAGAAGAATTGGAAGATGATTATAAAAATAATTTCTTTAATGATAGTTTTATTGGTACACCAACTGATTTATTACCAGGTAATATAGATATAGATGGTAATTTTGGTGATAAAATAGATAGTAATATAACTTATATTACCTTAGATACAAATATTTGGTTAAAACATTGTGGTAGAATTTATAAATGTGTTAGAAATGGAGTCATAAAAGTTTCAATACCATTAATTGTATTTCAAGAATTAAGAGCCCTTAGAAAATCAAATGAAGCAACAATAGCAGATGCAGCAACAAGATCAGTTATTATAATAAGAGAATTATATTTATCAAGAGAAATTTTACCTTTAAGATTTGATGGTACAATAGCATCAGATATAAATGAAACAACAGAATTTGAAAATAATTCAAATTGGAGATCAAATGTTGATGAAACAATTTTACATGCTGTTAATGAAAATGATGAAATTGGTAAAAGATTAATGAAGGGTTTAAATTTAAGATTATCATCAAAATCAAATGGTGAACCTGCCGTATTAAATTCAAGAATGGCAAAATTATTTAAATATTGTATCTTAATTACTGATGATAGAAATATGAGATTAAGAGCTAAAACAATTGGACTTACATCATTTCAAAGTAAATGGTTATTCACACAATTGGAAACTATATTTCCAAATAATTGCATTGATTAATAGATTAATAGTAATACACATTCGAATTATACTTCTTATTTGAATTTTACTAAATTATACTTCTTGTTTGAATTATACTTCTTATTTAAATTTTACTATATTAAGATTTAAAGTTTTTCTAGATCTTTGGTTGTAAAGTGAGAATGTTACACAAAATTGAAAATCATTTTTTTTTTCGTTTTTCGTGTTTCAGAATTTTTTACCTTTAAATGGCTGGCTTATAAACCTTGATTAATCGAGTAACTGACTCAATTAGGTTTACAATGTAATGGAGGCAATCAGGATAAACAATGAAAAGGATAACATTTGTGGGAGAAAAAGGTAATTGAGTTTACCTATTTTAGAATACAATATTTATTATTTCATCTACCTCCTTTAGATTTTGTTGTTTTTTTAAAATTTAAGGAGTAACTTGAAACTTAACGTTTCGTCAAGGAATTAATTAATATATAAATGGCATAATTTCCAAAATAATTTTAATTAACTAACTACTCGTCATTCCTTTTTAACTAACTTAGTCGTTCCTTACTATTATGAAATTTACAACTATTTTATTAAGTTCATTATTAACTACATTCATTAATGCTGCTCCTGCTTTGGTTGAAACTGTTATAATTACAGCTTACACTACTGTTGTTGTGGATCAAGATGGTATACATTATACTCCAACTCAAACTGCTACTTTATTAGCAGATGCAAGTCAAACATATTCAATTTTACCAACTTCAGAAGCTATTTCATTGGTCACTCCTTCACAGACTGAGATACAACAATCACAAACACCATCTACTTCATCTTCAATCCCATCCTCTTCTTCACAACCAAGTGGTTCTGTAAAATCTGGTGAAGGTACTTATTATGATGTTTCAGTAGGTGCAACTGCTTGTGGTACTTATCATGCTAATTCAGAATATATAGTTGCTTTATCGAAAGATTTATATGATGAAAATAATATAGATGGAAATCCAAATAATAATCCATTATGTGGTAAAAAAATTAAAGCTTTTTATCAAGGTAAATCAGTTGAAGTAACAGTTGTTGATAGATGTGAAGGTTGTGCTTATAATGATTTAGATTTTTCACCATCTGCTTTTAGTCAATTGGCCGATCAAGGCTTAGGTAGAATTGATATTACATGGCAATGGGCTTAATAGAGTTTACTAATATATGATTTACGTGAAAAGTTAAAATTTCTTGCCTCTAGAATTAATGTAATGTGAAAGTTTGACTTCAAGGTTAGAAAATGCTATTTGCTAATCTAGATAGAAATTTTCTACCCAATAAACCTTATATATTTGTACATACATTAATACAAAATAAAGCCAATACTTTACAATGCAATACCTTTCCAAATGCAAACTTCAAATTGAACTCTATTTCCAAATCTAATATTTATTTAAGAAATCCAGTTTTGTAACCTTCTCAACCACGAACGTTCAACTGTTTCTGATTTAGCATAATATTCATATTCATATTCATGTTCCTCGATTTCTTCTAACCCAGTTTTTAAATCAGCTTCCCTGAGTTTTACAAATGGTTGTCTTTTGAAGAGTTTCCAAAATACATAAGCTGCTATTGAAATGAATAACATAATATAACTGAATAAGAATGAATCAACGGTCCACTTTCCTGGCATGAATACTTGATAACCTAATATACCAATCAAACACCAGTAATAAGCACAAACTAAATAAATTGAATATGGTTGAAACCATGATTTATAAGTAAATTCATTTCTGTCAATCTTTTGAGCTATACAAGCATGATAAAATCTAATGTAAGTAATTGACATAAAACCATAGTTCAAAATTTGAGCGCTTGTTGTCAAATTGACTAAATAATTGAACGCTTTTTGACCTTGTTTACCTAATTGCATAAACGATAAAAATGTAATACACATTGTACCGCAAACTGCAAAATATGGAGTTCCCTTCTTATTACATCTTGAAAACAACCTTGGTATAAATCCCTTTTTTGATAAATTAAACAAACAACGTGATGAAGTATAAACATAAGCTGAACCAGCTGAAAATGCAGATGTTAAGATAACCGCATTAACGATATAAGGTAATGCACTAATACCCATGTTTTGCATTGCAACCACATATGGTGATGACGCTGAATTTGAATTGTTGACTATATCATTATATTTTGGATCATTATAAGCAATCAAAATAGTAACGCTTAATGCCCCGCCGATATAAAAAACTACCAATCTGTACAAAATACTTTTGAATGCTTTTGATAATGTTCTTCTGGGATTTATTGTTTCTCCTGCTACCATCGACAAATATTCTGGTCCAACACAGGTGAAACTGGAGGAATTTCTCAAAACATACAAAAATGATTGAAATCTTCCTAATGCTCCAGTTGTATACATCTCTGCCATTATTCTATCAACATGCCAATTTCTAAAACCAAATGCATCGTGTTGCGGATTACCACCACACATTGTTATCAATGTGAAAAATATTAGACCGATAGCTAATAAAACTTTAGCTATACTAAACCAAAATTCAGCGATTCCAAACCATCTAACAGCGTATAGGTTGATTAAACCAAAAATTACTATTTGTGCAGCTATTGGTAGTCCCGGTAAAAGTGGTGAATTTCTATTTATGTCAAAAGTCAACAATAAATTGCAAACTGAGACAATTTCAAAAGCGGAATAAATACTCTGCATCAAAAAAAAGTTAATACTTGTTGCAAATTCGTAAGCCAGATCAACAACTCTACCTCCCATATTCAAAAACGGTGAGTCTTGAGGTATATAAATGACCATTTCACCAACTGCAGTTGTTAAAAGCATTATAAATAGTGTTGAAATGCAATATGCAAGTAGTAAATTAAGAGCTCCACCATAAATTAATCCTAATGAACCTATACTGACGAAGAGTCCGGTCCCAATCAGACCACCATATGCTATTAGAGTGATCTGAGTAGATGTTAACGACCTGGAAGTTTTCGTTTTATAGTTTTGATCCGAGCTATTTGATGAAACATCACGAAAATCGAAGTTTTCAGAATTTAACTCGGCATCATTCTGCACTATTTCCTTTTCATCTATTTGTTTCAGATCTGATCCTTTAAACCACATAGTTACTTCAATATTTGCAATATTTGAGTATTCTGTAACCGAAAAGCTCGTATTTTATCGAAACTAAATTTGATAAAAGACCAAAAAAAATAGCTCTAAACATGAAATCTGGGATAAATAATCTCATATAAACAAAAACCAAAAGTAAACTACGGATATTTTAAAATTTTTCATATCTTAACCATCATGCATATCGTAATTAGATTGTTCATGAGGTAATTGTTAATTAGCATTCCTTGAAATATGTATTAGAGATAAATACTTTGAAGAGAAAAAAAAGAAAACAAAAAATATTATATGCAGGCAGGGAAGTTTTTCAATGTATCGAATGTTTCAGGTTTAAATGATCTTTGTATTACACGAGATGTTGTCACGTCAATTCATGGTATATCTGATAGTGTTGGTCGTACTTTTGATGCCCATTCATTTTGATTTTGATTTTGTTAATTAGCTTCGAAGTTGAATATTTCGGAGTTTAGAGTTTTTCAAACGCTATGATCTCATAGAATTCCAAATTAGTACTGCGGCATTATAACCTTAAATTGAAGTCTATTGTTTCTAATTGGGAAAAAATAACCTAAAATAGTATTGAATATACTGATTGATATCATTTTTTCTTGATTAGAATTAGGTCCGTGATTTCAACTGAGATCGATGGAGTCAACAACTCAAAAGATTAGATATGATCGATACGAGTCAACTTCTAATGAATCTATTGACCTTACTTTCATTTATCCTCATTCTCAAGACGGTAAGTTCTATTCTAGGAATGTGCCGAGAATTAAAATTTTTTTAGTCTGGTTGTAAACTTGGTGTGTCAAATTCGAATAATTTGACGTAAGATGTAAGGGCTTTTCAATGTTACTTGAGTATCAACTCACGTTTAAGCTTTTTAGATTACCAATTGTAGGGTTCATTCTTGATTCTGATTACGAGATCTGAACTAGATGAAGAAAATGTAACATCGAAAAATCTGGTCTATTATTTTTGACAAATGTAGTAATTTAATCCAATTGAAAACTTATCTTCAAAGATAGTACAGTTAGGAAAATGAAAACTGATCTTAGCTAAATGATTAAAAAGAATTATTTAGATTCTGTTATAAGCAGATGATAATTAATTTAGATTCTGTTATAAGCAGATGATTATTACACAACCTCTTGAAATTTATTAATATTCCGTACCTACGGAATTGTTTTCCTCATTAGGAACAAGAAACAGTGAGGGAACAACTTTGATGATACTTGATGATACTTGAAGACTATCATAATTATAGAAAGCGTAACTGAGCCCGACTTATTTGTTCGCTTTGATGTGTTTGCTTGTATTGTTGCACAAATTTTTGAAGTTTTTAAAACTTGGGTAAAATTTGCATCTATTCACTTAAAGTCATTAAAAGAACTAGAACAGATTTACAGACAATGGATAAGAGAATAAGCTAGAATCGCAATTCGTAACATGATAATAATACTTTGTTTTCCGCACCTAAAGAAAGGGGTGCAAAACAATGTGTCTTACTTAAACGAATGGGCGTATCTTCAACAATTAGATTAATTAACTATAATCCGAAAGAATCAAAAAATGGTAGATAAAGATGTTAATCTGTTTTATCTACAAGTGCATTAGCGACATGATATTTTATATTCTATCTTTTCATATACACCCTATATTTTGTAAACTAAATTTATTCAGTCTATCTTCATTAAAAATTCCCCATTGTGTTTCCCATCTTTTTTCTGGTTCCCAATATAATTGTTTCCATTGTTCATCAAATGCTTCGAAATAATAATATTGGATTGGTAAATTTCTAAAAGTACATAAAAAACTGTTTACAAAATATCTTGAATTTGCAAAACTTGCAATTGATCTTTGATATGATCCACCACCACTTGGCCATCCAACTTCAGATATAATGATCGGAGTATTTATACCTTGATTCCTTGGTTGAATTTGATGATTTAAAAATTGTAAAGTCCATTGACTTGCTTCTTCAACTGGTACACCACCAAAAAATGGATGAATATTAGCACCTACAAAATCACAATTTCTTAATAAATCAGCATCAATTAAACTTCCAATTTCTGCTGTTCCAATTGGAATATCAAAAATATTTTCCAGTCTTAAAAATTGTTTTGCTTCTTGAATATATGAAATTAACTCTTGTTTTGATTTATCATTTCTAAATAAAACTTCATTCCCAACGAAAATTGTATGAAATAATCTTGATGGATATTTATTTATAACTCGTTTCATTAATTCCATTTGATTTCTATTTGATCTATCATCTGAACCAATCCAAACACCTAATGATAATTTCATATCTAAATTCATATACTGAATTGAATCTAGAATAATATCAGCTTGATTACATTGCATACCATAAATTCTTAATCTTTTAGTTATTGTTGATAATTTAGCTAAATCCAACATTGCTTCACGTTTATTAAATCCACAATTTGGTTCTAAACTATTCTTAGGTCCATATGCAATTCCATAAAATAGATTATTTGTAACTACATTTTGCAATTGAACATTTTCTGGTAAATATTTATTTTGTAATTCTTGTAAATGTGATAAATGTGATGAGTTTGCAAAATATTTATTAACTGTATAATATGTACCGTGAAATAATATGATTATTGTTGGTGAACAAATGGCTAATAATATTATAATAACTGCAATTAATGAATTTATAATAAATTTTTTGGAAATTGTAAATTTTGGTACTGGTGATGTATAAGAAATATCATTTGAAACAATCGATGATTCTCCTGATTCAAATTTATCATCAATCTGTACATTATCTAATAATGGATATAGTATTGAAGGTGAAGATGATTCGTTTTTGATAGAAGGTTCAGCCGCACTTTTAAAAATTGGAGATTCATTCACATTATAATCTGAGTCAGTTACATGTTTCTTTCTAATTATAACTGTTGGATTTGTTAAATTTCTAGGTTGATCAACAGATGAGTTTGGTGTTTGTGCATTATCGTCATCGACTGTATTTGGAATTAATGGTTTTGAAACTGTGACAATTTTTTCGATATTTTGATTTTGATCAACTCTAACACTTTTACTTGACATTGGTGAGTTTAAATTTGATTCTGTTAAATTTCTTAACTTTGTATTTTTACCATATTCTTGATAAACATGAATTGAATTTGATCTTGAAATTTTAAATGGTTGTGATCTAACTAATTTTCTTCCTTTTTTATCACCATCACTATTTTTATCATTATCATCCTTTTCTGGTTTATCCTGTTGTCTACGAAATTCAGATATAGTAGTTGATCTTTGTTTCTTTTCAAATTTCATTATTAAGCGCCAATGTATAATTATAATTTTTGGTATGAAAAAAAATATATATTCATTTGGTCTCTCTAACATTTACAACATCCAAATATCAAATTACCAATAAACGTAGCAGTTGTAGTAAGACATCCTTCTCCAGTTCTTGGACAACAATCAACAACACCAAAACATGTGCAAAACTCAATACAAAATTCGGAGCATTCATTAGTATCTCTTTCATAACCACTAACTTGTGAAATAAAATCAGAGTCTGAAGAACTAGACTGTGTAGATGAGTTATTTGTTTTTGTATGCTGCAACTCATTATCTTGTGGTTGTTGTTGTAGATTCATTTCATTGACTGGTTTAGGTTCGGATGTAATTGGTTGCTGGTGCTTTTGTTGTTGCTTTTCTGAATCTTCTAATGGTATATCTTGTAATTCTGATTTTGGCATTATAGTATATGCTATTCAATGTTTCTTTATGTATAATTCTGTCTAAAGGGTCCAATTATAAATGGTTGTAAAAAATAATTGATCTTAAAATATTTTTGATCTTGAAATATTTTTTTAAGATCAATTTTTTTTTCTTAAACTTCAAGAGATGGTTTTTATAATCACTTCATAACACAAACTTGATGAAATTGAAAGGAGAAATGATATCAAGTGAGGGTATAATGCATAATGAAACATGAAGCTATATATATGTAACTTTGACCTTAAATGCTTGTCTGTTGACAAACCCCTGAAATCAATTCTTGTTACATTTTGATGTGAATTGACCTTTTTCAACCAAGAAAATTAATGTTCATATGGATTTATCTACATTTGATAGTGACGCGGCATTAAACTTTACATTTGTGTAAGTATACAACTACTTGTAATTTGTTGACTTATGGTCAATATAACCTAAACAACAAAACGTGAAATATGATTGAAAAAACCAAAGTTGAGTTTGGCCATGGGATATTAATCTGAGATTTATATTTTGAAAAGTATCAAGTGAAAAGCAGCTCTTAGGTCTAATTTCGATTCTTCTTGTCCAATCGAGCAACTGTAGCTAGGCTAGATTCTAATTAACAGCCCCGACTTAAGTAACAATCGCCAAAATATTTAGCGCTATCAGATCATATTATATATCCTTCTATCATTAACATAGACCAATATTCTAGGTACGAGGTTGCCGTACAGCTAAAGCGAAGAATCTTTTTGTCACGCCAGATCATCGCATCCAAAAATGGATACTCTTCGAGATAATTTTAAGAGGAATTTGAAAGCAGTCTTATTATAGTACATAATCTAAAAATTTAGTTTGCAAATAAATCTAGCAATATACAAGAAGTTTCTTCAAACTAAATAAATTACATTCTGCAGCAAAAGAATAGAGAGATAATAATCTCTATCTGAAACAAATCTGAAACAAATTTTTGAGCGATGCGACACGGCATTAGAATTTGACCAAAAAAGTTGGGCACGGTGGTGATAAATAATTTTTTTTGGCATGGAGTGTGAGACTTTATGCGCTGCTACGTTTGACAGATTTCAAAAGCTTCAGTATTAAAATGATTACCATAAACAACTACAAATTATTCCTAACATTATTGGGGACCTTGTTTTCTTGCTATGTTTGACAGATCTCAAAACCTTCAGTATTAAAATGATTACCATAAACAACTACAAATTACTCCTAACATTATTGGGGACCTTGTTTTTCTTTAGGTTAGATAGTTCATCTCGACGATATCTGTATTCATAGTTTCTCTGATATTGTTGTGAACTTACATTTGCACTATACCCAATTTTAACAATTTATATAATTACAACTTATCCTTACGATACTCACTTATTGATTATTTGAAATGATGTTTGATTCCACTTAATGCTGGTTCTTTCACTGACTTGCACTCAATTCAAAGGTAAACATACCAAAATCGTCTCTGATAAAGGGCTATTAATAAACTTTAAAGAAAACCATTGTATCTATATTTACTTAGTCACATTTTTTATCATTTTCTTGTAATTCTAAACCTTGAATCATATCCAATAGCTCCTCATCTTCTTCAAAATCTCTCAATTCGGCTTCTTCCTCATACCTTTTCAATATTTCATCATTATTTTCATTTGATTCATACTCCATCTCTTGTTCTTCAATCAACTGATCAAAATCAATATCTTTAAATTTTTCATCATATATTTTTTCATATGAATTATTATAATCCAGTTTAAATTGAGTGGCATTAATGCGTTCCCTTTGAAAATTCTTAGCATCTTCTCTAATTTCATTCCTTATTGTTTTCACTTTCTTCAATCTTTGTTCATCTAAATTTCTCTTTGACATTGGTTTCATTAACTTATTAACTCTTTCTTGTCTTTCTTTTTTTATCTTTTCAAATACGTTATCAACATTCCCGTCATCATTTTTCATTAAAACGCGATTTATATTTTTTTTTTTTTTTTTTTTTGATCTTTAATGAAAATAACATATGAAATTGATGGGATAAAATGTAATGAATATGATGAAGAAGATCCAATTCTTTCGAAAAATATTGCTGAAGATTTGATAAATCATGTAAAAAACTTTAACCTACCTGATATAGAGACTAAACTTGAGGTCAGTCACCTAATTGAAGATGATCAAATTGAAAAATTCATCAATTTGATAGATGAAAATATTGGAAATTTATATGAATTACACAAGGGTGAAGATTGGAAAGAGGAAAAAGAGGTTGAATTAACTGAACCGGGATTAATTTTTGCTTGGTTTGAACAAGAGAATGATTTGGTAGGTTATTTATGTTTTAAATTATGTTTTGATGATGATGAGAATTTGGTATTATATTTATATGAGATACATGTGAGTAAGACATATCAGGGTAATGGCTTAGGCAAGTTACTAATTTGTCAATTTCATGAGTTGGTCAAGAATTTAAAGAATAGTGATAATACATTATATCAACAAATTTATGGTTCTTCATTAACTGTATTTTCAGATAATTTACGTGCATTAAATTGGTATAAATCCTTAGATTATAAACTAATTACTAATTCACCAGTTGATAAAACTTTAAGAAATGGTAAAATTATAAAACCACAGTATTATTTAATGACTAAGCCAATATAGAAAATATTCCTATTTTCATGCCAACAATCTAGAACAAGTTTAATTATTGACTCCTATATGAAACAACTTAATTAGAATAGTTTTACTACAATATATATATCAATAGGCTTAATATAAATTATTTAGTCATAATTTCGCAGCCATACATGTTTCTATTTTTAGTAACAAAATATATATGACTTCAGATTAGTTTTGGTGCTTATACAACTTCTTAAAATTTCATTCTTACTCTCATAACGGGTTTAAAGATTAAACACGTCTATTCGACCATGGTCTAAGCCTTTTCAAGAAGATTCTCAAGACTTTCAGTAGTCATTTCATTAACTAATGGTATATATATATATATAAATTTCAATGCCATTGGGAGGGAGAAAAAAAAAAAATATAAAATCAAATAAATTAAATTAATCCGATCTTTAATCATCACGAAAAGTTATTATAGTTAATAGTCATTATGGGTAGGAGAAAGATTGAAATTCAACCATTATCAGATGATAGAAATAGAACAGTTACTTTTGTTAAACGAAAAGCAGGATTATTTAAAAAAGCTCATGAATTAGCTATACTATGTCAAGTTGATTTAACAGTTATAATTGTTGGTAATAATAAAAAAGTTTATGAATTTTCAACTTGTGACTCAAAAGAGATTTTTAAAGCTTATGATCAAACTTTAAATACAAGAAAACAAGTACATGAACAAAAATCTCCTGAACATTATTCAAATTATAGAAAGAAAAGATCATTAAATGAACCTTTAATGAATAAAGATGGTAGTATAATTGGAACTACAAGTGCTAATATTAATGATGATGATAATAATTATGATGATGAAGATGAATCAGATGAAGAAAGTGAAAATGAAAATATAACACCAGAACCAAAAAGAAAAAGAACAATGATGAATCCCAAGGTTTTTAATAGTACAAGACCTGCACAACCTCCACCACCTGAAATTTCATTAGAAGGTGTACCTACTTTTAATACATTTAAACGAAGAAATAGTGAAAATGAAACAAATTCAATTAAACCTGTTGAAGTTGCACCAAAAATTCTAGAGACAGCAGGCACCACATCATCATCTTCATCATCACAAAGGCCAATTTTAAGAGTTCAAATACCGACGGATTCAAAAAATACAATTAATCAAGATCAAACTAATAATAATAATTTATTAGATCCAAATAATAAAGATACTGCAAGAACAATTACAGCAGTTGAAAGTACTACAAATCCATCATCAAATATAAATACAACAAATACAAATTCAAGTAATCCACCTCCACCTAAATTTGCAGGCTATTCATCATTTAGATCTCCAGATACACGAAAACCAACATTACCAATACCTATAAATTCTAAATCACAAACTTCATCACCTGCAAGTGCGACAGGACCTGGATTACCAACTACTAATACTTCAAATACTACAACTACAAGTCAACAAATAAATAATAATCACAATCCAGTTTATTATCAACAAAGTCCAGCCAATCCATACATTTATCCAAATAATGGTGGTGGTTATAATCAATATCAACAACAAAATATTCAACCAGAGTCTGCAATACGATTTAAGAATCAATTAGGAGAACAAACGCCAGTAAGTGGGTTACCAAGTAAATTTGTAAATGATATGTTTCCATTTCCATCACCATCGAATTTCCTAAGTCAACAAGATTGGCCTGGAAATACACCAACAACAGCTAATATGCCACAATATTTTATGAATATAATGCCAATGACAAGTAATACTACACAAACTCAATCTCAGCAAAATATCCAGCAACAACAACAACAACAACAACAACAACAGCAGCAACAACAACAGCAACAACAGCAACAGCAGCAACAACCACAACAACAACAACAACAACAACAACAACAACAACAACAGCAGCAACAACAAAATCAACCTACACAATCGATCAAAGGAAACATATCACCTACAATGTATAGAAATCAAATTAGCAGTCGACTAAGCGAGGTTGCAGAAATGGAACAGGAATCAGTAAATAGTGAAAGTAAGAATTAAATAAATGCACGTGAGTAGATTTAGGGCTATTTTGGGATTTCTTACATAATAATAATTTTTCACTTAACACAAAGTAAATTTAATACTAGTGCGAATTTTACTACTACAATTTTTCACTATCAAAAGTTTTTAAAAATCTTTTCCAAAATTTAATTTCAATCCCAAGGCATAATTAATTAATTAATATATTACCATGAAATTAAACATTTCCTATCCAGCCAATGGTACTCAAAAATGTATCGATATTGATGATGAACATAAATTAAGAGTTTTTTATGAAAAAAGAATGGGTCAAGAAGTTGAAGGAGATTCAGTTGGTGATGAATTTAAAGGTTATATTTTCAAAATTACTGGTGGTAACGATAAACAAGGTTTCCCAATGAAACAAGGTGTTATGCATCCAACTAGAGTTAGATTATTATTATCAAAAGGTCATTCATGTTATAGACCAAGAAGAACTGGTGAAAGAAAAAGAAAATCAGTTAGAGGTTGTATTGTTGCTCAAGATTTATCAGTATTATCTTTAGCTATTGTTAAACAAGGAGATTCAGATATTGAAGGTTTAACTGATTTAACAGTTCCAAAAAGATTAGGTCCAAAAAGAGCTAATCATATTAGAAAATTTTTTGGTTTAACAAAAGAAGATGATGTTAGAGATTTTGTTGTTAGAAGAGAAGTTACAAAAGGTGATAAAACTTATACTAAAGCTCCAAAAATTCAAAGATTAGTTACTCCACAAACTTTACAAAGAAAAAGAGCTTTAAAAGCACAAAAAATTAAAAATGCTCAACATCAAAGAGATGCAGCAGCTGAATATGCTCAATTATTAGCTAAAAGATTACATGAAAGAAAAGAAGAAAGAGCTGAAATTAAAAAGAAAAGAGCTGAATCTATTAAAAATTAAGGGAAAATAGAATTGTTAAATATATAATTAATGGTCATAATTTATAAATATTTGTTACATAGTATTCTGTGTTTATAATAAAAAATATAAAATTTACGGTAAATGATGTTGATAAGTTGTAGTTTTCATAGCTCTGTATATTTAATATTTATAAATTATTATAAAATAAAATTTCGTAAAAGTCTCAAATTGGTGAGCTATTGGATTTATAAAATTTCGTAATGGTAAGTAAATTGCAAATTCCCGACCTTTTTCATGGCTACTGCTTCCTTGTCACATCTTTTGTTTATCTGATTCAAGTAACTATAATTGAACACTAACTTTAAAGATAAAATTGACCATGAGGTATTGATTTTTCATTTCAACCCAAGTTGAAAATAGAATATGATCATCTCATCTCTTCTCTACGCCACTCTTTAAATTAACATCTAATGTGTAGGCCATACTCTTTTAATTAACATTTAGTGTATTTCTATCATCTTCCTTCATATTAGTCTCTTTTTATTATTTGATTCATCGTTAGCTTCTTTTTCTTCATCATCTTCTTCATCATCATCATTTATACGCCTTTTCTTTACCAATCTTTTAATATTTTCATAAACTTGATCAGTTGAAATATTGGACCCATAAGAAAAATTCTTTTTTATATAATTTTCTTGCTCTGTCTTGTACCTTGGATCTCTTAATAATATTCTCAAATGATTATCAAATTCATTTTCAGGAATCATTTTATTAGTAATTGGACATTTAATTAAATCTTTACCTTCTTTTTGTTTTTTCAATCTTGATGATCCAGCCGCTTTAATTTTCATACCTTTAAAAGGACCAGTGACAACTACTGTCTCTTCTTTCTTCTCTCTTTTTTCATCTTTTTGTTTCTCTTCTTTCTCCTCCTTTTGAACTTTTGATTTCGGTAGTTGTTGTTCAATATCTTTTGATTTTGAAATTAATGATCTTGAAATTAACAGATCTCGAATCAATGGAACATTCAATTCTTTAACTTTATCAATTGAATCAAATTCAACCTTTGCGACTAAATTAAAATCTTGCCAATCAATACTTGCAAATGTTAATAATTTATCCTTTTCATTCTCTTTCTCTTTCTTTGCATTTACTTTATTTGCTTTCATATATTTTGATCGATTTTTACACTTGGCAAGTATATCGAAATCATCAAAATCCGATAAAATCTCGTTTTTTTTTTCATTTTCATCATTTTGAAAAATGTCAATGAGTTTAGTATATTGTTTGATATAAGTTTCAAATATTGGATTTAATGAATGATTAGTATTAAGAAATTCATATTGAGCTTTATTAAATGATATGTGTTTAAGAAGCGATGGTATTTTATTCTTTCCATTTTTGGCAATATATAATGCAGTTGCTTTAATTATATTCAAATCATAGTTTGAAATAATAGGTAAATCAATTAGGAATTCTAATTCTTTTGGTTTTTCAATTGGTGGTGATTGTTGTATCTCATCTTGTTTATTTTTTTCAAGCAATTTCAGTTGATAATAATCATAATATTCATTATCCAGTTTTAAGAAATCAAATTGACCATTGTGATTATTCTTTAATAATCTTTGTTCGAATGTTATACCATTCTTATTAACATAATTAATAGTCTTGTTAATTGATTCTATTATATTATTTGGTGGTGTAATCATTTTACAATGGAAAAAAAAATATATATATATATTGCAAGAATGATTGATGTTGATGTTGATAATGATATTAATAATAATGAAATTGATTCTGATGATGATTTAATAAGTCAGGATTTAAATCAGATTGGTAAGATCAATATTAATTATATTTCAAATTATTTTAATAATTTAAAGATTATAGACAAATTTCAAATTACAAATGAAGTAAATAAGTTTTTAAATAAATATAAGAATAAAAGTGATGGTGAAGAAGATGAAAGTTTAATAAATTCAATAAAGACTATAATATCAACTAGAATTCAAATGAATACATTTTTAAATGATTTAAAATTAGGTTTAAATATAAATTCTGCAATTGAAAGATTACAACCACTAACTGATTTGATTCATGAAACAATTACGTTACCCATTGAAGAAGAAGAAGATGAAGAAGAAGATGAAGATAATTATGATGATAATGATGCTATAGAAGAAGGTATAAAACAAGAAGAACCAGTCGGAGTTGATTCAATAGTTAATAAATCTCAACCTTTTATTTATGATATTGTTAAACCTCAAGTTAAAAGATTAAAAATATTAAGAGAAAATAAGAATGATTATAATAATGAAGGAGATATTTCACTGGTTTCTTCGGATATTGAAGGATTAACAAAAGATGAAATTAAAGAATTAACAGAATTAACAAAAGAAGAATTTAATCAAGAAAAAATATTAAGAAGTAGAATTCAAAGAATACATACAATACAGAGACTTAATTCATCTTCAAAATCTCATTTAGTTACTAAATTAATGATGGGTAATTATTATAAATTTATAAATGAAGAAGAAGGAGGTGGTGGTGGTGGTGGTGGTGGTGGTGGTGGTGGTGGAAGAGGAGGAAGTGGAAAGGGAGTTTCTATTGATAAACAATTATTAAAGAAACAAAAATTAGTTATAGAATCTGAAGAATCTAAAGAATCTATAAGAGAGAAAGAAGATGAACAAGATGAACAAGAAGAAGAAGAAGAAGAAGAAGAAGAAGAAGAAGAAGAAGAAGAAGAAGAAGAAGAAGAAGTTATATTAACAGAAGAAGATCAATTACCATCATATCATAATCATAATTTAGGAGTTTTTGGATGTTGTCATTATCAAACAAATTGTAAAATTGAATGTCCAACATGTTTTAAATGGTTTCCATGTCGATTTTGTCATGATTTAAAAGTTACGGATCATAAATTAATTCGTAATGAAATTAAACATATTTTATGTATGTTTTGTAATACACCACAATATGCAGATTCAAATTATTGTATAAATTGTGAGAAAGAATTGGCAAATTATTTTTGTTCAATTTGTAAATTATATGATAATGATCGAACTAAAGAAATTTATCATTGTAATAAATGTGGAATATGTAGATTAGGATTGGGATTAGGTAAAGATTATTTTCATTGTGATATTTGTAATATTTGTCTTTCAATAGATTTAAAAGAAAAACATAAATGTGTATCAAATACAACACATTGTGATTGTACAATATGTAATGAATATTTATTTACAAGTGTTCAAAAAATTGTATTTATGAAATGTGGTCACCTGATTCATCAACATTGTTATAATGAATTAATTAAATATAGTTATAAATGTCCTATATGTAAAAAAACAATAGTTAATGTTGAATCACAATTTAGATTATTAGAATTAGAAATTGAAAATAATAAATTACCTAGTCCCTATGATAAATGGAGATGTATTATAAGTTGTAATGATTGTAAAGGAAAATCGAATTGTTCATATCATGTATTGGGATTAAAATGTAAATATTGTAATAGTTTTAATACTAATCAACTTAAATTGATTAAACCAGAAGAAGAAGAAGAAGGAGATGAAGAAGAAGAAGAAGGAGAAGAAGGAGAAATAGAAGTAGAAGGAGAAGAAGTAGAAGTAGAAGAAGAAGAAAAAGAAGAAAAAGAAGAAAAAGAAGAAAAAGAAAAAGAAAAAGAAGAACAAATTGATGAAAATCAAATACAAAAAAGTTTGATAAATAATTTTGATGATAATTTAATGAAATCAGTTTCATTAAATTTACAAAATAATTTTAGTATGGATGAAAAACAAATTGAAATAGATAGTGGATATGAAGAAGGAGATGAAAATTATAGTGATGATATTGACGATGAAGAAAATGGAGATATTAATAATTTAATAAATTTTAATAAATTAACTAAATCCAATAATTTAAATCAATATAATGTTTCATATGTAGCTAATATTTTTCAAAATTTTATAAATAATGCAACTAAAAGGGAATAAGTAAAGATGAGAACAACAAACAAACACTTAGTTAATATATAATGATAATGATGATGATAAAGATAATGATGATAATACTAATAAAAATAATAATAATAATATTAATAGTAACTTCTAATTATTAATTACTCTATAAAAGCAAATAATCTATAAATAGTAATCATTTTTAAAAATTGTTGAAATTAAGCGGCAATTTCCAAATTTGTTAAATTTTAGCGGTAATTGCCAAATTTGTTAAAATTAAGCGGTAATTTCCAAATTTCCAAATTTATAATCCCAAAAACCAACAGAAAAAAGAAAAAAAAAAAAATAAAAATAAAAATAAAAAAAAAAAAAAAAACATTTACCCCAGATTTCAACAAATTTAAAATAATAAAAATTTTCAAAACCCAAACTAGAAGATAAATAAATAAACAAATAAATAAACAAATAAATAGCTAAATAGATAAATAAATAGATAAATAGATAAATAGATAAATAAATAGATAAATAGATAAATAGATAAATAGATAGATAAATAAAACAGATAAATAAAATAGAGAAATAAAATAGATATAGATTGATAGATTATAATTGACTAATAAAATTAGAAATAAGCAGTAGTACAACTTTAAATAGAAGTATTAATAGATTTTAAAATTACTAGCCACAAATAACGTCATCCATCATAAAATTACTAGCCACAAGTAACATCATTCATCATCACCAAATTATAATAATTAACACATGCATCAGATTAAAACCAAGAAAATTTTAATCACGTTTTAAGTCATTGGATTGGTAGCATTTTCTTTTTTTTTTTTGAATGATTTTTTCTAATGGTTAGTACACTAATAAATTCGGTTATTCTATGTTATAGTTATAATTATATTTATAGTTATAGTTGTAATGCAGCAATAGAATAAAAAAAAGTTTAAATTATAACAATACAATAATTACATACATTGAAAGAAAAAACGTGCCACAAACAAACGTGCAACGAACAAACGAACAAACGAACAAACGAACAAACGAACAAACAAACAAACGAACAAACCAAACGAACAAACAAATAAACAAAACAAAACCAAACAAATAAACAAAACAAAACCAAGCAAATAAACCAAACAAAACCAAACAAATAAACTATTATATAATGAATAGTAATTTGAAGAGATACACTTGAGGATAATTTGGATATTTAAATATAAAAAGTTATGTCATCGTATAATCTCTCTCATATGGTAGCATAAATTACGTTAATCTCTGACAAATGGTCATTTTTTGTGAGGAAGAAGAAGAAGAAGAAGAAGAAGAAGAAGAAGAAGAAGAAGAAGAAGAAGAAGAAGAAGAAGAAGAAAAAGTAAAACAAATTACTCGGTATAAAAACAATTTATATTGAATTTGCACTTAATTTATAACATTGACAGTATGGTTATGGTCTACAATGATGTAGAATAGTTATTATTACAACTGTTTTTGTTGGTTTCTGTTGGTTTTTATTGGTGGTTTTTATTGGTTTTTATTGGTTTAATATTGAATGATCTCTCATACTAAAATATAACTTTTTTTATTTTTTTTTTTTTTTTTTTTATTTTATTTTATTTTATTTTATTTTTTTTTTTTTTTTTTTTTTTTTTTTTTTCTGTTGGTAAATAAAATTGGAAATCAAAACCATATAAAAATTGATTATTATTATTACTTATTATTACTTATTACAACCAATTCATATATTATTATATATACATAAAGTATTATATTATATTACATTACATTCCAACTAAAGTTGTTACAATTTCAACCAGCTAATATCTCGTTCATTCATTCATTCATTTATTCTTTTACTCATTTATTCATTTATTTATTATACTATTTTCTAATATTTTGCTGAATATTTATTTCATTTTTCAATCTAATTTTGTTATTCATAATAATAATAATAATAATAACAATAACAACTTCTTTTAAAAATAAAATTAAGTTTTAAGTTTTACTTTTGAATATTTTCCATTCCATTCATTTAATTATTTAATGAATGCAATTAAAAAATTAGCTAATTCATTAGATAATATATATTCAACACAAAATAATAGCAATAATAATGATAATACTTCGACGGAGCAACAACAAGAACAAGAACATGGACTGGAACAAGAACAGGGACAAGAACAGGGACAAGAACATGAACAAGAACATGATAAATTAAATCTACAACAACAACAACAAGATGAATTGGAAGTAATCGATGATGAAAAAGGTATAAATCAAGAAGAAGATGATCAAGATAATGGAGAGGGAGAAGGAGAGGGAGAAGGCGAGGGAGAAGGAGAAGGAGAAGGAGAAGGAGAAGGAGAAATAGAGGGAGAGGGAGAAGGAGAAATAGAGATTGATGAAAAATCAACTAGTTCACCTCCACCAACAACTGCAACAACTACAACAACAACTACAACAACAACAACAAACATAATATATACAATATTCATTTCAATTTGGAAAATTTTTTATTTTCTTCCTAATAATTTAATCATTAAACCATTAAGTTTTACAATATACATTATAATATGGCCATTTAATTATACATTAAGACAATTAGGTATTGGACAACAACCAAAAACTGACGAAATAACTTTACCACCTAAAGTTTCAGATGAATTAGTAACTAGAGCACCATCAACCACCACCACCACCACCAACAACAACAACAACAACAACAAAGATTCCTCAGATGATTATTTTGATGAAAAGTCCACAGATTTAATTAAACAAGATAATATAATATCAAATAAAATTAAATCTCCAACTTCTTTTTCAAAATATATAATACCACCACCTCAAAGATTATATCCATTAACTAGAAATCCACAAAAGAAGCGTAAAAAAAAAATTTTGGTACTTGATCTTGATGAAACTTTAATTCATTCATTACTGAGAGGTTCTCCAAGAAGTTTTCATCCAACTTCATCATATTCAAAAATGATTGAAATTAAATTAAATAATATCAGATCTTTATATTATGTACATAAACGACCATATTGTGATTATTTCCTAACTGAAATTTCAAAATGGTTTGAATTACAAATTTTTACTGCAAGTGTTAAAGAATATGCTGATCCAATAATAGATTGGTTAGAACTGGATATACAAGATAATAAAGAAAAATCAAAAAAGGAATCAAAAATTTTTACAAAACGTTATTATCGTACTGATTGTACTTATAGACCTGGTGTTGGATATATTAAAGATTTATCAAAATTTATAAAAGATGATGAATTAAAAAATGTAATGATTTTAGATAATTCTCCAATTAGTTATGCTTTACATGAAGAAAATGCTGTTAGTATTGAAGGTTGGATAAATGATCAAAATGATAAAGATTTAATTAATTTATTACCATTATTATATAGTTTAAGTTTATGTATTGATGTAAGGTATATATTGGGGTTAAAAAATGGGGAAAAGTTCTTTGAGTAAGGATGTAATTCGATCAAAATCAATCAAAACCAACCAAAACCAACCAAAATCAATCAAAACCAATCAAAATCAATATATCTATAAAAAAGTTCAAATATACAGAATTGATTTCGTAAATTATTTATCATCGTATAAATTCTGAAACAAATTTAATTTTTTTTTTTTTTTTTTTTCAGTTGATGGAAGAATTACTTTCTAATTTATCAAATTTAGATTTAAACAAATCAAAACAATTAGGTGATTTTCTAAGAGATGAAGAAAACAGATCATCTAAATTACTTCAAAATAACTTACATAATTTATTAATTCAATTTAATCTTTTATTGACAACTGATAAAGAAACAATAAATGAGACTTTGCGAGTTTTGATTAATTTATTAGCATTTAATGAATATAATAGATCTTTTATAACTGATTTAAATTCACTAGATGTTTTACAATTTTGGAATATTATAAAAGCGATACTTCCCAATTATTCAGAAAGAATTTTTATTCTACTTAATCAATTTATCTATAATACTGAACTAAAATTGGAATACTTATCTAAATTAAATCATATACGAATTCAAGATGCCATTTATAAATGTGTTAATATTGATAATATAGATGATATTGGTGAGTTTTTAACTGAATTATTGTCGCATAATGAGTTACAAAATTTAGATTATAAATTTTTAAAAAATTGCGTTGATTTAATTACTAATAATGAAGAAAGTTCAATTGTGGAATTAATTCAATTAAACAAACCTGATGATGATTTATTTGAAAAAATATTATTAAAAATACAAACTGTTGAAATTCCAATAATCAAGAGGAAATTATTCTCTACTGCTCCATTATTAGCAAATACAGAAGCACCACCAATCAAATATTTATCAAGTTTCGATCCTTATATTTTTAGTTGTTGTTGTATTACAGTTGGGAATTTCATAATTGATAATTTTACAAAATGTACAATTATAAAACAATTAAATATAGACAAATTTATGAATCACTATTGGAATTTGAAAATTACCGATATTGTACAAATTCAATCTATTCACATATGGAAAAAATTAATGATTGAAGGTTATGAAAACCAATTAATTAAAGAAATGGCTCAACTTATATCTTCAAAATATGCCTCCCAATTAATCAATTTAACAAAGTTGATAAATGATAATAAACCATATTATCAAGAAATCTATAATCTATATCTCAAATTTTTAAGAAAGTTGTTTGAATTTTCAGAGCCTCCAATTGGCATATTTGAAATTATAAATGATTCAGAAATTACATATATTTGTCTTAAACAACGTAAATACATTCATGATCATGAATTATTTACTCATTTCATAACTGAATCTGTAAAAGAAGTCGATACGGTTAATTTTAATAAACAAGTAGTTGCTTTAAGTATGTTTACGTGTCATATAAACAACATTGATGATGAACTTATAAACAATTTCATTATCCCGTTAAATTCATTATTACTTGAATTTGTAAAACAAAGAGATATGGTTAAAGACGAAGATAAAACCAATCCAGAAGTTATTGGATTTTTACATAATATTAAATTTTTAGCTGCTAATACTTGTCAGTTAATTAATGAATTTGAAAAAGGTAAACATAAAGATAAAAAATTTAATGAGTTAAAGGAACTTTGTAAACTGATTATAAGTCATCCTTCAGGAGGTTATGATTTGGTGGATTAAATAATAAATATAAATATAAATTGAATGAGGATGCTCGGTTGAAATATACTAATTGTTCAATCTTTCCTTTGCCTCTTATTATCTCCACACTTGCAAATGGCATGAATAAATGCCTTAAACTATTTCACGGCATCATTCTTAAATCTACCTTGATAATTTTCTCTATAGTATAAATTTTCGCGGCTTTTGATTCCTATTTGAGTAATTAATTGCGATAAATCAAATAGATAAGCCGCACGAGGCGCCATAAAAATAAACTTTTTAACCGACACTTCATGCGGCTCAATTCTTTAGAATTCGTATAAAAAACCGGACCATACCGAGACATGAAAAGTTTTTCTATTTTTTAAGTATTTCCAAAAGACCCTTTTTCTTTTATTCAATATGACTATTGAATCCAAATTTTCAAAATTAGAAGGTGAGGCACCTGATCCAATCATTAAAACCATGGCTAAATTTGCAGCTGATCAATCATCAAATAAAATTGATGTTTCTATTGGTGTATATAAGGATGAAAAATTGCAACCATATTTATTCCCCAGTATTAAAAAATCAAAACAAATTTTGTTTGAAAATGATCCTGGTCATAATTATACATCCATGGGAGGAATTCCACAATTCATCAATGGTGCACAAAGAGTTATATTTGGTGATGATATTTCTAATATTGCTTCACTTCAATGTATTTCAGGTACTGGAAGTATTCATATGGCTTTAGTATTTCTTAAAGAAAATCAGTTCATTAATTATTATATTGGATTACCTACATGGCAAAATTATGGTCCCATGATTGAACATATTGGTGGTAAGCTAAATTATTATAAATATTATGATGAGAAAACTAAAAAAATAGATTTTGAATCAGTTTTGAACACATTGGAATCAGCTTCTCCTAATTCAATTTTCTTATTTCAGACATGTTGTCATAATCCAACGGGATCCGATTTTTCACAGAATCAATGGACGGAAATTTTTAAAATTATGAAATTGAAGCAATTGATTCCAATTTTCGATACTGCTTATCAAGGATTTTCTAGTGGTGATTTAACCATTGATGCTTGGCCAATTAGATATTTCAAATCACAAGGTCTTGAATTTCTTGTAACACAATCATTTTCAAAAAATATGGGTCTTTATTCAGAAAGAGTTGGTTGTTTACATGTAAATTATCAAGATGAGACGATGAAAGATAAAATACAACTGACCTTGGTTAAGATATTTAGAGTTGAATGTTCATTTGCACCTGCGTACGGATCAAGAATCGCGATAAATATTTTCGAAAATCAAAAATTATATAAACAATGGGAAATTGATATTTCTAATATAACTAAACGATTGAAAGGCATTAGACAAAAAATATTAGATAAGTTTCAAGAGTTGGGTACTCCTGGGGATTGGTCAAATGTCATTACTCAAACTGGATTATTTTGGCATTCGGGACTAACTCCACAACAAAATGATAAATTAATTTCAAAATATAATATTTATTCTACTAGTATGGGAAGAGTTAATATTGCAGGGTTAAATGATAAAAATTTGGATTATTTCGTTAGGGCAATTGATGATATTGTAAGAAATGATTAATTTATATGATTAATGATTGATTTTATAAATTTAATCTATTGTATATATCCAACAATTCTACTTGCTAACTTGTCAAGATATGTATTAAACAGCAATTAAAGCAAGTTTATAGCACCTCTTTGGCCTTAAGAAGTTTAAAAGTTCCGGCATTTTTCAGCTTTCTGGTTTGTCAAATGTTGAAAACCATTAAACTTTGTTAACAAACTTAAAAGTTGCAAATTTTCAAATATCAAAATCGGATTGGCATGAAGTTTCTCATTCGAACGGTACCAAAAACCAAGTAGTTTGAATTAGTAATGACGATGTAGTTCCAGTTTGAAATTCATCAAAAAGTAATGGCTTTTTTAACTTTTTTTTAGTTCGCGCTCTCGGTATATTTTGTTTTGTGTCAGATCTCGTATTTATAGATTTGCACCAATCTCAGATCTAAATCGCGCTTAAACGTTTTTTTGCGTTTTTTGTTATGTCTTGGAGAATTTTGCTGATTTCAAGTGTATCACAGAACGACTACGGTTGAACTCTAAACATATATAAATTGATAATAAGCGAAAGTGTTCTTTCAACTTATTCCAGGTCAAAATTGGGTAATAAGAACATTTTTCGTCAGTTTTGCAAAAATTTAGCAAAATATTCGGGAAAAGGAATCAGTTGATCGAAGCATGTAATTCGTTCAGCATTTCATGCATACTTTCAGAAGCTATACTAATTTAATTCTACAGAATATACATCTTTGTGTAATAATTTTCGAGAATTTACGTTTTCATGAGAGATATGTTACACAAGTTCAAATAATTACCATAAAAGTCATACACACTTAAAGTAATTATTCAATCCCATCAAATGAAATAATTGTATATTGTCCATCTATATCTTTTCAGGAATCTTACCATGAATCTTTTTTAAATGAGCTTTTAAATTATCTTTTCTATTAAACCTTTTACCACAATTCAATTCCACACATTCAAATGGTTTTTCCAGAGTATGACTTTTTAAATGTCTTTTAACATGTTCTGGTCTTTGAAATCTCAGATCACAAATAGGACATTTATGTTTCTTTTTTGGATCCAATTTATTCATTTCTGATCTATTATTTCGAACTTTTGGTCTAGTAATATCTAAATCATCAGGAATTGGAATTGTTATAGTTGTATCATCATCAGAATCAATATTTTCCTTCTCTTCTTTCTTTTCTTTTTTCTTTCTTGCTTCTTTCTTTTTAGCCTCTTTGTCTTTTTTAAATGTTGCCATTGGTGGTAATAAATGTGGTGAAGTAATAGTCGATGTTGTTGCTGTAGATGGTTCAGTTGATTGTGGTGGCTGCGATTGTTGATGTTGTGGTGGTTGATTTTGATAAGTTAAATCAATATTTGTTGATTGTTCTTGATATGTAAATTCTGGTGATAATAAATCAATTCTTGGTGCTGAAATAGTTGGTAATGGTTGACTTTGACTTGTTATACTTTGTTGACTTTTCCTCTTCATTAAATTAGAATATGATTTAGCTTTTCTTAACAGTTTAAAAGCATCTTCTTCATCATCTTCATCATCTAAATCACTATTTGAATCATCAATATTGGTATTTGCTTGATGATGAAATGGACTGAAAAAAGTAGTTGAATTTGTATTTGGTTTCGAAATATTATTTTTTGAACCTGGTGTTAATAATGAAGTTTCATCATCTACATCATCTAAAGTTTTAACTCTTCCATTCATATTTAAAGGTGTGAAAAAGGGATTTGAAGCTGAAGAAGTATATGAACTTGAATTTGAATTATGTGAATTTGTTAAAACCAGTTGTAAAGTATGTACATCTACTGATGAATAATTTTTTGACCTTGATCTTGAATGATGTTTATTAGGAGTAGTTCCACTTTTTGTAATTTTATTCAATGCTGTTGTACTTAAATTTATTGGAGTATACGAAAATGGTTGAGTAGAGTTTTGACCTTGACCTTGTCGTAAAGGTGTAGTATATGATGATATACTTAATGATTTATTTCTAATACGTCTTGGAGTATATGGATAAGGTTGTTGTTGTTGTTGTTGTTGTTGTTGTTGTTGTTGTTGTTGTTGTTGTTGTTGTTGTTGTTGTTGTTGTTGTTGTTGTTGTTGTTGTTGTTGTTGTTGTTGTTGTTGTTGTTGTTGTTGTTGTTGTTGTTGTTGTTGTTGTTGTTGTTGTTGTTGTTGTTGTTGTTGTTGTTGTTGTTGTTGTTGTTGTTGCTGTTGCTGCTGTTGCTGCTGCTGTTGCTGATGTTGTTGCTGATGTTGTTGCTGATGTTGTTGCATAGGAAACTGATGCTGTTGCATTTGTTGCGGATATTGATCAAATGATGATATAGAATCTAATGAATATATAGATGTTGAATTTGGAATTGAATTTTGTTGTGTTTGCATAGGTGGTTCTTGATTTATTGAAGTCACAGAATTTGAATGTCCATGACCATTTACATTATTATTATTATTATAAGATAATGGATAATCTAATGATATATTTCTCGAATGATAGAAATTTAATTCATTATATTTATTTTCGGGTAAATTAGTCAGAATTGGAACTATTTCATCGTCTGGTATATTATTATTATTATTATTATTGTTGTAATTTTGATTATATTGTAAAAAATGGTTGTCAATTGACTGATTAATTGGTAATATATTATTTTCATAAGTTGTAGTTGTATTAGCTAGATTTATATTTGTTGAATTCGTATTAAATTGTGAAATTTGTGAAATTTGTGAATGTTGTTGTGAATGTTGCGAATTAATTTGTTGTTGATGTGGTGGATCTTCATAAACATCAAATAATATAGTTGATTCATCATATGGTTGTGATAATTGAGTCGGAGAACTTAATAAAAATTTCTCCATAATGAAGGCCAAGGTATGACAAAAAATTGAAATTTATGAAATTTATGAAATTTGTGAAATTTGTGAAACTTGTGAAATTTGTGAAATTATGACAAAATATATAAGGTATAATTGGTAACTAATTGAATAAATATTCAAGGTTTAATTTAATATTGTTCTATGTGTGTGAAATTGTTTCAATGCAAAATGTTTGGTAGTAAATGAAAAAGGAGAAGGATAATAAAATGAAAAAACGATAAAATTAATGAGTTGATAAGTAGATAAGTTGATAAGTTGAAGTATTATATTTATAGTATAATCTGTATCATTAATAAACGAATGAATAACTAATTTATTTTATAGGTTATAACTTTGATTAATTGGTTGTATAAATAAACTTGAATTGAAACTAGTTTAAAATTGAATGAAAAGATTCCAATATAAAAATTAAAACAAATTTTTATTTTAATTTTAAAAAAAAAAAAAAAAAAAAAAATAAAAAAAAATAAAAAATAAAAAAAAAAAAAGTCAGTAGTTTTTTTAAGTTAAATTTGTGTTTCAAATTTAAAACTACTCAATTAAGATTATTGAATGAGAAGAGATAATATATTCAATATGTTAAGAATTAATCAAGAAGTTTACCAAGTATATTATTAGTCGTTCTTGTACTTTATATATGAAATTTAATTCGTTAATTCAAGAAATTCTTATCATATAATTTATTATAATTCATTTAATATACTATATTATATATAAAACTCAACTCACTTTAATTGACTGACGTTTTAAATTAAACATAAAAGTGTAACATTATACTACGAAATACTACGACATACTACGAATGCAAAAACTTGTTTAAGTCTCTCTTATAATATAACCGGAGATCAACCATAGATATATAAATATACACATATATAAATAACTCTATGTAAAATACTGTAGTTCTAAAAATAGATATTTAACACGGCCATATCGAATAATTTGAATATTCTAGTTTAATTCCAATACCAATAAATCATTTCCATTCGTGCCATTTTAATGCGACAATTTAGGAAAAAAGAAATTTTATACCGTATGTTACTTTTATTGGTGGATTTTCGAGAAACAAAAAAAAAAAAAAAAAAAAAATTTAAAATTTATAATTTTTAGTTTTTGATTTACGCGTCTATTTTTTTATTTTTTTATCTTCAATATAATAATTGAATATCTTTACTGGTCGAATTAACTTAATTAGACAAATGTTTCATTTCACGTCTCGAAGAATAAGTCGAAGAATAAGTCAATTGACTTCAAGCCATGTATTAGTAATCTTTAGTATAATAATTCTTAATTCTTTATTCTTTATTTAACTTATTTAACTTATTGTCTGTTTTAAATGTTTGTTTTTTGTTACATAGCCACTATAATATTGCACTAACTTACAACCGTCGCAACGAACAAAAAATTACTATTAGTGCTAATTTATCCTATTACGATTCTTTTATTAATAAATTACTCGGGTATACTTTATTGATATCTGTTGCTATATATTTTGCTATGTATTTTGCTATATATTTTGAACAAGTTATTATAGTTTAAAATTATCATATTCAATCTCAATATAAATCTCTCCACACAAGAAATTGTTCTATGCATAAAATCAAATCAGAACATACATACGCTCAATTTTCGTCAAATTGTGGAAACATCAGTCGTCAGTAGATTAGATTATAAAGATGTTAAACACGAAGCTCACTCCTTAAGTTTGGCTTCAGCTTTTTTAACCATTTCATCAAATGATATTATCACATTTAATTTAAATTGTTTATTTTAATATAAGCCTTATTTGATTCACAATACAATAGTGAAAATTAATTTATCCGTTTTTGATCTTAAATGTTGATCAGACGCGTCTCATTTTTATGCATAATTACTTATGTTTTTTTTTTTTTTTTTTTTTTTTTTTTTTTTTCGATAATAGAGCTTTATCGGTTTGATCTTTGTTTTTAACTTTCGCTGCAAAAATAATGATAATGTTCTATTTGTCAGAAAACTCGTATACAAATATCTGTCTTGATAAAAAAACAGTATTAGTATTGTATATATCTAAAGTTCTTAGGGTACATCATGTAAACTTAAGTTTTGAGATAATGACAAAAAAAAAAAACTTCATTAAGCTTAATGCTACGTAAAATGTCTGCATTTAATCAATAAATATATTTATAACTCGGGTGCTTATCAAAATGTCTTCATATTTTTCTATTTTTCTATTTTGCGAATTGTACATCAGATTACATTGCAACCAAAGTGAAGTTATTATTTAAGGTCCAATTCAGATCATGAGTTGACATGACAACTTATTTAATTCGATGTGCATAATACATCAAAATCAAAATCAAAATTAAGATTACAGTCATACTGAATAGTGTTATATATATATAAAATGGTTATTTAAATTACACTCTTCATTGAATTTTGATTTTAATAATTAAAACTTGCTCAATCATTATTTTATAAATTCGTTCAATTGGTTGATAAAGATCTATTTGAAGATTGTAATTTAAATAACTTGGTCAATCATTATTTTATAAATTCGTTCAATTGGTTGATAAAGATCTATTTCTAAATTAGCGTTTACGGAGTAATGCATTACTGTCTAACATTCGCTAATTTTTTTTTAAACACTTCTGAAACAAATCATTTGAAATTTGAAATTTGAATGACTCGAAATGAAAACCACAAAACTTTAAATTAATTAATGTGTGTGTTTCGCATTTCCTAATTCATCTATTATTTAATTCTATCGTCTTCGAGAAAATTACTATAAATACGTATTAAAATTCACATTATTTTTTGGAAAACGATGGCAATCTAAAACAGATCTAAAAGAAAAAGGTAAATATAAAATAAACAATATAATGAAAATGTTAACAGATTCAAATTTAAAGTTAGAAAGTGATTATATCTAAGTGTTCCTTTGTTCTGCATGTGTCTTTAGAACTTCATCAGTGTGCAAGTTGTCAATTAATGTTATATCTAAGTGTTCCTTTGTTCTGCATTTGTCCTTAGGACTTCATCAGTGTGCAAGTTGTCAATTAATGTTATATCTAAGTGTTCCTTTGTTCGGCATGTGTCTTTAGAACTTCATCAGTGTGCAAGTTGTCAATTAATGAAGATTAAATATATTCATTAGAGTTTTTTAAACGATATAACTTGATCAAAAAAAAAACTATTTCATTAATTTTGTTTTCTTCACTTAAATCTTCATATTAAACTTTTCATCAATGCAGGTTCATTTCGTTCAGGATGAATTATCATCATAATCATCATCTTCTTCTTCAGTGATGCTCCAACATGGAACGGAATAGTTTGTTAAGATATGGCGGAAGTATATTATTCCTCTTAGAAAAAATAGTGGAAGTAAGAATGATGGACTCATGGATAGTTTATGGATAGTATATAGATCAAAAAGAGGATTTCCATTACCACACGAAGTAGGAATGAGATATCGATACCCAAACAATTATGCTCCATTCGTCTAAAAGAATTCAGTAAATGGCTTCGTTTAGGGAAGTTTATTACTAATCTGATGTAATTTGTAAAATTATAAATAATCTTAAAAATACTAATGTAAGAAATTTGATTCTGCAACCAAATAGAGATTGAAGATTTGAATTCAGAGATAGTTTTAATATACGTTCTCTTCATTTTTCACGTGATAAAGGATTAAATTGATGAACTTGACTATTTATATTTATGGGAACTACAATCACATTTTCAAAGGATGTTCAATTTCAAAGAATGTTCAGTTTCAATTGATCAATTTGTTCTCTACATATATAGCTCTCATCTAATTTAAAAATAAATATATTCAAACTTATATATATACACTTATGGATTTTGTTTAGCAAAATCAGTACCTTTTTTAATGTTTTTAATTAAAGTATCTTTAGCTTCTTTTACTAAACCTTCTTCATAATCAGATAATTCACCTAAACCATGAACTTTTTCAACACCATCAACACCTAAAGTAACTTTTGATGAAAAGAATTCAACACCTTCATCTTTAAATAATGGTGAATCAACAAAAGTACATTCAATAACATCTCTTTCACCAGCTAAACCATCCAAGACTGAACTTGCAAATCTTGCACCAGCTTGAGCCATTGATAAAGTAGCTGAACCTGCACCATCTTTAGCTTTAACAACTTCATCACCACCAAATTGAATTCTATGAACTAAAGCATCTCTTTTATCGGTTGGTAAACTTTTATGAACAGTTTGAGATAATAATGGAATAATTGTAACCCCTGAATGACCACCAACAACTGTAACTTTTTCATTTACAGGATTAGTACCAGCAACTTCTGAAACAAATCTTGAAGCTCTTAAAACATCTAAAGTAGTAACACCAAATAATTTTTTTGGATTATAAACACCTTTTTCTTTTAAAACTTCGGCAACAATTGGTACTGTTGAATTAACAGGATTTGAAATAATTAATAAAGCAGCATTTGGTGAATATTCAGCTGCAGCTTTTGCTAAATCTCTAACAATTGAAGCATTAGTATTAAATAAATCATCTCTACTCATACCTGGTTTTCTTGGAACACCAGCTGGAATAACAATAACATCTGAACCAGTTAAAGCTTCTTTAATTTGATCGGGATTATAACCTTTAACAGTTGAATTAGTTGGAACATGTGAAACATCAGCAGCAACCCCTGGAGCACCTTTAATATCATATAATGCTAAATCTGTAACTTTATGATTTAATTTTAATAATAATGATAATGGTTGACCAATACCACCACCAGCACCTAAAACAGCAACTTTATAAGCAGTTGAAGCAGTTGATGAGAAATTTCTTGAAGCAATTTTACCGAACATTGTTTATTAATTCAATTGATTATTAGTTAAAAGAAACAATTGAAAGAAAAATCGAAAAATGGAAAAAATGGAATTGAAAAATAATTTATAAAAATCAATTCGTTGAAATCTTATTGTATGATTATGTAATATACACTATACTGTGATTGTTTTACTTAACACACTCCAGATTTTTTCACCATACTTTATTTTCGCATTGACCAATCAAATTTGAGGATTTTAGTAGCCGTTTATTTTGGATATCATAGGCAATTTAATAACCGAGACAATTTATATCTCAGTTATTCTATTACTATGAGTTGAACCCATGATTAATGATACAAAGTAATTGGAACAACAAATGAAAGAAAACCTCTAGAAAGTAGAAGAGAAGAATAGAGCGAGACATAGATCAACTTCTGTTGTCTCTATACTAAGGTTCAGCTGCAGTTAAATTTAGCTGACAATGTAATACTGTGATACTCTACGTTTCGAAAATTGTGGATTATTTTTGCTATATTTTGGATTATTTTTGCAAACTTTTGGATTATTTTTGCAAAATTTTTCATTTTCATCAAATTTTGGAACCATTTTTCTTACTTTTTATTATGATCTACCAGGCAAATCAAATCACTTTAAAATTTTATTTCTGATATATTTGGTCTGACTGGCTGTTAAATATTTGATCTTTTCATCGTAAATTGAAAATTAATTTCCTATTTTTAATGATGACATAATCGATTACAAATTTATATTTATTTTGAAACAAAACAAATCCATCATTAATCAAAACAATTAAAATCATCAAATGTCAATTGATAAAGATGAAAATGCATCATATCCAATGGATATTCCCCATGTCACGTCCATAGACTTACCTTTAATTGTTAAAAATACAAATAGAGCAATTGATGCCTTAGGTGGTAAAAAACAATTAGTTTCTGCTTTCAACGGTAATGAACCATTGGAGTTAAAGCTACGAAAAGACAGTTTCCATCATCCTGTTCAGGCCATACATACATCGGACGAAAGAATATTATTAAAAATATCAATTCCAAAGAAATCTGTACCTCAAAATTATAAAGAATTATCAGTACGACAATTAATTGAAATCAATGATGAAGATAAAACCACTCCAAGGACAAGAATTCAACCAGTCGGTATCATAGATAAAACTTATAGTTTCAAACAAATGGCTGATTTACAAGTCAGTACCAAAAATAATGTATTAATTCAAAACTGGAACTCAAAATTCAACACTAAAAATTTAAATCTTGAAGAAATTAAAAAAGAAGTTGAAGAACATGGATCTTATCAAAACTATATCGATATAAATGATGAATATTTTGTAAATAGAGATTTAGGTTTAATTCCTCCACCAGTTTTCCTGGGTATAAAATATCCATTTGATTATAAATATAGAAAATCAGCTATAACAAAATCAGTAATTAATGAAGAAACAGGAGAAGCTGAACTTCAAATCACTACACCAAATACAAAATTATATACTCAACATATTGATTATAAATCTGATATTCCAAAACAACCAGCTCCTGAATTAATCAAGAATTTAGAAATATTGTCGAAAAAGGAAAAGGAAAAGTTACACCCACTTGAGAAAGCATTACTAGGGGCTATCGACTGGCTTAAATCGATGTATGAATTGAAACCAATTTGGTTACGTAAAGATTTAGCATCATTTGTACCAAAAGATTTGAGTAAATCTTTAAAATTTGCATATCCTTATGTATCATATACTTATAAATCAGGACCTTTTAGATTTTGTGCAATTAAATTTGGAGTTAATCCAAAAAGTGATAAAGAATATTGGTTATATCAAAGTGAATATTTTAGAGTACTTGAAGCAAAAAAGAAAGAAATTAAAAATGAAGATGAAGAAGAAAGTGTTTTTGATAATGATAGAATTGTACCTCGAACATTAATTGGTGTAACTGAAGATTATAAAATACCTAAATCAAATATTTTTAGTGGTGAATCATTACCTTCTACTGTTACTTTTCAAATTGGTGATATTTTAGATAGTGATATAATTAGTCGAATTCAAGAAGATCAGGCTAATTTAGGTGATTCATTTTTTTCAGATCAATGTACATATCAAGATGGTTGGATAAATAAGAAAACAATGAGTGTAATTAGAGCAATTGTAAGATATAAATTAAAACAATGGAATCATGATTTACCAATTGAAGTACATGAAGTTAGGTATGAGATTGAAAGAGCAGAGAAAAAATGGGAAAGATCAATGACTGAAGAAGAGGAAGATAGAATGGATATAGATGAAGAAGAAGAACTACATGAAGAAGACGAAGAAGAACTACATGAAGAAGAAGAAGAAGAAGAAGAAGAAGAAGAAGAAGAAGATGGAATCAATCAAGAATTACATGATGATGAGGAAGAAAATGAAATTGAACAAGATGATGAAGAAATGGAGGAAAATGGTCAAGAACATCCACCTTTGGATCCCAAAATGAATGAACAAGAAGTATTAACCAAAATCGAACAAAAGATCAATGATCCCAACAGTAAATTGTCCAATCTAGTTGGTGTTTTAAGACAAGCTTCATTAGAGAAACATTTACGTAGTTAATAAAAAATACATACAAAATTTCTCGTCCTACGAAAAAAAAAAAAAACACGTAAAACCAAATTCTTATAATCATGACAAAAGCTACTGAAACTGGTTTAACTTTATTTGCATTGTCTGCTATTTATTTTGCATTAACAACAGGAGTAATTCCAACTCCAACAAAAATACATGATGAAATTTTACCATTTTTACCGTGGTGGGCATTAGTTTCATTTGGTGCTTATGCTTTATCAACTTTAGGTTGGGGTATAGTTACATTTAAAGATAAAGAAGATAAATATAAAGAATTGGTTATACAAATAGAAGAAGCTAAACAATTTTATAAACAAGAAGGAATTGATTTGGATTAGTAAATAGGGATTTAATAAATAATACAAAAAGTCGAAATAAATAATAGTGTCTAATTTGAGATCTATATAATGTTTTTTATTGTTGTGCATGTTTTCTTTTAAGTTTCTTTTCAGTTTCTGTGAAAACTCTAATTGCAATAGGAACATCACCCCATTCATTTGGTCCTTCTTCTGTACTTTCTAATTCATGATCTTTTTTATTTGCAATTGATTCAGGATAATTTTCTTTATTTAAATGTTTTAAAGGTGCATGAAAATGTTCAGGCCATCTACCACCTTTTTCAACCAATTTTTTAGCAGCTTCAATTCTTTTTTCATTCCAATCTTTTAAATCTTCTTCAAATAATTCCCAAACACAATTTATACAACCACTCATACAACAATTATCAGGTTCTGGAGGTCTTGAAGGAACAGTTATACCAGCAATTACTTTTGGTTCACCTCTTGTTATTCTACTTGAACTTTTTCTATCTTCACCTTTTATTCTACCTCCGAAAACCTTTTGAATTCTTTCTTCTGCTGATATTGAAGTATCTATTGAATAATTACCTTCAAATCTAGTTTTAGTTTGTTGTTTTAACGTGTTTAAATCATCTTTTGTCATTAAAGCTGCTTCGATTGGATGTGTAGGATGTGATGGGGTTCGTAATACTAAATCATAGAATGAAAATCGTCTAATTTCATTTTGAGATTTTTGTTTTGGTAGTACAGGTCTTGTTCTTGTTGCTAAATGTCTAATATGTCGAATAATCATGGATATAGATATAAAAAGAGCGACTATTAATGAATTGTAAGACTATTTATATATTCTGAAACAATTGCTTTTATGATGTAAAAGACTTTATTTTTATTTGTCGCGCATGAGATTTGACAATGATGTTTTAGATTAGACACTAACAAATTATAGCTATAGATCAATCACTTGAGGTAGTAAACATCATAACGCTTTCGCAATGCCAATCCATAGGTTGAATTTGACTCGAGGTTGAAATTGTGGTTATGAATGTTGAATTTATTCGAAGAGTTGATTTTTAGCCCCAAGTTCCTTCTTATACATTGTAATCTATAGATTTTAAAGCATCATCAATACTTAAATAAAATCCATTACCTAGACCAGAAGCAGTATTCAACCCATTATGGGCTATATCTTGATCATTTATCATTTTTAAAATTCCCGACTTTTTCAATTTATCTCTAAATTTTTCATTTGTTGAAACTCTTGAAAATAAAATTAATATACCTTCATCTATATATCTTTTTATAATTTCATTTAATATTTGTAATGCACTTACATCAATTTTAATTAATCCTTTGCAATCAAATATAATGAATTTTATTGAATTTATTTCCTTAATTGAAGGTTGTGATGGATGAACTAATAATGTACCATATCTTTCAATTCTAGATAATTTATCTTTTAAATTGTTTATATTTGAAAAATTTAATGGTTCTGGAATTTTTATAATTATAACACCTTCAATTTCTTCAATTTCAGCAATTAATGAATTAAAAGTATGATTTGAATCAAAATGTTGAAAGCTTTCTTCTATTAATGTATCAATATCTCTAAATGCAAATGTTTTAGGAACTCTACCAAGTATTTGAATATTTGAAATTGAACTATTTTTAATAAGTTTAATAATTGATAATATAATTCCAAATGTAACACCAGCTTCAGCTGACCAAAAAATTGTTAAACTAAAAATTAATAAAAATGTAATAATTTCATGATATCCTTGAATATTAAAATAAAATATTAAATCAGATGGAATTTCAGCTAATACTGTAAGTCCAATGATTGTTGTAGTTAATGCCAATACACATTGTGGAAGATAATAAAAATAAGGAAGTAAATATAATACAGTTATTATACTTGTTATACTCATGAAAATTCCACTCATTGGAGATGTTGCACCTGATGATATATTTAACTTACTTCTACCTAATGCTCCAAATGAAGGTAATCCCATAAACAATGAATTGAAGAAATTTATAACTCCCAATGCAATCAATTCTCTATTTGATGAAACATTGTAGTTATATTTTGCACCTAATGCTTTAACTGCAGTGATTGAATCAAAATATCCTAAGATGGTACATAAAAAGAATGTTGTAAATGTATTTTTATAAATTTTGAGTTTTGAAGTTTGAAATGGATTTTGAATTGAAAATTTAGTATCACCTTTTTTAATATTACCAATAATTTCAACACCTTTTTTAAACCAATAGAAATGATAGCAAAGAAAAGTAGCAATAACAATCATTAATAATAATTCAGGAAAATAAACTGCCGATTTATGAGTTTTAACTAATTTTGATTTCAAAACTCTAATTGACATGACTAAAGTTAAACTAATAGCAGATATTAAGAAAGTCAAACCATGAGTATGATGATAATTCTTGAAAATGAAAACAAGTTTATCAATTGTTGTTATATGTGGTTGACCAATTGCCAACTTATCTAATCCTAGTTCAGTACTAAATTGATTTATAATCATAATTAAACCCATTGCAGCTATGAAACCTTTTAATAAAGCTCTACTTAATACATTATCCAAATAACCTAATCTAAAAATACCACAACCTAGTAAAATACCACTTAGACCAAATGTTAAACACGAACTAATTTCAATTATTGAAAAATCTAAAAATTTTGAATCATGTTGAATTATTTCAATTAATTGTCCATAAATAACAGCTGTTGAAGGTGATGGACCAACAATTAAAATAGGTACAGTTCCGAAAATTGCATAAATTAATGAACTAATAATCATAGCATATAGTCCACTAATTGGAGGTAAATGAGCTAAACTAATTGCAATCGACATAACTAGGGGAATTTGAAATGAAGCTAATGAAATACCAGCTAATAAATCACCAATTAAACTTTGTTTGAAATTATATTTCGGTAACCAATTTAAGATGGGTATATAATAGCTCAAATATGCAAATATATCAATCTCAGAACCATTGTTATTCAATTTATTGAACAATTCAAAATCAAGAATTGATAATGAATCTTCATTTCCATCTTTATCGCTGTTCTTTTTATACTTGTTTATATAATCTTCAATTAATGGTTCATTTAGACTTGTTGAACTTTTAAAACTTTTCAAAGAGTGTGAGGATCCAACTGATAATAAAGGAGGTCTATTGATTGATCTAGATGAAGAAGGTCGGGATAAAGATTTATCAAATCGAATATTCGGTGTGGGTGGAGTTGAAGATCTGTTAATTGATAATAATTTAGTATTTTCATCTGGCATTGTGAACTGTTATATAATTATCATTATATTTAAATCTAAGTCTTAAATAAATCCTTAATCAAAAGCGGAGTGGTAAAATCTTAGTAAAAAATTATGACATCAAAATCATATATTTATTTCTATTTTTAGCATGTTGCGGAAAAATTTTATGAGTTGTTGGAGGTTCGAAGTCTTGTAATTACTGCCAATCATAAATTGTTTTTTTGCAACCATTAAATTTTCGTGCCTGAAAACAAAAAATTTGCAGCCAACTAATAATTATGGGAATACTTTATCAAAAGACATTTTAGGTATTTTGAGTTCAAAATTTATCTCTGGAATCAATTGAATTTTCTGATAAATCTGAATTCAAACAGGCGATAATTACGTGGACCAATAATTTAAATTTACTCTATAAAATTTTACATCATAATTGAACGGAGTGTAGAACCGATGAGCTTAAAGCTCTTTAGTATTAAAAACTCTAGCTGACAGTATATTGGTTAATCTCATGCATTTAAGAATTGAAATGGCAATTGAAATGCAACTATATGAGCAATATTTTATTTAGTTAATGAACAGATCTAATTTTACGCGTTTGTACCTTAGTTCAAAATCTAATTCGTATCTCGTATTTCTAACTCATACATTATCAATAGATTCATATCGCTGTTGTTGTAAATAAAATAAAATAAAATACTAACACAGACTTGTTCCCAAAAAGGTATCAGCTTAAGCTGTTTACGATTCATTTACAAAACTTGCAAAATATACATCCAAGGTTGAGCCATGGATCTTAATAGAAACTAATTTGTTTGCACAATACCAAAGCTTACGGATGAGTATTATGTTTTAGCTCTTTTTGATCTTGGAGCTTTGTATTGATTCAACAAATATCTTTTCTTGAACTGATTCGTGTACACATAATAATTTGATTGAAATGAGATACAATGAGGAAAATCCCAGAATGTTTTTTGTTAGTGATGCTTTAAATACATGATGATGCTCTACATTGTTTGGTTAATATTTGGAAGGTTAAACTATAAAAGTGGAATCCAAATTAATTCATACAATATTTTTTTTTTTCGCTTATTGCAAAGATTTAGTAACTGAAGTTAATAAACGCCAATAAAATGATGTAATTGTCAAAAGGAGTATTTGACTTGTCACGTTTAAGATCTGGAGCTCTTTTAAGACACGATTTTGCATAAAATAAATGATTTGACGTGGTCTAATTTTTTAAAAGTCGAAAACGTGCTGGTATAATAAATTAGATTGAGATATTTTCAATTATCTTGAAAATATTATAGATGTAAAAATTATCTTAGCGAAACATTCATTAACGTTTCTTCCTATTCTTTGTTTAAAATTGTGACAGCACATTATGAGACAGTTATAAAAATTATCTTAGCAAAGATTCATGAACGTTTCCTCCTAATCTTTGTTTAAAATTGAGACAGCAAATTATGAGACAGTTATAAAAATTAACAGCATTGAATCAAACTCAAAATCAAAATCAAAATCAGAATCAAAATCAAAATCAAAATCAAAATCAAAATCAGAATCAAAATCAGAATCAAAATCAGAATCAAAATCAGAATCAAAATCAAAATCAGAATCAAAATCAAAATCAGAATCAAAATCAAAATCAAAATCAAAATCTTAAATTATAAAAAGTAGGATTTTACAATTGACCTTTTACATGCCCAAACCTCAAACAAGAAACGATTTGAGAGAATTTTTTTTTTTTTTCTGATTGTCTAGCGATGTTTCATTTTTCTGAAACAATGTCAAATTCAAAATTTGTCTATCAAAAATTTGTCTATTTAAACTTTTTACCACAATCTAACTTCTCTAGCCGTAAGCGTTAATGAAAAAAAAAAAGTTTATCCGCCTTGAATGAATTTAATAATTATTTACTTCGCTATTGCCGCATGTTTCATAGAAATTTGAATGTGTAACGTCAAGAACAAGAACAACTATAAAGGTTTTAAAGTTTACGCGCATGGTAGCTTTAGCTTCTGTTTCTTCGTATCTGGAGATTTTGTGTAATGTTTAGAGTTTATTTAAATTTATTTTTTTGTTTCACTACATACTATAATAAAGAAGATATACGATTTGAAATTTGTACTAAAATCTAAAAGCCTTGTTAATTTAGAGAAAAAAATCAAGACAAGAATTAAGAAATGAATGTATTATGAGGTATCAATCAATCAATAGCATATAATTTACTTAGCAATCGAGAAAATTCGATTAACGAAAGGATAACTAAATAAACTAAAATTGACCACGTTTTGACTGCGAAAAAAAAAGTTAGAATGGAAGGACAAAAGAAAATAAAACCAAGAAACATAGTGATGAATTGAATCAAATCAAATCAATCACTATATTGGTAACAATGTCAATCAATCGAATCGAGATCCCTCCTCAGAAATCACCAGAAATCACCAGAAATCACCAGAAATCACCAGAAATCACCAGAAATCACACACACACGATTTCAATAATAGAATAAAACAATAAAGAGAGGAATAATTTACGATGATTTTTTGATTCAAAATTACAACAAGAACAATACAATTAATTAAACTCAATAATAATCAATTAGTTAAATAGATGATCGTTCTTTTTTTTTTTTTTCTTTTTTTATTGCGCCGTATGTGTCGTTGTTATCTAATTGTATATTGTTTTCAAATAACGTTTCATATTTACTAGTAGTCAATTTAATTGTACATTGTTCTCAAATAACGTTTCATATTTACTAGTTAATTTAATTGTACTTTGTTTTCAATTTAACGTTTCATATTTATATTTACTAGTTAATTTTAATTGTACATTGTTTTCAAATAAGATTTCATATTTAGTAGTTAATTTAATTGATAGTGTACTCTATGTAAAATTTCTTACTACTATTCTAAAAATTAGGCTGCAAAAAAATAAAAAAAAACAAAAAAAAAAAAAAAATAAAAAAAAAAAATAAAAATTATAAGTAATGGTCCACGTGGGTACAAATATTTATTTTTATAACTTCACAATGATAAGAAAAAAGTGTTTCCACTTAACAAATAAAATATTCCTTTAACTATTTAATAATTGGTTTTAATAATCGGATGCTACAGTTATTATTAATTACTCTTATTGTTCATCGTCTGATCTGACACTAAAGAAACAAAAACATCTAATCTTATTTATTTTCTATTGATTGATTGATTTATTTTATTACTTTCATTACTGTCATTACTTTCATTACGTAATGTAATTACGTAAAGGGGCTAGTGGGTAATTTTTCAATTATTAAACTTTTTTTTTTTTTTTGATTTGGTCCTGTAAAAAAAATAAGCTTTCATGGGAATTTCAAAATAAGATCCTCAATGTTTCAATTACCGCAAGAAAAAAATTATTTAGATATAAATTTATATGTTTAGTTACAATTTATTGTATCTAATTATATGAATATATGAAATAGTAAATATGTCTTGTGAGGTTTAAGGTTTTATGAATAGAATATTGTAATATCATAATATTGTAATATCATAGTATCATAATATCATAATATCATAATAATAACATTGATATTTTCAAAAACCATAATTTTCATTTTAGTTTTAGTTCAAATAATAATAATAATAATAATAATAATAATAATAATAATAATAATAATATCGCTTAGTCAAATTTTCTATGTCTGTACTTCGTATATTGAAGATTATTTACTGTATAGAATTTAATTATTTAAATGATTTTATGTTGTTAATTTAAAGTATTAATTGGCGTCTAATTTAAAAGTCATAGATACATAGATACATAGATAGAAAAACAAGTGATTTTTTTTAGAAGAAAAAGAAAAGGTTTATCCCACGTTTTATCCTTCTATATGCTGTATATCTATTAATTCTAATTATTGTCTATATTAAGTGATTTTCTATTAACATTTCTAGTCTTTCTTTAACTTTTGATTTTTTTCTTGTTTTTTTCTTGTTTTCAAATATTTCTTGGTTGCAAATTTTAGATTTAATTTTAGTTTAGTTTTAGTTTGAGTTTTATTTTATTTATTTTTTTTTTTTTTTTTTTTTTTTTTTGCAGCCTAATTTTTGATAGTGAGGCTATATACATTAAATTAAACTAAAAGAAATATCCCCAGTTCAATATGTGTTTAGATGGTTTAGATTTTGAGATATTAATATAGTATGATTCTTCAGTTTGATAATTATATTGTATGACTTGAATTTATAATGTGTGTTAATAATATAAGGATTAACCGACAGGCAAATACATGATTACTGTAATTTTTGTATATTATATTCTTATACAAGAAAATTAAAATAATATAATATTCACTCATTATACTGAAAATTAAACTATAAATCGGAAAATAAAAAAAAAAAAAAAAAAGAATTATATTTTATATGTAAAACATGCTATGTTTTTATTTTTTTTTTTTTTTTAATTAAATCTCTTATATTCTTACAACTTTATTAAATTGAATTATATATTAAATTATTGCAAAATTTAAATTTATACCATAGTTCATTGCTTTTCAGATAATTTTCTATTATTTCGCATTGATATATAAATTCAATTGATACTCCTTGATCAGTTGATTTTTTTTTTGGAAAAGTTTTTAATTATTTAATTATCAGTTCTAATTTTAATTGATATCACTAAAGTCATAAACTTAGATTAATAATAACAAGATTAAAAATAGGATTAATAAATTAATAATACACAATGGCATTACATCAATTTGATTATATCTTTGCTATTGCAATGATATTTGCATTTTTAGATGCATGGAATATTGGAGCTAATGATGTTGCAAATTCATTTTCATCATCAGTTTCTTCTAGATCATTAAAATACTGGCAAGCTATGATATTAGCTGCTATTTGTGAATTTTTAGGTGCTGTTTTGGTTGGTTCAAGAGTTTCCGATACTATTAGAAATAAAATTGTCGATATTGATGTTTTTGCAGATTCACCAGCTGTTTTAATGTTGACTATGGCTACAGCTTTAGTTGGCTCTTCAACTTGGTTAACTCTTGCTACTTCAATTGGTATGCCAGTTTCTACTACTCATTCAATTGTTGGTGCTGTTATTGGTGCTGCCATTGCTGCTAAAGGTGGTCAAAATATTCATTGGGGTTGGAATGGTGTTTCTCAAATTATTGCTTCATGGTTTATTGCTCCATGTATTGCTGGTGCTTTTGCATCAATTATCTTTTTAATTTCAAAATTTGCTGTTTTAGAAATTAAAAATTCAAGAACTTCATTAAGAAATGCTATGTTATTAGTTCCAATTTTAGTTTTTGCTGCATTTTCAATTTTAACTATGTTGATTGTTTGGAAAGGTTCTCCAAAATTAGGTTTAGGAGATTTACCAACTGGTACAATTGTTGGTGCTATTTTTGGTACTGGTGGTGTTGCAACTGCTGTTTATTTCTTATTTGCATACCCATACTACAGAAGAAAATTGATGTACGAAGATTGGACTTTAAGATGGTACGATATCTTCCAAGGCCCATTATTATGGTTTAAATCATTAGATTCAATTCCACCAATGCCACAAGGTCATAATTTAACTCAAGATTATTATAAAGGTAGAAGATATGATGATGCTGGTAATGTTATTGGTGAACCATTAGATAAACATCAATCTGCAACTTCTGATGATCAAGAATCTATTGAAAAAGTTGGTCAAGATTCAGTTGACTCACAAGTTGATCATGAAAAAGCTCAAAGTGTTAATGTTCAAGATCAATCAATTGTTGTTGCTGAAGGTGAAGAAAGTATTTGTAAACGTAAAAAATGGCCAAATGATAAAAAAGTTTATTGGAAATTACTTAAGGAATCTCCAGTTAATTTACCTTTTGTAATACTTTTAGTTCTTACTCATGGTATTAGACAAGATATTATTACAAATCAAGGTAAAAAATCTGTATTGGCTGGTAATTTACATGAAATGCATACTAAATCCAAATATTATGATAACAAAATTGAATACATGTACTCATTATTACAAGCTATTACTGCATGTACCATGTCATTTGCTCATGGTGCCAATGATATTGCAAATGCTACTGGTCCATTAGCTACTGTTTATTTAGTTTGGACTACAAATACAACTGCTTCTAAAGCTGAAGTTCCAGTTTGGGTTTTGGTTTATGCTGCTGCTGCTTTAGTTATTGGTTTATGGACTTATGGTTACAGAATTATGAGTAATTTAGGTAATAAATTGATTTTACAATCACCAGCTAGAGGTTTTTCAATTGAATTAGGAGCTGCTATTACTACTGTTATGGCTACTCAATTAGCTATTCCAGTTTCAACTACTCAATCAGCTGTTGGTGCTACTGTTTTTGTTGGTTTATGTAATAGAGAATTAAAAACTGTTAACTGGAGAATGGTTGCTTGGTGTTATTTAGGTTGGATCTTTACTTTACCATGTGCTGGTTTAATTGCAGGTTTATTAAATGGTATAATCTTGTATGCACCAAGTAAAGGTATTGAATATACCATGGGTTAGAAATAGAGAAAATAAATTTTGTCATTCATTTTAATATTTTAATATTTTCATTTTATTTCATTTCTAGAAAAATAGTTTTTTAATATTGGTTAACTAGTTTTTATATATAATTATTTTTGCGTTTTAATATATTTATTAGAGATTTAATTGAATTACTCTGTTGATTTCTATATATTCCTTTCAATTATTAAATAATGTTTTGATCTAGCGCCCACTTGGTAGCGAGCATTGCAATAATTATAATTTCTCGGTTTGAAAATTGAAATTTTCGGGTCAACAAATTATCATGAGTGACGAAGATAAACTCGATTCATCATTAAGTTTACTTCGTAGATTAGACCCAAGAGTAATTGAATCAAATTTAACTAATATATGTACATTACTTGGCTCAGATGATTCAGTAGTTGAAGAATTATTGTCATCAGTTGATGTACCATTAAAAATTCAAACTTGTAAACAAAGTGGTAAAGATTATTTATGTTGTGATTATAATAGAGATGCAGATTCATATAGATCACCATGGTCAAATAAATATTATCCTGAAATTGAAGATAATGATGAAGAATTACCACCTCCTTATCCATCATCAATTTTAAGACAATTGGAAATTAAAGCAAATGATTCATTTGATATTTATAGAGATTTATATTATGAAGGATCAGGAGTAAGTAGTGTTTATTTATGGGACACTTCAGAAAATGAAGATTCAGGATTAGACGATGGTTTTGCTGGAGTTGTTTTATTTAAAAAGGAAACTTCAGATTCATTAGGTAAATGGGATTCAAATCATGTATTTGAAGTTATACCAGAGTCAGAACATAGAATTTTATATAAATTGACTACTTCAGTTATATTAGATTTAAATTCAAATGAAATGAATTTATCACTTTCTGGAAATTTAATAAGACAATTGGAAACTTCTCAGTTAGTTGAATTAAATAATGGTATAAATCTTGAAACTCAACATTTAATTAATTTGGGTCAATTGATTGAAAAATCAGAATATAATATTAGAAATTTATTACAAGATGTTTATTTTGATAAATTAAAAGATATAATGTTGAAAGATTTAAGATCAATTGGAGATATAAAGGAAAAAAAGTATGAAGATTCAAAACAATCAGAATTAATAAAAGGTTTAAATAGTGTATAAATAAGTATATATATACTTTTATCGATCATATATAGAATAACCTATTTTATTATCATCATTTGATGCCTTTGATTGGGAGCGAGAAAACAATTTTTCGCGCCAGCCTTGAGGCGACCTTGTATTTCATCTATTGGTTTATATCTCATTAAAAACGCATCTTTTCGAAATAATAACCACATTAATGAATCCAGAAGTCCTTGTTTCTATACCGCCATACAAGTCAAATTTCAGAGTTCAGACATTATTTTTTTTTCAAGTTGTCATTTTGGCTATTTTTCATCATACAAAAAATTTGCCAATAATGAAAATTCAGATTGTAGTTTATTTAGGGCCAGAACTTCCACTTTTACAACGAATTACATATATTAGACTTCAAATTAATCTGTTTGAATGCAATTCTAGGCGATTTAAGCCAGAATTGAAAAAGTTCAAAACTTTCTCTTAAGTATGGGAAAAATCGAATAAGTCAACCTTACAAAGAATCTACCTCCACAATCAAAAATTTGTTAAAAGTATGATAAAAGAATCAGAATTTGTAGTTCCCTTTGTAGATATATCTTGAATTTATTACTGCCGAGGGGTCCAAAATTGGAATAAAAATTTTTCAGAAGTGGTTTGAAATTCTTGATAATAATTCAAAATCAATATGAAGTATTAAAACCACAATCAGTACATTTTTTGCGATCAATGAAACCCTACCAGCATTTCTAGAAGTTGCTAAATGATGTCTAAGTATTGATAAATTTGCATTTAAAGTTTTTTTACGTTTTTTAAAAGTTCAATAAAATTATCGAAACTTTATTATCATTTGATTCTAAATCAAATAACTAATTCCATGAGTTTAATTTCAGTAATTTAACTTCAAGATTGGGTGAGTGATTTACGGTCAAAGTTTTGAGTTTACGAACTACGAGACTGCATATACTCCAAATTTGAATTAGAGTCAGAACGCATTCCTACCTCCGAGTCCTTTATAATTAGGACGGATGAAGCGCGAAGAAAATAAAGTCTGGGTCTGAGTTTCGACCCATTTCCAAACCATCATTAAATAATTTATCGTTTATATATTGAAAAATCTATTTTATCATCATCATTGTCAATGTTATCGTTATCACTCATTATTGGATTTAATAAATTCTCATCATCCGAATTATTTGTTTCTGGCTTATTAGTTAGACTTACAGCAGATCCATTATCTAAATTATATACTGGCTTTAAGTTATTATTTGTCTCTGGTTCATTTAATGATGATAGTACATTTGATTTCACTTCATTTACGAATGACCATATAGAAGAAGATACAGTCTGTATCATATCATCATGAGATTGACTTTGTTGAGATTGCTTTGCTTTTGCTTTTCTTGTTTTTTGTCTTAATGGAGATGAAGCTGATCCACTACTTGAAATTGAATCTTCTGATAATCTAGATTGATGTTGTTTTTGCTCATTATTAATTAATGATTTTTCAAATTCATTTTGTAACATATTATCAAATTGAGATAAATAATTTAATGGTTTAGCTAATCCACTCCAAAGTTTAGATTCTTTCTCGTTGTCATTATCGTTTTGATTACTACTTGATCTTTTTCTCGTTCCAATTGCTGCAATTGCTTCTTCTCTTGGATTACTATTCTGTCTTTGTCTAGTTTTAATTTTTTGTTGTGATTGATCAGTTTTTAATTCTTGATATAATGATTTTTGTATTACTTCCCTCAAATGATGTAATTCAGACTCATGAGATAGTAATTTCTGATTCAAATTATTTATTGAGTCTTTGATTTCAACAATTAACATTTCTTTAAAGGCTAATAATCTTAATTGTTCGTCTATTTCCATTTTCATCAATTCTGAATGAGAAGGTAATGGTAAATCAAAATTTGGTGAGGTTGTAGTTGTCGGAATTTCGGAAACTTGAGGTAATGAAGGGGATGTTATTGAAGATCTTCGCTTTTGAGTATTCGATGGACTGTTATTTGATGTAATTGTTGTTGGTGTAGTATTTATTGGTGATACAGCAAATATATTAATTCCTTTATTTTTAATTGAATTTGATCTTGATGGTTTAGAATTAGATTCTTTATGCAATAATGATGAAGATGAAGATGATGAAGATCTACGTAGTTTAAAATGTTGTTTTTGTAATACATTAAATAAATCATTTTGATTATTATTATTATTATTATGAGGCAATGATTTTGAATTTTGTTTTAATTGCTGATGTTTTGGCCGAGATGGTGTTGATAAATTAATATTTGTAGTTTTCAAATCATTGGTTATATCATATATATTATTATCTTGTTCCATTGTTAATTAATCATGTAATCATGTAATCATGGACCAGTATTGGTTAGTAAATAAAGAAACTTTTTTTTTTTTTTTTTTTTTTCTATTGATTAAAATTCTGAAACAAATAAATTTCCATTCTGAAACACGCAAGGGGCGTCTATTTAATTAATCGAATAGATTGATTATACTTGGTGGTTTATCACCAGAATGTTGATATAACTCATAGCAAGAAGTTGTACAATTCTAAGAGACTTATCACGTGATACGTATCACGTGATAAGGCATGTGAATGCGCCATTTGACGCGATTTGATTGCAAATTGTTTTTTCTAATATTTATTATTTAAGTGACATCTGATAAATCACAGATTGCAATCAATGACTATTGATATTCATCAAATATATAAAAAGATAATAACCGATCCATCATTAAAGAAATTTCTAAAGATATTCATATTATTGAAATTACTTCGAGTTAATAAGTCATTTTATTGGAGTTGCTTTCTTGCTTTAAATAAACCTATCAAATTCAAATTATTACAATATAAAGATCAATTGCCCAACTATACAAAATCAAAAGATTCAGATTATAAAACATACATTTCGAGAATATCAAACCTTATAACATGTTCATTTTTGTATTTTGCAAGTGTTAATAACGCGCAAATTCCAAAAGATTATTGGCTTTTGTATCTAATTATTAATTTTTATGGTCAGTTAAATCCACCAACCTCAAAAATAATCCTAACTCCAACACTATCAAAGTATTTTAAATTATCGACCTATGATAGAAACTTTCCATGGTTAAGAAAAATATATGAACATAAAGAATTTATAATTTTTCCAGCTTTATATGCCCAATTATTAAGTAATTACCTAACTCCTACAAAGTATAAATTAAATCAGAAATACTTATCTTCATTCATTAAGAAAAGAATTTTCAATCCAATTTGGATTAATTTTTCACTTGGTATCAAATATAATAGAATGAATTGGATAAGTTTAATGCGAATATATTTATTACAAAATATAATCTTGATTGCTTGTTTAGGAGTGTGGAAGTTTAAATCGGAGATTCTTGATAACTTATACGCCATTAAATATAATCATTCAAATGAGACAGAAACTTCTGTATTTAAAAATTATTCATTATATATCTTTCATAAAGTTAATTCATTTATGAATTTCATTTATTGTCCAAACCTAATTGCAATACTATTAATAGCATTAACATCACCAATTTTCAAACATTTAAATAATGGAAATTCAAACTGGATTCAAAGATACTATACAAATCACAGAAAAACATTTTTCAAAAATTATACAAAGATTATTGGGTTCATTGCTGGATTTATTACAATTTGGTTTAATTCAATTAATCTTATACCTGATTTTGGACATGGAAGTGAAAATAAATATTTAAGAACTTTAAATAGTTCATTTTTCGATTCGTTAGATTTATATTTGTTTAGATTAATTTTATTGTCTAAATGGAGAATAACCAAGGAAAATCATCCAATTTTGAAATTATTCGGAATGAAAAATTATAATGTACTAGAGACTTTGTTGATGTGTTTTGGAGTTTATAAATATATGGAAATGAATGATTATCTTAAATCCAACAAGAATTCAGAATTACAAAACAATTTAATGATTAGATTTGTCAATTATGTGAATTATAATGGAATGTGTATTTATATTTAGTTACGAAAATGTATATTTAATGGCATCCCTACGTTGTTGTTTTTCTGTACAATATATATATATGTATATATATATATATTTATATATATTTATGTTTAGTTATGAAAACTGTATATTAATTTGCATCGTTACATTGTTGGCATCCTGACTTCCTGACTTCCTTACGCATATCCAGCAGCACCAGGTACATTATCCTTCCCTTTCAACTTCTTCAACAATTCTTTAAATTTTGATTTATCTCTAGTATCATCGGTTTCAGGCAATTCACCAACATTATCAATTAATTCATTTACCCTATCCCATAACGTACCATTTTTTAAAAAATTATCCCTTTTTGAAATAAATTCCTCAATTTCTTTCTTTAAATCTTTAGAATGGTTTTCTTTTTTTAAGTTATAATTTTCATAAAAATCATCAATTGTACTTTGAGCTTTTTCAAGAATATCATTTTTTTTCTTCTCATTTACTTTTTCACGTTGTTGAATTTCTAAATCTCTTCTGTGTTTCCATTCTTTAATTGGTTGTGATGATGATAAATCGACATCATTAGATTTAGAAGATTCAAACCCTTCAAATTCATCATCGGAATTTTGGGTTTGTGGTTGTTGTTCTTCATTATTTTCTACTTGTGGAAATTGTTCTTTAAACTCATTTATTTCATCATCTTCTGAATTTTCATATACTTGTTTATCTTGATCTGTTGTAAATTCATCTCCTAATACTTCTTTTTCACGAGATAAAAAGTCTGATGAAAATTCATTATTTAAATCTCCTTCTGTTTCTATTTCTGGAAATTTATCTGCCATTATATCTATCAATTGTTTACTTATTTATAGCTATCTGATTCGGAATTGATGTATTATACTTTATTATTTTTGTTCGTTGATTAAATTTGAAAAAGTAAAATCGAAAAAGTCGTGTACCTTGGTCAATTATCAATTATGTAATCTTATACACAAATATTATATAATCTTAATGAATTATCTTTTGAACCAACACTTAACCATAAACAACCATTCTCTGTTTTATTACTAGAGAATGATAACTTCTCAATTCTATCACTTGGTGTTATACTGTTATCTAATTTATGTAACAATTTAAACTCATCATTGTTTTCCATGAGTTTAAATAATTGAATATCTCCATTTTCTAAACCAATTGCAATAATAGAACAGTCTCCTTTATACACAGATACTGAAGTAATTGGTTCTTCTAATTTAATACTACTGATCAAGTCAGTTCCTGTTTCATCTTCTTTTATTCTCCACAATTTCATTGTTTTATCTCTACTAACAGTTATAAATTCATGTTTATCAGCAATCCAATCACAATCCCATAATATCCTAGTATGAGCTTTTGAATTCAATTCAATTAATTTAAATTCTTCATCATTAATTAACTTCCATAACGTAAATTGTCTATCTCTTGAAACTGAAAGTAAATATTTTCCATCACATGACCATTTTAATGAACTTATAGTTAAATTATGACCTTGTAAAACTTGTGTCAATTGTTGATAATCTTTCGTGACATTAAAAATTCTAATCACTGCATGTTTAAAATTATTTGATTTACACGCGCTTGCTATATGTTTACCATTTGGTGATGTTGAACAACAACTAATTTCATAACCATGACCATATAATTTTTCAATTTCGGGAAATAATGTAAACCGTTGTAAATATTCTTCAATTGGTGGTGAAGTTAAACCAGATAATGGATCTTCAATTTCTTCTTCCTTTTCATCTTCTTGAGTCTCAATTTCTTCTCTTCTTCCTTCTCCTCCTCCTTCTGTTAATTGAGATTCTACTTTGTTAGATAAACCTAATACTGGTAATGATGCAGATTCAGGTAATACTTCCCCATTTTCAGTTTTTATATCTATATTACTTATTTTTTTTAATAATGAACTTATTGAATTTGTAATTTCAAAAACTCTTAAAATTTTTTCATCACCTCCTGAAACAAATTTGGTGGTGGTTATATTATCATAACATATCATATCATAACCATGAATTTGTGGTCTTGCTATCTCATGCCATGTAATTATATTATCTCGCTTCCATGGGGCAAATAATCTAGTAGTTTGATCTAATGAGGTAGCAACAAAATAATCTCCAGTTTTAGACCATGCAACATCCGTAACCTCTCTTGTGGGACCAGTTATTCCCAATACATTATCAAAATTAAGAGAATCTGTTTTCAGTTTATATACTCTAAATGATCCTGTTTTACCACTTGCAATAATATATTGTTCATTATTATAAATAAACCATAAACATGACCAAAAACCACCTGATGACCCAGTTGCTGTTGATGCTCCTTTTATACTCATTTCTCCAAGTCTATTTACACATACCCATATACCTGAATCTAAATCCATTTCCCATATAAATAATGAAGTATCGGCAGTACACGTTAATAATTGTAACTTTTTTTCATTTGTGTTGTAGTTATATGATGGATGCCATTGTATTCCATTTATCCAATCATCATGACCCATAATTAAAGCTTCAAGACTAAAACAACCACGTAATTGATTTCCATAATTAAATTTATATTGTTTATTAGATAATAGTGTTAATTTTGTAGAATCTTCATCTGAATCATCTATTAATTCATTTAACTTTAATCTCCATAATCGTACATATCTATCTTGTGAAGCACTAGCTAAAATATAATTACCTTGTGATTCTTTAACAAATTGGAGACACTTTATCCAATCTTCATGACCAGTCAACTCTGAAACTTTTTCAATTTTTAAATTTGAAATATTAAATGTGTAGATATATAAATTATTAGTAGTTCCTCCTATTGCAAGGATATAATTTTCAGTATCCAATTTTTGAATAGCAAGACATAATGGGTAAAAATTAGATTTAATTTGAAATTGTGTACTTATTGAAAATTCACCATCTTTATTTATCCATATTATAATTTGACTATCTGCTGAACCACTAATGAAAAAATTTTCACACACTGCAATACAAGTTATTGAATTTTCATGATTTGATAATGTTTGAAAATGAGTATATAGATCATTATTAGATTGTTTCCATATATTTATTGTTCGATCTTCTGAAGTAGATATAAGAAAAGGACTATTTGGTAAGAATTTAACAGTTGTTATTTCTTTAGTATGTTTCTTTAATGTATGATAAACACCTTTTTGATTAATATCTATTGGATTCCATAATGCAACATTATTACCAGCACCATACGCAATTATATTATTGATTGAATTATAATCACATATATAATTTTGTTTATTTGCGCCTGTAAATATACTATCTTGTTCTACTTTCATTTGGTACCGATGTTGAAACACTGTAAAGAATACTTTTTGTACTTGGTAGTGATGATGATTTGGTGATGATTTGAAAATTTATTTTTCAAACAAAATATAAGAATGGCCACCACCACAGCGTATGTTATAATCAAAGAACAATTGAGAGTGTAATACTAATTGAACAGAGTATTATTAGTCCACAATGCTACTCCAGATACTATATTACAATTTCATGATCAATTATCAAATGAGTTACCAATAACAAAAGGAAGATGGAATTTTAATTTTAAAATTTTCAGAAATAATCAATATTCAATACCACAGAATCAACCAGAACTAACAGAATCTAAAGAATCAAAATTCTTATACACATTATCACCTTCATATTTAATAGATTCAACAATTTGTCTAATTAATAATAAATCATCCGGAGTATTTACAAATTCAATAGAAGAAGAAGTAAAAGAATTGGGACATAGTCATGAATTAACTATACCTAATTTTCATTTACATTTAGGTGCCACAACTGGATTAAATGATAAATTTGATTTTTTTACCCATTCAAAATTACAAAGTTTATGGTTACAAAGACAATTAATAAAAGGGGACGGTGGACAGATATATGAATTAGAAAATGGAAATTTATGTTTTCGGACATCTAATGTTTTTTTACATGGGAATTTTAGAGGATTATTAATTCAAATTGAAATAAATATAAAAGAGGAGGGTATCGATCTAGAGGAAAAGTTCAATAGGATAAAGAATAAATATAATATACCTGATGGTAATTTATGTTGTGATGTAATTAATCTGGGTCGTTTTGATAAATATGGTGATTTATGTTTACAATATTCAAAGATTTTAAACTTTTAAAAACTGTAACGATGCAAATGCAAATAAAAGGCTCAATAACATGTAAGGATGTAATAAAAGCTTAACAACATAACATGTGAGGGTGCTGTAATGGCTTAATAACTTGTAAGGCTGTAGTTGATTGGCTTGATAACTTGTAAGGCTGTATTTGATTGAATGTTTGTAATAATATAAGAAATGGTTGCAAAATTATCCTGCATATAACTAGATCATCGTATATATATTTTTTAGAGATGAGAATATATATTCTATATCATTAACCCATGCCAAATAAGAATAAGAATAAGAATAAGAAGTCAAGTAATAGAAAGATTAATAGACAAAAAGAAGATGAAGAATTAAACAAACTACAAGACAGAATAAATAATTATAATCCAAAAACTGATGAATCTACAATTTCTCAATTTGATGATCTACCCATTACTTCAAATACAATTAAAGGTTTAAAAGAATCTTCATTTATTTCATTAACTGATGTACAAAAAAAAACAATACCAATATCATTAAAAGGTTATGATGTTTTAGGTACTGCAAAAACAGGATCAGGTAAAACTTTAGCATTTTTAATACCAGTAATTGAATCATTAGTTAGAAATAAAATTACTGAATTTGATGGATTAGCAGCTTTGATTGTGTCACCAACTAGAGAATTAGCAATACAAATATTTGAAGTATTGACTAAAATTGGAAAATATAATTCATTTTCAGCTGGGTTAGTCACTGGTGGTAAAGATTTAAAATTTGAAAAAGAACGAGTTTCAAAAATGAATATATTAGTAGGTACACCAGGTAGATTATCACAACATTTAAATGAATCAATCGGAATGGAAACTTCAAATTTACAACTATTAGTCCTTGATGAAGCTGATCGTTGTTTAGATATGGGTTTTAAAAAGCAAATTGATAATATTATATCTCATTTACCTCCAACAAGACAAACTTTATTATTTTCAGCAACTCAATCTGATTCAGTTAAAGAATTGGCAAGATTATCATTAACTAATCCACAAAGAATTGGAATTTCAACAGATGAAGAAATTTCAAATACTCCTGAATCATTAGATCAATATTATATAAAGATACCATTGGAAGAAAAATTGGATATTTTATGGTCATTTATTAAATCACATTTGAAGTCTAAAATTCTTGTATTTTTTTCATCTTCAAAACAAGTACAATATGCTTATGAAACTTTTAGAACTTTACAACCAGGTATATCATTATTAAAATTATATGGAAGACATAAGCAAACTTCAAGAATGGAAACAACATATAAATTTTCAAATGCTCAACATGCTTGTTTATTTGCAACTGATATAGTAGCTCGAGGTTTAGATTTTCCTGCTATTGATTGGGTAATTCAATTGGATTGTCCTGAAGATGTAGCTACTTATGTTCATAGAGTTGGTCGAAGTGCTAGATTTGGAAGAAACGGTAAAAGTTTATTAATGTTATTACCATCTGAAGAAGATGGATTTTTAAAAAGATTAAAATTACATAAAATTGAACCAAAATTAATGAATATAAAACAAAAATTGAAAAAATCAATTAAACCACAATTACAATCATTATGTTTTAAAGATCCAATAATGAAATATTTAGGACAAAGAGCATTTATTGCATATTTTAAGTCGGTATATATACAAAAAGATAAAGATGTATTTAAAATTGATGAATTACCAGCTGAATCTTATGCTGCATCTTTAGGATTACCAGGGGCACCAAAGATAAAAGTAAAAGGTGGTGACTCAGAATCAAACAAGGAGAAAAAGAATACATCAAGACAAGTATTAGCATTATCTAAATTAGATGAAAATGGAGAAGAAACAATACCAAATATAGATAAAATTAAAACAAAATATGATCGTATGTTTGATAGGAAAAATCAAACTATATTATCCGATCATTATTTAAAAATGACTGGAAACAAAGCAACTACTAATCAAGATTCAGATGATGATTTTATGACAATTCGTCGTAAAGATCATGAATTAAATGAAGATGAATTACCTGATCTATCTATCCCTGTTTCTAAAAGACAAGCTAAAAAAGCATTATCTAAAAAAATTTCATTATCATCAAAGGGAAATCCCACAAAATTGAAATTTGATGATGATGGTAATCCACATGCTATTTATGAATTAGAAAATGAAGAAGATTTTAAAAAATTAGGTGATGCAAATGAACAAAAGAAGAAATTTGTAGAACAAGAAAGAGAAATGATGAAAATTTCAGATTTAAATGATAAAGAAGTTGCAAGATTGAAAAGAAAAGAAAAGAAAAGAAAAAGAAAAGAAATTGAACAGAGAATGAGAGAAGAAGATGAGTATTATAGTGATGATGAAGTAATTGCAACTTTAGGTACTCCAGATTTGGAAAAAGATATGGTATTTGAAGAGAAAGAAGAACCAGTTAATAAAAAACCTAAATGGTTCGAATCAGAAAACAATAAGAAAGATAAATATGATATTATTGAAGTTAATGAACCTGAAACTTTGGAAGATTTAGAATCATTAACGGCTAAATTAATAGGAAATTAAATAAACATGTCATCAAATTGACATAAACAATTTTCTAAATTTATCAAACGACAACTATATAGTTATAAACTAGTAGTATAGAATGTCTAGCACTCTTACATTGCATCCTGACTGCATCCTTACTGCTAAGTTAATTGGTAATTAATTAAATATATCACCAAATTGAGCCAAATAACTTTCTAAACTACCATTTTCAAAATCGATATTCAATAATTTAGAAACAGTAGATTTTACAACCATGGATTCCTCTTCTTCTTTCTTGGATAATTTACTCAATTCAAATGCGAGATCTTGGTTATTATCAATGATTTCTAAAATTTGCTTAGCTCTTTCAATTATTTCAATTGGCATTCCACAATGAGAAACACAATAAATTCCAAAACTTTTATCAGCTATACCTTCTTTCACTTTATATAAATAAGTAATATTCTCATCATTATTTAATTAAATATCAGTAGACATCATTTTAAAGATTGGATCATTAAATTTAACTCTAGTTTCTTCATTTTTAAATAATTCTAAAAAATGAGTTGAATTGTATTCTAAAGTACCTCCAAATAATGCCCATGAATCAATTAAATCACTCCCCTTTCCGAATTCATCAACTATAATTATAGATTTTTCCGTACTTAACGAAATACATTTACTTTTTTGATTGACATCAATTGCGAATGTACTCTGTTGTTTTTCCAATGATTCTGTAGATTGTATCCTTGTCAAAATTTTATCTACATTTAGCAGTATCTTTAAGTATTGAATCTAAGTTATTAAAATGAGTTTTTAATATGTCTAGTTCATCATCTATTCCATTTATGATTTTAACCCTACCGTCATCTTCACTAGATTCAACTGATTCAACTTCAACGATAGAAATTATAAATTCATAAAGATGTTGAAATTGCCAAATATCACTAGCTATTAAAATATTAACTGGATAGTCTTGTTCTGTTTCTTCATCAAATATTTCCCTTAGTGACCTCACGAAATCAATAATCAATTGTTTTTTGTAAGTACATTAATAACCCTTTCCATTTTGACCATGTTAACTTTCCCGCCTGGATGGATTTAAAATTTGAAATTATATTCTTAGCATATTTCAAACACTTTACAACCTTAATCCTAACTTCTTGATCTATAGGATCTGATAAAATTTTAACTATATTTTGACGTTTCATTAATTCATTAAATCAGTTGATGGTTTCGTAATTCAATCTTTTAATAATCGTAATCCAATAGTAGGATTACAACTAATTAATTCAAATAATGAATTCTTTTGAGTTTTAGAAATTAATCCGTTTTTCTTTGAGCTAGTTAATATTTGTAAAGCATATAATGAATCAACATCAATAAACATACAATTTCTAACAGTTTAAACTCAATAGAACCAATCAATTCCGCAATATTATTTATCTCAATTAAATATTCAGAAACTCCAACCCATGTAGAATTAATTTCCCCGTAGCAACTTTTAAATTTGGACTACTTAAAGCTGAATTAGATAATATTTTAACATCAATTGAATGAAATATAATTAAAAAGAATCAACTAATGAAACAAGATCAAATTTTGTAAAATAAGAAACAATCTTATTAAACAATTTAAAATTAAGTAATTCTTTTAGTTCATCTAGTCTGAATACTATATTTTGATCAACTCGCGACCTTATGAATATTGTAGTTGGTTATGATTCCTCTATTATAGATTCAATATAATCTATTTGAATATTTAATGGAGTATCTTCATATATAAACAAAGATTTATTAATTAAATTTGAACAAGAAGCGGCAAACATTGATGATTTAATATCTATTTGATAATACGATTTCATGATCTATATCTAATGTTAAATTGTTTAATGATGCTTGTGTTGAACTACTACTTGATTCATCTATAATTTGATAATTTGGTTGTAAAAATTAAAAATGCTAGAAAATAAAAATAAAAATATTGTGTTTCAGAATTTTAAGGGGTAGAGAGGGATTGTAAAAGCCCCCTAATTAGTTATTAAGCGGCATTCTTACATTCAACTTGTAAGTTGTTTATTTATCATGGTATATATGGAGTTGTTACAATTTTTTCATTAACTGTACCTAATCTTAATACCTTACCAGCTACTTTCTTGCCATGTTCATTCAACATTTCAACATCTTCATCATTTTCTTCTCCTTCTTCATCTTTTTGTTTTTTAATTGTTGATTTTGGAACTAAATCAATCAAAACTAATTCTTGTAAGAAATCACTTGGAGCACCTTTTGTAACATTTAATTTATTTCCATTACCTAAATCTATTGAAATTTTACCTGACTGATGTATGTTAATTTTCCCTATTTCACCACGTATCTTTGATTTATTATTTGATAATGTTGAATATTTAACTTCTTCGGTGTCAGTTGGTTTATCTTCCACCATTTCTTCATCTTCTGGTTTTACTGGATTTTGATATTCTGGTAAGAGTCTAGGTAATTGGAAAAATACATATTTATCATCATCTTCATTAGTATTTAATTCTTGAAATTTCCCAGTTAATAAATCTAATATTTCTTGATGATCTGAGATTAATTTATTAGCTTCATCTACTATAATTGGATCATTTTGTGAAATTTTACTTTCTAATTTTGCTTTATTTTCTTTAATTTGATTTAATTTATCTTCTATTTGTTCTGATCTAATTGTTGCTTCTCTTGATTGAGTTAATGATATAATATTGGGGGTTGACTCTTTTGAATCTAAACGATCATCTAATGGTACACCTGGTTGTTGATATGTTTCTCGTCTTATACCATCATCTCTATATGGTCTCATTGGGAATAGTACAGTTTCTGAATCATCAAATTTATAAGGTTTAGTCATATTAATTTTCATTTTATCTTCTTCTTCATCATCTTCATCCTCATACTTATCAATCACTTCTTTCTTTGGTTTATCTTTCAATTTCAAATTTGATATAAATTCATTTTGAGTTGATGCATCTTCATTACTATTATGTAATGTATCTTTTGTAAAACCGAATTTTGAACCGTTAGGGTTCCCAATTGAAACAGAACCAGCTGATAATGGGCCAGAAGTAACTAAATGAGTACCAGCATAATTATTTCTACCTCCTCTACCTCTACCACCTCTTGCACCACCTCTACCTCGTGAACTGGAAGGTTTTGGTAGATCATGTTCTACTTTAACTTGAGGTGCAGCTTTATCTCTTTCTTCTTTTGATTTTCTTTGAACAACTTTTGGTTTAAATTTTAACGTAGTTTTTGGTGTTGGAGATGCAGATGGTTTCTTACTACTATTTAATGATTCCAATCTATTTGACATATTGTTAATTGTTTGGTTTGTATTAGTATTGTTTGGTGCTGTTTGGTCCTGGATCGAGGTGGTACTGTGAAAAAATATATAGGGATGAGCATTTCTTAAATTTATTTCCACTAACAAAAGAACCATGGCTAAGAAACAGTATAAACAACAGAGTAAACAAGAGGTAGACAGTGATTTGGATGAAGTAGATGCTTTTAATGCTAATAGAGAAAAGATATTATTAGATGAAGCTGGTGAATATGGTAGAAATAATCAATCAGATGATGATATTTCAGAAGAAGAAGTAATGGGAATAGATGAAGAAGATAGTGAAAATGAAAGTGATAATATAGAACAAGATGATGAAGATGAAGAAGATGAAGGTATTGAAGAGGAAGTAGAAGTAGAAAATTGGGGTGGTAAAAAAAATTATTATGGTGGTGATGATGCTAGTGATAATGAAGAATCTAAACAAATGACAGAAGAAGCAATAAGACAACAAAAGAAACATTTACAAGAATTAGCAATGGATGATTATATTGATGAAGAAATGATGGAAGATTGGCAAAAGAAAGCTGAATCTTATGATAAAAAAGATACTAAACAACAAGTTATAATCGATAATACCACTTCAATAGATAAATTAGATGAAGAGGAACAAGTTAAATTATTAAAACAATCATTTCCAGAATTTATACCATTAACTAAAGAATTTAATCAATTGAATGAAAAATTGGAATTGTTAAAATCACAAGAATCAAATAAATTTATAGAAGTTAAAAAAGTTGCATTAGCAGGTTATCTAAGTTCAATTTCATCATATTTTGCAATTTTCGTTGATAATTTAAAAAATAATGATTCATTTATCACTATGAAAGATAATCCAGTTACGGAAACTATATTAAGTTCAAGAGAAGTATGGAGACAAGCAAATGAATTACCAAATGAAGAAGTTGAAAAAGAAGAGATCATACAGGACGAGGTTGCACCAGCTGATATATCAAGTGAAATAAATGAGGATGAATTTGTTGATGCTGCTGAAGAACAAGATGAGGAAAATATTTTCGAACAATCGGCTTCTGAAGCACCAGAATCTGATTCAGATCTAGATATAGATGTCAATTCAAAAAGAGTTATCAAACGTATACCTAAAGCTACTGATGATTTCACCGAAGCAGCAATTGAAGATGTTGATTTAGAAGATAAAAAACGTAGAAAGAAAACATTACGTTTTTATACTTCCAAAATTGATAAAGCTGCAAACAAAAGAGAACAATCATATTCTGGTGATATGGATGTACCTTATAAAGAACGATTATTTGAAAGACAACAAAGATTAATTGAAGAAGCAAGACAAAGAGGATTAGAAAAACAAGATATTGATATTAATTCAGATAATGAACTACAAGAAGTCAATGATTATTATAATTCAATAAAAGAAGCAAAACAAAATAAAAAAGATGCAAGAAAATTGGCACATTTACAAGCTGTTCAAGCTGCTAAAGAAGGTAAATTGGCTGAATTTCAGGAAAATTTGGGTGAAGAGGGTAAAAGAGCTATTAATTATCAAATACTTAAAAATAAAGGTTTAACACCACATAGAAAGAAAGAAAATAGAAATTCAAGAGTTAAGAAAAGAAAACAATATGAAAAAGCACAAAAGAAACTTAAATCAGTTAGACAAGTTTATGATTCCAATAACAGAGGTCCTTATGAAGGTGAAAAGACAGGTATTAAGAAAGGTTTATCTAGATCTGTTAAATTAATATAAGTCAACTACCTACTAAATTGTATATCATCAATTCTCAAAATTGATTTAACACATTCTGAAGCTAATGTAATTGCACTTGTACTTACTAAGACAGGTTGTAAAACATGTTCATCATAAGTATTTGAAGCACCAGCTCTTCTTACACTTATACCAGCATCTTTTTCACCATTTTCATGTTTATTTCTTAAATCAGTAACAACATTTATAGGATTTAAACCTGCATTTTCTGCTAAAGTAGTTGGTATAACTTCTAAAGCTTGAGCAAATTCTTGATAAACAAATTGTTCAACACCTGATAACTTATGAGATTCTTTCATTAGTTGTTTTGAAACTTCAATTTCTGGAGCACCACCACCAGCAATTAAAGCTTTTTCTTTAACTAAACACCTGATGACACATAAAGCATCATGTAAAGATCTTTCAGTTTCATCTATTATCAAATTATTAGCACCTCTTATAATTATAGAAACTGTTGGTTTTATATTTTTTGAAGTAATATTTGTAATTTCAACAATTTTTGAACCAGAATCTTCAATTTCTTCAATTAAATCAGCTGAACCTAATCTATCTTCTGCAAAATTATCAATATCAGCAATTGGTTTACAACCTAAAGCTTTTGATAAAAATTCAACTTCATCTCTTTCAATTTCTTTTATAACCATTATATTTAATTTTGATAAAAAATGTAAAGCTAAATCATTAACGGCATCTCTTAATATTGATTTTTGAATTAATAATACATTACATTTTGATTTTTTAATTTTTTTACACATATTTAAAAGATAAGCTCTTTCTTCTTTTAAAATTTTATCCATTTGTCTATAATCATTGACAACAACATTATTTTCCATATCGGGTTTTGGAGGAGATAATTGAAATTGAATTAAAGCAATTTTAGCCTTTTCCATTCTAATTGGACCACCAGCATTTTTAACAACATTCTGAGGTAAAACAACACCATTAACTAAATTTGTATCATCAATTGTACCACCAACTTTTTTAATTAATCTAATATCATTTAAATCAACATTATTTTGTTGTTGATTTATAACTTTTGAAACAGAATCAACAGCTAAAGGAGCCAATAAATTTGAATGTTGTGAAACAATTTTTGAACTTAAAGAAGTTGAAGCAGCTCTGATTAATTGTTCTCTATCTTTTAAATCTATTTTATAACTCATATCTAATAATATTTCACAACTTCTTTGAGCAGCTCTTTGAAAACTTTCAGAAATTAAAGTTGGATGTATACCTTTATTTAATAATCTTTCAGCAGCACCTAAAAATGCCCCAGTTAAAATTGCAACTGTTGTTGTACCATCACCAGCTTCAACATCTTGAGCATGACTTACATCCACCAACATTCTAGCAGCAGGATGTAAAACAGCCATATGTTTTAAAATAGTAGCACCATCATTTGAAATTATAATATCTCCTTGTTTTGTTTTAATCATTTTATCCATCCCCTTGGGACCTAAAGAAGTACGAATTGCATCTGAAACAGCTCTAGCAGCCAAAATATTAGCTTTTCTAACTTCTTGTGGTTTTTCTTTATCTTTAAAAGTAGCATTGGATGGTGTAGGTCTTGAAGAAGTCATAATAGTTTATTCTTCACTAATAGTTTCGTCTAATACTTTGGAAAATTTTGTTGTATATATATATTTTTTTTTATTTCTCACTTGTATGCAGGAATTGAATAGATTGCAAAAGATGACTAAAGAATACACAACATTTGATAACATTACATTAACTAATGATGAAGTACTATATTGTAGCTTTGGTAATTGGCTGAATAGATTTAAACAAGATATGTATGATTATAGGATTATCAAAATGCCCACGGCTTTTATAAGTTATATATCAAGTGATAGTATTAAATTACCACAAGATCAAAGAATTACCGTATTACAACATAATAGTGATAATGAATATTCTGATTGGGAAGATGAAGAAGAGGAACGTATAGACGTATCACAATTTCAAGAATTTCATGATGAAGTAGTACAAGCTATCAAAGAATTTGGTAAAGTTATCCCTAAATTAAATTGGTCATCTCCAAAAGATTCAAAATGGATTATGCCAGGAAATACATTAAAATGCGATAACGTAAATGATGTATATTTGTTACTTAATTCTTCCGATCATATAGCTGATGATTTAGATTATCCTTTTTCAGCAACTAATGAAGATGCAATACCGGTAGAATATGATTTAATATTGAAAAAATGGATAGATATAAATCCAGCATTAGAATTTAGACTTTTCATAAAAGATGAAAAGATTTTGGGTGTTACACAACGAGATTTACAACATTATCAATTCTTACAAGATATTAAAGAACAATTAAGGACTAAAATACATGAATTTGTTTATGAGAAAGTAATACCCAAAATGAAATCACAAAAATTTATATTGGATATTTATATACCCCGTCCATTTAACAAAGTGTATATAATTGATATCAATCCATTTTCAAGAAAATCTGATGATTTATTATATACATGGAATGAATTATTAAAAATTGATACTTCAAAAATAAATGAAAATGATTATGAATTTAGATTGATTACAGAAAATAATTTAGGTTCATTTGCAAGAAAAGAATATAGTGAAAGTCAAGTGCCTATTGATGTTGTTGGTGCATCTATGGATTCTGAAGCAATGATTGAATTAGTTAAATCATCAAAATTTGAATAATTAATAATAATTCACGTCTGTTTTTATTGACTGAGCAATTGATAGTCCAACTCTTTCAGTCCTTATGTGTAATAATTGACCTATATCTCGACTTATAATTGATTTATAAACCAATATTTATAACATACATACTCTTAATAATTCTGAAACAAATTGTTTATATGCAGTATTCTCATAATTAAATTGGGAAGCTTGAATTGTAAATAACTCCTTCAGTATACAAGCTATTATTCTCCAACTTCTTTCCTCAAATAGTCGATCTTTCTGAAATACATTGTTATTAGTATTCTTAGAAGAAATGTAGTATTGATATCTTTATTCTTCATTCAAAAAATGGCTAAAAACGTTATTTTGGAAAATAAACGATACTTCAACCTAGTTTTGCAATTTCTAACTGATTCTGCTCATTTAAATCAAATACACTTTTGCCGATGTTTTCAAGACGCCAAAATCGATTTGAAATCTTTGCAAAAAATTCGTTTCAGGTTCGAAAAATTACTTTTTCAATTTTGAAAACCTTATCATTAAAATATCTAAGTTTTATTAAAGTTGGGAGCTACAAGATTGAACAACTATATCGGATATAAATTACGAATTTGATTGTGGAATCAAATTTTTCGTAAGGTCAATTTATTGAATTTCTCCCGTAGTTAAGAGAAAGATTTGGAATTTCTCAATTTTGGTTCAGACAAGCTGGAATCAAGTCCGGTACTTTGATTTGATGTTCAATATATATATTCCGTTATTTAATTGGAAATTATGGCTCCAAATTCATGCATTAACTTCATTCACATTTTTTGGAAATATTTTGTATGATGAAAAATGGTCGACATTGCAAATCAAAAAATAAAAGTTCATTTTTTTAACCTTGGAATATGTAGAGTCTATAATTCAGAACTACTGATCTCACCAAATTGGTTTTCATTCCGAGAGAATGCCCTGTTGACGAAATATACGCCAATGGCACGAGTCGCCCTAAGGCTAAGGCGAGAAAGTCTTTAGTCGCACCAAATCATCTACGCATTAGATTTAAATTCATGAACTATTGTTACCAACTTAGATATATACTAGTTAACCTCATATTTAGCAACAACGAGTAATTGATATTAGTACTTATATCTCAGATTTGTAGCTGCTATCTAATTTTAGTTGATACTTTCATAGTTTTGCAACTCTACATATTTGGTAGCGCGATTCACTAATTAGAATTTGGGGGTTCCGTTACTCCAAATGAAACGCAATTTCAAATACTTCGCTTTTTCTTGGAATAATATGTCAAATTCAACAATTGAAATTGGATCAGATTCAATCTTTTTACCACATTATAGAGGTAGATTAACTGAAGGAGTCACTTATGATTACAGAAATCATTCAATTTTATGGGTTGATATAATTCAAGGTCAAATTAATCGAGTTTTTCTTGATAATTTATCATTTATTGAATCTATAAAATGGGATAAAAGTGGTGAATCAATTGGTGCAATCACTTTAACAAATGATGAAAATATTTATCTTGCATGTTCAAAATCTGGTTTAGCTTATGCAAATTTTAAAATTAAAAAATTGACATATTTTTTTAAATATCCTGATTCAGATTTTAGATTAAGATCAAATGATGGTATAATTGATCCTTTTGGTAATTTATGGATTGGGTTAATGACTGATTTTGATTTATCTGCAAAAGAAGGAGGTATTAAGCCAGAAGGAAAATTATATAGAATTACACCAGATTTAAAAATTGATTTAATGATTTCTGATAGTTTAATTTCAAATGGTTTAGCTTTTAATTCAAAGGGAACTGAGTTTTATTGGACAGATTCATTAACTTATACAATTTGGAAATTTGATTATGATGTAAAATCAAATAAATTATCTAATAAAAGGCCATTTTTCCAATCAAAATTACATTTTAAAGAATTTGAATCTCCTGAACCTGATGGTTTATGTATTACAAATGGTGATGAAATTTATACTACTGTTTTCAGTACTTCAACTGTTGTTCATTTAAGTAAAAATGGTGATATTTTGGAAAAATTTGAAATTGATGCTAAAAGAGTTACTTGTGTTACTATTGGAGATAATTCTTTATATGTAACTACTGGTAACTTAAAATTAGATGATTTTAAAGCTGAAATTGATTCAAATGATAAATCAGGTGATTTAGGTGGATTTTTATTCAAAATTGAAACTGGGAAACCTTTAAATGGTCAAAGAAAAGCAATTTGGGGAGGTAAAGTGTAAGTCTGATATATGAATATATATATATTCAATGCAAAAATATGTTTTAGTAAGCCTTTTGAGTTTCTCTCAAGATTTGAAACTCTAACTCTGAAACATTGATCCCTGAAAAGTGCACAACAGCATCCATTTCTTTATGAAAGAGTTCTTTTCAAATTTTAAAGATTTGGCTAGCTCTACCCTTTTGCCTAAATGTCAAAATTGACCCAAAATTCTCAACTGCCGTGGCAACATAGTAAATCTCACTGAAATTTAGTATTATTGTACATTCAACGCTTGTATTAAGTCTCAAGATTCTTCTTGATCTAACTCAAAAATCCTCTGTACAAATTCTTCAATAGCTTCATTTTCTTCAACTCCACCAGCTCTTAAATCTTGTAGTTTCAAATTCAAGACATCTAATTTTTGATCATGATTTAAACCTTTTGAAACAAAATTTCCTTGATCATCATTAAGTATTTTCACCAAAGTTAATAAATGAAATTGTAAAACAGGTTCATTTAATAAATATTGAATCTTTGAATCTTTTAAAAATTTATCAAATTTTGAATTTGAATTGATATCAGATGCGATTTCAATTTTATTCGACTTTGGCTTTTCTATTTGTTCTGGTTCCTTATGTGATTCTGATTTGTAACATGCCAATGAACAATATGGAATATTACATTTTGGACATTTATATTTTGATTCATTTGTATTACAAATTTGACATAACATTGATCGATAAAATTACCTGAAGAGATCAAAAAAATATTTAAATATGGATAATTGGTAGCGTTTTGAAAATTAACGACTTGAATATTTGGTTGCAAGTTTTGAAATTGAAAATGTCATCAAGAAAAGCACATAGATCATATAATACTTCTAATGGCCATGGATATTCAAGAAATGTTAAATCAGCAGATGCTAGTCAAAAGAAATGGAGATCAGTAGGTACTCAAACTAATGAAACTTATTTTAATGATAAATTAAAGATTTCAAAGACTTTGAATGTTTATGAAACGGTTGTTTTTCATGATGAACAGATGGATTTTTTAATTAATTGGTTAAATTCTACTTAATAGTCAGGAATCAGGTGGTGGAGATTGTAATAATTTTTGCAGGAGGTGAATTTGCTTTGTTCTGTTAGTTTGCTTTAATTAAATTTCTATTTAGATTATAATATGAATGTAATTAATTCACTAAATACGCTAAACGTTTTTATGAGTAATCAACCAGTAAGATGTTCCAACTGGTAGAATGATCATTTCCATAATTAATAACCGATCATTGTTTCTTTGCATTGATATAGTGAACCGTCTAAAGTATTTATTGAAATACCAAGACTACTAACGCAAATAGTATTAGTATTTTGCTTCCAAGTGATATTCTACACCTACCTAATTCGGCCTGGAGTAAAATATTGATCACAGAATTTAAATTTAAGCTACTAGAAACGTTAGTTTCGACATCTTTGATTTCATATATATCAAATAAGTCATTAAATCATTCTTTACTTCGTGACGCTCTTTGCTTACATTATATCGAAGTAAGCTTTTTAGACGTCAATTAAAATCTTAGGACTGAATTTTCATTTAAATGTTTCGAGCGCAAATTGAATTTGAAGAAGCGCAAAATCTGAAACGCATAATTTTTTTTTTCTTTGTATTTCAAATTTCGTGCGACAAAAGATTTTTCTCGCGCTATTCTTGGGGCGACTCGTATCAACTTCGTTTGCTTATATATGACGAGCAACACATTGTCTCGAGATAAATACCAATTATGTGAGATCAAGAGTCTTGAATTATATATTCTGCATATTTGAAATGTTAAATTTAGAACTTTTTCTTTTCGAGTCGTCATTTTTGCTATTTTTCATTATAGAAAAAATTTGCTAAAAATGAAAAGGTACAGTATATTTTATTTACGGCCATAATTTTCAATTAAATGACGGACTTCATATATTATACCACAAATTAACTTCTGGCTTTGGTTTCAGCTCATCTGAACTAGAATAGAAAAGTTTCGAAATTTTTCTCTTAACTATGGGAAAAATTGAATAAATTGACCTTCAAAAAATCTAACTCCACAATAAAATTCGAGAAGTAACTATGAAGAAATTATCGAAATTTTTAGTTGTCATTGTGAAATAACTAAACATGGATTTGAATTGTCGTGTATCATATTTATTGATGAGCCTTAATCTGTTAAGTCTACTAATGACTTGAGTAGTTTTTTGTATACAATTACATGACTGACGTATATCTTTGTTAGCAGCTCTAGATTATGAAACAACAGCAATCACAACCGTGACAAATCCTAATGATGCACCTACCTCCGGAAAAAATAAATAAAGTTGAAAATCAAAAACAACAAAGAGCCAATAGTAAAACCCATAGAAGTGTATTTATGTTTAGGAGGTAGTATCCAATCCTACATTAATTCAAATTCTTTTCTGTTTCTTGCTAAGTAATTATCTTTAACGTCAAAAATCCATTCTTTAAACCTTGTTATCCAGTTTTGATTGAATTTGTACTAGAGACTTACACACATAAATTATACTTGAACTGTGGCGAATACAACAATCCATTTAGGTAGATTCACGTTCAGTTGAACATACTTCATCATGTATAAACTTATGAGATGATTTTGATACTTCAATAATAAGGATTCTCGTTTAATTTATTACGTAATGGTAGTTTTGGCACGTGATCGGGCTTATAGATCCAAATCGGTAGATGTCGAAATTTTAGAAACGATTTATTCCGAGTCGCGATTCTGAAACACGGAAATTAAATCTAAAAGCCGCTAAAAGCCGCTAAAAGCCGTTGTCGAATCACGTGCGTCGGACATTAATTAGCGAAATCAATTTACAATTAAAACAATAATTCGATCTAAAACAATTTAATGTTGATGGAACACGTTTGCAAACTTACAATAGCTCATTCAACTGAGGTCAAATAATCAAGAATATTAATATCGTGACAATCTTGACAACTTGGCTATTATAAATGCAAACAATTTGAAAATTATACTGGGCGCATAATTATTTGAAAATATCTTAGGAACTAACAATTTTGAATGTGATAAAATGGATTCATAACACAAATAGATTTGTTGCGGATAACTACTTAGACCACATTGATCGATTCTTAAAATTCCAAGATTCTTAAAATTCCATCACGAATCAAACCAAGACTAAAAAAAATTTAAATTTTACATAAAATTACAATTAGACGATGGAGTTTAATGAATACGGTTATGAATGGAATTTGAAAGGAAAATGAAAATGAATCAAGAAAGAAAGAAAGAAGAAAATTACTTAATTGATTATAGTTTTGATCGTCATATAATAAAAAAATAAAATTTTTAAATCGTCAGTTTAACTTTGTGTAACATTTGGCTATTTTAGATTTTGTGTCAATATCTGAATAAACACATCTTTTGTGTAACAATAAATTTTGCAGCAAAAAATTTAAACAATTCAATTTTGCAACCTTGCATTCATATAGCATATAGCTTTTTTATGACAGTGTTAGAGAAACAGAGTAATAAAGTTTTCCTTATTATTATCATTTATTAATTAATCTTTTATTGAATACCCTAACTGTGTATATATGCAAATTATTAACCATTTTTTAAAATTATTTACAAATTAAAATGCATGAAAATGAAAATGAAAATGAAAATAAAACCTAAAACCTTCCTTCCTTCGTTCCTTCCTTCTCTTTAAAACATAAACTCATAAAACATAAACTTCTTAAACCTTTTTTGATCTACCAATATGAATAATAAACTTGATTATTATTAAATGGATTAACATGTTGTTGTTGTTGATAAACTGGGACTTGAAATTGTTGTGGTTGAAATGGTTGTTGTTGATATTGAAGTGGATATTGTTGTTGATAAATTGGTTGTTGATATTGAAGGGGATATTGTTGTTGACCGATTGGTTGTTGATATTGTATTGGTTGTTGTTGTTGTTGTTGTTGTTGTTTTTGCTGTTGTTGTTGCTGTTGTTGTTGATAAACTTGGTGTTGCATTGGTGGTGGTGGTAAATTGTAAATATTAAATGATTGTTGTTGTTGTTGTTGTTGTTGAACTCTTCTTCTCTTACCACTATTGTAGTCAACGATTTCATATGGTGTTAATGGAGTTAATGTATAGTTGTTAGACAATGGAGATGAAAATGTAGTTGATTTTGAAATTGGTGAATAATTATAACAACTTTGACTTGCCAATATAACAGGAGATGATAAAACTGAAACAATTGGTTCTTCTTCCTTTTCATCTTCTTTAATTAATGATTTGAATTTATATAAAACTTGACCATTTTTGAAAATATTCCAAAACAAATTTGAATCATTAGTTAAATTTATAAATGATAAATCAAAATTAAGAACACCTAAGAAATAACTTTCCATATAATTTAACAATTTCAAATCCAATGCTAATTTAGTATTTGTATTTGTATTTGATTTTGTATTTGTATTTATATTTGATTTTATATTTGATTTTGTATTTGTATTTGTATTTGTATTTGTATTTGTATTTGTATTTGTATTTGATTTTGTATTCGCATTAGTAATTTTCTTTGTATTATTTATTATTATCATCCATGTTTTTAAAGTATATGATTGATCATCATAACATTTATTACTCAAAATTAAACTTGTTACAATTAAATATATTGCAATATTATCTTCTTCTTCATTATTATGTACTAATATTTTATTATCGTTATAATATTTATAAGTGTAATATAATGAAATTAATAAATTTATACCATTTAATTGTGAATTAATAATTAATTGTCGTAAAAATGCTGAATATTGATTTTTAAAGTTGGCTGAATTATGCTTGGGGTTCACTGATGACATTATAATATTAATGTACTCTATGTAGTTGGTTATGTAAAAATCCATTGAATCCATAACTAATAATTAAATAATCTCATACTTTCAAAATTATTAAAAGGATTTGATATATGTTTATATATTTTGGTATAAATTCATAATTTAAGAAATTAATTTGTTATATTATTTTTATTTTTATTTTTATTTTTATTTTTATTTTATTATTTTTTTTTTTTTTTTTTTTTTACAACACACTATATTGATCATCCTGTATACAACTCACTATATTGATCATCCTGTATATAAGACTTTGGTAGCATAATAAATAATAATATAAACTAATACTAATAAAAAAATAAATAAATAGAAAGAAAAAAAAAAAAAAAAAAAAAAATATATATATTTAGTAAAAGCATAAAGTATAAAAATATTGATTATTAGTAGTGTAGTTTATGTATGTAATATAAATTATATCACACATTTATTCAATACAATGGATGGTTGTTTATTTACTTAGTTACTTAATTACACCTCAAATTTCTCTAAAACAGTTAAGGAGAAATGAATTAAAATGAGCATAATGATCAGTATCGAAATTAAAAGAGCAAAATAGTCAATTGCAATTCTTTTAGAGGTGTTTTTTAGAGGTGTTTTTTAGAGGTTTTTTATTCTATGTAGGTGTGAATTGATCATTATAATCATAATAATCAAATAATCATTATAATCATCATAATCATAATCATCATCATAATCATCATCATAATCATCATCATATGGAATTATGTATTGACAATAAACTAACAATTGAGTTACAAAATTGGTTAATAATTTAATTTGTTTATTAATTCACTCATAGTTTAAAATTATTTAAAACATCGTAACAAATTTCTCAATTATCAACAGCTACAAAAATTAACAAAAGTTAACAAAAAGAATGTAAAGTAAAAGAAATTTTTTATTAATTAGGAAATGCAGTTAAAATTTGATTGACAAATTTTTAGATTTTTAGACAAGAAATTTTTATAAGGTTTTTTTTTTATTTTTTTTTTTTTTTCTTTCTAAATTTAAATTTTATTGTGAAACAATTTTCAATTTGCAATCAAAATATTGAAAATAATTTTAATAATTTTAATAAGTTAATGTGTGTGAAGTGAAGTGAAGTGAAGACTGACTTTGTTACTCGTTAATTTTATTAATTTTATTAAATAAAATTAATAAACTCTTATTGCGTATATGTAACGAGCGAAAGAGAGACATTTGATGATGATGATGATGACGATGATGATGATTTATTTTTATTATTACATTCAGGCGTAAGTAGTTTTATTTAATTTCAGTTGATCTTTTCATTTTACAATTATCATATATTATCATATAATATATTTTTTATTATTCTTTATGGTTTGAAATCAAGAGAATCTTTTATTATTATAATAACAAATTCTAGCGGTGCCACTTTCATAATTGTTAAATAAAAATCTAAATTAAGAAAATTGGTTGTGTTTACACGCCCCCCCTGGTGTTCATATTTTTTTTTTTTTTTAATTAATAAAAACAATGTATGAAATAAACAATGTATGAAATGTAATAATAGTAATAATAGTAATAATAGTAATAATACCGAACAAATAGGTGCAAAATAATTGATTTTTGATTAATTCAAACTTTAAATTTAATTAATCGTCTATTTGAAAGGGAGTCTCGTCTCGTCTCGTCTCGACTCATTAAATTACTTAATATTATAATATAATATTGTGACATCTGATTTCTGATTTCTGATTTCTGATTTTCAAACGAAGTTTGATAATTTTAGTATTTGTTTGTTTGTTTTAAGTTATTATATATAAATTTAGTTGCAAAATTTTTAAAAATAAATTAACCAATTCTTCAATTTACTTAATTTGATGTTTTAGTTTTCTTAAAAATATGCGTGATCTTTCTTTTTAAAATTTTATTTAAAATTGTTTTCTTCTTCTTTTTTTTTTTTTTTTTTGATTGACCATCCGTTGTTTAAATTGTTGATAGTTTGATAAAAAAAATTAACCAAACACGACTTGATGAAAAAAATGCTACAACTTATTAATTACAAGCTAAGGCAAGCTAAATTGAGTATCATGAGTTAAAATAAATCAAGAAAAGACAAAAAGACAAAAAGACAAAAATACAAAAAGACAAAAATACAAAAAGACAAAATCAATTAAGAGACAAAAAGACAAAAAGACAAAATCATTAAGAGACAATAAGACTAGAGTACAGTATATTAACAACGTAAGCTTAGTTGTAAATTTAAATTTTCTTAGTAATGAATTAAGTTGTTATCCGTTTCTTTGCAAAATAACGATTTGAAATAGCTAAGCATACTACTACTCTACTTTTTTTGATTAAATAATTTATGTAGGTTGTGTGTCTAATTTTAAATTTAGCTTGAATTTCATTTTTTAAATTGGTAAAAAGAAAAAAGCTTGCTTTATTATTTTTAAGCGTTTCGTTCTTATTAAACTTGATCATTTGATTAGTCAATGTTACACTACCATATTGATCATTAGATTAGTCAATGTTACACTACCATATATTGCCATACATTGATGCAATAGTTAAAATTTAATCATTTGATTAGTCAATGTTACACTACCATATATTGCATCAATATGTATCAATAGTTAATATTTAATCATTAGATGATTGATTAATTGATTGATTAACACTTTATACAGTTTTTCTAATAATTCTTTTGATGTATTAAGTTTTAAGAACTCCTATTCTTTATACTTTTTCTCTTTTCACTTTCAATTCTATAATTGTACAGTTATTGTACAATTCTACAATTCTAAAATTCTACAATTCTAAAATTCTACAATTCTACAATTCTACAATTCTACAATTCTACAATTCTACAATTCTACATTCTTTTCTCTTTTTATTGACTACAATTTACTAAATTTCATGTATATTGGTTACATTGACCATTTTGTAATTAGTTTTTACTTATTCGCATCGTTTTTAAACACCTCTCTGCATTGCACTATTTTGCTTAATTTCATGATTATTTATTTGGTATTATACTTGGTATTTTTCTTTCTTTTTTTATTTTTTGTCTTTTGTTTTTTGTTGTTTGTTGTTTGTTTTCTGTTTTCTGTTTTCTGTTTTTTGTTGTTTGTTTTCTGTTTTCTGTTTTGATTGTTTCAAACTTTTGCTGCTAAATATTCCAAAAAATTATTAAGCTTTTACACTATTTTTCTATTATTATGTTACTTTTCTACATTGAACTACATTATACACGATTAGACGGCATTGAGATAATTGAACCATTTTCTGATCATCCTTTGATTAAAAATTTAAAAATTTTAACTCATTTTAACATAATATAGTAATTAGTGCTCATATTGTTGTTACATTGAAAATTCTCCAGTTTTTTAGTTAATAATATTTTTATGTTTTTGATCTACAGTTAATTTAAACTTTGGGTTCTTTTTCTTTTATTTTTCTCCTAAAATAGTATCATTTAAATCATACTCAAGTCGCGTAGAATTCTCAACAATACAATCAAACTAGTGACCAACCAACCACTTTAAATCCAGAACTAAGTCTATACACATCTATTTCTAATAGTAAAATAAATACACTTCAAAATTTATACACGTGTATTTCTAATAGTAAAATAAATACACTTCAATATTTAATCAGTTTCAAGTTCTATATTTTATTTTTAATACATCAACATTATAGACGCTTATCTTTTGGAAAACCAACCTGAATATTGATTATTCATCAGAATTTTACTTTTACCATTCGTTACATTATTAGTCATCTTTTTCATTGAAATTTCATAACCGTAAATCATAAATCATAAATCATAAATCCTAAATCAACTTTATTTCGATTTTCTTATACCTCAATTTTTACTTTTTATTATTTCCGTTTGAATTTACCAGGCTAAGCAAAATATTCGATTATAATTTGTTTTTGCGTTTCTAATATGCACACTTACATATTTTTTTTAAATCTATTGTCTTATTTTTTTTTTAGACGCAACCAAAATCAATTCTTAAATTCGACATTACCTTCAATGTCCACTTTTATTGGAACTCAATTGTAAACACCCTCTCAGCAATTTAGAAATAAAAATCTCTATAATCTCTATTGTTCTTGAGTATTGATATTTTATTGGTTATAATAGATCGCAAATTATCATTCCAGAGTATAGTATCTAAATTCTTAGAATCTTAGAATCTCTTTTGTTCCATCTTCAAATTAGTTAAACTAATTTAATCATTCCAGAGTATAGTATCTAAATCTTAGAATCTCTTTTGACCCATCTTCAAATTAGTTAAACTGGTAAATCGCAGCCTTCTTGATTTAATGCGCAAGGTTAACAAAACTATTTTAATTCTATTCGCAAGACTAAAAAATTAATATAATAATAGAACTAACTACGCACACGAATTCAAGAAATGGCGAAGTTGAACTTTTTCAGTTACAAATAAGCCGAATTCAAGAAATGGCGAAGTTGAACTTTTTCAGTTACAAATAAGCCGAATTCAAGAAATGGCGAAGTTGAACTTTATCAGTTTCAAATAAGCCTACAAATACTACAATATACACTAATAACTAGAGCTTATAACCATGATGAAACTAAAAATATAGTAAAAATATAGTAGAAATATCTTGAAATGTTTTGAAATGTTTTGAAACGTTTTGAAATGAAATGAAATGAAAATCAACCTCAATTCTTGCTCCTTAGATGGCTTTAGTTTTAATAATTATTGCTGGCTTAAAATGAAATCGAACCAAAGTTGCGAAATTTTTAAGTTTAATTAAAGAGATGAGATTCTATTTATACTACTTAAAAAGTTTAGCTTAGTTTAATTTAATTGCTGTCACTCGAGAAGAAAAAAAAAAAAAATTAATAATACTTCAAAATCTAACGCCGATTTGAAATTTAAATCGGAGCGCCAAAATCGAAAACATGCCGTAGATTTCGCGAAATTTAGGCCCATCTAATACCATCGAGAATTTAAATTATATAGCTTCATTATTTTCATTATTTTCATTGCTAATAACAATCATATAAAAGTATCATCATTTAAAATTAATTTATTTCTAAAAACAAATTCTTTTCATTTATCGTAAATAAATAAATTTACAATAATAATCACCCTAATCGACCATTCTTGTTCATTTTTGTTCATTCTTGTTCATTCTTGTTCATTCATTTCATTTAATTTCATTTCATTTAATTTCATTTCATTTAATTTCATTTCAATTCAAGTTTGTTTTAAATCTTCACCATGGCCAAATCATCAAGTTTCGAAAAAAAACCAATAATTAGATTTCAACTCATACATTACTACTTAATTCCATTAATAGCCCTCACAGTATGGTGGGGTATGTTAATTGCAATGCTTATATGTTGGGGTGTGCAGGGCCATCCAATTTATTCATTTATGGATGTACATCAAAATCCCGTATATTTATCAGATATAGGTGCAACAAATTTACAACCTTTATTCATTAGTTGTGCTGGTTTTCAAGCTATTTTCTTTGTCGGTACATTAGTATTTGGTATGTATTTACGTATGAAATCAAAAATTCAATGTTATATTACTATTCATCAACGTAATCTTGCAATCGCAAGTATTGTATTTGCAATAATTGGACAATTGGGTATTTTATTTGTTTCAATTTTTAATACCAAGAATTTCCCTGATGTTCATATGTCAATGGTTGGTATATTCATTGCATTTTGCTTCTTTGCTTGTGTTTGTGATTTTGCAATTACTTGTATTTTTGGAACTAGACCAAGTCAATTAAACCCAATTCATCATGGTACTATATTTGGTAAATCTAAATTTGCAAATTTATATTTTGTAAGTTTTATTTGTAAATTAATTTGGTTACTTGCTTCAATTTGTTTTGCTGCTGCTTTTGGATATTATATGAATAATGGAAATGATTCAAGAAGTGCTAAATTTGAATGGACAATTTGTTTCTGGTATGGATTTTTATTAGCATTATGGTCAATGGATTTGGTTCCATCTGCAATTAGAAAATATAGATCTAGACATCCAGAAAGATATGGAAATGAACTCCCTGTTGATTTAGAAATGGAAAAAGATTTACAAAATAATTCAACTGATGTTGATTATGATAATCCTACATTTATTGGATCTCCACAACCAATATATAATAATAACCAACAAGCTTTTAATAATGAAAATTTTACTGCTCAACAAGTAAATGAACCAGCAGTTGCTTATAATGGAAATTATACCGCTCATCCTTATGCTAATAATACAAATCATGTTAATTATTCTACTCCACAACCTTATTCAAATGTGCAGCAAAGTCCTCAATCAGGTTATAATAGAGCTCCAATTGGTGCTCAAGAACAATATCAAGTTGTTTAATAGATTTGATTATAGTTATGTCTTTATCTATGTTTAAATTAATGTTAGAGTATTTAATGAGAGAAAATAATTAATAGTTTAATGGTAGTTTGTAGTCTATATTCTGGTTGTAAATCTTTGACTTTGTTATTTGAATTTTGCAGCCAAAAAAATTTGATAGCACCAGGTTTGGTAGCGCCAAATTATTTAAACCCATGATGATCTGAGGACGTGCGTAAAGAAGACCCAAAATAGAATAATAATAATTAAACTTTGACTTGGCTATTGTTACATTATTCATACATCGTACTTATTCACTTCATTCATACAAGAAAAGTCACTTCTTCTTGTTTACTTGTTGTTCCATTAATCAAAACAGCATGTAATCTTGAATATTTTCCTCTCATCATAATTTTCCATAGTGATTTAGTTATGTTGATTTCTATAATTTCACCTTTGCATTCTTCTGATAATTTTCGTTTCTTCAGTCCTTGTTCAGAACCATTATTTTCTTGTTTATCTTTTTCATCTATTCCCATGATTTCATTTACCCAATTTTCATTCATTACGTCCCCATCAATAATTGATTTTGAATTCTTGAAGCCAACTAGAAACGTTAAACTATTTTCATCTTGTAGCACGTTCTCTAAGTACTCTTTAAAAATGGATGCAATTTTAGTAGCCAACTTATTCGTGAATTTTATACATGCAACTTTCTTACTACTATTGATCACCAATTTGATACTTGACTCTACAGTGGAGTTGATTTGTACTATTAATTCTCTTGATGGTTCCGTTATATAAGGTCGTTTGTAAAATAAAGGACATTCGAAACTCTTATCTTTCGATTTATTCCATGTCCCTTTTTTGGTAATTTCAAACAAATCAATAATAATTGCATCATTCAATATTTTCACTTTAATTAATTTTTGTTCAAGTTCCAAAAATCTATAATATCTACATTCTTTAATTAATAGTTTTCTATGTTCTTCATCTCTCACTATTGAAGTATTTCCTCTTAATAATTCCAATATATCACTAAATAATAAAGGACTTCTATTAGCCACTATTGCTGGTGTTTGGGGTGGTGGTCGTAACATATTATTTCGTTCAATTATATTCAAATTATTAATTAATAGTCTATCATATTGCATAGTGAAAAAGTTAGGACAATTACCTTCGGATCCCATAAATAATGATTTTGGAATTTTGAAACTAACATTTCCTACACTTGAAAATATATCATATTCAGTTAATAATTTCTGTAATCTTTTTAAACCAAAATAAAAACAATCAGACCATAAATGTACAAAATCATAATCATTATTTATATTTACTGAATATCCCTGTAGATGATTGTATATCTTTTCAAAAATGACCGGGTTACGATCAAAAAATAATACTTTATCTTCATTTTCTGGATCTGAAAAATAATTCGTGAAATAAGATGGTGCATCTGATGATAACGATAGACCAGAAAGTCTAAATAATTTATAGCCTACTTGGATTGAATAAACCTTCTCATGTGGTAGAACCATTGGTATTGTTGGATCAAATTCATCTGTAGTTTGAATTGTCAATGACATTATGGTATTTATAAAGTTGGATTATACGGTTTTTACTAATATTACGAAAGAAAAATTTGTACTAGGTACACGCTAAATTGAAACTAAGCATTGATGAATGAACAGTTATACAAGGGTAGTTGAGCTATGTCCATATTGTTAATTGTCGAACGCAAGTGAAATCAGCTCTGTTGTATAATGAGTTCATGGCAAAAAAGTTGGTATAATGGTAGTATAATGGTATTTTTTCGGGACCAATTAGATAAATACCCCTTAACCCCCCACCCCCTAATTTTAAGATTACACTTGAACCAATCAATTTCAAGTTCACCTTAAACTCATTACTCAAAAGCATAGCGTAGATTCAAATTCTTTCTCTTGATAACTTTCGATACTCTTTCACACTCATCATGATATTTTATGCTCTCAAATGATACCATTGATCTCTTATCATCTCAAGAGATTGCTAAAAAATTGCTTCAAGTCCCACATCTTACCAAAACGTTAGCATTCTTTTATTTGTGAAGCACAGGGTGATTATATCTTTTAAGATCGAGCACACTCTTGAGTAGCATTGCAGAATTTTAGCTACATACATGTGGTAGCCGTTCCAGTCAAGTCGTGTGCCAAAACTCGATTTAATCGATTTCTATTTAGCACTAGTTTATTTTAATTCTTATGCCTAAGAAAGGTAGAACCTTTGATGGATGTTGGACATGTCGAAGTAGAAAAGTTAAATGTGATTTAACAAAACCGTATTGTCAAAGATGTACAAAACTGAAACGAAAATGTAAAGGATATGATATAAAATTGAGGTGGTCAAATCCATTATCAATCTCCAAAATTGATTCATCAATGGTTTATTTAAATTCAGAGGATTCTGATCTTGATTCATCTTCATTCCAAAGACGAAATATTGAATTAGTGAAATTTCCAAAGTCCATGTCATTTGAAACGTATGCTAAATTGAATGAGATATTGGAAAAGTTGGATAATTTTGGCACTTTAGATAAAAATTTCAAAATTGGACCATTCAGATGCTTCAAAATGGGAATAAGAAGGACTGCGCAAGAAAATGAAGGAGCGACGCAAAAAGAAGAAGAAGAAGAAATAGAGGTTGAAGGAGATGCTGAAGTCGAAGTTGATAATTCTCATGTTCATTATAATTTAATTAATTTTTCAAAATTGACTGTATTGGGTATAAAAGGTATCAATTATAAATTCAATGATCAAAATATGCTACATATCTTATATCCTAAATTTTTTCCTAATATAGATTCGGATGATGATTGGGTGCCGAAGAATGCAAGTAATAAATTGTTCAAGATAGATGAGAATGGGAACCTACTACTATATTCAGTTTTTCATAACTTAGTTTCACTGGTTGATTCAGGTTGGTTCTCATTTAATAGATTTCATTTCAAGAATAATTACATTGATTTATTGATAATACCTTACATAAAACAATTACTTGGAGAATTAGTTTGTTTTGATCTCACTAGGCATATAGAAGCAGAAACAGATATAACTAATTTTAATTCGGTAATAAAAAGTATCAAATTGGTGATTGTATATTTAATTCTTGGTATATCTTCATTCAAGAAATCTAGAAGGATAGATGAAAATTTTGAGTACTTAAATGATGAGTATTTAAAAATAAGTGTAGAGATGAGGAAAAGTAGTATCCGGATTTTAAATGTTCATTTAGATGAATCAGATACTATATTTGAATTACAAAAGGACCAAGAATATGACCAAGAATATGATACATTAATTCTTCTATCCATCATACTTCAAATTGAATTAGACTGTTTATTTTCCATTTTTGAAAATTTGGATTTATTGTATGCGATTGGAGATTTCATAATTCTTAATAAGTTTAACAGTCGAAGAGTATCAAATTTGAACAAATATCTTATCAACATTTTCAAAATTAAGAGTATTTTCTATGAATCTACTAAATCGATAAGCAAGTTCAATTATCAAATTAGCGAAATTGATGAAGAAGTGAATTACAGTGATTTAAAAGATACATATAATCTTATTAATGATCTATCAGAAGATGAGGAGAATGAATCATTAACCAGTGATGATGAAGAAGAAGATCAAATCGAAAAATTTAAACCAACTATACAAAATCTAATCTCTAAAGAGAAAATGTATTCTCCATTACAATTTACTATTAGTTTTGGTAAACAATCAAGTATATCAGCATTTGAAAGATTGGAAAAACAGCATCAAGGACATGATCAACCACCAAGAGCACAATTTAATGCATCCAATGTACATTTTTCATCAGCATTCATTGAAAATAATTTAATGTATTTAACTTATGGAATACTGAAATCTTTAATTGATATATTTCATCAAATTATTCATCTAACAAATCATAAAAATATATTCAGTCAGAAGAAAGTGTTCCCAAGAAATTTTCCAAAAATTTGTGCTGAAATTGAAGATAAGTTGATTAATTGGAAAATACCATGGATTTTAAATGAGTCTAATCCAATTCATCAAATTTTAAAATATTCATTAACTGCATTTCAAAAGGCTCAAATTGTATATTTCAATAAACTACTAAAGAAGAATTTTGACATTAAGGGAATACAAAAAGTTATAATTGGATGTTTAGATGATGTTGAAAAATCATTGCAGATTGCAAATCTGATAAAGTTTGAATACAAGCCTAATTTTTGGATATTGTTAATCTGTGGTTCATCCGTGATTGATAAAGATTTACAAGAGAAGATTAGATTGATTTGGCAAAATGATTTATTCAAACGACAAAGTAATTATTGGAGAGGTAAACAAATTCTTTATGAAATTTGGAATAGACGAGCTTTAGGTGAGGATGAAAACAATTTAGGGTTTATGAATTTAATCAGAGAATGGGATATTGTATTGAGTTTAGGTTAGAGTATTTGATATTGTATTGAGTTTAGGTTAGAGTATTTGATATTGTATTGAGTTTAGGTTAGAGTATTTATTTATTATTTATTCTATTTATGTATTTTTTAATGTAATTTTAGGATTTACTGTTACTTAAGTACTTTGAGGTTTTGAAAAGCGACAATTGACATATCACCGCTACTTGCTGCATCATATGATTATATTCTACGACACTTCTTATACAGCAATGAAAAGAAATAAATCAAGGATGCTCTTTCATTCTGATCTGGTGATGTTTTCTAATTTGTTGCAAAAATTTCTCTCGTCTAAAAAAATAACATCAGTTTCATGTTTGAAACCATATCGTCATAATTCTCGGATTATTTAATTAATCTACCTAAAATATGAATCCAATTGCCTTATAAAGTTGAAATTTTTAAATGGTTTGTACATGTTTCTTACCCCAAAATTTGGGGATAGTACATAAAATGCAAAGCGTATAAAAATTAAAAAATAAAAAAAGAAATTCTATTGGTTTATCCGCAACTATAGAATAATGTAAGGAACTTTTTAATTGATTATGACTTGGTTGAGCCGTATTTAGAAGCTCTTAATTTGATAATCTAGTATGATTGTAAAAGTAAGTAGATCGAATAACATACAAAAAGCTAAGATTCCATTGGTAATCAAATCAAGTCATGCTTTTCATATTATAGTTTTACGGTTACCTGGAAAAACTTAGAAACTTAGGTTGGTTATGAACTCTTGGCAATAAGATCTAAAATTTATCCATAAGAAAATCAGTTATGCTCCGGGACAATCAATATATTATATCACTATATCGATATCAATGCTTATATTATAGATTTGCTTTCAAATAATCTAACAGTTCATTGTTAGGTTGTATCTCCTCACATATACCCATGGATCATACTTAGTGATCATAGAACATTTGATTTTCTTTTTCTTTCAATTCCATTGCACGGAATATCGATCCGACTGAACGAGCGATAAAGTGATATAAAAAATTTGAATTCGTAAATTTGAATTTTAACAAACTACCCCACTACTAATTTTGACGACTAAACAAAGCGAACAGGATTTTGAAGGATATGAGCCGTAAAAAACTCTAATTATGAAGATGTTGCCGCGTTAGTATTGGCTATATTTAAGAGAAAGAACTTAGATTTATACGAATTAGCTTCAAATTTTGAAGCTTCAGTTATATGGCTTCTAAATTTTGCAGTCATTTTTTTTAAATAATCTTACGTCTTCTTTTTTAAAGCAAACTACATTAATACATTGTTACAATACAATAGAATATAATTAATTGAAATTATCCCGAAATCAAATAACGCCCTAGGTATATAACTGACACTTCTATTCGTTTCAAACAAAAATTCAAGAAGTAGTTGAATTAGAATGCGGCCTTACTTGATTGGCTAAATCTCTAGTTGCTCCATAATTGTCTTGAATATCAATGAAAATAAGTCAAATGTAAAATACACTAAAATAAAAATAAAAATAAAAATAAAAAAAAAATAAAAAAAACCTGCATATAATATTTTTTACGGTGAAAATTTACTATGGGGTATTTTTACTTATATAACTTTTACTTTTAATACTCAGTAATATAAAATTTTGATTTAACCAAATTATACTTTACAACAAACCTTTATTGTAAGTTTTTACTGTTTGATTATTATTTATTGTTCATCAAGTTTTATTACTTAATTATCATCATTATCACCATTATCGCCATATAATATTAAATACTTATCGGTTGATTGATTCATTTTATTATGATGTCTACTGCTTCAACGTCAAAAGAAATACCTTCGATTAATACTATGTTAAAGGATACGGGTCAACCACCTTTAACTTCGCTTTCATCTTCATCATCAGATAGCATTCTTAATCGTACTCCATCCTTATCAAATAAATCATCACCCTCATTACTTAATAATAACGGAAACGCCCATTTACAACCGAAATTAGCTTCACCTTCAAATTTAATATCAATATCTCCATTATTATCTTCAAGTTCGCCTCATACTTCAAATAATATATCACCGACTACGCAAAATATTAATATTAATACTAATTCTTCTGCTCATGCAAACAATTCTTCATGTGACCCACCGCGAAAAAGATCAAAAATATCAAGGGCTTGTGATTCATGTAGAAGAAAGAAAGTAAAATGTAATGCTGATTATTCTCAGGCTTTACAAAAAGTTACCAAGATTTGTACAAATTGTGAAAAAAATAAAGAAGATTGTTTATTTTCACGAACTCCATTAAAAAGAGGTCCATCAAAAGGTTATATACGAGAATTGGAAGAAAAAGTAGATATAAATAACAAAAAACCACCTACTAATGAACAACAACAACAACAACAACAACAACAACAACAACTTCATAATAAACCACTACCATTTCCACAACAACTGACTAGTTCTAAATCATCAATAATTTTACCTCCATTAGTTGGATATGCGACATCTTCAGTACCTCAAAAGTTATCACCAACTCATCAATCATCCAATCCATCAAGTCCCAGAACTCAACAACATTCAATTTCAGGTTTATTGAATAATGAAAATACTGCACTTAAAAAATCAGATTCAACTACTGCTACTTCGACAAATAGTCCGCCTATTCAAGGTCCTTTCTGGAAAGTACCTTATGAATTACCACAATCATCTTTATCTAGAAAATCTTCAATAACGAGTATATCTTCAGCAAATAATAATGATAACACCTTACGTAGAAGATCATCAATAGATTCAATATCATCTACGTCAACAAATGGATCAAGATTACCATCAATAAAACCAATGTGTTCGAATGACTATATAACGGATAGTGAATCAGAGGATTATTATTCCGTAAAACTGTATAATTCAAGACCAGTAGTTATAAGATCAAACTCTCAAAGTTTATCTCCACGAAATTCAATAACTTCATTATCAAGTTTAAATAATAGAGTTAATCAATTTTTAAATATAACACCAACTCCATCACCTAATGTACCATATCAACAACACATTCCACCACCACAACAACAACATCAATTTCAACAATTACAAGTCCCGCCACCACAAGCTCAATTTTTACCACCTATAAATCCATTGGATTTAAATCTCAAGTTATATTATGAACATTTTCACTCCGCATTTCCAATATTGCCATTCAATTCAAACTTAATAATTGACATAATAAAAGATTCAAATTCATTACATTTACAAGATTGGTTAGTTGAATTATTTAATATCTCATTGAACAACTTGATGAATTTCAAATTGATTCCAATTAGTCAATCCATTAATTTATTTCAAAGGTTAATTCAAGCATATCCAATTGAATCACCAACTACTTCATTTTCAAACTCATCTTTAATTTTTTATTTATCAAGTTTGGTATTAATTAGTTATACATTAATGCTTAATGGAGATTCGTATAATCAGAGTATATCAGTTACAAATTCCATATTGAATGATTATAGAGTAATTGAAAAATTCATAAATTATAATAACCAACAAAATAATCCAGATTTAGATAATATAGTGAATTATTTTATGAAATTATATTATTTGTTGAATGTGATAGATGGAATAAATAGTCTTCAATTGGGTCAATTCAAAAATATAAATATCCCAAATAATTTCAACTCATTTATTAATTCCAAGATTAATACATTTTTACCTAAAGATGATCAAATAATCAAAGTAAATCAATTATTAAACTTACTCATTGAAAATCAGCACAATTTGATTTTCAATCAAGTTAGTAAACTTCAAGTCCCACCTCAAGTTGAATCATCAAATACAATATTTACATTTTTTAACTCATTCATAATTGAAAAAAATCAAGTAATTAATTACATATATGAGTTGAAATCACAATTAACAAATTCAAATTTTGATAATGACGATTTATTAGATTGCAACGTAACACTTATACGTCACTTAAAAAAATTCACGAATTCAATATTGAGCTTCTCAAATCAAAATGTAGCTTTATTTTCACCAATTTTAAACATTGCAATATGTCAATTATTCAAGAATATTAAATTTATAAAACTCGTAATTGAGAATATAAAATGTAATAATGAAATGAGTAAAAGATTAGATAAGATAAATAATGATTTATCAATAAGTTTCAATTTATTAACTTTAAATATCGTAAATTTGAAAATCGGTAATAAGGTTGATTTAATACTTAAACAAAAGTTGCAAGATTATAATCTACAATTCAATAAAGTTGAAAATAAAACTGTTGAATTAAATGATTGGATAAATTGTTTGAATAATGTCATTATTCCATTTGTGAATTTAGATAATCAAGGTTGGTTATAATTTAAAGATAACGTACTTAGTAATGAATATATAATATCGATAATGGATCGGATATTTGTACGTATTATGCAATGATATAAACAAAATGCACAGTCTATACTTAAACTCTATTTGTAGACGCTTTATTCTAACAACCAATAAGTTTTGATTATAATTTCAAACGAAATCTAGGTTTGTGATTTCTTAGGAGATAGAACTGATTGTAAAGTAAAGTCCTTGACATTACTAGAGTTGAAAAAGTAGTGAAATGTCTATTTCAAATTTTAAGAAAGTTATAAATTATAGTATTTGATACTTCTCTAACTAAAAATCAAATATAGATAGTGATCTATTTTAACTTCACTTATAATGATGTCCTTATGATGCAATGCAAATGGTATATTCTTACTTATGTCTTTAATCAATTTTGATTTGTGCATAAATTTTTCTAACAAAGAATAATGTACTTATAAAACCAACTGAAGCACAACATAAAAATACTAAACTTGATATAACAATTGAATATCCAGTATATAAAACAAATGAAGTTAATCCAGCCAATTTTTCACCATTTGTTAAAAACATTGAATGCAAAAATACATAAATTGAACAACCACCACCTATAAAAATTGATTTCCATTGCCATTTATAATTTTCTGAACATAAATTATAATAAATCATTAAGATTGTAATTAGACTAGTTGTCAAAATCATCAATATAAAACAAAAGAATAAAAATCCAAACATGTAAAAAATTTTATTAAACCATAATGATGAATAAATAAAATACATCTCAACTGCAATTGATCCAAATGGGAAAATACCAGATATAAACATTATTGGTATAGTTCTTAAATACCATGGTTGTTTTGGAATTTGTCTTGGAATTTGATTTGTTCTAACTGGAACTGTTAACATTGATTTTTTCGATGATAAAATTGAACCCAAAACAGATAATGGAATTGATATAACAAACCAAATTAATATAATTGCAACCATTGTACCCATTGGTATAGCACCTGAAGATTCGACTGAAATTAAAAAGAAATTAAGGAATATAAAAATACCAAATAAAAATCCTGGTACCAAAACTGGTGTTAATAACATATTTAATTTCCAATTTTCACCACCAAAGAATCTATATATATAACCGGAAATAAATGATGATATAATTGAACTTGAAATATAAACAACAAACATAAAAGTTGATAATGAACCTCTATTTGATGGTGATAATAATCCCAATAATGCAAATACTATAGTAACAAAAACCATAAAGAAAATTTGAACACCAGAACCAATTAAAACTGATAATAATAATGAGTTTTCTGGTTTTCTGAAGATATCTCCGTGTACTAATTTCCAACCACTTTCATCATTTACATCATCATCTAAATTAACTTCATTATATTTAACAATATCATTTTTTAAAGTTCTTACTAAAATATGACCAATTATAATACCTAAAATCAAAACAATCAATGAAAAATTAATCAATGAAAACCATTGAATTTTTGGATCATAAACATGTAAATATTTATCCCATCTTGTTGCCCATGCGATTTCACTAGGTTCAAATCTAACGGAATAGGTAAATAAAACTTCTGATTCGTCTTGTTTACTCAATGTAATTGGTTTTAAATCTTCACTACATAATTCTTCAGGTTTTGAATTTTCAGGAACTTGTGATCTATCTAATGAAAAAGTTGAAACCGTAACTCCAACAACTCTAAATTTGTCTTCATCTCTTTTATGATATTCTATAGTTATATCAAAATGATTATATAAATGAGCTAAATTATCTACAACTTCACCAATTTTAAAACCAGAACCATAAAATTCGGAATTGGTACGTACATCTTGTATAATACTAGCAACTGGCAATCCGTCAACTAACCAATTATGATTATAACTTGCTCTTATATTTCTATTAACAAATACTCCATCAGATTTTGAATATGTTGATTTACATAATGAAACACACTTTTTCTCCTCCAACATATTAATTTCAAATGGTGAATTGAATATTCTATCACCAAATATAATTGAACCTAAGGATTCCAGTTGTTTTTTTGGACCATCTTTTGGTTGGCAGAAATGAAACTTTGGATAATAATAATCATACGAATAAACATAAGTTGCACTAGATATTTTATTTTGATTTGATACATGATGTAAAGATGGTGTTACGTGATTGACTAATAACGGTATATTATCACCTTTTTTATAATCTGATGGTGCAACCCCAGGTAAATAGAACCCATATGTTATACTAATCAAATATAATAATTGAAATAGAATTAACATTATTCAATAAAACAACAATTTTGATTTAAAGATTTGGAATCCCAAAATAATGGAAAATTTTAAATTTAGATTTTTTATTTTTTTGGTTCGTCGCTACCAATTTTTGTCGTGTAAGTATAGACGTTTTTGTGTAACTCATATAAACTCATATATATTCATTTTATTCATTTTAATCATTTACGTGATTTCTTCTTTGGTACACTTTTATTACTATCAGAAGTAGTGCTTTCATACTTTAAACTTTCGTCATTTGTTAATAATCCTGATCCTTTTCGTCTTTTGATAAAATTTACCCGTTTACTTTGATTGGTAATTGATCTAATTTCTTTTAATTTTGCTTGTTGTAAATTTTTATCTCTCATATACCGTGGCCTTTCATTTGAATAATCACATTTCAATCCTAATCTTTCACATTGACTACAAATTGGTTTTTCTTCTGGACATGCTTTATGACGTATTCTACAAGTCCAACAACCAGTTTTTGATCTTGCGCCTAATTTCTTTTTATGATCATGTGGATCAATCAATATCTTCTTTTTACTATTACGTGTTGCTCTTTCTTTTGATGATGTTGATGATGTTTCAATTGGTGAAGAGCTTGATGAAGATTCTGGTGTGGGAGCTTTTTTATTTGTGAGTCTTCTTCTTTTTCTTCTTCCAAAACCTGTAAGACGTTCAGGGGATATTTTCAAAGTAACAAAAAAGTCAAACTCTGGTTTAACTTTAACTTTTGGTTTTGGTCCTGGTTTCTTTTTTATTTTTGGTACTGAAGGATCAGGAAAATGTATTCTTGGTCGACCTCTTCCTTTTGATTTTGGTTTTTCAATTTTACTTAAATTGGGTAGTTCATATATTGATGAATTTGAATTTCTTGACGATACTGATCTTCCTCCTATTGATGATGTAGTAATTGTTGATGGTGTAGCAGCCATTCTTTTTAGAGCCATGGGACTTTGCTTTATTGGTGCATTTTGATATAATTGTTGCTTTCTTAAAGCTAATTGACTCATTGAATCTTCAATTTCATTTGCACTATTAATTGACATTTCATTTATTAATGATGATCTACTGTGTAAAATATGTGATTTTAATATTCTAGAACTTTGACTTGGAGATGTATCATATATATTTCGATAAACTTCATGTCTTTTAGCTACTTCATCCTGATTTTCATACTCTGATGTTAAAAAATCTTTATCTACTACCAATTCCATTGATAAATTTTTATTAATTATTTCCAATTGTTGTTGTTGAGATATTCTTGGAGAACAACGTATTGATGGAGCTTGTTGTTCCGATTTTATTGATCTAGATAATGGAGGTGTTGGATGTAGAATACGCCGATGATTTGGAGAAGTTATTATTAAATCTTGTTCGAATTTTAATGGTGTAGAATGCCTAAATTTAAAATCCAGTAAAACTCGAGGTATTGAATTTTCGTTTATAATTTCAATCAGCAGCTGTTGTTGCTGAAGATAAGGTAGGTTAGAATTTATCGTTGAATCAACAAATGGATTATTTAATTTGGAAATCGCAATTATTCCATTTTCATTTTCATTATTATCTGCTGTAGAAGGGTGTATCGATGAAGATGATTCATTGTTATTTGGATATAAAGTATCACTTTGATATTGATTTTTTATTGGACTTGAATGAACTAAATTATGAGCAATTTGATCCCTTTTAATAAGCTTTGACATGTATAATACAATCCCTTGATAAATTAATTAATTAATGTTCAAACTTTTTATACGCTGATAAAATTCTCGTGTCAGAATTAAAAAATTATTGATTTAATTTTTTTTTAAATATAATGATATGAATAATGATTTGATATTTATAATATATAATGATACGGAGATACAATTAATTAGTAGTTGGTCAATCTTGATTTCTCACTTCTTGATTATATTGATATGATTGAATGGTTGATTAGTTTGCCTACGCCGTTTGGTGTAATATATTGAAAGTAAAAAAAAAAAGTAGTCCAAAAAATTAAGCAGCGCTTAACTTAAAACAAATAACCAATTTTGATTTGAATTTTAAATGATGTAGTAAATGGCGGTGTAATATGAGATGAATAAAACATCACCAAGTAGACATTGGATGCTAGATTGATGAGCGACAAAATCTTTTACCAGTACTTCGAATATTTTGATGAAAACTCTACGCGATTGTCAGAAGATTTTATTTAATGCAATCAAACACACGTCTTGGTAGTATAAAATCGCATGATCATCAAGGTTGTGGTAACAATCGGCTCTTATTGAGATGATTCGACTCGGTAGAAGTAAAATAGACGCGACTTTTAGTATTAAAGAGATTGTACAAGCCTATAATGGATCTGTCCTCATGTTTTTCTAATATGAATTCAATAACTTTGAAATTAAATTTGATTTAAATGGTTTAATATTTAACCAGTATCATCATCAAGACGCATAACACTTATATGTATAGGCATATAAATTACTTTTTGAATCTCGAAAAGTATTTATATACAACTAGGGTGTAATGAAAATCAGGAAGATGAATTGAAAATTAAACTGTTAGATTCATAAAGATCATTATACATTATCATTATCATATATAGACCATACCAGACAATGACGATTAAAACATCGCTGAGTCTCATACGATCTATTAATTATTTGATATATATTTTCTGGTGGATGCTCTGTAAAAATTTCAATTGGTGTTTGAAATCAATAAATTTTCAATTTACAATATAACAATATAACCTTTCATTAACAACCTCATGGCTTCATTTGTGCTCTTTTGTGGTTCTGACGAATGAAACTTTATAGTGTTGAATCCTAATTTGTAGTTTATGAGATTTCAAATTATAATCAGATTTCGAATTAATACTGTCATTTTTTATACATCAGACATTACAAGTCACTAACAACCTCATGGCTTCATTTAGGGTCTTTTGTGGTTCTGACGAATGAAATTTTATAGTTTTGAATCCTGATTTGTTGTTTATGAGGTTTCGAATTAATACGGTCATTTTTTATACATCAGACATTACAAGTCACTAACAACCTCATGGCTTCATTTAAGCTTTTTTGTGGTTCTGACGAATGAAACTTTATAGTGTTGAATCCTGATTTGTTGTTTATGAGGTTTCGAATTAATAATGTCATTTTTTATACATCAGACATTACAAGTCACTAACAACCTCATGGCTTCATTTGAGCTCTTTTGTGGTTCTGACGAATGAAACTTTATAGTGTTGAATCCTGATTTGTTATTTATGAGGTTTCACGTATTATACTGATGAGAAATGTAAATGCCTTCCATTTTTATAGTACCTTCATTCCTCTAATGGTGATGTATGAGTTGAAACAAAAGTTAAAATCCAATTTAAATCAATCAATAAAAATTTACAACTTAAACTCCACTCATAATTTGATGAAACTCTAATTGATTTATTTCCAATCATTGATTTTTTGATTTTATAAGGTAATTCGAACTCAGTATCAATTTTTCTTATATGATTCTCAATAACTTGTATAATTTCAAGAAGGGCAATCAATGAAACATCCAACTTATTAAAATTAAATAATTTACCTAATGAGAATTCATCACATGAATATAAATTTAAAACTGTTTTAGTATTACCTGTCGATGAATTAAGATTCTGTTTATTAAATTTTACAATTTGTGATTGAGAACCCATGGGCACTAATTTATAATCATCGAGTTTTAAATTTAATCTTTTTATCACAAATATTAATAATAGTATAATTTGTCCTAAAGCAGAATTAATCTCAGGCCATACGATTTTATAGCCAATTCTATATCCGTTAATCATACCAACTTCAGTATTTGAATTTGAAATTGAAGAATTAATATTAAATATCTCTTTATAAATATTTAAATTTCTTAAATTATCTAAATTTTTTAATTGACTTGAATAAGTTGATTTTAATTCCTCCAACCCATCATTTTTAATCTTTAAATCATCTTGTAATTCTTGTTTTAATTTCATAACTTTATTCAATTCATTCTCTTGTAAATTTTTCAATTCTTTTTCGTGAGTTTTCAATAATTTAGTCAATTTATCCTTTTCAGCTTCTAAAATTTTCAATTCTTGAATATTTGATATTTCAGCTTGTCTCAACATTTCATATTGTTGAATTGATTCAGTTAATTTTGTATCAAAACTTTCTTTTAATAAATTTTGATTCAATTGATCATTATAATCATTTAATAAATTTAATTGTGAATCTTTTTGTTTTAATTTTTTAAGAAATTGTAAGTATGAATCTTTTTGCTTTTGTAAACTATCAAATTTAGATTTATAATTTTCAATTAATAATTGAGCACAATCTTCACTTAATGGATGATCAATTTCTTGATTTAAAGACATAATATTGAATACTTTTTCAAGTGTAGCTACTCTTTCTGAAATTTTAATCTCTCGAGAAGCTTCTAATATTTCCTTATCCTTGTCATCTTTTTCAGTCTTTACTTGCTCATCATTCTTCTCTGGTTCTAAAACTAAATAAGAATTTGAATCAAGCATTGAATCGTTATTCGCTAGAGCCTCTCCTTCTTCATCCTCTTCCTCTGCTTCTTCCTCTTCCTTTTCCTCTTCCTCTTCCTCTTCCTCTTCCTCTTCCTCTTCCTCTTCCTCTTCCTCTTCTTCTTCTTCACTCTCTAAATAATTCCTATAATGCAATGGCTCCTGATTCTGATTTAATTTGTTATAAAACTCTAATTTTGATTTTAGTATGTATTGACTAGGATTTAAATCTTGAATTAATTTATTATTTTCATCTTCATATATTTTATTTTTTGATTGGTTAATTAATAAATTTACTTGATTTTGATTTAAATGTTTTAAACTATCATCTAATTTTAAAGAAGCATCACAAGTTTGACATTGAAATTTATTATTATTTGATGGCATAAATGAAGTTAACGTTAATAATTATATATGCCTTTCGTTATCAATTAAATCTGCAGGAAATCAAAAAAAAAAAAAAAAAAAAATAATTCTAATTTTGACACTCCATACATTATTTGACTATTATGAAAATGTTGGTCTCTTGCGTTGTAGGCAGTGTGAACTGACCAAGAGTAGAATAGTATAAACTAACTATCAACAATATAGTTTTACGTGAAAACCAAAGCGCCAAGCCTTTGTCTGTAAATCTTAATTGTCGAAATAGCGGACTGAAACCAGAGCTCAAAATATAATCAAGAAACGTATATAAATATAATGAAACTCGATGATCTGATACATAAACTAGTCTAATATCATATGTCATCGAGTTATAGCCACTACTGGGCGTAAAGTATTTTTATTCATAGTTTAGTAATTTTTTGCAGCCAAATCAAAAATATTCAGATAAACGACTAATTAACGTGAAAACTGCTGTTAATGAAGCATACAACTGAAATTTGCACATTATGAACTATTAGACTCATAGATTCATGCTTAGATCATATTTACGCAGTAGTAGACATATAATGGTAATAATTGGTTGCAAATTATTAACATCAATAGGCGTGTAATGTATACAATTTTACGAAGAGTAAATAATGAAAAAATGTTTCTTCTCAAGATAAAATTTTCTTTCTTTCTTACTTCACTTTTCTTTCTTAGAATTGATTTCACCAATGATATAACAATAAATAGTATGTTGTTATTTTGCTTATCCTTTTTTTCATGATGATAATTTGATTCAGTGTCTTTAAGTTGAAATAAACAATGTGAGTCACAATGATTTCTCAATAGACTACAACGGTATCTGATAAAAAAGAATTTAATTAATTCAATTGTTTCCAATATTTCCAATACTAACTAACTAGATCTTTTATGGCAAAGAAAAATAATAAAAATTTGAATAAAATTTATAAATATCCATTACCTTTAATTATATCAAGTAATTCCAATGGTTTAAATTTAAATTTAAATTTAAATTTACCTAATTTATTTCCACATAATCCAATTTCATGGATTTGGTACTCTATCAAATTACTATACTATAATTTAAGATATGATGTTCCTTCTAATGATGATATAAATGTCGTTTATAAAGATGGTATTTTTAAAATTGAAAATGAGTCAAGTATGAGAAAAATTTGGCGTATGGGTTTTTTTGGAAAAGGTGTATTATCTAGATCTGAACCAACATGGAAAGAAAGAACACTTATACGACTTAACTTGATCAAGACTGACAAATGTAAATTAACAATGGAAGATATTACTAGACAAAGACGAGCTGAACGTACAGATTTCAAAAAGAAAAGACAAAAATTACAAGATTTGGAATTAAAAAAGAGAAAAGATGAAATCACAGATGAAGAATTAAAAGAAATGGATGAATTAGATAAAATCTTGGTTGAAATGAGAAAAGCGTCTCAAGTGGGCTCAATTGGTAGCGGTGGAAGTTTTGATATTGAAAAAGATGAAGAAGAAGATGAAGAAGTTGAAGAGGTAATAAGAGAAGAAGATTCAAAATTAATCGATTCAAATGGTAGACTAATTCAAATTGAATATGTTCAGTTACAATTTGTTGAAACTTTTTTTTTAAAATTTGCATTAAATACAATTAAAATATCAAATTTTGCAAATTTAACTGAATTGTTTAAGGTATGTTGCAACCACTATAGTGAGTCAAATTCCATCAATCCAGATAACAAGTTTATCCTCGAATACTTAGTCTATCATTATTATAGATCAATGGGATGGTGTGTTAGATCAGGTATTAAATTCGGAACAGATTATTTATTATACAAACGTGGACCACCATTTATGCATGCAGAATTTTGTTTATTAATAATGGATTTAAATAGTAATAATTTAGATTGGTTTCAAGTTTTTACAAAAGCAAGAGTTGTTGGAAGTGTTAAGAAAACGTTAGTTTTAGTTTACGTTGAAACACCAACAATTGAAGAATTTAATCAAGTATTTTATGATAATAATGAAGTAGATGATGAAGGTTTAAAATTTCTAAAATTATTTAAATTGTATAAAATATCAGAAGTTATATATAAAAGATGGAATCCTAGCAGGACTAGAGATTAGACTCAAATATATATATATACAATTTAAATATATATATATACAATTAAATATATATATATACCATTTAAATATATATATATACAATTTATTTTACAAAGTTTAATAATGTAAATTCAAGTTATGATGACATTTTATAATTTTGCAACAATAACAAATAATAAAAATAACAAATTACGGGGTCGTGTCTTCCCCGTCAATTTTACATACCTCATCTCAAAATAATATCAAATGTTGTTGCATATAAATACAATTTGATTTTTCCCATTCGAATTTCGAATTTTTTTTATAAAAATGGAATTTAAAAATAAAGTTTGATTATTAAACACTACTTTTCACGTGAATAAATCATTACATAAACAATTACAAATATTAAAGATGTCTAATTTACAATCATTAATAAATCATGATGATGATTATGATTATAATTACATACCCAAAAAGGAATTGAAACCACAAGTTAAACAAGAACCGTTACCATTACCACCAACACATCAAGGATACCAACAACAACAACAACAACAACAACAACAACAAGAAGAACAACCACAATCATCTCCATCTCCTCCAATTTCATCATCAGATATTAAATCAGAAGATTTACCATCTTCAGTTTCCGAAGAACAAATATTAGAATCATTTGAAAGAATAAAAACCCATTTTCCAGCTGCTAGAATTAAAAAAATTATGCAAAGTGATGAAGAAATTGGTAAAGTAGCACAAGCAACTCCAATTATAGTAGGTAGAGCATTAGAAATATTTATGGCTAATTTAGTTGAACTGAGTATATTAGAAGCTAAAAAACAGGGAGTTAAAAGAATTGGCGTTAATCATATAAAAGCAGCGATTGATAATAATGAAAAATTTGATTTTTTAGTTGATATAGTAAAGAAATAAAGAAATAAAGTAATAAAGAAATAAAGTAATAAAGTAATAAAGAAATAAAGAAATAAAGAAATAAAGAAATAAAGAAATAAAGAAATAAAGAAATAAAGAACTAAAGAAATAAAGAAATAAAGAAATAAAGAAGTAAGAAATAAAACAAATAATACGGTCAATTTTTTAATTTAATCTAATATTTGCTAGTGTTTTATAAAAGTTTTTCAATTTTAATCTTGTATTATTAATATATATAGGAGTTTATAATGTTAATTTGATATTGAATAGTTATTATTTACTTGGAAAATTTCGCAGCCAAAAATATTAAAAACATTACGTAAGTGTCTCTGATTTTGAGACTCTAAGTTTCGCGACATTGAATAGTTATTATTTACTTGGCAGATTCTGCAGCCAAAAATATTAAAAACATTACGTAAGTGTCTCTGATAATCCCTGATTTTGAGACTCTAACTTTTGCGACATTGAATATTATTTGTATTTGGATTGCTGTCAAAAATATTATTATATGATAACTCCGAGTATCAGTTGAACAATTGCTTTAATCTCCATTATGATGCAACATTGGAACATTGGTAGTAACTAAATTCGTATCCGAATTTTATTCCCGTTAAATCCCATAACCATACATAAGTTAATCTCATGATCGGTTGTTGATTTTATTCTATAGTTAATTTTCCCCATAATTCTATTTTATATATACTGCATATAAGACTTTTAGAGATATATGATAAAAAGTGCACGCCCCCCTTTTATTAATTTATTACTACCAATTCAATATTAATGTACCAATTGCTTTGTATAAATACCATCATACATTTCATTTTTTTTTTTGACCAATTGAATATTTATTGAATATTTGTTGAATATTTATTGAATATTTATTACAAGATTTATTCCATTTTCAACATTTTGTTATTACTTTCTTTTTTCATATATTTTTTACAACAATTGATTTTTTTAATTTATAATGGTTCAATCTAAATCTTATACAAGTCTTGCAAATAGAAGACAATCATCATTTTTTCATAATTTACCACAAGCTGAACCAGATATTTATTATGTTGGTGTTGATGTTGGTACTGGATCAGCTAGAGCTTGTTTAATTGATACAAATGGTATTATATTAGGTTTAAGTGAAAAACCAATTCAAAGAAAAGAATTAATTCCAAATTATATAACTCAAAATTCAACTGAAATTTGGAATGCAATTAGTTATTGTGTTAAATCTTGTATTAGAGATTCAGCAGTTGATCCAAATGATATTTTTGGTATTGGTTTTGATGCTACTTGTTCTTTAGTTGCTGTTTCAGAATCAAGTGATGAACCAGAATCTGTTGGTCCAGATTGGCAAGCTACTCAAGATAATATTATATTATGGATGGATCATAGAGCAGTTAAAGAAACTGAAGAAATTAATGCAACTGGTGATAAATGTTTAAAATATGTTGGTGGTCAAATGTCAATTGAAATGGAATTACCAAAAATGAAATGGCTTAAAAATAATAAACCAGGTGGTATAAAAGATTGTAAATTTTATGATTTAGCTGATTTTTTTGCTCATAAAGCAACTGGTTCAGAAACTAGATCTTATTGTTCTGTTGTTTGTAAACAAGGTTTTGTTCCAATTGGAGTTGATGGTTCAAAAGAAGGTTGGAGTAGAGAATTTTTGGAATCGATAGATATGAATGAATTAATTGAAGATGATTTTAGAAGATTGGGTGGTATACCTGGTAAAAATGGTACTTATAAAACCGCTGGTGATATTGTTGGTAAATTGAGTAAAAAAGCAGCTGAAGAATTGGGTTTAACAACTGAATGTATTGTTGGTTCACCAGTTATTGATGCTTATGCAGGTTGGGTTGGTACTGTTGCTGCCAAAGCTGATATTCCATCATTAATTCATGAACATAATGATAATTCAATTGGAACTGCTTGTGGTAGATTAGCTGCTGTTGCTGGTACTTCAACGTGTCATATTGCAATGACTAAAGAACCATGTTTTGTTCAAGGTGTTTGGGGTCCTTATAAAGATGTTATGGCAAAAGGTTATTGGTTAGCTGAAGGTGGTCAATCAATTACCGGTCAATTATTAGCTCATGTTTTATCTATTCATCCAGCAAATCATGATTTATTGAAAGCAGCTGAACAATCAAATATTTCAAAATTTGATTATTTAAATACTTATTTAGAATCATTGGTTACTGATAAAAAAGTCAGATCAGTTGTTTCATTAAGTAAACATATGTTTTTCTATGGTGATTTCCATGGTAATAGATCTCCAATTGCTGATCCAAGAATGAAGGCCTCAATTATTGGACAATCAATGGATAATTCATTAGAAGATTTAGCTATACAATATTTTGGAGCTTGTGAATTTATTGCTCAACAAACTAGACAAATTGTTGAAGAAATGGAAAAAGGTGGTCATGAAATTAAATGTATATTTATGAGTGGTGGTCAATGTAGAAATGGTTTATTAATGAGATTATTAGCTGATTGTACTGGTTTACCAATTGTTATTCCAAGATACATCGATGCTGCAGTTGTTTTTGGTTCTGCTTTATTAGGTGCAGTTGCTGCCGATCAATTAGTCATTGAACATTGTCAAGATAGAAGTAAAAGACAAGAAAAATTGGCTAAAGAAAATCCAGAACCATATAAAAATTTAGAGTCACATCAAGACGGTGTTTCATCTCCATATATTGCACCTTCAGCAACTTCAACTACTAATTTAGCTCATTTAGCTTATGCTGGTCCTGGTTCTCATCATCAGTTATCACAAATGACACCAATCAAAGATGAAACTGATTATTTCAATCAACCAACTGCTGCGAACGCTGAAGTTAAATCTGAAGATGATTCAGAAGATGAACATGGTGGTGCATTATCATTTGGCTCAAAACAGGAGACTCAAAAAGGTTTAAGTCAAAAATTACAACAATTGGGATTAAAACCATTAACTAAATCAAATTCAAAAACACCAGGTGGATTAAATGAATCAGGTGCTTTATTATGGAAAATTATGCAAAAAATGACTGGTCCAGGTAAAGTTATACATCCAAGTCCTGAAGATCATCCAGATAGAAGATTGTTGAACGCAAAATATAAAGTATTCTTAGAACAATGTTACAGTCAAAGAAAATTTAGAGAATTGGTTGATGGAGTTGAAGAAGAAAACTTAAAGAATGCAAATAAAAAGTAGATGTTAGATTAAATACATATTACAAGTATTGACAAAATCTTCCGTAGCAAAACTCTGATTATGGGTTATTTTCCTAAAAATAATTTTCAGCCCAACTCGCTTTAAAATGGGCTTAAATTTTAAACCAAAATTTATCCTCTTCGCAATAATATCAACCTAAGTAAATTGGACACAGAGATAAGTATGACTTAGAATTTTGAAACAAATGTGCCTTATATGCAGTCTTATGGTAGTAAATCATAAAATTTAATTTGTAAATAACTCTCTCAATATTTACGCTGAAACTAACAAACTTTTTTCGTTAAGACTTCAGATAGACTAGAGTAGAGATTTGGATATATTATTCAATAAAACCTATCATTTTATTAATCATTAAAAAAAATGGAAAAAAACATTAAACTGTTCTAACAAACACTTAGACCTAATCTAGTAACTTCTAATATATTTGATTAGGCTCATTATACCTCAATAATATTTTCTATAATGTCTTTAAGACATTAAAATCCGTTTGAGAACTTTGCAAAAATTTCAGTTCACTTTTGAAAAATTACTTTTCTAATTTTGAACACCTTAACACAAACATATTCCAGGTTTATCAGCGTACAGGAACTACAAATTTTAATAGTTTTCTCTGGTCCTAGTTTGAGTATTCATTGTGGAACTGGTTCTTTCGTAATGTGAATTTATTCGAATTCTCCCATACTTAAGAGAATTTTGAAAATTCTAAAATTTTGGGATAATTCAACTAAAATCAGGCCCAATATCTTTGTTCAAGGTCTACTATATGTATTCTATTGTTTAATTGAAAGCAGTGGCACTAAATTAAAACGTACATTGATTCTTATTTTTTGAAAAATTTTTGTATGGTGAAAAAATTCCAAATCGAAAAAAAAAAAGTTCGAAATACGACTATTCGAAGATGTAGATTTATGATTCATGCCTTCTGAACTCATTGAATTAATCAATAACTAATGAAATTGTGTTGGTCATAGGATCTAAGCGAAATAGTTTAGTACGATTCGCCCTATACTTAGCGCGAGAAATTATTTTGTAGCGCCAAAGTTTTCGCTATTGAAAAATACATACTTTGAGGAAAAATTCTGAAACAAATGGGGTTTATATGCAGTCCTACAACTATTCAACTAAACATGATCTAGGGGAGAACTTTATGAAAATAAGAGGTAACTTATAGTCTTAATTCTCTATCAATTAGAAGCAAGGTCTATAGCTGCGTTGGAGTGTTTCGTTCATCGTCAAGAGCGTTATATAATAAACGTAAATATGTATATTGAACCAAGATCTACCTGAATCCATTTTTCGTTTCGCTAAGTTATCTTGATCCAACACTTGCTGCATTGTTATTGTTGATGTGAAAATAATTATCAAATGCATCGGCAGTTTTTTAATTTCCATTCTTTTTCATCTTAGGAGTCAACAAATTAAGATTATGAACTAATTTACAACCTTCTGTATTTGCTTCTTCATCTTCATCTTCATAATTTGCTAAATAATATAAAAATATTTCGTAGCATACGATGAATTGATCAAAATTCTGTACCATTGATATTCTTTGTTTTCGTTCATGTTGAATCAATTTATAAATCAAATCTTTACTATACTCAGCAATAAACTTTTCATTTCCTTGTATTAATGAATCTATAGTAATATAAACACCAGTTCTTCCACAACCAGCAGAACAATGAACAAGTGATAAATCGTTAAGATCCTTTTCTTTAACTATTGCATCTTTAAGATTTATCATTTTGATAATAGATGCAAAATCTTTAGGAACCCCAAAATCAGGCCAATTAAAATAATGAAAATGATAAATTGAGTCATCTAATACCCTTAATGTGAAGTCTTTTGTTTGTTTCAATATTTCTACTTTTGATACATTTTCAAGATAATTGATTGGAGTTTTTGATTCCAAATTTATTATTAATGAAATATTGTTTTGCTTGATTGTAGTCCAAAAATCATTTATTGTTGACATGAGTGGACTTTGTGTAGCTATATAAGTTTTCAAATTTGTATTAATTGGTACCATATTTATATAATTGCCATTGAAATAATCATCTGAAAAATCATGAGATGCAGAAGAAGTTTGATCTTCATTATCTAACTTGACTCTTGAATGTTCATAAGGCCATATATTATTATACCTATTTTTTAAACCATATTCTATGCCTTTTGGAATTTTAAAATTGATTTTTTGACATGATGAACAACATGGTGATATTATTTGTGATGGACTATAACAAGCTGAGTGTGAATTATCGGTTTCAAAATTTGCAACTAATTTGTTTAACCTTGTTCCTTCAAACGATTCAAGTTTATTGAATTTAAAATACAAATTTTTGATAATATCATCATTTGATGATGATTCTTTTATAAAATTTAACCAATTTGGTAATTGTGATTTGTCAAGATTTTTCGGTATTTTGAAATCATACTTGTATGAGCTTAAATTTATATGATTAGGGTTGTTAAACTTATTATTTTGGTTCAATTTGCTTTCATTTAAGTTATCATTTTTCTTCATTGATTGAATAAATTTAGTCTTGAAATTAGTAGCTGAAGGTAATTTAAAACCAGATAGACTATTTTTAGTTTTATCGTTATCATTGATTTCGTTACATTTATCGTTTCCATAGTTGTCATTTGACTTTTGTAAATGGCTATTATCTGTAACCTCTTGATTTACGGATTCAAAACCGTCGTTTAGTAGGTATACATCAAATTTATCTTGATAATTTTCAAATTTCTTGAACGTTTGAAAAACACTAAACGAAATCGAGTTTTTACTGGATGATTGATCGTAGATTAGAACACTCAACTTCTTAGTTTCAGCTTCTTGATTATTATCATCGTTAATCTTATCAAGTACCAAGTCTTTTATTTCTTGCTTTAGATCAACTAAATTTATTAAATTTATCAAACCGAATGAATTTCTCTTGAGTAAAGTTGTAGGTATACATAAATTAATTGCGTTTTTGATTCTGCTACCTGAATATAAGTTGAAAGGACGTACATCAAAAATTAAATCATATTGAGATATATCCAAATTCGAGTTCTCTTGTAAATTTACATATGGAGGTAAATCATGAAATGTTGTAGTTGTAGGAGATGGACTATTGAATTTCAATGCATTATTAAACAATGATGGAGCATTTGAGCTATTAATTGTACTATCTAATCTCAAAGTAAATGGTTTGTTATCACTAATATTGTTGATATTCGTTTTCTTACTACCATTAGTTAAAGATGAGGTAGTATTGTCAGTAACTATAGTACTCGAGTCACTAGGTGATAATTGATCAGTGAAGTTTGGTTGATTTGGTTGAAAACCTTGCGAAGTTTGACCAGTAGCAGTTTTGTCATTGAATGTTAAATTAATATTTGGTTGATTAAAATGCATAATTCAACTGAGTACATTCTATTAATTTATATGAATACGAATCAACAGCTAATTGATATTATGAAGTTACGAAGTTGTTATAATTATCTATATTAATGAGAACTTCAATTGAAAAAGTCAGGATATAAGTTTATATTTATAAATAAATAAAATGGTTTTCAAATTCAGAATATAAAAAATGACACACAAAACAAAAGAAAAAAGATCGACTTATAATAAAGCCAATGATTAAATTAGTATATACGATTTAACAGCAGTTTTATTGATTGCATTTACATGAATTGACTAGAAATAAAGTCATTCCATCCTATTTTAGAACGATTTTAGCCATATACTAAAGAGAATTAGGGGTGTCACTTCTTTGAATGTTTTCGCTTAAATCGCTTCAGTTTATAACTGACGTCATTTTGCAAGCCCTGTGCACTTTTAGACCAAAAAATATAATTTGACAGATCTTACACCCCATGCAATAAGAACAGTCTTTTACACCCCATAAAATACTAACATTTTTTAACCCCCCAATTCTTTCTTACTATTAAGATTATTATTACACCCTTTAATCTATATTTATACTTATTTTAAGGCCGGTTTGATCGATTATCATCTATGATCGAAAAGCCCCTTAAATACTAAAACTTGAATTAATAACGCATTTTATCACATTTTAGAGCTACTCTGAAAGGATCATAGTTACAGTTGTACGATCAAAATGCTCAACTCGAAAAATTGTAGCCAAATATTCGTTGCAGTAAAACTATCATGCCTGAAATACTGGAAAAATGCATATGTAAAATATAGTAGAGTGTTTAATCAAAAATTTTTGGGGGTTCTTATTCATACCGATGAAAACAGAAACTTTGTTGCAATCTATTTATTAATAGAGTAACATTGAAGAACAAATTAATATAGTTAAATCAATGTCTAAGACTTGTCTATCATTCTCCTATTGTTCTTCAAATTACACTAGTAATTTAACCCATAATACATTAGCCATTATTCTGTGCATTTTGAATAATTTTACAAATCCAATGTCTAAATGTCCACACATTAATTATTTGTTACATTTCTTACATTATTGGTTACTAGAGTATTGTCGTTTCTTTCAATCTTCAGTATACTTGCATCGAGTGATATTTCGTCATATTTAATTAGACTCGAGATCTTACGGATTAACAATTTCAGTTCACCTAAATTTTGTAGGTTTAATTTTTGAACTAATATCGTTGATCTTTGCATTACTTTTCATATGCTTTAAATTTATAATATTGAATGAGATCATATTAAACCGGAGGTTGATATCGACTCAAATGTCTATCGAATTCATGCTCAATTAAACTATGTTATAATAGGTTGCAAAAGACTAAACAGTGGTCAAATTTCAGGTTACTATTTCATCAGAATTTGCACCCTAATTTCAGTTCAGTCTTAATGTTTCACTTCATGTGACTATTTTCCAGTATGGTAGTAGGATAGCCGCATTATTACCTAATGTAGAGGTTTTTTTGACTAGGAGCACATCTAATTTCAAATATTTGAAAAACAAGCTACCACTAATGAAATCGCCTTAGGAGTATCAAAATATATCATTACGATGTTCATGGTCAAATAATTCTACAACAGAACTACCCTTCATGAAAGAAGTACTTATTAGACTGAGAAAATCTAGGAGGTGTAATTGCACTTAATCTTGTTAGGAGTTCTTAGGCTTCTTTTAACAACCGATTCACAGATGACAAACGTCAGCCAGAGTTGTATCGATACTATCAGACTTGCACCCAATTTTTCTGACATTAGGGTCATGAATCCGGCACTTACTCTTTGTGCTAACGCCCTTAAATAATACACATCTCAATTCTACTATTGCCTGTTTCCTGCATTTTTTTGCTTTTAGTTTGTACACAGTCAGAAATCCAATTAGATTGCTTCACATCTACATTATGAATATGGTATCATGTCTTATGGAAAATATTTATCCGTTGTACCATTCAAAACTGGTAAATTCCAGTTAAAAATCAGGCGCAAAATAGACTTAAAGCGCGATTTAATAGATTAATATATGAGAATTGCGAAAAAAATAAAATAAAAATAAAAGAATTTTCACAATTTTTGGTAGCATTTGACTGACGCAATGCTAATTATAAGTATTCAAGTTTTAAAAAGAAGCTTTTGTTTTTTGTAGACAATATTTGAAAATAAAGGTTTTGACCAATCTGATATTTAAAAACACTAACGAGTTTCAGGTGTCTAATAAATGTAGTGCTCAAATTGTGGTGCGCATACATAAAAAATGCGGTGCATTTACATATTCATTATCATTATGTATTAAATAGATTCCCTAAAATTTCTGCAGTTTTTTGCAACTTCAATTCATGTAATTGTTCATCAACATCTCTCGGTAGTAGATCTTCAGTATTTAAATCTTTGACTAATTCCATATCAATTTTGTGTAAAGCTTCATCGTTTACAAAGTAATCATGTTCTTTATTTACAATCGTATCCACGATTAATCCATCTTCATCACTATCTTCGATAAAGTTGTCATTATTCAATACAACTTCTTGCTCACGCTCATGTTGATTTGATTTATACTTGTCATCATCATTATATTTCAATGCATTTATATGATTGATATTAACTTTCATTGCCTTTTCAAGTTGATCTCGTAACTTTTCAATTTCATGATTTAATTTCTCATTCATGTTTCGTTGTAAATTATTATCAGTTCTTAGTTTCTCATTTTCATTTCTTAATTTCTCTTCTTCTAAATACAACTTTTTGTTTTCAATTGTTAGATTTTCAATTTTTTCCTTATTTGAATTTCGTTCATTATTGACTTGTTTTATAAAATTTTCCTTATCGTCAATTAAATATTTTTCTCTTTTTCGAAACTCTTTGACATTTTCAATATATTCGTCTTTCTCTCTTTTTAATTGAGCTCGTAAGTCCTTAATAATACTATAATTTATATCTCGATGTTGACTTTTCGTAGGAGTGAAATTATCCTCATCCTCTATTATTTCATCTTGATTTACTTCAATTTCAACTGGCTTCTTCTCTTTTTTGGAAGTGACTTTAATTGGCCTATCTTTGATGTCTTTATTTATATCTTTTAATTCTTTTCTCATTGTGTAAAATACAGATTTCTCATATGGTTTCATGGGTGATATTGACTCATCATGTGAGTCTATTGATCCGTTTTGAATATCTCTAAACAAACCATTTTTTACTTCGTCCTTGACTAAATCTGATTTTAGTTCAGTTTTTAACTTACTCAAAAATTGGGAATTTGACATCCTTAATTGATCAATTTTTTGATCCATGGAAAAATTTAAATCTAATTCGATTTGCCAATGATAATCTAATCAAAACCTCAGAAAAAACTTATATTTTGACTGTTTTAAACTTTAGATAAACTATGTTTCTGGTAATTGTTTAAAATCTATGTCCCTCGTAATTGTTTAAATGATGAAGTTTTACCTGGTCAAATTTTTAGCTCTAAATTGTCAGCCAATTTGATTTGTATAATAATTAAGCACAAATGATAAATTCCTATTATGACAAATGATGTAACTTCGTACTGGACCCCTAATGGTTGATTCTTTAATGTATTGAATCAAGATCAATATTCACGTAAATAAAAATAAAAAAAAAAAAAAAAAAAAAAAAAAATATCAAACAAAAACGCCCCAACCCATAATTCAACGAATATATATAGATCTATAAACATTTATATGTGATTTGAGATAGTATTCCATAATGTCCAAGAATAGGTTGATAAGACGTCAATCATTAATCACCAAAATACAATCTTGGCCCTTTGATTTTTGGTTATATATCAATGAAATTAAAAATTCAATTAATTGGGATGATTATCATTTAAATATTGCATTACCATTGGGTATATCATTATCTGTTATTTTGCTAATTGTTACAAATATACTAAATTATTATAAAAGTATATCTTATATATCCAATAATATGTTATTTGATACAAATGAATATAATAAGTTAAAAAATCATATAATAAAGAAGAACATAGTTTACAACGAGGAAAACAACTTCACTAATTCCATTCTATATTTATTCAATTTAATATCAGTCTTAATTATACTAATTAGTTTGATCAACACATGTAATATTTTTACAAGTAAACGAAATTATAATTTATTATATTGCAAGAAAAAACCAAATTCAAGTTCAACCTTACGAACTTCAATTTACAAATTTTCTATAATTATTGAAATTTTGGATTTTGTTTTAAATTTGTTTCATAAACAGGATCATGAGGATGACGAATCAAGTGAAGAAGAAGAAAAAGAAGAAAATGATGAAGTTGACGATTCAATTTGGCAATTAAATGTGTGGGATCCATCTAAATTTTCATTATATCTTTTTATTGTACTCAATCCAATTACAAGTTTTTTAATTTATTTCAATAATTCAAACAACTCCTTATTAAATTTAATAAGTTCACTAACTTTAATTTCAGTGTTCAACTATTTATTAATATCAAAATTTTTAAATTTAATAAATGATAAACAAATCATATATCAAGAGATGTTCAAAGAATATAATTTCAAATTTGTTAAACAAAAAACAAACATTCCAAAAAAAGATACAATGATTGATGCAACTCAAGGTCCATATTACTCAACGGTCTTGATGGATAATAAGAGTTATACTTTTACAAAATCAAAAATTTTTACAACTCATAATTTGAAAGGTGAAAAAGTAACAGAATATGGTGAAATTAAATCACAGACTTTACCAAAAGATATTTATTATGATTCAAGTATACCCAATAGTGTTTTAAGTTCAAGAAGAAGTTCAAGAAGAAGTTCAATTTATCAAGATAATAATAATAATAATCATGATTTTTTTTATAACAATAATTCGTACCTTAGATCTCCTAGCCCCAATAAATTTAGAAATAATACAGTTTCACCAATTAGAAGGACACCAGTAGTTTCAAGAGTTAATAATTTTCATAGAGCAAATGATCATAATTTTAATCAACATCAAAATAACTTACCTAGTACAATTAGTCCACAAAGATTATCAAATGCAAATTTAAATTCCAAACCACATTTAGATTATTATAAATCATCATCTCCAAATAGATCACTATCACCGAATCATAATAGAAATTCAAATAATCATAATAATTTTTCAAATACCAATACACCAATAAATTCAACTTCATTACATCATACTCCTATACCACCACCATCAAATTACAGTAATTCAACATTTAGATCACCCTCACCAATACGGAGAAATTTGAATAATCCACCATCATCGTCAAATAAAAACAATCTTAATAATAATTATAGACCATGGAAGTAAGCTACGGACCAAACTGAAGAAGAAGAATACCTAGCGTATAAGAACAAGAAGGATACGATACCAAAAAGAGCTTTTGGTGCGAATTGTTATATTTCAGCTGAAGTTATTAGCTTATCAAGTCGTTTATAAATATACTACTAATAGGGAATTCCAATTTCAATATACATTCATGAGCTACCAAAATATGTTTTTAATAGTAGATAATTAACTTCTTCACTAAAGACCTACTCTCTTTTTTGAGCATGAATGAGCTCAACCTTAAATGATGTGTTGATTAAACTAGACCTACGAAAACCAGAAAACTATACAACCATTTTTACATCTTGAACTAAATTTGATACCAGAAATCATAAGCACAAAGCCTAACCACAAAGCCCAACGTAGCACAAAACACCAAAATAAGCGAGCAATCACGTGAATGCGGATAAATACAACCGAATCAATTTTTTCCAATTTTTACAATGGACGCAAAAATCAACAAAGATTAATAGATTAATATAGGTAAATTCGTAACTGAACAATACAGTACAGAGATAACTTTGTCATATAATTCGATGACTTGCATTTCATATTTGAGTAAATCAAGAAATTAATTTATAATATAAGAGATTTCTATAAAGTTTCTTGATTATTGTAGAATGTAACAGCATTTATAAACACACAGTTTCTAGCCCCACCAAAAAAGAGGATTATCATCAAATACCATAAGTTAATGCATCGTACGCTTATTACAGATTCCTTCTTCTTTAGTTTACCACTATACTTAATAATGATTTTCATTAGCATACTATACGGTTATATATTGAAATTCAAAACGCGTAAACAAATGAAAATAAAGAATAAATAAAAAAAAAAAATAAAAAAAAAAAAAATAAAATTAGAAAATTTTTCTAATTCAAGAATCAAAATCGAAGTTTTGACTTATTTCGTATTTTATTACTTTCGTTCATTCCATTAAGTTATTGTTTCATTCATTCTTTATTATAGCTAACGATTAACTTTGCTGTAACTAAGTGAGATCAAATTGAATTACGGGAAAAGTGAAAACGCGCGGTCAAATAATATATTATTATTTTAATATCACGGAATACAACATTCAAGATATTTCAAATTAACATCCATCTTGTATAACTATTAGATTATTAGGTCAAGATATTTCAAATTAACATCCATCTTGTATAACTATTAGACTATTAGGTCAATATTTTATCAATCATTTTAGGTCCAGATTTATAAATTAATTCTTGGTTTGTCGTTTTAAAAAAATAATTAGCTAAAGTAAAGTCATTCGTTTATTAAGTTTGTTTAATCATGTATTATCCAGTGACTCCGACGATAAATCTTTATGAAAGATCATCTAAAAGGAGTGATGATTCATCCGAATCGAGTGATTATTGTAAGGATCATCCAAATTCAGATCAATGTGAAAAACCAGTTAGTAATAATAGTTTAACTATTGCATTATCAATTGTTTTACCTGTTATTGCAATTTTTTGTGTTTTAGGTTTTTTTTTATATAGAAATTATAGAAAAGATAAAAAGGAAAGTCTACAACATGATCCAGATTTTGATGAAAATGGCGAGGCTACTGCATTACCAGATTATCCAGGGATGATGAAAGGATTCAATGATGATCAAAATCCATTCCATAATAGAAATTCAGTTAGATATCCAATGGATGAAATAAACGGAAACTCAAACTTCAATGGTAATTATAAAAGACGAACTCAAGATCCTTATTTAGATAGTTTTGTATTACCTTATCAACATCAAACAGAATCTAAACTTTCTTTAGATGATTATGCTAAAAATTTAGGTGATTCACAAGGTTATAGAACTCCAACTAATGCACTATCAAAATCAAGAGCAAATTCAATGACTTTGGATGGAAATTTAAAACCTTTACATTCAAATTTAAGTCAATCTACTTTAAGTCAAAAGCATACAAGAAATAATTCAAATATAAGTCCTCAAAAGAAAGTTAATGGTTTACAATATACTCAAATGCCAAATGATTCTAATCCTGATAATATTGTACCAGTACCCCATGTAACGACAATTCAAAGAGATAATGTTAATAATGACAGTACTGAAAATTCAGAAAGTGATTCAGGTATAAATTCTCCTCAAAGTGAAAAATTTGCAATTGGATATGAAAATGAATCAAATATGGCTATAAATGATACAATTCCTCAAATTATTATAGATGAAGATCATACTAAATATCACACTAAAGATGAAGACCATACTAAAGATCACACTAAAGATGAAGATCATACTAAAGATGAAGTTAATTCTCCATTTGAGGATAAATTTGACAGAAATGATGAAGATGAAGATGAAGATGAAGATGAAGAAGTTACTAATAAACATGATGATACAACTCAAGACATTTCAATTTCTTCAAAACAACCAATCAGTAAATCACCAAGAATATCTGCATTTAATTTGTTGAAAAATGATAGTGATGATGAAAACGATGAAGAAATGCAAGAATTAACTCCACAACAACAGGAAGAAATTAAGAGGATGAAATCAGTGTATAAAATTTATTTTGATAGAGAACAAACGATCAAGAAGAAAAAAGTTCAAGATACCAATGATGATGATGAAGATGAACAAGAGTTGACTAAAGATGCTCATGGATTTAAAATGGATGAAACTAAAATTAATAATCATTTGAAAATGGATACTGATTATGATAAAAGATTTAGTAACACATCTTCAGTTTATTTAGATTCTGATGAACAACAACAATATCAATTATATCAACAACAACAAAATTATTACAATCAATTCAATCAACAATATCAACAACAATTTGGTTCACCTGTTGATCCACAATTTTATCATCAATTCCAACAACAACAATATAATCAATTTCATAAACAACAAAGACAACACCCATTACCTCCATTACAGAAATTACGTAATCCTTCAGATTTGAGAAAAAGTACTTTACAAACTTATACTGATTTTAGACCTAGATTAAAAAAGCAAACCGTTACATCTCCTCCACAAGGTAAACAACCATTTGTACCAATAGAAAATGATGGAGTTTGGACATCACCAATCAATTCTCCAAGTATGCAATCACAATCATCATTTCAAAGTACTAATAATGGTAATTATAATCATAGTCACCCACAACAACAATCACCTCAATTACAACAACCAGAATATTTCCCTCAAATGCAGCATTCTACATCATCTGAAACTATTCCATCGGCTACCCAATTGGCTCGATCCTCAGTTGTTATGTTAAATCCAGTCACTGAAATTACAAAATCAAGAAAATTTAAACCTGCTGGTTCTTTACCTAGTACAAAAAACCATCATCCACATCCACAACAACAATATTATAATCAACATCAACAATTTGGTGAAAGTGAATTGAATGGTCCAGAAAATGATCTTATACCTGGTACTAGAAAAAGTGATGTTAGAAGAATGATGAATTCGAATTTTTAGAGTTTTTTTTATTTGAATTGGATTTTGAACATTTGGTGTAGTTTGTATAGATTTGTTTAGGTATTATATTTAAGGGTTAAATGTACAATAGTAATAATATAGTTAGAAATAGTCACATCTTATGTGGAATACTGATATTCGTGCAACATTCTATATTATTTTATCGTCTAAATTTGAATTTTAATAATTGCTGAATACGCTGAAGTAATTTAGAGGTACTACAATCACAAAAACAATCAAGAGCTTAGCTCATGCATTCCATAAATTTACTGTAGTTGAGTATTGTTACTCAATAATTCAAACTAGATTGTATACAGATCTAAAAATAGTGAGAGCTGCCGTTTTAGTTCAGGGACGCGATTTTTTACTCTAAATTTACATACTTCTGTGTTTGTGAAGTAGGTTAGAAAATATCAGGTCTCCATAATTAAGTTATTACTTATTCGGGTTTATCACAATTTAAATTTCAATCTGATGATTAAAAGAAAGCATTTGGACAACCAGTTGCGAAGAGAACTAGAACTAATAAAGGACCAATTGATACGAAGATTAATTATAATTTCATTAAGATTTTGGTTTCATATTCATTTTACCACCCGAAATTATTCACCAAATTCTTTTACACATCCCCAAATGTTCAATTACTTTACTCTTTAGCTTAAAACAAATTGCTTCAATTGCATTAGTTGTATTTTTGAGCAATTTACATTTTGGTGAACCTTAAGAGCACCACTAGCGTGGAATGAGATCTAATCATTTTCATTACATTCTTGTGTTGGTTGGTGCTATAAACATTCATCAATTAAGTCGCTAAACCAATTGAATATGCTACTTAGAAAATTTAGGGTCAATTTTGACGAGATAGTAATTAGATTGACGTTTAACGGGCTTGAATCCCTTCAAAGAGAATTTCAAAGAGTATTTGGTGATAGCATCATAAACTTTGAACAAGACTTCAAAATTAGTGATTTAACAAGAATATCCTATCTAAATATAGAATCACTGAATATTTATTAAAAAATCAGCTTCAGCTTCAATTATTATCAACTACACTAACTGATTTGACAGTTTAATCCTATGTATCTCTAATGATCGGTCTTCTAGACCAATCGAGTAAGATAAACCCGTTCTTACTAAATTCAATGTCAACTGGTAGCTTTTAATCATAAGAACACGACGCGAGTTTTTATTTTTTTTTTTATTATCAAATCAATTTTTCATCTCAATATAATAATATGTCAAACAAAGTATCATTACAATCAGATAAGTTTTCAAAATCAAGAGCTTTAAATGCTACTATATTAACTTTAATTACAATTACTTTTGGATTTATACTAATTTATCATCTTATATGGAGTGTAAAAGTAGTGTATTATCAACCATTTGGAAATATCTTAAATAATATAGTTTACGGACCTGGAACTTTGCTTTTAAATTTTGGATTAACTACAAAATTAATAAAATGGGCAAATTCAAAACTTCTAGAAGATAAAATAGAAGAAGACTACAAAAAATACATATAGAAGAAAACTTTAACTATATATACATTAATCTTGGTTTGTGGTTGTAATTAGATTATTATCGCAATATAACCGTAACACATCTAATTCTATTAGAAAATCTTGTCTATTTAACCAATCTTGTAATGTTGTCAATTTAATAGGTTTGTATGTCAAAATCGTTTCATAAAATTCATTATCTTGTCGTATCAAATTAGTTATATTCTTAAAAACTTCATCTTGAAATTCTTGGCTTGTCAAAGTTAAGATATTAACTGGTTTGATTAAAAAAGTTAAATTTTCTATAATCTCAATCATTTTAAGTTTGCCTTGTACTGGCTTTAAATTAAACTGTTTGAAAAGTTCTTTTAATTCATGAAACTGTAAATTTGAAATATTTGTTGTTAAAATAGTTTCATCAGATATAACTCCAGGACTTGAAGGGACTTGTAAAATTGAAGTGTCAGATTTATTTGGTTTATTATTATCTTCCATTTCTCTTGTTATTTCAATTATACATATATCTTCATCTTCCAGGTATTCAGAATCAGGAATTTCGTCAATATTTATAACTTCTTTTTTACCATCATTCAAGTTTCTTAACTTTATATGATGCTTTTCATCATCATAATCTTTCACATTTAAAGCTCTAGGTATTTCCAAAACACTGGTTTTCAAAGTCTTTCTATTTAGATTTTTTGGTAATGGCATTGACGATGTTGGATAATCGTCATCAATATCAACATCTGAAGAGGACGAACTTTCTATTAATTTTAAAAGTGATGGTTGAGAAGGACGTTTAATTGATGAAGTTCGATTTGATTCAAAATTTTCTTTAGCTGTTGAATATACAGACTCTGCATCCGATGACACAATGATTTCTTCGTCAGTTTCATCTCCAGTTTCATTATTTAATTGTGAATGTTCCACTGATTCTGGTATAACCTTTAATGGAGAAATAAAATTTTGATTCTTCTTTTTGGTCGGTGTTTTTAACGGTGATATTTTTTCTAAATTATCATCAGATGATACTTCAATTGGTCGTTGTTGACTTCCTGGGGTCATAACAGGATCACCATTGATAGTTTCTGGTTGAGATGAAGTAACCTCTAATTCTCCTCCTTGTCGTTGATACTTGACTGTGATCGGGAAGCTCTGAAATGATATTAATGGATCAAATTCTGGTATTCTTTGACGAGATTCATTAGTTGTTTCTTCATAAATTGTTTGGAAAACTTGAACTTTGGAAAACTTTAATTCTTCAATATCAGATTCTGAATCAGAAATAATTTCAGTATCAGTTTGGGTTGGTAAATTAAGATTCTCTTGTTGTAAATGATCAGAACTTTCATTTTCTATGTGTATATTTATACTTTCCATATGATTTGATTTATCCTTATCATTTTGAGATAAAGTCACAACAAATGGTGGCGTCATACAATCACTTTCATCTTCAACATCCAAAAATGAACTTCCATTGTAGTTCATTTGCTCCTCATCTAAATCATATAACCATTTTAATTCGTCATTTGACAAGGCACTTTCTGGTTGTGACTTTGCATGATCCCACAAACTACACTCTTCATTATCTATCAGCTGTTGAGTTGCATTCTGGTTTTCTACTATCTTTTTATTTATCTCTTTGAGAGATTTCTTATTCTTTGTTGATAAATCTGGAAATTTTAACTTGATATGCCGTATAAGTAATTGCCATTCTTTTGGAGTATAAATTTCAACTTCTTTGGATTGTTTAATTTTATGAATATCCTCAAGTTTGTTTAAACCTTGTATAAAATCTGTAATTTTACTTTGATTTCTAGCAAAATATGAAAGCTTGTTACTTTCGTATGATTCTCTAACTTTTGAACTCATGGATTTGTTATTCTTTTTTGATACATTATTGGTGCTTTTAAATTTCTTGGGTTTGGTAGTATTTGGTTTGACGAAATCAACCGAGTCGTCATTATTCTTGAATACATTCAACTTTGATATTGCTAATTTCGACCGCTCTTCTTGTTTTTGTTGTGATAAAAGTTGTTCATGAGCACTTTGCATTTGAGTCGAATTAAAATATACTTCATCATTTGTTTCTACTTCATATTCTGATATTTTATTTAAGTCATTATCTACTTTTGTCATAGTATATTAATTATCATGTCATTTGTAAACAGTTGATACTATCAAACGCCAAAAATTCGCTATAACTTTTTCGTGTCGCATTGAAAATTCTGAAACAAGGTATAGAGCTAGATGGGTTTATTTCGTTATTCATTCATTCACATTCATAATTGATTCTAATTATATCTCTATTTATACTTTTCTTTAACATCAGATTTGATTTCCCATACTTGATCTTTTTTATTGTAAGTTGCAATACTTTGAATAGTATTTTTAATCAATGCTTTTGTAAAATCTTTAATGATATCTTCCTTTTTAGCTAATTCAACTAATGTACCAATTGTAAAATCATTATTAGATTCAATAAACTCAACTAATTTTTTAACAGCTTTATCATCTGTAATTGTTTTCTTTTGTGCAATTAAAATATTTGGTGATGAGGATGTACCCGCAGATTTTTTATTGCCTATAGGATCATAAATATTGCCATGTTTAGTTTCGTTTTGTTTAGTAGGAGTGGCTATAATCCCTGGAGCTGGTTCATTACTCCAATAATTTTTAAAAGGATCAATTAAACCATCAATATCAACCAATTTAGTACATTTGTAATCTTGGAAGAATTCTTTATCTTCTTCATTATTCAATTTTGTTACAACTTGTAAATTAATAAATTTCTTCTTTGTTGTAGTACCATTATCCTTCTCAACAAATTCTTCGTCTTCATCATCTTCCATTAAAGAATCTTCCTCCTCATCTTCATCATAATTATCTAAATCTTCCCCTTCCTCATCTTCTTCATTCCATTCTAAATCCGAATCATACTCATAATCTAAACCTGTTAGTGATGTATTTAATGGATGTTTAATTATTTGACTTTGTAACTCTCGATGATGTTTCGAACACCAAGTACCAATGTATGGAGGTTTTGAATTTTCATAAAAACTAATAAATTTAATTGAAGGAATCGAATTAAATATATCCTTGATTTTATTTTCATTTTGTGATGAATTTAATGATTCAATTATTTCTTCTGATGTAAATTCTAAGTTATCATCATTTATTTCTTTGGTAAATGATTTGAGAAACTCAATAAAAGTCACTTTTATATCATTATCTGGATTTTTAATAAATGCATCCAATTCTTGCTTTGTTTTTAGTAAATTTGGTGATGAAATATCAATTAATGTAACATTCTCTTGAACAAAAAATGGTAAAAACTTCTTTTCATATAAGGATGATTCTTTTGTTTCTGATTTTGTTGGTTCTTTAGCTGTTGTACTAGATGATGATGAAGTAGTACCAATTTTGAAAAAATTCGAAATCTTCTTTTGACTTCTTTGTTTAGCTTCTTCAATCCTTCGTTTTTCTTCTTCAGTTCGTTTCTTCTCTTCTTCCTTTGCTCTCTTTTCTTCTTCTTGCTTTTGTTTCTTTTCTAATCTTTCTTTTTCCCTAGCTTCTTTTCTTCGTTCTTTTTCAAGTCTTTCTTCTTCTTTCTTCCTTTCTCTTTCTTGTTTTTCTTGTTCTCTTTTCTTTTCTTTTTCCAACTTCTCTTCTTCCTTTTTCCTTTCTCTTTCTTGTTTTTCTAGTTCACGTTTATGCTCTCGTTCTTGCTTCTCTTTTTCCTTTTGTCGTTCTTTATCTAATTTGATTTGTTCTTTTCGTTTACGTTCTTCTTCCTTTTTGTCAAATTTATCATCATCACCATCATCATCATCATCATCAACGTTATCATCATCATCAACATTATCATCATTATGTTGTTTCTTCTTTAGTTTCTGAGCTGGTGAACGCTTTTTCTTAAATGGTGTTGATTGGTTTTCTTTATCTGAATATTCTTCATTATTTCTTCTTTTTTTTGAAATACTATCTGAATCATTATCCTGTTGAGTAATACTTACTTCTTCTACATCCACTGACATTGTTTAATTAATATTAATTGATATAAAGATTAAGTTAATGATATAAACGTAAATTAATAAATTAAACACCAAAATCAAAAAAAAAATATTTTGTGCCAGACGCGTTTTGAAACATTTGTTAGACGAAAAAAATGTACGATACAATATGGTGGTGATTAAAACTATTAACTGTAATAGAACTCCGTATATATTATTAGATAAAATGGTATAAAATGATGAATTGAATTGAATTGAAATAAATAAATAAATAATTCTATGAATAATTCGGTATATCTAAATGAAAAAATGGAGTATTTGTACCAACTGCAGCATGATATGATTGTTGTGATTCTAATTCTACATCTAATTCATATGAAGTTGCTAAATTAACATAAGTATTACTCGATATTAATCCATCTTCATAATTACCAAAACCAGCATTAATTAAACCTCTTCTTATCCATGGACTTAATATACCACTAAAATGAAATTCAACTTCTCTATCAGCATAATTATTTAATGCTTTTCTTAAATCTACTAATGCTTGTATTGAAGTAACATCAATTTGGGAAACTGTTGAAAAATCAAAATGAACTATTCTTAATAAAGGTCTTTGGTCATCTTGCTGTTGAATATTTTTTGATTGAAATTTTTTAATAAATGGTATATTCCATCTTAATGGACCAGGATCATTCCATGGTCTTGATCCAGTATCTGCAAAATTATATGGTTTACCTTTTCTTGTTAATCTTTTAGCTTCATCTGAAACTCTATCAATTTGTCTTGAAGAATTTGGATATGTGAATGATTCAAGAGGTTTAAAAACAACAACTCCAGGTGGTGGTGGTGTGACATTGACACCATTATTTAAATTTTCTTTACTTAATGGGACCCATCTTGTATGAAATTTGATACTAGGATTCTTTTTAGTTAAAGTTTGAATATTTATTGATGATGATGAAGGAGGAACAGGATAATTTGTTTCTTGTTTAATTTTCAATTTTTTATCATCATTTGATCTTGAACTATTAGATAATACTTGATGAATTTCTAATTCATCTGATGAATCTGTTGAAGATTCACTGGATGCATCAACTTCGTATTTTGATTCTTCAATTATTGGATTTAAAACTTCAGCAATTTGAATTTTACCTAAAAATTGACCATTTGGAATTGCAATTCTAAATAATAAAATGAATAATGAACATGCAATTGCAAAATAAATACCCGCTTCGATTGTAACAAAAACTGTTAAAATAACAGCAATTAAAAAAATACCACAATCTATAGGACTTATTCTCCAGAATGACCAAGTAACTTTATAATTAGCAATTAAATCAGAAACAGCATGAATAATAACAGCTGATAATGCAGCTTTTGGAATATAATAAAAACTTGAAGTTAATGCATATAAAGCTAATAAAACAACACAACCAGTAAAGATACCCGCTAATGGAGTTCTAACACCACATTTTGCTTTTAATGCAGATCTTGAAAATGAGCCAGTAGCTGGATAAGCATTAAAGAAGGTACCAATTAAGTTATTAACACCAATTGCAATAACTTCTTGATCAGGAATAACCTTATAATCATTAACTCTACCAAAAGATTTGGAAATTGCAATATGTTCCAATAATAAGATAACAGCAGAGACAGGAAGTTCAGCGGCCATAGCATCAATTATACCATCTGGAATTTGAGGAACTCCGACATGTCTTAAACCACTTGGAACAGGACCTAAAACACTGAATGGTGCTTTGAAATCACTTGAAGGACCATCAAATGCAACTTTTTTTGGATGAACTATACCCCATGAAATGGCAGTTGCAACAATTATAACTATTGCATTTCTCAATTGTTCAATGTAAAAGAATATCATTTTATATTTTGGATATCTCTTTTGACCTTGACCACATAAAAATTTCCATAAATATAATATGAATAAAGAAACTAAACCAAATGCTGCATCACTCGTTGTATGTGGTAAATTTTTTAATGTATTTATAACAACTTGATATGTTGAAGCTCTTGTATTAACTAATTTATTATAACCCATTAAAGCTGGGACTTGACCAGTAATAATATTTAAAGCTGAACCAGTCATAAAACCCATAACAGCAGGAGTTGAAATAAATTCCAAAATGAAACCTAATCTTAAAATACCAATACCTGCAGCAATACCACCTAAAATTAATGACAAAAAGGTTGCAATTTCTGGAGGTGAATATGTATCACCATGTTGACTTTGAACATGAGCAATAACTTTTGAAACTTGTAATGACATAACAGCAACAGGACCAATTGAAACATCTTTTGAAGTTGCAAAAAATGAATAAATAAAAACACCAACAAATGATGAATATAAACCATATTGAGGTTCTAAACCAGCAATTTGAGCATAAGACATAGATTGAGGAACTAAAACAACACCAACAGTAATACCAGCCACTAAATCACCATATAACCATTTTAAATTATAATGGAAAATCCAATTCAATATAGGAAATAATGATCTTAAATAGTGTAAAGCTTTTCCTAATGGATCAGCAAAGACATATTGAAACCATTCTAAAACTGTTGGTTCTTTTTCATTATATTCTGGAACAAAAACATTACTACCTGGTTGTATTGAAGTAGTATTAGCGATAAATTCTGAATCGTAGAATTCATGAGATTTCTTACTATTCAGTATTTCATTACCAACATCATTATCACCATTATCACCATTAGCACCATTATTATCATCATTATTATGATGTTCTTCACCTCTATATAAATGGGGTACCTCAGAGACAGCTCCTTCTTGTGAAGTAAATGATTTGACGGTTTCAAGTAAATTATGCGACATTATTGAAACCTAAAAACTTCAACTTTAACTTTAACTTTATTAACTTGATTAACAAATAATTATTAAATAAATTATTAAATAAATTATAAAATAAATTCAATCTATGATAATTAATGAAATATATATGTACAGCCGTAAATTTTCTGATAAACTGAAACGACCTAAGGCGTTGTATGAATAAAAGTTATATCAATGGAAAGAATCTAATTTAGTTAATTTGATTAAATTATCTAAATTAGATTAATAAATAATTGTGGATGCTTTAGGTATATGCAACTAATGTAAAGTATAATAACAATGATCTTCCCACCTTTCTTCTTTGCAACTTTTAAAAACTGACTTTCTTAATCTGAAACAAGTACCCAACCTCAAATAATGTAATAAAATATAAATAATCACACGATTATACCACTTTTAAAATCCTATAAAAAGTATATTCTAAAATAAAACAAGATTCTGAATCTTTTCTTCCCTTTTTATATATACGGATTATAAAGATAAATTACTATGTTTTTAGTTCAATCAATCATCGTCATTATTAGTTATGTGGTTTTAAATAAAGAATTTAGCAGCAGCAAAATATCCACAATTGTTTGAGATCACGTGAACCGTATAATTAACAATAGTAATTACACACAAATTTCATGCACTATTTACAGTAATTAATTTAGGTTATTTCTTAATTGTAACATGAAACAAAGTTAATCATTATGACATTTAATAGTTTGGAGTAGTAGTTCCAATAGACTACCTGATGAATTAAAGTAACAAACGCAATTACTCCTTAAAAGATCTCAAATCTCTTTTTCGGAGATTTAGCCACATTTTACGCAGAGAACATACTTCTTAGTGTTTTCTATTTTCTATCCGTTTTTCTATATTCTATTCTATTTTCTATTCTTTTTCTATATTCTATTCTATTTTCTATTCTTTTTCTATTTTCTATTCTTTTTTTAGCGGCAATTCTATTTTAGGATGATTAATAATAGAAGCCTATGTGTTCTGTGTGTAAACAGTTGGTAAAAATTATGATCATACATACAAATTTACTTACAAAGCTTTAGCTTCAAAGTCAAGTATGCAAAATGATAATAACATCCTATTATGGGCTTAAGCTTTCATAAGGACATAAGCTTTTATAACGAGATAAGCTTTCTTGTGGTCCACTATTCAAACTATTCAAACTATTCAAACTATTATTAACATAGTTATGAGTTTTGCAACAATTTTATTTTTTTCTTTTTTTTTTTTCTTTTTTTTTCTTAACATTATTAATCATTACACGTGACTTGTACTAAATTAATTAATAGAATTAGCAATAAGGAAAAAATGATTTAATGATCGGATTATTACAAATCGCCGTCTTTGCTTTGCTTTGACTTGATATCTAATATTTATTAGCTGCTGATTATTGCTAGCGGGTTTTCTAAAGTTTGGCCCGACTTATTGTTACCATAGTTGGAAATTTTTGATATCTTACGATAGTTAAATATATTTGAGTCTTTATCTAAATGTTATAAAAGCCGAAATGAAACATCGGCATCAGACCTCAGTTTCTTCCCCTTGGTTGAAATTTTATCAAATGTAATACGATGTTGTAAAAAAACTCTTGTTTTCAAAATTTGAATGTATACGAAGTAGTCCAATTGCGTGAACGAAGGTAAGTATGAATGGCTTTTGTTCAAATATTTGTTTAAGTCGCTGAAGAAGAGAGTAATCAGTAAGATCCACTTATATGTGGTGAACAACTTTGTATTGTGTCAAATAATTGAATTAAGAAGTTCAAAAGTCTGACTCAAGCCTACTTAAATATATCCACAGTTTAATATAATTTGACTACTCGATTTATTGCTCTGGATTAAAGAGTTTGAAATCTGGAACAATTTTTAGCAATTCCATTACTCAAAATGTGTAGAGAAATGTAGCTCTGTCAAGAGAAATGGAAGGTAGTGGTTTTGAAACCAATAAATTCAGATTGAGCGAAAAATTCTCTCTCGAATGATACCAAATACACAATGTTTTGAATAAATACTCGATGAGCTATGTTATATTGAAACTTTTCAAAACTTGATGGCTTTTTCAACTTTTTTTTTAGTGCGCATGGTTGGTATCTATTTTACTTTGTGCTAAATCTCGTATCTATAGATTTGTAAACGATTTCAGATTTAGATCGCGCAATTAATTTGTATGTTTTTTGAATTTTTCGGTTTACAGAGTATAACAATTTGGTTTTACCACAAAACATTAACATCTTTCGTTTCCTTTGATTTACTTAATGATTTAATTGTCATGACTCAAACATTTCGAGAGCTTGTTGAATGAGGTCAAAATTATTTACTCGTTAGAAATTAACAAAGTTGTTCAAGTACTCATTTGGGTCTGTTTGTATTTTGCATTTATGTTTATGTTGTAGTTTTAAGGAGTAGATAAAAGCTGGTGCTTTTCTATGCCTTAATTATGAATATAATTAACACCTATACATAATACAAGGTAGAGTAGAGCAAGACAAATCTAGCATTCTTACACGTAGTTAGGATCCCTACAGTATCAAAAATAAAAGCTCGCTCTTGTCAATATCATCAATTAGTATAGTAGTATAGCATGTTGAAATTGGAATAACTACAGAAAACAGAGCTAAACATCTAGTTCAAGTTCAATATCAAATCAAAATTAAAATATCGTATATTTTAAAGTCATTAATCATTTCCATAAAAAAATTCCTTACATTCATTAACCTTCTCAATAGGAATAGCAAAAACAGGATGAATACAACCAATATCCAATTCATTCAAACCATCACTCACATCAAACCCAAATGCCAAACAATCATCACTTTCATTTTCATTCAAAACATACTCATTTTCAATAATACTTAAACCAGATAAAGCATAATTAGTATGATAAAAATCAACTTTTCTTCCCGGCTTATCTATAAACCCACCATTAATGTCATTCTGACAACAAGTCAAGATATAATTCTTTAATCCATCATTTTGAAATAATTTGTTTTCTTCAATGCTTTCCAAAATTGGTATTGTTCCACCTATCCAGAATGAATAACATGAATCTACTAATTTATTAGTTCGACCATTAAAACCACCTTCATAATTCCCTTGTCTTGATACTGACCAATAAAGTAAAGAATCAAAATTGATCGAATGTTTAACTGCATTTTTGGATTTGAGGAGTATTAAAAATGAAGCTATTCCACAATATGTATAACCACCATGTGCCTCACAGTTTTCAACGTTTCCAAACCCACCTTCGAACGTCTGACAACATTTTAAATTTTCAATGACTCCAGACATAAGTTCCTCAGTTTTAATATTGAGTAATGTAGATATGATTAATACACAATAAATTGATCTTGTGTCTGATTCACCATGTTCATGCATTCTAAATCCATAATCAGTCTTTAAACTCATGAACCAATTATATAAATTATCTTTTATTCTGTTTAATAATTCATATTCTTCGATTAAGATTAGACTTAGAATAGCAGCATAAGCACTTGCAACATGACCAATTTGATTCCTACCACCCGAAATACCATGTATTCCATCATCAATAATGCATGATTCAATTTTATCCCTAACTAACACTTTCGTATCTTTTGTAATCTCCAGTTTGAGTAATACGAGGGAATTGACTAACCAATATATCATCCATGTATGATTTGCATCTAAGCTTTTAAACCCACTTGGATATTTTGAATTTAATGCAACATTTAAATAATCTACATGTATATCTTTATAAAATTTCATGTTTTCAATTTGGGAATATTCATCACTAAGAACTTTATGGAACTCATCTTGAGATACTGTAGTTAATGAAGTATACGTATCTTTAATTGGTGGATTGTATGGTTTCCAATTTGATTTATTTGATATTTCTGTTGATGTCATTTCTGTTATTATTGGATATCTTTTCCTACCTAATAGTTTTATGATATAATTAATATCTTTTAATTTTTGATTCCGTTTTGAATTATTGGACATTCAAATGTAAAATTATATGTAATTTTGAAAAATTACTAAATTAAGCCGTGACAATATAAATTACAACAACAACTTGATTTCTCTATAAAAAGCACAAATATCATACAATGCAATGAATTGATTAACCGTCTTACTCTATTAGCGTCTGATATAGCTGAATGGTATTACTTCTGTCCACCCTTAAGTATTGAAAACCTATTTGTATGTAAAACGTCAAAATTGATAAAGAAAAAAATTAACCAAAGTGAAATACCATGGCAATTACTTTACCAAATTGGTTAACTAGTTATTTTCAAAGATCAACAACGAATACATATCAACCAATAAACAATCAACAAGATATAGAGAATAATAATCTACCAGGTTCTTATCCATCTGAAACTGATAATCAACAATTACAACATGAAAATTTCCAAAAATTACACAACATACTATCAAAACTAACTCATTATTTTAATTATATAGTAATACAACCTATTATAATTCTCCTAATCATTATATTCAGATTATTTTCTAAATTATTCAATGTTTTATATTTCAAGGATTCAACCTCAGATGATCCTATCTCAAAAGTGAATAAATTTATATTAAATTTAGAAGATAATTTAACTACCAAAGTTGAATTACCTCCATTTTATCAAGGAAGTTATACTCAAGCATTATATATGGCGACTCAACGTGGGAAATTTTTATTTGTATTTTTAAATAACTATCAAAATGAAAATTCAACAAATTACCACTCCATAATCACCAACAAAACATTTTTGGATCTTTTTAAGGAATATTCTTCTGATATTTTAATTTGGGGCGGTGACTTAACAAATCCAGAAAGTTATCAATTGGCTAATTCTTTAAATGTTTCTAAATTTCCATTTTTGGGTTTATTATGCTTAACTAGACAAACTCAAATGACACCAGAAGGACCAAAAAAGACCCCGAGTAAAATATCCCTAATTGGGAAGATCCAGGGCTCTATAAAAGCAAATAATGATGAAGAAATTAGACTGATTATTGAAAATAAATTTATAAAAAAGATAAACAAATATTCTGAAGAATTAAAATTGATTAAATTTGAATTACAGAATAAATATATGAGTAAAATTATACAAAAACAACAAGAGATAAACTATGAAAATAGTTTGATGAAAGATAAAATAAAGAAACAAAAACAAGAATATGAAAAATTATATAAAGAGTACTTAATTTATAATATTCCAAAATATGAAAAATATAACCAACAGAGTGATGATTGTGCTAAGATTGCAATTAAATTGAAAAATGGAAATCGTATAACTTGTTATATCCCACTGAATATGAAAATTATTGATATTTTCATATATTTGGATTTATTAAATAAGGGATATTTTAATAATAAACTAACTTCAAATTTGACACAAAGAGAAGCTAATGAGAAGTTTAAAGATTTAGACTTGAGGTTTGATTTTAATTTGATTAGTCCATTACCTCCTAAAATTTCATTAATTGAAATTAAAGATACATTGATAAAAGATTGTAATTTAATTTACCCAAATGGGTTATTAATAGTTGAATAAGAGAATATATACACAATGTAAGAATGTATGAAGGATGTATGAAGGATGTATGTTAATTAATAAAGTATCTATACCCTCTTCCCACTCTTTTTCACACATTCATTCTATAAATATATTTATATAAGTATTTTTACAGCATCCTGACATCTGATTTACTCACCTGTGACTTACATCCTGACAGCGTCCTTACTTCTTCCCTTTCTTCAGCTTCTTCTTTTCCTTTTTCTTTAATCCAATAAATCCATTTTTCAAAATTTTTAAATATTCCTGCCAAAATTCATCCAATTTATCTGACTCAATAATTGTTGAATATTTAACACGATCTTTATTTATTTTATTATCTGATGAATTTTGTGAGAATCTTAACAATATAGGATAAGTTTCATTATTTTCAATTGGTGTGGATATTACATTTGATGGTAGATCATTTATTGAATTTTCTATATTTGATGATAATCTTTTTTGAGTTAAATATATGGATTTTTTACCTTTTGAATTTTGAAGCTGTGATTGTAATAATTGTAGAAAATCGGGTGTATTTACTCTTTTCGTCATACTAATTATGAAACTTGTTGATGAAAAATTCTGAAACAATTTTTTTTTGTTTGATATAATTTTGGTAGTTGTTGATGATTTTGACCTTTCGATTGAAAACATCAAATGCAGAAGAGTTATACAGTAGAGTTATACAGTAGAGAAACACAAGAGAGGGTATGGCAATGATTTGATTTGGTTGCAAGAATAGAGTGGATTTTCAAACCATCGAAGCTTGAGTAGTTTTGAATTGGTTTCAAATTTCGCCTTTCACTTTCTGGCTTGGCCATACCATCCTTCTTCTTCTATTGAACTTCTCACACTGTTTTAATCACTCTATAAACCTAATCTATTAGCATCCTTACCTTCTTCTCTTGGTATTGCGTCCTTACATTACAATGTGTTCCTGCATATTAATTTGAGCTGTGTGTAAATTTGAAACAAATTAAAATAGATAACAATCACCAGCTATCATATCACCTATGTAATGACATCGTTATTACAATCAACACAAAGTAACAACCAATTACCAAAGCGTCTAATATCGCTTAGTGTATCTGTTTTGATTGCATTAGCCAGTGGTACACTATATCTATATGGAGTTTATTCACCACAACTAATTAAACAATGTAACCTAACTACATCAAACAGTGCGACAATTTCACTTAATATTAACTTAGGATCAGGTATAGGTGGTCTTATAGGTGGGTTACTCATTGATCATCTTGGAGTGGAAATTTGTATCATTATTGGCTCGGTGTGCATTTTTATCGGTTATTTTTCAATTAGCGAAATCTATGCAAATAAGTCGTCTAATTTGGTATTGATATGTTTTTGTTTCATTATTGCTGGGTTTGGAAGTATAACTGCTTATTTTTCCACTTTAAAAGCTTCAACTTGTAATTTTCCAAGTAATAAAGGGATGGCTTCTGCTTTTCCTGTTTCTAGTTATGGATTTGCTGCTACTATATTTGCAATAATACTGGCTCTGTTTTTTAATGATAATGTTGGGAATTTGTTAAAGTTCTTACTGATTTTTTGTGGAGTTGTTACTTTTGTTGGAAGTTTCTTTGTTCATATTTATCATGACGAAGATATTGATATAATGCGTCCTGAGGCTATTCCCAAATATAATAGAGTTGATAATAATGATGAAGAGGAATTAGGTTTATTACCATCTGATTTACAATCCGTACCACCTGCTGCTACTTATATGAGTAAGGATGCAGAATTAGAATCTCAAATTGAATCTGCTTCTACTTATATGAGTAAAGATTCATCATCCTTACCACCTACAGCTATTTATATGACCAAAGATCAATCTTTAAAAGGTTCATTTTCATTCTGGGGAATAGGTGATAGAAAAGAAACAAAAACAGAAACAGAAACAGAAACAGAAACAGAAACAATTACAAAATCATCATCACCTTGGACAATCATCAAATCAAATTTAACTAACAAATCGTACCTAATTCATTATTTCATAGTTTCTATCTCAGCAGGAATTGGACAAATGTATATATATACAGTTGGATTCATAGTAACTGCTCAATTTTACTATGGTCAACCACAGGATGAACATACAAGACATGATCCAAAAGTATCGAGTTCCCAAGCATTACAAGTGTCCATAATTTCAGTATCCTCCTTCCTTGGTCGTTTAATAGCTGGGTTCTTATCAGATTATTTACATAAACGATTTCAAATACAAAGAATTACCATTGTATTATTCACTTTAGTTTTGTTGAACATCGGACAGGGTATAATTATAACTAATGTAAGTAGTCAGATTTTGGTTTCCATAGCTAGTGCCTTTATGGGATCAAGTTACGGATTAATATTTGGTACTTATCCTGCAATTATAGCTGATGAATTTGGATCTAAATCATTTTCTACAAATTGGGGTTTAATTTGTACGGGGCCATTATTTACCCTATATATATTAAATAAATATTTTGGTTTGATTTATGATGACAAGATTAATAAAGATACTGGTGTCTGTTATTTGGGTAATTTATGTTATAAAGGTGCTTTTGAATTAAGTTTTGCGGTTTGTTGTTTGGCGTTTTTGGTTACCGCAGTTTTGATATATAAAAGAAGAAAATGACCAATTAATACGTTAATGACTATTTATATGTCATTTCAGATGTTTACTGCATCCTAACAAGAGTGTGAATTTGAACTGCATCCTCGCAATGTTTTGCATGCTTGCAAAATGCAATCGACTTAAGTTTTGGGTTTTTTGTTTGGAGTTCATAGTTACTTTGATATTATTAAACATAAAAAATTGAACATAATTAATTCATATTCATTAATGAGTATATACAATTTAAGCTTTAGCTTTTAATCATCTAAAGCTATATAAGATCAGGGCGTCCTTACATTTTCAAATTTTCAAATTTTACATCCTGATCCTTACTAATCAACATAATTAATCCTCTCTAAATCAATTTGCACCAAATTATCATTTTGAACCTTAATCTTTTTTTTCAACTCCCCAAAGAATTTACTACTTATTTCAGCATCTTTAATAACATTTTCAATTTCTTTTTTTTCATTAAATTGTCTATCAATTGAAGTTTGAAAATTATTCATAACTTGTCTTGCTGGATAATTTAAAACTGATCTACATTCAGAACTAATCCTAGTTGAATTTTGATGAGAATAATCTAATTTCTCAATTTGAGATTTAATCTTTCTTGCTTGTTTTCTAGGAAGGGCATTTGGGATATCTGAAATTAAATAATAGATAGTAAATCCAGTAAGTGTTAAAGTTATTGGAATTGCTATTTTTTTGAGTAAGGAAGGGGTCACATAATGACTAAATTGATAAATTTTATGTCCTAATGCTCCTATTGTTAATATTTTACCCAGGGAATAAATTGTATGTAAAGTTAATTGAGTTGGAATTTGATCTTTCAAGGATACTGCACTATTTGGAATTTCTGATAATATGTTAATGGGGTTGTAGTAATTTATGGTTTTTGATATAATTGATTCAGGTAATCCAATGAATGATAAACATGACTCTAAACTTGGATCAAAAAAATCTGAAATGTCTATTGTTTGATTTATTTGTTTTCCAATGTCGTCTTTCCGTCTAGTAAACATTAAAGAACTATTAAAAACCTTATCATTTAAAAACTCATCATCTAGATTATTCTGTCCATATTTGATAATTTCAGATACTTTATTTGTTGTTATTTCTTTAGCTTTATTTTCTGATTCAATCACTGAATTTAAAATTGAATCAATCATTGCAAATTGTGTTTCTTTTGCATATTCAAATAAATATTGAACTCCACCATATTTGACAATTGGAGAATCACCGAGATTATTCACAGTATTGTTGATTTCGATTGATGTGTTATTATATACTTCGATACAAGTATTTTCAATTAATAAATTAATCGTGTCTCCTATCTTTGCAGATTTTGATAGTACATCATTATATTTTGGTCCAATATGAGTATTTAATTCTTTGAGTTTTTGAGTTTTTGTATCATTGTATATCTTTTCATTTAAATTAGATAATGTTTTTAAATCTTGTAGAATATTAAGTAAGTAATTTTTAGCTGGGAGTAATTTACTAATTGATCTTTTATCAAGTATGAATTTTCTTAAACTAGCTTCCAATTCATCAAAATCGGGATTATTTTGGTGGTTATTATTATTATTATTATTTGGTTCATTATCTGGATCTCCTGGATCTCCTGGATCTCCATTATTTACTAATGAATCGGATGAAACAAAATGTATAAATTCTTTTGCATTTTTATATGTATCTGGTGATAATTTCTTAATTTGATCTAATATTCTTTCTTGACATTTTATTTTATTCTTTATATTATCAAATTTATTAACAACGATAAAAACATATCTTTTCTCATTTGCTGCAGTTGCTATAAATTCTTTTGCAGATAAAGTGAAATGATTCTCAGCAGAAACTACAAACACAACAAGATCAATTTCTTCCTGTCTCGAAAAAACTTGTGTTGTTTGATATGAATCCATATTTAATCCAGGAGCATCAATTAATTTAATATCTATAACACCATTTCTTAATAAACTTTCATGAAATGATCTATCATCCAATAGGTAAACTTTCAATAATTGATACTTGTCACAATCATAAACTAAATTTTCGAGTTCATTTAATGGAAACACTTCATAAGTTGATTCATCTTTTATATTATATTCATTTCCAATTGATACCGCATGAACTTCTTCAATATTATTATTACCCTTACTTGCATCTATAACTTCACAAAATACAGAAGTACAAGGTTGTTGATCTTCAGGTAAGATTTTTCTTCTTAATAATGCATTACAAAATGTAGATTTTCCAGCATTTAAATCACCAGTGACAAAAACTTTTGAAGATGTATCATCGATTCTATCTTTGAGATTTAATAAATATTTTATTTGTTGTTGTAATTTTTTTTCTAATAAACTTGCAATTGATTTTTTATCTAAATTTGATAAATTATTACCACCATCTTCATGATTATTCATTTTAAAATTGATTTTTAATATTTTGAATTCAGGTAAATCAGTTTGTAAATTTTTAACAAGTTGTTCTTTGGTCAAGTTTTTAATAGTACTATTTTGTCTAATTAATGCTAGATGTGCCTTTGCACTATTTAATAATATATTTTGATCATTATCAATTTCAGTCGGATAAAAAATTGGACGCTGTTTATTTTCTGATTGAACATTCATTATTAATTCAACAGTTTGATGAATACATCTATCTAATGATATTTTATTTTGATTATAATGTAATTGTTGTATTGATGCATTTTGCGCCTTACGTGGTGAATTATGTTTTAATTTATTAAAAAAATCTCTTGATGAACCTGTGATTGGTTCTTGTCCATTTATTAATGTTGATGAATCTTCAGCATTTAATGAATTTTCTCCAGGTATATACATAGCATGAGATGGTTTATTTTTAGGTATGATATCTTCTATTAATGTCTCAACATCAGTATCACTTTTATCTTCACTTTCATCTTCATTAGTTTTATTTAAATGATGTTTTGGAAATGGAAACTCACTCATAATAAATCATATAACTAATGTATTGGTCAACTAATGTATTGGTCAAATACTGTATAGTGGCACTTGATAGAAATTTTTATATCATGATTTGCTTTTCTTGTTTTTATTATTATGTAATATTAGTCATGTGACTAGTCACGTTTGTGTAGGACATTTAAATGCGAATAGGGTGGGCTCGTAAATGTTCAACCGCGTTCAACCGCGTTCAACCGTGTTTATCCTAGTCTTCGGATTTAACCGATTGATCACCGAGATGAAAAATTAGGTAAGAGATTAATACAAGTACTATTCTTTAATGGTTCTTAAAACTTTTCAATTGGATCAAATACCAACAATCAAAGCAAAACCATTGACTCCAGATGCATTTGAGAAATATGGAGGAGTGATAAGTGCAGATCATCAATTAAAATCAAATTCAAAATCAAATGCAAATTATGGAACAGCAATAAAATTACATAAAGTATCACCAATATTAAACAATTATTCAGAGTCTAAAAGTGGTGTAAAAGAAACAGCAAATTGGAATATATTCAGATGTACAGCACCAAACCGATTAATAACACATACAAATTCAAAATCAACATATAAATCGACGGTACTTGAACGTCATCCATTTACAACTCAGACGTTCTTACCATTAGGTCAAGACAAAGGAAAATTAAGCTATTTGGTCATTGTTGCAAATAGTAATATAGACGATACATTACCTAATTTAAATCAAATTGAAGCTTTTATATGTAAGGGAAATCAATCTATAACTTATTCACCTGGTGTTTGGCATGCTCCAATGGTTGTAATTGATGAATCTATTGGTTATTTAGATTTTGCTGTATTGATTCATGAAAATGGTGTTGCTGAAGAAGATTGTCAAGAATGTTATATTAAGCCGGGATTGAATATAGAATATACATTAAGTAATTCAAAACTATAGATAAGGATCTGAATATACATTAAATAATTCAAAGCTATAGACAAGGATGTGAATATACATTGAATAATTGAAAGTTATAGATAAGGATGTGTATAGGTAAGGATGCCATAGAGTCGTCTCTAGGTACACACCCTTACTATTCTTAGAATTCCTCACTTTATATATAATCAATAATTTCATTAATTATCTTATTTGCAAAATCATCTCTTTTATCACTCGGTATATTATTTATATTATCTCTAGCAATCGCCAATTTTGAAAATATTTCATCTAATTCCATTGATTTTTCTTTTATTAATGGATCAGTCATGGTATTTAATTTCTCTTGTTTATTTTGAGTATATTTCTCCTCACTCGTTTCTATTAGATCCATGTTAGACCACTCATGAGATTCAATTAATTCAATAATACGATCTTTTCCAACTGTCTCCTTATATTCATTCTTACCTTCAAGATTCAAATTAATAAATTCAAAACCGTAACTAATTACAACATCTTCTATCTCTCCAACTATATCCTCATCTGCTTCTTCTGTCTTGGAAGTTCCAACAATAGCTATAAATCCTCCCCATTCTAACTTATCAGATAATATATTTCGTAACCTTTCCACATTTGACAAAATTCGCGTTATGTAATTTATTGAATCTTTCATATCGACAGTGAAAAATAGACCATCTAATACTTCTCGTAATTCTGCAAATTCGTCTAATTGAAATTCATCGATCCATTTATTTAATTCTATTAATTTTTGATCTTCAGTTAAGTTAAAATTTCGACATTCTGGAAATTCATCAATTAAAATATTCAATTTAAGTGAATAATATTTGGTGGTTATATCTGTTTTGACTATTATTCCACTATGAGAATCATTATTTATATCTATTTGTTTATTTTTAGTTATTATATTTGTGGTTCTTAATTTACCACTATTTGGACTACCAATGATTAAAATGTGATTGGGGATCATGCCAGGAAAGCCTCAAAACTTTAGTCCAATGTACGGATGCAATAAGCTGTTATTTTTTTACTGTAAGAATGCTTTGTATCAACTATAGCGTAAGTATACTGTAAAACACTTAAGTATTCACTGTTTGTTTAAGATTTTGAATCATAATTGAAAAAAAAAATATATATATATTTATAATTTGGTGATAACGAAATTACGGCCATGGCACCATCAATACTGAATGGAAATGGTACAACGACAGCTAAGAATAACAATGATGATGATGGTAATATCAATAGTATAAAATTAGAAAATTTATTATTAAGAGACGAAGATATTTTTCAAACTTCATTAAATTCTCAAGACTATTTTGAAAGTTTAGCACCAATAATAAAAGATGCAATTCAAACAAATGGATTATCTAACTTAATAACCAAATTGAATGAAATTGTTGAATCTAAAGATGAAGAATTAAATCAAGCATCAATGGAGTCAATGGATGAAATAAATCAATGTATAACTACAATTGATCAAATTCAACTGAAATCATTAAAATTAAATAAAGAATTTTATCAATATTCATCAGTTCTTAATAAATCAGCATTTGAATTAATGAATCGTAAAATATCATACATAACTATAAAAAAAACAGTTTATAAAATAGAAACTACTAAACATGTATTATCTAATTGTATTCAAGTTTTGGAATTAATGAATAAGATTCTTGAATTAATTAAAGAGACGAAATATTTTCCAGCTTTGAAACTAATTGATGAATTATTATCTGTTCATATTTCCAAAGTTGATAATTTTTCATTTGCAAAGAAGATTGTTAATTCTATTCCTCATTTAACTAAAATGATTAAAGATGAAAGTTTTGAAAATTTATCAAAATGGTTGTCTATAAATCTTGAAAGAAAACTAAATATAATTAGTGATTGTTTAATTGATAATATTATCGAAATACAGAATAATTGGGATAAGTTAAGATTTGAAAATCATTCGTTGATTCCATATAAAGTAAATTCAAAAGTTGAAAAGGCATTAAGGGAAGATAAGTTTGATATTAACTTATTTGAGATTAATGATTTAGAAATTAATTTAAATATAGTATATGATACTATCTTAGTATATCAAACCTTGGACGAATTAGATCAATTATCAAATTTATATCATAAAGAATGGATGAAAAAATATGGAAGAATTATATATCCATTAACTACAACCACATCAACAACTATGGATCAAAATAAAGAAATAATATTCACGACAAAAGAACTCGATGATTATCTTAATAAAATTGCTGGTTTTTTCATTATGGATAAATCATTAAATCTTATTACTAAATTTCAATTAAGAAATAATTCTCAAGCTAATGAATTATGGAATTCATGTATGTCTAAATTAAAACCAGTCATATTACAAAATTTACAAAATTATGATTTTTATGATTTAACAGAGTTGGCAGATTTCAAAATTAGTGTTGGTGATTTCTTACAAATTATGGATAATTATGGATATGACATTGGAGAATTATATGAAATATTGATGATTTTATTTAAAGATTGGTATTCTCCATTAATTGTCATGAATTTTAGAAGACAATTTATTAATTCAATTCAATCTGATAATTATTTAGCAACTATTGTTGACACAAAGGAAGAATTTAGATCAATATTAAAACGAATTTGGACAAAGGATGAACTTAGTACTAATAGGGATTTTCCAGCTAGTTTACCATTTAGTGAAGATTATATACATTTTTGTATACAAATTCGGAAATTAATATCTGATGTTTTACAATTTGTTAGTATTCATTATGGATATCAATCTAAAGAAATAAGTAATATAATTATAAATGAAATTATAGAAACTACCTTGATTGGTATAGCAAAAGATCTTGAAGAATTCATAAATAAAAATTCAAATAATAAAGAGATAATAGCTCAAACGTATACTAATTTAGAATATTATTGTTTTTCAATTTATCAAATTGGTGAATTATTAGATAAGAAAATCAAATCTACTATATTGGGAAATTCAAATAAGGAAAGTCAAAGTCCCTCAATTTCATTAAGAGCAATTGATACATTTAATAAATTACGTAAGTATTCAGAAGAAACAATTTTTGAAATGGTAGATGTTAAAATTGACCAATTATTATCAATGGTAGAATATGATGATTTTTTACCACAAAATAAAAATATTGATGCAAATTATGAAGTTAAAGATTTTGCTGATTTTTTGATAAATTTATTCACATCTATATTTGGTAATTTACCTACTCAATTAAGAATAATTGGATTATTTAGAGCATATGATCATATTGCGGAATATTTTTTAAATATATTAAAAACTTCCAATCAATTCAATAAAACATTTATTTATAATTTTGATCTTGATGTCATGGTTATTGAAGACACGTTTAAGAAATTAGATTTATCTGAATCAGATTCTCAAACTGTTTCTTTAGAATCTACATTTATGACATTAAGACAAACAATAAATTTATTAAAAAATCCTGAAGAATTTAATAAAAATAATTTAAATAAATTCGATAGGATAAATTATCAAGATGGATTGAAATTAATTTCTAAAATACAAGAATATGAAAATATGAATACAAATTCAACTGGTTCAACTCCTAATAGAAGTCCAAATATTGTTCAAAGGGGTACGTTTCCTACTTCGACCTCAAATTCAAATTTTGCTAGCATTTTAGGAAGTATAAGAAGTACTAATAATAATAATAATAATAATAGTAGTAGTAGTAGATCTCATTCAAGAAATAATAGTCAGCATGATTTTGATGATAATATTACTGAAACCGGTTCAACTATGAAATTTTCTTCTTTGGCATCTAGGTTGAAGAAGAATAATCATGAGTAAGGATGCAAAATAAAGGATGTAAAATATTGTATTGATCTGATACTAGATTTACATAGAAGTATAGCGTAATAAATAAATGAGTATCCATGCGATTGATGAGAAATAATCTGTGTATTTAAATAACTATTTGTACATCATCTATTTGACGTAGTAACAACACTTGTCTAACAGACTCCTTGTCTAAGAGACTCCTTGTCTAAGAGACTCCTTGTCTGAGATTCCTTGTCTAGCAGATTTCCTGTCTAACAGATTTCTTGCCTAACAGATTCCTAATAGTCTTTCTAATGGCTATAATCCAATTTGTTCATCGCAGATACAAAATCTCTTTAATATTTTTACTTGAGTACACAACATATAAATATCATTTGCATTTTTATACATTGTACTTACCACTTAAACAATCCTCAACCTAACTTAACCATTGATGATTCAAATACTCAACCTAATTTAACCATTGATGATTCAAATACTCAACCTAATTTAACCCTTGATGATTCAAATACTCAACCTACTTTAACCATTAATGATTCAAATAATCAACTCTACCAAAATTTCAATTTCTTGTACCAATGACCATTATATTTCAATTCATTAGCTTTTAATTCTTCATTTTTTAAATTTACAACATTTTGAATTTGCAGTTCTAAATTTTGAGATTTCAACTCTAGTGAATTTTTAACATCATTTGATTCAAGATGAGTCCATAAAACATTTAAACCAATATAAGTTATAAAAGAAATTATAAAAGTATTATAAATAGCATGACCAAATTGAGATAATTTAGGTTTTACATAAATTGAATGATGATCTTTAGGTAATTGAATTGTATAATTTCTAATAATATTCCTCATTAATATTGATTTAATCATTTGATTTGAAGCCAAAACCAACCAAAACCAACCAAAACCAAAAACCGACCAATTGGTGAAAAATTATATTAAGAATTTTTTTTTTTCTGTTTTTGTTTCTGTTCTTCTCGAACAAATTATAAGTCAAACTCAAACTCAAACTCAAACTCCATTGGAACTGAAAAAAATGATTAATCAGAAGCTAATAATAGTGTCGACAACACCAATAAGAAGACTAATAATAAGTAGTAGAAGATACTTATGTAAATCATCAATCAGATTACAAATAGATTCAAATATACTCAAACAAAGACAACGGTTGGATAAATTTAATAAATTAAGAGAAGACCAACAAAGATATAACAATAAAACAGCTACTTATTATACGGCATCTCTTGGTATATTTTTTCTTGCTTTATCATTTAGTGCAGTTCCATTATATAAAGCAATTTGTCAAAGAACAGGATGGGGAGGTATTCCAATAACAGATTCAAAACAATTTACACCAGATAAATTAATACCAGTAGATACAAATAAACGTATTAGAGTTTCATTTACTTGTCAAAGTTCGGGGATTTTACCATGGAAATTCACACCATTACAAAGAGAAGTTTATGTAGTACCGGGAGAAACAGCATTAGCTTTTTATAAAGCTAAAAATTTATCGAATGAAGATATAATTGGAATGGCAACTTATTCGATAACACCAGATAATGTAGCAGGATATTTCAATAAGATTCAATGTTTTTGTTTTGAAGAACAAAAATTAAATGCAGGAGAAGAAGTTGATATGCCAGTTTTTTTCTTTATTGATCCAGACTTTGCAAAAGATCCTCAAATGAGAAATATTGATGATATTGTTTTACATTATTCATTTTTTAAAGCACATTATAGTGATGGAGAATTGCAAGCAGTCGAAGCAAAACCAATAGGTACGATTGAAATGAAAGCGTCGATAAATTAGGATGAGATTTCGATGAAATTAGGATGATGAGATTATGAAATTAGAATGAAAATATTAGGATGATGAGATTATGAAATTAGGATGAGATTTCGATGAAATTAGGATGAAAGTATTAGGATGAGATTTCGATGAAAATATTAGGATGAGATTTCGATGAAAATATTAGGATGAGATTTCGATGAAAATATTAGGATGATGAGATTCTGAAATTAGGATGAGATTTCGATGAAATTAGGATGAAAATATTATGAAATTAGGATGAAAATATTAGGATGATGAGATTATGAAATCAGGATGAGATTTCGATGAAATTAGGATGAAAATATTAGGATGAGATTTCGATGAAAATATTAGGATGAGATTTCGATGAAAATATTAGGATGAGATTTCGATGAAAATATTAGGATAAAATTACGATGAAATTATTAGGATGAGATTTCGATGAAAATATTAGGATGAGATTTCGATGAAAATATTAGGATGAGATTTCGATGAAATTATTAGGATAAAATTACGATGAAATTATTAGGATGAGATTTCGATGAAAATATTAGGATGAGATTTCGATGAAAATATTAGGATAAAATTACGATGAAATTATTAGGATAAAATTACGATGAAATTATTAGGATGAACATATTAGGATAAAATTACGATAAAATTATTAAAATAAAATTATTACGATGAAATTAGTATGGATGCTGGAAACATTGTAAACCAACTGATACAAAACATAACGAAACAAAACAAAACAAAACAAAAAACATAAATCAAAACAAAACAAAACAAAACAACAAAGTATAAAAAGAATACATTATGTAAATAGATCATATAAAAAAAAAAAAAAAAAAAAAAAATTATATATAATATAAATATATATAATATAATATAAATCTATATATAAATCTATATATAAATCTAAACGTTTAATTTATCCAATCATGGAGATTAAAATAAAAAAATACGAGCTATTTGAATCGGGGATATTTAAACACTTATAATTGGCTCTATGAAATTTCAATTAATTTGTGTAATATAATATAATATTTCAAAACGAAGAAAAAAAAAAAAAAAAATTCTAGTTAGATTGACAGATTTGACATATTTGACAGATTTGACATTAAGGAACAATATAAATTTATCTTGGCTAGATTATTGATTGTTCAAACAAATCTAAATACATTTTCAAAGATAAGAGAGATGACGATGTTAAAATTGTGGTATTTATCATGGCTATAAAATAATATAATCTGATAAATAATTATAATCAGATTGATTGATCTTTTAGATAAAACTATGCAATTGTACAATTCTAGAATTTAATTTTACTAACCATTTATTTTTTTTTTTTTTTTTTTTTTATTTTTTTATTTTTTTATTTTTTTTTTATTTTTATTTTATTATTCCGCACACAAATTGCCTATTAAAAAATTTTTCATTTTAAGTTGAGTTGGGTTGGGATGGGTTGGGATGGGTTAGGATGGGTTAGGATGGGTTAGGATGGATTGGGGGTTATGAAAGTTTAAATTTAAAGGATAAAAATACTAAAAAATAAAATGAAATGAAACTTAATTCATTCGTTTATTTTTGTTTAACTTCAGGAGGAAGAAGTTTACTAGCACTAGCAGTAGCACTAGCACTAGCAGTAGCTCTAGCATTAGCTCTAGCTCTAGCTCTAGCATTAGCACTAGCACTAGCACTAGCACTAGCATGTCGAAATTAATCTCTATTGAAATTGAAGTTTGTTAAACAAATATCAACTGTAATCGACTTTAAATGGTTTATCCGTTATTATAAATATAATACTAATTTTATAATTTGGTTATATATATTTGCATACAAAATTAAAATAAATATAAGAAGAAGGTATTTTGTACTCTATTGGATACAAGTGGTGGTGATCTAAAATCATTAAGGAAAATGGCATGAGATTTATTATATTATATTATATTATACTATATTATACTATATTATATTGTATTATACTTTATTTTAGAAAAGAGTTCATAATTTTTTCATTAATCAGTTTTCATCAATATTATTATTAAATTAATGCCGGTGATGAATATCAACATTTTATCATAAAAAACTTACGTACAAGTATCAAAAAAAAAAAAAAAAAAAAATATTTTGTTAATGTGTCGTCTAATTGAACTTTGAATTATTGAATTTTTTTGGTCTAGAAACATAAAATAATACAACAATGAGATTTTAAACTTATGCAATAGAATTTGGATTCAAATTCAAATTCAAATTTGAATTTAGACTTTTATATGATTATTAATATATAGTAAAAATTCAATAAAATAAATGTAATTCACATTTTATTTCAACTGTAGAGAAGTTAATTGAAATTTGTAGATGAAACAAAAAAATCCACGACTAGATAATTAATTACAAACAATTAATCATAATTTGAAATTTGACATATTATAATCTATGTCTTTTTTCAATCCTTCTCCCTTCTTTTTTCTTCCTTCTTCCTTCAAGAAAGACAGAAAGACAGAAAGACAGACATATGGTTAGTTAGTTAGTTAGTTACTTAGTCAGTTAGTTAGTTCATTTTGTAATTTTAGGTTTGTATACTTAATCTAAAAATTATATACAGTTTTTGTGAAATATAATTAACAATAGAATATTTTTTGTAGATGAATTGATTAAATTGATTAAATTGATTAATTATTGATTAATTATTGATTCAATTGGTTAATTATTTGATCAATCAGATAAAAACTTCTAAGCCATATAAAATAAAATAACAAACCATTAAATTTAATTATTTAAACTTTGGTAATTAAATTTTGCCTTATTGGTTGGTTAATTAATTGTTTTAAAAATATATTGTTTAATTGAAACAATGGCCTTATTAATTACTAATTGCTTAATATTATTATTATTATATTAATTAGATTTTCTGATCTGATTGATAATTTTTCTAATATAGTCTATACTGTTTAATTAAAGTATTAGATATACAATTTTCATCACTGGTTAAAAGTTTGTTTGTTTTTTTTTTTTGTTCTCTCACTATTATTTCAGTTTTGTGTAATTTTAATGTTTCATGTTTCATAACCAGAATTTTATTTTTTTTTTTTTTTTTTTTTTTATTTTTATTTTTTATTTTTTATTTTTTTTTTTTTGTTTTAAAATTAAAATTAAAACTGTTGGAATATTTCGAATGAAATAATGAAATGGTTTTCAATGTTAATTAAAGGATATAAATAAGAAACAGATTCCATCTTAATTGATTGATATATTTTTTTTTTTTTGTGTTTTTTACTTTTTATTTGATTGGTTTTTTCATTCTTTCTTTTTTAATTAATTAATTATTTAATTATTTATTTATAGATCCTTAGGGGGTAATAATTATATTGACATTTAATATTTGACATTTAACGTTTAACATTTAACGTTTAACATTTAACATTTGACATTTAACACTTGACATTTAACATTTGACATTTAACATTTGACATTTAACATCGCGTAGCTTTTTGGCTCATTATTATTTAAATCATAGTTTAGTTGAGTTTAGTTTATCATGTTTATAACACGTTATTTAGTATTATTTTCTTTCATTTCATATTCACAAGCTGTTATTGGTGCTTTTCAAATTTATCATAATTATGATTTTCCTGTTCAAGCGTGTAGTGGTTTAATTGGTAAAACAGCAGTTTATTTCAATTCAACTTTAGAACCAAATGGTTATTGTAATTTTCATAATCAACCGGCTTTAGGTACTATGGCAGAATGTATTGAAATGATTCCTTTACAAAATTCAAGAAAATTATTTTTAAAAAGCTGTAAAAAATTAAATTTAACAGAGGATCAATATTTAAAAGCTTTACAAAATGCTACTGAATTTGGTTTTGTTAATGTTACTTCTGATAAAGATTATAAAAAGGGTAAAAATTATTATAAACCTGCTTTATTAACTAAAAAAAAAGTTCATGCCGCTTATGATTCTGTAGCTACCAGATGGTATAATTATAATCAAGCTCAATTTTTTGGTTTAGCATCAATGTGTTATTGGTGGGTGGTTTTAGGAATTGCTTCAATTTGGAATCTTACTTATTTTATTGCTCCCAAATTTATTCTTTCATTAAAAGGAAAATTTTCAAATTATTTTAGAAAATATATTACTTTACCTGCTTTGTTTTCAAAAACTCATGCTCATCATAAACATATAATTTTTCATAAATTTATAGTTGTTTTCCCAACTAGATTAGAAGCAATTTTAGTATTTTTATGGTTTTCAATGACTTTGATTATGTGTTGTACGAATTATGTTCATGTTGTACCAAATTCAATTTGGCCTCAACGTAATAATGAATTAGGTAGAAAAGTTGCTGATAGAACTGGTCAAATGGTTTTATGGTTATTACCTCCTTTAGTTTTATTTTCTGGTAGAAATAATTTTGTTCAATGGATTTCTGGTTGGAGTTTTGCAAGATTTATTTATATTCATAAATGGATTTCAAGAGTTGCTTTTATGATGATGATTGCTCATGGCGTTGGTATGACTTATAATGGTAGAGGTATTGGTAAATATTATACCAGAAATAAACAACCTTATGTTAGATGGGGAATGACTGCACTTACATCTATTGGTTTAATGTGTTTTCAATCTTTAATTTATTTTAGAAGATCAAATTATGAAGTATTTCTTGCAATTCATATTTTATTGGCTGTTTTTGCAATTATTGGTTTATGGATTCATACTAGACAACAAGGTTATCATATGTGGATGATAGCTGCTGTTAGTGTTTGGGTATTTGATAGAGTGGTTAGAATAGCTAGATTATTTGCATTTGGTGTAAAAACTGCTGATGTTCAATTAATTGCTAATGAAACAATTAAAGTCATTGTTAATCGACCAAAATATTGGAAACCATTTCCTGGTTGTCATGCATTTATTCATTTCTTTAGACCAACTTGCTTTTGGCAATCTCATCCTTTTACAATTGTTGATTCAATTAATGAAACAAATACAATAACTTTTTATTTAAAAGTTAAAGGTGGTATGACTCATGGTTTATATCAATTTTTATCAAAACAACCAAATCAAAAAGCAAAAATTAAAGTTTCTGTTGAAGGTCCATATGGTAATCCATTACCATTATCTAATTTTGATTATAATTTATTAATCGCTGGTGGAAATGGTATTCCTGGTATTTACTATGAAACTATAGATTTAATTAAAAATAAAAAATCAAGTTATAATAAAGTTAAATTATATTGGGTTATTAGACATTATAGATCATTAGAATGGTTTTATCAAGAATTAAATAAATTAAAACAGTTTGATCCATCTTTAATAGATGTAACTATTTTTATAACACAACCTCATGTTGGTTTAACTCAACCAATAATTACTGATGCTACTGATGATGAAGAAGATGAAGAAGAAAGTCAAGAAAAACATTTAAAAGATGATGGTGGTGATGCTAAAGTTGAAGTAGAAAATTTTGATTATATTGAAAAACTTAAACAATCTTTAAATCATATAAATTTTCAAGAATATAAACCAAATTTTTATGAATTGGTTGCTCAAGAAATTAAACAAAATGATTTTGGTTCAATGGCTATATCTACTTGTGCTCATGGTAGTCAATGTGATGATGTTAGAAAAGCAATTGGTGATAATTTAAATGAATCAAATTATAGAGTAGAATTATTTGAACAAATTCAATCATGGTAAAATAGAATTAATGTATATATATAAACATTCCTCTTTATTATTTATTATCTATAAATCATGAAATCCAAAAATGTATTTACTTAATGTACTTATTAATGTTAATTTTTCTTTATTTTTATCATTATTATTATCCACTTTTGTATGGTTTTTTTCATTTTCTGGATTTATAAAAAATTGTGAACCTTCTTTAATATCTAATTTATTTATATAATTTTGATTACTCATTGAATCAGATGATGGTGGAATAGTTGATTCTGTTTGATTTAAATATTGATTTTGATTTTGTTGTTGTTGTAAAAATAAATTTAAATTTTCATTACTTAAATCTTCATCCTTCTTTAATAATCTCTTTTCTAACTTTTCTACTGTATTTTTATGATAAGGTACAACACCTAATAAAGCTCCATTAAAAACTGTACCATTTTCTTGTAATGCTAATAATGCAGAATTTAAACTATCAAAAGTTAATTTAATCCAATTATTACCTGTAAATATTGGAATATTTTGATTATCTTTCTCTGTTAAACCTGTTAAATTCTTATTAATTTGATTTATTGAAATATCACCATCATTTAAAATCTTATTAATTTCAAATTTTTCAAGAATATTACCAAATGTTTTAAAATATTGTATAACTTGTAATGATAAACTTTCAGGATAACCAAACACAATTATTGCACAATTATTATCTAGTGTAGTTAAATTTTTTTCATGTTGTTTATTTAAAATATCTTGTTTGTTAGTTTTATTAAATACATTATTAAAATTTTTTGGATCTTTATTTAAAAAAGATTCTTTAAGAAAATCTTTTTTAAATTCATTTTTAAATTGATTTATCTCTTCATTTAATTCATAGATAGATTTAATAGGTGGTAAATCATCATTAAATTCTTGTACTTCATTTGATTCATTTATTGTTTCATCAACTTTAGTTAAATCAAATGAATTATCAAATATTCCACTATTGGTTGATTGATTATCTAATAAACTACCTAAACTTAATAATTTTTTTGAATCTTTATTATTACTAAACGATAATATATTAAATTGATCTGAATTAATTAATGATTGATTTGATTTTTTTAATTTTATCAATTCTTGTTTATTTGAATTTGAATCATTATTAGTTAATTGAAATGATGGTTTTTTCTTAGGTATTAAATGATTAGGTATTGTTCTTTTTTTTAAATTATTTTGAAACCAAATTGGTTGAGATGATGATGATGATGATTGAATTTGTTGTTGCTGTTGTGATTGTTGATTAAATTGTGGTTGATTAGATTGTGATGACGATGATGATGGTGGTGAATTGTTTACATTTCCCTGTTGTAGTTGTGAATTACTAGATATCAAACTTAATGGTTGATTGATTTGAAAACTAGACATTTATTATTCTGCCGTGGGTTTTTATTATTACTTTTGTTTTGAAAATTTATTTTTGGAAAAAAAAATCAACATCCATGTGCACGTGACTTCAAAAATTAAGAGGTATTTGGGGGTAGAAATTAAATAGTTATACATCAATATTACAAGATTACAAAATCAAATTAATAATGCAAATAATGCAGATATGTCAATAAAATAGATTTGAATAACTTAAATTTAATTGTTCTTTCATTGTATTTATCCTCATCGTGATTTGATTCACAATAATTTTGATTATGATAATATAAAATAATAAAAATAGATACAACAAATGGGAACGAATTAACTAATTTGATCAAAAAATATACAATTTTATAAAATTGATTGAAAATTTTCTTTGATCTTGCTTGTAATTATAAATGTATTTTTCCAAATTCAAATTCAATTCCATAATAATTTATTACTCATACAAAGGATATGAATATCATCAACATTAAATTGGACATAAAATTTCGTGTGTTATTATAGTATTTGAATGCAACTAAACGATTTGAAAATACTTTCAAAAACTTTAATACTAATTCCTTAATAAACATAATATTTATTAATACTTGTATATTTTTCAAAGCCACAAATAGATCTATTTATATGCTGCAAAATCTTAGGCATAACAAAAAATCAAAATATTTAAGCATAACAAAAATCTTGAATCTCTTAATCTCTAGATATGAGATAGATTGACATGGAAATCTACATATAGATATGTAGTTTGATATTTGATAGCCAATAAATTTATGTAGCTGGTATGACATCTTTTTTTTATAAATTTGAGTTCATTACTATTTATATAATATATTTATTAAAACATATTTCCATCATTATCATTGATATCTTCTTCTATTAAATTATCTAATGCTTCTAATATTATTGGACAATATTTATTACCCAAACTTAAAGCTCCAATTATAATTTTCTTATTTAATCCTTTAAAATTTGAATTATTTGAATTTAATGCAAAATTTGTATTTGATATTGGTGTTATTACTTTATTATTATAGAAACTTATTATTAATCCATTCTCCAATACGGTTTCTTCTTCTTGTGAAGGATCAAATATTAAATTATTTCCAATTATTCCCAATGTTATAAAAATTGGAGGTTGAAATTTCCCATTTTTTGATAATTCAATTAAATATTTTGAATCATTCCAGTCATCTGAAAATGTAGGTAATTCAGCAATTTCTTCATCATTTGTTTCACTAATTAATAATGGTAATCTTGTAGTTTTTAAAGCTAAATAAATACTTAATGATAATAAACTTAATGGATATGATAAATTATTTATAATTATACAATCAATAAATAATTTAAATGAATATTGTTCCGTTAATTTTAATATTTCAAATTCAAAATTTTCATTTAATAAATTTAATAATTGAAATTTTAAATTTGATATATAATTTGAGTCATCTCTATAACCAACTATATCAATATCCAAATCTATTAAATTAGATTCTTCTACTAATTTAACTACTTTTGTTTTTATACTTATTATACATTCTGAACCATCACTTAATCTTATTCTTGATGAACCATTTGACCCTGGCAAAAATGATGTCTTTGCTTCTAATGGGCGATATTGATGATTTGATCTTGAATCTGGTCTAATTATTGGATCGGATATTAATGATTCATATAAATATGACTTTTCAGCTGGTGATAATAACATCTAAATTATGAATTAGTGTTTGGTTTGAATTTGGTTACCTTTTGATGAGATTTAAGTTTTGATTTTTTTTTCTTTCTTCCATTATCATGATTGCAAAATATTATCAAGTATTAATTTCTTCAAACAACGAAGTATGATTAACTACTGAAGAATTGAACGAAGATCATGTGAAGCTTAGTGTTTGAAATATGTGTATTGAAATATATAGAATATATTTATTTTAGAGGTCTTTAAATCATTACACTCATCTTTATGGATTGAGAATGCGTTATTCGTGCTGCTTAAGCGAAAATGTTTTGTACGAGTCGCCCTAAAGCTAACGCGAAGTCATCGCCATGGAAAGCATGGTTTCGAGAATAATTCTAAAAATGCTTATATGCAGTCCTGTAATAGTAAATCTTGAAATTCATATTATGAATAACTTCTTCAAACTCCAGATTCTTATCTCTCGAATTAACTTCATTATAATTACCAAGCTATTTAAGATACAATGATATTAGTTTGGATTGGATAAACACAATTTTGATGAATTTATTGTTCATTCAAAAAATGAGAAAAATCGTTATTTTGAAAGATAATTAACACTTAGACCTCATTTATCACGTTTTAATATAGCTGATTGGGTTCATTTAATCAAAACAATTTTTTTCATGATGTTTACAAGTCGCCAAAATTGATTTGAAATTTTTGCACAAATTTCGAAACTCTTTCGAAAAATTAGTTCACCAATTTAAAATACATTAACATAGAAGATTCAAAGATTTGACAAGATTCTAGAGCTACAGATTTGGATAGTTTCATTATACTTTAATCGTATCTTCGTTGCGGAGTTAAATTTTTCATAAGCTCAATTTATTCGATTTTTGCCATAGTTAAGAGAAATTTTTAAAATTCCTGAATTTCAGTTCAAATCAGCTAGAAATTCGTTTAGCACTTTAATATGACGAATGTTAAATATAACCAGTAATTTTGTTGAAAGTTATATCGCAAATAAATTGTACTTTGCGTTTCCATTTTTGACAAATTTTTTGTATAAAAAAATGCCAAAATGACACTTCAAAAACAAATTTTAAATCTTGAGATTTGACATATACACTGGTACCGAAATAAAGGCCCTTGGTCTCTTTAAAATGCTTATTATCTCAAGAGAATTTTTGGCTCATGATACATAAGCGAATAGATTTAACACGAGGTGGCCTTAATAATAGCACCAGTAATTATTTGTCGCTCTAAGTAAAAATTGGTACAGTAGTTAACAATCAAACTTTGTAATGAAAAATATTTTTTTTTTACAATCAAACTTTGTAATGAAAAAAAAACTCTAATCAACATTTATTCAAGTCCTAGCTGCTTTAAAATACCATGTAGTTTAATCATAACACCAGTAGCAAGTTAGGTGTCGTTTTTATTTAAGTTCCAACTTAAAAAAGTCGAAAATATACAGATTTAGTCAAGAAAATTAAAAGGAGTAAATTTTTAACTGTTAAATTCAAATTGAGCAAATCATTAGCTTTCGAATGATACTATACACATTATACTTCAAATAAAAACTGAGTGTGTAATGTTAGTTTTAAAATCGTCAAATATCACTGGGTTTTTCTTTTTTTTTCTTATTTCGCGTGCTCGGTATATTTTTGGTTTTGTGTCAGATTTCGTATCTTGATTTGCAATCGATCTCAGATCTAGATCGCGCAATTGCAATTTTATTACATGCTTGAATATAATTTAATTTTGATGGTGAATATAGAGTATAGAATATGATTACTTGTTACTAAATATTAACAATACGGGTTTTCGATTTGTTTATTGGCTTATATGTTATGATTCATGCATCTCAGAGCATGAATGATTGGTTAATCGTGAATATCTGCTTATTAGACATTTCTAAAGGAGCTTATTAGTTTTTTTGACTTTAAATTTACGTTTGTATTTGTATCGGATGTTGAGGGCAGAAGAACAAGACGAATCAGATATTTTTTTAGCACTTGATTGTAAATATAAATCAAGTAAATTATACAAAAAGCACATAAAAACAAAGCAAGTAGACCTAGCACATTCTTAGAAAAGTCATATAAGTCATATAATCAATACCAGTCAAGTGCTAAAAATAGTGGCTGACATTCTGCAATATCATCAACTGTTGTAGAATGTTCATCTTTTTGTTCAAACTGAGAGAGCGGTGAAATTCAATACAAGCAAAGGAGAACATCTACGTTAGGTTGATTATCAAAATTCAATTAACAAATATCGTATATTAGTCATAATCATTTTAAATCATTTTCATAAAAAAATTCCTCACATTTATTAAATTTCTCAATAGGAATAACAAAAACAGGATGAATACAACCAATATCCAATACATTCAATTCATCACCAACTTCAGATCCAAATGCCAAACAATCATCCTTATTATTTTCATTCAAGACATACTCATTTTCAATAATACTTAACCCAGATAAAGCATAATTAGTTCGACAAAAATCAACTTTTTTTCCAGATTTGTCTATAATCCCACCATTAATGTCATTTTGACAACATGACAAGATATATTCTATAATCCATCGCTTTGGAATAATTTTTTGGTTCTTATTGATTCTGGAATTGGGATAGTTCATTATCAATTTGAATCTATTAAATTATTCATTCTTCAATTGAATCCTCCTTTATAATTCCTTTGTCTGAAAACTGACCAAAAATGAATTAATTTCTCTAAATCGATTTTCGTTTTGATTTCATTTAGTTAGTAATATTATTGAAGTTATTCCACGATATGTATACCCACCATGAGCTTCTCAATTTTCAATATTTCCAAAACCACTTTCGAAAGCCGAGGAAACTTTTATATTATCAATAGTTCAAGACATGAGGAGTGTAAATATGATTAAATCAGAATGAAATCGATCTCATGTCTGATTCACCATGATCATGCATTCTAAACCCAAATTCAGTTTTCAACCTCATAAACCATTTATATAAATCACGTTTTATATAGTTTAATAATTCACATTATTCAATGAGTATTAATGATAGAAGAGCAGGATAGGCACTTGCAAGTATATATCTATTAATCCGTATGTCTAACAAACATATATTATTTCTCATTTTCCCTATTTAGATCTAAATCTCCTTCTTGTGAATGTTTGTAATTCTTATTCAATTTCAAATATAATGAATCATCATATTTTTGCATTCTCTTTTTCCACCATTTTCTCGAATCCTTACGATTAATTTCTTCTAAATATAAATCGTCCTCATCTTCATCTTCATCATTTCCGTCAGTATCGTTTTCATTAATATAAACATCAAAATCTCCATGAAGATCTTTTTCCTTTGCTGATTTTAAAATCTCAAATGTTGTCTTATTTTTATTTGGCTGTATTACATATTGACTTCCCAAAGTTAAATCTTTCATTACAATCTCTCTTGTTCTACCCAAAGACTCAATATCAGCAATTCTATCTATCGTATCATTCAATAATTGATCAAAATGAGGTTGAGATGCAATTTCATGAAAAGCTCTCATCATTGGAACTGAATCAGCTCTTACTCTAGATTCACTATCAATAGTAAAAATGTTTAAATTATCGTATTTTTGAATGTAATCTGCTCTCGTCATTATCTGTCTCAGTCTCCATAAAGGCAATGTAGACAATTTATGATCTGAATGGCTATTACCATCTTGATTATTTGTCAATAAATTATTTTTATCATTTCTGTCCATATCAACAAATTCTTTCATCAATAACATTGCACTTGTTGAAAATTTTCCACTTTCCATAACATCATCATCCATATCCATACCTAGAAGACCACACTGATTCAAAAACCATGTTTTTTCTCGATCTATAATTTCATGGCAAGCTTTAATTATATTTGAATGTCTTGCAACTTGTTGTATATGTTGCGGTCTTCCAGAAATCAAATCATAAACCATATTGCAAATTTTATCATCTAATAATGGATCATTAGGGAAATATCTTTTTCTAATGTATTTTAATGCGGATATTGCACTTTTTCTATCAAAATCTTTAACATTAATCAATTCTAATCTAGTGCCTAATTGTTTTAATTTTTCATACACCCAATAATCATCACTATTAAATATCATCGTCAATAAACCCGAGCCACTCATCGCCTCAGCTTTTTGTTGTAATAATTCTAATAATTTAACACCTTCTTCGTTATCCTTAATCAAATGAGCATTATTTATAATCATAATTAATGGCTTTTTAGTCCTCGGAACTCTTTTAATTGCTAATTCTTCTAGCTTGCTAAATGCTCTTTCTATATCTAATAAAGCTGTCGTATCTCTTGGACCTTTTATTGAAAATAATGATCCAATATAATCTTCATTAAATGTATAATTTAATGCTTTACCTAATCTAATTCTAAAAATTTCAGGATCTGCGTGTGCATCAAATATAGTAACATTAAACCCATTAACTTTTTTCATTGATTCTAATATTAACGAAGTTTTACCAGTTCCTTTTTCACCTATAATTAAAAAATACCTTCCAATTATGTCACCAGAAATTATATCATCCAACAACTTTTGCTGTGGTCTTTCAACCCAATGAATATTCATATCATTCTCTTTAGTATCATCATGTGTTCGTTTATGCATTAATAATTGAGAAGCAGGATCACCTTTATCAAAAGCTTGATTCATTTTTTGTAATACATGAACATTATAGAATCTATGGTACATAAAACCAGCTAAACTTAAGATACCAACTGATGATACTGTAATTCCAATAGTTTCTAAACACTTTATAAAGAAACTTTTAACTTTTTCATATCTTGACTTGTCACCATCATGATTATTTCTACCCTTTTGTTTCTCATCTTGATTATCATTGTATTCTTTTAATTCCTGAACAAATTGATCAACAATTGGATTGAATTGGATTACTTTAGAAGTGCTAAACTGTCTTAATGGATAATAATAAATCGGTCGTTTTATCAAAAATCTTGATCTAAATTTCGTTAATGAATGCATATAGAACGAAACGGAAAATTTTGTCAAATTTTACGAACTGGAAAAATATAACACCCGGGGTGAAAAAATCATAAGTTTTTACCTTTTTAACCAATTAGTTACTAGATCAATAAAATAAGGTTAGAGTTGCCTAATAGAGTAATTGCCGCTATAACTTGATTCTTCTATTTAAAATTATATAAATAGAAACCTTCTATTATAAATTAATATTCATTCACTTTAATGGATTTGGACGTTATAAATAAATTAAATGAAATATTATTACATTTCAAATTAGTATTAAACTTTAATAATTTCAATTTATCAATCCATTCATGTTCAATCATTGCGTTATCATTTATATTCATAATTTATATTTTGATTTCAATAACGTCAAGTAAGAAGGTTGCATCAATTTCTGTAAATGAAGAAAAATTTAATAAGAATTCATACATTCCGAAACCAATTTATGATTTTCAATGGGATAAAGTTGTACCAGTTAAATCATATCCATTTAAGAATGCTCCTTATAAATTAACTATGGGTATAAAGAATTTAAATTTGCAAGAGTGGTTATTAATTGAACCAACTTATTTAAACCGAATCGAAAATAAAACCAAAATCATTAACAATTCACATGCTGATTATCCAAAAGATAAAGATATGAGAAATTCAACTTTGTTTGTAACTCCAGAAGTTATTCCTTCAATAATTGAATTTTATGATATTGTAATGAATTATATGTATAATAAATATCCAACATGTTTTAATAAAGATGAACATTACTATTACAATTTGATTACTTCGAAAAAGTATAAAATAGATGAAACTGACCCTAATAAATTACAAGAATATTTAGTTGAAAATATTGAAGAAGATTTTATAATATTAATGAAAGATGAAACAAAGGTTAATGAACCAAATGGTCAAGAATATTTCTTTAAAGGTGGTGTTTTTGCATTTGCTGCTGGTTTTAATCCAAGAGATAGATTTAATAAACCTTTAAGTTTTATTCATCATCCTGTACCGAATTATGAAACTAAATTGAAGTTTTCAATGAATAAGTTTTTCGATAGATTAAAACCAGGTGAATTTGTTACAAGATCAAATTTTTCAATACAAACTCATTCAAAATTTTATGTTGATGATGCAAACAAAGGTCATAATTTACCCAAAGATTTTGTTCAAAAGCCCTTAGATTATGACGATTTAAATTTTGAAAAAAACCAACATTATAGAAGTGAAAGACAGGTTTTAACTAAATTACCAAAAACCAAAGCAATTGTATTTACTATTAGAACCTATTTATTACCTTTAAGTCAAGTGAAAAATGATGGTAAAGAAGTTTGCGAAAGATTAGTAGGAGCAATTGACGGGTTTCCAGAAGAAGTTGCTCAATATAAGAGATCTCAAGAATGGGGACCTGCTCTTAAAAAATATTTATTGTCATAATTATAATGTAAAAAACTTCAAGCTTTTAATATTTCATTTTTGAATTCTTCCCAAATCTCAACATTCTTTTTAGCCCAGCTAATTAAATGTTGATTATAAGCAAATAGTATTTTGTAAATTGTTTTCAATTGCTTTTTGTGAAATGAATTTTGATTTTTGTTAATTTCATCAGTTATAAATACTAAATCTGCCAACATAATTTCTTGACATTTTTCCAAAGTTTTAATCTTATCTTGTAAACTGATTGTTTTTTCCTTTTTGGTTTGTTCTGGATTTTGATCAATTATATCATTTACATATTGAGTTATCTTTTTGAATGATGGAATTTTATATTTATATTTATCAGTTTTATCATTGGTTGTTTCTTGTAATAATTCAGATAAATCCTTACGTTTCTCTTTAATATCATTATCCAATAGTATCTTCTGTCGCAATTTTCTAGCTTTGAATTTAGATATATCTTGTAATATATTTGAATATTGAACTAATTCACCTAATGGTTCAGAAAATTTAGTTTCCAACTCTCCAATTAATGAATTTATTACAATATATGACCGATCAAAGCATTGACCAATCTTGTCAAAAATCACATTTAAGTTTTTATCATTTGGTGATTTATCTCTGGGTAATTCTGATATTATTAATGAAAAAGAATTAAAAATTATTCCTAATTCACTATAATCATGAGACAATCCAACGTAATTCGACATGATTCTTTTATTTAATTCATCCAAATTTATAATGTCTTCATTATTTGTATTTAATAATTCCGTAGTATTCTTTGTTAATTTCTTTTGATTGTTTTTAAAAAATCCCATTGCATTTTTATGAGTTGGATCTGGTAAATTCGAATATATTACATCAGTTTTTAAACTATTATCTGGATTCGATAAATAAATCGATTTGGGTAATTGACTTTGAATTAATGCAATCTCATCCTTCCAATTTGCATTTGGATCTAAAAACTTTGCAAAAAATTCCAACTTTCTAATTTGATTTATTTCAAGACAACTATTTAAAAAATTGTTTAGTAGTCTTTTTCTATTTTCAATTAGTTTGACATTTGATTGTGAATTTGAAATTGAAGCAACATTTTGATTTGGAGTTTGATTTGAATAAAGATTCAACTTTGAAAAATCAAAATAATTCTTTGTTGGAATTGGGGGAATAATAATTAATGGAAAAATTTTCGTTAAAATTTCTCTTAAACTTTCAAAATCACTATACCTTCGTCTAGTTAAAATTTCTTGATCTTTTCTTTCTAAATTTTTTATACGTATGGTGTAAACAACATATTTTTTGGACGAATTATTTGAGCTTTCATTAGAATTTGCAGCTTCAATAATTTGTAATTGGATTTTTGAAATTAACAACTTTGAAACTTTACTTTCATAGTTTACACTAACATTATCAAAAGATTCTCCTTTTGAATTCTTTCTTTCGGAGTGACTGTTATTATATAATAACATGGAATCTGCTTCTTCATCTTCTGGATCTGTAATCTTAGTTGAACCATTATTAATAAAATTTGAATTATTTTGAGTAATTGATAATCCTACAAATGGACTATTATCTTCGTCTTCTTCAATGAAATTTGAATTTGAATATAAATTATTATCATTTACCCCAGGCTCTTTTCTATTAACATTTGAATTTTGATTAGTTGATGATGACGAAGATAAAGACATAATAAATTAGTCTTTACCTGTATAAAATAACCCTGTTATGCGATCTATCCAATGTTATTAATAAACTATTAATAGTTTTAGCTTTATGACTTTTGATTAATTGAATATAAATTTGATAAAAAAAAAAAAAAAAAAAAAAGATAAATTACGAGAGATCATATTAGTAATGTATTACATAATCAGTATAAGTAATTAAAAACAGAATAATTGTATATATATTTACAATTGAACGAAATAAACGATGTTCTATAAATTAATCACAAATATCAGTATTAAAAATATAACCGAAATTAAACGTAACGAAACTTTATTTTTGGATGAAGAATTAACAAGGGAAATTGTAGGTGTAGAATTAGTTTGTGAATTGACAATTGAAGATGTCTTTAATGTTGATGAGAATTGAATTGATACATTTGATTCTTCTGGTTGAGCCAAATATTTAGAAGTACTAAAAAGTCCAGGACTATTGGATGATGAATCATCCAATGAATATAAATATTCTGGATTAGTTGAACTTTGCTTAGATGTTGATGAAATTTGATCCATTGTATTTAGTGATTGAGCTGTTATGGATTTTGTTGTGTATTGTTGATCTGTAATTGGTTGTCTTGTATCTGATTGATATCTTTGATGATCTTCAGTAATTGAACTTGATTGTAATATCGAATTTTGAGTATCGCGCCCTTTATCATTTGATGACGTAGTACTTGCAGCCTCTGTTTCTCTATTGCTTTCAAAACTTTTAGCTCTTGAAGTTTCTTTACTCACATCATCTGACATTAGTTGGTCTTGTGATTTTGAAGTAACAGGTTTTTGACCATTACTAATTGAATTGATCGAAAGAGCACTTTCAAGCGCAGTCGTCAAATTTGGTTTTGATAAATTACCGTTTGTGTTAGTCGGTAAGCTATTTCCCTCTCTTGAACCACTAATTGAAGAGCTGGATAACGCTGCGGTGATTTCAGGAAATTCAGATGAGCTTTTTGTATTTGCATTGTCTGAATTAGATGATATGGTGGTGGATCCTGGTAATTTTGTTGAAATATTAGAGTTTGAAATTGCAGAATCTATTGTTGATTCTGAATTTGGGCTATCTTTTGATTTTAAATTTGACAACGTGTCGCTTGAAAATGTGCTTGAATTTACCAATTGATTTTGGTCTGGTGTCGTAGATGGTGTGGAAGTTGTAATTCCAGAGTCGGGATAAGAATCAGATGGATTTAATTCTGATGTGACTTCTAAAGTTGTATTATCAGTGACAGATATTGAATTACTCGATGTATTCTCTATGCTTTTGGTTGGTACCGGTTGTGTAATGGATGTTGAAGAAGTTTCTGCAGGTGAGTTTGAGATTGCATAAGTGCTTGATTCAGATTTTACTGAATTCTGACTTGTATTGTCTAAGTTTGAAACTAAATTTGTGGAACTCGATGGTGTGATTTGACTGGTAATGCTGCTTGATAATCGTGAATCAGTTGAAATAGAATTTGCTAAGCTGCTAGACATAATTTGATTGCTTAAATTGCTTGATGTTTTTGATTCTTCAGATATAGATGATTTAATAAAATTTGAGAAAGAAGCACTTGATGACAAACTGGAGAGTTCGTTTATAGAATTTGAAGATGTTAATTCACTCGAGCTTGAACCTGTACTTGATATGGTGCTTGTAATCGGGAATGGAAAACTTGATGAAAATGAAGCTTCAAAAGTAGTAGAAGAAGCCATCGGGTCAGAATTTAATTTTGAGTTATAATCACTAGATAATGAATCATAATTTGACGATGGTAGTGGTGTATTCAAATCTGATGATTGTATTGTTGAATTTGAATATATCGGAGCACTTATACAATCACCCAATTCATTTCTTTTACATAAAGTATTTGCTAAATCAGCACTCGAAGAAACTACTTGGGAAACTGAAATTGTTGGGAAACTCGTTTGATGGGGAAAAGTAGTTAATGTTATATAACCTGTGCTAAACTTAGAAACTAATCCACTTTCTACTTCGATTGATCCATCTGTATTATGTATCGTCCATACCGAAGTAAAAGCTTCTGCATCTACAGCCATTGAAAAATCGGTAGATTGTATACTGGTTTTCGAAGGTTCCGATGATTCAATTGAGCTAGATGACATTAAGGACAACAGTTCTGAATTTTCGGATGACGAAATTGAAATATTTGAACTCTCAACAAATGTTGAGGTTTCAAGTGATGTAGTTTTCTGATTTGAAGATTCAGTTAATGAAGACAGTAGGTTTGGGCTTTGATTTGATATAGGTTCAGACGGTATACTGTAGCTGTTAGTTAAAGAGGATGGGTCTAATGAACTTTCAAATGATGACGATGGTAAAATTGAACTTTGAGATGATGATGGCAGGGAGGAGCTATAAGTTGATGAAGATTGAACAGATGAGCTTCCTGACGATGAAATAATCAAACTTGTCGTAGTATAAATGTCTCCCAATGAATTAGTTGTAATAATCACGACTCCAGTCTCTGAAACATACTCCCCGTCTGATAATTCCACAAAAGTGGTTGTGTACGATGTTAATTCAATTGAAGATGATGGCAAGAATGTATTTTCAGACGACGGTGATGTTAAAGGTGAGCTTTGATATAATGATGATGATGGCTCGGGTGAGCTATAAGTTGATGAAGATTGAACAGATGAGCTATCTGATGATGAATATCGAACAGATGAGCTTTCTGATGATGAAATAATCAAACTTGTCGTAGTATAAATGTCTCCCAATGAATTAGTCGTAATAATCACGACTCCAGTCTCTGAAACATACTCCCCGTCTGATAATTCCACAAAAGTGGTTGTGTACGATGTTAATTCAATTGAAGATGATGGCAAGAATGTATTTTCAGACGACGGTGATGTTAAAGGTGAGCTTTGATATAATGATGATGATGGCTCGGGTGAGCTATAAGTTGATGCAGATTGAACAGATGAGCTTTCTGATGATGAAATAATCAAACTTGTCGTAGTATAAATGTCTCCCAATGAATTAGTCGTAATAATCACGACTCCAGTCTCTGAAACATATTCCCCGTCTGATAATTCCATAAAAGTGGTTGTGTACGATGTTAATTCAATTGAAGATGATGGCAAGAATGTATTTTCAGACGACGGTGATGTTAAAAGTGAGCTTTGATATAATGATGATGATGGCTCGGGTGAGCTATAAGTTGATGCAGATTGAACAGATGAGCTTTCTGATGATGGAATAATCAAACTTGTCGTAGTATAAATGTCTCCCAATGAATTAGTCGTAATAATCACGACTCCAGTCTCTGAAACATACTCCCCGTCTGATGATTCCATAAAAGTGGTTGTGTACGATGTTAATTCAATAGAAGATGATGGTATGAATGTATTTTCAGACGACGGTGATGTTAAAGGTGAGCTTTGATATAATGATGATGATGGCTCGGGTGAGCTATAAGTTGATGAAGATTGAACAGATGAGCTATCTGATGATGAATATCGAACAGATGAGCTTTCTGATGATGAAATAATCAAACTTGTCGTAGTATAAATGTCTCCCAATGAATTAGTCGTAATAATCACGACTCCAGTCTCTGAAACATACTCCCCGTCTGATAATTCCACAAAAGTGGTTGTGTACGATGTTAATTCAATTGAAGATGATGGCAAGAATGTATTTTCAGACGACGGTGATGTTAAAGGTGAGCTTTGATATAATGATGATGATGGCTCGGGTGAGCTATAAGTTGATGAAGATTGAACAGATGAGCTATCTGATGATGAAATAATCAAACTTGTCGTAGTATAAATGTCTCCCAATGAATTAGTCGTAATAATCACGATTCCAGTCTCCGAAACATACTCCCCGTCTGATAATTCCACAAAAGTGGTTGTGTACGATGTTAATTCAATAGAAGATGATGGCAAGAATGTATTTTCAGACGACGGTGATGTTAAAGGTGAGCTTTGATATAATGATGATGATGGCTCGGGTGAGCTATAAGTTGATGCAGATTGAACAGATGAGCTTTCTGATGATGAAATAATCAAACTTGTCGTAGTATAAATGTCTCCCAATGAATTAGTCGTAATAATCACGACTCCAGTCTCTGAAACATATTCCCCGTCTGATAATTCCATAAAAGTGGTTGTGTACGATGTTAATTCAATTGAAGATGATGGCAAGAATGTATTCTCAGACGACGGTGATGTTAAAGGTGAGCTTTGATATAATGATGATGATGGCTCGGGTGAGCTATAAGTTGATGCAGATTGAACAGATGAGCTTTCTGATGATGGAATAATCAAACTTGTCGTAGTATAAATGTCTCCCAATGAATTAGTCGTAATAATCACGACTCCAGTCTCTGAAACATACTCCCCGTCTGATAATTCCACAAAAGTGGTTGTGTACGATGTTAATTCAATAGAAGATGATGGTAAGAATGTATTTTGAGACGATGGTGATGTTGAAAGTGAACTTTGATATAACGATGATGATGGCTCGGGTGAGCTATAAGTTGATGAAGATTGAACAGATGAGCTATCTGATGATGAATAACGAACAGATGAGCTTTCTGATGATGAAATAATCAAACTTGTCGTAGTATAAATGTCTCCCAATGAATTAGTCGTAATAATCACGACTCCAGTCTCTGAAACATACTCCCCGTCTGATAATTCCACAAAAGTGGTTGTGTACGATGTTAATTCAATAGAAGATGATGGCAAGAATGTATTTTCAGACGACGGTGATGTTAAAGGTGAGCTTTGATATAATGATGATGATGGCTCGGGTGAGCTATAAGTTGATGCAGATTGAACAGATGAGCTTTCTGATGATGAAATAATCAAACTTATCGTAGTATAAATGTCTCCCAATGAATTAGTCGTAATAATCACGACTCCAGTCTCTGAAACATATTCCCCGTCTGATAATTCCATAAAAGTGGTTGTGTACGATGTGAATTCAATTGATGATGAAGGAATGAAAGGATAAAAAATTTCGACACTATCTGTGTTCAAAGGAGGATTGGTGATTGTGTTTGTCGAAATAAAGCTTTCAGACCAGAATTGAGTAAGTGTGGTCGTTGGATTATGTGGTTCTAATACATGTAAAACATTCGTTGATCCATATCCAGCAGTTTCTAATGACGATGATGCATATGACTGAATCCAAAATTCAGTAGTTGTACGAATACCATTTGAAGGATAGAATACTTCGACACTGTCTGTATCTAATGGAGGATTTGTGATTGTTTTTGATGAAATAAAACTTTCAGACCAGAATTGAGTAAGAGTGGTAGTTGGATTATGTGGTTCCAATACATGTAAAACATTCGTTGATCCATATCCACCTGTTTCTAATGAACTAGATGCGTAGCTTTCATTCCAAAACTCTGTTGTAACAGTTAAACCATTCGATGGATAAAAAATTTCAACACTATCTGTGTTTAAAGGAGGATTGGTGATTGTATTTGTCGAAGTAAAGCTTTCAGACCAGAATTGAGTGAGCATAGTAGTTGGATTATGTGGTTCCAATACATGTAAAACATTCGTTGATCCATATCCAGCAGTTTCTAATGACGATGATGCATATGACTGAATCCAAAATTCAGTAGTTGTACGAATACCATTTGAAGGATAGAATACTTCGACACTGTCTGTATCTAATGGAGGATTTGTGATTGTTTTTGATGAAATAAAACTTTCAGACCAGAATTGAGTAAGAGTGGTAGTTGGATTATGTGGTTCCAATACATGTAAAACATTCGTTGATCCATATCCACCTGTTTCTAATGAACTAGATGCGTAGCTTTCATTCCAAAACTCTGTTGTAACAGTTAAACCATTCGATGGATAAAAAATTTCAACACTATCTGTGTTTAAAGGAGGATTGGTGATTGTATTTGTCGAAGTAAAGCTTTCAGACCAGAATTGAGTAAGTGTGGTTGTTGGATTATGTGGTTCTAATACATGTAAAACATTCGTTGATCCATATCCACCTGTTTCTAATGAACTAGATGCGTAGCTTTCATTCCAAAACTCTGTTGTAACAGTTAAACCATTCGATGGATAAAAAATTTCAACACTATCTGTGTTTAAAGGAGGATTGGTGATTGTATTTGTCGAAGTAAAGCTTTCAGACCAGAATTGAGTGAGCATAGTAGTTGGATTATGTGGTTCCAATACATGTAAAACATTCGTTGATCCATATCCACCTGTTTCTAATGAACTAGATGCATAGCTTTCACTCCAAAACTCGGTTGTAACAGTTAAACTATTTGAAGGATAGAATACTTCGACGCTATCTGTGTTTAAAGGAGGATTTGTGATTGTTTTTGATGAAATAAAACTTTCAGACCAGAATTGAGTAAGTGTGGTCGTTGGATTATGTGGTTCTAATACATGTAAAACATTCGTTGATCCATATCCACCTGTTTCTAATGAACTAGATGCGTAGCTTTCATTCCAAAACTCTGTTGTAACAGTCAAACTATTGGAAGGATAAAAAATTTCGACACTATCTGTGTTTAAAGGAGGATTGGTGATTGTATTTGTCGAAATAAAGCTTTCAGACCAGAATTGAGTAAGTGTGGTTGTTGGATTATGTGGTTCTAATACATGTAAAACATTCGTTGATCCATATCCACCTGTTTCTAATGAACTAGATGCGTAGCTTTCATTCCAAAACTCTGTTGTAACAGTCAAACTATTGGAAGGATAAAAAATTTCGACACTATCTGTGTTCAAAGGAGGATTGGTGATTGTGTTTGTCGAAATAAAGCTTTCAGACCAGAATTGAGTAAGTGTGGTCGTTGGATTATGTGGTTCTAATACATGTAAAACATTCCTTGATCCATATCCAGCAGTTTCTAATGACGATGATGCATATGACTGAATCCAAAATTCAGTAGTTGTACGAATACCATTTGAAGGATAGAATACTTCGACACTGTCTGTATCTAATGGAGGATTTGTGATTGTTTTTGATGAAATAAAACTTTCAGACCAGAATTGAGTAAGAGTGGTAGTTGGATTATGTGGTTCCAATACATGTAAAACATTCGTTGATCCATATCCACCTGTTTCTAATGAACTAGATGCGTAGCTTTCATTCCAAAACTCTGTTGTAACAGTTAAACCATTCGATGGATAAAAAATTTCAACACTATCTGTGTTTAAAGGAGGATTGGTGATTGTATTTGTCGAAGTAAAGCTTTCAGACCAGAATTGAGTGAGCATAGTAGTTGGATTATGTGGTTCCAATACATGTAAAACATTCGTTGATCCATATCCAGCAGTTTCTAATGACGATGATGCATATGACTGAATCCAAAATTCAGTAGTTGTACGAATACCATTTGAAGGATAGAATACTTCGACACTGTCTGTATCTAATGGAGGATTTGTGATTGTTTTTGATGAAATAAAACTTTCAGACCAGAATTGAGTAAGAGTGGTAGTTGGATTATGTGGTTCCAATACATGTAAAACATTCGTTGATCCATATCCACCTGTTTCTAATGAACTAGATGCGTAGCTTTCATTCCAAAACTCTGTTGTAACAGTTAAACCATTCGATGGATAAAAAATTTCAACACTATCTGTGTTTAAAGGAGGATTGGTGATTGTATTTGTCGAAGTAAAGCTTTCAGACCAGAATTGAGTAAGTGTGGTTGTTGGATTATGTGGTTCTAATACATGTAAAACATTCGTTGATCCATATCCAGCAGTTTCTAATGACGATGATGCATATGACTGAATCCAAAATTCAGTAGTTGTTCGAACACCATTAGAAGGATAAAATACTTCGACAGTATCCGTATTCATAAAAGTATTCTTTATAGTTGATGTTGACAAGCTTGAGCCGGTGTAGAACGTCGTTATAGTAGCTGTTGGGTTGGGAGGGAACTGAACTATGACTGAATCTGTGGCTGATGGTGAATTTTTTTGAGTTAAAGTGTTTATAGATAATCCACTAAAAAATTTTGAAATAGTAGTTGTTGGATTTGCTGGGAATTGAAAAATAACGCTGTCTGTTTTCCCAAATGAATTCCTTTGTGTTAAAGTAGTCAAAGATGAGCCAGTGTAAAATTGTGAAACACTGATAGTTGGATTGGGTGGAAATTGCACAATCACGTAATCGGTCTGCAAAAAGCTATTTGATTGTGTAGATGTAACAATAGAAGACCCTGTATAAAACACTGTGCTAGTAAGAGTAGGATTGGGGGGGACTTGAATAATAACCAGGTCTGTAGACGCGGAAGTAAATGTTGAGGTCACGATTGAACTTCCTGTCCAGAATTTTGTTTGAGTAGTTGTTGGCTTTGGTGGTATTATTGAAGTTTGAGTTACATAATTACCATATGATGAGGTGAAGATGCTAACAGAACCACTTATTGTCTTTACTGAGCCATCTGTTAAAGTTGAAGTAACCGTAGTTAAATAATTTTGTCCATCTTTACCTGGAATGTCTGGGAAACTGTTAGGGCATGCTTGACAATAATTTGCTTGAGATGAACCAGAAGGTGGTGAGTTTGGATAACTGACGGAGTTTCCATTAATTTTGAACCTAAATTGATCATAGCCCCTCCCAATTTTAAAATATTGATTTATGTTATTATTACCATTGATTCTTAAAGTATCATATGAATATTGAACTGAGAATATTGGTTGATCTAAGCTAATTGTATTAGAATTTCCAAAACCAGAAACATAATAAGTTCTTGATTGAGATGAGTCAACAATTATATTAGCCCCAGAATTTACTAAATTTATTGTTTGAGTTTGAGGAAAGGCATAGCTTGATCTTAGGTAAAAAACACCATTTGATATTGAAACACAACCATTACCTGAGTAACTTGAAGAGCCTTGATCACCAGCTGAATTTATTAAACAAATCTGCCCATTGTTATTTGTTGTACCTCCATTGGTGCTACCAATTGCTACACCAGATGATCCCAATTGTGCCAGTTGCAAAGTGATAATACCTGTATTGGAAAATGAACTACCTGTGATTTTCCCAGTTATTTGACTTGATGATAAGATTGAGAATCTACCAGTATTAACAAAATTGGATGTAGTAAATTGTAAATTTGGAGAATTATTATTTGAATTTCTAGTATCTACTAAAAAATCACCATCATTTTGAAATTTACTAACTGAACTTGAAGCAGATACGGAAACAGTAGCCGCTGATGAACCAAAAGAGCCAATTAACAATTGTCCTTGATTTGAAATACTACCACTCAACGTAACAGATTTTGCATTAATAATTGAATAAATACCGCTGCTTGATATCGTAGTATCTGTAATTTGTAAATTATCCGTATAAGAATATTTCACTGAGGAAATCGTTTGAGCTGCTGCTATAATTGCAGATTTTAGAATAAGTAGAAACAACAATTGGAATATCATGTTGAAATATTTATCAATGTTGGATCGAATATAATTGTTGAAATTTCTGGACTTTCAAATGATTTGAACTTAATTCAGAATTTATTCAATTGAAGATAAAAAGAGATCTTGATCAAGCTTGAATAGTTGTTAAATAATTATAAAAAGCTTTTCAACAATAATCAACGAAGAGAAACCCTGAAAAATTTAGAAACGTAAATGGTTATGAAATTCATATCATAACATTACAAAGTATAACCCTGTAATCACTAAGAGCTAAGGCAATGTTCGATTAGTTGTTGTACTATTGTGGTTTGACAAAACTTTAAAATAGAAAATCTAAAAAGAAATACAAAACTAAGTTCTAAGGTGATCTAAATTAATTCGGAAACAAACCCGTAAAGCAAAATGTCTTTCGATTAAAATTAGTAAGGAAGTCTATTAGGCTAATAGTAAATTTTACACATTTGCTAAAGAAAAGTCAATATAAAGGATCCAAGTGAAATCTTAGTTATTAGTCAACCATCACTAAAATTTCAGATTTCAGGTTTAATGGGTTAATGTTAATGCAAAGAATAGTGATTTAAGAAACATTTAAGATTTTTTGCAGCCAGTTCTTAAATTTCAAACAGCGTAAAATATCGAAAAAAAAAACAAATTTTTCAAGAGTGTTCGATTCTAAACAAAATTACACAAAATCAATTTACGCTTACGGATTAAATCAAGCTACAAACCAAAATCGAAATTACTATACGCAATAAGATTTAGATATTGCAAAAAATATGGCTTTAACAAGTATCATAACTCAAGAACTTGAAATTTATTGTTATTTATCATTATTACTCCTATTAATTGAACCCTATTCGAGATTTGCGATATATGCTTTGAAATTTTTATCTGATTGAGGATAAGTCAAGCTTGGCACATTAGTATAAGCTAATTTCATAAATATGCCAACAGTGAGTAATTGGCAATCCTCCCGAAGTAAAGCAATGGTAGAAGTAAAGCAATGGTACAAGTAAACCAATGGTACAAGTAAAGCAATGGTACAAGTAAACCAATGGTGCAAGTAAAATTATTATTTCCTGCGCAACATTAAACCCTTTTGAATTGCTTAATAGTTTTTGTGGAATTACTAAAATACAATAGGCGAATGCCTATTTCGCGATGGTTCTTTTGGAAAAAACTAGTTTCCAAAATTCTACCTTTACAATCTTAACGATATTATGCTCATTTGCAATTCAATTCAGCCAAATTACAATCTCTTCATCTAGTATATCCAATTTTTCAATAAACACTAGTTTGAAATAATATGCTGTGGAACAAATTAGTATTTGTCGCACTGATGAAATTAGACGAAAAATAAAAAATCGCCGCCCAACTTCGAATAGATAACAGAAAAAAAATTTTACTGCGCAATTTAGTTTCGGTAAAATTTAATTACGGAATAATTGAATAGAATGTTTAACCGAATGGAAAGAATGATATATTATTACATTCATAAGTTATAGTAAATTTTACGCTTCGTAATATCACTCTATTTCATCTTGAATATGTACAAATTTTGGTTGTTTTACATGAAGTTATTACCAAATATAATAAAGTTTGAAATTACTAATATTGAAATTACGCTGGTTAAATATACGAGCAAATTCGAAAATTTTTCGCCAGATCTATGATGTTTAATTGATTGAAAATCTCTTTATTCAAATTCATGGCTTCTATTTGTTTAATTCGCTCGTACAATGACATCTCATCACAAAACCGCTGATCGCATTATAATGTCAACTTTAACATTATATGCTACGTTCAACCACAAAGTAAAACAATTTGGGATCAATTTTGCTTTTTGTTTTAGTTTTGTGTGCATATATCACTTTATTACAATGAGATCTAAATGAAATCTAAATTTTTTATCACTTTTTTTATCACTTGGTTGTAAGTTGATGCTGTCGCATTCTATTGACTCGACTCCTTTGAGCAATTGCAGGCTCATAACGATGATTAACAATTTTCAATTTAAGATGGATTGTTGGATGTTAATTGAATCAAAATATACTTAAAACAACTTGACTCTGATTAGATATTTTAAGTGCAATTGTAGTTAATTCTGATGAATTCGATTTGAAACAAAATTTAGATACAAACTTAAACAGTTCGAATCATGGTTAAAAGTTTTAATTTTGGGTTCTCATTCACCTCAAAGAAGAATTAATATTAAATAGATTTGCTAATGAAAGGATTTGCTGTCCGGATTTTTCTCCGTAAGCTTTAAAAAAAGTAGACTGATATGAGCATTGGGAATTACTCCGTTTTTAACATAAACTAAATGTTTTAAAATTTAGGAAAATTTTACCAAAAAACGTTTTCAGATGTCTTTAGAAACGTTTGTTAAAATTTGAACCATCTATTTTATAAGAACAAGATATAGAATTGAAGGCGTACTGTGTTTTCGTTTTTTTCAATATACGACGATTTTAAAGAATTGCTGAAAAAAAAAAAAATCCAAGCTCGAACATTTAAGCGGTAAATATAATCTACCCCTTAAGAAAAAAACGACTATACTATCTGTAGTACGAGGTGGCCTTAAGACTGATGCAAGAGATTATTCTTTGGCGCTAAATCGTGGCATTAAGTGGTTCGTATTAGAATCTATGCGTTGGGTATTCTTAAATTCAATTTTGATAGTGAATTAGTATTCTTAAATTCAATTTTGATACTGAATTAGTATTCTCAAATTCAATTTTGATAGTGAATTAAAGGCTGTAAGAATTATATTATAGTTGTATGTTAATCTGCATCCTTACTTGTGTTTGACATCCTTAAATAATTTTGAGACTTACGGTGCAAATACGTCGTTTAATTTTCATGCAATCTTTCTCAAAACTTATCTCGTTGAATTTATAACTAAACAGAAATAAATCGATGTTAGTTCCTTTTGGTAAACCATGATATTTTTCATAGCATAATTCTTCATTCTTAAAAAGTGAAAAAACGCTAAACTGTGAAATACATCACATTTAGACCCTGTTAGGCAGCTTATAAAACATCTGGTATTTGGTTTGGTTTGTTTAACCCCAAAGTTCTTTGTATATGTTTTCAGGGCGTCATAATGGCCTTGAAAGTTTTGTAATTAACTCGATTCATTTTTGAAAAGATACTGCTCCAATAAATGTGGTACTAGGTCGCCCCAGAGCTGCTGCGAGAAATTGTTTTTTCCGCACCAAATCTTCGCATTAAATTGTTTGAGCTAAATTTGTGGTAGTGTACTATTGCCAATAATTGGCATTATTTTTTGGTTTGTTTGTTTTTTTATTTCTTGCATCGTTTGAATAGTTTGAATAGTTTGAATAGTTTGAATTATAATGCCAGGGTTACCTACAACTATAGTACCGTATATTGCAGAAACTAGTATTGAAATACAATTTGCTAATGCCTTAAAAGATTACCAATTAAACACATTGAATGTACAGTCAGATTTAAAGCCACAACCATTTGATTTTATAAATAAATTTAAACAAATTGCTGCATCGCAGGCATTACAATTTGGTACAGAGTTATATGAAAGTGAAAATGAAAATGATATTGAATTAAAAGAAAATTTTGAAAATTGGGATTTAGAGACCAAATTATGGCATTTAGTTGAACAATTATACTCATTTAGACTTTTAAATTATTCACAAGAAGAGCCGGATATAATAAATGATAAACAAATTTTAGTAATTAAAGAGTTATTAATTATAATAAATTGGATTCAATCTAATTCAAAGCTGGAAAGCTATGATGATTCTTTTGAAAAAATTCAACAATCAAGTAAATGGTCAAATACGAAAGTTTCAATTAATCAACAAGATTATAATGCTTTGATCAATAAATCTAATACTCAACTAATAGATAATTTAGATATTGATGCTCCTTTAAGAACTAAAAAATCGATAGATGCAAAAGATAATGAAATTGATATCATTAATTTTGCGAGGATTTATAAACTAATATTACGTGGTAAATTACAAGAAGCTATTGATTATTCAAATAATACAGGAAATTTTGCATTAGCTTTAATTTTAGTAGGAGCTGCTCAAAATTATATGGATCCAAGTTTGGAAAAAAATCATGGAATGAAGCATAAATTATTATGGAAAGAAACAGTTTACAAATTATCACAACAATCTGGTTTAAATTATTATGAAAAATTGATTTATAATTATCTTAGTGGAGGAGATATATCTGAGAATTTGAAATTTTCAAATGATTCATGGGAAGAATCTTTATTATTATATTGTACACAACTTTTATCATATAAATTAGATTTTATATATAAAAATAATGAATCATTGTCAATATCATTACCAAAACCGCAAGTTTCAAATATTGATGAGATTTTAAACTTATTACAAAATAATGTGAGTCACGAAAGTTTACATCCTACTAGAATTATAACAGGGGCTATATTAATTGATAAAGTAAATGAATTATTGAATTTTGATTTTAATGAACAAATAAATGAAAACATACTTAGGATATTAGTCCATTTATCAATTTTTTTAGCAATATTGTTTCCATTCAAAATATCATCACATTTAACAAATATACTTACTTTATATATAACAAAATTATCAGAAGATAACAAATCAGAATTGATACCAATATATTTATCATTTATACCGAATGAGAAAGATGCTAGAGAAGCTTATTCAATTATACTTTCATCAATAACTAATAAAGAAGAGAGAATAAAACATTTAGAAATATCCAAAAAATTAAATAAATTAATAGATGATAATGATGATATGATTATTGAAAATAATGATAAAATGATAAATGTATTAAGAAGAACTGTTGAAAGAGTAATGAATGAAACTGAAGAGTATTACAAACCGAAAGAGGAAATTCGATTACAAGACGAATTAAATGAATCTATTGATCCAATAGACTATAAATTATCAAGAGCAGTTGATTGGTTTTTTGAAAATCAAATGCATCTGGATTCTATTAAAGCTAGTATTATATTAATACGAAGATTTTTAATTATGGGTAAATTAACAAGTTTAAAACATTTTGTATCAGACAAAAATTTTAATCAATTAATAATAGATTATAATGTAGAAGCATTGAATCATGAATTAGATGATCAAGTAACGGAAGATATGAAATCTGAATTATTAGATTATTCTTTATTTACTGAAGGATTAAAATTAATTTATGATTGGAAATCATTTAAAATAAATGGAGATTCATATAATAGTTCATCAGTTGAAAAATCTTTAGAAAAGACTGAAAAAAATTTGAAAAATTTAATATTTACTTGGTTAATTGATTTATCAAAAAATGTTGACGATCCAATATTTAAAGAATTTAGATCAATGTATATTCCATATATAATCTTTGAATTAATTACAATATTTCAAAATGCAAAAGATAAAAATTGGATTTATATTCAAAAAGCATTTGATTTGATAATTCAAATTGCTGATGATGATGATTCAAATAATGATTTTATTCAATGTTTTAAATCAAGTGGTAGATTAGATGAATTTATGGTAAAATGTGGTGAATTATCAGTTATTGTATCAGAGAAAGGTTTACTAAATATATATTAATTTAATAAACTTGCTTTTTCATATAATAAATCTACAACATTTGATAAATTTTTAATCAATTCTAATGAAGCTTCATAAGCAGCATCTTTTCTTGGTTCATCATAAATTATTAACCAACCATTACCTTGATCTAAAACACCATAAAATACTTTATCTAAAATCATTTGAGATAATTTTCCTTCAACTTGTTGTAAATTTAAATCAATAATTTTTGAAATATAAGATAATTCAACACAATCATAACTTTCTATAATTTTTAATAAATTTTGTTCTAATAAATTATCATATAAAGCATTAAAATGATTTTTTATAATTAAATCAGTTTTTAATTCGGTTGAATATAAATTTAAAGAATTCTCAAATTCTTTTAATGATCTATTTGAATAAGCATTTGCAATTGATTTCATAGCATCAATATCTTTTGATTTATACTTTAATACATTTTTATTATTTAAAATATTATTTACATCATCAATTAAATTAAGCATAATTTTAGTTAACAACATATATTTTAAAACAATAATAGCTCTTGAATCATCTTGAGAATTAAAACCTTCAAAACTTTCATAAAAATAAGAAAATGCTGTTTTATAATCTTTATCTTCAGAATTTAAAATACCAGATTGACAATCTAATTCTGCTTGTAAAACAGTTGGACAATAAATTGAATTTGCTGAAGTTCTAGCAGAATTTAAAGCAGCTTTAGCTTTTGGGAAATTTCTTAAAGCATTATAAATTTTTGATTCTAATAATTGAACTTCAACTAAAGAAGATTTATCATCCAATTTTTTATATTCTCTTAATAAATCATTTATAATTTTAATTGCTTCATGATAATTTTTTTTTTTATATAAAAGTTCAGACAATTTTAATTGTAATGATTGTTTAAGAAAAATTAATTTTGACTCAATAGCCCAAGTTATACATTCCTTTGTTGATTTAATTTGCAAATCTAATGAATTTAATTGATCAAAATTTTCAATTAAAGTTTTAACAATTTTAGCAGTTTTTGATTTAGCGAAATTACCTAATATATTTCTTGAATCATTTATTAAATTATATAAATCTTGAGGTTTATCTATTAATTGATAAATCTTACCCAATTCAATAATTGAAATTTCTTGAAATTGTAATTTTTTGTTTAATTTGATCTCTTCAGATTGGTCATTTATAACTTGTTGATATTTAAGTATAGCTGAATCATAGTCTTTTTCGTTTACAGCGTGTTTTGCTTCATTCAATAATACTTGTTGTTGATCAATTGACATTGTATTTCCGTATACTATCAACAGTTTTTGCCATTCGCTAAAAGGAAAAAAAATGAAGAAGTGAAAAATTGGGAACTACCAATTTGACCATACGATAAACATGATTATACGATCAACAGTATACCATAGAATACCATATAGAATACCATATAGATATGTTAGACTATATTCATCATCATCTTCTAATCCATTTCCAATTAATGATAATAATAAACGTGGTAAATCTAACAACAACAATAACAACAACAATAAACTATCGAATTGGCAGAAATTTATAAATTATACTCAATCATCAAAATTTGAAGATAAAACGATGCCAAAATTATATTTATCAGCTATTATTCTTGCTTTAGTTCCTTTCTATTTTTATATGAGAGATCGTTATTATGAAGATAAACAATTGAAAATTATGTATAAAAAAAAAGAAGAAAATGCATCTTCTTTAACTGAATATGAGTATTTAGCTTTAAAATCTTTTAATAAAAATGATAAATTAAAACCATTGGAATTGAAAAAGTACAAATTATATCAATTAATGAGAAAAGAATTTAGAAGACAAAATTTATTTAATAGTGATGCTATGTTTAATCCAAGTCCAAAAGATTTAGACGATTGGTATTCAAAACAAGCTAGAAAATCTTCAGCTCCTGAAAAACCATCACAATTATCGCTAGAAAATGATATTAAATATTTAGAAAATGAGCATAATCCAAAAATTCAAAAGTCCGAAGATACTACTAATTTTTATGATTTAAAAGCTAAAGAATATGATGATGCGGTTAAATGGGAAGAAAGAGGTATATTTATGGGTTCAAAAAGAAAATGGTTAATGTCTCATGCTAAAGGTGATGTATTAGAAATTTCTTGTGGTACTGGTAGAAATATTCCTTATTTTTATCCACAACAAGTTAAATCAATTACTTTTATCGATTCTGCAAGAAATATGGTTCAAATTTGTAAAGATAAATTTGAAAATCTGTATCCAAATTTTAAAAAAGTTGCTTATGCTGTTGGTAAAGGAGAAGATTTAACAAAATTATCATCTTCAAATATGAAATATGATACAATTATAGAAGCTTTTGGTTTATGTTGTCATAAAAATCCTGTACAAGTATTAAAAAATATGTCTCAGTTATTAAAACCTGGTGGTAGAATTGTTTTATTAGAACATGGTAGAAGTAATTGGGAGTTTATAAATAATCATTTAGACTTTAGATCTGAAAAAAGAATGGCAAAATGGAAATGTAGATGGAATTTGGATATAGGAGAACTAATAGATGAAGCTGGATTAGATATTGTTAAAGAGAAAAGAGCTCATTTAAGTACTACATGGATGATGATTTTAAAAAAACCAGGAGATCCAATAAATTCAGATGAAAAACCATTTTTAGATAAATTATTTGGACGTGATGTAAATAGATAAAATTACATATTTACATCAAAAAGTAAATATGATGTTGAGGTAATTATGATGTAAATAGATAAAACATATTTACATCAAAAGGTAAATATGATGTTGAGGTAAATAAAACATATTTACATCAAAAGGTAAATATGCTGTTGAAGTAATTATGATGTAAATAAATACATAAAATATATTAAAGGTAAATACCTTCTTGTTCTTGTACTATTTCATTACTTTTCTCATTACTTTTTTCATTTATTTCATTAATAAGTTTTAATTCCTCATTCTTTTTGGTTTGTTCATTTAATAAACCTCTATTTACCAATTCACTATTTATAGCCTTAATTCTTGCTAATTGTTGTAATAAATAATGTTTATTTTCAACAATTGTTTCTTTATAATATTGTAAATCATCTTTATTATTAGTTTCAATTTTGATTTCTTCATTTAATTCATTTTTTGTTTCAATTTTGATTTCTTCATTTAATTCATTATTTGTTTCAATTAATTTAAAGATAAAATGTAATTGTTCCTTCTTTTTATTTTGTAATTCTAATTGAGATACATCTTTAATTGCTATAATAAATTCATCTAAAGTTAATGACGGTAATTCAATAGACATATTATTATGTGTTCTAAAACAAAAAGTGTTGATAAAATAAAAATCGCTACCAAATGTGAAACAATTTTATAGGTATATATTCATTTAATCATTTAATCATAGATATAATTGGAAACCAACCAAGTATTTAGTTCTTAAATATTCTTGATTTCAACTTGATAAACAAATAGTTATCCAATTCTAATAAATCTTGACATAATTCAGGACATTTATCTAATAAACCAATTTCAAATTCATCTTCTTCTTCATCATTATTATGAGAAACTTCATCAGTTTCAAGAATATCATTATCAATATCATTATCATCATTGTCTTGATATTTTTTTTGAACATCTTTAATATCATTAATTATTTTATTATTTAATTCAATTACTTGATTTCTATTTATAAATTTATTATATTTCATTGTCATTATAATTAAATTGATTGTTTTTCTAAGTGACCAAATTTCAAAATTTGCCATATATAAATATTCAAATAATTCAATATATCTTGAATCAAATTGTTTTGAGAGTTTTGGTTTTAATTTAAATGAATTATCATCATCATCATCATTATTATTATTATTATTATTATTATTATTAGTCGCTGATATACTGAAATAAATTTCAAAAAGGAAAAGAATTTTCTGTTTTGTATGAAACAAATAATCATTATAATTAATAATTAATTGAAATAAATTGTTTTTAAATAAACTTGATAATTCTGCAAATGTATAATCTTTAATACCTAATTCATCATGAAATTTCTCAATTTTTTCAATTTTTTCAATTTTTTGTTTTACAATAATTGGCGACAATGGAGGTGAGATCAAAACAGATGATGATGATAATGATGATGATGATGATGATTGTTGTTGTTGTTGTTGTTGTTGTTCATTATTGAATTCAAATTGAAATTTATTTAACGGTGGTGAAGTTGGTGGTGAAGGTAATTGAAAAAATGGCATGAAGTGTGATGAATATAAATAATTTGGTAATTGAAGATTCCCATTATATATATATATATAATATATATATAATATATATACATATAAATATAATTCGGAGTTACAAAGATTTCAATAATATGCAAGATATGTGTGTAACAATACATATGTGATTTTGTGAAATATTTATACTTTGTGTACTGGCGATAATCCAGGTGTTTAATGTGGATATTTTGATGCATTTAAAGGAGAAAAAAGATAAACAATAAAGCAGGTCTTTTTTAGGAGCTGCTTTATTTTCACATATTTTATAATGTTTGACAATGGTTTAAATTGTCAATTAACTAACTAACTAACTATATAAATATTTATATATATATATATATATATATTATATATCGTATTTTAAAAGATCTAGTATTTTAATAAAAACGCGATTCTTTTCAAGGCGATAAAAAAAAAAAAAAATCGTCGTCTAAAATTCAATTCTGAAACAAATTATTACCCTTTTTTATTTCCTAATTTGGATTCAACAATAGAAGTTCAAGACAAGGCAATGATAAAGTTTATTGTATTGATTATTAACTATGTGCATCGTATAATCTATTATACTTAATCTGTTCAGTATAAAAATAAATAAATAAATAAATACAGTGATAAAGAAATAAAGAAATAATTAAATAAAGTAATAAATAAAGAAATAAAGAAATAAAGAAATAAAGAAATAAATAAAGAAATAAATAAAGAAATACATATTTAAATAAACAATTATTGCAATTACATCTTCAGCCATTTGTCTAACTTACGCCTTTAGTTTTGTTTGAAGATGTATTGTATTGTATGTATATGAAGAATTCTTAGTAATATCTATTCATATAAAATATTTTCTCTACTGTACAACGAATAATTTTCACGCATTAAATAAGAGAATTTGACGTATATGCAGTCTCGTAGTAGTTAATTTGGAAACTTGAGTTGTATGTATATCCTTAATTATTCAAACTACCGTTCTCAAAACTAACTGGTTAAAAACTTGAGCTAAAATAGAGTATATAAAAATGTTAATATTTTTAACAAAAATGCAATTGGTAGCTTAATTCATCGTTAAAAAATGTTATTGCGAAATCAATCCATTTTCCTCATACTAGAGAGAAAATTTTGAAATTTTTCAAATTTAGTGGAGAGCGGCAGAAATTAAATATAATATCTTGGATTGAGGTGTAATATATATAGTTAGTTGTTTGACTGAGAGTTATGGGCCTAGTTAAAATTTTTTTTATACAAATTTAGTTATTCTGAGAAATTTTTGTATAGTGAAAACAGCCCAAAAATGTTTAAAAATAAAAGTTTGAAGTATGTAGAATATTAAAAAAATAACAAATTGTCCAAATCTTAAATTCTTATTTAGCGAATGTGAGCATTAACTAATACAACTAATACATTTGCCTTTGCTTTACTTAACGTTTCCTTAATTTATGTTGAAAATTAAATATGTTGAAAATTAAATACAAGGCTTATACCTATTTTGCAGACGTCCAAATCTTAAGGATTAGTGAATGTGAGCATTAACTAATACAACTAATACATTTGCCATTGCTTTGCTTTCCTTAACGTGTCCTTAATTTATGTTGAAAATTAAATATGTTGAAAATTAAATACAAGGCTTATACCTATTTTGCAGACGTCCAAATCTTAAGGATTAGTGAATGTGAGCATTAACTAATACAACTAATACATTTGCCATTGCTTTGCTTTCCTTAACGTGTCCTTAATTTATGTTGAAAATTAAATATGTTGAAAATTAAATACAAGGCTTATACCTATTTTGCAGACGTCCAAATCTTAAGGATTAGTGAATGTGAGCATTAACTAATACAACTAATACATTTGCCATTGCTTTGCTTTCCTTAACGTGTCCTTAATTTATGTTGAAAATTAAATATGTTGAAAATTAAATACAAGGCTTATACCTATTTTGCAGACGTCCAAATCTTAAGGATTAGTGAATGTGAGCATTAACTAATACAACTAATACATTTGCCATTGCTTTGCTTTCCTTAACGTGTCCTTAATTTATGTTGAAAATTAAATATGTTGAAAATTAAATACAAGGCTTATACCTATTTTGCAGACGTCCAAATCTTAAGGATTAGTGAATGTGAGCATTAACTAATACAACTAATACATTTGCCATTGCTTTGCTTTCCTTAACGTGTCCTTAATTTATGTTGAAAATTAAATATGTTGAAAATTAAATACAAGACCTATATCTATTTTGCAGCCAAAATCTTTGATGCTACCAAATGCCATTAGGTGTTACAATGAGATGAGAAGAAAAATTTACAACTAAGGAAGATAACATCAACATCATATAATTCTACCTTGTATAATGATAATATATTAAATCATTGTTCCCAATCTACATCAAATGATTACAAAAATATTAAAGTTCAAATCTTCATTTATAAACTTGGTACGATTCAATAGATACAATTCATCAACAAATATTCTACATCCTTCAGAATTACCGCAACTACATCCATTACTAATCAAAAGAGTTGACATTTTAAAAAATGATCTCCAAAACTTATCAATTAAATTAGAAAGTCAATATAATGAAGAAATACAAACAAATTATGATAAAATAAGTTCTATTCTATCAAAATATGAAGAGTTTAATCTGGTACGATCAGAAATTACCGAATTGTATAATATAACTGATTCAGAATTAATAAAGGATGCAACAATGGAGATTACTAATCTACAACCAAAGTATACAGATTTAATCAAAGAATTGAATTATCATTTAATACCTCCAATTAAATTTGCTGAAAAACCATGTATTATAGAAATGCATCCAGGAGTTGGAGGCTCAGAAGCTGCATTATTTACATTTGATTTACTCCAAATGTATATAAATTTTTGTCATTTTAAGAAATGGAAATTTACAATAATTTCAATGAATAAAAATTCTTCAGGATTTATTAATGAAGCTATTTTAAGTATTGATGAACCAGGTAGTTATGATACAATAAGGTTTGAAAGTGGTGTTCATCGAGTTCAACGAATACCAGAAACCGAAACTAAAGGTAGGGTTCATACATCAACTGCTGCAGTTGTAGTATTACCTAAAATATCAGAAGGTAATGAATCAACATTAGTTGAAGATGAAAAATTCTTTAAACCAAATGAAATCAGAATTGAATATATGAGAGCAAGTGGTAAAGGTGGTCAACATGTTAATACAACAGATTCAGCGGTTAGAATAGTTCATTTACCTACTGGAATAATTGTAAAACAACAAGATGAAAGACTGCAACCAAGAAATAAAGCTAAGGCTTTCGCATTATTAAGAAGTAAATTAGCGGAAATTGAAAGAATTGAAGAAATTAATTTTCAAAAATCAATTAGAAATGAGCAGGTTAGTACAACCGATAGAAGCGATAAAATTAGAACTTATAATTATCCACAAAATAGGATAACTGATCATAGATGTAATTTTAGTTTGCATGACATAGATGGTTGTATGAAAGGTAATAAATTAATTGAAATTATTAATAAATTGAAAGAAGATGATTATAAAACCAGATTGCGACAATTAATTGGTGATTATAGTACTAAATAGACATCAAATATATGTAAATAGTAGTTGGTATATCATTTTAGAAGGTTTGCAAAGATCTAAAATCAGCAGCCGTGATTATGTAATAATGACCGTGTATCTTATGTAATATTTGGAAACAAAAATAAAAAGTTAAAAAAATTTCAAATAACCAAACCAACCAGAATCATATACTTTCGCAAGGTCAAGCTAACTCAAAACATATGATAAAGAAACTCATAATTCTATATATTTTTCTACTATCATTTGCTCGAGCTTTGGGCATAATAGTGTCCCCTACAAAAGATGCTAAATCAAATATCAATAAATTATCATCACCAAATAATCTAGAAAACTGTATAAATTATCAAGTTAATCCTAATGATATCATAATTTTAAATGTCAAAAATATTGAAAGAATACATTCACAAATTTTGAATTTAGTAATTTTTGATTCAAATGGAAATATTTTGAGAAATCAAAGAAATTTAGCTAAAACGGATAAAGAGTTTGATTTAATTTTGAAAAATACAGATGTTACAATTAATGAGAAAAGAGAAGTGGTTAAAGATTTTATACATATTTGTTTTGACAATTTATATAATGATCTATCTTGGAGTTTTAAACCACGAGATTATGAATTGGAACTTGGCATTAATATCAAATCAAATATGGAATATACAAATTATAATATATATAAGAAATATTTCCTGAATGATTTAGAACAAGAGAAACAACAAGTTGATAATGAAGAATTTGATTCTGCAATTTTTGATCAAAAAATTAGTAAGGTAAGACATGAATTAGATTTAATTGTCGAAAATTTACAAAATTCAGAAGAGATATTGAATGACTTGAAATTACAAGAATCTAAATTGAGAGACATTAATGAGAGTATATTTTCAGGTTATACATTTATAAGTATAATACTTTGTGTTACTATTTTAATTTGTGGTTTAATTCAGTTAATAATTTATAGATTATATATATTTAAAAAATGTAAAATATAGAAACCTCAATGAGTATTTAATGTCGAATTTGAATAAACTCTAGCAATCGAACTCAAAGGATATAATTCAAGAATACAATACAAGATCAATTTTATACGTTTTAGGTAATTTTGCAGCTTTTTCAAGTGGTAGCGTTGAGAGAGTCCAATTTAATTACTTACTTTGTATATTCGTCACACGATGATAAGAATGTAACTGAGTTGACTATTTAGCGTATAATAGAGCTCAGATATTGTAGTTAGAGTAAAATCATTCAAGAAACGATTAGTGTAACCCCACAAATTTGTCAATTTTAGAAAAAACAAATGGAGGTTTCTTTCATTGTGTTTACCAATTGAAACGGCTCAAACACAAATGCTCGAATTGATAATTTCAAACTCTTAGCAAGCTACAGTCTAGCTAAGTTCATGTCATTTTGAATTAAATTTTGAATTAAAAATCGTTTGGTAGGGTAATATTGAAACCTAATTGGTCAATTAAGCACCCAAAATCTTGAAATTTTAAAAGAAAGTTTGTCAGTATTGCCATATAATAGAGCTTAGGCTCCAGTCTAACTCTTGTTTCACCAGCCTAGCTGGTATTTAAGTTATTTGAAGTTGAAGTCGGAGCTACCATCTATTTACTAACGTCCAAAAGCAAATCCACTTTCTGTTACACAACGATCTAAAATTTACAACTTTTCTTTTTGCAGCTTTGTTTAAAACGTAAATTGTTCTAGTATAACCACATTTCATAACCTGAGATTAACTGTTTTGCAATCTTCAACTGATCTAATTTTGTTATATGTTAAACCGACGCGGTGATGATGAGGGTTAAGTTAAGTAAGTGCGTCATTCCAATCGGAAGTGATCCATTTACTGCAAGCTAAAGCAAATTGCTCAAGCTCTAGTCCATAAAGAATCAAGTGGTTTATAATGCTTTGGAAGTAAATTGAATAATCTGTTCATTATTGAGCAAAATACTAAAACTAAATACACTTCGTCACTCAAACCTTACTTAACGTTCCCAATTTACCCAGTTGGGGGTTTTATCTTGCAATTGCACCTAACCATCGTGAAATACTGATGATTTTGCAATATGCTAATGCTATTTGGTAGCGCACCACGAAATTCTGTCCTCTGATTGGTCAGTTGAGCAACTTGAATCTCAAAACTCAACCTATCATCCTAAACATAGCTTTGTTAGGTAGCTCATAAGTTACTGTTTATTGATATATAGTTAGATCTTTGCCAGACCTGCTAGTTCGTGAGATATTTGTACTTTTTATATTTTACAAGCCCCATTTCCTAATTCGATTATTCAACTTTGGACCATCAGCAAAACCAATTTTTGTTACACAAAAACACGATCCAAAATTGGCAACTTTTCTTTTTGTAAATTTTATTTGAAACGTTGATTACTTGAACATGACCACATTTGATAGCCTGAGACGAACCATTTTGTAATCTTTGATAGCTCTAGTTTATTTGATGTGAAGCAAATGCGTTAATAATAGTTAATGGTTGAGTAAAACAATTCAATTCGAAATTTTGATATGTTTTATATAATAAACGAAAGACGAGACCAATTGGTTCAGAATAAATTGTATTTTAATTTCAGGGTTTTCTGACTGGAAAGCAGTTAATTAATTTTGTAATGGTTTTGTATTTGTAGAGTTATTCGTCTTTGAAGATAATATTTTTACAAAGCCAATTCAGCCATTAAATAATTAATAAAAGTCAGCTAGAACATTCAACGTTTGTTGATATTATGTAATTTAGCTCGTGGAGTAAGAAACTGGAATCTATTTGAGCTCATTTCTAGCGTCATGTGAATCTGACTGAATATAAGTACATAAATGATAAACACAGATTGACATCAACAATTGTTACATTAAATGCCAGCTAAAATGTTGTTATCAAGTTTAGCACTTATCAGTAAAACCAACGCATCAGTTTTTTAAAGATTTAATACCGTTCAAAAATCAATTTTTAATCGAAACCAGATACTCCTGTTATACTACGATCCGAATTACCAATCGATAACTGAAATTCGAACTCAAACACTAAAATAAATACTCTTGATGTATTTTTGCAATAATTGCAATTCAACTGTTAGTGGGATGAATTAATACCGGTTTAACATCTTTGCTGGATTACAACAACTGTGCTGAATTGATTAATCCTAGTCCCAAAGCATTCTAGCCAAAGCATTCTAGATCGACTGATACTATGAACTTCTCCATGATTTACTATCAATTGGTAGTGCTCATTTTTTTCAAACCTCATGGTACAGTTTCATATTAATGAAAGAATAATAACAGACAAGAAGCAAATCGGTACCATAAAATATGTAGGACCAATACCACAATGGAATGTTATAGCATTAGGTGTCGAATGGGATGATCCTAAAAATGGTAAAAATAATGGTATATTAAATGGAATTCATTATTTTAAACCAAGGGTTCCACAATCGGGTTCATTTATTAAATCAACTAGCAAAAAAATTGAATCAACTAAAATCTCTTTTGTTGGTGTCATCAGTAATGAATATTTAAATACAAAATATGAACAAAGTGATATAAAATTTGGTAGAAAGAATGTGCAAGAATTTGGTTGGCAAGAATTAAATGAAAAACAATCAAATCTTGAAAATTTGAAATCATTAACTTTAGATTATAAGTTTATAAGTAAAATTTTTGAGATTAATAATGATGAAGAAATACAGATGCTTAAATCATTATCAAAATTAGAAAATTTGGAGCTAAGTTGCAATTTATTTGAAGATATCAAAGAGGTTTGGATACTTTTAGATTGTTTGACAAGTTTAAAAACTTTAAACATAAATGGTAATAGATTTGGCATAACTGAAAATCTTCCAAATATGAATAGCCATGTGACCTCCCTTCATTTGGCATCTTGTATAATTGATATTCCATATTTAAATAAGCTACTTAATAAATTTCCAAACTTGCAAAATTTAAATATAGCTAATAACCATTATAATGATCTGGAGATTTTGAAACTCAAATTACCAAATAATATAACAAAGCTTGATCTTTCCGGAAACACTTTAAATAACATTCCTGAATTTGAAAATTTAAAAAATTTAAATTTGGCGAATAACAATATCATGGTTAGCAAACTATTGGTATCAAACAAATATGAAGCGTTGGATTTAAGAGGAAATAAAATAAGTTCCTGGACTGAAATTGATTTATTATCAAATTGTTTACAAAGTTTGAAAGAATTTCGAGTGAATCACAATCCATTATTTGATATTATGACCATAGATGAAATGACAGTACAATTAATAGGAAGGTTTAGATGTGGTTTAAATGATTTATACAAACTTAACGGTTCGTTCTTGACTGAAGACGAAATTGAAAACGCAAATTTATACATAAATTCTAAAATCCAAGGAGGTGAAATAAAAGTCAACAATAATTTAAAGCTACAAAAACAGTTTAATTATAAAAATCCAAAACTTCATGATTCTCACGATTTTCCTTGGTTAAACTTAAATTTCGTATTACCAGAAACTGGAACTTTTAATGAAAAATTTTTAAAAACAACGAGTGTACTTAAGTTAAAAGGATATGTTTCTAGGAAATTGAATAACTTATCCATTTTGAAATTTGAAATTCAAAGTAAATCAAATGACGATATCAATAATCATAGATTAGAAAATAATTTATCTACAATCAAAGATTATTCATTAGAAAATAATCAAACGTTATATATTAATTTTGTATAAATCTAATCATGATAATTCCATAATCCATCTCCTAAATAATGTATTAATTCTACACCATGTCCTTTATTTTTACTTTTTATGTCATCAGTACTCATTAATAATTTTCCAACTGCTAAAGCATGTTCTTTTCCTTCAGCATAAACAGTAACAATCTTACCTTCTTCAATATTTTCATCAGGTAATTTAGCTCCAGGAGATGTTAAACCAGGACACATAATATTGGCACCACCTAAAACAAATTTTATAGCACCACGGTCAACCTGTACACGAGGAAAAGCTTCAGGAAATTTATGAATTGTTGTTAATGTAGGTACTAGATCATCATTAAAATGTTGAAACATGACGATTTCACGATTTTCTCCATCTTCATCACTTTTATCAACTGAATATAATTGAATTTTATCTTCGCATTTGATCAATATAACTTGAGATTTTTTCGGTATAACTAGATCAATTGCTTGTTCTATATTAGGGTAAAGCGATACAAAATTAGCTTTAAGACCTCTTTGAACAGATGACTTAATATTTGATCTTGAATGAATCTCTTCCTTCGAAAATTTCTTAAACATTATTCAGTTGTAAAATGAAAAATTGAAAATTATTTAAAGAAAAAAAAAATGCCATCAACTATCGCCAAACACAATTAAATTTATAACAAAAGAGTAGTATGCAATGTGAAAATTAATAATTACAATGGCATCATTTATTCTAATGACATCGCACTCAATATATTTTCTACTTATTCTAACCTATTACATGAACTAAAAAAATTCAAGTATCCAGCTCAAGATTTAACAGTGATAAAATTCAAACCGAGCGAGGCACAAGGTTATTCAACATATGTCAAGAATAATTCAAATCATTTAAATAAAAGGTAATGGCCTCACTACTAATCAGACATTTAAAAAATATTTGAATTATTCAATTGACAAATTATCTTCAATGAAGTTTTAACATCAATTAAAATTCAAGTAAAATAAATAGTTTTCCAAAAATTCCCTTAATACCATTCCAACGCAAGGTCAGAACTATTAAAGAGCTGTCAGGTTTAAAGTTTTCAACCAGCAAAAACATGATCTCGGACGAATCCTCACTGATACACGTAATGCCCCTGCATAAAGATGAAGAAGAAGAAGAAGAAGAAGAAGAAGAAGAAGAAAATCTGAAAAAAATTTTATGCGAAAGGTTGGTGATATTTATACTTGAAGTCTTATATTTGAATAGGTGCACTACCTATACTTTAACTATGAATGAATAATCATAATCTGCTTTCAATTTGGACTGAAACTTTGGTGTAAAGTCACATTTGGTATTTAAAGATAAAACCAATCTTTTTGTTGTATCACTTTCAAACTTTCTTCGAAATTTTTTTATACTTGATGAAATTATTGGATCATAATATTCTACTTGATCGTTAGGATCCATTGATATGTAATAGTTTGTATGTAGTTCCATTAATTGTTGATCATCTAAAATTCCTTTCTCTTCATCGTTGCCAAAATCAAAAACATTCTTTTCAGTTAGTGGAAATATTGATGCTTTGGAATGATTTGGAGTTGCACTGACTGAGTTTAATTCCTCATCATATACTATTTCAGGCAGTTGAAATATTGATGCTTCAGAATGATTTGTTGTTACAGCAATTCGTTCTATTTCTTTATTTAATTCTTCATCGTCAATTATTTCAATATCGGAATCATCAATTACATATGATTCATTTATATCGGGGGTTTTTTCAAGTTTTCTTCTTTTTGAATTTCTTAATTGATCAATGATGCTTGTAGTTTTAGACTTTTGTGAAGCTTGTTGATTCACTTTTTGTGTGCCGGTATTGACTTTTGATTTAGATGGTGAATTTTCAATATCTTTCAACTTATTAAAGTCATTGACTACCAATTCATCTTCGCTAAAAAAATCTGAGTCATTAATTATTTCATTCGGTTTTAAATTGGAATCATGATCTATAATTAATGCACTTGTCTTACTAACATCCATTTCATTATGAATCAATTGACTATTTTTTGATTTATCAGTTTCATTTTTAGATATGTCATTATTCTCACTTGCATCTTTGAGCATTGAAGTTACAGTTCTAAATCCTGTTTCCACATTTTCTGGCATATTGAACCTTTTCTTAGTCAGTTTTTTCGATTTCCCTTTATTTTGTTTTTGATGTTGCTTTTGACTTTTCAACATATATTGAGTTGCAATTCTTATAATTTCATCTTCATCTTCTTCAGCTTTAATTTCAGTATTTTCTTCTGGAATCTCAATGAATTTTTTAATTACAATTGGTTCATAATTATTTGGTATTAGACGATTTTGTTGATGAAGATTAATTAATTCACCTTTCATTATATGTTGTTGAATATATTCATAACCACCCATTGCTTTATCAAATTTAGATTCTTCATTACTTGAAAATAATAAAACAACTTTCCCATCTCTTTTACGACCAGTTCTACCCATTCTTTGAATGTTTTTTATTGGTGAAGCAGTAGAATCAAAACAAATAATCAAATCAACCTCTCCTATATCTAAACCTTCTTCACCAATTGATGTTGCAACTAAGATATTAAACTTACCGGCTTTGAAATCCTTAATAACTTCTTTTTGAAGTTTTTGACTCATACCATTCTGTTGAGCATTTTCGGAACTTGATTTATTATTACTAGTTTTTTTGGATTGTTGATTTTTATCTTTCTTTTTACCTTTAGTCATAAGTTTCGTCTCATCAAACCTTTCCTTTTCCTTGGCTTGACCAATGAATATATGTGGTTTCATATAATTTTTAGCTTGTTCAATTGTTTGTACAATCTCCAATGCTGTATCTCTAAATTCTGTAAATATTATTGCTTTTGAATCATTACCTGTACTTTCATTGAAAAAAATATCCAATTCTAACAATAAACATTCAATTTTTGGATGTGAATAATGGTTTTCTTTTAATAAATCAGGTATTCTATCTAATAATTTTTTAACAGGATCACTAAAGTAGAAACATGCATTTAATTTGTTCTTCAGCTTTTTTAATTCAAATTTTATTTTAAATTCACTGTATTTTTCAAAAAAATAATCATAAAATGATTTTAAACCATAATTATTCAATTTTTTATAACATTGTCCAACCATTCCTAAAAGTTGTAACATAAAATGCATTGACCATTTTAAACCTTCGGGTATTGATCTATCCATTTTGATTTTTTTTGATCTTTCAAGACATTGAAATTGATTAATCCTTTTAGGATCGGTAATATCTAAAGCACCTTTTTCATTTGCAATTTTCAAAATAGGTCTAATTGCTTCTGCTAATAACTCTGTACATTCAGTTATTGCATCTGAAGCTAATATGGTTCTTTTTACAATTTGTTTTCGTTTCATATATTTTATTATATCAATGCTTTGTTCTGTTCTGACTTCCACTTTTGATATCATTAAATTATCAATAATTTCTTGAACTCCTTCAACATCAGAAGCTGGTGTTGCTGTTAATGCTAAAATTCTAAATGAATCATTAAATCTTTTGATATATTTGACAACATTATTATAGGCATAATTTCCTCTTGATCTATGAGCTTCATCAATAACTAATAAGACTATTGATTTTGGATTCAAAATACCCAAACACAAATCATTTTCAACAACTTGAGGTGTAGTAAAGAATACATTTTGTGATTCCCAAATATCTTGACGATTTTTTCTAGCTTTATCTAATAAAATTGCAACTTTTGAACTAGGAATTCCTGTTATAGCACAACAAGCTTTAATTTGTTGCGCAACTAATGGTCTTGTTGGTGCCATAAAAATTATCTTGGAGTCAGGAAACCATCTTAAAAAATTTAGCATAATTGTAGAAGCAATAAATGTTTTACCTAGACCAGTTGGTAAAGCAACTAATAAATTATCATGAAATGCTTTTTTAACACTATTATATTGATAATCACGTATTTCAAAATTCGTTGGATAAATATAAGATTTTAAGTTTTCAAAATCCATTTTATGATGAGTTGGAATAGTAACAGAATCTGTACTTAAATTATGACTAACATTTTCTTCAATAATATCATCATTATCAGATACATCTTTTTTCCACCAATTGTCATCATCATCCTCATTTTCTAAGGGTATAGTTTCCATTTTTGATCCATTGATCTTAAATTTGTTTCAGATTTTTGTTTATTTTCTGACGCGATAAATAAAATCACGAAAATTTATATTTAACCAATTCATTTCATAAAACGTATCGTATGATAGCACAAATCTATGTCAGAAAATAATAGCAAAGATCAGTCAGTAGACAAAACAGATCCTTATAATTCTCTTGCTGTTGGTATTAGAAAACTACTGAAACCTTTAAATGAATTGTTAATAATTCATGATGAAATGGTTGTTCAAAATCTTCGAATTTTAAATAATGTGTCAACTATACAAAATTATAACAATCTGCGGAAGCATTAAACTAAAAACTTCTTATAGTGTATTTACTGATTAATGTATATTAAATAGTTTTTCAATTTATACCAAAATTATCATTTAAAAGACCATCAAGATCAAACTCTTTAGCCCAAGTTGAAACAATTGTAGTTTGTTCAACTTTAGGTGGTTCTTTTTCACCTCTTAACGAACTTTTTGGTGCATCTAAATCAATATCAACATCAGTTTTCTTTGAAGATTTAGGTAAATGCCAACCTAAAATTCTACCATCTCTCCAATCATTTAAAATTGACACGGCAGCTGATTCTATATTTGGTACACCTCCTTTACCTAATCTTCCTTTAGTTCTAGCAACATGAATTAAAAAATATTTTGAAAATTCATTAAGATCAGATGAGGGTATTGGTGGTAATTGATAATATTGTTTTAAACCATCAGCCATTTCATTATCTTTAGCAAAAAATTTTAACAACATTTGAACAGCAGGTAATGGATCTTTTATATTTTTAGGAGGTACTGCTGATAATAAAGTCAATTTAGCTAACTGTTGTGATTTTGAATGTTTTTTATTTGATATTTCATCTGGGAATACTATACCAGGAGAATCTAAAATTTTTAATTTATTATCAATTTTTATTTCCCTCATTGATGTAGTAACACCCGCTTGATTACCTACTGGACAAGCTTTTGAATTATTTCCATGTCTATTTGTTAATGCATTAATTATTGAAGATTTTCCAACATTTGGATAACCAATAACACCAACAATAATGGAACGTTTTAAATTTGATTTATTTGCATAACTTTTCAAACCTTTTAATAATGAATCAGCAGTTAATGAAGAAGTTAATTTTTTATTATATGATGTGGAATTAGTTGAACCTGGAGATGCTTTAATTGGAACAGTTGGAAATGAAGATTTTAAAAAATCAAGCCATTGATTTAAAACATGAGTGGGTATTAAATCAACTTTGTTTAATATTAATATTAATCTTTTATTTGGATTTTGTAAAATTGCTTCCTCAACTTTTTTTGATCTTGTTGCTTCTGGATCTCTCGCATCTAAAACATATAAAATAACATCTGAAGCATCAACAACATTTTTAAATATTTTATCATAAGATTTTCTTGATTTTTCAACTCCGTCTAATACTTCATCTTCTTCATCATCACCATCATCTTCGCTAATTTCATATTCTATATCTTCTTCCATAACATCATCATTGTCTTCATTCGAGGTTTCTCCATCATAATCTTTTGCTGCTTGTTGTGCAGATTCTAATAAAGCTGCCATACCGTTTCCTTCATCATCATCTTCTTCTTCTTCCTCTTCAGCATCTTCTATAATTTCATCTTCATCCTCATCCTCTATATTATTTTGTAAATCTTGTTGTTTTTGTAATTTTAATAATTCTTTCTTTTCCTTTTCAACTCTTCGACTTTCTTCTAATTCTTGTATAATTTTATCTTTATATGGAAAACTAGCAGGAATACCAGGATCTTTTCTAACTCTACTTTTCCAAGTTACATCTTTTTTTGATAATTTTTTATCTTTTCTTCTTTTTGCAGCAGCTTTCTTTTTAATACCTTCTCTCATACGAGTAGTAACTCTTTTAGAAGTTGGTTTTTTAACTCTCATGGTTAGTAATTATTATAATAAATAAATATTAAATAAATATTGGGATGGTATAAATTTAATTTAATGAGATGAGAAAAAGATCTGAAAAAAAAAAATCAACTTCGTATATTTGTATTGATTGAATTATATTGATACTTATGGAGTATACTATATTATTATTGATTAGTAGTACTTATATTGGTTCTGTATCATTAGTTAGTAAGTATATGATATAACTTTACTTTATTAAACTTCTTTTCAAACTATTTTAATTGTATATTAATTCCTAATTCATTTCTTGATCCTTCTCATCTCGTATTTCATTAGTATTACTAGTATTAGTATTACTAGTATTATTATTATCCTTATTGTTCTCTATTTGAGGTTGTTGTATTTCATTCTCTTGCCATCTTTGTATCATATCATTCATTAATTTATTTACAAAATCAGGATTTATAATATCATTTCTAAATTGTTCTTGTTGTAATAAATTTAAGATATGTAAACAATTTGGATATACTAAATATTTTGAATAATTTGGATTATTCCAATATTGTAAATAATTCAAGTAATTTATAAACTTTTCATCTTTCAAATAATTATTTTGAGCTAAATATGAAACATAAGGTAAATTACTTAAAGATTGGACAAATTCCAATTCTATTTCCCATCTTGTAGGGAAAGAATTCATTAATTTGTTATAAGAATTCTCTTGTATTACATTATTATTATTATCATTATTATTATCATTATTATTATTATTATTATTATTATTATTACTATCTTGTTGAATTGACATGGATTGAATATTATTGATTATAATTGATATTTATTTGAGATATACACGACTATTTGAGATTTTTGAAAGAATACTTGTAAGATGTTAGGTTAACGAAGGTGAGATTGTATATGTCATTCGGGTTTCTGTTGGATATAAGAAGTTTGAGGAACATTTAAGACTTTTAAAGTTGATAAACGAGTCTGTATGCCAAAGGCTGCTTGTTAAAAGCTTACTTTTGATGTCTATTTCAATGGCGTCAATTCTAGGTCAATTCTAGGTCAATCCTAATGACAAGAAAACTTTAGTGTTTAAACATAGTTAACTATGTTTCAAATATATGAAAAGTACTGTCATAACAAATATTTTCATGTCAATTAAATGTTTTGTCAAGTTTCTTGATTAAATATTTTTGACATGAAAATTTAAATACTTTTGACATGAAAATTTAATATTATTAACATGGGGCAGGAAGAAACATAATTGTTAGCGTGTTTAAAAGGAAGAGTTTAGAAACGAAACTAGTTAATAGATAAATAATTGATAATTCAAATTTGGTTGTATGTAACCTTTGTCCAGTAAAAGTTTGTTATATTTTTGTTATATTTTTACTATACAATATAAAACAGTTATTATAATATTCAATAAATAACTACAACTATGTACTCTTTGATAAATTAACTAAGCATTTGTAACTACACTATTAAAGCTCAACAGTCTAAATAATACCTTCAAGAAGCTATAAGCATTATAATGGATGAATTCATAGAATATCGACTTCGTCTCAAGTAATCATCATAACCATATTATTATGTTTATTAATCAATATACTGCAATGAGTTGCCTCAACATATTATAAACCTTATTTGAAATCATCTTTATCATCTTTATTATCAGGTAGATGTTTTATATGATCATCATGACTAACCTTTCTATTCTTTATTTGTGTAGGAGTCAAATAACCAACATGTTCTGTCTCTTTATTCGATAAACTATCTACTTGTTCATTTTCCGAACCTTCTTCCAATTCCTGCTGTTCTTTTAATATAGCATTTTCAACAACCTTTATAGTAGCTTTCTTTTTTTCTGTTTCAGATGGATTTTTCATAACTGAACTAATAAGACCATAAGGATTTTCAATCTCAACTTTAATACTTTTGAAATTACCATTCTTATTAGTTGCAGCAACAACTTCAGAATCATCTTCATTATTTTTTTCTTTTTTTAATTCATCATCTTCAAGATATGGATTAGTTTTAAAATCTTGTAAATCTTTATCAAGTAATCTATTTAATAATTTTTGTTTAACTGTTGTTTTGAAATTATTTTTCACAGTTGGAACTTTCCATAAAACATAATCTGCACTCTTTTTAATATCATCAGGAGTGAATACAACTTCAATTGAATCTCTAAATGGGACAATAGCAGCAAATATTAAACTGGGAAGTAAAATAACTGTCCAAACTTCTAACAACAACATAACTAAAATGGTTGCAAAAAAATAAAAATAAAAAAAAAAAAAAAATAAATAAATAAATATGCAGAAAAAGATAAAATTTAGATGCAAAATATCAAAAATGAAAGTGTTCTAATCTAATTTATAACTCTATTTCTTCTTTGTAAAACCGTCATTGTTGAATTGTTGTTTATATTCATTTTCAGACGGGACAGTAAATGGTTTATTGATAAAACTGTTGAATCTAGGATTATATGATTTATTTTGATTATTAAATATACTTGGTCTATTTTCAAATTCCTCACTTATACCTATAGCCAGTCTTGTTCTTAAAACTGATGCAGCATTTGAATACTCTGAATTTTGTAAATTTTCAACATCATTTCGCATAAATCCACCTTCTTCAAGTTGAATATTTTGTTGTTCAAGATTTTGATAAATATTAAAATCATTGAAAAATGATCTAACACCAGGAACCTTTGATAAAAATTGACTTAGGTTTCTTTTTATATTAATTGGTGGTTGAAATTTTTTACCTTTCAAACTTAATTTTCGAAAAATGAAAAGCAAAACAATTATTAATATGAATATTAAAATTCCATTAATTACATGTTTAATTTCATTATTATTATTATCATCATCATCACTTAAATCTTCATGAATTGCACCACCAGGTATAAATTTTTTACCAGAGATTTCACTGGGATAAATTCCAATGTTTTTATATTGTATATCTGAATTGGAAGGTTGTATTTGAGATGAAGCATATAATAAAATTCTACCTAAAGTCCAAGATAATTCTTCACCTTCAACTGAATCAGCAGATTTAAAAGGAACATGAACATTTGTAACTTTATCAGAATCATCTAATTTCTGATCATCATCTTCTCCAACTTCAAAACCAATTCTAGGTAATTCAAAACCTTCATGTAAAATATTCATTACCCAACTTGCTTTAAAACATGCGTCTACTAAATATATATTTGGATCTAAATTTGAATAATCACCATTTTGAGAATTTATTAAAATTTGATCCCAATTTGATTCACAAAATTCTTTAACTTTTTTATTGAAAACTTTAAAATTATATTCACCTCCACTATGAAAAATATCATTTGCAGTATACCAATATTCAGAAATTCCAACAAATTTATCTTGTTTAAAATTTAATTTTGGACCATGAATTCCATTAAATAAACATGGTTCTTCTTTACATGGTATTGTTTTCATTAATAATGGATAAATTGTTTTTATACACATTTCATAATTACCAATACCATTAATTAAATAACCTTTATAATCATAAATATAATTTAAAGTTGCACCTTTTGGTAAACATGGATCATTAATAATGTTATCATCATTTTTATTTATTATTGATAATTGTATTAATTGATTAAGAAATCTTTTTCTTGCTTCATTTGCACCAAATCCTAACCATGTAGCTACAAATGCATTCCAAACTTGAGTTTCACCATTTATATTTCGTATTACAACTTTTGATAAATCATCATTATGCTTTTCTATTTCTTCAATTGAAGAAGGAACAAATGCAATTTGAGTTGAAGCTCCTCCCATATCCATAAAACCAATTGATTCATGAGTAGAATCACCTTCAACATAATTATTGAAAGTATTCATTAAATAATTTAAACCGATCCAACCATATAAACCTTCAGAAGAACCATCAATTATTTGAACAAAATTCTCACAATTGGGTAGGTAAAAATTTGTATTTTGTTGAATACTAATACAAGTTTCTTTTAAAATTTGACTTGAAATTTTTTCAGGTAGTAATCTCATACCAGCAGTACTTAAAATAAAAACAGGAGTTTCATAATGTTTTGATTCTGGTATTATTTCGCTAGCAAATTTCATTAAATCAGAATAATGATTTGACCAAATTTTTTTAAATTTCAGCTTTGAATTAAAAGTTGAAATACCAGGAGTAATTTTTTTAGTCCAATTCTTTTCTTGTATAATTTTTGGTGGAGATTGTAAAATAGATTGATTTTTAGTAGATAGTTTTTGATTAATTGGGTTAATCCATTTATAAATTTGAATTCTTGAACCAGAAGAACCAGAATCTATAACAATACCATAATTAAAATTATCATCCTTATCATTATCATTATCATTATTATTATTATTATTAATATTATTTGACAATGATTTTGTAGTTAAATGATGATCCACCACCACCAGCATTATTCTACATATGTTTTCTTAAAACCAATTAAATCAAATGAAAATTTACTATAGTTAACAACAATGTCTTGTCGTCTTGTTGTCTTGCTGTCTTGCTGTCTTGTTGTCTTGTTGTCTTGTTATCTTGTTATCTTGTCGTCTTGTTGTCTTGTTGTCTCGTTTCTGTCAATTATTTGAGTGTCGCAAATTTATATTTTTTTTTTGGTGTTTCAGAATTATCACCAATAAAATGATTATACTACCAAATACACCACCATTACCATATCATATATCTAACAATATTAATGGTTTATCAATTGATTTGTTGAATATTAGATCTTCCTTATATTCATTGAATTTATCAAATTATAATGAATCTATTAATTTTGTATTAAATTTAGAATTATATTTACAACATATTATAAAGTTTAAAGATACAAATAATATTGATTTATCAAATATAATTATTGGTGATTCAATTCCATGGTCTAATTTGATTTATAAATCAAATGAGAAAAAATTTAATAAACTTAAAAGTTTAAAAAAAACTTCTGATAAAGATGATAATATTGATGTTAAAGGGTGGTCATTATTTAATGAATTACAAATGGTTTTAATTTCATTATCTTTAACTTATATAAGAATTGGATCAGAAATTACAAACTCAATTATATGTAAAGAAATTGAAGAACAAGATATTATTAAATCTTATGATAATAGTTGGAAATTAATCATGAATTATTATAAGAAATCTATTTCTTTAATGTTATATGGTCAACAATTGGAAGAGAATTCAAATTGTGAAAATTTTATAATTCAAAATTTAAACTTTACTTTGATACAGAAAATTGGTGATATTTCAATTCAACTAACAATTTTATCTAAATATTGTTGGTATAATAGAGTTGAGTTTAAATTAAATGAAAAATTATTATTGGAGAAAAACACTATTTTATTTGCTAAAGTTGCAATTTATATAATAAATGAATTAAAAACGGTAAAGAATGTAATAAGCAATATGATTAATGAATCACTGGATAATGTTAATTTAAATACAAATGGTTGGATTAATTATCTTTCAATTGTTGAAAAATATGCTAATGCTTATGGTGGATTTTTCTTATCAATTCAATTTTATAAAGAAAATAAAATTGGAAATTCTATAGGTTTAGTACAATATAGTTTATTAAATTTGCAAAGTAAAAAAATGGATTTAAAAGCTAATAATAATAATAATAATAATAATAATTTATTAAATAAATTTAAATCAAAATTTAATGATAAAAGAAATGAACATATTTTATCAAAATTAGATTCAATATCAACTTTAAATATTGATAAATCTATTTTTAAAGAAAAATCAGAAATTATATTAAATGATGTTTTTAATTTATTTGATATTTTAATCAAATTAAATTTAAAATTTACTAAAGAGAATAATACACTTCATTTTGATAATGTAATACATTATAATGAAGTAAATAATGATTCAAAATGGCCTATAGGATGTAAAATACCAATAACGTCTATTAAACCTTTTGATCCAAATAATACAAATGATGATGATGAACAATTGGATTTATATAGTGGTAAAGGTGCATATTATTAAATAAATGTAATTAAAATAAATTAATAAGTGAATAAATAAATGAATAAATGAATAAATGAATAAATGAATGAAATACTAATAATAATAATAATAATATTAAAAAAAATTAAAGTAAACGATGAATTTCTTCATCTTTAAATTGATCTAAATTGTCTAAATCATCCCACCATTTAAATAAAAATGTTTGACAAATTAATTTAAACCATGGTGTAAATACTAAAGATTTATCATTAAACATTTCTCTTAATTCATTTGCTGTAACATATTTATAATCTTTAACTTCATTATAATTTGCATTAATATGAATTTCATTATTAGCTTTTAAAATCAAAATATAATCAATTTCATGTTCACCCCATTTTGAATTTGGAGAACCACTTGGAGATTTATAATGAATTCTTGTTAAATAAGTAAAATTTTTAATTGGAGTTTCATTGATTGGTATACCTAATTCATGATCTAATTTTCTTTGAGCCGCGATTTTTGCACCTTTTACTGCATTTGATAAACTAAAAACATCATTTGATGATTGACATTTATCACTAATACCTAATTCACTTGGAATACATAAAGGATGAGAACAACAAGTATTTGTCCACATCGAAGGAAATGTTATTTTTTCATCTGCTCTTTGTTGTAACAATAATTTACCATCTGAATTAAATAAAAATACTGAAAATGCACGATGTAATAATCCAAGATTAATATTGTCCATTATATGACATAATTTCTTAGTACCAGCTCCCAATGGATTATCATTATAATCTAAAACAATACATAATTCTTCCATTAATCTAATTTGTTCTTCATCATGACCATTAAATAATTCTGATGATGATGATGAGCCAGATGTTGAATCAATTGAACCTGCTGATCTTGGAATACCTGATATTAGTTTTAAAGGTGTTATTTCTGACCATTTATTTAAAATATCTTGACCTTTTAGACTAGCGACTAATTTAGCATAACTATTATTACCATTATTCTTATATGTTTCCTCTGTTGTTGTCATAGAAGCTGATGAAGGCATATACTTACTTCGCATGGGCTAAAAAAAAATTTATATATTTTTTTTTTTTTTTTTAATTCTCTGTATGGAATTTTTGTAATACTACTACTACTACTACTACTACTACTACTACTACTACTATTACTGCTACACTGTAATTTTGATATAACAGAGCCATAATAATAACATAGAATAGGTAGAACCATTACCGAATAAGTCTATTTATTCAGTCACTTTAGTTATATCCTTGTGTACAATATTCAATGTTTAATGTTTAATGTTAAACTCAAATATATCTTTCTTATATTTTTCATTCTACGTTAACTTCCGTCGTATAATTTGGATCGAATTATACGAGCAGAATAATAAAAAAAGGTCGTGTAGATAAGCTCAACAGAAAAAATTTATTTTTTTGTTTTGTTTGTTTGTTCGATTAGAGGTCCAATTATCCGACCAGTATAATAAAAAAAGGTCGTGTATATCAGCTCAACAGAAAAAAAATTATTTTTGTTTTTTTGTTTTTTTTTTGTTTTTTTTTTTTGTTTTTTTGTTCGATTAGAAATTCAAAAAAATTTTTCAATATTGTTCATTAAGCGGTGGGTGGTTTTTTCTTTTAGAATCAATTATTTATCTGATTATATATATATTTTAACTCATTGATCTTATCCTATTTATATCAATATGTCTGGTTTAAGTGGTGCTAGTGGTGCTAGTGGTGCTAGTGGTGCTAGTGGTGCTAGCGGTTTAAGTGGTGCTAGCAAATTCATAAAACGTCCAGATGATAAAGCTTTAAAACAAAAAATTGAACAATTAAAAATTGAAATTAAACAATTGGATGAACAAAATAAAGATCTAAATGATAAAATATCAAATTTACAAATTGAACCAAAAATTTTAAATGAAAAAAATCAATTAAATAATCGATTAAAATCTTTAATTTCTAAACAATCAAATTTAAAAAATGAAAGAAATTCAATTAATGATCAAATTAAATCAATTGATAATTCAATGAAAAAAAAAATTTTAGAAATTCAACAACAAACTTCTAAAAATAATTTTAAAAATGTTGGAGAAATAGATTCAAGAATTAATTATTTAGATAATTTAATCGACAGTGGAAATTTAAAATTAGCTGAAGAAAGAAAATTTGTAAAAGAAATGTCTTCATTACGTAAATTAAAAAAAGATTTTGGTGGTATTGAAAAAATTCAACAATTAATTGATGAAGATAAACTCAAAATTGTTGAATTGAAACAAAAATTAAATTCAACTCATAATAAAGAATTAAATAATCAATTTGAATCAATTCAAAAAAAATTGGATGAAATTAATTCTTCAAATAAATCAATTACTTCTAAAAGAGATGGTTTATATGATAAAAGAAATGAAATTAAAAAACAAAAAGATTTAAAATATAATGAAATTAGACAATTAAGAAAAGAATTTGATGAAAAATTTGCAAATTTTAAAAAACAGATGGATGAAAAAAGAAAACTAGAAGAAGAAGAATTTAAAAAGAAACAATTGGCTGAAAAACAAGAAAAGAAGAAAAAACTTGCTGAAAAAGAATTAGCTGATGCTTCAATCCCTGCTTTTACAACAGAAATTAATTCAATTCATAATTTATTAAGTTATTTTGATCCATCATATGTTAAACCAATTAAGAATAAAACTCAAACTAATGGTAAATTATCATCATCATCATCAGCATCATCATCAACTACTAACACTAATACAAATTCAAGAACTATTGAATTTCCACAAGATTTTGTAGTTGTTAAAAAAAAACAAGAAGATTTTTTTTCTGGTTCAAAAGGTAAAAAACAAGCTAAAAATCTTTCAAAAAAGAAACAAAATAAAAATTTTACTGTTGCTCCAGAAATTGTTGTTGCTTTAAGTGATTTAACTATATCATTTCCAACGAAAGAAGAAGATGTTCCTGAAACCATTAAAGTTTTAAAAGAAACTTTAACTGCACTTGAAGATAAACAAGAAGAACAAACTAAAACAAATATTGAAAGAGCAAGAGCTAGAATTGCAAAATTAGAAGACGAAGAAAATGAAGATGATGAAGAAGAAACTGCAGAAGAAACTGCAGAAGCTCAAGACGAAGAAAAAGTTCAGGTTGAAAATTAGAGATAATTAAAGAGATAATTTAATTTTAACTAGTAAATAATTATTATCAGTATAATAGATTTCGTATCATTTTACAAAATTAAACAGCGATCTCTTCTCTGGCCGTCAAAATTGAACTGTTTTCTAAAAGGGTTAAATTGAAGGACAAAATTTTGATTTTCTTTTGCTTAACTTCAACAATCACAACTAAAATTATTATATTTAAATTTAGCAAGTTTTTAATTATTATATTTAAATTTAGCAAGTTTTTAATTATTATATTTAAATTAAGCAACTTTTTCTCGTTTGAATGATAGCAAAACCATTCATTTTGGATTAAAATTCGTTGTTTTAGACCTTGTTGAAATAATTTGTTGAACCTGGCCTTTTCTTTTTGTTTTGTGTCTAGTTAGTTTTTCGCGTTCTCGGTATATTGTTTCATATTTAATCGCGCAATCTTAGATCTATATTGCGCTTTTGAAATTATATGAAAGCTTTACTTATTCAATGCGTATTATTGTACCATAGTCCTTACCGACTCTTGATAATAAACTAAGATGTTGTTTACTAGTTTGACTTGTTTGATAAACAGTTCAATCTGAAAATGGATTACTGTTTAAGTAAGATTTAAATCGTTTGGTATAAGTCATTGAGAAATAATCTTGCTATAATTACTTGGTCAGAGTGTAACGTTCTTAAACTTAACCATTACAATTTATATATGATATTTAAGAACCAATACCTAATTATCTTCATTGTCAGTTAATGTTGATGAAAGTATACTGAAATGATGTGGTAACAGTAAATTCTACGAGTTATCAAAAATTGAATTTGAAAAGAAATACTTGAAAGACTCGAAAAACAATTAATACTAGGTCGATCATTGATTGGGCATGGAGCTTTAACCATTATAGCTGTTATTCGTAATGGTGACTCTATGCAATAAAAACCTACAAATACTATCACTAGAAAGCTTATCAACATCTTTAAAACTCTACAATCTAATAATCTTAACGGAGTTTTCTTATTTGGTAAAAACATACTAACAATTCAAAATTAAATTAGATAATTATTCTTGAACCAAAAACAACAAACACTTGAGGTACAGAGTGATATTCAATGTGATTAAATATTTTGCAAGTCCGCTAGGTAATTTTAGTTGATAATTTACTCGGTATATCTTGTAACACATTTATTTTTCTTTTTTTGTAGATGATTCTGCTGATGGCGGGTTACTCAACGCAATACTTTACAGTTGAACAAGTTGTATTATTTCAGCATATTACTCTGATTAATGATGAGTCAGTATGATTTTCACATTCCTCATCCTTCTTTATTAATTCCAAAAAAATTTTGCTGGGATTGGACCCATCTGTCAAAAAAGCATTAGCTGAATTTATTAATCAACATCGTAGAACAATTAATTGTTCTCTGATTTCAACTTTAAAACTTAAACATTTTCATATTCGACCAAATTAACTTCCATTAGTCAATTTAATCCAATTTAAAACCAAGTGCTGATGAATTTTGAATATTGATAACTAACTGTACTTCTTAAATCACCATCATCATTGAAATGGGTATCTTTAATATTAACTCGTAAATTTAATTATATTTTTTTTTTATTTTTTTTTTTGAAAAAAAAAATTAGATGAGTATAGAGTTTAATTAATATGTCAAAACCAAAGGTTAAACAGCAACCATCAACTACCAAGAAACCAAGTAGAAGTAAGCAAGCATCTGTATCTATTTGTATACCTTCAAGTGTAATATCATCCAAAAATGCATATAATTTACAGCAACAAACTTCAATTGTATATCAAATTGTAAAAGCATGTACAATATATAATGTTTCAGAAGTTATAATTTTAAATATACCAGATATAAATGAAGAAAAACAAGAAAATGTGGAACAAACTATAAATGGTAATAAAAAAGTTGTATTCAATGGAGAAAAAGTAGAAACAAAATTAGAAACAAAGAAATCAACGTTAAACGATGATACTTTATTATTAGCTAGTTTATTACAATTTTTTATAACACCACCATATTTAATTAAAACCATGTTTTCAAATAAATCAAATTCAAATTTTACCAAAATATTACCAAAATTTAAATATGCATTAAAATTACCAAAAATAACGACACTACCATTTATGCAAAATAATGAAGTATATAAAAATTTCAAAGAGGGATTAATTATAGCAAAAAAAACACCTAAAATTAAAAAGAAAAATGAGATAATTAAACCAGAAAGAAAACTAACAGTTAGTAAATATGTCAATATAGGAGAATCGAAGCCAATAAAATTAAATATAAAAAGAGAAATACCTATATATTCAAGAGTAACAATTGATATTAAAAATAAGACAATTGTATCGCCAATTGAAGCATATGGTTATAATGGCTATAAATCATCATTTGGTTATAATGTTAGAATAGTTGACGAATTTAATAAACTTTTCACCCAATCTCCAATTAAAGAAGGATATTCAAAAACATTATTTATAAATTGTGATGATTATTTTGAGAATAAAAACAACAGAACAAAAATTAATGAGTTAGACGAGTTTAATTGTCAAGAATTTAAAAATAAGACTATTACAACTACTAATGATAACAAAAATAATAATGATAACCTATTATTATTAATTGGAAATTTAAATGATTTTGAAATAAATTTTAACAATGATTCATCAACTATGTTTAAAGATTTAAATATTGTACAATTAATTGATAATAAATTAACTATACCAAAAGGATGTAAAATTGAAGATGGTTTATTAATCTGTTTAACAAGATTATTATTATAACATGTGTAGTAATAGTATAAAAATAATCGTCGTCTAATGAATAAATAAAGTATACGCAATTTACTGTACCCAGAAGAATGTATATAAAAAAGATCTTTCTATTCCAGATCTAGACTTTTGCTATAGAATTGTTTCTAAAAATAGATTTATTTGTAAATTTAGTATAAACAACAAATAACTAACTATAGTATGAATAATAGATGTTTCTGATAGATCACGGTATATTTGTATAAACTGATGATACTAATGTTGTCCTTTTCTACTGTTCTTGAATATGTTATCTACTATATCCTTTTCATGTAATTTGCCATATCTATATATATCTTGTATATCTTGTATATCTTGTATATCAGATTTGAGTATTGCACTACCCAGGGATTTTATTTTTTTTTTTTTTTTTTTCTGTTTGTTGATTTATTTTATTAATTTAGAAATTTCAACCTTTTATTTCATTTTCCATTCCTTTATTCATTTACATTTGTTGTTTATTTTATTTATATTTATAAAAGAGACATTCGTTTATTGAAACCAAATTATATTAATTTATAACTACAAATGCAATTCAAATTTTTATCAACAATTGTTAGTTTATTAGCAACATCTTATGCTATTGGTGATATTGCATTCAATTTAGGTGTTAAAGATAATGAAGGTAATTGTAAAACAGTTGAAGAATTTGAAAAAGATTTAGAAGTTTTAAAACAAACTACTTCAATTATCAAAACTTATGCTGTCTCTGATTGTAATACTTTACAAAATTTAGGTCCTGCAGCAGAAGCTGAAAATTTTAAAATTATGTTAGGTATTTGGCCAACTGATGATTCACATTTTGAAGCAGAAAAACAAGCTTTACAAAATTATTTACCAAAGATTTCAACTTCAACTATTAAATACTTTTTAGTTGGTTCTGAAGCTTTATATAGAGATGATTTAACCGCTCAACAATTATCAGATAAAATTAATGAAATTAAAGATTTAGTTAAAAATATTCAAGATAAAGATGGTAATCCATATTCAACTGTTCCAGTTGGTACCGTTGATTCATGGAATGTTTTAGTTGATGGTGGTTCAAAACCTGCTATTCAAACTGCTGATATTGTTTTAGCAAATGCTTTTTCATATTGGCAAGGTCAAACTCAGCAAAATGCTTCATATTCTTTTTTTGATGATATTATGCAAGCTTTACAAACCATTCAAACCGTTAAAGGTTCAACTGATATTGATTTTTGGGTTGGTGAAACAGGTTGGCCATCAGATGGTTCAAATTTTGAAAATGCTTATCCATCAGTCGACAATGCAAAAGATTTTTGGCAAAAAGCTATTTGTGCAATGAGAGCTTGGGGTATTAATGTTGCTGTTTTTGAAGCTATTGATGAAGCTTGGAAACCAGATACTTCAGGTATTAATGATGTTGAAAAACATTGGGGGGTTTGGGATGCAAATTATAATTTGAAATACCCAATCAATTGTGATTTTGATTAAGTCTTGCTTATAATTTTATTGCATTAATTGATTTGTTGACTTTACTTGAAACTAAAATTATTTTATACCAATATATATTAAAAGTTTTCTAAAGCCCAATTTCTTTGCTTAATTGTAATATTGACAAGAGTAGTGCAGTGAGATTGTCAATACAATTGTATTTTTAGAGATACTCTTCTTGTTGGATAAAAGTCAAGCAACTACCTATTTCTCTTGATTCTTTTAAACGTTCAAAAACTTTAATCGAAATGAAATGTTGAAGCGAATAGCTTTGGCTTACGATAGCTGTATCTCATGTGGAATCGCTAACTTACTTGATTAGAATAAATTGATTCAATGAGATAAAATCAATCAGATCCTCATGAAAATTGAAATTATAAATTTAAAAGCTCAGTAACTCGTGCTTTTTAGGTATTTAATGCTTCAGTTGGTCGCAATGCTACCCCAAACTAATTTTAAAGTATGTAATTCAGTGCCGTTTAAAACGTTCTGAACGGTGAAACCAACGATCGCCTTGATCAAAAATATTTTTCTGCCACATTTTCATTCCACGTCGGTCGAAAGCTTATTTTAGGTAAATTTTTTTATTTCATCAATCTTGACTTATATGCAGTATTGTAATAGTTAGTCTTAAAAAGTTAATTAATAAACAACACCTTCAATCTTCAAACTACTACTCCCAAACTTCATTAATTAAATTCTTTGGTAAAAATGGAATAAAATGGTGCTAGTAGCTTTTGCGAAATCGTGGTTTTGATCAATTTATCTTTCGTTAAAAGATCGGCAAAAACGCTGAATTGAAAGATAAATAACACTTAGATCTCATTTAGCAACTTCATGTATGACCGAATCAGTTTATTTAACCTCAAATACTGTATTTAAGACACTCTAATAAATTTTCGAACCACTTTGAAAAATCACTTTTCCAACCTTAAAAACCTTAACACAAAAATCTCTAAGGTTTAATGAGATGTCAAAACTAAAAATTTCGATAGTTTCATTTTTATTTAGTCTGAATACTTACTGTGGAATTAGATTTTTCGAAAGGTCCATTTATTCAATTTTCCACATACTTAAGAGAAAATTTTAAACTTTCTTACTTTTAAGAGCAGCTAGATTCAAATCCAGCATCTTTGATTAATTTATTTTATATATAATCCGTTGTTTGATGACCAATTATGGGCCTAAAAATAAAAGATAGCGTGCATTTTCAGTTTTGGCAATTTATTTGTATGGTGGAAAAGGGCAAAAATGACGACTCAAAATAAAAAATATTTGAAATCTATAATTTGATGTAAGTACATCATATATTTCAAAATTATGGATCTTGTATATTAGTACATATCTTGAGAAAATGTGTTGTTTTACATATAAGCCAATTCATTCATTAAGGTTCGTCCCAAAATTTGCGCGAAGAAATAATTTTCCTGCACAAAATTAAAAAATGAATTTGGAGATTATCAGGTATTGGTAGTCGGACAAAATAAATCTTAAGCTGGCAAACGCACATCAATAGAAAGCGCCAATCGTGGAAAATATTACCCAGCTCTAGGAGCTCCTATTTCAAAATGTTTAACAAAACTGAAAAGATGCGAGTGTGATCAACATACTCACGTGATTTGTTTTGCTTATTATTTAAATGCTTATTTAAGTACTATGTCGAATTTCAACAACAACAAGACTGGATGGCCAAGCTGGTTAAGGCGTGAGACTGTTAATCTCAAGATCGAGAGTTCGATCCTCTCTCTGGTCGTTTATTTTTTTTTTGCTTTATACCCAAATTTTATTCTTTAATACTTTTTTTAGTAGTTTTATCAATTGTTTGAACCAACTGAATTCAAAATTTGCAAATTAGACGATTGATCATAAAAAAAAAAAGCCCTTCATTTTACTACTTTATTTAGTGATAAATAAAAAACTCCCAGACAGGGAATTGAACCCTGGTCTACCATGCGACAAACGGTAATTCTAGCCACTAAACTATCTGGGACGATAATCGGCAATTTACGACTATTCTAGCTGAATTTTGCTAAAAGCAAATAAGCCTAAGTTCTTAATTATAATTCAAATTATAATTCAAATCATAATTCAAATCATTTTTATTTCATCGGCTTTTACAGCTTTATCCATGAGATGTTGCATCATTGCAATTGAAAGTATTGATGCGTTTCATAAAGCTAAAAGTTTGCTTGGCATGATTTGTATCTTGCTTTGATTTATTTCCCTGATTTTTACAAAATTCTGAAAAAATTTAAAATAAAGCAAATCCATAAAGCCATAGTTCATGAAAATTGGCTATTTTAACTATTGAAATTGACATTCAATTTGTCAAGAGAAAAAGCAAAGAACCTAGGAAAATTCTATGTATGTTAAAAATTAGTTCTATAAAATCATCTCCTGATCGAGTGCAATCGTAGAAACAACATTATAAAGGAAGCGTCTAGAAAAAATCCTGATCCAAACGCAAAACTTAAAGCTTAAGTAGCTAAATACGTATGGTTTAGGCTTTTAATGCTACTGCATTACCCATTAATTTTGGTAATCGTTTTAGGGGGTATTAATTAGAGGGCCGCAGCTGATAAATAAAATATATTTGAGTAATAACTTATTAATATAGGCGATAGTCTTCAAACTAACTATTAGAATTAATGATTTCGTGTTGAATACTGAGTTAGAGTTTGTAGCATTCAGTTTTGTGCTAGGAATTGTTCTATATCAAAAAAAATAACGTTGTTGAAATCGGCAACACTGAATCGATATAAATCTATTCACTATTCTAATATGCTGTCATTGAATCAATCAAATGATTACAAACAATTAACAAGAGATTACTTGAACATATTCTATTCTAAAAAGTTCACCCAATTTTTGAACACAACGCAAACCGGTTCAGCTCATATATCATCTGGTATCAACCTAAGCGTTTTTTTAAAAACGATATTTACTTCATTGTGTTTCTGTGTTATACAACTTACCCTTTTTTGTTTACTTAGACCGATATTCAAAGTTTTATACCAGCCTAGATGCTTTTGTGTCCCAACGAATGAAAAAATGCAGTTTTTACCAAGGGGGTTTTTCAGATGGGTTGTACCAACATTAAAATGCAATCTTAATGAATATTTAACTTTAGGATTAGACGCGTATTTCTTCATTAGATTTATAAATGTATTACTGTTGTTTTTTTTAGTCACTGGTACTTTGAATATGATTCTATTAATACCGATTAATTTTACAGGTTCAAGCTATGACTATTCGGCACAAGGATTGGATAGATTAAGTATTTCAAATATTGCAAAAGAAAATGTCAAAAGACTAAATGCCCATTTTTTTATGGGTTTATTCACAATTGGTTTGTTTCATTGGATGATTATATTTGAGTTTAAAAGTTTTGTAAAGATAAGACAAGGTTTTTTACTTTCAAAAACACACAAATCATCACCAGTAGCTACAACTTTATTGGTTTTCAATGTTCCAAGTACTTTAAATAACTTAGTAAAATTGAAAGACTATTTTAAGTACATTCCTGGAGGAATAAAAAATGTTTGGAAAATTTACGCTTTTGCAGCAATTGATTATGAGGTTTACAAGGCTCATGATGCATTAAATATATTGGAAAAAGCATACATTTATAATTTAAGAAAGGTTTACCAGAATAAATCTCAGTGGTTCGGTTCTACGTCCAAAAAGTTGTTAATGAACTCCAAATTTTATCCCCCAATTTATTTGAAATTTGATATATTGAATGTATTGACCATAAAAGTCAAATTTCCTGGTTGGATACGAGTATTCGTCTTGCAAAAACGTGAAATGGTGTTGGATTGGTGTATTGGAACTTTAACTCAATGTGAATATATAATTCAAGAAGAAAAAAACAAGCTAAATAATGATGAACTAATGGCTAGTAACAAGTTGTTTATTGAGTTTAATACACAGCAAGGTGCCAGTATTGCACATCAATGTTTGTTATCTGAAATTCAAGGTAAATTTGACCAAAAATTTATTGAAATTAACCCAGATGATATTATTTGGAAAAATTTATTACAAAACAATGGAATATTAAGTAAGTTTAAAAAATATCTAGTAACAATAATTTTTATTGGTATTATTATACTATATGTTATTCCTGTTTCATTGATTGGATTATTTTCCCAAATATCTTTATTAATTCATTTGATACCTAGTTTAAAATGGATATATCAATTTCCCGAGGAAGCAAGAGAAACTCTATCTGGATTCTTACCGTCAATATTATTAACAATCTTAACTGAGACAGTGATGATCACATTCAGAATTTTAACATTCTATAAAGGCAAAATAACTGGTAGTGAAATTGAATTGGACTTGCAAAAATGGTATTTTGCGTTTCTATTCGTTCAACAATTTTTGGTTGTAACAATCCTGTCAAGCATTACAGTTGTCTTCAAACAAATTATTGATCAACCGACATCTATACCAATATTATTAGCATTAAACATACCTAAATCAGCAACATTTTTTTTCCAATACATTTCACTTAGAGCTTTTGCATTTTGTGGTAATAATTTCTTAAGAATAAGCCAGTTAATTTTAACAAATACCATTTATAAGATTAATGACATAACTCCAAGACAAAAATTCCAAAGAATGACCAAATTGTTAAAAATAAAATGGGGTACAGTTTTTGCAGCCTATTCCACTTATGCATGTATTGGATTAACTTACTCAATCATTTCTCCCTTGATATCAATATTTATTATATTTTTCTTGAATTTATCAATATTATACTATAAATATGCTTTGAAGTATGTCTTTAGTTCAACAAATGAGTCCGAAACAACAGGAAAATTGTATCCAATGGCTTTGTTACATCTATACACGGGTATTTATTGTTTGGAATGTTGTTTAATTGGAGTGTTTTTTTTACTGAAAGATGACCAAAATAATTGCCCCTTAAAAATTCAAGGCTGGATAATGACATTTGTACTAATTTTAACAATTTTCACCAATTCATTCATATATTATCGATATAAGCCTCATTTTTCCAATTTACCAATTCGGAGTACTGATGAATATGAAGGTACTACTAATGAATATTTATATAGACATCCAGCTTTTAGCTATTGCACACCTCAATTGTGGTTGCCAAAAGATCCTTTTGGATTTTCTGAACTGCAACTTAGAGATTTAAACTCGAAGTCAAGGTTCAGTGGCCAAACAAATGGTGCTGAAGTACAAATCGGAAAATGGTTTCAAAATTTTAATATAATTGTCACCTCAGGTCCACCAAATCATACATAACCAAAATTATTGTCTAGATGTTTTTTAACACGAAGTGTTTTAATAAACTTGTACCACATATTTAATAGATGGATATTCTTTTCCAAAGCTTCTAGCTTACACTGTTTGATTCTTTCAGTTAACCAAAATTTTTTCACTTCAATTTCATCAGATTTTAAAATCAAAACTCCGCTTTTTTTTGGTATAGCTCGATTCTCTTTAAAGATAAATCCCACAACAACTGGAACATACTGAAATTTGAACTTTAAAATATTCTCTATATCTGACAATTGTAACCAAATACATTTTTCGGGAATCATAGTATCACGAAAAATTTCAATATTACCATATCTATTTCTTGGAATTATAGCACCATCTACTCTCGGTTTAATATATGGACAAGTTTGACTAAAACTATAAAGCTGAATGTAATTTAAATTTGGATCTTCAAGCTGGTTTTGATTAAAAATTCTTCTATTGTTAATGGTTCTGGGCGAAGCTATAATTGATTTAATAGGTTTTCCAATTTCGTGCGGTTTTATCGATCGTCCCAAAAATTTCCATTGCTGCTCTGATTTACCTGTTATGACAACATCTTTAAAATAAACTGGTTGTGATCTATTATTGAATTTAATAATCTTTAAAGGTTCAATCCCTGAGGGTATAACTTCATTTGAGCGTAAGGAATCTTGTGTTGCAAAATTCAAACTTTTTTTCATTGCAGAATATGTCTCTGGAATTGTAACATTATTCATTGAGATATTTAGTAAAGCTGTTAGTTCCATATAATCATCATTTGTGTAATGTCGCCGTCTATTCATAATTCTAATTAAAGATTGTAATAAAAGAGAGCTTTTACCAAGATCAGTTCTCAAATCTAATAACTTAAAGTATCGGTATGCAATATTCTTCATATATCTTGGACTAACATCTATAATTAAATTATCATTATTAAAGGCTAAAACATAATGCATCGACATTTGACAAAATTGATTTAAATTAGGATAATATTCTGGTGTATACAAGTTTTTTTTTGAATTGAATCTCTTCAATCTAATTAAGTGTTTTTCGGTTTCAAAGAAACATTGAGTTTCTACAACAAAAAGTTCAGAATGATCCAAAGGATTAATTAATTCAGTCCAAAAATACGGATATAATAAATCATTGTCTTTATTTGCTTTTAAAATTGAGGCATCTAGTTTTGGCTGAGTCTTCGTGGTCCTACTCATTGATAGCAAGGGTAGGGAGAAAACCAATCTAGCTTCAAAACCTAAACTTCTCAATACTGCAGTAAAAATTTGAGCTCCAGTATCTCTATTATGTTGAAATTTCTTAATAATGGATATTAAATCAGATACATTGTTTATATGTTTCGCATTATTTGGATACTCCCCAGCAGTTCGTTGGTAACCTAGCACTCTTATTCCATTCGAATCGTGTTTAAAATTTTTTCTAAACCATTTGATTAGATATTTAATTAAATACACTAACAACTCATCATTACCATTCTTCTTGAATTTTTTATAATGTTTATTGAATGAATCAGGTACCATCTTTCTTAAAACTTTTAATACCTTTCTATCGGATAATAGATTATTTCGAAATTTTGCATGTAATATATAAGATATCATACTTAGATATTGCAAACTAACTCTTTGCTTCTTTTGTTGTATCAAATGTTTAAGCTTTTGTTTATGAAGCAGTAAATTGATAGTAAACTCTTGAGGTTGATTTTCTTGACCATCTAAATTAACATCTTCAAAATCTGAATCGTTGAGATTTTCAGTATCAATATCAAAATCAGCTTCTTCTAAAGTTACTTTTTGCTTTTTATTTGGTGATTCAAAATGTATATCATAATTAAAGATTCCCTCATCATCATCATTATCATCATCATTGATGAATAATGACATACAATTAAATTTTAAGGTACGAGAAATTGCTACCATGCGCTTTTTTTTTTACTTTGAAATATCTTACTACATGCTACGCTTGAAGTAACAACTCAATATAAGATTAAACAATAGAGACATGTATCAACTTAACATTCAAGAGTTTCATTGGTTATTTTATTACTTTGTTTCAATCTTCATTTAATATTTTATTAACTTTTATAAACTCTGGTATTAAATTCCATTGATCAGTTGATTTAACTAATGAATCATGTCCATAGACTGTTAATTTATCAAAATTTGCAACTGATGTGAATTTATTAGCAGTTTGAATCATTTCTGTATTCACTATATTTTCTTCATTTTCGATTGAATTATCAAGTGCGTATTCAGATTTTGTTATAATATAACCCATATAATTTATTTTCTCAAGATCTATTGTTTCACCTACTAATTTACGTCCTCGAAAGTAAGCAATGTCCAATAGTTTATTATCATTATTATTTGATTCTTTTAATTTTGAAGGTGTAAAATAATCTAAAGTATTAATATCACCATTATATTGAATTTGAAATGGCAATAACGACGCTACAACATTTTCATTTTGATCTTTATTTACTTCAATTGTTGACATGCTGATCATCGTTTAACTGAAATGGGAATGGTGAAAAATATTATTATTATTATTTTTAATATTTACTTTTTTAAAGAGCGTCATACAATAATATTAATTTATTACTATAAATACGACATTGATACGATGACTAATTTTTATGGTTAATAATAAGGAATTATATATATAAATTAAATCATTATATATTTAAAATACTTGTGGAAAAGTATGTATAAAGTAATTTGTTATCAAATTAGTTTAACCAATCAATAGATAACAACAATCAAAAGAAAAAAATATTAATTAAGAATATTGGGTCGAACCACAGTTTCTAGTTTAGACATATATATATTAATTACTTATTTAATAGATTGTAAATAGTGAATATTCACTTTAGTTATATATTATCGAGTTGCTTAAAGTTGGTTAAAGGTTAATCATGTCGACTTTTAAGTTTAAGACCCCAGGGAATAATGATAATAATGATAATAAGCTTTCCAAAGGTGATTTCCGTCATTTGTCCCCAAATATAATTCATGATACATCTGCTGGTACATCTGGTTTAATTGCTGGTGAATTAGCTGCTGAAGATGATAATTTATTAAATAGTCAAATATTAACATCCCATGAATATGGCTCAATAAACTCACATCAATCATTAATACCAGTAACTCATGAACAACAACAAGAACAACAGAAACAATATCAAGACGAAGATATATTAACATATGAAATTGATGAACCTAATTCCGGGTTTGCATTACCTAAATCTCAATTATTTTCGGTAATTTCTTCATTATTTATGGCTTCATTTTTAGCAGCATTAGATGGTACCATTGTGACAACTATTTTGACTTTAATAGCTTCAGATTTGAATGTTGTATCTAATATTTCTTGGATAGCAACTGCGTATTTATTATCTTCATCAGCATTCCAACCAATTTTTGGTAAATTATCAGACATTTTTGGTAGAAAAATATTATTATTAGGTTGTAGTGCTTTATTTGGAATTGGTTGTTTGATTTGTAATACCAATTCTTTAGTTTTATTGGTTGTAGGTAGATTTATAACAGGTTGTGGCGGTTCAGGTTTAACAGCATTAGGAACTATAACAATGTCAGATATGATTCCTTTAAGAGATCGTGGATTTTATCAAGGGTTAGCAAATGTATTTTTTGGTATTGGCTCAGCATCTGGTGGCATTGTTGGTGGTTATGTAAGTGATATTCTAGGCTGGAGATATGTTTTTATATTACAAGTCCCATTATCAATAATTCTATTTATTACAATATATTTTAACTTGAATTTACCTCAAGGTTCTCCTGGGCTTGGAGCTTATGATCAAAATTTGAAACAAAAATTAAAAAGAGTTGATTTTTCGGGAGCTTTGTTGTTAGTCAGTTCTTTAATGATGATATTAACGGCAGCTGCTTTAGGTGGTAGAGATATCGAATATAATTCAAAAACTTTCATTTCTTTATGTGTTGGTTCTATTATTTTATTGACTGGATTTATTTACAATGAGCTTTACTTAGTTGAGGAACCAATTTTACCAATTACTTTATTAAGTAACAGGACTATTTTAGCATCCTCATTAGCAAATTGGTTTTACACAATGGCTTACTTTACTGTATTGTTTTATATACCTATTTATTATTCATCGGTTATGGGAATGTCCGCTACTGAAAATGGTTCAAGATTAATTCCAAATTTTTTTGGTACTCTTGGCTCAATTGGTGCTGGTCTTTATATGAAAAAGACTGGTCGTTATTATAAGCTAGCTATAGCTGCTGGAACGTCAGCAACTTTTGGAATTTTAAACATGACTAGATTAGGACCTGAAACACCAATATGGGAACAATTTTTATTGTTACTACCTACCACCTTAGGTTATTCATGTATTTTGACCGTAACATTGTTAGCTTTGATTGCTGCTGTTCCACTTAAATATCAAGCTTGTACAACTTCAATTCAGTACACTTTTAGATCGACTGGTTCAACATTAGGTGTTTCAATTGCAACCGCCATTTTTCAAAATATTTTATTTATTCAATTAAATTTAAAAGTAAAAGCATTAATTGATGATCCTCAGTTAGCTTCAAAAATTATACAAAAGGCTCTTGAAAGTACAGATTATGTGAAAATTGCACCAAAAGAAGTGCAGAACGCTATAAAAGACTCCTATGCTTTAGGATGTCAAGGTGCAATTAAGTTTGCTTTAGCAACGATCATATTGGGGTCAATTTCTTCGTTGTTTATGAAAGAATATAAATTACATACGAGTGTTGATAGAAAATAGATATTATTTATTCTTCTTCTTAATTGCGTTTTATATAATATTTATGTTGACCTCCATTTATCAATATCAAATCTTGGCTTGTATCTTGATGATTCATATTGAAAGTTAAGTTTTGACTATTCAATTGCCACTCCTCAGAATTTAAGTCACCTAATTTACCTTGTATCATATTTTGAGAGGGTAATAATGGGGATAAAATTGGAGACATAGTTTCATCCTCTTTAATTGCTTGTTCAATAGTTTCATCTATAATTTCATTTATTAAATTCTTTTTAAAATTGATATTAAGATTAATCAAAAGCACAGCGACTAGTATACAGGCAATACCAAATATGTAAGTAAATGTTGTTTGCATAGATTTATTTGTAAAGTATAATATCAAATAATCAATAAAGATTGTAATGGGAATGGATGATGTTAAAGTTAATGAAACAACTAATGGACTTGTTAATAACATTGCTATAATCGATGTATAGTCTGATATAACTGAAAATATACCATTAATAAACACAAATACTAAAATATTCTTATCAAGTGGAGGAAATTCAAAAGTTTCTATACCAAGTAAGTGAACAATGTATAAAGTTGGCCATCCAAAAATTATCGTGATTAATCCAACAATTCCAAATAATCTTCGTTCATTTGTTTGTTTAAGTCCAGAACCACAATTGTATTTCATAATCAATAAATAAAAAGTATATAATAAAGCCCCACATAATGCTAAGAAGTTGCCCAATTTAGAATTTTTTGGTGATACTGCATTATTTTCATTATTTGATGATGGATCACCTAAGTTTATCAAATATACCCCAAAGCTTGAGCAGAAAACACAAACTAATTTTTGAATAGAAAATCTTTCAGTTTTCAAGCAAATACCAATAATCAAAGTGAAAACCGAAGTTAATGATCCAATAACTGTTTGATTAGAAGCTGATGTAAATTGTAAAGCTTCCATTACTAATAAATTATACATATAGTAAATTATTGAAATCTGAATAGCTAATTTTACAACTTCATTATTACTCATTTGTACGGTTGCTTTAATATTATTATCAGACAGTTTGCTAATTTGTAATTCTTCATCCAGTGTGACCTTATTCAATATAAACAAATCAGGTATACAATTAATAATAAAACATGAGCCGGTAATTGTTGCAAATAACCATGGCTTATTGTAATCATCACTTTTTAAAACAGAATTGACTAACTCAAGTCCAATTACCCAAGTTGAAATTGATATAAGAAGCAATAGACAACCATATTTAAAATTTCTAGCCTCATAATTGTTTATTGTTTCCACTATGTTTATTGGATTTGATGATGTAGTCAAAATTGGTGTTATTCGAAAATAATTAGCGTCATCAGCGACTTGTTGGATTGGTGAGTTTAATTTTAATGAATTTGAATTCATATTTGATACTAAAGTCTTTTGCTATAAGTCAAAATATTATACTTCAATCATGTTGATAATTCCTATTTTGTCGTCCTTATCTTGTTTAAGATAAGAAAGCGCTCTTGAAAAGCGCTCTAGAAAATGCTACCAATCGTTTCAAGTTTTAAAATTTACCAATAATTAATTACGTTTGTTTTATATTTCTAAATGCTACATCTTCTGGTAATTCAAAAGATATGCAATACATTGGTTTTGTTGGTGAAACCATTCTAACTTTATGAAACTCTATATCTTCAAAATTAAGCTTGTAATCTAATAATTCAATTAATTGATCATATAATCTTTTATGTAGCACAATATCTGTTATTATATCGATTTCACTTTGATCAAATTTAATAAAAGTATATACATGAATATATGGAAGTTTAAAATTTGGTAAATTTTTGATTTGTGGTTCATCTTGATATAATCCTATAAATTCTTTAACAAAACTCAAAGCAGAATCAGGCAAGTTCATGACAAAATGATGGAAAAACTTTGGAATTTCAATCTGTTCTATTTTTTGAGATTTGAAATTATTTACCTTCTCTTGACTTTTTAATTGTATAGGATTTGATGAGATATGCCACTCTTTTAATAATTTAAATGCATTTTTAATAAATTCTCTACCATCCAAATTAAAGCTTTTAACCAAACTATCAACTTTATTAAGTTTAATATTTTCATTTAAATATTTAAAACTTTCAGGATTTAAATCATTTGCTAAAACTAATGATTTATTGTTTTTAGCAGAAGGTATTGCAAATGGTCCAACACCAGCCATTACATCACCTATTAAATCACCTTTTTTAAATTTATTACTAATTCTTTCATGTTCTGTACTTAATCTTGAGTTCCAATAAACTTTACTAAAATCAAATTTAAATTTACAATTACATTCTTTTTGTTCCACTAAATAATTTGGTTCTCCTGCTAATAATTCAAGAGGGAAAGTTCTAAATTTATTCTCTATAGAATCCAATTTATTAACTACAGTTTTTACACTGGTATTTTTATCTAATAATACTTGACCAATTACTTTACCATAAGGTTTATATTCATCTTTTAAATTTAAATGAGCTAAATGACCTGCTTGACTGAAACCTGTTGGAATTTCGTGTAATAAAGATTCGGGTAAAATTGATGATAAAATTTCATCACTTTTCCAAAATGAATAATCTAATTTTAACAAATAAGGTTCTAATTTTATATTAAATTGATTAATTAAATTTTGAGTTTCAATTGATAAATCATTTATAGATTTTGTTGAATCATTAAGTAAAATAGCTTTTGAGTTTCTAAGATTAATAATTGGTTTTATATTATCAATATTTAAAATATCAGACTTACATGATTTTTGAAATAAACCAATGAATTTTGGTTGGGGGAAAAATGCTAATAATAAAGGTATTTCTTTTTTAAAAAAACTTGTATCAAGATCTTTCATAGATCTATTTATAGGAGGTGAATATTTTGTCATAATTATAGATCTTTTTATTGATTTTGGTAATTTATTGAATAGAAATCTATTCATATAAATGATTGATTGATTGAACCAACTGAAAAAAAAAAAAAAAGTTATTCGTAAAATTAAATTGCATCTCAGATTATTCGAATTATTTACAAATGAATGATTTATCTCTAGTTATAAGTATAAGTAAACCAATTTCACAACTATCTATAATAGATAATGATGAGGATTCAGATATTGAAATGGATGGTGATAAAATTAACAATAATAATGATTTAAATTTAAATCGACGGGCAATTGTAACGCCTGGAGAATTAATTACTGAAGATCCAATTTGGATGAAAGGTCATGGAACTTATTTTCTTAATAATAAAACATATTCATCAGTTGCAGGAAATATATCGAGAGTTAATAGATTATTATCAGTTAAACCATTAAGAGGAAAATATCAACCAGAAACTGGAGATCACGTTATCGGAAGAATAACAGAAGTTTCAAATAAAAGATGGAAGGTTGATATAGGTACAAAACAAGATGCAATATTAATGTTAGGATCTGTTAATTTACCAGGAGGAATTTTACGTAGAAAATCAGAAAGTGACGAATTACAAATGAGAAATTTTCTTAAAGAAGGAGATTTATTAAATTGTGAAATTCAAACTATATTTAACAATGGTATTGCAAGTTTACATACAAGATCATTAAAATATGGAAAATTAAAAAATGGTATATTTATGAAAATTCCAAGTTCATTAATTATTAAATCAAAGAATCATTCATATGATTTACCAGGTAGTGTTTCAATAATATTAGGTATAAATGGATATATATGGTTGTATAAATCAAAGCAACAGGAAGAAAATTCAACGACAGTAGTTAATCAACAAGCATCAAAATTACAAGGAAGTTTAAACAATAATAAAGATTATCAAATTGGAACAGGATCTGTATCAATAACAAGATTAGAAGAAGAAAGTTCGTGGGAAATTTATAGTGATATAAATGAAGAAATTAATAATAATATTAGAAACAATATATCAAGATATTATAATGTTATAAAAGCATTAAGTTTTGGAGAAATTGGAATAACAGAACAAAGAATAATATTGGGATATGAATCAAGTTTATCATTTGAAAATGTAGGTAAATTAATTGAAAGAGAAAGCATGGAACAAATATGTCAAGAAGTATTAAATAATGAAAGAATGAGAGGTTAATATACAATAAGTTGATATATATATATACTAATATACCAATATGTTAATATACCACTATGTTAATATACCATTGTATTACTATTGATATATATATATATATATATACTAATTACACTGTTTATATATATATATACTAATATACTAATACACTATATAAATTTTAAGCGTTGCTGCAGAGAATAAAAAAAACAAAATAAAAAAAAAAATAAAATTTAGCTTGAAAAAAAGTAAAAATCGAATGCTTAATTAATTAATCGAGTTTCATTGATAATACCCATTCATACTTCACATTAACTGTCATTATTACTATAACTACATGTATATATTGTATAATTCAATCTAATTTAGTTTTTTATTTACAACTCAAATGTCAAATTTAAATGATTTTGAAAATTTAAAAAATTTATCGACGCCAACCCCACCATCTTTTATTGAAGATAAAGTTAAAAATAACAATGATAATCATAATATTAATCTAAACGTGTTTGATTTCCATAACAAGGATGATTTAGATAGTTCAACAAATTATTCTTCAAATTCTTTTCTTCAAGATTTAAATTTTAAAAAATTATATGAATGTTCAAATAATAGTAGTAGTATTAATAAGAATAAAGATTATACGGAGTCAAATGTTGATGCAATGACATCTAATTTATATCATAAAGTAAACTCGCTATCATCTACATCGTCAGATCCAAATCAAACTCATAATATGAGTAAAGTTTCTTCATCTAAATCATTACATCTTATTCCAGTCAAAGAAACTAATCGTGTTTTATTGGAATATGATCCTATAACAAAAAGAAAAGTTTTAAATAGTTATGAAATTATAAGAGAAATTGGAAGAGGTGAACATGGTAAGGTAAAATTGGCCAAAGATTTAATTCAAAATGATCTTGTTGCTATTAAAATTGTAAATCGTAAATCTAGAAAGGAAAGACCTGCTTTAAAAATGAGAAGAAACTCAAAAGAACCAATTATAAATGAATATGAGCTTAAAATTAAAAGAGAAATTGCCATTATGAAAAAATGTAGACATAAACATATAGTAGCTTTAAGAGAGGTATTAGATGATGTAAATTCTTTTAAAATTTACTTGATACTTGAATATTTAGAAAAGGGTGAAATAAAATGGAAGAAATTTCAAAATGATTATGATTATGATTTTAATGAAAATGAACAGTGTAGTCAACTTAAAAATGATATTGAAATACCTTGTTGTGGGAGTAATAGTGGTCCTCGTCAACCTCATCATCGACTATCAAATGATGGAGACTTATTATCAAATGAATTTTCTCCTAATTTAACTTTCAAACAATCAAGAAAAATATTTAGGGATGTTTTATTGGGGTTAGAATATCTTCATAAACAAGGAATTGTTCATCGTGATATAAAACCAGCAAATTTGTTAGTTTCTTTTGATAATGTTGTAAAAATTAGTGATTTTGGAGTTTCATTTGCTTCTTCCTTAAGTGAAAATGAACTAGGTCATTTAGTGAACGAATTAGATTTAAATAAAACTGCTGGAACGCCGGCTTTTTTTGCACCAGAATTATGTAAATTAGGAGATGATTGCAATTCATCTAGAGAATCCATCGAAGGTGCTATTAAATCTAGAAACATTGATTATAAAATTGATATTTGGGCACTTGGTATTACATTATATTGTTTGTTATTTGGTAAAGTCCCATTTAACGCAGAATCTGAATTTGAATTATTTCAAGTAATTAATAATCAAAAATTAGAATTTCCAAAAGACATTAATTCATTTAATTCACCAAGTATTGTTACTGAAGAAGAATTTGATTTAGCAAAAGATTTACTTGATAAGATGTTGGATAAAAATCCTAAATCAAGAATTGAAATAATGGATATTAAAGAACATCCTTTTACTTTAATGGATCTTGACAATGATTTTGAAAGTTTAAATGATTTATTTAATTTGAATAATAATTACCCGGAAGAAATGATCAATTTGAATTTAGAAGAACAAGATATTGTCACAAAAGATGAAATTGAAAATGCTATAATTGGAGTAGGTGCAAGAATAAAAAGAAGTTTAGTCAAAGCTATACGTGCAGGTGGATTAAAAGATTCAGATATTAGGAATAGATTTGCTGGTTTGAAATTGCTGAAATCAAGAAGTGAATCAAGTGAAGAATCTTCAGGTAACTCCTCAATTACCAATTTGAATATGCATAATCATAACAATCATTCAATGATATTATCAGAAGGTATAACCACATTTAATAAACCTTCACCAAGTTTGTTATTAAAAACACAAGATCAATATCAACCTCACATTCCATCCGCATTATCACAACAACTACTGAACTCTTCAGCAACGAATTCGCCTACTGCATTCCAAAATTTTCCTGGTATAAGAGAAGGCAAAAGCTTATTACAAGATATGATTGATTCTAATAGTAATAATTCTAGTAGGCGTGGAAGTTCCGCTGGTATTGTTCTTTCAGAAGTGCCTCAAATTGAAACTAAAAGAAATGTTGGTGGAGATTTATATTTAAAAAATCAATCAGCAGTTCAAACATTTAAAGGGATTCAAGAGCAAGACGATAAACGTAGAAGATCTAGTCTTTTTTCCATTAGTTCACAAACAGCAACCCAATCTAACAAAGGATCTATTTCAGGTGAAGTTTCTCATGTACCTCATCAATTATCAAAAGAATATACAGCATCACCAGAGCTGCAATCCAAGTTAGTTTCACCTATGCCTGTACCTAGCCACAAATCAATTAATAACACCATACTAAATACTTTTACGAGTCCCGAAATAGACATAAATCTAAAAAACATAAATGAAAACTCCGAAAGTTATAAAAATCTACATAAAAGTAATAAAAATATTTTAATCAAATCAAATGATAGTTCTGCCTCAAAACCATCTTTAAAAATAGGGCCTATCAATCTGAAAATTCGAAACAATATCAATTTTGAAGAAGATAAAGAATCATCATATATATCATTACCATTAAGTGAGAGTTTTGCTTCCTTGGATAGTATTAATGATGATTATTTAAAATTAAAATACGAGGAATTTTTAAAAGATCTGACAAAGAAGGGAGGTTTCAAAGGACCATATATTGGACTTAGAAGAAAATCAAGTCTTTCTGAATCGGATGTATCCAAAGTTAATAAGCCTAATGGATTTTCCAATAATTTCAAAAATTTCAACTTTGGAAATTCAATGAGATCAAAATCAAATGATAATCCACCTGTGTATGAAGGAATTGCACCAAAAGCAATTATTTCAAAACCATCCAGTTCTCTGAGCTGTTTATCATATTCGTCATATAGTTCATCATTGAATCAAGAGGATAATGAGGATGAATCTGAAGAGGAAAATTTGACACTTGCATTTCATTCAAAAATATCACCAATTTCGAGACCAAATTTTTTAACCTTAGCAGGTAGAGCTAAATCACATGATTCAAATCTTCCATATTTTACCAAAAATAATGAACTTACTCCTGTTATATTTCATGATGGTCCAACTGAGTTTGAGGATGTACCTTATGAACTAATCAAAAATACTCTTGCTGGGAAAGCTGAAACTAATGCAATCAATAATTTGACTTTAAACCTTGATTCAAAATTAGATAATGATAAATTGAAAGGTATATCGAAAGATAAAGTTACTCATAATCAACAAGGGTCCACTAATTTAACACCTAGTAGACTTGTAAGAGAAAACATATTCAATAATCAATTTAACAATCATTATAAAAAAGCCCCTGTTTATTCTCCATTTCCAAGATCAAAACATTTAGATAATGATAAAGATACAATTGATAAAATATCAGATGAGAAATATAGAGAAAATCGTCCATCATATTTTCGATCTAATTCTGTATCTGTTGGAATACTTCAACATGAAATAACAAATTCAATTAATGATGAATAAAATATATGCTTATAGAGATTATATCAAATACAATCAATTTATATTAATTTTATATTGTTCAACTTTTGTTTTCTATTTCTACAATAATTTGATGTTTAGAACATCGAGTAGTTAGTAAATGTATAGTCATGGTTATTCTACTATTAATCTAAATATGATCATTGTTTGTTATCTATTGATTATTACATAATATTGTATACATCATTACATAATATACATATATATATATATATATTTTTTGATTACTACTCCATTTTTTTAAATATCATAAAGTTTTACTAATGAGTGATATAATTAGTAATTACACCATCCATGAGCAGATCGGAAAAGGATCGTTTGCGACTGTTTACAAAGCAACAAACTCCACAAAAACAGTTGCCATAAAACTGGTTTTCAAAAATAAGTTAAAATCTAAAAAATTGATAGAAAACTTGGAGATTGAAATTCAAATTTTAAAAACAATGAAACATCCTCATATTGTTGGTTTATTAGACTATAAACAAACCAGTGCACATTTTCATTTGGTAATGGATTACTGTTCAATGGGAGATTTGTCATATTTTATAAGAAGAAGAAATCAACTTGCAAAATCACATCCCATAATCTCAAGTTTATTAAATAGATATCCGTCTCCAGAAGGTTCACATGGATTGAATGAAACTTTAGTTTTACATTTTTTACGTCAGTTATCATCAGCATTAGAATTTTTAAGAGATAAAAGTTTGGTACATAGAGATATTAAACCTCAAAATTTATTACTTTGTCCTCCTGTTCATTCAAAACAAGATTTTATTGATAATAAATATGTTGGCATGTGGGAACTACCAATCCTTAAAATTGCAGACTTTGGCTTTGCTAGATTTTTACCATCAACTTCAATGGCTGAAACTTTATGTGGATCACCACTTTATATGGCCCCAGAAATTTTAAGATACGAAAAGTATAATGCTAAAGCCGATTTATGGTCTGTAGGAGCTGTTTTATATGAAATGACAGTGGGTAAGCCACCTTTCAAAGCTGGTAACCATATAGAATTATTAAAAAATATTGAAAAAGCTAACGATAAAATCAAATTTCCTACAACTGCTCAAGTACCAGAATCCTTGAAACAATTAATAAAATCATTGTTGAAGTATAACCCAACTGAAAGAATGTCTTTTAATGAATTTTTTAATAATTCTTTAATAACGTGTGATTTAGAAGATTCCGATAAGCCATTAGAAACATCTGATATGGATGAAAATTTATTTATTAGCGAATATATCAGTCCTATTAAAGAATCGGAACGGCCTCAATTTATGGAATTTAGTCCAGCAAACAATGGTTCAGAAATTCGAGCATCTGACAATGAGATTAAACAAATAATTACCAAAAACAGTCCAGAACCAGATAATATAAAAGACTCAATACATGCTTCACTTAATTTAAACAATAAAAAAGAGGAAATAATTTTAGAAAAGGAATATGTTGTTGTTGAAAAAAGAGCAGTCGAAGTGAATGCTTTAGCTGATGAATTGGCAAATGCCAGAAATAACACCATGAAGATCAATGAGGCGCGAAGATTAGCGTCAAATAAAGTACATGAGGAGCCTCCACAATCACAATCCACATTTAGAAGATCATCCCTGACTAATCAACGAAGACCAAGTTTTACAGAAAGAAGAATTTCAATTTCAATATCACCTACGAATGCTTTGAGTAAAGCTATTGGAATAGCGTCGAATAGATTGTTTGGGTCAAATGCAACAAATGATGACCAAAAGACGACTTCTTTTGCCACACCTGAAGATAAATTAAACATTATTTGTTCAAAAGACAATCCCGGACCCAATCTTACAAATGATGCTTTGTTACAGAAATTGAATCATCCATTATCAAATACAGCATTAGAATCATATAAGGAGGTGGATCATGGAACTTTGCAGAGTCGTACAACCGATGAGACAGTGTTATACAAACTTGAATCTTTAGCAACAAAATCTTATGCTGTGAATTTGTTTGCCGATGTTAAATTCAGTCAATTAATACCTAGTCCACCTTCTATAGATCGGATTGATGATAACATTTTAAATCAAAATGATATGCTACCTCCGAAAATAATGAAAACTGTTAGTGAAGAAGGTGTTGCATTATATGTTAAAACTTTATCTTTGTTGGCAAAAGGGATGTCTGTTGCTAGTGAATGGTGGTACAATCAATTTGAAAAAAAAAAATTTGATGAAGGCTCCAAACCTGATATTCATGTCTCCATAAAAATTAATCAAATAGTTCAATGGATTAGAGAAAAATTCAATGAAAGTCTTGAAAAAGCTGAATTTGTTAAATTGCGATTACAGGAAGCAAATTTAGCGATAATAAAAAACGAAAGTTCAAACGATGAAGATTTTGATAACAATAAGGTTGTTGCTGAAAAATTGATATTTGATAGAGCATTAGAAATGTCAAGGAACGCTGCTGTAAATGAATTAGTGAAAGAGGATTTGAGAGGTTGTGAATTAGCTTATAGTACGGCAATTTGGATGTTGGAAGCTTTATTGGATGAAGATGACACAGATCCTGACTACCCTAAATTAGATTCGGATGATAAATTAATGGTTGAAAAGTTCATTGTTAGTATAGGAAATAGACTATCAGTTTTAAGGAAAAAAATAGAACTAGTATAATGAGTAATTAAAAAGTATATGTAATGAATGTCCTATCAAACTCCATGTTAATTTCAAGTATGCTCTCTATGTAAGTTAATACTTAATAGCCCTTAAGCATATAATTAAATCGTACATTGATCTTATTTTTTGCAAAATTTTGTATGATGAAAACATGCCACAATGACAACTCAAAAAAAAATTGTTAGTATTTAAAACGTGAAGTATGTAGATTGTATAATTCAAGAATTCAAATCTCATTTAATTGGTCTTTATTTTGTGAAAGTGCGTTATTCCGGACAAATTAGCCAAATATTCTACCACGAATCGCCCCAAAATTAGAGCGAGAAAAGTATTTTGTTAGTGCCAAAATAGGGCGAGAACTACATACTACAAAAAATATGATTTTAAACGAATTTGGCTTATATACAGTATCAATAGCCAATCTTGAAACTTTTTACGTAAATAACTCCCTCAATAACGAGGCTATTATTCTCCAACTTTTTTTCTCAGATATTTAGCTATTCTAGAGTAAAATTATCTTTATCTTCTGTGATTTAACGTATTTTTTTGCATTTTATCAATCATTCAAAAGTTGATAAAAAAGCTTAATTGCAATATATTTAACATTTAGATCTAATCTATCAACTTCTAATGTATCTGATCTGATTTGCTCCACCTTAAATATCCTAACTGTAACGGTCTAAAGATGTCATAATTGTTTTGAATTTTTTTCAAAAATTTTGAACCACTTTGAAAAAATACTGTTATGATTTTGAATGCCTTCTCAATATGGATTTCAAAAATATCCTAAACCGAAACTACAAATCTGAATTAATTTATCATACTCAAATTTGAATAAGCAAAGTGGAATTAGATTTTTCATGTGGTCAATTTGTTCAATTTTCCCCATACTTAAGAGATGAGTTTGAAATTTCTCAACTTTAGTTCCCGTCAATTCGAATTATGTTCAGCACCTTAATTTGAGGTATAACACATATATGGTACAGAAACAAAGATATCTGGTCTAATTTAAATAGCTCTATCTCGACAAACTGCATCGAAGATATAAGCCAAAACATGTAATACGAGGTCGCCTCAAGGGTAGTGCAAAAAATTTTTTTCTCGCTCCCAACCATCGGACTTCATATCATATACACATTTGAGTATAACAAAAACAGATATTCAAAAATGTAACGTATGTTCTGTAATAATAAGTTTGTGCTGTTAAGTATGGCCTCGCAGATGTTTGCAATTAAGAACTTTATATTGAAAATTCAAAATTTTTGTTAATTGATACACTTGGTACCTGGGATCTCCTAATATTAAATTTAAATACATATAATACTATAACACGCAGAAAAACAAAAACCTACCGCATATTCTGTAATAAAAAGAACGTGCCACTAAGGCTTATATGCCAGCTTAAACTCGCTATTAATTTTAATTATGAATATGTGCGTATTTTGAGCAATTTACTAAATCTAAGTAGATACCATTACTCAAATCGTATTCTATGGCCTTTATTTACCAAGTTTGAGGCTCTATCTTGTAATTTCATCTAACCATCATGAAATACACATGGTTTTGCAATTTTGTTTCTTTCAAAACTCATGTTACCATCCCAAACTAAACGTTATTAGGTAACTCCTAAGCTATAGTTTATTGACATATCCTTAGATCTTCGCTGAACCTGCTAGTTCATGAGATATTTGCACTTTTGGAATTTTGTAAGCCTCGTTTCCTAATTCGGTCATTTAACTTTGGACCATCAGCAAAATCCATTTTTGTTACACAAAAACACGATCCAAAATTGACAACTTTTCTTTTTGGAAATTTTATTTAAAACGTTAATTACTTGAACATGACCACATTCGATAGCCTGAAAGCAATCATTTTATAATCTTTGATAGCTCTGGTTTATTTGATGTCAAGCTGATGCGTTAATAATAGTTAACGGTTGAGTAAAACAATTTAATTCGAAATGTTGATATGCTTTATATAAAGAACGGAAGAGGGCATCTAATTGTTTCAGAATAAGTTGTATTTGACTATTCTTAGCTTGCTGATGGTAAACCTGTTGATCGTTTTTGTAATGGTTTTGTATCTGTAGAGGTATTTCACATTGAAGATTACATTTTCACAAAGACGATTCATGTATTATACACCAAAATTTCGTTGAACAAAAGCAGATACAGTTACATTTTCTGTAATATATGGCCTGAAATTAACACGCTGGCACTTTTATACCCAGATAGTAGCATTCATTAATGAATGGTGGTTTTACAAGTTTTTGGTAATAAATTTGGAAATCTTACGATTTAATCAATTGACCATTAAACTTGAGTAGATGCAATTACATATATTGTAATTCATAGCCTGAAAACAAAACATTCGTACTTCCAGTTAGCTTATAATTGACACCAGATACATTTTTTAGCCTACAGCTATGACAGTTTCGCTTCAAATTTATACGACTTGGCCGTGATCTTTTACGTCTTCTGTAACGAGTAAGTTACAATTAGACTTGAAAGGAATAAATTAATAGAAATTAGACAAATTCATACACTTCTTCAAACAAATAAGTTATAGTCTAATACTTAAACTGAACCTGGATATTCCAAGGCCATAGATATCGATCTTATTCGATTTTACTCTCTTAGTTCATAGACACCTTCAAAAATTAACAAAATTGCTCACTTATTGGACAATATGGTTGTATTACTTCACGCAGAACGGGAGTTATCGAAGTATTAGAGTTGAATTTGGTAATCACAATGACGCTCAACATGAGTATGTTGATTTCAACTGCTTTTCCTTCAAGTACTAGCGAAATTACTCAATAATTAAGGAAACTGATGGCTCTCTTGGCATCAAAAAAGGTCTAAACACTTCAACAGGTAGTTCCACGGTTCCTAATCAGGTTTTTATTTGTTAGTACTTCAGATCCCCGTCGTTTCCTTCAGAAATTCAACCCAATACATCAAAAATTCTATCTCTTCAATACGTGATAGAATATAAAAGCTATTAACCGAACGTATTGTTTTCCATGCCACAAACACGATCAACCTAGGAGTAGTTTTGTAAACTAAACATATGTTTCAAAAATAAGTGATGACCCTGTAGATTAGTATCACGATCTGAAGCAATTCACGAAAATTAACTTCTCTTTATAGAAGCGTACTACATTACTAATGTAGGAGTCGCTAGAATAGTAAACGATCAAATTGTTTAGGATATAAAACTTAACCTGAACCGATCCGAAATTGTCGGGATCTATCCGAAATCTATCCGGGATCTGATACGAGCCCTGATTCTACATCCTAACCTCAATACATATGTAGATCTTTACCTCAAATCATAAAGATCCTAACATCAAACAACAATAATTAACAAATGTTGTCACGTGATATATAAAAATACGAATGTATAAACTTAGTTAAATATCATGAGAAACTATCAATAGGTTTGTTGTTAAATTAGTTGTGTCACGTGTAAATTTAAAAGATTTGTTTTTGGTGTTTGGGTCATTTTAAGAATAAGAAGAAAAATCTGAGATTTTGATGTTTCGTCACGTTCAACCAATCAAATGCTGCAAGATTTTTTGCAAAAGTGATAAACTCTTGAAAACTCATCACACGACCATTGAAACATTCTTGCACAAATGAATAATGTGCGTTCTAATCACGTGTTACTCTTTAGTATTTGTAAAATTGAAACTGCGCTACCATGATACTTTGAGGTTAAGATGCCATATTAAGTATTGCAGTAAGGGTGCATAGAAATAGAAGTTAATTATTGAGGTTAGGAGGCGATAATCGGGGCTTCTGACCAGATCTCAGATAGATCTTGAGAGTTGGGAAATATCGGAAATACGAGACCAGATCTCGGATAATTCTCGGAGATCGATATCTACGGCCTTGGAATAACCAGTTTGACTTAAACACCTAAATTAGAACTTTTGGTTTGAGGATGGGCATTAATTTGTCCAAATTGTTTCCGAGATACTTAAATTCCAAATTTATTACCAAAAAATTGTAGAGCCACTTAAATATTCATTAATGAATGCTGGTATCCGGAAATATGCAAGCGTTTTAATTTCAGGCCATATATTACAGAAAATGTAATTGTATCTGATTTTGTTCAACGAAATTTTGGTGTATAATACATGAATCGTCTTTGTGAAAATGTAATCTTCAATGTGAAATAACTCTAGTGTTGTTGAGAAGTTACTCAAGGTTCAAACATTTTTTGCTTGTGATAATCATATAAAAGTCTATTTAGCTGAGCCTCCCGGAAAAGTTTATTATGAGGCAAATTATGTTTGAAATTTTTATGAACGCCCATCATATGCTATGTAGAGGTTGCTTACCGTTTTAGTCTACTTTGAACTTTGAAATTAATCGAGATTAAAGTACAAATAAAAGTACGTGTCTGCCATAATTATGCGGCAATGATGAAGAAGTGTATATATTGATAGTACTGTAGCTAGAATGGTATACCTTTGATCAATCCAGACATAGAACTCATAAATTATGTCAATGCATCAATATTGAATAAAATTTTATCCAATTAGGTGTCATATTCATTTTTAAAATATAGAAATCAACAACATTTAAGAAGCGGTTTACTGGTGTAGTTAGAAAACGAAATATATATACTACACAATCATAATTAAAAACCTAAAATACCTAAATACTTTGCCGCAGCACAATATCCAGTAAACTTGATTTTATCAACAGCACCATTCGTAATTAACCAATGAACGACTTCTTTAAAATCATTGTAACTCAATAATGCATCTACCTTATTGTATAATAGATGACCTGGAATACCAGGCCTGAACTGAATGTAGTGTAGAATAGTCACAATTATTTTCAGCCACAATAAACCATCAATATCACCATTAAGGCTCAACCAAACATGAGAACAAGCTTTTCCAGTTGGAATCGATGTTGTGGTTGAATTTTCATCGTTATTTTCATGTCTTTGGTATACTATCAATTCACAGTCCAAATTTTTCTTATCCATTAATCTTGATTCATAACCATCGAATGAATAATCCTTGTCAATATGACTCAAATTTATTAAGCCTTGTGAAATACAATCTAGCACTTGTGCAACTTTACCTCCATCAATAGCTTGTGAAATTACAAGCCCTTTTGATTCATCAAAAACTTGTTTTAACATATATTGGAATTGAAAAGCTTCTTTGAAAAAAGATTTCTTCGTACGAACGTCAAGACAAGAATAAACCCTTTCAGTTAAATTAAACTGTTCTTGGTGATCATTATATTGATAAATTAATTCCTTATCCCTAATCATGTCCTTGATGGCTAATTGAACATCATCTTCTGGGTATTCATTCAATATTTTTTTAACTTGTTGAGAGCCAGATGAATTCTGTTTTGATGTCCCAAATATTGCTTTTAAAGTCGATCTTAACTCGTCATAGCGTTTTCTTGATACTTGAAATTCTATTGTAGGATGATAAAAAAAATGAGTACATGCTAATAAGCCTTCCTTTTGTCTCATGGAAAGTGCATCTAATTGTTCATAAAGATCGTTTGAAGAATGTGAATCAGTTTGATGTTTTTCATAAAAATTATAGTTTTCAAGTCTACCTTGATATAATGGTGTTTTATCAATTATTGTGATAGTTGAATCATCCAACTCTTTCCAAAGATTTAGGTAAAAGTTCAAATCTATTACTTCAAGATCCAGCGAAGATATTAATTCTTCTTCAATTCCTTTGAAAACAATATTCTCAAAAGCTTCTATTCCTTTATCAACAGCGGGGGCACCTCCAATTTGCTTCCGGATTTGAATCCATAGTTTTTTGATGGAGATTGAGTTCATGTTTTTATACAATTTTGCAATTGCTTGATAATCAATCAACCCTTTATTTAATGACTTAGAAATGCATACAACTCGGAACAATGTTGTTAAATCAGTCTTTTCAAAAGTTTGCACCTTGATCTTCTTTTTCAATTGAACTCGTCTATTTTTGAGAGCAAATTGACTTTGTTTGGAATCTCTATTTCTAAATATTTTGGCATTTTCCAAGTACGAAAATTGTTCTAATTTTTTTTCAAGTTCGACTTTATAATCTTCAACTGAAATATTTAGTTGTTCCTGTGCTTGAGCTTCATAACTTTTACCTGCTATACTTGGTGCAACGGGGTGAGAAGATTCAATAACTTTTCTCTTAACACGATTCCTCGAGTTTTTGGTATTTGATGAAAGGGAATCCAATCTTTTTGGAAAAACAGACTTTAATTTGAATAAAGTAATCTCATCATTAACTACTCTTCTTTGCTCAATTTTAGTAGGAGGGTTAACTCCACTATCAGCAATACATTTTCGTCTTTTTTCTTCAATATCGTCTTCACTGGGTTTGAATAGCTCATTTGTAGATATCATCAATTGTCTAGTAACCTTTTGACCAGATTTGATCATTTCAACTTGTCGAATTTCTAATTTCCCTGCTTCTTTTAACTTTTGAAGATCTCTTCTCAATGTTTTAGCATCTGTAATTGTTTGTACATTCAAAGCTAAATCAATGTTTCTTCTGAACGCTGCACATGTGAATGCCACACCACCTTCATTGTTGATTAGTTGTAGAATTATGTTCCGACGTTTATCACCAGTTTCATCAAAACTTTCTCCTCTGTTTGTTGCTACTCCACGTCTCGTAAAATAAGATTTATTCAATTTATTAATTTTAGGATTAACCAGCTGAGTCCTAGATTCTTGTAATTTGATGTGTGCATTTTCCTGCTTCAAATTCAAGCTATTTTCTGAACTGTCTTCTTGTGCACCATTTTGATTCAAATCACCACTTTCATTTTCCCTATCAATATTTTCCATATCTGACTCTTTCGCTATATCAACAAACTCATAATTACCATCCAATTGCATTTCAGAATGCTCGAATTTTATTTGTGAGTTCCTATTTGCTTTACATAACCCTTGAAACTGCTCTTTAGACCCGGATTTTCTTCGTTTAATTGCTCGTTTCAATTCATTTTCAGACCCCATATCATCTGATTGAATTGAGTCGTTCAGTCGTTTCCTTGTGGAGCTTTTATTGGAGACATTAGTTTGAGTCGATGGTTTAAATTCATTAAATCGAGGAGATAACTTTTTGAACGAGGAGTATTTTTTAAAAGATTGATAGGGGGTTAAAATACAATCTTTTGGAATACTGTATAACATTCCCAGTGGCGATTTATCCTGTTTGACATTCAATTTTGTGTTCAATTCTCTTAAAGATTTATCTGAAATCAAATTTCTAACTGGTAATTTTTTTTTAAATGGCTTAATAGATTTGTAAGTATTGAACCTTGATTTTGAATAATAACGAAAATATTTTAGTTTTCCTTCGGAGACAGCAACTTTTACTATAGCAACATTCTCGTTTTCATTAGGATAATTTTGAAAAGGCTCTAAATTATTATTTTTCAACGTATAGCTTGTAATAACATCCATGAATCTCTCCATTACTCTATGCTTTGAATTTCCAAATAATGATTTAACCACTTCTCTCAAGGTAATTCCATTAGTTTCAGTATTGTTAATCAATTGATAGATTTGGGAGGGTATTGGGAAAAAAGGACTTAAAAGTGGCAAATTGCTTGAGGAAATTTCTGTTTCATCTTCATCTTCATCTTCATCATTCAAGTTCGCTTCATTACCTTCCAAAAGTTCATAAAATTCTGAAACATCATCGTGTGAAACCTTTGGTAAATCTTTTTTAAATTTGATTGAATACACCTTTTGTTCTCTACCACTCTTCTTATGGGTTGCTATTGCATCTACTCGTTCCACATAACCATCTCGATTTAATGCATAAATTACACAACCAAATAATCTAGATCCCTTGCCTTTATTTGTCATATTTAACTCAAGTTTCAAATCTCTGAATGATCTAATTTGATTTGGAGCATTTTTGACAGCATTAACTACATATTCTTTCAATAATCTTGGTGATTTTAATTGATCATCACTTTCATCACCGATAATTGAACCAGAAAATTTTATATGAGTCATCCAAGTAGTATGACATTTTCTTTTTCTGAAAAATTTGTTTTCTTTATAAATTAATCCCATCTCTTCTAATTTACTTAATCTACCAGTTAACGATCTCGCGTCTTGACCAGTTGTCTCACATAACTCTGGTGAATATATACCAGTTGCTCCATGTTTTGAAATTTCTTGTAATAATGCATAAGGAAAATCTCCAATTGACTGAATTGTTCTTTTACTATTTGAGGAACCTGTCAAATAATAACATTGAGTATCAACTGTAGGTAAAATTCTATAATTCTTTGCTTGATCATTATTCATTACATTTGATAATAAAAATTCAATTTGAACAGGTTCTCCATTTAAACTTAAATAAAATTGAATTTGCTTCTCTTCATTATTAAGTGGTGTTGTTTTTGCTAGTTCTTGAAGATTATTATTATCATCGTCTTGATCATCATTATCAACCTCATCATCTTCTCCATCATCATAAGTAAAAAACAACCATTGCCATATTGTTTGCTTTTGAAAATCATTTAAAGGATCTTTTTGGTTGAATTTGAATTGAATAAAAGACCATAATTCATTTAATGATAAACCTTGAATACCAGAAAAAGACAATTTATCAGCAGTAAATAAAATTAATTCGCACGGCGTACAAGGAAACAGCATGATTTTAAATAGTATGAAATTAATTAGTATGAAATCTAATTAACCAGTAATTAGATAAATGATAAATTATAACAATATATCGTGTAAAGTATTGATGTTAGTTGTTGTTGATTTGTATTATTTGATAAAAGATTAAAATTGTATAATAATTTATTTTTCATGATAAACAAACTTTGAATATTTCACACGACAGTAAATTTTATATAGAATACTAGTTAATTATTATGAGTGTTTCAGATGATGATGAACCTTTAACTTTAAGTTCTCATACTTTAGCTGCTTTACAAGAATTTAAATTAGAAGAAAAATCAAGATTAGAAAAATTTCAAACTCTATTTAAACAATCTGAAAATAATTTTGATAATAAACAAAAATTAAATCATCAAAATTTAAAATTAACAATTGATGATTTTAAAGAAGATTGGCAATTATCTCAATTTTGGTATTCAGATGAAACTGCAAGTACTTTAGGAAAAGCTTTATTAGAAGGTGCTGATGAAAATACTATTATCGTCATTGCAAGTGCTCCATCAGTTTATGCTGCAATTAAACAATTTCCAAAACATCAAGTACCAACAGATCAAATTTATTTATTAGAATTTGATCCAAGATTTAAAATTCTTGCTGGTGATGAAAAATTTGCTATTTATGATTATAATAAGCCAGATGAAATTCCTAAAAATTTAAGATATAAGTGTCATCGCTTATTAATTGATCCACCATTTTTAGAAGAAGAATGTCAGACTAAATCTGCTATAGCAGCAAAAAATTTATTAATTAAAGATGATTCAAATCAAGTCATTAAATTAATAACTTCTACTGGAGAGAGAATGAATGATATAGTCAAGAAAATTTACCCAGATACATTTATGACAAATTATTACCCTGAGCATAAAAATGGTTTAAGTAATGAATTTCGATGTTACGCCAATTTCGAATGCTCTTATTGGCAATTTCAAGATTAAATAGAGTTTTCTTAAATAAATATATAATTAATTGATCATAAGAAGTAGTAGAAAATCTTTTCATCACATAAATTTGACTTCTATAAATTACAAAATCATAATTTTTGCATAGCAGCAATATCAGTTGATTGAACATGATCTTCATCTTCTTCAATAGCAGCTTGTAAATCATCTAATGAAACTTTAGCATCTTCAACAACTAAATTAATTTGTAATTTTTTGATACCAAATCCAACTGGAATCCATTGATGAGCACCCCAAGTTAAACCATCCATTTCAATATTTTTAACATTAGCTAATAATTCTTCTAAATCAGTTTCATCATCCCATGGTTTAACATCTAAAGTAACAATTGATTTAGCTGCTGGTTTTGGACCTTTTGAAGCTTTTTTAGCAGCATATTCAGCCAATCTTTGTTGTTTTAATTTTTCAGCTTCTTCATCAACTTCATCATCGTCAGAACCGAATAAATCAACGTCATCGTCATCTTCTTCAGCAGCAGCAGCAGCAGTTTCTTTCTTTGAAGCGACTGGGGCATTACCTGCAGGTAATTCTGAAAATTCTTCAGTGAAAGAAGCAATGTGGTTGAACCATCTTGAAAATTGTGGAAATTCTTTTTGGAAAGCTTTATAAACTGTTACATCAGCTTGAGTAGCATTAGTACTTGATTTTAAATGTTAGTAAAATTTAGTTCTTCTTAAAAAAAACAGCAATTAATCAAATTAGCCTCTCAAATTTGCAATGTTAAACTAATGTAATTGATCAGATATTTTATTTAAATCTTCTTTGTCACTCATGCGGTGGGTCTTGAATCCACCTCATAAACACGGACCAAAGATTGTGATCATCATTGATTAAATTATTTTAACTAAAATTTGTTGATTAATTTTCCATCAGATTGACACTTGCATTCAATTTCTATTATATACAAAAGCAAGTACAATAGTTGTTGTTGAATTGATGGAAATTGAGATAAGCAAATTAACTAGACTATACTTGAAAAATTTTTTTAATGAAAGATTTAGTTAAAAACATACCCATCAATATATGATTTATCAGCTAAGAAATCATTCAATGATTTAATAGTATCAATTTTTGAGAAATCTGAGTATGACATTATATCAATTGTAAATACAAAAACTTTAAAGAATTGAATTCAATTGGAAACCAAAATGAAGAAAAAGAAGGGAAGAAAAAAATGTGAAATAAAAAAATTTTGTTGATGATGATGCGCCCATCAACCACGTACACGTTAAGTTTCAAGTAGTGTATTCATCAAATCAATTCTATTCACTTTTACATTGATAGTTCAAGTAAAAGTCTTATTATATCTACACCTATTTAATATATAATCATAATGGTAAATAATCCATACTTTCTCCAAGCCAATGATTTTTAAGAAATTCTTCTGGGGTAATCTCTTCACCATTAATTCTACGTTTCCAAATTTGAGTTACAATATCTTTAATACTATTTAATGTTCCCATTTGAGCTACTTCATATAATGCATCCATAAATTTTAATAACCAACTTTTCTCCCATTCTGAGTTACACTCACATCCAACAGCATAAATTGGCCAGACCATTTGAATAATTAATGGTGATTTCACATCCATAGTTCTATAAGTCTCAATAAATTCATTTATAAGTTTTTTATTTTCCATGATAAAATCAGATGGTTGAATGACTTTATTTAATATAATGAAGACTGCAATTGACCAACATAATGCACATTTTAATCTATTAAAATAAGAATCTTTTGATATTGGATTAAACTCGTTTTTGCTTTGTTCATTATAGTCTTCATTGACATTTATATCCAATGGTACATAATCTCTATAATTGACCAAAATTTGTTTTATATTGAGATACTTTATTTCCTTATCAGTAATATCACCATTTAAAAATCTTTCATTTCGAAGCTGACACACTTTTGACATAGCTATAAATATTTCACCAGGACATCCCATCATTTCTAAAGTTGATATTGAATCTTCATGGCTACCATACCACTCTGGAGAGCAATAAGGCAATCTGCAATCACAAGAAACAATTGCAGAAACCGTATCATACCAACATAGAACAACAGCTAAACTTCTTTTCTTTTCATTATTCAACAAAGCATTATTGTAAAAATTTTGATCTTTACAAATTGAAGCAAAAGTTTCATATAAAAACCTAGACATTGAACTTTTACCATTCTGCAAAACAGTAAATAATATATGGACGTTAATCAAAACCAAGATTACAAAATAATTTATATTTCTTTTTGCCAATGTGTCAGCATTTTCCAAATCACCTTCTAAATTAGAATTATTTTCCATAATATTATGTATCAAATGATCCATAGCATTGTTAATATGAGCAATACCTTTCTGATAATATTCAGTACCTGCATTTCGACTCTCATACATATGAATACAAGACAAAGACAAAAAACAGCTTCTTGCTACATCAAAATCACAATATTTCAAAGCCAAATCTGGCCAAGGTGATTTAGGATGACCATCAAGTAACGGCAATAGTTTTTTGAAAAAATGCTTCAACATCTCATTTTCTTCTTGATGACTAATTGTAAGTAAAAAGTTTTCATTATCTTGAGAATCATTACCAATTTTATTTGATTGTTCGATAAAAGAATTTGATTTATTAATAAAACTCATAATTTGATTATCCAATTTGTAATTTGTATTCAATGATGGTGATGGAGTTTCACTGAAATTGGAATTTTGTGATGAGCTATGATTTGGAAATGGTCGTACATCAGTTGTATTACTATCAACAATATTGTTCAAAGTTGGAGTTGCTGACAAAAACCCTTCAAGGTCTTCAAATATTGCACTACTATATTGAGCCAAATTAGATGTATAAGGTAAATTAGTGTCATTATCTTTCCCAAAATTATTGTCATTTATAGAATTGAAAGAAAATAAATCATTGTTTTGAGTTTGTTTGATATTATCTAATTCTACTTGGTCATCTAATGAAATTGGTTGTGAGTTTGACTTATTAATTATCTTTGAATTTGATTTTGATTTTAGTTTGTTGGCCAGGGGTTGTGTTTTTGAATATGATTTTTTGACAATACCTTGTGAATTATGCTCTACTATATCAAAAGAATACCTAGTACCATAACCTTCACATTCTCGTTTTGATTTTAAACAATTTTTACAAGCAGGTTTTGTTTCATCGCATTTTCTATGTCTATTGAGAATATTAGTATTTCAAAATTATCTCATTTACAAGTTTGAAATAAAACATACCTTTTTTTACAAGTCCAACATCCTGTTCTGACTCGAGTTGTTTTAGTCATAATTTAACTTTTCCTTTAACATTTGAAATAATAATTTTATGAGATATCAATAATATGTAATAATAATAATAATTAATATTATTATTACTCAGTTATTTCTTGTGGAGTCAATAAAATAATATTGAAATATTAAAATATAAAAATCTGGTAAATCTTCAAATCCAACTTATGTAATGGATTATATAATCATGCTAAGTGATTTTTTCTTTATTATCGATAATCAAATTTAATTGAGATGAGAATATAGGTTATTATTTATTGATATAAATTAATATGGGAAAAAAAACTTCTAAACATAGTAGAGCGGCAAGAAGGAGAGATATCGATGAAAATGAAGATAAATCAAATCTAATATCATCGATACCAAATAAAAACTCAGATGTGAAAAAGTCAATAATTCGTACAACTATTAAGAATGAAAATTTATTAAATAAAAAGATGGAATTATCAAAAATTAGAAAATCTTCAGATAGTAATAAAAAGAAATCAACTAGCTTGAAGCATAAAATTGAAAGATCTACTAAAATTAGTGGAATTTTAGCTAATAAGATTGATCAAAGTATTCAAAGAGCTAAATATGTACAGAATGCAAGAAAATCTGATTGGAAGAAAACAAATTTTGATATAGAGATAAAGAATCATTTAGCTAACGAATTGAAAGTGGATAAAGTGGAATTGACACAGGAAGACTTGGATAAAATGGTAGAAGATGAATATGTAAAGGATTTTTTTGAAATTACGAAAGAGGATAAACCAAAAGAGGATAAGGTAAATTTGGCAACTAATAAATTTAGCATTCTAGATGAAACAGAGGCTTAAAGCTTTATTATTATTTAATCATATTTCATGCTTTAAGTTGAATATCAACAAAATATAGATTCCTTTACGATTGCAAAATTTGTAAATTTCTCTAACTGGTAGCGCGTGACTTAATAGTTATAGGATCTCCCTTACTTTAAAAGAATCTAACTCTAAGCTAGATTCATAACGTTATTTCTGCCTTTAAACTGTTTATACATCTAAAATTTTATTTTTTCTTCTTCAAAACATTATTTGTTGCGTCAGTAGTAATCAAATTTTCTCCATTTTTCGCCATTTTTCGAAGAATTATAACTTCTCGTACCATAACGATTTTCAAAATCTAAATTAGTAGATCTCTAGATAGTCCATTGAATTACAAACTCAACCACTTATTTCATTACTTCAATTTATAACCACCTCCCTGTTCCCAAATACAACCATATACCTTTTTTCTTCCCACCTTTCATGAGAAAAAAAAGATCACGGCCAAGTCGTATAAATTTGAAGCGAAACTGTCATAGCTGTAGGCTAAAAAATGTATCTGGTGTCAATTATAAGCTAATTGGGAGTACGAATGTTTTGTTCTCAGGCTATGAATTACAACATATGTAATTGCATCTACTCAAGTTTAATGGTCAATTGATTAAATCGTAAGATTTACAAATTTACTACCAAGAAATTGTAAAACCACCATTCATTAATAAATGCTACTATCTGAGTATAAAAGTGCAAGCGTGTTAATTTCAGGCCATATATTACAGAAAATGTAACTGTATCTGCTTTTGTTCAACGAAATTTTGGTGTATAATACATGAATCGTCTTTGTGAAAATGTAATCTTTAATGTGAAATAACTCTGCAGATACAAAACCATTACAAAAGCAAACAACAGGTTTACCATCAGTAAGCTAAGAATAGTCAAATACAACTTATTCAGAAACAATTAGTACCCTCTTCCGTTCTTTACATAAAGCATATCAACATTTCGAATTAAATTGTTTTACTCAACCACTAACTATTATTAACGCATCAGCTTGACATCAAATAAACTAGAGCTATCAAAGATTATAAAATGGTTGCTTTCAGGCTATCAAATGTGGTCATGTTCAAGTAATTAACGTTTTAAATAAAATTTCCAAAAAGAAAAGTTGTCAATTTAGGATCGTGTTTTTGTGTAACAAAAATTGGTTTTGCTGATGGTCCAAAGTTAAATGACCGAATTAGGAAACGAGGCTCACAAAATTCCAAAAGTGCAAATATCTCATGAACTAGCAGGTTTAGCGAAGATCTAAGGATCTATCAATAAACTATAGCTCAGGAGTTACGTAATCACGTTTAGTTTGGGATGGTAACTTGAGTTTTGAAAGAAACAAAATTGCAAAACCATGTGTATTTCATGATGGTTAGATGCAATTACAAGATAGATCCTCAAACTTGGTAGATCAAGGCCATAGAATACAATTTGAGTAATAGGGTCTACTTAGAATTAGTAAATTCTCAAAAAACGCACATAATTACAATTAAAGTTAATAGCGATTTTAAGCTGACATATAGGCCTTAAAGGCACGTACTTGTTATTACATTTTTGTATATCTGTTTTTGTTATACTCTAATGTGTATATGATATGAAGTCTGATGGTTGGGAGGGAGAAAAATATTTTTCGCACTAGCCTTGACTCGACCTAGTATTGCGTGTATTGGCTTTTATCTCGTGAAAAATGCAGTCTCTCGAGATAAGAGCCATTTAAATGAGATCAGATGTCTCTATTTCTGTACCATTATATAAGTAAATTTTCAAGATTCAAAATTTTCTTTTTTAGTCTGTAATATTGGCATTTTTTCATCATACAAAATTTTTTCAAGAAAAAGAATGCAATCTGTTTTTTAATTTACGACCAAAACTTTCAATTGAAGTCGACTTATGCGAAACGAAGGTGCAGCTCGTAAAGTTTATGCTCATCGCGAAAGGTACTATATTTTATGCGAGCTCAAACCGAATTGAGTTACGCTACCAGGTGTATCACGAAATAGAATTGTGAATTTTTCAACGTCAGTTGCAATGCAAGTATAGCCTACATATTTAGATTTAGTTATACGCTAATTTTCTTACAGAAAATGGAGTATTCTTTTATATATCTCAGTATGTTATGCTATTAAATGAATTCAAATTTAATGTATGATAGATACTCGCTACCAAATGTATTAATTTATAAAATTATATGTTTTCAACAATTAAGACAATCGTTACAGTCTGAAATATGAGCCTTAATATCGCGTACTCGTTGTTTTAAAATATGTGGTACACTTAATATATTTGTTGTTCATTTTGGTGCTGCCATGTTGGTATTGAGGCTATTTTGACTTGGTCTATGCTGCGGTGTTTCTCATCTGGTTCTGGTTAAAAGAGTTTGAATTGAGAATTACTGCTGGGACTTGTTTACTGAAAAGTTGATCTTGTTATTTGCATATGCACATAAAGTATATTAAAAAAATCAAATAAACTCCTTTCGTAACAATTCACTTTAAACTATTTATACATCAACTTTACTAGCAGCAAATTTGATTATTGGGCCTAAGAATTTGTTTTTCGGATATATTGATCCAAGCAATGGAACAACATTGCATCCAATTGTAACTTTAGCATTTTCAGTTGTTGGACCAAAATCAACAAATGAAACATTTTCCCTTAAAGCAATTTTAATAACTTCTTGCATCATAACAAAATAAGCCTTATATTTCTTACTTATTTCATGGTCTAAACCTTGAATATCGGATGTTATCGTATCACCTAATCTAAATATTACACACGATGCAATCACTGTATTATCAACTTTTAAAAACAATAAAGATCTAAATTTCTTTTCATTTGAAAAGTTCCCTAAATTGTATATAAATTCCCAATTTGCATTCACTAATTGTGATGATTGTCCATTTTCGACTCTACTATTTGAAATATTTTGATTCATATGAATAATCTCTTGACAATTCTCAAAATTAAATATATTTGTTTCAATAACTTGACCATTTGCTTGTTTAAATGCATTTTCTTGATTTCTATATTTAATTGCTTTGAAATATTCAGTACTTGATTGATTATTATATGGTCTTAAATCAATAATATGACTATTTGGTAAATAAATTTTATACCAACCACTATAAGTTATACTAGCTTCAAGATCTGCATCTTTATAAGTTGGATCTAATAAAACAGTACATTTTTCGTTATGATTATTCCATTTTGAAATTGCATATAATATACTTGAACTTCTTGCAATTGGTTTTCTGGTTGATGAACAATAAAAAGTTGATCTTTTGAATGGCCAATGAAAACCTAATAAACCAAATTTTATACATAATATTGGAAACTTTGAATTTTTCCCAAACAATTTATTTAATTTTTTACCGATCCAACCTGGTATTCTTTCACTCAAGTCAAAGTCAGTTATTATTGTTAATAAAACTAATGCTTCTGTATTCATCAATTCATTATAAAACTTTTCAGTATTATTCTCTAAACTTTGATATTCTAATTTTTGCTTTTCTTGTTGCTTTTTCTTATTTAATCTTTTCAACTTACTTTTTGAAATTGGTTTGAATTCTTCTTCAAGGTTTTTCATATCATTTGTTGTTGAGCATAAAGTTGGAGCATTTGAAAATAACAACGATTCATGATCTAATGTATCAAAAGCTGTATCCATTGTGTTCTTGTTATAATGTTTATAAGGTGACGATGAAGACGATGAAAATGATTTGTCATTTTTCGAAGATTCGTTATGTTGTTTTGTGCTATTGTTATTGTTCATGTTATTGTTGTTATCCTTGTAGACTCTTAAAACTTTACAATTCATGCCAGGTAAATCAGAATTTATGTAATTTTCCATTAATGAAATTGCATATTCACCTGAAATTCCATTATTATATTTATGATTTAAATCAATTAACTTACTCCAACCTTGTTTTTGATGATTGGTTAAATTAATTAAATCGTATTCTTCAACAATAAATTGATTAATTACTTTTCTAAATCTAAAATATCTTGTGCAAAAGAATTCTAATAAATTTAAACCCACAGATAAACCAAATAAGATTGGCAAACTGATGGGTATTTCATTCAAATTTGCAAAAGGTTTATAATCAAATTTAATACTAGCAACAGAAGTACAAGATATTAGTAATAGTCCAATTAAAATTATGAAAATATCGTAAAAAAAGATCAATTTCCCAATTAATTCATTTAACCTGTTTTTCTCATTAATTAATAAAACAATTGATAAACCCATAATTGACTGACCAATCATAAAAGAACCGCATAAAATGAATAGATTATGCATTTTTTTAGCAGGACCGTCAAAAGATAAATTGATCAAATCAACATTAATTTGAATAATTGAAATGGCAATCATAATTTGAATAAAATTTATTGAAGCAAACAATAAATAAACTGATGAAATAGTAGTAGACCACCATATTGATAATAAAGCTGAATTTGCCAACAATGCTAAAATACTTATGATTAAATAAGCTATTTTGTTGTTGGGGGACATATTTAAATAATTTAAATCAGATTTGTTTAAATCTAAAGGATTTTCAATTTTACCAGAAGAAATTGAAACCACTTTCAAAATACATAAAATCAAAAGTAAAATCCATAAGCATTTCTTTATAACTTTATCAATAATCAAATAAGTATAGTAAGACCATTTTGAGTTACAAAAATGATTTTTACTATTCTTATTGCTATTCTTGTTTTTATTTTCATTCTTTTCATCAATTTTTGGTTCCGTACTGTTGTAAGTGTAATTTATTATGAAAAATCTGTTATAAATTTCAATTAATAAAATTAAAAAATCCGTTATAACAGCAATTATTGATGAAATATTAATATAATGTAAAGATTTTGTAAATTTTGTGTATATGATTGCATCTATTAAATTGAAAATGAAGCTATAAAATATTATAGCAAATGAATTATAAAACCATTTTAATGAGGGTTTTACATTAAATGAAGAAATGAGATTATTATTGATGCAATTATACTTTGATCTTTCTTTGTTGAACATGAATAGTATGAAATTTGTAATTTAATAAGGTAATGACTTTTTGATACAAGAATTTTGATATGTATAAAAGTATTTTGATGATGAAGTATAATTAAATAAATGTCAATGAAAATGATTTTAAATGTGATAGTTTATATAGTTTCAAAATAATGGAGTTGCAAACTGTTCCTTTAATTGTAGATCTGATTGTAAATATGTAATTAGACGTCTATAAATAGATTTGGCCCACGGGAAGAGTGTCTGATGGATGTGATATATTAATAGTCTATTATTAGTTTATAAAATAACTGTAGTAAACTAATTTTAATGATTAACTAGCTAATGAATATATTGTTGATGGTTAAAAATAGATTTGTAGTACTAAATAGTTCATATATATATATATTTAATTAATAAGTAAATTATATAAGAACTTACATAAGCGCTTTCATACTATAGATTTATTTAGTAAAAAAACAATTTTTCTTGGCATTCATCGTTTTTTTTTTTTTTTTTTTTTTCAATTATTTTTAGATTAATATAAAGTCATGATTAAATTAGAATTGTATTTATTCTAATATGAATCTCTATAAACTGATTGATAAAGAAAGAGTGAGTCGATTACAACAATAAATTATTGTAACTTAAAGGCTTACTAGATTTAGGAGATCAATTGAATAAATATTTTTAAATTTTATAAACCGTTTGTTTGATTTACAAGAAAATAATAATATTAAAATTGATTTACCAGAAAATAATAATATTTTAATTCAACGCCGCATAGAATAATAATAAGTAATAAGTAATAGAGTTTGTTGTTTATACAATTCATCAAAACACCGAAGAGAATCACTGGACAACTCCTTAAAATCACTGGACAACTCCTTAACTTATTTGTCAACAATCAAATACTATTTTCATTTAGCAAAACTCGAAGAAATCGGTTTCAATTTTTAGCGATATTTTCATTTCAATTTCGAAATAATATATGTCTCACCTAATTCCGTTTAGCATTTTTAAGTTTAGATATAGATTTTTTATTTCTGTAAGTCCACCCCACGAACTAAGAGCTAGTCAATATGTATGATTTGTAACTTACTATTATAAAGTTGAGAAATCATAATCGTCAAGTATTGTTTTACTCCAAGTTTATTTTATTTTCCAAGGTACTTTTTATTTTTTTATTTTTATCGCCGACATCAAACAAATACGAGTAGATTAAATGAAGTAATTAAACAATAAAATATCGAATGATTAACGCATTCAAAGGAAGTAAATACACGCTCGATTTTGCTGGCTGGTGTTTGTTTTGATTTCAGTTTTGTGGGTCAAATATATAACATCGATCTTAATCTCCGACTTTGATCCAACTCGCAACATTCTATGGGAATATTTTGAACATATTGATAAATTCAGCTATATCCTTTTAATAACCTTATTTAGACTTCATTTTAAAATCGTAGATTGATAATTATAAATATGTTTTATATTTAAAGAGCAGACATTTGGAAGTTGAGGAGTTAGGTTTACGCTCGAGGTAGGCATTCTTAAAACATATTGGTCCCTTTTTTTTTAAAAAAAAAAATTTTCTAATATTTCTTGTGTTTGTGGGAACAATCCTTTAAAATTTTTTTATATAGTATGGAAATGTTCATAGTGCTAAGTTTGACTTGACTTTAGGGAACTCTTAATGCTTATTATTTGGATTATCCGGATATCTTAATATTACTAAAAAAGATTTATGCTGCATCATTTCATATTTTGAGCGTGTTTTTTTTTTTTTTCTTTTTTTTTTTATATTTATTTTCATTAAACGGTTATATTTTAAATTTATAATACGCTTGAAATCTAATCGAAATATGAAAATATAATTACGAGTTGAACCTCAAAGACATAGTCGACTTTTAGGGCATTATCAGGGATACTTATGAGACAGGCTTAAAATCAAGAATACTCTCTAGAGATTGATTAATAAAAATGTTTAATTTACTTTTTTTATTTTACAACTAAATATAAAAATAGGGGGGGGGTTGGTTTAAGATTGCTTCTAATTCATAATATTTAGTTAATCATGAAGCATATTGATATAACTAAAATGCATTCTTTGAATATGTTGGACGGATTTTCACTTGCTCTATATAGAGCCAACTTTAAATGAAGTAACAATAACATGAGTTACACAAACATTAATGATATGTGCTTCAAGTAACTAGTCCATAACCCGTTATGAAACAATCTTTGCTGTCTCAAATTTCGTTTCTTAAATGCAATAGAATTAAATTCTTAGGTTTTTACTTACATCGACAGAAAATACCGAATAATCACTTAATACGACTTAGAATTATTTTGCAAAATCAAAATTAGGTAAAGCACCTAATTCTAGTGCTGTATATAATGAAGTGATAAACTTTAATATTATCCAACAGAAAATTAGTCCCCAATCGTATCAAATATGTTACACAGACAACTAACTTAGAGCATGTAACAGATTCTTCATACTCAAAAAAGTTGTCAAAAACTCGCAAATTTTAGGCAGACATGATCCCTTACGTAACTTCAAGTCCTTCGAGCGCAAAATAGATCTAAGATAGCGCGATCAAACCTGAAACAATATACCAAAAACGCGCAATTTCAAAAGAACACAAAACCAAAATTAAAATACCATGAAAATTAAAAGTTTTCATTTAGTTCAAAAACATTCTGAATTTGTGTAAAATACATTGTTCTTGGTATTATTCGAAAGATAAAAAATAGTACTATTCGAATATGATACTTTTTTAGCGTTGCTGACAAAAAGCTTCTCAAAAATCCTTTCAAGTATTCAATTTAACCATTCTGGTTGTTGATTTAAATGAAATAATTTATTCAAGAAAAAGTGACAAATCTACTAACGATAACAAGCAAAGGTCTAATATGTTTTACAAGACCTAGGAATCAGTTGATGAGATATTGTAATATTTAGACCTTTGCGAGTCAAACATTTGAAGCTCAGATAAAGGACTACTAGATTAGTTTACAAGAATTCGGAATTACTTACTTTGCAATTCAAGAATGCGAAAGAATGTCCGCACTTTGATGTGGATCTAGTTGAGAAAACTAAGTTCTTCGGTGAGCTGCCCTGCAATTGATGAAGGTTCTCCACATGACCATTTCTGGTTAATTTTCCTGGTTATATTGATAAAGAATAAGCCAAGTTTGCAAAAGCTAAAGTTGGTTTAGCTTCGTCCTTTATAATTGAATCAAAATTGAGAGGTGGAATGTGAATACTTTATTACTGGTTTAGAGATCGCCATAAATTTATGGAAAAAGTAGTCGAGATATATAAAGATGCTTTTGAAATCGATTAAACTAAAATCACTCCCCACAATCAACGACAAAAACCAATGGTTAAAATAACTATTAATTAAACCTCTTCATACTAAATATGAAACGTTTATTAGTTTAATTTAACCACTCGATCAATTATTGTACGGCTATTCTTTTAATAATATGTATTATCTAAATTAAGTAATAATCACATTTCACACTCACCAAATCTGACTATAATAATTTTTTTTTTTTTTTTTTTTTCTTTTCGACCCACCCCAAATACTTGTGATAATTTATTATAATATATTGTGTTGTCCAATCACTCAGTTTGATATTTAATTACAATTACTTTATATATCTACTGATTAATAAGTCATTCATTGAAATAACATTGGAAAATTATTCAAAAAGTTTATACAATATTTAGCTTCTTTATTTATTTCTACATTTTTTTGATTTTTACAGATTTTATCGTTATTTAATTTAGTTCACCAATCATTGCTGCTAATTTAATCAATTATGTATATTGAAAATTCAATAAATGATAAATATATTAAAACATTAAACCTTGGTTGTTTTCCAAAAAATGTTTTACAATTTCAAGATAGTCAAGATTATTTTCAACAATTAATTTTTATTGATTATCAATTACAATTACTTATATCAAATGAGTTTAAGAATGATCAGTTATTATCTTTAGCTTATTTTGAAAACAATACTACTTTATATCAAGCAAAAAAGGAAAAATTATTACAATTGATTAATTATCATAATTCAATTAATTTGAACTATAAATCTAGTATAAAACTGTTTAAAGAAAATTTTTACAACTTAACTTTGCAATGTCATTTATTGTACTTGAACAATCATAATGTCCAAGATTTAATCAAGATCTTATCTTCATTTAACATTATACCAAATGACAATGAAATTGAAAATAATATTTCAGAGTTTGAGTTTATACAATTTTTGACAATAAAATACAATGTTTTATTAAGCAATTGTTATTCATCATTTAACTCAAACTATCAATTACAAATCTATTTTGATTATTTGGAAAAATTTCAAAAGCCATTTTCAAAATCTCAAATAATTTCAAATTTTTGGTTCGAAATTTTATTTAAAAACTTATCCGCCCATTTAACTAAAAAAAATACAATACAGTTATCATTTGATAATCATTTGAGAAACTTGCCGTTTTTTAAAAATAAATTTGCAACCATAAATTATTCAAATTTTTTATTAAGACCTGAAAATTTGAATTTTGTTAATAAATCATTCAAAAATGATTATAGTAATTACTTACTAATTGATGTTGAAGAAAACATGCATTCAAAAAGTTTTCAATTCCCCAATGCAAGTGAAAGTTCTTCAAATAATCAGATAAATGATTTTATTAATAATTTGTATGAAAGTTTGAGTTATGTCCCATTTAATCTATCAATTTTAAAACCTCAATTATCCAAAAAGTTTTTGATTGATTGTACAAAGAAAACGTTTCAAAGTAAAATTATTTTATCAAACTTGATCTATACTTTAATTGATTTAGGTGAATATGATGAAGCATTTCAGTGCTTTATCACTTATATTGATTATTTAGTAAAAGGTGAAAAGTTAAAAAATGGTTATATCGAGGATATTTTATCAATCATTGACACATTTTCCACTTGTATTATTTACTTTAATCCATTAAAATCTTTTAAAAATAATAATTCAAAGTTCAAAAATATTGATTTAAATTTTATAAATGATACTTTTACTAAAAATTTTATACCAAATTTACAAAGATATCTTGATGAATTATCAAAATTGATTGACTTGACTTATGATGATGAAAATTATGCAGGTGACAAAAACCCATTAAGCTTTTTATATAAAAAATACAATTTAAATATTTTACAAACTGATCATTCACAATTCATTGAATTAATTTCCAAAGCATGGTTTTCAATTGGTAATTATTATTATTACTTATCAATTTATGAATCTATCAATTTAAAACTGATGGAGTTTAATGTATCACAAATTTTACTAAATTACAAAAATAGTTTAATAATAAACTCAACTGGTAATGTACTTTATTTGTTTAATTATGCTTTAGTTTTGGCAAATGTTGGTAATTTAAAGTTTTCATTAAAATTATGTAAATTTATTTTAAAAAAGTATCCTGAATCTTTTAAAACTTGGAATTTATTAGTTTTGATCTTAACAAGTTTAAATAATGATAATAACGACACATCAATACCTTTAAAATTTAATGATAACATTTTAGATGGTCAGTTAAGTCAACAACAATCGCCACCACCACAGCAACAACAACAAAAAATGAGAGATCCAGAGAAATTCATTAATAAAGCTTTAAATATTGCTGGTTTATATATTATGAAATATATTCAAAAAGATATTAAATTAACTTTGGAATCTAAATATGAAATTTTACAATTAAAATTAACTCAAATGGCAGTTTTAGAATCTGTTCATGGGCATCAATATATGATGGATTATTTAAGTGAAGTTTTTGTATTATATCATGAATTGTTTGATGTTCAATTAAATTCAAATTCTACTAACATAAATCATTCATCAGCAAGACAGTTTGGCTCGAATGACAAATGGTCACATCGCCCAAGTTTTATTGATCCTAAAATTCAAACTAATCAACAACAATCTAAAAAAGATCCTGCTTCTTCACAACCAATTGGCGATATAGATTCGGTTAAATCAATTAAAAAATCTGTTGGTACTGGTAATACTGTTGATAAGTTGAGAAGATTATCGAAAATTTCAAGAAAAGATTCCTTTAAGAAGAATGAAATTTTGACACCACCACCTTCGGCAGCACAACCTGTTCAACAACCTAAACAAACACTTTCAAGAAAAACCTCTAGACAAGATAATCCTATAGCAACAACAGCAAACAATAAGACGGTTGAAAGAAAAATCTTACAAGAAATTTGGTTGTGGACTTCTCGTGTTTTTCTTAAAAATGGTTTAATGGAAGAATGTGAGCAATGTATCATTGAAGCAGAAACTATCTACGAACCTAACATCAAAACATTTACTTCATTGGGCTATTTGACATCTAAATCAAGAAAGTTTCTTTCGTTACAAGAATTTGAGAGATCATTAGAGATTTTTAATAAGTCAAATAAATTTAATAATCAATTTGACTATGGGTTAAATTTATTAGGATTATGCAAATTATTTCTTGTTGATGATAATTTATCAAATTCATTATTTATTTCAGAGAAAGATATGAATTGTGCAATCATTAGATTAAAAAATTTATTAGAATTGTATTCATTAACTTGGCCATTTGGTTATAATAATTCAGAGGTTTGGTTTTATTTAAGTAAAATTTATGAATACATCGACGATAAAATTTTATTAACTTCAAGTTTATGGAAGTGTATTGAATTAGAAGATAAAAGGCCAGTTAGACAATTTGAAATTTGTGATTCATCAATTGTATAATTACTTTAATATATAATTACTAATTATTATGCATTTATTAATTTTTCAATTTTAACGCACCCCAAAAAAATTTGCTTATTCAATGGCTGAAGTTGCACCAAAATCGGTACTATATTGTAAAATTTGTTCATGGCCGCCTGAATATTGTGAATTTGGCTCTTCATTTAAAAGATGTCAAGCATGGCTACAAGAAAATAATGAGGATTTATATAATCAACTTTATTCCAACGCAAATTTATCAAATCAATTATCGTCATTGTCAATTGAAAAAGAAGCAAAATTATCAGCAGATTTAGAGAAGAAACAAGCCAAAGAAGAGGCAAAAGCTGAAAAGGAATTAGCTAAAAAATTGATGAGTAAAATTACTATAAAAAGAATTGAAAGAAATAAAAGAAAACACATAATTTCAATATCAGGAATGGAAGTTTTAGAAATGGATTTGAAAAAAATTTGTAAGACATTTGCTAACAAATTTGCAACTGGTTCAACTGTTCAGAAGAATGCTGAAGGTAAAAATGATATATTAATTCAAGGTGATGTTAGTGATGAAGCAAAAGAAATTATTGAAAAATTATTGACAGAACAAGGATTAAAAGATGTTAAGATAGAACAAGTTGATGATAAGAAAATCAAGAAAAAACAAGCAGCTCAAACGCAAACTAAATAAGATAATTTTAGCATAATTTAATATATATAATTTTTCTAATAAATTTGTTTAACTAATTAATTTCGAAATTGAAACTTTTTCCTCCTCCGTACTTTCATTCTTCAAATTATTTATGCTAGGTAACTTAATCGAGTAATTTTCATCTTTAATACTCAATTGACCAAAATTAGAAACGGAACTGGAGTTTTTTAATTGATTTATATTAGGTAAAAGTGGTGATTTGTCTGGTGATGAAATATTTGAAGTCGATTTATTAACATTTATGGATTTCAAATCAGTAAGTGATGAATTTTGTGCAATAGATGATTGTCTTGAATGCGAGTCACCGCTATTGACATTTGCTGTATTTGTAGGTAATGGTAAAATATTAAGTTTTGAATCCTTAGAAAGTAATATATTTTGAGAAGCAATTGTGGCAGTATTTGCGGCAGATGATGTAATTGGCGTTAATGAAGGTTGTTGATGTTGAATGCCTGGAGCATTTTGTGAAAGAACATTATTATTAGAAACAGAAGGAGGACTTAGCACCGCTGCTTGCTGTTGTTGCTGTTGTTGTTGTTGTTGTTGTTGCTGCTGCTGCTGTTGTTGACTTGGTAATGGTTGTTGTTGAGTTATAGGTGGAACAGCTGTTACAATTGGAATTTGTTGTTGAGGTTGTGATGCTTGATGCATTAGCGTTTGTTGTTGCTGTGGTGGTGGAGGAGGTATCGGAGAAGCTTGAGCATAAACAAGTCCATTTGAAGTTACAACAGGAACGACTAATCCGTATTGAGTTTGATAAACCATTGGTGGAGCACCTTGTTGGGGCGCCAAAGGTTGAAATGCACCTCCGGTAGGAGACATTGCAGACTGTAATTGTTGATGTTGTTGTGGAGTAACAAACATAGGATTTGGTTGAGCTTGAATTTGAACTAAAGAAATTGGATTAGTGCCACTTGCTGTTGAACCAGTTGATGATGAATTGTTTTTATCTTCCAATTTTTCTTGTCTTAAATTTTGATTATATTGAGCTAACCTTAAAGCATTTCTTGCATTAGTATCTAAATTTAAATAAGCACAATGGAGTTTACCTTTAAGGCAATTTAGGCAACATGGCAAGGTTTCATCACATTTTATTCTCCTCTTTTTACAAGTACCACACCCCAAATGTGAATTCCTATGCTTCCTTCTCGAATTTTTCTTACGTTTATTTATTGAATCTTTTAATTCCATATCTGAGGGAGAAGATAAAGAAGTTGATAAATTATTTTGAATAACATTAGTTGTAGATGATGAAGGAATGCTTTGTGAATTATCACCACCATTATTTAGCGAAGAGTCCATTTCGTTTTTATTAGAATCATTATGAATATTTTGTAATTGAGGTGAATTAATAGCAGCAACTGATTGAGAAGCAGTTGCACTCGAGGATGATGGAGAATTTAAAGTTGAAGGAGAATTAGAATGTTGTTCTTCATTATTTTGTTGTTGATTATTACATAATGGTGAAGGTGATTGATGTTGTTGAGAATTTGGAGATAAATAAGTATTTGTCGATACATGTTGTGGCTGTGATTGTTGAAGTTGCTGATCTTGATACAGAGGTTGGCGTTGTTGCTGTTGTTGTTGTTGTTGTTGTTGTTGTTGTTGTTGTTGATGATCTTGATTTTGATTATTTGAATCTTCGGGTGTAAACACTTTCTTCTTTTTTGGAGGGTCTGGATTTTTCAAAGCTTTATGATAAATGTCCATTGTAAATTGTTATTTTTTTTCCTTCACTTTAATTTATGAATAATTTAGCACAATAATTTCAAGTCCTTTTCGGTATTAATATTTTATAATAATCTGATTTCAAACTGTCACCTTAAAATCTAATTTGTTAAAAATGTATCGTAAAAAAAATAAATCAATGATTAATAATTTTTTAAATTTTTTTTTTTGCTGTTGATGATAATTTAATTTTTAGTAGTAAGTTGGTTTATTTCAATAGTGTTGATAAGAATTTAAATATATTATGATTTGACTCGTATTTTGATACTTGAAAGATGATAAATCTTATTAATGATACTGATAATTAATGAATTAAAATATTATACTTAATAAACTTTTAAGATATTATATGAAATTTGTTGTGTTTTAATAGGTTGATACAAAAGAAGAAAGTTGTTTATAAAAAAAAAAAAAAAAAAAAAAAAAAAAAAAAAAAAAAATTAAATAGTTTACGAACTCAAAGTCAAAATTTAAGAGAAGAAAGAATACAACAGAGTTATTATGTAATATATTATGTAAGAATTTATAGCTTATCACTTTAATTGGTTTTGCCTTTGAAATTGTTTAAACTTTTTCATTATACAGGATTACATATAATAATGATTTTAGTACCTTAAAATTTTTAATGGACCTTTGCTACCAGTTTATTTAAGATTTTAATGGATTAATTACAAGAATTTTTACTCTACTTTTTGAGATTATTATTATCATCGTCATTGTCATCAGCTATATTATTATGATGTCAAATACCTCTGAAACTAAATGCTAGGCTATGATTTGTAATTAGCTTTGTATATAACATACATCTCCTTATGTATTGTTTTGGGTTTTATTATTTTAATGTAATATGCAATAACCACAACAATAGTAAATATGTAAAGTGGGCTATTCTATTAAAGATTTTATTCGCCCAGGTTTAAATAAAAATTCTAAAGATCTAATTCGTATAATAAAACGAGGTCGAAGAAGTCTGAAATTTTTGATTATTAAACTGATATGTATTTAATACAGCTGTTTGACTTATAACATATAAAAGTCCCCCATTTGATAGTCTACAAATTATGGTTACTAACTAATTCGGGTCTGGTCCGTGTTTTTTTTTTTTCTGAAACGAAATTATTTAAACGAAATTATTTAAACGAATCTCTTTTTTTTTTTTTTTTTTAAAAAACCAAGTGCAAATTTTCCTATCTTTGTGAAATTTGGCTTATTTTTAAAGTAGATGAGTGTATATCATATTACTCCAACTCTATGTCTACAAAAGGTTACTTAACAATTTAAAAAAAAAAAAAAAACTAAAAAATTTGAGAGATAATTGTGTTTTTTGTTGGTGGTAAGGAGTAAAAAACTATACGGTATAAATTTATTAATATATACGTCATGTAATCTGAGATTCTTAAAATTTATACGTAAAATTCTGGAATATTTACTAATGTAGTTAATCGGATTTAATACCGGATTCTGATATAGAAATATTAATTCCGGATTTCAATTTTGAAAAAATGACACTGCCTTCTTTTTTAAAGAAATTTTTTTACTATAAGAAATCGAAAAATGTTAAATGGAACACACATTCATACAATACAATTTGAATTAATTATGACTTTATAATAATATCTTACCAATTTCAGTTACTAAACTCTATAAATCTATACATTCTCTTAATTAAAAAATTCTCTTAATTAAAAAATTCTCTTAATTAAAAAAGGGTAAAACATAAATAAACAATTATGTATAAACTGTTGTTCTTAAATATTGTTACTACTTGTCCTATTGTTTATTCGTGATTTTCATCATTTTTTAAAATTTATATATCCGAAGATGTTGATATTTCCATTTTGGATATTATTCTTATTATTCTTTGAAATTCAAATTTTGTACCTCAAACTAAAATTAGGTATGACTGATGGTCGTAGTTTCGCGCAAAAGTTAATTTTGCAAGGCGAAAAAATGGCAATCGCTAAGCATGCGTAATAAATAGGACTATGAGAGATGCTCATATAATAATGAGGTGCCTTATAAAGCCTTTACATACATATAAGAGTATCATTTTAATCTGGCGAAATCAACACTCCAGATGATTCAAAACATCATCAGTGTTATTTTTGATGAAATTTGCAAGAATCCTATTAATCTATTTAAATACTAATTGATGCCTTTCAGCTGTAGAATTTTACGTTACTACTTGTTAATTAAGATCATCAATTGCCATTCTTTAAACTATTATTTAGTCATTTTAAGTGAAACTCTACAATTGAAATCTAGGGTAATTCAATTTCGTATGAGATAATCGATGTTACCCCTTGCAGTTTTGTGTACTTAAAACTATGCTTACATAATCGAATCCTTTGAAATCGTACTTTATCAGATTGAAGTGGACGTAGGTAATTACGAAACTAAAATGACAGATTTTTCAAATCTAACTGATTTAGCGGTATTTCACGTACAAGCGTGAGAAGTTTCAGTTAGTTGGAAGTGACAGAATTGGTTATATATTAGATTATACATTTAGATATTCTTTAAACAAATCTAACTGATTGAGCGATATTTCACGTACAAGCGTGAGAAGTTTCAGTTAGTTGGAAGTGTCAGAATTGGTTATATTACATTTAGATATTCTTTAAACAAATCTAACTGATTGAGCGATATTTCACGTACAAGCGTGAGAAGTTTCAGTTAGTTGGAAGTGACAGAATTGGTTATATATTAGATTATACATTTAGATATTCTTTAAACAAATCTAACTGATTGAGCGATATTTCACGTACAAGCGTGAGAAGTTTCAGTTAGTTGGAAGTGTCAGAATTGGTTATATTACATTTAGATATTCTTTAAACAAATCTAACTGATTGAGCGATATTTCACGTACAAGCGTGAGCTGTTTCAGTTAGTTGCAAGTGTTAGAATTGGTTATATATTAAATTATACATTTAGATATTCTTTAAACAAATCTAACTGATTGAGCGATATTTCACGTACAAGCGTGAGCTGTTTCAGTTAGTCGCAAGTGTTAGAATTGGTTATATATTAAATTATACATTTAGATATTCTTTAAACTTTTCAGTTTGATGAATACCACATTCAGTTTTTATTTTACCTTTCCATCTTCCACTTCTTTCATCTTCATCTTCTGCAACAGGTACTGTTGAGTGCCAATCTCCAACAGATTTATAACCTAAATTCAATAGATCGTTATAAGGCACCTGAAATTTATCTACATAAGATTTAACTTGATCAAAGTCCCAATTGTATAAAGGATTTATCTTAATAATTCCACTAGTTTCTTCTACCTCTATTATACTTAAATTGTTTCTTGCACCTCCTTGTGATTTTCTTCTACCAGTTAATACAACATTAACATTTAATTCTTTATAAGCTCTTTGACTTGGTTCAACCTTTACTAAATAATCATAATACGAATCATTTGATTCCCATAACTGATCACCGTATTTTTCAACAAATTCATTTTCATTATTTACACCTTTAGGTTTATATACATGGATTTTGGAATTATACTTTTGTTTTATCTTTTCAACTAATTCATAAGTTTGAGGGAAATGGTATAATGTATCCAAAAATATCAATTCAACATTTAAATTTAATTTAGAAATAATATCTATTGTAACTAATCCAGTTAAGCCAAAAGCTGTGGTTTGATATAAACTTGGAAATGTATAATAAGCCCATTTTATCAACTCCTCGGTGGATAGTTCTTTTAATCTTTCATTTAAAAAATTTATATGATCTTGACTCAATGATATTGACATTTTGAGTGACGATCCAATAATGAATTAAAGGTTTGAAAATTCTATAAGTGATTTACTATTGATGTAAAGATTTTTTCAAATATTAGGTAAATAAGCATGATTTCGAATCCGATAAGAGCAGACTGATGAAATTTGATTTATTTAACATCAATGAGTTCAACCATAAAAATAAATGAGATTATTGGATTCAGTATCAATACTAAAAATGTTAACAACAATGCATTATACTATTCACTTTTAAATAAATTGTATATCTGTTTATGAAAGTTAAATTATAAATTTGCAACCAAAGAAATTTGAATTGGTAGTGTTGAAAAACATTGGTACCTGCATATAATATTTTGACTCATTTTTTAAATCAAGATCTGAAAAATTGCTTAATATCGATTTATACTTATAACTATAGATTTTGAATAACAAATCATGTCAGAACAGTTAAAACAAACATTTAAAAAGTGTAAAGAAGAAAACCGTAATGCTTTAGTTAATTTTATAACTGCTGGTTACCCAACTATTGAAGATACTTTACCCATTTTAAAAGGAATGCAAGATGGTGGTGTCGATATCATTGAATTGGGTATTCCATTTTCAGATCCAATAGCTGATGGTCCAACTATCCAATCAGCTAATAATGTTGCTTTAAAAAATGGTATAACTGTTAAAAAATGTTTGGAATTGGTCAGGAAAGCCAGAGATGAAAGTATTACCGTACCAATAATTTTGATGGGGTATTATAATCCAATTTTGAAATATGGAGAACAACAATTGATTGAAGATAGTGCAAAAGCTGGTGCAAATGGTTTCATAGTTGTAGATTTACCACCAGAAGAAGCAATTAAATTTAGAACATTATGTACCAAATCAGGATTATCATATGTTCCATTAGTAGCCCCGGCGACAACAGATGAAAGATTGAAAGTATTAGGACAAATTGCAGACTCTTTTATTTATGTTGTTTCAAAGATGGGTACAACTGGAGCTTCAACAAAAGTTTCAACTGGTATTGAAGAATTGTGTCAAAGAGTCCGTAAATTTATTGATAAAGAAACTCCAATTGCAGTTGGATTTGGTGTTTCAACAAGAGAACATTTTTTAACTGTTGGACAAGTTGCTGATGGTGTTGTAATTGGATCAAAAATTATCACTTTAATTGGTAATTCTAATCCAGGTGAAAGAGGTAAAGTTGCAAAAGAATACGTTCAATCAATTTTAGGTGCTGATTACAAATCAGACGCACCTAAATCTTTTGTAAGAGTTAAAAATGACGATTTTAAAGAAACTAAAGCAATACTTGAAGAAACTCATAAATTCAACCCTAGATTTGGAGATTTCGGTGGTCAGTACGTACCTGAAGCTTTACATACATGTTTAGCAGAATTAGAAAAAGCTTTTGAAGATGCAGTTTCAGGTCCAGAATTTTGGAAAGAATTTAAAGATTTATATTCATATATTGGTAGACCTTCATCTTTACATAAAGCTGATAGATTAACTGAACACGTAGGAGGTGCCCAAATTTGGTTGAAAAGAGAAGATTTGAATCATACTGGTTCACATAAAATTAATAATGCTTTATGTCAAGTTTTACTTGCAAAAAGATTAGGTAAAAAAAAGATTATTGCTGAAACAGGAGCTGGTCAACATGGTGTTGCAACTGCTACTGCTTGTGCTAAATTTGGAATGGAATGTATTGTTTTTATGGGTGCTGAAGATACAAGAAGACAAGCTTTAAATGTATTTAGAATGAAAATTTTAGGAGCTAAAGTTATTCCTGTTAAAAATGGTACTCAAACTTTAAGAGATGCTACATCAGAGGCTTTTAGATATTGGGTATCTAATTTAGAATCAACTCATTATGTTGTTGGTTCTGCAATTGGACCTCATCCATATCCAACTTTAGTCAGAACTTTCCAAAGTGTTATTGGGAATGAAACAAAAGAACAATTTAAAGAATTGAATGAAGGTAAATTACCAAACGCAGTAGTTGCTTGTGTTGGTGGAGGATCGAATGCTACAGGTTTATTTTCCCCATTTGAAAAAGATACTGAAGTCAAAATGTTGGGTGTTGAAGCTGGAGGAGATGGTTTAGATTCAGGTAAACATTCTGCAACTTTAGCTGCTGGTATTCCCGGTGTATTTCACGGTGTTAGAACTTATGTCTTACAAGATGATGATGGTCAAGTTCATGATACTCATTCTGTTTCTGCTGGATTAGATTATCCAGGTGTTGGACCCGAATTAGCATATTGGAAAAGTATTGGTAGAGCTGACTTCATTGCTGCCACTGATGCTCAAGCATTACAAGGATTCAAATTATTATCTCAATTAGAAGGTATCATTCCTGCTTTAGAGAGTTCACATGCTATTTATGGAGGTATCGAATTAGCCAAAAAATTACCAAAGGATCAACATATTGTTATTAATGTATCTGGTAGAGGTGATAAAGACGTTCAATCAGTGGCTGAGATTTTACCAAAATTAGGTGATCAAATTGGTTGGGATTTAAGATTTGAAGAAGATCCAACAAAAGAAAATTAAATACGCTTTTGTATCTATTGTTAATCTATATTTTCTGGCATTGTCATCATTGTTAGTACTGTGCTTGTCCATCCTAGAAAATTCTTTGCTTTTTGAGCTTTACCATCTTCATCATTGTATTGTTCCCAAACAAATCCTGTTGATTCCCATTGATCAAAAACATTTTTTACAATGTTTATTCTCAATTGTTGATAAGTTTCAGCAAAAACTTTTGCCAACTCATTAGACATTGTTTCTTTACCTTCATTATAATAATATTTTATAGAATCCAAAATTAAATAATTAATATTGATCCAAATTGGAGATTTCCAATAATTCTCACCTGTTCTATAATTTGGATCTTGTTTTGATAATGATCGTACTCCATAATCACTCCATAATTCTTCCGGATTAGATATAATCTCTATTATAGATTGTAATTTTTCATTATCATCAACAGATATTAATTTTGTTAAAAAGGGAAATAATGAAACATATCCTTTATGACAAACAAAAATATTTTCGTCATCTTCATTTACTGATACATCACAGAAGGTTTTTTCATCCTCTGACCAATGCAACTTATTTATATTTTCAATTATATCATTTTCAATTTGTTTAAATTCTTCCACATCTTCCTTCTTGTTTAAAATTTCGGCCATCAAACTGATGGATCTAGTCATAATACCAATCCATGATAACAAATCCACATTTAATTCGGCAACATCAGCAGGGGATGCACGAGGATAATCATCGATACCACTGGCTAAACAATGAGTTTCTGTTCTACCTCTCCATCTATATGCTTCTTGATTACTGCCTCTATCGAATTCTTCAACATAACCCTTTTGTGTTCTTCTAAACATGTTAAGATGAGATTTCAACTTAGGATAAACTTCTCTTGTATAATTTGTCAACACTTCAGGATTGTTTAAAACAAAATTTCCCACTGAAATTTGTTCATCAACATTTACCGGATCATTTAAATTTCCATACTTTGAATATTTGGATACATTCTCCAATAAGTAAGTCAAGACTAAAGTCAATGTTGGTGGATTTACAATTTGAGGACTTTGAACTTGGAATTCTTTTGGAACTCTAGACCTCAGTTCTCTTCCTATTATTTGTTCACGAGCAATCCATCCATCTTCATCAATTAAATTAAACCACGACTTAATGATGTCCAAAACTAAATCAGAATCATACTGTAATAATGGCATTAAATGGAAACCTTCGTCCCAGTAAAATCCTCGAGGGAAAAACGGTCTTGAAGGAACTAATGTAAACAATTCATGTGGTCCTTCAAAAGCACCATTCAATTGATATGATTCAAATGAATCATCGTCAAAGATTGTTTCTCTGTCAACCAAATGATCTCCATAAACATATGATAATCCACCTAATAAGCCAGATAAAAGTTCTTTAGCAAACTCTGTATATTTCGGTAAACTGTCAAATGGGGCATTGATTTTGAAATTAAGTTGAAATTTTTCCTCAAATGCTTTTAATGCATCGTTTATTTTAGTAGCCAAATTCTTTGAATTGATCTTTTGCGATTGCGGAGTTAATGCATTGTCATAGATAATGTCAAATTCACAATCTCCTTGATAAATTTTTTCAATAAAATGAAGATTACCTTCAAAATTTTGCAAGTCTCTTAATATAAACAAGTTTTCAGGTGGAATTTTTTCAACAGCACCAAATCTTTCAATCAATTCTTTTATCGACTCTTGCAACATTGTCATAAATATATCTCTTGCTTGCCAAACATTATCATCAGGAACAGTCAAACTATAATGATGAGTTTTTCTTGGATCTAACTCAGAATTTAAATCGGGATTACCTTTTGGATGTTTATTTGTATCAGGTCCATCGTTTATAGTCAATTCAAATGCCCCCAATTCTTCAGATATTCCGACAAATTTGATATCTCCTTCATAACCTAAATTATTCTTTGTATTTTCCAATTTTAAAAACCCTGTTCTTTCTTTTTCATCTGAATCCAATTCTGACCGTTTTTCACCTTCTAATCCTGAATACCAAACAAATGCAATCTTTTTATCTTTATAACCTTCATGAAATTTTGAATCGATTTTAACTCCCCAAGATAAACCATCATGACTTTTTACAAAATCAATTGTAATATCAACATGATTCTCATTGTCTTTTATTATTTGTCTTCCTCCAATTCTAGGATCATATTCTATCCAATTAGCTTTTGACATGTCATCATTTTGTTCATAAAAATGTCTAATTTTACCAATTGATTGATAATTATCAGCTGAAAACCACATAAGTCCAGATAATAGAGATCTAGGTATCCTTGGTCTTATACCAAAATATAATGCCGATCTATAGGGACCCCATAATAAAGAATCATTCGCTAATTTATTATATTTACTTGTTAAATCATTTTCAGCATATTCATCGATAGTACCATGTAAATCAAATCGTATCTGATTTGAAGAAACCAACTGAATCAATAATAGTATGAAAAAGAACCAATTTCTACTTTTCATAATTCAATCGTATATGAAACTTTTGATTTGATTCTTTTTATATACGAATAAATTAAATAAATAAAAAAAAAAAAAAAAAAATTAATCAATCAATAAAGAGTTTTATAATTAATGTCAAATTCATTTCATGTATACTTGGCCACATAAAAAAGGTTTAGGAGTTAGAATAGGTTATGGTGTAAATGGTAATGCAAATCTATCAGTAGAAAAATATAGCAACGGTAAACAAGTTGATGCTGAATTGATAAATCATATTAATTTGCAACCCATCGCTAAATTTCCCAAGGTCAATGATAATTTAAAATATCAACCAGTTCCAAATTCGGAACAAGAACTAGTTAAACCACAAATTTTAAAAGACTCTAGCCAATCAAAGCGTACGAGAAAAGAAGTCACGACAGCTGATAGAATTGTTCTGAATTATGTACCTCGAAATTTGATCAAATCGTATTTATCGGAAGCAAATATTTTGCACTCAAATATTGCTTATGATCCAACAAATTTGTCATTATTACATTATTTCAAACTTAATCAACAACATGGAATAGTTTATGTAACCGGAAGCTCGTCTGAAAATTTAAATATTTCATTAATCACTATTAAAGATTCAAAATTGCAAAAATCAAACCCATTTTTAATTAAATATAAAGATTCAATACGACAAATACAAATCAACTATAAATCAAATAAGTATATGATAATTTTGGTGAGAACTTGCATTAAAGTTTACGTTTTATTAGTGACCTTAAAAGGTTCTATATTCGAGAGCAAATCATTGGGAGAAGTAAATTTTGAAAAATTTGATAATGATATTGCTGATATGACTTTTTGTAACTTTGATGATACTAAATTTGGTGTGATTGATATAAAAGGAAATGTCCAAATATGGCAAATCAATAAATCACTTTCTTTGACTAATATCCATGTCATTAATGAGAATCAGAGTAGTAAGAATTTATCGTGTTGGAGAAAAATCTGCTGGCTTTCATTAAACACAGTTTTAATAGTCTCAAGATCAAATATTCTAAAATGTAATTTCACAGCAAAGAAAGGATCGACTTTAAAAGAATTAGTGTCCGCAAATACCTGGTCAAAACTTTACGATATCAAAGCTGCAGATGAGTTTAGCATATTTTTATTGACATCAAAAGAGATCATTTGGCTTGATATGAATGACAAATTTGAGAAGAAACTTTCCTGGAAACATTTTTTAAATGATGAAGATCCTTCGTGGAATTTTGAAGTTTTTAAACAAAAGAGTATCTATACCTGCATAGTCTACAGCCGAATTAGCCCTATTTCATTAATTTACACATTTGGTATTGAAAATGAATTTCCTATTGTTTTAAGAGATCCTTATTTTGTTCAAAGATCTAGTGGAATTGAAAACTTAAAGCAAATAACTTTATTCAATGACGGAGAAAACCTTATTTTATTGGAATTAGATACAAACTTGGCTATTTATTCAAGATGCTTGAGTTTAAAAGCAAATTCAACAAATGATAATGTTTTTGACCATATAAAGCTCGAAAGTGATGCTGAACATTTGGAACTTATTGACAGTTTAAACGTTAGTTCAGGTCATATCTATGATTTTCTTTCTTCGTCTTTAGATTATGATGGTCTAGACAAACTACATGAGTATGCCATGCACATCAATAATAATCTTGGTAATATAGACAAATTTGCCAACTGTTCATTATTTGAGATCAAGAGAGAAGTACCTATTGTTTTTGATTTATTAGAAGTAGACGATATGATTGTGCAGTTGCAAAACATACTACCCAACTCAGTTCAGCTCAAAAGTTTGATAAATAATTCATTTATTCAATACTACAAATATTTCAATGACAAACTGACAAAAACTCATATATATGATATGAAGAAACAATTGGATCAAACGTTTTCAAATAAGTCCGTGAAAAACACTTTTGTTGCTTCATTAATAGGTATGTCATTGATTAAATGCATAAAGCAAACAGATAGTTTGCAAAACAATTTCAATCAAGCAGTAGCCAAAGCTTCAGATTCAATTCAACATTTGGTAGAGGACTGGAACAATGAAGACCTCGAATTGGAAAATTCAAATAGTATACAACTTGAATCACAGACCCTAGAACCAATCATACCCTCCATCAAAACTTCACAATTAGCTACACCTTCTAGTCAATTTTCTTCACAGCCAACTACTTCACGATCAAATAACTTAACTTCTCAATCACACCATAGTAACTTGAATAAACCGAATCTCAATAGAAAAAGGAAAAAAAGAAAAGGTGGATTTGCATGATATTATTTATGATTTAATGAATTTACGAAACTTAATTTAAAAACGAAGTTGTCTCTTTTTTAATATTACGTAGTTGTATTGCCAATTGTTTTGGATCGACGCCTTCATCGATCAACTTGAAACATAATTGCAAAGTGTTTTCATTGAGATCAATATCCATTAATTTTGCTAAAGTTGTTATCAAAGAGTTAAACTCATTGTGTCTAACTGTATTATTAATATTCATTATGCAAAGATTGTTTTGATCTGGCGGAAAAAAAAAAAAAATATGTTTCACCAAATTCTGAAACATGCTATACGACATAATTCAAATTTATCTATAGAACCATTGAAAATAGCCTTTTTTGGTAGTGATAGATTCAGTGTTGCTAGTTTGTGTAAATTAGACGAATATAGAAGAGCAAATCCAAATATAATAGAAAGTATTCATGTAATTACAAGAAGAATTAAACCGACTGGTCGAGATTTGAAAAATTTAATTGAGTTACCAGTGGGTAAATTTGCAAATGATTTAAATATTCCAATAATTCGGACTGATTCAGCTCAAGAAATTAACAATCTTCCTATTGAATTTAATTTAATTATTGCTGTTAGTTTTGGAAAATTGATACCTGGTAAATTTATTTTTAGAAGCAAGTATGGGGGGTTAAATGTACATCCTTCTTTATTACCTAAATATTCAGGAAGCTCTCCAATACAATATGCATTACTTAATGATGATAAATACACCGGTTGTACTATTCAAACTTTGCATCCTACTAAATTTGATCAAGGAGAAATCATTTTGCAGTCTGAAAAGATTCCAGTACTTGATGATGATAATTACAATAGCTTGGTTTCGAAGTTGGGTCCCATAGGAGGTGAGTTATTGGTTAAAGTTATCAAATTAAAGCTGTTTATAAGTCAAAAAAAATTTGAATCGATTGAACAGTATTCAATGGCCTCAAAAATCAGTAAAACTATGAGTGAAATAATATGGGATTCTTACCTGGCGAGGAAAATCAAAAGAAGATTTGATGCATTGGGTCCTTTATTTTGTTTTATTAATGTGAAGATAAAAAGAAAGAAAACTGTAATTGAGGAAAAACGTCGAGTCATTCTTTCCGATATTTCAGAAATACGTGATCCCAAGTTGAACGTACCTTTAAAAGAAGTAGGAGAGTTTACTGTGACAACTGATGGGTTAATAGTCAAAGCTATAGAAGGTTACGTACGTGTTGAGAAAGTGAAATTAGAAGCTCAAAATGAAGATACTCCCCAAGCATTTATTAATGGTTTTACAAAAAGAGTAGGTAAAGACATGCCTAAATTATTCATTAACTAACTTATTTTATAAAATTACTTGACAATGCTTATTAAACTCTTCAACAGCGATACTGATTTTATTATAAATAAAAGTTCTCTCTGCTCTATCTGGAATTGGTATGAATTGACCTTTTCTACTTTGAAATTCAATGTTTAAACCAGTTGGCATGACGGATATAGCCTTAATTTTATCAAAGTCAATTATCCATTCTGTTAATAACTTATTTATATCAAACATAAAAATTTTTTTATAGGTCACCAAAATAGCTTTTTCTTGACCCGCAAGTAATAAATGAGCTAAATATCTTTCATTATAATAAAGTCCACCATCAATACTATGCATCCAAAACTGGCCCTGAGCTTCTCTCTTGGAATAAGGTTTGATTATTGTATTAGAATCAATGAACCTTGGAAGTCTGACTTTATCTAAAGCTTCATTATCAAAGACTGTAGTTGTATTTCTAATACCTTCACCAACATTAGATGCTAAATCGAAAATTCCAATAGCTGTTTTTGTTGGTAATCCAAGTATACCCTTACCTAAACCTTTAAAAAATCCTTCTGTACCTCCACTTGCTGCTCCTTCTATTGGAGCGGTCGCTACACCAGAAACACCAGATGATATCGATTCAAAAAATGAATTAGCTCCAGAAGCGAAACCATATAATGCATGTTTCGGCTTATTCCTCTTAGTGTTCAAACGTCGACGTTCTTGGAATTTTTTATCCATGGTTGCAACAGATAAACCTTTAGCTATAGATCCTGTAACTTTAGCAAATGAATCAGAAAATCCAAATACTGATTTTTTGACAAAACTTAAACCACCTTTTGCAATTCCAATACCTAATTCTTGAGGCCTATCATTCAAGACAAATCCTTGATATGGCTCATAGAATATGTCTAATACTCCCGACGATAAAAGGTTGAATAAACCAACAGGATTACCCAAAAAATCAGCTGATCCAACGATATTATGAAGTTGATAAAAAAATGCTTGACTATAATGAGTCTGAATTGAATCAATTAAAATTGGTGTTGGGACTCTTATATTTTCAATAAACAATGCATTTAGTCTTATAGGAGCGTCATTTATATTTCCTATCGCCATTGTTAAAACATTAAAGAAAAACATCAAAGTATTTTGTGATGAACCTTTATCTTCAGCATTTACTCTTTCAGTTCGAACAAAAGACAAATTAGCTTGAATTGGCTGTAAGTGAAGTGCTTCAAAATACATATCATTAGATTCATTTAGTTTAACTGGCTGTGGAATATCTAGACTATCATCACATAATTTATCAACATGCTCCTTATTCCATGATGCACCTGGAAATTTTGAAAAATCTAATAATGCAAACAAAAAGTCTTCATCAATCTCCATGGTCATTTCTTGCAATAACAATGTAGCATATTTTAGAAATAAAACACCATGAGTATCATCTTTAACTTTACAAGCAGATGCAGAAAATGCAGGATGATTATTCAATTCTTGTCCGCTTTTTGGAATCATTGTTGGATATAAAACTATTGGAAATATTCCTCCATAAAGTTGATTATCAATTTGGATCCATTTTAATTTAATTGAAACATTTTGATACAAGTTAGACTCATTGTATCTTAATTCTAAACCTTTCAAGGTTATATAACAAAGTTCTTGATTTTTAGTATTGACTAATGATATACCAAAACCCTCAAACTTGGTGACAATCTTTGTATGATAATTTTCGTCATTCTCAACAGCCTCAAAATGAGTTTGATTAGATGTGGATACTGTGGCAGTAGATGCAGAACCACCTTTGATTTTATATAAGCTTGTTGATGGATCATAATTCGTAATAATCAATGATTGAGTAGGTCCATCTGCAACAACATTAAAATCAACGATACATTGCTTTCTTTCTTGAAAAGCAGATAATCTAAATGGTTTCAAATTACCAATTTCAGCTAAATTTACAGCTCTTTCTCTACCATGAGACCTTACCATTAACTCTTTTATAATTGCATTTGGATAATCATAAGCATATGGCATAACACTTTTTGGAGGAATTTTATAATAAATTGGTTTGTAGGGTGTTTCTGATTTAACAATTTCACCATTGGCATTTATATTTGGATCATTTTGGTAAATGTAGAATTCCTCATTTGTAAAGTTTCGAATTGAGTAAGGCCATTCATTATTACCATTTTCTAGGTGAATAAACATTGTAGCATTCTCCAATAGCATTGTAGCCTTTACTAATACTTGACCAATGTTGTTTTTATAAATTTTAATAAATAATTGACCAACATCATCTATAGCAAATGGAGGAGACCATTTGTCTGAATTTTGCAAAAATTTAACCATTATACTTTTCTTTTCAATATTACGCAATTCATATAAAGGTAAAAATTCACCAGCTTTAATAGTTTTGTCCTTGGTAGTACCAGTTTCTAAAATAAGTAAGTCTTCATCTAGTTTATTCATAAAAACATAACGAGGAGCTATACTAATAACTTTTGTTAAATTATATTTGCCTTCTCCTTCTGAAATTGTAACACCTAAATTAATTTCTTTTTGTTTACCATTAATTTGAAGTTTCACTTCATTAGATTGTCCAATTGCATCAAAACTCATTGGTGGTGACCAATCGGTATCATCAGCTTTGATTATAGCTCTATTTTTTCTATCTCCGTCTTTGTCAAAAGAGAACATGAACGGCTTCACGACACCATATTCAAGATGTCCACTTTGCTTTCCAAGTTGTTGAATAGCATTACCACGTTGTTCAACGAACAAGTTCAAATTGGATCTGTTCAAAATAACATAAGGACTATAAATGACTACTTTTAAACTAGTGCTATCTTTTTGCTTTCGCGGATAATAAATTCTTAATTTCAAAATTCTACCATCTTCATATTTCATTAAAATCGAATCTTCTCTCTCAAAGTCAGATTTCTTTTGTTGATTTATAATTGCAAATCGTGATTTCTCAGTTTTTCCATTTTCTGGTTCAACACTCAATAGTAATAAATTCTCCAAACTTACTACATGAACATAACTTTTGACACCTTTCTTTACAGTCCCAGTCCAATCTTTCCCAGCATTCTTGTCATATAATCGATATTTAAAATCAAAAGGAAGTAAATTCTCAATTTCTAAAGGTGCTGAGACAACTAATTTAAAATGTGGATATACTTTAGCTAATGGTTCATCTTCATCATATATTGCTTCTGCTTGGAAATGGTATATCGAATGATCATTTTCATTTGTGGCCAAACATTTTAATGAAATACCAGAGCGCATTATTTGTTTCCAATATATTTCCTCTTTTGACCAACCATAAGAAGTTTGTAATTGAGGCTTTATTCTTAACTTACCATTATAAACTAAAGTTATTGGTATCGACTTAAATTCTTTCGAGGGAATTTCCAATTCCAAGTGTTCTTTTTCGTCTGCAACATTGATGATAATAGGAATATCAGCATCATTTTCTATTGAAATTGTTGATTTTATTTTTATAATTTTAACATTATCATCACGTAAAACAATATCAACCGATAATCTATTATGAACCTTTTCTTTAGGTGGATACAATACATACAATTCTTCACCTACAATACCGGCTTTAACATTATTTATATCCTGATAAGGTGAATCAATGAAGGATACACCTAACATACAATCACTATTTGTATCCAAATTCTCACGAATTTTTCTCCAATCTTCAAAAGTCCAAGGACATGACTCCCAACATTTTATCTCTGTAATTTTATCCTTTGAGCCACTCGCCCAAACGTTTATATCAAATCCCGATTCATTAACTATCACGTATGGATAGTCTTGACCTCTTGGTTTCAATTTTTCATCTGAAGTAATCAAATTACTAATTTGAGAAAGTAATGCAACTGATTTTGAAGTGATTGTGATTTCTGCTAAGTGTCTAGAAATGACTTCAATTAACAATTTTGATTGAGGATGAGTAGATTTTGAAGCATAAATTGCAATGGGCCAAGGTTCAATTAATGGTTCCCACGCTGATTTTGCATAATTAAATATATTGATGAAATGTTCAACATGAATTTCAGCACTTAAATCTGTAGACCAGTTGATTGCACGTGTTTCAAAAGGTTTAATATTCACATCAACAACAGGCAACTCGGAAACATCACCAATTAAAACAAAACGTAATCCACCAACACTGGCAGAAAATTCTTCACCCTTGACTATTACTGTACCTTCAGGAATATCATTAGTGATTGTTCGTTGTTCATTTGAAAAGGATGACACAATACTCGGAGCATAATGCGATAATTTTCTTTTCAAATCTTCTGAAAGTTTGTAATCATCATCTAATGGTTCAGTTTTAACTCCTTGATGTTTGTTATATAATTCATTTCCTCTATTCACTATACCTACAGCAAGTCTTATATCCCGAAGAGAGACCCTGATTATTAAAGGATCAATTGAAGCTTGTATGTTGGTGAGAAATTCAGTTGCAGTTGAGCCTCGATCATCATGTGCAAACGATATAGAAAAATCATCAATAATTCTATATTTTTTATTCTCTGAATCACTCATTAAAGCAAGATACATTCCAATATTATTTGCTGCTAATGAAATTATGTTTTGTTTTGTAATTAAAACTTGTTCAACTTTGAATACTATAGCTTCTGTATTTTCATCAGCATCGTTTGCAAGTAATATAACAGATGGTTGTATAATGTTGATTGAAAAACCAATCTTTTGAGGTTTGACATTAGCTTTATTTTCAAGATTTGAAGAACTTATTGATTTTCTTGAAGGTTTTAACTCAGGATGCTGGTTGACCTGAGTAGCTTTATTGAAAAAAGTTTGTAATTCAAATAAATAGTCTAATGCTAAAATGGTTCTAGGTTTTTCAATTGTTAACATAAATGTAATATTCTTGTTCTCACTGGAATTGGCCAGAAGTACAAATTGGTTATCAACATCATCGGCATTGGGTATTATAATTGGAAATTTACTTTCAGTTTTTTGTCTTACATCTTCCACTACAAACGATTTAATCTTCAAATACAGAGCGAAACTGGTGTTTTGATTCATTTCAAAATTAACATCAAACGCATTCAATGTAAATGTGGATAATTTTATTATTTCAAAATTTTGCAAATCTTGATTACCAATCGTCAAAGACAATTTTGGTATTGAAAATGTAAAATCAACCAATTTGTGGTTTTCTGGAACGTCTACTTTACCAATTTTTAACTCATTTGATGATCTTTGTACTTTTCCTGAATCTATTTCATGTTTTAAAACCTCATTCGCATTTGCTGCTTCTTCTTCTACATCTTCCAAATTATCGCTATCATCTAAAGCAAAGGCTCTAGTAACAGAATCTGAAAGCTGAATTAACATTTTTAACTGATCATCTGTTAAGAGCATTTCCAAATCCGGAATCTTACCATTGATGGCAAATGTTGTTTTACCCTTTACATATTTTTCCACCCAATCAACATCGAAATCAATATCTAAATCTTTTAATATTTCCAGTGTATGCTTGTCCATAGATTCAATATGATCCAGTGTATTTGATAAAAGACTTATATTTCTGATACCAAATTTTATTGCATTTACATCTTGTTTGTATTCATTGAATGCATATAATTCACCCAAATCAGCAACAATTTCTTTGAACTTATCATCAATCATCAAAGGAAACACTATGGTTGGAGCTTGAACATTCAAATTAAACTTTATTTGATTAGGTAATTGTGCTGCTTGATTAATTGCAGCTTCTCGAGTGCTATCATAGATACTCTTCATTTTTTGGAATTGATTCAAATAAGTGAAAACTCTGTTAAATGAGCTTTCAATAAAATTGATTTTAACAGCGCCTGTTTTGAGTTCCACCTCACTTGGTTTGGATTCTTTTGCATCGAATGTTTTATAACTAAATTCAGCTAAATTGTGACCTTGAATACTTATCAAATTTCTAATTTGATGATCCTTTGTTGACACTTGGTTGGTTTCATCTTCTAAAGACAAATCACCCAATTTTCCTTTAACATCCATTGCTTCAGGTAATAAAAATAATAGAATTTCAGCCGAGCTCAATTGAATTGTAGCTAGTTTCAAACCATCTTCATTCAATACAAGTATGATACTGTCTAAACTTACTTTGAGATTTATCTTTTGTGGAGCTGCTTCTTCATCAACTGAATTATGGTTTAATTCATCTGCAGGGGTCGGAGCTGCATTTGTATCAGTAAAAGTGTTTTGCATGAAATTCAATATACTAAGTAAGGACATTCTTGAGATTATAAATTTAACTGTAGCTATTTGCATATCAATATCTTGATCAAAAATAACCAAATGTTTCCCATTATAATCCACACTTCGTTGAATTCTTGAATATGTCATATTAAGAAGATTTTTCCCTTTCTCTCCATTGGCATTTGAAGTAATTAGTTTTTGAAATTCATCAACACCTGATTTTTCAATGTGATCAATACATGTTATATCCAGTACTGATAATTTCAAATGTAAATCATTCAATGTTTTGTAAAAATCTAAATTTAACGAATCACCTATTATATCAATTAATGGTTCAGCTTCTAAAGTAACACCATCAATACATCTTAATAGACTTATTTGAACAGTTTCCACACAAAAATCAAACTGAAATTGACGTTGATCATTAGATTCACTTTTGACGTCAGTTCTACTATGAACTTCAACATCTTCGATTTCAAGATCTTCATTATTCTCCCCAAATGCATCAAAAACACTGGATTCTTCTAGCAAAGTACTTTCTGTGGATGGAACAGCTGCATCAATTATCTTCATCAAAGTTTTGTATTGATAATCATTAATAGACAATTTTACTTCGGACACTTTACCGCCTAATTTGATTTTTGCCAAATTATGTGCATCTGGTAAAATAGAAACACCTAACAATAAATTTAAATCAAAATTACCAAGTATTAAATCTGGTCTTTTTCCTTTTCTATGTAATTGCTCCATTGTTGATTTTATATCATGACCAACTAAGAATTGAGCATTTCTAAGATTCAAATGGAATTTATCATACATTAAATTGGTTAGATTTTTCCAATCATCCATTGTATAATTTATCTTATCTTTAAATTGTTGAATCTTTGATTTTTCAACTAAATCACTTACAACACTTAAACGTCCAGCATCTAAAATTGCTACAGGTGATTTAAAGCTTTTTGGATCAAGTGGCATTATTATTAAAGGAGCTTGTAGATCTAGTTTTAGATTTACCGTCTTATGCTCCTCTAAAGCATATTCCAATCCAAGTCTAGTTTGCGTTGTTAAGCCCTCAACTGTTGCTTCAGCAGCATTCATTATAGCTCCAATTGTATCTAAATGAATTTTTGGTGGAGTGAAAAATTTAATTACTTCTTCAACAAATTTGGGATTATAAAAAATAGTCATTGATTTTAATTTACCTAAAAGTTTTGAATCTGCTGAACCATCAAGTGGATTCTTCTCAAAAGAAATTTGGAAAAAAGGCTCTTCATTTGTTTTAGGTTTATTTGAATCCAAAATTGCTTGTTTTACACTGACAATATGTTTATATAATGTTTCACCTGTACCATCTTCTACTCTAAACTCTTCAATTTGAAAATTTGATAGCATTGAGTCGGGACGTTGATAAAATTGAGTTTTACAGCCTTCGAAAACAACTTCTGCCAAATTGGTAGACGATTTATTTCGTTTTATACTTAAACCTCCTTTTTGTAATTGAGCAAAAACTTGTAAAGTAACTCTATCATTTGGGACATCAATTGAAGTTATTTGGTTTTCGTCGTAATCAATTGTATCATAAAGAGCCTTTCTTTGTTCATCAGTTAAGGACAAATTTTTGCCATTTTGTTGATCTTCTTCCTTTCTCGACTCGTTATTTCCACCCCACCAACCTGAGAACCAACCTTTATTATTAGTATTATTATTATTATTATTATTATTTGAAGTCATTCCAGTATCTTCACAATCAAATAATCTAGTTTCATTAGGATTTTCCCTTTTTATTTCATTTCTAGTTATTGATCGATAAAATTTTATATCTTCATATGATAAATCGTGTTCCAATAGATCTAAAGTATTTTGATCATCCACTGATAACGCATTTTCCAATTTTAATTTCCATAAATGAATATATGATTTTCTTTCATTCCTTCTTTTTTCAAAATATTGCCATGTCCATTTATAGTTTTTTTCATGTATTTCATCTAGTACACAATTAGCAGCATATTGAAACCATTTTTTTGGTGCTTCGTTAGGGGGTAAAGTAGGTCTAAATTTTCTAAATTTTTCAGTCTTCATCAACCAATGAAATTTTGAGGCTGTCCATAATATATCCTGATACTGTTCAGAATTCAATTCAACGCCAAATTCTTCAAAATATAATTCTGAAGAAATATGAGGAGCTTTTTCTGTAGAACCAGCTTTATTGATTGTTAATTTACCAGTTCCTGAAACAGGTTTTAATAAATATTCAGTTGGAGTCGAATTTTGAAAAAACTGTAAAATTTCATCATTATTTTGAAATAAATTTGATGTCTGAGTTTCCATATAACATGAAAATTTGTTTAACGTTAATAATTTTTTCGTTAATAATTGAGTTATTGAAATAAATGATGGTTGCCAATTATCATCAGTTGAAACAGCAGATAATTCATCTAAGTGTATACCAACAGAATAAGGATTTTCAGTTAAAATGGTTTGATCCTCATACCTTATATGTATACTTTTAATTGTAATTTGTAAATTATCTATAATTTTGGTGAACAAAGAATCAGTAAAAGTTTCATTAGCTAAATCTTTACCCAATTCTTGACTTTTTGCTTTTAATATAGTTTCTAATTCCTTTAATTTAGCTTGTTTTATAGCTTGATGTCGTTTTTCTTCTTCTTCAGGATCAAAATTTGTTAATATTATTGGAGATGCTAATACATATAAATCTTCAATTATAATTTTAACTGGTTTACCTTTTAAATTTGACCAAGGAATTTGTAAAGTTAATTCACCTAAATGACCAAATTTAACATCAATTGGTAATTTGAATTTATCAAGGCTTTCTTTCTTTAATCTTAAATTTTTTAATTTAACATCACCACTCCATATACCAATATTTAATTGTTTTGGATCAAAATTTTCCAAATATGCGCCTAATATTCTATTTAATAAATTGGCTACTACACCTTCAAACATTTAATTGTTGATAATTGTTGAATCGATTAATTATGCAGCAATTTAATTCTTAGTTATTTTTCTTTTTTCGTCTCGGTCAAAAATGCAACAATTATTTAAAAATATATACCAGCTATAACTAATCTTGATTTCAAAGATTCTGGCGTTTCAAAGTAAGGCAATGTTTAATTTCTGATATAAAACTGCTTTGTTTGAAAGAATTGAATTGACTTATTTGGAAACAATTCGGTATAAGAAATTGCTTAATGTCAGAATGTTTGCAATTGAAAAATACACAATTAAATTATCAAAATTACTTTGAATTATGTTCAGAATGTCATTGCTTAATGAAGATTATTAAAATTACACTTCTTCTCGAGTTTTTTGCTGTCAAGTGTATGCTGAAATAGGTTGATTCACTTATTAACTATAACCTGTATTGCATTCTAGTAAAAATTATAACTGTAGGTGCTTTTCTTACGCCAATTGTAGTTGAAATACTGGCTCAGCTACACTTATTTGTTAGTGAGTTGAGATATCCATTCGCAATCAAAAGTAGGCCATCTTCAAGAGCATCTATTGTGGTAAATTTAGTTGAAGACAGCAGAAAACTTGATTAGTATTTGTATATAAGTTTTGTTTTACCTTAATTTGGTACAAAAACACCGCTCACTTTGTTTTAGAAAAGGTTTAAGTTTAGTGAAGATTTGCTTAATCATTAGTACTCTCGGTGATTGAAAAGAAATTGAATCCCAGCGGTAAAAATTTAAGAATCCAAGCGCTACCACCTCACCGATGACCTGCATATAATAGAGTTGCAAATATAATGATCAATGAAGCGTGCTACAATTACATAGTGTGTATTATATATTTATGATCTAGGAGTCGTAAAATATAGTCATATCCATTGAATTCAGAAAGCTAGTTTTTCAGACATATTGGTTGTCAATATTAGAAGCATAGAATGGTTTAAGACTGTCAGGATCACCTTTAATAGTATTTCATCAGTTAGCGACCGTAGATTATTGTCATTTTTTCTGATATCAATGTAAGATCAACGTTAAACATATCAAATGTAGGTAAAAAGTTTTGTTTCCGTAATGTTTCAAAGGTTTCTTCAGCAATTATTAACGACTATTCTGTATCTAGAGTATAGTACAAAACAACCACCACAATGATATAAATATTCAAAGTATTATAGGTTGATTAGAAGTTGAACCTATATTTTTATTACTTATTGAATTCTTTTTAGTTGTTTTCTTATTTTTATCATCTATTTTAATATTACTAGTAGTATTCATTGATGGAGTTGATTTATTTATTGATATAGGTGTATTATTTAAAGTTGATGTTGCTGATTTTGATTTTGTTGGTGGTGGTGCTTCAACTTCATGACCTAATTTAATTTGAGCTAAATTTATAATTGGTAATAATTTATTATATTTTTCACAATAGTCTTTAATACTTGTTTGTATAATATTTAATCTTGAAACTATTATAAGATAATAATCTTGCTGTGATTGATTTGATTTAATTGAAACTAAAGCTTTTAAAAACATTGCCATATCATTTCTTAAAATATTAATTTCTACTTTTAATCTTTCGATTTCATCATATATTAAGTTAGGATCTATTTTACCCGATGTAATATCATCTATTTTAATCAGATCAGGTAACCTTGTATGTTGTTGTTGTTGTTGTTGATGTTGTGAATCTTTAAATAATGACATTTTGATTTATTGATAATTTTTTTTTTTTTTTTTTTGTTCATCAAAAATCAATGAAAATTATAACAATATTTTATATATTAAGTGTAATTAATGCAAATTCAAATTATACAAAGTTTGATCATTCTCAATTAGATTCAAACTCAGTCTTGGAACAATTTGATTATAATTCATTAAAAGATTCTCCTTGGAAAGTTTCAAATGCTAAAAAATTTGATCAAGGTAGAGATGAAATCGTACGGTATACTGGTAAATGGTCAATTGAACCTTCTTATAAATATCCTGCTTTTATTAATGATAAAGGTTTAGTTATGAAATCAAAAGCAAATCATTATTCAATATCGTATAAATTACCAAATACAATAAATAATATTAATCAAGATCTTGTTTTACAATATGAAGTAAAACTACAAAATGGTTTTGATTGTTCAGGTGCTTATATCAAATTACTCGATGAAAGTCCCTTAGGATATTTATCTTTTAGTTCTGAAACTCCTTATCAGATAATGTTTGGTCCTGATAAATGTGGTAGTGAAAATAAAGTCCACTTAATATTTCGGAAATTACTTCCAAATGGATTAATTGAAGAAAAACATTTAAAACAAAATCCAATGGCAAGAATAAATGATTTAACAAATTTATATACATTAATTGTGAGGAAAAATTCTGATTTTGAAATTAGAATTAATGGTGAAGTTGCAAAAGCAGGTAATTTGATAAAAAATTCAAATTTATTTAATCCACCAATTTTCCCTCCTACTGAGATTATTGATGAAAATGATGAAAAACCTTTAGATTGGGATGATAAATTATATATAGCTGATCCAAATTCAAAGAAACCTATTGATTATGATGATAAATATGCATATCCAACAATACCAGATCCCAATGCAGAAAAACCTGATGAATGGAATGAGTCTGAGCCAATATACATACAAGATCCAAAGTCAGATGATCAATTAATAGTTAATCCGAAATGTGAGCATGGTTGTGGACCTTGGTCACCTCCAAGAATACCAAATAAAGATTACAAAGGTCCATGGTTTCCAGAGCAGATACTTAATCCAAATTATAAAGGAGTTTGGGAACCGCGAAAGATAAAAAATCCAGATTATTATGAAAATGATCATCCAGGTCAATTAGATAAGCCAATTGGTGGTATCGGATTTGAATTATGGACAATGGATTCAGGAATATTATTTGATAATATATATTTAGGTAATTCAAATGAAGAAGCAGAATTAATAGGTAATCAAACATTTAAAATTAAACAAGAATTGGAAAATGAAAATAGAAGAAACAATCGTCCAAAAATCAAACATGAACCAGTACCACCACCAATTAATTTTGATGAAATGATAGAACATGGACATTATTTTCAATTTTGGTCAAATCAATATGTGGATTTTAAAGATTTTTGGTATCAATTTTTAAGAAATCCATTTAAAGCAGTTACTAAATCACCTATTAAAAGTTTAATTTATAGTTCAATTTTTATGATATCATTTACAATTTGTTGTGGATTTGGTAATGTATTATTATTTTTATTTCATAGTGGTGGTTCATCAAACGATATTGGTGAAGATGAAGAAGTAGACAAGGAAATAATTGAAGAAGAAGACAAGGAAGTTATTATTAAAGAAGATGTCGAAATTGTCAATAGGTGTCAATAAATATCAATTTTGTGTCACATTTCTCCAATTTTCGCGTTATCGTTCGTCCCCTTTTTTTTATTTTGGCTACAAGGTTGATGTCAGAAAGAACTCCATTATTGAATAACAACAAGAGCTCAAGAAAGAAAGTGTGGTTCATACTTACCGGATTATTATCAATTGTATCTGTAACAATTTTATTTGCTAAAAATAAACCTCAGTTGCTTTCAAATGATTATCAATTTGGGCCTACATTAAGTTTGCGATTATATACAAATAATATTCGTTTTGATAATAGAAATTATCGTGATAAACATGAAAGATTATGGGAAAAACGTAAAATACAAAGTATAAATTCAATGGAATTTAATACACTATTAGGTCATGCTAATATCATCTGTTTACAAGAAGTTTTACATAATCAATTAGTTGATATACTTGAAGGTTTAAATTCTAATGATAATAATGAATGGACATATTATGGAGTTGGTAGAACTGATGGTATTGATAAAGGAGAATTTGCTCCAATTTTATTTAAATCAAAAGATTTTCTAATTTTAGAAAATACAACATTTTGGTTAAGTGAAATGCCTGAATTTCCAAGTAAAGGTTGGGATGCAGCATTAGAAAGAATTGTTACATTAGTAACTTTTCAAAGTAAAGTAAATCCATTAATTAAGTTTAATATTTTTAATACTCATTATGATCATAGAGGTAAATTAGCAAGAAGACAGTCTTCAAAATTAATTGTGGATAAAATGAAGAATTATAATGATTATCCATCATTTCTTTGTGGAGATTTTAATACTGAACCAAAAGATGAACCTTATCATATATTAACAAATGCTGGGTTTAAAGATAGTAGGGCATTAATTGATTATGAGTTTTCATATGGGTATGAAAGTACATTCACTGGATTTGATAGAGAAAATGAGCCATTTTCAATTATTGATTATATATGGTCACCATATTTTACAAAACAAAATAATTTAGCTACTACTTTCGAAATGAACAATTATTATAATTTGGATCATCATGATTATTACGATATTGTTTTAAAACAATTTGGAATCTTGGGGAATTGGTTTAAAGGGTTTTATTTCTCAGATCATCGTCCTGTTGTTGCAACTTATGAATTAAGAAGAACCAAACTTATATAGACATTTAAAATATAAAGATCTTATTTCTAGGCAAATATTTGCTTTTAAACGAGCGCGAATAGGGTTTGGCACCAAATAGTAGTAATATTATAATTGGGCTACATATATAATAATTTTAACAAGAAAAGACTGAAGATATAGTTTTGGTTCTATTGTTCATGTCAAAACCCCAGGTTTGAAAACTTTTAGCACGTCATAAATCACACCATCAATTTATTAGTGTTATTTTTAGTAAAATGTTACATTTTTGATGAAGTTTGAATTTGAACTTCTCCAACAAGATCCACCAGTAACTCAATTAATTCTTAGCTTACTTGTCCAAGAAATCTGTAACAAAAAATATGGCGGTTTTCTAAAATTAGAAATTATTATATTTCGTAGTTTTGTTTATGTTTTCGTTTTATAAATTCACGCCAATTTGATTTGACAAGAAATCTCTGCCCATTTCTTAGCTATAAATAAAGCCCAAAATCTCCATGTTTTTGTAAATCATCAAATTTTGATTGTCACTCGCTTATATTCATAATGAAATTTTTATCTACCGTATCATTTGGTTTTCTTGCTACTTCAGTTTTAGCAGCCACTAGAAACGTTCAATTATTCGTTACTTCAGATAATGAAGAAGTCAATGGACAAGGTGTCAGTAGTATCCATGAAGGTGCAGGTGTCGAATACGTAAGAGTCAGTGAAGCTGCTCAAACTTATATCTACAATGATGAAACATTTGTTTTATACAAAGAAATTCAAGTTGGTGAAGATACTGCTATTCAATACTTTGGTATTGATGGTAATGTTTTACAATTTTCAGTAGGTGTTGAAAGTATTAGAGTCGATATTGATGAAGCTGGTGTTGTCTCATTTATTGGTTCAGATTCAGTTTATGCTAGAAAAAACATTAACGATCCATACAATTATTCAGAAGATCAATACTTCCTTGTCACTGAAGCTGGTGAAGATGGTATTCCAGTCGGTCTTTCAGCTGTTTTTGATGAAGAATCAGAAGAAGAACCAAGTGCTTCTGAAACTGAAGTTCCTGCTGAAACTGTTGCTCCACATCCTAATAAAACAGTTACAGTTTATACTACTTGGTGTCCAGAACCAACCACTTTAACTTTAACCGTCTGCGAATCAGTTTGTGCTGAATCAAAAGTAACTGTTGAATCAGCTGGTCCAGTCACAGTTTCAAATGTTATTGCTGAAGTTTCAACTTCAGTTGGTGAACCAGTTGCTACCGAAGCTCCAGTTGCTACCGAAGCTCCAGAAGAAGAAGAAGCTCCAGAAGAAGTTTCTCCAGAAGTTACTACCTATGAAGGTTCTGCTAACATGGTTACTGGTTCAGTTGTTGCTTTTGCTGCTGCTGCCATTGGTTTAGTTTTTTAGATTAAACTAGACTATAAAAGATTTCGAAATTTGATTAAATTTACAATATATTTTTTAGGTTTCTGTTTATAAATTTTATTATTTTCCTAAATAAACAACTTACTTTTTCGATTTACAATTGCTCAAGAATGAAACGTCTTGGCTTATGTTTATTAATGCTACCAAAGAAAATTCTTGTTGCAAAATATTGACATAATTTTTACGCGACGTGCAGAAATCAAAACAAATCAATATATTATACTTTATGTTCTACTTCAGGTTTTTCACAACTTGTATCGTTTAAAATTTCCTTTTTATCATCATTCTCTTCATCATCAATGTCATAAACACTTAATTCATCATCTCTTTCCATACCTAAATCAGCACCTCTATTTTCAGGACCAAATAACATTGTTAAAAATAAACATGCAACAACACAACCAACAAATATACTCATAGTTTGTCCATAAATATGAAGGTTTTGTTCAATCCTCGCTTCAATAGTTGATGAAGCACTTGAAGCCATATTACCCAATTGATAAGCAACACCGGATAAAAATACTCTCATCGAAGCTGGGGATAACTCTGATAAATGAATGGGAACAATTGACCAGCTACCTTGTATACCAAATTGCATGAAGAATGCAGTAACCCACATTGGCTTAAAAGCCCATGGATAGATAAATGCTCCTGCAATAATATTTCCACAAATTGCTGCTGTTCTTCTACCAATAAAATTTGAAGCATGAGAAATAACTATACCGCCAGCCAAAGCTCCTAAATTTGCACAAACATTAATTACGGTTACCTTATCGTTGCTAAAATGGTACTGTTCCGTCAACATGGTTGGGTACAAGCATTTGTTAGTAAAAGTTGAAAATTTAGCAAAGAAAAATTGACACTCATAATGTTTTCAGTAAGAAACTTGAGCTATCGAATCAATCAAGCCGTGAATAGTTGAAAAAGCACATATATACATATCCTGCAGAGCATGCAGCAGGTAATTAAAAAATGACATCATTATGATGAGATAGATCATAATTAACCAATGTGTCTTAATCACCTTCTTGTATTGAGATTTAAACTCAGCAAATTTTGAATTTTTTTTAGCAGCAGCATTTTCTTTCATTCTTTCCTTTTGTCGTTTATAGGAATCAGTTTCCAGCATTGTTGCTCTCCATACCATTAACAAAAGACTCAAACCAGCCAGGAACCAAAATAATGATCTCCAACCAGGTTTTGTAGTATTGGCTATAGCTCTTTGAAAAATAACCGCAAACAAGTATCCTAGAGCATAACCTTCTTGAAAAATACCTCTTAAAATAGTTAGTAGCTGTCCATTCTATAATTGATCATAAAACATACGATAAGACACCTCTTGCATTTTTTGGCGCATCACCCAAAGCGTCACCACAAGTTATACCAAATATACCACCCATTGCAATACCAAATATAGCACGTACGGCTAAAAACTGTTTATAAGTTTTAACAAAACCAGTTCCCAATTGAATAACAGCCAAAATACCTAAATTAATTATAAATGGCCATTTCCTACCCCAATTATCACCTAGTAAACCAAAAATAACAGCACCCACTGTTCTCAAGAGCAACACCAAAGTTATACCCCAGGTGATGTCATAAATTGAAACATTTAAGTCTTTTGCAATGTTTGAAACATTTAATGAAGTAGTAAAAAAATCAAAAGCATCCAAAGTCCAACCCAAAAATGAAACAGCAAAGAAATTCCATTGATGTAAATTCAATTCGACCAACGGTTGAAAAGGATTTAAAACTTGACTTAAGGAGTATTGTTTTAATTCTTCAGTACCAACCCATAATGATGTGAATCTTGTGACGAAATATTGTTTAATTGAACTTAATGAAAAATCGGGTGGTTTAATTATGTGTTTATTATGTTCGTGAACTAGTTTGGAGTCAATTGAATGTATAGATTGTGACATAAATGTATTAATCAATTAATCTAGTAAAAATGAAACTCTAATAATATGTAATTCGATGTTTAAAATCGTTCGATAAAAATCTACAATTATTTAAAGTAGGAAGGAATAATCAATTTATAAATAGAGGATAATGAATGTCAGAGAATTATATACTATTACTCATCGTATATTTAGTTTATCAAATTTTAGATAAAAGATGGCTTCAGATTTTATAAAATTCAACAAAAATATTGGCTCCATAAGGCATACTGAAGTTTAAACCAAAAACAAAGCAACGTTCAGGCTTTTGAATTAAAACTATCCGGTTGTTATTATTCTATTTGTTAAACTTAACTATATAGATTATGCAATGCATCTAAATTATGTATTGTTACCGCACCAAAAACTTTAATATGGTGGGGTTGGATTTACTAAAACTATGTATGAACAATAAAACATAAACCACCATATTCCCCCAAATTAACCTAAATTGTTTCCTGTAAAAATGAACAAACCAATCAAAACAATAATAGATCGTCTAAGAGAGATTTTATTAGGATTTAATATTCGAAAACAACTCTGAAACAGATCATTTTTTTATTTTCTTTATTTTTTCTTAGCCTATCAAATGTCTTATTTGACATATAGAAGTAGAAAATTAAAATTTAGAATTAGTCGTTGATAAGTAGATTATACTAATCTAGAAAATGAAAACAAGAAATGTTCAAAAGATCTCTGCATGAAGGTTTTAATATTCCTCCGGGTTTGTGTTATATTGTTCCCCACATTCTAAATCAAATATCAACAATTTAAAAACCAAACTTAATTTCAATTGAAATCTTTTAATTTTAATTTCCATGGATCAGTGTATGAAAGGTTAAATAATGGTTGAGCATAAACTTAGTTTGATTGTACAAAATTTGTCTCCGTTACAATCTTGAATTGTATTTATGTTTTAGTTTTCAATAAATAACTGTTCAACAAAATCCTGGATCTCTTTGAATACGGATGATAAACCTTGACAATAGCCAATACAGTATACGGTGCTAATCAGAGACCTCAACAATGTAGTGAGTAATCTAACATCTTATTTTTTGAGACTTTTGAACTCACTGACATTGAGTAAATAAAATTTGCTGATTGGATCTCTGGAAGAAAAGCACGCGTCTATCTATTTTCATTGCTTTTATTATTAATAGAATACATAATGGAAATAATAATTAAACTACTAAATGAAAAGTAGTATTTGATGCTTTGTTACTAGAGATAAGCTAATAAGTTTTGTACGATACAGGCCTAACTTTAGGGCGAGAAATTATTGTGTCGCACAATTACCATTGCGCTAAAAAGTACATAACTCTGAAACAAATTTGACTTATATGCAGTATTGTAGTAGTTAATCTCGAAATTTATTTTGCCTGACTCTCTTAATTTTTAAGCTATACTTCTTGTAGTTTTTTTACTTGAGCTTCAGTTACGTTAGAATAAAGTGAAAATAATACCTTTCCGAAAAATACTACTTTGATCATTTTGTTCTTCATTTAAAAAATGCAAAAAAGCGCCTCATTGCCATACAATATGTAATATTACTTAGACCTCGTGTAGCAACTTCTAATTTATTTGATTAAGTTCATTTAATTCCTAAAATACTTTTAATCACGTTTTTGAGATGCCAAAATCGTTTTGAATTTTTTTCAAAAATTTCGATGTAACAAACACTAAGTTTTGAAAAATTACTTTTCCGTTTTTGAATACCTTAACACAAATAACCTCAAGAGTAATCAAAGGCCAGAACTACAAAACTGATTAGTTTTATTGTACTTTCACCAAGAATTTGATTGTGGAGTCAGAATTACCGTATAGTCAATTTATTCAATTTTCGCCATAGTTAAGGGAAGTTTTCGAAATTTCTGATTTTGGGAGGAAATTAAATTAAATTAAATGTAGGACCTTAGTAGAAGATACTATATAGGTAAATCGTTGCTTGACGGAAAGTTGTGACTCTAAATAAAAAGATAAGTGAATTTGAATTTTTTGAAAACTTTATATGTCAAATTAGGTAAAGATAGCACGAGAAATTATATAGTCGCACCAATTTTTTCTCATTGATATATACATCTAATTTTGACTAACCTTTGCTTATATGTACTAGTGTTATAGCTAATCTAGAAAATAATGTAAGAATCTTCATTATTAAAGCAACATCTTTGGCTCTGTTCTTTTTTACAATTCACAGCAAGCTCTACTAAGTACATACTTAAAGTTTTACGGAGTTTAATTTAGTGTAAACTGTTATTTCAGCCAAAATATTATAACGCATAGCTGAACTTTGTAAATAACTTGATTATTTCAACTTTTTTAAATTAAAAAAAAACGTTGTAGTATATTAAAAAACTTTTTGGTAGTATTTGAGTCAGTTATTCGACGTTCCAATCTTGAAATATATCCAAATTAGTGGCGCTACCATGTTGAATTTTTTTTTCGGCAAGTATATTCAATACTCTACCCCCTTAAAATTGTAAATTGAACTTCGGCTTACTTCGAAATAATTATGTTGCAGAGTCCCGCTGGTAAGTTGCTCTACAATTACCTTTTTAGCGAAAGAAAAACGAAAGTGAAGAGAACTCAAACTTTTATTAATCAAACTACTAGTAATATACATTAAATCATTTATTTCATCATTTTCATTTCCTTTTATTTGTATATCTTAAGATTCTCTTGTGCAAATCATCAGCATCTAATTCAATCTCACTAATAAATTCATCCAAAATCGATTTTTCTCTAATATATTTATCACAATCATTTGCCATTTTATAAATATCAACTTTACATTCTTTTGCCAATTTATCAACAAATTGAACAATTGATTTTCTTTCCATCATTGTTGAATGATCAATATCATCTCTGATCCAATCTTCATTCCATTTTTTTAATCTAGTTGCAACTGATGGTTTATTTGGAACATCTGTACACCATTCTTCAACAATTTCATACACTGTATTTAATTCATGATTCATATCAATAATTGTAACACCTTTATTAACTTGATGTGGTGGAGGTGGTGGTGGACCATTTAATTCATAATCAAAAGATTTCAATTCTAAATTTATTTTATTTGAAATATCTTCAATAAAAGCAGGATCAACATTAACATTTCCATGTAAAATTTTATTAATATTAGCTCGTAGTTTAATAAATGAATCTCTAACTTCAACAATATTCTTTTTGGTTAATTTTTTGGTATACATTGGATTTGAAAGTATTTGACGTTGTTGTTGTTGATGATGAGGAGCAACTTGTTGTTGTTGTAGTTGTTGTTCTTCTGGTTGTTGTTCTTGTGGTTGAGGTGGTGAAAATGAACCTAAATCAGCTTCACTTTGGTCGTCATCTTTTTTACTTAATTTTGGTGGTTTTTTTGCAATCTTTCTTACTTTTCTTGAAAGAGTGTTATTATTATTATTATTATTATTATTAATATTACTATTATTATCATCATTTGGTTGATCTTTATTTAAAATTTGTTCTAGTGGTGCTGTATATGGATCCTTTCCCATTTCTTTATAAACTAAATATTCCAATGCTACATGTCTATTTGGAATTTCTTTATTTTGTAAATGATAGACCAAAAAATTAATTTCTTGTAGTTTTGAAAAAGCTGGATCCATTTTTCTTAATCTAATAATTGGATTATTAGAATTGCTTGAAGAAAATTGTTCTTCATAAAATTCTCTCATTAATTCACCAGTAACAAAGAAATTATCCAATTTTTTTTTACAACAAAATCTGATATAATGTTTAAATGTTGTAATATATCTTTTTCTTGTTTCAAACCCTAAAGAAAGTAATCTTGATCTTGCTTCTGGATTTGTTAAAATTTCTTCATCGAATTTTTTAAACATTTTTATGACATCTTCAGTATCTTGTGACATTATTCTTTTATTAATTTTAATATTATCTCTATCAACTCGATATCTTTTTTTGATACTTGAAACATTAGTAGCTCCACCATTTTCTTGACTTTTATCATCAATCATTGTGGGGATAATCTTTTGTGATATAATTGAAGTGATACCGACACGGCCAACATCACGTCTTTTCTTAGGTTTTGCAGCATCTAAAGAACCTTCTTCATTATCTGTCGTTGTTGTTGTTGTTGTTGTTGTTGTTGTTGTTGTTGTTGTTGTTGTTGGTGCTGGTGTTGGTGTTAATGTTGGTGCTGGCGCGGCAATATTATTTGTTAATAAATGATTGATTTTATGTTTGTTAATCAGATCTTGTGTTTTAGTGGTTGCTGGTTCAGATATATTTTTTCTTTTACGACCTCTTGTTTCAACTTTTTCTGTTTTATTTTTGGTATCAACATTATCAATTTTTCTTTTTCTACCTCTTGTTTCAACTTTCGAAGTAATTTTTTCTTCAACAACATTGTCATTGTCATTGTCATTGTCGTTGTCATTGTCATTATCATTGTCATTATCATTGTCATTATCATCGTCTTCTTGTTCTACTTCTTCAACCGAATCATCTTCAAGTGATTCATCTTCATCTACCTCAACTTCTTCAATCTCTTCTTGTTTATTTCTCCTAGAACCCCTTAGTTTGTTCAGATTTTGTTTTTGTTGTTGTCTCTTTAATTTTTCCTTATTTGCTCTTTGAATTTTAATAGGTATAATTTCTTGAGTTCCTTTACCATTATCACTTAATTCAATGGGATCACTTTTTCCTGATCTTCTAGTAGCGACCATTTTAAAAAATATTAAATGTCAATGAAAAATATTAAAAGTTAATGGGTAATGTAAACAAATATTATAATAAATTAGATATACAAGTAATTTGATTGATTTGTTTATAAATTTTTATCAGCTAACTATAATGTAAATATAAGATTGATTAATAAATTTAACAACTTTGATAAATGGGGGGTGGGTTGTTTATTTATTAAAAAAAATTGTTGATGGGGTTTTTTTTTTTTTTCTCCCATTTTTTTTATTTTTATTTTTATTTTTTTTTTTTTTTTTTTTTTTTTATATTTTTTTAGTGGCAATCAATAATTTATAATACTGTAAATTCTTAATGGGTAGAGACAATCATTCACTCTTTATTTAAAGATTATACAGTAAACCATAGCTATAGATTGTTTAATTAATTTATTAATTAGAATCATTTATATCTAAGTTGAATTCTAAACTTACACATCTGATAAAACTAGTATGGATGATTAATTAGGTTGTAATTAGGTTGTAAATTAAATGAAAAGAAATCATAGAATCATAGGCTTCAATTTTGGATTTTCTAGTTGTGTTTCTCAAATAAAATTTATAAACTGTTTTGATTGATTGTAATTACATTGTTATCTCTTTAAAATTTTAACCCCTTTATTTTGTCATTAAGGAGCAAAAAAATTTATTGCGATAAAACCCAATTAAAAATTCTATTATAATTATTGAATATTAAATCTAACAAGATCAAGTAGTAATTGATGATCATCGTCAGACTAATAATTAGTTGTTTATGGAGATTCTCAAATTTTCAGGAATCTATTAAAATAAATTTATAGAAGAGTTACGAGCTACCCTTTGAGAAAGTAATCTAGATTTGTTAACAAGAATGGATTTGATCGAATTGTTTCAAACACTTCTTAGAATTGCATAAATATTGATGAATGTTTTCAAAATGGAACGTATTTTAGTTTTCTTTGTACTTTGAATGTCGAGAGTTATTGAGTTATTGAGTTATTAGATTTATTAGAGTTATTAGAGTTATCGATCTAAAAACTTTCAACCCCCTTAAATGAAACCTCATCTTTTTTTTTTTTTAATTTTTTTTTTTTATTTTTTTTCTTAACTAGATTTTTAGGGAGTATTAAGGGGTTGTACCATTATAATTTATCATTATAATTTACCATTAAAATTTACCATTAGAATTTACCATTATAATTTACCATGATAATTTACCATTATAATTTACCATGATAATTTACCATTATAATTTACCATTATAATTTACCATTATAATTAACTTTTATTTGTTTAGTCTGTCTCTGTGCACAGTAATGGTCCTCAAGTAAAAATTTTTACTGAATTAGACTCTAAATTCATGTTTTATTTCGATGTTAATGTCTTTATTTAAGATGATTTTCAATTTCATGTACAACTTCTTAATTTAGACGATAACGAATTGTCTGAAAAAATTAATTGTTGATGTATAGTTAGTTCAATGAGATTTGAAACAAGCAGCTTAACAAACAGCTTAACAAGTCTCGCTCTACTTTTGTACAATCATCTTACGGGCTATAGCCTCGAAATTAAGTATTTTAGGTTTCATCTTCCATAGAATACGTTATACGTTATATCTACTTCATTTGCCTCTAACAGAATTACAGTCAATTTTCAAGTGAAATGTTTTACTTGTATTCATCAAGAAGTAACTTGTTGATTCTTCTTGTTGCATGCAATTTTTTGTACATATTGAATTAGCGTAATTAATGGTTATTACTCATGTTGCAATTTTTTTTTTTCAGCCATAAAATAAAAAACCATAAAATAAAAAATTCAGTCGTTTTTGAATCAATAAAGGACCAGATAAAAGATAAAACTGAGTCAAATAGTCACAAGTCTTATACTAACTTTCAGAGAGAATTTTATTGTCAAACATTTTAACTTATGATATTCAAATACTCTACAATCTATAACTTAAAATTTTACTTAGAATCATACATACCCAAATAAATATATATTATTAAACCCTTATACTCAACTACTATTGTTCCTATTATTGTTATTTGAATTTTTTACCTTTTCTTTCAACATTTTCAATTCATTATTACTTTTATCACTATTCTTTTGAAGTATTAAATTTTTCAATATTCTATTCTCAGTTTCAATATTAATTAATTGATTTTCCAAATTTGAAATCAAGTGGGTTAAACTAGATATCTTCTTTTCCATTTCTTTTTCTTTTAATTTCTTCTTTATTCTAAACCTTGCACTTGCCATTGTATTTCTTCTTTTCTTATCATCGATTGGATTTGGACTATATTGATTATTATTTAACATATCTATAGGTGAGACTGAAGATGAAGGTATTGCAAATTGTGATTGAGATTGAGATTGAGATTGAGATTGAGATTGAGATTGAGATTGAGATTGAGATTGAGATTGAGATTGTGATTGTGATTGTGATTGTGATAATTGTTGATGTTGTTGTTGTTGTTGATCTTGATTTTGATTTCCACCTTGATTATTCAAATGTTGAGCAATTAAAGCAGATAATAAGTCAATTTGATTAGCTGACAAACCAACTTTTTCAAGTGAATGTTGTGCACCTGGAGGTACTGGAAACTTTGGTAAATCAGTTAAATTTAAAAAATTTGAATTTGTATTGGTTGTATCACTATTAAAATTTTCAAAATCGGGTATATTCCAATCATCATGTTGTTGTTGTTGTGGATGTTGTTGTTTCTTTTCTTCATCGGGGAATATGAATGAATCATCAGCAAATGCTGCTAAATCTAAACTTAATTGTTCATCAAAATCTAAATTTGGAGTTGCTGATATACTATTTGAATCATTACTGACGCCTGTGCCAGGATTATTATTACCATTTATGTAATTATCTATGTATACTAATTGTTCTAATAAAGCAGATGATGTTGTTGTTGTTCTATCTTCCATAATGATGTATGATATTTAAAATTATAGATTGATGCTGTCAAATATGATTATATAAATAGATTTCTTTTAAAACTCCACAATCCAATATATTTATTATATGCTTTAAATTTTGGTAATTACACGTGACTAAAAAAAAATTAAAAATAAAAAAAATATAAAAAAAATATAAAAAAAATATAAAAAAAATATAAAAAAATAAAAAAAATAAAAAAAATTGTTATCTAAAGCACGTTTTATGTCGAACAAAAGCAATAAAATGAAGGAATAGCGATCTTAAAGCTTAGGGAGGCTAAATAAATCGGTTGTTTGTCTTGCTGAGAGACAATGCTTTATATATTGAGCGAAAATACAAGAAGATAGAATGAATATAGCGTACCGCCATAGTTTATATCGGCTTAGGTTGTTAACCGCGAGCTTGAACGGAGTCGTACTTCTGAATGGGGCCGTACTTCTAAATGGAATCGTGATCTTAAAAATTTGTATCGGATCAAGATTTACGTCAAGATCTTATAATAATTATGCGAAGGAAAAAAAAAACATGGTAGTGATTTAACATCGTATTAGTAATCTTTTGCAAAAAAATTGAAAAAGCTGTAAAACAAGACACTATTAGGGAATCTTGAAATCTTGATAATAAAAACACTGTCGCATTTAAATACACAAGATATCGCTCAGGAGAAATGATAAGCTAATGCAATGAATTTCAATTATTTTAAACGGTTGTCAACTTGTTTCCGAAGAATTTTATTAAGCGCGCCTAATCGAGTAATTTATTCATTAATTTGTTTCAGAATTGCGCTAAGAAGCGTTTGATGAATAACAAAAAGATCTGGATGCAATTTTCAAGAATAGAGCATCATCAAAGTTGTATTCATGGTGATTATATCATCTAGTAATACTTTCAACTCATAGTACTAGTTACGAAGACGATGATCAAAACTAAAATCTAGACCGAATACTCAACTATAAGATTAATACACCATTTTGATGTTTCCTTCAGTTTATTATTCACAGAAAAAAAGTTCAATATGTATTTGATCAATATAATTAAAAATAAAACGTGTGTATTCAAATAAAAAAAAAAAAACAAAAACAAAAAATGATTCACTAATAAAAACTGAATTGAGAATTGAAATGAAATGAAATGAACGGTACCTAATAATCACACAATAACCATAATAAAAACCTATAAACCAATAATAACCCAAACTCTAACTTTCTTTCTGTATTATCTCATTTAATTTTTATGTATGTCTTAAACTTAAATTAAAATCTTTTGAACGAACAGCTAATGGACTTTGATTAGATACTTTTAATCTATATTCAGCAAATGATCTAAATGAATTACCATTAGTAGGTTGCCATTTAACTTGTGATTGTTGTTTAATTGCAGTTGTTGAAGGTTGAACTTGTTTTGGAATTGAAAATTTAATTGATTTAGTGACAGTTTGAGTAAAAAATCTTTTAAATAACATGTTGTTGTAATCGAATAAATAACGTGAAGATTATGATGAAAAAATGGAATCAGAGCTAAAACTTGAGATATTCTATTTTTATATATGAAAAAAAATTTAGTATAAAATCAGGTGTTAAATCTAAATTTCTTCAATTTGAGATCTGATAGCGAAAAAAAAAAAAAATAAAAAAAATAAAAAAAAATAAAAATAAAAAAAAAAAAAAAAAAAAAATTATAATGTATAGAAATAAAATTTAACAATAGAACAAAAATTTATGGAGCTAAGGAATAGAACAATAAGTTGATCTATCGATGATTTGTTACAGAAATGGAGTAATATTTTAGAACTTGAATGATTTGTTTATGGAAGATGATTTGTTATGGAAGTGATCGGATAGGATACAATTTTATTTCTTTTACTAATTCATCAGTTCATCATCAATCATCAGATTATTGAGGGGGAGTTTATTCAATAATAGTTCAATAATTGTTCAATATATTTTTAGTCTACTTTTTGGCGCTACCAAAACCACACCATGTGGTATAGGTCGTGTAATCAGGTGTGAAAATCCAGGTCTCAACCAATCAAATTCAATTATCAATTTCTTATCAGTAAAAATCTTTTGATAGTGAAAATGCTTTGACAGTGAAAAAATTTCATTACATTAAAAGTTGCTAAATTATTAATCAACAAAAAGTCAAAGCTTATATAGTAGTAATAAATCAAATATGAGTACAAAACATTCTCTCTCATTTATGACTGTCACAATACAAGTCAAACAGAAGATAGCAGTAGAAATACGTCTTTTATAAACAATAATGTACCCAAAATTGAACGCCATGGTTAATGGTTGAATCTTGATGGTTCGCACATTAATCTCCATTCTTCAAAGACTACTTCTTCAAAGACTACTCTTGTTAATTACGGACTTTAACCTCCGTTTACATTGTCTTATATCACGTTGTAATTTTATTGGATACAGATTATTAAACTCAATGAGTCAATCAATTAATTATTCAACTTTGTACCTTATTTATTATTTATTATTTATTATTTTGAACCTCTTTTAGATTTTTTATTGTGATAATTTTCGGTTTATTGTTGATTTATTACCTCGGACTTTTTGTTAGTCAAAGTCCACTCCCACTAAAATCACCGTTAAATTAATGCATGTAACAAACGAACTATTTAATTGATCGGTTTGTATTCCTTTTTGAGATTCCCATTCTGTATAAATGATGACTTCAACTTACAATTCATTAAATTAGTTTCATCAAAATTTTCTTGTTTTTTCATTTATAACCATGGTATTTTATTTTCAATTTCGCCGCCTTTTGATTACACGTATTGAATAATTGAAGTAGTTGATTTCATTGAATACAATTTGTCTGATAAGCTCTGGTCCGTTTTTGATCAAGAAATATTATTCTTAAAACAAATAATTTAGGCTGCAAAATTTCGGTTTCGGAGTTTTTTTCCCTTTTTTTTTTTTTTTTTTTTGTAATTTAAACTTTACCTATTTCTTCACTAATTAAAAGTGTTTGATTAAGAGAACAATGTAAGAAAGTTAAAAGAGTCAAAGGAGAAAAGACGTTTTAATTTATGTTGATGTTTGAGATTTCCTTAGCAAATGAATTATATTTATTTTCATGATGATAAATGGATTGATTATTTAGCACTACCAATACAATTTTCTCAAATAATCCTTCAGTTAATTATAGATTAGCACTCAATTGACAAGTATCTATATATATATAAACTATAACTCGCAATCTCCTATATAAATAGTAGTTGACTCATTTGATCTATTATAATAGATAATAATTATTGTTTATTGTCGTTGTATATATATATATTTTAGTGTTAAATAAATAACCTGAATTAAAAATAAATAATAATAAAAAATAAAAAGTTTTCTTAATCAATAAAAATTCATCAATTTATTTTCTAATATAAAATTTTCATTATTTCTTTCCAGACTTTTATTATTGGATTGATTGATTGATTGATTGATTGATTGATAAATTTATTTATTGACTGACTAATTGACTGACTGATTGACTGACTGATTGATTGACTGATTGATTGACTGATTGATTATTCATTTATTTATTTATCTATCTATTTATTTTATTAGTTTTATTTCATCCTTTATTTATTTTGTATTACTTTTATAATTGCTTTATTTCAATTGAATTGATTTATCATGTCTTTTTCAACTCAATCTAATACTCAAAATGCAAGTAAAATTAATCAAATGAGAAGAGATTCAACTGTTTTAGGTCAAATGAATAAAATACTTGTTGCTAATAGAGGTGAAATTCCAATTCGTATATTTAGAACTGCTCATGAATTGTCAATGCAAACTGTTGCTATATATTCTCATGAAGATAGATTATCAATGCATAGATTAAAAGCTGACGAATCTTATGCTATAGGTAAAAAAAATGAATTTACTCCTGTTGGTGCTTATTTACAAATTGATGAAATTATAAATATTGCAAAACAACATAATGTTAATATGATTCATCCTGGTTATGGTTTTCTTTCCGAAAATAGTGAATTTGCAAAAAAAGTTGAAGAAAATGGTATAATTTGGATTGGTCCAAGTTATAAAACTATAGATTCCGTGGGTGATAAAGTTTCCGCAAGAACTTTAGCTATTGAAAATGATGTGCCTGTTGTTCCTGGAACTCCTGGTCCAGTTGATAATATTAAAGATGCAAAAACATTTGTTGAAAAATATGGTTTACCAGTTATTATAAAAGCTGCTTTTGGTGGTGGTGGTAGAGGTATGAGAGTTGTTAAAGAAGGTGATGATATTGAAGATGCTTTTAAAAGAGCTACATCTGAAGCAAAAACTGCTTTTGGTAATGGTACTTGTTTTATTGAACGATTTTTAGATAAACCAAAACATATTGAAGTTCAATTATTAGCTGATAATTATGGTAATGTTATACATTTATTTGAAAGAGATTGTTCTGTTCAGAGAAGACATCAAAAAGTGGTTGAAATTGCACCTGCAAAAAATTTACCTAAATCTGTTAGAGATGCAATTTTAACTGATGCTGTTAAATTGGCAAAAAATTGTAATTATAGAAATGCTGGTACAGCTGAATTTTTAGTTGATGAAAAAAATAGACATTATTTCATTGAAATAAATCCAAGAATTCAAGTTGAACATACAATTACTGAAGAAATTACTGGTGTTGATATAGTTGCAGCTCAAATTCAAATTGCAGCTGGTGCAAGTTTGCAACAATTGGGTTTATTACAAGATAAAATCACAACAAGAGGTTTTGCAATTCAATGTAGAATTACAACTGAAGATCCAGCAAAAAATTTTCAACCAGATACTGGTAAAATTGAAGTTTATAGATCTGCTGGTGGAAATGGTGTTAGATTAGATGGTGGTAATGGATTTGCTGGTTCAATTATCTCCCCACATTATGATTCAATGTTGGTTAAATGTTCATGTTCTGGTTCAACATTTGAAATCGCAAGAAGAAAAATGATTCGTGCTTTAATTGAATTTAGAATAAGAGGTGTTAAAACAAATATACCATTTTTATTGGCTTTATTGACAAATGAAACTTTTATTGCTGGAAACTGTTGGACAACTTTTATCGATGATACTCCATCATTATTCCAAATGATTAGTTCACAAAATAGAGCAACTAAATTATTATTATATTTAGCAGATTTAGTTGTAAATGGTTCTTCAATTAAAGGTCAAATTGGTTATCCAAAATTAGAAACTGAAGCTTTAATACCTGATTTACATGATCCAAAAACTGGTATTAAAATTGATATTAATCATATTCAACAACCACCAAGAGGTTGGAGACAAGTTTTATTGGAAGAAGGTCCAGAAAGTTTTGCTAAAAAAGTTCGTGAATTTAATGGTTGTTTAATTACTGATACAACTTGGAGAGATGCTCATCAATCTTTATTGGCAACAAGAGTTAGAACTATTGATTTATTAAATATTGCTTCTACTACAGCTTTTGCATTAAATGGAGCATTTTCCTTAGAATGTTGGGGTGGTGCAACTTTTGATGTTTGTATGAGATTTTTATATGAAGATCCATGGGTTAGATTAAGAAAATTGAGAAAGTTAGTTCCAAATATTCCATTTCAAATGTTATTAAGAGGTGCAAATGGTGTTGCATATTCATCATTACCTGATAATGCAATTGATCAATTTGTTAAAGAGGCTAAAGATAATGGAGTTGATATATTTAGAGTTTTTGATGCATTAAATGATTTAGAACAATTGAAAGTTGGTGTTGATGCTGTTAAAAAAGCAGGTGGTGTAGTTGAAGCAACCGTTTGTTATTCAGGTGATATGTTAAAACCTGGTAAAAAATATAATTTAGAATATTATTTAAAAGTTGTTGATGAAATTGTTAAAATGGGTACACATTTCCTTGGTATCAAAGATATGGCAGGTACATTAAAACCAACAGCAGCAAAAATTTTGATTAGTTCAATTAGAGAAAAATATCCAAATTTACCAATTCATGTTCATACTCATGATTCTGCTGGTACTGGAGTTGCTTCGATGACTGAATGTGCAAAAGCTGGTGCTGATGTAGTTGATACTGCATCAAATTCAATGTCTGGTATGACTTCACAACCATCTATATCAGCAATTTTAGCATCATTAGAAGGTAATATAAATACAGGATTATCAGAATCTTTAATTAGAGAATTAGATTCATATTGGGCTCAAATGAGATTATTATATTCATGTTTTGAGGCTGATTTGAAAGGTCCAGATCCTGAAGTTTATCAACATGAAATTCCAGGTGGTCAATTAACAAATTTATTGTTCCAAGCTCAACAATTAGGTTTAGGTACAAAATGGTTACAAACTAAAGAAACTTATAAAATTGCCAATAAAATTTTGGGTGATTTAGTTAAAGTTACACCAACTTCTAAAGTTGTTGGAGATTTAGCACAATTTATGGTTAGTAATAGTTTAACAGAAGAAGATGTTAATAGATTAGCATCAGAATTAGATTTCCCGGATTCCGTTTTAGATTTTATGGAAGGTTTAATGGGTACACCTTACGGAGGTTTTCCTGAACCACTTCGTACTAATATGTTATCAAATAAACGTCAAAAATTAAATAAAAGACCAGGATTAACATTACAACCAATTAATTTTGAATTAATCAAGCAAGAATTAATATCTAGATATGGTACAAATATAACAGATACTGATATTGCATCATATGTAATGTATCCAAAAGTTTATGAACAATTTAGAAAAATTTTAGATAAATATGGAGACTTATCAGTTTTACCAACAAGATATTTTTTAAAACCATGTAATATAGGTGAAGAAATTGTTGTTGATATTGAACAAGGTAAAACATTAATTATTAAATTATTAGCAACTGGTGAAGTTTCAAATAAAACAGGTGCAAAAGAAGTTTTTTTCGAATTAAATGGTGAAATGAGATCAGTTACAGTTGATGATAAAACAGTAGCTGTTGAAACTAAATCAAGACCAAAAGCTCAACAACCAAATGACGTTGGTGCACCAATGGCTGGAGTTGTTATTGAAATTAGAGCTCATAAACATCAGGAAGTTAAAAAAGGTGATCCTATTGCTGTTTTATCAGCAATGAAAATGGAGATGGTTATTAGTGCTCCTGTTTCTGGTATGGTTGGTGATTTATTAATTAAAGAGGGTGATTCTGTTGATGCTAACGATTTAATAACAAGCATTCTGAAACATGCTTAATTAGAACATGTATAATAATATATATAAAATTTGAAGTTCCGTAGTTTCACTTTTTTGCTGGGAAGTAAGCAACAGGTGAATTAGAATATCGATGGAAAACCCCTTCGGGACCGCCAAGTAACCTGGAATACCTACTTGCTGCAGCATAATCGTCTCCAACTAAGACATTTCCAATCGAACCAAAATTTCACCGATTGTAATGATCAGAAAGTTGTAAACGACCCCCTAATTAAATTTTACCCCTTAACCAGGTATTACCCCTTGATAATATTAAAGATCTCTATTCTTATCAAATCTGATTGATAAACTTCAAACTATAATCAAAGTGAAATAGGAAGAATCAAATAGGAAAGAAAGAATTGGTCAGAACTATACTAATTATACATAAAACTATACTAACAAAAAAGAAAAAAGTAAGTTAATACATCATTGTCCTTGTATCGCCAATTGTGTCAAAAATCTACGTTATGAAACTGTATGAAGCATAAAAAGATCGCTCGATTCAGAAGATGCGCAGAGTGACATTAAACTTTTATATTAAACTTGTAGCATATTTTCATTATTAGCACCTTTCAAAGATTTTATATAATTCAGGTAAATCAGCAATTTGGATAAGATCTCTTGATAAATTCTTTGTTGCAAGCAATTGTTTCTTAATCTCCGGGAATAAGTAATTTTCCAATAATGAATTAAGATCTTCTTTTCGTATATCATCAGATTCTATAGGTTCAGGTAAATAAAACAATGCTAATTGTCTAAAAATATTCTTTAGACAATTTAATTCAATACTGTAATCTAATTTACCTAATCTGTAAATAAAAAATGGAAGTTTTCTAAAACTAGGATTGATATCTTGGAGTATTATTGGAATAGATATTAATTGATTATCTTCATTAAATCCAATTTGGAAATATTCTTTCAACATTTCTTTATTTTCTAATAAATTTTTGAGGATTTTAGATTTCGGTACTAGGGACTCATCATTTTCATATAATGAATCTAGTATATCATTTAGATCTATCGGTTCATCAAATTTAATTATTCCATAGTTGGAAAATTCATTAACACTAATTTGATAATAAAACTCAAATAATAATGCAGCATAATCTACCAAATATAATTTTACATCATATTGAAAACAACATAATCTTTTATTTGAATCTACTATTCCAACGAAAACAGCGTGTGTGAAGATATTAGTCAACGATTTATCCACAAATTCAATTATCTCATTTTTCAATTGAGCTATTGAATCTAAATTCACTTGAATGTAATCTCTTGATCTTTCTTCACTCTCTTCTTGTTTTTCATCTTCTAAAATTTGATCTTGACTAAATGTAAATTCTTTTTTAATTGAATCCTGGTATGTTTCAACTGGTTGAGATTCTAAAAATGCATTAATTTTAGCTTGTTTTGAATCAACTCTGACTAATTTATTCTCTTGTCTATATTTTTTAACAACTGGTTGTTGTTCTTCATCATTAATTCTCTTTTGACTAATTATAGATTGAGTTTTGAATTTTCTTGATGTATCTACATTTGATAAAATTTCATGAATTTTATCTACAACAATTTCAATAATTTCATCTTCATTTAAAAATCTAACCTCTCTTTTAGTTGGATGGATATTAACATCTAAATTTTCCAGTTTAATTTGTAAACTAACATAAAAAAATGGATTTGAGCCTTTTGGTAAAAATAATTGGAATATACTATTAACGGCCCGTTTCAATGGATCACAACTTACTAAACGATTATTTATAAAAATTATAGGTGTCATTTTTTTCTTATTATTATAATTTGCATTTGTTATACATCCACTCATTTGTAACAATCCAAGATCATGTCCCTTTTCATTATTTATAAATTCTAATAATTCATTAGCTATACTTGCTCCATAAACTATTCTTATTCTTTCTTTTAATGGTAAATTTGGTCTTGTATTTAATTGTTGCAATGGATCTCCATGTTTCTTACAGGTAAATCCAGCATGTTGTGTATGTATAGCATATTTACCAACAATATCTAGAATTTTTGAAAATTCTTCACTTTTTGATCTTAAACCTTTAATTCTATTTGGTAAATTATAGAATAAATCTTCAACTATAATTTGAGTACCATCTTTTCCTGCAACTGGCTTTGGATCAATTTTACCACCAATTTTAAAATTTGAATTACATAATTGGCCATTTAAATAAAATGCTTTATATGCTAATTTTGAGTCTTTAGTTTTTGTTATGACTGATAATCTTGAAATATGAGATATACTAGCTAATGCTTCACCTCTAAATCCATAAGTTTGAATTTTACTCAAATCATCAAAATTAGTTAATTTAGATGTTGCAAATCTTTCACACAATAAAGGTAAATCTTGTAAATTTATACCATGACCATTATCAGTAATTTGTAATAATTTTAAACCACCATCTTTAACCATAATTTCGATATTAGTTGCCCCAGCATCAATTGAATTTTCCAACATTTCTTTTAAAGCATTAGCAGGTTGAATTATAATTTCACCAGCAGCAATTTTATTAATAACTGATTCATCTAGTTTCTGTATCCTTTTGTTACTCATTATACTAGTATTAAATTATAGTATGGCCATTTCTTCGTAAAATAAGAATCTGAAACGCGTTTCAGAAAAAAAAAAAATTAATTGATAAAACAAGTGTTAATGTATTCAAGATGTCAGAAAAGTTATCAAAAGCAGATTATTTCGAGAATTATGAGAAATTAAGAATGAAGATGAAAAATGAAATGAATGCAGCTTATAAAGGTGAAGGTTCATCGATTTCATTGAATTATTTAAATGAATTAAATAAGTTGTACTGTTTAGTACAAAAACAAAAAATAAAGGACACTAAAGTCCATTTAGAAGATTCAGAAGTTTTTAAAGAAGCTTCAGATTTTGCTGCTTTAAATGCTAGAAATATCAAATTTGGGAATAACTTAATTTCCTTAGATGATTTAGATTTTCTAAAACATTTAAAAAAATTTGCTAAAACTAATGGTTCAGCTATTATTAATGATGATTTAGATGATGATGATGAAGAAGAAGAAGAAGAAGATATAATAGAAGGTGAACATATTTTTAATCAAACAAATTGGCTAAGTTTAGGTATGTTATATTATCAAGTTTCTAAAAAACCAATATCGGTTGATTTCTTAAATGGTCCTATAGAATCTGAAAGAAAGAAGATAAATCAAAGAAGTAGAAATATAGATGACACAAAGGGTGGAAGCTCAACAACTGCAAGACAAGTTGAAGCTAGTGATATTCAAGATAATGAAGAAAAAAATACAGCATACATGGTTAGAAAAATTTATGAACATTATATTCAAAATGATGATGGATCAGGTATAATATTTTATAGATTCTTCATTAATCCATTTTCATTCTCACAAAGTATTGAAAATTTATTCTTTACTAGTTTTTTAATTAAAGATGGTAGATTAAAATTATATGATAATGATGGAATTCCAACTATAAAACGAGTTAGTAATGAAGAGCTTCATCAAAGTCAATTGGACTCTTCAAATGTGGTTTCAAATCATCATATAGCAAGTTTTAATTATAAAGTATGGAAAGATTCAATTGAAATGTATAATATTCTGGATTGTTTTCTAGGTCATAGGACGGAACAAGAAGATCAAATGCCAAATGATGTATAATACCTATTTACAAACTGTATTTACTCTATTTACTCTATTGATTTCCTCATCTTCTACTTTAATCCAACCATCTGCTTTCAATAACTCATTTATTGGCCATTTTCTAATTGGTGTAAAACTTAAATCAGTTTTTAATTTTAGTTTTTCAAATATTTCAATTCCTGCTAATCCAATCATTACTGCATTATCAGTACAAAGTGCTAAATCAGGGAAATGAAAAGTTAAAGATTCAGTATCAATTAAATCACCCTTTAAATTGTTTGATAATTTATTTCTTAAAGTTTGATTTGCAGCAACACCACCAGAGCATACAAAATCCTTAACTCCAATAAATTTTCCATCACTTTTGAATTCATTACCATGCAATTTAAAAGATTTATTGATGCGATCGACCATATGATCAAAGATAAACTCTTGAGTTTTAAAAGCGATAAACTTTCGAGTTGTTTCATCAATTTTGTTTTCCTTCTTGTAACCTAATATATTACTTAAAAATTGAGCAAAACTGAATTTTAAATTATTACCATGTTGACCGTGTTTGGGAGTCAAATAAGGTAGCTTAATTGTAAAATTGTATTTATTTGATACTTTTGAATCAACATCTATGTGTCCAAACTCTTCTTTTTCTTCAGGTGTGAAATTGTCTATAAACATCTCTAGTTCTTTGCCTAACATGTTCCCATATAAGCCTAATTCTCGAGCACATTTATCCAATGAATCACCAACTGCAATATCATTCGTATTTATTATAATTTCATGATCTATTAAACTCTTAGATAATACTAACATTGTGTGACCTCCAGAACAAAGTAAACTTAAAAATGGATAGTTGGGAGGACCTAATTTTGGTTGATTTGATTTTGATAAAAAAGCAGTTAATAAATGACCCAACATATGATGAACACCAACTAATGGAACGTTCCAAGCTACACTTAGTCCTTTAGCAAATTCGGTTGAAGAACTTAGACTACCTGACATACCTGGACCTCGCGTTACGCAGATTAAATCGGGGGGATTTTTTGAATTTAAATTATGTTTCAACAATAATTCATTAGTTAGTTTTGAGATAGTTGACATATGATATTTATAAGCTTCTGTGGGTACTATACCACCTAGGTCTGCTGAATTTAATGTTTTTTTAAAATGATCTATTATTCTAGGCGGTTTAACTGGTGAAAATTTATCTAATAAAGCGACACATGAATCATCACATGAAGATTCTAACGCTAATACAATATAAGAGCGACGAGCCATAAACAATGGTCGTAGTGGAATCTTTAATGTAAATTGTTGTGATATCATATCATATTTGATTCTTTTTTGATGTTTCAGAATTTTTATTTATTAAAAAAAAAAAAAAAAAAATATTACTTCGTAAAATTTGAAAAATTTTATAACGAAGAATTACTATTGAACTATTCTACAAGATTTACAATTAGAGAGGGAGATTACTGATTATTTGGAAAAGAAACAGATTGAAAAGAAAGGCGTTATTTGAAATAGAAACTAAAAACATTGAGACAAAACTTATTATAAAATCCTTTTCTTTGCACCGTATTAATAATTAGCTGGTTTGATACTCACTACATTGAATTGATTACCCACATGATATGTCTCAATTATTTTTATCATCTACAATACCGTTTAATTTACATCCACATGAAATACAACCACATATAAAAGATCAAGATAAGAAAAAACCACCACCGGCTCAAAATAATAATAAAGGTCATGAAGAACTGCTGGATAATTCGCCAATTTGGCATTGTATGTTAGCTGGTGGGTTTGGTGGAGTTGTAGGTGATTCAGCAATGCATTCATTAGATACTGTTAAAACTAGACAACAAGGATTTCCGTATAATCCAAATTATAAAAAAATGATATTTGCATACTCAACAATAGTCAGAGAGGAGGGTTTTTTCAGAGGTCTCTATGGTGGTTATACTCCCGCTGCCTTAGGATCATTTCCGTCAACGGCTGCATTTTTCGGAACTTATGAATATTCAAAAAGGTTGATGATTAACAATTGGCATTTAAATGAGACATTAAGTTATTTTATAGCTGGTGTTTTAGGAGATTTAGCATCTTCAATTTTTTATGTACCTTCAGAAGTGTTGAAAACAAGATTACAATTACAAGGAAAATATAATAATCCTTATACTAAAGAATGTGGATATAATTACAAATCATTAATTGATGCAATTAAAACAATTTATAAAACAGAAGGGTTGAAAGCATTTGTATTTGGTTATAAAGAAACCTTGTTTAGAGATTTACCATTTAGTGCTTTACAATTAACGTTTTATGAAAAACTAAGACAATTGGCTATTTATTATAATCATAATTCGAATGATTTACCTGTATCTATTGAATTATTAGCTGGTGCAGGTGCTGGTGGATTAGCCGGAATATTGACAACACCATTAGATGTAATTAAAACTAGAATACAAACTCAAACTAATAATTTTTTTAATTTAAATAAAACAAACACCAAGATAAAACAAAATCCCTTGGTCAGGTTTATAAACAAATATGAAACATCAAGAGCGATATATTCAATTTATAAAACTGAAGGTATATTAGGTGCTTTTTCAGGTGTTGGTCCTAGATTTATATGGACTGGTATTCAATCTTCAATCATGTTACTATTATATCAAATATCATTAAAACAGCTAGATTCTTACTTAAATAATAATGAAAAACTAATGTAAATAGATTAATTATTTATTAAAGATCAATTTTATAGAATTAAGATAAATTTAGATATTTATACTAAATGTAAAGATGCCAACTAACATTTATAAAACTCAACTGGTAGCATTCATATTAGATATTGCACATGACACTAGTAAATATTTAAGCGAGGTGTATATAAGATTATACTATGAACGACTCTCCACAAACTATTCAAAATATATATATTTTATTCAAGATTTGAAAAGTTCAATAATCAAAAATGCCAAACACATTAGATCATTCTTATTTATCAAAATCAGTCTGGAAACCAGATTTATTCAAGGGTAAAGTTGCTTTTGTTACAGGTGGTGCTGGTACTATATGTAGAGTTCAAACAGAAGCTTTAGTTTTATTAGGTGCAAATGCCGTAATATTAGGTAGAAATGTTGAAAAAACTGAAAAAGCAGCAAAAGAAATTGAATCATTAAGACCCGGTGCTAAAGTTTTAGGTCTTGGTAATGTTGATGTTCGTAAAATTCAAAGTTTGAAAGAGGCAGTTGACACAACTGTTGAAAAATTGGGTAGAATCGATTATGTTATAGCTGGAGCTGCTGGTAATTTTTTAGCTGATTTTAATCATTTATCTTCTAATGCTTTTAAAACAGTTATTGATATTGATTTATTGGGCTCTTTTAATACCGTTAAAGTTTGTTTTGATCAATTGAGAAAAAACAAAGGTAGTGTTATATTTGTTTCTGCAACTTTGCATTATACTGGTTTACCATTCCAAGTTCATGTTAGTGCAGCAAAAGCTGGTGTTGATGCTTTAATGAATGCATTAGCTATTGAATTGGGTCCTTTAGGAATTAGACTGAATTGTATTGCTCCGGGTTTAATTGGAGGAACAGAAGATATGTATAAGAAACTATTCACTTAAAGTATAATTACTAACTTTATTTTAAGGGGTGCTAGATTAAATCCACCAACTGAAATTCCTTTGGAGAATAAGATTCCAGTTGGTAGAATTGGTACAACAAAAGATATTGCTGATTCAACTGTTTATTTGTTTAGTGATGCTGCTTCTTATGTTACTGGAACTATACAAGTTGTTGATGGTGGTCTTTGGCAAGTTGGTGGCATGTTGGGTGAATTATATCCAAGTATTGTTAAGATTCAAAATGAGGATCCTGAGAGTAAATTATAAGATTAATTTTATTTGCAATATATAAACTTTAAGACCTATTTAATTTGAAATATAGTTCTCTTCGCTCCTATTAACCACATTCGAGTAATGTCAAATTAGAAATTAGAAGTAAAAAAAGTTGCAATAACTACACTCTTTTATACATTTGAAACTATATACAATAAACTGCATAGCCATTGGTTATATTTCCAACAATCGCATCAATTTATCTTTTTAAAATCTGATATTTCTTACACTCTTACAATCTTCTTTCTGAATTAAATAAAACAATACAGTTATTTAACTGTAAATTTCCTGGACCATTTTTAATATGAAATATAATATTTTCCAATTAATTTTTTTACCTCTTCCGGAATGTGTTAAAAATACTGATTGATTTCAAATTTATAATTTGACATCATGAACCATGTTGAAAACCATCGTCAGATCAAACAAATATTGCAATGATAAATAAATTTAAAGATTGATAAATTAATAAATGATATATAAAGATGTCAACTGATTGATGTTAATGTCGTATCTGTGAAAATAAAGAATTGAACAATGTTATAAAGAAGATATTTTTAGGGGTATTCGTGTCTTATATAGTTTGTAAATTCTGCGTAATACCCCTTAAAAATCTTTTTAATTTGCTCATAGTTAAATAATTACAACAATAATGACAAGTACAAGGCACAACAATAATATATAGAGCTACATCTTACTCTGAAATACTCCAAATAGCTAACGAAACTCTATGGAATGATCTAATTAGCATTCAATCACTTTTGATCTCAAAATTGTTGCGTAAATTGTAAAATCTGATATATACTTAAGTCTTGATTTTCGTTGATTGATTTCGAGCTAGATTTTGGAGCATGGTTTCCTGGGACTACGGTTGTTGGGTTGAGTTCAAACATTAGGTAAACTTTGTGATCATATTAGAATTAAAAAAAGCTGCTGCGCTAGCTAATATTTGTGGTGTTGGGTCGCTTCAAAACTAACGCGAGTAAATATTCTTTCGCGCCAAATTATCGCATGGAGTAATTCGTACTATAAAATATAAATTTGAAACAAATCCACTTATATACATCAATCCAATTTAGGTGCAGCACACTAGCTTGAGGGATACTATATGTGAGTCGTTAATTAATTATAAGTTATGCCCCTAAATCAAAATTACTTTGCGTATTCAGTTTTTTTGTATCGTGGAAAAAGCCCGAAATGTTTGAATTTTAAAGCTTGAGATACGTTCACTATACAAGCTAGAGTTCAGAATCTCATTTATTTTGTAATTCTACGGGAAAAATGCGTTGTGCATGACAAGTACACCAATACATGTAGTACGTGGTCGCCTTAAAGCTAGAATTGTTTTGACGTACCAGAGATCATCTCGTAATTCTAACATAAACTTGACCTATATGCAGTCATTTAACTGTTAATCTTGTAAATTCATTTGTAACTTACTACTTTCAAATACAAGATCTTATAATCAAGCTTAACTCATTGAAAAGTTCAGCTGATTTGAAATATTTAGCTTTTGGTATTTGTAACTAAACACGCTTGCATGAGATTTAAATTCTACATCTATTGGATCATTTTATAAAGTGTTTCAGATTGCGCTTTGGAACGGAAAAATATATATATAAAAAAAAAAATATCAATCTGAAACTTCAAAATGACATCAAATCCAAATCAAGATTTAACATTTTTCAAACCCAATTCCATAATATCTGATGATATTATAAATTCAAATAATGCATACTTATCGGTAATTACAAACACACAAGGAGTTTTATCAAATTGGTTAATCAATTCATTAATTGAAAATTCCCTACAAGGGACCGCAAATTTAATAAATCGAGATTTAACTAAAAAACAATTAAACAGAACCAAGGTCACTTATATATCATTCACGAATAACAAAGAATTTTATGTCAAAAATTTAAAAAGAAATGGTATTGATGTGAATTTTAATCAAAATTTTGAATTCATTGATTATTTCACCAATTTATTTATAAATAAAATTAAAACTGACGAAGACATACCGAAACTATTTGATATGAAACTAGATCCAAAAACAGTATTGTTCGTAGAAAATCCTGAAATTTTACTATATTCTACAAATTTGTCAAGTAATCGATTATTAAGTCATATTTTGAGTCTAAGTAAACAATGTGCTCAAACATTTATAATAGCTTCAAAAGATTTGATTGATATGGAAAACACAACAAATGACCCACAGGATCTTGGTTTCAAACTTCATGATTTTTTAACTAAGTTGTACCATCGATCAATTATGAATATTAATTTACAACCATTAAAAACCGGTAGAGCTAAAGATATAACTGGTTCATTAACTGTATCTAAAGGTTCTATTCCCAGTAATGATTTAATTGAAAAAGAATATGTTTACAACATTACTAAAGATGGAAATTTAAAGATATATTATAGATAGATTTGATAGTATTTGTTACATCCTTACAATGATTTTGCAACCTTACATTAACCACGTTTTCTATGTAAATTATATAAATCATCTAATGCAAACTCAATAGCACATCTTGTCCATAGTAATGGAAATAATGGCCAAACTGATTTTTCACCAACTAAAACCCAATATGGAATATTTTCCATAGTTCTATGAACATCGAAAACTCTTGAAAAATCTTTCATCAAATATCTTAGTTCAGGAACAATTGTAATTTCTCTAATTGATGCTAAACTTTGTAATGCTGTTGGTTTTTCATCTATAAAAAATCTTTTCATAAATTCAGTTAATAATCCTAATTTATTTAATACTATTAATCTATGTTGTATTTCCATTCCAATTATAGTTTTCAATCTTTTCATTAAATTATATGAAGTATCTTTAGTATATTTTTCAATATCTTTTTTACTTAAAATTGTATTATTATCATCATCAATATCAGTGTTATTCTTCTCATTATTAAAAAATTTCTTCTTCTTTTCATATATTAATGGTTTCCCATATGAAGAATGATAATGTTTTAAATCATCACTAATTAAAGGAGCCAAATATGGTCTTGCTAAACTTATTACAAAATGATTAACATTGAATAATTCAGTTAATCTAGTATATGGTGACTGTTGTTGTAAAACCATTGTTGCTTTTTCTTGTGCATCACCTTCATTATTTTCTTTCAGGTTAAATCTGAAATATTGTTGATGGTAGGTTACATCTTGAGGTTTCAAAAATTTAACGTCCAAATCCTTGTTTTGCAACACAATTTCATTATTAAAATCTTTAACATATAAGGCTACATCATCAGATAAAACACCAGTACCAATAGATGCATAAATTGCCGTCCATATAATAGCATTAGGTGCAGTTATATAATTTAATAATGATGGAACACATTGATTAGTAGGATGTACAACAATGTTTAAAATTTTTTCAGTTTTCATATATGCTTCTTCAAAAGTTAAATCACCAATTGTATCTCTTACAAATTTTAAAAATAATAAAATATCTTGACTATACCCCTTTTTAACAACATTCTCAATTACATTACCATATCTTTCATCAATTTCATGATTTAAAATATCAATGTTTTTCATTAAATCACCAATATTGACTAATATTGGAGTTAAATCTTCATCATTTAAAGTACAAACTAATGAAGCAACTGCAGCACCAACAGCACTACCTCCAATGATTCTGGGTAATAATCCTTTAAAATATAAAGCTTTCACAACACCTAAATGACATAATCCAAATAACGAACCACCCTGTAATAATAAAGCAGTGGATCCAAAACTTTGTCTTGCATCATGAAAAAAGTCTAATTTCAATTGCTTTGAATTCATTATAAATTCATTAGTATCATCATCATTTAAACTTTCGTTTAAATAATCAAGACAGTTGAGAATTTCATTTATATATTCTTCAATTTTAAATTTTGTACCCATATAACTTTTCAAGTATAATCTTTTCTGAGCAATACCGCCAAAATTTCTAATTAAACCTGATCTTAATAATGACATAATTAATTGTGGATCTTTATTTGACCTTGCGCTTGATAATAATTTTATACGTTCATTAATTAACAAATAATCATAATGTTTTGAAATGAAATTCTGTCTCCATAAATCCATGTTTGTTAAAATGTCAATTTTGGAAGCTGTTGTTTTCCACTCATTATAACTTGATACATTTTTAAGTTTCTTAATCAATTCTTTTAATGGATTTTTTCTATTATATATATGATACAATTTTTTGACCCAAAAGAAACATATATCAATAATGAAGTCCGTAATGGCCCATATAAAACTTGGAGTATTATTTATTATAAATGCAATTATTGGAAGGAACAATGTATATATGATTGATTTAATCATGTTCTTACCATGTTGATAATAAAATAATGATAATAAAATAATTTATTTTTTTCTGCATAATTCACACGTGATAAAAATTAGATTGAACCTGAATTGTTGTGATTTAGGGCGACAGAATAATTTCTCGCGCTAAATTAAGGCGACCTCGTGCTATTTTATAAGTCATGAACAACACATTATCTTACGATAAGTACCATTTATATGAGATCAAGAGCTTTGAAGTATTTACTCTACATATCTCAGGTTTTGAATTTCGAACTTTTTACGGCTTGTTCTCATCATACAGAAATTCTTTTTTAAACAGTAAACGCAATATATAGCTCATTTAGGGCCACAATGTCCAACTCAACATTGAATTATATGTATTATATCCCAAACTAGTAATTTGGACGCAGTTTGCCCTGTGTCTTAAGGATAAAGTCGTACTATCCGACAATTTATGTGACTACATGAACTAAATCACTAAAAAATCAAGTCATAATTACAGAAGATGCTTGTACGGTAGATGATAAGTTAGTCAAACTCTGATCAGACAAGTAATGATAGTAGTTCTGATTCTAGTTCGGGTAGTTCAAATTCTAGTTCGGGTAGTTCAAATTCAAGTCCAGGTTCAAGTAATCCATCATCAGATTATGACGATGATGATGATGATGATATTGCACCAGAATTATCGTCACTTATATCTATACTACAACCAAATACAAATGCGAGGTCAAATTTAATGATTCTAATGAAACAAACCTCGAACATATGGACTAGTAGATATTCTAATGACAAAAGTTGTCGTATTGAGAATCCGAGTTAACGTTAATTTCAACACTATCAAAAGATTGAGATACATCAAGCTTGAACAATTTTATACATATTGATCGATGAATCCCGGATAGAGTTATTATCTAAGAATTTAAATAATGAATTTTCGTTGATAATAATAACAAGCACATTCATAAACAACAAAATTTAAAGACTTAAACGTTTCGGCCTTTGACTTAAACAATTAATGCTTTCAAACTCTATATGCTATAGAAGAAGTGCTTTGATCTATTACTAATTATAATCATATTAAATTTCAAATTATCACTTGGTAGCCTTTTGTTTCCAATTATGACTTCATGATCTTAAAAAACATTAACAATCTAAATTAGTGCTTTTAATAGTGACAATTGTTGTTATATGTTTGATAGTTGGTCATCATATCTGTATTAATTCAGTTAGCTGACGAATAGAGAAAAAGTCAGTGTGTAAAAGCTGCTTGCTAATTAACCGCCTTAATTGATGTCTATTTTGATAGCGTCAATTTTAGCAATTCAAATGACAAGAAAAGGCTCAATTATTTGAACCTATCAAATATGGTTAAATAGTTGAGGCAAGTACAGTCATATCATATTTTTTCAATTCATTGAATGTTTTATCAAATTGATGATTAAAATATTTTAGAAATGAAAATAAATAAAACAAATCTATAATGAAACAAGATATTAATTAATTGTCTTTTGCTGATCAAGATAGAGTCTTCAGTTCAAATAAAAAGAACACATTAATTGGCCTAATTGACCTATTACAGATCAATGGTTATTGTTAATTGTTTATTTGCTAATATTTTTTTTTTAATACACATATATATTCTACATTACAAAGATACTTTAATAAGTCTTCTCCATGAAAATAGAAGATATTCTTACTTATTCAATATACATCAGTATAGTTTGGATATATAGTGCTTCAATTTGTCGTAATTTCACGTTAAACCAAGTTTGATATCTATCTTTAGTATTGGTTGCATCTAAAAAATGATTTTTTTTTGGAATCTTATAATGTCTTCACTATTTGCAAATGGTGTTATTTGTTTGGTTTCATCGACTCTAGTAGGTGCTTTATCATCATGTATTGGAACTGATTCAATCAATGTCATTTTAAAATTAAAAATAATTTGTTGGATATCGATAAATCGTTTAATGAAGAATGTCCTGTGAACCCTTAATCAATTGCGCAAGTTAAATATTACTTGACACTTCAACTGCATCAAATGATGGTAATATCAATTCAAATTCAGCCATACATCTATTACTTTTCAGATCTAATAAATTTCTTGCTTCTACTAAATAATTTTTTACCAAACTGGGATGCAGTAGATCCTGTACCTTCAACTTTATCTTTAACAATATTAACTTTTGACCTTAAAGACGCATGCCTTCTTAAATCATTATGAGGGGCATTTTGATAAGCAGCAGAAGCAATCCTACCAATGTGAATTTGATTTTGATTCAGTTCAGTTTGTTTCAAAGTATGTAATAACCAATTTTGTAAACCTGTATCATATTCCATTTCTTTAAATAAAGCATCTCTATAAGCTTCAATTCTATCTATTGGTTGACTTATTGACATGATTTTTTTCCAATGACTTACCGGATACTTTTGTGGTTTGAAATCGCCAGTAGTTATAGTTGTACTTGATACATTCCTGTTTGTTTTCGGTGGAGTTGAAACTTGATCCGCCTCTGATTTTGAATTTGAATTTAAATTTTCAGCTTTTTCAGATGGAGATAATAGACTACTATATCTTTGATTTTGCATATTTGATTTATCATGTTGTAAATTTTCTTTTGAAGCTGCAGGAGTTAATTTCTCCTCATGAAATACTGGTTTAGAATACAGATTATCATTCAACAAAGAAGAATATCCAGTATTTAATGTATGGTTCAATGATTTATGATCATTTTCCTCGTCTTGATCACTATAATCTTCTTCTATACTTGGCATTGTTGCTTCAATTGTCTCTGGTACAGATAATGAACTTGAGTTAGAGATTTGCTCTGAATTATCATCTTCTATTGATTCTTGAGCATTTGTAAAACTATCATAAGTTTTAGATGGATCAAAGTTTATTGTCAGTACATCATCATTTTGATTTATAAATTGATTACGATAAATATCAGTATCTGGTTTCCAATTACCAAAATTAATGGTAGATTGCGAAACTCTTCTTGAATCATCTTCATTTGGAATTGTAGGTTTTGAATATGTTTGAGTTCGATTTGTTTCGATTGAAAAATTACCTGTTGATAATGAGCCAGTAGAAGCTACTGGATGTAGATCATTTGTGCCTATATTACTTTCTTTTGCATCATTACTTTCATTTTCATCTGGTTTCATATCTTCAATTCCACCAATTTCATTGTCTTCATTTTCATCATCTTCATACCCACTTACAATATTTGAATAATCACCAGAATCAGCTTTAGTGGTCGGAGGTTTTCTAACTGACAGTTTCCTACTAGCTATTGAATTTACATATTTATTATGATTCTCCCTTTGAATAGATAATGGTGCAATTTCATCATTGTCAGTTTCTTGTTTTTCATCGTGGTATTTACTAAATGATGAATTTTCAAAATCGGATAACGTCAGATCATGATCTATTGAAGGTAATTTAGTATTTAAATCAGTTAAAAAGGAATCAATATCTGGTTCTGATTTAGTATTTGATGCATCATTCCACTCATCATTTTCAGAAGAATCATCATCTTTTTCTCGATTATCATCTATTGATAATATCAAATTTGAATTTTGTTGTTCATGAGCTTCAATTGGTGAATGAACATTATCACTTTCTTCTTTTGGAATATATGGGATTGTATTTTTAATACTTAAATATTCAGGTTCATGTTGTATGGAACTATCTGATTGAAAACTAGATTCAGATAAAGGAGTTTGTGGATCAGCACTTGAAACACTACGTTGTCTTTGATGTGAATTATATGTAGGTGTAGGAGGTTGTAAATCAAATGAATTTTGAGTGTGAGAATGAGCTAAATTTAATACTTGAATTGATTTTGAAGGTTGACTCTTTATTGACTCAGCTTCTGGTGTATCACCTTCTTTTAAAATACTGGGAGACCTCTCTTTATCCTCATCATCATCTGAAGTGTCATAATTAATATTTTTTCTTTGATCAATAGATAGTACAAGATCATTTTGAACATTATTTGAATCACCACGCGTATCAGCATTATTTGATGAGTTTTGAAAATGCTCTACTGGCTGATGAGTATCATTGTTTTGTGTTGAATACAGTTGATTTAAATTATCTCTAATACTATTGGAATCATTATTCCCACGGTAATTTTCATCATAATTGTTATAATTTGCATTGCAATCTTCTTCTTCTTCATCATCATCATCATCATCATCATCTCCCCAATCTCCATATGTTGGTTTATCAGCTTTTACCCATCTATTTGATTTTTGTCTAACAAATTTATCAGCCATAATGTTCTCCTCAAATATGATTTATGAATTAGAATTGTTTGATTTTAAAAATAAACGATATTTTTTTTTTTTTTTATTTTTTTTTTTTTTATTTTTCTTTTCTAGTGACGTAGTTTTTCACGTGACAGGAGATTTGAATAAGCATTCTGAAACATTATAAATGTATTCAGTGTAGAAGAGCTTAAGCTTCGGTTTCCGTTACACAACGAGATATTCCACCCGGTTATAGTCTTCTGGATCAACAGAATTAGAATTTTGGAACTTAGCAGATTTTATGTACGAGTAAAACTATAAGATTTAGATATTTTCAAGCATAGGTGAAGAAAAAAATAGTAAAGCAAAATAAACCGTGCTGTATACTTATACTCTCTCTATTGATAAGATCTGTAGCCCCTAGAATTTTCATTAAATGGATTTTCATCATCATAATTATACGTATCATTAGTTGATCTACCATAACTAGAATAAACAGGTTCATATCCTTTATTATTATTCACAGTTGGAGCAGCATTATTACTTGTAAAATAAGCTTGACTTGGAGCAGGTTGTGGTTGATAAGCTAGCCTTTGATTATAATAAGTTGGGGGAGGATACATATTCGGATTCTGTTGATATTTTTCATTATAACCGTTATTTTTATCTTTATTTCTACAACAACAACAACAACATGCATCGATGCAAGTTGCTCCCATTACTAAACATTGAAAAATAGTAGTTATAACCCATATGACAAATAATGAACCTAATACAATTAAAACAATAACGATAATTTTACATGGTGTGTTTGCCATACAAGTATCCCAAGATTGAAAAGCCTGAGCTGTTGATTTGGTACCTTCTATTACATCTCTATGGAATAAAATCATTACTGATAAACTAGTAATGAATTATAGATAATAAATAAATAATTGTTTTGGAGTTCCCTTTCGTTTTAAACAAAAAATAAATAGAGAGGAAAAAAAAAAAAAAAAAAAAAATATGTAATGTATTACATAATAATGTTCAATAAGCGTGTAACTTTAATTTATAATTAGTTGATTAATTCTATTTTTAGAAACAATTGATTCTCGTCTTTTACAGGGCTTCAAATTCATTTTTACTATATATATTTTTTAGTTTCACGATATCGTTGGTATAATGTAGGACACAGCCGATCGCTATTAATAGTTAAAACTTCACTACTGATCATAACCACTCTTATCTTAGTTTATAGCCATCACTTTTCAAGTGTTGTGTATTGCCATGTTATTTAAAACTTAACAATTAATTGTGTCAATTTGATTCTACATACTAATCTCGTTAGATCTATAAATCAATCAATTCTCGAAACATTACTGAAATCATACTATGGTCACATAATTGATTCCTGTTTCATTCGGTCAACTAAAGGTGATCCACGACTTTTGATCGAGTTTCTACTCTAGGCTTTGGTTTCAGCGGAGTCAATTTTTGCTTCATATGGTAGCTTAAAATTTTGACTCCGCTAATCCACAATAATTAGACGAAAAAAATTTCAAAGAGGAAAAATAAATTCCGATCCATCATATCATTAAAGCTTAATCAATAAATCATAAATAATCCTACAATTATCATACTAGGTTCCATCGAATAATTATATATATACATTTTACATTTCAAACAAACTTCATCCCATGATATCAAGAAGTTCCAAAATTTTTTATCGAAATTTAGCCACTGAGGCATCATCAACAACAACTACTAAAATAAAACCAAAAAAAAGAACTATATTTACTGATGAATTAAATAAAGGTCCTTCATTTGATGATTTTGTAAGTGGAAAAGCAAAAGATATGTTAGATCCTTTAGAATTGGCAAGAAAAGATCCAAATGTAAAATTACCAAAATGGTTAAAAGTCCCTATACCAAAAGGTAAATCTTTCCATCAAGTTAAAAATGATGTACGAGAATTAAAATTAGCTACAGTTTGTGAAGAAGCAAAATGTCCCAATATTGGTGAATGTTGGGGTGGTAAAAAATCAGAAGCAACTGCAACTATAATGTTATTAGGTGATACATGTACAAGAGGTTGTAGATTTTGTTCAGTTAAAACAAATAGGAAACCGAGTGCTCCTGATCCAATGGAACCCGAAAATACTGCTGAAGCTATATCTAGATGGGGTTTAGGTTATGTAGTATTAACTACTGTTGATAGAGATGATTTAATTGATGGTGGTGCCTCTCATTTAGCTGAAACTGTTAAAAGAATTAAACTCAAAGCTCCTCAGATATTAGTTGAAGTTTTAGGTGGTGATTTTAGAGGTGATTTAAATTCAGTTGAAGTATTAGCAAATTCTGGTTTAGATGTTTATGCACATAATTTAGAAACTGTTGAAGATTTAACTCCTCATATAAGAGATCGTCGTGCAACTTATAAACAATCATTGAGTGTATTACAAAAAGCAAAAGAAACAAAATCAACTTTAATTACTAAAACTTCATTAATGTTAGGTTTTGGTGAAACTGATGAGCAAATATTACAAACCTTAAAAGATCTTCGAGAGATCAAATGTGATGTTGTTACATTTGGTCAATATATGAGACCTACAAAAAGACATATGAAAGTGGTTGAGTATATTAAACCTGAAAAATTTGATTATTGGAAAAATGTAGCTTTAAATATGGGATTTTTGTACGTTGCAAGTGGTCCATTGGTTAGATCTTCTTATAAAGCAGGTGAAGCATTTATAGAGAATGTTTTGAAGAAGAGAAGACATAATGTAGGAGAAACTCCAAGATTGCAACAAGAAATAAAACCGAGTTTATATCTGTAATGATTATGTGTAAGGATATATGAAAATTTTAAGTGTGTAAAGAGGCAATGAAAACTAAGCAAGAAATGAAGCCCACATTATATCTGTAATGACTCTACTATCAAGGTTGTACTTTTTAATCTGAAATTCTATGTTTATCATTTATTCGAGTCTTGCTTTGACGCGGTCGATGCTCGTGTAATTTTTTTCTGTTATTGCTGCAAATTTCCTTTCGCTTTGATTTAAAGCAAGAATAGAATATCATTAACTAAGCAGAATTAACTGAGCTCGGAGAACTTTTGTCATTTCATAATAATATATAGAATCACAGAAATAGTTGTACCACTCATAGTATTCGTTGATTGTTCAAATAAGTACCCCAAATTTCATTAGTCGATTCGCGAAAAAAAAAATAAAAAAAGAAAAAATAATTGATTCAAGATCATTGATCTGAAACGTATATATCCAATCATCATATGTCTTCCAGTTCAAAACATGATAATGATGATAGTGAAGAAGACTCATTGATTGAAGCATTTGAAACCACTTTAACTATAAAACCATCTTCAACTGAATATGAAGAAATTAATGATATTTCAATAGATCATACTGTTTTACCGAATAGTACGATAAATTATACTAGAGATACAAGTATTGTAAATATAGAAGAATTAGAAGAAAATGAACAATTACTGGAACAAATTCCTAAATTTAAAACAAAAAGAAGATATGTTTTATTACCTAAAATTGCTCAATTTAAAAAATCAGATAGCCCAGGGTTAGAACAATATTATAATGAACAAAAATTAGATGCTAAATTTAATGATATTTTAAAACCATCGCCATTAATAGATGAATCATTAACTAAATATAATCAAACATTTGATAATTTTTTATTATCTAATCCTCATATACAAAAAGAATCACCCAGATTACAAAATGATTCAGATAAGACCCTAATTATCTTATCTCCATATTCATCAGAACATGCTTTTGGTAGAAAATGGGTTACTAAATCATATCTTTCAACTATTTTTGAACGACCACAAAGATTATTATCAAGTTGTATTGGTGTTGCATCTGCTATTACCATGTATCCATTTTATTATAAAATAACAAATTCAACAAAACGTTCATCTATGTTTTCATCTCATGTAAGAAAAATTCATGGTAAAAATTGGCCTAAAAAATTATTTGAATTATGTTTGGAAAGTTATGATAAATTAAATAATGATGAAATTGAAGTTCCTGAAGATTGGGATACTGGTGATATTTACTTAACACCTAAAACTATAAATGCGATTGAAGGAGTTATAGGTACTATTGAAACTGCTGTTGATTCATTGTATAAGAAATCAGTTAATAGAAAAAACCATAATTTAGCATTTGTTGTATTGAGACCTCCTGGTCATCATAGTCATGCTTGTTTACCTAGTGGATTTTGTTTATTAAATAATGTTCAAATTGCTATTGAGTATGCTTTCGAAAATTATGGTGTAACTCATTGTGCTATCATAGATATTGATTTACATCATGGTGATGGGTCTCAAGATATATGTTGGGAAAGAGGCGGTTTTAATGGTGATTATGGACAACAGGAAGAAGATGAAGTAACTGACACTAAACTAAATCCAAGAGATGATTATGGGAAAAGGTTTGCAACTTATCCTAAAGTCGGATATTTTTCATTACATGATATTAAGTCTTATCCAACAGAATTAGGATTTGCAACAAAGGAAAATATTAAAAATGCATCAACATGTATAATGGATCATGACTTAAATATTTGGAATGTTCATTTACAAAGTTGGTCTACCGAAGAAGAATTTTATAAACATTATCTGACAAAGTATGTTGCAATTTTGAATAGAGCAAATCAATTCTTAAATACTGCAAAGAAAACTTATGATCAAGAATATGAAGAATATTTAAATCAATCTACAAAATATAACAAATTCTTGACGAAATCTCACTTGTATAAAGAACCAGTCACCAAACCAACACCACCACCACCTTTTAAACCTTTAATTATGATTTCAGCTGGTTTTGATGCTTCAGAATATGAAAATCCGCAAATGCAAAGACATGGAATAAATGTACCAACATCATTTTATTCAACTATAACTAAAGATATTGTTAAATTGGCTAAAATACATACTGGTGGTAAAGTTATATCATTTCTAGAAGGAGGTTATAGTGATGGTGCATTATCAACAGGAATATTTTCTCATTTAATTGGATTAAATAATGATGATGAAGTTTTATGGAATCAAACATGGGGATCAGAACAAGTAATGAAAGAATTAATTAAAGGTTGTAAAAAAATTTGGTCCCCATATAAAAAACCTCAAAGTGATATAACTATATGGGCAAATGAAGTTATTAAATTAGGTAGATCAATGATGCCAAATGCAATACTACCAATAAATTATATATATCAAGATCAAACAAAACATCAACAAATAAAACCAGTAAATAAAATGGTCAAAGATTTAATAGATGCAAATATGAATGTAACTATTAAAAACAATAGAAAGATTATAGATAGTCCAATTAGAAATGATCCTAATGATGATAGAAAGATTATGAGACATACAAGATCTTATTATAAGAATAAGATAAAAAGTAATGATGATGATGAATAGTTTAATAAATGATATATTTTCTCACATGGTAGCGATTATTTTTTTTCCTAATTGAGTGAAAAATAATATTAATATGCAGTACCCCATATTTCAAATTTAACGAGATTTAAATTAATTTTAGTTTATTACATTGTTACCACTCCAATAATAATTAATTATTAACAGATGACAACACCATCTGACCCTAAATTTGATAGGTCAAGACTATCAGATAATGAATTTGTAGAACAATTAATATTTGAAAATCGTGAATTAAAAGCTCAAATTAATAATTTAAATAAAATTGTTGATAATTTTAATAATTTGAAGAATGGAGATATTAAACTAAATGGTGATGATAATATATCTGCAAGTGAAAAGATACAAAATTTACAAAAGAAATCAAGTAAAGAATCAAACGAGAATAATAATAGTTCAATGTCACCACAAGATATACCTATGAGATCAGCAAGAAGGAGGAAAAATTCACTCGATTCAAAAACTTTAGTTAAACAAGCATCAACATCATCATTACAATCATCTATACTAACATATGAGGAAGAAATTGAATCTTCTATATTACTGAAAAATGACAAGGATACGACTGTTAAAAATAAATCTAATTTTGAAAATACAATGGAATCCATAAATAGTGCTACATTAGATCCAACTAATTCAAATACAGATGCAATTAATTCATCTTCATCAAAATTAAATACAAGTACAAGCTCAATTGCGTCAAAAATTAGAGTTAAACCACCCCAATTTCAACAAGATTCAAAAATGTCGTCACTACCCCTGATACCTTCAAATTTAGATAATGAAATACCAAAGACACCAGATGGATTATCAGCATTTGGTGTGAAATTTGAAAATGCTTCATCAAGTACAGAACCTACAACCAGTTTAGACCTACCTTATACTTTACAAGCAACAAGTACTAATAATTCAAATACTAATTTAACACCAAGACCACAATTTCATACTCCAAATACATCATCAAATCATATAAATGTAGTTTCAAGTCCACAAACTCCTGGTTCGAGTTTTACAATATTACATACACCGAAAACTGAAATGGATGAATCAACTTTATTTATAAAACCAGAAGAATTTCATACAATATCTATTTCAATTGTTAGTACTATAAGTACAGCAAACCAAACATCAAAAGATCCAAATATAACAATGAAAATAAACGACCGTGAAACCAATAAAGAAATGTGGAAAATTAGAAAAACATATACTCAATTAATATCATTTGATAATGAAATTAGACCAATTATTGAATATTTTGGATTAACAATATTACCGGACAAGCAATTATTTTTATCAACAACTCCAACCAAAATTGAAAATAGACGATCTAAATTACAAAATTATTTTAATTCAATTTTTTTAATGCCTCATATACCTCATATGGTTTTATATAAGATATGTAAATTCTTATCATTAAATTTTGTAAATCCTTTAGATGATTATCAAAGTGGTGCAAGAAAAGAAGGATTTTTAGTTAGAAAATATAAAGGATTAGGTAGTAGTTGGAAAATTAGATGGTGTCAAGTTGATGGACCTAATTTAGAAATCTATGAAAATCCAGGTGGAATTTTATTAGAACAAATTAGATTGAAAAGAAGTCAAATTGGTAGACAATCAACTGACTCAGTTGCTGAAGACAAAGGTTATAGACATGCATTTTTAATTATGGAATCACAAAAATCATCAAAATTACATTCATCAACTCCAAAACATTTCTTTTGTGCAGAAACTGATGAAGAAAGAGATGATTGGGTAACTGCATTGATTGAATTTACAGAAGTTTCTGTTGATTCAGAAGAATCTTCTCCAATTGTTGATAATAATAAGGATCAATTTTTAACACCAAGTTCAAGATATGAATCTGACGAATTAGAATCAATATCCAGAAAATTTATGTATAATGAAACACCAACACCAACGACTATTAATAATGATCCAATGTCTATGAAACCATCATCATCTTTAGATACTGAACAACAAGCAAAGAAGATGAAAAAAAGAAGTATATTTCCATTTAGACGAGATAATGTTAATGAAGAACAACCAATTCAACAAAGAGAAAATCAACCACCACCACCGCCACAACAACAACAACAACCTATACCACAACCTCAAGATGATATGCAATTGTATTTTAATCAACTTAATCTTGATAATAATTTAGCTAAATGTACATTTGGTAGAGAAATTGAAGTTGCTTTTGACTTATCACATCATGATTATTTAGGTAAACAAATTCCAAGTATATGCTACAGATGTTTAGATTTTCTTAATAAAACAGGAGCTATATTTGAAGAAGGTATTTTTAGATTAAGTGGATCAGCATCATTAATACGTCAATTAAAAGATCAATTTAATACTCAATTTGATATTGATTTTTTTAAAAGTCCTTTAAAACCAGATATACATACAATTTCAGGATTATTTAAAACTTATCTTAGAGAATTACCATCACCTATAATTGGAGCTCAAGCTAATAATCATTTAAATTCAGTCATGTCATCAAACTCCAATTTATCACCTTCTGTAATTGCAACTATTTTCAGAGATTATTTTAATTTAAATAATGTTGATAAAATTCATTATGATTTAAGTTATATTATCTTTCAATTCCTTAGACAAATTATATCACAAAACCAAATAAACAGAATGAATTTAAGAAATGTTTGTATTGTATTTGTACCAACTTTAAATATTTCATTAGAAGTTTTGAGTACATTTTTAGTTGATTTTGAATGCATTTTTGAAAATGGTACACCAATACTGGATACTAATAGAGAAGTTTTGGATTTACATATACCTAATTTTTAATTAATTTTTAATTGTTAATTTTTAATTTTTAATTTAATAATAATTTTACGTTGTATAAATATATATATATATTTACTTACCATTCACATTCCCCAGTAGCTTTATGAAATACATAATCTTTTTGATTTATATTAGCTATACCTTCTTTTAAACTTGATTTCCATTTATTTTTAATTCTTTGAACTTTATCATAAAGACATAACATAATTTGACCTTCTTGATCACCATCTTCTTCTTCTGATTTTTCACTTTCCAAATCATCTAAATCTGAATTTATATCATCTGAATCATTAAACATATCACCATCATCATCATCTTCATCATCTTCTTCATCATCCAATGTACCATCAACTTGTTGTAGTTTTTTATTTAAATTTTTATTTTTATTTTTTATATTTTGCATCAATTTATTACCATCTTCAGTATATATAGTTAGTTCAAATGACCCATCTGTTTGATTTAATTTAGGAAGTGCTAACCCATGATTATTATTAATATTATTATCTGAATTATTTTCAGCTTTAATTATTGGTGGTAATTCAATACCTAAATTTGGTTCTTGTTTAATTTGGATATTGTTATTATTAGTATTAGTATTTGTTATTGGTTGATTGAGATGATTAATTTCTTCTGTTGTGAATTGATTTTCTATTTGCCGTGCGTGTACTTCTACTTCTTCTTCTTCTTCTTCTTCTTTTACTTCTTCTTCTTCAACTTCTTCTTCTTTAACATTATCTTCATTATCCCAAGAGAAATTAGCGACACCAGTATTTGATAATTTTTCGCACCATATTTTTTTTAATTCATCTAATGTAGCTTCATCAATTCCACTATTTTCAAAATCTTGTCGTGAATCATTTATAACATCATCAATTATTGATTCATATAATTTGGAAGTTTCAATATTTGACATAATAATATATAATAAGCAATACTCTTGATGTGGTTGAGATCAGTTATAAAAGTGGCTAATTTAATATATAAATCTTATCAATTTCTAAATTGAGTTTGGGGGTTTTTATTTTAATTTTATTTTTTTCAAATTTGGTTAAATTATTTCGAAACAAAATAATTGAACAATTTACACGCCCATTATATTGATTTTTTTTTTTTTTTTCTTACTATAAATAGACTTCAAATGGACCAAAAAAAATCATCAATAGTTGTAATATACTTTGTAGCGTTATTTCTGTATTGTTGATGGTTTTAAGTTTATCTTGCTTACACAATAGAGTATGGTGCTATTTAGCGGCCTTAATTTGATGACTATTTTATTTGATGACTATTTTATTTGATGACTATTTTAATAGCGTCAATTTTGGCAACTCAAATTACAAGATATGTTTAATTGACATGTACAGTCATATTATATTTTTTTTTTTAATTCATTGAATGTTTTATCAAATTGTTGATCAAAATATTTTTGAAATGAAATTTGATTAAATTGACTGGAATAAGAAGTTATGGATCAAAACTCAGTATTAGCTACACAAGATGAAATGTTTCATTCGGATAAAGAGAAGGTAATCAATGTACTAAAGTTTGGAGAGGTTTGAGCTATTTTTATTTGATATATTACAATGTATTTACTGGATATACTACTATTTGTTTGTTTAAGATCTATATCATAATCTCTTTTATAGTTTAATTATTGCTAGGTGCAATTTTCTATTATGTTACGTCTACGGTACTTTAAATTACGTACAACGGTACTTTAAATTGGTCTTTATTTCGTTAAAAAAAAAATGCGTTGGAATGCCGTATAAGCCACTCTATGTGGTACGAAAATGACTAAAATTTGGCGCGAGAAAATTATTGCATTGGAAATTATATTCTAAAGTACCGTATTACGTGTATTGTATTACGTGTATTACGGTACTTTAAATTGGTCTATATTTCGTGAAAAAAAAAAGCGTTGGAACGCCGTATAAGCCAATCTACGTGGTGAGAAAATGATTAAAATTTGGCGCGAGAAAATTATTTTTTCGCGCCATATCATCGCATTGGAAATTATATTCTTCTCCTTATCAAAATGGACCATTAATCGTTATTCTCACTACTTTTGAGTATATGAATCACTAGGGGGTCTGTTGAATATATCTCAAGTAGTTGTTGAATCAGTTTTCTGATCCTTTTAGATGTATAGTACTACTCAAGAATAGAAAAAGGTGATAATCATTTTTCAAAAGCATCTGGATACTACATTCTAGAATCTACTCTCAATAAATTATATATATCTATCTTCATATTCTCTGTATGTGTGTTATTTTTTGAATAATACTTGTTTCAACTAAGATTAGAAAATTAGGCTGCAAAATAAATCTAAAAAAAAAAAAAAAAAACACCCACGCGAAACACGTCAAAAAATAAATAAATAATCACTTTTTTTATTCAATCAAACTTAATATAACAAGTTGAATTGTACCTATACCGCCCCAATTATTTATATACATATACTATTAATTACTGTTTAAATGTCTTCAACAAGGCCAGAATTAAAGTTTAGTGATTTATCAGATGAAAGACTGTACTTTAAAAAATATCTACAATTACCGAAAAAAGATGATGCCAGTTGCTTAAGATTCATTGAACACAACAATAAAGATTATTTTAGTTGCATAGGTTATGATGCTGAATTCATTGCTGATAACATTTATAAAACTCATTCAGTCATTAAAACAAGAGATAATTTTAAATATGTGACTATTTCACCACAAGTTTTCAGTAATGTTTTGAAATATTGTTTAATTGAAAAACACCTTAAGGTGGAAATTTATAATAACAAATCATTTAATTTGATTTGTTCAGCTACTCCAGGTAATTTGGAATTTATAAGTGAAGAATATAATATAAATTTTGAATTTCAAGATTGTTCAAATTCAGTAATAGCTGCAGTAAAGGTTGTAAATAATAAAATTGGAGTTTGTTTAATTAATGATGATATTATTTATCTTTGTGAATTTGATGATAATGATTTATTTAGTAATTTAGAAAGTTTATTATTACAAATGGGTGTTAAAGAAGTTATTTTAAATAATGAAGATTCAAAATTATTACAAGTTTTAAATAAAATTGGTAATTTAGTTATAAATATCAGTTCAAAATTTAGTAACAAAAATATTGAACAAGATTTGAGTAAAATTTTAGAAGGTGATGAAGATATTGAATTAATTTTATCATCAAAGGGTATAAATACTTCAGAGTATCAAAATAGTTTAAGTTCTTGTAATGCATTAATTGATTACCTAAATTTATTAAATGGAAATAAAATGTTTACAATAAATCAATATAATTTATCAGAATTTATGAAATTAGATTCATCAACAATGAAAGCATTGAATATTTTCCCTGAATTTAAATCAAATTCTATAAATTCAATTTTTGAACTATATAAATGTAAAACAAATGCTGGTTCAAGATTATTATCTCAATGGTTAAAACAACCATTAACTAAACTACAAGATATCAAACAAAGACAAGATTTAGTTCAACTACTAATTGAAGATACAAGTTTAAGAGTATCAATACTTGATATATTTGGTAATAATTTACCTGATATTAAAAGATTATTGAAAAAGATATCATCAACTAAAAATGAAAAATTAGAACATGTTGTAAGTTTATATAAAATTGTATTAAAATTACCTGATTTAATTGAAGTTTTGAAAAATACTCCAGGTACTGAATTTTGGTATAATCCATTAAATAAAAATTATGCATCATTAATTAAATTTCAAGAATTGGTTGAAACTACAATTGATCTACGAGCTTTAGAAGACCCATATGCTGATTTTAATATTAGACCAGAGTTTGATCCTTCATTAATTGAAATAAATGAAAGATTAACTAATTCCCTTGAACAAATTAAACAAATACATTTTGAAGTTGCTGAAGATTTAAAGATGGATCCAGAAAAGAAATTGAAATTAGAGCAACATCAAATCCATGGTTGGTGTTTTAGATTAACTAGAAATGATTCAATTGTATTAAGAAATAGTGGTAAAAAATATATTGAATTACAAACAGTTAAAGCTGGTGTTTATTTTACAACTACTGATTTGAAAAAATCATCCCAAATTTATAATTCATCGTTTGAAGAATATAATAAAAAACAAAGAGATTTGATAAAAGAAGTTTTATCAATTACATTGACTTATCAACTGGTTTTCACGGAATTAAGTTTAAATTTAGCTCATGTAGATTTAATTTCAAGTTTTGCAAATGCTGCTATGATTGCACCAACAGCTTATGTTAAACCGACATTTGGAGAAGAAATGATATTAAAAGAATCAAGACACCCATTATTAGAATTACAAGATGACATAAATTTCATAGCTAATGATGTTGAATTAAATAATGGTAAGTCGTTCATTGTTATAACTGGTCCAAATATGGGTGGTAAATCTACATATATTAGACAAATTGGTGTCATTGCATTAATGGCTCAAATTGGTTCATATATACCTGCTGAAGAAGGTTGTCAATTACCTATATTTGATGCTATTTTATCAAGAGTTGGTGCTGGTGATTCTCAATTAAAAGGATTATCTACATTTATGATTGAAATGTTGGAAACTTCCAGTATATTGGCAACAGCTACAAAAAATTCACTAATTATAATTGATGAATTAGGAAGAGGTACTTCTACATATGATGGTTTTGGATTAGCATGGTCAATATCAGAGTTTTTAATTAAAAAACAATGTCTTACATTATTTGCAACGCATTTTCATGAATTAAATCAATTGAGTGAAAAATATAAACAAGTTGAAAATTTACATGTTGTAGCTCATGTCGAAAATGAGGAAGATATAACATTAATGTATAAAGTTGAACCTGGAGTTTCCGATAAATCATTTGGTATAAATGTTGCTGAATTAGCTAAATTTCCAACTAAAATTATCTATATGGCAAAAAGAAAAGCAGAAGAATTAGAACAAGAGAATACAAAGAAATTAAAAACTGAAGATGTTGAAAAATTAAAAAAAATATTAAAAGAATGGAGATCAAAAAATCCAAATCCTCAAAATGCAGTTGAAGAATTGCAAAAAATTGTTGATGAAAATAATTTTAAATCATTATTAGATTTATAAATATCTATCTACTCTTGTTTATTATTTTTTATAAATTTATCATCTTCTAATTTTAATTTTTTAATTGCTCTTGCTCTTTCTAAACCTGGTTTATCTATACAATAAACAACAGGTAAACCCCAAATCCATGAAAATTCATAGTATTGTTCAGTACCAGTAAGAAAACATCTTAAATATTCTTCATAAACTAGAGAATAATATACACCAGTACCTGTAAGAATATGCCACCAACCATGAAATTCAGTTAAAAATCCGAATGGCATTCCAACATAATGTCTTGTTGATCTTAATAGATCACATAAATGAATATCTAAATTCCATAAAAAATAACCAAATAAAAATATTCCAACTCCAAAAATCGCAGTTTTATTTAATTGAGTTCTGGCTTTTTCATCATGAACATATTTTAAATTTAATTTAATTGATTTTAAAATTATTAAACCATTTAAAATTGCATAACTAACTTGATGAATAGTTGGATCTCTAAAATATAAATATATAACAGTTAATAAATTTGCAGACATGAAAATCCCCAATCCAATTAATGCAGATTGATGTTTTGATTTAAATTCACTAAAAAGCGACCAAAATGGAATACAAGTTGCATAGATCATTGGTAATTCATCTAATAATTGAAAATGATATCTTAAAGTCATATGAAATAACCATGATCCAATACCAACTAATAAAAAACCAAATGCAGTAAATATAAATCTTGTCTCTAATTTATTCAAATAAGCATGATAAATTGCAAATAAAGCTAATGCAATGAAAACTGAATTCGTCGTAGTATTTAAAGCTTCTGCGATAAAAGGTGACACTACATAATTTTCTTCACACCAATCAATTGTTGAAGTAGGTACACCCCAAAACCCATCTTTTTGTTCTGGAGGATAAGGTATATAAAATGGCCACATGTCTTTAATACTAGTCTAGTTAATTTTACCACCAAATGAAAGAAAGACAATTGAAATTAAATTATTAAATTGATAAGTTAATTAAAAAGTTTAAAACAGAATTATATATAATCTTTATCTATGATTACCTTATATAATTACAAAAGTTAAATTGACAATCTTTGGTTAAATCTAACGAAGTAATAAATGAAATTTAAAATGACTTATTATAACCAAAACGTAAATGCGATTTTATATATGGATTACTTTATATTTGGTGCATTGATTACGTAATTAGGGTTCTATTTTTATAACCGAATTGTATTATGTAATATTTTATTATTTAATATGGATAGGTCGGAGATAAGTTTAGCGGTAACAAACATATTTTATATTATATTAAACATACTAAGGTTTGGATTTAACTTTCATCAAATTTTATCAATTTCGGTGATTTCTTCTCTATTTGACATGATTTAATACAAAATAATATATTATATATGCACATACTAAAATAATCTCGATATTGTTAATGTTTAATTGAAAAAAAAAAAAATTACTCTAATGGATTACACATGGCGTTAATGAAATTCAGTGTTGACCTCAATACTTGAGGATTGATATTAAACGATAGCAAAAAAAAAGTGAAGTCTCAATTCTTGTACCATCTTAACCAACATTCATCATTAAATGGTCTTATTGTGTAACTATCATACATTGTCATCATTTCTTGATCATTAGTATTATTTGATTTATTTGATAATTTAATTGGCATATCGTTAGTTTTAATTTCATTACACCAATCTATATCTAATTTTGAGTGAAATTTCCAATATAAATTGGCAATGGCTAATTTGATTTCAATTAATGCTAAATTCATACCTAAACACATTCTAATACCTTTTCCAAATGGCATCATAAATCTTCTTTGATTGATTAAACGTTTTTGAAATTCTTCTGGTGATTCATAATCATATTTTAACCATCTCTCAGGTATAAATTTATCGTGATTAGGAAATACTGTTTTTGTACGATGTAATGCAAAAGGTAAACAGGATATTATAGTTCCTTTTGGAATTAAAGTGTTCAATTCAGGTATTAAATAAGGTTTGTCAGTTAATCTTGGTTCTGCACCTGGTATAGGAGTATGAATTCTCAAATTTTCTTCAATTATTGCATTTAAATATGGTAAATTATCTATTATATCCACATCATCAATTAAATCATCATCTGAACTTGCTTTACCAAAATAAACATTTAATTCTTGTAATAAACGAAGTCTAATTTTTTCATTTGCCGGTCTTGATAATTCATAACATATATATGTTAATATAATGGCTGTTGTTTCATGTCCTGCTGACAATTGGTCTGTTATAAAGGAATAAGCATCTTCATTATGAAATCCAAAACTGTGTAATGTAGTCAATGTTGTTTTACCTGTATTATTTTTATTCTTTTCCGCCATTTTATACAAGTTTATTTGAAAATTACATATCACATCAGCCGATTTTAAAATTAATTTAGATGCGGCTAAATTCCAATATTGGGGTAATAAAGCAGTGTAAAATTGCATTGATGAGACTTGTCTGAAATTTAACAATATATTGCGTTGATTTGGATTCTCAATTAAATTTGTACCATTTTCATAACCTAATTCAAATCTAGAAACCACGTCCATAGTTAATGAACCAAATAAAGTATAAGTATCAATACCTAAATTATTTTTATTCTTGGATTTATTAAACCAATTTGGATTTCTATGACCCTTCCCATTTAAATTTAAATCATTTCTGACATTTAATAAATCAGGTTGTTCACCATAGACTGAACTTTTATATACAGATGTCATTAATTTCTGAGTACATTCAGTTAACATTTTCCTAGTTTTACTTTCTTTTGAAAATACACTAGTTTTTAAGTATAATCCATAAATCATTTTCTTAAATTTTAAATGTTGATCAGCTTCTAAACATGTAAAAATATTTTGCTTACCTCCATGATTAGTGAACCCTTTATAAAAATCGGATTTTGGCATATTTTTAACATATATATCATTAACATATTTAAAATCTCCAGTACAACTAATTTCATTCGGTGATAAAACAACAACATTACCATATTTTAGATGTAAATTGTAAACTTTTTGAATCCATGTTCCTCTTCTTTGACTATTTAACGATGGTAAGAATGAAATTCTGTGCAAATAGGGCCCTGGAATTTTCCATAACGGTGAAGTAACTGGAAATATAATTAAATAATAAATTAAAATTAATAATATTAAAATTAGCTGGAATTGAATGAAATTATCGCTTAAAAATAAGAATAGATCTGTTTGTAAGTTCTCAAGCATTTATATATTTTGAAGGAATATTTGACGATAAATTTGACACATTCTATTATTTTTTCTCGTTCGTTTAAAAACGTTTTTTTTTTTTTTTTTTTTTCTTGTTTCAGATAAGAATATTATAATTGAACTCTCGTAAAATTTTTCCTATTCCGTCATATATTCCGCACGCGGAAATAATTTCTATAAATGTATATGGTTGCAAAATGGTTGCAAAATGTTTACTTTTAACACCATAAATCTTCAATGATTGGACTTATGCTCGTAAAAATACGGTCTAATATAAACTCATCAATATGCTTTAGTTTTAAGGTCGTCAAACCTGGAAGAACCACAATTTACGTCAAGGTTTGATAAAAGTCAATGCTTCCAATGCATTTTGATCAATGAATTAGAATCAGTCATACTCATAGCATCGAAAGAAACAAGTGCAAACGCCCTACACAGAATTGTAGTTGTAATTTCATAGGTATATTATTTTTAAAGTAAATTGGTAGCTCCTTAATCTAACCTCATCTTGCTCATCGAAATTTCAAAAAACTACCATGTCTGAAGATCTATTGCAAATTGAATTAAATCAACTAGATATACGACCTGATATAGATTCAGATACTAATTCAGACAGTATCAAAGATACATCAAAAGCAAAAGCGAGAAAAATCCAAACTGATGAACAATATCAACATCAATTAAGTTTATGGAATGAAACTGGCCCAACAATAAATACAGAAACTTGGCTATATGAGAACCTAGATAAGCTAACACCGGGGAAGAAGATAGACAAACAAAAGATACTACATGCTTGTGAAAAAGCCTATTACGAAAGAGATTATAACAAATGTTGTGAATTGATAACTAAAGGTGAAGATATTTTCGAAGTTGATTTAGAATCAATTACAGAAGAGATGATTAATAATAACAGTAGTGCTTCAAAGAAGAAAAGATTAGATAATGATATAATTGAATTATATAAATTAAAAAATAAATGTAAAGAACTATTGTGATTTTATTCTCGTTTTAGCGATATTCTAATCTCGACTAAACTCACCATTCTCTTTTTATATAACAGTTCAGAATCCATTGGATTCTCCTCCACTTCATCTTTAAATTCATCTAGGACTCGAATACTACCAGTTATGATATCAATTTTATAATTTAGCGTATCTCGATAAAAATTGCCAATATTTAGACATTTTTCAATTGATTTACCCATTCCTTTTATAGATATGTAATTTACTGATTTATATTGTTGATTTTGATATTTTTTAATTGAAGATATTGATTTATTAAACTTTTTCAATTTCTTGTTAATTTGTTTTATGGATGAAATAAATGACGATTTGGATTTGATTAAAAATGTAGTGTTGAATTCTACTTCATTTTGGATTTTCAAATTCGGACTATGTTTTATTAGTTTCTTACCTTCAATTCTTTTACCCATGGTATATATTGCAATGTGTCGTTTGAAATATTTTGATAATGAGATTAAATTAAAAAAAAAAAAAAAAAATTATCAAAACTATCAAATACGCGTATGGTGAAAAGACAACTTGAAATTGAAAATAATAATATAGATATTATTAATATCAAGAATAAAAAGGTGCAGCATAATAAAATTCATTCTGAAGTCCATTATAAAACAATCAACGTGTTAATGTCTGCGCAATTTAAAATTCAAATGAATGAAAAAGAGTTAAGATTGAATAATGATAAAAATTCATCAAGTGGTCAAGAGTCAGATATTAGTGATCAGCTGGTGCTGAGTCAAAATGATGAGATACAAGACAGTTATTATCAACGTCCGTATTGGTGAAGAATATCCATCACTAAAGGATTTAAGGCACTGCTTTCGTCATTTCGTCATTCTGCAACTTCTTGAGATTTAGCCTAAAGAGTTTTTGAGTTAATTACCTGAAGAGTTGAATACTAGTTTATGCATAGATTATCATTTTGAGAGTAATAGTGTCAACATTGGCTCATTAACTGAATCAACAATAACTTTGCAATTATTTTAGATTTTAATCTCATTTCAAATCCCTCGATAATGCTAATTTCAACAAATCTATAATGCAGGAATGAAATAAATGAGTACTATGAGTGATTGATAGTATCAATCGTCTTTCAAATTGCAATTAAGCCTACACATTGGTGAGTCTCATGCTAATTTATCAGATCAATACGATGGTATGTGATAATGGATCAAGTAAAACGATGAAATCAGTGTATTTGACGGGTAATTTATCTTTATCAGCACTAACATATTTAAATTATGAAAAATAGCCTAAAAAGATATGATTGGTATTAACGAAAGTCCAACTTGATCGAATATTACCCAATACGAAGGATCAAAACAATTTTATGCAAATCAAACCAAGATTAACGCAGGATTAGGGTCAGTAATGTACCTTGGGAATAAGGCAATAGTACAATATTGGCTCATGTTCGCCTTTTGGTTTACCTTCATCACGATTTTAGTTATGGACTTAGATTTTTCGTAAGGTCAATTTATTCAATTATTCCCATAGTGGGAGCTGATTAGTTTATTTGAATGAATACGTCAAATAAATCACTCAATTGTTAACGTTATTTATCAGTTATTGATTTGTTATTTGAATAATAAGTAAATATTACAATTTAGCAGCTATGTTAAATTTAATTATCAATGATTCTACGTCATAAATATTCATTAACAAATTAAGCAGTATAGTAATTTAAAGCTCAAATGACTCTTATGTCTATTCATTGACCTTGATAAGTATGTATAACTCTTTTAAAGTAAACATCACGATAGCTCAAGATTATAATAACTCAATTACATCGGTTATGTACGGTTATATTTTGCATGTTTACAATTTACTAGTAAGTTTAAATTACACATCGAGTTTAATAAGTGTAACCCATCGAGTATATTCTTATTATGATCAATTTATCATCCTTTACAGAATTAACTGCCATTTAGATTATTTGCACGTGACTTATAAAATGTCACATTACCATGTGGCAGCCAGGGACTAACAGTCGAAAATTGTAACAACGTTAATTACGTGATTGGCCACATGATAGTTGAATAGTCGTTCTATCTACAGCTTGAATATTGAGAGAGTTATTCACAAATCAAGTCTCAAGATTTACTATTACAGGACTGCATATAAGTCAATTTCCTTAAGCCTAGGTAAGCATTACTTTCGAGTAGTCGAGAATAAATTACGCTCTAAGTTCTGTTCTGTTATTGTAGGCTACATCGAATAGATTAGAGAAGGATTCGAGAGTTTTATGGAGTTTTATACGGTTTATGCATGTGTTTTTATGTTTATGACTATAAACGCTACCATGTGCGGTATATTACTCGATTTGTACAGATCTTAGATCTGACAATTTTTCGAAACATTAAAATATTTCATGACAATTGATCCAATTTATATTTCAACAAAAGAAGACAGTAAATTAATATTCCAATACGATAATTTTATATTTGATTGTGATGGTGTAATATGGTTAGATGAGACATTAATACCTAAAGTTTTAGAATTTCTTAACTATTTGCTATCAAACAATAAAAATTTTATATTTGTCACTAATAATTCATCAAAATCAAGAAAAGAATATGTGAAGAAATTTCAAAGATTAGGTATAAATTTTGTTACAAATGAAATGATTTTTCCAACTTGTTATTCTGCAGTTTTGGAAGTTCAAAGATTACAAATTCCAAAAAATTCTAAAATTTGGGTATTCGGAGAAAAAGGGATAGAGGAAGAATTGAAACTTGCTGGTTATATACCTGTTGGTGGAACAGATCCAAAATTAGATGCTGAATGGAATATAGATCTACCTTTAATGAACGTAGATCTGGAAGTAAAAGCAGTTATTGTCGGATCAACTAAAAAGATAAATTACTATAGAATTGCATCAACTTTACAATATTTATTATACAATAACGAATCATTACCTTTTATAGGTACAAATATAGATAAAACTTATCCAGCTGGAAAGTTTATCTTACCAGCAGGTGGTAGTTGTGTAAATTATATGAGTTTTACAAGTGGGAGAGAGTTTATTGATGTTGGAAAACCGTCTAAGGATTTTCTTCAAATAATACTAGATAAAACTGGATTTAATAAAGAAAGGACATTGATGGTTGGTGATACATTATATACTGATATTAAATTCGGAAACGATGGGAAATTAGGAGTCGATAACAAGAGTAGTTTATTAGTATTAACTGGTGGAACAACATTAAAAGACTTAGATGACGCTGTTAGACACTCAAAGGATAATAGTATAATACCATCATATTGTATAGAATCGTTAACGAAATTAATAGAATTATTAGAATAAAAACAGATGATAAACTTGACGAGTACTGTATATAATTTTGTACCACTATATAATTTTTATAAGCGAGACAATCAAAAATCAAAAACTTTATCAATTTGTATTGCCATTGGCTTTTATATTTAATTATTAATATAACACATGTTAAACTTTTCAGGTATTACTCGAAGGCGAGTAATTAATTTGTCAGATAGAAAACAACCTTTAAATAGTAAAAACTTTTTAGAAAAATCAAAATTACAACGAATTGAAAGACAAGATCAAAAATTAAAAGAAAAATCAGTATTAATATTACAACGAAATATCATTAGATTTTTAATAATCAAAAGATTCTGTGACTCAATAAAAGAGAGTTTCATAAATCATATTGACTTTGAGTCTGAACAAGAGTATAAACAATGGGTCAACGAATTTAAATATTTATGTCTAATGTATTTACCAAAATTAAAGAATTATGAAGATATAGTAATTGATGTACTAAGCCAATTCATTAATAATCACAGAAAAGTAAATGACTTAGAGTCTTCATTTTTGATCCGTTTGTTTCTCATTTTTCCAAATAATGAAAAGATCCAACAATTACTTATGAGAAGTTTTCAAATCATAGACAATTACTCCTACTCCAATAATGAACAAAATAATCTACTATGTAAGGCGATGGTTAATTATTATAAATTGCTACGGGATGATAATGCAATCTCAATGTTATTCAATGTTGGTAAATTTGATTTATCTCAATCTACCTTTAATAATTTTGTTCAAGTGCTAAGTTTAGATTGTTTTGACAATCCTACTACCCGTTATTTAGATATTTTAAGAAAGAATCTTGGTAATAATGCTGGTGGTTTGAAAAATTTTGACGAAAGAACTTTAATCAAAATGCTATCAAATTATCTTTTATTACATGGAGATGATAAATACGTTGAAGTTGATTATTTAATAATATCTGAGTTTTTACAAAACATATCAAGTAGTCTTATTAATCAAATTGAGCAAGAAAATGAGGATGAAATAGAGCATAGGCATACTTTACATATTGAACAAGGCACATTGACTAATTTAGAAGCTTTGCATACTTCTTCATTCATACAAGGCTGCATTTCATTATTAATTAATGAAAATTTAGACCAAAGAAAGATTGCATTAATTATTCTTTCGAAACTTATTAATTTGTTCCCCACTTTAAAGAATAAAGTGTGTATGTTAATCTCAATTACACCAAATTGTTATTCATGGTTTTTTCGAACAATTAAACAAGATGCAATCTTTAAACATTTTACAACTACCGGTCAAGATTATATAGAAAAAGAACAATTCACTAATAAATCTTTCTGGTCGGTTGTTTATTTATTTCAGGAGACTTATTCATATTGGTTGATTGTATCAAATGATTTGGAAAGTTTTGCAGATGATAAATTAACCATAAATCAAGTCGTTGAATTTCTTGAATTTTCAAAAACTTTATGTTTAACTTTAATATTTAACAGAACAGACTCAAAATTATTAAAAAACATTAGTATTTTATTATTAAATCAATTATATTTGAAAAATTTAAGATTAAAATTTTTAGATCAAGAATTTTGGTCACCTAAAAAATTAACATTTAATATAGATCCATTAATTAGAATCATTGCAGAAGAAGAAGAAAAAGATGATGATGAAAGTGAAAATGAAGAAATAATAAATCATAAAATATCATTTGATAGTTATTCAAAAGTTGAAGTATTAAAAAAATTACCATTTTTCATTGAATTTAAAGATAGAGTTCGTATATTTCAAGCATTAATTGAATTAGATAGGTCAGAAATCTTCAATGAGAATAATTTCTTCTTTATGGATGACTTCCAAAATAAATTGATTGGTAAAATTAGAAGATTCAATTTATTACAAGATGCATTTGAAGCATTTGGAAAAACTGGAAGTAAATTTAAAAATAGATTACAAGTTGAATTTTATAATGAGTATGGACCAGAGGTTGGAATTGATGGAGGTGGAATTACAAAGGAATTTTTAACATCTGTAGTTAATGAAGGATTTAAACCTGGTGATTTATTTAAAGAAACTTCTGAAAATCAATTATATCCAGATGCAAAAATATATGAAAAATTATTTTTAAAAATTGACGCAGATAAACAACAGGAAAATTTACAATATTTAAGATTTTTAGGGATGATTGTTGGTAAATGTTTATATGAAAATGTGCTAATTAATGTTTCATTTGCTCCTTTTTTTCTTAATAAATGGTGTAATGAAAATTTAAAAAATTCAATTAATGATTTAAATTATCTAGATTCAGAATTATTCAAGAATTTAATTAAATTAACTCAAATGTCAAGTAAAGAAATTGATCAATTAGATTTAAATTTTTCATTAAGTGAAAAAATTGATAAACAAATTTATAATTTTGAATTAATACCAAATGGACATAATCAACAAGTTACATCAATGAATATACTCAATTATATTCATCAATTATCAAATTTTAAACTAAATCAATGTTTAAAAATTCAATCAAATTATTTTTTACAAGGACTTTTCACAATTATTTCAAAAAATTGGTTAAAAATGTTTGATGCAAATGAATTACAAATGCTAATTAGTGGAAACGAAGAAAATAATGTAAATATAATGGATTGGCAAAATAATGTAGAATATGGAGGATATTTAGAAAATGATCTAACCGTTCAATTATTTTGGAATTGTGTTGAAGAAATGTCAATGGATGAAAAATTTAAATTAATCAAATTTGTAACAAGTGTAAATAGAGCTCCATTATTAGGATTTGGTGCATTAAATCCAAAATTTGGTATCAGAAATGGTGGAAGAGACATTTCAAGATTACCAACAGCTTCAACATGTGTTAATTTATTAAAATTACCAGATTATCAAAATAAAGAAATATTGAGAGAAAAATTATTATATGCAATTAATACAGAAGCAGGTTTTGATTTATCTTGAATACATACAAACACATTAATTATAAACTATTATTTGTTTAATTTTCTTTTGGTTTTGTTTTTTAATAATACATTTTGTTTTATCTTTTCTGATTCTTCTTCAGATTCTCCTTCAGATTCAGACATCATTTCTTCATCTTCATCTATCATATCTTCATCTTGTTCTATTTCTTCTACCTCTTCTTCTTCATCATCTTCTTGTATTGCATTTTCTTTAGCTTGTTGTCTTTCAGCTTTTCTTCTTAATTCAACTTCTCTAATTTTTAATAATTCAGGATTATCTTCAACTAATTTTTTGTCAGCAGCTAATTGTCTTTCTTTATTACCTCTCATTCTATTTTTATAGAAAGCTCTTTCTCTTTTTTGTCTAATTTCTTCAATTCTACTCATACCTTCTAAAGTTTTTGCAACTAAATCTCTATTATATCTAATTGGAATATTTCTTCTACTTGCAAAAGTTAAAGTAGAATCAACAGTTAATTCTTTACCAGCAGCTTTTCTAAAAGCTTTTGTCCATCTTAATTTTCTTGGATTTCTACGTTGTTTAAAAGCTTTATGACATTTTGATCTACAAAATCTAAATTCTTTAGCATCATTTCTAACAAAAGTAATACCATGTAAAGGGTAAACAGGAGATGAACAAAAATGACACTGGTATATTCTCATAATTTAACTTATATATGATCTATATGTATAAATGTATAAATGTATAAATGTATAAATGTATAAATGTATAAATGGTATTGAATGGTATTGAATGGTAATTTGATAGTGAAAATTAAAGCGATGAGAATTTAAATCGATAAAAAAAAAAAAAAAAAAAATTAAATTTAAAAAAAAAAAAAAAAAAAAATTATTGAAAAATTAAAACAAATCTGAAACCATAAGCTATTAGTTTTCATAATGCAAGCTCCTACTTTACCTATACCGGGTGATAATACTACTCATCAACATCAACAATCACCACAACAATATTATACAGGACAATTACAGAAAAAAACTCCTCCTCAAGGCTCAATAGAATGGTATTTTGATCAAGGTTGTAATTGGATGAGTAACCATCCTTATTTAACTGGTTTAGGTGGGTTTACAATAGCTTATTTTGTAGCTGGTATATTTAAAAAAAATCAACCTGGTTTAAATGGTAAAGCTTTTATCAAAGGTGGTTTTGGTCAAAAAATGACAGCAAAAGAAGCTTTACAAATTTTAAATTTAAAAGAAAGTAACTTATCAAAATTAAAATTAAAAGAACAACATAGAAAATTAATGATGGCTAATCATCCTGATAAAGGTGGTTCATCATTTTTAGCTACAAAAGTAAATGAAGCAAAAGATTTTTTAGAAAAAAGAGGTGGTTTAAAAGCAAAATAGGTAATCATAGTTTATAAATCACAGTAATAGAGGTTTTAATAATGATTTAAATGGCAAAATAAAATGTAAATAGTGTTTTAATATAAATAAGAAGTCTATACATGAAATTAGATGATATATATGATAAAGAGACTTAAAATTATGATTGTTTCTACACAAATAAATAATTAAATAACATTCAAATACAACTAATACATATATATTAATTAACCATTTGCTTTACTACAAATTGAGTTTCTTTAAATAAAGTTTATCGCTTATCAATAAAAAAAGATTGTTCAAAGGTTACAGTTGGTCTTTGAGACCTGCCTATTATACCCTGTCATCCCTGTCATCCCTGGACTACAAAACGTCCAAGAGCCATATTTATGATTTCTTAATAAAAATTCTATTGGTGGTTGATTGTTTACGTGTCAATCCAATCAATCAAACATCACCACCAGAACTTGAATCAAATTACCGCTTAAGATTCCCTACCCCTTAAAGTTAAATATAGAATGCGCGCACAGCAGAAAAAAGAAAAAAAAAATATTATAATTTTCAAATCAACACAACCAATTTTATTTTTATTAACGATTTTTTTCCAATCAACTTTAAACCATTTAAGCCGATTTATAAATATTGGTGTATACATTATTCAATTTCGACATCATTTCAGGTTCACTATAACAACTAGAATTGCGAACTTGATTAAATTATAATTTTATTAATTATCAAAGGTAAAAATCGCCATTTAATTTTCAATTGGCAACCGAATTAAAACCCAATTTTAATTAATATAGAACTTAATCAGTCAACATCATCGTCACTTTTTATTTTATTCACATTTATTTCAAGTTGTTTTTATCATTGATATATATTTTTTATTATGACTACATACGAGAAGATTGTTAAAGGTGCTACGAAAGTCAAAGTGGCTGCGCCCAAACCAAAATATATTGAACCTATTTTAATGGCTACATCTTTAGATGAATCAGGTTTATCAAATGATAATCTAGCAACTATAATGCGAACATTAAATCAAAGATTAAATGATTCTTCATGGTCTGTGGTTTATAAATCATTAATTGTAATTCATTTGATGATTAGAGAAGGAGATAAAGATGTTACACTAAATTATTTAATTAATAGAAGTCCCAATATGTTAAACCTATCATCAAATAATATAATACAAAATAATAATCATAATGTCAATAATGATGTTAGATTTATTGTCAAATATTCAAAATATTTATTAACTAGAGTTAAACAATTTGATGCTACTGGAATTGATTATGTTCGTGATGAAAGAGCAAATAATTCAACAACTCAACAAGGTGGTAGATTAAGATTATTAACTATTGAAAAGGGATTATTACGCGAAGTAGAAAGTGTTCAAAAACAGATAGATTCATTATTGAAGAACAATTTTATGGAAAATGAAATTAATAATGATATTGTATTGACTAGTTTCAGATTACTCGTTAATGATCTCTTATCATTATTTCAAGAATTAAATGAGGGTGTTATAAATATATTAGAACATTATTTTGAAATGTCAAAAGTTGATGCTGAGAGATCTTTAAAGATTTATAAAAAGTTTGTTGATCAAACTAAATTTGTAATTGATTACCTAAGAGTTGCAAAGCATTTAGAATATGCTACCAAATTACATGTTCCAACTATAAAACACGCACCAACTGCATTAACTAGTTCATTGGAAGAATATTTAAATGATCCAAATTTTGAAATTAATAGAAGACAATATTTAAGTGAAAAAGCTGGAAAGGATGAACTTAAAGAGAAGAAACTTGTGTTTAATGATAGATCAAACGTTGATAATAAACCTAAACAGGTGAATAATAATCAGAATAATTCAGATAAACATCAATCTTTAATTGTACAACAAACTTATAATCCTTGGAATAACATGTTTACTCCTCAACAAATAGATTCTTTCCAATTACAACAACAACAAATAGTAGATCAGCAACAACAACAACAGCAACAGCAACAGCAACAACAACAGCAACAGCAGCAGCAGCAGCAGCAGCAATTACAAATTCAAGCTCAGCAACAAGCTGATTTACAAGCTCAGCAACAGGCACAGTTACAAGCTCAGCAACAGGCACAGTTACAAGCTCAACAACAAGCACAACAACAAGCACAACAACAACAACAGCAACAACAACAACAAGCAGCTCAAATTCAACAGCAACAAGACACAGGTTTTACGCCATTACCATCAATTACACAAGGTCAACAATTTCAACCAGCTTATACAGGTGCTGGATTTGGAGGTTATGGTCCGCAACGGCCTCAACAATTAAATGCACAACATACAAATCCATTTTTACAACAATATCAAGTACAACCTCAAAATACAACACAACAAAATCAGTTCACTGGTATTCAAAGACAAAATACAAATCCATTTTCACGTATAGTTACTGGACAAGAACAACAACAACAACAACCTCTACAACAACCTATACAAGTTCAAAGTACTAATCCTTTTGCTAATTCACGTTTTGCATCTACAAGTTCAACTACTGCATATACATTTGATAAAGGACAACAACAACAATCACAAACAGCACCTGAAAAACCAATACAAGCAAATTCAACAGGTAATAATCCATTTAAAGTATCACAAACTACAAAACAATTATTTAATGATTATTCTAGACAACAACAACAACAACAACAACAAAATCAAAATCAACAATTAAAACCTCAACCAACAGCTGGTGGATTAGAGAATTTTTATACAATTCCAGTATTTCCTGAAACTCAAAGACAAGCTGAAAAGCAACAATATTTTAATAATGCACAAAATGGTTTATATCAACAAACTACTGGTTATTTGAATCAACAACAATACAACCCAAATCTTCAATACAACCCAAATCTTCAATATCAACAATATCAACAATATCAACAACTGCAACCTAATCAACAACCACAATATACAGCTTATGATGGACCAAGTTTGATTTAAAACAATACATTAATATATTAATTCTATAGATAACATTATTATACACACTTAATTACAAATTATAAATTATTAATTGTCAATTATTAATTATTGATTATTAATTATTCCATACCAAATTTCCAAATTTCTTCATTATAATTATCTGTTAAACTTTTATCTAGACCATAATCTTGTTGCCATTTACTAAAACCACCTTTTAGCACGAAAACATCAATATTATTCGCGTGCTCTTTAATTTCCAATTGATTTATTTCTTCAATACCTCTTAAAAATTTTAAAGTTGCAGATGGGCCTCTAGATTGAGATAACATACAATGAAACACAACAACTTTTATATTATCATCATATAATTTTTTATATAAATTTGGTAAAAAATCATAAAATGTATTTGATGGTAAATTAATCGAATTTTTAATATGACCACCAATATAATCAGAATCTCTAACATCGATGACTAAAAATTTACCACTTGGAGATAAACCATTTTGGATCCAATTTTTCAATGTTTTACGTGATATAAACCTTAAATCAGAGAATGAATATATTTTCGTCATACTAAACTAACTAATACAATGTAGTGCGATAACTGTGTAGTGCAATAACTATGTAATGTAATAACAATTGGTGCTATAACTATGTATTGTAGTAACAATTGGTGATATATATATATATATATAGATTGGTTTGCGCTTAATTATCATTTGATTTTGATTTTGATTTTCTGCACTAAAGAATTTTCAATCTCATTTTTACAACAGGTAAGTATTATTATTATTATTATAGCATAGCATATTAAATTAATATTAAATGGTGGTTAATAAAACTGATTCAAATGGTCTGAACTTAGCTGCTGATAATTCATTATCAAGAACTTTATCAATGGATTCCATTAGTTCTTTATTTAAAAGGAAAAATAAAAAGAGAAAATTAGATGAAGAAGATCAAGAGTCTATAGATTCAAATTTAATTGAAGAAGAACAAGAAAAGACTAAAAAATTGGATTCTAAAAAGAGAAAAATATTAGATAAACAAAAGGAAGAATTTGAAGGTAATGAAAAAAAATTAGATGAACAATTACCACCCGAATTAAGAAAATTTAGACCAAGAGGTTATAAATTTAATTTACCGCCTACTGATAAACCAATTAGAATTTATGCAGATGGGGTATTTGATTTGTTTCATCTTGGTCATATGAAACAATTAGAACAAGCCAAAAAATCATTTGAAAATGTTGAATTAGTTTGTGGTGTACCTTCAGATATTGAAACTCATAAAAGAAAAGGTTTAACAGTATTAACAGATGAACAAAGATGTGAAACTTTAAAACATTGTAAATGGGTTGATGAAGTTATACCAAATGCACCATGGTGTGTTACACCCGAATTTTTAAAGGAACATAATATAGATTATGTTGCTCATGATGATTTACCTTATGCAAGTTCTGATTCTGATGATATTTATAAACCAATTAAACAAGAAGGGAAATTCCTTACTACTCAACGTACCGAAGGTATCTCTACTTCTGATATTATATCCAAAATAATTAGAGATTATGATAAATATTTAATGAGAAATTTTGCAAGAGGTGCAACAAGAAAAGAATTAAATGTTTCATGGTTGAAAAAGAATGAATTAGATTTTAAAAAACATATACAAGATTTTAGAACTTATTGGATGAAAAATAAAATTAATTTAAATAATGTTTCCAAAGATTTATATTTTGAAATTAGAGAATTTATGAGAGGTAAAAAATTTGATTTACAACATTTAATTGAATTACAAAATAATCAAAATAATCAAAAGTTCTTATTAAATGATGATAAAGATGAAGAGAATAAATCTCCATTAACTGAATTTGCTTCAAAATATATTGGAAATGCAAATAAAGAATTAAATAATGCAGGTAAAGCTATATTTGCTAATGTAAGAGAATGGATAAGTGGTCAAACAAGTGATGAAGAAGAAGAAGAAGGAGAGGAAGAAGAAATTGAACCAATAGTTATAAAACATCCTGTAAGAAGAGCAAGAAGATCAAGTATTCCAAGTAATGCAACAACACCAATTAAATCAATTCCAGGTTTAAGACAAAGAAAAATTATAACTCCAAAAGGAACATCTATTAAAAGATCAACTAAATCAACACCACCAACAACAAAGAAGACAAAATAATTAAAGTTTTGTACTATAGATTAGTAAAAACAAAACAATTCTAATGAAAATAAATATATTTAATGCAATTGGTAGCCTTTTTATTCTCTAAAAATTTATCAAATTTATCAAATCTATTTCTATCTATATTGTTGCAATGTCAAAAGAGTTGGTGGAGACTGTACAATTTAAAACTACTGATGATTATCATTTAACTATAATAGATCAATTAAAAGAACAACTAAAATTACAGCAAGAAGATTTACTACTTCAACAAAAGGAATTATTTTCTCAACTGAATCATATTCCAAATCAATCAATTTCAAATAACAATTGGAGTTTCACCCAGGGTTTAATAATTGGTCAATTATCTGTAATATTAATTATAACTATATTTATTAAATTTTTTGTATTTGCTGATGCAAATAGTATATCTAATTCAATTGAAAAGGATACTTCCAATATAATAGTCAAAAGGGAAAAAGATAAAATAAAACCTAATAATGAAGAAGATGTATTAAATGATGAAGAGTTAAAAATTCAACAAAATAAACTTAAAATTCAATCCATTCTTGAGAAATGTTATTATGATGTGCATAATCATTCACCAGAATCGTTAGATTGGTTTAATGTTTTAGTGGCCCAAACTATGTCTCAATTAAGAACTGAAGCTTTATTAAGTGATAATATCTACCATTCATTAAATAATTTTCTTGAATCTACCGCAATGCCTGATTTTATGGATAAAATAAATATAACAGAAATAGATATTGGTGATGATTTCCCCATTTTTTCAAATTGTAGGATAAAACATTCAAAAGATAAACTGGAAGGACGTTTGGAAGCAAAAATTGATGTTGATTTAAGTGATACCTTAAGTTTAGGAATCAATACTAAAATATTATTAAATCATCCAAGACCATTAACTGCAATATTACCTGTTAGTTTAAATGTTTCAATTATTAGATTTTCTGGTTGTTTAACAGTTAGTTTAATCAATACAAATGATCAAGAATTTATAGATTTAAAAAATAATAATAAGAATAATGAAAAAGATCAACAAGGGACTGCATTAATGTTTTCATTCTCACCTGATTATAGATTAGAATTTGTAATTAAATCATTAATCGGTTCAAGAGCAAAATTACAAGATGTTCCAAAGATAAGTTCAATTATTGAAAATAAATTAAGAACTTGGTTTATTGAAAGATGTGTAGAGCCACGATTTCAAGTTGTTCAATTACCTTCAATATGGCCAAGAACAAAAAATACAAGAGAACCAATAACAAAAGATGAAAATGTAAATAGTTAATACTAGATATGTAACTTAATAAACCGAAACGAAAATAAATGATTGACTCATTTCAAAGACGAAATTAAAAAGGTATTGAACAATTGATCTAAATTATTAAAATTGATAAAGCTGCAAAGATCATAGTCATGATACTAAATTGATTTTGATTTGAGCCAGCTTCCAATAAAACAGCAGGTGGTACTGATGAATAATCTTCTGTGGTTGAATATTCGATACTTGGCTCTTCTGTACTATAGATTTCTTCTGAGCTAACTTCAGTAATTGTTGAGAAGATGGTTGACGTGATCGTATAATCACTTTCATAAATGATATCTCCATATTGTTTAATTGTGACAGTAGATGTAACTAACTCAGCACTTTCATAAATCGATTCATCTTCTGTATAAACTTTAACGATTTCAGTGGTGAAAGTGGTTGTATAAACTGTTCCTTCTTCAATAGTTTTGTAAACTTTTTCATCTGGTTTGGTACTTTCATCTGGCTTTGATTTGACAATAACTGTTGTAGTTTTGGCTTTTTCGTAATCAACTAAATGTTCAGTGCCTGTAGCAGCTTCAGATTCAATTGATTTTGAATGAGTTGGTTCTGATTTATCTACTGTTACTGTAGTGGACTTCTTGATTATTTCTTTAGTTTTAGTTTTAGTTGATTCTGGTTTTTCAGTTTCGGTTGCAATTTCTTCAGATATAGGACCTTCATAAACTGAATATTTTGGATTACTTGATAAACTTGTTGACCAAACTTTCTCTGAATTGACGATTGTTTCTATTATTTCCTCACTATAAGTAGATGGTTCAGCAGCAAGTGAAGTTGATAAAGTAGTATTTGATCCAGGATTACTTAATTCACTTGATGTTTCAGCAGCAAGTGAAGTTGATAAATTAGTATTTGATCCAGGATTATTTAATTCACTTGATGGTTCAGCAGCAAGTGAAGTTGATAAAGTAGTATTTGATCCAGGATTATTTAATTCACTGTTTGATGTTTCAATAGTTTCAATAAAATTAGCTGTTGATGTGATTGATTCAATAAAATTAGCTGTGGATGTAACGAATTCAATGAATTCAGCTGTGGATGTAATCGATTCAATGAATTCAGCTGTGGATGTAACCGATTCAATGAATTCAGCCGTGGAAGTTATAGTCTCAATAAATTCAGCGGTTGTCGTGACTGTTTCAATTATCTCAGTTGTGAAACTCAATGTTTCAACCTCTGTAATTGTTTCTCCAATAGTCAAAGTAGTGAAAATTTCTTCGGTGTAAGTATTAAACACTGTGCTTGTGATTTCATCCAAATAGACACTTGTCAAGATGACTTGTTCAATCACTCCACTAAAAGTAGATGGTTCAGCAGCTAATGAAAATGATACATTGAGAGATTCAGTAATTGGAATGGTTGTTGTAATTTCTTCAGTAATTATTTCAGTGAATGTACTTGTAATCACATCTACAACTTCTTCAAAAACAGTAGATAAAATAGTTTCTACTTGAGTTTCATAAACTGTGTTTGTCAATTCTGTTGTAGTATCAATTTGAAACGTTTCTGTAACATCAGTAGTAATTACATTTGTTGAAGTTGATAATAATTCAGTAACTGCGTTAATTGTTTGAGTTGATGTAACTTCTGTCAAAACTGTATCCACAAATGTGCTATAAATTGTCAACGTTGGATTTTCAATAATGGTACTGACTTCTGTAATATATAAAGTTTCAGTATATGGTTCCAAAACTTCAATGGTGCTTGTTACTGTGTTTACAATTTCTTCATTAACTACATCAGTATGTGTTGTAGTTACTTCTGTTATAATTTCCAGTGTTGAGGTGACAAAAACTTCATCAATATGAGTTGTAAAAAATGTGCTAACAGCTTCTGTTGTTCTTGTGATTGTAATTTCTTCAATACTTGTCAGGGTGGTTAATTGAACATCATAATTTGTAATAAAACTAGTTAAATAAGAAGTAGCAGTATTAAATAAAACAATAACTGATTCTGAAGTTAATGTGTTAACCAACATAGTAGTGATATCTTCAGTAATCATATTATATTCTGTTTCATACAGGTAATCTGTTGAAGTATGAGTTGAGACTGTGGTAATAATCTCAGTAGTTGTAGTTTGAGTTGTGACTAATATTGAACTAGTCGAAGGTTCAGCAGCAATTGAAGTAGAACTTGTAGATGGTTCAGCAGCAAGCGAAGTGGAGCTAGAGCTTTCACAATCTGGAGCTCTCCAACACCAATTTGAAATCAATTTATCATCTGAACCTTTATCAGCTTTTTTAATTGTTCTTTTATTTAATGCATCACCAACATCTTCAACAAAATATTTAAAAACAGTATTATATTTCCAATTATGATTTACAACACCTGGATATAAATCATAACTAAAATGAAAATCTTCAGGTAAACAATACCAACCATCATCATATTCCGTGGCTCCAATTAAAATAGTTGCGCTATAATCAAAAATTGAATTAAATGGACCATCATGTTGTCCTTTTGAAATGGTATAATGATCAAAATAATCATGACCTAAATTATCAATATTAACATCAAGTGATGTATAATGACCATCATGTTCTAATAAGGAATCCAAAGTATCTGGATTAGTAACTGATTTGAATTGAAATACAATTTTGAATATATTATCATTTCCCACATAATTAACATTTGTAACTGCCCAATTTACATCTGGTGTTCCATAATTAGTTGTTCTTTTGTTCGTACCAACTTGAATTTCTTTAATTTTATACAATTGTGGTTGACCATTACAATTTAATGGAGTTGTTGTCCAATCTGAGGCTAAATCAACATGATATGCTTTGGAATTTGTAGATGACGAAACCTTTACAGTAGCTAATACAACATCAATTGATGAAAATAGAGCAAAAATGGACCAAATATTTAATAAATTCATATTAATTTTCATTATTGAACCTGCAATTATGGTGACTCATGATAAATCATGTTGTATTTATACATGGTACTCGAAATTTCTTGAATAATATCATTGAAATCAAAGTGCCGAATTTGAAATCTTCATGAAAATTTTTAAAATTAAACTCTGTTCTTAAAAGGGTGCGGTGTAACCAAGAATTTTTTAAAGTTCGTGGACTCACGGGTCCAACTGTTAACAGGGTGCTAAGCGAAATTTAGTGCGCATTATAATTTTTTACGAAAACTAAATTTAAGCGCTTGTGCATATGATATTTTGCTACCAAATTAAACTCAATTAATTCAACCATAAATAACTGTCAGTCAAAGAACCAAGTAAGGAACCGAGTAGATTAGCAATAAATTTTTGATTATACAATACGGTTTCTCTATAGGGTTCGCAAATTAGGCTTTTAACCAAGATTACTCCTCTCGTAAACTTTAATTATAATTCTAGAACAATGAATTACTCAAAGAGGTAATCAATAGCCCAAAAATGTCTTTAACGTAATTAAAGTTTTCTATCTGATTGCATATAACTGGATGAAGAAATTTGTAAAATCAATAACATTTACTTGAAGCTTGACAAATTGACCTAATTCAATGAAAATATTATAAATTATTTCGTGATGTTGAAAGAATTTACAACGCCCTACCGAAAGTCAAGACAAAAATGAGAAATTTCTATATTATGGGCGACTAAATAATATCAAAACGCTTAAGAAAGCTCAAGTTTAGAAGATTTGCCTGTTGAAAATATGATTTTCCAGCTGTTAAACACCTCGGTTGCTGGTTTTCTTGCTCAAGTCTTACATTATATCTAAGTATGTCTTGATCAAAAAGACTTATGATTTACTGCCTTGATTTTCAAGTTTGTACATGAATAAGATGTGTCTGTCTTAGTTCAATGGAATCCTACTCGAGAGAAGCTTTTTCACTTCACGTATTTTTAACTTCACGTATTTAAACAATCGCATATGATTTTTCTAGATACCCAAGTATTGAGTTGTTTATTTGTTTATAAACGCGAACTTGAATGAAAGACATAGAAGTATAAAACTCATCTCATGGTGATGCTTCGGTTCCGATTTGTTGATTACGTAATTGGCCTAAGCTTTCTTTTAATTTTTATTTTTTTTTTTTCGTTTAAAAATTATTTCCATCGATTTGAATCAAAGTTCAAGAATATATTTAGATTTCGGATCATATAATAAATTATATTATGGATTCAAATATAATTTTAGAATGCTTTACAGGAACGTTGCAAAATGATCCAATTTTAAGAAATCAATCTGAAAATAAACTAAAAGAATTATCAGGTTTAAAAGGATTTTTAAGTGCCTGTCTAAATATAATTGAAGATGAATCAACACCAATTCATGCCAAAAAAGCTAGTGCTGTGTTTTTCAAAAATAGAATTATTAGATTCTGGACCTCAAAAGATCATTCAATTTATAGAATTGAAAAAGATGAGAAAACTTTGGTCAAAAATAGAATTATAAATGTTTTAATAGTTAGTGATTATAACATTAAACAACAATTGATTCCTGTTTTAAGATTATTAATTGCAATTGAGTTTGATAAATGGGATGGTATTCTTGAGCAAACTGGAAATTTATTACAGCAACATGATGAAGAAACATTGTATACTGGTATGTTATGTTTTTCTGAAATTACTAGAAAATTTAAATGGTCAGATAATATAAGTAGAAAAGAAAGATTATATCCGATTATAGAACAAGCGTTTCCGTATTTATTAAATGTTGGAGAAACAATTTTGTCTGAAGATATTAATGAGCTCAGGGCCGAAATCTTAAAATTAATTTTAAAATGTTATAAATTTGTTACATATTATGATTTGCCAGAACCTTTAAGAGTTAAGGAACAAGTTTTAAATTGGTGTAAATTACATTCACTGGTTATGAATTTAAAACCACCATCGTATATTTTATCACCAAATTTGTCAGAACAAGAAAAGTGTTTCTTTCAAATTAGTAAATGTTATAAATGGTCAATTGCAAATATTTACAGATTATTTTCACGTTATGCATCAGGTGCTGCTCAATTGAGTAAAAAATTTAATTATAATGAATTTAGAGAAGTATTTGGTAAAGAAATTATACCACATTTTATAAGTCAATATTTACAAATAATTGAACAATTCTGTAAAAATGAAAGATGGTTATGTATGACAAGTTTATATCAATTAATTGAATTTCTTGATCAATGTTTAAATGATAAATCAACTTGGTTAATTATAAAACCTTATTTTGAAACAATTGTTTCACATTTTATTTATCCAACAGTTATACCAAATGATCGATATTTAGAAATCTATGAAGAAGATCCTCAAGAGTATATTAATTTAGTTTTTAATCAAGGCGAAGAAACTTTAGAAGGTTCAGCATTAGTTTTTATTCAAACAGCATTATATAAAAGACCAAAAACATGTCTTGAACCAATAACGTCATTTTTATTTAATAAATTAACTGAATTATGCAATTTACAAGAAGATCTAGAGGTAGCAAAAAAGAAAGAAGGTGCTTTAAGAATTTTAGGTGCAATAAATAGTAATTTACCAAAAGATTTGATGATTGAACCAATGTTATCATCATTAGTAATACCCAACTTAAATTCAAAATTTGATTTTTTAAAAGCAAGAGCTATTGAAGTGGTTAGTGAATTTTCTGAAGTTAATTTTAATTCAGAAAGTTTGTCTGTTATAATTCATGGTATTTTGAAAAGTTTTGATACTGTTGATTGTAGTTTACCTGTTCAATTTGAAAGTGCATTGGCTATTCAAGCATTTATTAATAATGGTGATTTTAAACAAGTTTTATCAAATATTGTATTACAAGTTATGTCCAAATTATTAGAATTATCACACGAAATAGATAATGATGCGATTTCAGCTGTTATGCAAGAGTGTGTTGAAAATTTCAGTGAACAATTACAACCTTTTGGAGTTGATTTAATGACTAAATTAGTATCACAATTTATGAGATTAGCTGTTGAAATTAATGATGCGTCTCAAGTTGATATTGATGAATTCGATGGAAATTATGAAGATCAAGGAGACAAATCAATGGCAGCTATTGGATTTTTAAACACCATGATTACAGTTTTATTATCATTTGAAAATTCAGTTGAAATATGTATGAAATTAGAAGAAATCTTTTCTCAAGTTATAAAATATGTTTTTGTTAATCAATTAGATGAATTCTTTGCTGAAGTTGGAGAATTAATTGAAAATTCTACATTTTTATTAAGAACAATTACACCAATAATGTGGTCAAATTTTGAATTATTATATCAATCATTTGAAATTGGAGCAGCAGCAATGTATCTAGAAGAATTATTACCAAGTTTACAAAACTTGTTAATATTTGGTGAGCCAAATCAACAACAAATTCAACAATTCAATAAAATATTTGAAATTACGACTAGTGAAGTAGGTGAAGATGTTGGATATAATGATTTACTTTCATCATTCGAATATGCACAAACATTTATTTTAAGTTTGAAAGAACAATCAGTACCATACCTTTCAAACATTATAAGAATTGTGTTAAAAAATTACTCAATTGGTGATAAAAAAGAAACTAGAAATTCTTTTGTTATAAACTGCAATAATGTAATTATTTCATCATTAATTTATGATCCAAATAATGTATTACAAATCATTACAAATTCAGGATTTGCTACAAAATTTTTATCAAGATGGTTTGAAATTATATCTATATTGGAAAGAGTATATGATCTTAAATTATCAGCACAAGGAGTAATGACATTATTAACATTGGAATTTGATGAATCAACAACCATACAATTGTTTAAAAACTTGTTAATACTTTTAAAGAACTTACCAAGTGCTATTGAGAAATTGGAAAATAAAAGGAAGAACTTTAATGAAGCAATACCTGTTAATGAATGGGTAGATGATGAAGGAGATGAAAATGATCCCCAAATAATCATCACAAAGGAAGATCGAGAGAAATGGGAAGATGCGCATACAGGTGATAATGATGCACTTGATCAATATAAAAACTATTTACACTTAGAAGAAGAAAAATTAAAGAACTCAGAGTTTTTTGATGATGATGAATATGTTTTTGAAGATCCATTAGTTACAACTCCACTAGATTCATTAAATATTTTTCAACTTTTCAAACAATTCATTAATGAATCACCAAAATCTCAAACTTTAGTGTCTACATTAAATGACAATGATAAAAAATTTATAGTAGATTTAATGACCATTGCATAATAAATATATATATATTTATATCTAGATTCTATTTTACTCTAATAATTGCTTCAACTTACCTTGCGCATTCAAAGCTTGTAAATCTGAGTTACCACCTACATGTTTTTGATTTATAAAAATGTTAGGTACTGTATTTTGTCCAGTTTTTTCATATAAACCTCTTTGAATTAATGAACCTTTATTTAATAAATTTAATTCAACAACTTTAACATTTGGAACTTTCAAATTTTCAAATAAAGATTTTGTTGAGCTACAATAAGGACAATAGGTTTTTGAATAAACAACAACTTTATTGGAATTTACAGTATGATCTATATCAGTTTTAATTTCGATTGGTACTGGTTCAGCTTGAAACCATGATGTAATCCATTCAAACATGTTGGTGATAAGAAAAAGACGATAAAAAAAAAAAAAAAAAAAAAAATAAAAAATTAATTTCAAAGTACCAAATTAAGGAAAACGGTTAAAGATTGAACAAACATTTAAAGTAGGAGTGCTAGTAAAAACTGGTATAGTATATCAATACCTCTATATATTCAATCTTCATTAATGTATTTCTTCGTAATTTAATTTTCCATCATTAGCCAAATTTTCAAGCACTATATTACAATTCGATAAAATATAATCGTAAACATTTCTATTATTATTCAATTTCTTTGTTGTTCTTTTTGGTAAACGCATTATCTCTTGCTTATATCTATCATTATTAAATTTGAAACTAGCATATTCCCTTGAACTCTCATTATCCTCTTCATTATCTTCTTCTTCTTGTTGTTTAATCTTTTTGATTTCACCAGATGGTAATAATTCAAATTGTGATATTTCAAAATCTGCAATACGATCTCTTTTATCTCTATTGTCAATTTGTTTATATGATAAATCTGAATATGCTGATGTAATACAATGCGAATCATCATGATTTAATGACGGAAATTTTATATCTAGTTTAATTTGACCATTGTTAACATCCAACGAATTTATCAAATTTAAAATTTTCTTATTTATAAATTTAATATTCTTTGTAAATGTATTATGTTTCATTAATTGAACAGAATTAAACCAACCAATATTAAAATACTTTTCATTTTGATAATACAAATCATATTTATCCTGAAGTGAAATTGAAACTAAGCTGTATTTTTCAAAATTATCAAAATCAATTTTACTACTTGAGTTTAAACCTTGATTAGGACCTACCAAAACTAAATCTGGTTTAAAGTCAGGATAATATGTGGGTATCAATATATCCAAACTTATTCTTAAGGCATTCATAGGTGATGAGTTTATATACCAGCAGTGTTCATCGAGTGAATCTTGACCATATTGAGTATTTAAAACTGGATCAAAATCTGAATCAAATAATTTAATTACATTTTTAGCTCCCTTATTACTCAAATTTCTTAATTTTTTGAAATATGTTTGATGCACTGGTAATAAATGAGCAAATTCACCACCGTCTCTCACTATTTTTTTTTGGAAATTTGGTAAATCATCCTGGTTATTTTCATATAGGGGAGCCATCAATAATACATTATGATTATTTTCTTTTAAATATGAATATAAAAACCTTATATCTTTTGAAACCCAAGAATCAGTAGTTGTGAGTAAAATATTTAATGAATAAATGGATAGTATGAAATAAACTATTACTATTATTCTCATTATGAAGCTATCAGCTTATTAGTTATTAATTATTAAAGTTGTTTCGTCAAATAAGTAAAGCGCCCGTCTAAAAATATTTCTAAATATGAACTGAAGTAAAATTGAAGTATTAAACTAATATCAAACTAGTTTGAATTGATTAAAAAAAGTGATACTGAAAATGATATAATTTACCAAAAGTCTTCTGAACGATTCCATTGTATTGTGTTTATATAGTTTATTATTTGAAACGTGGGTATTCATTTTTTTACATTGATCTTCTTTACTTCATATGCACGATGGACTATTTTTTTTTTTTTTTTTTTTTTTTTTTATTTTTTTTTAAACATTTTGCAACCATTTCTATTTTAATTACTAGTGTGACAAATGGTTTAAATTATGGTTGCAAACTAGTATATCTTTCTAATCCGACTTTAGTTTAGTCGTTATGATAGGCTACAATTATTATAATAGTGCTCCAAGAAATTTGCTCACTTTAAGGCATAAATTTTATACATTATGATTGAATTTTATTTTTCTTATTACTTTCTTATAATTCCATTGTATTTAAGAGTTAGTTAAGAGTTAGGTAATAAGGGGCACTGGTCTAGATAAAAAAAAATGGATCTCTGAAATGATATTTAATGTACAGTCGAACATGTATTGTTTTTAGTTTGCGGATATAATAGTAACAATTTACCAAATTAAATTAGTTTACGGATATAATAGTAACAATTTACCAAATTAAATCTTTTCAATATCTTTATTTACATTAATTATAAATTTATAAAGCTAAAACTTTTCTTGAAGCTCTCATGACAACTTCAGTATCTGGGAAAGCAAAATCTTCCAATTCTTTAGCATATGGAGTTGGAACTTCACAACCAGTAACTCTTTCAACTGGAGCATCTAAATAATCAAAAGCTTCTGATTCCATAATTTGAGCACAAATTTCAGAACCAACACCAAATGCTGGGAAACCATTTTCAACAGTAATTAAATGATTAGTTTTTTTAACAGATTCAACAATAGTTGGAACATCTAATGGTTTAATTGATCTTAAATTAATAACTTCGGCTGAAACGCCATATTCTTTTTCTAATTTTTCAGCAGCTTCAACACAAAATTTAACAGCTCTTGAATGACCAACAATTGTTAGATCTTTACCTTCTCTTTCAATATTAGCTTTACCAATTGGTAAAACAAAATCTGAACTTAAAGCTTCTTCACTCATTGGGAATGATTCACCATAAGCAATTTCATTTTCTAAAAATACAACAGGATTTGGATCTTTAATAGCTGCTTTTAATAAACCTTTATAATCTTCTGCTGAATATGGTGATAAAACTTTTAAACCTGGAATTGCACCATACCATGCTGCATAACATTGAGAATGTTGAGCTGCAACACCAGCTGCTGCACCATTTGGACCTCTAAATGTAATATTACATGGTTGAGTACCACCTGACATATAATAAGTTTTTGCAGCTGAATTTAAAATATGATCAATTGCTTGCATGGCAAAATTAAAAGTCATAAATTCTAAAACTGGTTTTAAACCATGTAAAGCAGCACCAACAGCTAAACCAGTAAAACCCATTTCAGTAATTGGTGTATCAATAACTCTTCTTTCACCAAATCTATCTAATAAACCTCTACTTACTTTATAAGCACCATTATATTGACCAACTTCTTCACCCATTAAAAATACTGAATCGTCAGCATCTAATTCTTCTGCTAATGCGGAATTTAATGCATCTCTAATTGTCATTTCTTGTGGTCCTGATTTGGAATTGTTAAAACGTGAACTCATTAAAGATTGTGACCCTAATATAGTATTCATTCTCATTGATTGATAATGACTTATTGATGATGAAGATTTTATACATTGTTTACCTGATTGATATTTCAAAGCTTGAGCTGCTAATTGAGCTGTTTTTGCAACTGATGATGGAGCCATTCTTCTATATTGAAATATCAATTATGAAAAGATGAAACTTCAATGAAAAGGGTTTTATTCGGAATAGTAATAAAAATTAATTGACTTTAATTAATTTGTTTTTGATTAATTGGGAGTGGAGAAAATTAATTTTTTGTTGTTTGTCGGAGTGTTTGTTGTTTGTTGATGATTTTCAATCTTCAATATAAAAATGTTCTAAATTTATTCGTTAATTGTAAGATGAAGAAGAACAAGGTTATATTATGTAATATTCACTACTAACAATTATCTCATATTTTACTATGAGGAAAACATCAATCCGATTTTTTTTTAGTCTTCGGTGTCAAAATTTTTAACATGGCTGGAGGTTCAAGTCCGAATCTTTCACTGCTGCTACCAAATGCGATTTCATAACTAAGATAATTGAAATCAATGTATTTGTTTCGATTAGTTTCGAGAATTGATGTTCAATAACCCTGGTTGGCATTGAATTATCTCCTAGATTAAACTGACAACAGAATTACAAATAGATTCTTGCGTTAATGTTTAATCAATCAATTATTCCAACGATGGCCATCCCGCTCCGGAATGGGCTTATATTTAGTACCAATGTTTTTCTTTTCGCGTAAAGTTGGCACTAAAAAAATTGGTCCCGGAAAATATTCAAAAGAATTGTCACGACATTAAATTTTTATGGCACAGACGAATAAAAGCGAATTTTCACTTATATGCAGTGTTATAGTAACAAATCTCAAAATTTGAATCGTAGAAAAGAATAGAGCGAAAAAATACTTTGTTGGTATTAAAATAAGGCGGGTTACACTACAAAAACTATAATCTGAAAAAAACTATAATCTGAAACAAATAGGCTTATATGCAGACTGTTCATAATTAATCTTGAAACTCGAATCGTGAATATATCCCTCAGTACCAGAGCTAAAATTCTCCATTTTTTTTTCCTCAAATACTTAATTGTCCTAGAATAAGCCGATGTTAGTTTCCTAAAAAAAAACGTAATTTTGATTACTTTATTCTTCATTTAAAACGTGAAAAAAAAACGCAATTTTGCGTGATAATTAATACCTAGTCCTTATTTTATAACTTCTAATATAGCTGATTTGATTCATCCAATCCCAAGGATCTTTAGCATATTGTTTTCAATACATGGGAAATGTTTTCAATACATGGGAAATGGTTTCAAATTTCCTATGTATGGTTTGAAAATTTGCAAAAATTGGAATCACTTTTGAAAATTAATTCTCGAATTTTGAACGCCTTGGCACAGTAAATCTTAAGATTTACAGGAACTACAAATTCTGATACTTTCGTTATATTCTCATCTCGATTTCGATTGTGAAGCTAGGTTTTTTTGTAAGGTCAAATTATTCGAATTATCCCATACTAGAAAATTTTGAAATTTTGAAATTTTCATTCAGATCTAATAGTAACAAGTCCAGGACATTAGTTCGAGGTGTAGTATATATAATCCGTCGTTTAATTGAAAATTATGGCCCTAAATTTAAGCGATTTCTCCAATTAGATTTCTTGGAAAATTTTTGTATGGTGAAAAATGCCAAAAATTCAACTGAAAAATAAAAAAAAGTTTGAATGTTGAGGTTTGAAGTACGTAGGATGTATAACTCAAGGGTCCTGATTTTACATAACTGGCACTTATCGTAAGGGAATGTGTTGTTCCTGACATATTAGCTTATGAGTTTATGACGAGTCGCCCTAATAGTAGCGCGATTTATTTTTGTCGCACCCGATCATTTCTTTAAAATATGGGAAGATAGATGTTAGTGAAACCTTGTTCTTATCACTCAATTAAATTCTAAGTTTCAGTGTGTTAACCTCCAGATGATTCAATTTATTAATTCAAATAGATTTGCAAGTACTTGGAAACATGTGTATCTGACACACAACTTGGTAGCTTTGACCTGGGTTGTGTCGGAACTTTTAATTAGTTCGCTACTATTATCCCCGAGACAACCCCTCCTTTATTTTTAGTAATACCAACAATTTTATTGATAAGTAAAACACATAAAAGATTAGCAAACGGTTTCCAACAAAATCTTAAACGAGATCTTTCGCAAAATTGGGGTCATAAGTTTTAGACTATAAATACTGTATATTTTGTTGATGTTACAATCAATTAAATTATCATTCGTTATTATTTTTTCGTTTAAAATCATCATCATAATATTTGGTTGCAATTTAATTAAAGATAACAAATTATCAAATTTATCATGATTAAGATTATACGTTCATCAAACATTAGACATTTTAAGCAATTCAAACCAATTATAAGGTTTAATTCTCAAGCTTCAGCTAATTTTCATAAACCAGATAAAGCTGGGTCAAATCAACCAGCCGAAGCAGCAGATGCAGCAGCTACTATATTGGCAGATTTACGTGATAAACAAATAAATCCTAATAAATCTACATGGATTGATGCATTAAAAGAACAAGAACGTTTGATTAAAGAAGGTAAAACAATTGATTCATTTAATTATGTTGATCCAGTTACTACCGAAGTTGGAGAAAAGACAAGATCTGATTCATTTACATTTTTAGAATTACCATTTAAAAAAGATAAATGGTTGTGTGATGCTTATATAAATGCTTTTGGTAGATTAAGAGCTGGTCAATTATTTCAAGATTTAGATGCATTAGCTGGGAGAATTGCTTATAGACATTGTTCACCAGCCGAACCAGTTAATGTTACAGCTAGTGTTGATAGAATATATATGGTTAAAAAAGTTGATGAAATTGAAAAATATAATTTTATTTTAGCTGGTGCTGTTTCATGGACTGGTAGATCATCAATGGAAATAGATGTTAAAGGTTATGCATTTGATAATGAAAATGATTATGATCCTGAAAATATTACAGAAGATTCATTACCAGAACAAAATGTGTTTTTAACTGCAAATTTTACGTTTGTTGCAAGAAATCCAATTACTCATAAATCTTTTGCTATAAATAGATTGTTACCAATTACTGAAATAGATTGGATTAATTATAGAAGAGCAGAAAGTCATAATGCTAAAAAGAAATTATTAGCAAAAAATAAAAAAATTATGGAACCAACTTCAGAAGAATCAAAATTAATTTATGAAATGTGGAAACTGAGTAAAACAATTTTAAGTGGTGAAAATGATCAAAATAAAAATGTTGAAGGTTTTCAATTTATGAAAAATACAATGCAAAAATCAACTTTATTTATGCAACCACAATATAGAAATAGACATTCATACATGATTTTTGGTGGTTATTTATTAAGACAATCTTTTGAATTAGCTTATTGTACAGCCGCAAGTTTCTCATCTGCTGGTCCAAGATTTGTTAGTTTAGATTCAACAACTTTCAAAAACCCAGTACCTGTTGGTTCGGTATTAAGTATGAATTCATCAATATCATATACTGAACATTTACATGATTCAAATGAAAATCATGATGCTGATTCTCCTTTTGATTTTAGATTACCTGCAACAAATAAAATTTCAGGTAACCCAGATGCATTTTTATCAGAACCAGGTACTTTAATTCAAGTTAAAGTTGATACTTTTATTCAACATTTGGAAAGTTCACAAAAAAAACCTGCAGGTACGTTTATCTATTCATTCTTTGTACCTAGGGATTCATATGGTTCAAATAGACCTGGTTATTGTTCAGTTATACCTCAAACTTATTCAGAAATGATGACATATATAGGTGGTAGAAGAAGAGCTCAAGATACTGCTTTGTATGTAGAAACATTACCAAAAATTAAGTCATAAAAAATATATATTACAAATGTACAAAGCATAAACAAAAGAATCCATTAATTAATTAAACGAACTGAATAAGAAAATCAATCAAACAAACTAACACCAGTAAAAACCAAAAGCAAAACTTTTTTTCTATTAATCACTATCATCATGAATAGTTGCAGATTCTTCTTTGTGATGATAATCAGGTTCATGTGCACTTTCTCTCAAACTTGCCTTTCTTGTAAAATCGACCAATTTAGCCAATTTATCAATATTGATATTATTTTTAGCAGTTGCTGATTCATCATATCTAAATTTTCCTGAATTTTGTGAACCAATTGATAAATTTGAAAAATTCAATTGTGAATTCATAACTTGATTTTTAGGAGTTTCTTCAGCATTTGATAATACATTTAATTCATCATGTTCACTTGAAGAATTTGATGGTGTATGTTCATTAAATTTTGATAATAAATTACTTATACTTCCGTTTGTTTCGTCTCTTTGTTGATGATGTTCTTCTGGAACTATATCTAAGTTTGATAATGTTTGTGAATTATGTTTAAGGTCAACTATATTTCCTTCACTATCTAATCTTTGAATATTGTAAGTTGAATCGTCTCTTTTTAACATTCCATTTATTGAATTTGAGCTTAATAACTGTGATGATGAATTTGAATTTCTATAACTTTGATCATCAACTAATCTAACTGAAAATAATTGTTCTGTATTAACTGTTGACATTGATGCATCACTTTGTCTTATATGTTTCGATACTTTATCATCTGATTCTGTATTTGCTCTCCATGATTTAACTGGTTGTTGTTGGGCATCATAATAATCATCTTCACTTGATTCCACATGAGTTAATGATGATGTTGAAGATCTTGAATCATTAATTTTATCCAATTTCATTACATTAACACTTGCTGAATCTTCTTTTGGATCAATTGGTAATGCTAAACCATTGTTACTTGTAGTAGTAGCTTCATCATCAAATGATTTCTCTTGATCTTTTTGTTTTCTACGTTTAAGACAACAACAAAGGAATATAAATGCAGCAACGCCAATGACAAATACTGGTATACCAACACCAAGACCAATAGCTAATGCTTTATTTTTTGAACTTCTGGAAACAGGTGCTGAACTTGTGGTGGTGGTAGATGATGTTGTAGTTGATGCTGATGATGTTGAGGTACTACTTGAACTAGTTGCACTTGAGCTGGAACTTGAAGTAAAACTTGTAGTTGTAACCTGGTCGATTCCTCTAATATAAAACAGTTTGGTCTCCTCTTCATCATTTAAATCACCATTTATTTTCACCTCTAATGAATTAAAATCTTTCGGAGTCATACCATATAAGGTCATATTCGATTCATCATAAGTTAACCAATTCGAATCGATATCAACATCAATTTTTGTTTCATTATAATCGGTAAATAAAGATTGTAAAATTTCATATTCAAAAAATTCACCTCTTGTAGCATTAACATCATTTAAGTTTGAAATTGTAAATATCGAATCTAATGAATTAAATGAATAAGGTATCTCAACTTGATTTCCATAAACATCAGCAATTATTATTGAAAAGTTATCAAATGTTGAAGTGTTTGAAAATTGACCAGTTAATGTAATATTATTCAATTGTAAATAATCAGGTAAATCTTCTGAATAAACATTTGAAATATTCCCAGAAGAAATTCGGGTACCGTCAAGATAAACACTTGAATATACTGGAACTTCATCGTCAATTTGTTTTCCATAACTACCATTTACTTTAATAGTTTCATTAATCGAAGTACTTAATTGATGACCACCAACAATAATTTTAAAATCACCTTCAGCACCAGCATAACCATAATAATCACTAGCAATAAAACTAAAACCATATTCATAACTTGGAGCATTTTCACTTGTAACATAAGGAGCTGTACCACTAAATGAATTATTTTCAGAATTAAAAGTGATCCAATTTGGTAATGAAGAACGATCTTGAGATCTTCCATAATATGCAATGATTGGACGATCACTAGAAGAATAACTTTCAAAAATATCGGTATCAAATTTCAAATCAATTTGGTCTCCCGGTTTTACCACTAAACCATTAATGCCATTAGTTTGACCATAATTTGTCAATTGTTGAAAAATTGCGGATTGAGAAGTTAAATATAAACCACTATCATTTGAAACCAACATCGTATAATTATTTATCATTTGAGATTGATCAGTTGAATCGGTACCAATTAAAGTTATTTGAAATTCACCAACATTTTCCTCTTGCGGTTTTCCATAAAAAGTTCTGGACGCTTCATCAAATGATAACCAAGAAGGTAAATTTTCAACTCGATAAGATATTTGACCATTTGAATTTGATTTATAAGTTGTATTTGCAATGGTAAAGGAATAATCTTGATTAATTCTTCCAACATTTGGTAATTGTTCATTTAGGGGGAAACCCATATAAATTGAACATTGTACAACTCTTAAATACAATAGTAGTAGATTAAAGAGAAGAATGTATAACATTATTCAATCTCAATATCTCTTTAAATTTTTAAATCACTTGCTATAAAGTATTATTCCACTTCTTCTTCTTCAATTGGGAAGGTATAAAAAAACTGTCGAAGGGTATTTAAAAAAAGAAAAAAGAATTCAAAAGTTTTCGAAAGGCTTTCTTTGTTTTGTTTGGTTCTTCGTAAAAAAATAATACATTAAACTTTAAACGGTAAATTTATTAACTAACTAGAAAAATTTAGTAAACAACACGATCAATTTTATTATTGTGGAAAAAGGGGTTTCAAAACAGACTTTCCTAATTTGAATAAATTATTTTAACTATATGCAGGTCTTATATTTACGATTTTATACGTGTTGCGAAATAATATATTTTCGCGTTTATGTCATGTGATTGGTCACGTGATCCAATCACATGATTGATATAAGGTTGTACAGGTAAATTATTTACAATTATATATTAAATGTTCCTTCTCTATTCAAATTTTTGCTTTAAATAAACTCTAGGTATAATATAAACTAGTACGATACCAATATAACCAAATATTAAACCAACTAACTTTTCTAAGATTGAATGAAAATAAGTATTTGTCATTAATAACATAAACCACCATAAACTAATTAACGCTATTATTAACAATTGTGGTAATTCCCATAATGCTCGAGAAAATTCTTTGAACGATCTGATTCTAATTATCTCAATAGTATCTCTCCAATTTTCAAAAGTTTCTAAAAATAAATATAATGATGAATGAATTAATAAAAATACATGTCCACTTGGATCATGACCTCCATGCCAATTACCTTTTAATTTCTTACAATGATATGATGTAACAGTAGTACTTGTCCAAATTTCATCTTCAATTGATTTTATAAATGATGAGTGAATTGGTTCTTTTTCAATTACACATTTACCACCAGTTAAAATAAATATCTTATCCATTAAAGGTAAGCCAAAACACCATTGAGTGAAAAAGATCCACCATATTGTTAAAATAATGTATCTTGCAACTGCACCAATAAATACCTGGGGTGGAAATGACTTTCCTTTTGATCTATTTAGTACATTGTTGACGTAAAAATATATTATTATAATTGTAGTCCATCCCCAACCTTTTTTAACAAACAACTGATTGAATATATTCGATTTATCATTATAATAATTATAAATTTCTTCATCAGGCGAGGTATAATGTATAATTCTAGCAATTAAAAAATTGAAAACAAATGATATAATGAATAGAAACTCATATATTGATAGCCTAGATATTTTCTCTATCTTTTTAATGTATTGGTTTAGCATATTAAAATGTTCATCATATTTGTTATCAATTAAAGCAGAAGATGACATTATTATACTACCATTTATTTTTGCCACGATATAGAAAAAATACGGAGAGAGAAATTTATATTATATGCAGTATTCTGATACATATCAATTAATAAATATACAACCTACTTATTTAGTTGAATTATCAACAATCCTACTATCTTGATAAATATTAGCTTCATCAACTTGCATTTTATCAGCTTCTTCATCTTTAGCAACTTTATTTTTTTCAATTTCATCTTTTTCAACTTCTTTCTTTTTTGCTTTTTTAACTTCAACATTAGGTTTAATAATTTCATAAGCAACAACATCTTCTGGAATTTTATGAGCAGCATAAGCATGTAAACTAACCAGTTCTCTATTATTAAATTTCTTTTCACATTGTTTACATTGAAACTTTGCTGGAGTTTTAGGTTTTTGAACACCATTTTTCGATTCAACACCATTATCTTCTTCTGATTTAACAACATTTTTAACAGTTTTCTTCTTACTATTTGATTTCTTAGCCATAACTAATAACTGAAACTAAATTGAATGAACTGAAACTAAAATGAAAAAATAAAGTGTATTAAATTTGAAATTTGAAATTGGATTTTTCATTTCTATTTATACTTTTTTAATTTTTGAAGCGTCTAACAAAATTATTATGGTCTTTGTAGATTTTGTGATCGTTTTCTAAGTGGATCTTGCATGTAGTAGTCGAATCAAAATACCATCCACATGTTAAACATTGATATCTTGGAATTTTAGGCATTGAAACAAATTGTCATAAATTTTATAAATAATTCTAATGTATAATTTATTCATTCTGTTATATTCTTCGTATATTTATAAAAATCATATATCTAATCGATTAGAGTTTAATGTGTTTCAGATTTTAAATTAGTGTGACTTAATTTTTATAAATTGCCTAATTAGTCAGGACAAAAGCGTAAAAATTACACAAAATCAATAATTGTTGGGGTTATGCACAGTAAAAAATTTAAATTTGTTTCAGATTTAAATGCTGACGCGCGATTAAATTTAACCAGTTAATTACTAAATTAATGATTCGAATTAGAATAAGGATCTCGTTAATTTATTTGGAAAAAAGGGGTTTATAAAAGGGGTTTATTTTAATTATAATGATCGTAAATTAATAGATATTTTTTTTTTTTACGTATAACTAATATGCTTTGTTACTTTTCGAGATTTTTTGCAAAAAATTTTAAACTGTGATCATTTTTAGATTCTTCACAATTTACATCGAATTTGATGCTTTTTAAAAAGGTGTTATATTTCTTAATCGAACTAAAACAGATTATAAAGCTTTAATTAAAATCTAAAAAATAAATTAGTGTTAAATACACGTCGTTAGGCTCACTACAAAGTTATCAATTATTTATTTTAGTTTATTATTCCCATTTGCCATATTATTCTCTTCAGGACCAGATTGCTTCTTATGTGGTAGAATAAGAGATAATAATGTTGATCATCATGCTTTCCATTATCTAAGAGATAATTATGTTGACCATCATGCTTTCCATTATCCTGAAACATTGAAAATTTGGAAAAAATACACTAGAGAGGGTCCGATTAACTTCACATATTATTGGAAATTCAAAAATTGAAAAACATCCAGCTCAAAATATTCATTTGTACCTCCAAGAGGTAGTTGGGATACTTCGTGCTCGAAGGCATGAGCTAACTGAAACTTTGGTTAGTTTATTTGCAAGTGTCGGAGAAGGTACATTATTAATATGTCATTATCAATTTACATCTTATTTAACATAATAAATCATGATAAATTCAAATTTTATTTATCTTGACAAGATTATCATATACTCCAATCATTATTACACATTTTTTCATTACTTTATCTCGTTTGGTGTTTTTTTGGTGAGTAGATAAGATGTTCGCGATGCAAATATCATGAAGATTCTCACGGTTATGATGGTTTCAATTTAATGCTTGTAAAAAACTATTTTTTACCACAATCATTTTTCCAATATATGGCTTTAGTTATCAATAGCCGCAGGTAGCTTATATACATATTTGTTTATAGCAGCTAGGTATAGTTGTTTTATAGAATTTATAAATGTCGAATTGTTAAAAAAAAAGGTGCTCGTGTAATTTAAAAAGCATACTATATAAACCCAAAAATTTTCAGCAAACAGGTAAGAGATTTGGCTTATCTGTAATGGTTCCATAGTGTAGTTGGTCATCACATTAGATTTTGATGCTAACACGTTAAAATTCTAGTAACCTGAGTTCGAATCTCGGTGGGACCTTTTAATCTATTCTCTTTCTAGTATGCTATTCGAGTTTTCGATATTTTGTTATTGGTACGGCTATAGTTCCTTGAGTTTATTTTTTGAGGGCGCAAGTATTACTCAATATTGCGTTCAATTTGCAGATCAACAGAATGTTTGCTACTTTCTTTATCGAGTATGGCGTTTTGTATGGCGTTTTAGAGAATTATGTGCTAACTAAATTAATTCCATAGGATAGACACATTATAATAAGCATTCATATTAAATAATAGATGCCTCAACAGGATTCAAGGTATAGTATGCAGAGAACAAAGCATAGTTTGTTACAATGTATTTTCTATGGTTTTAAATTTAATCGTATGTGCGCTGTAATTGAATATATATGGTTATGAAACAAATGAGGGCAAAAAATTGACACAATTGTAAGTAAATCAGTTAAAAATACTGAATTAGGAGATATTTCCTTTCATTCGAATATTAGTGAATTATTTATTGTTCTGTTTTTTTAAAATGGTTGCAAAAAATAATAACCACAATAAAAAACAAACAAGAAGCCACTACTAAAGTTTAGAGTCACACTTCAAGAACCGTTCCAAAATCAAGGGTTGCTTATGAAAACACAATTATAATTCGAATTTAAAATATAAAGTATTGTAACCAGCAATTTAGTTAGTTACTTTCTCCTATTCTATGGTTTTGAACCTAGAATTGAGAGAAGAAATTGAAATCACAGTTTTAATCACAATGTATCAAGGGATATGTATAATTTTTCCACGTTCTCAATAGATTTACATAAGAACAAAAGAAAAAATAGGATTACTAAAAAGCTGAAAACCACTATACTTCCAGGACTAAATCCTCCATCATACTCTTGAATGAGCTCATAACTTCGGTCATCAAAGTTGATTGGTAATTAGAATTAGTCTTAATGTGGCTTTAGTATATTTACGTTTAATTGACCCCACAATAAATAATATGCTTACATTTGACACAAAATCGTTTGATTTAATGGTTTCTTATGGTTTCAAATAGGTTTCAAACAATTTTAACTCAATGGTTTACTTTGTAGCACTGCTTTAGTTGGTAGCTCGTAAGGAAGTTCATTGGTGGAAATTCGAATTAGTCGTTACGCAGTATTTAAACAAAGAAAACGTAGTATTTAAACAAAGAAAACGTATTGTTTTGAAAGAGTAGACAGGAAACAAAAAAATTACGTAATTTGTTGTTCACCACATTCACAGTTGATTATTTCAATTTTAAGGGATGGTCAAAGAGAAGCTGTTACCAACTGACAATTACTATAATTTTGTAAAAACTATATAAAGACGTTGAAAGAAATTTTCAATTTTATCTTTTCATCAACTTCTACAAGTCTATTCTACTAATCAATTACAATAATGAAATTTTCAACTGTCTTAGGTGTCGCTTCAATCTTTGTTACTACTCAAGCTGCTGTTGTTGCTCCAAATGTTGCTGCTAGAGATGATGCAGTTGCAACTCCAACATCAGCAACTTTCCCATGGGTTTCTGAAGTCCCATCAGTCTTAGCTGATGTTTTCAAAGCTTTTAACGAATCAGAATCAGAAATTAACGACTTGGTTCAAGATGCTTTAACTTATTTAAACTTACCATCATCAGGTAACTCAAAAAGAGATGAATCAGTTGATTCAAAAGGTAACCAATTAGGAAGAACTTTATTATCAGTTTATGAAAAACATGGTGTTTCTGCTGATGAAGCTTATGTTGTTTCTGGTGCTGTTGTTGGTGCTTTATATGAAAAGAAAGATATCACTTTACAAGAGGCTGGTGATATTTTGGCTAATGTCATTGTAAAATACAATACCAAAGGTCTTGAAGTATTAGTTCTCATTACTCATTTAGCAAGAGAATGGACAAGAAAAGGTTTAAACATTTCAACTACTGATTTATTCAATGCTATTATTGCTGATGAAAAAGTTCTTATTCCAGGTGCTTCATCGGTTGGCCCATCGTCAATCCCATCAGCTTTATAAGTACATTGAGGATAGTTTTGTTTAACTTGCTAGATGCTAGTTGTTAAGCTATTACAAATATTTAGTCTTTATTTATTGTTTGTGATTAAGTATACAGCTGTTTGGAATTAAATTAACTCTTTAGCTCTACAATGTAATGTTTGAATCACTTCTTTTTTTGCCTTTATACCTGCAATGTTACTTTTGACTTCTAGCTTCCATTTACAGAATAAGTTTTAAGATTATTTAAGGCTGCACATGGATATTTTAAAAATTAGCCCACACGGAACGAAAAGGCAAGGGAACAGTATTTAACTCATTGCCCATTACAGCCTATTCCCGCCAAAACTTCATTAAACGAGATAAAAATATTCTCTCGCCTTAGCTTTGAGGCGACATCGTACTAACTTTAACCCTTTACATATGGTAAATTATGCATTTTCTCGAGATAAACATCCGCTATATGAAACCAGGAGCTTAAATTATATAGGTAACCTTCAGACTTCAACATCCAAATATGTTTTTTTTTTGAGTTGTCATTTTGGCATTTTTTCATCATACAAATATTTTGCAAAAAAAATTCTTTACCTAGGCCCACAGTTCTAATTTAAACAACGAATTGTATAGATTATAACCCAATATAAGCTGCTGGACATGTTTCCGGTTGATTTAATCTAAAATTGGAAAACTCGAAAAAGTTTTCTTAACTATAGTACTAGTGAATAAATTGACCTCACAAAACATCTAACTCCACAATCAAAATTGAAATGAAAGTATAATGAATGTATTAAAATTTGTAGTTCTCTCCACTGATAAACCGTAAATATTTTCATGGGAAGGCATTCAAAATAGAGAAAGTAATTTTTCAAAAAGATGAAATGAAATTTTTGCAAAATCAAACTAATTATAACGCTTTGAAAGCAGTATTCAAAGTTTTTTGGGGATTAAATAAAGCGAATCGGTTATTTTAGAAGTTGTAAAATGAGGTCTAAGAGTTCGTTATTTCTCAATTTGTCGTTTTTTCCGTTCTTTAAATGAGGAATAACCTGATCAAAACTGAATTTTCTTGAGACATACTAAACTCATTGAAATTTAAATTTTCCAAGTCTTCAATGAAAACAATTTGAGAACTAGCTCTTGAAAATTGAGAGGGTTATTCACAAATTAAGTTTTGAGATTAGCTACTACAAGACTGCATATAAGCCAGTTTTTTTAAGTATTTGTCGATAATTCAAAATTCTCGTGCTAGGTTGAGGCGACTATGCGCAAAGACGCTTATATCGCTACCATTTAAAATAGTACTAAAATTTCCAGAGAAAATAACTCATCAACCATCGATTATGCCCAACAATGTTCTATACAAATAATACTCAGAATTGTGTAAATACTCTAATTATTTATCTATGATTTTTGTATGCAATGGAAAAAAGATTTGGGACTGCAAATTTTGGAATATAGCTGTGATACTGTGGTGTGCACAAGAAAAATGTATAGAGTCTGAAATCTCAAATAATTCACTAGTTACTAGTTTTTGAATACGACATCTAGTACAAATGTTGCTCAAATTCAACTGAAGAAATCGATTATCATATTCAAATTGAAATAAGTTGGTCAAAATTAATATTTTGGATACTGAGCTGCTGTCCTATTTCCACTGGGATGAAAAATAATTTTTAATTGAATGAACAACCTAAACATACTCTATGGCTCTCTGTAGTTGGTTGCAAACTTGAAGGAAGGCTCAGTGATTAAATTGATAACTCTTTTGCAATTTGTCGAATCGAAATTTACTAAAGTATTTGTAACTTTACGATCATCATTAAATCAGTAAATGTTGAAGTTTAAAAATTGCAATTATAATTATAGATCGGAATCGGTTGCGTAATAATTAAGAATTGGTTGCAAAATCAACTACAAATTGCCTTGTGTGTTAGGTTTGCATATTAATTGTTTTTGCAGCCAAAAAATATTATGTGTATCGTAATTCTGTGTCATTTCATAATGACAAGAAAATATTGATAATAGATCAAATTCATGAATTACCCCAAATTATACACCAAATTATAAATATCCACTAATTAATAATCGAATTTGTATGGAATTGAGCCCATTTGATCAAATAACATACACCAAATGACGAATTATTGATGCATTACCAAGAAATTAATAGGATACACCATTTTCAAATTTTACTATAAATAAAGCATCAAATTTCCTTTGATTTTCAATTTTTTTTCATTAATATTCCAATGAAATTCATTACTTCAATTACTTTAATTGTTTCTGCTGCTTTAACTTCTGCTGCTGCTATTGAAAAAAGAGAAGCTGGTGGTTATGATGATTATAAACCAACAAAAACTTATGATAACAATTATGATGGAGGATATATTACTACATTTCCAAGTGCTTTTGCATTAGCCGTTAAGGAATATTGTGATAATGATAAATATCATGGTAAACATAAAGGTTATGATACTGATTTAGATTTAGTTTATGAAATTGATGATGGTCAATTAATTTATGATGATTGTCATAAATACAAACCTTATCCAATCGATACTGATTGTGAAACAGATTGTGAAGATAATGATCATAAAAAGAAAAAACATCATCGTAGACCAAATCCAATTGATATTGATGCTGATTGTGACACAGATTGTGAAACAGATTGTGAAGATAAAGATCATAAAAAGAAAAAACATCAATGGAAAGTTAGAAGTTATGAAAATGATGATTATGAAACTGATAATGAAGATTATGAACCATTTAGAGCTTTTAAACATCCATTTTTAAAAATTAGAAAAAATCAACATGATACTTTCTTCAAATTAAGAAAAACTGTTTTAAAGACTTTATTTTCCAAAAAAATTGTTGAAATTGTTGCTAATCATCAATTACAAGCTGACTTCCCTGTCCAACCAGATGCATTATTTACTAAAGGTTTTTCAATTGTTTACAAACATGGTGACTGGGTTTTAGCTTTAAATAAATCAACTAAATTTTACAATTCAGCAATTAATCCACAAAAATCAGCTTTCAAAATTTACGATGCACCAATTACTAATGAATCAAAAGCAATTGAATTAGTTATCATTGTCATTTATTAATAAGATGTGATTTTTGGTTTGCTTAGTGCTTCTGTTTCGGTTTTTTAGTTCTTTAATTTTTTTATCTAAATTATAACATTCGTATTGTATTTACTTCTTAATATATAAAATCCCATCTTGAAAGCTCACTTTGTAGTTAATCTAAATTCGGTTCCATTGATAAATATCATATTATTATTCAATACGATCTAATCGTTTGGCGCGACAAAAATTAACTTCTCGGGTTAGCTCTAAGGCGACTCGTACCAAACTCTTTGGCTCATATATCATGAACAACAGATTCTCTTGAATTGGAAGCAAATTTAATAGAGTCAGGAGCGTTAAATTATACATTCTAAAAACGTCAGATCTTTGATTTCAAACATTTTTCATCCTACAAAAATTCTTTTAAAAAATGCAAACCTATGTATCTTTTGATTTGGGCCCATAACCTCAACCAGACAGCCGATTATATATACTGAACCTCAATTTTGCTGAACTTAATTCTAGATGATCAGAACAAAAATAGAGAAATTTCAAAAAAAATCTCTTGAGTATGACGAAAATCGATTAAATCGACTGTACGGAAAATCTAATTCCACAATCATAAATAAAATGATAGTATGATAAAAATATCTAAATTTTTAGCTCTGGAACACTGATAAACCTTGAGAATTCTCTTGTTCAGGGATTCAAAATTGGAAAAGTACAAAAATGGTTCGAAATTTTTGAAAAATATTTAAAACGATTTTTCTTTCTTGAGAATAGTATACAAAAGTTCTTTGAGAAAAAATAAACCAATTCATCTCTATTAGAAGTTGCTGATAGAGGACTAAGTCTTAATTATCTCACAATATAGTGTTTTTTGCCTTTTTTTAAATGTAAAATAAAGTGATCAAAATTGCAATTATTGGATGAACATTTGCATCAGGGTAATTCTACCTTGCTGAAGGTTTAGAAAAAAAAAAATTGACAAGTCAGCATGAAAAGTGAGGGAGTTCTTTACAATTTAAATTTTATAATTAGTTGTTTCAGATTTTATTTTATACACCAAGTAATTCTCGCTCAACTTTAGTGCCAAAATAGTATTTTCCTCGCGCTAGGTTAAGGGCGAGTTGTACTAAATGTATTGGTTTATAATTCGCAACCAAAGCAATCTCACAAAATATAAATTAATTTAATGAGTTCAGAAGCCATTATTTATGTATTATACACATCTCGATACTTAGATTTTTAAAATTTTTTTTTTGAGTTGGCATTTCGGCCCTTTTTCATTACACAAAATTTTTGCCAAAAATAAAAATCAATGTATGTTTTTATTTGGGGCCATACCTTTCAATTAAATAACGGATTATATATGTAATCCTCAAGCTAAAGGGTTAGACGCAATTTCAGCTCCTCAACACTCAAATCGAAAAATTTCGAAATTTTCTCCTAAGTAAAAATTTTGAATAAATTGACCTAACAAAAATTTGGCTCCACAACTTCTATTCAAAGTAAAGTATGATAAAACTAATCGGATTTGTAGTTCAGCTGGCCAATAAATTGTGAGATCTCCCTTCTAAAGGTAATTAAAATTAAAATATTAATTTTTCGAAAATGAATCGAAAATTTTGCAAAATTTTAAATTAATTATGACGCGTTGAAAATGTTACACATATAATATTTGAGACCAAATAAAGCGTATCAAATAACTTAGAAGTGGCAAAACGAGGTTTTGGTGTGGCTTATCTCGCAAATTAGCGCTTTTATCCAATTTTTCAATGAAGAATAAATCAATCAAAATTTTGTTTCAATTGAGGAAATTATCATCGGCTAACTCCAAAACAAGATAGAATATTTGAGGAAAAAAGTCGGAGAATGATTGACTGAATACTGAGAGAGCTATTTATAATTCAAGTTTGAATGAAACTATTGTGAGACTGCATATAAACCAAATTTGTTTCAGAATAAGAATGTTACAACATATGTAGGAAACACGAATAAACTACAATCATCCTATAGATGATAGACTCTAGGTGCAATTTTCATGAAACCTACAAATCAGTTTTGAGTACATTTATAAAATCGTATCATTTAAATTGTCTAATCTAAGTATATATACAATGTCTTTATTGCATCATTACATCTTTTCATCATTATAAGCACTACCACCAAAATAATTATACAAAACATTCAATTTACCTGTTATTCTGCTTCGTTTTCCTCCTTCTCCTTTTTGTCTATTACCTTTTGGAACTCTAAATAACCAATATAAGATAAATGTCCCAATCATATTTATAATTATAAAAGCAATAAAAATACCAATATCTCTACCTATATTATGTCTAGATATTCCAATTGAATTTAAATATTGATCTGTTCTATCCATCTTGCAAAATTGACAAGACTCAGTTGAGTCAGGATTAACAAGGTAACCACCTGCTAAGGATATATAAGCACCTAAATAATCTCTACATTTTTGTCCAGGTTGTCCAGGTGGAAATACAAGATATTCATTTTCTGCACATCTAACTTCTGAATTACCAACACCAACAGATAACATCAAAGAAGTTAAATATGTAAATGGATTAGCACGATATAAAAATACCCAAAATCGAGGCATAAAATCTTTCGTTGCAATAACACCACAAAATGTAAGGCAAATTGTTATCAATATTGAAATTCCATTTGCTGCATTTTCTGCAATTTGATTAAAACTTATACATAATTGGGCCAATGTACTTGAGTATATAAACATCAAAGTCATAACAAACCACATCAATGCACCACGATTATGTACGTCAGTAGATGAAGTAGCATTTCTATACATTCCAACAGGATAATACCATACAAAATATGATATAGCAGCTGCAACAATTTGATATGGAACTTCTGCTGTAATTTGTGAAGCAATAAATGCAATCCATGAAAATGCTTTACTTGGTCTTTCTCTAGCTTCATATAAGTCACGTTGTGAAACAAATAAAGGAACGTATTGCTGAGCAAGTGTAGTCATAACAACAAAAATCATAAAAATTGACAACATTTGATTTTGAAGACCTTGAATAGAATTTTTAGATTTGAAAAATGTAAAGCCATTAAATAATGAACAAAAAACAGCCATTGCAAATTTAGAATAAATATAACTTGGTGTTCTCCAATATTGTTGAAATAATCTAATCAATACAATCTTGTATTGAATCCATAATGAGGCAGCATACGATTTATTATAATCAAATTCTTTAACTGTTTTCAATTCTGGTTTTGATTCAAGTCTATTTAATTCACGTTGTATTGATAAGTATTCTCTAGATTGTCTCCAAACTTGAAAGTAATCTTGATTTGCTTGTGATCCTGGTGCTGCACCAATTACATGCAACATCCATTCAGCTGGATTAGCATCATGTGGACATTTTGGAGCTCCATGAGATTCAAAATAATTTATCAATGTTGAACAATTTGGTCCAAATTCTCCAAAATAAACTGTTTCACCACCTTTACGTAAAAATAATAATCGATCAAATTCTTCCAATAAAATAGCTGATGGTTGATGAATGGTACATAATATAGCTTGACCATGATTTGCCAATTTTCTAATCAATTTACAAATACTCCAAGCAGTCTGTGAATCTAAACCAGATGTAGGTTCATCAAGGAAAACCAATAATTTTGGTCTTGCAACTAATTCAACAGCTATAGTTAATCTTTTTCTTTGCTCAACATTTAAACCTTCACCAGGAACACCGACAATTGCATTTGCATAAAATTCCATTTCCATCAATTCAATAATTTTTTCAACATAAGCATCTTTTTCAGCTTTTGAAACTGAAGACGGTTGTCTTAAATACGCAGAAAATCTCAATGCTTCTCGAACAGTACTTGTTTCAAGATGTAAATCTTGTTGTTGTACATAACCAATTGATCTTTGAAATGAATCATCCAATGGACCACCATTAACCATACGTGAACCTGAAGTAATAATACCAGTAGTTAAACGATCACTCAAAGCATTTAATAATGTAGTTTTACCAGCACCTGAAGCTCCCATTAATGCAGTAACTTCACCAGGTTTAACCCATCCATCAACATCATTAAGAATTACTCGTTCTTCACCTTTAACTTGAACAGTATATGATAAATTTCTCCAATGGAATATATTTTCAGTTTCCAACAATTTTCGGTCCATAAAATCATAAGAATAATCTGAATATTCAGTACTACCACTAAATTCTAATGGATGCATTTGATTATTTGAATCTGAATCTTCCATACATTTTTCTTCATCATCTCTTCTCATTTGATGAATATCACGCTTTTTAAACACCAATATTTCACCTTTTGATTCACTTGATCTATTAAATTGAACTAAAAATATAGTTGTAAAAAATAAAAGTATAACAAAAGCTAATAAAATTCCAAAATTTCTCCATGCATGAGACCAATAATAACTAAAAGCTTGTGAAATATAAACATCACCATTTACAACATAAGAGCCAGGCATCGCACCCATTGTTCCACAAACTACTGATGGACCAGAAGTTGGATATCCAAAACCTGAAGGAACCAAATCTGAACAATTAAAAACTCGTCCATGAAATTCATTTGCAATTAAAGCTTCATATGCATATGCTAATGGATTAATCCAATGTATCCATCTACACCAACCCAACATATATGTTATGGGAATAGCAAACCCTGTAAATGTTGAAATTGCAAATAATAAGATGGAACTAGGTGTCATTGCTTCAGCCAATGTATTTGTAAAAGCTCCAATAGTTCTAAATAAATGTGACATAAATAATGTACTTAAAAAGTTGATAAGGAGGTAAAAAAAGAACGCACCAGGTTCTCTTTTAAAATTAACCATGAAATACATAATAACATTGAATAAAATCGATGAAACAACTTTAATAGGCAATTCCCCAATAATAGACCCAATTGCATCTGACATTGGTGGATATAAAGCATATTCTTTATGTTTTTGAACAACTGGTCTACCTTCATACATTGTATAAATTTCTAAAACTGATGAATAAGCATTAAATAATAATGAATAATACATAACTGCAGTACGATAATAAATTGAACCAGTTGTAGGTTGTAAATTATAAAACACCGATGATAAAATTAAACTCATTACAACGTTACCCAAAATTGTTAAAACAGTAGGGGATGGATCACCCTTCATTCGAGCATAATTTCGTTTAATTATATATCTGACTTGCATTGGTAATGAAACAGTATATGGAGATTTATGATGAGTATGTTTTGATTTTTTGGCAATCATTGCTTCAAAAATTTCTTGCTTTTGATCATAATTTTCACAATTATCCAAATGTTCATCAATTTCTTCCAATAATGCTTGTCTTTCTGGTGATCTTCTCCAATATCTATAAAATTCTTTTGGAGTTCTAGGTACTAATCTTTCAAATCCTGGTTTAACAATTCTTTCAGCTGGATTTGTTATACTAGTTAAGAAATCTGGTGTGGTTTGTCTTTCTTGACATACATAACCCATTTTTTTAAAATAATTAGCAGCACGTTGTGAACTTCCAAAGAAGATTTGATAACCTTCATACATGACAATAACTTTATCAAATAAATCATAAGCATCTTGTGAACATTGATAAATTGCAATTAATGGAGTATCATTTAAAATTGATGCTGATGTTTTTAAAGAACTTATAAATTCCAAAGCAGTAGCTGCATCTAAACCTCTAGTAGAATTGTCCCAACATTGAATTGATGCCTGCACCAATGAAACTTCAGCTATTGAAACTCTTTTTCTTTCACCACCGGAAACACCTCTTGTAAAATCATTTCCAACTTTTGTATTTTTTGTATGTGATAAACCATATGTAGCCATAACTACATCAACTAAATGTTTTGCATATTGTTCTCGAGAAACTCCCAATGGTCTATTTCTTGGAGTTTTCATCATTGCTGTAAATTCTAAAGTTTGACCAACAGTTAAATTTGGGAAATGTGTTTCAGTTTCTGCACAATAAACAACTTCACCTCTTAAATTTTTCTTCATATCTTCTGGAGTAATACCATCATATGAAATTATGGACCCATCAGCAACTTTAAAACCTTCAGTATGACATGCAATTGTTTTTAAAAATGTAGTACATCCAGCACCTGGTCTACCTAAAACAACAGTTACTTCTCCAGGTTTAATTAAACCTTCCATTGGTTTCAAAATATCAAAAGTATAATCATCAGTTTGTTTTTGTACTTTATTTTTCACCCACTTTGCGGCTTTTATAAAACCATTCGATACAGTAGTTTGATAATCAGATTCAATAGCATCTCCATAAACTCTTAAATTTTTATATGCTACCCCTAGTTTACCAGGTTTATAATACTCAGAATCAGATTGATATAATCTCCACATATTTTGAACCCATCTTTTTGATGAAAAATTAGGTGATTCTGGATCTAGTGTAGGATCGGTTTTATCAAAAATTGGATTAACACCATGTAAGGATTGTTGTGTTTTGGTAGTATCATGTCTTGAAACACCACCCGATTGTGCAGCTTGTTGTTCATTATCATAAACATTTTGAGTATATGATTTCGCTAAATTATGAATTTGAGCAGAAGCAGCTGTAAAACCAGAATAATAACCGTAATAAGGTTGACCTTCAGATTTTTTATGATTATAATAACCAGAATATGGTTGTGATTTAATTTTATTCAGTGGCATGAAAAAACTATTTGGCCTTGGGGTATATAAAAAATTAAATAAATAAAATGAAAATTGAAAATTGAAATACTTTTTATTGCAAACGTAACGAAATGAAATGAAAATGAAAATGGAATACTAAGTCGTAAAATATAACTTTGCTAACTAATTAAACACTAATTAAAGAATGAATGTAGTTTGATAATAAAATCTTGGTATAAAGGTATAATAATAATCTTAGCAAATCTTGATAACTGATATAAAATTATGAGATCTCACTGTATAACAAATAATGAGAACCCTTTCTATTAATCTAGATCTATCACTTGAAATTTGATTCTGTTGAAGATTGATACTTTGAATTTGCTATAATCTTAAAAGAAAAGTAAGTGATAAATAAATCTAAATAAATCTGATTTTAATTTGAATGATATAACAAGTATTAAAACTAAACTAAAAGTTTTTTAAAGAAAGTCTAATAATAATAATAATAATAAAATGGAGAGAGTTTATATTATAAACTGGTTATTATACTTTGAATCACTTCTTCTTCTTCCATTGAAAATAATATTTTTTATTTTTTTTTTTTTTTTTTTTTTTTTTAATTTAAAGCGGAGACTATATAAATTCTATTATATAAAGAAATTTAAGATTTGAAATAAAACAGTAACAAACCATTCAAACAGCGGTTAATTATGTAGTATTATCTATACTCTGGCCTACTAACAAACAATATTCATTCAGATTTATTGCCTAGCTATAGCTTTGTTCATTCAACCGTCGCTCTCTCTACTTCAATTTTGTGTAATGATTTATAAAATATTATATTGTTTATTATTTGCATATTTACTCTTTAGGGAAAGAATTAGACAATTCAAATTCATATTTTATCTCATAACCATATATGGCCACGCATTACTTATTTATTTTTCGCCTGAATTTTACTGTCAATGGGATGAAACTAATGCCATTTGCAATTCAATATGGCCCTCTAGTTATGAATAGTACCAAGAACTTTTATTTTTGAAAGCCATTAATTTGAGAGAATAAAGAACAAATGCAATTATAATATTTAATACGATATTTCATATCAAATGGTTTAAATTTATGGCTTTAGTATTTAGACCCTACTTGAGAGGTATCGTAGATTTGTAATAGTATAGCAACTCCTTTGAAGTATTTTGAATAAATATGATTCTCTCTTCTTCTTTGTTCATTTTCTTATTGTTTTTATATTGATCCAAACGTTTCACTTGGTAGTGATGACAATATTATTTGATTCCTTAATTAAGGAAATCTAAAAAATCTTTTCTTTTTTTAGGTAACCCTTTTTCCGTCGTTTAATTTTGAGTAAAAGTGGGGTCGTAGCTCGGAGTTTAATTATTTTTTTTTTTTTTCATTTCAGTGCTACCAATGAATCGATCTATCTTTTTTGCAGCCATTTTTCAATAAATTTGTAACTATGATATTGAACTTTCATTTTAAAAAAAAAAAAGAAACGCTGTTAATCCTATGACTAATCAGATTGACAATGAGTTGATATTAGTTTGAAAGGAGCTGTTTGAAATGAATTTTACGTCAATGCCTATTGTCTGTATTTCATTTTACTAGTTTGAATTTTAAGTGGCTTTGCAGTTTTGTACTACTATTCTGTAAATAGTAATAAAACTGATTGACAGGTAGAATAATCTAATATCTAATTATTCATTGGTTATTCATGTACAATTATCACTCATTACATATTTATCAACTCCACATCTAGATAATGGTTGTCCGTAACAATTTTGTTTTTTACTCGTGTGATTGAAAATATACGGAGTGATAAGTTTATAACTATTATTTTGCGCTTTAACACCAACCACTTATCGAATTTTACTGGTACAATCTAACAGAGGATGTTTACCCTAATACTATGTTTAGTCTAATGATGAGAGTGTGTAAGCCACTGTAAATCGTTGCGTAATGTTTGTCCCACGTTTATATTGTTCATACTCGTTTAAATGTCGGATTTAAATTTCGTAACGAAGTCTAAAGCTAAACTTTGACTTTTAAGGGGTTGCACAATTAAGAGCTAAGAAATTCGTAGATTTGAGTATTGAAAACAAGCTTTAGAAACGCCTGATCGGAGAGCCTTCTAATTCACGGTATCAATACTTAGAGATTGATGGACTAGATAACGATAAAGTTCATTCTTTACCCATTCTGTTATTAGTTGTAGAACAAAAAGTAGAGGCGTAGTTGTTAACAATAGAAGTCTATTTGAAATTCAATGCTCTTGACTTCATTTGCTACCACTTGAGATATAACTGTAATCAATTGTATAAGTTATACTCAAATCCTTTGATGCGGTTGTCGATTAACAATATTGGATTCTGTAGTGTTCCTAAACAATGAATCCAAATGTTAGCTACGAAATGGGATGCAATTATCAATGGAGGATTAAGAGAAGAGCTTTTCAACAATAATCACTTAATGGAATCATAATTTTGTGAAACAGCTGTTACAGTCAACGCTCTTGATGTATTTGTTCGTCTAAACAATAAGCAAATTTCTAACAATACAAGAACAAAAGAACAAACAACAGTATATTCCAATTACTTTTCTCTTTTTGGTTAAATAGAGCATGAAACTCAAAAGTGTTCAAAATACTTGTGTTCCATTGATTGTTGAAGCAGAAGTAACATAGTGCAGATCCATTTACACAGTGTTTTTAAGATCAGCTACTGGATTAATAGGTTGCCAAATCCTTTCACACAATGTTTTTAAAGCGAGCAACTAGATTTATAGGCTGCTTGTTTCATTGATCGTATTCTTCAAACCATGTTTATTTACGATAATAAACTACTACTTATTTCAATCACCTTCATTGCCGATCAACAGATGTCCTGTCACCTCTTAGTTTTGCAAATTGGACTCTATAAAATTCGATAACATTAGTCACATTGTTAATATGACTATCTAAACATTTACTATCGATTTTATATTGTAAAACATCCTCCAAAATATATTTTGCATCGAAGAAATCATCATATTCTTTATTTAAATATTATCAGATATTATTATATGGATCATAAATCATTGTATGAGTCATGTTTATAAATGTATAATCCCCATAACATTCTGCTCTAAAAACTTTCCAATCATTATCTGCATTACCAGCTATGTATTTGATCATTATCTCATGATTATGCAGTTAATAATATGGAAATGATACATTTTTGTCTAGAAGAACAGATATTGTTTCAAAAAAGATGAATCTTTTGGTATCAAGTGTTTTAATGCCAAAATGATGTGAATTGAAAATAGTATGAGAAAGGTAAATTTTACATTAATTAATTTTGATAGCACTAATCACTATCTAAAAAGGTTGAGTAGTTTGAACTCGACTTTTATGTTGATCTTTTTAGTTAATTCAAGAACGAAAAGATGGCTTAAAATTGAATAGATAAGGAGCGACTAAAAATTGCGCTATTTAGCTGACGCATCGTTGAAGATTCTTATCTGTGGAAATCAGATCAAAACTTTAAATAACAAACTTGAAATCCTTTAATTAAGTTGCCCCCTGAAACACACCTTGAGTCACATCGTAAATTCACGCAATTCCAAAGTTTATAGTTTTGATGGGGTACAATCGTGTGTGTAGCCCGAACTTCAAGTTGACGAATTAACAATTTCAGTAAACTCTGTTGCCAAAGTGGAGTCATGTTCTATTCTGTATTGAAACACTATTTGGAATATTTTTAGGCTAATGTAAACGAAAATTTTAAATCTCAAATCTAGTCAATGAACTTAGAGCTTGGAATTCTAGCTGATTTATGAAGTAAACAAAAGAACAAAGACCTAGAGATTGATTATCAGACTTTTAATATTAAAACTAATTGTTTTTTGATCCAAAAATATAGACGACCAAAAATAAACTGAGAGCTAAAAATGCGCCAGCCGCGAATCGAACGCGGGGCCCAACGATGGCAACGTTGGATTTTACCACTAAACCACTGGCGCGAATTATTAAAGAATGTTATTCCTCCAGGATATAACATCCATATACGTAAAAACAACACAAAAGTACCTTAATAGGTCTTCCTGGATCTGTCTGATCACTCCTTATCTATCTACTTATATATAGCTAGTCCATGTGCATATCCATAAGTCCCTTATTGTAAACCACGTGTCTGTTAGCTCCAACTAACCCATTATGTCAACTACTTCAACCATGTACTCATATGGTAGCATAGCATCCATAATCTTGAAACAAAGGGTTTATCCGCTTTTAGATTTCGATCTAAACGCACGTCAGAGGACATCAATTTACATTTGTGTGCAGAGAAATTGAGCTATAAGTAGGTCAGGGTATTAATATACCTTTAAAATTTGCCCTGAAAGCTTTTTTAGAATTGCAAATTTGTTGTTTGGAATTTTAATTTACTTAAATTTATTATTATTGAAAAAGTCTATATAATCCCACTGCAACTTAGTCTCAAGTTAGCTGAAAATATTGTGGAATCTCAACACCATTTTTACATGGATAACGTTTATCAAAATAAACGTTATACATTAAATGCTGGTACGACTTCCTATAATGCTTATTTACCATGAAAAGGGAGTTCCCATAAACAACAAACTCAATATTTGGAAATTTTGAATAATCAATTTTTGCTCCATATGTTTTCGATTTAAATCTGCAATTAATTTATATTGAAGCTTCTCACACACTTTGCTAAAATAAATAGTTTTTATTGATTTCAGTTGGCTAGAAAGTAAGTCAGGGAAATAATTTATTGGATAATCATTGGCAAGGGAAACTTGATATATGTTCATGGATTGCAAAGTATTTGGTCTTAAGTTTTCCAAAAATATTTCCAAGTCAGGTGCACTGAAATTTGAAAATAGGTGTTTCAACATATTAGTTTTGAAGCAACAGTGCTAAGAAAAAGTTGACCATTCACTTCTTGACCATCGCAATTGATAGTCAAAGTAACAATTTGTGAAATTTTAGTGTTTGTGATATCCAGTATTCGATCACGAAATTGATTTAGATCTCGAAAATACAATTCATTCGATGGAACCTTTTTTATTCGACTCAGATTTAGAGATATATCATCATTAAATAAAGCAACAGAGCCCTAGAACGCTTATAATCAAACCATTTTTATTTTTTTAACTCTATAATTGCGAGTAAAGAATCCCTTAGAATGGTACAACATTAGTTTCAGTTGTATTTTTCAATTGACCAAATCCAATAAGTTCTTTTTCAAAGTCCACAGCGACATGAAAGTATCTAAACATCATAGCACCTAATTGAGCATAATCACCTTTGCTAACTCCCAAGAAACAAGTACTACCCGATTCATCTGGAAATAAAAATGATTTTAATGGCACTGTTAATAATTTGCCATTGATTGAATACTCGAAAGTTTTGCCTTCATAAAGAGAACAGTTTCTGTAATTGTATTTTTTGTTGTAATCTGATTCTTCTGGAAGTGCTGTGAGTAATTGATTGTAAATTGCCTCTGGCATATATGCCCCATCACCACCAGTATCAACTGTATAATTTTTGTTAATGGTGATGTTATGTCCTTCAACAACCATATAATCAGAATGACCTTGAATGTTGGTATTATTAATTGAATGCCAGCTAAATTCACCATCTAATTTTGCTTTATCGTAACCACCAAAATAAACTTTGCCCGGAAAGCTATGATCTCCCAAATAGAACGAATAAGCAGGTTTAGGTATCAATCCTTGTTCATAAGCACTCCAAACTGGATTTCTTTCTTTTGGTTGTGAATGACCCATTCCTAACATACCTGACAATCTTCCATTGATATAATTATCATCAACAAAAGGAAATTGTTTGATTGTTATATCGCCAATAGTAAAATCATCTTTGACTAATTCACCAGCCAATACAGTTTCACCAACACTAGATAAACCGTAATTACTTGTTATATTTCTATTTAATCTAACCAAAGATGTTGATTCGTTAGAATCAAAAGTACCTAAATTTTGACATTGATTATTGCACAAAACATCTATATCAACAACGTGTGCATCGAATGACCCTGTATCAAATTGAAGTCTAACGGGATCTTTATTCGAACCAACTTTAACCTCGATGCTATAAATGAGATTTGGGTCTGCAAAATCTGCAGATATGATATCCCTTTTAGCAAAAGTTGTTTCTTGAGTGATGTCAAATGAAGGAGCTTTGAAACTACTTAAAGTAGCTGCATTGGCTAATGCCAATAATGTAGTGAAGTACAAAATTTTCATTTTGATTAATGAATAAATGGAAACCCACTTCATTATATATTCTTGTGGACAGATGTTGTCCAGTTTGACCACGTTGAGATTCTTAATATTATTGGAGGATTTGACATTTTCCATCCAATTGTTGGTTACGAGCTATAGCTAGCATAATTGCTCAGAATTATAGAGGTTTTCCTTGTTAATGGATTTTGAGTGGAGTTGGAGGTAATGAATGAAAAATACCTCAAAACTTTAAGTAAGATTCCTTTCAGAGGTATCAAGTTTGGTCTAAGGTTCAAAGCGGAAGCTTCTGATAGGCTCTAAATTTCTTTGTTATAGTTGATGCAACAGTTCAACAAACTGTCGTCATTTATGTAACCATTTTTTTACAAAAAGTAAGATAAAAAAAATTCATGATGATAAATAAATTAAAAAAACTTCCTTCCTGTTTATATCTTGTTAACCACTGTTATCGGTTGTCTACACGTTGGAATTCCTAAATATCGGAGCCTTTGTAATTTTCATTGTCATAGTTATTGCTGGTTATGTGCGATAGTTACTCGAAGTTTTCAAACATTTCATATTTAGAAGTTGTACCGAGTGAATTTCATTTCCAATCTTTATATTTAGCTCTTTGTTGAGGTCATAACCACTGCTAGTGTTAAAAGTAAAAGAATCAGATATGATACAAGACTTCAAGTTTTTATGAGATCGCTGATGTATCAGTTCTACAAATCAATCGCCTGTTGGTTTTTTGATGAAAATTTACAAAATTTTGAAAAGTTCAAATCTTCTTTGAAATCATCTAAAATCAAACTAAGTAAAAACATAATTTCAAGGCGATACTCTTAATGAATTAGAGTTCTTTTAAACCTGCCTACGCTTTATTTTCAGTTATAATTATAATAAGAAAGTAAAACTCGTAATTATGCTGTTGCTCATTCTTAAGCAATAACTATTAATATAAGCAAAAAAAATTTTTAATGAAATCTCAAGTAGCATAGTTGCAATGGAAATGTATTATCCCAGATAGTTTAGTGGCTAGAATTACCGTTTGTCGCATGGTAGACCAGGGTTCAATTCCCTGTCTGGGAGTATTAATTTTTTTTGACTGAATTTAGCTTGTTTGTTTTGCAGTTATTTGTTTCGATAATGCAATGCAGTGAATTCAGTTTTATTATAAGGATCCAAATATAGCTTGTACATGAATGATTTTTAATTGCAAATAATTTTCGAGCGATTTGTATTATCTTTACATCCACTGATTATTTTGCAACCATATTCACTTTTTTTTTTTTATCTCCGAAAATTTTCCGAGAAGAATTTAATTTACCATTGAATAGTATGATAAAACGATGGTTTTCATCAACGTCAAGAATATTGAAACCTTTCAAAATAGCAATTGTTGGATCAGGCCCAGGTGGATTTTATACAGCACATCATTTAACGAATAAATCACCAAAAGACCTTCAACTTAATATTGATTTTTTTGAAAAATTGCCCACCCCATTTGGTTTAAGTAGATATGGAGTAGCTCCTGATCATCCAGAAGTTAAAAATTGTGAAGAATATTTAATTGATTTAATGGAGGATAAGAAAGCACATATTAGATTTATTGGAAATTGCGAAATTGGTAAAGACTTAACTTTAAAACAATTGGAACAAAATTATAATTCAATTATTTTAGCTTATGGATGTACTTCAAATGATAATAAATTAAACATACCGGGATCAAATTTGAAAAATATAATAAGCGCAAGAAAATTTGTTAATTGGTATAATGGGCATCCTGAATATTACGAAAAGGGTAAAAAATTCATACCTCCTCCATTGGATAAAATTAAAACTGTTACAATTATAGGAAATGGGAATGTTGCATTAGATGTAGCTAGAGTATTACTTGGTAGTGAAGAACATTGGAAAGGAACTGATATTTCAGTTGAAGCTGAAGAATTATTAGAAAAAAGTACCGTTGAACATGTTAGGATAGTTGCTAGAAGAGGTATAATGGAATCTGCATTTACAAACAAAGAAATTAGGGAATTATTCGAACTAGATAATGTGAAGTTTATTCCATTGGAAAAAGGTATACTTGAATCAGTTGATAAATCAAAATTAGGAAGAGTTGATAAAAGAAGAATATCAATAATTGAGAGATATAATAATTCAACTAAGGAAGGTAAAAAATCATGGACTTTGGAATATTTGAAAAGTCCTGTTGAATTTATAGGTGATGAAATGGTATCAGCTACAACATTTGTCGTAAATAAACCATTGAATGATCCATTGAAACCTGGAAAAGTTGTATCAACAGATCAATACATCACAGAAGAGAATGAATTGGTCATAGAGTCAATTGGATATCAAGGTACGCCAATTAATGGATTTGAAGAAATTGGTATCTGGTTTGATAATAATAAATTACACAATAAAGATGGTAGATTATTATCATTAAATTCCAAAGATAAAGATGATCATAATGCAATTTTTAAAAAAGGTTGGTATACTTCTGGTTGGATTAAAAATGGTCCAAAGGGCGTAATTGCAACTACAATGATGGATTCATTTGATACTGCTGATAAAGTATTAGAAGACATTGCAAATGATAGATTCATAAAAGTAGACCAAGAGAAAGATATAATACCGAAAAATTCAATTACATGGGATAATTGGAAAACATTAGATAATTACGAACTTAATAAAGGTAAAGAATTAGGTAAAACAAGATATAAAGTTTGTGATAAACAAGAAATGTTAAAACTTGTAAATAAATGATCTATATTCACCCTTTGCAACTTGTAATTTTTCTAAAATAATGTGTATGTTCATATTTACCTAATCTACTTGGCCATAAACTTGATGGTTTTATATTTGATGGATTGAAACTTCTCTTTTCATTCAAATTCCTATTTAAATCTTCTTCTAAATGGGGTAAATCTTTTTTATCAATATTATATTCAAATCCAGCATGAACAAACATTGGTGGTAAATAAGGTATAAAATCTTTACCATGTACAACTCTAATTAACCCGTGATTAAAATCTTTCTTTTCGTGTATTGTGTTTGTAACTTCTTCTGTATCAAATATATTATCAGCAAAATCAGCAAATTCTTGATTTCCAACTCTTGGGCCTCCAAATGTAACAACTAATGGTTCATACCCCAATAATTGAAATTCAATACCACTCATAACAGTTAATGCAGCACCTAACGAATGACCAATAATTAAAAATTGATAATCTGGATATTGAGATTTTAATTTTATACCAGCTTGAATTATAGCACCAGAATTATCTTTTAAAAAATTATAAAATCCACGATGAACTTTGCAATTTATACATTTTTTTAAATAATATGGTTGACCTTCAAATTTTTCATCATAAACAATTGGAGTATATGTAATTGGAGTAAAATTTACATTTGTAACCCAATCTCTGGTCGAAGCAGAACCACGAAATACTAAAATTATAGTTTTCCTTGTATTATCAACCGCATAATAACCCGTACCAACTTCATTTAACCTATTAAAATCAAATATTTTGACAATTTCAACATTTTGTAAAAAATGATTCTTACAAGCTTTTATTGCACAATTTGTTTCTTTATTTCCTAATAAACCAATTTTTAAACCTTTAGTAACACAATATGAAACAGTAGCTAAATTAGCAAATTGAACTAGTTTTGTATAATCAGATCCTTGACATATTGATAATAAAAACAATAATTGAAGAATTAACTTCATTGTAAAAAATTTGTAAAAATTATATTTGTTATGTACATCTCAGTTCTCGATGTAAATTATTACATTTAACACTGCAATAATATAAACCACAAAGCGAACATCTTGTATAATTTGATTTATTACCACAAATACAACAAAGTCTCAATTTTGGTCTTATTCTTTCTATTTTTCTTCTTTTATTTTTATTTTTATTTTTATTCAAATCAGTAAAATCAACAAATTGATAATTTAAACCCAATATAGTATTTATTGATATTAAATTTCTTTCTTCTTCAAAATATGAATTTAAATTTCTTTTAGCTGCTAAAATTTTCTTAGTACTCGGTGTATTTCCTAATCTTGATTTTTTTGATGATGATTTATCATTACCACCACCACCAGTTGAATGGATAGAAGTATATTGAAAATTTTTAGGTAATTCAAAAGATTTGGTTGTTGAATCTAATTCACTTAATCTTTTAGAAACTAATCTTTCTAATTGTATTTGTTGAGATGATTTTAATTGCCCATTATTTATTGAATCATTTTGATTTATATTTGTTTGAGCATTCATTAAAGAAGTTAAATTATAATTAACTTTGGTTCTATTTTTTTTTATTGATTCACCATCATCATTTTGTTTAATAGATCTAGCACTTAGATTTATCGATGAAGTAAAATATATAGTTGAACTATTAACATTTGAACCTTTCGGTATTTCTTCTATTAACATTTTTGTTAATTTTTCACCATGCGTGTTCTTCGGATTTTTTTTTTTTCTTATATTTACCAAATAATCTATATACAATATATAAGCAGTTCAGTTACTCCTTTAAATCTTTCTTTATCTCTTCATGACTAAATGGTTCATCTTCTCTTGCTTTATCCAACATTGGTTTAATACCTTCTTTTGCAAGATTTGCATTTATACATGTTATATAATTATCCCAAAATTCAGTACATTCGTTTTGTATAGATTTACCTTTGAGAAATTTTTCAGTATACCATTTATTGAAACAATCATCATATTCCTGTTTAGCAGGCGTACATTCTGGTGCAAATGAAACTGACATGATATTACCCATACCAATATTGATTAGAAAGATTTGATCAGATTAGATTTTTTTCAAACCGAAAATTTCGTACGTGCGCATGGCAAAATTTATTTATTTATTTATATATTTATTTTTACAACCAAATTACTGTTGAATGAAACGATTATCAATACCCCCACCATCTTCTTCAAAACGAAAATCAAGTAGTTCTAATAATAAAGATGATGATCTTCATGCTGCTAGACAAATTTTAGAACAATTGGATCAAGATACAACTAGTGTTTTACAAGATATTGATAAAAATATATCAAGAGCTAATCAAATTATAAATGATAGAATTATACCAGCTGTAAAAGGTTATGCAATTGAAAGTCAGAAAGTTTGGGAAAATGCTGGTTTTTGGAAACATTTTTTTGAACAAAGTGCTAATATTGAATTAAATACTTATGAAGAACCAATTGATATAAGTAAAGGAGTATTTACTAAAGAAGATGAAGAAAATCAATCAGATTCAGATCCTTTATTAAAATTTAAAAAACCATTATTAAGACATCAAGATGAAGAAACTCCAACATGGTCAACTGATCAAAAGGCAACACCAAAAAGGAGAGAAAAATCTGATTTATCATCAATTCAACAAAAACCATCTCCTGTTAAAATTCATACCATTAGACAATCTTTAGAAGCTTATCATAGATTATCAGTAAGTCCCAAAAAACAACAAGATTCTCAAAGAACTCCATTATCAACTAGAAGACAAACTGTAATTCAAAATATTTTAAATTCATCACCAACATTTCCCGAACCTCCAATTTTAAAATCTGAAATTGGTACAGAAAATAATTCAAATATATTCCAAGCTTCTTCTTCACCTAAAAAACCAATTGATTTACAAAAATTTCCAGATACTCCAAAATATAAAAGACTAAGTGGTGGTTCAATACCAAATTTAAATAAAGATGATGAGATTCTTGAACCTCCACAATTGAGTGATAAAGTTGGTGAAGGAACTGTTAGTTCATCATTAAATGCACCTGAATTACGTACAATCAAAGACTCGTCAAATAAAAGAAGAAAAACAAATGATCCAGATAATATATTTTTAGAAAGAAATTCTCCTTCAAATCATTCAGAACATTCAAATCACTCAAAATCAAGATTTGATGAAGCTTTATTAAATTTAAGAGATCAATTAAGACCACCAAATTCTGGAGATGAAGTTAATGAAGTAGTTAAAGATGTAACTGAAAATGTAAAAAAAGATGCGAGTGGAAAGGATAATGATAATTTAACAGCTGAATTGGGTCCATTAAGAGAAAAATGGGATAGGTTAACAAATAAAAAGGGTTTTAGTTCCTGAAAATGTATAAGTATTAATGGGTCTATAAAATATTATTTTACTACCAACAAGGAGTAACTAACTACAAAAAACTTCCTAGCAACCTTAATATTATTAGCTAAGAAAAGTATTACTAATGTTGCAACGTGGATATGGATATAAATTTCATTAGACTTTAGTTAATTCAAAGCTTATTACTCACTACCAGGAATACAATTAAGAAGAGAGTAGTGGGGACAAAAGCCATCTTATGAAATCATTTATACACCTGATTGACTTCACGTTCCTCATTTGCAACCTGCTTATAATTTAAAAAAAAATAAGTTTCATGGAATTGTTTACATTTTCACTAAATCCAGTTGTCAAATTAGAGTTTTTGCAAAACGTTTAATTACTTACCAAATCATTATCAATAAGTATAACTCAGAGCTTACTATTTAAAGTTTAAGGTATATACTTTATGCTTACTTTTAAACCTTATTTGATTGGCTAGAACTCATTACATAATACATTACATATTTTATTCGATAGTTCAAAAATTATTTTGCAACAATTCTAAAAATAATTTAAATAGACATCAAAATCAACTGATTTGAATCTTTTTACTCATTAGTTTTTATTCAAATTTATTTATTTTCATAATGGTCTGTTCTGCTAGTGTTTGTGTCTGTGCTGAAAAATCAACTTGCTCATGTGGTAAACAACCAGCTTTAAAATGTACTTGTGAAAGAGCAAATGTTGAAAATGTAGTTCCTGAAAATGCTGAAGCTTGCTCATGTGGTAAAAGATTCAAAGATTCTTGTACTTGTGGTATAAATTCTGAATGTGATGGCCATAGAGAAGGAGAAGTTGATTTTACAAATCTAAAATAAAGGAATTAAAGTGAATTAATATAACTAATACGTAATAATGGGTTCAGAGATGTATGTTTTGCTCGAGATTGATTAGAAAATCAGTTGCTTACTGTGATATAGACTAATATTAGAAGTATGAATGTATATTGAGATTTAATTTTGACTCTATACTGCCTCGAGTATTTATTGAATTGTAAGTTGATTTTGTTGGAGGACAAGAGTAAATTAACAAGCAATTTGAGAGAAAATTAAATATATTAAATTGTTACTATAAATTGTTAATTTGAAGCGTCATAATACATTGTCATAATAAATTGTTAATAATAATGTTAATAAGGAATGTCATAGAAGTCCTAATATCCATATTGTTTACGTAATTTATTATACTTTTCAACTAATTTTCCATATCTTACTGAAAATTTGGAATAGTCTTGTAATTTGGCAATATATTTTGCATGTTCCTTTGTACTTAATCTTCTTCTAATTCTTGAGCCTTCATTTTCATTAGTGGTTCTGGATGAAGTTGATGATAATAAACCAATTGAATTGAAAAATAAATTAGGTTGTCTAATAAAATCATTTTGTTTTAAATTTAAATTATTCAATCGATTATATGTTTTGATTAGTTTTTGATCTACAACGTACTGTTTTTCAATTAGATGTTTCGTAAATGTTAATACGATATAAATTTTTTTAATTGAGTTTCCAAAATTAGTTAAAGTTGCAATTTTAGCCGCTTTATCTTTTTGGGAAAATAAATCAATAAAAGATTTGATGAAGGTTCTGAAAATTAATCCAACAATTAATTCATACTTTTTTATTAAGTTTCTAACACTCATAATTAATGACAACTTATAGTTAATCAAATTGGTAATTAATTGTAAATAATTATGAAATAACTGTTTTGATTTTAAATTTACACTGCGAAAAATTTAAATCTGAAGCACATAATATTATGAAATTGTAATCTTTTCAATATAAACTAGGTTTTCGCCATGATCTACAAAAAAAAAAGTCCTTGATAGCACGCACCTGTTTTTACAGAATATGCGGTACACTTTTACATATCTGTTATTCGTATACTCTAATATGAGTATGATTTGATGCCTGATGATTGGAACCGAGAAATAATTTTTCGCGCTAACCTTGAGGCCACCTCTATTATACGTATTGGCTTATATTCTCTGAACAACTCATTTTCACGATATAGGAACTACTTGAATGAAACCAGAAATGCATGTTTTCGTATCATTGTACATGTCAAATTTTAAAATTTAAACATTTTTTTTTGAGTTTATATTTAGGCTTTTTTTCATCATACAAAAATTTTGCCAAAAATACGAATTAATGTATGTTCTTATTTGGGGCCACAACTTTTAATTGAACAACGAGTTTTATATGTTACAACTCAAACTAATTGGTTATAAGCAATTTAGCTCATTCAAACTGAAATTGAAAATTTTCAAAATTTTCTCTTAATATGGGGAAATCGAATAAATTAACCTTACAAAACATCTATCTCCACAGTCGCCATTTTAATGAAACTTTAATAAAACTAACCAATTTAGTAGTTCCTATATACTCATAACTCTTTAGATTTTTTATGTTAAGGTATTCAAAATTGAAATATTAATTTTACGACAGTGGTTCCTTCGAAATTTTTGTAAAATTTTCAAAACGATTTTGGCGTCTCAAAAGCACAATAGATATATCATTTGAAGTCAAATACACCAAATAAGCTATCTTAAAAGTTTTTATCTGACGTTAACGTATTGATTACCTTTCATTTACACGTTTTTTGGCATTTTTTGAATGTAGAATAATACCATCAAAAATCTGTTTCATCAAAGAATATTAGGATCAGTTTACTCTCAATTGTTTGGACTTTTCAATCAATTAATTTTGATAATTAGGGCTTAAATATTGTGGGAGATATTGATAAACTAAAATTTGAGATTAACTATTATGATAGTACCTAAAACTCAATTTTGAGACAGAATTTTTAATGTCAAATTAAAAAAATATCAACCTACCCGGAACGAGAACATTGCCAGTGAGTTATTAACTGAAGGCGAGAGCTGGTACTATTTTCCATGCGATTTTGAACAATAACACTGTATCAGTGAATCAGTGCCTGAATCAACATATGATAGTATATGGAGGTCATATATAGTTCGAAGACATCGTGCAATCAATAAGTAAAGCAATAGCTACTAATTAATTAGCTTGAATGAGTTTTTCGACCACCGATTTTTTTGCTTCTAAAATCTGATTATTTCAACATTTTGAAATTAACTAAATTAACTAACCATCCACTCCAGCAATATTTCCAAAGATTTGGCATACACGTCTAATCCTAATCAATCTTGTAGCATGTGTCATACTTCTATTGTTGATGAAACCTGGTTGAACATTTGACATTACACAGTTTGTTTGACCAGCTTGTTCGGCCCACTAATTGAGGTGTCGAACACTTATTTTAGCTTCCACAAACGATTCACGTCCTCTTCTCACTCTTCAATCAAATATTTTGAATTTCATTTCAACAAAATAACCCTGAGTCTACGATTTTAATTACATTTGAAATATGACTACTTCATTGCAGATTGGATATCATGTCACATCATACGTTCAAAATCTTCCCATCCATTCAATCGTACACCTTCAGAACCCCATAAAATTTAATTATCAAGCTGATTTTACCATTCATTATATTGGTTTTAGATTTTTTTCTTAGCGAAAATAAATTTATTTCAATAACTACTATGGCAAAAAGATCAGGATTACAAAGAGAAGTATTAAAATTATATCGAATGAGTATAAGATGTATAAAAACTAAACCACCACAAACTAGAGAACATTGGAGATCATTCATACATGAAGAATTTGGAAAATATAAAGGAATACCCAAAATTCAGTTCAATACGATTGAACATTTGATAAGAACAGGTTATAAAAGATATGAAATGTTTTCAAATCCTCAAATAAAGGATATCCATTGATGAGAGACTATAACCAATTGATCGGAGTGTGATGTTTTGAGGAATAAAATGATTGTGGCTAGTTTTAGCTGCTCTTTACGATTTTGACGAATGTAATTTAAATTGTATATAAATCTATTTAAAAATATTTATTGATTCAGTTAGTAATGTCTCTGTAGAATCATTTCTATATCCCATATCTGTCATTTCTTTCTCACCACTTTGATCTCTAGCTAAAGTAGGTGCAAAAACCACTGATAAATTTTTAAAATTCATTCTATTAATATGATTTAATGAATTTATTTTATTTAAATGTTTAGTTAAAACTTGTAATACTTTTTGATTTGCAACAGGTAATTTGACAATCAATTTATTTAATTCACTGACTCTCTGTTGTGGTTGTAAATGAGCAATTTTAATATAATCATCATAAAATGAATATGGTATAAGTGGTTCAGGTAATTTTCGAAGATATCTTTTCAAAGCAGATGTAATTGCATGAATATCACAGTTTAAAATAATTTCATCTAAATTATTAATCTGTTTTTCATTTGGTTCAATTGGTAAATTTGTAAATGCTTGTTCAATTTGCACAATTGTTGAATTTCCACCCGATATTCGATAAATTCCTTCGAAATCTAATCCACGTTTTTCAACTTCCAAAATACATCTAGTTATTAAAAATGGTATTGAATTACCTTCATAATCCGCACGTTTTTGAATTGAAGTGTTGAATAAATTATTTGAATCTTGTGTGTATAAAAATGAATCTAAAATGTTTGTAGATACTGATTTTGTAAATTTGTTACCATTAGATTGTGGTTGATTGACTCTGAGGTTATTATTTTGTTTTTGTTGGGGTTGTACCTGAACTTGAGATGATTCAATGGGTACAACTTGTGGAGTTCCAATTTTTGGTCTTCTCCAAAATTTCAATCTTGTAGCTTTATGTGTTTGTTCATCTTCCAAAGATGTTACAATTTGTATTTGTTGAGGTTGTAATTCTTCTTCTTTGATAGGTGAGCTTGATCTATAAACTGACGAACTCTCAGTATCATTACTTGTTGATTTATTCAAATTTGTTTCTTTTAATTTATTATTCAAATCAATCAATTCTTTATTCTCCTGGTATAATTTTTGCTTTTGCATATTTAAATCTTGAATTTCTTTAATTAAATTATCATATTTTATTGATTCATCAGTTATTGAAGATCTAATAGTTTTTAAATTATCTGTTAATTTAGCCTTCTCGCTTTTTAATCTATGTATATCAGTATCTAAAATCATTTTTTGATTTGCTAATTGCTGTACTTCATATTTAATCTTTGTTAAATCATATGGATCTTCTTCAAAGAATAACATTGTTGAATCTGAGGTGGATCTAGTATGAAAAACAGTACCTGTTGAGCCATTATTCAATGGAGGTGTAATAAAACTATTATTACTTGCATTGAAGCTCGTCGTAGAACTGTCAGAAACATGCCTGGAGTGTCCCTTCTCATCTTTCGATTTGAAAAATGCAAATTTATTATTACCTCCAGATGTAGAACGTTTATGTTTTAATCCACGTATTATTGAAGCAGTTCTAAATACTGGTATAGCTTGATTTAGTGGTTGCTGTTCTTGTTGTGGAGTAGTTTCTAGATTAGTTACTGATGGAGTAGTATTAAAAGTCCTTGGAGATTGTTTTGGTTCATAATCAATGCCTTGTAAGCCTAAACCTTTTTGAACTGATTCATCAAACTTCTTTCTGGTAGGTGTACTTGGTAAAGGTAATTTTGGTGGTGGTGAAGATAAATTTACTTTACTTATTTGTTGTTTCTTTGGTGTATTAATTTGTTTATTTAAATCTTCATCAACAACTTCAGTAGGAATTTCATCATTTGTTTCAACAACTCTAGCTTGTCTATTAGCTTTTGCAAATGGTGATGATGCACCTGATCTTGGCACATCGTGATATTGATAAGTATTATTATTAACAACTGGTGATTTAGCTGCATGAAATTCATTATCATGATATTGATTTGGTGATAAGATTAATAAATTTTTACCCTTTTCATGAGTTTCCTTTTCATGAGTTTCCTTTTCATGAGTTTCCTTTTCTGGTTCGTTATTCTTTGGAGTTAAATCTGGTGCAGGTTTTAATTGATTTTGACTAATTGATTCTGCAGATGATGGAGTATTCACAATATCTAATTGTATTGTTCTATCATGGTTTACATTTCTTTGATCTAATGGTGGGGTTGAGTACTGATTAGTAGGAGATAATTTATTCTTTCTTAATGATGTAGTACCATTTATAATTGTCTCATTTTCATTTGCATCAGAATCCGATGAACTATTTTGAACTTCTTCAATTGAAAAATCATTATCAGTTGATTGAATAATCTTTGGAGTCTTCTCAATTGACTCATTTGATGATGGTGGTTTTGGTAACTGCTTATGTTTAGATTGTAATGAAGTTGATGAATTATTTTGATGATGATCATATACACTTGTACTTGAATTACTATTCATATAAGATTGAATTAAACTATTTCTTGAACTGTTTGTAGATTTACCTTTCTTCTGTTGTTCAATAAATTGCATTTCTCTGGAATCTTTCTCCTTTTCGAGTTGTTGTTGCTTTTGTTGCAACATTTCGAGATGTTTCTTCTTCGCATCATATTTCTTCTTTTTAGCAACCAATTTTTCATGACAATCCATACAAAATAAACCTTTTGAAGTTCTTGCATATCTCAAATCTTCAATTTTATTTTTACAATTTCTACATTTAAAACAACTTGAACAATAAGCTTGATCACCAGTTAATATAGCTAAATCATCAATTTTTCTATTACATTGTTTACAATTATATGAACAATTTGAACAAATTAAATTACCATTACCTAAAACTAAAAAATTTGAGTTACAACCTAATGAAGTTTGACATTTTGAACAATTAAAACAATTAATATGCCATCTATCTTCACCTAATTCATAAGCATGACCTTCAACAATTAATTCATTACATTTTTTACAAATTTCTTTTTGTTGATGGTTATAATGCGACTCAGTAGCTGATACATTTGCTGAACTTAAAATTTCAGACATGGTAAAAAATTAAGGGAGTGGCAGTTGAACAATGTGATAAATTTTGAGTTTGCTTTGAAAAACACGTGTATAAATAGATAACCTTTTATCTGTAATTTCAATATATAGTTGAATAGCTGTGTTTAAGATAGCTTAGAATGATGAATTGATCAAAAGCGTCGGTTATTGAAATTAGATATTGAACCTTTTGATTTAGATTATTATTTTTTTTTTTTTTTTTTTATTATTATTTTTAGAATTTTATTTTTTTTATTTTTTTTTTCAGTTGGGGAATTTGAATTAACAAATCAATCAATGGAACATTGTTCTTATTGAAGATGAGAGCACATATATAATGGAGATCAGACAATAGACTACAATTAAGGAATCATGATCCTCCTTTCACCTGAAAAAAGAGATCAAAATAAATATTTACACAAGTAGTAAATTTTATGTGAGATGATTCTTGTAAATCTATTGAATCTAGACATGATATCTTGAAACAAAAACTCTCTAGGCAAAAACAATAGCATAAATATAGACTGAGCATATACGATGAATTTGTGTAATATTTGAATTTGCGTTATTCGTTCAAACGTGGCTATAAATGGGTTTGAACGCTCGATAGAGATTCAATTTTTATTTTATAACATTTTCTTACCATTCATTTGGTTTTCGACGAATCAGTATAATAATCTTAACAGATAATGGAACTGTAAAGGAATTATATGGTGATATTTTTCAGAATTGTTGTATTTTTTCCCGATTTGGTAATTGATTACATAATCATTTTAGATCTGAAACATCGTATAAAAAATACCCCTATTCAAATTAGATCTCTATTTATTTACATAATTTTACAAGTTTAATTTATAATTCTTCAGCTGTCAAATCTTTTTTAATTTTAAATGGGGTACCTCTCCAATCTATTTTATGTCCAAACATTGCAATTAACCAAATTGGTAGTGCTAAAATCTCTCTTATAATCCAAATTATTAACCATCTTAAAAGTCTGGTACCTGAATTTACTTGATTTACTGATTTTAGCCATATTGGAAGAAAAATCATATTATCTTCATCTATTGTATGGTTGATCAATACATTATATTGAATGAAGTCAGTTATAACCCATAAAATCATATGAAAAACAAACAATTTGATGGTGAATAATTTATGCAAAAATAATATTGAAATACCTATATTACCATAAAGTCCGCAAATAATGGATTCTGTAGTTGGTTCAATCAACGTAGCTAATAGAACCATATATTTTCTAACTCTTAACCATCTGACTCTTCTATTTATATAATCTTTCAATGTATTATTATCTAATCCACTTAATGGTTGTATTACACAATCTCCAGTTAATCCAGTTCTTCCATTACAATTTTCCCATAATGCTATACCTATCATATTATCTTCACCAATATATCTTGAAAAAAATTTCATTGAATTACCAACACCTAAATTTGAATAATATTTTGCATCATTTTTAACTTTTAAATCTGTGAAAAACTCACTTTTTGAATTTGTAGGTATTTCTTTAACGGATTTATCTAATTCTGATTTTCTATATAAATTGGATTTACCATTAACACAAGGAGCAATAGCTAAATTATTTAATGAAACGTAAAATTTTGAATGTGAAGTATGTAAAAACATCTCATCTAATTTTGATCCAATTTTCTTGAGGAATGGTTGTTGTTTAATGTCACATTCTTTATGTTTATTAGATGGATTTCTATTCTTTCTATTTGTAAGTTTTATTCTTGATTCATTTGATTGTATAGGTGTCAAATTATTCTCTAAATCTTGTAATTCTTCATTATATTCTATACTTAAAGCTAATGGTACATGATGAACTAATTTAACAGGTCTTTTATTACTCAAATCTCTTCCATTATTTAAATTTTCATTCAAAGTTATAATAGAATTTTTTAAAATATTTGAACTTGCCCATACATTTGAATCCATAATCCATAAAATATCATATTTTGCTTGTAATATACCTTTTGATAAATTATTAACTTTTGGATTTGGTCCATAATGTTCACCACCAATTAAAATTTTCAGATCTATAGTTGGATATTTATTAATTAATGATTCTATAATGGGTATTGATAAATCATTTGGATCTTCTATACAAAATAAAATTTGAATTTTGTCCCTAGGATAATTTTGACAAAATGAAGACTCAAGACAAGATTTTAATTCCGGATCAATACCTTTAATTGGTCGAAGTATAGTAACACCTTCTAAATTATCATCTTTAACCACCTGTTTTGACTTTATTATTGATCTTTTTCTAAATTTTATCAATATTTCAACAAATCCACTATATGCAACAATTAATATAACAAGATACCATATTAAACACACCCATCCAATTATTAACCTTATTATAGACACCTCCTTATCCATTCTTTTCTCATAAAATTCATATATGGTGATATTTATTAATCAATAGTGAAGTGAAATTTCTGAAAATTTTTTGTTTACATTTTTTTTTATTATTACCGATATTGTACTACTAAATTATGTCACAATCTAAATAGAGAAGATAAAGTAAAGTTGTTGGGTTTAAACACGAGGAATAATATATTTAACTTTTATAAACTCAATGCAATTATGATTTATGAATTAGCACGTAAATTATATCAAGATACTACTATACTGCTATGCCTTGGGCAATTATCCATCTTGAATACAAAATTCTTCCTCAGCTTTCACTATGAAACCAAATAATTATAGTACATCAAAACTCCAATATATTGTTAATGAGTCTCGACAGATATAAATCTATCATTTCGGACTTTCGTTGAACTTCCGGTGTTGTATATTTAACAATCAAAATGTCAATTTCATACCTGCTCCTTTTTCGCAAATTCTTGATTCACAAACCTAATCTTCTCTTTCTTTCTCTTGCTCTGTTAATGCTAATTTCTTTTCTACTGATTTGCTCCTGTAATTGGTGATTCAATTTCTGATTTTCATCATTTATACTACTTAATTTTGATTCTAATTTTCTTAATTCATTTTCTTCATCATCATCCCTTTCATCATCTTCACCAGGTACATATGATTTATCATTCAACATCTCTTTAGTTATATTTGAGTCATTTAGTATCTTTTGCCATTTATTCATCAATATTATGGTATTATTAGTTGATGAATTAAATAGATCTATGTCATTTTCTACTTTTCTAATCGTTGACAATAAACCAGATAAAGTTAAATTTATTTCTTTTAAGCTTTCATATTCTTTTTGAAGTGCTGAATCTCTTGAATTTGGAGATACGGACATTTACTTAACCAAACGTTAAACCAAAAAGAAAAAAAAAAAAAAAAAAAATATCGTATTCTTTTTCACTCGTAAAATTTGGCTGCAAAATTTTGGTAAAAATATCACTTACATTTAAATTCAAATAACTTATCATTTGTTGTTGAAAAATTTTCACTTTTCACTGCATATATTTATTAATTTGTTATGCTAATCATGATATAAAAGGTAGCCGTGATGGTTTTTCAAAAATCATCAATTTCAATGTATATTACTAGAAATAATAGAAGTAGACATAGATTTAATAGTCAATTCGATAGTTATCCAGTTCAAAATCATTTATATTATGATGAAAATGATGCAATTGAGTTGACACCAGAGAAGAAAGATCCAAGTATTATGTCAGCCGCAATTCCATATTTAATTATTGCAGTAATTTTCATTTTATTACTTCTTGGAATTTTAAAATTAATTCAAACAAAAAGACAAAAGAAGGTTTCAGAGACTTCAAATTTTGTTGCTTCAAATTCTGCTGTTGCTGCTCCAACTGAAGATATTCAAATGACTCCAGTTGTTCCACCTTATTCAGAAATCAAGCTTGATGATTACAAATTTACAAGATAATAATAATACACCAGATAAATAAATAATTATAAATAATTATACGTTATGAATGTTTCTCTGCAAATACTACTTGCTTGTTATCTTTCTCTTTATCATTTCCATTTCCATTTCAATTTCCATGTTCCATTTTGGAGAACAACTTCATGTCCTCAATCTCGTCATCCATTATATTTTGTAGGATCTCTTCTATCCTAAAATAAACTCTTAAAATCATATAATTTGGTTCTTTTAAGGGCAATCTTAATGGAGAATTTGGCCCTAACCAAAATCCATCGTATGTACCATACTGAGCTGCCCCTTTATCAATCTCTTTGGAGTCTAACAGCCTAAGTATTTCCTGCCATTGTTTGTGGGTATACTTCTTTTGTGGATTTTGTACTGAGTCTCGAATCAATGATTTTAAATGTTCCAAAAACTTTAATACATTTTCATGAGCTTCTTTTGAAGTTTTAATCTTGTCTACTAGTTTGGAATGGTCTAAATTAAATGAATTGCGTTCTGTTGCTTCCTCTGCTTCCTCTGCTTCCTCTCCTTCATCAATTTCCTCTTCCTCCTCTTCTATTTCATTTTCCACTTCATTCTTCATAATATCATCTTCTTCATCTAACGAACTCATTTCTTCATCTTCTTGGACTTCTTCCTCTAATACAGCTCTAGAGTTTAATGTCATTATATCATCTTGATCTTCTCTTCTTTGTTTTTTCTTTGATTTTCTCATTTCATATTCTAAATCGGTTGCAAAAAACCAACCCAGAAACCAAACAGACAAACTTTGAAAAAAATCATACAACTGGTCACCAACCGAGCTGATAAGAATTGTCATAAGCGGAACTGCACCAATTGACCACGATATAAAGAATGTACGTCCTAAGTTTGTCTTTGGTGCGTAGTCCCCATATCCAATTGTCAACAAACATAAAAAACAAAAATAAATCAGTTGAAAATAAGTCCACTTCTCAATCTTATGAAATATAAAACCACCAATAAGCCAAAATAACATAAATATAGTTAAGGTAATTGCTATTGAGAAATTTCCATGTTTTCTTTTAACTTTTCTTCGTAGTACTCTCATCTTATGAAATGCTTCTTCAGGAGTTAGATGGATGGATTCACGTTCTAGTTTATCAATTAATGCTATTCTTGCCTTTTCTAAATCATTCCAAAATATAGCTGGAGCTGCACTTGATAAAATGACTGATCTTAAACTGGCAACAATTAAACCCATGATTAAAACACCACCAAGTGAAAAGATTAAAACGACTACTTTCGCACTTGATCTATGAGGAGTGACATCTCCTAACCCTATAGTTAAAAATGAAACGATACAATAATACATAGAAGATCCATAAGTCAAATCACTAATCAAATGTTCCATTGCAACTGATCCACATACCGTCCAGATTGTGAAAAAGATAGTAAACACCATTAACGTTCTTTGTTTTTGATCTAGATTGAAAGTAGCTGGATACTTCTTTAGTTTGTAACCCAAAAAGTTTATTAATAAAATTACCGTACATGAAAAATAAAAAGCAGCGGTAAAACAAGCAAAATAAAAACCTTCAGATTTTTCTAGACCCGGAGTCATTGTTTGATAATTTGCGACTAAAACAGCAGCAGTTAATAAACAACTAGCACAAAACCAAGCAAAAATTGAAATACATTGACTAATTAAATATTTGACCGATCTTGAAAAATTCATCAATAAAGAAATATTACCAATTATACCTAAAGCCAATGATAATGCATTCATAACAACAACTTTATGAGTATCTGAATATAAATGACCAGTTTCTTTATCTTGTCTCCAATGTTGGATTAAAGCAATTATTGAAACCATATTAGATAAAGGACCTAAACAAGCAGCTGTTAATGGAAAATATGAACTAATTATAAACCAAAATACAAAGTAGGGCTCTCCAGGTTTGACATTCAAATTAAGTACTGACTCGACGGGAAAACTAAATGTATTTTTGAATGCTATTGGAGCTAAAACTCTCTTTTTATCATTTATATCTTTTGGTTGATGATAATCATGTAATAAAGGAGATAATTTATCCTCATATTTTCTCATGTGTTGATCATTTAGCTCAAGTTTATTGATTGGATCTGGCCGTAAGGCATTAAAAGCTTTCAATATTTCAGATTGAAATGTTGGAGAACGTTTAGTCATATTTTTGTCATGGTCACCACTCTAATCTTGCAAATTTTTTAGCAATAATCAACTTTTTGTGTATAATATTTTGGCTTAATGTTTGTTTTTGCTAACAAGTGTTTCAAAATCTCGGATTTAATTTTTAGATGAAATTGATTTACGAGCAATTTTATGTACATGAAATTTATATCATAAGGCTATTTACTTCAAAGCTATTCTGGTAATTTAAATGGTAATTCATTATTGACATTCAATATCCATGTTCTCATTAAATTCTTCTGTATATTTTTCTTTTTATCAACATTACCTCCTAATATGTTGCTTTTATATTGTTGAAATTTCTCATTATTCAATTGTTCAAGTATAAAGTCCATAAAAAATACTCTTTTCTCTTCTTCATTTGTATAAACTGGTTTATTAACTTCTAATTCCAATGTTGATTCTGTGGTTGGCCATGAATTTATATTATATTTTGCTTTAATATCATTAATCTCGTTAATTAAAACTTCATCATTCACACTGTCGTCATTTATTCCATTTCTTAGTTTATATGATAATTCATCCAATTTTTTCATATCACTTATTTGAGTTATAATCTTATTAAATTCCATTTTATGATTTTTAAAACTTTCTAAAAATAATTGTTGTTCTTCTTTAATTCTTGATTTTGCTAAATCTTCATATTGAGCAAATTGTTGGCCCTTATTTTGTTTAAATTCTGCAATGGCAAAATATTTTCTTTTTGATATTTTAGGTATTGATTCAATTCTAACTATATCACCTTCTTTACAAACATTTCCTTCATCATGAACTAAATAATCTTTTCTTTTAACAATTTCTTTATCTATTCTATTATCGTAAACTTTATTGGAAATTCTAACTTTAACTGTTTTAGACATTTTCCCTTGGGAAACGACTAATCCAACAAAGTTTTGTCTAGCCATAGGGTATAAATTTGGTTTGATAAAATTTTATTTGAAAAATATTTTTCAAAATACGCACGTAAAAATTTTGCAGCTAAAATAGAGCTACCAATTCCAATCATATATTTATTCATTAATTATATCATTCAATACTTTGGTAAAGTTTTCTATTAATCTCTCATTTTCATCTGGTGTACCAATTGAAATTCGTAAACCACCAGTACAATTTAATTCTGAACCTCTAAATCTAATAACTGTAGCTTCTTTTGTAGCCAATGTATTGTATAATTTTTTAGCTACTTCGTTTGATGGTTTACCATCCTTATCTAATATTTCAAGTAAAATAAAATTTGAATCCAATCCACCTATATTTCTACCTACGTTTGGTAATTTAAGTAATTCATTTAATACAATTTCTCTTTGTTTTATAATTTGATCAACAAATTCTTCCACTAATTTAAGTCCGTCTTTATTAGTAGCTCTAATTGCAACATTAGAGGTTAATGATGATATGTTGTAAGGATATTTCATTGCATTTAAATAATGACTTAATTCTTTACTGGAATATGTAATACCTAATCTTATACCAGCTAATCCAAATGATTTAGATAATGTTTGTAAAACAACTAAATCGGAATATTGGTTGACTAATGTACACATTGATTCACTAAATTCATTATTTTTACTGGTAAAATCAATATACGCTTCGTCAACAATGACCAATCCATTCCAAAATTGTCCCACTTTATTTAATAACTCAATTATACTATCCACATTTATTAGTTTACCAGTTGGATTACCAGGAGACGTTAAATATAACAATTTTATATTTTCATCAGATTGTAATTTTTCAGTGATTTTATCCTGATCAAGTTGAAAATTAGGAATCGTTAATGGTACTTTCTCAATACTGACATCATTTGTAATTGCACAGATTGAATACATTCCATAAGTAGGTGGACAAATTAACATCTTATCTTTACCTGGTATGCAACAACATCTTAATAACATATCTATACTTTCATCGGAACCAACTCCTAAACATAAATTTTCTATAGTCAATTGATCTGATTTATTCTTTAAATGTTTATTTGGAGTTTGATTTCTATAATCTATAATTTGTTGTTTTAGATTATGTTGATGAGGATCTGGATATCTATTTAATTCAAGATTTATTTCTTCCTTGGATAAATTTGAAACTGCTGGACCAATTGTGTTTTCATTTGCATCTAGTAATATACCTTCTTTGAAATCATCTCTCGCACATCTATAAGGCTCTAAAGTTAAAATATTAGAACGAATGACTTTCTTTAAATCAAACATGATTGAATCGACGGACAATTTTGAAAAATGGAGTTATGAGTCAAAAAATAAGCGCCAAAAAAAAAAAAAAAAAAAAAAAAAAGGGTCGTGTCAAAAACCGTTATAAATTTTTTTGCAGCCAAATATATTACGATTCTATGTATTGTTTAACTACTTCTTTAACAGAATCTTGTAATGAAATACAATCAATTCTTAATATTTTTTCAGTTTTTGAAAAATCAATCTTATCAGCATGTTGAAGTTGATCATAATCTTGAAGTTTAAGTACATCACCTTTTGGTAAATTCAAATCTGGAAATTTTTTATTAATAATGCTAAGAAGTAATTCATTTGAAGACTTATCTGCTGATATCCTAATCTATGATTATCCAAATTCTTATAAAATGGTACAATATGTGCCTATGTGCCTTAACTACATCATTAACATGAATGAAATGATTTATAAATAATGGAATTTCATATCATCAGGTTTCAAAGGAAAAGTAACATTTTTGTTATTATTTGATTTGATAAATTGATTTTGGATTTATCCTGGATAATACCGAAAGCCTGTTCTCCAAATATAAAACTTGGGTAAAACGTAACAACTTGAAATTTTGGTTTTTCCTTTTCCACAAATTTCCAAAATTCTCTTTCAGCTACTGATTTGGTAGCATAATAGGCAGTTATGGAATTTGTTAAGTCCTTGTTGTAAAGATGTTGGATTACGATCTTCTTCAGTATAAATATGAGTTATATCCTTACCAAGAGTTTTAATTGCTGCATAAGAAGAAGCTATAGCAAATTTCTTAAGAATTCTTACCTGAAGTTTTAGCAGCTAACAATGCGTTTTTGGTACCTTCAACTGCAGGCTTAATGATTTTATCTTCTACTTGACTCGGATCTACATGGATAACAGACGGGGCCATATGATAAAATATAGTGACATCTTGAGGTTTACCTGAAATTTCATTAAAAGCACCGTCTATAGTTATATCAGGAACAATTTCATATAAAAACTTATCGGAATTGATAACATCTTTTAAAAATTCACCTTTTGATTTTTCTCTAACGGTACCAATAACCTTGAATCCATCTTTCAATAATTGTTTAATCAAATGTTTTGAGCAATAAAACCATTAGCTCCAGTAACAAAAGCTACTTTATCAATTGATGAACTCATCTTATTTAGTAGTGATAAATAATTTCAAATTTTATTGTTGCATCGTGTTTAATTTATGCATTTGCATTTTGACACCTTTCAATGTACGATTATATAAGCTAGGTTTCATGTCGGATTTATTAAATCAGTTGTTCCTCATTAATATCAAGAATTGTGGATCCACGTTGATTAAATTATGAATAGATAAAAATTAAACACACATATATTCAAATTACAAAATTAATATAAAAGTAAAACTTAGCCATAGTAGATTAAGTGCTAATTTATTTGATTGACCTCTAAAAGTCACCAATGGAAATTCATCAAATTGACCTTCAATTGATCCAGTTGCTTGTGGTACATCTTCTGTTAATGCGATAGTTATGTGGTTGTTGTTATTATCAACAAAGACATAATCCACCGATTGTTGTTTTCCAGAGTCACTTTCATTTTCTATTGAATGGACATACAGTGTGGTGAGTAATGAGAAAAACTCTGTCATTGTATAGGTGTTTTCTTCAACTGTAATGATATGGAAAATGTCAAGATTGGTCAACACATCATTCGAACCATCTGAGGTTGTATAAATACTTGTGAATATTGTTTTTGTTGCACCATCCGTATTAATTTGTTGGTTTAATAATGAAACAACGTCCATAGATTGAACAGTTGTTGGATTTGATAAGTTACTTCCATTGTCACTTTTCGATTCATCGGGATGGTATGTTAGTGGCACATTAGTTGCTTCTACGGCATTGATTCCTTCAGTTTCAGTTATTGTGATTGTCTCTGAAAATTCATTCTTACCTATTAACTCAGTTACGATTTTTTCTATACCATCACTTGTTATTGTAACTATATTAGTGGATATAAACTCAAATGTGGCGGTAGTTTCATAAGCAGTTATTGAATTTGATACTAAAAGGATAACATAAACACCAGCAATTTGATTGAATCTAGACGAGTATCTGGAAGTTGTAATAACTCTGGTTTTCCCATCTTCTCTTCCAGCCGATAAACTTTCAAGAATAGTTTGCAAGCTATTCAATTCTGAATTTGAATAATAATTGGAAATAGTCGTTGTATAATATTCTGTGATGTTTTTTGTGACAGCGACTATTGTAAAAGTGACGGTTGATCTGTAATCAGTTCCAATTTTGGTTGATTCAGTAATTACTATTGAAGATCCATATTCATTTTCATAAGTGTAAGCAAATGAATCGCTACTGTATGACGTAGTAAGTATGGAATATACTTCTGTTGGAGCTAAATCATGAGAATTTTCGATATTAGACTCACTTGATGCCTGGCTTTGAGCGGATTTTAGAGCATTAGTTGATTCACTTGATGCTAAATTTTGGAATGTTTCCATGTCACTTTTTGATCCATTTGAAATCAACTCTTGTGAGCTCTTGAAGTCATTTTTATAGTCTTTTTCAATTGTAGTTTTTGTTGATATTTCTGTAGTTTCAATTTCTTCAATTATGGTTTCAATCACAGAACTTACAATTGGCTGTATAGTATTTGACACATTACTGTGGTATGTATAGGCTGATTCAATAGTTTTAGTTTCATAATTTGTGGATAACATTGATGTGTGTATGAATGTGGAAGATACGTTAACTAGAGATATTGGCCCTGGCAATAATGTCACAATAAAAGATAACAGTAAATCTTCTTCATTTGTGAATATCAGTGTAGTTGCTTCATAGGTATCGGCACTAGTTGCAGTCATGCTTTCAAATTGATAACTTTCTGTAATTTTAACATCATCACTTGTATAAATTATATGAGCTTCGGTTGAAACTTGCCCTATTATAGATGATATCGTTTTTATAGTATCCGAAATCATAATATTATCGTCAGATTCAGAAACCAAGTTACCTGCCATATCTCCTTTGGCACTATCAACCAGCTCAATTGACTTTTCTGAAGTCAACTTAATATCATCAATTTCCTCATCAACAAAATCTTGAGATTCAGTAGCTTTCGAGTTTTCCCCTGTCATGCTTGCTTTATCATCCGTGATGGAGGTCTCATCGCTTTCTTTACCACCAAAATTAAATTCTACTGAAGAATGTGCAAAGTCACCAGATTCAGTGTTATCACCTTCTCCTTCACCAATATTTGTAACACTAGATCCATATATATTATTTAATTCATCTTCGGAATTAATTCCAATGCTTTGTGTACTTTTAATGTCTGTATCAAGATTTTCACTTTCTAAGATTGAATTAACGTTTTCTGTTTCTAACACTAAAGAATTACCCGTTGATAATGATTCAATAAGTTCCGACTTTGTAAACCACTCCCCATTTTCATTTGTTTTTACCGCAACTCTAAATTGTTCGATCGTTTCTTCATTTTCCTCATTTATGGAAGAAATAGCCGTTGTATACTCTGTTGAGGTTGGAGAACTTATAGTTGAAGTTAACGTGTACCAGCCACTTTCATTCAGATCAATTTCAATAAGTAAGGTTTGACTAGTTTTCATCCACCATTTATTATACGACTCAATGATTGTTGTATAACTCGTAGGTTCTGCGGTTGATGCTATAGATTCAAATGTCGAGTACGAAATTTCACCATTATTATATATAAATGCTAAGCCGGATGCAGTGTTTGTCACTGTTTCATAAGGATATTCAGTATAACTGACGTAGATACTGGTAAATGACGAAGTACTTTCAATGTATACGGAGGAATTTTCTGTTTCGTTTGATTCACTTATTTGTTCGCTATCATCTGGTAGTTCAGTTTCTTTCAACTCGTCCAAATCGTTTGTTTTTCCTATCTTGTATTCTTCATTTGTATCATCAGTCTGCTTAGGTTCAAGTACTTCAATATCTTTTGCATCTTCAAAATCTTCTGGTTCTTCAGTATCTTCTGCATCATCAATATCTTTTGTACCATCTATTTCTTTTGATTCTTCAGTATCTCCAATATCGTCACTATCATATGATCCATTAGCTTCGTTGCTTTCTTTGTTTTCATTCTCATCGACGGAAGCTTGCGCAGCAATCTCTGTTTCTTCAGCTATTTCCCCAATTTCAGATTTACTTGTTACACTTCCCAAATTACTTGCTGTAGTCTCCGAATCAAAACTAATAGAAGCAGTTGAGATTGGTTCAAGAATTGTGTGTAATTCCCCATTTTCATTAATTTGCACCAAAGCTTTGACTTGATTGATAGTTTGTAATCCTTGATCATCATCGGTGGTAACATTCATTGTGTATTCCATTAAAATTGGGTTGGTAACAGTTGAAGTCCAAGTTGCATAGCCAAAACTATTCAGACCAACTACAACAAGCAAGGTTTGGGGATATGCATTCCATAATCTATCATAAGTATAACCGGTAGTCAAATAAGTTGTGGGGGTTGGTGTTGGTGGTAATAATGTTGAGTATGAATATTCATTATTATTGAGTAAATATCCCACAATTGTGGCAGTCTTTGTCACTGTTTCATAAGGATATACATTATAACTGACGTAGGTACTGGTAAATGTGGAAGAATTTATAATAGAAATCGTGGAGGAGCCAGAACCAGTTGCTTCTATTCTATCTGAGTTATTTATTGTTGATGCTGATTGTTCGTTTGATATTGTAGCCTTTTCTTCTTCCTCGTCAATATTTTCAAATTCTTTAAATTCTTCAATCTCTCCTGTATTTTCTGCAATTTCATTAGTTTCGGTTAAATTATTGGTTTGAGTAGATTTATTATTGTCATTTTCTTGATCTTCTCCAAAACCATCACTATCATTTGATCCATTAGCTTCGTTGTTTTCTTCGTTTTCTTTCTCATCGACGGAAACTTGCACAGCAATCTCTGTTTCTTCAGCTATTTCCCCAATTTCAGATTTACTTGTTACACTTCCCAAATTACTTGCTGTAGTCTCCGAATCAAAACTAATAGAAGCAGTTGAGATTGGTTCAAGAATTGTGTGTAATTCCCCATTTTCATTAATTTGCACCAAAGCTTTGACTTGATTGATAGTTTGTAATCCTTGATCATCATCGGTGGTAACATTCATTGTGTATTCCATTAAAATTGGGTTGGTAACAGTTGAAGTCCAAGTTGCATAGCCAAAACTATTCAGACCAACTACAACAAGCAAGGTTTGGGGATATGCATTCCATAATCTATCATAAGTATAACCGGTAGTCAAATAAGTTGTGGGGGTTGGTGTTGGTGGTAATAATGTTGAGTATGAATATTCATTATTATTGAGTAAATATCCCACAATTGTGGCAGTCTTTGTCACTGTTTCATAAGGATATACATTATAACTGACGTAGGTACTGGTAAATGTGGAAGAATTTATAATAGAAATCGTGGAGGAGCCAGAACCAGTTGCTTCTATTCTATCTGAGTTATTTATTGTTGATGCTGATTGTTCGTTTGATATTGTAGCCTTTTCTTCTTCCTCGTCAATATTTTCAAATTCTTTAAATTCTTCAATCTCTCCTGTATTTTCTGCAATTTCATTAGTTTCGGTTAAATTATTGGTTTGAGTAGATTTATTATTGTCATTTTCTTGATCTTCTCCAAAACCATCACTATCATTTGATCCATTAGCTTCGTTGTTTTCTTCGTTTTCTTTCTCATCGACGGAAACTTGCACAGCAATCTCTGTTTCTTCAGCTATTTCCCCAATTTCAGATTTACTTGTTACACTTCCCAAATTACTTGCTGTAGTCTCCGAATCAAAACTAATAGAAGCAGTTGAGATTGGTTCAAGAATTGTGTGTAATTCCCCATTTTCATTAATTTGCACCAAAGCTTTGACTTGATTGATAGTTTGTAATCCTTGATCATCATCGGTGGTAACATTCATTGTGTATTCCATTAAAATTGGGTTGGTAACAGTTGAAGTCCAAGTTGCATAGCCAAAACTATTCAGACCAACTACAACAAGCAAGGTTTGGGGATATGCATTCCATAATCTATCATAAGTATAACCGGTAGTCAAATAAGTTGTGGGGGTTGGTGTTGGTGGTAATAATGTTGAGTATGAATATTCATTATTATTGAGTAAATATCCCACAATTGTGGCAGTCTTTGTCACTGTTTCATAAGGATATACATTATAACTGACGTAGGTACTGGTAAATGTGGAAGAATTTATAATAGAAATCGTGGAGGAGCCAGAACCAGTTGCTTCTATTCTATCTGAGTTATTTATTGTTGATGCTGATTGTTCGTTTGATATTGTAGCCTTTTCTTCTTCCTCGTCAATATTTTCAAATTCTTTAAATTCTTCAATCTCTCCTGTATTTTCTGCAATTTCATTAGTTTCGGTTAAATTATTGGTTTGAGTAGATTTATTATTGTCATTTTCTTGATCTTCTCCAAAACCATCACTATCATTTGATCCATTAGCTTCGTTGTTTTCTTCGTTTTCTTTCTCATCGACGGAAACTTGCACAGCGATCTCTGTTTCTTCAGCTATTTCCCCAATTTCAGATTTACTTGTTACACTTCCCAAATTACTTGCTGTAGTCTCCGAATCAAAACTAATAGAAGCAGTTGAGATTGGTTCAAGAATTGTGTGTAATTCCCCATTTTCATTAATTTGCACCAAAGCTTTGACTTGATTGATAGTTTGTAATCCTTGATCATCATCGGTGGTAACATTCATTGTGTATTCCATTAAAATTGGGTTGGTAACAGTTGAAGTCCAAGTTGCATAGCCAAAACTATTCAGACCAACTACAACAAGCAAGGTTTGGGGATATGCATTCCATAATCTATCATAAGTATAACCGGTAGTCAAATAAGTTGTGGGGGTTGGTGTTGGTGGTAATAATGTTGAGTATGAATATTCATTATTATTGAGTAAATATCCCACAATTGTGGCAGTCTTTGTCACTGTTTCATAAGGATATACATTATAACTGACGTAGGTACTGGTAAATGTGGAAGAATTTATAATAGAAATCGTGGAGGAGCCAGAACCAGTTGCTTCTATTCTATCTGAGTTATTTATTGTTGATGCTGATTGTTCGTTTGATATTGTAGCCTTTTCTTCTTCCTCGTCAATATTTTCAAATTCTTTAAATTCTTCAATCTCTCCTGTATTTTCTGCAATTTCATTAGTTTCGGTTAAATTATTGGTTTGAGTAGATTTATTATTGTCATTTTCTTGATCTTCTCCAAAACCATCACTATCATTTGATCCATTAGCTTCGTTGTTTTCTTCGTTTTCTTTCTCATCGACGGAAACTTGCACAGCAATCTCTGTTTCTTCAGCTATTTCCCCAATTTCAGATTTACTTGTTACACTTCCCAAATTACTTGCTGTAGTCTCCGAATCAAAACTAATAGAAGCAGTTGAGATTGGTTCAAGAATTGTGTGTAATTCCCCATTTTCATTAATTTGCACCAAAGCTTTGACTTGATTGATAGTTTGTAATCCTTGATCATCATCGGTGGTAACATTCATTGTGTATTCCATTAAAATTGGGTTGGTAACAGTTGAAGTCCAAGTTGCATAGCCAAAACTATTCAGACCAACTACAACAAGCAAGGTTTGGGGATATGCATTCCATAATCTATCATAAGTATAACCGGTAGTCAAATAAGTTGTGGGGGTTGGTGTTGGTGGTAATAATGTTGAGTATGAATATTCATTATTATTGAGTAAATATCCCACAATTGTGGCAGTCTTTGTCACTGTTTCATAAGGATATACATTATAACTGACGTAGGTACTGGTAAATGTGGAAGAATTTATAATAGAAATCGTGGAGGAGCCAGAACCAGTTGCTTCTATTCTATCTGAGTTATTTATTGTTGATGCTGATTGTTCGTTTGATATTGTAGCCTTTTCTTCTTCCTCGTCAATATTTTCAAATTCTTTAAATTCTTCAATCTCTCCTGTATTTTCTGCAATTTCATTAGTTTCGGTTAAATTATTGGTTTGAGTAGATTTATTATTGTCATTTTCTTGATCTTCTCCAAAACCATCACTATCATTTGATCCATTAGCTTCGTTGTTTTCTTCGTTTTCTTTCTCATCGACGGAAACTTGCACAGCAATCTCTGTTTCTTCAGCTATTTCCCCAATTTCAGATTTACTTGTTACACTTCCCAAATTACTTGCTGTAGTCTCCGAATCAAAACTAATAGAAGCAGTTGAGATTGGTTCAAGAATTGTGTGTAATTCCCCATTTTCATTAATTTGCACCAAAGCTTTGACTTGATTGATAGTTTGTAATCCTTGATCATCATCGGTGGTAACATTCATTGTGTATTCCATTAAAATTGGGTTGGTAACAGTTGAAGTCCAAGTTGCATAGCCAAAACTATTCAGACCAACTACAACAAGCAAGGTTTGGGGATATGCATTCCATAATCTATCATAAGTATAACCGGTAGTCAAATAAGTTGTGGGGGTTGGTGTTGGTGGTAATAATGTTGAGTATGAATATTCATTATTATTGAGTAAATATCCCACAATTGTGGCAGTCTTTGTCACTGTTTCATAAGGATATACATTATAACTGACGTAGGTACTGGTAAATGTGGAAGAATTTATAATAGAAATCGTGGAGGAGCCAGAACCAGTTGCTTCTATTCTATCTGAGTTATTTATTGTTGATGCTGATTGTTCGTTTGATATTGTAGCCTTTTCTTCTTCCTCGCCAATATTTGCAAATCCTTTAAATTCTTCACTTCGTCCTTCAATCTGTTGTAACTCTTCAGTATTATCTAATCGCTCATTAGCCTCTTTAACTTTCAAAAACTCTTCCTCAGCTTCTGCCTTATCTGTATTTGGTGGACCTGTTATTAAATCATCACTTGTAATTGTTACATTTTCAGTTTGATCAATGGTACTTGATGCTACTAAATTTGAAATCATATTTATTCCAGACATCTGAGGACTAACAGATGCAAAGCTCTGTTTAATCTCATCACTAATTGAGTTCAAAACATCTGGATCTATCGTAGATAATATTAAAGTCGAAATATCAGTTCCCTCCAATTCACTTGAGATTGTATGCCACCAATTTTCTATATTTGATGTAACTACAACTTGATAGGCTTTATCTTCTTCTTGAGTAATATAAGTTGTTGGAAATGGATTAGGTAAAAATTCAGTTGATTCTAACCATAATCCGTTATCCAAACCATATGAATGAATTATAATATCTCTAAAATCATCTTCAAAGTCAATTCTAGTATGTCCAGTGGAAATCTGAGTAATCTTCACGTCTTGTGTCTCAGTTGTCCATGTTCCTTTTGAATTTGTAAATACTGTAACTAGTCCAACTGAAAAAGTATCTGTTCTTTCTGGCGCAAATTGCCAATCTAAGTAAGCAGTTGATGTTGGTTGAACTGGAGCTGAAGAGGTAAACCATTCTCCATTATCGTTTGCATATACGAGTATTCTGAATTGCTCCAAATTACTAGATCCATCTTCCTCTTCTATAAGCATATCCAAAATATAATCCATTGAAATTTTACTGGAAACAGTTGATGTTGAAGTATACCAACCATACTGATTTTGATCAACTTTGATATATAATGTTTCAGTGGTTTTTTGCCAAAGATTATCGAATGTTTCAACAACGGTCGTATAACTCGTTGGTGTCAATTTCTTGGAATCTAATGTTGAATAATAGTATTCTTTGTCATTATACACGTATGCCACAACTGTAGCCGTATTTGTTATTGTTTGATAAGTATAGTAATTATAACTTGTGTAAAGAACTGCAAATGTCGAAGTGCTTTGAATTTGTACAGCTGAAGATTCTGTTACCCAAGAACTTGCGTTATTAGTCGAAACAAAAACCAAATAAGTTTGTAAAATAGATTCTGTTTCGGATGTAGTTATTGTAGAATGAGTCATATAAGTTGTAGAAGATGGTTCCGTGAAAGAAATAGTCTGAGTATAATAATTACCATTTTCATCAACATCGACTTTGTAAATACCAGTTCCAGTAATTGGATAACCACCAGCCAAATAATTGACAAAAACAGTGACAAATTCAGTTTTAATTGGCACAGTGCCATATTCAGTTTTAGTTATAATCTCACCATTTTCCACTGTTTCGTATAATTTTATCACCTCTCCATTTTCTAATGTACTGGTCTCAGCAGCTTTGAAAGTTTCAGTACTAGTATACCAATTACCATTTTCATCTTCGTCAATAATCACCAAATTACCATTTTCTTCATATGCAACTGGTTCAGTACCGGGAGGATCGACAATTTCACCACATGGTAGACAATGATTGCCATTATTTGCAGCAGCAGGAACAGGAGCATTATATATGATTGCATTACTAGTTCCTTCGTCATAATCTATTAATTTGAAATAAGCATCCGTATAACCGGGGCCAATATTTACTTCTCTATTGAAGGAAAATAAATCATTAGTTTTGAGGGATAATATTCCGGTCGAAGAGCTATAAGACCAAGAACCAAAAACTCCGTTTAAGGCTTTGCTAAAATAAATAACATTTCCATTACCAAAACCAGCGACCTTGACTACTTCTCCATTCAACACACCAGCTAATTTTAATACACAATTTGGTCCAGTAAAGACAATTGTTTGCAGTCCAAACGCATGAGACCTAATCGTGTGAATTTTTGAATTTCCTTGTAATACAAAGCATCCATTACCTTCAGTTTCAGATGTATGTTCGTAATCAACATTGTTCATACAAAAGGAGCCATTATTGGCAAAAGAACGCAATACAAACATATCAAAAGTTGCAGCACCTAAATATTCTTGATGCAATGCAATAACACCTCTATTTTCAAAATGAACTGTACTTATAGCAATTGATGAATTACCACCTTGCACGTTAAAGATCAAATCACCATCATTATAAAGCCCATCAACTGCAAAACTAATTTCACAAAGATCTGAAACTTGTCTAGTATCGAAATTCACTAATCCATAATTAGTTAAGGACATAAATGGTCCAAGAAAAGTAAATGCTAATGGTTTATTTGTATTGGTAACGTATAATGCCGATAGTGGATTGACAGTAACAGCACCACCTATTATGAATTTTGGAACATCCACAATTGACCAATATGCACCATTTCCAATGGTAAATCGACCAAGTTCAAGATTTGTTTCACCTCTATCTATTCTACTATCAAATATATCTACTCCAATACTATTTCGTAGTAGAAACAACCATAAGATTAACCACATTCTGAAGTTGAAACTTTTTGATTGAATTACCAACTTCATCATTCATTGGTATTAATAAGATTCAGCTAATGTTACATTGTGACAAATGCCGAGATACGATAGGTGAATATTCCGGATCTTAACTTTGTACAATCACAAGGTTTATTTTACTTGTGGCCCTATTGGGACTATTATTTGTCTCGAAAATATTTTCTTGACTGCATTAAATTGCAGAGATCTCGTATCACTGCGTGATTTAGCATATAATGAGCATGATTAAAAAGATGGCAAATCCGAGTTTATTATTAGGCATTTGGAAGTTTTTAGATTTCTTGATGTAACTTTATTGATTATGGCACTTTTTCGTAGCATTTTTTTATTATTTGCAATAATATCTCCTTTAATCATAATCACGAGGAATATAGTAGATACATTAATTCTATAGCCATGAGAAGGACCCCATAGTTTTATATTTTTAATAAATGAGAGATTTTCTTCCTAAAAGGTTGTCTAGGCTCTCCTTTTATTTCAGTTTTCTGAGCTAAAACCTACTTTTTACAGAATAATACCAATTTTGAATAACTAATTCAAACAATCGATATCCTGCGATGTTCGAAATACTAGACAGGCAAAATATAGGGGGTGTAAATTTTCTATTAATCTGTATATTTACTGTAGTAGGTTTGTGCTAGTGACTTAACGATGACGACTACCATCTGAAAAATCTTTAAAAATTTATTACATTGTACTGCTTTTTATGAGCACCAGGCTACGGTATCAAATAACGGACTTCAATTCCGAGAATTTAACTTATTGTGTATATTAGCAACCATACTTGAGACACAAGTTGACTTTTATGTGGTTATGCATTATTTCTAGATCTGATGTAACTTTTTTCAAGATAATGCAAATCAAATCCTCAAGATTGATCTATATTGGAATCTTAAGATTTTGTAGATACGTTCTTATTCATCGAAACTCGTCTTACTAGCTTGATCTCTTTACTAAACTTCTTTACCTTTCATATTTTCACATCACCGCCACAGGTCGAAATAAACTTTTTTAGTTTCATAATTAGCCGCGAGAAGGGCTGCAAAAAAAAAGAAATAAACGTCGACATATAATTTTGGCACTAGATTTGTTTAAGAGATATGCATTTTTGGTTTGTCTCAGAAATTATTCATGGTTTAGATTGATTCCGGTTGCTGAATGATGAGTAGATGGGTCCAATTATTTAAATAGATCAAATTTTCAATTGAAAATTGGTAACTCTTCATCATGACAACACCATTCATACGAGATAGCTGTTTTGGTAGATTAATTTACTATTTTTCAAATCATAAATACTTCCATCATAAAGAAGAATCATCAGACTACATAATACCTGAAAAGTATTATGCCAATGAATATAAAGCTGAGAAAGATAATATAGAAAATAACATAATTCAATCCGATTCAAAAGGAACTTTTCAATTAAAACCAGATGGATCTTCAGGCTCAAAATCCGATTATGAAAATCAAATGAAAGAAGATGAGATATTAGTAACTTGGGATGATGAAAATGATCCTGATAATCCACAAAATTGGTCAAGAGCTTATAAAATAATTTATGTTTCACAAATTTCATTATTGACTGGAATTGTTTATGTTGCATTAACTATTTATACGCCAGGAATAGGTGATTTACAAAAAGAATATAAAAATACTAATCAAATTGTTGCATTATTACCTGTTACAATATATGCTTGTGGTTCAGCTGTTGGTCCACTATTTTTTGCACCTCTAAGTGAAAATGCAGCAGTTGGACGTGTTTACGTTTATCTAATTACATGGTTCATATTTGTAATTTTACAAATTCCAACTGCATTAGTTGAAAATTTTGCTGGTTTATGTATATTAAGATTTTTAGGTGGTTTTTTTGCTAGTCCATGTTTGGCAAATGGAGGAGCTACAATTTTAGAAGTGATAAGACTACATGATTTACCACTTGGGTTATCTGTTTGGTCTTTAGGTGCAATTCCAGGATTAGGACCTTTAATTGGCTCTGGTCTAATAGTTGGTATGAATTATAGATTTACATTTTGGTTTCTATGTTTCTTTTCAGGATTTTTATTTATAATCATGTTTTTTACATTACCTGAAACTTATGAAAGAACTTTATTACTTCGCAGAGCTATTAGGTTAAGGGCTATAACTGGTAATCAAAGAATTGTAAGTAAAGGTGAAATTGAAAATAAAGTAATGACTATATCTGAAAAGGCTAAAGAGTTTTTAATAGCCAAACCATTGGAGATTGTAATTTGTGAACCTACATTATTATTAATTAACGTATGTACTTTTTTAGCAAATTCTGTTCAATGTTTATTTTTTGGATCAATAACAATTTATTTTCAATTAAATAGAGGTTTTACTACGGCTGAATTAGGTGGTTGCTGGATCAGTGCAATCGTTGGTGTGGTATTTGCAAATTGTATTTATAGTCCTTATATGACAAAACATTTTACAAAGCCTGTTAGTCAACATCAATTAGTATTTGCCGATACTTTAATTCCAGTTGCAATTGTAGGTAGCTGTATGATTCCACTTGGTTTGATTATATTTGGATGGACAGCTTGCAAACAGTTACATTGGTTCCCACCATTAATTGGTATCGCGGTATACGCTGGCGGATTATTTTTAGTATTACAAACATTGTATGATTATTTGGGTGCTTCATTTAAAGTTGATTATATGGCATCAGTTTTTGCATCCAATAATTTATTTAGAAGTGCAGCAGCTGGAGGTATGCCCTTGTTAGGTAATATGTTATTTAATAATTTATCAACTGAGAATTTCCCAGTTGCCTGGGGTGCCTCAGTTTTAGCATTCATAAGTATTGGATTAATTTCAATTCCAGTATTTCTTTGGCATCATAGTTCAAAGTTAAGAACAAAATCAAAATATGCAAATTGCTAAACCGTAGAGCTATATATATCCAGACTAATACACGATGTATATTTACTTAAGTAACATAAAAATTATCTAATACCAAGCTCCTCTATCTTGATACCCATATTGAGGATATTGCTGATAAGCACCATATTGAGGCATTATTGGTTGTTGAGGTAATGGTTGTTGTTGTTGATTTGTTTGTGGTTGTTGACCAGATTCACCAGATTCTGAGTTTGAAGCTTGGGATTGACCACTTGATTGTTGATTTGGTTGTGATTGACCTTGTTGTGGTTGTTGTTGAAATTGTTGTTGTGGATATGAATAACCTGGATATCTGTTATTGAATTGATTTGGAGTGTAATATTGTTGTTGACCAGTGAATCCGTTAGATGAAGTTTGTTGTTGTTGTTGTTGTTGTTGAGATTGTTGTTGAGTTTGTGGTTGTTGTTGTTGTTGAGATGTTTGTTGATTTTGTTGTTGAGGAGTACCAATAACACCTGAACCAGCAGCAGCAACACCAGTATTAAAACCACTTGAACCCAAATTACCAGCTGAATTAAAGTATGGATTATTGTAATAACCATAATAATATGGATAAGCAAATGGTGTTGGAATTTGCTGCTGTTGAGTATGTTGTTGTTGCTGAGCTTGTGCTTGTTGAGCTTGTTGAGCAGCTAAAACAGCAGCTTGTTGTTGTTGTAAACTTGTTGGATTAGAAATTGGACTTTGAGTAGAATCAGCCGAGTTGGAAGCTGCTTGTTGAGCTGAAGCGTACTGTGAATAACCAGCGCTTGAAGTTGCAGTATGATTTGCTGCTGGTGAAGCAATACCACCAAAAGCAGCAGAAGCAGCTTGTTGTGAATATGCATTATAATCATAACCTGGATAACCACCAAATTGAGCACCTGGTTGAGCAGCAGTTTGTGGATATTGTTGTTGTTGAAATTGATTATAATAATCATACTGTTGTTGCTGAGGTTGTTGTTTGGTGTATTGTTGTTGATATGCACTATGTTGTTGTTGTCTAGGTTGTTGTTGATTATATAAACCGTATCTTTGTTGTTCCACAGGTTGTGGTTGTTGTTCTTTTGATTGTTCTTGTGATTGTTCTTTTTGAGCTTGTTGTTGTTGCTCTTCTTCACTTAAAGATAATGAACCAAATGAAATACCAACTGAATTAATCAGTTCTTGATTTGGTAATACAACTTGAGGTTGAGCTCGTTGATGTTGTTGATGTTGTTGTTGTTGTTGTTGTTGGTTTTGCTGCTGAGGTTGTGATTGTTGTGGTTGCTGAGGTTGTGATTGAGGTTGTGATTCTTGAGATGGAGCAGAAGTTTGAGCAGTTGATATTTCTTCTTCAACTTGTGATTCTATTGTTTCTTGAGTTATTTCTTCAACTGGTTTTTCATCAACTTGTTCTTTTAATTCTTCCTTTTCTTCAGGTTGCTTTTCCTCTTGAACAATTGGTGTTAGTTTCTTTTTTGGTACAGTTTTTGGAGTTATTGCAGAAGCCCAAGAAAATCCTTCTTTTAATTCTGGAACCATAGCATTTTTTAAAGCTGATTTTTTATCAGAAACTTCTTCATTTTCATGTTCACCATTTTTAGTTTCATCTTTTGATTCTATTAATTCTTTATTTTCTTTTTCTTTTTCTTTTTCTTTTTCTTTTTCTTTTTCTTTTTCTTTTTCTTTTTCCTTTTCTTTTTCCTTTTCTTTTTCTTTTTCTTTTTCAAGTTTCTTTGAACTAGTTACAGTATCACCACCAACTTTTTTAAAATCCCCTGCGCTTCTTTTAGCTGGATTGGTTGATTTTTTTGCCCTAGTATTCTGTTTATTAAAAGGTTTATTTGAAGCAAAATTTGAATTTATACTATTACTATTATTAGCAGTTACATTATTATTATTATTTACATCTATTTCATCTTTTTCCTTCTTCTTTTTTTCCTTTTTTATAGGTTCCCATTTTGATACTTTATTATTAACAATCAAATCAATTACAGATTCTAAAGAATGTTCCTTTAATAAACTTTGTAAATCATCTGATTCCCAATCTGGAAACATCTCTTTTAAATTAGCTAGTTCCAACGAACCAGAATTATTATTTGATGATGTAGATGATAAATTATTGGAACTAGAACCAAATCTTTTACTATTATTTTTGAATGTCTTTTTTGTTGATGACATTATATAAGATTATATGATATGATATGATATAGTTTATTACAACTTTTCCTCTGGATGGTTAAAAAGAATAATCAACTTTTATAGGTATTTTTTTTTTTTATTTATTTTACTTTTGATTTATTTCTTTGATTGAAAAATTTTATATTATGTAAGCACCATAGTTAACAATGAAAAATAGAGTGATCAGAAATTGTATGGTCGTCGAGATTTTGAAAGAAAGTTGTAGACGGTACACGACCTTGACGTTTTAAAATATTTTGCCAAACCATTTGTTCAACGTTAAAATTGTAACATTAAATAGAAGAGAAGGGGGGGATTGAGTTTAAAAGATCGGTTTAAACCAATGCGATGATCAAAGTTTATATACATCTCTTATATTAGATCTCTACGTCTATTAATTATAAAACCTTTTTTAAATTGTCACTTTGTTTCGGTTCTTCATTATTCATCATTGGATCAATTATATTTTCAACAGTTTCACAGAATAAAATATTAATTAAATCCTTCAAGTCATCCCCAGTTTGCTTGAAATCAGGATATGCATTTACTTCTAATAAATTTACCGATAAATCATTATTGACCAAAAAATCTACTCCGTAGAACTCAATTGCATTTTGAAGTGGTTGAAAATTGATTTTATCAACTGTAGAAGCAGCTTTAAATAAATCTGAAGTTATATCACATATTTGATCAAATATATAATTTTTCCTGTTTATATTTAAATTCCAAAATGGTTTAACTATAATTTGTGTTTCATTTTCTTGTAAACAAGTATTTGTTAAATGACCATCCATTGGGATTATTTCATTTTCATCTATTGGTTCTTTATATGATTTCTTTGAAAATAAAGCAAGTATGTTTTTATATACAAACACATTTAAATCACCTTGACATATTATATATACACGTAAATGAAATTTTCTATTATTAAATTCAGATAATAATAATGGTTTTGATTTATATTCTTGGACAATAAAATGTCTTAATTGTGATATAATGATCCCATTATCTTCATCATCCTCATTTATATTCTCTGTATCTGCATCTGTATCTATATCTTCACCTTCTTCAAATGAATTAAAAATATTTTGTAATTGTTCAATAGTTTTAAAAATCCTTATACCTTGACCTTTATCTGACATACTTGGTTTCAAAATCCATACTCTATCTCCTTTCTCAATTTCATCTCTTAATTCATAAGCTTCATCTAATGAATCATCTAAAAATTCAGCGTAATCAACTTCCAATTGATATGTTTCAGGTATGGCTTTGTTTAATATACTTTTTGGATTCTTAACAATGTAATGATGAATAGTATTTGCCAAATAGTTTTTCCTGATTAAAGCTTTTCTATAAATATATGATGGAATGAAATACTTTTCATTAGTTATTGAGTCTATATCAATGTCTTCATACTCACAATAATGAAATACCTTAATATTCGAGTCTTGTATAACAGATTTATCGCTTGTTATATTGTAACCTAGAGTTTTGAATGATTTCACTAGTGGTTCATAAATATATTGATCTTTGGGTATGTCAATTAAAAAAGTTTTGTCAGAATCTTCTTCATCAAGGTCTATTTCTCCAATTAAAGGTTCTATAAACTGGAATTGAGCTTTTAATGGAGTCACACTTATCTCTTCATTTAATAAAACTCTTGAATCTGTATGTGAATGATCTTTTAACCCATCTTTATAAACCTTTTTGAAATCTGGAGTCCATGAAAATTGAATATCACCATCATAACCAAAATCTTTTGTATAAATAGAACCCCAACTATTTTGTAGAATAGGAGCATAATGAATTTTAGTGTTATTATTCAATAATGATTCAACTAATGGAACATTTATTGAAAATAAATCAACATCCTCCGATCTTTTCAATATTGGATATAATTTTTTAATCAATTTTAATGAAATTTCACTTGCTTTTTTAAGAATATCATAATCATGATCTAAATTATTAAAAGCAAAACTTACAGCTATTGATTTTACACCATGAGTTACAGCTTCCATTGCAGCACCAACTGTTCCACTAGTTAAAATGTATAAATTTGATGAATTTTTACCAAAATTTGGCCCACTAATAACTAAATCAATAGGTTTTGAATCATTTAAATGATGAATACCAATATCCGAACAAGCAGCAGGAGTTGAATTGATCAAATGCCATTCTTGATACTCAGGATCATTTTTATACTTCAATTGTGGTTTTTCAAAAGGTCCAATAAATGAATTTATCTTGTTATTTTTCACCAGGGTTGTTATTTTCGTATAAAGATATTTAATACCTAGGGTCTTACCAGCAAAATGTGCCTTACCAATCCATGATCTTTGTTGATCTGGTATAACAATTGTTAATTTCCAATCAGTATTAACTAAAATTTCATCAACTAAGTATTTAAAATATGGACATACTTTATCATTCAAAGGTCCATCATCATTGGTAAGTAATACATGCATTGTCTTAAAATTAAATAAAAAAAAAAAAAAAAAAAAAATTGAAATTTATCAAAACTATCAAAAGTTACAGATTTTCATAATTCAATGTCTGTGTTTTTAGGTACTTCAGCACAATATTCATTAGCTACTATTGATCCAGAAAAGATCAAATTGGCAGAAATTCAGTTTTCTTCAATGGCTCATACTTTTAATAAATTATTAAGAACTTGTGAATTAAAATGTTTAGTACATCATTATGGTGAAGGTGAATTGACAAAAGGAGAAAGTGAGTGTATAGATAGATGTGTTTCAAAATATGTTAAAGCAAATTTGGTGGTTGGTGAACATTTTCAAAGTTTAAGAGTTGATCCATTTAGATCTATGCCAGAATATAAATATATAAATAATAAATTACAAGATATACAGTGAAGAAAATTAGATTAGAGCATAATGATTTTTTGTAAATAGTAATAATTTAATGAATAATGACAATTAGGCATTTTAAATTTAAATCTATAAGTTAAACTAAAGATCTACAGCTTTTTTTTTTGAATTTTAACAAAACATGTTTGATTACGACTAGCTGCTCATATTTGAAACAATGATACTGATACAGATTATGATTCCAATTTAATGTTGATAACTCAAAAACATAATGGAGTAGTGATATTTTATGAGGAAGTTGGATATATAATCTCGTCTAAAATTGTGAAACGCTTCACTTATTTTTCCATTCTAATTAAGCTCAGTAAAATTATGACTTGCAACTCTTGAGACCATTACTTATCATTTAGCTGAAAACTTAAACCCAACGAACTTACTAAAAATATACATTACATATACGTGTCAAAGTTTATCTAATTTTATATATATTACTCAACTATTTGATTTATAATTGATTTTTGGTGTGGAAAATATCCAAAGCTTCTGAAATTCTCTTGGACATGGTTTTTTCACCTTCTCTAACCCAAACTCTTGGATCAAAGTATTTTTTGTTTGGTTTATCTTCACCTTCTGGGTTACCAACTGGTGTTCTTAAATATTCAATATTTTTAGTAACGTAATCTCTAATACCAGTCAAGTATGCATATTGACAATCAGTATCTAAATTAACTTTCACTACACCATTTTTAATTGCAGTATCAAATTCTTGTTGTGATGAACCTGAACCACCGTGGAAAACTAAATATAATGGATGTTTTGCATCGGTACCAAGTTGTTCTTTAGCATATTCTTGATGTTCACCCAAAATTTCAGGTTTCAATTGAACATTACCTGGTTTATAAACACCGTGAACATTACCAAAAGCAGCAGCAATTGAAAAATTTGGAGAAATTTTATGTAAACCTTTGTAAACAGCAAAAACGGTTTCTGGTAAGGTATATAATGATTCTTTTTGAACGTGTTCATTGTTAACACCATCTTCTTCACCACCAGTAATACCAATTTCCATTTCTAACCATTGACCCATTTTAGCCATTCTTTCAAAATATTTTGCACAAGTACCAATATTCTCTTCATCAGTTTCTTCTGATAAATCTAACATATGTGATGAAAATAATGGTTCACCAGTCTCTTTAAACCATTTTTCATCAGCTTCTAACATACCATCAAACCATGGTAATAATTTTTTAGCACAATGATCTGTATGTAAAACAACTGGAATACCATAAGTTGGAGCAATTGATCTAATATAATGAGCTGCAGCAATTGAACCTTCAATTGAAGCATTTTGATTTTTATTATCAACTCCTTTACCAGCAAAATAAGCAGCTCCACCTTGTGAAGTTTGTAAAATAATTGGTGCTTTTGCATCTCTTGCAGCTTCTAAAGCAGCAACAACTGTTGATGATGAAGTAACATTTATAGCTGGAATTGCAAATCCTTTTGCTTGAGCATAGTCAAATAAATCTTTAACATCTTTACCATAGATGACTCCTTTTTTAGATAAAACTGCTGGTTTAGACATTGTTATACAATACTTATCAATATAAATAAATTTAAAATAAACTTAATTGGAAAAGAAAGAGAAAATATGAAAAAAAGAAGAAATCAATTGAATATTTATATAAATAATAATTGGAAATCAACAGATTCTTAAACTACTAAAAATTACTTTGTACATTATTACACGACTTTTTTATATTACCATTAATTGCTCCTCAAAAAAAATGCTGCAAAAAAAAAAAAAAAAAAATAATAACAATTATAATAGTAATAATAGAACAACCGATGTTAACAAATAACATGCCACTACATTAATAGAGTATAAAGTATAGAGTATAGAGTATACAGTAATTTGCTTATATTCAATTGACTTCATAGGTAAATTGATATAGAATCAAATTGTTTTTATTCGCTCCCGCACGACTCACGTGCATATTAAAACCATCAACAGAACGAAAAAAAAAAAAAAAAAAAAAAAAAAAACTCCGGTACGCACTTTCCCGCTAAAATTTATAATTGCATCAAGAGATTGTTTTTAGACATATTCTGATGTCATTTAACATGTCATGTTGGGTCAATGTCATGTCGTATTTATGATTATGGGACATTGATAATATTAGTTGTAAGAAGTTTGATTCGTCGAAAAGACCCTCAAATTATTAAATCTTTTTACATTCTCATTCTCTTTTGAAAAATAAACACAATGGTTGTTAATTAACACGTAAACATAGAATTATAATCGAGAATGTAGGTCTCCGTTGATCCTATGTCCTACGGACAAATTCCTAAACTCACCGGGAGAAAGAACTACCATGTGTATGTTACAACATGTGATTTACCTATATAAAGTTTGCAATAGAAATATCAAATTTAATAATTTATTATATGATATGAACGTCACCTTGTGGTGTAATAATATTCTATTTTTTGTAACTAAATCTGTTTATATGGTTTGTAGACTCGATTATAGGGTACTATTTTCTAGAAATGTAAGTGGAAAATCTTAAAACGTAATTATCTGATGTAATCACCAGACGAGAAAAAAAAATTTCAACTCTATGATGATTTCAATGTTTCATTATGAATGATGATTTATTAATAACTACAATAAATGATTTACCTTATTATCAATTCGACATTAATAATCAATTAGAATTTAAGCAAATTTCACAATTAATTTCAATTCATTTATCTGAACCTTATTCAATTTATGTATATTGGTATTTTTTAAATAATTGGCCAAATTATTGTTTTATAGTAAAAGATCCAAAAAATTACTCCATTATTGGAGTTATTATTTCCAAAATTGAATTACATCGAAATGTACGATACAGAGGTTATATAGGTATGTTGGTAATTGATCCAACTTATAGGAAACAAGGTATTGCCAAAAATTTAGTAAAATTAACTATTGAAAAAATGGAAAAGGATGATTTGGTTGATGAAATAATGTTGGAAACTGAAGTTTCAAATATTGGTGCTTTAAAATTGTATGAAAGTTTTGGTTTCTTAAGAACTAAACGATTGTTTAGATATTATTTGAATACTCATGATGCTTTTAGATTAATACTACCTTTAAGTAATAAAGCTCATAGTCGATATGCATTTTTACCATTACATCCAAAAGAATTGGAAAGACAAAAATTGGAGTTGAATCAAAATTGACTCAAGATCTGCATTTCCAAGAACCAGTTAATACAAGTATTTAAGAAACTTTATAAAAATTGAATGTACGATGTTACTATTAGTAGTTAACTTGTAAATTCCTTGATAAGCAAAGCAATGTAGGTAACTTAATTCTCTCCTATTTGTTTAGTTTAGTTTAGTTTAGTTTAGTTTAGTTTGGTTTAGTTTGATATCTTTATTTGGTTGTTCATAGCATACAACCTAATGTTTTTTTCTGTTTGAGGTCCTAATGCTAGCACGAGAAATGCTTTTGTCGCGCCAAATTTATGGCATGGAAAATCACATACTTTCTCGCAAAATTCTGAAACAACAAATTCACTTATATGCAGCCCTATACTAGATGATCTTGAATTTTAAATTGTAAATAAGTCCTTCAACATTCGAGCTGTAGTTGTCAAACGTTTTCTATTAAAGCTTCAAAATATTCGAAATAATTTGATATTGATTTGTACTGGATAAACACGATTTTGATCACTTTATTAATCATCTAAAGAATAGAGAAAAACGTTATTTTGCAAGATAAAAGACACTTGGTCCTCATCTAACAACTTCTAATATGGCTGACTTGGCACATTCAACCCCTAAAACACTAACTTCGACGGTGTAAAGACACCAAAATAGTTTTGAAATTTTTTCAAAATTTTCAAACCACTTCTGAAAAAATGAAAAAATGCCAAAATGACAACTCAAAAGAAAAATATTGGAAAATTAAAAATTCGAAAGACGTAGAATATATTATTAAACGCTCTTGACTTTATGTAACTGGTAATTATCTCGTAAAAAGACGTTGCTCATGACATATCAACCAATAAAGTTTATTAGTCGCCCTAGAGCTAGCGCGAATAATGCCATATTAACATGGCATTGATTTCGAGCGAGATTACATCCTTGAAAAAATAAACATGAAACAAAATTCCCTTATATGCAGTCTAATGAAACAAATGATTGAATTTGCAAGTAAGTAACTCCCTCAAAGATTAAGCTGTAGTTACAAAACTTTTTTCGTTAAGAATGAAGTCAAGATTAACAATATTGTAATTAACCTCATCACAGTAATGATCCAATTAGGAATTTTAAAAATTGTAAACTAATTATCAAACAAAATTGAAATTAAAAGTGACAAGATTGAAGACTTAGAAGATGAAAATTTAGGAGATGAAGAATTAAAAGATCAAAAATTAGTTCAAACTCCTTAATTATGATCAAGATGAGCCACCATATCCATATTTAAGAAAATTTGATGCAAGTGACAAAGATGAAAAATTTAAAAACAAGCTAAAAAATAACTTAGAATTTTGGAAAATACAAAAGCAAAGAGAAGATAATGATACAATTGAAGATTCAAATTTAGATCATAATCATTTGAAAAGATTTAAAGAAAAACTGACATTTTTGAAACCTAAAACTCAAGAAAAAAGATAAAGATAAAAATGAAGATGAAGATGAAAATGAAGATAAAGAAGAAGAATTAGAGATATTTGCTATTGCAATTGATGAACTAGATCATAGTCGTTTTGATCCATTAGATGATTCCTAAATCCCAAAAAAAATTTGTAGATTTGGTTGATTAAGAACATCTTTAATGAGACTGATAATGACAATTATGTTTGTCACTCTTTTGTTTTAACTTCAATACATATTTTAATTTCATTACTTATTCTAATTTCATTATTTACTTTAGTTTGATTTTTACTTGTTTATTTGTTTGCGTTTTTGTTTCAATACTGTTAATAAATATTAAAATTTAATCCGATCTCTATAATCTCTTATTGATTATTTCATGTCTATAATTCTTTGTTGAATCTTGCGTATACTTTTTTCAATTTTAGAGGATATTTACCCAATCACTTTGAAAGCTACAAATCATTGAACTATTAGGTTTTTTATAAGAGTTAGTTGCCATCATAATTCATTAGAGCCAAGAGTCAGAAGTCTTATGGTATTGGGTTTTTGACCATATATTGAAACACTGTATAATTTACGACCCGTGTACTAATCACTTTTCAAAACGCGCATTAAAAAATAATACGCGTTTTTTAATTTAACTGAATTTTTTTCTTCACTTTTCTTTCCATTTCAATTCAATTCAATTCAACTTCCAATTCCAATTCTTATATATATATATATTGCTAATTAAAACATCATGTTAGAAGGTAAATTTGATGAAAGTACTTTATTAAAAAAAATTGTTGATTCAATTAAAGATTGTGTTAAATTATGTAATTTCAATTGTACTGAACATGGTATTACCGTTCAAGCAGTTGATGATTCAAGAGTTTTATTAGTTTCATTATTAGTTGGTCAAACAGCTTTTACTGAATATAGATGTGATAGAGATATTACATTAGGTATTGATTTAGAATCATTTTCAAAAATTATAAAATGTGGTAATAATGAAGATTATTTAACTTTATTAGCTGAAGATTCACCAGATTCAGTAATGACAATTTTTGAAGATAGAAAAAAAGAAAGGATTTCAGAATATTCATTAAAATTAATGAATATTGATTCTGAATTTTTAAAAATTGATGATATGGATTATGATACAGTTATAACCATGCCAAGTTCAGAATTTGCAAAAATCGTAAGAGATTTAAAAAATTTATCAGAATCTTTAAATATAATTGTTACTAAAGATTCAGTAAAATTCTCATCAGAAGGGGAAAGTGGTTCTGGTTCTGTTATTTTAAAACCTTATAATGATTTAGAAAAACCCGAAGAATCTGTTAATGTTCATTTAGATAATCCTGTTGATTTAACTTTTGGTTTAAAATATTTAAGTGATATTATAAAGGCAAGTTCTTTATCAAATCAAATTACTATAAAATTAGCTGATAAAACACCTGCTTTATTTGAATTTAAATTAAGTGTTGGTGGTTATTTAAGATTTTATTTAGCTCCAAAATTCGATGATGAAGAATAAAATTAATATATAATTATGAGAAAAATAGTTACACTAATCTTAAACTCATTGCATGTAAAAATTTAAAGATGATAGTTTTTATATTACAACATTCTCTATTTGCTTGTATGTATATTTGGCCTGACACTTTTTGTTTTGCTTTGCAATTGCAACTAGTGTCGATGAGTACATTGTTAGCAAATGTAATACGCAATAGACTGAATCAAAAAATGATACACGGTGCTAACAATACTTCCATAAGTAGTTCAATGGGTATACGTTATCACCGAATTGTGACTACTTCAAAGCAAAACTATGAATAAAAAGGTTTCACCTAGTTTACTTTATATCAAAATCGGTATGCCAGTAATTATTCTCCTAATAAGTGCTATTCTTGTTTAATTTGACTTTTTATCATACATTTCTTTACCCCATTTATATAAATCATTTTTTAAACGATCTGCTCTAATTAATCCATTTCTTAAATTGGTCAAGTTCTTAATATATTCGTGTTGTCTTTGTATACTAACCTGTAAATAATTAATCAAATCTTCTTTCATACCATTCAATTTGCTATCTTTATTCATTAATAAATTATTTTGATAATTTTCATATCTTTCTAACGCAGAGGGGAGTGCAAAAAATGGATCAGTTGAAACAGTTTCTGACTCTGGTTTAGCTGGAGCTTTAATTTTTTTATCAATTTTATCAACTTTGGAGTTATCTGATGTTTCAGCTTGTTTACCTTCTTCTTTATCATCATTTTCTTCCTTTTCTTCCTTTTCTTCATTTCTATCCTTTGTTATACCATTTTTGATTTCATTTTTTTCTTTATCATCCTTTTTACCATCCTTTTTACCATCCTTTTTATCATCCAAATCATCATATTCTTGAAGTCCTAAATTTTCTTCAAGGAGATAAAACCAATCCTCACCATTTAAAACATGTAATAATTTATTTAACCAATTCAAATTATTTTGCTCAATTTCAATTAAAGATATTGATTCCATGGATAATTTAGATAATGTTTCACTTCTATAAGTCTTTGAAATTGCAGGATGAGATATAATTTCACTAGGATGATTTAATGGTGATAATAATTCAATTATTTTATTTTGATCAATTAAAGCTTCTTCTTCACTTTCACTTTCACTTTCACTTTCTTCTTCTGAACCAACTTCTTCATCATTCCATTTTCTTTTCCTCCTTCTTGTTTCATTCTCTATAACTTCATTAGTGAGTACCACATATTCTTTATTTCCATATTCGACAACTTTTGAAGTTAATTTATTAAAATTTGGTGATATTTGTGTAGCTGTATTCAATTTAAGACCTCTATTATATGAAGGTAAATCTTCATTTTCAATAGGATTAGTTGATTTATGTAAAGCTTGTTTAAATTGTGATATTACTTCTAATGAAGTTGAATCCAACATGGCATATAATGAATGAAATAAATGTATTGATCGGTTTGAAAAAAATATTTCGCACTACCAACTTTTTGCAATCTAAAAAAACCATTGCAACCAAATAACCAAATAGACAACAAGGAATAGAAGGGATTAAAAGGTGTTAAAAGAGATGAAATTGATCAAAGAAGACCAACAGAGTGGATTAGCTAGTTAATGTTTGAGCTGTAGCGATATTTTATGTTATTTATTGAAAATTGTTGAAAATTGTCACCTGAGCCAATCTTGACCGTAGATCGACAAGTGATCATCTCAAGATCACGGTTCTTCCCTACAACTCTGTTTAAAATGCTTACACTTTCGATATATCTTCTTTCGATATATCTCTTCTATTCTTTTAATTGGTAGCATTTTTGTTAGTATATAATTTTATCAGTTAATATTATTAGATACAGTACCAGAAATAATTAAGCATTATTATCACCAAACATTAACAAACATACATTACATAGTTTTGCCACCAACCCAATTAATAAATGTCATTAGATAACAATATATCCTATTTACTAATATACAATGCACATAATGGAGAAATAATCAAAATACCAAAACCAATTAGATTTCATAGTTTTGCAGAATTTAAGAAATATATATCAAATGCGTTTTCAATTGATGATTTAAATCTATTTATATTAAGTTCATTTGGAATAAAATTAAATTTTAACATTATAAATGAATTGAATGAAGTATTTATATACGATAAAGGAAAATTTAATGGCAGTAATATCTCAAATATTAAGCAAGAAGAATTGTTGCCAAATTTCAAACGGTCAAGTTTTAATGAAAATAAGTTAAGTACTGTAAATAATATAAAATTAAATAAAAGTTGGAGTAAGAAAATATATCATGATTCAATTAATCTACATAATGAAACAAAAGAACTTATTAAGGTTATAAATATCATATTCAAATCATTATCCACAATTTTTCAATTTTTAAATAATTTCATAGGTGAAATTGAAAAGAATTTCAGACATTATTTCAATTATATTAAACTTATAAATATCAAGACGCTACATTCTTCATGGTCTGAAAGTTACAAGATTTTACAAAAATTTTCAGTGTTTAAGAATGTTAAATTAAGTGATTTATTAAATGAAGGTAAGTTAAAAACTAATGCACAGTTTATATCTACCCATCTACCTACAGTTATGAAGAATTTCAACACCTTAAATGACAATTTAAATACCATCAACTCCGACAAATTTAAAATTGATAATTTGATAGAGAATAAACGTAATGAGTCTATCAAAAAATTCAAAGACATGACAATTGAAGATAAACTAGAGAAGATAAAAGACTTAAATAACAAAATTGAAGGTACTGAGAACCTTACTATGCATTCAGTGTCTAGTGATCAACTTTATATGGAGGCCCAATCCATTTACGCATTTTATTCCGATTTAAGTCAATTCAAGATCAATTTACAAAGTGAATCTAGTAAAATTTTCAATCTTATAGCTAATTTACAAATGAAATCAGTCAATATTAAAAATGAATTACGTAAATTAGTTGAAACAAACCCAAATCAAATAGACAAGATTAAATCTTATGAAGATTATCTTAGTTTAACAATTGACCTACCTTTACTTTTTGGATTTATAATAGTCGAAAAAAGAAGACAATTCGAATGGTTTGATTTTTATTCAAAAGGTGTAATTAATAAATTAACTGAACAATTGACATTAATAATTGAACATGAAAAATTGTTTAGAAATCTATGGTTAAAGAAGTTTAATAATTTTTTGACATTATTAGATCAGCCAATAAATACAATATTACCGAATATCGATTTAACTTTAATTGGAAATAATAAAATTGAGTTGTTGGAAGGTATGTTTATTGAAAGATCAGATATTGAAACTTATATTGGAATGTTGGAAAAATATCAACAAGATAAATCCAAAAATTTTTCAGAATTGGTTAATAAAAATTATCATGATTTAATTAAATCTACCAATAATATGAAAATTTTAACTAAAAGAGTAAGTTCATTAAGTGTAATAAATTCAAATAATGATTTAGAACAAAGTACAGCCACTACAAATCAAGATATTTCAATAATTTCAAATTTACAAAAACATATAAATAGATTGGAATATTTATTACATCAACAAGAGATGAAGAAATTATCAAGTTGGCCACCAACATTAAAAATGGATAATGATCCAACTAAATTATTACAAAAAAATACAGTGATAAATAATAGAACTGTTTCTGCATCTTCACAATCTCAAGTTTTAGATACTTCAGTGATTGATAAACATTTGGATAATATAAAATTAAAAAAAGAGAATAATGAAAGTAAGAAAGAATTAGAAGATTTGAAAATTAGACAGGAACAAGAGATTAAAAATCATGAGAATAAAAATAAAGAATTAAAGGATAAGAATGAACAGTTGCAATCTCAAAATGAGAAAATGAAAATAGAAAATGACTCAACTATAAATGAAATTAATGATTTAAAAACTTCAAATGAAGAATTACAATCGACTATAAACTCAAAAGATGACGAAATTGCGAAGTTGAAAGAAGAACTCGAATCATTAAAGGAATTGAAATCTAAAGATGAAACAACGATCTCACAATTGACAACTGAAAAGTCAAATCTTATAAAAACAAATAACGACCTTCAAACAAATTTAGATACTTTGGAATTAAAAATAACATCCACTGAATCTCAACATCTCAATGAGTTTTGTCTTATATTGGAATGTATGGGATTATTATTAGTCAAAGAAGAAGGTGATGAAACAACATTCAAGATTAAAAGAGTTAAAGGTTTGAAAAAGGATAAGAAATCAAAACGCAATGGTTATAGTGATGAAAATATTGAGTCTGATTTAAATCAATCTAAGGCATTAATTGATTTAAACATATTTGGAGGATATAATAATATACCAGATGAAATTAAACAACAAGGATTTTTCTATAATGCAATAAATAAAAGATTTCAAGAAGTTGAACAATTTGCCAGAGAGAATGCTAAAGAAAATAAGAAATTAAAAGATTTAGTAGATAGACTTTAATTTATCTATGAATTATTATAAAATAAATATGAAATACTTTCACCATTATGTAATCTTCTAATCGATTCAGCTAATGTTGAACTTATATCTAACATTTCCAATTTAGAACAATTTTTTAAATGATTCAGTATTGGTAATGAATTCGTACATACAACTTTATCAATTTTTGATTCATTAATTTTTTCAATTGCAGAACCACTGAAAATACCGTGAGTTATAATACATATAACTTGTTTTGCATTATTTTCAATCAAAATATCGGCTGCTTTACATAATGTCCCACAAGTATCAGCCATATCATCAATTAAAATTGCAATTTTATCACTTACATCACCAACTAAAACCATTCTTGAAATTTCATTTGCTCTTGCTCTTTCCTTATGAATTAAAGCAAATTGAACATCAAGTTTATCTGCTATTCCAGCTACTCTTTTAGCACCACCAGCATCGGGACTAACTATTATTAAATCATCTTTATTAAAATTTTCTTTTATATATTTTAACATTATTGGTTCAGCATATAAATTATCAACTGGTATTCTAAAGAAACCTTGAATTTGAGAAGCATGTAAATCCATAGTAATTATATGATTACAACCTGCAATTTGTAATAAGTTGGCTAATAATTTAGCTGTTATTGGTGCTCTACTTTTATCTTTCTTATCTTGTCTTGCATAGGGGAAATTTGGTATAACAGCAGTGATTCTTCTTGCACTTGCTACTTTACATGCATTTATCATTAATAATAATTCCATAACATAATCATTAATCTTTTCTGAATCACAACCTGTCTGAATAATATAAACATCTTCATCTCGAACTGATTCACCAATGGCTATTGCTGTTTCTTGATTTGTATATTGAAAAGCACCAACTCTAGCAATTTTTATACCCAATTTATCTGCAATTTGTTTACATAATTCAATATGAGAATTACCAGCTAGTAATTTAATACTATTTTGAGATCTACCATGCATTTGAAATATGGGGATATAATAAATAAAAAATTAATAATTAAATTCGAGAAGAGTTAAAAAGCTACCATGTGTCTCACATTTACATTTTTGACCTAGCTTCTCTATTTAAGATATATTCAGCTTCTCTTGCTCCAGATAACCAGCCCCCATGAGCACATCCATTACTACTCCCATCTATAGTTTCAGCACCTGCAAATCTAATTTTTCCAAACCCATTTGTGAAAGCTTGTATAACTGCACTTGGATTAATTGTGTTGATTAATGAAGTACCATAAGCACCTCTGATAAATTCATCTCGATTCCATTCAGTATTAAAAATATTTTTTGGTGATTGTACTTTACTAGTTGCTATTTGTTCAAATTTAGGCTTGAAAAGTCTCCAAATGTCATCTTTTGTCATTGTTTCAATCTCTTTAGATAATGGGCTTTGAGTTAATGCTATAATAGATGGCTTTTGACATAATGCTTGATAATTTATAAACAATGTAGGGTATGAATAATTTGAATCTGCTAATATATAAAATCTTTCAACATCATTTGACCAAAAACAGAAATCAAATTCAAATACAACTTTACCTAGGGAACCATAATTACAATAAGTTAAAACCTCTTTTATTGGTTTAGGTATTTCTGGTTTCCATTCAATATAATATGAATCTGAAGTGTCTGTGATCTTGAGTAATGTTTGTGGAATTGTTGAAATTAAATAATCACAGGTATATACTTGACCGCATCTAGTTGTGACTTCGATTAATCTACCAGAGTAGTCAATTCTAGAAACATGAGTGTTTAATTTGATATTATTCTTTTGGTAGGTTTTAGGTAATTCATTCAATTCATTTTCAAACACTTTCGTATACCCATTTAAAACAAATACATTTCTACCTTGATGTTCGGCATCTGCAAAACAGTATTTACCACTCAAATTTCCCCAATATTCACCATGCCATAATTCAGCCCACATACGAACAACTTCAACACAACAGTTTTGTTGATCGATGGTCAATCTCTTCTTAAATTTCTCGATATATTCATAGGTTAAATCTTTCAATGAAATATCTGGTTTATCAGCATTATTTAAGTAAGTCAAACTAAAATAAGTCATAATTTCGTCAACTACACTGTCAAATTTCCAAATTGGTATATCTTTATTCGTCGAATTTAGATATTGACATTTCCCATCGTCGTAATAGTAATCAATATTTTCCAATTTTAAAGCCTTAGTAAATAATGGATTTGTTAAGGAGTCATGAAACCAAGAAGCACCGAAATCATAATAATTACCATTCGAAGTTATAGTATATAGTCTCCCTCCCAAACTTGATCTGCTCTCAAGAATCAAAGTATCTTCAATACCACCATTGTATAAATCTATTGCTGATTTTATACCTGAAATACCACCACCAATTATTATAACTTTCTTATGGCCTAAAGACATTTGTCAGTTCAATCATTGAGAGATTGTTCTATTATATATTTAATAGATCCGATCGAGTTGCCAATTTTCGAAATAAGCGCAATGTGCTATCGCTACCAATTTATGGCAAATGCTTTCCGCTATCTAAACGACAAATAAATAGTTAATGTTCATGCAAATGTATATTTATAATCCCGTTACTTTTCTTGCATAATTATATGCTATAATACTAAATAATGCCATTGCTCCAACAATACCCCAAAACCAACCTAAACCATTATAATCTTGACCTGGAACTAAACAATTCATACCCCATAAACCAGTTACAACATTTATAGGTAATACGATTGTACCTAATATAGTGATTTTCCCTAAAACATCATTTGTATCATTATTAACTTTTGTCATATCAATATTTATTTGAGCTAAATAATTTGAATGAAATCTTGCTAATAATTTTTCATAATGATTTAAAGCTTGTATCATTGTAACTATATGGTCCTGAATATCACCTAAATACATTGCAATTTCTTGTTGTTGAGTTTCTAAATCATTAAATCTTTTTGAAAAACCTCTTATAACATCAGCTTTCGATGATAATAATCGCATTACTGACATTACTCTTTTTCTACATTCTCCAATACGTCTTAACATATCTCCTTTTCTTTTCCAACCTAAAATTTTCGAACTTGAAGCTGATGATTTTGAGGATTTTGATGAATTGAAAAAATGTTGTTGATCTACTGTTGATTTCAGTCTTTTTCTCCAAACAAATACATTTTCATGAGTTTCTTCATCTTCTGATTCATCATCTGAAGTATCTGGATCTCCTGAATGCATTTTTAAAATGGCATCTTCAATTGAATTAACTTCTGTTTCTATTGTTTCAATCATTGGAGCAAATGAATCGGTTATATCATCTATGATTGCATAACATATCCAATCTGAAGTTATTGAAAGATAATCCTTTAACATTCTTGCCCTTCTTCTAACATTTATTGGATGTGGAGTTGCTGAAAAATGAAATGTGATAACTGCAGATTTAAAAACAATCACGTACATATTTAATGGAGCCAATTCACCTTCTCTTATTTTCTTAGTTTTTGATTTTACCGTAGTACTTACTGCTTTCTCAATAGTTGAAGGTCTTTTATGTTTATTTAACCATTTAAAAAAATTATGTCTTTCAGATCTATTATCATCAATTTCTTGTAATTTACTATGTTTCTTTTCTTGTTCTTTAGCTCTTTGCTTCCTACGTTCATATATAACATCAAATGAAGTAAAACAAATGAAATAATAACTTTTAAATAATTCAACTTTTTCTCTTGCTTCACCAAGAAATATATCTTCAGTAGTTAATGGATGAATACCAAATGTTTTTGATAAAACTTTCATTTCTTCTTCTGTTGGATCTAATACATCTAACCAAAATGGTTCTGCATAATTTTTCTTTGATGATACACTAGTTGTTGATGGTGGTGATGATTTATTTGTATATTGGAATAATTCTGCCAAACGTTCACTAATATTTGCTGGATCAACTAAACCTGATAAATTTGCTGAATGTATTGTCTTTGGTAAATCATCTCTAAAATATGTAAATCTAAAAGGTCCACTTTGATCTTGACTTTGCATTGTTGTAGGTAAATGATCCCATGGTTGTATGGGTGTCGGTCGGACACGGAGATTCTCCCCTAATGAATCTAATGATTCAACTTCATTGATTTGAAAGTGATCAACCAAGGGTGTAGTTTCTGTTGCTTCATCTAAAGGGGGAGAATTTTTTGCTGGTTTTGATTCATCATGTATTTTTGTTTTCCCAAAAATTACTTGTTGATTTTTGTTTTGGATTTCATTAATTATAAATTCTTCGAGGACTTTTAAATCTGGCCAGTCTTCATATTTATTTTCTTCATTATATTCATACATAAAAACATCATCTAATGAAGTTGAATCTGATGAATGATGAGAACTTGGATTTGATCCTCCAAATTCCATTGAATTGATTGAAAAAGTTTCATGATCATTATTATTTTGTATTTGATTATCTTCGAAAGGAATATTAAATGATTGAACTATGTTTTTTTGTTCGTTAGCAAATTTATCCATATCTAAAGCGACACCACCACCAGTTGGAGACACAGGTTGATCTGATTTATTTAATAATGACTGTAGATTCTTATTAGTTAGTGGCAATGAAGTTGTATGTTGCATACGTTGATGGGGATGTGAATCAAAATATGATATTGAATTAGGTTGATCTTTTTTGAATCCATTATTGTTTGATCTTCTTCTTGTATTAGCAGGAGATGAGTGGCTATGAGCCAAATCTTTTTGATTTCTATGATCTATATAAACCCCGGTGGAAACTAAATGATCCAAAGAACTTGAACTTTTTGAATTTTTGTTATGATTTTTCGTAGTATGACTTGATCTCATTGATGATTCTGATAAATCATCATAATTTCTCCTATCCATTACTATATTTGTTTGTTATAAATGTCTTGATAGTAATCTAGATATAATTTTTCATATATTATATAAAAGCAGCAATTTTATAATTTTTTTTTTTTTTTTTTTTAGTATTTGGTGATTTTGATGATAGATTGGATATTTCAACTTCTATAATTAATTACAGAACACTTGTTGATAGGCACTTAGTTATACCCGAAAATTGATCTATGAATAAGTTTGAGTACTTTTCTTCACGGCTATTGATTTGTATCTCTTGCAAATCAAATTTTCTTAACCAAAAACGTCATTTCATAATATTCACGTGACCCTTTTTTAGACGCGCTTAAAATATATATCGATAAGACTGCGTATACGCCAAATTCTGTTTCAGAATTATAAGTATTCTGTATCGCGATAAATTGGGGCGATATCTTCTCGCTAAGGCTTCAAGGCGACCTCGTACCAAAGATTTTGGCTTACAAGTCATAAACAAAACAGTTTTTCGAATTGATTACCAATTTGATCAAATCAGGAAGCATGAGTTATATGTTCTATATACTTTAGACTTTAAGATTCAAGCATTTTTTTTTGCCTTGGATTTTTGAGTTTTTTTCTGCATACAAAAAATTTGCAAAAATTGAACAAGCAGAGAATATCTTATTCACGGCCATAACTTTCAATTAAAGACCGGACCATGTATGTATATTTTACCTCGAACTAAAGTTTTGGACCTAGTTCCGTATGTTTTAAACTCACATTGAAAAATTTCAAAATTTTGTATTAAGTATAACAAAAATGGAATATTTTGACCTTACTAAAAACGTAATTCCATAGCTTGATTTCAGATGCAATTGTGAGAAAAGTATCTAAATATTTAATTTCGGCATCTTGTTAAAGTCTGAAATTTTTTGTGTTACGGGATTCAAAAAATTGGACTTTTAATTTTTGAAAGGTGATTCGAAATTTTTGCAAATTTTCAAACTGATTTTGACGTGTTGAAAACATCATACATATAGAATATACATATAGAATATACATATAGAATATACATATAGAATATACATATAGAATTTGGGGCCAAATGGGCGAAATCAGCTATCTTAGAGGTTGATAAATTGGGTCTAAGTGCCAATTCTGTTGCAATTTAAAGTTTTTTAGCATATTTTGAATGCTAGATTACATGGTCAAAAACAGATTATCTTGAGAAATATTAACATCAGTTTTCTCCAATTTTTTTGGGTAATATCTGAAAAGACTTGGAGAAAAAAAGCTCCAACATTGAGGAAGTTATTCACACTTTAAGTTTTATGATTACCTACCATAAGACTGCATGTAAGTCAAGATTGTTCCAGAATTAGTTGTATTTTCAATGCGAATATTTGGAGCGACAAAATAATATTTCCCGCGCTAGCTTTAGGACGATCTCGTACCACATAAAATAAATTTCTCGCGTGATTTCTAGGGCGACTGGTAATAAAGATATTCTCTTATATGACATGAACAACAAATTCTCTCGAGCCAATAGCTAGTTATTTGTTATCAGGTGCTCAAAGTTATACATCTCAGGCATATCAAATATTGAATTTTAAAATTCTTTCTTTTGAGATGTAATTTTGGCATTTTTTCATCATACAAAATTTTTACCAAAAATAAGAATCAATATACATTCTGATCTAGGGCCATAACTTTCATCTAAACAAAAAGTTGTATATGTCAAACCTCTAAATAAGTTACTGAACCAAATCCCGTTTGACTAAAAGCAATATTGATAAATTCCAAATTTTTCTCTTAACTATGGCGAGAATCGAATAAATTGACTTCAAGAAAAATCTAACTCCACAATCAAAATCGTGTTGGAAATATGGTGGGTAGTTCCTGAATGCTGATAAACGTCGACATTTTTTTGTGGTAAGGTACTCAAAATTAGAAAAGTATTTTTTCAAAGTGGTTCGAAAACTTTGAAAAAAGTTCAAAATGACTATGGCGTGTTGAGAACAGTGAAAGGAGAATCTTTGGTGTTAAGTAAACCGAATCAGCTTTAATAGAATTTGCTAGACGAGGTCTAAGAGTTGATTTTCTTGCAATTTAACGCATTTTTACCGATTTTTCGAAGTCAAATTAAAAGATCAAAATTAAGTTGTTGTTAGATTTTGTACCCCAAATCCTAAGAGAGGATGTTGAGAAATTCTCTCAAAAAGTTTGAAAGTTAAAGCTTAAACAACCAGAGAGTTATTCACAATTTATTTTGGAGTTTAGCTATTGGAAGACTGTATATAATTTAAAACTTATTTAAAAATTTAAGGCGAAAAAAGCTTCAACCTGCTCAGAGCGAGAACACTGCTCGAGAATTTAGTTACTTATGGCTACATCTGATACCGCTGTTCGTGTTATTTCTGAAACCGAAATTTTATTAAGTATTCAACAATTAAAGTAGTTCATTGTTAAAAACTCGATTTTGTTAATGTATTTTGAGTGATATTTACTTTTGGATTTATGTTTCTGTTAATTATTATATAAATTACGTTGAATCAGAGATTAATTCAAATACAATAAACTCAAAGTTCGTCTTATTTTATTTGGGATTAGTTGCTATCCTACTTTAAACAATTTTACAGCTGCTTCAACGCGTTATTTGGCTGGAGTTGGTTTTTATCAAAGATGAATTTGAAACAACTGAGCTTGTTCAATCAAAAGTAATAGTTTTGCCAGGTTGATCTTTGATCAACAAAGCTTTGAGATCAATTCGCGTCTCAGCCAAACCAGCTTTATAAATTTACTAGTTCGGTGAACTCAAATTATCAGTTTCATCACAAATTCATAAATATATATTCAAATTTATTCTTCATCAGCATCACTTTCTTCTTCTGCATCTTCTTCGTCTTCATTTTCTTCAGCAGCGTAATCTTCACCATCATCCTCTTCTTCGTCATCGGCTACTTCTTCCTCTTCTTCTTCTTTTTCTTCATCATCTTTTTCTTTTTTCTTTTCTACTTTCTTCGTTTCCTTTTTAGTAGCTTTTCCACCTTCTTCTGTTTTTTGTTTCTTTTTTGAAACTCCACCATTTAATTTATCTAAAGCATCTTGAATTTTATTAGTTGAATCTAATAATTTATAATATGCATCTTCAGTTAAGCTTATACCTTTTGTACCCGGTAATTTTTCACCATCTTTACTTAAATAAAATTCTCTAATATCAATTAAATTAATACCATTAAATTTCCTAACAGTAACTCTTTTTTTACCATCTAATTCAATTTCAGTTTCAGTAATAGTTGGACCGTTATCAGAATTTTTGAATGATCTTTTATAACCCATAATAAAGAATAAACAAGGGAGAATAAATTATATTTTTCGCGTCTGGATCAAATTTTAATTTGAAAAATGGTACTAAGATTAAAGCAATATACGGTGTTTGAACACGTTTTGAGCTTAAAATAATTATAACATAGGAATCTATGAAGAAACAGTAATGATTTGAGTATAATTAAGTATATAGTGTCAAAAATCAACGTTTGGTGATAATTTGCTGCAAAATTGTTTAGTGCGATTTTATCAATTTTCTTGAAAAATAAAGCCGTTGAAACATTTAATTTATTTTATGTTTCCTAAATTTGTTATAGGTGGTGCTGTTTTTAATCATCAATATTGTGAAAATCCAGAAACTTTACCAGTTAAGGATATAATTAATGAAGCATTTAAACAAGGTTTTAAAGCAATTGACACATCACCTTATTATGGTCCATCTGAAGAATTAATAGGTAATGCATTATTACAACTACCTTATAATCGAGAAGAATATATAATATGCACCAAAGCAGGAAGAATTAAACTTAATGAATTCGATTATTCTCGAAAAAATATAAGATATTCAGTTGAAAGATCATTAAAAAGATTAAATACTTCATATTTAGATGTTGTATATTTACATGATGTTGAATTTGTAGGTAAAAATGAAATTTTAGAAGCATTAAAAGAATTGGAATTACTTAAACAAGAAGGAATTGCTAAAAATATTGGTATTAGTGGGTATCCTATTGAATTTTTATATGAAATTGCATCAGAATATGGCAAATTAGATTGTATTTTATCTTATTGTAATGGTTGTTTGCAAAACACTAAATTATTTCAATATTATGACAAATTTAAAGATTGTGGTGTTAAATATATTTTAAATGGTTCTATATTGTCCATGTCATTGATTAGATCTTCAAGACCACATGCTTTCCATCCTGGGTCACAAGAGTTAAAAGATAAAGTCTATGAAATTGCTCAAGATTTGTTAAAAAATGACTCAATAGAGTTGGCTAGTTTATCTACAAAATATGCAATAGAAAATTGGTCAATCAAGTACAATTCTCCAATTGTTCTTGGTGTTTCAAATTTAAAAGAATTACAAACAGCTGTTGATGCTTTAAATGATACTAAAGATTATAGTGAATATTACGATAGGTTTCAATCATTATTAGGTTCTCATTTTAATGAAACTTGGTCAAGTGGAAACCATTAAATAATACATATATTAAATTTTTCTAAAATAAGTCATCACCTTCTATTATATAATTCCCAGGTACTAAACCAACCATACCACTATATTTATCACAATTTAATCCTAATTCACAAACGAACCAATTATCTTCTTGTTTATGAATTATAAACATTTGCCAATTCTTTTTGAAAAATAATTCACCTTCATGTTGAGGTTTGAATGAATATCGAGCAATTGCTTTAACTTGATATAATCTACCATTTGGGGTTACTTTATTTTTCGGAATGACTCTTTCATTTTCTAAAATCATTGATTTTGGTCTATTAAAATTTATTGAATCATATCTCGTCGGTATTTCATTTTTATCATTTATAAAATCAGATTTTGGTCTATTATTAAATTCATTATTTGATCTAACTGATCTTCTAAATTGATTTACATCTCCATTGCCACCTGAATTCAAATCTTCTAAAGCTTTAGCTATGAAATCTATAGAAAAATCTTTCATAATTGGAACTTTTGTTTCTTTAGTTGGTGATTGTTGATTGTGTTGTCGTTTAAATTCATTTGTTGCTCTTCTTGTTATTTCATTTTGCATTTTATTTATCTCTTTTTCTTTTCTTCTTGGTGAATTCCAAGTTCTTTCTGATCCATAACTTGATGTAGATCCACCTTTAGATAATCTATCATCCTTTGAAAACACATCATCAATTGTAGATTGTGACAATAAATCAATAGGTGGTTTCTTTTTAGGCGAACAACCATTATTTTGTTTTGATAGAGATGTAAAGTTGTCATTATCGTTAGATTTCTTTATTGGTGAAATTTGGAAATTGTAATGTGGAGTTGTTTGTTGTTTCGTTGGAGTATATGCAGTATCTTTAAACTCATTATGCTTTATTGGTGAGTAAGTTGTGGTTTCTTCTTGTTGTAGATCTGGTATATATCCATTTTGTTTAGTTGGTGAGTAGTTAATTGGTTCAGATTCTTCTTTTTGTTGATTTATTGCATAAGTCGAATAAGTTCTAGACAATATAGGTACATAATCTGGATTTTTTAAATTTGATAATTGATAATCTACTTCTTTTTCTTCATCATCAGCTTGTCCATTCATATAATCAATAAATTCTGGATCATTATAAATTTTATTTCCCGTACCATAATTATTACTAAACTCTTGTATGTCTAATTGCGGTTGAATTTGCGCAAAGACCAGTCTTGCATTATCTACACTAGCATCTAAATCAACACAAAGTGTAGCTATATTATTACAATAATTAAAACAATTAACTTTACAAATTTGGATCCTTTCAAGTTCCAATTTATAAAAATCATTTAAGGATATTGACCAATCAGTTAAATATATATGATTTATTTCTTTATAAATAGTTAGTGATTGATGATAATTCTTCTTAGTCTGAGAAACTGAACTCATTAATTTATTTAATTTTGCTTCCACTTTTTCCAATTCTTTACCCCAAGTAGTTTGAACGGATAATTTTAAGGATTTAATCATTTTGGTTTCTTCTTTATATTTTAATTTATAATAATTTAAATCTTCAAGGGCTTGATTTCTCTTACGTAATAATTTTTCCATATGTGAAGTTAATTTGGATACTCTTTTTGAATAAATTTGTTGAAAATGTGATATTCTATTTAAGTTGATATTAGTAATTGATTTTATAAATTTATGATTAAATTGAATCATTTCTTGATTTTCATTTAATAATTTATCAAATGATTTCTTTAATGATCCTGTTTCATGAGTACCTAAACCATGTCTATTACTCAATTTTTCCAACCTTTTGGTATATTCTTTTTCAATTGATAATTTCTCTTGATAAAATTGTATTAACTCATTTAAAGTATTTAATGAATCTTTAATTCTAATTGATATAATTTTAAAACTTTGCTCTGGTGATTTTCCCCAGAAATTATTAACAAATTCAATTGAATCTTGTCGTGAGTTAGATATTCTCATAAATAAAGCTAATAATTTGTGTAATCAATATAAGGAATTGCTTAGGTATAAATATCTTCTTCTTTTACTGTCAATATATTAATTGCATGTAAATAATTTTATTAGAATGATCATACTTACTGAATTAAGCCAATTTATAAACAATAAATAATGTACGATGGCGCTACCAATCATATTCTATATATTTATATCATTATTGAATATAACCAGGTAATGGATATTAACTAGGTATTATACTCGTAATGTAAGTCACTCTTCTGTATTATTCTGGTTTTGAGTTTTATACCGTGCCAGTATAATCTGATAGATTTTGATGATCATCGCAACTTTTTACCAAATCAAACATTATATAGTTACTTCAACTGTTACAAGGCTTGCATTTACTTAAGCTTTTAATCTTGAACCTTGATCGTATATTTTACTTACCTAACGAATATGTATATTTATTAATATAAACTAAATTAACCCAAAATGAATGAATGAATGTTAACTAACCAAACAAAATAAAATTGAACCACGCCTAAAAACCAACAATGAAAACACCACCATAAAGCAATATCTAACTCAATAATTGTTGTAATCTGTAGTATTACTCTTTCAACCTTTCTTAACATTGACATTGACTAATTTAATTCTAGGATCTTTTATACCATGAACTAAAGTTTGATGTTTAACACAAGTTGAAGTTTCAGTTTCATCAAATAATTTCTGACAATACGAACATTGAATCTTTTGAACTCTAATTGTTTTACTTCTTTTAAGAAAACTCATTGTGACAATTTATATTGTTATGAATAATGAAAATGATATCGTGATGAATTTTTTTTTGGATAAACTCGGGGATTGTCTTATTTATATATCAATTGCTTTTTATTATGTATGAAATGTAAAGTACTCCTATAATTGGTTATCAAGACGATAAATTAATTGAAAGCCTTTTGGATCTGGATGGAAAAAAAATATGGTATGAAAAGAGATTAAAAAATAATTTTAATTTGATCACATAATTAAATATTCATGAATAAGTAAGATAAATAAGATAAAGTACCCTATTTATTCTTGATCTATGCATTTCAAGTCTAATAAAGGGTCCTAGTACAACACTAGTATAAGCTCGTTGATACCTAAATTTTAATCAAATGATTAAGATTCATTTATTACGTTAGCCGCAGTCCATTTAAACTAGTTTATCGTAGATCAAACAACCCCAATTCGGTAATTTAATGCCGCATGAAATCAGGCACACGAAAGTTAAAAATTGAACAAAATGCACTAAAAAGTAGTTGCAAAAATCAGTATGGGATTAAAAATACACTAACTATCAATGAAAACTCCAGGTGAGCAATTATTTCATTATTCTGAGTCGAATGAAGTACTTTCTCGTAATCTTGAGCATCAACTACCATTTTGAAAACTGTTTTAACCTGCTCATGTTAGAAGTAGAGACTAGATTTACCCATTGTATGCTCAACTATTTCATTAACGATCAATTAAGGTTTCAGTCTGCTCAAAATTGAATTGATCGAAGGTTGTTTCTTTGAGTGCTAATATCCATACGGAAAGAGAATTGCACGGCTATCTGGATAAGTATACTTCACACATTTTTTTTCCGCAAGAGCCTAGGTAGAGTAAATAGATTTACTCAAATAGTCATATACTTTACATTATGGCTATCAAGTGAATGATCTTGTACCGAGAATATCGAAACAAATGCACAATGTTCAAATGAATTAAAACCTGGTCAGTTGGTAGCATATAATATATCCATTATGTAATCATGCAGCATGCCTACATTTTTGATCTCGTACCGAATCAGCACGATGCTACCAATATAGTTTTCATTAAGTTTCAGTTCATCCCAGATCAGTCCTACAAGCAATTTCTACCGCGAAAACTTAAATGTATTCGTTAATGTAGTCTCTAATGACCAGTATTTTAAAGAAGAGCGAAAGGGTCCACGAAGTTAGGCTTTGATACAACATTTCAGATTCTTCCATAGTTAATTTATACTCGGATACTGATTTTTTGCAATCACAATATTGTGCAACCAAAAAAAAAAAAAAACATAAAGCTTCACGATCTATAAACGCAACCATTCATATATAAATATCAAGGATTATTACACTCATTTTACAAAAGTTAAGTGAAATTTCAAGAGAGTAGCAAGATATTTCTACTCATTTAATCATTTATTTATTTATTTATTTATTTATTTATTTATTTATTTATTTTGCATAATATTTTTCATTTTCATGATATAGCATATACAAACAAGTAAATGTTAGACAATCTAAAACAATATTATAATAAATTCAAACAGTCTACCATAGGATACTGGGTAGTATGGATAATAAATTTTCTAATTAAACAATGGTTTTTTGTATTTTTAGGTGTATTTGTTGCTTTAGCTTATGAATATCCACAATTTGCCAAACAAGGTGGTATGATAAAAGCTCAATATTCAATAGGTTATGGTGCAGTTGCTGTTATTTTTTTAATTAGTGGATTATCAATGTCATCTAAACAATTGGGTATTAATGCATTGAATTGGAGAGCTCATTTTACTGTATTATCAATGTCATTTTTAATTACAAGTTCAATTATATATGGTATTGCAACTGGTATTAAATCATCTCATGATGGACAAATTGATGATTGGTTATTAGTTGGTTTAATAGTGACCCATGCATGTCCTACTACCGTTAGTTCAAATGTTGTTATGACTAAACAAGCTGATGGTAATGATATTTTAACTTTATGTGAAGTATTTATAGGAAATATTTTAGGTGCATTCATAACACCAGCTCTTCTTCAATTATACATGAAAGGCACATGGGATTTTGGTAATCCAAGCCATCAACCAGATGGTTCATCTACTATTCAACAATTATATGCTGAAACAATGAAACAATTGGGTTTATCAGTGTTCATACCATTATTTGTTGGTCAAGTTGTGCAAAATGTCTTTCCTAAACAAACAAAATGGACATTAACTACTTTTAAATTAAATAAAGTTGGTTCTTTTATGTTATTATTAATTATGTTTCAATCTTTTTCAACTGCTTTTGCTCAACATGCTTTTGAAAGTGTAAGTCATGTATCCATTATATTTATTGTATTTTTTAATATTGGTATATATTTATTTTTCACAATTTTTACATATTTTTATTCAAGACCATTTTGGATAAATATGATTTTTAAAGAAGCTCCTAATGAAAATTCAACAATTTTATATAAAACAAGTTATTGGATTTTAAAACCTTTTTATTATAATAAAAAAGATACCGTTGCAATCATGTTATGTGGTCCTGCTAAAACTGCTGCATTGGGTGTTTCGTTAGTTAGTTCACAATATGGTGCTCATAATCCAAGATTAGGTATATTATTAGTTCCATTAGTTTTATATCAAGCTGAACAAGTTATGACAGCTCAAATATTGGTTAATTTTATGAAGAAATGGATTCATTATGATGATGTAAAGAAAACTGATGATCAAGAAGCAACACCAGTAGATGACCATGACAATACAACAAATAACGAGAGTAACAGTGACACAATATTAGATGAAACGACGCATGAAGAATCGCATTCAAATAAATCAAAATAAATAGACAAATATTATAGATTAATTACTATATAAATTTGAATTCCCCTAATTTATTTTCCAATTCATTTATCGTATCTTCCAATTCTTGTTTATTTAAAATTAATGAATTTAATTCATCAAATCGTCTTGATTTAGTAAAATCTTTAATCATATTTTCAATTAGAAATTTTTGTTCATTTAAAACCATCAATTGTTCACGTAATTCTCTCACTTGTTTTTTAGTAAGTGAAGGTTCTGGTTTAATTTCTTCCTTTTGTGGTTCGGGAGGTACATGAATTGCAGATATTTCTTTATATTTAATTAGATTGTCTTGGAGGAACATTGCAATACTTTGATATATATTCTTTATTAATTGTTCATTTTCAATTTGTACAACTCTCAAATCATTAGTAAAGAATTGATTTCTAAAATTTATAACCAATTTTTCAAAATCTTTCAAATGATTCATTAATTTATGTCCTATTTTCTCATCCTTGGAATATTTTTCCAACATCACTTCAATTTGATATCGTTGATCAATTAAATTTAAATATGTTTTTATAATTTCATTCTCTGGTTGTTCTTGTTTCCTCAATTCAAATAATAAACCATTCTTACAGTTGATACAACAGCGAAATTTAATAGTGTCGTTTGGGATTTTGTCATAATTTAGGTTTGGTAGTCTGTCAATTAATGAAATAATTGGTAGATAAATTGAACAATATTTTCTATAACCATTTGGATCATCACATACTAAATCGCCACATAACCTACAGTGATGTTTACGAATTAATAAACTAAACTTGACAAAGCAAATTGAACAATGATTACCAGTTTTCCAATGAGTTACTTCTTTACCTTCATTGACCAACTTTAAAAAATTTCGTTGAACCTTGATCCTCTTTAACTCATTTACATCTGCAAACGTCAATCTAATTTTTTTAAAATCCTCAGTTAAATTATTACTTAAAACTTCAGTATTTTGTCTTTCCAAATAACATGTTTCACAACATCGAGACCATATACCATTAGAATCATATTGAGGGGTTTTCTCATCAAACTGTGGGTTTCTCAACCTTACTTCGTAATGAGTATGTAAGTTACAATGCAATTGACCACACTTCCTACAATTCACTATGCCATTTTTGACATTCAAGTTAATATGACAAATTTTACATAAATTATTCAGCTGTAGAGTTTTCCAGTGTGATCTAACTATACCAGTTGGTGAACTAGATGATGATTTATCTTGTTGATCACCAATACTAAAACCTTGTTCTCCGAACGATATTTTGTTGATCTTCTTCGTTGGAGTGGTTGATTTGTTCATATAATACTATCTAATTATAATTCAATTTTTTTTTTTTTATTTTTAATTTTTAATTTTTCCTAAAATAAAATTAGGGGCTTTTTGTAATTAGGGGGTAATCTAGCAAACAATACAATTAAGACAACGTAAAAGTGTAATATTACAATAACATGAGCTGTGATGACTAGCTGAAGTTCATAATTGGTATCTCCGGCCCTAAGTAACGTTTCAGGTCTGGTATTAGACTTTAGAAGCTGATGTCTCGAATCAAATTATCTGCTAACTTCGAGGACATCCGATCTAACGCTACTATTGGATTTAAAATATTTATTTGTTAGACACTTCCTATTCAGTAAATGCTGTGTTAGTGACGAACATGAGAATGTTGCAACTGGTGTTCAACAAAAATAATCAGCTTATAAATCGTTAAAAGGTTTAATTGCAACTTCAAGTATGGAGAAATTATCAGAAGCTGACAAATTGAGAGTTAAAAAAACTAGAAGACTCCAAAGATTCTTATCCTAACCATTTGTTGTTGTTTTTATTAGCGTTCCAAGTAAACTAATAACTTTTTTAAATCGCGCGATTTTTTACTATTAGCGTTATATTTTAGCTGAGCTTTGCTAGAGGATTAATACCATTAAGGCTATAGCAAAGTACATAAAGTATTTTTTATGGGTATAAAACATGTGGTGTGTTTCTTTGTATGTGTTTTATTTATTTTGCAGCCATTTTCTCTGGTTGTAAATTACGGAGTGGCCAATTTTGAGGTGACAAAAAAAAAAAAAAATACCATCTAAAAATAGATCAGATCTTGAATACGATCTCAGTTGTGTTCTTGAACACGATCTCAATTGTGAATTGGTGTTTATAGTCGGATTTTTATCAGATAAGCTGTAATAAATTTGAATTAGGTTAATTGGTTAAAATATAAGCTTGATTATGAAATTGCAAATGATCATTCTCGAATTGGGTTGCAAATATAGAAAAACCAACTCATTTTGAGGTATTCAGAATGGAAATATACAACTCAAAATTACAATTCTGGTTTTGTAAGTCTTTCTAAAATAAAATGATCTTATATTTACTTCGTAATACTCTTGTCAGACTCAAGTCAGTTAATAGTTGTAAAAACTAAATTTTATTCTTAAACTTTTCGAATAAATTAAAATAAACTATAACAAGATAATTCCAATGAATCCAAAAAGCAAGATTCCAATTTAGTAATTATTGATTATCTTGATAAAGTTCAAATTTATAAATTAATCGCATTGTCGCCAAATGAACCAGATTTCAAAATACATCGATTGCAACTTGTTTAGACAAACTTAACTTTGTCAAACACATACAATACATTGTCAAATCTTTTTGAAATTTTTGGTCATAATTCTTATCAACATCGATCAACTAAAAATTTGTGTGTCATAACCTTCGGGCCTGATAAGTTATAATCAGATCATATCAATGCAGACACCGAGTTGAAACTCCTCTCATACAGAGCTATGCACTTTGAATCCAGCCAGTAAAACTTGGGCCAATTGCTTGAGATTTCCTGAAACTCCTCAAGATTTGAGTTTTCATACTATTATTCCACTGTTGAAAATTTTCCAAATTTAAATATGAAACAATAGACGAAAATACCATTTCAATGTTGTATAAATTTTATATGAAATTTCCAAATACAAATTAACGCCTAATCTCAAAAAATGCGAATATGACGGTTGGGCTTGATTTCGATCCCCAAAAATGTTTCGAAGAAACAATTTGTTGAATAATTTTCATTTGCCTGTGCTGCCTAACTTTATGCTACTGGATACTCCAACAATGCTACCAATTGGATTTAGACGATAAATTTACTAAGTTTTTACAAATATATAATCATCTATACAACTTTTATTAATACAATTGTAATGTCATCTTCTTTACCACCTAAATATTTTTGACCAGTTAATCTTGATAATTCCTGAGCAAAAGCACTTGGAAAATTTGAATCTTTACTTACTTTAACAACTTCTTTCACAAATTGCTCAGCTATAATATCTAATCTATCATTGTTTTCATTATCTTTTAAAAAAATTTCTATATCTTTTGGAATCACATTATCTGTAACGCCATCAGTTGCAAACATTATAATATCATTTTTCTGCAATTTCCATAAATATTCATCAGCTTGATTTGGTGAATCAATTATATATCTTCTACCTTGTAATTCGGCTTTTTTAATAATTGATTTGGGAATTTTTGCCAATTGATAAGGTGTATTAAAATTATGAGTTTGAAAATTTGTTTCTTTAATTAATTTATAATCTCTAAATAACCCACACCATGAATCACCAAGATTTGCAACTCTTAAATTTAGATCTGGAGTTAATATACCTAAACAAGCAGTAGTACCACCAATTTCAACTTTATCACTGGATGTTACATTATCAAAAGCTAATTGAAGCAAATTTTTAGGGGAATTTAACTCTAGTTTATTTTCAAAATTGGTCTTCATTGAATTACATAATTCTCTTGATATTGCACTAGAATCGTAACCTGCTTCTGACCAACCACCAACACCATCAGCAACACCTATAGCTATAGACCCATCTATTTCTTTACTTACAAATAAATTATCTTCACCAGAAGGTGATAATTCTGACTTGGTAGTATTTGATTTTTTAAATAAATTTGATGATTGATTTCTATTTTTAGGTTGATAAGCCACAGCAATTTGATAATTTTGATATTTAGTTAATATACTATCATAATTTAAAGAAGCGGAAGTAGTAGCAATAGGAGGTGATATAGAATTTGAAGATGAATTTGAAGATGATGATGATGATGATGATGATGAAGATGATGAATTTTTGTAATTATTTTGATTAAACCAAGACGAAGAACTATTTGAAAATTGTCTTTTAAATGAAGCTACTTTTAATACACCGTTTTTAGTTATTATAAACGACTGTTGATTCTTAAAAATTAAGGATATTAACATTGATATAAATGCAACTATTAAAAATGGTTTAAACATTTTGATAAAATTAACTACCAGTCACGTGCTTCATATTTATACTATTCTTCACCAATCAAATCGAAAAACAAAAATTTCTTATTTTTCACTGAAAAAAAATAACCACATATTAAAAAATTTTGCATATATAAAGAAATATCATGTCAACTATTAATGTATTAAGATATTCTGTATTAGGTTTAGGTATTGTTTATGGTGCTTTTCATAGATATTCTTTAGAATCTTCTTACGAGAAACAAGAATTTCAAAAAAGATGGGCTAATGAAGAAAAATTAATTAGACAAGCTAAAAAAGAATATTCAAGAATTAATGCTCCTCCAAAAGCAAAAGATGATAATAAATCTGGTTCAATTAATTGGGAAGATCCAAATTTAGATATTGGAAAAGCTTTAGAATCAATAATTGCAAAATTAGATTAAATTTATAACTTATAACCATGTAACATGTCAAAAATCACTGAAAAACCAATAAAAGTATAGTTTTAATAGATTCATCGATTATACTTGTTGAATTACCACCAATTCCAACCAATTTTATGTATATTAGGTCAATTATTTTCAAAATTTCACCAATATTTATATAAATCATTTAGTTCTATACTACCTATATTATACAAACTAGTTTTTATTATAGCAGCTCTCGTAGTTGTTGATATCTGTCAATTTCTGTCAATTTCTTTGAATTGTACATATATTTTTCAACCTGGCGAAATTTATTCTGTGGAGAAAAATAAAATAATCATCATGAATAATAGACAATTACCATTTGCCGATGCTGCTACAATAGGTATGTAAGACGTAATTCAACTTATATTATATACTAACATTAGTTTAGTAAGAGCACATCAAAAAGATGCTTACTTTGAATCCTCATATAGAAATCAAATTCAAGATTTATTTCAAATTTTAAAAGGTCAAAGATTTATAAATAATTATCCACAGGAATTAACTGTTTTATCAAAAGCTTTATATTTATTCTTAACTACTTTAATAGGTGCTAGAACATTAGGTGAAGAATATGTTGATTTAATTTATGTTTCAAAAAGTGGTAAAAAATTACCAAAATTTTTAACAAGATTTGGATTTATAATATCTTATGCGATAATACCGTATTTTATAAATAAAATTATAAATAAACTTAAAAATAAAGACGAAAAATTATATTCAAATTATTATAATATATTAGATACTTTATTGAATTTCCATATTGCATTATTTTATTTCAAAGGTGAATTTTATTCATTATCAAAGAGGTTATTTGGGTTAAGATATGCTTTTGGTCACTATAAAGAACCTGAAAAAATGCAAACTAATAATTATTCCTTCTTAGGTGGGTTGATAATTGTTCAATTTATAGTTAAAGGTTTAATCAATTTGAAAAATTACAATAATAATGAAGCAAAAGACGAGAAACAAGTTGAAATGACGGATAAAATTGAGAATATAGATCAATTATCACAAATAAGTAACAACTTTAATAAAGATTTAATAATAGATTTATCAGATCCAAATGAATTAGCTTATTTACCTGAATCTTCAAGAAGTTGCATGTTATGTTTATCACCAATGGTTAATCCTTCAGCTGCCAATTGTGGTCATTTATTTTGTTGGGATTGTATAGTAGATTGGATAAGAGAGAACCCCGAATGCCCATTATGTAGACAACAGTGTTTGGAGCAGCACTTGTTGCCATTAAAATAGAATATATACCTATAGGATTTACTTTAACTCTTCTCTTTGCTTGAAAGTGAAAGGTTTCTAGAAGATTGGAATGAAAAAATATCATATCTCAAGCACAAAAAGTCTGCAAAAAACAATCTGAAATGACCAGCATAACAGCGAAAGTTTGTAACATAATAATTTTCAATCTTGACCACCATCGACCGCCAAAAAATCCATCGACAACAAATCAATGACCACTAACGTGACAAGCGTAATTTAGGTTAAACAACTTTCAATTCATCAGCACCGGCATAAGTTTATCATAATTGAAACCAAAATTGAAAGATTAAGCCAAGTCCAACCAAAACTCCTTATGGCAGATCTCGACATTGAGAGACAGTATGTATTTTTGATTTGGAACAACATTTATTAGCATTCAAATATATTTGATAATTTTGCAGCCAAAAAATGCACCAAAATAAAACGCCAAAAAAAAAAAAAATAGAATCATCAACAATGACTACTTCATATTCATTACCATATGATCAAGAAGATTATACTAAAACATTCAAACCAAAATCAAGTCTATCTAATCAATTAAATAAATTCATATTACAAAATAAAAAAATTATACTATTTATTATAACTTTTATCATTTTATCATTATTTACAAATGTACCTTATATACCTCATTTAAAATTTAATACATCGCCCAAAATTGTCATTATATTAGCTGCTAATGAAGGTGGTGGTGTCCTAAAATGGAAATCTCCTCAAGAATGGTCAGTTGAAAGATCTTCCATAGCAAATAAAAAACATTATGCAAAACTTCATGGTTATGGTTTAACAATTAAAGATATGACTATTAAAAAAAGATATAGTCATGAATGGAGAGAAAGTTGGGAAAAAGTAGATATATTAAAACAAACAATGAGACAATTTCCAAATACTGAATGGTTTTGGTGGTTAGACTTACATACTTATATAATGGAACCACAAATTAGTTTGGAACAACATTTTCTTGAAAATTTAAATAATCAAACTTATAGAACTTTAGAAAATTTTAATCCTTTAAATTTAAGAAAAGATATACCATATGTTGATTATACTCAACCAATTGATATGATTATAACTCAAGATTGTGGTGGTTTTAATTTAGGTAGTTTTTTATTAAGAAGATCTCAATGGAGTGAAATGTTATTAGATATTTGGTGGGATCCTGCAATGTATGAACAAATGCATATGCAATGGGAACATAAAGAACAAGATGCATTAGAAACTTTATATTCAACTCAACCTTGGATTAGAGAAAGAATTGGATTTTTACCATTACGTAAAATTAATGCATTTCCACCTGGTGCTTGTAGTGATAAAGCGGATGATCCACAATATTTCTTTAAGAATAATGATTTTGTTGTAAATATGGCTGGTTGCGAATGGGGAAGAGATTGTTGGGGTGAAATGGAACATTATAAAGCATTATCTAAAAAATTACATAAAAGATGGTGGAAATTCTGGAGTTAAATATATATATTAAGTTGAACCAACCTGATTAAAGTATACGATTTTAATATAGTAAAATTAACTGTTGTTGTAATCTATTGACAGATTAGTTGAGTAAAAGACCCCTAACTAGTGACAGCCACCTAAAATTTGGCACTTGGTAGCGAAATCGTTCGAATAGAAAAAAAAAAATTTATTATTATCAACAGAGAATAACCAACTGTTATTATGAATTGGGATATGAATGAAAATAAGTCATTAAGTAATGATGACTTTCTAAATTCAATATTTGACCAAAATCAAGGTCAACAGCAACAATCACAACCACAACCACCACCTCAACAACAACAGCCCATGGTACAACCTTCTCCAATGCAACAACCTTTACAAGGCAACCCCGAGCAAATGTTTATGAAAAATCAACAACAACAACAACAACCAACTAATTTTAATAAACAAGAGCAGTTATACAGAATGAAGCAGCAGATTTATCAACAAAAGATGCTACAAAAACAACAACAGCAGCAACAACAACAAAATATTTCATCAAGACCATCACCAATGAATTCATCAGTACCCACTCCATTACCTCAACAAGGTACACCATTAATGAACCAACAACCTAATCCTATTCAGCAACCAATGCATCAACCACCTCAACAACAAATGAAACCAACACCTAATCAAACTCAAACTCAAATGCAAATGGAATTATTTCTTACCTTATTATATGACTTTCTTCATAGAAGAGGAGTTGCTGTTAATCAACCTTTTACAATTAATGGGAAAAGAATTAATTTATTTGTATTCCATTTCATATGTCAAAGATTAGGAGGATTTCAACAATTGAAAAAATTTACCCAATTTACACCTCAACTGCAACATCCATGGACATTAATAGGTTCTAAATTAGGCGTTTTTGATGGTATAACAGATTCAAATGCCAAAGATAGAATAGATCGAGAAATTTGCAACTGTTACACAACTTATTTATTACCTTATGAAGAATATAGTTCAACTCCGCAAGGTGCAAGAGAATTAACTCAAAGAAGAGCTCAATTTCAACCTCAAATTATTCAAAAATATCAAGCTTTAGCTAATGCTAATACTAATACACCACCTATTCAACAAGTTCAAAGTCCAATAAATCAACCAATTCCACCAAGAAAAACGTCACAACATCCGAATTCTCAGTTAAATTCACCTTATGTTCCACCTTCAAGAGCTACAAGTGTAACCGATATGAATAGTAGACAACCATCACAAGCATCAATGAGACAAACTCCTATAATGCCTCAACAGCCACAACCACAACCACAACCACAACCACAAGTAACTATGAAGGCAGAGATTTCAAAAGAAGAAGCAAATATTTTGAAAAATTATGTGCCTTTTAAAAAATTAATTGAAACTTATGGTAATTATCCAATTAAAGATTTATCACAAATAGCTGGAGAAATTGAAGTTACTAAACCTGTTTACCTATTTGCTCCTGAATTAGGTATAATTAATTTACAAGCCTTAACAATGAGTTTGAAAAGTAATCATGGTATACAAGATTCTGAGGTTGTTAATGCATTAAATACTTTATTGGTAACTACCTCTGATGTAAATTATACATTTCATATCAAAGATAGTTTAGAATTATTAGATGCTTTAAGTATTCTTGGGAAGCAAATTTTAAATAAAATAGTAGGTGAAACTCCAAAGGAAGAAGTGAAAATTAAACCAGAATCTAAAATTGATGAAATTTTTAACAAATATGTTACATCAAGAGGTGAAGATATAGCTTTAGTTGTAAATTCATTAACTGGAGAAGTGGAAGATGATGATATGGATGAGATATTTTCAATTGATGAACCTGAAACTCCAGAAACTCCACCACAAATAGAAGAAACAATAGATCATTTCTATTTAGATGATTATTTAACAGCTTTACAAAATTTTAGAAAAGAAAATAAATATCATTTTAGTAAATTACAAACAAGACTGGCAATGAATGATCAAATTTTATTAGTTGATGAATTAATTACAGTTACTATGATTTTAAGAAATATATCATTTTCAGAAGCCAACAAAGAATATTTAGCTAGAAATGATTTGTTTAAAGATTTATTATTTTCAATAGTTAAACAAATTGGTTTACATTATGATGAATTTGTATTCAGTAGGAAAAGATTAGGTTTATTAAAAGATTGTTTATTAATGTTGGATAATATAGCATTTTATATTCAATTGAAAAGTTTAGAAGAAGCATTTTTATCATTTGCATTAGTTGCTTCATTTGGACCAAAAATTCATGGTGATTTTCAAATTCCAAAATGTGACTTAGATACTCATTCATATTTATCATTTGGTGTTGATGCATTGACTAAATTATTAGTAAGAGAACCTTATAATAGATCATTATTACAAGCCGTTTTAAATGGTACTTTAAATATTTCATTAACTACTGCTCATTCAAATTCAGCATTTCAAATAAGTTTGCATGATCAAGAATATACTAGAAAATTAATCAAAGCTTATCTTGGAAAAGAAAATAAAGCTGTATTATTAACTAGAGCTTTTCAAATACTAATGAGCTTTATACCTTATAATGCAAATAGTTTTGAATTTTCAAAGTTTATATTTGTTAGAGCTCCAACTATTTCACAAATGTTTTTCGGTGTAAAATTATTGATGGATATGGCTCCAATTGATGATTTAACAAATCATTTAAATGAATTAACCTTGAATTGGATGTTGCAGAATAGAGAATTATTATTGGGAAATTTTGCAAGAATTGTAGTTGCTTTATCTTCAGAAACTGGTAAATTTCCAAGAGAATCAAATGAACATAAAGTTTTACTGTCAGTATTACGTAAAGGTTTAATTGTTGTAAATACTTTAGTTGAAAATGCATTAAAAGCTAAAGAAATTGCTGAAACAGAAGATAGACATAGTAAATTAATGGAAAAATTAACTGATTGTTATGCATTTCCAAGAATTATACCAGATATTAATTTAACATTAGATACATTATTAACACCAAGTATTGATACAAGTTTAGGTAAAGAAGTTGTTAGATTGTTAAGATATTTAAGAGATTTAAAAGCTTATGAAGGTATATAGATTTAATATACGCGCTACCTGACACATGAAAAATTGTAAAAAAAAATTCCAATTCAACTTTGCCATCTTTAATTAATTTCATCATGTCACTTCAAATGTCATTCGTGTTCGTCACGATGGTTGTTCAAATGGTATTTTTATTTTTATTAGTTGTTCCATTACCATTTGTAATTCGTTCACAAATTGTTGAACTTACTTTTAAATTACAAAAATCACAAAATTTCAAAGTATTTCTAACTTTTGCATTGGTACTTATGGGTTTACAATTCTTTGATTGTTTACAAAAATTGGATAAATATAAACATACTACAAGTAATCCATTATATCCAGGTACTAATTATGATCAATTGGCTTCAAAATTTTATGCTCAAAGAAATTTATATTTAAGTGGGGCTATATTATATTTACAAATGTCAATTTCAACAGTAATTACAATTGTTAGAAAATTGGTACTTAAAGAAAGAGAAATTAGAAATTTTGGTAAAAATGTTGATATATCAGAAGAAATTGTTAAATTAAAGCAATTAATTGAATTAAAACAAAAAGATATTGATACAATGAAAAAGCAAATTGGTGGAATTCAAACTGCTTATAATCAATTGAATATAGATGAAAGAACAAATAAACATGATTAATAACGTACGAAGATTTTACATTTCTATAACTAATGTTATTTTACAAGATTTAATTACATTAAAATTTGCTTCATTAACTCAAGGTGTTGCTATTCCAAATTGATCTGACAAAAGTGATGATGTTCTGATTTGTATAATTGCCAATCCTGATCGAATTATGCAAAGAACTAATCAAACCAAGATCGCCTTATAGTTCGTATCAGAATACTACCAAACTTTTCTTTCCGCGCAATAAACCCGAAAAACACATGTACGAGAGATAAACACTTGTACGAGAGATAAAAGTAATCACCCCAAGTGTATGAGAAATAATTTTGTTCTCTTGTGAGTGAACGTACACAATATGTCGCGCTAACTTTCGCGCGAGCTTTGAATTTACCTCGTACCGTTACATATCTCCGAGCCGATCTGCACAACGGTGATTCACGTGATACATTCTGATTCTAATTTAAAACTACATCAAAACCGTTGTTGTCAAAAACAGAAAACCCTGCCTTTGAATTTATTACATACATGGGAAGTTCAAAGTCGAATTCATCGGAATTTTGCTTCATTACCAAAATTTCCAAAATTTCTGCTATTAAAAAGCGATTCATATTTTACGCTTTTGTGTTGATCAAAATTTGACTTTCACGCAATACGATGCTAACAGCCTGGGATTTGTATACCTTAATTTGTGGATGCATCTGAGTGTATCCCTATAAACTAATCTTTGATGCAATGAATATTCGCTATGTTACTTTAAAGAAAGCAGAGAGCCATATCAATTGAAAGTTGGCTAAATTCTAATATCAGGATTTTTTCTCTCTCGCGATATGCCCGCGCCAAAAAACTGGAAAAAGGGATAAGCATGTACTATAGTCCTGAAAGAAATTTGAATTATATGCAGTCTTGTAAGTCAAAAATCCAAAATTTATTTCGGAAATAACTCTTTCAATAATTTAGCTTTCGTTTTCAAACTAACTTCATTGAATTATCCAATCATTCAAGAATGAAACAAAGTTAGTTTCAATCACTAGAGCTAAATTTTGATAATTTAAATCATCAATTAAAAAATGACAAAAAAAGTCAAATTGCAAGAAAATCAACACTTCTGTATACCGCCAACAATACACTTGCATGATATAAGCACCAATTGTATGAAATCAGAACAGTTAAGGTATTTATTCACATAGGTCAAGCCAGATATACCAAAATTGTTTTTTTGACTTATCAATTTGGGCTTTTTTCACCAGCGAAATTTTTCAGAAGAATTAAAATTTGTATTTGTCATTAATTAGGACCACAAGTTTCGATTAAACAATGGATTGTATATATCATACTTCAAACTAAAGTAATACACTTGTATTTGTTTACTCTTGTCTAAAATTTAAAAAATGCACAAAATTCTCTTAAGTATGAGAATATTTGAATAATCGACATTATAAAAAGTCTAATTCCACAATCAATTTTGTGACGAAAGTGTGGGAAAAGTATCAATATTTGTAGTTACCCATTCTGATATATCTTAACTTTCTTTGTGTTAAGGTATTCAAAATAGAAAATCAATTTTTCAAAAGTGGTTTGAAATTTTTGGAAAAAATTCAAACTGAATAGGGCGTCTTAAAGGCATTAAATAATTGGGGCTTAATAAGCCTAATCGGCTATCTTAGAAGTTGTTAATCGAGGTCTAACGGTAATTATCTTGCATTTTGACGATTTTTTCCATTTTCCAAACGAGTAATAACAAGATCAGGATCGACTTTTGTCAAAAGACGTAGCATGAACCTAATTTAAATTGAAAGAAGTCTTAACAAATAATTTTTGAAGACTACGCCTTGGATATTGAAAGAATTATTTGCAAACTCAGTTTTATGATTAATAACTGTGAGTCTGCATATAAGTCAAATTTGTTTAGATTTATTCCAGCCACGCAAAAACCGAAGTTTCAAATCTAAAAACATATTTTGACCACATCTCAAAGTTTCGTGTAGTGCATCATATCCTATACTTGGGCTCGAGTATTATTTGTAAGAGATGTACTCTTAATTTCATTTGTACATAAGTTAGAGGTCATAATCAACAACCATTGCCATTAGTTATGATAAATTTACGATAAATTTACGACAAAGCTTTGATATATATCAAACAACTTGAGAGATTAGAAATTGACGATGAAACAGTAAAATTCTCTCATTAAAATAAATAGATATTGACACAATGAGAAAGCAAATTGGTGGAACTTGCTTATAATCAATTAAATATAGTACAAAAAATAAATAAATATAATTAATAATGTCCACTATAGTTACCACTTATTAAATTTCTAAATGTTGGAACTTCTTTATTATTTTCATAAATTGTACAATACTTTATTGGTGCATCTTTAATTTCAAATTTAATTTGAACTCCATGTTCATTTTCAATACCTTGACCTTGAGTCATAAATCTTGCAACTAATTTTTCTTCACCTTGTAAATGTAATGGTTTATTATATCTCCATGTAATTCTATTCTTGTCATGATTAAAAGCACCTTGTGGTTTTGACGATGCTGAAATAGCTTTACAATTTGATAATGCAACTGATACAATAAAATTTTCAAGTATTAAGGGTTCATTCGATTTAATATTAATAACTAAACTTGATTGATGAGGTTCATATTTCCAAATTTGTTGAATAGTAACTGGAGGAGTAGCATTTTTTGAAAGATATTTTAATCCACCTAAAGTTCTTGATGATATTGATTCAGGATGTATTCTGTATAAATTATCACCTAATTCTTCCATAAACGATTTATTAACAATTAATTTATCATATTGATATGGAATTGAAACAATTAATGGTTCATGAAGTTGTCCAATATAATTGAAAGCAACTTCACCTACAACTGATGATTTAACCAATTGACCATCTTTAAAATTTGCATTAACAACTTCAGCAATTGAAGAATTTAATCCAGATTCATTTAATGTGAAATGTTTAAAATCATTTCCCAACATATTACCAGTATCTTGACTTTGTAAGGGTTGAATAAAAGATGATGAACGTTGATTAAATAATACTGACTCTCTTTCATTATGAGTAACTTTTCTGGAAGGTGGAGGAGCAGGAGCTGTAGATTTTTTTTCAATAATTGGTTCTGGAAACTCGGATCTATAATTATTTGAGTCAAATGTATCGTGGTTTGTTTTAGGAGTCGAAATTTCATCATCACCTTTTTCAAAAGAATATCTTTGTTGTGGATCATGAGCTGGTGCTAATTTCTCATGATCTAATTTTTGTAATAATGATTGTTCATTATCTGTTTCATCTGAATCATTATCATATTTGACAACATTTGGAGAATCTGGTTGTTGAATTTGTGGTTGATATTGTTGTTGAACTAGTGATTTTTCAATTGGTTGAGGGATATTTTCTGATTGTTTTTGTTGTTCATATTGCTCAAATTGATATGGTTCGTGATTTTGTGGTGGTTGTGGTTGAGCTTGTTTAGGTTGCATTGGTTCAAAATATTGTTGTTGAGGCTGAGTATAATTTGCGTGTGGAGCAAGTGGCAATTGTGATGATCTTCTAGTTGTATTTCTAGTTAAATCAGAAGGTGTTGTTGAGATAGATGCATCTTCTGGTATAGCACCAACATCATTTGCCATTTTTTTGTCTTTCTTCTTTCTACCAAAAATTGAACCAACTTTAGATTTTAGTCTTGATTGTCTCTTTTCAGAAGTTGGTGTTTTACTTGGAGATGATGCAACACTATTTCTTTTAGTCTTTTGGGATGAAGGTTGAGCTGACTGTGGTATTTGAAACTCTGTATTCAATAAATAATTTAATTGACTTTTCATTTCGTTATCTAATTTAAAACTACCCAATAAATAGTTTGTTGAATTCTCATTATTCTTCAATTCTTTAGTCAATTTATTATTTTGCAACTGTATAAAATTTAATACAATATTAAATAAAGTTTGAATTTCAATTTTTTTAAAATCTTCCAAATTTTGAAAACCTTGTGGAGCTTTAAAATTCCATTGATATTCATCTAAGTTTTCACTAATTTCTTGTAATTCTTGACCATTTACTAATAATTCACTAATTCTAACATCTTTATCAATTAAATTTCGCAAGGGGTTTAAAATCTCCAATTTTATATTTTTAAGTAAAATTTCATTATTTGATTCTTCTAATTTAATAGCACTTAATAAACAATTCCAATTTCTTGGAAAACTATTAAAACCGACATTACTACGTTGACTTATCTTGTTTGCATCTTGAATTAAATTTTTCAATTGAGAATTATATTGAGATAATATTGTTTCATAATTATGAAACCATGAAATTAAATCTTTATTTACACCAACGGATCCTTGTACAGTGTTTGGAATTATTTGAGCAGCTTGTTTTGGAGTTTTGGATGTTAAGATAGTAGTAGCAAAATTATAAGATTCATCCATTTTTGATTATTATGGAATTACTGGAACTTTGTTTTGTTATTTGTTGAAAATTAACCTCGTGGTAGTGTACATAGTGTTTTTTTATTTATGTAATGGTCTAGTGCTTGGTTATGTAAGAAATTTTTCAAATTTACGAGACCGAAAAAGATTTGGAATCTGGTTGTGCAAAATCGTCAAGATAAATAGATTTAATCTAACATTTATAAATGGCTTATTTTGGCTCCGTTACAGGTCAGATTTGAAAAACTTTTATTACCGCATGTGTGAATATTTTCATTTCTCATCATTAATACAGTATATTAAATTAGCTCTATTATCGAAGATTCCAATCTGATTGTTTGTAAAAGTCAAGTATTTACAAAATCTAAGCTTTTGCTTATTTTCACAAGAGAGTCAAGAAACTTTCAATAACTTTCAGTTTTAAAACTGATCTAACACTTTTCAATTCAGCTTGAATTACCTAATTTAGAATCGATAAAGATCGAGAAATAGAAAATCTTTTCAACCAGTCTTAACCTGCCAAGAAATTAGCCTTATCTATAGTTCCAAATTAATCAGGGTCGAGTAGTAGATTTCCAACATTACATCAGTCTTTAAATACAACTAACCACTAGAGAAAATATTGATAGGCCCTTGTCTTGAACATTGACGATCGTTCTACAGATCGATGAAATTCTGTAATCATTTTTCACATTTATTAGACGCTCAACTATCAAGAAATTGACTAAAAATCCTGCATATTGCTTATCTTTAATTTGTTGTATTTTTTTTTGATTGCAAAAAAGTGTTTCAACCTGTTTTCATTGGGCGATAAGCATTACGTATTAAAGTTGTTTTGAAAAATGTTTATATGTATATAAATGATTGACATTCTCCGATTGACAATTTCCAATTGTCTTGAAAGTTAAGTGAAAAGCTATGTCAGATTCAGGTTTTACAGAGTCAGGTACGGGAGGTGATGTTTTCAAAGTTAATTTGAACGAACAATTTGAAGGAGCAGATATGGTTTGGGTTGCAACCGCTTCAGCTTTAGTTTGGATTATGATTCCAGGTGTTGGATTATTATACAGTGGTTTATCAAGAAAGAAACATGCATTATCTCTAATGTGGGCTGCGTTGATGGCTGCTTGTGTAACAGCTTTTCAATGGTTCTTTTGGGGTTATTCATTAGTATTTGCTCATAATGGCTCAAAATTCTTAGGTTCAATGTCAAACTTTTGTTTAATGAATGTTTTGGGAGCTCCATCAATTGTTAAAACTTTACCAGATATTTTATTTTGTTTATATCAAGGTATGTTTGCTGCTGTTACTGCGATTTTAATGGTTGGTGCAGGATGTGAAAGAGCAAGATTAGCTCCAATGATGGTCTTTTTATTCATCTGGTTGACCGTTGTTTATTGTCCAATTGCTTATTGGACTTGGGGTGGTAATGGTTGGTTAGTTAGTTTAGGTGCTTTAGATTTTGCAGGTGGTGGTCCAGTTCATGAAAATTCAGGTTTTGCAGCTTTAGCTTATTCATTATGGTTAGGTAAAAGACATGATCCACTAACACAAGGTAAAGTTCCAAAATATAAACCGCATTCAGTTTCGTCAATTGTGTTAGGAACTGTCCTACTCTGGTTTGGCTGGTACGGCTTTAATGGTGGTTCTACGGGCAATGCCTCTATTAGATCATGGTATGCATGTGTCAATACAAACATTGCTGCAGCATGTGGTGGTTTAACTTGGATGTTTGTAGATTATTTTAGAACTGGTAAAAAATGGTCAACTGTAGGCTTATGTATGGGTGCTATTGCAGGTTTAGTAGGTATTACACCAGCTGCTGGTTATGTTCCTGTTTATACAGCAGTTGCTTTTGGTATTGTGCCTGCCATCATTTGTAATTTTGCTGTTGACTTAAAAAACATTTTGCAAATTGATGATGGTATGGATGTTTTCAGGTAAGTAAAAACAATTCAAACACGATCAAAGAGCTTTTACTAACTAAATTTTGCTTACACGGATGTGGTGGATTTGTAGGAAATTTCATGACCGGGTTGTTTGCTGCAGATTATGTTGCAGCTATTGATGGGACTGAAATCGAAGGTGGTTGGATGAATCATCATTGGAAACAACTCGGTTATCAATTAGCAGGATCAGTATCAATAGCAGCTTGGTCCTTTGTTGTTACTTCGATTTTGTTATTGGCTATGGACAGAATTCCATTTTTAAGAATTAGGTTACATGAAGATGAAGAAATATTAGGTACAGATTTAGCACAAATTGGTGAATATGCATATTATAACGAGAATGAAGACCCTGAAACGCTTCCTTATTTATTAGAACCAGTTCGTACAACAAATGCAATTAAAGAGAAATTGAAAACTTCAACTACAAAAGAACAAGAACCAGAACAAATTGATGGAGTAACAGAAGGTGATAGATCATTAAGTCCAGATGGAATTGAAACTGATGATTCTAAAAAATAAACTACTGGTTAGTGTGTAATATATAATAATTTTATTAAAATACCTTTTTTATTAAAAACTTTCCGTATAACAATATATATCACTATTTTTCTTACTTTTTCTAGCTTTTTGACAATAAGTTTTCACTGCATTTGTGAATAGTTTTGGTCCACAAGATGCTATTGCTATTGATTTTTGATTTAAATTCTGTATTGTATCTTCAATTGGTGGTCTACCATAATTTATACTGCATATAGACTTAACTGAAATCGTGTTTTTCTCTAAACTAGATTTTTCGCTATCAATTTCCTCCGGATCTTGTGTAACGTAAATTTCTATATCAACATCATATTTTATTAATTCATCTAGTATATGTTTAAACCATATCATATTTTCTTTATGCCTTATAACCCATACTAATTTTATATAAGGAAACCTTGATCTGAATAAATAATCTTGTTGTTTTTCTCTTTGTTCAATTTGTTTAACTAAATCTAAACATACTGGAAACGTAAATGCACCTCCACTACCAGCACCAAAGAAACAAATAGCGTCAAATGATAAAAATGGCTGATGAACTGCACCATATGGACCATGAAAATGTACTTTCATTGTAACTGTATCATCAACTTGTGATAAATGATTATACAATTTTTTAGTAAAACCTTTCTGAACTCTCATTAGTATTTTCATCTCCCCCGTTTCAGCTAATGATGATATTGTAAATGGATGATATTGAAAATATTTGACTTTTGAAACATTCAAATAAATATGTTGACCTGCTTTCCATTTTGAATATTTATTATACCATTTTGAATTACAAGTATCAACTGGAATAGTTATCAATATTGTATCTTTATCCAATAATTCAAATGTAGATTTCCCCTTTGTTGGTGACTTTTTAGCATGTATATAAGCCATTATTTTTGCAAAAACTCTATCTATAACTAAACCATGAACTGCAATTAAAACAGCTGCTCTATTACCAGCATTATGAATAAAACTCATAAATAACATTATGAAAGCAAATACTCTATGTTGAACTAGAAAAAAATCATAAGCCCATTCTCTTATAAATTTTAAACTAACCCAATTTAATAATGTAAAACTACCGTAAGCCATAAAACCAAAAATTTGTGGTGGGATAATAATCATAATTAAAAAATTTAAACTTAACCAATAATAACATGCCACTGATAAATGTACTGTAATCATTACCCACATCCATCTACTTAACCATTTATGTAAAAATTCAATTCTATCATATTGTAGACCTGATAATCTAGTTAAAACATCATTTTTGATAACTGAAAATAATAATATTGGCATACTACCCATAGCAACTTTGGAAATTCTCTTGGATATAATATAATATCTTACTTGATAATCTAAATCCTTGGTTCCTACAAAACAAAATGCAACATTAATCCCACAAAATATTATCCCTAGTAAAACCAAGCTAGGTTGAAAATAAAATCCTTTGAAATTTACACAACTTGTCCATAGTTCCCACTGCCTTACAAACTTGAAATATCTATTATTTCTATCAGGACCTTTTCTTTTCAAGTACATAGGTATATAATGGAATAATAAACCATGTATCCCCAACGTAATCACCGTCAAGACAAATACTAACCATTCATATTTATTATTTCTATCCTTTTCCACAAAGTATTGTTGATCAAATGGTATAGTACTCATTATCTGATGACTTCAATCATTTTTCAAGGATATTAAAGGATATTTATAAGTTCATGTAAACATCAAGCGATTGGTTGGAGTTATCGATGCCAAGATTGCAAAATTTATTCTGCAGCATAAATTAATTAACTAAAAAAAAAATAAAATAAAATAAAATAATTATCTATTTAATCTACGAAGGTATATATAAAAATGAAACAATCCACCAGGTCAAACAAGATTTTTTTTATAACTCAACAGATCTTATATTCACAATGAATTTGATACTTTTTTTATTTATTGCTTTAGTTTCAGCTGATAATTACGCTACTTATCCACAAGTTCCAAAAACTGCTTCAATTAATGGATTTGCAGATCCGATTTATGCTTTATTACCTGAATGTGCTAAAGAATGTGTTAAATATAGTACTGGTAATACACCATGTCCTTATTGGGATACTGGTTGTTTCTGTGTCATGCCACAATGGTCTGGTATGGTTGGTCAATGTTTTGCTCAATCTTGTAGCGGTGAAGATGTTGCAAGTGCAACTTATTTAGCTAACTCATTATGTTCAACTGTTGGTGCTAACACTTGGATGATGCCAGCTTCAATTTCAACAATGTTATCCAGTGCTGCTGGAAATGCAAGAGAAGTTACTACAATTGAAGGTCAAACTCCAATGTCATGGGTTATTGGTCCAGGATCATCAGTTGCAACTGAAACAGGTGATTCGACTGAAAATGCTGAAGAAACTGGAGAAGCTAATACAACTAGTTCATCTTCTTCAACAAATTCAGCTTCTTCAAGCTCAACGACACAGAATTCAACTTCAAATGTCGGTATCATACAAACTGCTAGTGTTGGAACAATTATTCTTGGCTTCTTATTAAGTTTCTTATTATAAAATAGTCTAGAATATAATAAATAGAAAAAACATTTTTACAATTATGACTCTTTTGCACTTACAATAGCCAATAGTAAATTTTCACGCAAATAACAATCCAATGTTCTTATTTGATATATTATAGAACCATTATCTCCAGGTTATTGCCACTGTATTTTTGGTCTAAAATTTTTATAGTCTTATATAATGTATCAAAATTAAGCGGCCTTGCAGGAAGAAAAATTTATCTATTTCATCAGTTGAGGATTTATCGGGGATCTAATCCGATCGTGGTATTTGAATTGGGTATCAAACTTTCCTAATCTGGGTGTTGTTATAGAATCCAGAACTAATTAAAAAATTTTCAATCGATTTTCTTGGTATTTGCTTCTATTATTTGAAGACTATTTATACTCGATTGAATTCCCCTTCAAGTTTATCTAAATAATAGCTTTTTAATCAACTTTTTCCTTCGCTTAAATAATGTCAAATCCATACGAAACTTATCCAAGTGTTCCTCGTACTGCTTCTATTAACGGTTTTGCTGATAGAATTTATGATCAATTACCAGCTTGTGCTCAACCATGTGTTAAAGAAAGTACCAGTTCTACTCCATGTCCATACTGGGATACTGGTTGTTTATGTGTTATTCCTGCTTTTACCTCAGCTGTTGGTGAATGTATTGCTGAAAATTGTTCAGGTGAAGATGTCACTAATGCTGAAAGTTTAGCTGTTTCTATTTGTAGTTCAGCTGGTGTTTGGGAACCATACTGGATTTTACCAGCAAGTGTTTCACAAGAATTAAGTGATGCTGCTAACAGACAGGTTGCAACTTCAACTGCTTCAACTGAGCAACAAACTACTCAAGAACTTGCTACAACTTCAGCTCCAGCTGAAACTACTGCCCAAGAAACTTCTGTTGCTCAAGAATCTTCAGCTCCTCAAGAAACTTCTGTTGCTGAAGAATCTTCAGCTCCTCAAGAAACTTCTGTTGCTGAAGAATCTTCAGCTCCTCAAGAAACTTCTGTTGCTGAAGAATCTTCAGCTCCTCAAGAAACTTCTGTTGCTCAAGAATCATCAGCTCAAGAAACTTCAAGTGTTGAAGGTTCATCATCAGCAGCTCAAGGTGAATCAACTGAATCAGAATCAGTCTCAGTTGCATTAGTTAATGCTGCAAATGCTCCAACTATTGCTTTCGGTGGTATTGTTGCTTGTTTAGCTGCTTTATTCTAAGCAAGTTCTTAGAATATTTTGTTCTGATTAATTATACTTAATTACAATTTGTTTAAATATATACTATAATTTCAATCATAATCACCTTATTTAAAATATCTTCATACTAAATTGAATTGCTGCAGAATGAAAAGAAACGAGAAAGATTTTGCAGCCAAAAATTGCGCTTTGAAGATTTTTTTGCAGCAATTTGGACGAGGTATAAAATGAAATTAAAAGAAATATTTCTCAACATCAATTAAACAGGTCATGTAATAAGTTGTGGATGTCTATTAGTAGATAATTGCCATGATCTTCAAATCATTGTCATAAACTAGCTCTTCATGAAATCTGAACACTACTTTTCTTAACATCTTTGAAACCAATTGGCTTTTGACCAAATCTGTAAAATCTTTTGTCGTAGTAGATCTATAGCCGATTTAATCCCAAAAACTCGAATTAATTGTATCCCGAGAATGGAACTAAACTTATTAATTTGTCGACTGGCGCTACTCCAATCTATAATGTGGATGCTGTGGCTTGTTGCCTTTTTGACATATTTCTAGAAATATGTCAAATCTGCTCACGTGAAATGGTTGAAGAACGGCATCGTCTATACTTTAATTAATCAATTTAAACGCTAGTGCATGGATTTATAATGAAGCCCAATTATCGATGATTGTTATATTAATACTGATAGTTCCATAATGAACAAAACCAAGAATTAGATCAACTATGTTTAAGTTATCTAAGAAAAATACAAAATCTAGTATAGTGGAAGAATCAAAAAGTACAGATCCAATAGATAAAATACATGAGATTGATGTTAAAGAAGAATTAGAGCATACAACTGATATAGAATCAGCTGCATCTTCACTACCTCCAGATATAGAGGAATTACCTAGAGTTGTCAGAGAAGTTGTTGATTTTGATGATGATGCAAATACACCTTTATTAACATTCAGATATTTTTTACTTTCAATCATATTTATACCACCAGGAGCATTCATAGATACATTCACTTCATTTCGTACTACATCAGCTGCATATTCCATATTTTTCGTTCAATTAGCTTCTCATTGGCTTGGTATGTGGTTAGCTAAAGTATTACCGGATAAGAAAATTGGTTTTGGCAAATTCAAGTTTAGTCTAAATCCTGGTCCATGGTCAATTAAAGAAACTGTATTGGTCACAATAACAGCAAGTAGTGGTGCAACAGGAAGTTTAGCGACAAACTGTATTGCTTTGGCTGAAGTTTACTATGACACAACGATTAGCCCAGCAGTTTGTATATTTTTCATGTGGGCAATCGTATTTCTTGGTTATAGTTACAGTGGTATTTCACGAAACTTTTTAATTAATGATCCACAATTTATTTGGCCCCAAGCATTAATGCAAACAACTTTATTCCAAAATCAGAAAAAGAGTCATGGTTCAATGCAAGTTTTTTTCGTCGTATTAATTGGTGTTTGCTTTTGGACTTTTTTACCCGAATATGTATTTCCAATGACATCTTCATTAGCTTTACTATGTTGGTGTGCTCCAGAAAATTATACTGCAAATTTTATTGGTAGTGGTTTGGGTGGTATGGGTTTTTTGAATATTAGTTTGGATTGGTCTAATATTACTTCATCAATAATGTTGTCGCCTTATTGGGTGCATGTTGTTCAATTCTTAGCTTTTATTTTAGGTGCTTGGATTTTGATTCCAGCAACTAAATGGGGTAATTTAGGTAACTTTCAGTATGGATTAATGTCAAACAATTTATTTATGTCAAATGGTACAAAATATCCAACAACTGCTTTATTAACGCCAGATCATCAGCTAAACATGACAGCCTATAAACAATTAGGTCCCGTTCATTTAGGAACGCAAAGAGCTTGGAATATTTTTTTTGATTATGCTGCTTTTGTTTCAGGTTTTGTTTGGGCAGTGTTGTTTGGGTACAAAAGCTTGAAAGAATCAGTTATAAAATTTTATGCTGCTAAACTCAAGTCTAAATCAAACACCAGCTCCCAATATACCGACAGATTGAACAAAATACAATCAAAATACGCAGACGTTCCGTTATGGTGGTTTTTGATATTGTTTATTTGTACATTTATAATTTTGATTGTTACGCTGACAACCAATGCTTTACCAATACCATGGTGGACTGTATTTGTTGCAATGGCTATAGGTGCTGTTATTGTAACTCCACTATCTTGGTTGTACGCTATTTCAAATTTTCAATTAGCTGTCGGTACTTTCAATGAAGTAATTTACGGTTACATGATTGAACATATGAAATACAAAGTCCCCTATAGTGTAATGATTTATTCAAGCATCTCCGGTGATGCTTTTTATAGGGCACAATATGAGAGCCAAAGTTTAAAGATAGGTCATTATAATCATATTCCACCAAGGGTCACATTCTTTTGTCAAATATTTGGTGAGATTGTAGGAGTCCCTATCAACTATGCTGCCTTGAAATGGGTTTTGAAAACCAAGAAAGATTATCTTAATGGAACAAAAGTTGATAAGCTACATCAATGGACAGGTCAAACGTTACTTTCATATCATTCCAATGTTGTTCAATATGTTACATTAGGCCCTTCAAGGTTATTTGAAAACTACAGAGTGCTACCCTACGGTTTTTTGGTTGGTTTAATTGCTCCAATAATATTTTATTCGCTACATAGATTATTTCCAAATTCAAAGTTAAAATTTAGATTACGGAATACTACAATATTCTTTTCAACAATGTCAACATTCTATGGTAATATTTCGACAGGTTATTTCTCACAGTTCGTGGGTGCAACTGTGACCATGTTTTATTTTTATAGATATCGTCATAATATTTGGAAAAAGTATAATTATTTACTAGGGGCTGCATTTGATACCGGCTTTAATTTATCAATTTTGTTGATTTTCATTATATTTTCAGCTGGTAAAACTATAGATATGCCAAACTGGTGGGGTAATAATGATAAAAGTGTAGAAAGATGTTTTGCGTTGGTAGAAGCAGATTAATATATTAATGATTTTGATAAGATTATATTGTAAAACCTTTGGCTCTAGTTGTCATCTTGGTTTAAAGAGTAGAAGATCGAAAACACAATTGTATATTCACTTGACTAACAAAAAGACTTAACGGTTAAAGTATTCTAAATTACAACAATACCTGAATCTGTAGTATATTTAACTTGAGCAAATGAAATTGTTTTTTTATCTAAGTTAAACACGGTATAAGCATGACGTAAGAAATTGTGTCCTGAGACTGAAATATTAATAGGTGATTGTTGAACTAGATAAAATTAGTATTATGGTTACAAACGATTTCCTGAAATACGTCCTTCCCCAATTACAAAGGCCGCTCCCATACTCAACCATAAACTTTGTTATAGGAACTGCTATGTTAGCACTATTACCAAGGTTAAAATCAACAGTACCACACTAGTACAGTTCATAAACCAAAAACAAGCTAATGGGTGGAATGTAAAATGCTCCATGTTTTGATCAAATTTCTTCAACAACATCTTTTGGTAAATAGGTGTATGTGGTTCCTGAATCAATTGCTGCAGTTCCAATTGGTTGAACGATACCAGTATAATTGACTGAAACTGCATCAATAGTTAATCTACCATTAGTATTTACAGGCTCTGAAATCAATTCACCTGTATATTTAGCTTTATCAACACCACAAAGGTAATTTGACCAGTTTGAGCATCTGTTGAATTTAAATATAATGAATAAGGATTAATTTTTTTATCGATAATCTTAATTTTACTAAAAGATTTGTTGTACATTATAATGTATTAACCTAAATTCACACATGTGGAATCAATAATGTTATAAACTTGTTCAATCTCTTTTTTAAGTATTAAAAACCATTCTGTATGAACATTGTAAGATGTGTTAAAAGGTGAATCTTTCTTCGGTGCTACTGATTTATCAACCAAACATCCCAGACAGTATACATCACCTTTACCATATTTATCTTTCAAAGCTTTATGAATACTCAGTTCGACCAATTTTAGATTTTTATTCACAAAAAAACCATCATCTCTATACCTTTCATAATTATCTTGAATACTTAAACAACTCAATCTTTCAAGGAAATTTTGCTTATAAATAAATCGTTTATTTCTAGGCCCCACGTTAATCAATTTATGATTACACTTATTTTCCCATTCTTTGATTCTTTGATCTGGAAATCTAGTTGTCATTCCTATCTTAACTAGTATGTATGGAGACTTGTTATTAAATTGTAACCATTTATCTCTTATTTTAGCATCAGGTAAATTTTTAACCTGAATTGACCAATTCTTATGTGGTGGCTGTATAAAATTCGACATAGTATAAATATAAATATATCCAGAAGTTGAAGATGGTTGATGATTATGATACTTGCAGAAACCTTCTGGTGTACTAACTCGTATTTTGCATCTATTACCTTTTATTGTTATTCCATTACATTGATTCATTAATATTTGATTTTTTGTCGTGTTGTTTACATTTCCTCCTAAAAGAATCGGTAATTGATTTGTAACACAAAATTGTCTTTTGCTTAATCATGATCCTTATTACCGGTCAATTAAATTTGAATCACTTTAACTAATGTGCAAAAGCTTATAGTTATATAGTTGGTATAGTATGCTCATTTGAGCACATAACCGTTTACATGGTAATTACACAGGTGTCAATTAAAGGTAGATTAAAGTCAACAATTTTTTTGAAAATTGTCAAAAAATTTTAAATATATGGCTTAAAATTCACATAAAAAAACATACTCTTCCTTAAACTCTTTTTATTACGTATATGCACGCTTAGACCCTATTGCTCATTGAATCTGAACCAAAGATAGGTACCCTTCTTAATTCTCTAATCCATATTATAAAAAGGCATTTTTAAATTTGAGTCATGCTTCGTAAATTTGTCGTAAATTTGTCGTAAAAATAAATTACGGACTGCATATAGATGTTGTAAGACACTTCAGAAAATTTAGAATAGTTTAATAAAATTACCATTATTAAAAGCTGTCGCGGTGCAAAAACAAGCAATCACTTGTTCAGTAGATATTACCTATTTGCTTTGTTTTTATCAGCCGTAGAATCTTTTATGATGTGATTTCCGGGAATATAATCAAGCAAATGAAGGACAGAGCGCCGTTGGCGTCATGAGTTTTAGCCTTTTTATTAGTACTCTTTTTAATTATGCCCTGATGGTTTTAAATTTTTGGTTTAGCCGTTGGTGCCATTATCTTGGTTGTACGATATTTCAAATTTTCAATTAGCTCTTGGTACTTTCAATGAAGTAATTTACGGTTATATGCTTGAACATATGAAATAGAAAGTCTCCTATAGTGTAATGATCAATCCAAGCATCTCAGGAGACACCGATTATTAAGCACAAATGCAAAGCAGCTGTTAAAGATAGGTCATAATCATATTTCACCAAGGGTTGCATTCTTTTTTATTTAATTATTCTGTTTGTTTTTTTTTTTTTTTTTTACCTCGTGCCTGACACAAAATCAAGAAAGAACTAGTTGTAACGAATAGATATTGAAATTTATAAAATAAATTTCACATTCATACATTTAATCACATTTATACATTTAAAATCAAAGATCTTTCTAGCTTCCTCTTAGCTTCTAAAATCATATCTTGTTGTTTCTTAAGATCATTTTGATAAATTATTTTACCAGAAGTTAAATTATCATCATTCAAAACACATTCTAAACAATATTTATTGTCATTAACAATAACTTTAGGATGCCTTTTCATGCCAGCAACTTTTCTTTTCTTTATAGGTTCTTGAGAAGTTTGTTTTTGTAGTCTTTTCGATGATCTTCTTTTATTATTATCATCATCATCTTGTATCTGTTGTTTTGCTTGATTTATTAATCTATCAAATTCATCCATCATACATGTAGGTTTATTTAAATTTGTTAATTCATCAGATGTTGATTCTGCAATTTTCGTTGCTTCTTGTTTAATTGCTTCACGTTTAATAAATTCTTCCTTTGGTGATGAATCAGGTGTTAATAATTGATTATTTACAAACTTTTCAAAATATTGAAAACCCAATTTACTTTTACAATTATGACATAAATCATCTTCTTCATCTTCATCAACTTCACCTTTTTGTTCTAAATCAAATTCTCTAGCTTTATAACTCTTCTCTTTAAATTCTTTAGTAAAATTCCTTCCTTCAAGTAATTTTAACATCTTTATTTGATTCTTTGTAAAATCTTCAAAACTTTTCAATGAATATTTTAGTAAACGATAATTATGAGTACCTTTTTCATTATATTCTTTTATGATATTTTCAACCAATTCATAAAAATTAAATACATTTTCCTTCTTTATGGGTTTATAATCAGATATTGATCTTTCACCATAATTCAACCATTCATCCATTGCAAAATTAACAGCTTCATTAAAATTAAAACCACAATTGAAACCAGCATGATATACTTTTGGAAACGTTATAACAAATTCATTTGGTTGTTGATCAGCATACATACAAGGAATTCCATTTTCAATTAATTTCATTGGTGATAATAAAGTTACTAATTGATGAAGTAAATCTGGTTGTTTTTGAAATAAATCAGGTGCTGAATCTTTCATTAATTTTTCAAATTTATCAGCATATTTTGATGGAATACCATACCATTTCTTTGTAGCACCAAAATGACAATAATTTGCCGATAACGTATAATGATCTTCAACGTGCCAACAAAATGTAGATAATAATGAACCAATATAAATCCAAGGTACTGTCATTCCTGAAATTGAAGTATTTATATAATTTAATAATGAACCTTTTGCAAAGGGTAACTTTGTTAAATTCCACGGATGATTTATATAATATTTATTTTCTTCATTTAGTTCAATACCTGGAGAATTTATCATGGGGAAACCACTTATTTCCCCTGGTTTTAGATTATGTATATCAGCACCATATTTAACTTCTAAATCTGATTTTTCAATATCAACAAATGACCAAAATTTTTGTTCAATTGTATCAACATTCAACGGTAAACCATCATTATAACTTTCTATAAATTTTTGATCAAAATCTTTACACATTTTATAAAATTCAGGCAAAGAATATTTAGTATCAACATCTTCATCAAAACCATATTCTCCTGTACCAATTAAGCATTTATCACAAAACCAGTTTGTTGCAGGTACCGAATTTAAAGGAGGATCTAAACACTTCATATGGAAAGGGTTATCACAATTATCACATAATAGAGTTTCTGAAGGATCATTATGATCTCCACAAATTAAACAATTATCATATTCATCTTCGGAATCACTATCTGGAAATTCGACTTTACCTTTATGATTTAAATAATTTGCATAATATCTAATTGATGTTTCATATTCATTTTTAATAGCTTCAGAATCAATATGTATATCAAATTTCTCATTTATTTCGGACCATTTCAACAAATCCATTTTCAAGTACCCCCCCAAATTTTCAACAAGTATATACAAATCATAATAGTAAATTTTCTTGCCTTCAACTTCAAAAAACAACTTTAATTGACGCTTTCTTCTCATTTTTAAAAACCTATTAACATTTTCTCTGAAAAAATCTCTTGATCTAGTGGTGATCCCTAAATCACTTATAACTTGCTTCCTTACGTGAAATTTGAAATTTGACGATAAAGTAAAATTTGGTTTCCAATTCTCAGGCGGAACCACTTTTAAAATACCATATTTTAATCCTAATCTCTTTATAGCTTCAGATGATAAATATCCAATAGGATCTTGAAACTCTTTTTCGTTCGGTTTCAAAATGGGGCAGGGGGTTAGCAAATTTTTGTCGAAAAACATGATAATATTACTATCAAATTATTCGGATTCTTTAAGCGACCAAAGCGACAAACAGTTTAAACTTGATGTAAATATAATTTGAAAAAGTTTATAAATTACAAAATCGAATGGTTTTTCCAAATTTGAGGAAAAAAATATTATTTTCGATATTGCTTGATAAAAATCAGCTCTAATTAACAATCTGAAACAAACAACTTAATATAACAATAAAATAATTAGTAATAACTCTTTTGATAAACTTTTATTCTCTTTATTTAACAGATCTTCTAAAGATCAATATCCTTAATATTTGTTGCAATTTGTTACGCTTGATAGTCGTGTATACTCATTTATTTGACTTCCCGAAAAAGTATCAATGAAAGACATTACTATTGCAATATTAGGCAGTGGTGTTATGGGTACAGCTGTTGCCACGGCTATTTTAAAGACTTTGGATCCGAAAATAATTGCTTGTGGCACTAATGAAGCTAGATTAAGAGAAAGTTTTCAAGATTACCCTCAAGTTGAAATATCTGCTGGTATTGAACAAAATAAAGATGCTATTAAGAAAGCTGATGTCATAATTTTAGGTTGTAAACCATTTATGTATCAGCAAATATATAATGAAATATCAAGTTCATTAAACGGTTCACAATTATTGATTAGTTTATTAGCTGGTACTACAATTAAAGAATTATCAATCTTTACGCCATATGTGGCGAAGGTTATGACTAATACACCTGCTAAGTTTGGTTGCGGTACCGCAGCGATTTCATATTCATCAGAAACTACTCAAGATAAAAAGGATTTAGTTGAAAAGTTAATTAGTACTATTGGTTTAGTTGTTAACATACCTGAAAAGAATATGGATGCTGCAACAGCATTAATTGGTTCCGGGCCGGCATTTGTTTTACTAATGATGGAAAGTTTAATAGATGGTGGGGTTAGAATGGGATTACCATTTGATATTGCAAAACAATCAGCTGCAAAAGTGATGGAAGGTACTGCAAAAATGGTTTTAGAAACTGGTGAACATCCAGCTGTTTTAAAAAGTAAAGTATGTACCCCAGCTGGTACAACTATTGGTGGATTATTAAAAATGGAAGATGGTAATATTAGAAGTTCAATAGCTAGAGGTGTTGAAGAAGCAGCAAATATTTCAGCATCATTTGCAAAGAAGTAATGTATATTATATATCTTTACCTTTAAACATTGCACCATTTAAAACAGCCAATTCTTCTTTTGAAATATTTATATTTGATTCATCTAAAAATTTTTTCAATTTATTACCATGTTCTCTAATTTCAGAATCACTTAATAATTTCATCATTGTTGTTAAACTTGGTTTTAAATTTGATTGATTCATTAAACCTTTTTTTGTTAATAATTGTTTGAATTCCAAAGTTAATTTCATTAATTCTGGATTTTCTTGTAAAGCCTTTTTAACTTTTTCAACAGTAGCAGCAGTTTCTTCAGGAGATGGAGCAGCTTTAAAGAAAAATCTGTATTGTTGTCTATTATATGTTGGTAAACATCTTATACTTCTCTTAAACATCTTTCAAGTCGTGTTTGCAACAACCCGTCAAAAATAAATTTTCAACTTTTTCAACAAAAAATAAATTTCATAAACAATCAAAACATGTCTCACGAAGGTCAAGAAGAATTATTAGATTACTCTGATTCAGAAGAAATCGCTGTTCCAACTACTACTAATGAACAAGAAAATAATGGTAAAGAAGCTGATAAAAAAGGTAGTTATGTTGGTATTCATGCAACTGGTTTTAGGGATTTTTTATTAAAACCTGAATTATTAAGAGCCATTGGTGATTGTGGGTTTGAACATCCTTCTGAAGTTCAACAAGTTTGTATTCCTCAATCTATATTAGGTACTGATGTTTTATGTCAAGCTAAATCTGGTTTAGGTAAAACTGCTGTTTTTGTTTTATCAACTTTACAACAGTTAGATCCTGTTCCTGGTGAAATTTCAACAGTTGTAATTTGTCATACTAGAGAATTAGCTTATCAAATTAGAAATGAATATGCTAGATTTTCAAAATATATGCCAGATGTTAAAACTGAAGTATTTTATGGTGGTACACCAATTAAAAGAGATATTGAAAAATTGAAAAGTAAAGATACTTGTCCACATATTGTTGTTGCAACTCCTGGTAGATTACATGCATTAGTTCAAGAAAAAACAATTAGATTAAATAACGTTAAATCATTTGTTATTGACGAATGTGATAAAGTATTAGAAAGTATTGATATGAGAAGAGATGTTCAAGATATTTTTAGAGCAACTCCACATCAGAAACAAGTTATGATGTTTTCAGCTACTTTAGCACAAGATATAAGACCAGTATGTAAAAAATTCATGCAAAATCCATTGGAAATTTATGTTGATGATGAAGCTAAATTAACTTTACATGGTTTGCAACAATATTTTATTAAATTAGAAGAAAAAGAAAAGAATAGAAAATTATCAGATTTATTAGATTCATTAGAATTTAATCAAGTTATTATATTTGTAAAATCAACTCAACGTGCGAATGAATTAAATAAATTATTATGTGCATGTAATTTCCCATCGATTGCAGTTCATTCAGCTATGCCACAAGAAGAAAGAATTCAACGTTATAAATCGTTTAAAGAATTCAATAAAAGAATTTGTGTTTCAACTGATGTTTTTGGTAGAGGTATTGATATTGAAAGAATTAATTTAGCTATAAATTATGATTTAGGTTCAGATGCTGATCAATATTTACATAGAGTTGGTAGAGCTGGTAGATTTGGTACAAAAGGTTTAGCTATTTCATTCGTATCATCAAAAGAAGATGAAGAAGTTTTGGGTAAAATCCAAGAAAAATTTGCAGTTAAAGTTGAACCATTTCCTGATAGTATTGATCCAAGTACTTATATGAACACATAGTTTATTTAATGTATTATTTACTGATTTTCTCACTTGAAACATAATTTAACGCATCGAGCCTCTCTGGTAGAATTGGATGACTATAATGATAAATTGAATATAATTTATCAGCAGCCATACCACTTAAATTTTCTTTAGAAATTTTGATTAAAGCTAATGCTAAATCTTTTTCATAACCACATTGTAAAGCATATTCATCTGCTTGATATTCATGAAATCTTGAAATATAATTATCAAGGAATGTAAGTATAGATTCAATTGGACCATAAATATCACTAAATAATAAAAATCCTATTAAAATTGGTTGTTGATTTCCAAAACCAAATGATTGAAATAATGATTTATTTTTAATGAAATTTCCAAATAATGTAAAAAGTAAAAATGTATGGGTCATTGCATATGCTAACATTTTCGGTAAATGATTCAATTTCCAATGGCCAATTTCATGAGCTAAAATAGCAACAGTTTCTTTTAATTCGGTTTGTTCAATTAAAGTGTCATATAAAACAATTTGTTTTGACCATGGTAACCCAATAAAATATGCGTTTGAATGAGATGATCTTTTTGATCCATCAACAACTAATAGTTTATTTAATGGGAATGCTTGCTGTTTAGCCAAATCTTCAATGGCAGTTTTCAATTCACCTTCTTTCAATGGTTCATATTTATTAAATAATGGCATAATTAAAGTTGGCATAATTGTCATTGCAACTAAATTAATAATTAAAACAAAGCCCATGACGTAAAATACAAAATTTTCATTGAAATATTCTATAATTTTTAATAAAGCTGCTAAAACAGGAGTTCCTAAAACAAAACTTAATCCAAGTGATTTAAAAGTATCTGTAACCCATAATTTAATAGTTAATTTGTTAAATCCAAATTTTTCTTCTAAAACAAAATTTTTATAATATGAAACTGGTAATTTAGTAAATAAAGTAGCCAATTGGAAAACGACAATGAATATAATAGATTGGGTTATTGAACCTCCCATAAATTTAGGTAACCAAATTTTAGTCATTAAATGATTACTATATGTCCAAATTTTTGGTAAAACATCATATTTAATAACTAATAAATCTTGAATTAAACCATAAATTGATGAATAAATTGAAAATTTAGATTTTGCAATTGAATATTTTTGGAAATTTTGAAATTTTTCTAAACTGACTTCTTCTTTAATTGATGCAGGTGGTGAAGGTTTTTTTAAAACTTTTAATTGTCTATATTCTAAATAACTTTGAAATAAAAATTGACCAATACCAAAACCAATAATGACAGATTTCCAATTAATATTGGGGTTATCCAAGAATGATAATGACTAAATAGGTTAGTAAGTTTATAATTCAATTGATTTTAAACATACATTGGCTAAAGAAATCATATTGCAGTAGTGAAAAATTATGCGTCGAACAAAAATAATTTTTTTGCATTCGAAATTGGAAAAAAATGGCTGCAAAATATTAAATTTAAAGAGAAGTAGTCTGAATAGTAAGATAACTGTTCACGAGCTATGAGCTATTGGTCGCTCTTTAAAGTCAAGCATTAATTGCTGATTGGTTCAATAAAAACCACCCATTCATTTCTGACCATAAACATCTAATAAACCATCTTTTTGAATACCATCAATAATTGATGAATCACCATATCTAGCTCCATTTCTTGCTGATGATAAAAATAATAACACACCAATTCAAGGTTGACAGTTATAGCTGAGCTCATACTCTTTCAGGCTGTCAAATTCAGAGTGTATTCAAATCTTCAAATGCCTTGGTTCAATAGCAAATTTAATTGATCAAAAGTATTCAGGTAGGTAAGGAATATGTACTACAATTGTATTGGTAAAAGTTTTAAGCAGGTAATATAATATTAAATGATAGAAAATAAGACAATTAGTTTTAGTTTCGAAATACGAGTCGCCAGGTAAGTTAGCTTTTATCTGACCACGTTAACCTGTTGATGAATTCCAAATTCAGGAATATTAGTAGATTTCATTGATTCTAGTTGGAATCAATCCTTAAATGCGTTAAGGTTTTTGGAAATCTTACATGATTTAATGTAGTTAAGTTTGAATTTCTAATTGTTATTTGATAAATACTATATGGTAATTCTAAATCAAACTTGTTCCAAAGTTTTACACGAAGATAAAGTATTTTGTGATTAGTTGGTAACTTTAAATACGGGAATGGGCCATCCGTCCACAAGGACAAGTGTTGTAATGTTTCGAGGAACACAATTTTTAACTGGTTTAAAGTATCTTCTTGCTCCCATCCCACAAAATTAAACTCTAATAGATCAGACATCATACTTGATGAAGTAAATATTTCGAAAGGAAATGTTTCGACGCTAATCCTCAATACGACCAAATTAGCCAACTCAAGTAAAGGAACAACCCTTTTAAGTTCTAAATATCGTTCTAGAGCCTTTATGGTGTTTGAAAATCTATAATCTTCAATACTGCAAATTTCATGATCACTATCAAAAGTGAATCTTTCTAATTTAGTTATGTGTTATAAGATTATCAAATGTATACACCTCTCCATAAAAATTTAAACGGAACCAGTATTCTTTTACGTTACTGTCAACTCTTATTTCAAAAATCGTCCGAGTTTAAATTAGCCCCAAAGAATTCTAGATTGTCAGGAAAGGAATTGAATATTTCAATATCTGCATCATATACAGTCAAGCTTTTAAATTTGTAAACTCTTACAAAACTTTGAGCATTTCATCATATATTTCATAACTTAATTCATCGACGCTCATTTCTATTTATGGGGAATTATCTGTTGCTCAAGCATATCATTATAAACGTACATAGAAATCACTTTTAAAGCGGACAAATCTTTCACGTAACCGATTGCACCAGGGTCTGTGGTATGGATATTAATGTTGGAAAACATGTCGAGAGAACAGATTTTATTAAAACTGAGAGAATCTCTAAATCTAAAACTAAGGTTCAAGACTATTTTATAAAACTCAACTTTAAATTTGTCAACTAACTGTATCAACAGCCTCAATTATTGACGGTTTTTAACAAAGGATTTGACAACAAGCTAATTACATATTTCCTCGTCATGAATTCTTTACAATGATACGAATCAAGATAACGAAACTCTAAATTTTTAAAATTACAATCAAATGCAACCAGTAAAATATATTTCAAGTCAAAGAATAATGTAATAGCACATCTTGGTATCTGATCAATAATTTTGTGAAGTATTTCTGGTGGTAAAATAAACATGTATAATAACATTCTAATGAAACTTAAATCAATTCCCTCATTAATGAATCTTTTCTTGATATTTTGAGTACTTGTAAATGATGAAGCATGTATATCAAAAATCACCATAGTTTTTAACTAAGAAATTGGATTTGATATTAATATATAATAGGGTGGAATTAATAAATTGATAAATTCAAACTCAAGATTGTAAACAAAACAAACAAAATCAAATAGTTAAATAAAACAAATTTAACAGGTGAAGGACAGCTATACGGTTGATCAATTGCGTTTATTGAGTACTATTTAAGTATGATATGATTCTTTTTTATTGGAGATTAATTAAGGTACGAAATTTTTAATTTAATTTGAACTTTTAGTTTGACACAAAACCAACAAAAGTAAAAGAATGTTCAAAAGAGTAAGAATGATTGAAGGTCAAATGACATCCTCATTTAAGGAGCATTTTTATAAACGAATCTGATGTAGACATAATGCGAGATGTCGGCCCACGATTTTTTAGTCTCAGATTAAGATCTTAGATCTCGTATTTTTTTTTTTTTAAATATTCCACTCTCAAATCAACAAAATGGCTGCAAATATAATAAATTGTTAAAAAGAGGTACCAAACAAGTGTTAAACCCATATAAAGTACTCTAAGTACCTGATATATTTAGCTTATTCATTTAGGATTCACATCAGTTGCAACACATAACGATTTTGAAAATGCTAACAAGAATATATATATATTTTAATTTTTAAAAACTAAAAAAAGCTTTCAACCAGATTCAAGCGCGTTTATTTACCTTCAGCAGCTAATTTTTCAGCTTTAGCAACGACGTCTTCAATACCTCCGACCATATAAAAACTCCTAAAAAAAAGTTAGTATAATTCAGTTAGTTTAAATTAATGTTACGTACGATTCAGGAAGTGTGTCGTATTTCCCTTCTAAAACATCCTTAAAACTTTTTATGCTTGAGGTAATTGGTTAGTATTCAACTCATGATAGTTTTAAAAAAAATGATTTTATACGTACGTTTCACTTAATCTAACTAATTTACCTGGAATACCTGTAAAAACTATCAGTAATGTTAGTATTGCGTTCTTATTTTACTTGCATCGATACATACCTTCAGCGACAGCAAATGGTTGTGATAAGAATCTTTGAATCTTTCTGGCCCTTTCAACGGTCAACTTATCAGCTTCTGACAATTCATCCATACCCAAGATCGCAATTATATCTTGTAAAGATTTATATGCTTGCAATGTTTGTTGAACACCGGTTGCAACATCGTAATGTTCTTGACCAACAATTGCAGCATCTAATAATCTTGATTTTGAATCTAATGGATCAACTGCAGGGTAAATACCTAATTCTGAAATACCTCTATCTAAAACAGTAGTTGCATCCAAATGGGCAAACGTCTAAAATTGTTAGTAATCAGTCAAACTTAAAAGTAATTTGATACATACGGTAGCTGGAGCTGGATCTGTTAAATCATCCGCAGGGACGTAAACAGCTTGAACTGAAGTGACTGAACCTTTTTTAGTAGTTGTAATACGTTCTTGTAATAAACCCATATCCGTTGCCAAAGTTGGTTGATAACCGACAGCTGATGGAATACGACCCAATAAAGCTGAGACTTCTGAACCTGCTTGAGTAAATCTAAAAATATTATCAATAAATAATAAGACATCAGCACCTTCTTCATCTCTGAAATATTCGGCAATAGTTAAACCAGTTAAAGCAACTCTAGCTCTAGCACCAGGTGGTTCATTCATTTGACCGAAAACTAAAGCGACTTTTGATTCACCTTCTGGATTAATAACACCAGTTTCTTGCATTTCACGGTATAAATCATTACCTTCTCTTGTTCTTTCACCAACACCAGTGAAAACTGAGAAACCACCATGAGCTTTAGCAATATTGTTAATTAATTCTTGGATAAAGACTGTTTTACCAACACCTGCACCACCGAATAAACCAATTTTACCACCTCTTGCGTATGGAGCTAATAAATCAACAACTTTAATACCAGTTTCTAAAACTTCAGCAGCAGTTGATTGTTCAATGAATGCTGGTGGTTCAGCATGAATTGGGTTTCTTTTTTTACATTCAATTGGACCTCTTTCATCAATTGGATCACCAGTAACATTTAAGATTCTACCTAAAGTACCTCTACCGACTGGAACTGAAATTGGAGCACCAGTGTCTGAAACTTTAGTACCTCTAACTAAACCTTCGGTACCATCCATAGCAATAGCTCTAACAGTGTTTTCACCTAAATGTTGTGCAACTTCTAAAATTAAATCTTGATCACCATTTTTCAATTTTAAAGCATTGAAAATAGCTGGTAAATTACCATCATCGAAATGGACATCAACAACGGCACCAATAACAGCTCTATTAAATATGTTAGTATATTTCTTATATTTGGCTGCAAAATTTGTTTCTGTGATTCAAAAAAACTTTAATTGGTTAGTTCGCATTGCGAACGAAAAATTGAAAAAAAAATGAAGAATTGTGAAAAATTTGATTGGGCATGGAACAACAACACGATGAAAGGTGGAAGTAGACTTGAAATTGTTCTGTAATTGATGATAATTGTGGATCGTGTTCATTAAGCTTTTTTGTTTTACTCTAATTCCTCATTTTCCCCTAAAATTCTCAACATTAAAAACTGAAACAGGGGGAACTGCAGCCAGATGGCAATTGAATTAATTCAATTGATTAATTGATGTCACAACAAAAAAAAATCAAGCAGTTATATAATTGAGTTGATTACGTACCTAACTTTACCTTCTGAATTAGCAGCAGTTGCTAAAGTTCTATTAGCAAATAAACTATTACGTGTAACTGCTTTGAAAGCAGCACGTGAAGTAGTAGTATTAAATAATCTTGGAAGAACCATAGTTGATCTTTATATTAACTTTGGTTATTTGTTAATAAGAATACTAGACTATTAAAAAAAAATGGAAGAAAGAAGTAAAAATTTATAAAAAATTGTTCAGTAAGTATGTCGCTCGCTTTTGAAAAATTTACTTTTGGTTTCCAAGGTAGTCCAATTATGTAAGTTCTTACATAATCACTTGGATTTTAACTAGTTCGCACCATCTTGGTTGGTGTCAACCAATAGGATTGAAGCATTGGTTGGTTCAAATAGAGGAACGGTTATATAATTAATTACACGACAAAGTTTTTTCTTCCCAATTTTGTACCACAATTGCAAAAATACTACCAAATGAGGTATATCATGAAGATTGTTATGGAATAGTATTAGGGTATTAGAATTTATTATAAATGGCCCTGACATATTGCCAACTGGTTACCTGCTGCTAAGTTTTGGTATGCCATTCTTGTCTCTAGCTTTATTAGCATTACCTCATTTTGTTTCAGAATTTTTCGCGTGAATTATGCACATCGATTTACAACCATCGCCATACAAACAAACAAACAAACAAACAAATTAATTACTTGAAATAAAGCATATCACTATAGTTATAATTTACAATGTCGTTAGCTGAAGAACAAAGAAGACAGATAGAACAATTAATGGGTCGTGAACAAATACGGCATTTTCATCAAAAAGATCCAGATTTATTATCACCAAAAGTTTGTAAACCATTTCTAATCAATATTTGCCCCCATGATTTACTATCAAATACAAAATTAAATATAGGTAAATGTCCAAATTTACATCTAACCAAACATAAAATAGAGTATGAATCAAAATTGAAAAAAAATGATACAAAATTCATTAAACAAATTGATTTAGAGATTCTAAAATCATTGAAAAAGTTTATAAATGAAATTGATCATACTATATATATAGCTGAGAAACGATTAGAACATACACCCGAAGAAAAAGCCAAAATTGCCAATTTTACAAAAGAATTGGATGACTTAGATATTGAAATTGGTTTAATGCTACAAGAATTGGAATATTTATTTAAAAAAGATCAAATTAATAAGTTACTACAATATTCAATTGAATTAAATTCAAAATTATTAGATCGTAATATTAAACAAGAGCAAATTAGGAAATTAATTGAAAATATAGGCCAATCAAGTCAACAAAAATTACAAGTATGTGATGTATGTGGTGCTTATTTATCAAGATTAGATAATGATAGAAGATTAGCTGATCATTTTGTAGGAAAAATTCATTTAGGTTATGTTCAATTAAGACAAGCTTATAATGAATTAAAACTGAAATATAAATGAATTTTTTCACCCACCGGCTTTTTCTCTTTTCGTAAAAAATGTGGATCGCCCGATCATCTTTTTATCTTTTTATCTTTCTTTATCATGAGGAAGTACCAACTTATAGGTGGTAAAGGTAAATTATTTCAGAGAAAACAAAGTATTAAATATCCAGATGTGCATTTACATTCATTACCAGTAGAAATATTACTTATTATATTTGGGTATTTCCAAGATAATCATTCATTAATTCAAATATCATTATGCTGTAAAAAATTCAATCAATTGATTAATAAATACTTTCTTTATAATGTTATTGTGTTTAAATCAACTGAGTCATTTTATAAATTTTCAATGGCTCATTTGTTAACAGAATCATCAAAGGTTAATTATATAACGTCAATAGAATTTTTGAAACCTCAGTTACATAAATCTTCGAATTTGAAATTAAATATTGCTGGTAGTTATGCTGTTGAGTCAAATATAAATCAAATTTTACAACTAAGCTATAATCAATTTATACTGTCGTTAATTAATATTTTTACCCACTCATTTGGTTTAAAACTGTTGAGTTTTTTAGAAATTTCACCAGATTTTGCATTTCAAACTGTAAAGAAGAATATATTTAAAAAGTATACAATCAAGAAAAGAAGTGAGTTGAATAGAGTAGTACTTAAGTCACAATCTGGCTGGTCAATACCTTTGAAAGCAAGTCATTTAAGCTTATTATCGGATTATTTTGAATATCTCAATGAACTACATTTGACTAATTTTATAATAGATTCACCTGTTAACCTACCTTTGAAAATACGGAAAATCATCTTCCAATCATGCTCATATAAACCTAAGAAACAAGAATTTGAAATTTTCACTCAAGTTTTCACATTGGAATTGAAAGATATAACTAATGATTCAGAATTATCACTAATAGATTTGGTGAAACTAAACAACCCGAATTTCAATCATTTAATTATCGACATTTCATCATCTATATTTTATGACAATAATGCAGGTTTTAAATTTTCAAAATTCAATCCATTCTTTAAATTACTTTGTTCAAGTTCAAAGTATTCAAGTTTGAAAACTATAACATTGTACAATTTTGATTTGTTTAATAATTATTTCAGTAATCATGATGATATACATTCAGTAGACTCATGGGTTGAAAACCTAAATACTTTTGATTATTTAATAAAATATATTTCAAATATACCAAAACTAAATTTAATATTGAAGAAGCAGAAATATATCATTAAAGCTTGTGCTAAATGTGGATTTAAATCAGTGAAACAAGATAAAAATATTGAGAATTTAACTTTTGACGAATGGGAAATATATTTGAAACCATTGAATTTTAATAAAATAACGATCACAAAGTACAATAATGATATCTTATACACTAATGATGTTTAATATCAATGATGAATAGATATTAAACTTCAAGCAATAAGTGTTTGATATTAGAATTCAATGAAGGACTCTACAAAATCAAAAGCACTAACGAATTTTGATGTAGTCGGGACACTTTTTTTTAGCCCTTTTTAGCCCTTCGTTTGAATTATTGATATTTAACTCAGTTATGGTTACGAGTAATCCAGACGTCGTAAAGTTTTTCAAACTTGTAACTTCAGAGGCATAAATTTATAAATTATATATTTAGTTAAACAAATTATTACAAAAACTTTTAATAGAATCAGAAACTTTATGAACCATTGTTTTAAAAGCATTATCTTCTTTTTCTTTCGTTTCCACTTCTTGTCTTCTTTCAACATCACCAGCTGAAAATTCAAATATTGTATCAATAACCGGTGATATATCAAACGGTTCACCATTCAAATAATATCTGAATTGACTTGTCATTTCTTGAGTACTTAAATCAACATATTTACCTCTAGTTGCACTAACACCACAATCAATCAAAATTTCTCCAAAACTTGCAGGAACACCTTTACTTATATCTAAATTTAAATATCTTTCATCACATCTAGGTACTGAAGTTTTATATTTTCTAATCTTTTCATTTATCTCCTGTGCATTAACTTTCATTGATTCTAGAATAAAATTATAATCTAAATTTGGCAATGAATCATATTTTGTTTTCAATTGTAAAAAATCTCTTAGAATATTAATATCCCCATCTGGTAATACTTCAACTAATCCATAATTATTTGGTTCTTGCAGAAATTCATAAATTAAACCACCTTGGAAAACATCAATCATATCATTTGTATATAAAATTGGAACTTCATCAAAATTTCTAGGTAATACTTCATTACAACCGTATTCTGTGAAGAACACTGGTTTTGTAAATGATTTATAATCATTAACTAATATTGAATAACCTGAACTATAAAAAGTTTGATCACCACACCACTGATATGAATTAACTCCATAAAAATCAATTGCTTCATTTACATCATCATAATAACATTCTAAATATTTAGCTAATGAAATTCGATAATTTAAATCATCAGCTGCTGAATAACCAACTGGTACCTGTCTCGGAGAATGTTTTGAAATATATAATTTTAGATCTCGTACAACTGCTTTAATATATGGAGCTGAAACACTTGCTGATATCGGATCATTTACAATTTCATTACCAGCTATGAATGCAAGCGTATTATTATACCAGCTAAATTGTTCAACAATTTTAAAGATATTCTCTAAATAATATAAATTATAAGTCGTCCATGGTTCATATCTATTTAAATGATGTTGTGGCATTGGGGAATTAACATCTAAAACAAGATAAATCCCTGCTTTAGCTAACATTGTCATACATTTATCATGATTCAACTGTGAATTTATTGAATATATTCTAACGGTATTTATACCCAATTCTTGAAATAATACAATATCTCGAGCACATTGAGCTGGATCGCTTAATGGGTCTTTATCCGGTGAGAATCCACTACTTCCACCTGGTTGATAATCAATTCCTTTTACATAAAACTGGATTGTTAGTAAATTCAAAAGATTCAATTATTAACATACTGGTTCTTTTGTTACATTATCAATGAAAAAATGTCCATGAATAACTATTGGATGTACATCAGCGTCAACAATATAAGTTAAAAAACTGAAAGATATGAGTAGTCTAATTATGTATGATATCATTCTATATGAATCTAAATGATTTATTATTGTTATAAATTGAAATATTTTGTTGCAACTAATTTTGTTATAAACAAAAATAAGACGAGATAAGCGCAAAATTAAACGAATTAAAGAATTCAACTAAATGTGATAGACGGAAAAATAGATCTATAATCAAGAATATTCTATAACGTAATCCTATAAATACTTCGGGGTCAAATGTGGTTCAAAGATTATAATGGCTGCAAAAAAACAGAATTGCAAAATGCGCCCGTTTTTTCAAAGCCATTAGTCCCAAGATTCAGCCGAGAATTAAATTTTCTGGCGCTAAATTTGGTCCTATTACACCATCATTAGTTTCATTGTATTTCTTACCATGAGTCAGAAAAATAAATTTTCACCTACTCCAGTTTTCAACCATGTTCCCTGTTTTACCTTTAATAACAGATTTAAAAACTGTTGAAGAGTTTTCAATAGTTGGTCAAGTATTAATACCTTCCAATATAACCAAACCATTAAAACATTTTGCACAACAATTTGATGTAGATGTTTTCATTGATGCTAAAGATTTATCAATTGATGAGATTATTGAATGGCTAAATTGTGGTATTAAACAAATATTCGTTTCCTTGGATAAATTTAAAGAATGTATAGATCATGGTTTACCAGATTATAGATTTGGTGTTTATGGAGCTGATAAATTCGTACTTGGTTATAAATGTTCAATTATTGTTGATTCAAAAGTTGATAAAGAATATTTGGATAGAAAAGTTTATATCAGAGACAACACAGACTTGATTAAAGAAGATTACATACCTATTACTTCATCAGAGAAATTAACAACCAAGAAAAATGGTGATAAAATATCTATATCAAAATTATTTATTGAAACTTTAACTACCGATAGAAATGATGGTTTATATACTACTTTAGTCACTACCCCAAGTAATGTTTCATTAGGAGTTGTATATTCATCAAAAGAATCTATTGCTGCTGCAATTGAAGAAAAAGTTGGTGTTTACCAATCAAGAAAAAGAAAAGATGAACTATGGTATAAAGGTAAAACAAGTGGTGCAACTCAAAAAGTTTTAAGAATTTTTAAAGATTGTGATTCGGATTGTATTCAATTTATAGTTGAACCTAAAGAAGGTTATGGATTTTGTCATCGTTCTGAAAATTATTCATGTTTTTCAGGTGAAACCAAAGGATTAGCTAAATTAGATGAAACCTTAAAACAAAGATTAAATGATGCACCAGAAGGATCATATACCAAAAGATTATTTAATGATGATAAATTATTAATTGCAAAATTAAAAGAAGAATTGGATGAATTAATTGAAGCTAAAGGTAAAGATGAAGTTTCATGGGAATGTGCTGATTTATTTTATTTTGCATTATGTTATTGTATTAAAAACGGTGTTTCATTATCCGATGTTGAAAAGAATTTAGATGTCAAATCTTTAAAAGTCTCAAGAAGAAAAGGTGATGCTAAAGCAAAATATGTTGAAAAAGAAGGTAGTGAAAAAGAAGTTGCTGATTTTAAAATGAAGGTTATTAAATCTGGTGATGATTTTTCAGAAGCTATGAATAGACCAGTTCAAAAAACTTCAGACATAATGAAACTAGTCTTACCAATTATTGAACAAGTTAAAAATCAAGGTGATGATGCATTACTCGAATTAACTGCAAAATTTGATGGTGTAGAATTAGAAACACCAGTATTAAATGCTCCATTTCCACCTGAATTAATGGATATATCAGATGAAATGAAGGAAGCTATTAATTTATCAATGTCAAATATTGAAAAGTTTCATGCTGCTCAATTACCAAAAGAAAAAGTCATGTCTGTTGAAACATGTCCTGGTGTTAAATGTTCAAGATTTGCTAAACCTATTGAAAATGTCGGTTTATATGTACCTGGAGGTACAGCTGTTTTACCATCTACTGCAATGATGTTGGGAGTACCTGCAAAAGTTGCTGGATGTAAAAATATTATAGTTGCATCTCCACCATCAAGACAAACTGGAAAATTAACACCAGAAGTTGTTTATGTTGCACATAAATTAAATGCAAAATCTATTGTAATGGCTGGTGGTGCTCAAGCAGTAACTGCAATGGCTTATGGTACAAAATCTATTATTAAATGTGATAAGATTTTAGGTCCAGGTAATCAATTTGTTACTGCTGCTAAAATGTATGTTCAAAATGATACACAAGCATTATGTTCAATAGATATGCCAGCTGGTCCATCTGAAGTTTTAGTTATTGCTGATGAAAAAGCTGATGCTGATTTTGTAGCTAGTGATTTATTATCTCAAGCCGAACATGGTGTTGATTCACAAGTTATACTCATTGGTGTTGAATTAAGCGAATCAAAGTTGTCTGAATTTGAACAAGCTGTTAAATCACAAGCTGAAAAATTACCAAGAAAAGAAATTGTTGCTAAATGTTTGACACATTCATATATTTTATTAGTCGATTCATATGAGGAAGCATTTAAATTATCAAATAAATATGCTCCAGAACATTTAATTTTACAAATTGAACAAGCAAATAAATACGTACCTGATTATATAGAAAATGCTGGATCTGTTTTTGTTGGTGCATTATCTCCAGAATCATGTGGTGATTATTCATCAGGTACTAATCACACATTACCAACTTACGGTTATGCAAGACAATATTCAGGAGTTAATACTGCAACTTTCCAAAAATTTATAACTGCACAAGATGTAACAGAAGAAGGATTGAAAAGTATTGGGAAAGCAGTAATGACATTAGCTAATGTTGAAGGTTTAGAAGCACATAGAAGAGCAGTTGAAATTAGAATGGAAAAATTAAACTTATTGTAAATATACTCACCAATCAATACTTTTATCACTACATTCTATAGCTTTACAAATATATTCTAATTCATCAATTGCTTTATCTTTTGGATTTGAACCAATTGATGCTGGATCAATTTTTTCACCTTTAGCTTGTTCTTTATCAAAATGTTCTTTAACCATATCTTTAACTAAACCTTGATAATATAAAACACCTCTTTCTTTTTGAGGATGTAAATAACCAGATGAATAAATACCCTCTTTTAAATTCTTTTGTGTCAATTTACATAAATTAAAATCTTCAATTTCAACCAGTTGTAAGAAATCAACAAATTCCTTCTTTGTAGATTCATCAATTCCTTTTTTAGTATATATATCATATTGTAGTACAGTTTTTTTAGCAGATATTGGCAAAACGCGAATTGAATACCAAGCTGGAGAATAACAATTAACACCATTATTTGGATAAAGATAAACCCATAATCCATCAAATTCACCACCAGGGTTACTTTTTGGTTTTGGTTTTGGTTTTGGTTGTTCCTTTTTCAAACCAAACCATGATGATTTTTCTTCAACTTGTTCTTTTGGTTCTTCTCTAACTAAAGTAGCATAATGTCTACAATATCTATTTTTTGGAACAACTTTATAAGTTTCCATTTTAAATGCTTTATTTAAGCCTGGATGAGCTGTTGGACAATGATAACATTCTTGATAACCATCCATTAAAGTTTTCCAATTAAAATCACCATTTAATTCATAACTAAAATGATATTCATAATCGGAAAAATCAAATTCATTCAATTCATCAGTTAGTCCAGAATACCAATCTTCAAATTTTGGTGGTGATTGTGAAAAATTAACAAAAACTAAACCTTGTGGTGTTACATGTAAATTAATTGGGAATAATGAATTTTCTTCTTTTTTAAAACCTTCAATATTATCAAAATGTGGTGCTTTATTTAATAAACCATCTGAATTATAACACCAACCATGATATTTACATCCTAAAACTGTTGAGCTACCTTGATCTTTTTTAACAACTGGATACGCCCGATGACGACAAACATTATGAAAGGCTTTAATCGAACCATCTTTTGATTCAATAATGAAAAAATTAATACCGGTAACTGTAAGTTGAAAATAATTACCTGGTCTTTCGAATCTTGATTTGTGAGTACAATACAACCATGATTGACGGAAAATAGCTCTTTTTTCTAATTCAAAAATTGATTCCGAATGCCACCATGATGCTGGTAAAGTATGTTTACTTAGTAATTCTGTAGTAGTAGGTGCTGAAGAAATAGTTTTACTTGAAGTTGTTGTTGGAGTTAGAACACTGGAAGTAGCCATAATTGATTGATTTGAAAAGTGGTTTTTCTCGAGAAATTCGTATCATTATATATCCTTGTTCATATCACAGTACATACGTTTCCATGGATTTGAATACTTGTTATGGTAATCGATTTGCTGCAATTTGCTTATCATTAAATGCTACAAAGTATAACTAGTTATCTTGCGGCAAAAAAAAAATTGCGCAATTGCGTTGATATGAAAACAGATAAGATTAAACAAAACTTATTAAAGACCCCCACTAATTACAATTACCATAGATGTAATAAAAGGTGACGCAAGAATGTAAATGATTGTATATTAATTTTTCTTTATCAATGAAACTTTTAATAAATTAACTTTTCCAAAAGCCCAATAAGGATGAAACGGTACGAATACCATACCAGGTAATGCCATAAATGTAGAATCAAAAACCATTAAATAAACTTCATGTGTCATTAAGTATCACCGCAACCTTGAGATAATTCAATATCTCTATAAATACATCTAACATAGACTAATAACATAGCAATAGTGAAAGCCAATGGTACATAGTTAAATATCTTCTTGCTTCTTATACACGCATAATCGGAATCATAATACTCATCTAAATGATTTGATTTATATATCCTTGCAGGCGAACTACTTATCAACATTTTGAAAAAATTTACAATTGATGGTTTAAAAATTTCAGTTTTGATTCAATCAGACTAATATGTTTAAAGAACACTCTGTATATAAACCAACCCCAAAACGCTATAAGTAAAGTCATTGCACCCAACTGTAATGAAGCACCAACTATGAATAATGTAGAGCCTGTATTTGTTGTACTCAGGGATGACGCAATTCCATCACCAGCTGCTTGAATGAATTAACTCAATACATCCATGGTAATGAAAAAATAGGAATACCAGATTGGTTTAATTAATGATTATGATGAACCATGAATTATAATTAATTGACCAATAATAACATATATGCCTGCCATTATAAAAACCAGAGCGATTGTTAAAAAAGTAGTTTGCGTTATGAATGCACTAAAATTTGATGGATTATAAATTGCAATCACTCTACCTATAAAACCAATCATTTCCATACCAAAGAAACCAAAAAATGTTGTATTAAACCACCAATATCTGGATTTGAGACTCATGAAAGTTATACAAACAAATAAAATTGCAAATACTACTAAGAAAAAAATAGGTTGGTCCTGGATTCCACTCCTCTCCAAAATAATTGCAATCAATTCTTGCTGATAAATTCATATTAGTTAACCGATTGAAAAAATTAAAATAATTTGGCCATTGTAGTTGTTTTATAATATCTGGAGGGACTGTAAAAATTGTTGCAAAAATTTTTTTGCCTTGGTCGTCCACGGCCGAAAATCAATCTAAAATTAGATCGATTGGCGCGGCAATCTTCGAACGAGCAATACCACGAATTGTTTATTTATATAAAATTATTAAATTGTTTGCATTATACTTCTAATTGAGTTCTTCAATCAATAAATCAATCCAAAAATAATACTTTGTTTGCTAAATTTGTTAGTTTTCTGAGTGTCAAATTAATTTTTACTTGCTTAAAATCGCCTTTCTCATTGTTGATCCGTTAAAAGACTTGGATCGCTTAAAATTTTAAAGTTTCGATTTATCAGATTGATTTCCAAGCCACGATCTAATTTTTGCAACAATAAACAAATAAATGAAATCGCTAAATAATTTGGCATAACTTATATACTTTAAACTATTTACTCATTTCTTTTCATCTACAATTTCTTCTGTTACTTCAACGTGCATTTTAGCAAGATAATCATCATCCAAATTGGATTTTGGACCACTATAAACTTTATGACCATGAATAAGATAGTAAATAAATGATAGTATCGAAACACGTACATTAGTATCGAAACACGTACATTGACAACAACTGCATAATTCATTGTTTCCTTGCCTGCTGGAATATTATCTGGGAACATTGCAAGTGTTACATTAAATGCCGTCCAACATAAAGTAATAATATTAACTGTAGTCACACAACTTTCTTTCCAAAATAAAATGGTCCAGGTTTAAATACACTTTTACCATACTTTGTTAAGTTGTTAAAAATACCCAGTAGCAAATGATAATGTTTGGCTAACGATTGTTAGACTAAATAAAGCACCAGCACCTGCATAACCAGGAATTAATATTAACATTCCAATTGCAACTGATAAAACACCAGCATTGAAGCTCTAATTGGAACTTTTATTCTTGGATCAATATATTTAACATATCTGTAAACCATTGGTAATCCATCATCTCTTGCAAATGACCAAACTTGTCTTGAAAGTGCGATCAAAATTGATATAGCCATTAACATTTGACCAAATGCAATTAAACTCATCAATGCAATAGCCCATTGTTTACCCAATGAATCATAAATTAATTGTGATACTGGAGAACCAGTTTCTGTTGTAATCATTCTATAAACATCACCATCTTTAATACAAGCAGCAAATACATTACAAATAAACCAACCAATAACCCAACAGGCAGTAATAGTTCGTAATATATCCCATGGAATTGCTCTTTGAGCATTCCTAACTTCTTCAGCCCAATGAATAGCTGAATAGTAAGTACCAATAGTCCAGACTGCTGGTGTTAATGCTAAAATGAATGAAAAATCTGTTGGATAATTTCTAAAATTTTTCAAAATTTCCAAATATATAACTTGCATTATTAAAACTATTTCCTTTACGTGATACACCTACTGGAACAGCTATTATAACAATGCAACTAAGAATAAATTGACAATAATTGATATTGTTTGTAACCATGCTCCATGTTTTGTACTAATTCAAGTAATTATTGTTGCAAATACTATACCACCAACGAAAACTCCAAAAATTTTTGGATTTGTAATTTCAAACCCACCATCCATAGCAATATTTACAGCTGCAAAAATTTGAACACTGAAACCATATAAAATTGGTATAAGCCCAGATGAAAGACCGAAAGTATTTGAACAACCAGCAATGAATGAAAGAGGTACTCTAAAATTTTCAGGACGATAGTAATTTGCATAATAAAACAAACCACCCTATAAAGTTAGTAATTTGAATGGTCATGTCGTTTCATCTTACATACATTAGTAGGTATAGCTGGTCCTAATACCGTTAAACTAAAACCAACACAAAAGATAAAAAACCGGCAACTAAAAGTATAGTCAGTACCACAGTCTCATTGTATACATTAATTTATTACGTACCGAGCCATCTTCAGACCAAACCACCAGCTCCACATTCTAATCCTAATATAATCGTTGAAGAAACACGTTAGCTTTGTTAGGTATCATTTTCATCTGAAAAGCGCGATTTATTTTTAGATTAAAAATTTGCGCGTTTTTACGTACCATGGAAGTAAACCCATAATACTAAAATTATCCCGAAGACTTGTAATGTACTATATTTTCTATTAATTCTTGTTTATATCCAATTTGAGCTAATAAATCTTCATCCCCAGTATTGTTTGTACGATCAATGTACCTAATATGCTCTGATCTCACAGATCTTACTTGATTTAAACTTTTTCCATCATGTATTTCATCCGAAGTAGCTTTAATAATATTTAGTTTCTGTAATGTTTTTGAAGCCATTGTTATTTCTGATTCATTTCTGACAAATTCTACCTCTTTATATAAGTTATATCTCCGGGATAATCGTCAAGCTCTCGCTTCTAATCTTTATGAATTATAATTACATCAAATTCAACTCCGCATTCTCCATTAAGAATCTTATACCTGGTAAATTATGAGTCTGAGCCAATATTATTGATTTGGCTTCAATTAGAAACTTTGTGGTCTATTTATATACAAGGTGTTGTTTTGATGACTATTGTTCTATATTATGTTGCTTGTTTACTTCCAGACATTTGCACATTAGATTTGCATAATAATTTAGAAAAGGCTCGTAAATACCAAGACTCAATTTATTTTCTATCAAATTTATAATATGTACCTCAAGCATCATCTTACTAAAGGAGCAATACAAAGATTAAGAGAACTAGGTAGGTAATATTTAGCGCAAAATAACTACGACTAGCTTTGATCAAATATCGTAAGCATAACCATAGAAATTTACCTATATCCCCACTTAAAAACAACAACACTCTAAGAGTCCAATCTATAATGGCAATCAACTAAGTGTAATATCTCCTCACTAGAGCTTTTTTAATGTCTACTTCGATTCAATTTGTTCTTTCAGGATAAATTGTCAACGAAAATTAATTTAACGAAAAAAATAATTATAAAAGATGATATAATAAATGAATTCAAGACAACCAATTTCATATTTACCAATATGTTATAATCCATTCATAAATTGTATTTTCAATAATCCACAATATAATAAATCTCCATTTAAGAATATCATTGAACAATTAAAAGCAGATCATACTCAATTCACATTATTGATACCCCCGGCATATATTTTGAATGAATACTATGATCCATCAACTCTGAATACCTTGCTAAAGTATCTATGTTATCATAGTGAAGACTTTTTGAAATCACATATTATCAAAACAGCTCATCCAATATCTTCAACAATCACTCCTATATCAAAAGAACAATCGGTCATTTACAATACAGTAAATAATAAACAAATATTAATTAAAAACAGAACAATTTATACTGGAAAAGGATTCAAACGAAGTCTAAAACTCAGAATCGCTTCAATTCAATACTTCAACTCATTTTGTGATTATCTTCCAAAAGGTAGTAAATTTATGATAATTTATATCGAAAGTAGTTTGATTGGAGGAGTACCACCATTGAAAGTTTTACCACCACCTAAATCCGATGAAGTTAAACAAATTACACAAGATACAGTTACATTTGAAAAATTGTTGCGAAGTTTTCCATTATTATCAAAAGCAGTAAGTGATAAATTTCTACGACTATTTCATCATAATAATTATCAATTCAGAAATCTACGATACAATACTAGAAAGAAACTAGTTCATATAAAGATTGAGTTTCAAAAAGTACTTGAAGAGGCTTTTAAGATTATACTGGATTCCGTTAAAATTGAAAATCCAAATAGTGAACAAACTTATAACTTGTTAAATCATATTCTAAAGACGTTTCCTGGTATAGATTTAAGTAAATTAGTTCATGAATATGTTGAAATCAATTTATATGATGTTTTATGGTCTCAATTGATTTTTCAATTTAATTGTCCAAATGATGATTATGATTTAGAAGCTACGAAAATTTTAACAAAGGAGAAATACGAACAATTGTCATGCTTATCTTTAACACAATTAGATTTACCTATTGATGAACCGTGGCAAATAAATGAATTACAAGAAAGAGTATCATTAGCAATACAAGAGTTCAAAAAATTATCTGATTCATCAATTATAGATCTGAGAATGAAAACTGGGATAATCTACAATACATTTAAACTATTAACTCAAGGACGTGCAGATATAGTCATTAGTGCAGATACTTTAATTGGATTATTAATCATGGTGGTAATACATTCGAAGATTAACAATTTGGAAGCACATTTATATTACATCAAAAATTTTAATGTAGATGATCATACTAAAGATGGACATTTCAATTATATAATAAGTAACTTAGATGCGGTTTTATATCACTTTTCATCTGAGAATTCAGATTTGGTTGAAAAATCGGAAAAGAATTATGTATTATGGAATGCAATTCATAAACTAGACATAAAATTTATTGAAGAATTTGATATACCTAATAAAGAATTACCAGATAATCATTTTATTAAAAGTAAGAATATAAATGGCGAGAATTGTTTGATGTTTGCCATTAATGTAGAAAGTTATGAAATATTCAAGTACTTTATAGACAATGATCAATGGTTTTCAATTGATGAAATTCTATTTGAACGAAATATTATTACAAATTATACATTAGTCATGAATGCTTTGACATTGGAGGCTAAAGACATTTTACATGATTTGGTTGATTTAATATTAAATACTGCTACCAAAGAAGAACACCTAATATATTTTAATTCAGTAGATAGTACAGGTAGAAGTGTGGGGCATTATTTGTTTCATGATTATACATTGATTGCAAAAATTGGAGACTTAATAAACTGGGAATTAAAAGATAATAATGGCCATACACCTTTAGTTAGTCTATGTCGTTGTTATGATCATCCAGAATATATTGAAATTGTGAAAGCAGGTTTTAATGCAGTTTATAAAAGTGGCTTAGACTCTGAAAAACATGTTGACAAACAAGGTAATACTTTACTTCATATATTACTCAAAGGAATTACTGAATCTGAAATATTGGAACAAGAGTTGGTTGATATAAATCAAACCAACCTGAAATATTTAACTCCATTAGATCACTATATCAAATATAATAGGATGGAAAATTTACGGACAATTTTGAAAGATGAAAGACTAGATTTTTTATATGAAGATTCTAAAAATTTTTACAATGTTTTCGATTATTTAAATTTCCTGGCTTTGAAATCATCAAAGACGAAAGATCATAGAAAGATTGAAAATTTGATAATGGATTATTATTTGACTAACTACTTCCCTAAAGTTGACAATTATTTATTTGTATTGAATGGGAAATATAATCAAAATAATAAAGAATGGGTAATTTCATTTCGAGGATATGAGTATACAGAATTACCAGTTAGTAAACTAAAACAAATTTTATACCTAACTAAATTGAAATATCAACTAACAACTTTCCCAAGTGAAGATATGGTTTTCAAAAACTTCAATGTTAATAACTTAACAACTCCGATATTTCTGAAATTTAGAGTCAATAGATTTATTGACATATTAAATTTAATATTCCAAAGTCTAGCATTTCAAAATAATATAGATAGACAACAATTTTATAAATCAATATTAATTAAGGAAACATTACTGACATTAGAACAAAAACAATTGATTAGTGAAACAATTGAAAATCAGAAAATTGCAGCAGATTTCAAACTAAATGAGATTGATCAATTTCTTTACTTTTTGGAATTTTCATTAAATGATTTAAATGGTTATATGGGCCAGATAAGAAAGCTAAGTAAATTATCTTGTGCTGGTGAAATCAAACAAATTGATCATAGAAATGTTCAAAATATTGTTATAAGTAAATTTCGAAATGAATTTACAATTCCAGAGTTTCATAATCAAAAAGGTAGTATAAAAGTATTATATGAATATATTAATTGGATCGCATTGACAGGAGATGAACTTTTGGAAAACATTTATAAACTATTCACTGATATAAAGAATTGGAAATCAAACTTTCAAACAATTACAAGTATAAATAAAGAATTACAAGAGTTGGAACCAGAAGATACAAAAATTACCAAAACAAACAGTTCATTATCAATAAATCCCTTACCTGAAACCGAATTTGACGACGAATCTGGCCTTTTCAGTTTCAAAAAGAGTAAAAAAACTAGATACAAGAATTTGATCAATGAAAAATCCAATTGTGTTGATCAAATAAAGAAATTAAACATTGAAATCAAGTATCAACATGAGATAATAGCAGCTGAAATCTCAAATTATTTTAAATTTAGAAATGATTTTTTAAAATTTGGTATAAAACAATTTGCCAAACAAGAATTAAAACTGTTAAAACAAAGAAACCTTGAATTAAAGAACTATTTATTAAGATATTGAGAAATATACGAGAGATCTCTTATTTGTGTCAAATCTATCAGAGCACGTGAAATTAATCAGACATACTGCTGCATGAAATGTAAAATCTGGGACAATTTTAACGCGCAACCACAGTTTTTGATACTTTAAATATGCCCACAATTCCACATCTAAAATAATTAACAGGAAATGCCTTCACATTTCGATACTTTACAATTACATGCTGGTCAAGAAGCTGAAGAACCACATAAACCAAGAGCTCCTCCAATTTATGCTACTACCTCATATGTTTTTAATGATTCAAAACATGGTGCTCAATTATTTGGTTTAGAAACCCCTGGTTATATTTACTCAAGAATTATGAATCCAACTAATGATGTATTTGAACAAAGAATTACTGCTTTAGAAGGTGGTGTTGGTGCATTAGCTACAGCATCAGGTCAATCTGCTCAATTTTTAGCTATTGCAGGTTTAGCTCATAGTGGTGATAATTTTCTTAGTACAAGTTATTTATATGGTGGTACTTATAATCAGTTTAAAGTTGCATTTAAAAGATTAGGTATTGAAGCAAGATTTGTAAATGGTGATTCAGTTGATGATTTTGCGAAATTAATTGATTCAAAAACAAAAGCTATATATCTTGAATCGATTGGTAATCCAAAATATAATGTTCCAGATTTTGAAAAAATTGTTAAATTAGCTCATGATAATGGTATTCCAGTTGTTGTTGATAATACATTTGGTGCTGGTGGATTTTTAATAAATCCAATTGCTCATGGTGCTGATATAGTTGTTCATTCAGCTACTAAATGGATTGGTGGTCATGGTACAACAATTGCAGGAGTTGTTGTTGATTCTGGTAATTTCCCATGGACTGAATATCCTGAAAAATTTCCACAATTTTCAAAACCTTCAGAAGGTTATCATGGTTTAATTTTAAGTGAAGCTTTAGGTAAAGCTGCATTTATCGGCCATTTAAGAATTGAATTATTAAGAGATTTAGGTCCAGCTTTAAATCCATTTGGTTCATTTTTATTATTACAAGGTTTAGAAACTTTATCATTAAGATTAGAAAGACAAAGTTACAATGCATTAAAATTAGCTCAATGGTTAGAAAAACATCCACATGTTGAAAGTGTTTCATATTTAGGTTTACCATCACATGAATCACACGAATTGGCAAAGAAATATTTAAATCATGATGCTAAATACTTTGGTGGTGCATTATCATTTACAGTTAAAGACTTAGAAAAGACAAGTGATGATCCATTTGATGAAGCATCACCAAGGGTGGTTGATAATTTGAAAATTGCTTCAAATTTAGCAAATGTTGGTGATTCAAAAACTTTAGTCATTGCTCCATGGTTTACTACACATCAACAATTAACAGATGAAGAAAAGAAAGCAAGTGGTGTTTCAAAAGGTTTAATTAGATTATCTATTGGTACTGAATTTATCGATGATATTATAGAAGATTTCGAACAAGCGTTTAAAAAAGTTTATAATTGAGATTTATATTGTTTTGATTTGTAATTTAGTGGGACTATTAATATAATTAGAATTTGCCAAATAATCCATATTGCGTAGTGAAATTTCATTTGACCTAATTCGTATTTATTGTACTTTTCGATAATCGTGTATAAACATAAAATTGCAACATAAACAATGTTTATGAATAGTATTGTTAGACCATATAGGATCAACTTTACTCTTGTTTGTCTTGTTAAGCTCATGATCAATGTGAAAACAATTGAGACTAATATAAAGATACTAACAACTTGTATTGAAAAACAAGCAACGTTGAACCACATTAATTTGCAAAAATTCATTTCCATACATAATTGGCTGCAAAAATTAAAGTAAATCAGTTTTAATTCAGTATCAAGTTGCCTTTCCATTTGATCAATTAAACATAAAACAACATTTAAACCGTGACCTAAAAAACATTTATCATGACAATAACCAAATATATTAAACTTGTACAACCCAGAAAATACATTATCTATATTCCTTAAATTCTCATCATTTATTGATTTCGTATAAACATTTAAGTCATTTGATATATATGTAACAGTTTTCAAAAATTCAAGTATTGTTTGTGAGGTATATGAATTGTCAAATTTAAAACTCAATGGTACAAATTTCAATGAAAATAAAAAGTAACAAGACACAAATAACAAACATAATAGTAATATTGACTCAATAATTAATCGTTTCAGAGTTTGTTTAGTTTCAAATTTTTCATTCATCATTTGTGTATTACAAAAAAAACTATACACTAAAAATCAAATTCACCTCTAAATTGATTTAAATCCATATTTGGTTTAACTTTATCAACTAAATCTCTTCTTGAAAGTGCTATAAATGCGCGTTTCAATGTTTCTGTTAAACTTGTACTTTGATTATGATTTAATGATGAATCTTGATCTACACCATCAACTTCATGTAAACTCAATCCACTTAATAAATGTTGAGCGGCCTCTTTATAACATCCTATATTTATACATGAAACACCTAAATTATATCTAGCTCTTACAAATGTTGGTTTTAATTGTAAAGCTTTGAAATATGCTTCAACAGCTTCCTCTGATCGATTTGAATTTGCTAACGAAGCACCTAATCTATTCCATAATATAGGATCGTCTGGTTTTATAGACAATGCAGCTTTGAAACAATCAATTGTTTTATCAAAATCTTCATTTGCATAGAATAAAACACCTAAACCCATTTGAACGTCAGGATCCATATTTGCTTGATCTGGTGATAATTGTGCGGCATTCATAAATAATTCAGTAACTCTTTTATTTAATGAAAATCTATCTTCATCTGTAATTGTTGGATTTTCTAATCTTGCCTTTTCTGCAATCTGTGGGTATTTAGTAGATATCCATCTTTCTAAAGTAGCAAATGCAGCATTATCATAACCTTCATTAATATAACTTATAGCTAAATTCATTAAAGCTTCTGAATTTTCAGGATGTAATTCTAAACATTTTTCTAAAGCACTTATACCAGCAATTTCTTTTTCATTTTGTGTTTGTACTTCGCCTAATTTTAACCATGCATCGATATGTTGTTCATTCTTTTGTATTGCAGCTTCAAATGCCAAAGCAGCTTCTGACAATTTAGCACCACTTTCCATTAATTGTATGCCAATAGTATAAGGATCATCAATATCCATAAATTGATTATTTTGAGCTTCTTCAAATTGATAATCACCAAAATGAGCTCTTGTTGAAGCATATCTTGCAAAATCACGCTCCCATTGATTCATATCAGCTGGGAATGTATCTCTTTGAGTATGTTTAAATTCTTCATACTGCTGCTCAATTAAATCATTTTCTAATGCTTCTGAATTTAAACCATCCCAAACTTCTTGAAATGTAGCTTGATATTTATCATCAATGACAATTTCTGGTGACCCTTCTCTTTGAATTTCTTCAACTTTATCTGTTTCTGTAGTTAATTGTTCAATTTCTTTAAATTGATTATCCCAATCAACTTGAGTTTCTTCTTTTGCTAATGATTGATGTTGTTGTGGTTGTTGTTGTTGTTGAGACATAGGAGAGTACATTGAAGTCATACCCATCATTGGACGATAAGCAGATAATCTTGGCATATATTGTTGTTGGATTCCAGATTGTTGATAATGTTGTTGATTAGCATGTTGTGGTTGTTGATGTTGTTGAGGACTACTTGATGTTTGAAATTCATTAGCCCATCCCAAATTGTTAGATATTGGCTGTTGATTTATAGGTTGTTGATTTATTATTTGTTGCTGAGGGATAGGTGAATGACTTTTCTGTATTGAATTTAACTCATGTCTCATAGGTTGAAATTGGAATGAATCATTTGGTGAGTTATTCATAAATTGTTCAAGGTTTTGTCTATCTCTTGTATTCATCAAGTTTTCTCTTTTAAACCCACCATTTTGTTGAATATTATGTTGATGTGCTGATTGTTGCTGTAATGATCTATCTTGTTGAGCATGTTTATTAAATTGATTAACAACGTTATTATTGACACTACACTCTGATCCACCGACAAATGACATTATGAATACTTTATAACTTTGGTTGGCAAATGAGTAATTAATTTTTAATTCATCTATAAATTCCTTTTCTGGTGGGGTGGGGTCACGTGAATTTATATATAATATACTTCCGAGCTTATAATTTTCACATGGCGGTTTCTCGCTTTATTTTTTTTTTTTTTTTTTTGGCTGCAAAATTTGGCATCATGCAAATAAACAAAGCAGTTCTGAAACATTATTACGTGTTCAAGTTGAATTAGACTAGAATGAGCTGTCTTATCATTTCAACATTGTTCCAAGGCACTAGGATAGTTTGGACGAGGTTAATATCATGAAGCATTTCATTGGTTTAACAAAATTAACCTTCCTTGATTTTTCGTCAAAGGGTCTACTTTAAATGGTAAAATCTCTTGGACCAGTGTTTAATGATCTAAATCAAGAGTATACGATTTTTGATCCTCTTTTGATTGAAAATTTTTTACGGCTGTTCATATGGTAGCATATCTGAAATTTTGCAACATATTTTAAAATTTTACGAATTTCGTAAAATGAATGTATTCTCAAAACCTTTCAAAAACAGCAAAGAGTGATGGAGAGATCGGTAGGGTTATCATTTTTTATCATTATCATTAACATTATGCATTACGACGACTGTATACAATCATTTAAACCAACAATTTCACCAATAACAGCGAGATATTCTTGGACAAAGCAATTAAAAACCCACCAACTTCCAAAACAGCCATCATTATTGCTTCCTCCTTCTTGATTCTCTAAATTATTCTCTTGTTTCTTTAAGAATATGAATTTTAAAATGTCATTAAATGTAAAAGTTATAAAATTATTAAAGATCGTGATTGGGTATTTTGATTTAAATTGTTGATTTAATAATTTATCGTCAATCAATTCAAATAATGAACTAATTTTAAATAATTCAAATGATGACAAGATTGATTCTGAATAATTATCCGAATTTGAATTACCCCCAGTTTGATTTAAAAAGTTTTTTAAATCAATTTTAAAAAAATTATCAAGAATATTAATTTCTTGATTTATAAATTTCATTGATAGTGAATCTTTGATCTGTTGTTTATTTGCAGTTGAACTTGGATCAAAATTAAATCCAACCAATGTATAAACTAAATCATTTGACAATATATTATGTTTAAAATTGAAATCAAATAATGAAGTTGGTGGTTTATTTAAATTTTCATCGTCTTCTTCATGTTCAATTTTGATTATTGGTTTTGAATCTTTTAAAAACAGTTCAATATCTTCAATCATTGAAATTTTATTATTATCTTTTCTTATTAATTTTATGAATGTGATTATTAAATCATTTAAATTGATTAATTTTTTAATACATATGATGAATATTGTAGAATTTGTAAGATTAAAATTTAAGCTTCCAATTTCATTATTCAATTGATTAATCACATATAATAAATTTGTTCTTAAATTTTTAAGAAAATTGATATTGGTTGATGATGTTTTAATTAATAATAAAAATGGTAATAATTCTAATAATACAATCAAATATAATTTCAAAATTGATTGTTCATCAGATAATTTCTTAATTACAATGACTAAATTTGTCAATAAATTATTTGGAATTAATAAATTATCATTATTAAACAATGATTCACTAATAAATTTCTTTTTAATTTGTGGAATTGATTTATAAATTGAATCTAAAGTCTTTGTAAACCAATTAACTTCATCAAGAATTGTAAATTTACAACTAGCAGGAGGATAATTTAAAAATGGTTTTATAAATGATAAGTTTGGTGATTCAATAATTACTTCTGGTTGCTGTTGTCCTTTCTCTTCTTGTTCTTCCTTTTTAATCTTAATTGTACTTCCTTTTCTTGATTTCTTTGGTAATGTAATTAAAAATGGATTGGCATTCGAATCATTATTAAAAATTTCATTCAAATCATTCAATTCATGATTATCACATAATGATCTAATATCATCATTTATGATATTCTCATTCCACAAAACACCTAAATAATGATATTTTGATTCTCCTCGACTACCTAATCTTTTAATTAACAAATTTGGATATACTAATTTTATCAATTTACCTAATTTACTTTGTCCTAATATTAATTTTTGTTGTTCAGGTATTGAATTTGTTGAACTTGGATAAATACAAATTAATTTTTGACAGATAATATAGTAAACTTTATATATGGATAATCTTGGAATTGAATAATTCTGTGGTTCATCAATTTCGTTAAGGTTTAATTGAACTAAAACATCCTTTAATATCTTGATGGCTAAAAAATTTCGTAATAATTCATGATAATTAATCTTTAAATTTAATGAATCTAAATTCTTGAAATGATTTAATATACTTTCAAAGATGGTTGTGATACCGGGAGATGTATTTATATTTGTTTTATCTAATTTGAAATCACTTCTCGGTAAAATTCTTTCATTATATAATAAATTGTAAAAATCATCTAATAGATAAGGTGAATTGGCTTTTAAAATAACTTGCAATAAGTAAGAATTAATATTTGAACCATCAACAGTTGATAATTTAGATTTTAAATCCTGTAAAATCTCATTTTCGGGTTGATGCAACGGTATTTGTTGTTGTTTTTCACATAAATTAAATAATGTCAAATGCGATGATATTGATAATTGATTTTTTTGATGTCTAACTGATGAAGTTGGTAATTTATGTGAATGTTGACCAGCAACATTTGCATTTGAATCTCCACCAAATTTGAATGAATGATTTAATTCACCACCTCCAATACTTGGACCAGGATGACTAAATGGTGGCGGATAATTGAATAATGGAGCAATATTAGGTTGGCAGTAGTTTGATGATGATGAAGAAGATGGTGGTGGTGGTTGTTGAAAAATTGGAGGAGGTGGAGGTTTTGAATCAAAATAATATATATCTTGTTGCGATGCACTTCTTTTCAATGGAGATGTAATATGCTGATTATTATCTGATGATGATGATGCTTTAGTAGAAGGTGGAAGTGCATAATCAATTGAAGATCTTGAATACGAACTTGAAGATTGTAGAGGGGGTGCAATATGTTGTTGATGATTTTGAAACCCTATAAAATTAAAAGACTGTGAATCTTGATGATATGAAGCAGGAGCAGATTGTGGAACTGGGTAACCTTGTTGTAAATTATGAATGGTTTGATGTTGTAATGGTGGAGAGTTTGGTATTTGAAAATGCGATTGAAATGCTGAAGTCAGTATCGATGATTTTTGTCGTTTATGACCTTTATATGGACTTGTATGACTTGACATTTAGTTAATATATGCATGAAGTTTGTTGAAATATGAACTGATGGTTGTAAAAAATTAATTATATGTATGTGATCTATAATTAAACTTGGAAGGGTGGATACGCGTTATCAATGATAAATGATGATAATAAAATGCTAAATGATTCAATATGCAACTATTAAATGAATAAGAAGATAATCAACTTCTTTAATCAATTCAAATGATATGAAAATCAAAATCACCAAAATAAATTGGTGGTGTGTAATGATTTAATTTTTAATACAATTGATCCACGATTTATTTTATTATTTTTTTTTTTTTTTTTTTTTTAATTAAAAAAGTAAACAAAAGAAATTTTTTGATTAAAATTTTTTGCTGTTCCTTAAAATGGCAATGAAATTTAAACTTGAATAGATGATTTAAAATGATTAAGATGAGTGGTTGATGAGTAGTTTGTATACTTTCAATGGATTGATTTAGTGGATCTAAAGTTTTTGACAGATCCAGGAGGGGGTTCAAATGTAAGTTAATGTAAGTTAATGTAATATTAGATCTCTCTGTTAATATCTCGATTAGGAAATGTTATTGATCTTCTTGAATGCCACAGTAGTTGTTATACGATTAGCAATTTGATATAATTGAAGTTGTAGTCGTAGTTGTTTGGTTAAAAGTAAAAAATTGAGACTAAGAAAAAGAAATGGCGAATTTAAAAATAATTTATATTAAAATTATTGAATCTTTGATTTTTGTGATTTAGATTGGGTTGACATAACAACTTTAGATTATAAATAATGTAATTAATTTTTTACACATCATTCACAATAGTGGTTTCTCAGTTTTGTGATGGTTTTTTATAATTATAATTAATCAAATTAAAAATTAAAAATTCATGTACCTCGTGTAAAATAAATTTAATTTGTTTCAGATCTAGGATCAAGACCCTTATTTAATGTGACAAACTGATAAGGAACTACTAGCAACAGATTTGACGGTTGATAGTTAACTGAAGCAGTTGAAGAGGATCAACTACTCAGCATATGGCGTCATCTTGATAGCTGTTGATCCAATTTTGTGGATCAAACTGAAATTGACCTTTTTTTAACAATAGAAAATTTACGGCACAAAATCTTAAATGCATAAAATACAAAGTTAATTCAATGTATATCAAAAACTTTGACTATTTGTTGAATGACTAAATTTTGCTACCGTTTATTTTACCCCTTAAATCATACGAAATTTCGAGTTTTCATTATCAACGAAGATTTCGAATAAATCAAAGGGTTCAAATTCAAATACACTAGAGTACGTTTTTTTTTCTTTATCTTTAAATAATAATTTTTTTATTTATGTATTTACTTATTTATTTACTTATTTATTTATTTATTAATTTGACAATTCGGGTAAATTTACACAAAATTTTTAACATTCTCATCTAATAAAAATTAATTTTTATCGTCTAATCAAAAAAATATAAAGTAATGCAAATTAATTGGTTCCAATTAAGATTTAAAGTTACATCATTTAAAACATCTTTTTAACGAAATTGAGCCGGATTCAAGATATCTTATCAGGTACGAACTGATAAAGGTCATTTAGTAAAGTACTAGCTTTGTGAATATTAGAACTTTTGATTAAAAATTGATCACTCTAACTCTGTTTCGTAAATCAATATTTCACAATTTACGAAACCCTGGTTTGACCTGCATATATGATTATCATGTGATAATATTCCACGGCTGCAAACAATTAGAGTTCTTTCACTTATAATAATATATATATTGTAATAAATAGTATATCTATAATTTAGCGTTATTTAATAATCCTTTAACTAATATGTCTTGCATTTGATTTGCGGAATCAACTAAATACCATTTAAGATGTTCAGAACTTAATCCATTACCTTTTTTACATGAAATATGAACGTGTAACCAATCATTATTAATTAAATAAGCTAAACCAAAACCGTCATCAATGACTTGTGACCAACCCCATGATTGGAAAAATTCACTTGGAACTTGTGAAGTTGATAAATACCAAGTTTGTGAATATGCAAAAATTGGATCTTGGAAAATTTCTGGAGTTTCTTCACCTGGTTTAATTTGTTGTTTTAAACCAAATAAATGTCTATCAACACCTTTACCATCACTTGCAGCTAATAAATAATTAACATGTTGTTTACAAGCAGCTTGGAAAGTTGCAACTTTATCTTCAATTGATGAATTTGGATTTGTCCAAGTTTCAACAAAAGCTTTTGATTCATTTGAAACAGTTCTACCAGTTTCAGTTCTACCTTTTAAGAATTTTCTAGTTGCTGCAGATTCATAAGTTGGTCTAACTTTACCAGTTAATTTATAATAAGCTAATTGCATTAACATTTGGACATAAGCATCAGGTGAAACTTTAAATTTTTTAATTAAACCTTTACCATAACCATAATGTTGGAAAATTTCTTCATCATGTTTTGCAATAGTATCATTAAATTTCAAAATTGCTTGTTCAATATTTACTCTTGATTGCGGATTAATATCAAAATTTAATTTATTAGCTTTACCAAAAATAGGTTTTGTTGTTGCAATTTCATCAATTAATGATTTTGGATTTTCATTGGAAATTTGTTTTAAAACAGTATTATTTAATTGAACAGTTGGTGTAGCATCCATTCTTGAATGTTCACCAAGGAAACCTGAATTACCATTTGCAGAAATGAAAAATTCTAATGGTTTATCAAAAAATCTATTTTGACCATCACCGTGCCAGCAGTTTTTAGATTTTTCTTCAATTGTAATTGGAGAATTTTTATCTAAACAAATAACAAATGATGAAGCAAAAATTGATTCTAATGAAGCTTGATTAATTGGTGATTTTAATAAATTTTGATAAGCATTCAAATATTCATCTCTATTTAATGAAGTTAAAGCACCTAAACCAATACCTTTTCCAGATGGATCATTTTTAACTTGTTGTAAATATTGATAAATTTCACCTTTTGATAATTTATTGCCAGATTCACTATGAGTTGGAATTCTATAAAAATTATTTTCATAAATAACAATAAAATATTTATGTAATTGACCATCATAATGTTGAGTAATATCTGAACCTTGAGCTGGAACTCTTGAATTATTAAACATATATCTAAAAGCATTCATACAATATGGATTACCTTTAATAATTTCTGGTTCTAAAGTTTCCAATTGAACTTTTTCCATAAATTCAATTGTATAATAAGCAATTAAACTTGCTTTTAATAATTGATTTTCACCAATTTCATTTTTTAAATCTTTATGACTGAAAAAATATGAAACATATGGAACAACTGGATCTCTATAAGACAAATAAGCATAATCATCCCAATATTCAGCCAACCAATTATCTTTACCTTCTTTGAATTCATTTAATCTTTTTTGTAAAATTTCACCCTGACCTCCTGGTTTAATAAATTCCAAAATTTTTGAAGTTGAATCTTTCAATTGTTCTTTATTTAAATATGGTTCAATTGATTTTATATATTTTTCTGCAGTCTCTTGTAATTCTGGAACTGGCAATTTTGGTAATTGAGATTGATATTTAAATAAATCACCTTTTGCAATTGATGATGAAAATGGTTTTAAAATTGGCATACTTGATTGAAATTGTTTCGATTTGAGTAATTGTTGTGTTAATTTATTTTTAAACATTACTTTTTAAAAAATCAAACTTTTAATAAAATTCAATAATTGATTTCCTTGAATAATTATAGTATAATTAGAAATCTAATGAATGAATGAAAAGTTAAGTAAAAGTTTGAAACAATATATTAAACGAAGAAAAAAAAATAGAGATTTAATTGGTTATAAATATAATATAATATTGGTGCAAAAAAAAAGAATAAAAAGAATAACTGGACATCGGTATCAAAAATTAACAATTAAAAGAAGTTAAATTTCTTAATGCAAGCAATAATATATGCCACTATTCTAATTCTATTTTAATCCGAGTTTACTAATTTCTTAACAGTTGTATTTCTAATACTGATTAGCTTATGATTTCTATGGTATAAATTTTTTTTTTTATGCCTTTTTTGTGGGGGCGAAAAAATAGATTGAGGTGCCTAACATTTTTTATATATTGCGTGTAATTGGACTGTAACTTTGCACGACCTTTTGATCTAGTTGTTTTTCCTCGGCATAATTTATTTTATAAGCGAGAAATTAATTACCACGTTCATTCCGTGCAAGTTCAGAAAATAATTGTTGCAAAATATGCTTGAATTAGCGTTTGCAACTATTTATAGATAAATCATTAATTAAACTTAGCTTCTAAGGAAGTCGTACCTTATTTTTTGTTCTGACAACTAAGTTTGGAATTGACAATGATGATGAAGTCAGTTCCATAGAGTAATGATAATGTTTTTTTTGATTTTGTACTTTGTAGGTGTATCGTAAATCGAAATCTAATTATAATTCAATTAACGTCTAATTCTGTTTGTGTAATTTTGAATTTTGCAAAATATCCAGAACTTGACTATTATATGGCAATAAAATAATCATCTTTGAGAATTCAAGGATCTTAATATGGATAAAGAATGCTTTCCTCGGAGGTGGTAGCTATTTATCCATAAATCTATATATGGCCTAGGAGAGAACTCATAGCGCTTAGTTTAAGCTTTCATACTTGGTAAAACACCACAATCTTGAAAAGTATATTAAAATTCAACATTAAATTATACATAAACCTACAAAGCTATACTATTTAAAATATAGTATAATCATCAACACTGCGTACCTTTAAAGAAATGACTTGGTCTTGTATTATGCAAATGTGCACTTGGATATAAGTTGTGAAAATCGTTATAAGCATAATCTGCTTCATATTTTGGTAGTTCTTCAACCTGGACTATACTATTATATCTTGGTAAAATATCATCATCTTCTTTACCTATTCTATTAAACTGTCTTGTTCCATTCAAAGCTATATGTCTGACGACACTTGTTTTGACAGCTTTGCCTTTTGATGTATCATAATTCTCAGACACTAAAAGAATTATTAAACAAACTATAGGTAGACCAATCATTAAAATAAGCCACAATGGATTCATTTCATGACTCATTTTAATACCGATTGAATTTGATTAATATTTATATCAAATGACAGCGAAATCAACTTCCAAAAATCTCTATCCGTTTTTTCATATTTATATTAATGGTCGCAATAATGTATGCAAACTTTCGCAACAATTTATTTCACTTCAAGATCATTCCATTCCATCATTTAGGAAACAATAATTCGATTTTGAGAAAATCATGAAACATAAATTTGCAGACTCTACAGTGAAATGATGGGGTAGTTTAGTGGGTGGTGTTGTAATTTAAAATTAGGTTCCTATTCTATATTGCAAATACTAATAAATAACTAAATAAACTGCCTGCAGCTAAACCAAAACTTAAAAATACACTGGTAAACCCACCAGCAGCTTCTTTTTCATCATTTGTATCACAATATTTAGCGACTGTCATAAACGCAGAAGTACATAATTGACCGTTTGAAATTCCAAATAAAAATTGTAATAAAATATACCACAAATCTGAATTTATAATTGGTTTAAATTTTGAATCTTCTGGATGAATATTACATGTTAAAAATAATGGAATGAATATTAATCTAGCTAATGAATATATTATTTGATTCTTTGGATTTTTGATTAGAAATTTCAATTTCGGGTATCCACACAATAATCTTCCCATCAAATCACCAATATTCCAAACAAAATAAATAAAAGGTATGAAAATGTTCTTCTTGAAGAATTTGCTACTTGAATTTGTGTTGTTACTGGTAACTGTTGATGCAAATATTGGGAATATTAAAGTTATACTAAATGTGAAAAATATGGTAAGGACAATTAATTTTAATTTTGACCATAATTGAGTAAACGGAACAAATTCTTTTTGTTGATGAACATCCTCATTAACATTAGCACCTTCTTCTTCTTCTTCTGGTTCTTCCATTATTTCATTCAATCTTTGATATGTTTGTTTTTCTTTACAATGGGTAGTTAAAAATAATAAACCAATAGAAACCATCGATATTAAACTGGCAGTAATATAATAAATGAAAAGACCAAAGTCTTTATCAACATGTTCGTCTTTCACTTTCTTCTTATCTCCAACTATCAAAATACTTATAATTAAAGCTGATGAAGGTAAAACACCAGCTATAGCTTGACCAACCATAACTGCATTAGCATAAATACTTCCAAGAACATTAACAATAGCCATAGTACCATTTTGGGCCAAACAAGTAGCCATAGAACTAATCAACACCATAGTCATTAAAATATTGAAAAATAAAATATCATTTAAATGAATGAAAAAGCTAAGTATACATGAAAATGCCATAATTGTAAATATAAAAAAAGTTAAGTAAAACCCAAACTTAATTCTAAAATTATAGTTGACATTTGTTTGATTTTGCGAAAGGTAAAAATTGTAAATAGTTGAAGTTAAAGTTGATATTGACATCATTGTAGATGAATAGATTTTGATTAGTTTAGGTGAGTTAATAAACCTTTCACTGTAATAACCAGAAGCACTAAGGAAACAATTCCATGGCCATAATAAAGCAATACCGATAATTGTAAATGTAATATATTTTAATGTTGAAAGTTTTAAATGAAAATAATTAGACAATTTAAACACTATAGGATCATGCTGAAATATTGTTGAGCCTGTCCGTGAATCTTCAGCTATCGGATCATGATCCCTAATTGTCATATCCTCTAGTTCAATTGATATTTTGATTTAGCTATTGGTTGGTAAATAAAAAAATTGGATCCACGCGAAATTTATTTTTCAACTTATCAACAGATTTAATATATGAAAACAATAATATATTAGTAGAGATAATGATGCTTGTAAGCTACTAAGCACTTATAATAACATCTGTAAGTAATAGAAAAACTTTAGGTGTGGAATTCTATGCTTTTGATTCCACTCAATTGGTAATTTTTTGGAAATGGGTGCTAAAGAATTTTAAACCAATACATAACACTGCCTTAAGCTAGCGCGAAAAATAATTTTGTCGCCCCAGTGTCTCGCATTAGTATTACGTGAGCTTGCATTTTTACGTTTACAGTAAATTGCGAAGTTTTAAACTTTAAAAAACCAATCCCAAGTTATTTACCATTCTATCACTGTCATCAAACTATCTAATAGCTCATTGAGTAATCATCCTTCATTATTATTTAACTACGAAGAATTATTTTTCCGAGCTGTACTTGTAATTTTATGCAGGAATAAATCAAACCTCGATAAATTTTTCGGCAATCAATCAACTTTAATAAATCATTAACATTCACTTTTAACATGAGTTCAATGGATACTTTAGCTTCTGTAGGTAAAGCTACATTAAAAGGAATTGGTAAAGGTAGTAAAGCTGTTGCAAAAGCTGGTCATAGAACCTATAAACAAAATGAAGCTAAAAGAAAAGGTATAGATTATGTTGACCCATACGCTGATAAAGATAAAAATAAGGATAATTCAGATACTACTACAGAGTCTATTGATGCAGATCCAAATTCAAGAGAAAGTAAATATGGCGTTCATCAACCATTAGCTCCATTACCTTCAAGAGACCAATTGCTGAGTTATCAAGCACCTCCCAAAAGAAATGTGAATGCTAATGCCCCTCCAAAAAAAGGAGCTGAAACTTCAAACTATCCGAAATCACAGTATAATAATCAATATAACCAGCAGCAACAACAACAGCAACCAGCTCAAGATCAAAATTATCAACAAAATCAACCTCAGTATGGTCAAAACCAAAATCATCCTCTACAACAAAACTATCAAAGCCAATACGGTGCTCAACAACAACAATATGGACAACCTCAACAGCAACAGAATCAATATGGTCAACCACCACAACCTCAACAACCTCAAAATCCTCAATATGGACAACAACAACAATGGCTGCAAAATCAGCAATATAACCAACTACAGCAACAACAATACAATCAACAACAAAGTGAACAATACAATCAACAAGATCAACCAGCCCCACAGCAATACGGCCAGCAAAATCAAGTACATCAATATAATCAAGCTCCTACGCAAAATTACCAAAATCAAACTAATCAATACGGACAATCACAACCTCAACAAAATCAATATGAACAACAAAATCAATATGGACAACCACAGCAACCACAACCAAATCAATATGAACAACAACAAGAATATTCTCAACCTTCGTACACTTCGAATCAATATAATTCTCAACCACACGAATATCAAGAGATTGCACCACCCAGTTATAATGATCATACTCAAGATCAACCAAATACAAATTCAGCTCCACTGTTAAATGATCAATTAAATCAACAATTGCAACAGCAATTTAACAATCAGCAGCAACAACATCAAGTAAATCAACAATTTCCACCCGCACAAACTCAATTACCTCAAAGAAGTTCAACATTACAACCTCCAACATTACCATCACGTAGTTCTACAACTTCAAGCATATCTCAACAATCTCAGGGTGCAATAAATCAACAACAGAATTTTCACGCACCAACTAATGAAGCTTCAACAACACTAGGACCAAAAGTTTTCAAACCTGTACCTGATCCAACTTCTTTTGCTCCACCTCCAAGAAGAAATGATATTGGATCACCACCTTCTCAACCACCAAGATCAAATTCAACAATAACTCCAGTGAGATCAAATGTTTCAACAGCATCTTCTACATCACCACCACCTCCACAACCATCTAGAACAAATATAGATATCAATAAATTTGCACCACCACCTAAAATCTATAGAAAACCGGGAGAAGAAATAATTTTAAAACCAAAAAATGATTCTTCATCATCATTACCAAAACCTAAACCTCCAAAACCAAAGAAATTGAAAAGTGAAAATTCAATAAATCAATTTGAAGAAGCTCCACCAAAACCAAAAAGACATGTTGAAGAAGATGATGATTATGCAGCTCCTCCAAAACCTAAAAGACCGAGCGAAGAAGAAGATTATTCAGCTCCACCAAAACCACAACGCCCCATTGCAAAGGAAGACACTCCACCACCAATGCCGCAAAGAAAATCAATTAAAAAAGCACCACCTCCAAAACCAATTAAAAAATCAACAACTACTAATTCAAATAATGATGTTTCAGATGAATTAAACAATTTGTTTAAGAAAATGAATACTACTAACGAACCAATAAATGAGAAACCAGCTGTCAAAGCAAAACCAAAACCTGTAGTTGCTCCAAAAGCTGAATCAAAACCAATTAAATCACCAGAAATTGCTACAAAACCACAACAACCAATAAAATCACCAATAAAATCACCAATTAAATCACCATCACCACCTCCAGTTCCAAAGCATAGAAATTATACTCGTCAAACAATATCAGAACCAACACCACCGCCACCTCAACCACCACAGTTAGATTTAGAATTAAATACACATTGGTTTGCAAAGAATAATGGAAGCTTACCTAAATCACTAGCAGGTTTAAATTATCAAATGTCCGGATCAATAAGTGGAAATAATCATACAAAGTCAATTACAATTAGATTAAAAGACTTGAGCCTGATTACATATGTATTCAAATGGCAAGGATCAAATTATGATAATGTCCAAGTAACAATTGAGAATTTCCGTCCAAGTCCAATAATATATAACAAACCATCAAAATCTGATTTAATTTCAAATAGTAATCAATTTGGTTCATATATTGCATCATGGTGTTTTAAACATAAAGGTAAGACAGTTGGTCGTGGTGAATGTTGGGATTTAGCTAAAGAAGCATTATCTAAGGCATGTGGTAATCATGCTTTCGTTTCAACTTATCATCATCACGGATATCCAATCTTACAAATTGGGAATCAAGGTAATGGAATTCAATTCTTGAATGGGACTACTTCTCAATTGGATGAAATCAAAGCTGGTGATATTATACAATTTAAAAGTTGTACTTTTATTGATTCAAGAAGTGGAGTTACTCAAACTGTGGGTGCTCCAGATCATACTTCTGTTGTTGTTGGAAATACAGATGAGAAATTGTTAGTATTGGAACAAAATGTGAATGGGGTTAGGAAAGTAGTTGATGGTGAATATACTTTAAAAAATTTGACAATGGGTGAAGTTTACGTATATAGACCAATAGTTAAAGAATGGGCTGAATAGATAGGGATGCAATTAAACCTAATTTGTTTAGATTAAATATATATAAGGATGCTATTATGATTGAATTGTACGATTTGAAAGGAGAACAGAGTCGTTTATCACCATTATCAAGTTCAAATCAATGTCGTGGTAAAAAATCAATTTTTGGGACGAAATATAAAGCGACAAAACTGAAGTTTATCGCGTGAAAAAATATTTAAGATTTAGAACTGGCGGATAAAGTATTCGTAGGAAATATCTAATCATCGCGTCAAAAAATGGACAATAAATTTCTAGAACGAAGTAAATTAAATCATCGCGTGGAAAAATAAATTTAAGCTGGGATGAGTGAAGTTGTTGCGCCTACATTATCTACTTATCAAGATGATTCAACATTCAGTTACGATAAATATAAATCAGAACATAAAAAAAGACCATATTTAAACCTAAATTCAAATGATAAACAAGAGTTAATTTCAGCAATTATTGACTATTATTCCCTTAATGAATTAGTAGCACATCTTGAAGCCAATCCACAATTCGATAAAATCACATTACAATTTCCCGATGAGTTGATATCTGATAGCTCCTACATTGTTGAATACTTACAATCAAAAATTAAAGAGAGGCAATTTTGGGTATTGGCAGACACATCATATTCATCATGTTGTATTGATGAAGTAGCTGCCGAACACGTACAAGCTAACTATTTAATACATTTCGGAGATGCATGTTTGAATGAAGTTGAAAAATTACAATGTTGTTATGTTTTTGGAAAACCAAAACTAGATTTAAACAAGTTGATAGAACAATTTAAGAAAAAATTTGACAAAGGTGATAACGTTGTCATAATGTCAGATGCTCCACATGTTCATCTATTATCAACTATCAAAGAGAAACTACCAGAATATAAGAATTTAGTCATTGCTGATTTCACAGCTCCAAATTCATCAAAAATAATAGGATTTACACCTAGTGAACAATTATATATAAAATTCAACAGGTCATTACTGATTCAAACCACATCAGAGTATGATTTGTTTCATATTACGATCCCTGAATCACCCAGATTACTTCAACTAGTCACTCAATTTAACAATCTCACAACTTATGATCCAAAAACAAATGAACTTTCATCTGGTCCATATCCTAATTTAATGAAACGTTATAGATCTGTATATATTGCAAGAACAGCAGGGACAATAGGAATACTCATAAACACGTTATCATTAAATAATACCAAGAAATTGATAAATATAATTCAAAAAAGGATTAAAGACGCAGGTAAAAAATCATATTTGTTCGTAGTGGGAAAGCCTAATGTTGCTAAATTAGCCAATTTTGAATCTATTGATATTTGGTGTGTTTTAGGTTGTGATCATGAAGGTATTATAATTGATCAAGTTAATGAATTTTTTAAACCGATAATAACACCATACGAGTTATTACTTGGCTTGAGTGATGAATTACAATGGAGTGGTAAATGGATAACAGATTATAAATCAGTGATAGCTGAATATGAAAATGAAGTAAGAGAAGAAGAGGAGGAACAAGACGATGATGATGATGAGAGTCAACCACCTGAATTTGATCCAGTTACCGGTCGATATATAAGTACATCCAGACCATTAAGGAACATGAATTTGACAATCACAAACACTGCTGAAAATAGTAATGAGAATGCACTAGTTGAAAGGTTTTCAAATACTTTAACAATAAAGAATACTGTATCTACACTGGCTCAGCATTTACAAAATAGACATTGGACTGGTCTTGGATCAGATTATCAAAATGATGAAGATAGTGAAGGTGCTCTAGTTGAGGAAGGTATTAAAGGTATTGCTAGAGATTATCATCCAGATATATAGATTTAATATGTTAGTGATAATTGCGCAATAATTTGCTTTTTTCTTAAATGAGATCTATGAAAAAAAAAAAAAAATATTTTTCAATTGTTTCAGAATATCAAACTTCAATCTTTTGCTAAGATTTTATGCTAGATTCTATAGATCAACTCATTCAGATAGTTTTGAATAATGGGAAACAAATAATACTCATACAAATAGCTTTCACAGTTGCTTTGAAAAGTTTTACTTTGATACCTTATTGGTTTTTGCTAGTTTCAATATCATTTGGTCTAATTTATAAATACTCCATAAGATATAATTTACCGAATGACTGGACTGAGTTGAATGAGAATGATATTTGTTTAATTACGGGAGGCTCAAATGGATTAGGTTTAGAAATAGTCAAAAACTTGCTAGCTAAAAAAGTCATAGTTTACAATTTTGATATTTCTCCAAGTGACCATGACCATGCGGTTAATTTCATAAAATGTAACATTGGAATTGAGGAGGAATTGAAGTTTGAATTGAATAAGTTAATTGAATCACTAAGATCCAAGAATAAATACATAAGTATAGTTATAAATAATGCTGGAATAAGAGATAATAGACCTTTAATAACCCTACCATCAGACAGAATACATCAGATTATTAATGTGAATTTGTTTTCTCAAATTTGGATCCAACAGACAGTGTTAAACAATCATTTACAAAATAACCCCAATGGAAAGCTATCTATAGTCAACATGAGTTCAATACTTGGGACATTTGCACCCAAAAATTTATCGATATACTGTGGTTCCAAAGCTGCATCAATTCAAATTCATGATGCATTAGTACAGGAGTTCAAAAGACATGAGAAGATACGATTTTTGTTAATTACAACTGGTCAACTAAACACTAGCATGTTTAATGATGTTATTCCATCTAGATTATGGTTTGCGCCCATCGTAGATAAAGATTATTTATCAAATCTTATACTAGAAAAAATCAACACTGGTTACTCAGGAATTATTTGTGAACCATTTTATGCTAATTTTTTACCTAGTTTAAGATGTTTCCCAATGTGGTTTCAAGATTTATGTAGATACATATCAGAAATTGATGACAAAATAAAAGAGCATTAGTATGTTTGTTTGAGGAAGAAGTATAGGGACATTAATATATTTATTCATTCTTCTTACCTAATTTACCTAATTCTAATTTAATCAATTTTGAAAATTCATCTCTATTAAATAATCCAAGAACATCAAAGATCTTGTTATATGGTATTTGAGTAGTTGTAGTTTCTTTATCATTTTTAATAATTGTGATGTTATAAATTGGATCATATTTTGTTGACCAAGTTTTAATTACCAATTTATCAGATTTATTAAGTCCCACATATTTTACATTTTTAAATTTATAATTTATAATATATAATACAGCATTAATACCACCATATAATAAACAACTAATAACTGTAATTGTAAAAATATCATGAAATTGAAATTTACGATCAGCTAAAAATAACAACCCTGCGATTAAAACTTGAATTAAACCAAGTCCAAGTTTTAAATCTTTTAATTTGAATGATTCTTCATAATTAAACTGACTAAATACTGATCCTAAATTATCGTCAGTAGTAATTAATAATTCTTTGACTGAATTTAAATTTGTCTTCTTCAACATTGATATTATTAGTTATTAAAATAAAACACGTAAATTGAAAAATGAAAAACTGATAACTACCACTCATGTGACTACTCACGTGCAAATTAATCACGTGTATGTTTATTTTGCTCATTTTGATTCATAAACAACGAAATTCTTTTTGAATCTTCTTCCCAAGGATAAGATTTAATTATCTTTCACCCAATTTAACTATCTAAATACACTTTTATTGGTGTATTTTGCTATTCTTTATAACATGATAGATGACTGAAAATTCATTAAATAATATCGTTAAAGAAGATAAATCAGTTTTTAAAAGTCAACCCCCGGTTGTAAATCAACCAAAAAAGAATTATTATAAAAATGGTAGTAATAAAGCTAAAAAGTCTTATGATCATAGAAATAATATTGATTCAGATATAAACCTAACAAATGAATTAAAATATGGTAAAAAGAATAAAAAGAATCAAATTTCAATCAATCATTTATTAGATTTTAAATCTTACCAAGATGAGCATGAGCATAATAGACAACAATTTAAGCCAAGAAGAGGAAGTCATAATAAAAGACCAACTACTCCGAAATTAAATCTTACTGGTATGAAATTCATAAATGTAAATTACAAGTTTGTTGTCGATTACCGAAAAAGTTATAAAATTCAGGAATTTGATTCAAATATTCCACTTAATTTAGAAGATATAATTAGAATCATAGTTCCTATAGGTCAATCATGTCCTATTTGTTTGTCTGTTGATTTAATTGCTCCTAGAATGATTACTTCATGTGGTCATATAATTTGCTTAAAGTGTGTTTTATCATTATTGGATACTGAATTACCAAAGAATAAGAAAGTAGAAGCTCCTGCTATTATTGAAAAGTATAAAGAGTGTCCCTTGTGTAATTCAATAATTCGTAAACATGAATTAAAACCGGTGTTTATTAATGAAATTGACGAAAGATTTGATATACCTCAAACTAATCATCAAGTGGTGTTGAAATTAATGTTTAGATCAAATTCATCTATTGCATTACCTAAACAACTTGCATTTTCAAAGAGTATCCCAAATATAGACCAAGAAGAATTTATACCATATTTAAGAATATTCAAAGGTGATTTGAATTATATTTTAAGCATGTATGAGTCTGAAAAACAACAAATTTTGGCTCAGTTTAATGAAGAGAAAGAAGTATATGGTGATGATATGAAACTAGTAAATGATGCAATCGAATACATTGATAAGGAAACTAAAAGCTGGATAGATACATTAAATTCTGATGTAAAAGAAGAGACAGTAAGTAATGAGGAGTTAACTGCTTCTACTTTTTATTTTTATCAAACTGGTTTCGGTGCTGGTTATTATGTTTTGTCACCTTTTGATATGAAAATTTTAAAAAGTACATATAATGAATATTCAAATCTACCATCTACAATCATTGCCAAAATTGAGTCAATCAAATATGAAGAATTAAATTTGGAACTAATTAAAAAATACAAATATCTATCTCATTTACCAATGGGTACTCAAATTGGATTCCTTGAATGTAATTGGTCAAATAATGAATTTATAAATAAAAATACCTGGCAGTTATATAAAGATGATTTGATCAAACGTAGTCAAAAATCAAATAAGAAGTTTAAACGTGAGGAAAGAAATAAAAAACGTGCAATGTCACAAGAAGAATTCAAAACAAGACAATTTTATAAACAGGAAAATGGAGAATTAGACGACGATGTTCTGTTTTATGGTAAAATGGGAAGTTTATCAATCATAGATAATAGGGAATTATTACCTTCCTTATCTGATTCAAAAACTGATCATTATCATACTACTGAAGATGAATCAATTGAATATCAAAGAACAGTATGGGGTACAAAAATTCCAAAAGGTGAACCACAACCTATTATTGATAGTGATGATAATAATGAATGGATTAATGAAGAAATGATTAAAAAGGCAAAAGAAGAAATGACGAAACAAGAAGAAGAATCAAATGGTAATAAAAAGAAAAAGAAGAAGAAGAAATTAATACTTTTATCAAGTTGATATACATTTCATATTTTCAATCTTCCGTTAATTGTGATTCACTATAGATTCTTGGTGGTCTTGTTGAATCTTTAAAAAAACTGGAATTCCAAAATGAATGTAATGAATTTTGTGATGTATTTTCATTTGCATCATGTATACAATCTATTGTATTAGCAGGTTTTTCAACTAATGTAGACGGTGAAAAGATTATATTAATATTGTTATTTGGTTCTGATTCTTTTGGATATGGAAAGAATGAAATTGAATGAGATTTAAATACTTTTTTATTATCATTTAATGTAATTAATTCTTTTGTCTTTGGTTGATGTTTATTTCTTTTGAATTTGTTAATAAATCTTGTAAGTCTAGATTGTTTAGGTAATGTATCAATTGGAGTAAATGAACTATTTCTAAGCATTTATTTGTGGTGATTGTTTGGTTGCAAAATATAACAAAAAAAAAAAAAATATTACATAATCTGTTGATAATTTTTCAATTTTTCTTCCACGTAAACTTAATCAATCAATAATCAATAATCAACAAATAATATATCAAGATGGAAACCAATTTAGTATATGATAATAAAAGTAAGAAAATAACCTTATCAGACTCATCAAACCCACAATATAAATTAGAAATAGACCAATTAAATCAATTAACTACCGAAATAATAGCTCAAGGTTCAGATGTACCTCCATTACCATCAGCTGAAAATTTCAACAAGGACTTATCGAAAATGATTAAGAAATTATATGAAGGTGGTGTTCAAGCTTTCAAAATGAATAAATTTGAAGAAAGTTGTAAACAATTTTCGATTGGGATTGAAATGATTAATAGAAGATCAAAATTTGAAAGTTTTCAATTAACAATACAAGAATTATCATTATTTTTAATGAGTAGAACTGATGCATATTTGAAAAATAAACAATATTTAAAAGCTTTCAATGATGTTGATTTATTGTTAAATATGCAAATGAATAGTCCTGATAATTTTTTAAGAAGAGGAGTTGCTAATTTCTTTTTAGGTAATTATGAAGCTGCTAGAAGTGATTATCAAAGAGGTTTATCATTTGATGAAAATAATCAAAGATTACAACATGAATTAAATATTTGTTTAGATAAAATTTTAGAGGAAAATGGTGATAGACTTTAAATAATGGGAGAAATTTAATTAGAAAGGTTATGCCTTGATGGTATATAGATACATATTAATGAATAAGTGATTAATGTTGCTTAAACACCTTATTTTACTACCTTTTGAACCAAACACCGCTTAAGTTTTTGTTTAGATAAAATTTTGACAGAAAATGGTGATAACCTGTTGTTATGAGAAAAAACTGCTATGAAAAGTTACGTATTACTGATATATGGGTATATATTAATAAGCAAGTATCTGAAACTAATTAAGTATGCTGTACTTATAATTTACTGAGACGAATACAAGTAAATTCCAGTATAGATAAAATTTTTGGAGATAATGGTGACAGACTACAAAATTTGAGAGAAGAATGATTTAGAAAGGCTATTCCTTGCTAGTATATGGATCTTTACTAATTTACAAGTGGTTAATGTTGATGAAACACGTTTTACGGTCAATTTACTAAGTCAAGCACGTCTTATAATTTGTAAAACACGTATTTCTCGTAAGCTAATTCAATGGCATAACCTAAATAAGTAATCGAAACTATCTTAATAAGTTCTAGCTCTTCTAATTGTGTTTTTGTACTACAAGTTGTATCATAACTGAATGTTTCCTGCTTTGATAAATTAAGCGTTTCAGATTTGTCGTGTAAAATGACACAAAATTTGATAATACAAAAAAAAAAGTTATCAGTTATCATTTAAAGATAGAACATATTTTAAGTAAAATTAATTGGTTTATCATATACATATCATAGGGTTTACATTATAGAAAGCATATCAATAGAACATAGTCATAGTCATTATCATTTAACACGTCATTAATTTCATTCATGGTTATTCAATATGAATAACCCATTATTGTTGCAGTCAAAGGTAACAACTAATCAAAATCCATCAACAAATGAATATGGAGATTCTGTCACATCATCACAACATTATCAACCATTTAAGAAACTAAAAGTATCATCATCACAACCAATAGAAATTGTGTCATTAGATTCAAGTGATGATGAAAATGAACAAAATACATCTCAATTTTCAATTAATATTCCAAAACAAGAACCACAATTAATTAAAGAATCATCTGATGAATTAGAAATAGTTGGTGAACGTAATCTTATTCCAATGCCTGGTGCCTTTAATCAACAACAACAAAATCAAATTCAACCGAAACAAGAAATTAAACAAGATCCATTTTATGTACCACCACTACCACCACAACAACAAATTATCCCTCCACAACAACAATTAGCATTGATGAGAACTCAAAAAAATGATTTACAATCGAAAAATGTTACTTATACTCATGAAATTGCAAAATTAACTACAGAATTAAACAAATTAACAAGTACTCTGGTAATAATTGAACAAAGATATAATATGGAAAGAAATAATATCGATAATATTAAAAATCTTATACGTAGTGCAACCTCAGAAAATATTGGAAATTTACATGGCATTTTAAAACTTCATGAAAATAGATCAATTCATTTACAACATGAATTAAATAAATATCAAACACATTTAAATAATATGCAACGCAAAATTGAACTTTTTAACGGAAAAATAAGACAAAATATATCGATAATTAGAAATTTAACTCATAGAACAAATGCATCAACAAATGTTTATGAAGCTGAAATTTATAGAGATAATTATAGAGGAGCTGAAGTTGATATTGATTTACAAAACTTGTTAGATAACATTAGATCTGAAGAAATTCCCGAAGATGGTTTAGAATCAACACCAGAAGAATTAGCTGTTAATTTAATGAAACATCAAAGATTAGGATTAACTTGGTTAAAAAGAATGGAAGCTTCAAGTTCAAAAGGTGGTATATTAGCTGATGATATGGGTTTAGGTAAAACTATTCAAGCATTAGCATTAATTTTAGCGAATAAACCACCAGCTGATTATAAATATAAAACAACTTTGATTATTGCACCAGTTAGTTTATTAAGACAATGGGCTAGTGAAATAGATAATAAAATAAAACCTTCATTTAATATTCATATTTGTATTTATCATGGTGATGATAAAAAGAAAATGTCAACTTTTAATAAAATGAGTAAATATGATGTTGTTCTTACAAGTTATACTACATTACAATCAGAATGGAAAAAGCATTATTTAGAAGAACTTAAATCTCAAACTCCTCCATTTGATAGAAAATGTTTACCTGAACCTCATACTGGCGGTAAAAGTTATACTAGTCCATTTTTTGATAAAAATAGTCATTTTTTTAGAATTATACTTGATGAAGCACAAAACATTAAGAATAAATTTGCAATTGCATCAAGAGCTGTTTATTACTTATCAGGTGAAACTAAATTTTGTCTTAGTGGTACACCAATGCAAAATAATTTAGATGAATTATATCCATTATTAAGATTTTTAAGAATTAAACCATATAGTGATGAAGAAAAATTTAGATATGATATTATATTACCAACAAGATCAAATTCTGATCAATATGATGAATGGGATGCTAAGCAATCATTTAGAAAACTACGTGCTTTGTTAGCTTCAATTTTATTAAGAAGAACAAAAGATTCTTTAATTGACGGTCAACCAATTTTGCAATTACCTACTAAACATATAAATAAAGATTTTGTTGAATTAGAAGGGGAAGAAGAAGAGTATTATAAGAGTATTGAAGAAAAGATTCAAAGAGTTGCCAAAAAATTATTTAATAATCATATTAAAACAGCACCAATTTTAGCATTATTATTAAGATTAAGACAAGCATGTTGTCATTCATATTTAGTTGAAATTGGTCAATTAAAACAAGAAGAAGCAAAAACTGAAGATGGAAAAATTTTTAAAGATTGGAAAAAAATGATTAGATTAACAAATGAATTAGATATTGAAGTAAAGAATACAGTTTTACAAACTATTAATTCAAATGTTGGTACTCCAGATGAAGATTTACAAAGTGTTGGTGTTGATTTAATGTTGACATGTCAAAAATGTTTTGAACCAAACAATTCACCAGTTATTTTCAGTGAATGTGGACATATGATTTGCAAAACATGTTTTATTGAAATGTTTAATATAACAGAAGATAGAGAAGAAAATGAAGCAGTTGATGATGTTAGATGTATTGAATGTGATGAATTTGTTAAACAAACTCATGTAATTGATTATAAGATTTTTAAAGCAAAACATATTGAGAATCATGATAATCTTGAAAAATTTGCTAAATCAGCATATACAAATTGGAAAAATCAAAGATCAAATGAGAAAATTATAAAAGAATTTGTCGCAAGAGATGAGTTCTTGAATCCAAGTGCCAAAATAGAAAAATGCATAGATTTAATTCATGAAATTGAACAACGAAATCCTGGTGAAAAAATCATTATATTCAGTCAATTTGTTTCATTATTTGATATAATGAAATTAGTTTTAAAACATGAATGTATTAGATTTTTACAATATGATGGATCAATGACTTTAGAACAAAAAAATTCAACAATTAAACATTTTTATCAAAATAATGAAATAAAGGTTTTGTTAATATCTTTACGAGCTGGTAACGTTGGATTAACTTTAACTTGTGCAAATCATGTTATTATAATGGATCCATTTTGGAATCCATTTGTTGAAGAACAAGCAATGGATAGAGCTCATAGAATTGGTCAAGAAAAAGAAGTTCATGTTCATAAAATTTTGATTGAAAATACAGTTGAATCGAGAATTCAAGAATTACAAGAACATAAAAAGAAATTAATTGGAGCTGCATTAAATGAAAAGGAAATGAGAAATATTACAAAATTGGGTAGTAGAGAACTAGGATTTTTATTTGGTTTGAATACATTACATTAAATGTAAGCATGCAGAAATCTATGTAAGGATCAAATATTGCTATTAAGTAATTAATGAATATATACAATGGTAATGATGAAATGTTATATCTTCTTAATCTTTAGTAAATTTGATTCCCATTGATCTTGAGTAAATAGTTTATGATTATAGACCAAGTTTGCAATTATGATTGGTTCAAAATTGATCTTGAAGTTGTTTAATGACTTACATAAGTAAATTAACTGTAAAATAAGTCCATTTAATAATGAATCATAATCTTCATCAGATTCAGGAAGGTATAAATTGAAATGTTCACATAATAAATTAGCCAAACTAGTTACAAATTGATTTATTAGTACTTTTGAGTCATGGTGGAATATCAATTTGTAAATGGATAAGGAATTGTATAAATATTCACGATAAATTTCAATAAATCGTTTCAAGTAAGTAAATTTATTAAATTTAATCAACGGTTTCAAACTTGAAATTTCATTAATTATGAACTTATACCTTGAATTCAAATAGATTTTAATTAATACTGAATCTTCCTTATATGATTTATTCAATATTTGAAAAATCTTCAAAATTTGAAATTGTTTTAAATTGGTATTTAGTAGTTTAATTAACCCCTTGACCATTTTATTTAGTTCTATATCTATTTGCGTATCTATTTTCTTGAAAATGCTTATATTGGGAAGCCTAATGACGAGTGATTTTATAAATGTATTGATTTCTAAACTTTCTTGATAATTTCCCTGGAGTATGCATAATTTACATAGGGTAGGTAATTCAAAAATATCCAATACTGAGTCAATACTATTCAAGATCTTTAGATTAAACTTTTCAACGTCATACAAACTCCGGTTTATGTTTAATGAAACATTACTCAATTGTAAATTATTTAATGAATTGGTATAATTATTCTTTAGTTGTTCATTTATAAATGATAAATCATGATTCAAATCAATTATTAAATCTGAATTATTATAAGTCAATTGATTCAATTGCTTAGATATATTTGATGACTGTGAATCTAATTCTGCAATTTCTTCAATTAATGTCTTTGTCGTTGTTGTTGTTTTTTGAGGTTCTGTTGATAAAAGCTTATCATTTAATAATAAATCATCTAAGTAATCTTCACATTGTTTTCTATAAGCGTCATCCTTAAGCAATTGTGTGTATTCTACTGGTATATCATCAGCTAAATTATCTAGTAATATTGAAGTCATAAAAAGCGACTAGCGTGGGTGAAAAAAAAAATATTAATTTTGTTGATAATTGATAGTCAATCAACAACAACCAATAGTGTTTAATAACTGATTACCTATTACCATTGTCTAAGAGTCCTAGTGTTGATTTTTTGGTCCATTTTTACGTTTATTATTTGATATCCTTACTTTGAAATCTTAGTTTTTTACATCCTTACATTATGGAAGGTTTATATTTTAACATCAATAATGGTTATGTTGAAGGTGTTGTACGTGGGTATAAATCAGGTTTATTAACTTCAAGTCAATATATTAATTTAACTCAATGTGATAATTTAGAAGATTTAAAATTACAATTATCTTCAACTGATTATGGTAATTTTTTACAAAATTATTCTGGTCCTTTAAGTACTACAATTATACAAGATAATTTAATTAAGAAATTATTCTCCAATTATCAATATATTAAATCTCAATCAAGTGGTAAATTAACTCAATTTTTAAATTTTATAAATTATGGTTATATGATTGATAATGTTATATTAATGATTACCGGTACATTACACGAAAGAGATAAATCTGACATTTTAAAGAAATGTAACCCATTAGGTTGGTTTGCTACTTTACCTACATTAACTATTGCTACCGATTTAGAAAGTCTTTACTCAACTGTGTTGATAGATACTCCATTAGCTCCATTTTTTAAAAATTGTATATCACCAGATGACTTAGATGATTTAAATATTGAAATTATTAGAAATAAATTATATAAAAATTATTTAGAAAGTTTTTATAATTGGGTAAATGAAAATTTTGATGAACCTGATAAATCAATAATGACAAGAATTTTAATTTTAGAGGCTGATAAAAGAATTATAAATATTACATTAAATTCATTAAATAATTCAGAATTATCAAATCAAGATAAAATTGATTTATATCCAAATTTTGGTAAATTATATACAAATAATTATATTAATGAATTAAGTGAAGTTGATGATTATGAACAACTAAAATCTATAGTTGAGAATATTGGTGAATATCAACAAATTTTTTCAGAAAATAATGATAAACTTAAAAATATTGGTGATTGGTTTTATTACCTTGAAATGGAATTATGTAGAAATACATTTACCCAACAATTTACGTTAAGTACAATTTATGCATGGTTAAAATCAAAAGAACAAGAAATTAGAAATATAACCTGGATTGCCGAATGTATTGCTCAAAATCAAAAGAATAGAATAGAAAGTTACATATCTGTATACTAAAGAAACAATGGTATTTCAACAGCACCTCCAACTTTTGTATTTTTGCGTTTTTTACTTGATTCTTCATAAATACTTCTTTCAACATCGAGCAAAGGACTTGGTTCTCTTCTAAAAGTATTTATTAATGGTTCATCATTTATTTCCGGTACTTTATCTTCTTCAATTTCATCATTTAATATCCAATTAATCATGAATTTATCATCATCATAATTTAATTCCATCATATTAATAGTTATTAAACTACCATTATAAGTACTTGAATTTTCATTATTATTATTATTCTTACATAATAACTGAATTGATAAACAACCATGTATATCCTTTATTAGCTTACATTTATTTGACATTTTGACTGATTTTAAAATTTTAAAAAAATTTGAATAGGTAAATTTCGAAATTATATAATTTTCGAAATCAAATTTATCAGTCTTGAAAATTTTATACTTTTCCATTGTTAATTTATCATTTGGAAATATTAGTTTTGAGTTTCCAATTATACCTTGACTTATAAAATGAAGTTTCGGGTTTGATTCATTTTTGGAAATATAGATAAATAAGTTTTCTGTGCTTATTTGATTTAAATCTTGTAATAAATTATATAATATATCACTTTTTAATATAATTTCCATTTGTAAATTTGCATAATCTATACTTATATCTTCTTCATCTTCATCTTCATCTTCATTGACATAATAAGTATAAAATTCTAATTTTTCCAGAATATATAAATCTTCAAATTCAATAACTAATGGGTATCCAGAACCTTGATATTTAATAACACATTTGACATTTTTTTCAAATTTTAATGTATTTATAACTGATAAAAAACATTCATTAATCAAATTTAAATCAATACCAAATTTTAAATTCTGTTCTTCTCCAGTTAAATTGTATATGATAAATAAAGATGAATCTATATTTATTGAAGTTGATAATATACTATTATAATTTGATGATATAATAATACCATTTGATTTTATATTTACAATTGCATGATTACTGATTGATGATAAACTTTGAAAAATTTCTGATAAATGGGTAATTTGATTTGTTGAAGAATCAAAAGTGATATTTGGAGCTTTGGATCTTTCTTTTGGTGGTGATAATATTAGTTGATGTTGTGAACCTTGTGTATTTCTATAACTTTCATCATCAGACTGAATAAATAATGACATAAAATTGATCTAATTTATGTAATGTTTCAGAAATGATTTTAGGCGAGATAAATGTTTTTTTTTCTGACCTGGGACGTGCTACCAAGTGTATGGAAAACCCTGAATTTTATGAGTACGGTTAAATCTCGTACTTTTCATGATGCGAAAGTAAATCTATATAGTTAAGTAATATCGATAAGTAATATCGATAAGTATATTCAGGTGGACTATAGACTTTAGGGACACTCTCAACCTTTCTTATTTACATTTTAATCATTTATGTGAAAGCTCTGATCAATTGGAGGATTATGTTGGCACTGATACAATATGTTGTACCTAATAAAGGTTGGTTCTCATCTTTTGTATGATATGTGTTGTGCTGTTTCAATTATGCGTTTTCTTGCTTTTCTATTGTGGTTAATTTTAGAGATAATTGTTAATTTTAGAGATAATCGTTAATTTTAGAGATAAAATAAAATTCAGCAGCTTATACAGAACGCACGGTTTGTACATTATTTTCAACCACTAATTGGAATTTGTGACTTGAATTTGACAGGCAGTTTCAATTGGCAACCATGTTAGTAAGCATAAACAAAATCAATTTATAACTGATTTGAGTGCAATATGGCTAAGAAAAATTTAAAATTAGGGCCAAGAAAATAGACAAAGGGCCCTTGAAATTTTGCAATAGTACTGTGTATGGGGCGGCAGCCTTGGAAAAAGAAATTAAATTAGAGAATGATGATGACGATAAAATCATGGCAATGGAATGGCTATTTTCTTAATAGGTTATTTTATGACAAGAATTTTGTAATGAGATGTTTAATAAGGTACCAGATCTTTCAAAGATTAAATACGAATAATGAATAAACATTCTTCATACTCTACTATTACTATACTCTCGTCTGGTATTATTTGTTAGTAAATCTGCACTATGTAATAAAATTGATACAATGCAAAATTGAAAAAAATAGAAAACAAGAAAAAAAAGATATTAATAATAATTTTTTAACAGCATATATTGAATCATCATCAATTCATACCTTAGCCTGGACTTTTATATATTCATCGAGTATTAGATTGAATAAGGAATCGGACGAATCAATATTATAGAGTTTAAGTAATTTAGATCATTTTATATTTATAAATTTATCTTTATTTTTCATGTCAAATAATAGTATAGTTAAGTACATGATATAATTATAATTAAACAATGGCTTGGAGTCAACTAGAATTAGAAGCTCCTCATATAGCATATGCTTGTGTTGGGATATTCAGTACTTTATTTTCATTGGTATCATTATTTGTTAAAGAAAGATTATATATTGGTGAAGCAACAGTTGCAACTATCGCTGGTTTAATTTTAGGTCCTCATTGTTTAAATTGGTTTAATCCTATATCTTGGGGTAATTCAGATTATATTACTTTGGAAATTTGTAGAATTGTTTTATGTATTCAAATTGTTGCGGTGGCTGTTGAATTACCAAGAAAATATATGAAAAAACATTGGTTATCAGTTGCAATTTTTTTATTACCTGTTATGACATGTGGTTGGTTAATTGTTGGATTATTTATATGGGTTTTAATTCCTCATTTTAATTTTGCTGATGCTTTATTAGTAAGTGCTTGTGTTACTGCGACTGATCCTGTTTTAGCTGCTGCTGTTGTTGGTAAAGGGAAATTTGCTGAAAGAGTTCCTGGTCATTTAAGAAATTTATTGAGTGCAGAATCTGGCTGTAATGATGGTATGGCATTCCCTTTCATTTATTTATCTTTATTCATTATTATTTATAAAGGTAATGCAAGAGAAATAGTTAAGGACTGGTTTTGTTTAACCATATTATGGGAATGTATCTTTGGTTGTGTTTTAGGTGCAGTTATTGGATTTGTTTTACGTAAATTAGTTGCATTTGCCGAAGATAAAAATTTAATTGATCGTGAATCATTTTTAGCAATTTTTGTTTTCATTGCTTTTATTTCAGCAGGTATTGGTTCAATGTTGGGAGTAGATGATTTGTTAGTTTCATTTGCTGCTGGTACTGCTTTTGGCTGGAATGGAGCATTTGCTAGAAAAACTGAAGAATCTCATGTTTCAACAGTTATTGATTTATTATTAAATTTATCATTTTTTGTTTATTTTGGTGCTATTGTACCATGGCCAATGTTTAATCAAGCTGATATTGGTTTAAATGTATGGAGATTAATTATATTAGCATTTGTTATTATATTTTTAAGAAGAATTCCTGCTGTTGTTGCTTTAAAACCGTTTACACCCGATGTTAAAACTTGGAGAGAAGCATTCTTTTGTGGTCATTTTGGTCCAATTGGTGTTGGTGCTATATTTGCAAGTATATTAGCAAGAAAAGATTTAGAAGGTCATTATACAACTGAAGAAACTCCTTTACATAATTTACCAAATGAAGAATTTCCTCATTATCAATTATTATCATGTATTTGGCCAATGGTTTGTTTTATTGTTATTACATCGATTATAGTTCATGGTTCTTCAGTTGCTGTTTTAACATTAGGTAAAAGATTAAATAGAATGGCAATTACCATGTCATTTACTACAACTAATGGTGAAACAACTCAAGGTACAAGTAACTGGATGCAAAGATTACAAAAATTAGATAAATCTTCTACGTCATTTTCATTACATAGAGTAGATACTGCAATTCCAAAATCTGAAAACGATGTTGAAAAAGAACAAGTTGAACAAGAACAAAATTTACCAGAAACATCAGGTATTAAATTTAGACCAGCTGGTGGTGCAAAAAGAAAGAAGAAGAGAAAATCAAGACAACATCCTGGTTTAATTCAAAAAACTTTATCAAAAGTTACAAGTAATACAAATGAAGGTGAAGATGAAGAAATGGAAAGACATAGACCTGCAGCACAATTTTTACAATTGGGCCAACAAAAGAAAGAAGAACCAGATACTACATTGACATCATCAGAGCAAAAAGAACCATCAAGTTCTTCTTCTGGTGGTACTGCTGGTGGTGAATTTGAATTACATAGAACAGCAACATCACTAAAAACATCAGGAAAGAAAGAATTTGGTCAAAGACAACCAACTGAAGAAGAGAAAAGATCAGTGCCGACAAATGCATATCAAGAAGGTGATAGAATTGTTATTGAGGATCAATATGGTGAAGTTATGGATAATATAAAATTACAAGAACGTAAACTAAAAGATCAACATACTGATGAAGATAGTATACATTCAATGGATTCTTTACAAAGGCAACTTACTCAATATTCATCAAGTTCATCAAAACATTCCACTGATGAAGAGCCAACATTGGTTAGAAAATTATCTCGTACCTTATCAAGAAAACAATATCATAAAAAATCAGACCCTAAAAGAAAAGTATTTGCTCATAGAATTGATAATCTTATTGTTATTGAAAATGAAGAAGGTGATATAATAAGAAGATATAAAGTCAATAAACATGCATCAACATTACCAAAACCTAATAGATCAAGATCAAGTACATTAGTAGGTAAAATGAAATCATTAGTAGGTATATCGAATCAACAACAACAACAACCAGAAATACCCGAAACGCCAACTATTCATGTTACAGATTTAGAAAAAGGAAGTCATCATCAAATTTTAATACCTGAAGGTGTAACTAATGATATGAAAGATTCAAAAATGGAACAAAAATTGGAAAATAAAATAACGTCAATATTGGAGAAGAAACATGAAAGTGGCTCGCATAAGTTATTTAAAAATGCTTCTCCTCCTCCACCTGTGAATGATGTAACAGAAGAAGAAGATGACGAAGAAGAAACTGAAACTGATTTATCCGATTATAATGGCGAAACTGCAGTTGAGAAAAAGAGAAGGTTGCAAGCATTGGGTCATTTACCAACGGGACATGATGAAAATGATGAAGAAGAGTAGAATTAAAATATAAACTAGATCTATTTTATACAATTACTGATTTTCATTTCTAGAAAATGCTTTACTCATGATATATTTTTTTTTGTTTGTAATTCTCACCCTAATGGTCTCTCGTACTAAGTATATCGGTTTTTAAGTCAAGAGCATCAGATTCTTTCAAGATAAGCACCAGTTTTATGAAATCAGGAACCCTGAATTATATATCCTACATACTTTAAACTCTGAGTTTCAAATTTGATTTTTTTGAGTTGTCATTTTGGCGTTTTTCTATCTTACAAGAATTATGCAAAAACTGAAAACTCAAAGTATACCTGATTTAGAGCCATATGTTTCAATTCAATAACGAACTTTGTTTATCAGACCTGCAACTAAAACCCTGAACCTAATTTTAGCTAATTGAGAAATTTCAAAATTTTCTCGTAAGTATGAGACAATTCAAATAAATTGATCTTACGAAACTTCTAAATACACAACCAAAATTGGGATAAAGATAAGGCAAGACTACCGAGTCCATAGCTCTTGAACGTTGATATCTTGAGGTTTTCTATGATAAGCTGTTCAAAAATGGAATATTAATTTTTCAAAGTGAAGTGAAATTTTTGTAAAATTTCTGAAACAATTTTGGCGTCTGGAAAATACTATTGTTAGAATCCTTGAGGATGAATAGACCAGATTAGCAGTTTTAGAAGTTGCTAAATCAAGCCTATATATTGATTATCTTGCAATTAAGCGTCTTTTTGTCGTTTTTCCAATGACGAAGTACTTGATCAAAATCAGGTATCTTCAAAATATACTAACATCAGTTTACTCCGAATTCATGAAAAACTTAATGAAGAATCTTTGAGACAAAAAGCTTGAATATTGAGAGTGTTATTTGCAACTTAAGTTTTTAAGATTAACTGTCATTATACTGCATATAAGTCAAATTTGTTTCAAAGTTGTCTTTAATTCTCGTGCAAATTTCGACCAAACTGGGGTCAATTTTCATACCAATTTTTTCCGAGGATTTATTTTTTCGTCAATCTTTTCTTCCCCAGAATTCAACTATGATCATGGATACCTCAGTTACATTATCGCCAACATCAATAAATATAAATAAACAAATGGAAAATGAATACAATCTAGCTTTGAAATTGTTTAAGAATAAAAATTTTGAAAAATCATTCAATTTAATTCATTCAATTTATCAAAAATCATTCATTGAATTTTCAAAATCATTAATTTCAGAAAACTTGTTAATCAAAATAATAAATTTATATCTTGTTGAGATCGGATTAGTTGTTAGAGATAAATTATTAAACCAGATTCTGTTGAATGTGGCATATAATGCAATAAGTTCTAATGAGATTAAAAATCACTTGATTTCGACCTGGTCAAACAATATCCCAAATGAAATATTATACAATTTTCATTTATTATTGATAACTAATCCAGAATTGATACATAATAAAGAAGAATATTTGAATGAGATAAAACAATTAAGTTATAATTTAACTGTAGATAAATATTCTAGTCAATTTTTAAATTTGATAAAATTTGAAATATACCCATATTTTGACAAATTTGAAGAATCAAGGATATTAATTGGTGATAACCAAAATGAATTAAATAAAATAGATAAAATAGAGCAATTTAAAAAGGATACTTTGATTGAAAATGAACGAAAACGTAAAGAATTCGAAAAATTAAAACTTGAAAAGGAGAAACAAGCAAGAGAATTGCAAACACAGCATGAACTAGAGAATACATTGAAATACAAATCAATAAAGGAAATACAAAGAAGCTATTCAAATGAGAAAGCTGCTCGTCCTGCTGAACCACAACAAGATCAATTAAAACAAAAATTAATGTATATATACTCAATATCAAAGGAGTACTTGATGAAGAACTACTTATTCCTTTTTGTTTTAATTGCTTTGATTATAGTATCAACAAGGTTCCTCAAAGGTGTTAATGTTAGAGAGAAATTGATTGAAACTGTTAAAATGGCCTTTAAATTTAGTTATATTTAAATATACGATATATACGACGTGGTGCCTTCGCTCTAATTTCGTGCCAGCTCATCTTTTCTCGTCGCCACATTTAATGCCATAATCGCATCAAAATTCAGGCAAAATGATTTATTCTATATGACCTCTGACACTGGAATTTAGGTAATTGGGTATGGTTCATTAATTTTCAAACCTCCACCATGTGTCTCATATAAAGTGACCGGTTATTTGACTGGCTATATAAGAAGGTTTGGCAATCTAGTATTGATCATCGTGGTTCTCCGGAATCTCCAGGTAGAGTTGTTACATTAATTCATTATCATCATTGACCATGTCCTGCGAATCTTAAATCGTTTATATTTTTTATCCTTCTTCAGCTCTTCTACTTTAGCAAAGATAAGAAAGGAGTATAGACTGTATCTAATAAATGAGGTTTTCGATATTTTATTTGCAACTTTAAAACGAGTATGCCCAAAGGTGAATTCCCCCGGAGCAAAAACTAGTACGAATGAGCTATGATAATGCCCATAATCTTAAATAAGAAGCAGTATGAGAAATATAATTTAAACAAAATTCAATAGTATGAATCACTTGATGAATTACAATATCACCAAAATATTCTGAATTTCAAGAACCATCTACACCTCCATAAGCATTTGCATAGTATACGCTCCATATGCTACACCTCCAAATACAACCGAAGAAAATGGAGCCATAAATGATAACCAATTTCTTTTATCCAAATGATATTGTTCATAATCAATCAATCAAATCAGTTTTACTTTCGTACTTAATCAAACCAACATCGATAGCTTTTTTCTACTTTATTACTCAAATATGGCACTTCAAGATCACCACCTGCAATAAGTAATAAACATACTAAAATCACTGATAAAATTACAAATGAACTGCCAACTATAAATCATTCTCCGTTTGACCAAAGGCCAATTTTCCGAATTATATAAACTTCTTTTGATTTCCATGGTTGATTGTTAATTTCATGATAAATTCATGATAATTTATACTAAACGATTCTAATTCTTTATTTCAAAATATTCTGAAAACTAAAATACAGAATTAGGCTTTTGTAGTACAGATTTGACCTTACGTGTTGAAACTTTAACCTAAAAATACAAAAACAAAGCTAAGATAAACAAAAGAAAGTAGGCTTTTAACGTGTGTGGAAATCTCAAATCTAAAAATGTATAATCAATTTTAATTTAAATTGAGGATTGGTGTCATAATTTTCTTAAAACAATAAGAGATTAAGCCTCAAAAATAGTTTTGCATAAACGTTTAGCCATGAATAATAATATTATTATTTTGTGCCGTACGCTAAAATGTTCTTGATATTATTAATATTGTTCATGTTGATAATTCACTGGAACTTATTCAAAGTACTATTTATATAGGTACTACTGAGAATGTTGTATTTATTGGACCTGAATCCCTTGAAGCAACTTCAAAAATTATCAAAACTAATGAGGGTCCCAGTGGTCCAAATATAGGTTATTTATTAAATCTATACAATTCAATTAAAGAATTAAATGTTAAAGATGATTATATAGAAGATTTAGTTAAATCATGTATTTAAAGCAATAAATTTATAGCAGCTTGTTCTAATACATGAACTAGATTATTTATCTCAAGTTGTGCATCTTCAAATTGTCGTAATTGTAAACGATTTCTAATATATGGAAATGAATTCCATACAAATTTATCATCTTGTAATGGTGAATTAAAAGGTAAACCAAATAAAATATTTCTATAGCCAAATCTTTTTACAAGTATACCTTTTGTTAAGAATTTAGAATTAAATTCAACCATATTATCATTCCATCTCCATCTAGCCATACTATAACTTGTATGTTCTATACCTCCAGATTTTCGAAGGTAATCTTCCCATGAAGCTTTCCAATTTTCATATTTATTCCCTTGTTCTTTCATAAACCAAATTTTTTGTTTTAATTTTTTGAAATCTAAATTTATATCTGAATTTAAAGATTTATAATAGTTCTCTAGGTTTTGTTCATATTCAATTAATTTATTTGTAAAGTCGTTGTAGTTATATGGAATTAGTGGATACTCAGCAAATTCAAGTATAATTTTGGCAATTAATTCAACTAGCAAGGAATGTTTTGTCATTTTATCATCAATTTTGGAATTTTCAAAGTTCATAAAATCATCATAACATGAATTTTGGGGATATTCACCTCTAAACTTAATTTCTAATGATGGCATATTGACTAAATTAATAAATGGTAGGTAATTTTTCAGACTTGAAAATTCATTTTTAATATCTGCCATGTCATATAAAGATCTACCATTTAATTTAAGTTTTTTCAAATGCTTTGTGACGATTTCATTTAATAATGGATTAGCATTAACCTCCAAAGATTCACCAGATACTAAATCACTTAAATCAATATACAAATAACCTTCTTTTTCTAATAATTCTCTTCTACTCTCAATCCATTCTGATGAACCAGCTAGATTATATTCAGTAGCATCAAATGAAGCAAAGTATATAGATCTTGATGGTGACCATTGAAATTTTCTTTGTAATGAAGTAAAAATTTTAATCAATTCTAAAAATGCAACATTCCCCGTATTTGATGACATGGTTCCATAGCATGATGAGTCTCTTGCAGCTCCAATAATTATTCCTTTTTCATTTTGTTCTCTACCTTCAATTGAACCAACAACATTCCATATATGTTTTGCTTGTCTATTTGTATTCGCAATTTTCAATTCTAATTCTACTCCTTTATCAGCTTGTGATATTAAATATTGACCATCTTTATATGATATTGGTAGTGTTGGTATCTTTGGTGTTGTTTCTGAAAAATCCCAGTTTAATCTAGTAACATAACCATCTTCTGAGGACCAACCAGGGGTTAAGATGTCACCGAGTGAAACTCTAGTCAACCCCACATTCTCCTTCTGTATTACATCTTCATTATGTTTGAATTTTGGACTTATAAATATAACTGCTTTTGCTTCATGTTGTTTTGCAAAGAAAACTTTATTAGATTCAGGAATATTACCACCATAATTTAAAAGTACAATCTTATCTTTAACATCAGTCTTTCCAAAATCTTCTTCCGTTCCATAATTTATATACACATATTCACCTTGTATTGGTTCATTTGTATTTAATGAATTTGGGTTGTATGATAAAAATTCCATATTTTCATTATGAGATTCATATAATTTTGCATTCCATGACCCATCTTTTAATTTTAAATATGTGTTTTTACTTGGATAATTTGTAAATGTTTGATATTCATTAAGTTCAATATTATTTATCCCATTATTTTTCATATATGTTTCAATATATTTTGCCAATGTTAAATCACCTTTGGTTCCAGTTATATGAGGTACACTTGAAAAGTATTCTAAATTCTCTTTCATCATTTTAGGATCTATTATATACTTTATTGAATCTGATAATTTATCTATGTCATAAAATTTGCCCTTAACAAAGCCACCAATGGATGTACCACTTATTGAATCATTATTTGAATATTTTGAAATTAAAAATATTATAAATACCATGAAGAATACATATAATAATCGTTTTATCACCAAGGGATTACCTAGTTTTAGTATTGATTTCTCATATTGTAGTTGTAAATATTTATACCCTTCATATATTGGATCTATTATTTTTATTAATCTTGTATTGAAATTATTTGCAAGTTTTTTAAATTGAGCTTTATTGAAAAAACCAACATTCTCATGATCTTCTTCTATTTCAAATATATAATCTGGTGGGTTTAATGGTAATGATGAACTTGAATCTAACATGGGCTATATCGGTTTCAGAATAAAATATATTTTCTATACACTACTCACAATTTACTAGTGTCACATAAATTGTCATAAACTAATGTCTCAAATTTACCAATATATTCAACATTATATTCATCCATATATGGTAAAACTTGAACAGCATAAAACCCAGCTATCTTATTCTTAAAATCCATCCAATAAGCTAAATTTGCAAAACCACCCCAATAAATTGAACCTTGAGGTCTACCAGTTGGTAAATCATTTGAACAATATGCATTACCAGTTAATGTCCATCCATCGTTCTTTCTATCTGGATTTTCATCTTCATCTATATAATTATGAGCTAATCCAATGAAATCTAATGGTATATGATCTGGTAAATGATTTCTAATTGCAAATTCAACGGTTGATTTATTCAATATACGTTTATTTGCATCTGGTGAATAACCATAGTTTAACCAAACTCTCATAAACTTAAGATAATCTCCAACTGTACCAAAACATCCTTGTCCACCTAAATCTAAATTTGGATCTAATGATAAACCAAATTTTTCTTGTAATTTCAACAGTTCGTCTTGTTTTCTATAATGTACTCTAACTTGATCTTCAAAGTTTTTCTTATGAAATGTACATTTATTCATTCCAATAACATCAAATATGTTTTGTTTCAAGAATTCACCTAATTTCATTCCTGCAACTTTTTCAATTAAAAATCCAAGAAAATCAATACTATGACCATACATCCAAGCACTACCAGGTTCAAAAACTAAAGGTGTTTTTTTATAAAAGAATTCCATTGTTGGATTTACTGGATCTAATTTTTCACCTTTGGTAATTAATGTAAAATAATCAGGATGAATGAAACCATAACTAAAACCAGAAGTATGAGTGATTAAATGTTTAACAGTAATTGAAGTCTTAGGTTTTAATAAAGGTTTGATAAACTTACCAGTTTTTTTATCAATTGATTTTGGTTCTAATTGACCAATCTTTTCAATATCGGGAAAATATGAAGAAACTGGTTCATCTAATTTAATTTTACCTTGTTCATATAAAATTAATGCACCCATGACAGTAATTGATTTAGTACATGAAAAATAAGCATAGGTATCATCATTTTTGACTGGAACTGGATCATTTAAATTTCGAACTCCTTTGGAATTGAGGTAAATGTTTTTCTTTTCATTTGTAACACCAACTGTACAACCAGGAGCAGCCAATAAACCATCTTCTTTGGGAGTAGTTATCTCAGTTAATAATTCATCTAGCGATTTGGTCAAGTTCTCTTGTTGTTTTGGAAGAATCATTGGTAGTCGGTTAATAAAATTTGAATAATCCCGATTGATCTCCACATTTGAAAGCTATGCTACCAAGTGAATTCAATCTGTGATTTTTTGGAACTCTACACCAAGGATCTGCAGATCTATGTTAAGCTCGATTGAAGACTGTTGAGCTGAAAATTTGAATTTTTAAATAGAGAAAGTCATCAAACTTCTTAATAAAGATTAATACCATTTTAGCTCAATTCAGTCCTTTTATCATCAAAATTTTTCACCAGAGACGCCGATGTTTCAGTTTTTTGACGCGTTTATTTTTCAAAAAAATTAGTGCCGTGCCTATAGTATATTTGAAACTCAAAATATTTCAAACTAGGTTGCTAGAGCTCCAGTATTGATTATTGGATGTTGTTTTCTCTTTAAAATTTGACACATCTGCCGTTTTGATTGTGTATAACCAAACTTGCGATAGATCAAAAGTATTGTTTGTTGATTTAAGTGAAATAAACTTGAAACTTAAATCTAGCTTTCTTCTTATCTTGCCCAACTATCAAATTCTAGTGGTAAATGGCCAGAGATTATCATAATACCTTGCTAGTGCTCCAATACATTTGGAAATAGGAAAGTGTTGGCTCAAAATTGTTGCAAAATGACCAAATTTCGTCAACAAAGTTCAATATCTCTAAACTCGCGTTCCAGACTTTGAGAGTGATTTGGACTGTAGAAAAACTTTGTCAAATCTGTATTGCGATTTGATATGAAATAAGTAAAATGTTGGTTAAAATTTGCTGCAAATTGAGAAAATTCAGTCAAAAAGTGGAAATAATTAAAAACCCTTAAAAAATAGTGTTTTGAAGCTCAAGTTAATTATAAATGGAATAACAGCTGGACTCGGCTCTGTGTTTAACGATTTGCTTGAAATTAATGGTTGCAAAACGAACAATCATATAATCAAGATCGGTACGGAGTCAGTATTTTGACTCGTGCGTCTCAAAGCTTGCGCCGTGTTTACAAACCAAGATCTAATGATCGTAAATGATTGACATTGCACCTTTGTTACTAATAAGAAACTTTGCATTCAATATGATTCGATCTTATTTATCAAGCAAGATCTAAATTTACAGCAAAATGTTGATATATGACTTTTCTAAAAAACTTTATGAAAGTTATACCACCACCATCGGATGTTAGAATTGTTGATCCAGGTACTAAACGTACAGAATCGGAATATTTGAATAAACTAGGTTATAAACAACAACTTACAAAGAAACTAAATGAATTACAAGTTTTTGTTGTTGCTTGTTCAGTTATGGGATTACTTCCAAATATGCATTAGAGAATTTTCTTGAAGTCACTAGCAATTGGTTGGTCAATTTACATGTTACCTAAATGTGTATTTCCAGATTATGCACCTATAGATATGGGGATAAATTATTCATTTGTTGCTCTTTGGTTATAAGCAATTATATATTGCAGATATGGTTATAAACTAAATCCTAATTAATGTTCCGCCTTTTCAGCATTTGGTAATTCTTTTAATGATTGTTTTATAGCTTCAACGCCTTTTAATAAATCTTCTTCACTTATAACTAATGGTGGTGCCAATCTAATTATATTATCATGAGTAGGTTTTGCTAAAACACCGTGATCTTTCATCAATAAACACAAATCCCATGCAGTTCTACCATTAGATTTTGATTCATCAACTACAATAGCTGATAATAAACCTTTACCTCTAACTTCTTTAATTATTGAATTTTCCTGTTTTAATTCATTTAATTTTGATTTTAATAACTCACCCAATTTTTCAGATCTTTCAACTAAATTTTCATCTTTAATAACATCTAATGCAGCCATTGCTACTCTACATGCTAATGGATTACCACCATAAGTTGAGCCATGAGAACCTGGAGTTATAGTCAACATTATATCTTTTGAAGATAAAACTGCAGAAACTGGTAAAACACCACCACTAATAGCTTTACCTAATAATATAATATCTGGTTTAACACCTTTTGAGTGTTCATAACATAACATTTTACCAGTTCTTGCGATACCTGTTTGAATTTCATCACAAATTAATAAAACATTATATTTCTTACACAATTCTTGTACTTTTGGTAAATAATCTTCTGGAGGAACAACTATACCAGCTTCACCTTGAATTGGTTCTAATAAAACCGCAGCAATTTTATCACCAGCATTTTTAAAAGCTTTTTCAATGTCTTCAATGACACCATATCTAATCAATTGACCTTTTGGTTCACCAGGAATTTGTGGACCAACACCTTTTAAATATGGACCAAAATTTGTAGTTGCTTCATCATCAGTTGACATTGAAATAACACCTAAAGTTCTACCATGAAAATTATTAACAGCCGATAATATAATTGCTTCACCTTCTGGTATACCTTTTTTAACATATCCCCATCTTCTTGCTAATTTTAATCCTGTTTCAACAGCTTCAGCACCAGTATTCATTGGTAAAACCATTTCATAATTAAAATATTCAGTTATATATTTAGCATAAGCACCGAAAACATCAGAACTAAAAGCTCTTGAACATAAAGTTAATTTTGAAGCTTGATCTATCAAAGCTTCTATAATTTTTGGATGACAATGTCCTTGATTAACAGCAGAATAAGCTGATAAAAAATCTAAATATTCTTTACCTTCAGGGTCCCAAACATGTGCTCCTTTAGCTTTTGAAAACACAACTGGTAATGGATGATAATTATGAGCAGAATATTCTTGTTCTAATTGAACAGCTTCTTTCAGTGATAAATTCATGATGATAATTGAAATATTTGGGAATTGGTGACCATTTATATGAGGAATAAATTTTCACTGTCTAAAGTAATCGACACCGAACGTAACTTGAAAAATATGCCAAGGTGAGAATTGCCATTTTTGGATTGAGTCGTGTATCATCGTTCAACACCTTTCAAAAATTAAAATTGATCATAATTGAATCAACAGATTATCATCCGAAATATGTCACAAACCAAAAGATCAAATAATAATGATATAACATATACTCAATTAACTGACCAAAATACATTAAATCAAGATATTGTTATGACTGCTATGCGTATTAGAAAAAGTATTGCTGATGGTTATAAAACATCATTTAATAGATCTCCATTACCACAACATTTAAATCAACCACCTGCTTTAACAAATGAAGGTAGTACAAGATCATCATCTAATTTAGAAGAATGGGATTCTTATTATAAAATACAAAATGCTCCATTTCAAGTTTTACCTGAAATTAATCCAATGAAAAGAAAAAGAGAGGATGAAGTTGCAAATTTTGAAAATAAATATGGTGAATTAAAGTTTAATGAAGAATTTTAGTTGATGTTTTTTATGTGCTTCTGGTAGGTGTATAGTAATATATGTTTGGTTCTTCTTTAATAAATTTTTCTTCTCTAATGCACTTGCAAAATATTATCTTAATTTCAACTTTTAAAAATTTATCAATACAAGATAAAATATTACAATTAACAAGATTATCAACATGTTGTATAACATTAGTATTTGTATTGACAATATTATTAGCTCCCTTATTCAATAATAATACTTATTTATGTCGTATAAATTGTGCTCACCTTGATGTTTCACTTGGTTTATATAAATCTTTAAGAAATTCAGTTACTTCAACTCCTTCAATTTTAACAGACTCTGGTGGATTTGGACCATCTGGTAATTCATTAACCAACTCAGAAATTAGTTTATTATCTCAATATGCTGAGAATCAAGTGGCCGGTGCCCCACAATATTGTATAACAAGTTTATGGAATTGGTGTTATGGTAATTACGATATAGTGCAAAGTTATGATAAATTTGGTAATTTAAAATATATTAGACAGAATGAAGTTTTAAATTGTGATAATACTAAAAAATTTGTTTTTAATTATAAGATGGAATTAAAAGCAATTGGTTTGGAAAGTATTTTAGCATATGCTTATCAAGCTTCTACAGATACAAATGATTCAAAATATGATAGTATGGTAAACTCAAGAAATAAAGCTTTTGGTTATGCTATTAATGCAATAATATTTACTGCTGTTTCACAGTTTGTTTTGCTTGTTTTAACATTGGTTATATATTCGAAGAAGGAAGTTACAAGTCAAGTTCCAAAGTTTATTTTACATATTACTGGATTAATAGCACTTACTTCACTAATTAGTATTGTTATCGGTTCAGCTTTAATTACAAATTTATTATTATTGACTAGAAAGGAAATTGCAAGTACATTAGGTGATTTCGGAGTTAGTTTTCACGTTGGCACTAAATGGTTTGCCATGCTATGGACATGTTGTGCTTTTGCTATATTATCAGGTGCTTCTTGGTGTTTACCGTTATGGTGCTCAAATCCAGAAATTGTTTATGAAGAAGAACCATCATATTTTGACATTAGAAATAAAGATACAGGATATCATGATTTCAAGAATAAATTTAGAATAAGTTCAAAACCAGAACCTGAAGTTGTGTATGATAATGATCATGAAGAGGAAATGAGGAAACTAGGTGAATCATTATCTAAAAAATCAACTGTTAGAAGGTTAAATACATTAAAGAAGAAACCAGAAAAAGAATTGCTAATATATGATTATACATCAATACAAGAAGAGATTTATGATGGTTACAATTCATCAGCTTCAATATCAAGAACACCTTCTGAACATAAATCAAAAACTTATAGAAGATCATATTTAGATGATGACGAGTTAGTCCTACTAGATAATCAAATGTTTACAGTTGATAGATAATATACATTTAGAGGTTGGTAAATTCAATCGCTCTCTTTGTAGAACTACTTGCATTTTTGGAAATAATGCTAAACGTTAATCTTCTTCTTTTTTAATCTCAACACCTAAGGATGCAACAAACACTTGAGGTAAGGATGCAACAAACACTTGAGGTAAGGATGCAACAAACACTTGAGGTAAGGATGCAACAAACACTTGAGGTAAGGATGCAACAAACACTTGAGGTAAGGATGCAACAAACACTTGAGGTAAGGATGCAACAAACACTTGAGGTAAGGATGCAACAAACACTTGAGGTAAGGATGCAACAAACACTTGAGGTAAGGATGCAACAAACACTTGAGGTAAGGATGCAACAAACACTTGAGGTAAGGATGCAACAAACACTTGAGGTAAGGATGCAACAAACACTTGAGGTAAGGATGCAACAAACACTTGAGGTAAGGATGCAACAAACACTTGAGGTAAGGATGCAACAAACACTTGAGGTAAGGATGCAACAAACACTTGAGGTAAGGATGCAACAAACACTTGAGGTAAGGATGCAACAAACACTTGAGGTAAGGATGCAACAAACACTTGAGGTAAGGATGCAACAAACACTTGAGGTAAGGATGCAACAAACACTTGAGGTAAGGATGCAACAAACACTTGAGGTAAGGATGCAACAAACACTTGAGGTAAGGATGCAACAAACACTTGAGGTAAGGATGCAACAAACACTTGAGGTAAGGATGCAACAAACACTTGAGGTAAGGATGCAACAAACACTTGAGGTAAGGATGCAACAAACACTTGAGGTAAGGATGCAACAAACACTTGAGGTAAGGATGCAGCAAACACTTGAGGTAAGGATGCAACAAACACTTGAGGTAAGGATGCAACAAACACTTGAGGTAAGGATGCAACAAACACTTGAGGTAAGGATGCAACAAACACTTGAGGTAAGGATGCAACAAACACTTGAGGTAAGGATGCAACAAACACTTGAGGTAAGGATGCAACAAACACTTGAGGTAAGGATGCAACAAACACTTGAGGTAAGGATGCAGCAAACACTTGAGGTAAGGATGCAACAAACACTTGAGGTAAGGATGCAACAAACACTTGAGGTAAGGATGCAACAAACACTTGAGGTAAGGATGCAACAAACACTTGAGGTAAGGATGCAACAAACACTTGAGGTAAGGATGCAGCAAACACTTGAGGTAAGGATGCAGCAAACACTTGAGGTAAGGGATGCAACAAACACTTGAGGTAAGGATGCAACAAACACTTGAGGTAAGGATGCAGCAAACACTTGAGGTAAGGATGCAACAAACACTTGAGGTAAGGATGCAACAAACACTTGAGGTAAGGATGCAACAAACACTTGAGGTAAGGATGCAACAAACACTTGAGGTAAGGATGCAACAAACACTTGAGGTAAGGATGCAACAAACACTTGAGGTAAGGATGCAACAAACACTTGAGGTAAGGATGCAACAAACACTTGAGGTAAGGATGCAACAAACACTTGAGAGTAAGGATGCAACA